CCTTTCTAAATAGTACTCTAGATAAGGCTATTTATTTATAATTTCTACCTGGCTTTAGTTATATAAGATAGTCCCAAACTATTATAAAGTCAGAATTATGTAAATTTTTTTAAGCCTTTTAATATACAAGATATAAAAATGAAGAAAAAGAATATTTAATGTGCCTATTTTATCAGCTTTTAATATATAATAGGCACATTAAAGCTGATAAAATAGGCATATTAAAAAAAATATAAAATATTTTAATCTATTTCTATGGGATTTTGTTCCGTTTATATATTGCGTTCTATCATTTGTTTAACATGTTAGGAACGAAGTGCTATACTGGTCCGTACAGTTCGCTATACTAAAACCTACAATCCTAAAAGCTTCAACAAACCAACTAGCGAGCTACACTAATATTAATAAAATTGTCTGTTTTTATTTTCCCCTTGAGCTAAACATGCTACAGATTTTATAAGAAATTAATTGGCTATGTAACTATATTAATTTTAAAGCAATCTAAACTGGACCTGATACAGATCTAATTACCCAAAAGGCAACCAAAATGCAAATATAAGAGCAAGTCCTTAAAACGCAATTTATATAATACTACTGTGAGCAATTTAATCTATCTATTCTTCCATATATTATATTATGTAAGAAAACAAGAACAACTAACTATATTAAAGATATTACTAATATTTACTATTACTTTACTTCCCCTACCGACTTCGATAATTACTTCGGACTAAGCAATTATTTTTATACCCTTTGTTTACAGAATACCTTAAAAAGATGTCCCCAATCCTAGGAAGGATTGGTAAACCTTATCTAATAATAATATCTTCAGAACCCTTATAACGGTATAAGAAGACCGTCTCGATTGACAAAGAAAGCCAAACTATTAATATATAATATATCTAGTATTAGAAGTAAAATACAAGTACCACTACGACCACAATAGAAGTTGCAACTTAAGGAAATATTTATTTTGCTCACCTGGCCTAAGCTTTCTAGACTTTCAAAGGGTATTAAAGCAAAGTAGAAGTACTTAAAGCTAAGCATTCCACGTTAGAAGTACCTGATTTTTATAATATGCACATCCAAATTAACAATTTTAAAAACGTAAGTATAAGATATAGTAGGCATATAATATAATATTAAAGAATAACTTGTACTTTCCTATTTAGGAAGGTATATTCTCGAGGAATATTAAAGAATAATTGTTCATCCATATTCCAAGCAGGGGGTTTGAGCTGCTTTTATACCTTTAACATCCTAGGACTCTCTTTCCAAATTAATCTTGGTACTAGAATCCGTGCCATATAGTTTTGGAAGTTCAGAACAGGCCGCCGAGATTTCTGTTTCCTAATTGAGTAATTAATTAATTAGATAATTAGAATATTGAGATATTCTGACAGGTGCATATTTTTCAGTGTCTGGCTTAATAATATTTGGCTTCTTAGGGTTATATAGTGCTTGGATTAGTGCTTTTTAACCAAATTTTATATATATATATATTTTAAATAATTATTAGCATTCCTAAGCTTATTTGAGAGTTATTTTTATAAAAAGTAATTTAGCTATAGGTCTGGTATATTTCAAATAGTTTCTAAAGTAGTTTTATATCTACTTGCTCCTAAAAATCTTTGGGTTCATTTCATTTGTATAGATAGTTTAATAAATATTTCCGGGCTTTTTTATTATTTTATTATTTATTAGTAAATTAAGAGGAATTATTATTTCATACCCTTAATTTTAGCACTTTAGCTATTACTAGTATAAAAAATTTTCCTTAATATTTCATAGGCATGATTAAACCATAAACTATTGTAATTTTAATATTTAGGTTTAAGCTAGCAGGTTTTAGTATAAGCCTTTTTATATTTCTAGTTCATTTTTAGCTGGTATTATTATAACCATATAATCCCTAGCACTGTGTTAATTTTTTTTTAATAGGTACAACTTTAAACTATATTATTATATATAGTCCTAAACTAAGGCTTAGCTTTATAGTTTATAGTTCCAGCCCATGGTATAAAATATTTTTATTAATTCCTTAAATTATCTTAGGTACTCCTGTTTTTTTCTGTTGCTTTGTCCTTTTCTTGGTAAATTTAGTTTTATAAGTTTTTAATATTTTAAAATAATTATAATTCTTGCTATCGATAATTTTATTAATATTTGGTAGTACTGTAATTAATATATAACTATTTACTATAGCTAATTATATTTTATGATAATATTACTATAATACTGTTTTTAGTATAGAAGCAGTCTAGCCAACTTTCTTGGACTTTTCCTTGGCAGCAGTAATGATTAGTTGCTTTAATGTTTATATATTATAAATATCCAACTTCTGTATATATATATATTCATATCCAGGCTTTTTAGTAGGGCATTTGTACTTTGTTATAAAAGCATTTGTTAATTAAGGTAGCGTATTAATAAAACAAGTACTATATTTTATAGGTATTTAATATATACTTATATCTTTTAGCAAGTAAAATATAAACTTGTCTATGTTCTTAATATTTATATCCACCTTTACTATTTATTATATTTATTAATATAATCTTGCTGTATTCTGTAAGAATTCTCCCAGCAAGCTGCATTAATAGGCCTGTAAATATATTGTATCCTTTTTAAATATTTTTATTTTTAGTTCTACTTATAACTTAGTATCTTTTTATTACTATCTTAAAACACTAGTTGTTTGTGGAATTTTTAGCTAATAAGGGTTTTTATTATTATCTGTCAGAATATTGAGATATTCTAATTACCTAATTAAGTAATTACTTAATTAGGAAACAGAAATCTCGGCGGCCTGTTCCGAACTTCCGAAAGTATATGACACGGATTTTAATCCCGAGATTAATTTGGAAGGAGAGCCCTAGGATGTTAAAGATATAAAAGCAGCTTAAACCCCTGCTTGAAATGGGAAACAATATTCTTTTATATCTTCAAGACTATACCTTCCTAAATAGAAAAGTGTAAGCTATTCTTTATTATTATATTATATGCCCACTATATCTTACCTTTGTTTAATATATCTTATCCCTATATACCATTATTCTTTTACCATACTATTATAGAATAGTATTCACAATCCATTTCCCCTAAGCTAATTCTAAATAGGAATAGCACAAGGCTATTCCTATCCTGGTTAGTCTAGTGGTCCACCATCCTCCGACATTATCCTAATAATTTTTTGATTTTATCCAAGGTATAACTATAGGCTAAGTAGTATGTCCTTTTTAAATATCCTTTAACATCCTCCAGGCATCTTTAGGGTAATTTTGTAAATTTTATATATTAATATTTTAAAATGTTTCTTAATATTTGGTCTAGTTTTCTATTAGTGTTTAATTTTTCAGGTATAGGTTTAGTTATCAAAATTACTACGATAATTGTTAAGTTCTAGTCGCTGGCTTATCACTTTTTATTTTTAGTTAATAAATTTTTCTATATACACTGGTCTATTATATTTAAAATTTTTATTTTAAATTTCTCCTGTCGAAATTTGCTTTTTTAATTTTTAAAATAGTTGTATTCAACTGCTTCTTGGTATTTAAATATCTTAATCCTGCTTATAGCCTTTTTTTTTTAAAGGTCTTACCAACATTTCTTATATTTACAGTCTAGGACCAGATTTTCGATATGTGAAGCGGTTTTAATAAGTTTATTAAAACCATTTAGTATATTTTTATAAAATTGGAAGAGTACTAAAAAGGCTAATTTTAAGCATATTTAGAGCTAGCGTACCTTCTTCCTTCCTCCATAATACCGAAGATATTAATGATATTAATGACCAACCGCCAGCGCACTGCTTTACAAAGTCAACATAAATTGAAGCCACACCTAAACAATTTAGCTCTTTGAAAGTGGTTTGAAGAGACATATCACCACCGGGTTGATCCTTCTACTATATCTCGAACTCCTCAAAACTTGCCTTCCTTAACTACGAAACCGATCGGTTTGACACTGCCTTTCAACCTTCTTCAGTAGAATTGCCTCATGTCTCTGCAAAGTCTTGAATAAGCTCACCGTTTTCGTCATTTTGCTGCTCTTAAAAGAGACGAAGCTTAATATGTAAACCAGTTTATATCAAACCTGAAGAACATACTGGAAAAGGCAATGGTTACTTTATATAATGTCAGTGGCTTTAATCCTGTCTACTATGACAACTGTACATAATATTCGTAAGGTAACTAAAGCGTGGAATATTGATTTGACTGCTCAAGCTTTTCAAAACTGCTAGGCTTTTGGTGTAATAATTATGAAGAAATTTATAATAAGGAGCTTTTCTTAGATATTCAAAAGGGTCTTGAGCAGCTAAAATGCTTTCAAATATATTTGACATTATGGGAATCAGCCAGTTTTTGAATTCTTCCTGCGAAGCTATTACCGATGACGTATCCGACCTGGATAACATCATTACTACCCAATATGGCGCAGGTAATGGAGCTGATTCCGACGAAAATGATAAAGAATACTGGGTTCTCCCACGGATATAAACTGGAGGTGGTTTAGACACTTTATATATTAAGCTTCGTCTCTTAAAAGAGCAGCAAAATGATGAAAAACTGTGAGCTTATTCAAGACTTTGCAGAGACATGAGGCAATTCTACTAAAGAAGGTTGTAAGGCAGTGTCAAAGCGATATTCGATCTATTTTCAAGGCAATCCATCAAATCTTTAGTTAGATTAAATATCTATAGATGTATTTGTATGGGAATTTGATTAAATGAATTTGCAATACTTTATTAAATGCAACCGAGAAGGCGGTCTAAAATGGTTGCATTTAGCCGTGTAGTTTACTACCAGTAAAGTAGATTGGTCACGTGGGAAAGGCTCATCACGCACTAGTAGGAAGACCCAGTCCGTTCCTGGCCAGCTGGTATATATCATTATAGATCCTGCCGTGGCCCTCGTATCAACAGTCTGATATGCTGAGAAGAATTGATTTGAATTCAGAGATCACTGCGTACTCAATTCGAAAGACCCTTAACTCTCGATATGAAGCCGAGTAAGAATCAACTAAGACGGGCAAGGAAAAAGGCCTTAAAACTCCAGGTATGTCCTTTAGCTTGCCTAAATGACTAGAGAAAATTCTAACTCTATATTTGCGAAGGCTACGGACTTGACTCATGTTACGACCGATGTGGAATCCCAGAAAAAGGGGATTTCTCCCGCAGATGCAACACGGGACCATAGTATAGATGTGTCGGGAAATGTATCTACTGACTCTGAAGACGCCCTTTGGCAAATGTACAAGGGTATTATCGACAAGTTTGATGAGAGTACGGAAAGAGAAATGACACCAGACAAGGTCAATAAACCTGAAGTCTATTTTGACGACGATAATTACATACCGGACGAGGAAGATAAGGAACCTAAGTTGTCAAAGAAGAAGCGCAAGGAGTTGAACAAACTTTCCGTTGCCGAGCTTAAGGCCATGGTCAGAAAGCCGGAAATAGTCGAATGGACAGATACCTCAGCGCCTGATCCTAAACTACTTGTTCACATTAAAGCGCATCGCAATGTTGTACCAGTGCCTTCACACTGGTCTCTTAAACGAGAATATTTGTCATCGAAGAGAGGGATTGAGAAACCGCCCTTTTCACTACCAAAATTTATTCAAGAGACTGGAATTTCAGAGATGCGAGACGCTGCCTTAGAGAAGCAAGAACAGGCGACCTTGAAACAGAAGCAAAGGGAGCGAGTTCAACCGAAAATGGGAAAGCTAGATATTGACTATCAAAAGCTATATGAGGCTTTCTTCAGGTTTCAGACGAAACCTGAATTGACACGTTACGGTGAGGTCTATTATGAGGGGAAAGAATATGAAACCAACCTGAGACACCTACGACCTGGTGAACTCAGTGCTGAGCTTAAAGAAGCGCTTAGCATGCCGTCTGGTGCGCCTCCGCCTTGGTTGATCAACCAACAGAGATATGGGCCTCCACCCTCCTACCCGGCTTTAAGAATTCCAGGCCTAAATGCCCCTCCGCCTCCGGGGGCCATGTGGGGTTATCATCCAGGTGGGTACGGAAAGCCTCCGGTTGATGAGCATAATCGACCGCTCTATGGTGGTGATATTTTCGGAGTGCTGCAGCCCCAGCATTCGGTTCAACAAGGCGAGCCCGTTGAGAAAGACCTCTGGGGAGAACTACAGGTCCCTGAGCTTTCCGAAGAGGAGAGTGATGAGGAAGATGATCAGTTGCATGAAGAAGAATTTGAAATGGGGATACAGTCCCCAAATGGGATAGAAACCCCGAGTGGGTTAGTGTCCGCTGTTCCGTCGGAATTTGTTGGAGCAGAGAATGTTACTGGAGAATTTGATGTGCGTAAGCATTATCGAGGAACTCAGACCGAGGAGCCTTCAGATCATCAAAATGCATTTCGGGTTATTCCAGAGAGGCAGTCCAACGTACAGGGATTTTTCGGGGGTGATAAAATGTACGATCTAAATGCGCCCGCGGACACTTTGTCCGTTCTCGGAGCCGAGGGACATCATCGGAAGCGGAAGGCTACTGGTGATGTTGATGTATCTGTGGATCCGGACGAGTTGCGGGCTAATGATGGTATTGGTGAAGAAACCATACGTGGACTGTACGCGACTGAAAGACAGCATGAACATTATCCCCAAAATTGGGATTTCCAGGAAGATTTGAGCGACATGATCGCATTCGAGAGCCGGAAAAAATTGAAAAAGGATCAGGAAAGACAAGGCAGGCAATAGGGTCTCGTTTCCGATGTGTAATATGCTCTTGCCTACTGGGCAGATATACGATTCCTAAACACTAATTTTATACTTTCGGAACTTTAACTAATTATAGGCTCAGTATTGCTGTCTTCATTGGGAGGTGTTATCCAACTCTTACTTCCGAAATGTGTCACCTCTGACTACCTACCAGAATGGTACTTAGCACACCGAGCTGTAGACAGATAGTCAACATAGTCAGAGTACTACTAGAATGACATCCTATATCGCTATGTTGGTATATGCCTATACTATCTTAGTATAGTAGAGCCGCTACTATCTAAGCTGCTTGATGGCTATTTGTATCCTTTAGATACATAGACTAGTATCTATACTAAGTGCATTATTCTAATATGTTGGAATACATGCGTATAGTACGGTACTAAATTGCTGTTTATTAAATCCATATATAGTGCTAATTCTGACCCTCCAATTGAATTTGATTAGATATAGGCTATGAACAGGCCGGTTGTAGGTGTAGACATAATGTGAAGCAGTAGGAATACGGCCGGTCTAGTTTCTACACAACGTTAGTCTAGTAGACATTAGTGAAGGTTTACTGGGTATATTTTATACAATCTAGACCTCTTAAAAGTTAAAAAATTGGTTGGGTATAGAGTGGTAGTTGTGCGGCATAGAGGGTAGAAGTCTAACGTGGACGCCTCGGCTGTACCACGTCGGGTATATAGATTACTATACCATGTTATTAATCTCTTGATATATATTTATCGTGGTTGAGATACCAAAATCCCAAATTAGAGCCTTTCAATGTATAGAGAGGGTAGTACTCTGTTTATTATTCTGTAGTGGGTTGCATAATGTGATCTACAACCAACAGGCGAGTGGTGCACTGTGTGTATTATATAGGATAGCACTTTATTATATTAATATCTTAGCAACCAAGAGATACTGAGGATTGTTATATGTTAGGTGACTAAATATGGATAATAGGATGTACATATTATTTAATATATTCTTAGCGACTTTGTACTAGCAGGTAGAATATTAATGTCCAAATAGAGATGTAGATGACTAATACTACCCAGATAAATATATATCCAGAGAAGATACCTACTTAATATATATAAATATATTAATAGATCAACGTATACACCTAATTTAAAGCTCCTTGGATCATTTGCAAAAGTGTTATTTTATATACAATACAGTGTGCACCATCTTAGCCCACATTACAGACAAAGACTCAGGACTAATCCTGGAGGCGGTGAGATTGTTGAACCTTGTGCTTCGTACTCCGTTTCCTTCCAACAGGTAATCCGGTACGCCACTGGCCCACAGCTTTCATCATACACCTACTTCCATGGAGTGCGTTGCCTTATTTCTACTACCCTGATATCAAACCTATATCTCCCACACGAACACATTGGTGTGGCCTTGATTTTCGAATCAGCCCCTTTTCGTCACTTTTCTTTTAATCCCGAGGAGGCTAGACCTCAGACAACCATGTCTCATACAGAGATGACGCAAGCGGAGTCCTTTGGTGAACATGAACATAGGGGTGATCTTGATGGTGACAAAAAGCCTAGAAGCAAGAGACCAGCAAGTTAGTACCGAAGTTGCTTCCACTTTGATCAATACCAACATAGCGTTTAGATACTGCCTTCCGGCAACAGCGCTTGAAAGCCTGGCAGTGAGTTCGATCTCCACCCGTCTTAACTGCACTTGCTTACGGTAACGAGACCAATCTTAACACCAAAGAGTGTATTGCCCCTTTTCTTCATAGTTGGTGTTATATTCGCCCCCATAGGTGGTCTTCTGTTGTGGGCCAGCTCTCAAGTATGTGCCTCGTCGCCTCTACTGATTGCCACAGAAATTCTCATCAACATAGGTAGAGGAAATAGCCATAGATTATTCAGAGTGTTACGATAAAGCCCCGTGGAATCAATCGGCGCAAATTCCACACGACGTCAAGTCGTCTTTCAAATCTCACAAACCCGATCATCCAACATGGGAGCGACACCGTGTTGGCGATACTACTGTCTGTCGACTGATCTTCGAGATCCCCAATGATATTGGACCGCCTGTGTTTATGTATTATCGTCTGACAAACTTCTACCAGAATCATAGGAGATATGTGAAGTCTTTGGATGTTGACCAACTAAAAGGGAAAGCTGTCGATAATAAGACCATCGATGGTGGCTCATGCGACCCTCTGAAGCTTGATCCATCTGGAAAAGCTTATTATCCCTGTGGGCTTATAGCAAACTCTCAGTTTAATGATACAATCAATAGTCCACAGCTTCTAAGTGTCGGTGACGATCCTAAGACATATTTCATGACTAATAAAAGTATTGCCTGGGAAAGTGATAAGGAACTCATCAAGACCACGAAGTATAAGCCAGGACAGGTCGTTCCTCCTCCGAATTGGCATGATCGTTACCCGAATGGATATGAAGATGGAATCCCTGATCTTCACGAAAACGAAGAATTTATGGTCTGGATGAGGACGGCGGCGCTTCCAAATTTCAGCAAGCTATCCCGAAGAAATGACACTACATCAATGACAAGGGGGACATATCAACTGGACATTGCGCACCGTATGATTTCATCTAGTACTTGTGATTTCAGTTGCTAACGTTCCCCAGATTTCCCAGTTACCGAGTATGGAGGCACTAAATCTATACTTATATCCACAAGGACTGTGATGGGCGGGCAAAATCCGTTCATGGGTATTGCATATGTTGTTGTCGGTGGCGTCTGTGTTTTGCTGGGTACCCTGTTCACAATTGCTCATTTGATCAGGCCTAGGTATGCCCAACGCGATGATACTGGTACTTTTTGTCTGTTCTGGAGCTAATTAAATGACAGAAAACTCGGAGATCATACTTATTTGACATGGAATAGTGAGCAAGAGAACACGGCGCCAGTAGCTACCGGAAGAGATGCACGATTTGGACCGCGGGTTGCATAAATGCAAATCCCAGCCTTTCTCTCATCTTGATGAACTGTCTACAGTTACAGTGTCCAAGTGGATAATAAATGAGTTTGGAATGTTTTATATTAACTCATGGTTCGTTTAGCCGTGACTTGCTTGGGGTTTGGGGTGTCTGTACGTGGAGTTTTCAGTGACGGCTCTATTTGTTACTACCTGTTGTCAAGGCTGGATGTGATACCATGGCAGGAGCTGTTTTTTTTTTTTTTTTTTTTTTGGTACGTGTTAAGTTTTGTTTTCTCAGCACTGTATTGTATCCCTTGATACCACATTCCACCTGTTTTCCTACATTCCTTGTTACCATGGCATCAGCCTGTCACATAAAAGTTGGCGCAGAAGCTCCTAGGGCCTTCTATTTGGCTATGAAGGTTTGCTAAAGGGCAAGGATTAGGGCTCTCCACAGCAACATGGTTGAGATATCCCGCCTTACGATTTTCTTGGTTTTTGCCATAGCCAACTTCAATATAAAATGCGCCGCTCTGGACTCTCCAAACCGCGGATTTTGTGCTACTTGGCCCCCTAACAAATCATTAAAGGCAGAACACAAGAGGCTGAGTGCACTGGAATTCCGGGACGAATCTTCGGCCGGGTCTGAGAGTCGGGAAGTTGTAACTCCAATCGAGATAGCCACATGGTTCCATATCCTTCTGGGTAGTGAAGATGATGCAGAGCAGGTATCGGATGAAATGATTGCCACTCAGGTGGGTATTCTCGCCAGTTTTGAACAGCCTATATTCGTCCTTTATAATTAAACGCTGATTTTCGGTTTTCTGAAGCTATCATACCTCCAGAAAGCGTACCGGAATGCATCGATATCCTATCAAATACGAGGCATCACTCGCCAAGTTAATGAAACATGGTCCCGGAATGGAGATGAAATGGGAATGAAGAGCGTACTTCGCCAAGGAAACTATAGCACCCTCAATGTTTATTTCCACACCCATCTTGAAGACTCGAGCGGGTCCACAGGGGACGCGTCGGCTGCTGAAGGTCGCCAAATGCTGGGGTCTAATCAACTGGCTTCTAAGGTCCTTGGTTTTTGCACCCTTCCTGATACTAGTATTAATGCTAGCAGCCCTCGCTCTAGCTACATTAAAGACGGCTGCAATATACTTGCCCAAACAATGCCCGGCGGTTCTCTAGCACATTATAATCGAGGTGGTACTGCAATACATGAGATTGGTCACTGGAATGGTCTTTTGCATACATTTGAAGGGGAGTCATGCTCTTCTGATAACCATGGAGACTATATTGCGGACACACCACAAGAATCAATACCCACGGATGGGTGTCCTCCTCATAAGAATTCTTGTCCTGATTGCCCTGGACTCGATCCGATACATAATTTTATGGACTATTCATCTGACGAATGTTACGAATCTTTTACTCCAGACCAGGTGACCAGAATGCGAAACATGTGGTTCTCACTAAGACAAGGAAAGTGAGATTTGGCACCCCAGGCTATGGCTTCTGTAATTCAATATTGTCCCTGATTCTGTATTCTCCTTTTCTGCTTGAGCATTGAACAGAACAATGTTTAGACTGATTATCCTTGGTGTATTTAAGCTGCGCACCACGTCTTTATTGTTTCCATAGACAAGGGTCTCTTGTAAGGAGCTCAGGAGCTATGCAGTCAGTAGTCCCTCTATCCTTGTACTATATAATCTGTGACTGAGGCCCCGCTCCTAGCTGTATCCGTTATGAAAAATTGAAACTGTTCAGCCGCCTGATAGGACAGAGGAATTTGTTAATGGAATACACTGCTATGGTAGATGATACTTGCCTCAGGCTTGCAGTGTAGAGTTCCATCATTCTATATATATGGCGAGCATGGAACACGACAATTGGACTATATGAACCGAACATATGCCCTTTTTTTATCTTATCCTATGCATTATAAAACCCACATACTGGCAGAGAGAGATCCAATCCTGGTTTACTGTATAACCTCAAACATGCATAAGAGGGCAGGATACGTAACTAAATTTGAATACACTTGTCTATGCCTTTCAAAATTGAACCGAGGCCGAAGTTTAAGGATGCATGGTTGTAATAGATAGGAAGCTGATAATAAAGTTCAAAATATAGTGTCGCGAAGGCATTATGGTTGAGGCAACGTTACCGTTTCCGTTTCTTGATACGTTCATCATCATGCAACCCGCTTTCTTTATCCTTCTTCTTTGCCTTCTTCTCCAATTCATCCCAGTCTTCGCCACTCTCTTCATCAGCGCTAAAGTCGTCACTTGCCTCAGCACTGGCATCATCATCAAAATCGCTTTCATCCTCAGAACTTTCGTCCCCCGCAGCTAGCTCTGATTCGGATAGTTCAAATGCTGATTCCTCTTCTTCCTCTGAACCATCTTCTGAATCCGACTCTGCTGCTAAGAACGACCACCCTCCATCCGCAAAGAAGCCGTACGGATCACTAACAACTGTCTTCATAATAGTCGTCCAGTTAAGGTTCAGTGGCCCTTCAGTAAAAGCAATTTCAACCGAATCAAGCCAGTCCTTTACTCCCTCAAGAGATTCAACAGGAATTGTGTTGATATGCACAGGTGGCCTGTGGAAATCCTTTAATACAAAAACCAGGTCAAAGTTTTTGAGCCCAAACTAAGCCAATGTTAGCAATACTCCAAGCTCTACTTCTTGAGCTTCTACCATACCTGCACTCTTTCTAAATGTGCAATCTCAATCTCACTTAGAGTAATGACCAAGAATGGGGGTTCAGTTAGTTGGACAAGAGCATCTGTAGTTGGTTGGATCAGCACATTGGAGCGATTGGGAACTCCGGTGAATCCGATTTCTCTGAAGGGAATATCAACATCGACGCCTTCATCCTTTCCGGCATCGGCAATTTTCTCAGCAAAAGCTTTAAATTCGCGGTCCAGAGCTGCTCTTCGCCGCCTCTCTTCTTGTTCGGCCTCAAACTCCTCTTCATCGCCATAGCGGTGTTTGCGCCTGCGGTTACCAGTTTCATCAAACTGCATTTCTGTTGCTTCTCGATAAAACTGAACATCTCTTGTCTTTCTCTTTCCAATCATGATGGGAGTTTTCAAATGGACGTGGATCAATACAATCAATTCGTGAGCGCAAGGCTGAAAGAACAGGTGTTTGACGTTGCTAAAAAGCACGTCAACATGCTCATTTCGAAATGGTGACATATAGCGAAGACCATTCTGATGTATTTCAACCTCACCAGGGACTCTCTTCCCGTCAAGTGGAGGCCGAAGGTAAACATCTGGCAGCTTTACAGGACGACGGTCTAAAGAAGTGTTAGCTTGTGCGATCTTGTTTGAATGACGTACAATACATACTTCTTATCTCTATAAGCTTATCTTGCTCCACCACATCTTCCATCTCCTTCTTTTCTTGCTCACGCCGCAGAGCATTTTTTCTAAGTTCAGTGATATCCTGGGCAATCTGAGCAAGCCGTTCGTTGTCCTTAGACCGAAGGGTCAGATTTCGTAAAAAGTGTGCTGATAAGTCTTCAAAAGGTTGATCATCCTTCCTACCAACTCCTTGTCCCGGTGACAGGAAGTTGATCCTAAGGTAGGCATATTCCCCCTCGTCACTTTTGCTGGCGTTTTTGATTGTGTTGACGTGGAATGGTACCGGTCGTCCCATTATCGGAACGATCACCGTCGAGGCTTTTTGGTCGACGTAAACAATGAGGTCTTTGACCTTAGTAGGTAGTTGATTATCTCTCTTGTAAGATTCAAACCGTTTGAACTTCTTCTGGGTTATTCCATTGTCATCTCCCGTGGTGCCAGCGAACCTGTCAAGGCCTTCCTTTGTCTTCTTTGAGGCCAACTCTTTCTGGTGTTCTCGGCGTCGAGCTTCTGCGCCCTCATTGACTTGGGTGGGTCGCTCTGCACGAAGCTTTGTACGTGTAACATTCCTGCTAGCAATTGCAGCTGAATTCACTTCCTTTTTCTCCCTAAGGGGTTTCTGATTCTCTTCTTCATCTCCGAATAAAATGATACCGAATCCATATCAACACCAGCATCCTTTGTGAATACATGTGGCCCATTATCTCCAACACGAACAGTGTCAGTGATAATCATGGAATAAAGTGAGCTGCCATCAACTTTTGAGCTTGGATCTTGCACATCTGTGAGTCCAACTGAGATGGAGAGAGTCATCCCGCTTTTTAGCACTCTGTTATTTTTTCCAGTTATCACCATGTTACCATCTCGAAGTTCAATACCAATGCCAGCGCCAACACTTTTGATAAAGTGAGCTTCAAGTTCAGGCTTCCTTGTGCGAATCAAGTTAAGTGCTTTGTTAAACAAGTCCTTAGCTATTGTCCCATCGCGCACGTCCTTCAAAATGGTTTCATGGATGTTCAACAGCAATGCATAGTTAGCTTCCTGGGACTTGGTCGGGTCTACCAAGTAAGTACGCGCAATAAGAGAGCTGTACGTCTTGTAGCGGATCCCAAAGCCTGCGATAATTATCCCGGGCCTAAGATTTCTATTATCAGGTACTGCTGTAAGTTTGAGATCGTATTTCCCCCCGCTTTGGATGACGGGACCATAAGCCCAATCAATTTGTTGGGGGTCAAATTCGGCTGGAAGTTTCGCTAGCTTGCTAAAGAATTTGCTGTCGTCTATTTTTGCATCAAGGCGCATGGAAAGTTCTTTATGCGTCATTTGCCTCTCTTCATCAAGTAGGCGTGACATCTCATCGACGAAGTAATCAGACATTAAACCACTGCATGCTCGTGATGCATTCCGTATAGATACCTAGGTGGATTAGACAGAACCTTTAAACCACAATTTTCGAACTCACAAGTTCATCTGTGTCCTTTATTGAAAAGGCTGTAGAAGAAAGAGCAGATGATATGTCAACTTCTTCTATGTCCTGCGATATGTTTGCAAACGCACTCTTCCAATCTTCTGCAAAAGGACCAGTTGCTGTGTCCTTTGGTAGAACACCAACTTTTTTCTATTATGAATCACCCAGTCAGCATAATCACGGCATCGTAAGAGTCATACTACATTAACACTTTAATACTTACACCAGAATTCTTGATAGCCCCTAAGCATTTCTCAAATGATTTTGCTTTCTCTTCTGGATCTTTTGAAGTGATCAAGATTTCAACGGGAATTTTGCCATCCTTCAGAGGCTCAAGATGCTTGGCTATATTCAAGGTGTTAAAAAAGGAGAGGGCGACGAGGGAGTGAGGGTAATGTAGTCAAGAGTAATCACCTTTTTTTGCAGTTGTCACAACGTACATCATTTCAGTCGTGAAAACCATGAGTGTTGCTGGAAACTCATAACCGAGTAGCCAGAACTGATTACTTATATTAGTACAGGATATATTTGATAGTTAAATAGCAAGAGAGAAAAACATACATGCATAGCATTATTTTTTTGGAAGCTGTTCGCCTCATCAGTTTTCCCCATTAGGATGATAATTGAGCCCACACCACCAAACACAGTGTGACCCGATCTCTTTTCTGTCTTCCATAAAGAGTAGAAACTGGATAGCCGGCGAAAAAATGTCGACCTGTCAATTATGATTTCTTCAGCCATGTTGTATCTGGCTGTAAAACAAGAGTTTTGTGTTGCCTGTACACTCGCGCTTTGCGGCAGCCGGGACGCTTTAAATGAGCTCCAAGTAAGGAAAATAGACAATATATCCTGTACTTCCGGGGCTATCTCGGGAAAGACAAGATGTTTAGGTTACAGAAACATTGAATGGATATACTTTGGTGCTTTTCAACGGTGGATCAAGTTTATCCCTGGAAACTTTAACGCGACGAGATCGGGGAATCGTGTTTCGGCCAGGTCTTCTGAAGAGGCGACAGAAGTTTGAGTTGTTTGCATCCTAAAGGCACCTTTACCTGTCTTACTAATCCTAATTGCGGGGTGTGACAAGTAGTTACCGAGTAGTTAGCATAGCATCTATTTTACATATTAATGTGACCACGTGACTACTTATGGCTGTCCTGACCTGTCTGTCATTAAATTTCCGCATTCTTTGTGGAACGCTACTTTCAAAGGATTTTAATCTCGACTGTATTTTAAAACTTTTACAGGACTGAACACTAAATAATATGGGCGCTTGATAATTAATTATACTGGGGATTGTAATTGAAATACAGGCCACTAGAGATAACTATTGCAAGTGGCTCCCTAGTGGTTTCCGAAATTTAAAGATATGCAGTATGGGGTATTGTATGCGTTAAAAGTTACCATGATGTCATTTTAAGTAAGGTATCCTTTTCTGTATTTTAGGTTTTAGGGTTTTGTTAATTCCCTTGCTAGCAAGCTAGTTGTAGCCATCAGCCTCTAATAGCGCTTTTTTTCCCAGGTACGACAACTCAATCCAAACTGATGCTTCATATCTAGCTTTTAGCATGTTACGGTTCCCTAGAAGCTGCACAACTTCGAGTATAATGATTCCCATACAGCGTTCAGACACATTATATCTTTAATACTGAGCGAAATACTGTATACATTACTGGTGGGTGTTTCATTTAAGATGACATCTGGAGGATCTGTCGATTTAGGTGATGCAATATCGCCTCAGTATCAGAATTCTGGCACCACCTCCGCGAGCCCTTCCCACAGAAGCCAGCATAATAATGCTGCTACCGGAGCCTCTGCCGCTGGAGTTCGTGCTCTAAGTGCCCAAATTGTTGCGTTCTACTTCCGTGCTCCCGTCAAAGCATTTTTCCGTACTAGAGTTGAGTATGGCTCCTCCAATTTTTCTATCTAGTGGACTTGGAGGCTGAATATTAATATAATTCTAGTTATATGGTACTAGACCCAGAATCCCTCCCAGTACTATCACCTCCATTTGTGTAATATTTTAATTCAGTGGTTTGATTTTCATTATTTGGTATTGATAATGGATGTTGTTTACTAATGTAGTTTACTTATGTGGTTAATTCTGACAGGCATTTGCCAGAGCTATTAATCCTCGTGCATCTGATAAGCAATGGTCATTCCATAACACCACTCCCGGATTACTTGTCCATGCTATCCGGACTTATGGCTGGCGCTTCATCCCAAATCAGATATTACCGCCACTGCTAGCAAATACTGGGTAAGTCTATCTATATTGTTTGTTTGGCAAATAAATACACTTGTGTAACTTATGGGTAGGGTTGGGGCCATATTATACACATCATACCTTCAGGTCCTTGGGGCTTTATATGAACCAGTATCACAGAGAGTTAAGCGGGTCAATCCCCCTGCTAGTCCTTTGTATACGTTCACAGCTGGTTTTATTGCAGGGACAGCCCAGTCCATAGTTGCTGCACCACTGGACGCTCTCCAAGTTCGTCTCCGAGCAAATGACATGCTTAATGGTCATTACCGGAGTATGTGGCATTACAGCTGGTACAAAGTAAAACAAATCGGTGTCCGTGGCATCTTTGCAGGCTGGTTTTTGTCATTCCTACGTGATTCTTTCGGATACGGTGTTTTTTTTTCTTTCTTTGAGTATATCAAATCACAGGCATGTTATTCTTTCATAACTGCATACTATGGACCCAGTGTCGCTCACCACACGGGCGATAAGCAGTCCACTCGATTAAAGGATCTTGAAGTGCCGCTTATAAAACCGCACTACACCATAGAGCCTTGTTTTTTGATGGCTGCAGGGGTTGCAGCGTCAATTGCCCAACAAGCAATACAACACCCAATTAGTCTCATCCAGAAACTCCACGTTTCTCGATTGGAATGTCTTGATCATCAGGCGCGTATACATCCTTCGAGAAGGCAGATGTTGCGAATATACTACGTTGCTTATCAGGAAACGCTTAGACGATGCCAGAGGAAGGCTGCACGATCTGGGGGCTGGTGGCATTGGTTATTCCGCGGGTTTGCGAAAAACGCCATCCGGCAAGTACCAAGTACTAGCGCAGGTTTAGTGATTTTTGAACTGGTGCGTCGTAAATACGCTAGCCAGGCAGATGCTGAGCACATACAGAAGGGTGGATATGATATTCTTTTGGGATAGCCACCATTTTGTGCTCCTCCGACACAGCATTGTGGCTGGATGACGTCATGCGATTTGGGTTTTACTATCTCTGGCTTGCAATTTTATAATAGTCATATGGTTAGTGGCCCTTATTTGAATTACCATTGCCTATATAATTAATACAGTGCCCATTATAATTTGTTGTTTTATACTGCATAAACAACAAAATACAGTCTAATTAAAATATATCGGAAGTGTTTTTCCACACTGGATTTCGGAATTTTGTAAAACTGCGGGCCAGAGATAGTATATTAGGGAGTAGGTATGTAGGTGCTGTACTCAGTAGCGATGCGAATTGGAAATTCAGAATAACTAGTTAGTTATGGGATAAAGAGTGACTAAGCTAGTAGGACAAGGTGCTATTACTTAGTTATCATGTACGGAGTAATACCTACGAAGAGGTCAGCTATAACTGCTAATTACTTGGGTTGATAACTAACGTAATTGGTAGTTAAACGAGCGGCGGAACTCCAATACAATCTCCGCCATGGCTGGAATTTAAAGCTATTTTCAACATAGAAAAGCATTTTCAGTTCATTTATTCTAATTAGAGACACGATTAGGACGACCTGAGCGTATATGGCCTACAGTATGGCAGATGCTACAACGCGGGAGCGCTCGTATACGTGGCCGGTCTGTGATCGGTGCAGCTTCTGCTGGTGTGCTAAATAACTTCCTAAACCTGATTCTTCTGTTTTGTAGCCTCCCGTATCTCCTGGATTGAACCACCTTCTGTACGGGATATCTGGCAATAAGATTGCTTTTTCTTCTGAACCCGCCTCTCATCGCCTGCATGTAGATCTTCACATTGCTTCTTTAAAATAGCGACATCATTCATAGCAACTTCGCAGCCCTTAATAATATGGTCTAAAGAAGCCTCAGTTGGAGATGAAGGACTGTGTGTACGCTCACGAAGCAGCTTTTTAAGTGTAGTCTCTTGCTTTTTTAACTGCTTAATATTATAAGGTGCTCTTGGCACTAAATTGGTTGACCGACTCTCAAGTGTTGTAGGGGTCTGTAGCTGTATATTAAGCTGTTGAAGCACAAATTCTTGATTAAATGGATTGCTGCGAAACTATTTCTTATATTATTTTAATGGAGAGCATCTGTACGTGCTCGAGGATAAGCTTCAAGAAAGTTAAAGCTTATTTATACAATTAAAGTTACACATTCGTGGTTCCCTTGCTGTACAAGAAACAGGCGGCTAGTTATATCTGATCTAGTAACTAATTTAGCAGTGGCAACAAGGCCCATCTCTCCAAAGTTATAGATATCTTCCGATGCAATCCCATACTGCAATATAGTAATCTGTACGCGGTTGAACCACTCCTGGATAGACTTTGGATCTTCACATTTAGCCCATTGATAACTGTAACGCCTGGAGAATCGAGACTTTAATTGGTTATGGCGTCGAGCGGAGTTATATACCCATTTATCTCAAACAGTTGGGGCCTTTGCCATTTCACGCTTTGATAGTAAGATATTAGCTCTATTTTGATGAGACGGTCGTGGAGATGTTCCATGTTAATCTAGTAATAATATCAATCGTACAAGCGACTCTTCTTCAGCTGCAGTCAAGTTATGGCCACTAGCACGTATATTGGAGCGCGAAGAGACCCTTGAATCTTCAACGTAGTGTTGTCTCAGGAACTTCATAAGCTGATGCTGTCTTGCATATAGATGCGATATTTGCTTTTTAATAGCTAATATTGCTAATAATAGCCTTTCCTCTTGTCCTTCTGAGTTTTTGAATGATTTAGGCATTTTTGGTGGTATGGCGATTGCTTGAATTGCTTTATTCCACGCATACAGAAGTTGGAGATGGTCCGCCGCTCGCTTATGTCCGCCAATCGCTCAAGGTTATGTAAATTTAGTCACCCATTACATCATTTTAACCCACTTAATCAGTCTCACGGGTATTATTAACTTGTAGGATTTCTAGTTTATTATATTTCAAAAAATGCATTTAAAAACAGAAGTATTTCTTGATATATAGATAATTTAGAATGCCAATGTAATTTAATCAGAATTTTTAAGATCTTTATTGACATATAATACAAGATTATTTTAAATATCACTGTATTTAAATGCATTTTTGAAATATAATAAACTAGAAATCCTACAAGGATCTAGGCTTAGTATTTATATATGTGCTATTGTATTATTATATATAATAAACTTTAGGCCCTCTTGACATGTTGTTAAGATATTACGCTTATAAAAAGTGCTATTTTATATGCAACACAGAGGCATGCAGCTCGCTGTCCCGCGCAGCTCGGTGTCCGGTCACGTAAGTTAAGGTGGTAAGCTGACTAAGACAAAAGAACTTTAAATTAAAAAAAAAAATCCCAATCTGCTACCACCTTAAATAATCAAATGCTTCGTTAAGCCCTAAAATGCCAGAGATAAATGAATAATGTTAGAAAAGATTCTTTGTTGAGTAGTAAATACAATACACTGTAGGGAGGTGTGTGTTTATTTAGTTTTCGGAGGCGCTAGTAATATATTAAGACAGTGTAAAACACGCAAGCTCAGAGGAAGAAAATAGTCAATTAGTCATTTCATTGATTAGTATTAAGTTGAAGATGGAAGGTGGACGAGGTCAAAACGCTCGAAGTATGAACGAACGAAGTAGGGTGACCGCTGAGAACCACTTACGCAGTTCCAACCCGTACGAGCGTGCAACAGGCAGGGCAGCAATGCATAAATTACATTATTATATAATCCCAGGCTGTAATATATTTCACAAGCAAGTGTTCTATATATTAATAATACCCTTCATGTATTCTATTTTTAGTAATTTTAGGATATAAATATGCATTATACATTTTATAACTAAGTGTTATGTTCTGTTATACAATCTCTGTTCACTGTGTTGGGAAGGAACAAAGTGCTATGTTGGTCTGTACAGTTCGCTGTACCACTTACTTGGTCGGCGTCAACGTACGTAAAAGGCTTCAACAAACAATCTAACTAACAAGCTACACTAATATTAATAAGAATGTCTGTTTCTGTTTTCCACTTAAGCTAAACGTGCTACACTAGGATTAATGCAAAATATATTAGTAATATAAAATTTATTAACTATACAGACTATTCAGTATAATACTCACATAGTACTAGGATGTGAGTGGGTCCTTTAAGACTTTATACACCCCTCCGTACTCCATACATACTAATTGACTAATGATTCCCAGGCGACTGTAACAGCCAACCAAGCGCAACACTCCATATTGCATGTAAAACAACGATTTTAAACTCCTATGTCCTAATAATTAAGTATGTAAAAGAGCTGGAATTTAAATTACTAAATACTATAGCAGTATAGATATATATATTAGGTAGATCAATCTAAAGACTAATTGTTAGCCAAAATATGCCTATATAGAAATATTTGTGGAGATCGGAGGCACAACGGCTCAAGTTCGGAGGCTATACTGAAACACCATATGTATTATAAAACAGTGATTTTTAGCTACTAATAACTTTATAGATAATAGATTTTATATAGATAACTTATGACCATATATGTAGATTATATAAAATATTTTTTTAAAGAATTTTGACCCTTTTTCTCCTGCTTGTAATAAATAAATAGTAGTAGTTTAAAGAAATACAGAGGTAATTTATTCACCAAGGAAAATAGTTAAGGCGCGGTTGTGGCACCAGTGGTTGGGTTAATACAATAGGAGGTACAAGATACACTGCGATGTTGGCTCAATAATATAGGTAGCACCTATATACAAAGCTGATTGTTGACCTTCAGGGGCTTCAGACCAGCAAGGGTGCGGACTTAGGTCATGTGTGCTGTATCCATGGTATGATACATGCCCAAGCCATAACTACGAAGTAGTTACATAGCAGTGTAGGTAGGCGCCTGGGTTTGCCACTAGTACTATTTGGTCAACTAATATTATCACTAGGTGGCCTTTTCAAGCTACTCCGTACTCCATATGGTCTCCTCAATATTGTACCCACCTACTGTGTGGAGTGAGTTTCTAACCCCATGGTTACTATACAGAGTATGAACAACTGAGACTACAAAGCACTACTTGCCTAGGCAGCTCTAACACACAACTATTTGTCACCTACCAGTGATATCTGCTTAGTTACTACTGTTTGTGTTTATTCTTTTCCCGCCTGACCACCCTCTACTAAATCCTATAATCTGGAACTCTGTCATCTTACATTGTGGATCTACTAAATACCTGTCTTGTGAGCGGTTTCCAAGACACCTCACCACCGCTTTCTACTCTTGTGCCTTCATTCCCGCTTTGACCCGTGCAGTGCGCCCTATTAAGTGTTTCCTTGGCACCGGATAGCCTTTCTAATCCGTTCCTTGAACTGGGAGTCTCCATCTTGCTTGTTCTTTGAACGAAACATTTTGGTCAATCTCTCTAAGGAGGGCCACGGGGAATCTGCACACTTCGGTTATAATTTCAATGATATTTTCGACCACCGGTGTACTAATAGAACAGAAGAAGAAAAAAAGGAGTAAAGGGCTGCTCTTCAGCCCTCTTCAACCGCCAACATTCCTTTACCAACGTTCTCGACTCAATCCTCCTCAAGTATACCACTGCGGTCTCTACAATCTCAACCCCGGTCTCCTTCTATACAGTCCGTTAGTGCTCTGGAATCTGCTAGCGAGAAGGGCAGCCGGCGGTCATCGTTTTCTACCCACTCAGTTAAGTCCGAGCTTTCTGCTTGGGTTGACTCCGGAGACCTAGCTGGACAGCTTGCTGATGCAGAGGAAGACTCTATTCGGGCTCATTTTAGGAGATCTTTGGATCCTGAGACACTTAGTCGTGTAGTATCAGGTGGGCGAGCGAAGCAACAGAAAGGTGTACACTTCCCAAATCCGCCCCCCACCAACGAAGGTGAATTTGCCAAAATATCAATCGAGATTCCTCACCCTCTACCCAGACGTATTTCAGGAATTGAGCGACTCCTAGCTACTATAATGTCTCCGAACAATCGGCAGACGGCCCAGATGCATGGCTTGGTTGGAAAGCCATTACTGTCAGTCCACCGAGGTTCTAGCTATTATTAACTCTTTAGAGCTTACACTCGCCTTTCGCAGATATTTTACCAGTGTTTTCGTGTCATTAGGAGTTTTTCTATTTGGTTATGATCAGGGGGTTATGTCTGGCATCATAACGTTTGTGTTCTTCACTTGTGCCATGCTACTTGGAAACATAATACTGATTTGGAAGCAGGGGTTGGCATTTCAAAGATTATTTTGACCAGCCATCACGAGCTGCAATCGGAACTGTGGTTGCGATCCTCGAAGTTGGGGCTTTTATCTCCTCACTTCTTATTGGGCGTATTGGGGACCTGATAGGTCGCCGCAAGACCATCCTTTATGGCTCTATAGTCTTCTTTATAGGAGGTGCATTACAAACATTTGCGACAGGGCTGTCCATGATGATGCTTGGCCGCATTATTGCCGGTCTTGGTGTTGGGGCGCTGTCAACAATAGTCCCTGTCTATCAATCTGAAATCTCGGTATATCAGGCGCCGACTCTTGCAACGTTATATATTGTATATGCTAACCGATATGCTATAGCCTCCCCATAATCGAGGGAAACTAGCATGCATTGAATTCACGGGGAATATATCTGGATATGCCGCTAGCGTTTGGGTCGATTATTTCTGTAGCTTTATTGACAATAATTACTCCTGGCGCTTGCCATTGCTTTGTCAATGCATCATGGGCGCACTCCTTGGTCTAGGGAGTCTTTTAATATGCGAATCACCAAGGTAGGAACCCCGCTCCCGGCTGTTTCCCCTGTCTTTTTATCTCCTCTTTCAGAGATGAGTCCATATCAGAAAACCGTTCGGTGATTTTAATATATTGCTCATGCTAAACCAGGTGGCTACTGGACAATGACTATGATGAGGAAGGCATGGTGGTTATTGCGAATCTCTATGGAAAGGGGGACTTGCACAACGACAAAGCTAGACAAGAATACAGGGAGATCAAAATGAACGTCCTCCTCCAACGGCAAGAGGGTGAAAGGTCCTACACTGATATGTTTATGAGATACCGCAAGCGAGTCCTCATAGCGATGTCGGCCCAGGCTTTGGCCCAATTAAACGGTATCAATGTTATTTCATATTATGCTCCACTTGTATTTGAATCAGCAGGATGGGCAGGCCGTGACGCTATTTTGATGACTGGTGTCAATGCAATTTCGTATCTTGCATCTACAGTTCCGCCGTGGTATCTTGTGGACCGCTGGGGAAGACGACCAATTCTGCTCTCTGGGGCTGTTGCTATGATTGTTTCTCTCTCGTTGATATCGTATTTTATATACATCGATGTTGACGCAACACCTACTCTCACAGTCATCTTTGTCATGGTATACAACGCTGCTTTTGGTGCATCTTGGGGACCGATACCATGGCTATATCCTCCCGAAATTCTACCTCTGAGCATTCGTGCGAAGGGTGCCAGTCTCAGCACAGCCACCAATTGGGCTTTTAATTGGCTGGTTGGAGAGGTTACACCTGTCCTGCAGGCTGCTATAAAGTGGCGCCTGTATCTTGTCCATGCCTTTTTCTGTGCATGTAGTTTTGTCCTTGGTATGAATAATTCTCATTCTATTTTAATTTATAGTTGGCGCTAATGCAATATAGTCTACTTTTTGTATCCTGAAACCAGCGGTGTTCGTCTAGAGGACATGAATATACTTTTTGGAGACGCAACAACTGCAATGCCTACGCCAGCTACACAAGGAGAACGTGGGTCTCTCATGGGTGCTGGGTCACCAATTCCATCACTAGACATTCGACGGCAATATGGTCAAATCGCAGCGGAAAGTGCAATTCCTGGGCTGGATATCGACCCTCCCCACTTGAATGCGGATGACTACAACAAGTCGATCGGCTCTGGCCCTCAAGATGGCGATATTAACCGATCAGAGGGGTTTGCTGGTTGGATTTCAAACATAGTATCTCGCCGCAAGGGATCTGGACACCAAGTACAAAGCCGTCAGTATCGACGCCTCGGACAAGAAGAGAATGAGTAAGGTAGTCATCATATTCTCGCCACGGAGGTTTTGCCTTCTCTACCTTCCATGATTACGCAGTGTTCCCCTCCTTTTTTTCCCTATAATTTCGTCTGGTTACCCAAATTCTTGTATCCCACACTACTACTTCTGATGTATATTCTCGTCTAGTTTTCCCGTTCATTGCTCTTCTCTCTCCTATTCATCGTCTCGGTCAAGTTTCACATAGAGAATGGTGTATTTCCGGTTGTTAGCATTCACCATGAACCATTATTTAATATTTCCCAGCAGCTGTCCTGCCTCTTCGAGGAAGGGCGCCGTCATCACCACAGTTTACCAGTGTATGATGTTCTTTTTCCTCTTTCCCTCATTTCTCTTTTCTCTTTTCTTGTTTGTTTTCTTTTTTCTTTTCTTTTCTTTTCTTCTCTTCTTCTCTTCTTTTCTTCTTTTCTTCTTTTCTTCTTTCTTTCTTTCTTTCTTTTTTTTTTTTTTGGTACTATATATACTCGATCTCTCGAGCTCTAGGACTGTGGGGTGGGTGTTAAGACTTTAGGTTAAATACCTTCATTAACATGTTGTGACCATATTGCTTCTCGAAGACTTAAAGTAGTCAACTTAGGGTTGGGAAATCCTGTGAATATTAACATAATGTATGTGGATATGCTGATAAAGCCTTACAAAATGTCAGTAGAATTGGATGTCGACGTAGAGTTTATTACACAGATGCATACAACTAACTCTGAGGGGAAAGAAAAGAAAGAAAAATCCCTTGGACATGTAATCCTTGGTCTGGTTAACTAATTAAATCAAACCTTTGGAAATGCATAGATACTGAATTAGAAAGAAGTTACAGAGGGGCTTTATTATTTACGTGTCTATCTGGGGGACGTATTACATGGCCTCCCTTGTCTAAATACTACTAATACATTAAAATACCCACTGCAAATATCTAACTCCATTAATTTGAGAAAGTTAGGATTCCTAGGTAGGGTACCCCCCCCCCAAAGATAGGCCTAAAGTGAAGGATTTATATTCCTACGAAGGTTGTTTGTACCTTGCTAGTTGTTGTAGGCGTAGCCCTAAGGCCCTAAGGCCCTCTGATCATGTGGGTGAGTTCGACGCGCCCGTATTATGGGCCCAAGTACTTCGTACAAACGCAGTACAGGCCAACTCTCCATTTCATACTGCGACTTGCAACTCTCAGAAACCGCCTACTCTACCCCATCTATTACATCCTTGGTGATAATTTCTTATTTCTTTTCTTTTTCCTCTATCCGAGACCCTCTCCCTTTGCTCTTGTCTTTTCTCTTTCCTTAAACTCCGGCTTCACAACCTCGACTGCCACGTCGCGCAACAAAGCTCCACGTTCTCTCCGGATATGACTGTTATTGGCTTTTAACTTTCTACTCAATTTTTTTTTTTTTTTTTTTTTTTTTTTCTCATTTTTTTTTTTTTTTTTTTTTTTTTTAGTTCCAGCTCTCTCTTTCTCTAAAAAAAGTGCACTCGATATTTACGTCTGTTTTCCTACTCTTCAGCCAATCTTGAGTCATTGTCGCCTAGCGGGTTCTTCAAACATGACAGAACCAGGTATTGCATCAAGTACTGGCTCCCAATTTACTTCTGACTTGCGGCGCCGAAATGTTCAGCGTACTGAGGGGCCTAGTTTGGTGCATGATGACACCAAAAAGGTTGAAAAAGAAATGCATTTAGAGGTATGGTATTTAGTTTTGGCCCTGAGTTTATTGTCGTGCGATTTCCGCGTGCTGATACCAACGCTCTCTCGAAACCTAGCCCGATTCTATCTTGCCAGTGCTAGATCGCTGGGAACCATTGATCGTACCAATTTTGTTGACAGCTCTATCAATTTTTACTCGCATGTATCGCATTGGTCGGTCGAACATTGTGACCTGGGATGAAGCCCAGTAAGATACATTTTACAAACATATATTTAGTTAGGTGCTAACAACTCAATTCAGTTTTGGCAAGTTCGGTTCACATTACCTTAAACGCGAGTTCTACTTCGATGTTCATCCCCCTCTGGGAAAGATGCTAGTTGGTTTGTCGGGGCTTCTTGCTGGCTACAATGGATCGTTTGAGTTTAAATCCGGTGAAAAATACCCGGATGATGTTAACTACACATTCATGCGTGCGTTTAATGCGGCATTTGGTGTGGTATGTGTGCCGCTTGCATACTATACTGCCCGAGAACTTGGCTTCCGCAGGCCCACCGTCTGGTTGGTTAGCTTGATGGTGCTATTTGAAAATTCATATGCGACCATCTCCAGGTTCATTCTACTAGATTCGATGCTTCTCTGTTTTACCTTTAGCACAACGATGTGTTGGGCAAAATTCCATCGATTGCAACACGCTAGCTTCTCGATGGAGTGGTTCACTTGGCTTGTTTTGACTGGAATAAGCATTGGTTGTGTCTGCAGTGTAAAATGGGTTGGCCTTTTCTGCACTTCGATTGTAGGACTCTATACAATCGAAGACCTTTGGAATAAGTTTGGTGATTTAAGGATGCCCGAGGTCAGTTAGAGATTATTCTGCGTTTTGGGCGGATCACTAAATCTATGACAGGTAACACTTGCAAAGCATCTCATGGCTCGAGTTGTAGGACTTATTTTAATACCAGCGTTGGTATATATATTTTCTTTCTATGTGCATTTCTGGATATTGGAAAACAGCGGGCCGGGAGATGCTCAAATGAGCTCCCTTTTCCAGGCGAATCTGAGGGGCACGGATGTTGGAAAAGACAGCCCTCTTGAGATAGCTATTGGATCTCGAGTCACGCTTAAGAACATGGGCTATGGTGGTGGACTTCTACACTCACATATCCAGACATATCCAGAGGGTTCTACCCAACAACAAGTTACCTGCTATCACCACAAAGATGCGAACAATGATTGGTTCATCTATCCCAATCGCCACGAACCAGATTATGATCCTCATGCTCCTCTAAGATTTATTAGTGATGGTGACTTAATTCGACTTATACATGGACAGACAGGCCGAAACTTACATTCCCATGCCATTCCTGCTCCAATAACCAAATCCCAGCATGAAGTGTCTTGCTACGGAAATATTACTATCGGCGATGACAAGGATCATTGGGCAATTGAGGTTGTTGATGATGTGGCTTCTAAGGATAGGAGCAAAATTCGAACTCTTACAACAGCTTTCCGGTTGCGACACCCTGTTTTGGGGTGTTATTTGCGAGCGGGCAATGTTAATTTACCTCAGTGGGGCTTTAAACAAATCGAAACAACATGCGTCAAAGAGAATAAACTTAGCGACGTTTACACTCACTGGAACATTGAATCTCATTTCAATGATCGATGTAAGTTTAGGATCTGGAGAATATTTTATTCCTATACATTAACACAACACATACAGTGCCTCCTGGGGACCCAGGATCCTACAAATCTCCTTTCCTGAAAGACTTCATTCATTTGAATGTCGCTATGATGACATCTAATAACGCGCTTGTCCCAGATCCAGATAAACAGGATGACCTTGCTTCGAAGTTTTGGCAGTGGCCAATCCTTAACGTTGGTCTCCGTATGTGCTCTTGGGACGATAATACGATCAAATACTACCTCCTCGGCAATCCACTTGTGTACTGGGGAAGCACTTTCAGTCTTGGAATTTTTGGACTTTTGATCATTTGGTACCTAGTACGTTGGCAGCGTGGCTATAGGGAGCTCAGCCAGGCAGATATTGATCATATCCATTATTCTGGTCTGTATCCAGCTATCGGATGGATTCTACACTATCTGCCATTTGTTATCATGGCTCGGGTAACTTATGTTCACCATTACTATCCAGCACTCTACTACGCCATTCTTACCTTCGGGTTCTGCATTGACTGGCTCACTCAAAAACTGAACAACAAATTCCGCTGGGTGTTGTACGCATGCCTATACACTACTATCACCGGGATGTTTATGTATTTCAGGGTTATTGTGTTTGGCATCGAAGGACCCAGCCAAGAATGGAGTCACTTAAATTGGCGAAGTGGCTGGCGAATTTAAGGTGCTTTGTTGTTTTCAAAAATTGGGGGTAGGCCTTTCTATTCTGTCAATCTGCTACTTCGCCCAACTCGAACTTCAAAGTTTTCTTTGTGCTCTTTTTGCGCTCATAGTAATTTGAGAACAACGTATGATCTTGTGATCGGCCATTCAATAATATTAACATCTTATAGTGTATAGGTAGGTGTATATCAATGTCAAATGTACAACAGTTCCAGAGGAGGTTGACACATTATCCATCCATAGATCCTTTAAAGTATTTTAATTGTATTGATCCTATAGGCAAAATCAGACAAAATACTAATGTACGGATTTTGCTATATATGAATAAAAGATTGAAAATACAACAAAACATGGCTTGATTGCTACCCATACCCTTAGCAACAACTTCCAGTCCAACCATTCCCACCTTTGCGCATTGCGTCATTCAAGCCTAAAGTGATAGTCTTTGATATCCCTGGGGTTGTACCCCCAGCGGCACCAAAACCTTTAACACCACTTCGGCGGTCATTCAAATCATATTTGCCTGCGTCAATTTTTTGATGGATTCGCTCGGCGACCTCAAGGAATGCATTTTCGACACCTTCACCAGATTTTGCACTTGTCTCAACATAACGTACAACGTTATTCTGAAAACACCATTCTTCTGCCTCCTGCCTGGTGACGCATCGCTGGCTTTGGTCTGAGCCATCTCCTGCAAGATCACATTTATTTCCTACTAGAACGACAACAATTCCATCTTCAGCAATTTGCCGTAGATCATGGAGCCACTGAGTACACGAGGTAAAAGTAGATGGCCTTGTAATATCGAAGACAAGAAGGGCGCCAGATGCACCTCGGAAGTAAGAGCGAGTTATGGATTTGTATGTTTCTTGCCCAGCTGTATCCCACAGAGATAACTTCATTCTTTTCTGGAAGTCTGGTACTCTCTGAGGGGGGCTTGGCAGGCCAGTTGTGATGGGCTCCGCATTAGTCATCGATGCTGCCAATATTGAAGAAGCAAGAGCTGGGGGGGAACGATTGGGAGTGTGATCATCTCGTTGGATCTCGAAGTACTTGGAGGCAGGCGGCCCAACTGGCACGATGCGCGAACCGAACTCGACGCCAATGGTTACATCATGAGATGAGGAAAAACGTCCTTCGCAAAGCCGAATTGTCAACTATTTGAGAAGATCAGCATCTTTAAGAAGAGTGTTTACAGAAGGAACAGTGTACCCACACTAGATTTGCCAGTTCCAGAGTCACCAATGCAGACAAGTTTAGCGATGTAATCCCATGGCTGTGACATGGATACGGAGGCCCTTGCTCGTACAGCGCGATTTGGTATTAACTAGGTGATGGCCACCAGCTCATACTATGGTGCTCACTGTAGAACCAGGGTTGGGTAGTCCAAATCCTCCAGGTGTAAGTAAGTAAATAAATGATAATGGTCTCTACCACGCAAGAGCAGGGTGCCGGAAGGGGGTTAGTATCGCTGTTAGTAAACGGCTAGTGACATACCATGCCGGCAAGATAATATTGGCATATACATAGCTGGGGTGGAGAAAGGAAGGGTAGCAGCTGAGTCATTCATTCATGACCTTACCATATGACGCTGCACCTTGCTTCTTTATCCCACCATGCAAGGACAATCCTCGACCCAGGAACTGAGATTCTTAACGCCAGAATAAAACTAGTTTACGCCTGCTAATGTTACTATTGTAAACTCTTATCGGTTACTGTCTTTACTCTTACAGCTACCTAATGCTGATTTGGAAGCCTCTATCGAACGCGCTCACCGCTTTACCTGGCATCCCATTAGGGGAGTATTAGGAATCACAAACCACTGAAAACAGAACACAGGTGCCTTGGCAATACTGGAGAATGTTCTCAGAATGTATGTGAGCTGTAGTGACAGCGATAATGTTGTTATTATTCTCTGGCCCCATAGAATCGGCGGACATTTCTCACTATCGCATAGACGCTTCGCGATTTCTTGCTCAGTCGCAGTCGCGGTTAGGACCTCGCCACAATGAACCGCGTAGGGACTACCGTCTCACACAGCAGGAAAATACTCACTTACTATCCTCTCGCCCTTTCTTACCGCGAATGACAGTCGATCCGTACCAGCCCACTGCCTCCCAAACCTCTAACTTCCGTATTGGTTCGCGGAGTTTAATTCAGCCTGCGCCTCTTTTTTACAGTGCCGCCGACGAGTTTCGCGAAGATGATGAAAACGAGTGTGAGCGTGAAATTGCCGACTTCTATGCATTGCAAAAGTCGAGACGCCATTTTGGGAGCATTCACCTGAGGGATTCCTCGGAGATGGATGAGGATGATATTAGCACCTTTCATGAACACAAGCTTCCTAACAGTAATGCGTCAAGGAAGAGCAAAGGGATAAGAAGTTCATGGCGTGATAGTGAATCTAATCGTGGTAGACACAATGCGACTGCTGACACTGCTCGAAAAAGCACTCAGAACGGTGGTTCTAGCTGCAGGGCCAGGGAAAACTTGTTCAATGTTCGTCTTGATGACACAATAGGCTTTGACTACTACATGGATAAGGCAAGCTCTGAAACGGGTGATGATGACCCTCCATCTATTCAACGATTCAGAGAGCAGCCTGGGTACCGCAAAGGTAGTCTAGGGATAGACTCATCTTTCATACCCACAGAAACAGACAAGCGAACTCGGTTGGAATCTGGTCTCCCAGAGATTCCCTCGGATTCTTGTCAGGCGTCAGCTCCACTAGGATCGTTGGAATCGCCAGCTTACGATGCCTTTTGGGGACATCTTTTTTTAACCGCTCTGGCCTGTCTTCTCGCCACTGCGTTTCTTGTGTATCTTCACACTTCTGCCCCATCAGGGGACAGATCTAAATGGGGGGATACGGTTTACCTAACTATTCATGGATCATTCTATCTCCTTGCGGTTTATACCGCTATTTCAATTCTCATATCATTGGTTTGGCTTGCCCTACTACGGTCCCACGTGCGCCAGCTGGTGTACGTGGTCATGTTTGCCGTCCCAGTGATCTTATATTCATTCTCCCTTTACACGTTTTTCTCAAGCTTTAAAGGTGCCTGGCATGGTATTAGCATTCAGGACAAACTAATGAGATGGGGTTCTATTGTTCCATTCCTCCTGGGTAGTATGTGGACATACAATGTTATTCGAGGCCGCCATGCTATCGGCAGGGCAATCGAAGTACTGGAGTTCGCATGTCGCATACTTGCCGCAAACATTGAATTGCTGGCTCTTGGCCTCGGCATTCTCATCTTTATTGTTTTGTGGACCTGGATATGGATGCTTATGTTCACTAGGGTGTTCTTGGTTGGACACGTTTCGGAATCGAAGTTTTTCATCAACCTTAGCAGTTGGTGGCTAGGGGCTTATTTTATCATCGTTTATTTATGGTCTCTGGGAGTTGTTGCTGGTATCCAGCGTGCCGTCACCGCTGCAACAGTAAGCCAGTGGTATTTCCATCGCCTCGCACGTCCAGCTCCAACATCTAGGCAGGTAGTACAAGCGGCAATAGTTCATTCTTTAACAGCTTTATTTGGCACAATCTGCCTTTCCCGACTGGTTGCGTTGTCAGTTCGACTCCCTTTTGTCCTGCTACCGAGTCGTATTACGTCGGTTTTAAGCCTATTTGCTTATTCACTTGTTCCTACCCCGATAGTTGCTCTCACAGACCCTCTTGCACTTACCTACGGAGCAATTCATTCACAGCCACTTGTTATCTCTGCATGTGGTCTTGCTCGGATACATCTCTCGCCGCGAATAACTACACCTACACCAGCACTGCATCCGCGATCTTGGTCGCATGAAGGCGTAGCCCACCTTGATTCCTACCGAATTTCAAAGCTTATTTTACATGCCGCTCGCCTTATGACGTCTTTGGCGCTTGGATTTGGGGGGTGGGTATCCGCTGCCCGAAACTTGGGTGTTGGTGGAGTCAGAGGCAGTATGTATGCTTACTTGGTTGGGTTGATTGCAGGAACAATTGGCTGGAGCGTCCTGGGGGCAATAGAAGGTATTATTGCTGATATAGTAGATGCTTCTGTCATCTGTTGGAGCAGCGAAACTGGAACTAATGGCGGAGAGGCTAGGTATTGTCGGGAAGCTGGCTGGCTCTTTGGCAACGAGCCAAAAGTGGGTGGCAGCCAAGCCTGATTTCCTCTTATCCTGACGTTTTACTATGTGTTGACGGTATAAAAATAATTTAGGATGAGCTGAAGGCAATTAATTAAAATTTATATGGGAGATTCACGAGGGAAAGTCAACACCTGAAACATCCGTAGATTATTATCTCAATATAATGAGTGGTTTGATATTGTTAGTTATATGCGGAAGATTTAAGGATAAGCTTTGATCAAGCCCCCATTGATTAGTTATTTGGATGTGAACGAGCCTCTCCCCAGCCATCGCAATACCTTTCTCACTCTCAAAGCAGGAATCCATCAGTAGAACTCCACTGCACTGAAAAGGTATCAGCCCTGGTTTGGCAAGATAATTCTTCTGATAATTGACGGAATCTCATACAGATCATATCATCTTACCACTGGACTGCCCCTTTCTATATTCCATAGACAATCCTTCAGGTGCTCATTGGCTTCCATTAGTAAAGTTGGCAATGTATTCAACCAGTCTGCTTTAAGTTTCCTCAAATCTCTTCTCTAGGTGAAGGACTTCATAGTTCAGTGCAATAGCGCTGTCATTCGTACAGAAGTCAAAAACAAAAGGGGAGGGAGTTAAAGGGATATCTATTCCTCTGTACACAACCCTTTGTTGCTTGATTAGAAATACAGCAAACTATTGTAACTGCTTCTTGTTGATCTGTATTTCCTCCAGCAATGTTCTATCTAATGACAAATCCATTTGACTACCATAAACTTGGGCACTTAGTAAGACGTAATAGTGTATCATGGGAGCTGGGAGAATTCGTCTCGACATTATATAATTATATATACAGGAAGGGGACTGGTCAGTTTAGAGAGTGATATTGATTTCCTCGTAGCTTTCAATCTTAAACAGGAAAGAGGATAACGCTATAGTAGCCTAAAAAAAAAAAAATTGGTGGGATATTTTCACCTATCTATAGGGAGGGTGTGAATCTACTAAGTTTTAAATGCATCTGTGTAGTATATGTAAACGCATTTCTCTATTTGTGCTAACTTAGGTGGACTTGACATTATTAGGGGCGTATGCTTAGGTATGTACTCTGTATATAGATACGTTCTAGAGTTATAGAGAGCACACTGCCTCCAAAAAAAAAGGCAAGCACGCCAGTCCGCCTCCTTAATCCAACCTGGAACACTAGCACATACCTAGCTGAGGTATGTGGATAACCAAAATATACGTCCGAGAAAGCGAAATAGTAATTATAGATTGAGCAGACCCCTCCATACTACACCCTCCTTCGTGCACCACTCCTTAAGAACCTCGTATCCAAACCGGACAGTTTCCACGGGGGAGTTGGCTCTCCCTAGCGGCAAGAAGAATTCGCCAGAGAAATCCCCAACTTTAAGTTGTTGCCTCCCTTGTTCGGAAAAATTTCTGGATCGCTTGGACCAGGTACTGGGAAATTCACGAGCAAGGACATCCTCCGAAAGTCCTCGTAGACCTTCCAGCCATAGTCGTTGAGATTCCCTGTAGTACTCAGGTAGCCGATTTTTCAATTCTTGAATTTCCTTTCGATTCCTTCTGCTTTCCTCTATTAGAGCACTGCTCTCATCACTCAGTGGGGCCTGCGCGGGCGTATTTTCCCTTGGTAGTGGGGTGATCGCAAGTCGTTCCAAATCAAGTGAATGAATAGCATCGTAAGAAACAGCACCAAGAATTGAACAAAGACTGTGAAGATGTGGGTAAGAGATACTGTTCTTTTTCACAACGCGCCAATATGCAAGGATAGATAGCCATGATGACGAATCCCCAGCTTGGCTAGGTAAAGTCTTCGATTGATCATCAGCAACAAATGCTAGAATGAAGCAGAGAATGGCTTCAATCGCAGTTGCCACAGCCAGCTTCTCATCTGCACCAGTCACAGTATCTTTCGCAGTATGCCGCTCCGCAGCATGCTTTAACTCCCGGCCCAGATTTCCATATTTCTGATACTCATCTTTCCAAGCTCGGCGATCACTGTTTCGTTGAACAGTTGGTTGGCCACTAGACTGTAGCGGTGACAGCTTCGCAGTAGCAACCGCTTCGGCTACAGTATTCTTGACGACTGACGAAAAGGGTGTCTTACTGTCACAACCAGTCTCTGACCGAGTCATTGAGACTCCGAGGTCCCTTCCTGAGGCTACCAAAGCTTGACTTGCTCTCCCTTGTTGGTGTAGTGCGGAATCTGATATGGGAAGCTTAGATGTGCGGACCTTCTCCGGAATAGACAGCTTTGGGTCTCTGGGCCCCTCACTTAAAGAAACAATCGATTGTGTACTCGTCCCTAGCTTTGTTCTACCTTCTACACGATGTGATCGGGAACTAGAGCGGTCAGGTGCAGGGATCCTCATCACGTTCTGTTCAACTTTCATTGTCTGGGAAAGCTCGGGGTCGACGGGGTCCCTCACCGGGGAGTTTGGCGGAGCCTGTTTCTTTTTGCCAGAGAACTTGAGAAGAGCCTCAACACGCTTCCTATTCGACCTGCCGTACTTCAATTTCACAACTAATTGTTGTCTCACTGAAGCATCAAGCGAACTTGCTTTGCTGTTTGTCTGGTATGTCAAGCTCGTCTTCGGTGTACCATGGCTCTCTGGTATCACCGGGGGGGAAGCAGTAGCATTCCTGTCAGATGTTGAGTTCAGGTATTTACCATTTGATCCCTGCCTACTAATAGTGGGTGTTGAATCCACCTGCGTGCTGCGATTCAATGGTCTGTCTTGTTTTGACCGAACTTTCACTAACTCGGCACTCGAGTTACGTTTCTGCTGTGGCGGATTCCCTTCTAACCTGGCTAGCTCTTTCTCGAGATCTGGCGGTAAGGTGGGAGATAAAAGACGGGGTAGTCTAGGGCTGTTGGTGGTCGGTGGAAGAGTGGGTGATAAGAGGGTTGGAAGCTCGTTCGCCTTCGACCGATCTAGTGTTTTAGGCTCAATCGAACCGGTAGGAGACAATCTTGGCTTCTTTTGGTGTGTTATCCTAGGTTCTTTCCTTTCCTGTGGCCTCGAATTTTCGTTTTCAGGCTCGGGGCATCGTTTGCGCTCTGTGCTCTCGAGAGTATGCCCAGAAGAGGGCTGAATAAATGCGAATTTATTTGACTTCCTCTGTAGATTATTTCCTATAGGGTCGACTTTTGGAATGCGGTGGGTATCGGCGACAACGTAAGTCGTTGGAGTGGTATGGTTGTTAGCTTCCTGACCAACAGGAGAAGTCGTTCCACTAGTCTTCCTCTTATTTTTATAATCATTTAAGCTAATCTTCTTGATGGACCTGTTCGAGGGCGTGCTTGCCGCACTTTGGGGGTCAGGACGCAGATCGGACATGACGTTCCCCGTTCCGTCAGACCAATCCCCTACAGCCACCAACAAGGAATCCCCTTCGTGGTGAGTTAAAAATGTCATATACTGAAGTTGTTGCTCCTCTGGGCTGAATGGGCCGTCGCTGCTCACTGCCCAATTGTTGATAAAGCGACTCCCAAGGCGAAACGGCACATCGGTTGGAACTGTGAGGAGAAAAGGATAGATAGGAAGGACTTCTTCTTTAAGGTGTTTTAGTCTGCGATCAATTGTGTCCTTAACAGCTGTAGATGGCCTTTGGTTGGAGGCTTTGGGTTTTGTTATTCTTATACCATCATCCGTGGAGCCAAAGGGCTGGTTCACCGACATTGCAGCCTGTTCGCTGGACAATTAGGAGCCTCACGACAACCGCAGCGACCTAGTTGTGAAGGCTGAGCTCATAGTATTCACATATAGTTGTTGTTTGGTTCTTTGCGGGCTCTGAAATATCAGTGGTACATCGAACTTCATATAATTTAGATGTTGGGGCTAGAAAGCACCAGAGCATCACAAGAGTAGGTATAGGATTAACAGACTCGCGTCTCCACCCAGGAAAGGGTATGGTAATTCAACAGCGTAAGCTCGCTTGTTTTCAAGGTTTGTGTTACTGTCGAGGTTTTGGGCACGGTGTTTGCAACTGAATACAAACAATTGTACAGTACATGAGCCGTCAAAAATAGCCTGCAGGGAAGCTAAGGCGAGCGACAATAGGATCGTTTTCTGCGTTTTGCTTTTCTCTGTGCAATGGATATGTGGAACAGGACGAGCATTCGAGAAAATTGAGATATAATATATTCATTCACTGTCTCGATAGTGAAGAGAACCGTAGTGGACAGGTGCCACTGGATCCCAGACTCTAATTTTTGGTGTCGAAGGCCACGTAGAGAGAATATCTTTGGATCTTTAGGTGTATGTAGTGTTCATACAAAAGGTTATTAGGAGGGAACAGGGAAACCACGAGAAGAGGGGTGGTAGCAGAGATAAAGAGAGGGAGCAACTTTGGGGGATGGTCCGGGAGGGAAGCTGGCGAATAAAGGCTGTGGTAAAGTGGAGACGCTTGGCAGGACAACCGTTCGTTTTATTAAGGAATGGACGAATAACTAGTTAGCTACTACTAAGTAATATCTATATGTACACAATGGAGATTACCAACTAACTTGTTATTAAACATCCATCCAGGCTCTCTCTAGATTATGTATACTACCTTACAGCATTTTATTGGTCAGTCCCGTATCATATCTAAGTTGCGCTCTTGATCTATTGATTAATATCAATATCACAATAACGCTAGCAATATCCAGAAGACAAAGGTATGAAAGGACACTTTAGAGATGTCATTAGTTATTTAACTAATAGTCTGGAACTGATTTAGCTAAATTGGCTACATTGCTACTAAGGTGGATGCGTAGAATCTCTAGATCTTGGGATGCCAACCTAATGTAGTTACAGTGATTAACATGCGACGAGCTGCTTTTTATTAGTTAACTAGTTTGAGAGTCTTAGTAATTTTCATGTAAAATGATGTCATCGTTTAGGCTCATTCTTTTACCCATTGTCTTTCCTTCCAGTCTTGTCCACTCCCCTCTTTTGACAAGCTTGGCACTGTTTTGGTGATTTAACCCCCATACATGATCTATGCTTGCCGTTGGCTCATGTCTTTCTGCAATAATTTGAATCAGTCACGGGCATTCCTTCGTTTGGGTCAAATGACTTCCCAATTCTCTGGCTGTACTATGGGATCGTCTTTGGCTGACCTTCCGAAGTCTAATGTCTTCACAACCAAACTGCCTCCTGACCCTGCTTTCCAGACACCCGAATCTTCCCATAACGCGCCGAGGGAGACGCTTGGTCCTCGGTTAGTGAAGGGCGCCCTCTACACTTATGTTCGTCCCGAGCCGACCGAGGCAACGGAGCTTTTGGGAGTCAGTCCGAAAGCAGTGGCTGACCTCGGGTTAAAGCCGGGAGAAGAACTTACGCCAAAGTTTCAAGCATTGGTATCTGGCAACGAATTTAACTGGAATGAGGATACGGGGGGAATATATCCCTGGGCACAGTGCTATGGAGGTGAGATCTGCTTGTACTAGGCCAGCTAGAATCCATTGGTATTAACAGTCGGAAGGTTGGCAGTTGTATGTTGATCAAGCACTCCTTAAAGCCAAAAAAAAAAAAAATAGTAACCTAAAGGATTGACTTGTTTGCAGCGGTTCATGGGCAGGCCAGCTTGGTGATGGAGTAGGTTTTGATATTAATTAGTCAAGCGCTGGGCTTAAGCTAATTTGTAGTAGCGTGCCATCAGTTTGTTTGAGTGCATGAACCAGAAAACCAATATTCGATATGAATTGCAGCTTAAAGGAGCTGGGCGTACTCCTTATTCTCGCTTTGCAGACGGAAAGGCTGTTCTTCGTTCCAGCATCCGTGAATATATCGTATCAGAAGGTATCGCCTATTACGCGTTTCGTAAACGTGCTACAAGATTGACTTATTATCCCAATAGCTCTTTCAACACTTGGCATCCCTACTACTAGAGCCTTATCAATCACGCTATTGCCCAAATCTAAGGTTTTACGGGAGCGTATGGAACCCGGTGCCATAGTGGCTAGGTTCGCCGAGTCCTGGCTTAGAATTGGAACTTTTGACCTACCGCACGCGCGCGGAGAGAGGGATTTGGTCCGGAAATTAGCCACCTTTGCCGCTGAAGATGTTCTCCATGGATGGGAGGCCCTGCCGGCTGCGGTGCCAATAGGCAAGGATCAACCTCCTCACATTGTGGATAATCCAGCTAGGGGGGTTCCGTGGAATGAAATACAAGAGCAGCAGGGCATACAAGAGAATCGATTTGCAAGGCTGTATAGGGAGATTGCGCGGCGGAATGCTAAAACTGTGGCCGCCTGGCAAGCCTATGGTTTCATGAATGGTGTCCTGAATACAGACAACACTTCCATATATGGTTTGTCACTCGATTACGGCCCATTTGCTTTCATGGATAATTTTGACCCCAACTATACGCCAAACCACGATGACCATCTTCTGAGGTATTCCTACAAAAACCAGCCAAGTATCATTTGGTGGAATTTAGTCAGACTCGGAGAGTCGTTGGGCGAGCTCATTGGAGCAGGGGATACGGTCGACGAAGATAGTTTTGTGAAAGAGGGATTGACAGAAGATTCTGCACCAGCCGTTGTCAAGCGTGCGGAGACCATTATCGAGCGAGCGGGCGATGAGTTCAGGATAGTATTCCTGAACGAGTACAAGCACCTGATGAGCAAACGACTAGGGTTGAAAACTAAAATGGAAACCGACTTCCAAGTTCTATTTTCTGAACTACTTGACACATTGGAGGCCTTGGAACTGGACTTCAATCACTTTTTCCGACGACTCTCTGATGTTCCCCTTTCCAGTATCGAGACCGAACATCAAAGGAAAGATGTTGCGTCGGTGTTTTTTCATGAAGAAGGATTTGGCGGAATTGGTTACACCAGCGACTCTGCAAAGGAGCGCATTGGTAGATGGCTCGATAGCTGGAGATCTCGGATTCTCGAGGACTGGGGTCCAGATAGCGACGAAGAGAGACGAAAAGCTATGAAGGCGGTGAACCCAAAGGTACGGCAAAGCCTCCTGAATTGGTATTCTGACCTGTTTCGTTAATCGTAAGCCTTAGTTCGTACCACGTAGTTGGATCCTTGATGAAGTTATTGAGCGTGTTGAGCACCGTGGAGATCAGAAAATCTTAGGTCGTGTAATGCATATGGCCTTGAATCCATTTAAGGATGAATGGGGCATGGACAAGAATGAAGAGGAGCGCTTCTGTGGTGATGTTCCTCGGTTTCAACGAGCAATGACGTGTAGTTGCAGCTCTTGAACGCCATTATCTTACATGCACATACTGTATGTACGTGCATGGTCCATTCTAAGGATTCTGCGTGCTATTCATTCAACCTGATGTGGGCTCGTTACGCAATCTACTTTGTAGGGCACGACATAAAATACCTTTTAGCTATGAAATTGTCATTATAGTAAAAGAGGACAAGCCAATAATGTAGTCAGTGATATGTTACTGTGTTAGCATAAAGGTGATGCATCTTGTAGATTTTCAAAGAAGCGTAGAAAGGAGGCAACCAGGGAAAGAAATATATGCATAGGAAAAACAAAACAAAAAAAAAAATATATATTAAGGAGCGGAACCACGTAATCAATCAATATTTCTTTTTTGAAGCTAGAAAATCTGTGGTAAAAATAGTTCTGGCTCTTGTCTTCCGCATTACACAAAAGGAAAATTCATCATACACGTTCATCCGTAACCCCGACCATCCATCTGCCAGTTTCGAGGCCAAAACAAAACTTCCTACCCATAACTTCAGAAGTGGAAGTTTAAAGGCCGTGAATGAGATTCAAAGCTCCTATGATATCTCCGGAATACCGTGAATCGAGGGACGAAGTCATTGAGAACCAGAGTCGTAAAGCCAAGTCGTGACTTGGCTACAGGGGGGGAACGGAAAATGAAATTTCGAGTCCGGTACAAAGAGTGCAGCTCCAATCAGAGACGTCTTTGATGTCGGGTCCCGTAGATCCCAGTGCGATAGAGACGAAAGTTTTAAATATTGTAAATCAATTTAGTTAGGGCAAGCTGCCTGGACGTGTCCGGGCTGCTTGCAGTTATAACAAACTCTTTCACCCTTGGCCTCGGTAGTGCAGTCACGAGAGACATGTCCGACTTCTCCACCTAGAGGCAAGTTATTAATATCGACACTATCTCCATTTAATCTCATGAAGAAAGTGAAACCTACAGTTGTAGCACTTTTGACCGTGGGTACAGTCACGGGCCATGTGGCCGAATCCGCCACATGAGTAGCATGTCTGCTGACGTCCACCGAATCCACCCTGGCTGTATCCACCTCCGTACCCGCCCTGTGGACAATTCCGAGCAATATGGCCGACCCTGCCACATTTGTAGCACTCCTGGCCGCCAGCGGTACCAGTGTAGCCTTCACCCGAGCTTGCCTGGGGGCATTCACGGGAGATGTGGCCGGTAGCACCGCAGCGGTAGCATGATTTTTCCTTAGGAGCTACTGTACATTCGCGGCCTAGAAGTGTCCATTGTTAGATATATATGCATGAGACTGAGAGAGTTATAGTGAATTGACATACTAACATGACCCTGCCCTGTGTTTAGTGACTTCGATTAGTCTTGAAATCTACGGAATCATATCGCCAATGGCAGGGTTTTAACACAAAGCAAAGTAAACATACCACCACAATTGTAGCTGCAATAGGAATGATTAGCGATAGGGAGCTTTAAAATATATGGAAGATAATCTAATTTACCAAGTAGGTGTACCCTTCTTGGGACAGTCACGGGCCTAATAATCATAGAACGTGAGAATCTCCCATTTGCCCTCGAATGCGATTATAGTGAATTTAAATTGAGGAGGGGTATGATAGTACATGTCCTAGACAAGTGAAGACGGTGTGTAATTTACCTGATGTGAGGCATCGCCACCTGTATGAGAAGTTATGTTAGCATTAATATAGTGATGATAGAAATATGAAGAGATTTTCCATTCTGAGAAAGACAGAAAAGATTCTTCAGAAGGAATAAGAAGAAGGGAAAACCCCAAAAGCCAAAAAAATAAAAAAAAAAAAAAAAAAAAAAGGCTATGGTCGCACACAAGAAAGGGGGGTTAAAAAAGGTCTAAAATTGACCACAGATGCTTCTTGGGGATGATGGCGAAAACAGCAATAATAATAACAAAAAATAGTAGTGTTGATGGTTCTTTTTCTCTTTTTCTCTCTCTCAAAAAAAAAAAAAAGATATATCAGGGAGTGACAGGACATTGGTTTATCGAGGCTAAAACGTAAGGACCTTCAAGGTGGAAAGCAGCAGGGTAGCAAAATGACTTTTTTTAGCCAGAGTAAAAACTCACAATTGAAGCATCCACGACCTCCAGCTTGGAAACTCATTTTGGAGGGTTATATGAAATAAAAGTGAAACAAGGAAGAGAGATGCAAGATCCGAGTGAGAAAGTATCAGGCAAGAAAAAAAAAAAAATTAAACAGACTATCTCCTTGTCTATTCTCGTTCCTTCGGTTCCTTTTTTGGGGGAAAAAAAAAATTTGTGGAAACTGGGTCGTCAGAGATTTACTGATCAGAAGAAATGACAGAGATTGATTAATGCAGATAATAAAAAGCTAAGTTAGTTCGGAAAGTCGGTGCGGGGGAACAGTTCCCGTGGTTCCTGCAGCGCAACAAGGCTGACAAGTTGACAGTATTGTTGTCAATGACCATTACATTCCTTGCATTCTTTTCCCTTCTTCACTCTCCTCCTTGTATTTGATTTTGTTTTAGAATTCTACTACCATCATATCCAATATTTCCGGGTATACCAGGTGTTTAATATTTTGGTCATTGTACTCAACAATGTCTGGTATTGTATGTCACTTACATATGGGCAGTTAGGATACTATGAAGGAGAAAAACAAAATAGTGGTAAAGTCACTGTTCTCCAATAGTCACAGAAGCTTTTAATATATAAGTGCTTCAAAAGGAAAAGAGGCGTACTTGCTCGGTGATGCATCTATTAGTCCATGTACTACCCCTATCCAAGATGCTATTAGGATGTTGGTTATGGGTAAGGTCTTTCCTGTGTTCAACAAATAAGAAAAACCTCTATTAGCTAGAATTATATGTAGGTAGCAAAAACTTTGTGGGCTGCGAATAAACCAACCACATTCGAAATCAAACTATGTACACCATAAATCATCACATGCGTCTAATATAAAATAAATATATACTGCCTAGCAATTCCCCGGTCCTATTATGCCCTTTTCCAATTGAAGGCCTACTCAACAAAGACGGGTCATGTGAAGTCATAAAGCTCAAGTAATTGCGTCCCAACCTCTTTCTCCCGAAGTAATAGTACTCGTTCATCATCAAATCCAATACAACTGCCCAATTGAGCCAGCTCACGCGGTATATACGCAGAAAGGGAATGGATGTATCTGGTCTCACCAATTTGACAAAGTGGAGTATCAGACAGTACATCAAGATCTCTATGCTCCTGACTTTGCTTATTCTCAGGGCTAGCCTGGATACTGATGTCACCTCTCGGGGCCCCATGGGTACCGACGGATGAGACCAGAGCTTCTAGTTCCCATATCCTAACTTCACCTCCCCGCGAGCTAACAGAAACTGCTTTACCACGATCACTGACCTGTACTGTTGAAACTGATGAAGTGTGACCCCATAGCCGCCGGCCACTTCTGATGAAGAGACTAGCAGCTGTAGATACGACAAGGTACATTGTCAAGGTGTTGTCGACATGGGAAGTTAAAAGGTAAGGATGAGAGTAGGAGACCGAGGTTGGTGGTTCTTGATGTAGGATGGACGGATCGGTATGTCCTGCATGTTGCTGACCATGTGCGTTTTCATAGCCCACAGCGGATAAACGACCGCCAGTGGGGGAAAAGAGAGACCCCATTCCATATTGGGAGTCCACTGTCGTTGCAAGCCGACATTTTTTTTGATGGCCGATCTTGTTGAAGTGCAACTCTTGTATGCCCAATGACCATCCGCACCCTATGTGGAAAAAGCTGTACACAATGGCGGCTATAATTTCCGAGCCCACAGCACGTATAGATAATGACATTGGGGCTAGAGCACTATCCGCTTTGAGTGACGCAAGCAACAGGCCCTCTGTCGTTTCAAGTTGGGCCGATTTGTCCTTTTCAGGAGGGATCTTATACAGTGACAAAACCTTATGTTGTGTGACCATTAGAAGGTAAGGGAATGACAAGGCAACCATAGTTATGGGACCGTTAGTAGTTTTAGAGAAGTGCAGACACAGCTGCAATATTTTGGTATCAAATGAATACACACTAAAACGGCCGCTCTCAAACCCCACAGCGACTTCGATCAAGTTTTGTCGTTGGTGCTGAGTTGCCACCAATGCTGTTGGGGCATCAGGAGAGTCCACGACAGGAATCCTTGCTAAGCAAGACTTGAGACTCCCAGCTTCCCAGACCCTGAGCCCGTTATCTAAGTCCACTGCAAAAACAAATCCGGAATAGAACTTCACGAGCATTGGTGGCCGTGGCGGCTGTGGAAACTCGATTTTAATCACCTGACAGATTCCGTTTGACCAGTTATGCTTTAGACGATATTGCCTTTTCCAGTTTGTGTTCTTGCCATCATTTGTCAAATGAGCGTGGTCCAGCCACGTTGACACTTTTGGCGAGTATTTCAAATTGGACAACTTTGTATTGGTACGCTTAACGTTGGCTATTCTATGCGCTCGAGGCAGTACCCATCGAGAGTAGTATTGCCTTTTCCAAAGCTCCGAGTCTCCTGCTAATGTATAAAACCGACGAGACACTCTGGATAGAGGCGACATATGTCAGTCCAGATGTACTATATCTGCTCACACGTATGGACGTACCTTTGACAGAGGAGTAGGGACGACGTTGACAAGAAGCTCAATATATGAATCAAAAGTTCGTCACTTAGATATGAGAGGCGGTCGGTTTTCTTGTCCTGCGCCACACGTGCACGCTTTCGTACAGGAAGATGTGAAGATTGATCATTGCTACGTCTTTTCGGCATTCTTTGAGCGGATTAAATATCTCACATGAATCAGTATAGGAGACGGATGCAAAATGCAGTGTTCCACGTGTATCGAGGTGGTCGCTACTGGAGTCGATACAGGTTATGTGGGGTCCTACAAGCATCAGCTCCAAGTGAAGACTGACGTACTTGGTACCGTACATAGTTAACTAGACGTAACCGGTAAGCGAGGGTTCCATGTAGGTGTTCCAGCTCCGTATCCCATAAAAAAGGGCTAGTTTTAAGCCTTGGATATCTCAGCAACGACAAACCTAGAGAAGCTGTAGATTTGTTATTAGAATTATATTACATTATAAACCAATAAATTATGTATAAAGAGTTTCGATTTCTATAGTTCTCTTAATATAGTAAATACAGCCGTATTTTTGTGTATTTTATTAATTACTAGGATACAATGGCATAAATCTTATATAAATCTATTAAATTTATAATACTTTAGAAAAGAAGCACATACTATGACCATTAATGAATTAAGCTATAAATTCTTAATGTTTTTGGGATATTTAGGTTACAGAAAGGACTGTTTTATATGGGATTTAGAGGACGCTCGCCTTTATGGAATGCTCGCTTACCGGTTACAGTTAGTTAACTAGTTATCAGTGCCTTTGGTGTTTTGCAGGAGTAGGTTGGTACCTTCTCTGCAATACCGTCTAAGTATATATATGCCAATTACTCCGGACCAATGTCTTGGTAGATAAGGTGGATTGCAATTTGAAATAATGGTACCGATGTGTACAACCTAAGTGTACTCTTCTTAGAGTAGCAGTAGTTAGAAATCTATGTGTGGAGGGGGGAGGCACAGAACCCAAATGCCAAAATATGACTTTACAATTACCACCCCCAACTTATTTCGAGATAAATATTTTTAAAATATAAATTGCTTTATACAGAATACTGTATAGATATTGTGAGAAAATAGTTGCCAACCTACCCAGACATGGACTATACAGGAGGTACAGAGAAGTACCGAGCTGTTGGTAGGCCTGTTGTTACTGTCACCTAGGTAGGCTAGGCTGGGAACCCTGTCTCTGCCTTAGTCGCGTAAGCCGCGAGTGCTGGTCGACTCATTCGGTCGCGTCTCACTATTATTGTTGCGCAAGAAGAGCTGCGTGGTATTATCTATGGATATTCTAAAACAGCTCCATACTTCTGTTGCCCAAACATTCGAAAAGTCTTTTGATAATGCATATAGAGAATTGCACTCCGAAATTCTTATTCGCGATAGCAAAGTTGAGAGGGCGGAAGAGAAAGTGAAGGTCGCCGAGGAAGAACGAAATAGAGCTGCTGCAGAAGCAGAGAAACTAAAATATGAAATTGATATTCTACGAGAGGAGCTGCTAAGGAATGATGTTGATGCAAGAAATACTGAAATTGCTGTTGACAGGGCTTTTCAATTAAAGGAAGCATATTCACCACGGCATGTCTTAGTCTCCAACGATGGCAATGGCGCTAATAACACAAAACTCGACTCGAGGGAAATGGAGGTTGCTAATCACAAATATATTGCACTTTACGAGGAATTTCAAACCCTCCTCAAGGCAACAGTCGAGCTCAGGTCGCAAATCAAGCGTCATAAGAAGAAATTAGCACATTGGCGAGATTGCCTTGGTCGCGATGGATTCACGCTTGCGCTTGATGGGTTCCCGGTCAGATTTGAACGAACTCAAAGAGATGTGAATCAACAACAACCTCGGAAGATACTGACAGCGTCGACTTTCAATGCGTCTGAATTGCCGAAGTGTATTGAACCCGATGGTATGGACTGTACGTCGAATTTCAATCCGAACACGCTCGGCTCTAAGTCGGACGGCCATCATCATACGCCAACTTTTAAATCAAACTACGAATCATCTAGTGACTATCCCTCATCGCCAGTGCATGGTGAATTTTCAAGGCGTTCAACATTACCAGATCCATCTGTGAGAGAAGAGATTGTGAGAAATGACAATTCACATGGACAACAGGCTTTGAAGAAAAGGCGCCTGGAATTGCAGGAATATTTCCCTAAAATTTCGCCTGGCAATGAAAGCATGGCAAACAGTGGATCAAAAGAGCCGGTTCTAATTCAAAATGAACATGTGCTGTCAACCTCGTTAGGAGCACTCTTGAGACACGATAGATCCATTGGAGCTCAGGAAAGCGATGGAATTGACAACCCTGTTGGAACCACAGAAAGGAAGACAAGATTTGTCAACCTTTCAGTGTCTTCGCTTGCAGAAGATGGCGACGAAGAATGCTCAGAGCATCAAATGCGAAAAGGATTAGGCAATTCTCTAACTCAGATCAATTCCTCTCAGCCAGTCCGAAATACTGTTCCCGCATTGACTGAGCAGCGATTACAGAATCTTCTTAATGGGCCTTTACCTCCTAGAAATGCACTACAGCTGCAGGAGGATACGGCGCGCCATGTGAACGTTAAAAACTGTGATGAATGTACAGACCAGGATTGTACAGTATCATCCGACACCGGATTGTCCCATGAACAGATTGTATTATCAGCACAATCGCAAGAAACCCAAACACCAAACATGCAAAGAGATGTTCCAGATAGCCCCGTGACATGGGGATTAGGCTATAATACCAATGAGGCATGCCCAGAGGACGAACCTTACAGAGCTCGGCCTTTGCATCGGCTTGATCTTAACGACTTTAAAATAAATACAAACTATAATAAAGGGTTGGATTTTGCATATAATACTGTTGTTCGCAACAAAAAAGAACGCGAATCTATACGCGGCTGCACACGCTCAGAGTGCTGTGGCGAGAAATTCCTTGCCATGGCACGTTTGGCTGGTTTTCCAAGCCATCGATCAAACTGCCAAAAAGAAGAACTGAAAATTGTCGAGGATTATCTTGGGGAAGAAAAAGGCATTCTTGATGGGCTTACAACTGCAGATTATCAAAAGCTGCTTCATGAGGCAAAAGCAAGGCTCATTGCCAATCAATATGGGAGACACAGACATCATCATGAACGTCCCCCTACACCTCCTGGATTCTGGCGTGCAGATATGCCTAATACACAGGAATTAGAACACGACCATGAAGTTGCCTCAAAGCTTAACAGAGACAAGGTAAGACAACGGTATAGGGAAGCAATGCGCCCTGATGGCATATGGAAATTTGCGGATGAGTAAGACAAATTATGACAGTTTACATTATGAGGCCTCCAAAATTCAATGCTGTATATAATGCTTAGCGCACGCACATGCATAGGGAGTATTTCAAATTCTTCATCATATACAGAGTATAGTCGACTTTAAGCTTCAAGATCTTGATTAGTAAATTAGTAAGTCTCACTGTCTCATCTCAAATTGGTTGGCGGAACACCCTGCCTCGGTATGACTTTCTTGGCATACACGGGCTATGCCGAAATCACCACCGTATATCCCTGCTTCCTCCCACCATCCATCTTGTCATGTTTCCACTTTTTATTTCATCGAGGTCGGTATAAGGATTGAAGGATTGCAGGTGTCATTGATAGACGTCTGTGTTGGAGATGGAACCTTCATGGAGTTCTCATAAACCAGAACACCATGTGTTTTGGCAACCATACAAATGGCTTCCACTGTATGAGGACTTCGTGACGAAGAATGCTAGTGCTGTTGGCCAAGTAGAGTCGGCACTGAGATCTCTAACTTATATTATCCCTGGTTAGATCGAAAGCCTGTCTGCCGTGTATGCGTACAAGTGAGGAAGGCTGATGGTTGCTATTTCATACAGGACGATACCGAGATTCAGAGATACCGTCAGAATGCGGTATGTCGAGACCTATTCTATAGGCAATCAGCCCTTTTAACGATTTATATGCAGTGCATTCAGCTGTACAGCTCCTATCATTGTACCATGACTCTCTCGTGTCTCGCGTCATTTCTAGACTTCCGTCAACCATCTCTCGACCCTCGCCAACACCACATTCCCGGTATACTAAGTACTGGACATCCAGTTCACCCCTCTATCATAGAGTTGCTGTTACTCTTCAAATGATACAATATACGGAACTACTCTGGGAAATGATTGCGCGACGTCGCGGTGAAAAGATCCGGTGGAGGGTGGTTACCTTCATTGAAGTCATTAAAGCAATTTGTCGCCTATTTCTGCTTCGTCTCACAAATTCTAGACCATTAGTCAGTCCCCCTTTGCCCGAGCGTGAAGCCGACCCAAGGTCGGAAGAGTTGGAAGGAAGCGACTGGAATGGTATGCAGACGCCAGATAGCGAGCGATCCTCGAACCTGGACTGGAACATGCCTCGCACAGGATTATCGCTTCCTTCTCTTCCGGATGTCAACGATATCTCGAACTATCTTATATCAAAAGTTCTCACGGCTGATGACATCAAACCACCGAAGACTCTCTTGCACCGTGTTACTGGTCAAGGACAGTTAGCAGAAATATTATACATCCTTCGGCCGGTGATTTATGCATTTGCAATGCAAAGATGGAGTGGAGATAAGCGAAGCTGGAGACCCTGGCTGATTGGCTTTGGAATGGAATATGGGTGCCGGCAGCTCGCTAAATCTGACTTCAAAGAGAGGGTCGCTGGCGGCCTCCGGGGACTGACAGGTCTCGAGCGTGAGGAACTTGGAAAGAGAGGATGGGCGATGGGTTGGTGGCTTTTACGAGGCGCATTTTATGAGAACATAACTAAGTATGATCTTTCGACATGTTCAGACGACCAGCCAAGATACGTTACTGACTTTGAGCAGGTACTGGTTGAAAGGTTTAACGGGAAGGATGAAGGGTAAACCTTTACTTGATTTGGTGGGCAGCGTGATTGAAGATTACGAGTACTTGTGGGATAATTTTTACTTCCCAACGGCGACTTTGTAATCTTTGTTACGAGACACGATTCTTTGGTCTGTTTTGATTTTGGCCAAAGGGGTTTTAAAGGCATCAAACTCCGTCAGATTGTAAGTTTACAAATTAGTTTAGATACCCAGACTGCTCCTTTCGTGTTGCATCCCAAATGCCATGACGGCTTCTCCGGCGACGGAGTATGATAGGACCGAGAAAAGGGGCGAAGGGAGGTGCCTTGAGACATTTCAAAAATATTCAAGGCCATTGAGTTGGGGTTGTCAAGGACAGGGCTGATGGTAGGATTATTATAATTACCGAGTATTTAGGCCTCCAGCCTTTGTCAAAGGATTTCTGCTGGTTTATACCCAAACCACTCCCCCAGTTCTTGGCCTGTTCTTCCAGTACTATCAGGTGATATCAGAAGGAACTCCCTGAGTTGCGCGTTGTCTTCATTTGCCCCCCAATCAACCTTGCATCCTTCCTTCAACTCCAGCATTTCCTTCGCAGTACCCCAACTGAAACGACATTCATTTCCCCACCCAAAAATAGGCTGCATGTTTCTTCGAAGCCAGCAAATGCACTTCGAATCAGAGGGGTATCCGCTGCCCCAGGTGTCTGTAGCACTTGTAAGGGAAGGATCCCCTGGTTGTTGGGCGACTAGCACGTTTTCATGACAGAGATTTAGTGCTATATCTCTGGTCACTTTGGCAGCAACACTTGCGGCACTAACGCATGGATACAGGGAATCAGCCTTTTTGGCAACAGTTATCTTCAATGAAGGGAATATTCGCTCCAGCTTCTGCTGGTAGGCTGTCGGATTCCCAACAGTGTCAATGTAGACCTCTCTGACATCCACCTTTTGGTCCTCGACAATGCCTCGGATGATCTCAATAGTGGCATCCATCGCCTGCTCATTTAAATTGTAAGCTCCAGGGCGCATCATGCCGGACGAGATGTCTCGCGCAGATAATATTTTGGTCGCCCACCCGCATGACTCGAACAATGGTGTTCCTGGTGTGCAAAGTAACCGCATTAAGTTTGTGCGCACAGCAGGTGTCAGGACTTTGCTGTCATCAAAACTATATTTTTGAGCCAAAAGCGAATGGTGAAGGTCAAGCGGCAAATAAAATGCACTATAAACCATAGGCCCCAGAACTGGACCACGTCCAGCTTCATCTACCCCCAAAATGAAATGTTTTCGTGAGTGAGATCCAGCTAGGCTTGAGAATTCTGTATTCCTTGTGTTTGTTTCAGGAGCGGCGCAGGAGCTATGTGCTTCGATTCCAGTGGGACAAGACGAGTAGAAGGCGTAGGATTCTCCAGCTAGTAATCGGGTGTGATCTATACTAGGTGGGACGAAAGCACCCGTGAGTGTTGGGGCCTCTTGGGAAATGCATGGACTAGACTTTTCCATGATCGCTGCCTGTTCAAACTCCCCTATAGAAGAATCGTAGTCTGTGTTAATAACAGTAGAAAAGACAGGTTGGATGTATTTCTTTCCCAGGCCTTTTGCTGGGCGCGTCTCAAACCGTTCCGGACTAGCGGCGCTTCCGCGCGTGTTGTCCGCCCATGATGAATTCCAGTTCCCCTCTGCAGCCTTCAACTTTACATCTGCCCCCTTCTTCCCCGCCAAATCGCCTGCAACTTCCTCGTTCTACATTGGCCCAGCACTGGCCTTTGTACTAAACCACGATTAACCGCATCTAGATAACGCGCTCCCCTACAGTCTTTCTATTGACTTGCATTCTGCTGAACTCGCCTTTGCCGCATCCAATCCCGACCCTCCGCAACGATGGCTCCTCGTGGGCCCACAAAAGCCCGCGACTATGATTACTCAAATGTTGGCAAAACCGGAAGGTTAGTGCGTCTAATTAAACAGAAAACCTCTAAACACTGTCAGTTTCTTTTATCGGGGACTGATGGAAACAGGCGCACAGGGATCACCTTAAAGGAGGGCAAGCGTGACGAGCATGGAATGGAAGACATTGAAGGGATGTGGTCGTCTCCTGAGAGATCTCCTTCGCCAGATAATGGAGTCAATGATATGAACGATGCTTCGATTGGCTCGGATGGGATGTCAATGGACGAGGGTATGGACAAACATCCTCTGGACTGCGGTATAGTGCTTACATCTATCCTTTACACACAGATAACGCCCTCGGCCCGGCAGATTTTCTCGGTGGTGTAAATGGTAGCCGCGGATCTTATCACCTACCTCCTGTTGCTCGTTCGCCTATGAAGTCTGGCTTAACTGGGTCACCGCGGAGAACCCCCGGCTTGCGATCTTCGCAAAGCCCGCAACCTGATATCCTCTCCTCTAGCCCCTCTGACGGCAAGAGCTTGGGAAACACAAAGGGGGACTCTCGGCAAGATGTTTCTCCTCTTACGAACCGTTCTATAAATGCGCCCTCTTTAAATGGCACGCGAACCAAGGGTAACAAAACATCAGAGCCACCAATTCCATTGACCTTTTCGGACAGCGACGCGAACAGCCCATTCAATGGAGATGAAAATGCAGGTATTTTCGAACAGATCCAGAATGAGTTTGTGGACAGCTTTAACACCAACAATAATGCCATTGAAGGCGACCAAAGAGAGGAGATTGGACAGAACGGCGTCGGCGAAGACTCACACTCAATTGTATCTCCTCAATTATATGCTCACAAATCAGCGAAGACAGTCGCTAAACCTAGAAGAAATGCACAGGATGAAGAAGGTGGAGAAGAAGATACTGTTCGGCGCAATGTAGCAAAAGTCCAAGAACCATCACAGAAACGCAAACGCCCAGGGAGACCCCCAAAGAGCCAGGCTAAGGCCAAAGATGATACAGAGGAGCAAAGACCATCGAAGAAAACCAAGACCTTCAACCAAGCTCCGGAGGACCGTAATTCATCAGGACACCCTGAATTGGAGCAGGTTGTTGAAAGCTACGTCAACCGCACAGGACCTTTGAAGGGACGAGGCTTGTATATTCTCAAACGAGAAGAACCCACAGGGAGCAGCGCCACACACACTAGATCAGGGCGTGTATCGGTTAGACCCCTTGCCTATTGGAGAAACGAACGGTGCGTTTATGGTGATGGTGAGACTTCTGAGGGTCAACGATATCCCCTTTCTACGATCAAAGAAATCATCAGAACAGAAGAGCTTGAAACAGGGAAACGAAAGACAGGCAATCGGCGAAGGAAGCTGAAGTCGAAGAGAAGGCATGACGATTCTTCAGATAGCGAAGAATACCTCGATGCTTGGGAAAAGGAAGGAGGAGTTCTACATGGATACATACGGAAATGGGACCCAGAGGTCCAGACAAGTGCAGAAGATGAGGAAATAGTTGGCAAGTTTCCCTCTTCCAGAATATCTTGCCCATCACGTATGCTAACCATGGTTTATAGACATCGCGTACGCCCCTTCTGGAATGGAAACTAGAGATGTAAAGGGCTCTGCTTTTCGGTTTACTAAACTTATAAGCTCACCGTTCCTGGGCTCTGGAATTGTCGAGCTACCTGCTGGGGGTGTAAAAAAGCCGAAGAATTCAAAGAAAATGCACATGGTTTTTTACGTTTGCCATGGCCGAGTACAAATAGATATATCTGGCGTACAATTTAGTGCAGGGAAAGGCTGTGTTTTTCAGGTCCCAAGAGGTAAGTGATTCTGGCTTTTTCGATCATCATATTCTGAATGGAGGTCCTAACTATAAAACCATTTGTGGCTTAGGGAATTATTACAGTTTTGCCAACACACATGGCAAAGATGCTCGATTGTTCTTTACCCAAGGCTGTGTCCCTATGGATAAGGATAGCTCTACTCTTGGATCGGCCTCAAAGTTAGGCAACATGGACGGAGACTCCACTACTCCGACCAGTCGGCCCACTGGTGCTGCGAAAGGCAGGCCGAAGGGCAAAAAGAGGGCCGGAACAGGCTCTAAAACATCTTGAATAGGTCCCCTAGCCTCGAAGTCCGAGTTGTGTGTTTTTGGAGGGGGAGGAGGAATTTCCAGGCGAAACTTGTTTCATGTCCTTCTGTGAGTTCCACTCATTCTAGCGATTTTGTTTTACGAGGTTTTATGGCGTCCCTTGCTCAGGCTTCTGTCCACCTCCCACCACATGTCCCACTTTTTTTTTGGTCTTTAAATTCTGCAGCAAATGTGCGATGACTAGCCCAAACAAGCGATGTCACCGATGTAATTGAATTCCATATTATACAACTTGTTGTATCAGTCCTCCCTCCTTGTGTTCACTATTGACTGTATTTTCCTATAAATAATGATATTATGATGGGATCTTGGGTTATTATGCTCTTTTGGGGGGAGTGATAAGCGTTAGTATATTTGGTTTTAGAGATCGGTTTCGTGTATTGTACTTTGGCCCTGGGGGTCTTTGGATCCATGCCAGGTATAGATAGATTAATTCCACATTCTACCTATAGTTCTTCCATCTCGCCTAGGTTATCGTCCAGCTCCAAAGGAGGAAAGTCTCCTACCTCAACCTTCTCTGGTTTCACAAAAACACCAGTCTTGCTGGGGCAGGTAAAAAAACGTTTCCCACCCACACTACCATCATTTTTCCCAATTGGTTCATCGAGCTCAATTCCTACCCAAATGGGCAAAAAACCGGATTCAGCCTCTTCAAATTCCGATTTGGCATTTACGCCAGGGTAGGGAATTGTGGGCACCGGGCCGACATAGCGGACGATACCTCGCCGAATATGTGGCGGGGAGGATGGAAGGATGATTGCACGCTTCGACACCACAATTCCTATAGGTTAAAAAAAAAAAAAAAAACTCTTAGTAATGCGCATCCCTTCTCTAGTAATTATGTGTATTTTATACCTCTGTCTGAGATCTCCCTAGCATCTTGTTCTGCCTGTTTGTGCATCGATTCTTCCGGTGTTACAGCATTTGGGTCAAATCGGCCAAGTTTTTGGTTTTTTTTCCAGGCCAAGACTGAGTTAGAAAGAGACTCGTAGGTCTCCGTGGGAAGCACATACTTCTCCACTGATGATAGATCATCGAAGTTTAGCCTTGTAGACTGGGGTCGGGAGTCATGGACCTATGATATGGTGCTCAAAGTCAGTACTGTTCATGCTGTTTAACAAGATAACAAGCTTGTGCATATTGAAATGCTTGAAAAAAAGTACACATGACTTCTTTTGTGAGGAAGTCTGGTGTAGCAGAGATTTTTGGCAGTCAAACAATAAGGCTATTGATTGAAGTACGAACAAAGCAGCATTGTAAAGACCCAGGGTATTTAAGTAATAAATCGGTCCCCATAAGTATGCGGATTTTGCACTTCTGATAAGCTGCAGCTCATTCAAGTTATACAGCGCCCAGGCCAAACGGGTTAGGGACTTAAAAAACCAAGGTATGTAAGACAGAAAGGGTTCAGCTGGATAGATACCATACCTCAATCTCACAGCCTTTCATCACGCCCCAGTCACCAACCATGGTGTCATCTCCGTCAATCCATTGACCAGAAAGGGTGGGCGTCTTAAGCCACAAACGCTGACCAGATGGGGGTATGCCAGTCATGGTCTCCAACTTGGATTTTAGCTGCATGAGGGTCCATGTTGGAGTGACGCGGCGTTCCGAGTGAAATTGTGGTTGCGCATTGGATCCCGAAGTGGGAGTGGTAATGATGACAGTGATGTCTCTCGGGGTGGCCTGGAATGCCATTTTTGCCAATCTGTTTGGCTTCCTTGATGACGTGTGACTTATACGGGACAGATAAGATTGGTGCTAACTCTTGTATGAGACTCCTTTCCTACATATATGTTAGAGACAATGGGGTTGGAGAAGCTTAGGGATATAGCCCGCTGTAAGTTTGACGACGGAGCAAGGCAAAGAGATAGCGATCAACATGCTTTGCAAAATTAGGGCCAATAGCTCAGAACGTGAAATGTAACACAATAATTTAGTATCGTTCTTATCCTTTTTCAACAGAACGCAAAGAACCGATGCAGTGGAAGAACCGGAGAATATACCATTGGTGATATAGCAAGCACAAAATAAGGAACGATACTACTATCACTTACTTGCTAGATAGCCCCTCCACCTCAGTCCAACCACAATGTTGAATGTGATGCTGCTGCAATTCTTCTGCTTACTGACTAGGTGAGCTCCGAAGAAAGTCATCTAGAGGACCTCCGCGAGTGAACAATATATTAGTCAGACCCGTATCAGTCCCCAGATAATACGCCCCCTTTCAATACATGCTCGCTGTATATACATACATGTACATACCTACATGTATGTAAGTACCAGATTGGTACCAAGTACTAGAAAGGTAGCTATGATCAGAGAGCTCTTACTGTACACTGTACATCCACCTAGTATGGTCATGTAATGAATCCCAGATTCGCACTTCGTTTTCACTTTTCATTCTTACTTTTTTCACTTTAAACCAACGCTTAACCGTCTCTACAGGAGTGTAAAACTATATTAAAACGTTCAGTCCCTTGTAGGGAGTTATAGGCAAATGGAACAGACACAAGTGGCGTCACCAGATACCGCCCAGAACCAGGAGGCATATGAAGAGAAGAATGTTCATGAGATATATCAGAAAATTGCAAGCCATTTTTCCTCTACCCGATATAAGGTTTGTACATCCAGCTTTCTATGATTCGAAATCTTCTCGCTGTATCTTTTCTGTCCGGCTAACTGACTGCCCTTCTCCTGATAGCCATGGCCAATTGTGGAGCAGTTTCTCAAGGAATTAGCTCCTGGGTCGGTGGGCTTGGATGTGGGATGCGGCAATGGCAAGTATTTGCCTGTGAACCCGGACGTTTTTATTGTTGCTTCTGATCGGTATGTATGGTGCTTGCATTTCGAATATTTGCAATGAGCGTCTATTCATCATTGACCTATGTAATCACTCTTCCCCTGTTCCTATCTTCTTGATCTTTTTTTTTTTGTCTCCTCTCAGCCTCGTTCTCGAATATGACAGCTTCGTTTTCACCAATATCCTCGTTTCCAAGTTATAGATATAGACTCTAAAATTGTTTAAATGACGTTTCACCATTGACCAATCCTGACAGATCCGAGAACCTTGCGCGGATCGCTGTAAAGCATCAGCCGCATTCAGCCATTGTTGCTGATATTCTAAATTTACCACACCCTAACTCATTTTTTGACTTTACCATTTCAATCGCTGTGATACATCATTTGTCGACTTCTGACCGAAGAGTTCGAGCAATACGCGAAATTTTGCGTACAGTGAAACCGGCTACGGCGAATGCATCCGGTGGGAAAGCCCTAATCTATGTCTGGGCGCTAGAGCAGAAAGACAGCCGCAGGGGCTGGGACAAAGGCGACCAACAGGATGTGATGGTTCCATGGGTTATGAAAAATAACCCATCCAAAGATGGCTCAAGTGAGCAGTCAACAGTATTCCATCGTTATTACCATCTTTATGAGGAGACTGAACTTGAGCGTGATATAAGGATGGCAGGCGGCTTTGTCCTAGAATCGGGTTATGAGAAGGACAATTGGTGGGCAATCGCGACTCGGTTTGACCAGGGAATATGATAGCTTTGTGCCCCAGGATCCAGCCTCGGGGCCACTCTCGACACTGTATGTCCATGGAGAGAGAAGTTGAAAATACACACACAGAGAGAGCACATCAGATATCCCAAAAAAAAAAAAATCTAGGAAAATCCCTCCCATGAAAGAAGGCGTACCTCCAACCAGCGCTATGCAAATCATAACAATGCGAAAAGACAAAAGGCATAGATATCATATTCCCACCCCTAAGGAAGGGTTCGAGGAGGAAGACCAAGATTTGACCCTAAGTGTCCGCTGTGGCTGCTGCTTAAGTCCAACGGATGCCCTATCCGATAAGCTTCTCGTTGGGCGGGAAAACTCGGCGGCGGCGGCGGCGGCGGCGCATATGCTGGGACTCCCGCCGTTAGTTCTTCAACGGAAGGGAGTTGCGGAGGGGGTGCTGGACGAGATGTAGATCCTTTTCGTGGTCGAGATAGAGACGTGCTGGCTCTCCGAGCCCGTGGGGCTGGCGGATCAATTGCTGTACTTGACAATGAGAAAGGAACTACACCAGCTCTGCGCGCCATTTCTTGTTCTCCTAGTTGCCAATGCATAGCCTCTGCAGCTCGCCATGGTATTGCCATTTCTTCTGCCACTTTTGACCACATTTCCGCCTTGAATCTAGAATTATTGTCCTGGGTCAGCGAACCGTCTCAACTTATACAGCGTCCAATCATGCCATTTAAAGATTCCGTCATTTGGGGCTTCGCCATATTTGGTAGCAAGCATCGTGTCCTCTTAAGACATACCTTTCGTATAGTCTTGCAAGCTTGTTCTTTTTATCCTCGTCCCACTCACTCCTACGTTCCAAATAATTCTGGTAATGAAGACGACAGCTGATGGCACTTCGCCCAGGGAGTCGTCTGCTGATATCCTCCCACTTCATACCGCTACCCCGCAGCTCGATAATCAGCGCATCTTCTTCAGGCGACCACTTTGACTGCTTCTTGGCGGGAGACTCCGCTGTATGAGCTGGTTGCAGGCGCTTTGCCGGGACAGACACTGGGGTCTTCGCCGTAAGGGGAGCCACGGAAGGAACCGATGTCACTGGATCTGGTTGGATTGGAATTGGGGGAAATGTCGACGCAGCAGTCACGGGGGTAGCTTCCTCTTCATCTTGGGGCTTCAGTAGTAGTGAGATATCCACTTTGGCGGGGGGCAGGATAGCTTGGTTTTGTAACGCAATCATATGCGCGATTCGCAACGAAAATTTCTTCTTCCTCTTTATTTATACAGATTCTGGGTTTAAAGAGGCTCCTACCAGACCCTGTGAAGTCGTAAGTGTCAGAATCACTTTCTCAGGCCAGATGGACCACAGAAATGCAGTCGAGCTTAACAATAGAGAGAATATGAATATGATGGGGAGAATAGAGAATTATCAAGATAAATCACTCTTGGTCTCCCGTTTGTAGCAAGGGCTCGGTTGGCAGCGAGTTTTTTTGCACAGACAGAAAGACAAACAAGTAAACGTATTGGCATGTATAGAAGGGTAAAAATATGGAGCCGAGGGGGATTTAAAATGAATATCAAGAAGGTAGGCGTCCAAAAGAAACGGGAGGCTTCGGGATATGTGACGAATGAAAGATAGCAATAACTTTATCCAGCAATGGAAGAGGAGATGGAAGACCAAGTGAGAAGAAGTTTTGGAACTAGACCTAGACAAATACCAATAGCAGGGGTAGAGAGAAGCGAAGGCAGGCTATAGGTAATCATTGAGAATAATGAAGAAACTGGAAGACGAGGAGAAGAAAAGAAAGTAGGAAATAAAAAAGGAGGACAGCCGAAACAGATGAAACGACTTGGGATGCATAAGTAGAGATCATCGGCAATGACAGCTGATCTAGCAGTGTTGGACAGCAAATTAGAAGCTCAGCAGTAATAATGCTGCTACTACTCACCTAGAAGTTATGGGGGAGAGGGAGGAGGCTAACCAAGAGGCGAGCTCGGGACCCAGTGGATTCGAGAAACCGTTAAATTATTACAATTGTAATTATAATAAAAATAATAATTATTGTTATTATTATGAGCATTTTACTGTGCTGTTTGGTGTTCTTTTTTTGACATGCTTCTTTACTACTTCCTCTTTCTCTTTCTCTCTCCCTTCCAAGTTTTCTAGGAGAATCATTAGAGGTTAAAAAATACTATTCACAGTCATCAATACACATCCTCCTCCACTAAATACCAGTGAGAGTTAGGTGAACTTTTCCTACTAATAATGACCTTACGTACTACGGGGAGTTGGGACCAACGGTTGTTTATTAGTACCAGAAGGAGGACAGCAGTAGGTAAGTACCAGTAGTGGTAATAATACTAATATTAGAACAACAATAATACCACGATGATTATCATGAAGGCTTCCCTCCCCGAACAGTCTACTTCAATATTGGGAGATTCACTGGCGGTCAACCCTTTTCGAACGTTCGAACCCAGCATGGTTTTAAAGAGTTTTCTCAGGCTGATGTTGAGACAGAAAAAAGGAAAAGAAAAAGGAAACAAGGAAGCATCTCATCAAAGTGGTAGTAGAGCTATTTTTTGGTAGAAGGCTTAGATAGGTCAAGTTTGGAGACATTAAGAGTCTGAAAGATATCCATCCTGTACGGAGAAACTATGTGCACTGGAAGAAACAATAGTTTGCATGAAATCACCGATTTAGGTCCATCAGTACTGGATGAAGTTTTAGGTTTATATCTCATGTGGGCTCTATTGGGATTATCTACGGTATCTCTTGGTCCTGATAATAAAACGAGGGGAAGTACAAAACAAGAGGGGCAACTACTTAGAAAGAGAGGACTGTCAGAAGAAAAAAGACCTAAAGCCACTAATGGACCTTGAACGGTCGGTAAACATGATATGGACCCGAACTTGGAGTATTTAGAGGATCGGAGAATAAATTTCAGAATTGCAAGGAGTGATTGGGGGAGAATACTTTCCTTAGTTACTGCGCTACCTACCTACTCTGGCGTAGGTCATATGTATGTACATTTTTTTTTTTTTAGTTTTTTTTTAAAGGGGAAGAAAAAGTTCCGAAGGTACTAAGTAACATGGTTCTCCCCTGTGGGGAACACCAGCATCCTGAACCGGGATCTGAAATGGGTTTTGGAAGCTCCAAGTTCCAACCAGAACGTAGAAATGGGGAATTATGGGTAGGATACGTAACAACGAAGGCGTCAAAGTCCGAGAGACATCTAAAAAGGACCTTAATTCCCCTCATCGGCCAGCACAGCAGTAAAATGGCCAGTGTCAGTATGTGCGTCCTATTTTTCCGACAAATATTATTATTATTATTTATTTGCTATTTTATTTTTAATAAGAAGTGGACTGGGCGGAGTCATTTCCTAGAGTACTAAATTAACCACCCTGTCGTTTTCCTTTTCCCTGGATTGGCTGGTAATCTGGCACATTTGCACAATTTAGATTTCCAAGTTCCAACGGCCGTGGACTGTCAACGGTGGACGAACCCAATCCATTGACGGCAAGTATCGTCATACGTAATATCACTACCCAGACACTACTAGGATCCGGGGTTTTTAGCGACCGTTCGCCCCGTCCAACTTTCTGCACCTAATACCTGACTGACGGACAGACATTATCGGGGCAGGGCAGGATAATTATCTTCGCTCCCGACTGTGTAGTATTTTCTGTACAGGTGATGAATTGAGAGGAGGGGGGAATGTGTAAGTGGCATCAATTGAGTACATGATCTAATATCTGTAGGTGCAGATCTACGTAGCAGATATATATAATTCTTGCCTATGTTTTACTGCGTCCTACATAAGATATATTTTCCTTCTGGTCCTCTTGTTCTTATAGCTGTTTCTTGTTTTATCTTATGTCTCTAAAGCATTGGTGGAGGATAACATCATAATAAAAATGACTTTAAACTTTCCATGCTCCATATGTTAAACCTTATATGCTGTCAACCCGGTTTCAGCAAGACGCTAGACAATGCTCTACCGTAGTTCTGATGATTCTCCATGATGGAACACGTTAGTTCCCGCCCCCTGGCTTTCGTGTTCCATAAATGAGGATCTCACTGGAGAAGAAAGGGCCAAAAAAAAAAATAAAATAAAATACAATAGAAAAGAAGGGTTGCATGCAGATTCATAGTGGAAAGTTGGACATAGTCCTGTCTTGATATAGTCAGCACTCAGAAAGAACATACATTGCATGCATTATTATCCTAGTACTATATTCTCCATATCCTAGATTTACTTTTGGCTGTCCTGTGATACACACAGCCTTGGTGTCTAGACAGTCCTAACCAAGGCACTGTGCGTAGACTGTGGCCCGTACCAAGATTAGTCTGTTTGTCTAAATGATGATTTTGATCTTTGTGTGAGCCCTTCTTATTTCGGCACAATTTGGACTTTTCATCTATCCATTCTTATCTTTCGTTCAACCCCCCCACCCTTCTTTTTTTTTTTTTTTTTTTTTTCCCCTGCACTTGGCTTCCAACTCCCAAACCCTTTAATACGGGGCGCCACTCTCCCATGCAACTGGTAGCGCTTTTGATCTCTGGGTCTCGAGTTCTCGGCAATTTGGGATATGTGGATCTGTCGGTCTGGAATTCGACAACAGGAATAGTAAGCTCGTAGTAAGAAAGGCTGATATTAGCCTCGGTACGGCAGATTGCCGCTAAAGACGCGTCTTTCGCTTGCTCTGCGCTTGTCGACGTACACTCTCTATGGGAATTAGTACGTCCCCATATGGAGCAATCTTCGTGGCCTGTAGCGCGCATGCTGAATTACAAAGAAAAATAATTTCCGTGCATTCTTGTATTAAGGTGAGTACATACGGAGTCCCTGCAAGGTTCATTTCTTTCCAGTGCCATTGAGGGGCAGGTTTATGGAATTGGAATGATCCGCCAAACCGACCCGTACTTCGGCCGATACTATGGAAATAAGGCATTAATTTCTGTTATGAGAACCGGGAGATTAGGCCTAACACTACTAACTAATCCAGTAAGCCGATAGTATCTATACGGTACGTACCTAGGTTGTGGAGTACCCTGGATTTGCCATCGAACGACGGGGCAAGGGGTTTCCCGCCAGCTGCACACCTGCAACTGCAAGATTACCTAGGGACTGGTGGGCCCGAACAGTGGCTTCAAGCGCCTTGAAAGTACTCCGTACAGTACAGAAATTGTTCTGACCAAGGCGGTGGAGGAGCTGGTGCCTAGATGCTTTACTTAGTGACCAATGACTGGAGGCGTTGGTGGGGCAACTTGACGCCAGCCTAGGTAGTCCCGTCTGCTCTGTATTGCTCAGTGACATGGCAAACCTCAACCCGTTTGAGGGTACTCCGTACAAGGCTTGAGCCAAGCTCCCAAGTTGCCATGTCCCGCATTTTGGCAGTACATGATTGTCTATCATCAATTTATGATGTATGTGTATGCACCTGCGCACGCGATAGGAAAAAAGAAAACAATAGCAAGGATAATAATACTATATGAAATACTCGGTTCTTTTGCTGTGAGAAAGATACAGTAGTGATCCTGCAACGGACGAAAGGGCCATAGAACTAACTAAGATAAGCAAGAATCAACTACCTTTGGTTAGGTATAGAAAGTATATATGTACCTTGTCGAAAGCTTGAAATTTACGAGCTTGTCCAGCTTTATCCTTTGCAGTCACGCATCTCAAATATTGAAATGGCTTGGATGATTGTCATTGTAGGAATGAATGGAAGGTAAATCACAGCTCGAGGAATCAGTATCAGAATTGCTGTTTGGGAGGTCCTTTGATAGCATGGCAAATTTTTATTCGGAATATTGCTAAAAGTGTGCATTTGCTGGCACCCTCTTATCTATATACAACATCTCTGCAAGGAGTCCCTCTTCGTCTTCTTCCTCTCTCTCCTCTCTCCGTCTATATTTTTTATTTTTTATATATTTTTGCTTGCTAGCTGTTAGATGACCCGAAATATGTATAACACAGCCATACAAGTCGAATATACTCTGCAAATGGCGGTGACTTGCAGCGGGCCTAGAACATGCATTCCCGCTGTGAATTTGACTTTGTTATCGGGTAACGAGCTGCTTCCTAGCTTAGTCTAAGGCCTGATTCACAACAATAACATCATCATAGTCATCACACATAACTTCCCAAGTAGAGGAGCCAAAGAAAAGCAAATTGATAAATAAAAAAGTATTCTGTTGTGCAAAGTATGCAGTCAAGGTATATAGAGTAGTAAAGAGTGACCTATCACATAGGGCAGAGTACCTCTGTTCGCTCCCCGGGGCATCGTTGGTGGTGGTTTTTCTCCCCTCGTGTTCAACGCACATTGCCACCAACTCTATGTATAAAGAATAAGCATCGGTGAGTCGCCCCAGTATTCATATAGGGTCTTTAAAGTATTAGTATAGCCTGCCCTAGGAAAGATGTAGAATATAGTCACACTGCTTTCTACTAATTTCCGTCGTGGAGAGATACAAGGCAATCTTTGGTATGAGATGTATCTCGCAGCGGGTTTGGAATAATGCCTGTAACTAGGTAGGTAGGTACCCATGCTATTTCCAAAATACTAGGTAGTCTTGTTAGGTAAGGACTTGACATTGACATGGAGATACAAACGGCCTTGGTGGAATTGACAGACATGATTGGATTGGAGGCAAGTGGGTCCAGTTAGGGATCCTGTTGCTCAATCTATTCCAGGAAAGCAACGATCGACACAGAAAATGTCCGACAACCTTAGAACCCCCCATACCTAGGTTTCATGATCTATCATTATTATTACTCATTGTACGAACTATAGTACTTAGTGGATTCATTTTTTGTTTTTGTTCCTCTGTGTGTGTGTGTCTTCCTACTGATTCTCTTGCACATGGGAGTTTTGAACATGTGGACGACTTATTAAACCAAAAAGATAGTACCTGTAATCACATGAAATTCATTTTTGTAACAGTTTTTATGGTGTCACTCTACTAGCCTTATCACGGTGCGCTCAGCCTGCAATTGGGTGTGGCACTACTGCTATGTAGGCTATCTCGAGAGTAATATACACGGTACTCTCGTCAACTATGGGGCAATCGCAATCAACTGTGATAATGTTAATCAATATAGCAAAGGATAATAATTCCTTGGAAATATGAAGCTTATTGGATCGTCACACTGCGTGGCAAAGCTGAAAAGTGGTCCTGTGGCTATTGTGACAACGGTCAATATTCGACGCTGCCCAACATAAGTGAGTGGGTCATCGGGTCAGTTAGGGCCTAGGAAAGCATAAAAAGAGCAGCGATACTCTTTAGGTGATTCTACTCTGTAGATTATGGACAACGCAGTTGGATGGTATGCATAGCTGGGGTTGGATGGTGTGCATGAGTACTTACTGTGAAAGGAAAGAAACTCATTTGTCACCTGACACCTTTTCTATGATAGTCTCACGATAAGTCATTTGGTTAATGTAATTTTATATTATTATTTATATTCATCTTTCTTAATTACTTCCTACACCCTCGCCCACCTCTCCAGAGAGGGGTCATGATTGTTAGTGTTGTTTTATTCTTCTAGATAAGTAGTGACCCGTGGATGTAGCTACTTCCTACTTGGGCTACCTGTGTCCACTGGCACTCATATGTTTGGTAATAATACTCCATACTTTGCCAGGATTCTGATGGATTGAGGAGATCGCTCTAAATCGACCCGATCGATTGTAACACCATGAAGGATAGCCAATCTCACGGCGTCGGTGTCTATGGCAATACTCTGAGTAGACACCGCAGGGATATAGGCTGCGTATATGCATCCCACTGGATAGACAGGTAGGGGTTCATTCAGTTCCCCAACTCATGTAAAGAGGAGATTTCTTCGAGCTCTTTTATTTATTTTCTTACGTCGTAAAGGGCTGAGAGCAATTGTACAGAGTCCGCGCGGAAACCGCTTCATAAAGTAGAATTAGGTCGGGCTGCCCACAGAGAGAGAGATTTGAGATACTCCTACAGGTGCCAGTCGAGAGAGACTTCCTAGGCAGGTAGGCAAGCCCTTACACCGCCATAAGCAAGCGTAACCTACGGAAATTTATCGAGGACCACTTTGGGGCCTCGTTTCCATCCCCTCCCCTCAGCCAACCAACTGTCATTGCCGATAGACCCTCATCTAGTACGAAAGGTTCTCGACTGGGCGAGATCAGACCATCGAATCGAGTCTGGCGAAGCCAATTTAGGGCGGGATGGCTGGAACATTCATATTTCATAGGACCTCACTACTAGTTAAGATTACTGAGGGGGCGATTTTCTCGCTCCACATCTGACAAGATGAAACATGAGCTCGAGCTGTGGGGACGCCCCCGAGATTAATGATTAATGATTATCATGGCGATTGTGATTGTGATTGTGATTGTCGCAGTGACGGAATACGAACCGCCTTGGGTTTGCTGTCCATTCCAAGGTTGTCAGCTCGGGAACCAGTTCATGGTTGAATTTCGAGCGGAAGGAGCCTGTGGGTCAAGGTCGCCCACAAGCTAATACAGAGTAAGTACTAAGTGTACGACTATCCGAGGCAATTTAGCCAGCATCCATGTTATTGTGCCCATGTATCATGTACCTATACAAGTCACTTGTCAATGTATTACTGTGAATGAATAACAACGGTGCACTACTAAGGAATACTGCTGTTACTGTTAGTAGCCTTCCCGAGTCGAACAGGATCGATGGGCGTCACAAGTACTACTGCCCTAATACCAAGCCAACTCCGACACTGTTTCTTATTTGTTTGAAACTTCCCGTGTTGGAGCTGGTAGGTAGGCCCATGGTTCGTCTGGGGCAGAGAGTCTGGACTTCCGTCTCAGCTCGCCTCGCGTGAGAATCCCCACCTATTTAAGGACATCATCTAAAAAGTTAACAGTAAAGGGTACCGGTGATTACGTATTTAGCATGAGCATAACTATTTACCTGTTGGGTTGGTAGAGGATAGAGCCTAAAGAGAGTAAATAACGGCCAACACCTTTTTTAACAACGTGGTTTTTTGGGCCTGAAGAAGTACTCGAAATTGGGAACTATTGTTAACAACCTAGCATTCTCGCCTCAGTCGCTCAAGATTCCTTGAACTAAAAACAGCAGTTTCACCCCAGCAAATAACACTCTCCAACTCCAAGCAGGTTGACTTTCTTTGAATAAATATCTGTTTTGTCGCTCATTGTGGCCGATCCTAGGAACTCGGGTGCGAGTCACTTGAAATCATCCCAGAAAGATAGCGTCCTTTGGTATAGGCACTAACGAAAAGTAGACACCCAAAAGGTCTTGTGATAATATGCCTTACAATGATTTATTTCTATCTTCCATTAGTTCTTCAACTGGATTGGAACAGATCTTTCTTTTCTTCGTCTTATTCTTTTGTTTTACAACAACAATAGATGGGCTGATTGTCATCAGTCAAGGGCGCCGACAATGATAAAAAGAGAGAAAGGAAAGGAGAAAGGAAGAAAGAGGATAATAAATAAATAAAGAGCTACATGATCCAGATATAATCATACCACTAGAGGCTGTGAACTCAAGCATAAAACCCTTGCAGTCCCTCTTGCAAAAGTACAATTCAATCTTATTAACAATCTCATCGCTACTGACATATACTAAATCTTACGTATTTCTATTTTGCTAATCATTGATTTCAACATACTCATAGAATTGATTCAAGAAGAAACACCTATCAAAGTTACAATATGGACCATCAGAATACTCAGGCAAGACAAGGTGACCAGGCCAGGAGGGTAAGTACCTGATTTATTGCGTTTTGCACCCAAGATTCTGTCTGACGTCCTTTAGGAACCCCCAGTATCAACTGCTTGGAATCCGTTGTACCGTGGTTCCCAAAACCCCAGGGGATTCAAAAATCCAAAAAACCTTTGCTATCGGAACTCTGCCCTACAATTACTGTTACATTCTCCACTCTTGGCCAATTGGATGGCATATTATCGCGATAGCCCGGATCATAACTGCAACTCAAAAGACGCATGCTTTGTTTGTCTTTTCCACCATCTCTTTTTTACATTCCGGCGAGGAGAACAGTCGAAGGATGATCATGAAAAAGCATTAGAGCCAGTCTGGGAGAAAATGTTGATCGGATCATGGATTGATATTGATAGAAACCAGCAGCAGGATGTGCGTGAGTTTATCGAGAAGTTTTTCAGGCAGATATATAACGAGACCGACGAAGTGATGCATGTATCCTAGTGTCCTCTTTCTACCACACATTACCTCAGTCACTAACTCTAGACCAGTCACTCGGAGTTGCACAAGTTCCTGATGATTCAAACAAAGAAGCGCTTTGAGTGCCAGACATGTGGTAGGAACACAATGTCGTTGCAAACGGATCAGCAATTCATCCTAGTTGCCACGTTTCCCGATGGTTAAGAGCCCTGCCCCATCGAAAACGCATTCGAGGACAGCATTTCAACGTCAACTTTAGAAAACCAATGTGAGCAATGTAAATCCTCTGTTAACCACACTATATCTGAAGAAATAAGTGTTTTCCCAGAAATCCTACTCTTCTAGCTCAATAGATTCCTTACCAGCAATACAAAATCGCAGAGGCAGATAATCATTCAAGATGAGTTGACTATTCCTGCTTCCCTGAGGGAAGGACTGCCAGATCAAGGTGAACTTCGCTATGAACTGTATGCAGTCATGTTCCACGATGGTCGCAGAGTAAAGTAGGCCATTATATCGCTGCAGTCAAGGGACCAACTGGGGACTGGACGCTGATGGATGACGACGAAGTAACGTCTGCGTCTACATTAGACGAGATCATGGCAATGGGCGGAAGGCTGCCATTCTCCAAATCAGCTAATGTATTTGCGTACCGACGATTGCCCCTTACGAGTGAACTGACTACACCCGAGAAAGATCTGAACCAGATGCAAGTCACACCCCCGGTCGAAACTGCAATCCCCGTGAAAACGCCCCCTGTGGAAGATGTACTATCGGTTGCAAAGTCGTCAAAAGGCCCAGAGCCGATAGACCGTGACTATGTGTTCGCCCCTAGCGATCCGATCTCTACCGAGTCTCTTAGTGCAATTTCGGATGGAAGATTATATGCTCCGAAGTCGAGCATCGAAGCCAAACCGGAAGGCGTCACCAAGAAAGCACTGAGCAAGGCGCGTGCAAAGAAAACAATGGAAGAGAGTACACAAGATCCTAGCAGTGCTGGACTACGACGATCCACAAGGATACACAAGCAGGCAGCACGGAATTGATACAATTGATTTAACCACTTTGTTCATCGGAAAGTAAAGTAGTATATACACATACCCCAGAGTACAGAGTGCAACGATATTCGGGCGTTTTCTTAATTGGGTTGGGTTATCGTTAAATATAGTGTGTGTTTGGTTGTTTTGGTTCTTTCCCCGGTTTTATTATCATTGATGTGTGCGTAATGTATGAAGTCCTTACTGTACTCATCGTGCTATTTTCCGAATAAAGTAGGGTTGATGATATAATACTTCACGAGAACTAAGTAAAATCGAGAACGCCTCAAAGATTTCAATTGTACACACTCGTACTCGACCCCTAGCCTGTCTAGCACCCACTTGAATCACATGGAGAATCGAGACGACCATATAGCATTACCTTCCTTTCCATCCTTTATCGAGCGCTTGATCTCACAACTTTCGCAATATGCTGGCGCCACTGATGGCCAAACGCAGACATCCTCGGCCGGTCCTCTCCTGCCAGAATTGAAGCCACTAATGCTAACACTACATTGCTTCTTCCCCAACGAGCTACTTCTCGCTCTCGATATATTGGATCGAGGTCTAGTAAGACGGATCGCAACACAACTGCCGACTCAGGAAGATCTAGATCCGTCAACGGACCCACCAAACATCAGTACCTTTTTCGTCATCTCTGCCTCCACAGCTCCGCCAGCATCGACAAGAGCAGTAGAAACCAAGGGCTACGAAGTCCGGCTGCAGGCGTGGAATTGCACGTGTCCAGCGCTCACGATCGCCACCTTTCGCAACTCCCATTCTTCCCAGAGTGGTGATGGTGATGGGGGTGGCGCCGGCTATGATGTTGTGCTCGGAGAGGGCAGTCCCTCCTACTACCCTTTTGGTGGCGCGTTGACCTGGGAATCATCGACCAGGATGTCACCACCAGTCTGTAAACATCTCCTTGCGTGTTTATTGATGGTGCGCTGTCCTGGTGTTTTTGCAGCTGCTTCTAAAGCGGCTAGTTTAATCTCTGTCAGTGCAGAGGAACTGGCTGGTTGGTGTGCTGGCTGGCGCGGATGAATTGTATCATGTTCTTTTTCTTTTATTTATTTATTTTATTTCCCTCGCCTACGTTTGAACCAAGCTGTAGTTTGCATATGCACCGGGTTCTGAATATGAGAGACCTGTGCCGCCCAAACAGGATGTTCTTGCCTCGGAAGAGGGTGGTTTCCCAATAGGCGGGTGCTGAGCACTTGCAAAACATTCAGTGGCCTCTTGAGAGCACTGAGGGCTCAATTTAGACCCGGTGCTTGTTTAAGATGGGTGCACGGCATTGTCTCGGAATGCATGTGTCGAAGTTAATACAATGAATCTACGGTGAAAAGGAGGCTGATGAACAAATGGCTACAAGTCCGTCCGTTTCCCCTGCGCTATGGGCTTTTAATCAATCTGGGTTTGGAATCTTGGTGGCTTCAGAAATGCCGCTCACTCACTGGCAGGTGACTTATAAGACACCGGATGGAAAAGGACGGGAAAAAGACCGAAATCGATTAGATAGGACAAAAGATCATATTATCTCGAGGACAGGATGCTTGAAACTGTAAATATCCAACATAGTGGGAACAATTACTATAGTGTACATCTCACTGAGGAGATTTGAATTGCTCTAAAGGATCGTATCACATTGCCGCGAAGGGCCGTCTAGTCATTCCTTTGGTTCTTTTTCTTGGACTTGTCATGATTCTCCTTCTGCTCGCCGTTCACGGCGGCATTGGTCTTTTTGGCCACATCCTTTTCACTTTTGGCTGCATTGGCTTCCTGTTCCCGCTTCAGTTCATTTTCCTCCTGCTGTTGCCGGTTCTGGATCTTGTTATCGATCAAATCGTGGAATGCGGTAATGGCGCGGATCAAGCTGCTCAGGTAAATGGCCATCAATTGGTCGTTCGTCTTTATGCTCATTGCGCGCGCCAGTTCACTGTTATCCGTTGGCTGTTCTGATCCGCTGAGACGTTGTGTTGCTGACGGAGTTGACAGGTTGGGAAGGAGGTTGAAGACATCCTGGAGATTACCCAGGATGGCGTGGTTGACTGGTAGTTCGTGGTCTAGGACTTTCTGTAGATACTGTCCAATGTCTCGAAGACGCAGGTGCAGGCCCTGCAACGACTGCAGCTGTGACGTTATACGTGTCGAAAGAGTGCCCACAGCAACATCCCTGATATCGCGGAGGAGATGCTCAACACCGATTTCCTCCGCCTCTTCAGCTTCAATGACGGATGGGGTATGGACAAAGGTTCTGGAGGTGGTGGTGCCGTCCTGGGTAGATTATCACGTAAGTCCATAGGCCATAGGTGGCGACACAGCACAATAGCGATCCCACAGAGGACGACTCACATCCTTGATCTCATCCACAGCAAAATAGGCATCGGTAGGCACGCCGACTTCCTTGGGCTGGACATCGACGATCACTAGTAAGGGATTTGGGGTGTATCGTTTGAACAGTTCGTTGATTTCAAGATCAGAGGCGCGCAATTTTGGCCCCGAATGATACCACCCAATTAGCTTCTCCCGTGCGTTGATTTTCTTGAACATATCTCTCATCGACTCGACGAAATTATGATCTAAAAACCACACTGACGGGTCCTTCTCATCCTCCTCGAAGGGGACTGGAGGTAGATAATTTAGTGCAAAACTTTAGAAAAGCTTGAAAAGAGACGAATCAAGGCCGCCGGCTAGTAATACGCACCGGCAAAGCTGTTTGATACCCGAACATTTTGGCCTGTGTTCTCTCCTAGCAGTACGCCCACAACACGCTTCCGAGTTCCCTTGGCCGAGCGTCCATAATGATCTGCAACAGAGAGAAGAACCAAAGGCGCAACCGTGACGGTTCGCTGGACGAGGGTGAGGGTGTCCGCCGTGGTGGCAGGCATGGCGGGAACAGATGACAAAGGCCGAGACAGAGAGTGTGAGAGGGAAACGGAAGAGAAATGTAGAAATTGAGAGTGAGAGAAAGAGGCGATGACAAAGGGTAAAGTGAATAAACTAGGGAAAACCTGACTATAGCGGATGATGGTAGAAGGATGATGGCGAAGATGATGACGGAGGATGGCTTGCTTCTGCTTATAGAGCTCTCTTTTCTTGAGCCACAAGATCGTGGCTGATGACGCACTAGCCACTCTGCATTGTTGCCTGAGGCTTATACGTGGAACACGTGTCCTTGCATTCAGCGTCCCTAGTACAGAGTACAAAAAGTACGTACTGTACCAGCAAGTAAATTAAGTATGTACCAAGTACCTAGCGATAATACGGTACCTACTAAGTATCGCTTGTATCATATAGGAAAGGTTCTTCATGGATACTACCAAGAGGCCTAGGCAATAGGTACAGACTATATAGGCGCCTACGTACTAGAGATCTACCGCTAAGGCGAATTGAATATTCAACAAGAGACAATTTTGTCGTATCCAAGATCTAGCTATAGATTCGTACATGCATACAGACAGCCATACCTAAGCCATACTCTAGCTACCTAAGGACAACGGAGGACTGCGAACCTCGGAGACGCGGGTGCGATACTCCGCCCGGTCGACCTCTTTTCATGCAGATTCCGTCCCGTCTTCCATTTCCCCGTGATATCTCCCTCCCTCTCTTCCCACTCCTCTCAATTCCGCGTCTGCTTTAGCCTGGAGGGCTATTTCCATTTCTCTCTCCTACCCTAAATATCTATCGCAATGGCTCCCATCACGGAAGAGACTGTCGCCGGTCTGAAGGACACCATCCACAAGCTTGAGTCTCGGATCGAGGAATTGGAAGACCGTCTCAACAATGGAGGCAAGCCCAAGTCTATTGCGGAGCAGATGCGCATTATCTTGATGGGACCTCCTGGCGCAGGTATGGGCAGCGAGAATCCCAATGTGTTTTTCTATATTATGGCTCTCCAGCTATCTATGTATGTGATTCATTTGCTCGGTGTGCTAATCGATCGTCGAACCTAGGCAAGGGTACGCAGGCTCCTCGCCTCAAGGAGAAGTACTGCGTCTGTCACTTGGTATGTAATTTACCCCCTACAGGCTACGACACTAGCCCGTCGCAAACATCGAGAATTAACGATCATTTCGGACTGGAACAGGCTACTGGAGACATGTTGCGATCTCAGGTCGCTAAGAAGACTGAGCTGGGAAAAGAGGCCAAGAAGATCATGGACCAGGGCGGCCTGGTCAGTGATGAGATCATGGTCAATATGATTAAGAGCGAACTGGAAAACAACGCCGAGTGCAAGAATGGGTCCGCACATCGCTCCAATCCCTGTAACTTGCTCTATACCGGCCTAAACACTGACGATCTTGCGCCACAGTTTCATTCTTGATGGTTTCCCTCGTACTGTTGCTCAAGCCCAGCGCTTGGATGACATGTTGGATGCCCGTAGGCAGAAGCTTCAGCACGCCGTTGAGCTGCAGATTGACGATGCCCTATTGGTTGCGCGAATCACTGGACGTTTGGTCCACCCTGCCTCCGGACGGTCGTATCACAAGATCTTCAACCCCCCCAAGGCGGAAATGAAGGATGATATTACTGGCGAACCCCTTATCCAGCGTTCTGACGACAATGCCGATACGCTGAAGAAGCGCCTTGGCACGTACCATGTCCAAACCGCCCCCGTAGTCGAGTACTACAAGAAGACCGGTATCTGGCGGGGCATTGATGCCAGCCAGGAGCCCGGTCAGGTATGGAAGAGTCTTCTGGGTGTTTTCCAGAAGAACTAAACTTTGTACCAACCAACGATTTCATGTGGGATATTAAGCGGTGTATAACTATACACCATGGCCTCTAGGCCTCCGTTGGAGGAGGAACGAAACCGGTTCAACACTTTTGTGGTCCAACAGCGAGACCATCAGCTCGTTGATCTACGGTGGAAATTCTTTTTGAAATTTTTTGGCGGATGTCCTATACATAGGAGCCATCTGGCAGAAAACTGAGCGCTATGTATAGTAGTTAATTTTTTTAAGAATTCTATTAAAAAAAAAAAAATACATCTACGGTAGACAACTGGTTTGGTCCATTAACTGTCTAAATAATATCTCTTTCTTAAATGTCTGGCTCCCAACCGCCAATAAGACATCCTTTTAAATACAGCCGAACATATTGTGCCAATTCAAGACATATGTTTATCGCTGATTATAAATTGGCGTTCCTATAGCCGAGTAGGGTACACGGTGGATTCGATCTTTTCAGGATAAGCCAAACCACCTTGACGTCTGACCTCATCCATGACCTCCATGATAACGATGCTCTCCTCCAAGGGCATAGTGTCACTTTCAAGCTTGCAATCTCGCAAACACCGTGCCACCTCATCGGCTTCCCAGTACATGCCTCTCCCAGAGTCTGGGAAAGGACACTCCACCTCCTTGATCTCACCTTCGCCTTTCTTAGGGATCAGACGGTACCGTTCTGGCTGGAATGCGGCCCCATAGACCTGAATCTCACCCTTGGTGCCCTGGATGCGAACACAGGGACCGGAGGAGTTGTGCTCATCAGGGTCAGTCGAGACCCGTAGGTGAGTCATGGCCACGGCCTGCGATTGGCCTGGATGTTGGAGATTCGAGGGCGTGCTGGTCGGAAAAGTGAGGAGAATAGTGGTTGCCTCATCGGCACCAGTAAGGTGGTATGGGGTCATGTGGGCCGAGATAGCAGAGGGTGGTTTCCGCTGGGCTCGGGGTAGGGTGTGATACAGAGTCTGGAAGACCCAAGTCAAGGAGTAGATACCCACTGCAAGTGAACGAATTAGTCCTGCAGCCTGGACGAAAGCAAAGGGAAGAACGAGGAGGACGGGTGAGGACATACGATCCAGCAAGCAACCTCCTGCCAGGTCCATGTTGACCATGCGATGTTTCGTACCCCACTGCACTTCGACATCGTCGCCGAAACTGTTATCAGCCATGACACGCAGTACCTCTCCGATGGCCCCGTTCTGGATCAGCTCGCGAACCTGGACACTCAGCGGGAAGTACCGGGTCCAGACAGCTTCCATGAGGAACAGGCTCTTTTTCTGGGCCGTCTCACATAGAATCTTAGTTTGAGCTGCATTGACGGTGAAGGCCTTTTCACACAGGACATTCTTGCCTGCCTCGAGGGCCAGCATGGCGTTCTGGAAGTGGTGGGAGTGTGGCGTTGCCACGTACACCACGTCCACGTTACTATCCGCCACGAGTTCCTCATAAGAGCCGTAGGCCACGCAGGAGCCAGGAATGCCCGTATCAGAGATGAACTTTTCTGCGCGAGGCTTGGAAGACGACGATGCCACAGCCACCACGCTGTGAGAGATGTCCGAGGCGCCGCGGGTGTTGGGGTCTTTCAATAGGTCTCGTACGAAGACTTTTTAGGGAACGAATTAACCAGACTGAGATCGCTCGAACACCAGGATTTGGAATATACACACATACCATTAGCGATTCCGCCGGTGGCTACAGAGGTTTCCCACGGACGAAATTGTTAGTGTGACAAAATCCCATCAAATGGACGGTGGGCCATAATATCTTCTTACCCATAATGCCCCAGCGCACATTATATGGAGCCATGATGGGAGACGGCGTTGGTTGAGAAAGTAGGCGACGGGAAAGGAGACGAAGGAGAGGAGAAACAAAGGGTATGGAGCAAAGACTATTATAATAAATTGCTAGTTACTAGTAATCTCAAGAAGCAAATGGATGCGATACATGACTAAAGAGATGCGCAAAGCGGGGCACATCCCACTTAGAACGATGACATACAACAAATTCCATTACAACGGGGGATCTTTCAATCAATCAATCAATCAATAATAATGATGGCCGTCGGATGCGAGTGACACCCTATCAGACTAGATCGATCTCTATATACAAGACAGTAGCAATATAACGCCCAGGGACGAAGACGCGGTCCCAATGCTAAACAGTCGCCAGCAATAGAAGATGCATAATTCCCGGCTGGGAAGAACGACGATGACAACAACACCCAAAAGAGGGGGAAAAAAATAAAAAAAAAAAAAGAAAATGAGGGAGAGAATGAAAGAAGACTATGTTCTAAAGGGAGTTTTCTGTTCACATCTGCTCAACCTTGACGCGAACATTCTGACCTGGAGAGTCCGTCTGCCGAACAATACATATTAGCCAGCCGTTCTGTGCTGTTCTCGACTGCTTCAACGAACTCACCTCAACTTTGCGCTTACCCAGCACCGAATCTGGAGTTCCGGTGCGTCCTGAAGGGGTCCCCCGGCGCAATGGCGTGGGTCCGTCTTTGGTTACTTCCTCATAACAGCTGGCGTGATACACGCGGTTTCCAACCTTGACTGCGTCTTGCCATATCCAGTCTTGAACGTCCTCGGACCATGTCGACTCGAATTTTTCTTGGCAAATGGGACAGGGAGTATTTCGCAAGGTGGCATCATTTGGGGCTCGAATCCACGGCCTCGGAGGCCCTTTTTTAGCGGCGGTACTATCTACTTGAGCTGTGCCTTCACTAGCCGTACCCGGGTCAACAAGACCCTGGACATCGCCGGTCTCTCGGGATTTTATCCAATCCTGCTCGGTGTCAGTTCCACAACTAGTGGTGATCGGGATGTGCACACCTACCCGTTCATCAACATACCAACTGCGGTTCTGAGCCCGCTTAGCGGCATCGGCCATTCGCTGGTTGGTGCGGAAATGCCAGTCTAGATGGCGTGCCTTCTTTTCCTTTCCTTCTTCATTTGCTAAGAACCGGCGACCACATGTTCCACATCGATTCGATCTTGTTTCATAGAGGCTAGAAATCAAGGCATGCCGTGGTCTATTCGATGAGTCAGGCCAGCGAAACGGCAAGAAAGCCGAGGAGAGGGAGAGAGATAGCGTAGTCACCTACATCTTTATGGACGCTGTGTTCATCTGAACATTAAATTGAATGTCTGAGGCATGTAACGCTTGGGGGTTGGTTACTGGAGGAGCATATCGCGCTGGGCCAGGCACAATAAGTGGAAAGGCAGAGGGAACGCCTGATGGTGGAGCAACCGAAGGGGCTGGAGACGCAGAAACAGCAGGTAACAAGCCTCGAACTTTGAGAGCGGCGACGAGTGGGTTATCCGGAGCTGAAGTGCTAGCCGATTGGGGCGTATTGTTGTTTGTTGGGACTTGCGGCAAGATGCTGGTAGCTTGAGGTGGTGGGGTGGGTTGCTGACGCGCAGCGGTGGACTTGATCAACTCAGCAAGCGTTCCGGGGTTTAAAAGCTGCTGCAAAGGCTGTGATAGAGTTTGAGTAGGCGGGGTGGCCATGTTTGGGGTTGGAATATTTGGGATACTTGGGGGAATATTTGAAGAAACCGGTATAGCAGGCTTCGGCGCAAGCGCCGAAACCTGATCACGGACAAGTCGCAGCTGGTCTTGGGTTAGTTCTTGACGCTGCAAGATCCCCTGAAGGTCCAAAAGTGCCTTCAGACGCTGTTGTACAGATGGATCTAGAGGGTTGTTGGCAAAATCGCTTCGAGCTGCCGTTATTAATGATTCGATATCCTGGTTCAAGGCTGACAGGTCGACATTCGTGGGTTGTTGAGACTGGGGACTTGGAGTTGACCGCGTCATGGAGCCTACCGATTGATAGCCATGCCCGGAGCCGTTTCTCTGGTAGGGCATAGGTGGAGTTGAATTCGCAGAAGGCGGATATCGCATATTTTGGGGCGTTGAACTGCTTGTCCAGCCCGGAGGAGTCCCAACTCGGCCTCGGCTGAGAATCTCTTGTTGGCCTCTTGCCTGCTGCTGTTGAAGGGCAGCCGTTCTCGCCTTTATGAGCGCATTTTCGATACTGCGAGTGATCTCTGGAGGGAAGACAGGCCTTGTGTCCAACGACCCGGGGACGGGCTCCTTCCATGTTTTGAGCATCTCGTCCAGTTTTCTGCGTGTCTGGGAGTCGACCAAAGTATAGGCATTCATGAAAGTCTGATACATATTGCGACCGAGGAAAAGAGTATAGGGAGTCCCTACATTCTTAACAATTGAGTCGACTACATACAAGGCGGGCAACTTCTGAGCCGGCGGTGTCTACAGAACGCAGATTAGAAGCTGATCGTCCAGAAAAGGGCTACAGACGGCGATGCGTCTCGCAAAAGTACAACAGTAGTAAGCGCAGATAGGTTGGGGGGACAAGTGTGCCACCTACTGTTCGGATGTGATTCTCCAGCACTCGGGAGATAGCCATTGCATGCTCTGTGTTCTCTTTGGCGATGACTGTCAAATTGCTGATCTGGAACCTGTCATTTGTGGTTAAATCTTCCAAGGAATTTTTGTAGTCCTCGGCGACTTCGTCGGAGGCCAGCCCTGACGACATGTTGACTTGATACGCCCGTGGATAGGAGAAGAGAAAGGAGGCGAGATCAAGGGCAAACACAAAGCAATGGACAGTGGGGGGAGAGAGAGTGTGTATGTGTGCTAAGGAAGTAGATTGTTAACACTTGAGGGTATTCTTTTTCTTTTTTCTCTTCTTTTTTCTTTCGTTTCTGTTCTTCTGTTTCTTGTAGTAGTCTTTTTGTGTTTTTGTGTTTTCTTTTTTTTCCTCTCTTTTCTCTTTTTCTGATACTTATTTAACCCCTTTGTGTCCTTGTTTTTCCTTTTTTCCTTTCTCTCCAAAATGGATCGCTTATGGCTTCCTATCCCCCTTTCTTTTTTGCCTCCAAAAATGGGTCTCCTGAAGAGCAAGAGATGGAAAGGAAAGTCGTAACTTTTAAAATGCTTGCTAGCTATCTTTCGTCAGACCTTTGAGACAACAACACGGAGTCAGACGCCTAGTCCTCCCGCTTAAACCCGATAATGAAACCACGAACAGCCTCCAAATTCCCCAATAAGTAATCTAGTTCCTAAGATATCCCACGCCGATTGACCCTTCCAGTAGACAACAACCAGCAAATGGAACTCCCGAACAGTAGGCAGTGAGATGAGGGGGTTATCCGGGACAACACTCGTGGGAAAGAGCTCACGAATAAGAGTTAGAAAACGGGACAGCGAAGAAGGGTTAGAGGGGGAAAAGGGGACGGAAGAAAGCAGAAGTGATCACGGACAGAGTAAAACAAAGATAAGGGGAAAGGAAAGGAGAGAAACAAAGGAGAATGGAGTTCTAGTCAATGAAGAGAGGTAGATTAATTACTCAAAGGTCATGGTGGCTGAAAAGAAAGAAGAGAAAGGAGAAGGCAGAAAGCGTAATGGGGCTGAGTCAGCAGCGCCAGTGACGTCGCATCTAGTTAGTCAATAAGCGTTCAGGGAGGAGGCGAGGGTGTATCAGGCGATGATGGCCAATTCCTGATGGTGGTTGTCGCTTTCTCTCTATTATTTCTTCCCCCAGTAGTTAATACTTTCATGCACCCAACTAGTCTCTACAATACAATATCATCACAATGAAGTTGTTTTTCACAGTCCTGCTCGGTTGTCTTCCCTTGGCTCTGGCCGACTTCATTATCGTCACTTTCCCTAAGAATACACCGGATCGGGTAGTGAAGGAAGCAAGGCAGGCTATCATTGATGCAGTATGTTGTTTTGCTCTCCTTTCACAATAGTTATTAAGACCAAGTGAATGGGTGTACTGACGGCTTCGTCTCGTCTAGGGTGGAGAAATCACCCATGATTACCGTGAGTATCCTGTTGACTTACGAGTTCCCCATCTCAAACCCAAGCTAATTCTCATCATTCCAGAGTTGATCAAGTAAACATTGCCCCTTTGCCCTTTGTCGCTAGCATTTTGGTCTTTGTCGACCATTCTAACGGTCCTCTCAAGAGGATTCTCTGCAGAAAGCCCAAAGGAGGCCATTCAGCTGATCTCAACGAAATCTTCGGATTACCCGCCAACCATCGAGGGAGATACGATAGTGTCAACTCAGTGAGGGGGGGGGCAGAAGTTATTTTCGGCTCACGTGCTACCTGGCATGTCTCGTACTGGTTATGGGCCTCGCCACCATGGGTCAGAATGGATGGGAAGCAGCAGGCTGGATATTTCCGTGGGTGGGAACGATGGGAGTGTCTGAGTTTATGAAATTGATACCCGTATTCAGTAGCTCTGTGTCTTAAAACTCCTTGGGTTTGAAGTAAATGGTTTCTAGTATTCGTCTGTCGTTCCGCCACCAAATGTGTATCCAGTGGCGGCCTTTGTGGTTCCTCCCATTTCTCGGTCGTAAGATGTCACAGAGAGCGATAGAAGGTAAGAAAGAGAATGAGACCAGAAGAAGGACAGCACCGAGGCAGTAGTTGGCACAAATAGCGATGCATAGGGCGGGAGATGCATTGGAGCTCCAGGACTTCTCAGTACGTTTAGTTTACTGGGGACTATTTAAAGGTTAAAGGCGCGTAGGACGCGGATCTCGCTTGGCCTCTCCGAGACCCCCAGCGAGTCAACGACTCCTTTTTCAGAACCAACCGGTTCTGTACTCGATAGACTACACGACAGGGGAATGCGATTCTATCTTCGTTTTCCTCCTTGCCCACAAACTTTCCCTGACCAACATTCCACCAGAGTCGATCGACCCAAAGTCTCCTTCCGCCTACCATGGCCTCCGAGCATACGGTGACACAGGCCCTGTTGGAATGGATCAACAGTTTCGCACTTGGGAAGACCATTCGAACGACGGATGAATTAACTGATGGAACCATCATCTGGGAGATCCTGCAGGACATTGACCCCCAGCATTTCCTCGACGAGCTCCCTGAACGCAACCCGTCCGACCACTGGCTGTCGAAATTACAGAACCTGAAACATGTCCACAAGCTCGTGCTGAGTTACATCCGGCAACAGCCCGAAGGATGTCCCTCCGGACTCGATCTCTCGCCCAACCTAGAAGTAGTCGCCGAGAAGAGTTCTCTTAAGGAGACAAACAAGCTCCTGAAGCTCATCCTTATCGCGACCATTCGTTCGCCCAACGCGACGTCGTACGTGGAGACCCTCCAAAACCTGAGCACTCCTGTCCAAGAAACTCTGAAGAATATCTTCGAGGAGGCGGAGAGTACCCAGCATGAGCTCACTGACGGCGAGGACGAGCCGACGGATGATGCAGCCAAACGCGACCACTCTGTCGATCTGGAGCTACAATTCGAGGAACGTGTAGGGAAGGTGCTTGCAGAGAACGACCGCCTGACTCACGGGAAGAAAGAACTGGAGAAGGCATTAGAGGACCTGCATAATCGTCTGGCCCGGCTCCAGGAGAACAATGATACCCTCCAGACCCGACTCGCATCGACCGAGGACCGCCTAGGGAATTTAAAGTCCGGGAAGGGTGATCTTGGGTTCAATACCAAAGCTCTAGAAAGTAGAGCCCGTCAGCAGGAAGATATCATCGCGTCTCAGGAGACCCGACTGGCCGCCGCCCAAGACGAGAATGACAGTCTGCGCATGACTGTCGAGTCGTTGCGTGTGAAGAACGAACGGTTTCAGAGGCTGCAGGATGATTACGATGTGCTCAAAACGGAGCGAGATCAGCTCGCTCGCAAAGCTAACGCTGCCGAGAAGTACCGTGCGAAGTTACAAGCTAGTCAAGATTTTGAGAAGGAGAACCAAACTCTTAAAATTCAGATTAAGGACCTCCAGCAGCAGCTGAAAGAAGTTGATACACAACAGAGGTGGAATGCCGAGCGTGAAGTCGAACTTGAGGAATATCGGAGAGTTCTACCTCGCATCGAGCAGGAGTGTGGCGACGTACAGAGCATGAAGAAACAGCTTGAGTTCAATAACCACGCCTTGAAAGAACGTCTTGATAGTGCCGAAGAACAGCGTGAGAGGGACGATTCCCTGATAAGCGAACTGCGAGAACGGGTCCGAGAGCTCGAAGGGCCTCCTAGGAGCCCGACTCTCACCCCAAGGAGCGAGACACCAAAACTGCGGGGAACTTTACAGAACGACTTCGAGGACATTGGAGTCAAAGAATCGCAACTGTTAGAATACTCCCATTCAACTTTGCATGAGGCGCTAATTTGTTATTACAGGAAGACTGAGAATGAAGAACTGAAGAAAGAGATCGAAATGCTGAGGAGATCTTCTCCTTCTGTATGGTACCCACATGAGAAAATATCTATTCTGACTATGTGGTCGACTTGTTGCTAACGATGAAATACAGATAGGTTCTCATTTCGACAACTTCTCAGAAGTCTTTGTCGAGACGCTGCAGCGTGCCCGAGAAAATTCCACCCAAGGGTATGACGACCACGTTTCCCCCGCCTTCGATGCTAATGCAATTTATAGCGATGAATATTGGAAGCTCTACGACCAGTACACTTCACTGCTCAAGAAACTTGCAGTAGCTCAGGACGCTCTTGATGAAACCAGAAGAGCGCTTGGGGATGCGCAAGCCGCGCGTAAGTTCTTCTTTTTCGGATCCAATAAATTCAACGCTCTGCATTGAGTCTCTGCTTACAAACCAGAAGCCGGAACTACCAGCCAAGAGAGGGAGGATTTGATCAACGCGATCAGGGAGAAGGATTCCACAGAGCTAGCTCAGATGCGGAACGAGTGGGACGGAAATACTCAAAAAATCCATTCTCTTCAAGCGGAGCTTGATTCGAGTTTAGCTCTGGTCAACGAAACATGTACCGAGAGAGACGAATTACGAGCAATTCTTGGCGACAGGCAAGCCATGATCGCCGAGAGTCGCGTGGAGGACCAGGAGACAATGGAAGAAATGAAAGCACTGTTGGCCGAGATTGCTGGACAAGAGGGAGCCACCCAGAAGTCAGGGGTGGAGCTCACCAAGCAAGTCGCTGAGCTAATTGAGAAGAACCTGGAGAGGTTGGCGAAACGTGCAGAGGTTAGTGATGACATTCCCCATCATGTTCAGACTTGCCAACAATACCCCTGAACGGCGACGACGGCCTCTGGATCTCCTGGCAGACCAGTCCTTAGGAGACCCGCAAGATGGTGTTTCACCTGCGCCTACAAGCGATGCTTGTGGGCATCACCGTCGCTTCGATATGATACAGGCCTTCCCTTTGGTGATTTAGACCCATCAGGGCAGCCAAGCGAGGAGACTTCGAGAGAATCCTTCTGGTTCTGTTTTCTCGAATACTTGCGTCAAAAATCAACCCAAGGTTTATTATGAAACGTGGTGTCTGAATGCTAACTGATATTTCTGTACAGTATATTCATCTCCAGAACGAACACATCAAGCACCTTCAGGAAAAGCTGAGGCATTTTGAAGAAGATGCAGAAATTGGTATCAGCAAAGAACGCGAGGTAAGCAGAACTGCCAGCTATTCGTGTAGTTCTCTCAGATGAGCTGCAGTGTCTCAAAACGTTACAATATTGCCATACTATTCATAGTGCTAATGAATCTTATCATAAACAGCTCGAACTCCAGAAAACCATCGACACACAGGCTCGAGAACTCGCTTTAATGAGTTCTTCCTGGTATGAGATTCAAAGCCGACTTCATAGCAATGGCGCCTTTTCAAGATATCGTCACGGATCTAGCCTAGCCGATGCTCAAAACGGCTGGCTAGCTAGACAGCGAAGCATCGTTGCAGGACGATAGTTGTACGTATTTATTATTTAAGTAAGTTTGAATATTATTACTTTCATTTGTGAATTTTTTTAGTCTTGCAATGCTTTTTTTAGGTCTAGATTGCATTGTTCCCGTATGCTCCTTTGTACATACACCAGCCATCGCATACACTTGGCTTTTGTTCAGAGTATATTATTTCAGATAATATGGTCTACTGTCATGCAATTCAAAATGTTCTTAAATGCAGACTAACTCGTCTGATACTTCATATCCAATTTTTGTGACTTCTGTGTATATCAATTTCGACAACACTGGGTGGCTTAACTGAGAATAATAATAATAATAGTGAAAAAAGCAATCCCTACCAATTTATAGAATATCCAAGTGTAAACATTATTATACATGAACAGCACTTTACCTGTTCTGTCAGATATAGAATTTTACGACACGTAGAACTTAGATCATCCATGCAACAATTATACTCATACAGCATATGCCCTTTATACCCACTGTCTAGGATGTCTCAAAACATCAATAAGCTCCCTCTCGCGTGCTGTTTCTTCGCCCAGCTGTTCCTCTTCATCCGCGGCTGAGGCTTCAGTTCGGGTTCCTGACACCGGGTCCATATAGGCCCAGCTAGCCGTGCGCGGAAGACTCATCAAAATACTTTCAACACGAGCATTGGGCGTACGTAAACCGAAGCTCGTGCCACGATCGTATACAAGGTTAAATTCCACATAGCGGCCCCGTCGAAGCTGCTGCCACTCTTTTTCAGCAGGGGTAAAGGACATATCCTTTCGGCGTTCAATAATGGGAACGTAGGCGGGGAGGAATGAGGCAAGCCCGTCTGAAACGAACGAGAAGAGCGTCTCCTGGGGATTCTGGGAGGAACTAGACGAGGATTCTAAGAAGCTGGCATCAAGATCGTCGAAAAAGATTCCTCCAATGCCACGGGCCTCTCGGCGATGGGGCAGGTAAAAGTACTTGTCACACCACGCCTTAAATTTCGGGTAATAAGTTGCGTCATGTCGATCACAGGCGTCTTTAATCGTCTGGTGGAAATGTTTAGCGTCTTCGGGAAACAGATAGCACGGTGTCAAATCCGTTCCGCCACCAAACCACCAATTCTTATCTCCGTTGATAGGATCCTTGGGATCTGACGTCTCAAAGTATCGGTAGTTCAGATGCACCGTGGGGGCCATGGGATTGTGGGGATGCAAGACTAAAGACAGGCCGGCAGCGAAGAAACTTAACGAGTCCACGTCTGCTCCAACAAAGGATTTGTGATCAGCTCGCATCTTCTCAATCGCCGGTCGAGGCAATTCCCCATAGACGATCGACACATTGACGCCGGCCTTTTCGAAAACATTGCCATCTTGGAGTACACAAGAAATACCACCTCCCCCATTGGGGCGCGTCCAGGTGTCGGATTTGAATTGTTTGCCATCGATTCTGCTGAGTTCGTCCACAATCTTTTGTTGTTGCTCTTTGATCAGCTTCTCCATGCGCAGACGCATCGGGGAGTTTTCACTGATCGTCGCCTGTTTCTTCAAGGCCTCATCGAGCTCCACGATCGACGGAGAATCAAGTTCGGTCACTTCGCCTGTCATCTATGTGGTTCTGACTTAGCTCAAGTCGCTAGCATTGGAGAAATGGCGGGTCATGTTACCATGGAATATATCAGAGCTCCAATGAAGGGTACACCAATAGCCAGACGTAGGTATGGCCTCCACACAGTGAAGGGCTTTGGTTCACGGGGTTTTTGTTCCGACGAATAGTTACGGAGCGATCCCTTCAAATTGCGAGGAATGCGGTAGGTCCGTGACGAGAGATAGCGGAGGGACCTCTGAAGAGGTACATATGGGCTCATGGAAGACATCGTGCCAGAAGTATTCACCGTTGGCTGATCAGCAGACAGATCAGGTGGTGTCGGGAAAAGATTGACAGACTATGAGTCGGCACCACCCTCACTCCTCAAGGGATCAAAACCTAGATAAGTTCCGAAAGAAAATGGCAAGAAAAAATGGGCCGTGTGGTGCCTTCCGAGGCGTATGGGACCACCAGCAAGTGAGGAAATCCGGAATGATATTGTTTGCACTGTTTGTCATTATGCTGAAATAAGCATGTTTGTCCTGTTTGCATTAAGGGTTTTAAACTGTCACCTCTGCAAAGGCTGAGTCTAGATTTGATAATGTCACAAGAAAACGCGGGTCCTTAATGCTCCTCGGAACTGTCTGAGTCAATCCACTGCCAATTACAAGGGGAGGACAAGAGAAGCCGCGGATTCAAGGCACGACGGCTATCAAAGGACTCATTAACTAGTCGCTGATCAAGTGGAGACAGCTACCTGATTGTACCACAGTAGGTCGACTATCATCAGATCATTCCAACTGATGACCACAGCACGTGAAGGTACATGGCCTAGCCTCTTGAACTGCGTGGAAGAGAAATTCCCCAAACTAGAGGTATTTTATTCCATCTCCAGAGCCTCGTGGATGAAGGGCGAAATGGATGACCCCAGACACATGACCCTGACTCACGTGTGGGGACACTCACCGCCTCTACCCCGTGATCTCCCCTGCCTAGCTGCCTTATCAGCGGCGACGCGGGGCTGTCGCCTTCCGTCTCCCTTTTGTCATCATCCTCCTCTCCAGCGACATTAGAGCTCATCACCTCATCTCAACTCCCATCCCACACCACCACTTGATCCATCCTCCACTCATTTTCTCTTGGGTTCTTCTTATCCATCATTAGCCTGAGTGTATTCAGTCCATCGTATACTACCTTTGCAGATTTATTTAGCTATCAATATGCGCTCCAAGTTCAAGGACGAGCATCCCTTCGAGAAGCGCAAGGCAGAAGCCGAGCGTATCCGCCAGAAGTATGCAGACCGTATTCCGGTATGTATAGCATTTCCTCCTTTTGCTTGTCGGGTGTGAAGAGAATACGGATTCCGTTCTCTACTTGTCGTCTGGGTATTGGGGCTCTAAGTTGCCCCTGCTCACCGCCTGTTCCGGTCGCTGACCCAGTTCAATCTGCATAGGTTATCTGCGAGAAGGTCGAGAAATCAGATATTGCCACTATCGACAAGAAGAAGTATCTCGTCCCAGCAGATCTCACTGTCGGACAGTTTGTCTATGTAATCCGCAAGCGCATCAAGCTCTCCCCTGAAAAGGCCATCTTTATCTTCGTTGATGAGGTCCTGCCGCCCACGGCTGCGCTCATGAGTAGTATTTACGAAGAACACAAGGACGAAGATGGCTTCCTGTATATCACGTATGTCTCTTCCCATTCGACTCCCACGCTAAACCTGCGCTTGTACTGACCCATGAGCCTTCATCAGATACTCGGGCGAGAACACTTTTGGTGACTGTTGAACCCTTCTCTTAGCCGCTTGTTGAGACCATGTAGCTGCCTCGACCGTCAAGCTGTTTCTCGGGTCCAGATGTGACTGATTAATACGATCGACTAACGCAGGCGACGATGAGAGGACATTGCTAGGCCCTGCGGTGGCTCATTCTCTTGTGTGTGCAGGCGTTATATCCGGAGTTTCATATTCGCTTCACGAACGTGCTTAGCAGATCTTTTGCTGTCCCTATGATTTGAATGGGAGTTGATTTCGATATTTTTGTATTTTGATGGCGCTTAATTAATAAGGCTGTTGCTGTATTGTCCGACTGTTCCTCTGTAAACCGGAAATATTACTCCTAAGCGTTTCTCTTGGTAGCTAACTAGAGAGAACTCATTCTTGAGTAGTGAGCATCCATTATGTGGGCTCTGGGCCTCTTATTTACTCGAGTCCCGCCGATACTAGCCGGTTCTCCCTCTCTCTCGATCTGATATAACTATGCGTAAATGATGGATAATTGGTAAACTAGTTACTAACTAGTCAACTAACTGCGCATAGGGGTTACCTAATCACCTCCGATGGTCGGTCCTCCTAGTCTGCCTTGCCCGAAGGGGTTAGCGGCCTCGGCCAGGCTGCAGAAGCTCCGAGACAGTCGTCTGGACTGTCACTCCGACACCTCTCTCTCTCACTCTCTCTCTGTCTCTCTTCTTCGTTCTCTTCTCTTCTCCTTGGTTGGACTGCTCGACGTCGATTGTGCTATTGGAAGATCACATCTGCCTCTGATCAGCCATTAGGTCTTTTCTTTCTTTCATTTTCATTTTTTTTTTTTTTTTTTAACCATCCTTGTTTCGGTTAAAAGAAGAAAAAAAAAAAAAAAGCTTCCGCTCATTCAGGAACAAAAGTGAAAAAAATGTCTCCCACCATGGCTCAAGCCGGTGCTGGCTCCGCTTCGAAAGAGGTGAAGAAGGAGTCGGCGACCGCCCGACTTTTAGGTTCCGGTATGTATCTCTAGTATGGACGTTGTGGGATGCCACCATCAGCTTCTAACGTATCACTCCAGGGACCGCTGGAATTGCGGAGTTGTTGGTTTTCCACCCAGTACAATCTCTTCCCCGGATCAGTCCTTACGGAATCTGACACTGTCTGATCCTTACTAACACAATGCGAAGGTTGATACGACCGCGAAACGCTTGATGAGCAACCAGAGCCGGGTAAGCCACAGATTGGTTACGTCTGAACTCTATATAGTGAACGGCGAGCTGATTGTGCTATGGGTTAGATCACATCTGTCCATGGCTTGAACCAAGTCATATTCAAAGAGTACGCCGGTGCTTCCTTGGGTCGCAAATTCACCTCCCTCTTCCCTGGTCTGGGCTACGCTGCTGGTTACAAAGTGTGTACATCAAGCGAAAACCCGACACCGACTGTGATTGGCTGACGAAGACCTCAAGGTTCTACAACGTATCTACAAGTACGGTGGCCAGCCATTCGTCCGAGACTATCTCGCCAAACATCACGGTGCCGACTTCGACAATGCTTTCGGAAAGGGTACCGGCAAGGCTATTATGCACGCAACCGCTGGAAGGTTCATTTATCCATATACAACTCTGTTAGCCCGTTATGTCCATCACTAACAACCCATTGTAGTTTGATCGGCATTGGAGAAATCGTTCTTCTTCCTCTTGATGTCCTGAAGATCAAGCGTCAGACAAACCCCGAGGCTTTCCGTGGTCGTGGCCTGATCAAGATTATCTCCGACGAGGGTATGGGACTTTACCGTGGTGCCGGCTGGACTGCGGCTCGTAATGCTCCTGGGTCTTTTGCGGTATGCTATCCAAACCCTAAGTAACAGCTTTATCCGTACCTTAATTTAGTGACTGAGGATCCGTGGTACAGCTTTTCGGCGGTTCGGCTTTCGCCAAGGAATACATTTACGGTTTGAGTGACTACAACTCGGCCAGCTGGTTACAGAACTTTGTCGCCTCAGTTTGCGGTGCCAGTGCCTCCCTCATCGTGTCGGCTCCCCTGGATGTGATCAAGACTCGGATCCAGAACCGCAACTTCGAGAACCCGGAATCGGGCTTACGGATTGTGTCCAACATGGTCAAGAACGAGGGCATGACCAGTTTCTTCAAGGGTTTAACACCCAAGCTGCTGATGACAGGACCCAAGCTCGTTTTCAGCTTCTGGCTGGCTCAGACGTTGATTCCTGCCTTCGGTCAGGTTGTTTAGTGCAACGGAATGGAAGAGAACCGAAAAAATAACACGAAGAAAGTGGGATGGGTTATATCTTGGTTTTTTTTTTTTTTTTTTTTTTTTTTTTTTTTTTTTGGGGGGCCTCTTTTTTTTTTTTTTTGTTTTTTTTTTTTTTTTTTTTTTTATGTTTATTTTTTTGGAGGGCCTCCTTTTTTTAATGCTCCCCTATTGATTTCACGATTTTCTTGTGCCATGATAGAACTTTCTCTTGGGCCAATTGTATTTTCATAGACATTATTTTTACGGGTTAGGATACATAGGATTACATGACACTCCTCTTAATATACCCATCGTTACCTGTATACTGTAGTTGCACACTTTCCATTTGGAGGTCAGTGTAATGGTTTTGCATGCAAGAATTGTCAGCTTCTCTGGAATATAAACCTCTTGTACTCCGTAGTATCCAATACAGTCACGTGATGCATCTTCTGGCTGGTCACCTGATCAGATGATATCACGCTTTATACCCACGACGCTGTCCGACTCATTGAACTCAGTCCTAGACTTATTCCCCTCATACGGGACCAAAATCCACCATGCCTATCTATCTGATATCCAAGTACGTTTACACATCCATCACCCACCCAACTATTGACTGCCCGACATTCGAATCGAACAATTGCAAGACCAATAGCAAAGAGGCCAGAGAAGAAATCAAACCAAACAAAAAAATGAATGAAAGCTAATCATAAACCATCAATTTAAACATGAGTAAATAGAGCCGCTGATCCTGTCTTCGCCCTCTCAATGGGCATTTCCGCCGTCTTTCTCCGTATCCGTCGTGACCACCGCGAGAGATATCCGGAGCGGGCTGCTGACCTCGGGTATGGGGATATTATGCGGACTGCGGGAAGAAGAATACAAAGGTGGTGGGCGGGGGATTTTCAGGGACTGTAATGTGGAATTATCTTTTTTTTTTTTTTTTTCTTGTTTCGGGTTGCTTTTGTGGACGGAGTATTAAATATCTCAGATTGATTGGATCTGGATTCCTGGTGTCGTATTATGAATGCTATTGATTGATTGATCTACTGTGATCTCAGTATGCTTGACATGAGCACTTTACTTAGGTGGTTCGGTAATGATGACGATTACAAAAAAGAAATATTTTGAAGTATTGTATTGGTCATCAGGAACTTTTCCCTCCCAGATTCTGCGTCGTCGCAGATTATCATGCATCGAAACTCAACTCGAATCTATGCAGTCATAAACAAAGAAGAAAAGGATCCCATAATTTCGTTAACAAGACATGAAATTAAGACAGGAAACGTTTGAATAAAAAAGAAACCATTAAAGTCATTCGCCTATTCGCAAACAGCCCAGAATGAAATGAGAAGGAAATAAAATGGAGCGCTCGACACGTTTAGTCAAGCTCCTCAGGGCGCTCCTCGACCTCATCAGCAGTGCGAGTGGCGCCACCAGGGGCAGCGCCGCCAGGGGCGGCACCAGCGGCACCACCGTAGGCAGCAGAGATGATGGGGTTGGCAACACTAGAGAATCACCGTTAGCATCATATTCATCCATATATATCAGGAAGAGGATAGTTGGTAGACATACCTCTCCAGATCCTTCTGCTGGGACTCGTATTCCTCCTTGGTGGCGGTCTGGTTGCTATCGAGCCAGCCGATGACCTCGTCGATCTTGGTCTGGACCTTCTCCTTGTCGGCATCACTGATGGTGAGCTTGCCCTCGCTGAGAGTGTTCTTGAGGGAGTAGGCGTAGGACTCGAGGCCGTTCTTGGCCTGGATACGAGAAGCCTCGGCCTCGTCCTCGGCCTTGTACTTCTCAGCATCGGCAAGCATGCGCTCAATGTCCTCCTTGGAGAGACGGCCCTTGTCGTTGGTGATGGTGATCTTGTTGGTCTTACCGGTGCCCTTCTCGATGGCAGAGACATTCATGATACCGTTGGCATCAAGATCGAAGGTGACCTCGATCTGAGGGACACCACGGGGGGCAGGGGGGATGCCAGTAAGCTCGAACTTGCCGAGCAGGTTGTTGTCCTTAGTACGGGCACGCTCTCCCTCGTAGACCTGGATCAACACACCAGGCTGGTTGTCGGAGTAGGTCGAGAAGGTCTCGGACTTCTTGGTGGGGATGGTGGTGTTGCGCTTGATCAAGGCAGTCATGACACCACCAGCGGTCTCGATACCCAGGGACAGAGGGGCGACGTCGAGCAAGAGGATCTCGTTGGTGGACTTGGAGGAAGTGTCACCAGACAGGATGGCGGCCTGGACGGCAGCACCGTAGGCGACAGCCTCGTCGGGGTTGATGGACTTGTTGGGCTCCTTGTTGAAGAAGTCGGAGACCAGGCGCTGGATCTTGGGGATACGGGTGGAACCACCAACCAGGACGATCTCGTGGACGGAAGACTTATCGATCTTGGCGTCACGGAGGACACGCTCGACGGGCTCCATGGTGCCGCGGAAGAGGTCCTGGCAAAGTTCCTCGAAACGAGCACGAGTGATGGAGGTGTAGAAGTCGATACCCTCGAAGAGAGAGTCGATCTCGATGGAGGTCTGAGCAGCTGAAGAGAGGGTACGTTTGGCACGCTCGCAAGCAGTGCGGAGACGACGGAGGGCACGAGCGTTGGTGGTGAGATCTGTCGTACCTAAGTTAGAATTTGGTTCTCTCAAGGTGGGCTTGGATTGTTTGTGTCGATTAAAATAAGGGGAAAATCATACCTTTCTTGTGCTTCCTCTTGAACTCGTTGACGAAGTGGTTGACGAGGCGGTTATCGAAATCCTCACCACCCAAGTGGGTGTCACCAGCAGTGGCCTTGACCTCAAAGATACCCTCCTCAATGGTCAGGAGGGAGACATCGAAAGTTCCACCACCCAAATCGAAGATCAGGACGTTGCGCTCACCCTCGGTCTTCTTGTCCAAACCGTAAGCAATGGCGGCGGCGGTAGGCTCGTTGATGATACGCAGGACGTTGAGACCGGCAATGAGACCGGAATCCTTGGTGGCCTGACGCTGGGAGTCGTTGAAGTAGGCGGGGACGGTGATGACGGCGTTGTTGACGGTGCCACCAAGGTAGGACTCGGCAGTCTCACGCATCTTGGTCAGCACCATGGAAGAGACTTCTTCGGGGGTGAACTGCTTCTCCTCGCCCTTGAACTCCACCTGGATGACAGGCTTGCCACCCTTCTCGATAACCTTGAAGGGCCAGTGCTTCATATCGGACTGGACCTCCGCATCGGCGAAACGACGACCGATGAGACGCTTGGCATCGAAGACGGTGTTGTGAGGGTTCATGGCGACCTGGTTCTTGGCGGCATCACCGATGAGACGCTCGGTGTCGGTGAAAGCCACGAACGAGGGGGTAGTACGGTTACCCTGGTCGTTGGCGATGATTTCAATGCGATCATCACGGAAGACACCCACGCAGGAGTAGGTGGTTCCCAAGTCAATACCGACAGCGGGAGCCATGATGTGTGATAGTAGTGAAGTAAGTGTGGGAGATCGTCAAGAGGGGAAATGAGATTCGTCAAGCGGATTGGAAGAGGTAGAAGAGGGAGAGATGGGTATAATACAAGGGAAGTGATGAAGAGGGAAAATTTTTCTGAGTTGGGAGAGGGGAAGAATTGTGCGAGACCAAGCGTTGATATAGTGGAGGGCGGTGAGTTGCTGCTCCAGCGAAGCTTCTAGCAAGCGACTACTTCCATCGGCTTCGATTCTCTTCTCTAGGTTCCAGACATTTCGCCTTTCTCCTCGGCGTTTCGGGACGGTTCTGTTTCCAGCTGTTACATTTATTCTATTTATTATCTTTTTCTTTTCAATTCTTCTCGATTTGGCTGTCTTTTTATTTTATTTATTCTGTTCTGTTCTGTTCTATTGAATCAAGTTCAGTGGGGCAGAAAACTCTTTCGCTGCAGTTAACTAACGTAGCGGGTGTAAATGGATGACGTAATGGACTAGAAAAGGTTTTGTGAACTTCGTCGGCCAATGCCCAAAGCAGTAATCGGATTGTAGGATGGAATTTCATTCACTTCCGTCATCATTACCTATTTGAAGGCTTTTACTACCATGATTCAATTGGAAATCACCAAATTCCATGGAATAGGTGTTCTTCGGAATCAAGCTTACTAGTACTATAAATAAAAAGAGAACAATGGTAAGGTAGTTGGATTATAGCCCAAAAAGAAAGAAAAGAAATTAAAAGGAAATAAAGACTGAATGAGTGGAAAATAGAAAGTTAGAGAGAAAGAAATCAAGTATTTATCGAGTACAGCTTGATAGAATAATAAAACAAACCAGAACTACTTGGTACTACTTCGTAAGGGAAGAAAGAAGTGAAGAAACTGAAGCAGTAGGATGTTTATTATGCCAGGGCTCGCCTCGTCACGGGAGCAGCGCCGCCGATCACCTGCCCAGTGGCCAATTAGCGTCCGCAAGACCTCGAGGTGAGTCTCTCCTTGCAACTTGGAAAGTCCGTTGTTGTTGCTCTCGACGCTCCTGTTGCTCCTACTTAAATCGCTTCCTCCTCCTTACGCTTCAGGTGACCAGCATCAATCTCCTGTCTCTGTGTTTTCCAGTGCCTTCATCTCCCCCGATTTCCACTCCCTTCTCGATCTTCCTCCATTCAGCCGTATTCACCATGGGCGACAACTACCCGGCCACCACGATGAGCGATGATCCTGCCGCCAACGCCCCCGATGCTGCTACTTTCGGCAAGGGCAAGGGCAAGGCCACTGAAGACCCTACTGCCATGGATGTGAGCATGGACGAGGAGGAAGAAAGTGATGGCAGCGAAAGCGAAGAGATGGTGAGTTAGCTTGCTAGAAAAATAAAAACAAAACAAAATCTGAACAGTCTTCCTTTTCTTAATGGCATAGGTAAATGAAGGTATGATCCCCTGTCTTCATTTTCTTACTATTTATTCGTGTTTTACCACGCCCAAGTCGACCCCAGCCAAGGGGCCAGTATTCCATTGCAATCTGACTGACTTAATTCTTTCCGCACAACAGATGACGACGACGATGACCAGGACAATCTCGAACCTATCTCCTCCGACAACATCATTCCCACAGGGCGTCGCACACGCGGCAAAACCATCGACTTCCAGGAAGCCGCCGAGAAACTCGGGGCTGATGAGATGGACGATGAGGATGAGGATGATGACGAGGATTTCACACCCCGGGACGAGTCCAACTCGATGCACGAGTAAATGAGACTACCTTCTACCCTTCGATCAAATGAAAGAAAGAAACAAACAAAACAAAAGGCTTGGGAGTAGGCAGCACAAATGGGAAATTTCGTGGCTGGCGCAGGATATTCGGGGGCTTTCTCTGTTTTTATTCTAACAGTTCGTATTTTTTTATCTTCTGCTCAATTACGCATGAAAGTCTACGAGATAGTGAAACATGATGGATTTTCGCATTGTTGATTCTACTAGAACATCACATCGCATATCATGTGGTGCCTTATTGAGCAAGTAGATAGTGCCCTGTCTGCCACAACACGATATGCCTTCACAAGCAGGTAACATAAATTGCAAAGAGTTCCACCTAGTCCGCACGCTGACTTTAAACCTTCTGAGGCCGATGCATGTAGACTCGCTGTTGCTATATTTATGATCATGCCACCGGCCCACGTCTGTACGGCACGCCACACACACCCAAATGGCAGCCGCGCCGTTCTCGACCGGTCGTTTTATCTCCGCAAGCAGTCCTGTCACAAGTGAACAATCTGGCTGGACCAAGCTTACACTCTCTGTGTCTCTCTATATGCGCAATGTGTATCAACTAGTAGTGTGATCAAGATAAACAGTCATCGAGAGGGGAGGGGAAAAAAATCTACGTTGAATATCCTACAACTGTTACTGACGATCTGTTATGGCTTCACGGTACGTTTGTTGATCATGCAAATCACTGAAAACCCTTTACACCCTGTACTTTTATGATCGACTGGTTCTCATACTAGACAGATTCCCACGTTCTACGCTGCATCAACGCGACCCCCGTGCCGCCTCTTCTCTTTTTGACACGTATGGTGGCAACTCACGACCTACCAGTCGGTCGCCCGGCCAGATGGGTGGATATGGATATGGAGGATACCCGGGCTCAGGAAATGAAGGATCGTTGAACGGTAGTGCCATGGGAGGAGGCTATCGAAGTGCAACCCCAAATGCAAAGTGAGTGGCACTATGGCAGGTGTTCATCTGCGACTTTGATCGCTCATATAAATTAGGGGCCAGTATTCGGACGCCGTTCTCTCTCATCTCGAGTCTCAGAACGATACAGAGGTTGAAGGAATTAGCGCGAAAGTGAAAATGCTGAAGGATGTGAGTGTGTCTTGAGATCGACCGTTTTCAGATGGTATACGCACTCTGTGCTGATGTCGTGACCAGATTACCCTTGCTATTGGAGATGAAATCCGAGATACGTCGACTATTTCGGATCTGAACGATACCTTCGAGAATACTCGAGTGCGCATTCGAGGGAACATGAATCGCATGCTGCGAATGGCGGAGCGCACGGGAGTTGGCTGGCGTGTGTGGCTGGCCTTCTTCCTAGCTGTCTTCCTACTATTCGTTTATGTCTGGCTGGCTTGAATCGAATCGAGTCCGGCTTGGTCTAAAGAATAGATTGATCATCTACCTTCCACCCGATCTACAACCATTCTTCACTTCATGACCTTGCTCTGCATATGTCGATGGGCATATGTCGATGAGACATGTGAGCGCACGCCTTGCAATGAGCTCCTTGCACAGTCGCTATATCTATAATTCCGAAGACCTAACAGATTTAGCATGGCTTACTGGATGGTATTTTGAACGGCGTTTCTCTCAGTTGTCGATATTGTAATTTTCTAATGGGTTCCCTTTTCTACTTTCCTCCATACAAGCGATGTCAACCATAATCTGCGATTCAGTTTTGGGTATTCCACATCGGATCATGCGGTTCCATGACAGTGCATACCTGGAGTTGAGGCTCATTATGTCATCCATGATGTGGTCTGTTCGAGGACTATTGATTGATTTCTGTAGGTTCTTTGCTTTGTATATAGATTAGCCAGTCGTATAGGGAGTGGGCATATATGCGCCGGTGTAGGGTGATATTATTACATATAATTCTTTATGTACCTATACCCCTGCCATGTAAAAAACAAGAGCATACTAACATTCAATATCCCTGCCCATATTCACCAGACTCCGTGCTGCCTATTGCTGCTGCCTCTGGGCAGAATCACACTTTTAGCAACGAGCTGGAAGACATCCCTATTCAGCACATGAATAGCATGTCTTAAAGCCATAGCAAGATTAGTCCGCCCTGATTCTAGTTCAATACGAAATTAACCGAAGCTATCTCTAGGACCTCCTGTTCGTCGTCTAGGAAATCTACCAAAAACACTCCGTCGACGTGTTTGACTGGCTAGAGACGTCCTGAGATCATCCTCATCGACCATCATGCTCGAGTTAAGGACATCACCGCCGCCGCTCCAGCGTTGAAGGAATCGCCGCTGGGCCTCCGTTTCTTGTGGAGCAGCCGCCGGTGGAAACCCGCGACTGCTGTTCGTGCTAGCTCGAAGGCTCTGGGTAAAATGATCCCGCGAAAAGCTAATTTCATCTTCTTCATCGTCAAATTCGGCGTCGGTGTCAGTATGTTGCCATTCTTCTTGCTCAAATCGATCCTCGTCCGCTTCAGGGATATCATCATCTAAATCGCGGCCCATATCCTCTTCGCTCATGCCTTCACTTCCGTGACCAAAACCAACACTTGGGATATCGTCATCCAGATCCGGTTGGTTATCGAAATCATAGTCATTCTCTTCCTCTAGAGCTCCATCGTCATCGTCCTCCGGGAAAGCCTCGGGAATATCGTCATCTAGATCTCGTTCTATGTACCCCTCCTCGTCCACGGCGTCGTCCTCTTCAAGACCCTCCTCCCCTTCTTCCACAAGACCTTCTGCATCCGCATCCGGTATGTCATCATCGAGATCTCTTTCCATCACCGTATCATCTTGACCTTCCCCATCTATCTGACCATTTGGACCTCCATCGAGCCCATCCATATCCGGGTCGGTCGCCGCAGCGGCAGCAGCCATTTCAGCAGCCGCGGCTGCAAGCGCTTCTTCTCGTTCTGCCTCCTCCTCTTTCATTCCCAGCATTGTTTTTGGGCATCCCGCGGGCTTAATCCAGGAATACCCGAATGAGGCGATATTGTTCTTACGGGCACGGAGAGCGCGTTCCTCGAGCATTAATGTCGACAGACTATTGCTGGAGGTGGCTGAGGACATGAATGTGCGCCCGTGCACTGCATGGCTACCATTGCGACGTGGGTGTCCTTGCTGTGTCTCTGCAGCCGGTTGATGAAAATGCGAAGCGTAACGGTGGGACTGAGAAGAGCCAAACCAGAGTTCGTGTGACTAAACCAAAGACTAATTAGCACGTAATTCAATTCTCTCGGCGCCGTTTGTTGGCTGAATGGTTCCTACCACGTACATCGCGCGGAGTGATGAGAGGAAGGGAGAGCATTGTTGTATAGCAGGTAAAGTCGGCCACACGTAAATATATGTTGCACAATCTTTTCAGAATGAGAACATGAAGTCCAGTTTATTCCTCGAACTTCCAGACTGACGTATGGATGATATCGAAGAGATGGACAACAGTCGAGACTTTTTGGTTTTGCTGCTGCAGGGGCCTATCACGAGAAATTCAAACCCAGGTTCGCTTCCGAGCTCCAGGATGCAATTGATTTACCGATGAGATGAAATATGCGCACTCAATATTCGCATAGTGGAGGTGAGGATAGTGGATTGAAGAAGAAGCTGCGAGGAACAGCGGGAAAACAACCGAAGCTAAGCTACGCACCACTGAAGGGCGGGGCCGATGTGGGCATCCAATTTAATATCATTTGTCCGGTCATTTAACAGCAGAGGGTTCAATACTACTGGATTACAGTGGATAATTGGTATAAAATAGATTAATACTATGGAAATAGGGGGGGAATTCAGGATACAGACAAAATGGGAGAGAGAAAAGGTAGGATGTACGCCTCCCCAATCTAAGGAAAACTATATAGAGTATTAACATAGAAAGTAGACACTAGACAATGATGCCTTTTATACTGTAGAATATGCTTCGAGAACATACAAACAGTATGCTTAATGCAAGACAATATTTACATATAAATATAAATTGGGAAGCCCGAATTACTTGCTCGTAGTAAATTGATCTGACCTCATGCAACACATAATGCTCTATCGACATAATGAACCTGCTTCATTTAGCATGTCGTTTCGATTTGTTTAGAAATTCTCAATAGTAAACATTGACATATATAATTAATGCAGGTGCAATAATATATTTATCATAATACAATACCCCCAGCAGCTAGCATATAATGGGCAGAGTTGTACCTGTTCAGCATACTCTAAGCTTAATTATATCTAAGGACTCTTTAGTATGCACTAGGTTAAGACAATACCATTGCGGACCACTACATTTATGAGGAGGCACTATAGACATGCATAGACAGAAGCACTAGAGAATGTCAATACTACAGAAGTTGAATCGAATTATAAACTACCAGCTGCGCAACGAAAGCTCGAGCAACATGAATCTAGCCCGAACACAGATACCAAAAGCCTCCATCTGTCTTAGGACTGCCTGTGGGAGTGACACTCTTGAAAGACCCATTTGTCTATTGCGTGGCCATCTACTGATCCTGAAATTCTGACATATAGACCTATCGAGGAATAGATGACAACCCAGTAGAAGAAGAAGATTTATTATTTATTAGGAACAAAAAAAAAAAAAAAAAAACGTTGAAAGCAATTCTCCTAGTCCGAATATACCAATCTCCAATACTCTGTATCCACTTTATAAAAGAGCCTATACGACAAGGCTCGTCTATGCTGACATTTTTAATCAATGCTCTTCTAAGACACAAGCTTTGCACTGCTTTTTTGCGTATTACAAAGTAGGGTTAAAATCTAATAGATTGAGAGACGGGTACTGGATAAGTGTCTTCCCTAATTATATAGCAGCGTATCAAAGAGACTTGATACATCCCACAATCTTAGATGTATACAAATCGTCTGACATCCACGGTACTACCGCTCTAGGAACACAAGAATGAATTACTGACCGAATCCTCATTGATCGGCAAATCTCATACGTGTTCGACGCAGGCTCCTGTTAGCTCAGCATATTAAGCGAAGCATGTTCGTATACCACCGATCGGTAGATATCAAGACCGAACGGGTAGGGATCTCTCAACCCGAGTAGAGCGCAGCGTCAGCCCACCATGATGCGCGTTGATGCTGACCAAGAAGCATTGTTTTTTTTTTTTTTTTTTTTTTTTTTTTTTTTTGAGGGGGGAGGTATCAGGCCACACGCACGGTAGGTACAGAGTTCTTTTCGTTGGGCTTCGATACCCAAGATGGATCTACTCCGTAAGTCCGTCAGGAGGACATCAGAGATGTTGCAATGTCATTCCGGAGACTGGACGGAGTATTCCGGACGTCGCAATAGCTATGAATGCCGTGGCAATTGGGTTTGAGTCCTTCCGAGGATAGATTGCTTCTCTTTCGTGGCGTAGAGAGAGTAAACGGTCAATGCCTGTAATATTGATGATAATACGAGCGACAACAATAACAATAATGCATTTGTGCTTGGAGAATTGGCGCAAGGCGGACCGCTAGTTCCGTTCCTGTGCTGCATTAGCAATGTTTCTAATCCATACGTAGTGTGGAAATGGCCGGTTTTCGGCCGGATCAACAAGGGATTCCGCGTTCGCCCGAGACGTTGCAGTCTAACGATCCATTGACCTGATTATATTCGGTGAACCCAAAGTGGACAAGACCATCATGTATATCGGGAGAAAACGGGAGCCGGGAGGTATTGGCATCTCCGCCATATCATGTGATGTCCTCCGTCGCATTACCTATTGGAGGGGGTAGCAACCAAGAGAGATCGGAGCGGGTGCGGAGGGTAACACAGCATATTCGAGGATTTGAGTCACCGCGGTAAGTTAAGTTAAACCCTTGAGTTGCAGTAGGCCCTTCTCTCGCGGTCGTACGGAGTAAATGGTATTCGGTGCCGTTGGTGCTGGCAGTGCCTAAGAAAATACTGCTAAGTATATCCCGTTTTGATCGGCTGAGTCAAGTTTTCCAAATCGGGACAGTTTCCTGAGTCACCATATGAACCATAGAGAAAAAAAAAAAAAAAAGGGAAAAGAAAAGAAAAGAAAAAGGGGACAATGTACTCCGTACACGTACGGAGTACGTATTCTGTAAGTTCCTGGTGGTGGTGAAATCCTGCCATGATCCAACCAGTAGCAGGATAGATTGCTAAGCGATGCAGTTGGGAGATTTGAAGTGTCGGATGATTTTATGTATTCTCATTATCATCACATTATTATTTATTTAGATTAAGCTCTTATCAGGACTCGGTCGGGATTTACGGTACTGTGGAGCAAGGAGTAGATCCCTTTCAGTTTCAACTGACCATCTTCGTATTTCCGGGGTGCTGGATAATTCGCCCGCGCTTATTGGTCGGGCGATTCAATATCCCTGGATGAGGCCCTGGTCGGTGCCTAAGTAGCTAGGGGAGTGGGTTCCAATACCACTCACTACCAAGTTAAGAGTGCTCCCAGATGACCTTGTAGGTAGTACAAGGACCCCTAGAATATCACAGAACTTACTTCGTACAGTTCGGCCAAATGAGTCAGAACGGGATGGCGTCGGTTGTCGAGTCGGAATTTAGAAAGACATTCGCTACGGAGTACAAAGTACACTCGTAGGTGCGGTGCCTGATAAGATGTTTGATGACCTCAAAAAATGTGATGGGGAAATTCACATGGGCCAATGGGTGGACAGCCATAAACTGCAAGATGCGGCTCAGGAGCCCCGAAATCGGGGGATGACAATCCAGAGGAGCCGTTTGACCAGAGTGGGAGGGATGGAGGGAAACGTGTTCCGGGGAGGGGCTGTGCCACTGCAGAGGAGGGAAGAGAACATTCCGGGATGGAAGAGAGACAGCGCGTCCTTGGCCGTTGTCGGAAGTGGTTGGATGATGGACGCTCTGGGCGGACAAACGGTAGGGGTGGTATTGCTCCGTGCCAGTAATTTACCCACCCGGGTGACCTAGGCAGGTCAAAAATACATATTGCGTATGGGGCTTGTACTGGATCCGTTCATCATCCAACAGGCTACACTACACACATAAGCGTGGGGTTGTGCAGGATTTAGTGCAATGACAAGGGAAGCAAGCCTGCACTTTTCTGGCCACAAGCAGGGGTCAATCTGTTTTTCCAGATCACTTATTGCTTAGTGCACATTCTAAACATGGATCTTAAGTCGTTCGGCTGCTTCTCGAAGCCGAACTACAGAGTATTCTTCCAGTGTACATAACTACGCCAATTTGATCAATGTGGATTGGATGAATCCTTGTCAACTCCAGCAGAATGGGTGCGTAGGAGTTTTAAATGGCCACTGACTGCTTTCCTGATAAAGATTAATTGTTCCGAACTGACCTGACCTCTTCATATTCCATAAAGAATTAAAATTTTTGTTATCCTACGCTGCCCAGGTCCATATCCTACTCAGTATAACAAGATCTGCCAACGATTATATCTCTGTCTACTTATTGCCTTGGCGTTTACATCTCCTTACTGCAATGAGGCAGCCTCGAGTGCCTGCCAAGGATTACTTTGTATGTTTGCTAAGTTGCTCACAATCCGTATGTCTTTGTTTTTCTTGTCCTGCCAGATCATCCCTCTGTCTTTAGGGATGTATTCCATGCGCAATCTAGTACGTACAGTTGGACCAACCGTTTGAGGCAAGATCAAGAATAAGCACCCTTGAGTTGGTCCCACTTTGACAACATCATCATCCAGTCAGGACATAAGCCCATCAAGGATGGGGAGGTAAAAAGTACCTAAGACAAGAACATGTGGAAAAAGGTGTTGTTGTCGTATTTTTGCCTACTCATGTGGGTATCCAAGAGGATAGATTCGTGTTGACTCGGAGTTAAAGGGTAGAGTCAGATGAAACGTGCCATAGTAAAGTTCCTCTTTTTTTCTTCATCTCAAGTTAAAACAATGTTAAAAAGAAGGAAGGACTCAAGAAAGAAAAGAAAAAAAGAACCTTGCATTTGACATTTCTTTACGGAGCATGCCTCGCTTTTTACCCTCGACTTGGCAGAAATGAAGATGGTTGGTTGTGAAAAGAACCAGCCGGTAGGTATTATCCGAGTTGCAACTGCATGGGTACCTTTGCAATTGAGGCCGAAATATCGTTTCGCTCGAACCTCATGGGCATGGTATGGGGGGTTCACTATTCTCCAATTACTGGGCTGAGAATTAGCGGGGTGAGCCTACGTACTTCAGGTAGGTACTGTTGGTTGGAATTACAAAATAGGAAGTAGAAAAGGGACTTGTCTTTTGATGGGCAGCTGAATTAGGCGTGCAGAGACCCCATGGTGCTTTCGAGATTCAAATCACCTTCTTCCCGAATCAATGTCTACTACGGAGTACAAGAGAAGTAGTCAATAATGATTGCGCAGTACAGGTGCGGAAATAGGAAGCCCAAGTTCCTAGTAGGTACTGGAGAAGTTAATTATCCTGTGGTGTTCGTAGTTCCCATACCGAGTAGAACGAGCGGAAAAATTACCATTTGATACCGAGGTACGTATCGGAGTCGTTAATCTTTCAGGTTCCCACTAGCGCCAGTCGCAGTCTTCCTTTTCCCCTTTTAATTTTGAGATTAAGCCTGGGCCCCACCGGCTTGGATCTTGACGTAGTCCAAACCTAATCTTCTTGGCCAAAAGGTTGCAAAGCCAACCCTCTTATTGGTGGCAGCCGTCTTATCTTGACTTTAGAGTAAATCCCCGGTTAATGGATGGATGCAGTACATGCGACCTCAATCCATAATGGAAAGAAACTGTCTTCTCTTCCAAGTGCTCCTGGCTATAAATTTTCAAGGTCGCCTATTTGGAATGAAACATCAATTATTTTATAATATATAATTATTTGTTTCGAGGGGGGGAAAAAAAAAAAGAGAGAAAATGCCATACCTTCTCCTGGTCCCATATTTGCATTTACGTCAATCACCACACTCCATCTAACCAAGGACGGAGGGCGCCGAAAACGCTCTACAGTCTGTGAATGCTGAACAAAAGGTGTTGACCCAAAGCGGATGGAAATGTCCATAGGATTAATCAATGAAACTGGATTTTTTTCCTTTATTCTTACCCCCCCTTCTTTTCTTTTCCAATCCACCCTCTTTTTATTTAGTAGTAGGGACCGGGATCATCCAGTGCCTTTTAAGCATTGGACTAGCTCCTTTTCTCTTCGCCCATCACTTTTTCCACCTTACAGGAAGAGTAGCGACGTCCTCACCAGGATAGGCAAACTGCAATTCGCCACGGTGGAAGTCCATTTTCGTCCACCCCCACAGCTGTAATTTTCCTCTTCCTCACCTGTTGTTTCATTCGTACAGAAGCAGCTCCTGTCTGGGCATTACTGTAAGGTTGACTCGCCTTCCACCGTCTACCTACTACGGAGTACCTGTAGCGTTACGTCTATTCATACATACACGTACGTCTCGGAGTTGTCCCAGTGAATTCCCCGGACCTCTGCTTCCCGCCCTCCCGCTCGCTGCTACTTACCTATTATTATTCTGCCCCCCTCCATTCCCCTCTCGTCTTTTTTCCCCCCGTTCTCTCTCCCCCTCTCTCTCATATATCTTTCTCGGAGCCAGACGCTGGGACATACCTCATCTCTCTGTTGGCCTCTTTCGCGTTGTTGTCCCTGAACATACATATCAGTGACGACATCTTGCTGCTTTACATATTCCTTATCTATAGATAACAACGTCCCGCTTTGCCCCGAGTCTGTGGCAACATTCTTCATAGCAACCACAAAGACCCCTCAGTTTTGCCAATCCATTCTCTGTCGGCCACCGGCGGAAGAATGGGTCTGAACTTGGAGGAGATCTATGGCCAAATTCTAGTGAATGAGCACCAACCAAACGAGTATTCGGAATACCAGCCAAAACAAGGATATGGCTGGGCGAATACCTTGCCGGAGCGGCAGGGGCTGTACAACCCCGAGTATGAAAAGGATGCTTGTGGTGTAGGCTTTGCTGCGTAAGTGCTCAGGGTGGACCCCATTGTGGTTGATAGATTCATTGGAGCAGGATTAGCTAACGTGGGTTCTCTGCGGGTTTTCAGTCATATTAAAGGCAAGCCTAGCCACAAGATTGTCAGTGATGGTAAGGACACCCTCTGCTTCCTTTACATGTGGCTAACATAAGGGTTTCATCACAGCTCGGAATCTACTGTGCAATATGACGCATCGAGGTGCTGTTGGCTCAGATGCAAGAGATGGCGACGGTGCCGGTGTGATGACCAGTATTCCCCACAAGTTCTTTATCAAGAACTTTGCCCGCGAAGTAGGGGTTGAACTTCCACCACTCGGGCAGTATGCTGCGGGCAACCTATTTTTTAAACCCGATGAGGAATCCCACAAGGAGTCCACTGCATCATTTGAGGAGATCGCCACTTCCCTCGGGTTGCGGGTCCTTGGATGGCGTGAAGTTCCTCGGGATTCGACCATTTTGGGTCCTGCTGCCCTATCGCGGGAGCCTATTATTATGCAACCGTTCGTGGTGTTGAGGTCTGCTTACGGCGAAGGAGACAAGCCGGAGGTTACCGATCCAGGATTATTTGACGAGAGATACTTTGAGCGTCAACTGTACGTTCTTCGGAAACGTGCCACCCATGTTATTGGCCTTGCCAACTGGTTCTATCTATGTTCTCTCAGCAACAGGAACATTGTGTACAAAGGTCAATTGGCCCCTATTCAAGTATACCAGTATTACCATGATCTAGTCAACGTGGACTATGAAGGCCATTTTGCCCTGGTGCATTCTCGTTTCTCCACCAATACATTTCCCTCTTGGGATCGTGCACAGCCTTTGCGATGGGCTGCTCACAATGGTGAAATCAACACACTTCGAGGCAACAAAAACTGGATGCGAGCTAGAGAGGGAGTGCTCAGGTCCGACATATTTGGTGATGAGCTCGATAGCCTTTATCCAATAGTTGAGGACGGTGGCTCCGACTCTGCGGCCTTCGATAATGTATTGGAGTTGTTGATGATAAACGGCGTTTTGTCTTTGCCCGAAGCGGTTATGCTCATGATTCCAGAAGCATGGCAAGACAACCCAGCGATGGACCCCGCCAAGGCAGCATTTTATGAGTGGGCTGCTTGCCAGATGGAGCCATGGGATGGTCCCGCCCTTTTTACTTTCTCCGATGGACGATACTGTGGTGCTAACTTGGACCGCAACGGCCTGCGCCCCTGCCGTTTCTATGTGACGGACGATGACCGTATAATTTGTGCGTCTGAAGTTGGGGCCGTTGACATTGACCCTGAGCGTGTGGTCCAGAAAGGTCGTCTGCAACCTGGCAAGATGCTCTTGGTGGACACCGTGGCTGGCCGAATTATTGACGACTCTGAACTGAAGTATACTGTTGCGCATCGCCAAGATTTTGCGTCATGGCTGGATAAGCAGCTTTTGAAACTTCCTGCTGTCAAGGAGAAGCTGCTTGAACAGAATGTAACCCTTGACTTTTCCCTTGATGATACCACTGTCCAGAACGATCCCCGTCTAAAGGCTTTCGGATATTCCTTCGAGCAGGTCAGCCTGCTTCTTGGCCCTATGGCTGCTGACTCGAAGGAAGCCCTTGGCTCGATGGGCAACGACGCTCCGTTAGCTTGCATTGCCGAACAGCCCCGTCTTCTGTACGAATATTTCCGTCAGCTTTTCGCTCAGGTGACAAATCCACCCATTGACCCTATTCGAGAGGCCGTTGTCATGTCACTGGACTGCTACGTTGGGCCTCAAGGTAACCTCCTGGAGATGGACTCCTCTCAATGTCATCGACTGCTTCTTCCTTCGCCTATTTTAAGCATCCCCGAGTTCAATTCTCTGAAAAACATCAACCACGCCCACAAGGACTGGACGGTGAAGACGATCGACATTACCTTCGACAAGTCAAAGGGTGTTCCCGGATATCTCGAGGCTCTGGACGCCATCTGCGATGCAACCACTGATGCTATTCAGAATGGGGATAAGGTCATTGTACTTTCGGACCGGGCAACTTCTGCTAGTAGAGTTCCCATTTCTGCCCTCTTGGCAACTGGGTTGGTCCATCACCACTTGGTTCGCAACAAATGGAGATCTCTTGCTGCCCTGGTCGTCGAAACCGCAGAGGCTCGTGAAGTGCACCATATGTGTGTTCTGGTCGGTTATGGTGCTGATGCGATCAATCCCTACCTGGCTATGGAGTGTATCCTTAAGATGAATCGCGAGAATCTGATCCGAAAACAGGTCTCCGATGAAAAAGTCATCGAAAATTATAAAGCCTCTTGTGACGGTGGTATCTTGAAAGTCATGAGCAAGATGGGTATTTCTACTTTGCAGTCGTACAAGGGTGCTCAGATCTTCGAGGCCCTCGGTATTGATGACGATGTTATTGACCGGTGTTTCGCTGGGACCGCAAGCCGTATTCGCGGCTTGACCTTTGAGCTGATTGCCCAGGATGCGTTTGCCTTCCACGAACGTGGCTACCCCTCGCGGTCGATCATTGAGATCCCAGGTCTTCCGGAATCCGGCGAATATCACTGGCGAGATGGAGGCGAAGAGCATGTTAATGACCCTGTTAGCATCGCCAATATGCAGGATGCCGTTCGCACAAAGAATGATAAATCTTACGAGGCATATGCCAAGGCCGAACATGAGCAGATCAAGAACTGTACCCTCCGTGGTATGCTTGATTTCGACTTCGAGCAGAGGACGCCCATACCTATTGATCAGGTTGAGCCTTGGACTGAAATTGTTCGTCGGTTCGTGACTGGTGCTATGTCCTATGGGTCTATCTCCATGGAATCCCACTCGACCTTGGCTATCGCCATGAATCGTCTTGGAGGTAAATCCAACACTGGCGAGGGTGGTGAAGATCCCGAAAGGAGCAAACGTCTAGAAAATGGTGATACTATGCGGTCAGCTATCAAACAAATCGCCTCTGGTCGTTTTGGCGTGACGTCTCATTACCTGGCCGATGCCGATGAGCTGCAGATTAAAATGGCCCAGGGTGCTAAGCCCGGTGAAGGTGGTGAGCTCCCAGGTCATAAAGTCGTCGGCCCTATTGCCCACACACGTTACTCCACCCCTGGTGTTGGTCTAATCTCGCCACCGCCGCACCATGACATTTACTCCATTGAGGATCTGAAGCAGCTCATTTACGATCTCAAGTGCTCGAACCCCCGTGCCCGTGTTTCCGTCAAGCTCGTTTCAGAGGTCGGTGTTGGCATTGTTGCCTCTGGTGTCGCCAAGGCTAAGGCTGACCACATTTTGATTTCGGGCCACGATGGTGGTACTGGTGCCTCACGTTGGACTGGTATAAAATATGCTGGCCTTCCATGGGAATTGGGTCTCGCTGAGACCCATCAAACCCTTGTTCTGAATGACCTGCGTGGTCGTGTGGTTGTTCAAACTGACGGCCAACTCCGCACTGGCCGTGACATTGCCGTTGCATGTCTTCTTGGTGCCGAAGAGTTTGGTTTTGCCACCACTCCTCTGATTGCCATGGGTTGCATCATGATGAGGTTCGTAAAATTTTGGATACATATTTTCCCCTACTCTTTACTGATTCTCGTGCTAGAAAATGCCACTTGAACACCTGTCCTGTCGGTATTGCGACACAGGACCCCGAGCTCCGTGCTAAATTTTCCGGAACTCCTGAGCATGTCATCAATTTCTTCTACTATCTTGCTAATGAAATGCGTGCCATTATGGCCAAATTGGGCGTGCGTACTGTCAACGAGATGGTTGGACGTGCTGAGTTGCTCAAAGTTAGAGACGACATTCGGACCCCCAAGCAGGAGAAGATCGACTTGTCTCTCATTCTCACTCCTGCTCATTCTCTCCGCCCTGGAGTGGCTACATACAATGTTCGGAAGCAAGACCACCGCCTGCATACTCGCCTTGATAACAAGCTGATCGCCGAGTCGGAGCTTGCCCTGGAGAAGGGTCTCCCGTGTAGGATCGAATGTGATATTGTTAATACTGATCGCGCCTTGGGCGCCACTCTCTCTTACCAGGTTAGTCGTCGCTTTGGTGGCGAAGGTCTCCCCCAAGATACCATTCACGCCAATATTAAGGGCTCTGCCGGTCAATCATTTGGAGCCTACCTTGCACCAGGTATTACTCTTGAACTTGAGGGTGACGCCAACGATTACGTCGGAAAGGGCTTGTCGGGAGGTCGCCTTATCATTTACCCGCCTCGTGGTGCCGTTTTCAAAGCGGAGGACAACGTGGTCGTCGGTAATACGTGCCTTTATGGAGCCACTCGCGGTACCTGTTATTTCCGCGGTATGGCCGCTGAGCGTTTTGCCGTACGCAATTCGGGAGCCACTGCTGTTGTTGAAGGCGTCGGTGACCACGGATGTGAGTACATGACTGGTGGTCGTGTGCTCATCCTTGGATCAACTGGCCGTAACTTTGCTGCTGGTATGTCTGGCGGTATTGCCTATATTCTGGACATGAACCAGGACTTCCACTCCAAGGTCAATATGGAAATGGTTGAAATCTCCGGTTTGGAGGATCCTGCTGAAATTGCCTTTGTCCGCGGTCTTATTGAGGATCATCACCACTACACCGGCTCCGAACTGGCAGCTCGTATTCTCCTTGACTTCACTCGTGCCCTTCCTCATTTCGTCAAAGTGTTGCCCACCGACTACAAGCGAATCTTGGAGGAGGAAGCTGCCAAGGCGGAGGCTGCGAAGAAGGCTGAGTTCACTCTGCCTCAGCTTCCTGGCGCCCCTGTGAAAACGGAGAAACTAAAGAGCGACGAATCTAAGAAGGCCGAGATGCTGGACATTGAAGACAGTATCAGCGACTCAAAGACTGAGAAGAAAAGGTCAGCTCTCATCCTCGACAAGACCCGGGGCTTCATGAAGTATAGCCGGCGTAGCGAGAAGTACCGCAATCCTGTCAGCCGCACTCGGGATTGGGCAGAGCTTTCTAATCGTCTCAGCGAGGATGAGCTCAAATATCAGTCTGCTCGTTGCATGGATTGCGGTGTGCCATTCTGCCAGTCGGACACCGGTTGTCCAATCTCCAACATTATTCCCAAATGGAATGAATTGGTTTTCCAGAACCAGTGGCAAGACGCATTAAACCGCTTGCTTATGACCAACAACTTCCCTGAATTTACGGGACGTGTTTGTCCTGCTCCTTGCGAAGGTGCTTGCGTTCTTGGTATCAACGAAGATCCTGTGGGCATCAAATCTATCGAGTGTGCCATTATTGACCGTGGTTTTGAGATGGGCTGGATGGTTCCTCGGCCTCCCTCGAGTCGCACCGGCAAGACTATTGCTGTTATCGGTTCGGGCCCTGCTGGCCTCGCGGCGGCTGATCAGCTTAACCGCGCTGGTCACAGTGTGACAGTCTATGAGCGTGCTGATCGCTTCGGTGGTCTGCTCATGTACGGCATTCCAAACATGAAGCTTGACAAGAAGGTTGTGCAGCGCCGTGTTGATTTGATGGCTGCCGAGGGCATCAAGTTCGTCCCCAACACTCCTGTTGGCCCTGATAACGATATATCATTGGATTCTCTGCGCAGGAGTAGTGACGCTGTCATCATTGCTACTGGTGCCACCGTCGGCCGTGACCTTAAAGTTCCTGGTCGTGAGCTCGATGGTGTGCATTTTGCCATGCAATTTTTGCACCGCAACACCAAGTCACTTCTTGACTCAAACCTTGCCGACGGTGCGTACATTTCCGCCAAGGACAAGCACGTCGTTGTTATTGGCGGTGGCGACACTGGCAATGACTGTATCGGCACTTCTGTTCGCCACGGAGCCAAATCCGTCACCAACTTTGAATTATTGCCCCAGCCTCCCCCAGAGCGAGCTCGCGATAACCCATGGCCTCAATGGCCCCGTATCTACCGTGTCGACTACGGCCACTCCGAAGTCAAGACCCATATGGGCAAGGATCCTCGCGAGTACTGTGTTATGTCCAAGGAATTTGTTGATGATGGCAATGGTCACGTCAAAGGGATCAATACTGTCCGTGTCGAATGGACCAAGAGCGCCTCTGGTGGTTGGGATATGAAGACTGTCGAAGGTAGCGAACAGTTTTTCCCCGCCGATCTTGTTCTCCTTTCTATGGGTTTCCTTGGTCCTGAGGACCGTCTTCTGGGTGATGAAATTGAACGCGATGCACGTAAGAATGTGAAGACTCCTCCTGGCCAATACACCTCCAATATTCCAGGCGTCTTTGCCGCTGGCGATTGCCGCCGCGGACAGTCGCTCATTGTTTGGGGCATCAACGAAGGCCGTCAATGCGCTCGTGAAGTCGACAGCTACCTCTTGAACACTAGCTCCCAGCTCCCTGTCACTGGTGGCATCACTCGTCGGCCGGCAATCGATGCGGTTCCACAGTTCACTGAACAGACAGTGTCTGCATAAGTAATTGAGGGTGTTGGACATTTGTGTTGCAGGACTGGTTCCTCGGATGTCGACTCCAGTCCATGTCTTACGATCCAAAGAAGATGATGACTGTGAACGAAGTCCTGTGTTTGCTCACAAAAGTTTGTCGAGGTATAGGTTGGATGGTGTTGTATCTATCATGACAATTCCTACATGATTATGGTTACGTCAGAATTTTTTTACTTCTGGGTGATTAAATTAGGGTGAGGCTTTGTGAATGTCTTGCATTTCGATGCTATTTGTTTCATTCCAGTTTTTTTTCCCCCGGGTGGTCGGTCTTTTTTGGTTGCAGCGGGATTGGTACAGCTGGGATACGACAATGGTGCCCTGGCGATTGTTGAGCTTTTCTTTTCTTTTCTTTTTTCTTTCTATTCTACCGTACATATCCCTTCACAATACTAATGTTGGTTTCCAAAACAATCATTTCTCCTTGCTTTCTCCCCTTTTTCTCCTTTTCCCTCTTATGCTTTGTTTTAACCCAAGCCCCCCTATCCGACTAGACTCCTAGACTGGCATCTAAAGCTACAAGCTGTGGACGACTGCCGAACCCCCTTCACATTGCATTGCAATCTGACTCTGGACAGAATTCAGAATTGAATACAAGGGTCCATTGAATATACCTGGATATCTGTATGGGTATGTCCACTGGGACATGCAGTGTCTAGATGTTAGTACATAGCGTCTACTGTATCGACGCTTGTGAGACTGATATTTTGGGACCTTATGCAACGACGCACCTTCCAAGTGATAGGCATTCACTGGAGCTTCACGACTAACATTTTCTGTCATAGACTGTTCTTCAAGCTCCATCATCATATCGAGAACTTCTTCTCCCACCCCTTCAGCTACATATCGGTAGTTGAAAGCCAGTCGGATTTCCGCCAAAACAACTAGCCGTCACATATTACTGGGGACATCCGCTGATCGACTGCAGTAGGGGATTTGAGAATCGATCTACCTGGAGCTAGATCCTGCGTGTCCACTGCAGCTTGGAAAAAACATGTCCCTTCGTTCCACTCGGCCCCAACGAAAGGAATTTTTGGGTGAGAGAGCGCGGTAATGGATTTTCTTCCTATTTGAGGAAAAAGAAGAAGAAGCAGAAGAAGAAGATGCTGATGACTTGTTGCTGCGGGATTTCAGGAAGCCATGGACTCAGTGGAAGACTAAATCCAATGTGGACGCGGCGATGTGGGGAGTGAATGGGAGGGTCGGAAGATCAGGAGAAGGGGAAGGAGGAGGGGGGAAATCGTGTTTTCCCTTCATTCGAACCTGGGCTCCTTGGGCTTTTATATTCTGTCTTCATAAAGGATGCATCGGCGATGAGCCGGTAGAGTGATGTGGACAAAGGGATTTCTTGCTCTGGTGTCTTTGTTTGGTAACAAGGGCATTGTGATTACAGGGATATTCCTGAGGAATCGATGGAATGTCCCCAATAGAAGGAGATGATTTGATGGGAAAGAGCGTGGATTTCATTCCAGAGGCCGTAAGTACTCCATTTCTGATGCTTTCTTGTGACACAGACAGGGACGATAGTAAAAGTATTGTACAGTGGTCCCACGAGGGACAGGTATCCAAATAATTCAACAATCACTGACGCCAGCAGCATTGCTATAGTTTCACATCAGAAATCGAACATGGTAACAAACAAAGGAAAAGAAAGAAGAAGAAGCAAACAAACAAGAACTACCCGGCCTTCTGTTTCGCCTCTTCCTCGGCCTTCATTTCCCTCTCCAGAGCGGCAAAATCCCCCGAAAAGGCTTCCTGAACAGGCTCCATCCGTAAATCCCAGACATCCTCGCTGCTCGGGCCTGTCTTGAACTTGATCGCTTTCTTCCGGTTGTGATCTCGGATGGCCTGCTTCCGTGTCGACTCGGACCATGTGCGGGTCTTCATGCAGAGCCAGAAATTATCCCAGTGCTCACTACATGACCGTAGTTCGCCGTATCGGTATACATTGACAAATTGACCCCCGAATGATTGGCAGAAGAAGGCGTAATCGAACGCTGCGCGGCAGGACATGGTATCGGGATAGAGCGATTCCGGCGCAATAGAAGCTGGGGAAGAGGAGGACGGTGAAGTAGTGGTATCTGCAGACGATTCTGTAGTAGTAGAAGTAGTAGTAGTAGATGACGATGATGTCTGCTGTGAGGCCCGATTCGACCCATTCAGGTCTCCTTCCAGACTGGCCAGCAGTTGCTTCCACTCGGCGTCGGCCTGCTCATCGCGAGTCAACTGCCGCGGTGGTGACGGTGCGGGTGGGTTGCTGGCTGGCAATGGTTGCGGAGGGGGAGTCTCAGTCTCCTGTTTCGGAAGTGATGAGGAATTCCACCACCAACCCATTGTCTGAATTGAAGGACAGACAGTGTTGATGTTAGAGGACTGGAATTAGAATGAGTTCGAACAAAGTCCGCAGCGAAGGTCTGTAAATTTCATAACGATACGGTACGGTATAGGCCGGTGCTCCACCTGCGTTATGGCCTGTATCGTACTGTACGTACCTATCTATCCATCGACGTCATCCATGGAGTTTGATGTCTCTCTTTCGCTTCATCCATGTCAGCTGCACTAGAGCCAGAATATGATACGACAGACATGTTTACTGGGGACAAAGAATGTCTTTCTGACATCTCTGCGCTGGACGAGAGCGCTACCGGTTCTCATCGCAAAGGACGATGCTGTCAGGCGACGCGGTATTACTACCACTACTACTACAGCCACTTCACATGCCTCCCACCTCGAGACAGGACACATCGGGTTGAACGAAAACGAGGGTCTGCTATTTGTAAATAGTGAGGACTACAGAATCTATCTGTATAACCTCCCCGATAGTACGATTCCAAGCTGATGATCGGTTGATCCAGACATCTTTCCTTCGAAACTACAGTGGCTATTGCTAGGGCCTCTCCGCGCCGGTCGATCCTATGACGAGGCCTTGAAGCGGATCAATAAACCGCATGTGGCGGCGTCTGACCCACTACACATCATAGACCGTGTTTTCCCAGAAAGTCTGGACCTGAAGATCCAAGAAATCGTCCCGCGCTTCAGAGAAGGCGGCGCCTTCGTCAAGTATGCCCGAAAGGCGGGGCTCAAGGATGTAGACGTCGAAACAGCCATCAGGGCAAATCTACAGGAACGTCCCATTCGCCCGTGGTTCAACCCGTTCCAGGCGGTCGGAGTGGCCCGGGTCCTGGGACGTCCATGGATCGAAGATCTATATCGCATTCCTAGCCAGCGACTGAAAGTCGAGTTCCTGCCAACGTCGGCAGACGGAACGGCGGTGGATTTGACGACCGAGTGTCTCTATTCATCCTTTCGCAGCTATGGTAAACTGAAAGACATTGAAAGACAGCCGACGGACTCGAAAACCATCCCAAGGTACGCTTTTGTAGAGTTCTCTCGCCCTAAGTATGCGGTCATGGCCAAAAACTGCATGCATGGATATATTGTCCCGGAGTCCGAGGGAGAGGGAAAGTCGGGTACCAGGATCAAGATCAAGTACGAACGGAAAATCAAGTTCACCATGATCAAGGACTGGCTCCTGAGCCACCCAAGAATTGTAATTCCCGCCGTCGCTGCGCTCGTCGCTGCCTTGACGGTGGCCATTTTTGACCCCATCCGCACGTTCTTCATCAAGCTTAAAATCAAAGCTACCCTTCAAACCGAAGAGAACCCTGTGCTGCAGTGGATTCGTAAACAAGCCAACAAAGCCAATATCATTTACTTTGGCCGTCGCGGAGCCGACCCGCGCGGGCTGACGGCAATCTGGGAGGACCGCCAGGCGGACATCTCTCGGCTTCAATCCTGGCTGATGGAGAATGTCCAAACATTCATCGTTATCCATGGTCCTCGTGGTTCGGGGAAACGTGAGTTGGTTTTGGACCATGCCCTGCAGAATTACAAATACAAAATAGTCATCGACTGCAAGCAGATCCAAGACGCCAGGGGGGACTCGGCAAAGATCGCACGGGTAGCTAGCCAAGTGGGCTATCGACCAGTATTCTCATGGATGAACAGCATTAGCAGCTTCATTGACCTTGCCGCGCAGGGCATGATTGGCACCAAAGCAGGATTTTCGGAAACTCTGGATGCGCAACTCAGTAAAATCTGGCAAAACACTGCCACGGCTTTGAAGAGCATCACTCTGGAAACCAGGCAAAAGAACGACAAAGACTCACATCTCACCGACGAGGAATACCTCGATGCTCATCCTGAGTTACGTCCCGTGGTGGTCATTGACAACTTTTTGCACAATGCCAACGAAGACAGCGTGGTATACGATAAAATCACGGAGTGGGCTGCAGGGTTAACAGCCGGCAATATCGCCCATATCATCTTTTTGACAACTGACGTCTCCTTTGCTAAACCGCTCAGCAAAGCAATGCCAAACTCGGTTTTCCGGATGATTTCCCTGGGTGACTGCTCCCTTGAAGTCGGAAGGAAATTTGTGCTTAGTCATCTGGCGGACGATGCGAAGACCGGAAACAAGCTGAAAGCCAGGGGCGAGGAGAACCTGGAGGGCCTCGACAGTTGCATTGAGACATTGGGAGGTCGCGTGACGGATCTTGAATTCATGGCACATCGGATTGAGGCAGGGGAATCCCCTGGAGGTAAACCAGTTAGCTACTCCTAACGGCCGGGAACTTTGCTGACATTCACGCAGCGGCTGTCAACCGCATTATAGAGCAATCCATGTCCGAAATTTTGAAGATGTTCATACTGGGGACGGAAGCTGGGGCACAGACGTGGAGTCATGAACAAGCGTGGTCCTTGATCAAGGTGCTGGCAAACGCCGAGGGTGGCACGGTACCTTATAATCGAATCCTTCTCTCGGACCTGTTCAAGGAGAATGGTGAGGCCACTCTCCAAGCTCTTGAACAGGCGGAACTCATCTCCATCGTCTCCGTCAACGGATGCCCCGAGGCCATCAAGCCTGGAAAGCCGGTCTATCGTGCTGTTTTTAAGCGGCTGACTCATAACACAAGCCTCAGTAGTCGCCTGGACTTGGAAATCCTATCACAGTTAATTCGCAGGGAGAACCAAAGCATTGCCAAATATGAGGAGGAACTTCAGTTGCTGGGGACCTTGCCGAAGCAGCCCCGCGAGCTAACATATAGGATCCAATGGCTCCTACAAAAGGTATATAATTCCCAAAATACCATCAGCAAGTACGAGAGCGAGAGTGTAACGTTGCGGAAGGTCCTGCAAAGTGAGGGTGGAGGACAAGGGGGATGACTGCAGGTGATAAAGTGGCTTTTGCATATACTTTTTTTTTTTTTTGTTCCTATTTGATTGGAAATAATAGAAATGAAATGAATGGAAGACGGACGCTAAGATAAGCGGTAACCTTAGTTACCGTACCCCGTGCCACCTTACGGTAATCTTCGCTATTCTTAGAACGAACGAACGTTCTGCTCTTGTTGGATGTGGATGTCATAAAAGCGATCCAACACATCGTGCATCCATCGTTCTTTGTTTCTCGTCGTGTGGAGGAGTTTAGTTGGCCTGGATTCATCTGGTTCTCTCTCCCCCTTTTCCACCCTTTTCGGTGGCTTTTTCCGATCGTGTATTAGACACATGTCCATGCTCCTGTATTGGCAGTAGGACAACAACGACGACAAAAAAGAAAGGATCATGGACAAATATACCGCCCTACCAGAGGGGCTGATTCACAGAGTCCAAGAAAATATGCCCGAGATGGGCTGGCCAATGCTGGTGGCTATTCTGGCATTTATTTGCTTGACCACGCGCGTCATCTCTGGACTCCGGAGTGAAAAGGCAGGGACAGATCAACCACGATCTGTGCGGATGGTGCCGTACTGGTTTCCTTGGGTGGGCCATGGTATTTCCTTTGCCTGGAACCACGTAAAACTCGTTGGGAAGGCAAGGGATCGTCTGAATGAACCCATCATAGGCCTTTATATGGGTGGCAGAAAGCACGCCATGGTAGTATCACCATCAATGGCGAAGTCATCCATGGCTTCACGAAGCGCGTCCAGCACGACTCTGATCCATTACGCGCTGGAGACCATTTTCGGGGACCATAAAGCCGCCCTCCGTAGTCTGGACCCGGCGGGCTATAAAGAATTCCACCATACGATCCCGAATCATATGCTGCGGGAACCCTTTATCTCGGAGGCCACTGCGGTGCTCGTCCGCATGATAGAGCTGGAGACACCAAATCTAGTGACCTTTTGCCACAGCGTGGTGGATCAAGCCCTCTGGGAGCGTGGCAGCGACCTCACAGTCGTGGGTGAACCCGGCAAGTCCGCTTGTGAAGTGAACTTTTTCGCCTTGATCCGAAACTTCGTAGGACAGGCCACCACGGCTACGCTCATGGGACAGGCGATCTTGGACGTCTATCCTAACCTCCTGAAGGACGTCTGGACGCTCGACGACCGGTTTCCCTTTGTAGCCATGGGCCTCCCTCGCTGGTTACCGATTCCAGGACTGACTGCAGCGTACGCGGCCCGGAATCGTCTTCTCGAGGCCATGGCAGCGTTTCAGCAGGCCTTTAATTACTGGGATGATGGGATCGACCCGGGGATCAAATTCCGTGATCTTGATGATGTCTGCAAACCCATCAAGCAACGAATGCGATTGTCCAAAAGTTTAGGATTAACGCCACAATCCTGTGCCCCCGGACATCTGTCTCTTCTATGGGCAATGAATGGGAACTCTCCTAATATTGTCTTTTGGCATCTCCTTCGCCTTTATACGGACCCTACCCTTCTGGAGGAGATTCGGAAAGAGATTGCGCCTCATGCAAAGGCTTCAAGGCCTACCAGAGAAGAGACCGGTTTTCCTTTTCACGAGCCTCCCAAGATCTCCATCGATACTGAAGGCCTGTTCAAGTCCTGCCATTTACTGAAGGCCAGCTTCTACGAAACTTTACGTCTGGATGCGGCGCCCCTTTCATTCCGGGAACTCACGTCCGATCTGATAATTCGTGAGTCCGACAAAGATGCCGAAATCGCTGGTACAGGCCAGCCTCGAGCGTACGAAGTCAAGAAGGGCGCTAGTATTTCCGTCATTCATGGAGTCATCCATAACGACGCTCGGTATTTCTCCAATCCGGGGCAGTTCGACCCCCTGAGGTTTATCCTGGCTGATCCCGAAACGGGTGCGAGGCAGGCCAAATTACACACCATCAACCCTTTCGGCATCGGCACGTCCGGCTGCAAGGGACGTGTTTTTGCAGAGAAAGAGTCTCTAGCCTTTGTCGCTGCGATCATCTCCCTGTGGGATATTAAGTCAGTGGATGGACAAGGCCTCTCTCTTCCGAAACATCGGCCGTCTACGGGCGTTTACTTGCCCAAAAAAGATATCAGGGTACGGATTTCGTCACGGGTTTGATCCACACTGGATGAACGGGACGTTTTCTTTTCTTTCCATTCTTCTCTCGGCGTACAAGAGTCATAGGCTAGTATATTTTGTTAATTTAGTACGTTTGGTCGGGGTTCTGACGTTCTGGCGCAATCTGTTTCCCTAGAAGGCAATTGTATATCTATTCTATTTCGCACATAGCGGCTGTTTTTGCATACGAGGGGTCTTCAATAATCCACTCCCTCGAGATCTACATTGATCGATAAACAGTGTTAGTGACCAATAGTCCTGGAGCGAATGGCATTGCCAACCGACTGGACTCACGGAAAAATATCCGAAGTACGGAGTTTTGCCGATGCGTGCGATATTGGAGTGTTCGATCACCTCATCGTTGCCGTTGCTATGATCTGGGTAAAGAAAAAACTGAGCAGCCAGGCTTATCAACATTGGATGAGAATATGCAGGACCAACGGGACTATACATCTGACCAGGACTATGATCTGTCAAATCCATTATCCTCCACTTCAGGCCTTCGCCAGGGATTGACTTCATATGGCGACGCACATTTCTCTCTGTTTCTCAGGAAAGTCTTCATCAAGGCGTTGGGCTACTCTGAAGACGCTCTTTCCCGTCCTATTATTGGAATTATCAATACTTACTCGGGATTTAACCCATGTCATGCCAACGTTCCACAACTCATAGAGGCTGCGAGGCGAGGGGTCCACCTCCATGGTGGTTTGGCCATTGAGTTCCCTACCATTAGTGTGCACGAGTCATTCTCGTACCCGACCAGCATGTTCCTGCGGAACTTGATGAGCATGGACACAGAGGAGATGATCCGTGCTCAACCACTGGACGCCTGTATCATGATTGGAGGTCTAGCTCTCCCTCTCCCATCTTGTGAGACGAGGAATTGACCGAGCACAGGGTGTGACAAGACTGTTCCTGCACAGTTGATGGGTGGTATCTCTGCGAACAAGCCGATCTTGCCCCTTGTGACAGGACCTATGATGCCGGGTAGTCATCGGGGCCAAAGAATAGGAGCGTGTACCGATTGCCGGAATAACTGGGCTGCGTTTCGGGCAAAGGAGATGGATATCGAAGAAATCTCGGCTCTCAATGAAGAGCTTGCACCAACGGTACGTCCCAAGTGTCCATTTGCTTCCAAATCCGTCAACTCGGGCTCAGATTACTAACTAGCTACCACAGATCGGGACATGCGGTGTGATGGGCACTGCCAGCACAATGGCTTGCATTACTGCTGCTCTGGGATTGATGCCACTTTGGGGAGCTTCTGCTCCAGCAGTCTCGTCAGCAAGAATCAGGGTAGCAGAAGAGACAGGGGCAAACGCCGTAGCAGTAGCGGTCTCTAAGCGGAAGCCACAAGATATCCTGTCCGAAGAGTCATTTGTAAATGCAATTACCGTGTTACAGGCCATTGGGGGTTCAACAAACGCTGTAGTGCACCTACTCGCTATTGCGAACCGACATCCCGAACTGACTGGGGTGATAACTCTGCAAAGCTTCGAAGAGATTGGTCGGAAAACGCCTTTACTGATTGATCTTAAGCCGAGTGGAGATAATTATATGAATGATTTCCATAATGCCGGCGGCATGCTGGCGTTGTTGCACACCCTACGTCCGCTTCTCCAGCTTTCGGCCATGACCATTACCGGCCTAACATTGGGAGAGCTTCTAGATGCTTCTACTTTCCGAACATTCCCACTTTCGATGCAGATAGTTCGGCCTCTATCAGACCCTCTTTATCCATCGTCTTCTCTGATTGTCCTTCGTGGGAACCTTGCGCCTGATGGCGCTATTATGAAGGCATGCGCATCCAAGGATCGGAACCTGCTCTCTCATACAGGACCAGCCATGGTCTTTGAAAATGCGGCAGATTTAGCGCGACGGATTGACGACCCAGAGCTTCCAGTCACCAAGGACTCTGTTCTCATTCTCCGGGGGATCGGCCCCGTCGGCAACCCTGGGATGCCAGAATCTGGTCTGATTCCAATTCCCCGCAAGCTCGCTTCCGCAGGCGTCCAGGATATGCTGCGCCTCTCGGATGGCCGAATGTCTGGCACGGCTGGAGGTACAATCATTCTTCATATATCTCCCGAGTCCGCACTGGTTAAATCGCCGTTTGGCTTGGTACAAACCGGGGATCTGATCACCTGTGATGCCGACCGCCGAAAGTTGCAGGTGCAGGTTTCGGCCGAGGAATTGAAAAGGCGCATTGACACACGGAAACAGCGGTTGACTGATGGAACCCGTAATACCGTGCCACAGCGAAGGAAAAGAGGATACATTGGCCTGTACGAGCGATGTGTTAACCAAGCGCAGCACGGGGCTGATTTTGATTTCCTCTCGGCGAACGGGCCGGATAGTAAATAAATGATTGCATCTGGAATATCACTACCTCTGAACCAGAGATTCGGAATGAAAAATTCGAAGAAAATAGATTCCCTAGGCAAGGTCTTGTAGACCGATACATAGCATAGTACTCCGTGCTAATTTCCAACCCTGACCCCGTGCCCTAAGCCCTTTATTCTACCCGATTGGGCTAAACATTGGCTGACGCGACGCGTGTCGGACGCGTCGAACGCGAGCCTCCCCGATGCAGCGAAGCATTGAGGGTGTCCGTTTGGCATGGAAAACTGGCTTTCTATCCCCAGACTGACCCGTCTCTGTGATAAGTCCGACTTTTACCATGGCTTCGGAAGCCATTCGTCCCAGGGGCCGACCAGCCCGTAAGTTGAATCGACCAATTGAATGAATGGATGTTTTCTTTCCCTCCATCGTCCAAGCTGACCGGTGCTATCCCTCGCATTTCAGACACACCCGGGCCTACGGTTCTGGCGTATACTCCAGACGGTCGCCACGTTATCACGGGTGGTTCGAATTCTGCTATCCGGATATACACTGTTGGGCAGGATGGAGAGCCCAAGACGGTGGATGAAGGGGTCGACGGCCACCTTGGAATTGGCGCGACGGTATGTCACACGTCATGCATTCGATTGCATCACATGGGGTAAGAAACTAAGGGGATTACCAGAATCAATCGTTTATCATGGGTGCGGAAGATGGAACAGTTTGGCAGTATGAGATTGGATCCGGCAGAATGGAGAAATTACTGGTTCGATGCGCCTTGCCCGTGAGAGATGTCGCAGTCTCGAAAGACGGAGAATGGGCGGCGGTGGCAAGCGAGTCAGTGTTCCATGACCAACGTGGCTTGCGAGCCAGACGGGGCTGACCTTCTTTTGATGCAGTGAGCTTACGGTGAAAATTGTCAACATCGAGGATATGACGAAAGTTAAATATCTACGTGAACAAGCCAAGGGAACGAAGCATGTCACCTTTGACCCTAGCGGGCGTTATATTACGGTATCTTGTACTGATGGACTCGTTTATGTCTACTCATTGCTCTCTGATGAGCCGGAACTTGTGCGGAAACTGGACGGTGTGATTCAGCGACTAGAAGCGGAGGACGAAGCAACGTCAAGAGTGGTTTGGCATCCAGACGGAACGGCATTCGCGTCCGCGGAAGCCACGCGAGACATTTCAATCTTTTCCACAGGGGAGTGGAAGAAAGAAAAAGTCTTCTCCGACGGCCATAATGGCGTAATTACAGCCGTCAGTTGGTCTCCCAACGGAGCACTTCTCGCCAGTGCCGGAGCGGACGGCCAGGTGCTAATCTGGGAGACGAAAACACAGCGGGTTCTGCAACGTTATGACTTCCCGAATGTGATCAATCTTGCCTGGCATCCCAGGATCAACTCACTTTCATTCACGACGTCCGATGGAGAGCTGTTCATTTACGACGGGATTGTGTCGCGAGAACACCAGCCACTCCTCCAGAAACCGCTCCAAGCCGCTCCTATATACCCTGATCCACTGGCCGATATCTCTGGGAACGTGATACCACCGTTAGAGAACAGACCCAAGGCATCGATCGAACGGACAGAACGGGCAGGATCTCCGGACTCTCTGGATGACATCCTTGGGATTGATCACAGCGTGGAGGATTTTGTCGATGACGATGATGGAGCTGGTTATGCAGAGGGCATGAACGGCTTCGGAAAGCGAACGAGCGGACATCTGGACGATATCGAAGGACATGCCAATAAGCGGATACTGACCTCTTTCTCGAGGCCTAAGGTGCACCCTCCTCTGCAGCCCGGCAGCACGCCCTGGCGGGGAAACAGACGGTACCTCTGTATGTGCCCATTGCGCACGCCATCGAGAGATTATTGCTGTTATGCTAACTGGACCAGGCCTGAACTTGACCGGCGCCGTGTGGACGGTTGACCAGGAGACACACAACACTGTGACGGTGGAATTCTACGACCGAGAAATGCATCGTGACTTCCATTTTACCGACCCGTATCTCTACGATCGTGCATGCCTCAGTCAGTCCTCGTGTGCCCATTGCGGTTGAAACTCTATACTGACCGCACTTAGACGAGAATGGGACACTCTTCTCCAATAACCCAACCGATGGTAGCCCTGCCACAATATTTTACCGCCCCCATGAGACGTGGACAACACGAGCTGACTGGCGGACCCAACTGCCCCAAGGGGAACAAATTCGAGGTAAGGACGTCCCATATCACCCCGTTCTGGTCAAGTAGGCTGATTCGAGTAGCGCTGGCGCTAAGTGAGTCCTACATTGTGGCCGTAACAACGAAAGATTACGTCCGCGTATATACGCTATTCGGCACGCCATTCAAAGTGTATCGACAGAAGAGCCCCGCCGTGACTTGCGCTGCATGGCGGGACTATATCATGACCGTGGGAAATGGACCCCTGGGGAGTGACGGCCGGACGGCCACCCTCCGGTATTCCGTTGAGAACGTCAAACGGGATGAGATCTGCCAAAACGAAGACGTAGTGGCCATCCCGGAGGGGTCTGAATTGAAGAGCGTCTTCTTTTCTGATACCGGAGTAAGTCTGCCCAAGTGACAACAAGCTCTAGATGGCGCTAACGTGCTTCTAGGATCCATGCATCTACGACTCAGAGGGAGTCCTCCTTGTTTTACAGCACTGGCGCACTCCTGGACAGGCTCGATGGGTGCCACTTCTGGACACGCGGCAACTGGAGCGTCTTGCGACGGGGCGCAAGGAGGAAACGTACTGGCCGGTAGCCGTTGCGCAGGACAAATTCCACTGCATCATCCTCAAAGGAGGGGACCGACACCCATACTTTCCCCGACCTTTACTTAGTGAATTCGACTTCCGCATCCCGATCTCGAATGCGCCCGGCAAGGGGGCCCAGGACGGCGAGGAGGATGGCGCTGGGACTCGCCAGGAGAGTGTGAAGTTTGAGGAGGCGTTCGTGCGAGGGCACGTTCTGCTGTCCCTGTTCCAAGACGTGCTGGCGTCGACCAACGCGACGGCGAGTCAGCGGGCAGAACTGGTGCGGAAGGAGCTCGAAGTGGATAAGATCCTTCTTCAATTGCTGGCAGTGGAGTGTCGCGAAGGCGAGGATCGGGGGATGAAGGCGCTGGAGCTGGTGCAACTGATGAAGGATCGCAACGGCAAGATGGTGGAGGCAGCGGTTAAGGTGGCCCAACGGTATGGACGAGGCGTGTTGGAGGACAAAATCCGCGAAGTGGTCGAGCGACGGTATACGGGAGAAGATGACGATGAATTGGCTTGATAATTTATTGATAGAAAACTGACTGAATGAATGAATATAGTAGTAGTAATAAAGAAAGTATCGGAGTACTGTCTGACTGCGGAGTGGGTCCGACGTCATCATCCCTGCTCTTCGTGTTTTTCTCTCTCTTCCTTGGTATTCTTTTCTTCTTCTTCCACTCCATGTCCTCGGAATCTCTCTGCCCGTGATGCTGGTCTCGTTCACTCTGCCTCGTCGCGCCCGGCATCCCATTTTCCGTTGCGTCCGTCCACGAAGACTCTTCGTTGCATCGTCTGTACAACCGCTGGCTCATCCCCAACAAGGCATCCTCCATAACAGTCATCAAGCTCCTACCCAGTTCTCGCAGACGGGGTTCAGATCGTCGGTGACGGACGGATTCGATAACGATTCTCGTCGCGATCATAAACCGCCAGACGAGCGGATCCTGAAGCTTGGAAAAAGTTGGTCCTTCCCTTTCTTTCCTTTCTCTCATGAAGTCTTCTAACGACAGCGACAGCTCTTCGCATTCTCTCGCCTCTATTACCGACTCTCCTCGTCAATCCTTTACCGTCGAAGATCCTCTCGCCCAGCATCACCCTCCATCTCTTCCCTTCGACTCATCCACACCTCCCCACTGTCAAGGGTCGCACGCTCTATCGCGCCGCGCTGTGGACCGTCCCCGTGGCATGGAGCAGTCTACCCTTGGTCGGCAATGTCAAGCTACAGATCCTCAGCGAGCGCATGGTTCGTTCTGGCGCTGTGCTCGATCCAGATCCATGCGCCGACAATGACTGCGGTGACGAACGACTCGTCGTGCGCTGGCGCACCGAACATCGTCACAAACATACATCGACCCTCAACCATCAAGAGCGTCGACAAGAACAACAACAAGAAGAAAAAGCACCCAGGGATCATACTTCTTCCAAATCTGGCATCAACAAAGGTCTCAGCGTCTTACTAGGCGGCGACGCCCCCATCTTCCAACTTTCCAAGGAGGAACAGTTCACCGGCCTATTCATCTTCTCCTTCGACGAAGAAGGTCGCATCCTGTCACATACCATAGAGCATGCCGATAATGCCACGGGATGGGACCGCACCGCCAAGTTCGTCACCTTGACCGATTGGTTGATCGGTAAGGCGAGAGGGTCGTTGCATCCTGCTGCTGAGACGGGGTTGGCGATCCAGGGGTGTCAGGATTTTGGCCATTTGAGTCATTCGAGTCATTTTCGTCCTTCTCCATCAAGAGGGAGATGTCGGTCGTCCTGTCGGTCATAGCGTATAGTTTATTTTATATCCTTGATAGATTTTACACTCTGGTTGGAATCGTCGTCAATGCCAATACCCCGCTCTTCTCTGGTCTTCTCTGTTCTGAGAAATGATGGATATATCTATGATTTTATTTTTATTGTTGTTCTACGGATCATATGGCAGGGATGGATCTGGTTTATCGGGTGACATCTCCTCTCTTTGATTCTGTATTTACTGCTTGGTCTTATGTATACTATACCCAGCTACGAAGTATAAATCTATCAGACACCAGTGCCACAACATATTTTTATATTATATATTCGTACCGACCTGCGGTGATCTTGAATCATCCTATCCGATACAGGATCTATTGTTCTATACAGACAATCCAAAAAATAGATCACTGACTTACACCGGGCGCGACAACGACGTAAACACCACCCCACACACCGCAAGCATGATAACTCCCCCTGTGGTATACGCGACCTCGCGCCCAACCCACCAGAATAGCGAGCAGAAGAGCATCGGCCCAATCGCCCGCCCGACCTGTCCCCAACTTCTCAGCCGGCCCAGCACCGCTCCCCGCTCGCCTTCCACCGCCTCCAGACTGCCCAGGCTGTTCAGACCCGTGACCACTGTCGCACTGGTGACGGCCAACAGTCCGCCCGCGCCGTACAGCCCCGCCAGCGAGGAGACCCGCGCCAGGAGGAAAAAAGAAATGGTGCAGGTGACCACCCCGACGCGCACGATGACGAGCGGGGGTAGCCGCCGCACGACGGTGCCCTGGAGCAAGGAGGCGAGAAGACCCATCATGGACAGCAGACGGCCGTTCAGAGCGGAAGGGGTGGCCGAGCTGGTCGCGTAGAAGGTCGCCGTGAGGAACGGAAGGGAGAACTCCATACCTGAGAACGGCAGGAGAAAGAGGAAATGGATGGCATTGAGGACCGCAGGCGCGTTGGTGTGTGGGCGTGGGGCGGATGATCCAGTAGGAGTCGTGGTCGAAGTAGGCGTGGTGTCCGATTCCGACGCGCTCGCGTGGCGGAGTTTCGTGAGACGAGGATGCGTCTCCGGAAGACTCCGGTACAGATACGCCGTCTCCACCACGATCAGCAGTAGCGACACGCCGGCCGCCGTGGCGAAGGGATTCGCGGCGACGGTGGTGACATTCGAGAGGGCGGCTCCCAGCGCCGGCCCGCAGGTGAAAGCAATGCTAAAACACGCGCCGACGAGGGCCATGGTCGATCCCCGCTGGCGAGGATCGCTGATATCGGTGGCGATGGCGTGGGCAAGCTGCACATTCCCCTCGCTGAGGCCCCCCACGAAGCGGCTGGCGAGAAAGGTGCGGAAGTCGGTGGCAGCGACCCAAAGCGCAACGCTCAGTGTGTTCCCCAGCATCGAGCAGAGCAGGGCCGTCCTGCGGCCATGTTTGTCGGAGAGGCGGCCGATAAATGGGGCGGCGATAGCCTGTAGGAGCGAAAACAGCGAGCCGAGGGCGCCGCCGAGAAGAACGATGTCGTAACGCGAGTCGATGGGTTTGGCGAACGCGTTCTTGTAGGCATTGAGGTAGAGGAAGACGCGGTTCAACGGCGCATTCGGGGACGGGTCTTGGGTACGGTAGAAGGAGAGCAGAGACGGGAAGAGTGGAAGAATGAAGGTAAAGGATATCTGGGTAGAAGGATTAGAATCAAAGCTGGAAATCGGGGGAAAGAACATACCAAATCCAGGAGCAACGAGATCATCAAGACCCGGAGGATCTTCTTCCGCTGATCTGCGGCGAGAGCCATAGTGGAATGAGTCCTGAGGAATTAGGGAAAGAAAAACGAAGAACAAAAGTGAAGAAACGGTGTGCTTAGATAAGCATCTACAGACACAATATTATACAGAGTATATAGAGAATATCTACAAAGAATACGCCAACTACCTCAACCTCTGCCATTCTCCCCCGTCCACTCAATCGCAGGATTAACTAAAATAAAATACAGAATTACAAATCAGGAATACTATGCACGCTCAAGAATTGCAAGACATGTACAACCAGCTTTGGGGGAAATTCGACCATCCAAGAGAAAGAGCCTTCCCACCTGGCCCTTGTTGCAACCGTTTCAAGAGATTCGTTGCTGTCGTGAACCATAACACCGCCAAGACCCGTGAGATTAGAGAGCAGCATTGCTGTAAACATGTGCTGAAGATAGAGCGACCCAAAGAGAGGCAAGTGAGATAGGGTAGAGCGCAGGGTAGAGCGCAAGGTAGAAAGACCATCCAGAGTAGGATTCATTTCCATTTACTGGCCTCCGGTAGGTGCCGCCGCCGGAGAGCCGTTGGGACCACCACGTCCACGACCTCCACGACCTCCACGCCCACGGCCTCTGAATTCACCACGACCGCGCCCCCGGGAGCCATCTCCTCGTCCACGTCCGCCTCGGCCACGACCGCGGACGCTATGCTGTCGCTGATGATGCCCCGTTCCTTCTGCAGCGTCACCCTGTTGGGCCTTGGGAGCCGAGCCATCCTCCTCGTTGGGGGTGGTGGCCTCCGCCGCGGGTGAGTTCCGCGCATCAGCATTGACAGCCGCAGGGGTCGCTTCGAGGCCAGTGTCGGTCTCCGCCGGATCGCGTGGCACCTCCACCCAGCTCTCCGTAACTGCAGACGAGGTGAGAGACCCGGCGGTGGCATCCCAGTTGGCCTCCGCGACAGCGTTCGCCGCGTCGGACACCATGGTCTGAGCCGGGGGAGCAATCTGCTCGGAGGGGGTGCCGGCAGGTTCAGGCTCGTTCGCGGCCGCAGCACTAGTGCTGTAGGTAGACTCTTGTAATTCAGTGTAACCCGCATTCACCAACGCTGAATCGGACGCGGGAGCAACATCGGCTGTGACTTCTTCCGTCGTAGGGGTTTGTTCTTCGGAAGTCTGCTTCACCTTGCCATCTAATCCACCGAAAATCTGTTAGCTTTGAAGAAATCATCCTGGGGAGGGGGAGATGGAACAGAACGACTTACAGGTGACGTCGAGTGTTTCCCCTTCGACGCTGACCACCAGCTCATCCACACCATCGATCACCTTGAGCATAGACGTCACGGCATCGTGCGACCCTGCATAGACCTGGTAGAGCACGCCCTCAAATGCGCGCGTCACACTAGATGTTTCGTCGCCGGAGCGTCTCATAGTAGCCGCAGCGCAAAGGAACTTGCTCAGAGTTAGCAGCCGCAGCCGCAAGTCCTTCTGGCCAGCTTCGCTCGCCTCGAAAATCGCCTTCTCCCGGACCGCGCTCAGTTCCTCCTGGTGAGCCTTTTCCAGCTCGGCTTTCTGACTGGCCAGGCGCTGCTCATACTGAGTGGCGAATTCTTTGTAATGGGCGATCTGCTCCTCGATCTGAGCGACACTGGCTTGGAGGGCGGGTTTCTTCTCCGCTTGTGCCTTCTGATCGGCGTTAATCTTCTTTTCCGCCACGAGTTCGTCCAGTGATTTCCCGGGGTTTTCAGCAATGATGGCATCGACCTTGGTGGTGGCATTCTGTAAAGGGTAGGCATCAGCGGTGAAGGCGAGGAGAACAAAGATCAACCTCGGTGACTAACCAGCTTTTTGTTCGCATTGCGCAAGCTCCTATCCAAGTAATACCGTGAGCGATGAAGCCTGACAAGCAGCACAAGCTTACCCAATGCTGCATGGCACGGTCTTCAGGCACTTACCTTTGGAGGTCCTTGAGGTACGGGCTATCAATACTCTCCAGGCCATTGGTGGTCGCAGAGTGACCATCCAACTTGGGCACGGTAGAAGCACTGGGAACATGTTTCTGCTTTTGCCTTTCCGACGAAGACTCGGATTGTGCTTGAAGATTGCTGTTGATGGTGGCGGCAGCCATGGTGCTAGTGTATGTGTTGGGATAGGATCTTGAGAGCTGGTTCTCTCGACGAGAAAAGCAAGTATTAAGGGGGAGGGAGAGAAAACAAATAGTACTGCCTTGGATAGATGATACGAGAATCAAGCAGAGACGAGAGCGCTGGGGGGAAGCGAGAGGGAGAAGGCGAGAGAAATAGACAAAGAGAAGCTGGTCGAAGATGCGGGTGGAACTCTTCCGAACCTCAGTCAGGCCGCGCAGTCGCGTGCTACTGCATCCAACCAGCGCCCAGCCAGTTGTCACTTTTTCATTCACTACAACTGAATCTAAGGCCAGGGGAGGTATCCTGGTTCGTGGGAAATCTATCAAGTCCTTGGAATGGGATGCTTCGATTCTTAAGGGGTATCGTCCAACTCCATCAACGCCGTCACGTTCTCCCAACCAGACATATAGCTCTAGTTCTGTATAAAAAGATCAATTACAAAAAGCTTTTTTGAAAGAGAAAAAAAAAAAAAAAAAAGGAATAGAGTCAGCAACAGCTATTCCCACTAGTCAACCCCTCTGGAATTGTAGTCCAAACACAGCCCTTCCATTGGAAAAGCATCGTCTATAATCCTGTGTCCGGGGATTCGGAGCATCATTAGGAATTAAGAGGTTCGCTCATCCTTTGAATTTTCGTAGGGTTTTCTGCGAACAAAATGAATCAGTAGACCATTCGCCAAATGATCGTGACGAATACTCATGCCGACGCACCTCTGTCACCTTCCGAACCGAATTGGGGGAGATATGCTTTTCCCCTGCTTTACGCGACCGAATCGACGATTCCCGCATCAACCTAAAGAACATCTCAGTATATAGATTCCTCATATCCTCTTTCCCCTTTGCCCGCTGCAGAGATCTATAATACTGCGCAGGATTTAACCCGTCGGTCATGGCTCACTCTTGCATGAACAGCATGTAATCCAGAAAGACCTGCAGATAAACAAATATTAGCCACGAATAGCTCCGACTGCGATGTCCTGGAACTCAACGCTCACCAGGATGTCGGTATTTTTGCTGACACTTCGATTGGAATGGGCTTTGACAATACGCTTCACGGTTCCCCGAGGGTAGAGCTTCTGGGTGGCCGCCATCTCGATGGAACGGGGATGATAGATGGATCTCAAAGCGTTGGGAAAGAAAGCATGAACCACATGACTCTCTCTGTATTGACATTGGCAATAAGATCCTGGTACGGTATGACGGTATGGTATGTATAGTTTTGTATTCCATCTCGTATCGTATGTATTCACTACAATGACTTCAACAACTTCCCCATCAATACTGCCTCAACTTCTCGCCCTTCCATCTCTCTGTCTTCTCTTTGACCTGTTGTCAATATGTCAGAGATTTTATTTAACAGCTTCCAGATGGGGCTTGTCCCTAACCGTGGCTTCCTAACAATAGCTATGGAAGCCCGTTGCTCTGACATGTGCCTCATTAATCCTGGAGTTCTTCTGATGAACCTGGAATTATGATTCAAATAAAGATGGGAGCATTAAAGCTTAAAGAACAAAAATATTCAGTTTGTTGAGTGACACCCGTCATATATGACAGTACCCATTTCCATGACAAATGGTAGCATGTCATCTGTATGTTTACAGTTTTATCATTCTGGCCTGGTCAACCAGAAGTGAGTCCCAAGGGTCGGAAGGTGAGCTTCATATCCAACTTCGATCTGCTACGTGCTGACTATTTTCCAGGGCCTTGTTTCCACCCAAGTCATCCTTTTTACATGGGAGGATATTTAAGGGATCGGACTAATTCAATTCCCCTAAAGCCTGCAAAACTTTCCAAGTTTCGCCTCGACTCCCTTCGGAATAGAATTAATGCGTATACAGAGCGATATCTATGAATCAAGGCACGTAAAGAATACCTGTCAGGCCGTCGATTATTTGTTTGTCTGGATTTGCTTACAGGCTATTTCGATTTGAGAAGTGTCCGATAATAAAGTCTGTTAATAACTGGAATGTTACATTGATATCGAGCCAGGCCAAGTGCAATCTGTATTTTGGTCGAGTAGGACATGCTAACATATTGACTGAGGGTAATCCACGGCCAAATACATGCTCTATAGTATATTATATTATTACCTAGAAACCTCTGCTGATGCTAAAAGTATTGTATTGGGGTTGCTAGAGGGAGTAAAGACTAATATTTACCCAAATTCCACAACCGGGTCTTCATTGTCGCTCAGAATTCCTCTGTATAATCTAAGAATGAGGGCTTAAAAATAGCACACTATTGTACAGGGCACTCTATGCAATTTTCTACAACGTGAGTCGTCGTTGGTCCCTTACCGACGTCGTCGAAGGAGTCGCCATGCATATATCGCCGCCACGGACCCCATGGCAACCCGCCAGGCCAGGAAAACCTGCATGGCAAGCCGCAGTCGTGCATAGTACCCGTTGAGCATAATGCCCACGGCGTGTTTACTTCCATCGGGGTCCTTGTGGGACGGTTCACAGTACCTGCTGACCCCGAGGCCCCCGATGCCTACTTCATTGTGACCGTCGGTGGTCTCTGATACTGGCAGAGCCGCAGCCTGACTGTCCACCGCGGTGATGCTGGGTCGCCCTCCCGCCTGCATTTGCATCTGATTACGCTTTTTCAGGTGGTATGTAACGATATTCACAATCAACCGCAAATCCGGCACGGTGAAGGTGGGATATTTCCATAATTGTACGGCGGTGTGAGGTGGTAGCATATCCAGAAAGTCAGCCAAGATACCAAGAGTGAGGCCCCAGAGGAGAAGGGGCGGTTCTTGCTTGCAAGGACCGGTCTGGCCTCTGAAAAGCCACGTCTTCCAGCGCTGTGATAGAGAAAGAGGGGGTGCGTGGGTATCGTCAGGGATGGGCCCGGGGGTGGGATTAGATTGTAAGCTTTCCGTCGGTCGTAGTCGGATGGCAGAGAACTCCATCGTACCTAGCAAGCAGCGGTAGAAAAGTCGAGGTATGAGCAAGCCCATGTTTGAATACCGCTGAGAGATGTCAACGTTTTCTACAGTCCGTAGCGACGGCGACAGAAGCGCCCTGATAGGCACCCAATGAGTCGAAGCTACTTCAGTTGGCTGCAGTCGGAGAGCCGGAGAGTCGCTGCGGGTCGTCAGGAAGATATACGGACATAGGACCATTATTCTAAAGACATTCGCGTCAGCAGAAAAGTTCATCAAACATGAATGGAGGAGACAGACGGCTTCGAGGTCCAGCCCGTAGTGACAACCCGTTCTGGCAAGTTCCCAATATGAATATAATCGTCCGTTGTCAAATCAAGCCCTACTTCCTCCGAGGTCTCTCGAATCGCAACCTGTTTGTCGTCGACATCTTCTGCATCACGCTTGCCTCCCGGGAGAGCAACGTGCCCAGTCCAGCGATCACCCTTGCGAGACGCGCGCTTGATAAAAAGGACTTCCGGGTCCCCATTCTGGACCCAGGTTTCGGAGAAGAATGCGTTTAATCGCTCGTTTACTGGTATGCTTGGGTCGTGTAAAGGCCGGGCGCTGTTCAAGGGGGGCCAGTGGCCATAGGTAGGTCGGACTCGCAGGACTAAAGCGACTGAGGCACGTTTCTTGCACGACGGCGGATTGGGTACATGAGGATATGGATGCCGGTGGAGGTCTATCAAAACATCATGGAGAGAGGCGGACAACGAGGCAGCTTCCTGCGGTGGTTCGGACTTGAGATTCATGGCAGTCGGAGAGCCAAGGCGAGCACTATAACAATATTATACTGGTAGAGGAGAAGGGATTATATAAATATCTAATCGTATGGATGCCAATTCTCAGGATAGGGCCGAAGAATATAGGTAATTAGCTAGCTAAGGGCCGAAACCGCAGTTATCAACAACTCTATCGATACCGCCTGGCCTGGGACAATACGCGTCTCGTACGGACAGGTTCTGTCCGGTATTAGTATTACCAACAGCTCTTTAGATGAGAGTTTTGCCGATCCGCGGGGACCCACTCATGCCTGGTATTATAAGCGGTCTGTGATTGGCTGGCCCAGGTGGAGGAGCAGCTTACCCGAAAAAGAAGGCAACGTGGCACGTGCAGCCATCCCGCTTCGATCATTCGCACTTCTGGCGGCCACTCGGGACCAACTAATTACATGCGACTACTTTAGTAACAGCATCGAACTCCACCATTCTTATCGAAGATGGTCCTAGCTGGGTCTAAACCCTCTCTTCGACGCTCTTGTAGTCTGGACCTCTGCAGATGAGTTAACTGATCCCTGACTGCTTCTTTTTCCTAGTCTTTTCCAACCTCCCTCAACGTCCCACCCTTCTCTCTCTCTTTCTTTCCTAACCTTATCTTATTTCCCCCTCTCCTTTAACCGATCAGTTTCTCTTCAAATCAGCTGTGACCATGCGTTTTGGCAAAACGTTGAAGAATTCCACCTATCAGCCGTGGAATGGGAAGTATATTGATTACCACAAGCTGAAGGTGCTCTTGAAAGAGCATGATGTCACCGGAGATGGGAGTGACTCGGATAGCAGTCAATGGACCGAACAGGACGAGGAAGCGTTCGTCCAGGAACTGATCAACGTCCAGCTGGATAAAGTCAATGCTTTCCAAGTGGAGACCTCCCAGCAATTGAGAGAGCGCACCACTGCCTGCGAACAGAAATTGCGCCCATTGGCTCCCGATGCCGACCATGGGACTTTGGTTGTCGAAGACGAGGTACAACGAAGGTCCGTCGCTTCTGAAGTCCTTCACGAACTGGACGGCATTACGAGGGAAGTCAGCGAGCTGGAAAAATATAGCCGCATAAACTTCACGGGTTTCCTCAAGGCTGCCAAAAAGCATGATCGCAAGCGCGGGGCACGATACCGGGTTCGCCCCCTGCTGCAAGTGCGTCTTTCCCAGCTGCCCTTCAACTCGGAAGACTACTCTCCTCTAGTCCGTAGGTTGTCAGTAATGTACTCGTTTGTTCGCGAGATCCTCAGTCAAAATCACTATGAAACCAGAGACCAGGACGCACCCCGTTTCGGTCAAGATTCATATTCCTCGTTCAAGTTCTGGGTCCATCCGGATAACGTCTTGGAGGTGAAAACCTACATCCTTCGGCGACTCCCGGTCCTTATCTACAACCCGGGAACGTCCAAGGAACCAGAGACCCTCCCGGATGACCCCACGATCACGTCTCTCTACTTTGACGATCCGCAGTTCGATCTCTACACCCAAAAAGTTGCCCGGGCGCCTGAAGCAGGCTCTTTGAGGCTGCGATGGACGGGTAATCTGAAGGACAAGCCTGCGATCTTTTTGGAGAAAAAGGTGGTCACAGACGACGATCGCAGCAGAGAGGTTAGAGTGCAGCTGAAGCAAAAACATGTGAAAGAGTTCCTGGACGGCGAATATCGATTCGACAAGAAAGTCCATCGGATGGAGGACCTGGGGAATGGCGAATCAAGAGAGGCCGAGGCATTCAAAAAGGATGTGGACGAGCTGCAATCATTCATCAAGGAGTACAAATTGCAACCGGTGCTTCGGGCCAACTATACTCGGACCGCATTTCAAATCCCCGGTGACGATCGAATTCGCATCTCTCTTGACAGCAACTTGGCGATGATCCGGGAAGATAGCTTGGATGACGAGCGTCCCTGCCGTGAGCGCGATCAATGGCATCGCACTGATATCGACGATGCAAGCATGGAGTACCCCTTTAGCACCATTCGAACGGGAGAAATCGTTCGCTTCCCATACGCATTGCTGGAGATCAAGTTAAGGGGGCCGACTGCGCACAAGGCAGAATGGATCAACGATCTCATGGTGTCTCACCTAGTGAAGGAGGCACCCCGTTTCTCCAAGTTCGTCCACGGGGTGGCCCAGCTCTTTGAGGACTATGTCAATAGTTTCCCGTTTTGGCTTGGTGAGATGGAAAATGACATTCGGCGGGACCCTGAAACCGCATTTCACGAGGAGCAAGAACGACTGGCCAGACGGGCTGAAGAGGACATGGCCGTGGGGAGCTTTCTGGGGACCAGGACGAGTCCCTCCGTAAAGCCCCTGGTAGGATCACCCGTCGCTCGGATCACAGAGATAGAATCGTCATCGCGACAGCGACAGCCATCCCAGCTTGTGATGCCAGCTCCGAGGGTACCCGCTCCGGAGGAACGCGAACAGCGACAGGAGCCCGAGTCCCCTACCCAGCGAGATCAACGGCCAGCTGCATTGTCCCGCCTCTCCTCACTTTTCCCGTCATTCCCGTTCTCCCGTTTCAGTCGTGCACAACGCATGGCGGTTGATTTGCCGCCGGGGATCCGAGAGCCAGGCATTTGGATCAAAGACGCTGGGCCCGTTCGTGTGGAGAGCAAGGTCTGGCTTGCTAACCAGCGGACGTTTATCAAATGGCTTCATATCAGCATCCTCCTTTCCACATTGTCCCTGGGGTTGTATAACGCGGCGGGCAAACACAACGATGTCGCGCGCGTTCTGTCCGTGGTGTACACTTTCTTTGCTATCTTCTCCGCCGCGTGGGGATGGTATATGTATGAGAAACGAGCGCGACTGATTCGACAGCGTAGTGGACATGATCTGGACAATACTTTTGGGCCGATTGTTGTGTGTATTGGATTGGCGGTGGCGCTCGTGTTGAATTTTGCGTTTAAGGTATGTCAGTCTTGCCCTGTATAGTGAACAAATTGGCTAACAGTGATATCTATTTAGTATACAGCCACGCTTGAAAGGATCCGGGGAGAACAGCCCCGTGATGCTACTTTGCCACTGGTTCAACAGGGAGGACAGACACTGTAGATGATCGCGGGGAGACAATACGCGAATATATATGTATGAATATCTGTACATTCTCATGAATCCGGATTTGAGCTTCTGGCTGTAGATCCTATTACAGAGGTCATGACTCTGGATAATGCGGATCACTTTATAAAAAAGGATCGTTCTGGTAGTGGAATTTATATGTTATATATATATGTACAAGTTTAGAGATGGATAGGTCACGTATATTTCCTACCTTCCGAATGCGCCAGTAAGGGAGCCCGTTCAGGGTCCGAGTTTGTGGGAGACGCACTCGAGGATGAGGGAAGATCCTGCACGGAGGGCTTCCTGCCTGGACGATAGAGGGGACTCGGAACGCAGTTGTGGAAGTTGGTCCTACGATATTAGTTTAGAAGTACCTTAGTAGTAGAAGGAGGAGAACGTACTGATCCAAAAACCCACAGAACAACCACAGATAAATCGTTCCAAGAAAAGCAATGATCCATTCTAGGATGCCGGCGGCACGATATGCAGAGGGAGGAGCATCGTCCGACACGGTGAGGGAGATAAAAGCGACGGCTAGAAAGACCTCGATGAGAATGAGAGCGGTAGAGAGCGAGGCACTGTTGAATTAGCTACTCATATATAATATATCGATACCACAGATATACCCCAAGTGTACTACGGATGATATAAGACAGAAAGAAGGAAAGAAGACGTACAAAACTCGTACCCGTCGACTTCTCCTCCCCCAATTATGCTGCCATATACCTAGATGATAGACGTAGGAGACGAACCCCAGGACTTCATTGAAGTATACAATAGCAGTGCAGGCGGATTGCACGGCCAGCCCAGCGAAACAGATACGAAGGAAGATATGATGCAAATGTTTGTATCGAAAGGTATCCATGACTCCAAGGAAGATGAGAGCCAGACTGGCTATGCTGGCGGCGAAGATTGAGAGGAGAGAGACTACTTTGAGGGTTTTGAGGGTATCATGATCTTCTTCTTCCTCGTCTTCTCCTTGTTCATTATCATGATTGTCATCATGATTATGATTATTCCTCGTCTCGTCATCTCCCGACTCATCCAGATGAGGACATCTCACCAAGGCAAACCCCGGTTCATACCGCACCACATGCACCGTTGCAACGGTAAAGGCAAACCCGACAGCGGTGATGGACGCACCGGCCAGAAACAGCGGTTTCAACTCGAAGGAAGCGATATCGGAGATGAAGCTAACGGAGATCAATCAATCAATCAGACAGGCTTCTCTTTTGACCGTCTCCTTTCGGGAGAGTGGGAAGTGTAACGAACGCAATGTGCGGATTATACTGTCCCGGATACTGCGGCATCCCATAGGCAATCCAAGTCAAGAGGAGAGACGCCAGAGTCAGGAACCAGACGGAGCCCGCCAGAGCCGGGAAGAGAGGGAGCCGATTGGGCGGGATATTGAGGATAATACCATGGAGGAAACACCAGATGGAATCGTGGCAGTTGAGAGGGGCCATGGGGAATCCGATGACCCATACTCTCTTTTTCTTCTTCTATAGAAGGAGAGTGAGAATGAGGTCAAAACAGATGACTGAGGCAGAATTACCGGATCGGCAGATCTGGATGACGTCATCTGCAGAAGCTATCGCTGACAAATACAGCATCTGCTGATGAATATAGAAAGACCGTCTCGCAACCATCGGAATCATCCCGCAACCTGAGGATATTTATATATATATCCATCTGTCTGTCTGACTGGCTGTCTATCTACATATCTATATATATTGATATCATGACTAACTTCAACATCCAGATCATCTCCGACACCGTCTGTCCGGTAGATATCAATCCCCGACAAAATAAACAGTTGACTAACTGATATAGTGGTGCTACGTCGGATTCCGCCGTCTCTCACGCGCCATCGCAACGCACAAAGCCTCCCACCCCACCGATACATTCACCATCTCCTGGCATGCCTACTATCTCAACCCCGACGCCCTCCCGTACCCCGGGGTAGACAAGGGCGAACACTACCGGAACAAGTTCGGCGCGGAGCGCATCGCGACCATGTTCGGACGGTTGTCTTCCATCGGCCAGACCGAAGGGATCGCCTTCCGGTTTGGCGGGAGGATGGGAAACACACGGGATTCGCATCGCTTGGTGTGGTATGCCGGCCAGAGGGAGAAGGAGACCGCCGTACCCGGCGCAGCGGACTCGGGACTGGTAGGGGGCTTGCAGACACGGGTCATCGAGCAACTTTTCCGCGCGTACTTTGAAGAAGAGAAGAACATTACCGACCACAAGGTGCTGCTGGAAGCGGCGGTCACCGCCGGGTTGGATCGCGCCGAGGTTGAAAAGATCTTGGATTCGGACGTGGGCGGGCCCGACGTCGACCAGGAAGCAAAGCGTGCTCAGCGGCGCTTTGTGACGGGCGTGCCGTATTACACCATCCAGGGTCACTATGCCGTCGAGGGCGCCAACGAGCCCGAGGTGTTCCTGGAGGCGTTTGATCGCGTCAAGGTCGATTCTTAAACAGAGGTTTGTGGAGCGGATGTCAGAGAGAATGCATTTCATCGCATAGCAAGCTATTGCACAGAAGAGAAAAGTACACTTGTGTCAAGCCCCTTCTACAGCGTCCTCCTATTCGAGTGTGAGACCTTGCATGAGCGTGTATGAGTTGTAGAGAAAGATTCACAACGTAGCGACATCTTCACCCAAATGCCAGTCAAATGCCCCTGGAGGCCATTAAAACAATGTAGTATCGAGTTGGTAGAGAGAGGGAGATGAGAAGTAGGAGACCAAAAAAAAAAAAAAGAAAAGAAAAGAAAAAGAGAAAAACACAGCCACCCAGCGCCCGAGTAAGAACAGAATGTAGACTTGTTCCAATTACTGCACATATCTTAACATCTTAACAGAAAACGACACGGGCGCCATTTAAATATGCAGAGAAACACAAACACCATGTAAAAGCACAACCCGCAGGGCAAATCACTGATAACTTCCACCATTATGATTTGGGTCGTGGCCACAATAAAAAGAAGAAATATTCATAAATAGGTCATCAGATCAACCAGAAATTCGAGAGAAACGTCGGACAGGTCGGCAAAATCTAGAGCAATGCAGATGAATAAAAAATCCTCATTCATGTTCTCTTTCAGTGTGTACTCTGACGCAGCGCAAAATCGGGAATGTGATCGAACCAGTCGGTCGTCGGGTTGTAGCGGTAGGCTTTGAATTCCACGCCGTACGGCTTGGGCTCCAGCATATACAGCATCCCCAGTGGCACATCCAAGCCCGCCACTTCGTTGCGTTTCAGCCCCATGAAGTATGCCAGCAGGACACGCGCCACCGATCGATGGGTCACCAGCAGAACGTGGTCGGTCATGCGCTCGACCTCGATGATCACCGCTCGCGTCCGGTTGATCACGTCGAGATACCCTTCGCCTCCGGGCCCGGGGTACCGATAATACAGCTTCTGTTTCCGGCGCGTCGCAAACTCGTCGGGGAACTTCTCACGGATCTCGTCGTACGTCATGCCTTCCATTTCGCCCGCATACAGTTCGTCCAGCATCTTCATCTGCTTGACGTCGTAGTCGTCCTCATTAAAATAGTCAACTGTCTGTATGGAGCGCTGCAGCATGGATGACCAAACGCAAAAATTGCGCGGCCGGTCGCTTGGGATATATGAAGGGTTGGGAGGCGTGCTGTCGCCCGGGCGCGGCGGGAATCGTCTCATGATCTCCTTCTGCCTCTGGTGAGCTTCCCACTGTTTTCGTTGTAAATCAATGAACCGAGATAGCGCCCGGCCGTATCGGTGCCCATTCCCGCTAAGCTCCGAATCGCCTCCAATGCGACCTGCCTGGTTATCTTTACTCTCCCCGTGTCGGGTGATCCAGATTTGCCGCGGAGAGAGGTTGAAGTTCAGGAGGTAATAGACCACCTGCGACGACAGGAATCCTTGAGTCTGGTGCGACACGATCTTGCGTCCCACATCGATCATCTGGATATAAGCCATGTTGTTCTTCTCCTCGTATTCCCCCAGCGGTACGTAGGATTTCTCGTATAGCGCGACACGCTTTTTAAAATCCTCCAGCGCCTTTACCGGGTCCTGCTCCTTGTAGTCGGGGCCCGAGAGCTTCAAGCGCATGTTAGCCTCCAGCAGTTCTTGGTCCAAACAGCGGCTTTCGAGGAATAGAACGCCGAGCTCAGGACCCGCCCGCTTGCGGATATGCTCGACCACCGTTTTCCGGCGCTCCAGGGTGCTATTCGTGGCGTCAAGAATACCAACGCTGCCCCCCTGGTCCAGGATGTAGTCTAACAGCTCGTCCAGGGTGTCCAGGGCCACCTGCTCTCTCAACTTCACCGCCTGTTGGTTTTGGGGATCAAAGAAGCTGGCGGACTGGTCCAAGGGCTCGGGGGAGGCTTCCTTTATGGCCTCTTGGTCCAGAGGGCCGGCGAGAGCCGAAGGAATCACAGTACTTCTGTTCGGCTGCGACGGATCAGTCTCCAGGCCATTGACGAGAATCTTCGTCGGTACGGCCGGCGGAGGCAGAGCATTCTCGAGTTCGGGAGGGGAAGTGGTCTCACCCTCGGGCGGAATCAGTTTGTTGTGGGGGGACGAGTCCGTGGTGTTCACGTTGACGCTGAGACGGCGGACTGAATCGACGAGGTCCTTGTGGATGGAGCTGGTTCTGTAATCCCTGTGCCTCCCGGCTGGCGAAGGGGATTTGCCGGCGGCCACACGGCGACGTTCTCCCACATTGAAAATCTCGGTATCGTGCTGCAGCCAGTTGAGGTAGCGAGCCAGCTTCTTGGTGACGTAGCTCTTCCCGCGAGCGGGGAGGCCAACCATAACAATGACCAGCTTTGCCCCGACATCGCGTTGGGCAATGCGACCGTCGGGAGAGACTTTGGATTTGGTGAGACCGGGGATATCAAGGGTGGTTGCACGAACGCGACTGGGCGTCGAGGGCCGAGTGTTTTCGGCAGTAGAACTGAGGAGGGGTTAGCTGGAAGCCAAGAATTTCGGCTCAGATGGTAGAATCAAATCAAATCAAATCAAACCGATCGTGAACCAGGCCGATGGGTTGGGCGAAGTTGTCACCCTTGCGGGTTGATCGAACTCGAGAAACACGACGACCACCAATGCCGCTGCAAGGCACGAAGACCTTACAGCCTTTCAGGATCTAGAAACGCCTACCACTCGACGCCAGACGATAACGACGGGCCAACGAAAGGGTCGGAATGAGAAGGGAGACATACAATTGTGGGGACGAAGGAGCGGTAGAAATCGGAGTATCTGTTAGGGCAGAACCGACACCATCCTTCTGGGATCCTCGGTGGACATCGGCATGCAGCTCATTCCCTAGCGCTCGTCCGACCATCGTCTTCGGAGGAGGCATAAGAGTCGAGTCCTTCCCGAGATCCGGCCTGAAACTCCCGGATGAGACGCTATTACGCGATGATTCCGGGTGGGCGGCCGATGTCATAATCGCTGAACGGGCTATATCTGTGTGCTGGGCCATCCCCTCCAGTGGCGCAAGGATGCAGCCAAATCAGTAGAGGGGACGAAGAAAAGAGGGATGGATGGATGGGTGGATGGATGGAAGAAAGAAAGATGGAATGATACGAAGACGCGCTCCACAGAAAAAGCGAAGACGGAGAGCGACCGCCACCGAGAGAGAGAAAGAGAGAGAGGAAGAGGGGCAGAAAGGGAAAAATGGACGGAGCGGGATGAGTCAACGCGCTCCACAGAATAACAATATAGAGAAGAATATAAAACAGTGGATGAATGGAATAGAATAGGATATATTATAAGATAATTGATCTGACCTGATCAAATACTGTAGAATAAGAACAAAGAGGAATTGCCGATCGGGCATCCAAGTCTGTGGCTGGACAATATCACCTTGTTTGCAATACAATCATCGATCAATCAATCATCAATTAGTTAATCAATTAATCAGTTCATTGAGAGAAATCCCAGAATCCTATCAACAGGAGAACCATCTCTTAAAAGGCAACGAAGTCCTGTCGGATCTCCGATCGCGGAATGATGTAAAGCATCATGACGGTAACTATAACAACATTTCTAGAAGGAAAAAAAAAAGGGGGAATGTAAAGACCATGGCATTCCATCTTCCCTTGTGGCCGATCATCTACAGAACGTGGCTTGGTCCTGCCATTGGTCTCTACTGTAGTGCTAGAAAACGGAGGCTCGAGTGATGATGACCTTCAGGTCTAGATGCAGAGATATGCCACCAGGAGTCTTCTGTGCGACCTCTTTTTCTGGTATGTCCACGGAGCAAACAGCGCTGTACCTCTAGGCACTTTTCATCTCCCCCCTCGAGTGTAGAAGGATGGTCCCGTGTCTTCCGCTCCTTGCACCATCGCGGCTCCCAGTTGGTCCGAAGGGTTGAGAAGGGAGGGGGGTAGAGGATCGAGGAGCGTCTGAGGGAGATAGGAGCATTTCTGCGGAACTCTTGGCGCTTGGCAGCTACGCAAGGGGAGTACGGAGTAGATCAAATCCAAGACACACTTAGAGATTGAAGAAAGGATCCCAGGGACTTGGACTAGTGATCGAGGCGGATGGTGAGAGCGATCAGAGTGACATAGGCGGCGATACTCAGGGCCGTCAGCACCAGGACGGCATTGCCGCTCGTTCGGAACTTGTGACGATGGATGCCATCTTCTCCCACCTCCGCGAAGAATTGCCGATTGCCCTGTTGGCGGCGGAAGAGACCGATGATGAGCACGCCGGTACCGTAGATGGCAAACAGCGCCCCGGTACTGTAGAACTCGTTGGTGAAGATCTTGAGGACGACGAGGGCGAAGGAGAATTGGGAGAGAGCAGTGCGCACATAGGCGCCTTCGAATGTCCGCTGGGCAGCTCGCACTTCCACGATCTCGTCGGAGGTCAGCGCAACCGTGCGGGCACGGTGCATACGCAGACGATAGCGGTCCGCTGCGCGACGCTGTGTTTGCGTCAGGACTGAGGACTCTCTTAAATTCAGCAACGTGGGACATACCTCGAACATGGCGACGTCTTACAGAGGTTGCCCAGCAAAGTGACACGGCATACAGTGTGTTAGCGCTGGAAGTAAGCTTCCGATGGAGAAAGGAGAGGATAGAGGGCAGGATCCGGGCCCGATATAGAGAGGGTCGGGTCTCTTGTGCACTTCCACGCGTTAGGTAAGAGACGAATTCATCTGACCTCACTGAGTAAGGGAATAGTACCATACCGTACTGTACTCCGTACCGCCCGTACTGATTATCAACTAGGTAAGGTACAGTACGTATTCCACCAGTTTCTCCACCAATTAGACAACATCTATTGTTATCGGCGATTGATAATACCGCATTGGGCAATGTCCATCGCCGGGGGGTTTCCCCACACCGCGCAGTATTCGGAGGCAACTCCGATAAGCAGATGGTTGGGGATGCAGTCAATAGACGAGTCGTTCACATCTCTGTGACTTGTCTTGTCTCTGCATCGTCTGTCGGTGCTTTCCCCCTTTTTTTCGTCTTTGCGCAGCTTTCTTCTTCTCTCTGTAATCGTGTTCATTGTCCCTCGGTCATCGGTCTTTCTCCGCACTCCACTGAGGTGGTGAACAATATCTATCCACTGCAATATGGCCAAGGTGTTTGACGCTGCGGAAAGTACGTCGTGGACTGTCCTCCATTCCAGAATTAATAGCTGAGTCCTGTGCAGTTGCGAAACACAATACCAGCGAGAGTTGCTGGGTCATCCTCTACGGCAAAGTATACGATGTATGCTGACAACTTTTCTTTAATATCATCCTCCATTGTCGCCTCCTTCTATCGACTAACCAGCATAGGTGACTGATTTCCTCTCTGAACACCCCGGGGGAGCCAGGATCATCCTCAAGTTAGCCGGAAAGGACGCCACCGAGGAGTATGACCCGATTCATCCCCCAGGCATTCTCGAGGAAAACCTCAGGCCTGAGGCGATGCTGGGGACCGTAAGTCCGAATGCATTGCCCACTGTGAAAGGGGAACCGGTGTCGTCAACCAAGGAAGAGAAACAGGGACCCCCTCCGATGGAGTCTCTTCTCAACATGGACGACATCGAACAGGTGGCCACCAAGGCCGTGAGCAACAAGGCATGGGCCTACTACTATTCGGCATCAGATGACAAGATCACCAAACATTTCAACACGGAGGTCTACCGATCCATTCTCCTGCGGCCGCGCGTTTTCATTGACTGCCGTCGATGCGAGCTCGACACGTCACTCTTGGGCCACAAGCTTGGGATGCCCATTTACGTCTCCCCCGCCGCCATGGCGCGTCTGGCTCATCCCGCCGGCGAGGCCGGGATCGCAGAGGCTTGTCGCAGTTTCGGAGCCATGCAGGTCATCTCCAACAATGCGTCCATGACCCCCGAGCAGATCGTTCAGGATGCCGCCCCGGACCAGGTGTTTGGGTGGCAGCTGTACGTCCAGATCGACCGCAAGAAGAGCGAGGCCATGTTAGCCCGCATCAACAAGCTCAAAGCCATCAAATGCATCATACTGACCCTGGATGCACCGGTCCCGGGCAAGCGGGAAGATGACGAGCGACGCAACTTTATCGGCCCTTCTGCTCCTACCCCCAAATCCGCCAGTGACACGTCCGGTGTTAGCGAGACTCCCGGTGGCGTGGGACGCACGCTGTTCGCCGGAACAGACCCATCGCTGACGTGGCGAGAGACCTTGCCGTGGGTGGCCCAGCATACCGACTTACCTATTATCCTGAAGGGTCTGCAAACGCACGAGGATGCGTACATTGCGTCCCTGCACACGCCGCAGGTCAAGGGCATCATCCTGTCGAACCACGGGGGACGGGCGCTCGACACCGCGCCGCCCGCAGTGCATACCCTGCTGGAGATCCGGAAGTATTGCCCGGAGGTCTTCGACAAGCTGGAGGTGTGGGTGGACGGCGGCATCCGACGCGGAACCGACGTTGTGAAGGCACTCTGTCTCGGCGCGAAAGCTGTGGGCATCGGACGCCCTGCGTTGTGGGGATTGGGAGCTGGTGGCGTGGAGGGAGTGAAGCGGACTTTGCAGAGTATGTATGCACCTTAACCAAAAGAGGTCTCACTGACGATCTGTAGTTCTGGCCGACGAGGCCCAGACGTGTATGCGGTTGTTGGGAGTGGAAAGGGTCGAAGACTTGGGGAGTCAGCATGTAAGTCTCTCTCTCTCTCTATATATATCTATCAATCTATATATAAGGTGTACTGACTGGACAGATCAACACGCGCCTGGTAGAGCAGCAAATCTACGACGGACCATCGGGATTGGAGTCCATCCGGGATGGATTCCGCGCGAAGCTATAGACTAGATACCATATATTTCTTTTCTTTTCTATTTCTTCTTTTCTTTTCCGTAGACAGTTGTATAAGGCATAGGCATAAATGATCCCAATAGAGACTATTATAACCAAGTAAAAGGATCATCTGAATAAACACCCCCAGAACCCAGCCTCAAACCACTCCCTCTCCCTCCGCCAGGCACGTACGATCAAATCCCTCCCCAAACTGACCACCGCTCGCACCTGGTCTGGCGTTCCCCAATCGGTGAGCATGGTACCCCAGCAGATGAAATGCACGCCGACATGCATGATAGCACGGTAGGCCACATCCTCAGACAGCGAGGGATACGTCTGCGTCAGTCCCTCGATGATCCACAGCCCGGCGTCAACGTCCCGGAAGTGTTTGACGAAGTACAATTCCGCCATCATTTGGCCGAGATCGAGAGCACGGGGTCCACAATGGGCGAGTTCCCAGTCGATGACGAATAGAGGAATGGTTGTAGTATCTGTCTGGTCGAGGGCATCTCGGGGGAGGAGGACACTATTAACGTTTAGAACAGATACCATACCCAATGAATCAAGAAAAAGCGAAAGAGGAACATACTTCCCCGACCAAAAATCCCCATGAATCACACCGAATCCCTCTCCATCTTCCCTTCCCAACTCACTCCGGGCCAAATCCCTTAGTTCCTTGAAGATGGATTGACTCTCCCCCAGCAGATCCGGATACGTATCCACCAGTCCGACGAGATTCTCATAATTGACCTGGAACTTCAGGTCGCGCATGGACCCGTTCGTCTGCATCTTGGATACGAGATGCGCACGCGCTGGATGTGCCGTCCACGCGTGAAATTCGCCCAGCCAGTGTCCTAGGGCGAGACCGACAGCCGTGGCCCAGGGACAGGACACACGCGGAGGGGTCTCCGAAGCCGTGAGGAAAGTCTTCAGATCGACTGCCTTGGGGAGATCTTCCATCACGAGCGTGAAGGAGTCACGGTCGAAAGCCAATACATGTGGCGTTTTGATGGTGATTTCTCCGTTCAGACTGGGTGTCGTCGTGGGTGGGAAGTCGCCCAGGGTCTTGAGGATGGATTCCTCGATGAGCTGGAAGTATTATTAGCTGTAAGAACAGAATGAGAGGGATGGGGAGTTACGCAGCGCTCTGCCGGGATTTGGAACGTGCGATTCGAAGCAACGTAGTTCTTCGTGTGCTTGACGATCACGCTGGTGGTCTCGTCCGATTGCAGCGTTCCACGATACACAAAGTTGGCAGTTCCCCCGCTGAGGCGCTCGAGTTGCCCGCAGGCATACGACAGTTTGCGCAGGATTTCCGGTAGCTCAGCGAGGTCGTCCATTGTCAGAGAAATAGGTAAACGATAGAAAGAAAGTAGAGAATGGAGGAATGCGATGTTTTATCTGCTGCCACGCCCCACTACGAGATCTAAACCTAAAGCGTTGCCCGCGGAAATATTTACAAGAGACCAAGTAGGAGTAGAAATAAACCATAGTTCTACCTAGTACCTAGTTCCCAGGAATTCTCGTCCGATTCATGCCAGTATCATAAGGAGGAGCGAGGGCAATACGTGTATCCCTAAAAGGCATCATTGGGAATGGTGGCCGGCGTGTCCGGCTGTCGCCCCTCACGCTCTGACTTGCGTATTGATTGACTGAATCCTGTATGAAGAAGGTGAAGTAGAAATCTCTCTGTGGACAGGAGAAATTACGTATGTCTATCTACTTCTGCTTCTATGGGGATAAGAAACGCATTGACTACATCGAACTAGACCTCTGGATAAGCCACATCGAACACAGACTTCCCCAACACACTCATAAAGGCCCATCTAGTCATCCCTCCGGCAATGTGCATGGTTGGTCAACATCTGGAATCGCGCATGGTATTTGCTCCGGGGGTCCTATGCTTCATCCAATCTCGCCTACTTCAAGGCTCTGGCTGATGATTATGACGCTATCTACACCAAAGACAAAGGCTGTAAAATCAGCTGTTGTGCCCCCCTGTGAGTATCTCGTTCAATATTCTAGGACTGGTCTGCTAATCTCCCTGTTCCAGTGATAAGAAGACTGGCAGGGGTGTCTGCGGCTTCGACCCTGACTTTTGCGGAAAGGGCTGCATCTCGCAGTGTGACCGAAGGGCGAATGCGGCTCTGGATGGGGTTCACAACGGGCCAATGCCTCTACTTGCCCTCTGAATGTATGCTGCAGCACGTTAGATTTCTGTAGTGAGTCGAATCGATCTCCATCTGGTTCCCAAAGTTCATCACCCACTGATTCGCCCAATATAGGAACCTCGCCCGACTTTTGTCAAGGCAAGAGAGTCATATCGCCTCAATGCAACGATGGTACGTCCGTCAAGGCAAAGACAATTGGGTACCCTCTTGGTTTGTGGATAGATCAAATTCACTCTATCCGCTCTCAATCTTAGCGTGGGTTCTTCCATCTAGAAATCAGACAAACATGTGCGTGCGAATCAGGTATCCGATATAAGTTGCTTCCGGTGTATCACATGGATCAGTGAATAGGTGAAGAATAGATGGCCTGGTTCCAGGAAAACTCCGTGAAGTCTGCCGCCTTTTCTTGCACAGCGATGAACGATCAAGAAGCGCTAGAAGGCTGGATTCATGGAATTCGCCTTTAGAACTTGTTAGTGGATACCTCGGGGGCATATGAGCCACCTATATAGCTGTGGATATCTCTCTCTTTCTCTGGCCATCCTTTACCCTCTTAACCATTCCCATTTCTATATTTCTCGTGTCCTTTTGTGAGCATCTGCAGTAGTTTTGCAACCTGTGTGAAACTCAACTGCCTGTCATGGCGTCCCTGGCATGGATCGTGCTGCTTCTCACCCTTTTGAGTCATGTAATTTCTGGCTTTCCTTCCGTCAATTTAGACAATAACATTCCTGATATCAACGACACCCACACCCTTAATGTTTCTTCTTCTGTTTACCCTTGGTTTGTGGCTCTTGAGCCCCGTAAAGACAAATCTAAAGATCCCGCTGACTTTGGCTGGATCAAACGATGGGTCGCACTGGGAGAGAGTTTCACAGCTGGCATCGGGGCAGGCAATCTATATATTCAAAACACATCGGACAAGAAGTGCTCCCGATACGACCATTCATACCCTCCACTACTGGAGCAGGCTTTTGGCAAGCGAACTGAGCTCTTTCAATACCTCGCATACTCGGGAGACTGCAACGAGGACATTTACGGTCAGATCGAAAAGATGGAGTGCAATACGGATTTCGTCGTCATGACGGGAGGCAGAAACGACCTTTGTCTCGTAAGTTACCTGGGATATAGTCATGTCTCTGTCCACAGCTAACGTTGCATTAGCAGTCGAACATCATCAACTGCATCTGTTTTCCGTTTCGGTCAGAGAGAGCCTGCGAGGAGATCGTGCATAAAGCGCATATCAATCTCTTCGAGATCTTGAAAGACAACGTCATAGGGCTCCCCAAAGCGCTGAAACCCAAGGCGAAGGACGACGGTCTGCTGTTGTATGTGCTGTATGTGCAGTTTTTTAACACCAGACAAGAAGAACAATGCGGCGTGGACCAAGACTGGACCTTCCCTGGCATCGGTGTCGCGAGAGGGCTGCAGCTGACTCGACGAGTAGTATTCAATCGACTAGTCGAGAGAGCCAATATCATGCTCGAAGCAGCCATTAGGGACGCGCTCTACAAGGAGAACCCCAACTATCGAGTCCAGGCAGTCGACTGGGACATATCGTCTCGTACGCTGCGAGGTCAGTTCTGCATTCCTTTAACCGAAGGCGAGTATCCCGATCCCGCCCAGCCCAACTTGCAGTTCTTCAAACCAATCACGAAGCGGGAAATGAAGGAGTTGAAGAAGCGTGAACTTCCCAAGGAACTCGCCTCCGTCCTGAACAGCACCCTGACGCCGCACAACACACTCCTCGAACAGTCCGTCAACCAGGCGGCCGAGGCTGGGCACAAGCTTGACCCTTGCGCGCCCGAGCGCCCTTCCTGCCCTGGCGACGATGGTGATATCAAGATGGGTCTGGGCCTGCCCGACAGATGGGGCAAATTCTTCCATCTGAGCCCGCATGGCCATGCGACCATCGCCTCTTTCGTGATGCTGGAGCTGTTCACAACACAGGCTCGCCAGCTGGGGGAGTTCACTCCACTGTGTTACACGTATGACGAGTTCCGATGCAGGATGGACGGCTGGCCTAGGTACTACGCCACCGTGGATAGGGTCCTGCATAACCTGGAGAGGTTCTGCTATACCGCCTCACACATAGACGAAGATAATAGCCTCTATCGTGTAGTGTACGACAACAATACCCCGGAGCAGATTGGTTTCGAGCTCCGTATCAACCGGACGGAGTGGCAGCCATTCAATCAAGAGCAGTGCATTGAGCCCTTTAGTCAGATCATCCACGGCTGCGATAGCAACGACGAGGAAAACCCCATGAACTTCAAATATAGTGGCCGCTGGATCCGTGACATGCATGAATACGAGCTAGCTATGTATGGTCGATGCAGCCGGAACAAGATACCGCTGCTGAAGCCCTCTAGTATCTGCACCATCAGAAAAACCGAAAGAGCCCAGAATTTCACAGTGTGCGGCTTCGGCTTCGCCAGGTGGGATCATGAACGACTGACGGTCTTGGCCGGCAGTAAAGACAAAGTCAGGTACTTTGAGCTTCAGTACTACAACAACATCAATATGGACGGTATGGAGTGGATAGCACAGTTCGAGCTGCCCCTGGAGACTAACCGTGCATGCATTATGGTGCCTTCTAATGCGGTGGGTGGTGAAATCCCTTGTAAGTATGTGTAATTGCAGGGTTTGGTGTGCATGGTTCTTCTGTAGGTAGCCTTGTGATCACTACAAATATCGAATATCAGGCATACTCCTTTTCTTAACGAGGCCCCATCCGGATGATTTGTAGTAGCAGCAGTATGTATTCATATAACTGGGATAGCTCGGACATCTCAGTAGGAGAACGGTTCGCCTATGTACAAACGAGATCAACGAGAGTAAACGCCTTGATCTACAATGTTCACCATGAGCTCACCATAGTAAAGTCTTCACAATCTTCCAGCTCAGCATTGGGAGGCCAAATCCAACCACAAACTCTGCATAACTTGACCCCTGATCCCGCAGAAAGCCAGTGCAGAGTTCTAGTACATAGTAAAGCATAAATGCCTTTTATCCATCCCAGTGGGATTTCAAACATCAATCATCTCCCAAGAGGGCCGCCATGGAACCAGAAGAAACGGAAATTAGGGTTATACCAACCCTGGTTGGTGAGAATAAGCCCAATGGATTGTGCTCAATCCACGGATCGGTCTTTATTAAGCCCCGACTCTCTCTCTTACTTTGGTGTCATGATCGTTGCACTGGTGTTAGATACACATGTAGCGGTGGCTTGTTCCACAAGAAGAAGATCTTTTGTCGTTCCATCCATCCGACACTGTCGGTTGAGAGTTTCATGTCGAAATTATAGATTAAACGTGCCAGAATCAACCGCATCTCCGCATATGCCAGACTACAGAGGATGTCATCAGCACGGAGAAAAGCTCATACTAGGGAATGGCACGTACTTGCGCCCCAGACAATTTCGAGGTCCCACATTAAACGGCTGCAGGATGTCAAAATTGTCATTGGCGAATCGCTCATCTCCAAGGAATCGTTCGGGGTGGAAGCCGAACGGATCAGTAAAGTATTTCTGGGTGTGGTACGTGGCCCAATGATGGATGGCGACAATCGTCTAGAAAGTGCTTAGTTCTGCTCTCCAGACTGCCCAGGAGGGGATACTCACATCGGGGGTAACATACTGCCCGAGAATGTACCGTCCACTCTTGGGCACCACTCGAGGCAATCCAATGGGGATGGGCGGATAAGAGCGCAGGGCCTCGTTGAGGCAGGCCAGCATGTAGGTTAAGCCGTTGACAGAATCGATGTTGATCTCCTGTTCGTTTTGAAACGTCGTGCGAACTTCGTCCGTCAGGCGCGTCAATACCTTGGGGTTCTGCAGAAGCAGATAGGTGATGCCAGAGAGCAGAGTTGCCGTGGTCTCGGAGCCCCCGATGAGAAGAATGGTACCGTTCGCTTGAAGACGGTCCATGTCGAGATCCTATTCTGCAGTCAGCACTGCCCATCAAATCGCTGTTGATTGATGGTCTGGACAACACACACCAGCTCGTCTTTCTTCCTCAAGAGTCCCTCGATTAAATCATCGCGCTCATTCCCTGCCTGCATGCGCTCACGTAATTTGGCGACCGAGACATCTCGATGTTCCTGAAATGCTTTGACTACTGACTTTGGTACCAGAGCCAAGAATATTTTCTTCAGAAATGGAAAGAAACTCAGGCTCAGCATCAGCGTCCCAGCCTTGGCCGACTCGAGAAGAAGGGGGATAAACGGATGATACACCGAGTTCTCCAAGGAGCCGAACGGTTTCCCGAAGGCCAAATCACCAATGATATCGAACGTGGTGAAGTTGTACCAGGATACCATGTCCAAGGGCTCGGTGCCGGCGGCACACTTCTCATGCAGTCGTCGAATGAGCAGGTCGACATACTGAGTAATGAGGGGCTCTTGCGCCCGCATGGCCCGCTCGGAGAAACCATGAGACAGTTGCCGTCGAAGAAGACCATGCTCCTCGCGATCCGCATTTGCAATGCTGGTGGGTGTGCCATCGGCATATTTGTAAAAGCTCATCAATTTCCCGCACTCCTCGCCGCCATTGGCCGGGTGGCCATGAATGTCCTTCCAGGCGTCTACGTGGGCAAAGGCCAACTCCCCCGGTGCAATACGAACCACATCCCCATACTTCTCATGCAAAGCTAGCATATCCAAAGGAAGGCTACCCCGCAGCAACCGATAGCAGTATGGTAGGGGAGAGATGGCATGAGAGATGGGACCAGGAAAGGCACGCAGGGGGTGAAAGAAAACGTTGTAGATGGCCTTTCCAACCATGTGAAGAACGGCCTGGATATCATAACGTTAACCGAACAAGAAAGAACAGGCGAGGAGAAAAGCGAAGTTGCATACTATAACGACGACCGTCACCACCAAGCTGCGCGTCTGGTCCATCAAGAACGCCATAACGAAAGGCTGTATACACCTTTCAACCTGCCCTGTGACAATGCCAAGCAAGCCAAATCGAGTCAGTCTAGGCTACTAGACAGTCTCCGAGGATCCCTATAGACGGATGGAAGAGACGGAGAAGAAGAATCGCTTGCCGGCGGATTGGAAAAAGAAAATCCCGGTGAGGAGTACACCTGGTACGGAGTAGTACCTAGCTAGATACATACAACATGCATGTATCCTAGGCAGAATCGGTCAGTGCACAGTGAGAGAGAAGTGAGTAAATCACAAAATCCTGCGGAGAAGCCGAAGGGGAATAAATTAATCAACGACAGTCACTGCATATAGGGCATAGGCGCAGTGCTAGTGCAGATCTAGTCCACATTCCCTAAACTGAGATCCGATTCTACCGGCACTGGGCGGCTTGACAAGGCCGATCAAATCGTGAAAGTCAAAGAAAGCACGGCCTGGACGCCGATCCGTACAATTGCCTAGAAAGGAAAGGTGGCTTGGCAATGACTCAGTGCCCCTGAGATGTTCCTCAGAGAGGAAGGTCGTGCTAAACCTTATTGGGTTATGCCATGCATTATCTTGTGGATTAGCTAAGCTATGTTACCAACAGTTCTGTCCATCCGTCCACGTGGTTAACCAGTCCATTTCAATGTATCCCATCTATGCTTCGGCATCTTTTCCACCCCCTTTTTGCTTGCCCTCCGCGGTATGGGTGTTTGGAATGTTGGGCATCTGAATGAACTCGTCAAACAGACGGTTGAAGTTCTCTTCTGAAAACATGTTTCCAAGGAAAGAGTAGGACTGACCTTCAGTCAGTATGGTTCCGAACATGACTAGGAGATGGGATTTGAATAGGAGCACCCACCTCAGTATCTCTCGCAGTACGACGACGTTCGTCATCGGAGACCTCATGGATAAATTCGGCAATTTCATGATGGTTTGTATGGCGTGCCACCAGGACGAGGAGTTCCTCAAAAGGAGCGACACTAAGGGGAGGGCCGTGTTTAAGAAGCGCTTGGACGACGAAGACATTGCTGATCGTGCAGGCCATGACAAACACGCCACGGAACAACACCTCATCCTGGAGCTGCTGCTTGACCCCCATCTCCATCAAAGCACGCACCACGGTGGCCTGGCCGCGACGGATGGCATAGAGCATCTCCAGTATACCAACCACAGCAATGTTCACATCAGCCATTAGACGCTTGATGATATTGACACGATTCATGCGCTCCGCAACCTCGAGGACAGTTACTCCACTCTCATTGAGTGCGTGGCGACTGGCCCCCATCAACTGCAGCTGAGTGACTCTTTCTCCGTCATCCTGCAGACAGGCCAGGTGCAGTGCGAGCCCCAGGTTCCATGCAGTTAAATGAGGGTGCAGAACAGCATTAGGGAATGGGTAGAACCGGTTCAGAATGCGCCTAGGCAGTTCTACCTCAAGCGTGTCCATGACGTTAACAGGGGACTTGCTCTTGGAGCTCGATCAGCTTGGACCTTCGATGGATGGGGATGGTTTCTCTTTATTCTGTTGGAAACATCCCATGTTTATGCAAATCTACATGGTAAGGTGCATACCTTGAGTTTCCCTTCGAAATGATTTGATTCCGGGGGTATGACAATCCCCAGCCAGCCAAGACCGGGGAGATTACCAAAAAGCTTCCAACCACCACCTGTCGACAGTTGTTTGCTCCAAATAGGGGAAGAAATGAAAATGAAATGACGTCTGCAAAGATGATGGACAAAAACAGACCGTTGGTGGAGGAAGGCCTTTTCACCAAAACAAGTCAAAAGCAGTCAATCAAAGGAGGAATGTGTTAAGGAAAGAACAAAAACCTGTTGTGGGATTATTGTTTTCTAGTGAAGAGGTTCCATCTGTCTAAGAACGTAACGCGACGACATAAGCATTGTCTAGGGCGACGTTAGGTTTCTACATGGTATACAGTTACAGGGGAAAGTCCATGAACACTAATAAAGGCCGCGTTAAGGCTCCATTTAGGTTTCAGTGAAACTAGTTTTATTATCTAGAAAGAAGTTCTTATTTTGAAAATAGATAGATAATATCTTAGAAGAATAATATTCCATTCATCTTGATCTTGTCACTGGATGTGTCTCGGAACAGCTTCCATATATTATAGAAAAACAAGGACAATTCATTTCCAGTGAGCATACTCACCAGTACCATCGAACATTCTTATATGCTCTGTCCATATATCTCTGTATAATGTAGACGCAGTCAGAGCCGCTGTTATTGGCAGCAAACACGCCCGAGGTCTCCACTTAGACGTTTTGTCTTGTTCGGATTCCCCTCTTTTGCTTCTGGTTCTCCTCAACGTCATCGCATCCCTTGCCAACACAGCAACCCCAACTGCTTCTCACCACGAAGTCCCGTTGCGTGTGCCTCGTAGTCTCGAGGCTGGGACCGACCAGTTCCATTTCGAGCTGCAGGCCCAGAATTTCCTTCACCCGTTGGGAAACCTACAGTCCACGTATCTTAACGGCGTTGCCAAGAACGCTGGTTCCAGATCTTCTCGTTCCCGCTGCGATTCCTCTCCAGAAGACCTTATTTGCGACCGTTCTTACGTCCAGGTGCGACGCGATGAATGATACGACGCCCTCTCCGACTCCGGGTCCTGTAACGAAGCCGTCTCCCAGTTCCAAATCCTCGCCGGCGTCAACGGCTGGCACCAAGCGCAAGCGGGGGTCGGCTGGGAAATTCTACGCAGTTAAGGTTGGCTATCAGCCTGGGGTATACTCTGAATGGAGCGAATGCTTGACTCAAGTGACGGGGTATAAAGGCGCAGTGTGTAGGTTTTTTTTTTTTTTTTTTTTTTTAGGGGGGGGGTTATTTTTTTTTCTTTTCTTAAAAAAAAGAAAGCAACTACCCTGCAAAATCCCGTACGGACGAACTCACAACCCTACAGTCCAGGCCTTTCCCACCCCCGAAGAGGCAAATGCGTTTCTTACAGGCATCAAACCTCCCACTGCGCGAGGTGCCACTCCCCTAGATTCAGAACCCACTCGATTCTACGGCGTTCAGCGTGGACGAATACCCGGCGTGTACACGAACTGGGCAAAGGCGCAAGAGCAAATCAAGGGATTCACTCGGCCCCGATATAAGAAGTTCCCTACCAGACAGGAAGCGGAGGAGTTTGTGAGGGAGGATCAAGGAAATGGAGCTTCGTTTGCTGCAACAGCGTCCGAACCCCAACTCCCGGGGGCACTAGGTATTAGGGATGAGATACCACGAGACGAACGGGGTGAGCCGCTGGAGCCAAGCGATGTCCCTCTACCGCAGGGCGCCGAGGACGGGTTCGACCCTAATATTCTTCTCGATCCTAAGACGGGGAAAGTGGTCTACAAATCGAAAGAGCAAAAGTATGCAACCAAGACCAAGGCCACCGCGGCTCCTGGTATGCTGCGAATCTACACGGACGGCAGCTCGCTAAAGAATGGCCGAGCCGTAGCATCGGCGGGGGTTGGCGTCTACTTCGGTCCTGGAGACACAAGGTTGGCCTTCCTTCTGGTCTATCGCTAGGCTACTCATCGCCTGGTCATTTTCTCTACTAACGCCCTCCTCTTTTTTTTTTTTTAACCCCCAGCAGGAACGTCTCCGAACCTTTGAAGGGTAGTCGACAAACGAACCAGCGGGCTGAATTAACCGCTATCCTTCGAGCCCTCGATATTGCCCCCCGTCATCGAGATGTCACCATCTTCACCGATAGCCGATATGCCATCGAATGCGTCACTTCGTGGTTTATCAAATGGCGACGCAACAACTGGATGACCGCCAGCAACAAACCCGTCGAGAATAAAGATCTGGTCGAATCCATCCTCGTCAAGATCGAAGAGCGTGAGGAGCTCAAAGTGAAAACACTGTTCGAATGGGTCAAGGGGCATAGTTCGGACCCGGGGAATGAGGCCGCAGATCGACTGGCCGTCAACGGTGCCCATCGGGGGGTATCGGAAAAGGCGGCCGCAATAGAAGCGATGAATGATGTTCCGGACGAAGAATTTGATGACGATCTTTGAATATTATTATTACTAGCATTATTATTAGTAGTAGTATTATTATTATTATTTCCATTTATTATTTATTTGCTTGTTTGGCGCTTGTGATGAACGATAATGAGCTGTGTTTGTTGATATCTTTTTCCGGGCCCAATCGGGACTTCGATTTTTCCCGTTATGATTCCATTTGCGATTGACGCTGTATTAAGCTGCACCATGCTAACTGCGAGAGGCCTCCATCCCCATTGTAGCGACATCCCCCATACTCCAAAATAGCTTAACGAAGCCAAGCTCGTCCAAGACTGCCAACTGCGGGTGGTGGGTTTCCCCATCGGGAATGGCGGCGATAGATCGAATCTCTTTCGTCTTTTGTCTTTTCCCCCACATTAAATTCTCGTCTCGTGGATTCCTCTCCCCTCCCCTCGGTCTCTTCGATCATCCTGGTATCCTAGTATCCTGGTCGTCTTGTCCATCTTGACTGGGTCATCCTGGTGTCACATTCCCCCGCTCTTTCCCATGCTAAGACAGTCGTCAGTCGTCCACTGGTGGATCATGATTGAATATCACGGGCTTATCTCCACTATTTATTCCTCTCTCTCGTCCTTTCCATTGTGTCGAAACGCTCGTAGAGTGCCTGGGATATCAGAAAGAAAGAAAAAGAAGCGTCCCATTTCTCGGCTCGGGATTCGTCTGTGGTCAATCAATACGCTCCTGTCACACAGAGACCAAGCGAGGGGCCTTGCAGCATGCCGACCCTCTCCTTGATCAATTTTAACATCGTTTGTGCCACGTTGGGCGGGTTTATTTCGATCTTCGGATTGGTATCGTATCTGTTCAAGGAGAGATTCTATTTGTCTGAAGCATGTTCGTACAATGGCCCGAGACGCTACGAATGAATGTCGGGACTCGATGGCGCTGATGCACACACAGTGATTTCCCTCCTTGCTGGAGTCGTCTTCTCCCCACATGCCGCCAACTTTATCAGACCCCACGAGTATGCGTTGGGTTCGGAGCATAATCTCGAGGAGATCACCCTGTACTTCGCCCGCCTCGTGCTTGGCGTTCAACTAGTCCTCGCTGGAGTCCAGCTTCCCAAACGCTATCTCCAGCTCGAATGGCGGAGCTTATCGCTTCTACTGGGGCCCGGCATGGCCGCCATGTGGATGTGCAGCAGCTTGGTCATCTGGGCTATGGTTCCGAAGTTTGAGTTCCTTCATGCTCTCGTAGTCGGTGCCTGCGTGACACCCACTGATCCGGTGCTGTCGAACTCCATCGTGAAAGGGAAGTTTGCCGACAAAAACGTACCTCGTCCCCTGCAAAGAATTATTGTTGCCGAATCGGGTGCCAACGATGGCCTTGGGTATCCCTTTCTCTTTTTTGGTCTATACCTTCTCAAATACACCGGAATGGGTGGTGAAGGGTATAGTGGAGGGGCCGGAAAGGCAATGGGGCTGTGGTTCTACGAAACCTGGGTGTATATTGTCATCCTGAGCGTCGTCTATGGAATCACCGTCGGCTGGATTTCGCGAGAACTGCTTCACTGGGCCGAGGAGAAGCGCTATGTCGACCGCGAGAGCTTCCTCGTCTTTGCAATCGCGCTTTCGGTATGTGTCGACCTCTCCCGTGAGAGGTAGCAGATAACTAACGCGCGACTATAGCTATTCATTGTGGGAACATGCGGGTTGATCGGGACTGACGACCTGCTTGCCTGCTTTGTGGCCGGGAATGTCTTCACCCAAGAGTAAGTAGGTGACTATAGTCGTAGTTGGGCTGGGATATGATGCTGATTCAATGCCTAGTGACTGGTTCCGTCTGGAAACCATGGACGATTCGTTGCAGCCAACTATTGATATGCTTCTGAACTTGGCTGTCTTCATGTGGTTCGGCGCTGTCTGCCCATGGTCCTCGTTCCTAAACAATGATATCATTCCTATCTATCGCCTGATCTTCTTGGGAGTTTTGATCCTGCTCGTTCGCCGCGTGCCGATCGTCTTGGCGATGCACAAATATATCCACCAGATCGAGAATCTCTTCCAAGCTGCCTTTGTCGGTTTTTTTGGGCCTATTGGCGTCGGGGCCGTCTTCTATCTCTCCGTCGCTCGAGAGTTCCTGGGTCAGATCGCCGGTCCTAACGGACACATTCGAGAGGATGCCCAGCGCGTCTCGGAGACCGTCAACGTGGTGGTCTGGTTTTTAGTCATCTGCAGTATCGTGAGTTCCGTCGCTCGGGCCAGTTTCATCTCAAATCTCCTTTCACTAATCCACGGTCCTTCCAGGTGGTCCACGGCCTTTCCATTCCCCTGGCCAAAGCAGGATATCATATTCCACGCACGATCTCCAACGCGATCAGTACCAGTACTACTGTTGAGGCGGAACCGGTCTCGATCCCAAACGTCCACAATACCCGCAGTACTGCAACCCGAGACGTCGAGTCCACCAACCCGCGAGGACGAAAACGCCCTTCTTCACGCAAACCGCCGCCGCCAACTGTCTTTCAGATCGGCCGATCGGTCATACGCTCTCCCCCGCCAGATCAGCCCCCGCTGGGCACCGGGCATGCCGAAGAACCCGAGCGCCCGGTGAGGCTGATCAACGCCGAAAGCGAAAGCGAGGCGCCATCAGAAGTGCCCCAATCGCGGACCGTTGGCGAGTAAGCAGAACCGCGTAGCTGATCCGTCTGTCCCAGACTTTTCACGACTCGGTTCGATACTTGCCATCCTTGTTTATAGAAGAAGTTGGATAATAGCATGGACATGGAGTACCCTATACATATACATATACATCATAAATACATAGCATATCCATTCTCGGAGGATAGGGATGGAGAACGATGTCACTTAAAACATGAGTTTGGTCTTTGATATTGCATCAGATAAGCGTCGTTATTCATGATAACTGTGACCTCTGGATTAACGCTATGTCTTAGGTATGTAGATAGGCAGATAGTACCTAAGTAGGTGTCTGTATCTAGGGTGTTGCTACTCCTTTCTGTACAAAGAGTATGAATATACTAAGGAGTAAAATGATAGCCTACAGAAATCTAAATGAAGAAGAAAGTTTTCATATTTTTCTAAGACAAGCTTTTAGGTGGTGGCTCTTCGTTGAAAAACTCTAGCCCGTTCTCACCTCCTTTTAAGTACTCCATCACAAGTCACATCGCATCATGCGCTCCTCTTCCTTGTCCCCCTTGTCCCTCTCACTAGTGACCCATCGTCAACAACCGCCGTCACTGGAGCCCGTGAGAGAGGAAAGAATGCAAGAGATGGATTTATAAGATGGAATGAATGTATCAATCCAAATATGGTTTTTTATGCCCCCCCCCGGGGTTTTCGCCATCTTTCCGTCTGTTCATCTCTCTCATCTCCGTCGTCTGAACCTCCGCTTTCACACGACGAAGAGAAGCATCAGTCACCATCACAGTCCCACATGTCTATGGAAAAATAGGAAATGTTCATTCAGTCGTTATAGTCCCATCCACGTCCCCCACACACCAAGATCTCATCTGCATCCACCAAGTAAATCAAGGGCTGAGCGAGGAAAGTAGGGTATATATCAGAGCGATATGCTAACATATAGAGCATCGCAATCAATCGGTCACGAGAAGCTGATAGATTAGCAGCATAGAAAGGAGCATATCATCACGAATACAAGCGGTGAAATGTTATTATAGGGAAAGTGTAATCACAGTAGAAGGAAATTCGAAGATAAGTGAGAAATGCGACTGAGGTAGTAGTGCTGAAGGATATCATAGAAATCATCTCAAGGAGAAGCGCCCCACAACTCCTTTGAGAGATTTGCTTCGTAGATTTGGATAGAATTGTGATTTACTGTGTCAACCAAGTTATTGCTCCAAACCAAACAGTCAACTCCAGGATAGGTGTGACACCAGTAAGATCGTTGGACATAAGATGTCGAGCCCTGCAAAGGACAGTAAATGTAGAAATGTAACTGTAAATTGTTAGGTAGAAAAGATTTTTTTTCTTTTTTCTCTCTTTTTTTTTTTTTTTTTTTTTTTTTGGCTTTTATAAGTTTTCCCCGCCCCCTTTCTCTAGGGGAAGAGGCGATAAAGCCTGCTCGCTTCGCAGGTGCATTCGAAATCAAGCAATACGCTGATAAAACAGCAAGTATGCCACCTTGTTGTCGCGAGAACCGTATCGGCCAATAGGGGTCCGCAGGCCAGAAGATGCTCTAGAGGGTGCCGAGCTGCCGTTTACAACAGCTGAGGTAGATTTCTTGCTAGAATGGCCGCCTGACCCAGCTCCGTTGACTTGGCTCCAACCTCGCTCGTTGTCTGATTGCTCCTGATCGTCGATAAGATCGAAAATATTAGCGTTGGGATCCTTGTCAAGCTTGCGCTGCTCCAACGCCACAGCGAGCGCCTTGGGATCCTCTTCACTACCAGCCTCCGCAACATCCTCGCTCTTGACACGCCGAATGACCGTGTCGTCAAGGCGGATCCATTCACGGCCATCCTGGCGGCGCACGTCCACGGTATAATGGCCCCCGCTGGCATTCTTCCCGTGGTGATAGATAACCCCAATGAGCCGATACCTAGGTAAGTCTCCGTGAGCCGTTAGAATGTTACGCCTGCTGGGGGGGAAGACCTCCCGAGGAATTTCCAAATCCAAGGGGTATCCAATCTTTTTCCAAATCTTTTGCGTTCCTCTAGTGACGCTGTCGTACTGGAAACGTTTCAGGTGAAGAATGAGCACAGGCGGTAATTCCTCAATGAAGATCTGCTTGGTGGCGGTGACATTTGAGCCCCGCGAGGAGTTGAAGTCGCCCTGGATGCTCTCTGGCTTGGTTAGACCCTTGAGAGCATCGACGATGTTGTGAATGTCTGGGGAGCCGATGTCGAGCTGAAGCGGCTGGTAAGGCTCCAGTGTCACGGAAGCCTTATTACCAGGCACCCTAAACTCTGACCTGATTTTGCCGCCAAAGATCTTCGTCATAGGGGATTCCTGAGCAATGTGACCAGACGACTGAGTAACCGCCGGCTTCTGCTTGTGACCAACTTCCATCCATCCATCACCAGATTCTCCATCTGCAGCAGATGATTCCTCATTAGAAGCCGCAGACCCATTGGGAATGGAAGGGGCGTCCTTCGCAGCACGAGCGCATTCTTCGTGCATTTCCTCCAACAAAAAGCCCAAAAATTCCTGAGCGTCTTGCTGATGGCCTCGCTAAAACAACGGTGTCAGCTGTCAGCTCCAAAAAGGCAATAAAAATAATCTCCAAAAAAAAATTAGACAAGGCAACTTACTCGCATGTCTCGGAAGCGTGGCAACTGCCTGATCACCTGATAAACAAACTCGGGGATGAAGGCTTCGCCATATTCCTCGAGCTCGTTTGGCTTCAGCCTGAGCTTCAGTTGCTCTTCAGAGTGGGCAGCGTCGATGACGCGAAATTCTTTCATAAACATAATCCTAGTTCATCCGAAGTCAATATCTGTTCTTCGACATGTTTGTGAATACAACTTACATAGCATCAACCAAGGGAAAATCGCTCTGAAAGCTATGCGACGCTCGTCTTCCGATGTGATCCAAGAATTGATAGAAAGGGACGCACGAAACCAAAATTTGAAGAACCTAATGCACCAGACGATCAGTGAATGTAGACAGGCATACTTTGCAGCAGGAAACATACAGAATTCATATAACACATGTTCCCAGTATTTACAAGTCCTCTGGGTTCAAGGAAAGCAACTTTATCGCTGTATTGAGAGACATCATTCCCAAGGCTCACCAAGACATCAGCAAGAGATTCGCTTTTGCGCTTCACCACACCATTCACCGCGGCAGATGGCGCCCCACTGGTAGCTGTAGCTTTGGCGAGGTTCTTGGAACGAACGAGGTCCGCCCAGGACTTCGGTGTCGCACGAGGAGGGGAGGATAGTTTTGCTGCCTCCTCTGGGGCATTCCCCAATGCGTGTGGCGCATTTTCAGATGAGCCATCTAGATCTGTCACACTAGTCCCATCGACGGGGGCTCCGGATGATTTTGGCATTTCAACCGGACGGCCAACATCTTCTTTAGACCCTTGACGCAGAGCATTGGAACTCGGGACCACAGGGACTACTGGAACCACAGGGACCGCCGGCTTTGAGAATATGGACTGAGACTGGGAACGGACCCCAGGGTGAACAGCCGAGGATGGTGTTGTGGGCTGCGTAGAATTCCCAGTGGACGGGGCGACCGACAGAGCTGGGGATTGCGGCTCGGATGACGTTTGCGCGTGGGATTCTGCGGCTTTCAAATCGCTCAGTCTTTCAACCGGGCCGCTGCGCTGGACCTCCTTCGCAGGGAGTTCAACCGAAGCCGACGAGGACTGCAAACCCCGACCTCTTCGACGTCTACGCGTAACTTTGACTGGAAACGGACGTTCAGGGACCGAGAGCCAAGGAAGCTGGATTTTTTTTGTAAAAAAAAAAAATCAGATATCAAGCGCAGAGATGCAGGGAGGAGAGGAATCATTTCCGATAACTTACAGGTGGGCGGAATGGCTCTTTGGAAACCGGAGCCAGAACGACCTTTTCAGCCGGCGGGGCAGACGGCGAAGGGACGATAGGGCTAGGCACAGTATGGACAGGGAGAATGGCGGGCGACTGCACCTGCATCCCGAACGGAGCAGGGGCCTGACCAACAGGAGGCGACATAGTAGATTGAAGGGGGGTAGAAGTCCTCGGCTGAATGGGAAGGGAGGGAGGTGGCATAGGGGCCGGAGCCATGACCGGCTGCGAAGGAGGATAGCTCGAAAAGAACATCGGCGGCGCATACGGAGGCTGGAACGGGCGCGGAGGGGGCTGCATCTGCGGATAAGGCGGATACCAATGAGGATATTGCTGCGGTGAGTAAGCGGGAGGAAGATGGCCATTCATGTGCGGAGGATATCCCATATACGAGGGAGGCGAGCGCATATTGGGCGGCCCTGTCGAGTAGGGGATGTCCTGCTGTCTTCGAGGACCAGGTAAGGGTGGCTGCCCATGGGGCATAGCGGGCAGATGATGGTTCATCATGTCTCGACGTCGGCAAAGTCGCCTCGACTATTTCAGCCACGCGTTGCCTCAATGGGAGCCATACGAGACACAAAAACAGGGGGAGAGAGAACGAGCGGGCGCAGCACCCGTCTAAGCAGCCATTCTCAGCTCGTAGCCGGGAATCCGTTTCGTCGTCGTCGTCTAAGCGGATGAATGGGAGTAGAAGCTTGGCACTGATAGGTCCTGTAAATCCTTAAGGGATTGACGTGTTAACGATGTGCGACAACCAGACAACGGAGGAGGAATAGGGGGAGAAGAAAACACGCACATGAACCAGGTCTGCCGAGCGAACACAAATTGACTGACTATACCTCTTGCGTTGTGGGGGAGGGGCGAGGAAGCAGCAACGTCGAGGACGAGAGAGACGGAGCACACAGGAGGTCTTGCTTTTGGTGAGTCGAAGATGATGTTTTTTCGGCCGCGCACGTGCCCGGCCCTCCCGTCCGCCTGCCAAGACATGACATACTCGCCCCTCTCTCTCTCTCTCTCTCTGACTGTCTCACTTCCTCTCGGTCTCTCTCCCTGAGGAGAAGAAGGGTCAGGACTCAACTTGCCTCTCCTCCTCCTGGCTGTTTGGGGGGGTTGTGATGTTTCCTATCTCCCTCGTCTATGGTTCAGGCCTTTCTCGTGGTCGAATTCACTCTCATCCCTATCCTCAAACTCTCTCCTACGTTCTGGAGTAAGCCACCGACAGCAAGACCGTGATTTGCTCCTATTTTCAGGTGGGCAATGTCGTCTAATTCCGGTCAAGCCCCTGGCTCTTCCAAGTCACTGAATATTCCGAATCAGTCTGCTGCGTCGACATTTCATTCGGCTCCGTCGGTAGACAGTGGTTTTCAACGACGCGCGGGAGGTTCGGGCAGTTTTGGGGCAGGATTGACGTCGAGGAATTCCAGCTCTCCTAGGAACAATCAGTTTCGGAGGAACAAGCACAAGTCAACGTGTCCTCGGTTGCTGGATGAGGACGATTACAGCGAATCTGTAGGTTCCCATGGTCCGTCCGGAGAACCTTTTGTATTTTATATGAATGAAACCAAGTATATTAAACAATCCAGGAACAGGCCATCATGAGATCTACCACCAGTCGCAAAGGGCAAACATCCATCACGCATCTAATGAACTTTTCTCTCCCTCCTCGCCCACAGTATCACCCCCAACCACGCAACTCCCGTCGATATGCATCTTGGGGTTTGGGATCGGGCCACCACGCGATGGATAAGGCCCGTTACGTTCACGCCAACTACCGGTTTATCGTGACACCCGATCGAAGTTATCACGTGCAAGCGGCCAATGCCGATGTCCATTTGGACTGGGATTCCGTGCTCCAGGTGTTGGTGTCGGCGGAGACCCAATCCGCCAGCTGTCCCATCTGCCTATCAACGCCGGTGGCCCCGCGAATGGCGCGGTGCGGTCATATCTTTTGTCTTCCCTGTCTGATTCGCTACATGCACTCCGCCGATGAAGAGAACCAGGTTCCGGAGAAGAAAGCGCGCTGGAAGAAATGCCCCATCTGTTGGGACTCGATCTACATCTCTGAGATTCGGCCTGTGCGATGGTTCCGTGGCCAAGAAGGCGACCTGCCCATCGAAGGCGGTGATGTGGTGTTAAGGCTGGTTAAGAGAGAGCCAGGAAGCACTTTGGCCCTTCCTCGGGACGGCGCTGAAGGGCTTGGCCCCGAAGAGGATATTCCGTGGTATCACGCTGCAGAAGTCGCCGACTACGCGCGCATCATGAAAGGAGGGGAGGACTACATGAATTCGCAGTACGAGATGGAAATCGAAGACCTTCGGCGGCAGGAGATGGAAGATGAGCTTCTGTTTGGTGACGAGACTACATGGACGCAAAAGGCCATTGTCGCGGTTAGGGATGCTCAGCTAAGGCTCCAGGGAATTGGGAACCCACCTGAGATTTCGCACCAGCCTCCGATGGCGAGACCGACCAAGAGTCCTATCCCTATTCAACCGCCCCAGGACGAAGTGGCCATGATGGATTCGTCCCAGCATGCCACTACATCGTGGAAGACTTCCTCGGCGGAGTCGATGCCATCATCGAATACCGATCCAAGCGTCGTGCCTGCACAAACTATCACAAATGAGACAGACAGCTTAACACACACGATGAGTCAGGTCGACCTTGGCTCGATGGCCGAGGCGAAGTCCAAACAACGAAACGCAGGAGTTGGACAGAGCCGTGAAACCAATGGCGCCCATTCATCCGACCACCCATTCTATTTCTACCAGGCCCTACCTCAGTTCTACCTTTCCCCCCTCGATATTCGCATTCTCAAGGCCGCCTTTGGCGACTATTCCTTGTTTCCGGCGACCATTCTACCTCGGGTCGAACATGTATCCACCGGACATATCGTCGACGATGAACTCCGCAAGCGGGTCAAGTACCTCGGGCATCTCCCCCAGGGCTGCGAAGTGAATTTCCTGGAGTGTGATTGGCGAGATGTGGTCGCGCCGGAAGTTTTGGATCAGTTCCGCGCGGAAACGAGCCGGCGAAGGAAGCGAAATAAGGACAAGGAGTTGCGCGAAGAAAAAGACCGGATCCGCGCTGAAAAGGAAGATGACAAGCGATGGGCTGCAGCGCATCGTAAGCGGCCCAGTATCGGCAGCAGTATTGACCCTCCATTCTCCGACCGAGATTTCCAGCCCTTGGCGAGCGGATCCTTTGACGTCGGCCCGTCGTCCGCGTCTCCCCCTCGGGTCCCTTCACAGTTTGGAGCATTGGCCTCTCCGTCGACAAGCCCTCCCGGAACTCGCACCGTATGGGGAACGGCCGCTGTGCCCTCGCTCTCGCAGCCGACGGATTCGCAGCAAGGGCCCGCTCCTCCTCGCGATGGTTGGCTTGAGGGCTGGGAGGAGGAATTGCTGGCACATCAGGAGCGCGAACTATTGGCACAGACGGCTATTGAGGCAGGCAACCCTCCTCCACCATCTTCTACGGGCGGGAAGAAAAAGAAGAACAAAAAAATCACCCTGATGTCCACCAATATCCAGAGAGGGGCATGAACCTCGGGCTCATGTTTGAACAGTCCTCTTTTCACTCACTCACAACAACACAGCCTCTCTCTTGAAGACAATTGACTCCACTTCCGTTCATGGTTGAAACCATGGAATGTAATTATTTTCTTTTGGAGCGTGGGTGGTGATGTCGAGATATATTTCTGGAAGACGCATGGATAGGAGTCAGATGGTTTCATTGCCGCTTTTGTCGAGATTTATATACATGCATTCTGGGGAAACTTGATGATATATGAATAGATTTTTTTGGTTCGATTGTGGACGTCCAAGTGATTAATATGAGAACTTTCTATAAACATTTTATAAACATTTTATAAAGCCTTTAAATCTCCTTAACGTACGCTCATGTCTGTAGCATCTGTTTGCTATTTAGACACCCTAATGCCACCTCAAATATCCACAGTGGTCCTACTCCATACAAGCTTGCGAAGGTTTATTACCTCTCGAAAGCGGGTCGATCTATCAGGTACTCCGTACCGTCAGCCTGAATACGTAGTCCCTGATTATCCGGGAGGGATTCGGGCAGAGCCGGTGCCAACAAGTTGAGACAATGGGGGCAAATGGGGGCAAAGGGGCCAATAATGAGGACTGTGGCGTGCCTTTACGATATGATACTAGGACGGATCCACTATGGAGTAGTACACTGATGATCGATTGTCTGAGGATGGATTAACATGTCCAGGACTCCAGACGAAGTTCCACCGGTTCAGGACAGCTGCTGCCAACATGTATTTTTAGCTCATCTCGTGTCGCCATCCATTTATAAAAGTCAGGCACCTTTTGACTTTCCAGCACTCACTCATATTAACCTCCCTTGCTTTTGGACCAGACCTATATCTCATCCTCAAGATGAAGATCTCACGTGCTGCCTCCCTGTTGGCCGCCAGTGCCTCTGCTTTTGACAAAAACCTGCTTATGGGACATCTCCAATATTCCTGAGCCTCCAGAGCCTTCGTGTGTCGCTAATATACCGTATGAATAGCCTGGGTAAAGTGTGACTACTCCTGCATCAATGTCTACCAGGGAATCCCCGACAATTCGACCGTGGCACCCGGCAGCAAGATTGACATCCGCTTCAACCGTGCCCCGACGAGCCACTGCCCCGACCCGTTGAATAAGTACGCTGGAGGCAACTACAGCCTATGGCCATACAACAATCCCATGCGCAATCGTGACACCATCGCGTACGACCAGTCGATCGAGATTCAGTCCGATATTCCCGAGTCCCAGGGTGTCGTTACCATTACCATCCCGGAGAACCTCCCCGTGGTGAAGGATTATTCGGTTTGGTACCTGCGTCTTAGTACTTATCTTCCCGATGCCCCTCAGGTATGTGCTACTGGGATGGATATCTTGTCGGAGTAGAAATGTTCTAACAGGAGGGATAGATGCCGACTCTTTTTTAATGCTGCTGGTCCCTTTACCATCTGGGTATAATCAGCCCTTTTGATACTGAATTTGGGCTTGAATTACTCCGTAGAGTAAATATTCATACAAGCGCTGGATTATAGTTCCTCTTGGTCTTTATTAGCGACCATCTTGTTGTCGGTTCTTACATGCAGGTTCAGTGATATATGGATTCTCTGGAAGCAGTCCCTCAAGTTTATTGTCAGGAAGAGTCCTCTGCTATGACTATTCCAATATATTCCATAGTTATAAGTTAAAGAACTCGGTTGTATTATATAACTATAGCTTTACATGTAGGGAATACTACTCCGCATAAGAAACACTGGCAAGGTGGCAAGACAGTGAATACATGTGTTTCTATATGGGATCATTAAGAGGGCACTTAACAATACACAATAGCAAGATCATACAACTACCAAACAAATAGAGGGTATTCCAGTCTACAAATTGATCCATGAACATCAGTACTCTCTGGATCTATCTAAACTTCCAACTACCTCGGAACATTATTCCCATCTTATGACCTGAGGCACCAGCAGTATCTTACATACCGTACGGTAAATTACACCCTTTGGGTAATTGACGCTTGTTGATCCCCCAAACGAATAAACAATGGATTAATTCTTCTTCGCTTTCACTCGCTCCTCACGTCAAATCGGCCCCTCTCTGACCTTGCCTTCTATTCACCCCAAATCTCCCTTTATTCTGTCCATTGTATGGTCTGCATATCATGACTGTCACGCGCTCCCAAACGGGGAAGACCCCCAAGTAAGTAATTTGTTTGTGTGTAACCCTGCAGCAACGTATAAGAAAACCTTAAAAAAAAGGAGGGGAGAGCCAACACCAACGGTGACATTCAATTGCTTTTGCGTTGGCCTCTTTTCTATATTACTTTCAAGTCTACACCGTGTGCAATTGATCAACTAGACTATTCTCAACTGACATTGTGGTCATCCATAGGAAAATGGAGCGCCCTGGCTTCGTCGAGACCCCTCACCGTCGAGTCACTCGCAGCAGCGCATTGGCATCAGATACAAATACGGATGATGCATCCGACTCGGCGATGGAGGCCCGAGGAAGATCTAAGGCCGCGACTCGCAGGCGCACCTCAGTCAGGGAGACAAGTACCAACCCCGACGACGAGGCCGAGGCCATTGCGACGAATGGACACGTCCACTCTTCTCAGAAAAAGCCCCGGATAGTTGACGGATGGGAAGAGGGAAAGGATCCCAAAATCGACTATAGCGGGCATTTTGAGTTTGGAGGCTCCTTTGGCGTGCTTTCCATGATGATTGGATTCCCGTTGCTGATGTACTACATGTGGATTGGAGCCACCTATTACGATGGCAAGTTCCCCCGTCCTTCTGCTGGACAGAGCACGTGGGACTTTATAGCGCACTTGGGCCACTTGGTGTATGAGGGAGCGTTTCCATCGCTCAAGGCATGGACGATTTATTGGGTCTTCTTTATCTTCGAGGGGGCGTGCTACTTGCTGCTTCCTGGCGTTACGGTTATGGGCCGTCCTCTCCCATACCTCGGGGGAAAGCAATTGCCGTATTACTGCTCTGCCGTATGGTCCTTTTACACCAGCATTGTACTGGCTTTGCTCCTCCATGTTACCGGTATTTTCAAGCTCTACACTATTATTGACGAGTTCGGCCCTCTCCTGAGTGTCGCTATTCTCTCCGGATTTCTGGTTTCTTTTGCTGCCTACTTCTCGGCCTTGGCTCGTGGCGCAGAGCATCGTATGACTGGGTATCCCATCTATGACTTTTTCATGGGCGCTGAACTGAACCCCCGGATGTTCGGCATTCTGGATTTCAAGATGTTTTTCGAAGTCCGCCTACCTTGGTACATTCTTCTGTTTGTTACCATGGGTGCTGCGGCCCGACAGTACGAAATCTATGGATATGTTTCCGGCGAGGTTGGGTTCCTCTTGCTGGCGCATTTTCTTTATGCCAATGCCTGCTCTAAGGGTGAAGAGTGCATCGTGTCAACTTGGTAAGGAGCGGGCAGTGGTCTTTTTGACGGAGGTTGTTGAACTGCTCAGGCTAACACGGTAATAGGGACATGTACTATGAAAAATGGGGCTTCATGTTGATCTTCTGGAATCTTGCCGGTGTCCCTCTTAGTTACTGCCACTGCACGATATACCTTGCAAACCATGACCCGGCCACCTATTACTGGAACCGCTACTTCTTGGTGGCCCTCTACGTCGCGTATCTCTTCGTGTACTGGGTTTGGGATACAACCAACAGCCAGAAGAATCGTTTCCGCCAGCAGGAGCGTGGCACTATGGTATCCCGGAATACATTCCCCCAGTTGCCATGGCAGACGGTGGAAAACCCCAAGACGATCACTGCTGCGGACGGCTCGAAGATCCTGGTCGACGGCTGGTGTAAGTAACCCCGGTCGCTGACATTAGCGCTCACGGCGCAGGGTATTGAGACTAACTCCATGACAGACGGGAAGGCTCGGAAGATTCACTACACTTGTGATCTCTTCTTTGCCTTGAACTGGGGCCTTATCACCGGGTTTAATAGCCCATTCCCTTGGTTCTATCCGGTCTTCTTTGCTTGCATGATTAGCCACCGTGCCATGCGTGATATCCAGCGTTGCCGGAACAAGTACGGTGAAGCATGGACGCAGTATGAGAAACAAGTCCCCTACTTGTTTATTCCCGTACGTGTGGATTTTCCGGTTCTGTTAACTCTGATCAACGACTGATTGAAGATGTAGTACATCATTTAAAGAACGACCGAATATTCTCCGACACCCATCGTTTGTATTTATGGACGTTTCCACTATCGGCGTCTTTGACTTCGGAAATCTTTTTCTACAGGGTCTAATATACCACCACTTTTTAATTCCCTTCTCTACTGATTCTGCGCAAAGTGCATGTCTAAGACTTGCAGCTGTGCCCTGAGCGTGGGGAACCGTTCCAGTTTTCTCCAGCAATGACCTCTCTTGATGCGACATTCCTTTTAAATATTTAGATTGTTCTATGTACATTATTTACGTGCTATCTTTTTTTGGCTTTACTCTGCTATTTATCTAATATCTACAATGTCAATGGTTTGCGAACTGTTTTGGTACAGGAATTTGGCTTTGAGAAACCTCCGAGTATGTAGAATTGATAGTTAATTTGACAGCCGTCAACAGACAACATTTCGCCTAAAGAGAATCCAGGCGCCTTGTCCTCCATCCAGAACACTCCGGGATCACATGACCTCGCCCCTCGATCTGATCTTATCGTCCCTCGGTAGACCCCGCGAATCTCGCAGTAGAGAATTGACGAGCTTTGTGTGGTTACCCTCGACCATAGTACACGATGCTGATTCAGGAATCGTTCCATGATGTGCCGACCAAGGCGGACGGAGAGGGTAGTATGCGTATGTATATCGATAGTTGTTTTCCTGCTACCCGTTTGTCCCATTAGCAGCTGCTGTGTCGTACCAGAATTACATACTTCATCCTTTACGTGGTGGCCTTATATTAGCACGCTGACAGACGTATGTCATTCAAGGCATCTATGTATTCCACCCTTCTATTCCGGGGTATCCCAAGGCCCGATTCCCCGGTGTAGTGGTATTTAGTGAGATATACCAAGGTAAGGCTGCCCATATCCAATCCGATTCTCTTGTATCTGTAATCTAGGGAGTACGTTCTTGGGGCTAATTAGTCGATAGTCACTGGCCCTGTTGCGCGGTTTGCACGACAAATTGCCGGACAAGGCTATATTTGTGCGGCTCCATCCAGCTATCATGAATTTACAGGCCCGGAGCCATTGTAGTATAATGTCGAGGACACGGACAATGGCAATAAGTGGAAAGTAACCAAGGTACTACATACTATGGAGTCCGGCCAATTGTCTACCTACTATCAAGATAAGCCCTGACTTTTCCTAGAAACTCTCCGCTTATGACGAGGACGCCTCTCTGTGCATAGACTATCTCTTGTCGCTCCCCACGTGTAATGGTCGGATCGGTGCAACGGGTATGTGCCTCGGTGGACATCTGGCGTATCGCTGTGCGTTGGACAGCCGAGTGAAGGCAGCGGTGTGTTACTTTGCTACCGACATCCATAGCAAGACCTTGGCGGAGGGCAAAAATGACGATAGCTTGGCGAGGGCCAGCGATATCAAGGGAGAACTACTGATGGTGAGGATTTTCCCCAGAGGGATGGGTGTATTCTCTACTATTTGACATTATACTTTATTTCAGTGTGCAAGGCCAGAGTTAACGGGAGATTGCAGATCTTCGGAAAGAACGACAATCATGTCCCACCCGAGGGAAGGGATTTGATCCGGAAGACGCTCCACGGCAAGGGAGTGTTATTTAGTTTTTACGAGGTGGCTTGGGCGCAGCGTAAGTTGCCATAGAAATGCTCTATGAAAGGAGGAGGGGAAATCTCTGCTGACCAGGAAACTCGATAACTAGATGCGTTTATCCGCGATGAGCTCAGCAAGGGACGATATGACCCCGCCATTAGCAAGGTGTGCTTCGAGATGCTGGTGGAACTGTTTGGACGAACCTTAAAGCTGGACTTGGGGGAGCATGATGGGAAGAAATTGGAGATAGAGGATGTGTGCTGATTTTAGGCCGACAGACCTTACCCTTGCCACTAGGCAACGAGATATCCGACCTTGCTTGTGGGGGAACCGATTCTTTCATTCAGTCAGCTGTCAATGCCGACTGATCTAAATATACTCTCCACATAGATTGCGTCATAGCTTGATTTTGTGGCTCAGTAGTCAGTATCTACTAGGTAGCTGAGTAGTTGAGATTACTAGGTACTACTCAGATCCAAATAGTTAGAACAATGAAAAGTGTTGTCTCTGTCAGATGTTTTCCCATACGGTATTGTCCTCCCCAGGCAACGACAAGATGTGCAAATGAATCACGTAAGGTACGGTCCGCCAGCATTTAATATTGTGTGCATGGCCGACTCGATAGATCTTCGATAGATCTTCGATAGATCTGGAGACGCAAGGACGAGGTCGAGATATTTAGGATCTGCATCGATACGGTATGGGTAATACAGGGCTGGATGGTTGCCATGGATATTCCGAGGGGGTTGAGACGAACAGACCGGAGATAGATAGATTTGATGGTAATACAGAGTACTCGTAGGTAGGACGAAATGAACATACATATTCTGTACGACAGAGGACTATAAATAGGGGCGAATGAGGGGAGGAATGGGCTAGCGGAAAGAAGCCACACTATCCATGGATGGAAGAGGCTCAGGCACCGGTGGGACTACTATCCACAATCTACTAGAGCATATCATACCAACGATAATAAAGAATTATATAACAATAATCCACAATACACTCACTCAGTCCACAAGGAACAATTCCATAATCCCGCCTCCCCAGCTTTCGGAGTTTCTACGAGGGAGATCATGAATGCGACCCTGGTGAAACCAACGCCTCCTCGAAAGGCTAGTCCACTCCTTCTAGCGTCTCTACTTTGGCGTAGTTCGTGTTCTCACTGGTGCCTCCTCATCCATCCCATTTCCACCATCGCTATTCTATTCTCTCTTGTCTCTCACACTCTCGCAAGAACCATCTATTGTCATCTTCTCGCATCCCAATCCACCTAGGTTCATTCAATCTAATTAGTGTATAGACTGCAGACATATCAATCCACTCTTTATTTATCACCCACCCTACCTTGCAGCCTCTCACTAGGTTTCATTTGCCTGGATTCCTTTTTTTTTTCCCACTTTTGAGTCTAATCCGATTTCCCGTCTCGTAACGCCTGCAGGTCTGACGGTCAACGTGTCAATTGTCTTTTTTTAAATATTTTGTTTTATTTTATTTTACTTTGTGGAAAGGCATCGTGGGAGGGAGAAACAGAATACGTTAATTTCTTGAATACCCCCTCCAGAAGGTCCTTCAGCCGGCAGATCCATTCAATCCAATCGATACAAATCTAAAAACATCCCATTCTCCCAGTTTTTGCTTTTCACCTAAGATCTGCGTTGGGAGCGCCCATAACTCCGGCCCTCAGCGTGGGTCCAACGAAATCGCCCTAATTTAACCACACCTGCACCTCACTCTCTCATTTCCTCGCTCTCCCGTGAAGAACCTCCTTCTGTGGTCTGTCGTTCCCACGGTCGCTAACCATGGGCTCGACACAATTTGGAAAATTCCACGTGAGTCCCCAATTATACTGATGCAAAAGTGATTGGGAGCACATTCGCTGACCGCTGATCTTCCGCACATGTAGGACTTTTGTCGGGATTCGACTCTGCCTGTCTGCAATGTACGTGACTGAATTCCCAGATCGATGTGATATATCGAAATGATGCCCTGCGGTGATTTCTCAATTGGTGGATTGCATGTCGCTGATTCTGGTCTTTTCGCTCCATAGCTTTTTGTCAACAACAACCAGCCCCCTAATGAAGCGTTTGATGGCTGTGCGCTTCTCGGCATTAGCCTCAGCGGTGACCGACATTTGAGCAATTTGGGTATGATAGCCCGAATCCGGAGGCTCAAATGCAACGGGATATTAGATTAACCGGTTACAGGCTCGATCTTACTGGCGTTCATAGCCATCCTGACATCGCTTTTCCTGCTATGGCGGTCAGAACGGAAACAGGCAGCTGTTGGGCGACGGTATGTCAGCAATGGTTGAACCGAAAAATAAGAAACAAAGAGAATGTGACGTGGACTAATATTTGGACAGAGAGATGCAATTGTTCCTGCTCGGTTTTATCGTCATTGAGATTTGCGAAATCTTCTCCGTGGGTGGTTTCCCACTCGACGGAGCCGTTCGGAAGGTATGAACAATATGAACGAATAACCCGCTTTCCCCTTCTTTTGGGCGAACCTAATCGGCTTGTTTAGGGGTTTTCGGCCGTGCACATCGCCGCAGTCACTGCGACATGTTGGATCCTCCTATTAAACGCTCTTGTGGGATTCCAATTCCTTGACGACGGTACTCCCGCCTCAATCGGTCTCTTCGTTGCCTCCGCGTTGGTGTTTTTCATCGGCACAGGATATATTGCCCTTGACACGGGGTTCAACTGGTCCGGAGAATTCGCGCCGGATGAGTCCACCGGCTATCGCAATATTGCCCTCTATGTGTTATATCAGCTGTTCCCCCTCGTCTGTCTGGTGGCGTTTTTCGTTTTAGAGACCGTTTTGGTGATCCGGGTTCTGGGCGAGCTCCGACCAATGTGTATGTTCCCTCGCTGCTTTGCGAGTCCCTGTTCGGTCCTGTGGAGAAGGATTTTTCTGACAAGGATCGCAGTGTACCTGGTTGGTGCCGGTCTCTTATTTGCTATCGGCCAGATTTTCAACTATGTTATCAGCACTCATCTCTGCAACGCTTCGAATGGGAAAATTAACGGCGCCTTATTCGAAACTCTCTTCACCCTTCTGTCCGTGGTCACGGTTTGGGTCTTCTGGAGCAGTATTACAGAAGACGATTGGCCTATACCTGCGGCTCCCAGTGGGGGATACAATGGCTAATCCTATGTACTTGCACCTGCACATTAGCTGATATATGAGCCAAACGTCGCCTTGTTCACACTCTTGAAGTGAGGTTGAGTTGACGACCACCGCGGTATACGCGTTCTTGTGCCTGCTTAATACTCGACCAGCGAGGTTTTTCCTTTGATTTGCCTTTCCTTTATGTTTTCACGGGATCTCACGAGTCCGAGTGTTTTGATACCATGTCTGTGTTTTATACCTGATGTTTGACGAAATTCTTGATATGTTCTGCGTGTTTGCATGTGGTCTGCCTGACATTCTAATAAGCATAGGGTCACTGTTGGCATATTTTATAATTTCTCTCTCTCCCTCCTAATGACATGTTATATACTATTTGTAATTAATGTATTGTCTTATATTCAATAACCTAACCTATCCTGATCCTGTCGCGTGTGTTGAATGCTCAAGGTATCTGATTTGAATCGACATGAACAGTGATTCCAACAGTGATTGAGCCTTTACCAGTATTCACCGATCCAAGCGAACAATAGGTAGAAATATTAAACAGCCATGGTATTGATATGGTATATACAGTTACAGTGCCTGTGCCAGAAGTGTAAACAAAGAAACCCGTTGCAGGAAGAAAGAATATAAGTTGATCCCAAATGAATAATAAGAGACGCTTGCAGTCACCCAAACTCAGGCTCTATATTGTATCAGGTCAATGACAGGTACCTTGGACGGGTACCCCGGGTCCAAAAAAGAAGACCGATCCAATGTTTTTTCCCAGCCGGTGGTGTTTATGAGCCAACTTCTTTTCTCCGCCAGAAGCAAAATGCCAGAATCGGCGCGGCGCGGACAAAAGATAGAAAAAAGTGGCAAAGGGCAAAACCAGTGCAGATACGCCATTGCAGGAAACACGGCTGCGTTGCCATATGAATAGGTATAACACATAGTCCCGAGTGCCGGGAAACAAATCACCATCTATAATCGGACTTTGACATCTACACAAGGTAGAGTCCATTCATGACGTCCCAACAGACTGCGCAACCACTGCAGTCCGACACCGGTCCATTCTTCCTGTCTGAGTTCGGAGACTCCCGCGGACGAGGAGGTGCCATTCAGCGCTAGACGACGCTGCGCCTCGTCGACCAAGGCCCTGGCCAGGGCCTTGGTCGTGGCGTTGACGGTTTCAAACACGTATTCGGCGAGGGTTTCACTGGGAGCGATCATGGAAGAGTTGGAATGGATGGGATCCGCCACGGCGGCGGTAGAATTGGTGGTGGTGGTGAAGCGAGGAGAGAACCAGTCACCACGGAGATCGAAGAAACACCGGTCTGACCAGTGACAGGACGAGATGAAGAGGATCAGAAGGAGTGCGGAGCAGTAGATACAGGGACGATGGAGGACATAAGTGAGAGTGACGAAGGAGACGATGAAGAGCGGGGAGGCGTTGGTTGGAATGAAGAGAAGAGGTAGCCAGCTGTGCGGAATGATGTTAGTTGGGAATGTTTATCTCAACTGATGACAGATCCTATCGGCCATCACTTCGTTGATTTACTCACCTGCGAAGACAGAACATGATGGTGGTGGTTGGACTGGTATCTCAGATCCGTCGGGAAAATGGCCTTCTACTGCTGGCTTCGAGGAGGTGAGGTGGGACAGACCGGTCGGTGGCAAATGGGAGAGATGCGAACTACTACCTAGGGTTTCACTGCAGAGGGTATAACAGTGATGTCAAGGAAAGGAGAGAGAGTGAGAGGACTTGGTCCATGAAGAAATGAATCAAATCATCACTTCGCCTGGATGGTCGTTGAGAAATAAAGTAAAGATAGTGTTGGTATTATTGATGGTGGTGGTATTTGGTATTGTAGAATTACCATTCGGTATATAATACCATAACATAACATAACAACCTGTATTGCTCTCCAGCCACACACCGAAAGCCACTCTAACTTCTTTTCTCTTTTCTTCTCACTCTTCTTCTTTTTCTTTCTCTACCTTACTATCACCTCCCCTTTTTGCCCCTTCTATTGTACAATAGTCTGTCATTCAATCTCATCTGTCTTTTTCGTTCATTCCATCTGCCTTCCTCCATTGCTCTTCTCGTCCGGACTCTCGAAAGAGAGCTCTCAAGAGTCCCTTAGAGCTTGGATTTCGTTTGGAGGTCGCCCTTCATCGTTGCGAGTGACAGAAATGTCCACCCCCAATGATCTCCAGGCTCTCCTGGCGAGCATCAGACCCCGTCCATCTCCTTGGAACACCCCCGGTCAGGACGCTCCCATGGCCTCATATCCTCCGCAGTACCATTCGGGATACCGCCAGCATCAGCAGCAGTCGCCCTACGATGGTCAGAGCTACTCTCACCCCCAGCTGCAACAGCCTAGCTACCGCCACCCCTCGGTTTCGTCTGCCGTCCACAGTCCTTCGCCTCTGAATACTCCTCCCCATAATGGCTCGGATATTCTTAGTCCTAATGTGCCTACTCCTAGGAGTGACATGTTCCCCCAGCAGTCGTCCGTGCACCAGCATCAGCCGCTGCCCCAGAATCCCGACCGGGCCACCAATCTGCTGAATTTGTTGAAATTCAGCCAGCCTGCGCCGGCTGCTGCCCAACAGTATGCCTCTGCTATGGGGGTTGACCAACCCAAACCGGCTGCGGTCCATGAACCTGCTGTCATAGAGGAAGCCTCCAAGTCCCACGTGAGAAACATCTCTGCATCAGACCTGGTCGCTTCTCTCTTCAGTCGACAGGAGGGCACAACTCCTCCTGTCAATTCTGCGGGTTCTCAGTATGCTGCCGGTGCGGCCGGGGTGGGCGAAGGCTCTTCTGCCGCCCCGACCGCGGAAAACACCCAGGAAATGCTCTTACGCTTGCTCAACCGTCCCAAACCCGCTCAGGACGTACCAGAGGAACCCGAGAAAGCGGCCTCGCAGTCGTCAGGCTCGATTTCTCCCCAGAAATCTCCGTTCCCCGGCGCGGAACCTGGCAATGTCCCCACTCCGCCGGCCCAGGCCGTCGAGGAGTCTCGGGTTACGGGATCTCGTCCCGAGGAAGCCGTGTCTGGGAAACCGGATTCATTTGCTCTTCCGTCCAAACCTTCCCTGGCGCCCAAGGAGCCGATATTTACGTACGTCAACCCGTTTGAACAGCTTGCAGCCGTATCTCCTCGCAAGGAGACCCCACAGCCCAAACCTCAGAGTGAGGGCCCAGCCGTAGAGGTATCGAAAAGCCACAAAGTCAACGTCACTGCCCAGGTCGAGCCTGCTCCTGTGTTCTTCCCTGCGGAGCGTGCCAAGTCCCCTGTTCTGGCCGAAGAACAGAAGGAGGCTGTGACCCAAGTGGTCGACAAGCTAGTGGAGCAGATCTGCCGTGATGTTGACGAGGCAGTCGACAAGTCGACTCAGGAGCAGGCGAAATCTACCGTCCCAACGGGCCGCGAAGGGAGTACCCAAGAGGGGCTCCCTCCCATCGCTGATAACCTACCTGAGACCGCCACGGAAGCCAAGGAAAATGTGAAGAATGAGGATAGCAAAGAAGCGGTGAGCGATGCTGCTGCCACGAAGGAGACTCCTCCCGATAGCGGTGATGCCCTTGCAGACAGCTGGGAGAGTGCTGAAGATAGCGCCGAGAAGGAGGAACAGCGTATTGTTCAGGTGCACAATTTCCCCCTGAAGCCTTTCATTTCTATCACTGTGAAAGTTTATCCTGGCAAGCTTTCAGCCTTGCGGGATGATGGTATTATGGACATTGCTCGACTTAAAAAAGAATTCGACCAGTTGGATCGTTCCTTGACCTCGGCCACCGCGGATTATATTGTCTACGCTCTGGCGAAGAATGGAGGAATCCGCATCATCCGTCAAGATGACGGAAGTGACAAGCAAGTATTCCGCGCTACCCGTGATCGCGTTTTTAACGTTGCGGTGTGCACCTCGCAAACCACCACCGGTTCGTCCGAAGAACAGGCTGTTCTGGGCATCGGCGTCAGCGGTACGGTGTACTGGGCTTTGATCTCGAAAGCGGACAAGGATCTCTTTGAACTGGACGCCCTGGAGAGTGAGAGCCTCATCTTCCCCCCGTTCCCGGCATCGGACGAGAACACTTCTGGAGGCCAGCTGAAAACGCGGGCCAAACGGAGCTCTCGCCATCCCGGTCTGTTCGCCATTGGTCGTGGCAAGAACATCTATGTGATCTCTCCACAAGCCGCCGCCAGTCCTAGCTATGGCGTGTCGGGCAACCAGCGCACGGTCAACACGGAGAAATTCTTCAAGGAGCGCGCCCTTAAGATTTCCACCGGCAAGGCAGGCAAGGACTTCATGTTCAGCGACGATGACACGGTCATCGCCTCCCTCGACAAGACCGGCCGTCTTCGATTCTGGGACATTCGCGAGGTGGCCGCTAATTCCGCCTTCTTCAGTGCAGGGCCCACCCCGGCTGAGGTCCGCGTCCCGTTGAATACCTTCGTTACCGGTTCGCCTGCGGAGAAGTCATGGCCCACCTCTATTCTATTTATCGATAAACTCCGTCCTTACGTGAAGTCGATGGCGCTCCGGTATGTTCTGGTGGGACTGAAGCAGAACCACACCTTGCAGCTCTGGGATATTGGGCTGGGCAAGGCTGTGCAAGAGCTCAAGTTCCCTCATGAGAACGAGTCGGATGCAATTTGTAGTGTTGCGTACCATCCTGGATCTGGAATTATCGTCGTGGGTCACCCAACGCGCAATTCGATCTATTTTATTCACCTGTCTGCTCCGAGGTATAACCTGCAACCCATGTCACAGGCCTCTTTCATCAAGCGTGCGGCAGAGAAAGATAGCAGCCTACCTAAGCCTGAGTCCACCGCGTGCCTGAGCGGCATTCGCGAGATCTCCTTTGCTTCCAAGGGTCAGCTGCGGAGTCTGGACCTCCTTCCCATCACGAAAGCAGCTGGCGACGACGGCGGGCTGTTTGAACTGTACGCAATGCACTCGCGTGGAGTGACATGCCTGAACATCAAGAAGGAGGACCTGGGCTGGAGCCCGGAAAATAAGATTATCCGCCCTGTTAACGCGCTCGAGGAAGACCTGATCGAGATCTCGGAGCTTCAGTCCTTCCCAACCTACGTCACGGACGAGCCGTCTATTAATGGAGATTCAGCGCCTACTCCAACCAAGGTTGCACCTAAAGAGGTGACCAAAAAAGCCCCGGATGCGCCAAGCTCGGAAGCGGCCAGCACTGCTGCTTCTGCCGTACGGACCCAGTCCCCCATTAAACAGTCGAGGAAGAAGATGGGCGATGAGCAGGCGGAATCTTTGGCCACGGCAAACAGCTCGGAAAAGCCTGACAAAAAAAAGAAGAAGAAGGCTGCTGCCGAAGGGCCCGCAAGATCGAAGGAGCCCAATGCCACCGCGAACGATGCACCTGCACCTGTTGCAAGTGAACAGGCTAGCGGAAGCGACGTCTCTAAGAACGCCGCGGCTGCCGCTGATGCCACACCGTCTGTTGCCCCCATTATCGGGTCCAGCTACAACCTCGACAAGCACATTGAGGTGCTGCAGAACGGAGTGTCAACTGAATTCAGCAAGAGCCTTAGCCGTGAACTCGAAGGGCTGTACCGCCGTTTCGATGACGAACGACGTAGCTGGGATGCTGCGTCCGCAGCCAAGCAGGACCAGGTCCTCCGCTTGGTTTCGAGCACGCTGTCTGACAATGTGGAGAAGAACCTTGCTCGGATTGTGTCTGACAGCATCCGATCTGAGGTGGTGCCTGCTCTGGCTGATTTGACATCCTCTGCCGTTGGGAAGCAGCTGAACACGGTCATTGCTCAGCAGATTGGAGGCGCGGTTCCTCGTGAAATGCGACAGTCGCTACCAGAATCAGTCACTCGTGCGCTGCAGCAGCCCGATGTGGTCAAGGTTTTGTCGGAGGCCGTGAGCCAGAAGTTTACGCCTTACCTTGACGGCGAAATTTCGAAGACACTGCAGAATACGATTTCCCCAGCTTTTAAGAACTTGACGGCCCGAGTCATGGAGAAGACCGACATAGAGCGTCAGATGCAGGCTCAGTTGAAACAGTACGAAGTGCAGCGTCAGAAAGATGCCGCGAAGATCGACCAGCTCACCACCCTCGTCCGTGGTCTATCCGATACGGTTGCTTCCATGGCTGCCGCGCAGACGAATTTCCAGAACGAGGTGTTGAAGCTCAATCGCGCGGTGCTACCGCAGTCGGGCGAGCAGGACCGACGACAGTCGCCTGCGACAGCTCTATCTGCGGCACCCAGCGGTCCTGCTACGGGCCCAGAGGAACTGGAGCTAGCGGAGATCGCCCGGCTGATGAGCGAGGGTCGGTATGAAGAGGGCTCTGTGAAGGTTTGTGTTGCTGCAATATTCCATGTGGAAAGACGATACTAATTGATATGATTCTAGTGGCTGCAATCCACCCAACAGGCCGATTTGTTCGACAATCTTTTCATTCAACTGAACCCTTCGTACCTGACCGACCTTTCGCCGATTGTAGCATTGTCCGTCGGTGTTGCTGTTACATCCTCTCTCCAGACCAATGTTGCCGAACGTCTCACCTGGCTGGATGTTGTCCTGCAGACTGTCAACCCTATGGTATGTGTCCGTATCGCAGCAGCCCCCGAGAACTTAGCTAACCTCCTTGTAGGATGCGGACATTCGCGAGGTCGCTCCCAGAATCATGGAAATTCTGCTCCAGCGTCTTGATACCCTGTACATGTCGATCGCCCAGAACGCACCACACGACCCCGTTCTTCGCAAGATTCCACCGCTTTCACGGCGGGCGCGGGCGCTTCGTGGCTAAATTTTGAGATTTTATGTGCATTGTTGCTTGATACAGTAATGGCGGACAGGTGGAAGAATCATGTTGGCCCCTGTCTACTTGATGATCATCATGCATAATGGAAAACATGGTATAACATATTAACGTAAAAGTTGTAGCACATTTGGGTTTTTTTTTTTTTTTTTTTTTTTTTTTTTTTTTTTTTGTATGATCCTTAAGGATCAGCAGCAACAGGGAGACGGACGAAACATGTTGCTATTATGGCAGTGCTTTTGGCGCTGGTTTTATGTAGCTGTGGCTACGAGATATGGCGACGTCCTAATCTGATTCGCATATTCGCAGTATTCATAAGTTCTGGAAGTCTAGAAGCAGAGAACGATGAACTATGGCAGGCCTTCAACTACTCCGTGCTTGAACGTAAAGACGTATAGATCTTTCGCAACCCGTCGCAAGATCTCCTATTCACTACAAAGTACGATCTGACCTTATTCGTCCAGCATATATGTTTGAAAATGGCCTACTTTTTGGTCACCCACTCAGGAAAACTCTTGTCCTTTATATTGTTCCATTAAATTAAATTAATTAACTTTTCTGGATTTACAGTGACAGGATCTGCCGCAAGATATCCAGCACGGATATTTTATATACTTTCCCTTGAGTTCACATTGCACGCTCCATGCCTAGTCTCATCGCCCTCTTCTGTTAGAGTAACTGTGCAATATAAGTCCACAAAGACTGAACTGCGCTTCATCACTCTGGTGGGAGATAAATAGTGTGTATATTATAGGCCTTACATAAGTAGGACAATTTGGAGCATTGAAAAGTGTATACATTCAAGCGCATTCCTGCTCTCCTGGAAGTGCAGTCACACTTCTCTGAAACCGGGTTTGCCATATCGTTAGGTAGCCATGGAGGTATGACAGCGCCGCGGGACATTGAGCGAATGTCAATGATCAATAGGAAGGGCTGATTGAATGTCCTTTGTGTATGTAGGTCCCTAGACGTATAGTATGCATATTTCGAGAGTCTATGCATGAAAGTTGACCTCCTCCGCTGCTCGCTGTGAACCTCCTTCTTCGATGAATTCGAAACCTAAGGCACGCCAGTTCAATTCCTTGCGCCAGTGGAGTCCGTAATATTCGCGGTGAGGCTGTGTGGACGATTCTTCTGCTTGTTGGGCGTCTTCCGGGTCTTCCGCGGGGCTACTATTATTATTATCATCATTACTAGCTGAAGGCTCGTTGGTGGCATCCGCTTCCATCACTGGGCTTATAACAGGCTCCGACGCCAGACCCCCTGTTATCATACGTCCCTGTCGAGGGAAAGACACTGATCGAAAACGAGAAAGAAGCAGCCCCATGGAACAGCACAGACACGGTTCGTGGGTCATATACACGTCCAGATCGGTACAGAGGTAGCCTCCCTGTTCACGCGAGCGGATCCGAGGAGTGCCCTTACCACTACCCGATAACGATGAAGATGATTTTGGAATCGCATCCGTGTCAGTCTTTTGGTACTTCTCCGGGACTGGGGATAAACCCCTTGAGTCGAGCAGGCATCCAGAATGTGGGGTCTCCGATTGCGATAAAAAGTGTGTCTCCAGGGGTGATAAACGCGGTTTCTCTCCTTGCGTGGATCCCCGTCGCACACTAGCAATCAGATCAACCGCGCGCATCAATGCGTGTAACTCCGGCCCGCCCTCCAGATCGGGGTTGTACGTCCCTCGGGCAGGGTTGGGGCCGGATCCCAGTTGAAGTTCCCCTTTGGACGAGGTGCCGACTTCACGGCGGGAATATCGCGCATCACCAGCGACTGCCACTACCGCATCGGCCCAATGGATCCCCCCATCATCGTTATCAGTGGTCTTGTTGATCCGAGCCTCTAATTCAGGGTCAACGACTACAGCGCCAACCCTGCGTCCCAGGCCCGATTGCTCCGCCTCATCTGCGACTTTGTACGCCAGCGCCAGGTAATGACCGGCCTTGGGCTGAATGGAGTCACGGGTGCGAGTGAGAATCTGTGGGGGTGGTGCGATGTTGGCTCTAGGAGCTGCAGGATTGTACACGACCGGCCAGTACTTAGCCGACCATTTCTCCGCCTGTGACACATTCAAAGGTGGTTGGATTGGAACCCGGATAGTGTGAAGGTTGATATTTTCGGGTTCGGTAGGAGTAGGAACGAATGGACTAAGCAGCTTCTGAAGAGAGTCAATGTCTGGTAGTGGAGGGGAAATCAAGACAAAGATCGTCTGTGAGGATGGTTCTCCTTGAATGAGAATGGATCGTAGAGTTTCCGGTAATTGTGTATGTTTTGAGAATCGACGTAGATGGTGCGTCGACTGGGAAGAGTCGCGAGGGAAGTTGGAGTCCAAGGCTCTGTGATTTCGTTAGTATGACCCATCCATGTGGGAGCCCATTGGGATTGTCTCACTTTATGACTTTAGAGGCAGATTTCACATTGACTTCTGCTACATATGCATTGTCTAGAGGTGATGTTAGATCAGGTCTTTTTTTTTTTTGTTTTTGAGCCTATCCTGGTCTCTTTCTTTCCTCTCCTCGCTAGCCAACGATAGGGGTCACTAGCCGCACGCACCAAAATCTTCTCGCGGCCGCGATTCTTGCACTGTTCTGATAGGAACTATCTGGCCCACGAGAGGCTGCACATCTTGAACGATCTGCTGCGCGTCCATTGACAGGCAAATGTGTGCAGTAGGCGGGGTACAAGGAGGAGGACAGAGGCAGTTTCGCAGGAATAACTAGGGTTCTGAGATATTGAGCAATCGGTATGAGGGAATGGAGGGAATATTATAATTCAAGTTAACTTCAGAAAAAGAGACAGCGCTTTGAGGTCTCAAACGTTGGAAGTCGATCACGGGAAGCAAACCCTGTACCCTATGACCTAAGCCCTAGCGGACCCTACCTGTCATATACGTCACATGTTCATCGTGAAGTAAAATCATTATATTCCCAGCCAACTAATAAATTGGAGCTATAGAAAGATTCAGAAGCCGAGGGACAAGTCAAATGGAACCTGTAACGTAAACCTAACGAAATACTAAACAATACCTCTTGCGTTTTATGTATACATAATGCCAACTCCATGTCCTTTATGTGTGTTATGCTATGTACGGTACAGACGGTGCCAGCCTGTTCTCCCATGAACAGACATCCGGTCCACCACTCCGAGATTTCGTCAACTTAAGCGATCCTTGTCTAATCAGGCGTGCAGATCAAGTAACTGGGATGTATTGATCCTCTGGCTTGCTTGCTCGCTAGGATTCAACCATCGCGCTGGATTTCATATCCTTCACATCTCTCCACCAAGCTCTGGTAATAGTCCACTAGGACTTCCGGTTGAGGGACAATGCGCCACTCTACACGGAACAGGAATTCCAATTCAAGAAGCGCCAATTCCGTTATGCTTATTCCGCCGACTCGGGCGTACGTTTTGTTGGTCCAGAAGCTATCACTCAATCCTTTACTCGCAACGGTTGCGCTGGCAATGAGGAACCGATGAATGGTCAGACTGGAGACGGTGAAGGACGGGTAAAGAGCACAGAGTCGGTCAATGTAGTACACCATGCTTAGAAGAATAGGAGGGGAGAGCGTCGCATGGGTGGTGAGTCGCTGCAGATAGTCGTGAACGGAGATCCGGGGGGGAGAACGGGAGTGGAAGCGCGTCAGTCGTCCCTGGTGAAGCGGGATCTTATCATTGAAGCGGATCAGCTCCATGAGCATGCTGGAAATTAAAACCACAATGTCCCGCGGATCCGCCTGGTCGTACTGAGCTGGTAGGGCCTTTACCGCGGGCTTGGTGGACCGCAGCCGCTTCGACTGCGAGCCCTCCAGATCGGAGCTGATCAGCCCGGTCGCATGCGCACCGTTAGCATGGGGGTCATTTGGGCTATTACGCTTGGTGGCCCCCGCGCTGGTTCCTGCGCCGTTGCGAACGGACGTGGTCATTGGGGGATTGGACGATGGCGGAGGGGCGAATGCTTGAACGGCAGGACGGGGGTCTAGGCCGTTACTGGCCGAGCGACCGGGGGGGAAGGGAGGTTGAGAACAGGGAACAGGGTCACCTGCAGTAGTTGTCAACGGCGAGGAGGAACTATTGTCGCCCCCAAGGGTGGTCAGCCCAGCGGAACGGCCGCCCGGGAGATCCCCTGAGGGCCCGGAGGACGAGGAGGCAACGGTGTGCCGGTTTAGAGCCGAACGAAGCTCTTCAATGGCGACGCGGGATGAGCGCCGAGAGATATGACCACTGGATGATGGATGGGCGGCAGGTTCATAATGCTGAAGATGGTAGTGAGACCCCGGGTTGGTGGCCGTCGTCGGAGCTGCTGCAGCGGCTGCGGCGGTAGAGGACGAAGAAACGACGAGGTGACGAGGGAAAGAGGGAGAAGAAAGGGAGGAAGGATGGGAACGCGAAGGAGAGGAGGAAGGGCGAAGGGCGGAGGGCGAGGGCGAGGAAACTAGCATCTCCGCCCAACGAGTTCACCACGTGGGCGCACGACTGAACGACGTGCAACGGAGGTGGCAGACGCTGCGAAACCTTGTGCTACTGCGGGCGATGATGGCCTGCCCTGACGCATCATGATCTGTGCGTTCAGCTCTTTTGAAAGGAAAAAGGCTGAAGAAGGAGGGTAGGATGAAAGGAAAATTGTTCACAAAAGCAGACAAACGATGATGACAAAAGGGAAGACGTTCTTCTCCAAATATTATTTAACTGGAGACTTTTTTGTCTCGTAAAAGAAAAGGCCAAAGAACCGCTCGGGGAACGCTAAGGAAGACACGGGTGACCATACAGGTAAGGCTGAGACGCACTAATCCCCAAAAAATCAAAGAATCAGGAATCTCTACGACTGAGCGTGGTTAATGGACCAATCAGGGCACTGAAAAGTGCGATCCTTCGAAAATTGCCTAGCCCTATTACGGAGGTAATACCGCCCCTCTCGGCACGCAGAACCGACATAATCAGCTGGTTGCAGTTATGACTAACAGTAGGCTTACGAGTAAATAGTACCTTAAATACTAACTATGGATGTTGGAAATATGAAGATGAATACATATGAAGATATTACACTATATTCAACTTTAAAGGAGGAATGTATCTAAAACTGGGGTAGCAGATCCCCTCGAACGCCTCTGAACTGGGTACCCTGAAGAATTGAGGAGATTCGACGATCTGGCTGCTTATCAGGCATCGCCTTGCATTAGGCCTGAGTTTCCTCCCAAGGAACCCCTGAAATGGGCGTCGGAACTTTGCGAGCAGTCAGTTTGGTGAGGATGCACTGGATCTCCTACCTACTCAGTATGTATTCCCCAGAATTCGTCTACAGAACTCAAGGTGTGAAATGGAAACTTCTATAGCTCCTATCACCTGATTATTATAGATTATCTCCTGATTCGTTTTCATATCTCTCGCAGTCATTCCTATTGCTGACGTAGTACTACTAATTAGTAGTCTTCTTCCCAATGTTCCCCATATCGTTAGGTCTAGCTTCTTGGCTCTTCGTCATTCTCATCCAACCATCATTGGGACGCCAGGATGGCCTTTTCAGATTGTACGATATTATATTGCAAAGTTAGCAACCGGCTAAAGTCGTTGGTCAAGCTGAGAGATGGTATGGAGTAGATAAAAAGAGAACTGGCAGGTGGCTGGCTGTCAACCCAGTTATGCCTTTCAAATAATGCAAAAACTACGGAGTATATGGGACGCCCTGGCAAAAGCGATCACTTTAGAGACGAGCAAGCCACATACAGAGTACATTCTCAGATAGCATTTGACATACGAATCTCTTACTCCATAGCATTCCGTATAGACTATAGTCTATTCCCCCATTCTTCAGACACGATCCACCAATCAGCTGCCCCGCATTTTAGATCAATTCGCTGGTTGTTTTGGATGAGTCAGCAGCATCATTAACTAGTTGGCAGTCATGTGATATCACATGATTCAGAGCCGGAAACGGTAAAGCGCTGCTGCCCCGGACTCGCTCAGGCGAAAGTCCGTCATAGAGTCCATCGAACTATCTCCAGCTGTTGCTCTGGGGTCTAGTCTTTTGTGCATAGTCATATCATCCTCTTCCTTGCTGCGGGCAGGGATCCCTTTCCATCCATGAGTAACTCCATCGACTGCGAACAAACACCATCGATTGATTCCTAGACAAATAATAGAAGATACTAGACTAATCGGCCGTCGACAAAGCTAGCTAGCTGTACGAAACCAGACCCCTCTCCTGAAAACTTCTAGCATCCGATCAAGGTTCCCCTCGAGTGCAACTGGTTCATTTTATCCTCCTTTCCTTTTCACATCAGTGCTCGATTATTACCTTTAGCCATTCATCCGTTCCCTCGCTTTTTTATTTCTTTGTAGGCTGATCTGGTTGGTCACAGAATCCTCCCGTGGGAGGCGGCGATTTCGGATGATGACGCGCGCATCAACGCCTCCAATTCTTCTGCAACTTCAGACGGCGGATACCCCTTTGACCCAAGCGGCCGCCCTGCGGAGCCTAAAGAATGAAACAATTGGACATGACCAGCGCAAAGAAACCTGGATCCGATGGGGTATCGTTCCCACTATCGCCAAACTACTCCTCGCACACCACCCCAGCACAAAGAGCACGGCGATCTCTGAACTCAATGGAGATTTTTCGGGTCGTGGGGTATCCACCTCGAGGTCAGAGGCAGATGAGGTTTGTTTACAGGCAATAATCATTCTGGGTAGTCTAGTACAAGGTATTTGATATACTTGGGGGCCTACAGAGAGATATGGCGGTCTTGATTTTACACGGTGCTAACCTTTCGAGTCAGGTGGTGCATCGTTTATTTCGCCAATTCTTGCCAGTGACATACCCACGGTTCTTCTATCTATCCTCTGTTCGCATGACTGCTCTCCCTCTTTCATGGTTCCCGTCCTTCGAACTTTGAACAACATCGCCGATCGACTACCGCTGCAGAGTCAGCTGCCAGGCCCCAAGGATACCAAGTTGGCCGATTTACTCTTCTCGAGCGAATATGTTGGCTGTCTCTCGCGCATCATTGCGCAGAATTACGATTCACATGAGAAGCAGATGGCTATCGAGCTGGCTGCAGCTCTTGTTGGGAAATTATGCACGGAAGAAGCTCACAAGGCACTGTTGGCCGAGTGTGGGGTGCTGGATGCCTTGGCTGTGAAAGTGGCCTCTTTCATCGTTGCACAAGGCTTCGTTTTGCCGGGTGCAGAGGCGCATGTGCAGGAGCCAGGAGCTCTTGGGTCACTTCCTCTGGCTCCACCCCCAGGAGCCAAACTAGCTCCAATCCTTCGCGCTGTCACCGTAATCATTGAGCATTCTAAGTGGCGGGCGGAGCACTTCCTATCGTCTCCGGGGATTATCACGGTATTCCCGAAGCAAGTACCCGAGTTTGCCCCGTCAGATATAAAGAAAGGCCCATGGGGCTCGACGTATCTGTCAGGGTCTGCAGTACCTCGTCATGCTGGGGCAAGCCCCCTGGAATACCTCCTGCCATCTGTCCCATTATCACAAAACAAAGCGTCAACGAGCACAGTCAATTTTCCGCCCTTAGGACACCAGGGCCCTCGTCGCCGCCACAGCCAGTCATTTCCCACCCCGCTCTCAGCTTTCGAGGCCCCAGGCTCTGAGGATGATGAAAACGCCCTCATCCCCTGGCTTCTCTATGTGATCCGTGCTGAAAGTGGCATGACACGGCTAATGGCAGCTCGTCTTATCACCGTTTTGTTCCGTCGAGGCCTTACTAAGAAACATCGGGTCTCGATGCTGTGTTACTTGCTAATCCCCATCCTTATCCGGATGATGGACAAAGATAAAGAGTTGGCGTGTGATGATGACGTCCAGTATGGCGGCCTGATCTCTTCGTCCGATCGTCTGCGAGAAGAAGCCCCTGCGGTACTAGCCACCTTAGTCATGGATGACCAAGAACTGCAGAGACATGCGGCCGACGGGGGAGCCATCAAGCGACTGTCTCAGCTGCTGAAAGAGACCTATAATCCAATCCACGAGAAGGCGAAGGCTATGTGGCATGCTGAAGGGGAGGAAGCTGAGGGTCCAGGCTTGCAGTCGGCAGAATACAGGCTCGGCAATCCTGGATTTTCGCCCATCCATTGTCATGTCATGCGATACCGGGAGAACATCCTAAAGGCGCTGGCAGCATTGGTTCCGTTTAAGGACGAATACCGCAAAGCGGTCTGCGAGAATGGGGTAGTGCCGTATATTATCGATTCGCTCAAACCATGCTCGACAGATCCACCGTCAGAGACTTCGAACGCTAGAAATACTGCTGCGGATGGCAATCCTACGCCGACTTTGCTGGCTGCCTGTGGTGCGGCGCGGATGCTCACTCGGTCCGTCAGCGTTTTGAGAACCAGCCTGATAGATGCCGGTGTAGCGACCCCCCTTTTTGTCTTGATTCGCCACCCCGACATTGAAGTCCAGATAGCCGCCACGTCAGTGATCTGTAACCTTGCACTAGACTTTAGCCCAATGAAAGAGGTAGGATTCCTTCACTTCCCCATTGATCCCTTTAGATACACTCTAACCGGGACAGGCCATCATCTCCGCCGAAATCCTCCCCATCCTATGCGAGCATGCCCACTCGAACAACACAAAACTACGCATTGAATCACTGTGGGCGTTGAAACATGTCGCCTATAACTCCACGAATGATGTTAAGGTCAAGATAATCAATGGCCTGGGGCCCAGCTGGATCAAGCAAGTGATCATGCAAGACCTAACAAGTGTTTTGGCCAAACGGGGAATGGACGAAGATTTGGATGGCAACTCGGCAGGCATGAGTAGAGCCAACTCGGCGGGCGAACAGGTGGATTTGTTAAATCCGGTCGAAGACTCGCAGGCCCGTGATGAGGATATGAAAATGTCCGACACATTACCTCCCTCGAAGATGAGCCTCGAAATGTTCCTCCCCGATGTCACCCGGCGGCGCAAACTTGCATTGCATGGAGACCTAGATCAAACCACGCAGGCTCGGCAGGACGACATCGCGGTGCAAGAACAGACCTTTGACATGATCCGCAATCTCGTCTGCGGGCCTGGATCCTCGGAGATGATTGACCACCTGTTTACGGAAATTGGACAGGATCTGATGTTAGATGCCCTGTCGGATAAGCTCCGACCGCGCACGATTCAGCTTCCGCACCGACGAGACTCGTCCGCCCACCGAGCGCTTCAGGTCCCGACCGAAATCCTGGTCGCCGTGACATACGTAATCATCCACCTTGCTGCGGGTCTCCCATGGCATCGCCAACTCCTGGTTTCGCACCGAGACCTTTTACGGCATCTCATGTGCTATTTCAACCATGCCAACCGCGATGTGCGGACGAACTGTGTCTGGGTGGTGATCAACCTGACGTACGAAGATGACGCAGGCGACCGAGAAGGCTGTCGAGAACGAGCCTTCAAACTACGTTCGATTGGAGTGACGGATCGGTTGGCCAGCTTGGAGGACGATCCGGATCTCGACGTGCGAGAACGCACCAAAACAGCCCAGCATTTGGTAAATTCTTTGACGCATCCGTAGCACGATCCTCTTTCCCCCCTTCCAATTTTTTTGTTATGTACCTGGAGAAGCACTGGTGACAGGATGGAACATACTAGGGAGTGATTGAATCATGGAAGGCGCTGGGCTGGCTGTATAAAGAGACGCGAATCTGTTGATTGTTGATGATCACATGACTTCTGTAGGCCGTGATGTTATCGATAAACACGGGTGACGTAACCGCCATCCCATTAAAACCGTTTCCGCAGTTCGAGAGTCCTTCGTTCATGCCTCTTACTTAGGTCTATCTATTTCCCTCGATCCGACGCGTTTGTGAACGATCTGCAATCAATGGCTCCTGTACCTGATTCTCTCTTACGGGCGCTCTCCCTCCCAGACCCGTCCAAAGCCACACTCTCGACGGCGGGACTGGGTTCCGGTTTCACCAACACAGGCGCCATTCGGGCCACGGTTCCTTCCTCCGATGGACAGGGTGGTGAGGAAGAACGACGGTATTTCGTCAAAACCTCGAGGGATGGGAAGGCGGCCGAAGAGATGTTCCACGGGGAATATGAATCCCTCAACGCCATCGCAGACTCCGTGCCAGGCTTCTGCCCTCGCGCTCTGGCGTGGGGGTGCCTTGAAGAGGGCAATGGGAGGAGCTTCTTCCTGGCGACCGAATTCCTGGACCTGGGCGTTGGCGGCCGAATCGATCAGTCGTCACTGGCCCAGCGACTAGGTCAACTCCATTCGACTCCGGCGCCAGCAGATCCCCAGACAGGGAAACGCCAGTTTGGATTCCCCGTGCCCACTTTCTGCGGCGACACGAAGCAGCCCAACCGATACCACGATTCATGGGCGAAATTCTACGCCAATGAGAGGTTACTGATGATCCTGGAGACCTCGGAGAAGCGCAATGGACATGATGTCGGCTTGCGTGATCTCGTCGAACGGACCGCCCACACAGTCGTCCCCGCCCTCCTGCGCGATGGACATCTGGGATATGATAGGAACGGACACGGAAAAGAGATTACACCTGTGGTAGTCCACGGGGATCTGTGGAGTGGCAACGCCGATCGGGGACGCATTGTGGCGAGTGGACGAAAAGAAGATGAAGAGGTCGGGGGTGTGGTCTACGATCCATCGGCATGCTACGCCCATAGTGAGTATGATCTGGGGATTATGAAGATGTTTGGAGGGTTTGGGTCGTCGTTCTTCAATGCTTATCATCGCCTTGTGCCCAAGACCGAACCAGTGGAGGAGTACGATGACCGACTGCGGCTGTACGAGCTGTGAGTCTATGGATATGCTTCCCTATTCTATTTTTTGCAGTGGACTAATGTCTTTAGGTATCACCATCTAAACCACTATGCCATCTTTGGTGTTGGATATCGGTCGGGAGCAGTATCGATCATGCAGAAGCTGATCAAGAAGTACGGTAATTAGTTCGGATTTAATAGGAGCCTTTGATGACCTTCATGTACCGTAGAGTCCATATAAATTTTTTCTTCTTTTTATCATTATTATTAACGGTTTTTTGTATGAGTTCTCAGGTAATACCCATTTACCCGGAAATGATGTTCAGACAATGCGAGGCGGGGTTCTTTGCATCAGCCTGCCATTAATAATGGCGCGAGTAGATGTGCGAAGTAAGTAAGCATGTATTCATTTATCACATTCCTCTTCGATACATTACTTCTCTCTCTCCCCTAGGAATCTCGTGCCTTGATCATTATGCCATTGCCTTCTGATGCTGCCATATACCCCGAAGCAACGGGACCGGCCAAAGCCCTGGTCGACAAACATCAGGCAGAGCAGCCGTTGAAGCTGTACGCAGGATAGTTTTGTCCGTATGTTTCCCCTATCTCCTACTTTCCGCTCCTTTGTCACCGGTCCTTTCTCACAGTATCGGTTTGAATCGGTACATAGATTCGGTACATTTAAGCCATAACCGTTCCACCGGACTGGAAACAATTCGCTGACTCCTCCAGTGCAACGCGTCTGGCTAGCACTAGAAGAAAAACAGATCCCCTACCAGTACATTGAAGTCAACCCCTACCACAAACTGCAGTCACTTCTCTCTTTGAACCCGCGCGGACTCATCCCTACACTCTCCATTCGCACCCCGGGCGGAAGCAAGCCCCTCTACGAATCCAACGTCATTCTCGAATACCTCGAGGAAGCCTACCCAGACCATGGTCCCCGTCTACTCCCGACAGATCCCTACGAGAGAGCCCGGGTCCGCATCTGTATAGACTTTGTGACCTCGCGATTTATCCCTGCCTTTCACCGTTTCTTACAATATCAGTCCTCAGAGAGCGAGGACACCGAAGCAGGGATCGAGAAGCATCGACAGGGGTTCTTGGAGTGCTTGAAGGAATGGACGCGGGAGTTGCATCCCCAAGGTCCGTTCTTCCTAGGTGATCAGATCAGTCTTCCAGGTCTAGTACTTGGACCCTGGGCGATCCGGTTGTGGGTTTTCGATGAGTTCAAAACAGGAGGACTCCGAGTCCCGGTCGAAGGACAGGGAGGATCAGATGATCTAGTCTGGCAGCGGTGGAGGAAATGGGTCACGGCTCTGCAGGAGCGCAAGAGTTTCCGAGATACGATAAGTGATGTGCAGCATTATCTTCCTATATATAAACGGTATGCAGATAATATTGCAATGAGTGAAATGGCTAAGGCCAGTCGGGCTGGACGGGGGGTTCCATAACTTTCACGTTTAATATATACATGTGTGTGCTTTTTTTAGTGATAGAAGGGGTGATACAAAAACCTCCTATTATAGGTGTCCATCTATGCAGGAAGATGATTATAGCAGTTGTGAGTAGTCATATGAACAATATATTAATATTGTTATGGGATAAAGCACCCCAGTAATTAATATACCACTGTTGTATACAAGAAGTATCCAATCAGGATACTAGGATTCTCTATATCACGTGCTCATACAGTTTCTAATCTCCCATTATTCAAATGCCTTTTCCCAGTACACGGTTTGATTTATTGCTCTGGCAACATGGATGTTCCCATTGCAGCAAATGTTCTGGGTACAATAGGTGCTGTCAGTTTATTGCTCCTGATTCCTCGTTGATGTGGCTAATTCCTTCTGTGTAGATTTGCTGGTCTGTCCAGGTTAGACTAGCTTGAGACTCTCCTTGGTTCCTGATTCGGTTATACTGACTCCCGTAGCTGATCCCTCAGATTATTTTCAATTATCAACGACACAACACGGAGGGCCTACAGCCATCAATGATGCTCCTATGGGCCATCGCTGGGGTCCCCCTTGGAGTATACAATATTGTAGAAGAATTGAATGTGGCTCTTAGAATCCAACCTCAAATTCTCACTTTTCTAAGTCTTGTGACATGGGCACAGTGTCTCTACTATGGCAAGGTGAGCTGGCTTACACAAAGCCTACGTTTTCTGCATGTTGATCGCCTTGACCCGGAACCAGAAACGAACAGCCATGACATGTATTGCGGCTGTTGTCTCACTTCTCTTGACCTTAGGCGCCATTGAAGTGGCGCTAATCTTTGCTTTACAAGCTTCGAAGAGACGTGCCATTGAATGGCCGACTATCTTAATGGCTGTCCTCAGCGCCTCTCTGCTTGCAGCGGGTGTGCTGAGGCATTACTGGGATATCTATCTCCACCGCACTGTACGAGGAATCAGCTTTGTATTCGTAGGCATCGATGCTGCTGGAGACTTATTCTCACTAGTATCTGTTCGTATGTAACCTGTCCTTGGGCTGAGGCACTTCGTTTTTTGATACATATCTAGTGTTCGAAGGAAGTATCGACATCTTGGGGATGGTTATATATGGCACCGAGCTTGCCCTCTGGATAGGTGTCTTTGTCTGCGGTGCTATTTTCAACTTCCTGCCCTGGGTCGTTCAGCGCTCGAAGAATCCAGAACCGAGCCAACAGCAACAAATGTCTCTTCATGACATGCCGTCTTCAACCTCAGTGTTCCGCACAGCATCCGGGTCCGACGGGGTGACAAGACGAGCAGCTCATCTTCGACCATGAAGCTTACGATTTACATCAGCTATCAGAAGTGTATGTTGGACTGGGTTGATTATGTCAAGACAAACCATTCGACTACTACTAAAAACTAGGGCTCCTAGTAGGTCATATAGGGAGTTTTAACAATTTATGTCTCTACTGACCAGCGGACTTTTAACGTTGCTTTATAAATCCTAAACCCACACGTCAGTTGGTGGTGCCTATATCACGCAGGGATGAATAGTTCCATACTATATACAAACTAAATTAGAAAGTTTCTATTATATCCGTTGTGATGAATATTGCTCCATCTACGTAGTCAGAACTCTGTACGGTCATGTATGCCTATGTACAGAAATACCGGGGGAATTATTCGCCGGTCACATGACCATCAATTTACGATCAAGTCCATTTAATCCGAGTCGAATTGAATCTCTCCCTAATCATCATCGTTTAGTCGAGCAGAACTGATACAGTAGGCCACCAGGATGGCACCGGAGAAGAAGGACGATGCCAGTCTCTTGGGGTCTGACCCCGCCGTACCGGATCCGCCTTCAATTCATCCTTCTTTCATCCAGGTAGCCAAGCCGTACATTTTCGAACAAACTATCCAGAAATGTATCGCGGCCATGGGGGTTAATCCTCTGCGCGAGGAAGCGCTGCGTTTGCAGGGCGTGACATGGATTGACAATGTCCGCCGCGTACTCTATCTGTATGTGTTTCCAGCAGTGAGCTGTCCCTAGCAAGAAAATGAAGAGACAGGCAAACAAAAAGATACACCAGTATTATTTGATACAAGCAGGACTGACAACTTTAGACCTATTCGCACCTTTAACACAGCTGTCGTGTATTATCATCGATTCCGGCTTGTTCATCCGGACAACGAGTACAATTACATGGTAGCTATAGCTTTCGTCTCCCATCTATCTTGTATTAACGACCTCCGATAATGCAGGATGCCGCCGCGGCCGCTCTTTTTACGGCATGCAAGATCGAGGACACGTTGAAGAAATCCAAGGAGATCGTATGCGCTGCATACAATCTTAAACTCCCGCCATCGGAGCACATGTCCCCCGACAACCAGGTTTTCGAGGCACACGCTCGAGGCATCATTGGATTGGAGAGGCTCATGCTCGAGGCATCGGGCTTTGATTTCCGAACACGGCATCCACAGAAGACGTTAATCAAACTCGCTCGGAAGTACGGCCTGACTTCGCAATCCGAGGTCTCCAGCACCGCCTATCGCATTTCACAGGACCTCTACCGCACCTTTGCGCCGATCAAGCAGACCACATCTACAATGGCATTCGCGTCTCTGGAACTGGCAGGTCGTCTGCTAGACCAACGAACCGAGCCCGTCGAGCTAGGCGTGGACTATGAGAAGTGGAAAACGAGCCGGGAAGAGGTTATAGGTATGGTTGCGTCTTGACATCTTCCTTAATAGTCTATCTAATCAACACACCGGATTAGAAACCCTTTTCGATGTACTAGAACTCTACACGCACAACCGCGGCTCCACAACCGTTGGCCCTCATTTCCCCGCTGACCGATTCCTCAAGGTTCGGATTCCTCTCAACAAAGAGGCGGAAGCACAAGGTCTTTCTAGATACACGAACTGGGTGCACGATCGGGATCTCCAAACTCCTAATGGTTCTAAGAGCGGCGGCAAACACCCCAGAGCCACCCAATACGGTGAATCGCGATTCCACCCGCTCATCCCCGTCTCCGCCAGCGGCGAGAGACCCAAACCGGGCGAGAAGGGTCGCGATGGTGCCGTGCGCTTTACGATCGATCCTGAGTCTGCTGATGCGGAGAAGACCCACGTCGCTGAATACTTTAAGGTCGAAATGGAGGAATATGAAGTCGAAGAATGAAGAGTCGCAATTTGCAACACCGAATCAACCTAATCAGCCGATTTCCTTGCTTCCATTTTCCTCTATCTCTGCAGACTTGGTTGGCAGACCTCGACCAAACAGGTTATACATCTGACATGAACAGTGGCATTTTTATGACTGCTCGCCCAGCGCACATGCTCTGAATCTCGCAATTCCCGTGATTTGATCTTGACAATAACCCCAGCCGCAGCCGTAGTCATCGGACATCGTCACATTTTATGTGCTATACCCTAAGTCCGCTTGGTTCCCGTCCTGCGCTTCTATTCCATAAAAGAGTGTCATCATTAAAGGTGCCAATGCGGTGGCAATCCATATCACTCGATGAGTATAATCTGGGTTCTTCGTCACCTTGCTCATACCTCATGCCGATGCGAGTGAATAGGGGGGATGGAAACAGTGGATGAAAGAATGATGCACCAATATGCGACACGAAGGTTTTATCCCCGGGGAGATGGGATGGGGGTAGGGTTGCTTTGCTACCCAAGTATACCGTTCGGTGGATGGAGACTGAACATGGTAGGGGATGTTTGATTGTCCTATCTTATCTTACACGTATCATGTTCCGTGGTGTGTAGAGACATTTGATTACTCGCAATATCAGTACGGAGTACTCATCACGTTGTTACATCGGATTAGAACCCATGCCTAGGATATCACCCACTCTTGTATTGTTTTATATACGATTGATTTTACACGATTTGCGTAGACACATGATCTCATTCCATCCCAGACGGAAACAGTAACAAATGGACAGCAAAAGCTAGGAAGAGGCGGCCAAAATTAAAAAGAAAAATCCCCATCCATCTCTTTTAGACCTGAACCCAAACCCGGACCCGACCGTTTTTCCCGGACATGTTTACACCAATGACCCAATGCGACGACAAGTGGGGGAAGATATAACGGTGCATACGGCACCCCAAATATAGACGAAACACGTGTATCCTAGTGCGACCTGGTGCAGGAAACAGAATGTAGAAGGTTGAAGAAATGGTGAGGTTCCTTGAAGTTCCAGGAAACATTCAAAGAACATTCAATTAAAATAGAAAGAAAAGGATATTTCGTGGTTTGCGAATTTGCTTCCGGAGTAATCACCCAGGACAATGTCAAAAGGGGGAATGTTGAAGTTCGTCACTGATGTATAGAATGGAAATGGGTGGGTTATTATCAAAACATTCATCGTCGTTTGAGTTCGGTATTCAGACAATCCAGCATCTATACATGATCAGCACTTGAGCGTGAAATCTGCGAGTGAGCATATATACTAACCGTCTCGGAAACCGCTCCCTGGTTGTAAAGGTATTTGCCCAGGCCACGGACCACCTCGAGCTGCTCCTCCACCATGAGACCGTTAATGGTGGTCTCGATGATGTCGCCGACACTCGCCTTGTACACGGCAATGAAACTATGGTAGTACATGTATGCGAAGAAGCCCATGATGAATTGACAGTCCATGCGATCGGTGATACCGCCATGGCCGGGGATTGACTCGCCAAAATCTTTAATCTTGAATGTCCGCTTGAGACCGGATGCAAAAAACCCACCGAAAGGCGCAATGAGCGAGGCAAAGCTAGCAAAGACCAAGATATGAAACTGCATGGGCTCAATGTAGAAGGTCTTGCCCAGTCCAGTCCATCCCGGGAGCGAATACGGCTTAGGTACGAAGGCTGGATTGAGAGTGCATTCAAGTCCTGTCAAAACATTGGACCCCAGGTCGTTCACCGGACAGATGAAGTACTTGTAGCGCATCAAGATATTTGTCATGAAATAGCCAAAAATGACCGTACAGATCCAGGCACCCAGGAATCCTTCAACAGTCTTCTTGGGCGACAATTTGATGAGTTGAGTCCGGCCAAATGTGATCCCACACACGTAGGCGAAGATGTCATTTGTGATAACCAAGGACGCCGGCAGAAAAAACCAGATCATCCCCTCCAGGATGTTGTTCATGACGAAGTGTGCCTGCACAACAATCAAATACAGTGCCATATGAGTCCAGGCAAACTGAGTGAACTGGAACCGGTAATGCCCCTTCTGCAAAGAAGCAACAAAGAAGACAAATCCTAAAGGCAATATCTTAGAAAGCGGCATTCAGACACAACTGAATTGTTTATGAACTCACCCATGACATACAGCGTAAAGCTGATGAATCGGTGGTGGGTCGCCAGGGGCAGCAACACCTTGTCAACCAGGAGAATATGCTTGAAATAATAAATGACACTTTCGCCGTATAGAAAGTACATCGTCGTAGCCAGGAAGTACCAGTTGAGCGACTTCGTGAACTGCAGGTTCTTCTCGCGGCTGGGAACGTTGGCAATGGCGATGACCTCTTTGAACGAGACGATCTGGATAGCAGTGACGATACCAATGACGTAGATATGGCCTGAAAACATGGCGATGAAGAAACCGGCAATCATCACGAAGGTCCATATCGTGCGAGTGATAAAGGTCTGCTTCTTTTTCTCATACTCGGACAGGGGAGGCTGCTCGGGTTTCTGATCCAGCTGTCAGCCTTTCCCAACAACCACAAACCGAGCCACCTGGATGCTCACCTCCTCGGGAATTGTCGCTTGCTTAGACACGGCACCATTCTTCGACGGGCTACCGGGTTCTGAGGCAGCATCACTGGCATCAGAAATACTCAGACGTCGAGTTTCACTGCCGTTCGACGCCCGACGTTGAAACCTGACATTCCGACGCGATTTGGACATGGTGGAATCTATCGGCCGGGGGGTGAGATGGGGAGGATGCGTTGCAAACGCGGGGAAGGAGGGGAAGTTCCTAGTTTAGAAAATTTAAAAAAAGAACTTTTGGGGGAAAACCGGGGTAGCGAATGGGCCCAGCCAGAAGATTATGAGCAGGGGGGAAGAAGAGAAAAGGGAGCGAAAAGGAAGAGAGGAGCGAGGGAGTGATCGCCGTTTAGTAAAATTTCATGTGATAAAGCGACCGGATACGGTCGGAGGAGAAAGGGAAAAAGGTCGGCACTCAACCACAAACGGGGAATGCAAGAGCCGAAACGAAACAATTCCCGCCAGATATCACATTGAACGTGGTGTAATGGGTTGATGAAGGAGAGAAGAAGAAGCGAGGAGGAGAAAAGAGGCTGAAACCCCGTGCCGCGCAGGTGACTCTAGAGACATCAGTTTTCACCCTCGGTCTTCCTTCTTCCAACCACCACCAGCCATTCTCCCCCCAAAACTCCCTCCTTCATGGCGATTCTGCGTCCAGGGGCATGGAAGACAACGAGGATGACTTCTTTTCTGACGATGGCTTTGACGATCTGCCCCCCAGTACATTACTGCAACTGGAGCAGAACGCGTACCAAGCGAACCAAGCCCAGAACTGGGCTCAGTCACAGCATACATCTCAACTTAGCAGGCCTTCTCGGAGTTTGATTAACCAAGCACCTCGGAATTCACACTCGGGTGATCTTTCCCACCCTACGTTACAGCCGCCTGCGCACCTACACACCGGATTGACCAACGATTACGGCGCTTTGGATGTGGGTGAATTGGATGCAGATGTCCTAGATGTTGAAAATGAGCCGACAGTTGCGTTGAATCAGCCGGTGGCTTTTACTGAACAGTCCAATCTGCCGCAAAATGGCCCTGCCGTGGCGGACGATAGTCGACAATTCGACGACACTCTGCCAGATCTCATGGAGGTTGAAACAGATCAATTCCACTACCCCGATCCCCAAAAGGCTTCCGAGTATGCCGCCGAAAAGGTAACACTAGGAGAATTCCATTTCTGAACAATTGCACGACTAATTCTTTGAGGACAGTTGGAGCAGGAAAATGAACGGTATAAGCGACTGATGGAAGAGCTGGCCACCGTTAAATCCGTCGCGGAAACCAAGGCGGGAGAAATCGCAATCATTCGGTCCAACCAGGCAAAGTTGACCGACAACTATGAGCAACAATTAGCTACCGTACGAAAGACGATGGCTGAGGAGGTGGCCAGGCATAAGGAGGAGATAGAAGCCGTGCGTGCGGAAGGCAAGATGCTGGCGACGGAGAACGCATTTTTAAAGCAAGACTTGGCCGAAGAGTCTATGCGGATCAGCAACGCGAAGGCGAAGGGCCGACTGAACGAGAAAGCGCCTCCTGTGACGCCTAAGAAGGCCAAAGTTCTGCCATTCCGCGACGGATTCGAGGATGAGGAGATTCTTGCTGTATCGCCCAGCAAGTCAGCACGACCGAAGCGGATGACGCCGACGGTTCCCGGGAAAAGGAAGAGAAGGGCAAGCCAGGATAGCCCGACCCCTTTGCAGCTGAGTCCGCAAGCGGCAACGATGACAGTCGACCCCGACCCTGACCCCGACCCTGACCCCAACGTGTCGGACAGTGCGACAGTGCATGCTGCACGCGCTAAGCCTGCACTTCACGATGAGGTATCTCATTCGCTGTCGATGAAGCTCATTTTGAACCACCGAACGTTTCCCAATGACGAGCCTGATATTGGAGTGATGGCGCGGTTGAAATTCCCGTCGGACCCGGAGCAGACGCTGTCCACCATCCTGCTAGAGGAAACGAACAGCCTTCGCATGGACAACAACCTAACCGAGTATGCGCGAGCAATAATATCCCTCTGGTCTCGCGCTTTGAAAGAGAAGTTCTTCGTGCCAGTCCCGATGTTTATGGGAATTATGCGGCGCATTCTCGATGTGGAAGCGACGTCGGTGGTCCCTCAATTAATCGAGCATCTCGTGCCCGTATTGCAAGAGTCCGGGGACGTCAATGCCATCCCCCGATTCAAGCACTCGCCGGTTTCGCGGCAAAGCTTTGGGCAAGTTCGGCAGACACCCCTATCCGAATTAGAGCCTCTCGTGGATTCTACCGATGCTCTCGGTTTGTTGTTCCAGATTGTCAGTAGATGCGTGCATATTGACCGGGATCTGGAAAAGTTTTGGCGATACATGCGCTACGATTTCGTGCTGATGATGCTGAATTGCTCGCAGCCTATCAGGGACATTATGTTAACCTTGAACCTACTGACGACCAGCGTTCGTGCTCAGTCGTTTGGTTCCGTCCAGGATACCGAGCAGGACCAGATTGCCAACGAGAACTACATTGTGGATCGTGTGGCAAATCTCTTGAGTGAGAAGCCATATGTCGACGAAGGAGAGCCCCCTTATACGCCGATCGAGGTCTGCAATATGCGGCTGGAGGCGTTGTCTCTGCTGACATGCGTTGCTTTCAATGTCTCCGTGCCCGCCAGCACCCATGGTAGCTCGGTCATTGCCTCTCACCCCACCGTCATAGCACGACTGTTCCGGGCAATGCATGACGAGCTAGACGCCCTATACTACTCGCCGCCCGATCAGAGCCTGCATGCATACCTGGTCAATGGGTTGATGTCTCTCATCTACGGCGTTCTCAAGCGTCACCCCGACACCGATCTGCAGGCCAAACTTGGCCGCGTGGCGGGCGGGAAACAGAAGTTCCTGGTCGTCTTAACCCGGCTGGCATTCAGCGAAGGGCTGGTTTTGGAGGCCAAGATCGAGGATGAGACGGTGGAAATGGCGCATGAGATCCTCGATGATGCTGTGAATCCCCAGGAAGCGGAGGCTTTACAGGAGGTATTTTCGAGTGCTAAAGGGAAAAGTGATGAACTGGACATATCTGCGGATGGGTAAACTTTAAGCAGTAGTTAGTGTACCTCGCATATTAGACACAATGAATCTACAAATTATGTGATATACTACATATAATTCCCCCTTCTCATCAATCCTTTTTTCTACCGTTCGAATATACTTCGTAACACCACGTGATGCTGTTTTCTGCCTCAGTTTGATTGTTAGTCACCCGTTGAGCCTATTTCCTAACATCCCTAATTATTCCAGATGCATTTACGCAATATTTTCATCTAGTAGTCACCATAGTCAACGTCATCAAAATAATCGACGACGATCGCCATGTCAGCATTGCAACCAACAGAGCTACGACGTTGCACAGAATAGTGACATTCTCTCCTCACATTTAGATTGGTAGTGGATCTAGTTATAATTGAAGTTTTCAAGAACCTCTGGAACGTGTCTGGCCTCATTTAACAAATCTATAGGATAACTCATCTAGCCCCTCCAAATTATATAAGCGCAATAGATGACAGAAACTTTCCAGTAGCTGTCGATGACTGCTAGACGGAGTTCTACTGGGCAATAAGAGAACCCTGTCGACACTTGTCTTAGGTCTATAAATAACGTTCCTCCCGCACGCACCTAATACCTACATTTACTATGTACTACAGAGTACTACCGTCTCTCTGCTAGTCCTGAAGCGGTATCTATTTACCAACAATCTCAGTGCATCCAGAAGGGTTGACATACTCCCTTGTTTTTTTCTGCGTATATATCAGATCTACAAGGTAACATCTATCGCAGTCATATTGGCTCAACATTCTGCTCCTTTAGATGAAAAAACAAAAAAAAAAAAAAAAAAAAGGTAGTCTACTTCACTATCGATCTGATCAATGCAGACACTGTGAAATGAAGTCTACAACCGACACACATATCCTATGAGGTGACTGTTGGTGACGCCACGAAAGGTATAAGGAAAGAAATTATACTTCTGAGATAGATCTCTACGGGGAAGTTATCCCTGAGCATAGTAGTAGACTCCAGCCCACTACACGCTCGCATTTTATTTCTCTTCAAAAGACAAGTAGCTTGATCAAATATCGGCCTCGCTTGACTAGCAAGAAAGAAACGAACTCATTTCAGCGAGGTGAGCTAAACACTAGAGGCCTTTACACTGAACCAAGCAGCTGACACTGACGGTTGACTGATGGTAGTGGGTTGACGTAGACGAGCAACATGATGATGGTGATGATGATGGGCTGCCCAGCAACTTCGGCAGTGGCATGAATTTTAGATGGATATATATGGGCGGTGTTCCGAATGGCAATGGCCCTCCCCCATTTAAGCATTCCGATTCCGATTCCGATTTCTGATTTTGAATGACGATAATCTCGCATGTATCTTCATAGAGGTATAATCTATCGCCTTCCTACAGTCCCAGTGCCGATTAATCCATAAGTTTACCGGAGTCAAATATCCCATGTTCTAGGCACCTGCTGTAACTAAACAGAGGACTATACCCAGGTTATTATCACAGGAGAGAGCTGGAAAAGGCCTTTTGACAGAATAGTGTCTGAGAATATGACTAAAATGTGCATGTTTTAGAAGATGAGGGAGTTAGCTTGCCTCCATTCCGTTCATACAGCAGCATACAACCACCTAAATAATTCCATTCGGGAAACATGTCACATGATTTACTGCCCTCTCAACGTCTGCTCCGTAGTAGACATAGGCCAACAACTTCCAGGATCTTGAACTGGCTTAGAATTTCCAATTAAGCTTCTTCTGCAGGCGTAGTAGGGTACAGATGTTGCGGGTCTCTAGTTAAGGCTTCTTGCATCAGAACACACATTCAGGCAGCGTGTTCCCTGAACCAGAAGGCCATTCATTTATGGCCAGGCCCAAGTCAGCCGCTGACATTTTGTCCAGTTTCAGTTGGTTCTGAAGCAGGCGGCCCATTTTAGAACTTACAAGATTACAAACCTATTATTTTCAAATCTCTTCTCCATGCCCTCGCGCAAGGCGAAGAAATGATGAAAAGAATTCAAAAACCACAAAGTGGAAAGTGCCAAAGAATACGCCTGTCAATGACCCGAAGGCCGTTGAACGGACTGTTCCGCCGCGCTGTGCAATGCAGGGACCAATCCGTGGTGGGCCGCCTTCTTGATCGCAGCCACCCAAACAAGGTAAGTATGAAGAAAAGAAAGAAGAAAAAGATCAAAAGGTTAGGGGACGTGGAGGATTATATAGGGGCCGGTGGGGTCATAGGCATGACGCTAAGGTAAGCGAGACTGTGGTAGCCAATCAAATCCCACCAATAATTTGTTCATGGCTGCCTGAGTATTCTGGCCCTCAAGGCACAACATCACGTGCAGTACGTCACGTGCTCGATGCGAAGTTTTGGCTGCGGAATCTGGATGGAGCAATGAACGGAGCAGGAGAGAGACTTTGTCGTTGCAGGCCACTCGCTCGCCCACTCGCCCACTCGCCCACCATGAGGAACAGGGCTACTACGCCGCTAAAACCGGTGTTCAAGCCGGTAGGTCCACCCTCAAACGTGGTGCCATTGTTGTTCTTGTTCAATGTTAACAGGCTGGTCCTATCGACCTTAGAAAATCCGTCAATCATGGAGCAAATACAACTTGTTCAACCTTCAGCGGATGCGCATCGCCAACACTAATTTTCAGACCTTTTTCCAACAGAAATGGGCAGCCAAGTCCGCTGCTCGAGCATACCATGGTGAACAGGTCCCGGAGGCTCAATGGCAACGGATGTTCTCCCCCCGTCTTCGCGGCGTGGTACCCATGGACCCTTTCAAACTGGCGCAGGATGACGGATCGGCGATGGCTGCCGGCCGTGGATCGGGTCTCTCCCTAGATTCGGAGACGAACCAGCGACGCACGTCAACCCGGTTAACCCCCTACACTCAGATGACGTTTGCTCCTTTGGAGCGTCGGTTGGATGTGGCTATCTTCCGGGCAATGTTTGCCAGTAGCACCCGACAGGCTCGACAGTTCGTCATCCATGGTGCGGTGACTGTGAATGGAAAGAAGGTAAGCACTTTTGTCCTGTGCTATAACCAGGGACTGGACCTACTAGGGCAATGCTAACCATTGCTTGTTTTTATAGATGAGATATCCCGGCTACCTCCTCAACCCCGGTGATCTCTTCCAGGTGGAACCCGAACGTGTCATGTTTGCTACCGGTGCTCCAAAAGACAAGCACGAACGTCGAGAAACCCGGGTGGCCCGGAGAAAGGCCGCGGAGACCCAGGAAGCGGAGGCCGCCGAGGAGGGGGCAGCTGTCGAGGAGTCGAATAAACAGAAGGAATCGGAGAACGAGGGCCAGGATAAGAAGGACGAGGAGAACCCCCGGGAGATGTTGAAGGCTCTGCTGGAGCAGGCCAAGGTCATCATGGCTGGCAACAAACAGGTGCTTCCCGCCAAACGCAAGCAGGAGCTTCGAGGTTTCCAGAAGGCGATCAAACGAGTCTTATCTCGCTCCGATTCTAGCACTGTTCTTACCGACAGTCTGGAGACGCAGTTCTCGGAGCTGACCACGCTCTTGAAGGCCAAGCGGGCCGAGGGAAAAGAATCGAAGAACACCAAGGAATCCAAGCCGGAGCAGTCACGCGACAAGGCTTCGACAGCCGCTGATGGTGAATCCAAGCCTGGAGAGGCACTGAGCGAGGCCTTCCGGAAGGCCGCCGAGAACCCCGAAGAGGAGGTGGACACGTCTGAGCTGAGCGATGAGGAGTTCGACGTGCTCAAGCGGGCGCTCGTACAGATGCGTGACAACCCCATTGACAGCACGAAGCCCTACGCAACCCCGTGGCGCCCTCGCGACTACATGAGCGCCTTCGCCTTCATCCCCCGCTACCTGGAGGTTAACCATAGCATCTGTGCGGCGGTGTACCTGCGACACCCGGTGGCTCGACCTGGCGTCGCGGAGGTGCCCTCGCCGTTTAGCGAGCAAGTGACCACGCCAGCCTTTGTGTGGTACCTGAGACGACGGTAGATGGAGTCCTGCATGACGGTGCTAATTTCATTTCTTGTCTTGTCTTCTCATTTTCCCTTTCTGGGCATGTTCTACCGTGTGATATTACTGGGTGTCGGGGTTATTTTTTATTGCTTTAACTCTTCATCTCGTTGGTCTTGCATCTGACGGTGCTCCACAATGTATCTATACTACTTCTACCTATCTCTGCTTACTCTCTGAAGAAAAGCGTTGGTCTGGCTGACGTTGTGAGGAGAACTATATGGAATGTAAATGCATTACTTTAAAGACAAGTTTAAATTTCATTCTTCTGACGGCGCATACAGCAATTACCTCGCTCATCATAACGTATCCATTACAGACACTCGATCTAACGACTATGAAGAATACAGTAGATGAATGAATATGAATATGAATATGAATCTGAAGAAGAATACATATGGATATGAAGAATACATGCAATCACAATACGCAGTGCTGAAAAATACACCCACAACGGCAAACAAACCACGCTCCAACGCGAAAATTGCAGATCAGGAGAGGATTTTTGCATTCCGCCAACCATTGACCGCGGCATCGGATCCAACAAGCAGGACTTGATACAGAGAAAGAGAAAGAAAGAGAAGAGCAAGCGGCGGTCATCGCCAGCGGACTATTATCAATTTTTCATCAATGTATCCCTGGCATGGATCCTCCAGTCACAGTGCGACTGCCGCTGCAGCTCCAGGGGGGGGAGCAACAGCAACAGGAGGAGCAAGCAGCACCGGAGCCACCACAGGACCAGGAGGAGTCGGGGGAAGCAGCTCCAGATTAGAATCCTCTGGAACGACATCCCGTTCATCATTTCAAATGCCCCATTTACGATGGTTACCCTCGATGATGTCCCGGTCGGGAACATCAGCAGCAGCAGCAGCAGCGCCGACTCTGCCTACGCTTTCGTCGACGAATCTACGAATAGGTCAGACGGGGAATAATACCACGAATCCTGGTTCCGGTCCCGGGCCCGGATCGCAGAAACATGCTCCTCCTCATGCGCAGAGTCATACGCAGCACCACTCGCGGTCGCATTCGCAGGCTCGTCATTCGGCTTTGTCGGTCGTGGTGGATACGAGACGACCTGCTCTGGGACCATCGTCGCAGCAACAGCAGCGGCAGCAGATGGAGACGATGGAGAGCTCGGACAGCGAGCAGTCGGATAGTGGACCGCGAGAGGGGCCTGGAGGTGGTGGATCGGGAGACCCGGATTATGCCTCATCTCCTGGGGAGAATATGCATCGGGAGGAGATGAGGAGGTCTGGTCGGGATGATGGACGCATTCATGGGCATATACCGGGGAGGATGTCGATGGGGAATGAGGGAGAAGGGATGAGCCTTGACCCAGAAGTGATGGCGACTGCAGTAGTAGCAGCAGCAGGGGAAGAAGGACGGGGGGCGACAGATCTGGCACGGAAACATGGCAAGCGATTAACGACCAAGGAGGAAGTGATACTCTTTGATATCTGCAATCGACACGCGGAGGAGTTCGGACAGCGTAGTACGCTGTGTAAATGGTGGATGACGGTGACCGCGGAGTTCACGCGAGACCAGGGCCATCCGTACTCGTGGCATTCGGTGCGGCGCAAGGTCGAGGTAGTGACGAAACAGCGGATGAAATTCCTGGAAGATCAGCGCGAGAAAGGCACCAGCGAGGCCGATGATATGTCGAATCCGCGATGGCGTGCTGCGGTGGATGCATGGATACCGACATGGCAGCGCTGGGAGGAGGCGGAAGCTCGTCGTATTGAGAAGCGCGATTCGCGTCGTCCTCGCAAAAGAAGGCATCGGTCATGGGAGGCAACGTCAGGTCCGGTCTCGGACCACAGATTGGGTCAGAGTCCATCGACGATGCCATCTCTCCCTCCAATGATGACTCCGGCGCAGAACGCCGCTGTACGATTACCTCCCGGGTTTGACAATATGTTTTCGACCCCGACATCGACGTCCGTGGGAGCAGCAGGAGCAGGACGTGCACCCCATCCACCAGCATCATCACCCATGGGGACAGCGGACAACGGCATGATGACCGCGGTGCTGGAGACGCTAGGCAAGCTGAACAAACATCTCGACACGGTCAATCCGGAAGCAGCGCATTCCTCGTCGCCGGTGGTTTCCTCGCTCCTCACCGGGTCAGGGGCTCAGCAGCGAACCGCGCGACCGTCTGACGTGGAGTCCGACGGGACGCCCGACGGCGAGGATGCAGGACCGACGATCTCGTCGGACGTCATTAAGAAACTGAAAGAGGAACTGCGACGGGAGATGCGCGATGAGTTGGAAAGGGATCGGGCCACGTTGGAGGAGAAGCTGGATTCTGTGCAGAGAACTCAGGAGATGATTCTGGAGATGTTGAGACAGGAGCCGGGTTGATCTGTCTCTCATGCTTCATTGTTGTATTGATGATACCCACGGACATCCGTCATGTTCATATTCTGTTCAAGTTATGGATATAATAACAAGACTACTATCAATAGGGGATTGAAAATGGACCTGCAATGTACTCTATATTTGTAATCTCCAATAGTATATTCCTCACGCTACTAGAGAAGAGAGATAATAAAAATGCAAAACCATAAATTCCCGGCTAAATTACAATAATAAAACATGCATGGTATTGCTACACAGGAGCCCGCCAAGTCACGTTCTGTTTTTATTTGAATCTGTATATTCCAAACCCCGGCTAATTTGCTTATCGTTACAAGTTAGCCCCCTGCCGTCCGTCACATTCTAGTAGTAGAAGGTCTCGTCGACGGTACGGCCCCTCATCCACCGGGGCTCGCTGCCACGGACATAGATATCCTCAAAGAGGATGCGAGGGGTGCTCTCGGGAACGGGCATCGCCTCGGCAATGGCAACCTCCTCATCGACATGAGCACGGGCGGCCTTGTCCAGATTCTTAAGCTCGTCTTCGGTCATGACACTCCAGTCCAGGATCTTGTGCTTGAGACCGGCAATGGGGTCGTGGGTGCTGCGCATGCGCTGGATCTCCTCACGGCTACGGTAGGTGGTGCCGGGGTCGGACATGGAGTGACCACCGTAACGGTAGGTGACATACTCGAACACCAGGGGTCCGTTGCCGGCGACGGCGTAGTTCTTAGCGTACTTGACGGCAGCCATGGTGGCCAGGACATCCATCCCGTTGACCTTGATACCGGGGATGTACTGACCACGCTTGTAGTATTCGGTCAAAGCGGAGGAACGAGCGGCAGATGTACCCATACCGTACTTGTTGTCTAAAAGAGTCAGTCCCTCTGTCACATTCTTTTTCCTACCCAGACTGAATGGGATGCTTACTCTCGCAACCGAACAGAACGGGGAGGTTCCAAAGCTTGGCCATATTGAAGGCTTCAAAGACCTGACCCTGGTTGGAAGCACCGTCACCATACAGGACGATGCTAGTAGTGGGCTCCTCGTTGTACTGCTGGGCGAAAGCCAGACCGGCACCAACGGGGACCTGGGCACCGACGATACCGTTACCGCCGTAGAAGTTGGGAGCAAACATGTGCATGGATCCACCCTTGCCGTAGGCAATACCGTCACGGCGGCCCAGAAGCTCTCCAATAATGGAGCGGACAGAACCACCACGCATGTAGGCGAAACCGTGGCACCGGTAGGCAGTGATGATCTTGTCGTCACGGGTGATGGCATGTTCGATACCGGTAGCGACGGCTTCCTGGCCAGTCGACAAGTGGCAGAAACCTCTGATCTTCTTCTCCTTGTAGAGACGGTCGGCAGCCATCTCCATGCGCCTGTAAAGGGGGTCGACCACGTTAGATGGAGAGTGATGCCAAGGAAGATCCCCAGTGGGGTGGCACAGCATACCTTGTCGAGACCATGTCATAGTAAATCTGCTTCAACTGTTTCTTGGTGACCTCAAGGGTGTATGGAGGAGGATCGATCTCGTATGTTTCGAAGCTCTCATCGGAGAGACGGATGGTGAAGGGCTTCTCATCCTCCTACAGAGATATCGCGACCACAATTAGCATCCAGAACTCTTTTCATCCAAGTTCTCAACAAACCTGCGGAATATTTTCAGCATGCGCGGAGGCGGCATCGGTGGTAACGGATCGACGGGCAAGGGGAGCAAAAGCCTGACGTCTCAAAGGCGCGGCCTGACGGGTCCACGCAGCTCGGAACAACATGATGGGCGAGAGGAGTGAGTCCAATTGACTATGCAGAGGAGCTGGAGGAAACAGGAGATTCTGCTATCTTCAACCACTTGACATGTTGGGAACAAACTTTCCCCTTCGACTAGGCGGAATTCGGCTGCTGCTTACCTAAGACATCCTTCCATTTCGGGGACATCCGGTGTAGGCAGTGCAAACCGCACAAACATCGCTGTCAATGTGGGAGATGATGATGATGAAGATGAAATCTCTACGCTGCATCGTAGATGATCGTGTTGGACAAGCGGGTTTACAGGGGCAGCCTCGTTTTGGTTCATCTCTATAATATTGATCATACAGCGACAACGGTGCAGGAGCCATACTGTATCGACTGGTACGGTATGGCGGATTTCCCCGACCACAATCCTGCCAGGGAGAGATCCTATCTGTGAGGGGGACTAAGGACTATTTCAAAGCATCAAGGCCTGGTACAGTCGACCAGAGTCGTCTGCGTTGTCTGTCGAGTAGTGACAGCTTCCGATGTGTACTGAGGGTAGTACACAAGCATGGACATACTGGTTAAGACACTGTCTCGGATCCTTTGCATTTAGCAGAGATTGACTTCAATAGTTTATTCCAGCGAAGCTAATGGTATTTTGATAGTGCACACTTCAGCAGTCCCGAAATGCTCTTTAAAGAGTTCATCAAGCCCTGTAATATGTACCGTCTAACGACTTTGTATATAAGCTAGCATTGAGTGGTGGTCACGTATGCGAGACAAAGGTTCACTAGTAACTATTGCCGTGGCTCATATGCTAGTCTACTCTAGTCCAAAGAGTGCCGTAGCAATGAGGACCATTTCATAGCCCTGATCGATAATTGCGGTCCATTATATACCGCACCCACACAGATCTCCGAAATACGAGGACCGATGCGGTAGCCTAGCCAAAACCCAATTTCTCTCTCTCTCAAACACACCATGAACATTGGAGTCCATGGAAATTGGATTGGAGTATATCTCTCAGCCTTGTTGCGAAACAGGCAGTTGCAGCTTACGTCGCTCTCTGGCATTTGTTGGGTCGAGGGACGGGCCATGTCTCAAGATGTCTCGATTCACTGTTTGACCCGCGCAGATAAAACTCTAGAAAATGGTTGAATTCTGCATGGCTTGTAGTTTCCACATGGTGGTTCCCGGTTCTCTCCATACAAGAACCTCATGGAGTTGCTGTTTTAATTTGATAGCCACATGCCTGCCAGGCACACTGTGCTGGTTCCACTGGCGAATTTCAGGCAGCACGACCCCGGTGAGACCCAGTCAAGCTATCAACGAAGCTGATCATAAGATCTAGACGTTCAGATTTTGCGGGGGACCCCAAATGATATACTGGACAGGTTTCGAAGCCCCTACCACTATGTGGCTTTCCCCAGGGAAATGACACGCTGGTCAGGCACTTACCAGCATGGATCTAGGACCGTAGCCAACACGAGGGAATCCTGGAGGCTAGCGACGTCATTGAAACATTAGTATGTCCCAGGATCCTTGACTGACGGCATTTAGCATGATATCAGTGGGCTGAGCGGAAGCTGGAGCCCGATCCGGTTCCGCAAGCCAATCCTTCCTCGGATCTTCAATCCGATCGATGTCTAGCTATTGAATAATGAATGAATGAATGATATGGTTGTAGCTCAACTATCTCTAATTCATTTGAATTGAACAGCTGAGGAAACTCGTAACTCAGTCTTGTTTCAAATTAAAACAGAACCACGACGTCAGCACCCTTTTTGTCCATCTCCACGGCCCGTCCATCCGCCAGGGCGATTAGCACCGTTACATTTAACGGAGGAATCGTGTTCACACTGGTGGAAGGATGGACTAAAGATCTTGGCTGTTTGTGGTTTGAGCTTCTTATGTATGTATGGAGCACCGTCCCCTACGCCACGTCCTTGGTTCGCACCTCAATAGTCTACAGTGCTAGTCTGTCCTCTAAACAGTGGTTCGCCCGTACCCTGTGGGCTGGGTTGCGTCGTCACAGTTGATATCGGGCCTTCCTGGATCGAGACTAGGTGTCCTCTGACCGATGTCCCCATCGTTCAGCCGGAATGGCTAACGTGGCACGCAAGTGGATAAGCTGAGGACTGGGTCGAGTTAATATGTCTTAGATTGGACCCATTCGGCTAAAACGATACTAGTTGATTTGAAAACCTTGATATTGACGAAGCGTTACATACGAGCAGGAAATAGCTAATTACCTTTCTGGGGGCATGGCATAGGCGTATTAAGGCTTTTTAATATTATTAGCCTAACTAATTGACATGTGAATGAAACACCGACGACAGCTGCCATTCCTGTCTCCAGAAAGCATCTCCAGGGCAATGCAGAATCACTTTCTGTCTGTGATGAATTGACAGCCATCGCCCCTTGCAGAATTCCTCAACTTCCTCCAATGGATGGCACGAATTCCTCTAACAGATTGACATCACCGCCATCTTCGGCCCAGCGAGATCTCATCGACCATATCATCCTTAGGAACGTCGCCATCGCCATCGCATCGGCAGATTTGAAATCAGGATGTAACCCAATGGAAAGGAGCTAGGCTAGTGATATGCCACCGGGAACGACGGGCCACCACCGCATCAACCTTAGGACCCCCGTACGGAGTTACGTAGTGTACCCGCAGATCCAAATTGGGAATTTTCCAGAAAAGTGAGCTGAAGGAGTACTCTTGCAATTTGCTGAGCTCGTATAAAATCTCCGGGCTGTCCTGACCCTCGGTGGAACTGTCATCTGATAAAATTTTTCTATAGTGGTTGGTTCTTCGAAAGTGGAGGATGTTGTATCAGAGTATAGAGCACCCTATGAATGAGCTTCCATTACCATGGCGTATTACTGGACGTACGGAGTACAGGTTGTCAGGTATACCGTATCTAAAGGTCCACGTCCAGGTATGACAGTAATGGTATGAGGGCTCCATAGATCAACGATCCTGCGAGATTCTCCACGTTGTGATTAACTTTTTAGCCACTCCTTCGGACGTCGCTTGTTTTCAGAATGAATAACCATCGAGATAATCTGCAAGGGGTTCATGGAATCATGAGATTAAGCGCAGCTGCACGTTTATACGGAACTAATGTCGAGCTATTCGTCTCCAGTCGACTTGATCCCAGTTTAGTATCCGGACTATTGGCCATGGGTGCAGCATCAGGCTTCAGCTCGCATGTACTGTAGAGTTAGGTTTTATACTACATATCATTGACTATTGATAATTCTGAGGGAAGAGAGCTATGGATTTGATATCAATAGGCTATCTATCCATTGCATCCTGAATATTTGTATACATCCATCAGTACCGAATCGGATGTCGCAGTTGGGTTGACCACAAATGATCAGCGACGCATTTCATAAACACACATCAAACATCAACCAGGCAGTAAGGCTCAATTATCCAAGGCCAGCACAGGCATCAGTCAATTGCAAGCGAAGTGCTGGAAACAAATACCATGCATTTGGCTCTCTGTAGTCTGTACTCCGTACGGACTACCTACCTTATCAACGATTAAAAAACTGAAAGTTCGCTGGGCGTTATGCCGAACTACAGGTCACAATTATCATACAAACTCGGACCTGATTTGACGAGTCCAACGTGATGATCTCATCGCATCGAGGGTGGCAACAAAATCCCGAGACAAATGGCCGTACTCTCCAGATTCCAAATTATTGTCCGTCCTTGGCAAGATGAAGGACTGATGAGGTTGCCCTATTCCCCTGGTGGTTCGCCAGACGAGTCTCACGATTGTTTCATACATGGTGACGTGACAGGGGGAGCGCTCCGTACTTTGTAATTTTTCTCGCTTGACAGCCACCAAGAGGCTAGACTGACATGTCTGGGTCTCTGTCATGATCTTTATTCGGCGGTCATTTTCCCATTGGGTGATGAGATGATCCAGTGGTGGATCGCCCCTGCGTCGGAAGCCAGCTTAGTTGAAAACTTCACTGACCTTAAAGGGGATGAATTATTAATCGAGGACGTATGTACTATGTAACTTCGTGGTTCGATACGTACTTGATACTCCGTGCATTTGACATGTTGACAGTTACCCGGAAAGGTTTAAGAGTTAATTAGCTGGTACCTACTCAGGGGAAGCCGAACGCCATGATGTGTGGTGCTGAACGAGCAGTAGACTGGCGACTTGTCTTGCCAATGGCGGTCTGGACGCTGTGCATGATTAGCGAGAGCTTACTGTGTAAATAAAGCTATTGCTACCCACTCTGTAGTCTGTACTACTGCCATAGTAATAGTTCGAGTCCCTGGTCCAGCCCATGCTAAGCCAAGCCATTTGACTTGGCAGAATCACGTGGATCCTTAACCCTGTCTGACAGGGAGAATAATCCGGGGAATGATAAGAACAGAAAGAAGCTAACGGTACTATTTTTGAGATGATCGACTGTCTTCAATTTTGTGACGGTTTTCCATGGAACAGAAGCTGTTTGACCGTTGTTTGACTGCGATCCCGTGACCGACCCAGATACTGTACAGAGTAGCGTTCCACGGTTGCCGCATGAAAGTTGAGTTCGAATGCTTCGGATGCGTTCCTCCGCTCGGTCGCAGAGCTTCTTTCTCGGAGTGCGGTCCAGTATGGAATCCGGAGTTTATGGTCGATGATAGGGCTTGAGATATTCCATAAGGTGGATTTTGATATTTGATCTGTTCTTTACCATCTTTCGAGTGATCGGTAATTTTATGGCTTTTGCTAACTACATAGCCTCCGTATAAATACTCCGTGGTTATATCTCGCTCAGGACACACGAGAGAGTATCTGGCGCTACTTAGTAGTACATATACATGTCACTGGGTGGAAGAAAATAATGGAACTGATAGCCGATACCGCTTTGGACACCCTGGATTGAGTTGACGTTCTGGGATATAGACCGGAAGATCCCCAGATTGAATTCCTACTGAGAACCACAGCCGATCCATCCATGGCTGGACGGGAAGGTGGGATGGTTCGCATAGAGGGGTTTCGGAGTGGTTGTCTCCAAACAGAGTTTGTACTTTGGAGTAATTACAGAGAACTCTATTTCGTATCTGCCAGTCACCACACAGATTCCAGAGTTGAGCCCCGGGGAGGAATAACAATGCAGCATTCCGATCGGGCCCGTGGGGAACATACTTACGGAGTAAGGTAATATGTAGAACAGAATCAGCACCACGGGTATGGTCTCATTTCTCTCAGAACGGACGACTATCAGATAGTATCTGTCTATCAAGGACCTATTTATCTGCACCGGAGTCTCCCGACCAACAAACTTTGATTCCACTAATTAAAAACTCCCCGGCGGAGATCCCGAGGTCTCGCCCGTTGATATGCAGCGCTACGGCTGGCCCGCGTACGAACACGGGCATTAGCCCTAGAACAGTAATTCCAGGTCATCATCCCAAGTCCAAATTCTGGGGCGACATTGGCACCTGGGAGTCACGATCGACTTGTCCCCAGTCATCCAGTCACCTCCAATCCCAATGCCGTGACAGAAAACGATCGGGGATCGACGGTCTGGTGCCACGGACGGCCGGTCAATCCTTGCTGGATTATTGGGAAGATGAAAGACAGTAGGACTGTCAATAGTTTAGTCGGTCATCATGTGGATTTTTTCTAATCTTCTTAGGAGCATCTGGATTCTCCGCAGGATTACGGAGTACATGAGAAAAGTTGGTCCAAGTCCTCTGTTCCCTGTCAAATAGCCCCCATGCACATGACGATGACCTGCATGGCATTTCGCCCGGTGGTGGCGCGGCGGGAGGACACGAAGGGCTGAATATTGGAGAAAGACTCAGGAGTAATTCAAATACTCTGTAGGCAGCTCATTACTCCGACATGCTCAGGACCTATCCAATCCATCTATCATTTGCGGAGAATTCACTTATACATACTGGAGGTATCCATGGAGCTGACGGGAAACTACGACGGTGGTAGTAGGATCCGCAGGTATATGGAAAACACCAGTATTGTGGCTGTATTAATACATATACAATATCAACTACATCGTTTGCCCTAAAAGTACTAAGGTACTTCAAAGTTCAAACTTTCAGTCCCTGGATCTGCCCCCACTTGAGCTGGTCTCAACCATGGCTTCGGTCAATACAGCCCCACTGCGTATGGTAATGTTGTACTGCGCACACATTCTCGCAGGAACTCCGTGGTACTCTTACCTAGTACTTCAACTACCTCCTATGTAGTATATTTATCAAACTGGTACCGGTATAAGGTACTATCTCCAGTACAAATGGCATGCAAAATACTCTCTATACAGTGGATTCATGATCGATGCGGATCTCCTGACCCAATGATCGCTTGTCTGCCCCAGTGACTATCAACGGCTCCTGAACACCCGGTCATGACGCCGTCGTAAAATTATTCCCACCATCATTCACCTCTTTCTCTCCTCTTTTCAATTTTCCTCTCTCTTCTTTTCCTTTCCCCCCTGGTCGATTCCTTGTCTCCATCTCGGGACTTTTTCCCTCAATCTCCACCATCAGCAGGCAGAACCAAACTAACGTCCCAAGCTAAACTTCGCCTGCTCCCCCACCCCACTTTGCCTTCCCCTAAGTTCTAACTAATATACATTCTCCCACCCCCCTCCGTCTCATCATCTGTCTCCGGTGGTTGATCTTCTCTTACTCCTGTCCTGTCAGGAACGTCCTTTTCGTGGCCCATGTGGAAACATCAGCCGTCTTCCAGATCGGATTCCACGTCTGGGAGCATTGATTCAGGATCCGGTCGTCTTCACCAGTCCAAGCGTGGGTTCTTTGGCCGCTCTAAAAAGAAGTCTCCGCTCCGTAAGTATAGTGTCTCGTACTAGTGTTGGAGGTTGCCTTCACTACTCTCCTGGCGAAGTCTTGTCAAAATTTTATTTTATTTATTTGCATATTTCTTACCCCTCTCGTTTCGAGATTTACTAAACTGTTTTATTTGTTTGATTTCCGATTTTCATTCGTCGCTGGTCGTCATATGGTAGTATTTTCTTACTGGATCTGTTTCGTCGATGTCATTTAGACTCCGACTTATTCTCCCTTCTTCTGCAGCCTATTCCTTTCCGAGCCGATTTCTATTCATATCCACTTCATTGTCATTGTTCTCTTTGTTTTCCTTTCTTTTTCTTTTTGCTTCTCTGTTCGCAAACTTCCCTTTCTTTTCCTCCCGCCCTTATCGTTATCATCCCTGCTCCTCCGTGTCAATCCCGGTTGCGCCACGGACATTGAAAAAGAACGCGAATATCCCTGCTCTACTGTTATGCAATACTACCACACTACTGCCTTCCTGCCGCCTCGCTCGATTTGAATTCTGGCCGTCGGCCCCCCACTCCATCACCGACTGACTTGGACGATTGCGTCGTGACCTGCAGACTCACCGAATCTTGAATCCCCCGCTCGTTCGCCATTGGGGCCATTTCGTTCTTTCTCTCGTTCAGATCGACCGGGGAGCTTTCTATCTGGCTATTCCGACGCATCACGGTCCCGCCCTCCCTCCACCGTCACCTCTCCTATATATCCTGGCCATCCCGGCTCGGGCTTGCAGTCCCCTTTGCATTCCTATTCCACATCGTCTCGAGCGTCCTTTAATTCGAGGTCTGGTGGGCCAATGGCAGGATTGGCGGATATTGACCGGTCCCGGACCCGAAGAGACCGGACATTTGTTGGCACCGAATGCGCCGTCTGCGAGGAGCCATTGGAGCACACTCTGCGTGGGGAGCGTGTTCTTCAGTTTTCTTGCGCTCATGTATCCCACGAGGCTTGCTTATATGAGTATATCCGGGAGTTGGAGGGCCAGTACTGCCCGACGTGTGATGCGCCACTAGGGCTCGATACGAGCCGTGGAGGCAATATTTTGGATATCGGTAGGTCTCAGAATCAGCAAGTAGTGGAGTTTGTTTGCTGACCAGCCTGCAGAGAAACTTAGCAACATTGTACGTTCCGTGACGAGCGATGCCGCTACCCAACGGAGTAACCCGACACCCACGCCGTGGGAACCGAACCCCCATCCAGCACGAGCGCCCAACGATGCAGCGAGTAGGACGTATAACCGCGACAGTCGAGACATATACGCTCGGCGAGATAGCCGCGACACTGGTAGTCACCGCGACACCGGTAGTCACCGCGACACCGTCAGTCACCGTGATCGGATCGAGCGCCTAACCACCGGTTCTCGCCAGCAGCATTCTCGAAACGGCAGCGCGACTGGATCATCAGCCGACTACAATGACCATCATCATCCAGTTAACGGGCGACGCCATGACTATGATCTCCAGGCGATGGAGTCGGACCTCAGCCCACGTGCAGGGACCATGAAGAATCCAATCCCAGCTCCGACAGTGACTATCCGTAGCGAATTCCCCACCCTCAATCGGTCCCGTCAACAGCAGTCATTAACCTGTCTTATCACGGTTGAGGTTCCCGAGGGGTGGCGTGCGGACTCAGACGATCTTCGTCACTCGACGGCTCCCTCCCAGCCTCAAGACGAACCTTACAATGGCATGTGCTATCCTGCCGCTCCTGAGCCCTTACAAATACCATACGAGCCCCAGGAGAATTTAGATGAGATTGCAGAAGAGTTGCGGACTCGGGTTGATAACTGGCATGGCCTTGAATTTCAGCGGTACGGTTCTTCCTTTTTATATGTCCCTCCTAGAAACTCTCCGCTAATAATTTTATAGATTTGGAAAGCTTCGCTTGCATGGTCACATGCGGGTCGGCAAGGATCGTGAATCGTGGCAGGATCTGGAGTGCTATTTGTTTGCGGAGATGCTTATCTGCATCAAGGAGAAGAAAATTAGCAGTCGCCACCATCAGTACGAGGAACAGACGCAGAAACCTCGTACTCGGTGTACGCTTAAGGGCTCGATCCTCATCAAAAAGCATCTCAAAAACATGGAAGCCTCTGCAGGTATTGTGAATGTTGATATCGTTTCAAGTTGCCGCTGAAGCTGACGATTGCCTTAGATGATCCCATTCTCACGTTGAACCTTTCTGTCAGCGAACTTCCCTGCTTTTTTCTCCAGTTCCAGGATCGGGACCAAATGGAAATCTGGCGTCGTGCTCTCCTGGATCTTAATCAAATCGACAATATACCTCGAAATGCCGACTATGACTTCGATAATTCGGGAACCGAAGAGGATGAGTACAGAACAAGCCAGGTCAAGCGGCAAGCGTCTCTGAATTCCTCGTACGGAGCTTCACGGTCCAACATTACAGCCATCACAGATTATACGAACGCGGGCGTGGAAGGTAGACCCACTGCCTCCTTGCATATCCCGCTTGATATCGTGGTGGTTATCCCGGTGTCATCTTCCATGCAAGGGCTGAAGATTACCCTTTTGCGTGACGCACTAAAATTCCTCGTGTACAATCTTGGCCCGAGAGACCGTATGGGATTGGTGACTTTTGGCTCTAGCGGTGGCGGAGTCCCTCTGGTGGGCATGACAACTAAGTCTTGGGGAGGATGGAGCAAAATTTTGAACTCCATCCGCCCAGTGGGGCAGAAAAGCTTGCGTGCAGATGTGGTAGACGGTGCAAATGTCGCCATGGATTTGCTGATGCAGCGGAAATCCTCCAACCCCCTGTCCACTATCCTCCTGGTTAGCGATTCTTCCACGTCCGATCCAGAAAGTGTGGATTTTGTTGTATCCCGAGCCGAAGCTGCCAAGTTCGTTTCCCGTTTTTAATGTTCAAATGGCTCACAACTGACTGTTTCTTTTGCAGGGTTAGCATTCACTCCTTCGGTCTTGGACTAACACATAAACCGGATACCATGATCGAACTATCGACGCGGACCAAGGGTTCATACCTTTATGTGAAGGATTGGATGATGCTTCGGGAATGTGTCGCTGGCTGTTTGGGCTCTCTGCAGACCACGGCCCATCAGAATGTTAAGCTTAAACTTCGCCTGCCAGAGGGCTCGCCGGCCAAATTTGTCAAGATCAGCGGCGCCCTTCATACGACCAAGCGAGCAACTGGACGCGATGCGGAGGCTGCTCTGGGAGACTTGCGGTTCGGAGATAAACGCGATATTTTGGTTCACCTTGTCATCCAGCCCGACAACTCCTCGCAGGACAACATGCCCCAGGATCCGTGGGAGAGTCTGGTGTCAGGGTTAGAGGCTCTCGGGGGCGGCTCTGATGGCGACGACCAACGCGTGCTTAGCGTAGAGGAGGTGCCACTTATCCAGGCGGATCTTACATATGGAGATCTCCTGCGCGATGGTCATTTGACACATTCTCCTCGACCGTCGCTCCTGGCAATCACCATGCTCCCGCCAAACCCGAGAGTGAAGAGCGGCTTCGGTCGACCGTCGACCCCCCCGATTCCCCCTCACCCTTCCATCGTTCAACGACGCATGGAACTTCTCACATCGGATATGCTGACCAGGGCCTTGACGCTGGTGTCACGTGGCCAGCATGAACGAGCACAGCATCTCCTGATGGAGACCCGCAGTATTCTCAAAGGTTTGGGTAAGGGAAGCCTTCCCCCACTCCCGCCCGGTGCTGCAAAACCTACTAGCGGTAGCGAGTCGGGAAGCCGCGGAGAAACGCCTATTTCGTCGTCACCAAAATCCTCGAACTTCGGGGAGAGCCATTCATCCACAACTTCGGAGACTGCTACCGTTTCTCCAGTCGCTGCAGTTGATGCACAGACCATAACAGCACTGGATGCGGACTTGGCGTCAGCTCTGGAATGGATCAATCATCCCGCCGTGTTTGGTCGGGATTCTCGCAAGGCTGTGCTGCAGGGGATCGGAGTGATCTCGTCGCAGCGAGCATATACCTTCCGCTCACCGTCTGAGGCTCACTGGGCGCAGCGAGTGGCGGGGGTTCGCCGACTGACTGAGCGGTCCAAGGAATGGCGCGAGACCGGTGATGATGCATTGACTGAAGAATAGACGCACTAATGACCTTTCTATTCTATACTCTTTTTCATTTCGTTATCCTCGCTCTCTTCAGTTCTCTTGTCAATCGGGTCACCGGTTCTTTTTCTTTTCTGTTTTGATGATACCACTTTGTTCACCAGGACTGTGCAGCATGATACCACGGGTTTGGTTTGGTTTTTTTATTTATTTTTATTTTATTTTTGCCCCCTTTATTGTTAATCCCCCTCTGTCTCCTCCAGGATACTCCATGGATGTGTATATACAAGGGTCTAATATTGGGTTGTGGTAAAGGTTCGGATCTGTACGACTTATGTTTTTACTAGGTTGGTAGTAGGAGTGGACAGTGATGAGGTTTTCTCCCTGAATTCGGATACTTCGCGTGAAACAAACACTCGCTAATATTGCATGTTTTATTATGTCTGGCCCGTTTGATGTACTGGAAGGAATGCTACTTCATCGTGATCTATGGTTTATTGATTTTGAGTACTCCGTATAATAATAGATATTATATAATAATATGGTTATAGATATTTGAATTGATATAACATGAACACTCCTGAACTCGTGAACCATTACTATGTCTTGTATACTATTTATTGTGCTTGGTCATATTCCTGTTCGCTTGAGAATTAGGACTGAGGGAGAACACAGTGCGCGTGGCGCAACTGACACGTCTAGTAGGACGACTGGAAGAAAGGGCCCATGCATGACCTGTGCGATAAGAATTACAGGGACCGACGGCTGTCACATAGGTTGAATAGATAGATACTAGATGCCAGGTGTGTTTAGGCAGGGTTGTTCTGAAAGGTAATTGGATTAAAGACAGTATTCTGTCTAGATTTCGGGAACCGACTTCGTCCATAAGAGCCCCCAACCTACTACTCAATTCTGATGTGTCACTTTCGTTCATATGAGTATGTACCTAGAGCCTAGATCCACCTTCCCAATGATAAATCCTGTTCCGAGCACTCGACCTGGACTGCTAGGTAGTGTAATACCAGCCGTAACCCGGAGATCCATTCAACGAGGGAACACCCGTGCTTCTTCCCTGCTCACCCATGAAGAGGAATACACAGTTATATTTGAGTTCTGTATGTTAGCAGTGACGGGTGATATCCATGTAACTGCGTGACACGTGTACTGGGCCATTCTCTGCCCAGCGAATCCTGTGTTGGATTGTATACCCATTTGATTGGCGACACGAAACTTTGTAGTAAATCATATAATGAGTCCATAAGAAAGATGAAATGAAATATGGGAAATCCAACTGTATATGTACAATTGCGCTTTCGATGGCAACCAGACAAATGCTAACAACCCCAGCGGAACCGAACTGATGCAACAAAGGGAACAATACTTAAACGGCAGATACGCAAATCAAAAAAGGCACAAAAAACAAGCAAGCAAAATAAAACCCATATCTTAGCTACAGTCTAGAAGAGCGAGAACACATCATTCATAAAGATGTACCGTAATCCCTAGTGTGACAATCTCATATGATGCATCCTTGATCAACCTGCGATCTATGCAAATCAGGCATCAGCATTCCTTCTCCGTTTACCCTGGGGAGGAGGCGCCAACTGAGGAGTCCGCTTATACGTGATAGTTGTCGTGACCACGTGCCGGACACTTAAGCATCCTCCTTTGTCACCGACGGAAGAATCATATTGTTGCAGCCTCATCTCTGAAGGGGGAAAGGCGGACCGAAGAGGATATGCATGGCGCGGGGAATCCGAGGGGGGTGTATAAGCGTAAGGAGGAGGGAGACGCAGACGACGAGCCGAATAATCGGTGGCAGATGGGGGGCTCCGAGCCGAGAGGTCCCTTGAGTTGTTCCCACTGGAGAAAAAAGTGGAGGTGGTGCTGGAAGGCGCAGAAGTCGGGGAGGGGCGAGGCTTATCGAGCATATACTTGGAGAAGTTGGCGCGGGATGTTCTAGGGCTGGAGAAGATAGGACTGAAGGTGTTGATGAAGTCGGTGTATGCTGGAGGAGGAGTCATAGAGATCTCGGTGTCTTCCACATCCTCTTTCTTTACCTCTCCGTCTGGCCGGAAGGAGTCGAGGCATGTGTAGGTGCGTTCTCGGAGTTCTGAAGGGAAACTCATGGTCTTGGGAGTTGTCAAAGGATGAAGAACGGGCTTGTTGGGAGCCATAATGTAGATAGAGAAGAGACTGGATTAAATATCCACAAGATAATCAGATATTTCAAAAAAAAAAAAAAAATTGGATGAGAGAATGTTGATCAGAGCTGAAGGCCTCGAAGTGATAGTTCGTGGCTTGGGGTCCAACGGGTTGAACAACACAGAAGAACGAAGGCTGAGCTGACAGTCTTATCTAACCAGTAGAAATTGAAGACGGAGAAGACCAAGTTGGTGATTTGTGGCCGGTTTTATGGTACAGATGATGCCTGGGGATCCAAGGCCGAGCGATAGAGCTGTATAGAGGGGATTGTAAAATACAGTATACACCCCGGTATCAGACGGTATCGATACGGACGATACGGTACTGAAGATCAGCTGTCAGCTCGTTCAAAATAGTCGTTCGATCCACATACAGCTGCAGTATTGCCAGGACATGCACGGAGAGTAGATCTCCGAGATATAGATGGCCGAGGATTGGAAGAAGCGACACAGTGCTTGTTTCCCGAGATCAGACCTGCTGATTGGTATCTCGATGACGTCAAGCGCAATAGACAACAAGAAAAAAGAACGAAAGATCGGAAGATGCAGAGATAAAAGATGTCGGCTGATGGATTTGAAGACCAGACAAGTGACACGAAGAGCTACCTCAAATATATAGGTTCTTCCCACCCTTCTTGTCTAGTTAGAAGCGCCTTGGGGTGTGTTGGTGGCGATTGTTTCTTTTGTCGCGCGCCATCTAAAGCAAGTCTCACCTTGTTGCCTCTTTCTTCAATGAGTCCACAAGTGTTCTACACCTCTATTGACTTGCTTGTTGTCAAGCGTGAGTCGTCGGCAAAGCGCGCGGTTCTGCAGTCAACAGTTGCCATCTGTAACTAACGCTAATCCAAAACACGGGGCCTGAAACCTAAGGGGTTCCTGTAGCGACAGGCCTAAAGAGACATAGCCTGCCAAAATAGAGCCAGGATGGTTCGCAACGTCAATGATTCTCGAGCTCAAACTGACCAATCGCACGGCGCCAAAGAAGTTCTTTCGGATGGCAGTTTCAGATTATCTCTTCCCCTGCATATCAAGAATGACAAGCGCTTTGCGGTGATAGTTCCCGATGACTGGGAGCTTTGTCAGTACCCAAGTTTTCCCCTGGTGGTGCTATGCTATGACAGATGGCGTCGGACCAGTGTCGTCGACTCGAGGGGAATTTTTTAACAAGCAATGAATCACACAACCTACTGGGCCTCATATTGCGTTAGAATGTAGCGAGAGTAGATCCTCTATAACTGCCAAGAAAACCTGTGATGAAACTGCATGTCTCTCCACATGATGCGCGTCAATGTATAGCGTATCGACATCCAACATCTAGCGTTGGGTTGGTTGGATTACTGGATTACCAGCTATTCGTAGGCGCCTGTTTCTTTGGATACGCATCCTCCATCCGGTCTTGATGAAAATCCAACGGCGGGTAGACCGGAGCATCTCGAGGACATCACATAATGCCTCAGTTTATGCGTTATTTCGAAGCGCGTTCGAAGAGACATCTACTTCGATCATCTGAAATCGCCATCATACTACGAGCGCGCACAATCATAGTCGGGGAGTGACTAGGTATCCGTCCAGCTCAGACTGCTGTAGTTCCCATGTCCAACAGCATGCAGTGCTATTTCTGGAAGTGCTAAAATTATACCACCACGGCAGTTGAACACCACGCGGGTCTAAAAACAGAAACATTGGGCCGACTTTTTGGCGCCCGCAGATGTGGTAGAATCGACAGATGTCTACCAATGAGGTCGAACTAGTAACTGGCGATGATGTTGATGAGCGACAATTTACTCTAAAATTAGGGTGTTGCGGTCCAACCAATGGGGTGGAGGATCGGGGCCCACGGTCCAAGAATAACAACAACAGCGCAGATCAGAGTCCTATTTTTGGATCATCAACCTCATCTCTACTTTGACGGAGATTCACATACTCCTTTTACTCTATATATTCGAGGGAAATTTCGAAGATTTGTGGTTTTGATGGACAGGTTGATCTTATCTGAAGTAGACTGGTATAGATAAGAGGAAGTTTTCCATCCTTACGCTTCCAGCCTCATCTCATAACAAGCGCTTGCTCAGCTCTGGCTGTAAACATCGAAAGCAAACGCAATAATCTGCATACATTGTAGACTACGCGCAACGGCGTCGCACTGATCCTGTCTAATCTGAACAGATCACACTCGACGGACCCAACCACGCGCCAAAAAAAAAAAGAAAAATATTTCAAAAGACAAAAAAGGGACCCAAGCTCTGATGCCTACCATCGGGAAATACACGCAGTTTGAACTCACATTCAACCAGCCAGAATGCAGTTTTCTTATTATCGGACTAGAGTCTGCATGGGAAGCTGCTCAAGGGCTGTAGAGCATTAGATTCCTTTGTGGGTTCTTGCGTTCCTATTGGACTGTCATGGTGATATGATGTCCTCAGGCTCCCGCTCCGGGGCCGTTCCACTCTCCTCGCTCTCCTCTTTCTTTGCCCCTCTCAGTCTGTAGATTAGATATCCCATGATAATTATAGAATCAAACTACTTTATTCCTGGTCTTTAGCGCTGTACACCATTAAACCCGGCTATTTCGCATCTCCCGCATCCAATGGCCCTTCTCATGTGAATGATTTGAGCCCCGTATCGTACTGTATCATACAATACGGCCCATCATACCCTCATTTCGTATCCAGGACATCGATCCATCCCCTTTCCTTCTAAATAAAGATCTCTTCTATGCGTCCCTCGGGCGCTTCTACGGGTCCATTTGTGTGAAAGAACTTCCAATCCAATTGTCTTCGTTTGGCGCTGTTCTATACATAGTCTATCTTGGTTATCAACCTTAGTTCGGTATAGCTCCCTGTCTGAAAGACGACAGGAGGTGCCATGTGCGCTTCCTTTGCTCGTTCCATCTGGCGCAGTTACCATACCTGATAGTAGATAGTCCCTAGATAGGGGTATTTCCCTGACCAATTGTTATTTCTCTTCTACTTTCAATGGATCGTAGTTGGAACTGAACTGTAGACATGATGGGCAGTCAACGGCGACAACAAAAGAGATAGATACCAATCAGGCATCAGGGAGATTCCAACAAGAAAACTATTTATGCCCTCTTTGTTTCACCGCGTTGTTAGGTAAGCCTGGATGGAATGCTGTTAGTTGTACATAACAAATTCAGACCAAGGCTAAATTGCATACTTACTTTGTTCCTAGATAATTCGTCGATTGTGCTAGGTATAAATATAGCCACTTGTGTCACAGGGGTGCCTTGGAATTTTGCACTCTATATTGACTGATTCCTTTGAGATTTTTCTTCCCTTTCTTTTGTATCTTTTCATTCATTCGTTCACTCACTCACTCTCTCTTTCCTTCTGTCTCTGTGTGGGTCTTATTTTTTTTCTTGCTTGCTTGTCTTCCCTTTCTCTTGATCTGATTGTCTCCAATGAGCATGGTCTAAGAAACAGTTGGAGATCATTGATAACAGCCTGTGAAGACAAAGTCAGCAACACTGCTCTAGACTGATTATATCTTATCAGTACATACAATGGAAACACTCCGCTGCGCTGTGTTTATCTGATCAAAATGTGAATACTTTATATAACGTATTTCAGAAGAAAGGTAGAGTGCAGACATGCAGAATCACATTAAGTTCAAAACTAACTAAATAACAAGCAACTAGCAATAAACAAAAACCAAGAATATCATGTGGCAAATGAAGAAATAAAAAGCTACCATAAAAAGAGTGTGGCCAAAGGAACGAAGCAAGTGAGGATAAAAAGGACCTTTAAAGAAAGGTACGAAGAGAAGATTTGAAAAAAGAGAATGAGCTAAACATTACTAAAAGAGAGAATGTGAAATGGCCCTGATGGGATAGAATCAAAGGTAAACAACGAAGATGAAGCCGAAGAGGTAGAAACGAGCGAAGCTTGGACGGGCTTTGCATCACACAGAGACTGAAGCGAAACTGGAGAAATCACTATTTCAAGGTCACAGAAATATGAACATGGAATCAATAAAAAACAAAAAAGAAAGAAAGAAACATAAAAACTCAAAAATCCAATAAAACTCAGAAACGCACGCATGGAAAACTAGGAAAAGGCTGAACAAAATATCAAAACATAGGTAAAAGATGGACTGCCAGTGTTTTTGTTTTAAATGATCATAAACAATGTTGATTCACCTCACTTCCCCCATTCAGCTTCATATGTGTCATCTGTGTTATGTCCTTGTCGATGTTGTTGATTTGGATACTCCTCTTTCTGCTCGAGACCCTTATATCAGAAGATACTTCCACTCCTTGTTCTGCATCACATCACGCCAGTGTACCTGCTGCATCTGCTGACCGGTAGTAGCAGAGCCCTGAGAAATGCTTTCCCCCTGTTGAGTGTCGGGGTTGGTGGTAGGAGTAGTGGGAGTCTGGTTATTGACTCTCCAGACCTCCCTTAACAAACGATACATCCGGCCAAAGCTGCCGAAATCACCTAAGTAGCCTAATGCTGCAACTCTTTCGGTCAGACTCCTGCGAAAGACGCTGGAAGGTTCTGAGTGGACCCCGATCATAAACAATGGCCACACAAGGCACCGGTCGTATCCATTAGGACCGGTGGGCAGGTAGTTCAGAATCTCCGCGACTGATGCAACCATGTTGGTAATAGCAGGCTCAAAGAGATCGAAGCCTGGAATAAGACTGAAGAGGTAAATACGAGCTCCGATGCGGAAGATAGCACTGATGATTTTGGTCAACATATCTGGCCTTATAGCCCCAGACGGCAGATAGGGTGGCTGAAGAGTTTGATCGGCTGGCTCAGTCCAGTCAATCTGCGCATTTAAAGCGGTAACGTGGCTGAAAATGCCCGCGTTGTCAATTAGGCCGTCCTTCTTTAGGGACTCAAGGCACGCAATCTCCGAGATGAGATACATAACGCGGTCGTCGCAGCCCATCAATCCCTGCATGCCCGATGGAGTACCGCTCACATGCTTGGTACGATAAGTGTGGGAAAACTCAGGGGTTTCGCCTAGCATAGTGGCACCCAGGATATCAATCCAAGTAACGAGAGAGATGTTGAACGCAGTAGGCATGGTGTTGAGCTTCTTGATGAGGCTTGACACGGCTTGGAAATGAATGGTCCAGGGCACATCCGGCAAGTATTCATCCCCGGAACCCACCGAGCAGTCATAAAAGATCAAAGCGAGGGTTGCATCCATCACCTGGGTATGACCACTTCCACGGTCCAGAGCACGGCTGAGCTGGGAAAGGGCGTTCCAGCGATGCTGGACAATATCATGATCCATTTGATCCTCCATGCGCATGCTGGACTTGAGGTGGACCGCAGCGGCGCTGAGGCAACAATGAAGGTATGAACTATTGCTTTGCATGGAGCCTAGAACCTCAGTGATCTGACCGGGACATCCCCTGTGAGCCTCAAGAACTGGGAAGGCCAGCTTGAGGACATGGTCAACGAAATGAGTGAACAGGGTTTGGTCATGGTCATCCACGGAGATCAGGCCCTGCAGGCATGAGGACAGGGTTTGTTCTTTAAAGAAGCCAGAAGAGCAATCGACTGGGCTCATCTGCTGGACATGAGTCGGGTCATTGGCAAGCCAGTCGGCACTGGGGTACTGGGGACTCGGAGTCGGACTAAACAACAGTGGCGTGCCCATAGGGCCGTTCACAGTCGAAAGGGAAGGGGTGGCTGGAGTTGGAAGAGGAGGTGGTGGTATCTGGGTATGCTCGATGTAGATCGGGCGATTGAAGTCTAAATCCTCCGTCACGGGAGTGCGTTCAGAGAGGGCCTGGACTCGATCCATGTACGCTGGAAGGGCGGAAGCCACGTTGGAACAGTGCCAAATGATAAAGCATCGACTCTGAGGGACATACCTTGCAGTGCTCCCTCCTTTTCCATCAACTTCGTCTGCCGAATCCTGTCTCTGATCCTTTCCCTCTGCCTACGTCGTTGATCGTTGGTGGCCCACCACTTTGGAGTCTTATACTCGCACCTAAGTCCAAGCTTGAAGCAGGTCCGACAGGCAGGTCTATGCTCGTCACACTTCTTACGTCTCAGACGACACGTGAAGCAGCCTAGACGGATGTGCTTGGTATCAGTGACCAGATCAAGAGAACTCTTGAGAGAGAGAAAGGAGTTGTCTCAAGGTTTGATTGATGCCTTTGTGCCGGATGAGCGAGGGGTTTTATACCTGAGCGAGATCTCTTGCTTGCCTTGGTCCGCACCTCCTTTACCGAGCCGGGGCTGACGGGTGCTTCCGTGGTACCAGCCCTATCCGCCGAAGAGGTACTTTCGGCGGTAACTGATGGAGCAGAGGAGGATGACATCAGGCCGAACCTTCCGAACCGGCACTGGTAGAGCGGGGGTGCTATCACAGAACAGGAAAATGGCTCAATAGAAGAAGGTCAGGGGTAACAAGGGGAATTTCCCAATTGAAGGGTGCAGGTGCATGCGAAGAACGACGATGGGTTATAGAAGGCAGTCGGAGGAACTGCGCTGATATCCTCTGCTGTCCGTCCTGAACAGAGATAAAGGCCCGGGATAGGAGCGGCGTTGAGCTGGTCTTTATGCAGAAGCTTCATCGTGGTGTATTCGAGACGTTGAGTAGAACGTCTACCAGGAAAGACTAATCATTCTTTGTATGATTCTATTTTTTGCTCAACCTAGGCGGTTGTCAATGACAAGGGATATTGTTCCGGGAACTGGGAGAGCATACAAACCTGGAGTGGGGACGAACGACCGGGAGCAAATCACAGTTGATATTATGATTGTGATTTAGAAAAAGAGATCTAATTTAGGATACCATATGGTCAGAGAAGGTGTTGGATGAACAGAAAGTGGCAGACTCTCGAAACGCCCATGTTGATAGACGCGCCGACCTGACGGTTGCAGGGATCACCTTTGGGCGGATATGTTCTTGTTCAGGGTCCATCGATTCTCTCGTGGCGCCAATTCGAGGGTGGTGGCCCTAGAGGGTGATTGGTGGAAGTGCTCGATAATCCTCTGCAGGTTTACTGTGGCAGCTAACCAACAACAACCAACACAAGAACCCTGATATCTCAACGGTATAGCTCTTCTATTCCAAGGCCATTGACGCCCTCGTCGCTATAGATCACACTTGCCGCAATCCGTTCTTCCCTCCTCTCTCTATCTTAGGAATCTTCCCATGTGAGTCTCAATCCACAAGATGCCCTCTGTATTTCCTCACCACCTTGCATGGGTGGAAAACCAAGCGCTAAGAGGTGCCCATTGCCCGTAATACTCTGTAGTAGCCTAACTATCTGGGGTTAGCGGGAGGCACCCCCTCATCGGACTCAGAGGAGCAACAGAATTAATATTAGCACTCGATGGCGCATTCACTTTGATCCCTCCTCCAATGACAGGGCCGAGCGGATGTTGGAAATTCCTGTTGAATGCAATTATTGGCCAGGGGATGTGAATGGGCGGCAGATGATACATGCCAAGCTTCTATGTGGGCTCTTTCATTGGTCATCAGGGCTCCAATCGACTTGAACATGAAACGTTCCGTGGCCAACCGTGGGGCTCGGCCCGTGCTGAAGTGGACCGCCAGCACAGACCGTCGGGTGTGATATACTTTGCATGCATGCAGAAGAGTGCCTTAATTAGCAACACTGTAGGCCGTCAATCTTGCATATCGAGGTGAAATTGGCCGGATTGCCCGGATCCCCATTGGGCCCCTGGTCGATTTAGGGTGGTTTAATTTTAGCAAATTTCCCCTGTCAGTCTTTTTTTGGCTACTTCCATTCCTGCCATTTCCTATTAATAGTCTGCAAAAGTAATCATAATTAGTAGCGGCCGATCATTTACATTGCGGGGTATACCCTACCCTGTAGCCAATGGCTACTTTGCAGATTGGACCAAAATGCAAGGAAAGAATCAAGAATTCCATGCTTGGCGCTGATATGATCATGTGAATATTCTCCCTTTTCTTTTTAGTCTGTCTGTATGTACTGCGCCAGCTTGCATTGCCATGATCTCCAATCAACAATCCTCAACAATTTTTACTTTTGGACTAACTAACACTATGAAGGAGCCCCGCATGAGCTTACTGGACCGAGTGCACGATCTACTCCTCTCAGCCTTGTTAACTTTAGCGACATACTTCTGTCCCGCTGTATCGCCTAACTTCATGGAACACACTACTATATCTCCTAATAATAGCGCCGTGCTTGATGCGACCTTCTTTCCTCGTTCATCAAGTTAATCATGACCATCGGTGTAGCGCCAGGTTATTCGCGCTGTGTGTATCGAAATCAGAACACAATATACCTACATGAAGTAAAGCTATGATCCTATAATGGGGAGTGCTTTCATGGTACAGGGTTTTAGAGAGAGAAATTGCGCTACTGATGTCGCAGTTGGTGCTTCGAATTACTTGAAGTCCTTGGCTTTATTGACCACAATCTGATGAGGTTTACCCTGTCTTTTTGCCCTTTCCTACTCCACCATTTGCTGGCCAGTTCACACTCGGCGTTTGGTTGAAGCGAGACATAAATACTGGAATTGGTAAGTTATTGTGATTGAGAACCAACAGCTCGATATACGGAGTAGAGAGGAAAGCTTTGAAAAAACCTGGTGACGGCCGCTTCAGGAGAGAAAAAACAAAAAGCTAACAAAAAGGGGTAGAAAGACGAAAAGGAATATGGAAGAAAAACAGCATGAATAAAAAGATTCTTCTATGGATTAATAAAGTATAGGTATTGGGATCGAAGAATTCTTATCGTCACTACGTTAGGTGATCTGGTTGAATGTTCAACGACTGTGTACAGTTATAATTTACTATAGCCTTCATACTTGTAGCTTTGAACTTCAGATTTTAGCACCCTGTAAACATATAACAGGGTTCCCAGTGGTGAGGACGTGACATGAACCACTTCGGAAAATCTGGAAGTTCGAGTTCATCGGGGTGGGGGTAAGCGTGAGGAGTGACTTGTCACGTTGGCCAGTGCTGTGAGGGGCTTAGCGACGGGAACCTACTCTGTTAAGCATTGACTTTGACTTTTCTTCTTTGTCTGTTTCAGACTTAGTGGCAAGATAATAGGCAAACGATCCCACTTGAATGGCGGAACCCAGCAGATCTCTATCATTTCCTTCAAATCGCCTGGGAAACCCCAACCAGCACAACTGAGACTGCTGCATTAGGAGTTGCCTATCACCTGTCCCTGATGCATTGACAGGCTATTGTTTGTACAACTCTCTGAGCCACACAGTGTGTGCCATGAAATTGGACTGCCGTAATGCAACGTCGGAGTGGGCAGGGGACATAGTACCACGTGCAACGGGGTGGGAAAGGGAATTCATTGTAGATAAATTTCCAGTTAACATCTAATTCCAAGAAAGCCAATCAAGAGGAAAGGGGAAACAGAGGTGTTCGCAGCTGAAATGCGATCTGATCGAAATGGGGGATTGGTGTTTGAGATATATATGTGTCGAATGGGCGCTTTGTGCCAACTTCTGGAAGTGTGCTCATTCCCTAACCTTTGTCGCTGGCTGCCAACCTTCTCGGGTATCCAGTGGACGGTGATTGGCAACTTCAGAATGACGCTAGTCGATGGTGAAACTTGCAATGACCTGGGCGCGTATATTCTCCCTTCGAGTCAATCACCGCTCGTTGAACTGTGCCGAGATCGTTGTCACAGCAGTAGCGCCAACGACGGACCTCTCACAATCAGCGACCACCCACCTTTCCATCCGTCATCGCTGCACAGGCATTGCGTCTCAACCAAAGAACCTCGCTTTCCTCGTCATTTTTCGGGCGTCTTCGCCTTTAGTTGTCTGACCGTCTCGCTTGGTCCGTCCCCGACGTGCCAACCACCGTTCTCATCACAGCAGTGCTTCGCTGGGGGCTTGCCGCTGGCCCAAATCCCCCTTGACTGATGGCTCGCCTGCACCTCCAATTCGCTCAGATCATCCATGGCGGAGACTCCAGCCGTTCAATCCTTCGAAATGCCGCCTTGTGGGTGTCAAGGACTGTTAACTCCCGCATGTCGGACGATGTACATAAACTCTTCGACCGCCCGCTCTGACCATTTCCCACATAGTACTCAGTCGACCTTTGTGATCTCGTCTGGTGTATGGTGTACGTACACTTCATAGTGCACCATACCCCACCCAACAATCTCATATTGTTGTCTATTTATTCGGTTGCACCGATTAGTGTTCTACACCCTCTGACCCCGCCGTTGCTGATTGCTCTGTCAAGCTATAGATGTTGGCGAGAAAATGGTTCGCATTTAGCACTATTACCGTCTACTGTAGGATACTTGCTGACTCTGATGCAGGCCACGCAGTATGCAAACACTGGTGGTTACTATGGGCACCGAAAGGAGGAGGCTGTGCCTTATTTCTCACCTCGAACATCTCTTCCGCGGCCGATTTCCGACTCCACTGACATCATGGAGGACTTTGATAATGATGATAGCGATGAATTTGATTTGCCTGACGATTCACCCTTTACTAGTGTAGCCTCAGTGGGTTTTCCATCTGAATTCTAGCAACACCAATATCGTCACACCGTCTAACTATCTGGCCCCTTTAGTTTGGCTCCGCAAGTGTCTCAACTGCCTCGACTCCCGACGAAGCCCATACTCCTGAGTCGACTGGATTGACTTTATTTGACTTTCATATCGATGAAAAGGCTGTGAGGGGCCCCAACGGGCCCCATCTTTTCCGATCATTCGTAGATTCTTCCATATATAACCAGGACACGGATATCGATCTGACTGCAGAGGATCGTCCCCCAAGCACCATGGTCCCATTCTACCAGTCCGCCTCCAAACTTGACCCAGTGAGAAGAGACACTCCCGTTCCGAACCGGGCCACGCCTACACCGCAACCCCAACAACAAAGGGACTCCTCCAGTACCAAGGGGGACTTTACTCCGATGGAATCCGAGGCCCGCAACTGGACCCCGCAACATGTTGTTAGATGGCTGCAGATTTGTGGGTTTGACAATGGTGTTCTCGAGACATTCTTCTACAATGATATCTCTGGTTCCATTCTTTTGGAACTCCAGACACAAGACCTGAAAGAATTGGGAATCCAGTCCTTTGGAAAGCGCCATATGCTGATGGGTGCAATCAAAGGCCTTCTCAGTAGGGCGAGGACTACCAATGTTGAAGTTCCGTATCAACCAGACACAGGGCCCATTCCACCAACCCCTCGGACATTTACTACGACCACGAGTGGTTCCGTCTCAAGCTCAAATAGCGATGGGAAAGGGTCTGACCGAAGAGCCGTCAACAGCCGGCGACGCCGGCACCATAGCAACGACAAGGTGACCAAAGAGACGACCCTGGCCCCTGAAGATCCAGTTTCTATCGTCGCAATCGAACAAGTGCTCCCCAAGTTACACAGCTGCTCTAAAGGTGAAAATTGCCGGAAGTGGCAGAAACAACAGGCCCGGCTTGCTCACCTCGCAAAGGATCTGCCTATCGAGTCTTCGAATGGCCGGATCATTGTACGGGGTGATCCAGGAAATCCTAAAACTGCCCCGAATCTGAGATCCCCAAAGTCAGATATCACTCCTTCTCTGGTTGCCTCGTCTGATGTGATGGGACCGGCCCGGAAGCCTGAATATCAACTGTCGATGGACAAGCTCAACGAGGTCCAACCTCGGGACCCGCAAGAAAATGTGCGAAACTTCATCAGTTTTCAGAAACTGAGCAAGCTGCAGCCGGTCAATGAACCGGGCACCCCACCGAAGGAGACGATTCGCTCGCCCGAGTCTTCGTCGCTCGGATCGGCTAAGGGAAATCCGACTCTTAGTGAAAACCTTCGACACTTGCCGAGGCTACAAATCCCCAGAGCGGATGATCGAGACAGCGGCGACTATACCGCAAATCTGTCATCGCAGAGAACAGTCACACCGTCCATAACACGCAAGAAGCCGTATTTTGATGATGAATACCCGACCGCTATTCCCCAGGGCCAGCAATATGCTTATGGCGTTGCCGCCTCCCCGGGGGACTTCTACCGTGTTGACCCTCACTATAGTCAAAGCACACCTTTGTCCGAGATGGATGTTCCCATGACTGCCTTCCCAATCAGCCTGGTGTCACGAGAAGATTCACAATCCGTCCCTCCTAACATGCGCTTTGGTGCGGATCGCCTTGTGTTTGATCCCATCTTCCGGCCTGGCTCAACAAAAGGGACCAGGCATCGCAGAAATACATCTCACCACAACTTCCCAACACTGTGCTCTCTTGATGAACGTCGTGCAGTGAATCCAATCGAAACACCAGAAGACATGGAGCGAACCCCTCGTGTGAACCGTGGCAAGAATCATCTTCTATCTCCAACCAGGTGTTCCGCGAATGATAACGATATCACTCAGAGCGGATGGATGAAAAAGCGCAAAACCACTCGTTTGATGCGCCATGAATGGGAAGACCATCATTTCACCCTTCAAGGGACCCAGCTGGCCATGCATACTGATGAGGATTCTGCTCGTCGTCATTCGAAAGCTCTCGAGTATATCGACGTCGACGACTACGCAGTTGCATGTTCGTCTCTTGCGTCCAGCTCCAAGTTGACCGCTGCTTTCAAGAAGACGGTTCTGAAGCGCAAGGATAACATAGCCAGCGACTCTGCATTTGGCTTCTCCTTGATCCCAGCGACTGGGAGCGGAAGTAATACAATTGACAAGAAAGCCTTATTTTTGCACAGCGGAAAGCCTCATCACTTCGCTGTCAAAACCAGAGATGAACGCATCGACTGGATGCGCGAGCTCATGCTTGCAAAGGCACTGAAACGGGGTCGAGAGAGTGGAGCTGCAATGAACGTGAATGGTAATTTCATTTGAGATACCCATGGCTACTTCTCTATCACGGTGCCGGCCTCCTGTTTTCTATTCTCAGTATATGACTTTCCAGATACCCCATTTAACAGGATCTTCAGCGAATTAAATAGTTATTGAATGTATGCATCATCTGCGAGCCCATCCCATCCCCAGTCTTTGAATTCCAGGTTTAATAACATGACACATGAGACGAATCTCCTTTTGTTTTATTCCCACGGTAAATTCATGCTGACGTCCGTTTTTCGCATTTACCCCATCTGTTTATCTTCTCTCTCTTTTTCCCTTTCTTCTTTCCATGTTTGAGCTTTCTTTCCGTTACTCATCCAAGATTACCGAGATACGCTGATTAAAACGTCACATACGTCAGGTGCGGAAGGCTCACGCCATCTTCCTCCAGAAGAGACAATAATTGTGGTTTGTACGGAATATCCGTGTATCTTAGTTTCTTCCCAATGTTAGCATTTTAGCAGTATATACCAGGAAAAAATATAACAAGTCAATAGTTATCCGGATATGAGCGAATATTTCTTATGGGTGTAGCCTGGTCGGCGTAAGGATGGTTGTCCGTAGGACCTACGGATCAATCTCCACGGTCTCGATCCACCCATTTTCAGGGAAATTGGCTGTCGTTGGCCTGTTGACTTGAGAATAGGAGACGGTGCCATCCTCCGGCGAAATCCATTGGATACCGAAAGTGACAAGCCTTACTGGGATGCTGCATCCAGCCAGTTGCTGGCGAGAGAGTGGACGCTGAGCGAGACGCCAGAGGGGAACATGTCCCCGCCTGAGCGCGTAGAGACGAACAGCGAGTGGAGAATGACTCTACGGTATAAGCCCATAGCATCTTGATATGACACACAGTGGTACTATATCGTCCAACTGCCAGGCTGGTCGGCCTCGCTCATCCCCCGCATGACTGTGCTGGCTGGGAGCAACCATGATGCTACCTACCATTACTGCTGAAGCTACTCCGGTACCTTTGTGAACCTCCAATATTCCGTCAGTTACGGCCGACTCATTGTGTTTGGCGCTCACCTCTACAGTTCCTGGATGATCGACGCGAGAGAATCCACGTTGGTGATGCCAGACAGCCAGAGAAGCCATCCATCCATGTGAGTCGGATGACTGCCCCGCTTCAAATCCCTGACCGTCAACCGGTTTCCTCACTCCACTGTCCACTTTTTCTTTCTTTTTGTTTTACTGTCTCTCAATTCTTTTTTTTTTTTTTTTTTTTTTTCCTTTGATGGAGGTGTGTTGTCGCTGTTCCTGTTCCTGTCTTTAGCGCGCACTCCAATTTTGCCCGGACCACTTCTCTCGCCTTCATGTTCCCGTTCTCTTTACTACACATCCCCCTTCTTTTTTTTCCCTTCCACGTCCCACCTCTTTCCTTCTGCACTTGGGTTTCCTGTGGTAGAGAGGACGTGAGCCTCTACCTTCACCCTGCCCAGAATGGTCGAAATTAGCGTAATTCGTGAACGTCTAACGCAGGCCGCTCAGTCCATTCGAGCCGTCACCCGGTCCCTCGGTGGTGCACGAGAATCGCAGGAGTCTACACAGAAAGCATTATTGGCATTAAGTGAAGTTCTTGACCTCGTTTATCAGCTACGCGAGCAAATCAGCTGGATGAATGAGAAATGGGTGGTGGCTCCAGCGCGGCTATGTAGTCTCGACGAGCTCCTCTCCGCTTTCGAGTCGACAATCAGGGTGATCGAGATCAATTTCCAGCCCGGTGGGGTGAGCAGTCGTGCATCAAGAAAAGGGCTTCTGGAGAGAACCTTTCTACCACGGTTGGAGCAGTACAAGATGGCTTTCCTCGTTGCCATGCAGCCGGAATCTCGGTAAATATCAACCCGGAAGACCTATATTCTTGCGAAAGATGGAGAATTGATTGTCGCTGTTCTTTTTTTTTTAGCGAGAAATCTCTCACCGAGCAACACCTGAAAAATAGTATTCGACTGCGCCGCGCGTTGGAACCAGGTGAGTCAATTACCATGATATTGCGTCCCTATTCTAAAGTAAAGGTCTCCAGTAGCGCATAACCACGTTATACCAACCGAGGATAGTTTCCAAAGTATTGCCAGTCAGATTGCTTCAAAGAGCGCCTTAAGCCTTGCCAACATTTCTCATCAGCGCCAGAAAGAAACATGCGAGTGGATATTCCATGATGAAAAATATAAGTCCTGGCTCTGCGGGAACTATAGAACTCTGTACTGTGTTGGTCTACGTATGTCGCTTTGATCTATTCAGTGGACCAACACCACGCTAACACAAACATGTAGCCGGAGTTGGAAAAACATTCCTGGCGTGAGTTGAGATGGTATGCTGGTTTAGGTTTCAATGGAGGACTAATTGCGTGTGCTACAGCTCTACTGTCATCGAAAATCTGCAGAATACTTTTACGCTCCCAGGAGTTGCGGTCGTCTTTCTTTTTTGCGAAGATGAGAAGGAAGATGACCAGGCATCGCCACTTAACATGCTTTCTAGTGTACTTGGCCAGCTTGTCTGTCGTAGAGGATGTGCTTCCTATGTAACTGCCTCATTGTATCAATCCGAGGCGTTGGCCCAGCAAAAGGTGTCAGCGAAGGACTATCAAAACGCGATTCGGGCAGAGGTTAACCATTTCTCAAAAGTGTTGTTCGTTATCGATGGACTTGACCTATTCCCTGGTAAAGATCGTATCTTAAACCGATTCCAAAAGCTTCCAGAACACTCGCAGTTCTTGATCACCTTGCGTGAAAAACCTGACAAGGACGAATCTATATCAGTTATGGCGTCTCGAAAGGACCTGGAAACATACATTGACGCGAGAATAAGCCAAGAATCATGCCTTAACTCGCTATTGAAGCAGTATGCACCAGAATACCAGCTGAAGGAGGCTATCATCCAGCAGGTGATCGAAAAGTCTCATCGTGTGTATGTTTCGTGCAAGTGCAACTTGCTCTGCTACATGAACTCGTTGCTGACTGACTGTCCATCAATGCAGATTTTTGTTGGCGAGAATGCACATGGATTTGATATCTCGATGCGGCGATGCAAGTGTGCTCCAAACAGCACTTTTGCATCTGCCTGAAACTCTAAATGATGCGTATGCAGAGTCGATGAAGCAACTTGCCAGTCAGAATCTGTACGCAAGTCGTTGCATATACTGGACACTATATGCTTACCGGCCGCTTACAGTCACAGAACTGAAGGCTGCTGTGTTTTTTGAGCCCCAGAATGGTACAGCTCAGAAGGGGCCAACGTCTTTTGAGAAGATCTTACATGTCGAAACTGCCGGCCTTCTGACGATCGATCCAATGACTACAACCGTCCACCTGGTCCACAAAACTGCTGCTGAATACCTTACAGGGGCGACTGCCCGGGTCTTCTTCCCCACCTCTCGTAAGCACATTGCAGAAACCTGTCTTACAGTCATTGCCTCAGATGAGGTCGTGGACGACTGCTACATCAGCAACGGTACTACGCCACGGAATTCAAGTAGCAGTCTTTTGAGCTACGCTGCCACATACTGGGGGGGGAGCACGCTCGTGAGGCTTCTGAGGAAGAACACACGACTCAGGTACTTATCAGCACGTTCTTGAACAAGCTCAGCTGGAGAAGACCTCCGGTGATCGACGAATTAGCCTCCGAGGAAACAAAGATCCCTTCTCAACTAGGCCTAGGAAAGTACTGTCCAGACTGGAGTGCTTTGCATGTGCTGGCTTATTTTGGCATCACGACCAAAGTACCGCGGTTGATTGAAAAAGGGGCTGATGTAAATGCCCAAGACAATTCCATGGGGATTGCACCGTTGCACTGTGCAGTGTACCGCGGAAATGAAGAGATGGTGGAGCTTCTCCTTGATTTCGGGGCCGATATAAATGCCATCTGTAAAGACGGGAGCACCGTTATGCATCTAGCGGCAGAGCGAGGCCAACGACGGGTCATGAAGCTGTTACTCGCGCAAAGGGCTAACTCTCGGACCGCAAACCGACAAGGTGTTACACCCCTTCAACTGGCAGTCGGAACCGCATACGACGAGTCGACAGTTCCGATGTTGATTAAAAGTCGGTCGGACATAGACGCTAAAAATGTATTCACAGGTAACACTACGCTTCACGTAGCGGTAGAGTTGAAGCGAGCGCGGATTCTTCTGTTCCTACTGGAGCGAGGTGCAACCATGAACGTTTTCAACAAACAAGGCCTCACCCCCCCCTTCAGTTGGCCGCCAAGTTGGACAACTGCGAGGCCATATCTCTGTTGCTTGAGCGTGGCGCAAAAGTCGAAGTGTGCTCCATGTTTGGCTCCAGGGCCTTGCATATTGCCGCATCTGCGGGCAACTGGATTGCCTTTGACTTGTTGCTTAGCGGTGGTGCAGATATCAATGCGTGGAATAGCGACGGGGAGTCCCTGCTGCACGAACAAGCCCGCAAGGCAACAAGCACATCGGTTGCCGCGCATCTTCTGGAACAGGGCGCGGGTATCGAAACCCAGACATCTCAGGGCTATACTCCACTCCAATGCGCTGCCATGAGTGGGAACAAAACGATGTTCTTTTTCCTTTTCGAGCATGGCGCTGAGGTGGATGTCTTGACGGCCAAGGAAGAGACGCTACTTCACCTCACGCCACCAGTTAGTCAGGATTGTCTCGACATCCTTCATATGCTTCTGCAAATGGGTCTCGATGTCGAGGCCGTCAGCATCAATGGCTGGACGCCCCTCCACCAAACCATTTTCGTGGGTACCGGGTCCCCGGATATCGAGTTTGACAAGACGTCCGAGTATATCGAGCTCCTTGTATCCAACGGGGCCGACTTGAACGCCGTTGCTGCATCCCAAACACGCGAAACACCTCTACACCTTGCCTCAATGGCAACCATCCCCAGACCCTCGCTGGTGTCATTCCTTGTAGATCGCGGGGCATCTGTGAACAGCATGACCAGTGAAGGCAAGACTGCTCTACACTTGGCCGCAGAGCGAGGACGGGACACCATATTCCAAGCATTACTGGATGCCGGCGCAGATCTGACTATCAAGATCCCCGACGATGCTCTCATCAATGGCAGTGGGGACAGAGGAAAGACGCCGCTAGATTTAGCACGGAAACATCCATTAGGCGCACTGTGGTTCGACGATACGGGGAATCTGCAGCTCTCCGTCGATGACAAACAAAAGGGAATTATGACAACGCCAATAGAGATTGAGACAGATCTGGACACTGATGATGAAACGGAGAACTCCACATTAGTGGAAGAGGAAGATTCCCAGTGGGGATCGGTGGTTTCGGGACACGTTGTCTCGATCATTGATTAACTGAGCCTGTTCATTTGGGCTGGAAAACATGAAATGCATGATTCAATCTATTCGATAGACCCTGATCATCAGATCGGTAGTTCAAGAAGAAATTTACTTCTAGAATGGTCTTATCAGCCGGGAGCGATATGTACTGGAAGGTTTTATGATTTAGCGCTTTCGTTATTGTTTCTATTTTGTTCTTTTGATATTTTGATTCCCATTTCGTTTGTCACTTATATTTAGGAAACATAGGGGGAATGTCATTTATTCTAGGGGTAATATGTAACTAGTAGACAGACTATTTGGTGTAGATAATCATAACAAAGTAGCATACCTGCGTACTGTACGATTTAAGGCTCAAGTGAAGTGATTAGTGATAGTGTGTTATAGATGCCACGGTGTTATTAATATTTATATTCTAGTTCAATTTCTAATAAAAGCATTAATGAAGCTGTATTGACCAGGATTCTCTAACCAGAGCAGGGGATTCGAAAAATGTAGAGGTAATTTTTACGAGTGAATTTATAGAGGAATCTAGATATTGAAATATCTTAGAATCGAGATATGAATACTTCACTAATACTCTCAAGGGGTAGGTATATATGTATCATCTCGAGGCACCTTCTTGTCTCTACAAGTCTCTCCAACTCAATTTGTGTTTCTCTATTGTTATTGACATGACATTATCTGCCACGCTTCTTTGATAAGAACAACTTCTTGTGACACTTCAATGCATGGATTGTTCTTTTGATAAAGCGTTGGGTAGCTCCGCGCCAGTTTCTAATTTCAAAGAGATTTGGACAGATTTATTGGGACCTGAGGGATAACCTCTCCACTGTTTTATTTATGTTTCTTACCACCTACAGAATACAGCCAAACACCATCACAAGTTAAAGTGTCGCTGTCAGGCTCCTCTTCATAAATTCTGTCCCTTCGTTGACGATCACAACGCACCAGCTCCACATCAATACTAGAGTACCAAGATAATGCCGAGAAGGGACATCGGCCTACGGTCTTAATATAGAGCTCTCATATGAAGTATTTCTCTATGACAACATCTCGACTGGACGAAAGGATATCAATATTCCAGAGTTACCTGGCTAATTAGCGACCTTAGTCCCTTTAGTCCACTAGAATTATTGAGAGGGGCCTATGCTAACCCGCGCCTCTCCTTTCGCTAATATCAGCTTTCAATATGATGGTTGCTTCACTCTCAGTTATGAGACAACGCGACTGTCCTTCATGGATCTATTTCAACAACATTGTACGACTCATACCACCTTAGACAAGATCAAGAGACAGGGAGGGACCTTGTCAACATCGAGCACACCAGAGGTAATGTTCTGGGAAATAATATTAACAGACACTTCAGATGCATCTACAAGGACTTACAACAAATGGCCAACAATGATTCTGCCACTGTTTCCCTGAAAAATCATTTTCGATTCATTAAAGCCAAAGGTGTCTTTAACTTCGCGGATTCCAATCACAAGCGTCTGGCAATTCCTGCCACAGTATACCTCCTATGCACTTTTCCAGTTGGCAACCAACCTGATCTGTCTGAAAGGTTCTCGTCACTAAAATCACACTTGGAACCAATGCACCCGTCTTAGATCAACGTCGAGTTGAGCCAGAGGGACCCCGAGTCGACATGACATTCCTATGTGAAACTCCGGATCAGCTCACCGTCTCCAAAGCCATACCTCCGAAGATCTACAAAGTTTCATACCCAACGAAATGCATCCACAGGTGTGATTCGGCTCTAGCATATTGGCGATGTCGGTGAAATTAGCCCAGCAATCTCATCTTGGTCGGCATCTATACCTGCCTATCCCATTGGAGCGAGGTACGATGTCCATCGTGACCAGCGGTGGCTATCTCGCTTTCTTCGAAGGCGGATGTTGGTGTTGGGTCTATTGCTCTGTCTTCGAGCGGCCAAAAGCATAAGTAATCCGCGATTGACCTAGCCAGATCTGTTAGGATTCGGAGTAGGAGCAGTCACTTGACTGCAGATACTTGTTAGAATATGCAGATATACCATTACTACGTACAAATTGTAACAGCGTTACTTTTTGTGGTGCAGTGGTACATTTGACAATAATGTAGACCTGACACTCGCGTTGCTTCTTTTCTAGTTATTTAAGCGATGTCTTTGTCAAAATGTAATCCAATTATTCATCTATCCCCGTTCCGTGACAGGCTCAGCCGTACTTAAACCACACGCCGGTCTGTTAGTAGTTGGGTGGGTGACCACCAGCGACTCCAGACTGTTGTATGTCTGTCTTCACTCATTTTGTCTTCAGTTTTTGGCTGGTTTGTTATTCTAACGCTCATGCCGTCTTGTCATTAGAGCCTTGAGCACCGGCCAGTACCTGAGAAAAGCTGCGAATGAATTATGATAAGTAAATTGTGCTGTAGATTAACAGATTACCTAGAACGGAAAAGATGGGATCATCCACCCCGGAGTCGAAGGAAACCAACGCCATCGCTTGGATGGCGCTGTGGTGCCCTGACCTGTCCCGCGGGCAATTTGGGTGATGTCGCGCACCCTTCTGGTTGATCTCGAGCCATTCCAACTGTGATCTATAATCATCAACAAACAATGATCACTGTTGAACCAGACGACCGATTGAGCCGAATGGAGAGGCTGTTTGACAGAGTGATATGTGATGGTGGCCATTACATGAAGAGTATCAGTTCTGGATCTCACTAGTCAGTTGCCCCCCCACACCAATAGTTTAGTTCAAAATACAACAAAACGTGTAGAAAAAGCTGCAAAGATTGTGTGCACGCACTTCAGGTCTTCTTTTGTGAACAAAGTGCCTGGGAGTTCTACCTACAAAATTCCAACCCGAGAATCTCCATCGAGTTTGCAGCAAGAATGGCACAGAACGATGAGGAATTCCCTCCAGGTTTGGCATCCAAACCACTTAAATCTCTCTCCAAGCGGGCGACTACCCAGGCCCCGAGAACTGTCTGATACCAGTATGTTGCGCATGAAAGAACAGCTGCTAATCAGAGCCCTACTATACCATCTTCATAGGGCATACTGCAATCTACGAGAGTGAATGCGTGATCTTGAGTACAAAGAGCTCGATGAGACCATAAACTTCTATCGATTACTATCCCCAAGACCTGTGGCCACTGTTGGTACCTGCTGGAAGCATGACGTGCTAACTACAACCTACGCTGGGACTGACCGGCAGTGGAACAAGAAGACTGGTAATTAGGCGACGTTCAAGAGTATAAGGCCATTCCCTAGAAACTATCCCAACTATGGATGCAATTATCCCAGACAGCAAGGGCAATGGCTACACAATCAAGTTGAAGAACAGCGAGCCAATGAATATAACACCAAAATAGAGCTCAACTTTTCCTTGATCTCTCTACGCTTTTTTCTTCAACTTTGCACGTGGGCAACTCATCGGCATTCTAAAATTTGACAAGACTGAGTCCTTCTCTGAAGGCCATATATAACTTAGGGTGCTTTCTATATCCAAACGGTAGTTTTAGGTTGACGCGATGAAATTGGATATTTCTGACAGATACCTCCGACAACATAGCTATCAAAGGTGCATAACACTGCGTATTATAAGAATGCCACTCTCTGATCGAGCCCGAAAGGTTGCTTTAGTAGCAACCAGAAATCATCTCTGGGATTTTGACTACGCATTCCTGTCGGCGACAGTCCACCTGAATCAAGATAATTTATCTTTCCATCTACTCAAAGAAAGGGAAGTCGTGGCGAGCTACACACGGTTTATCAATTCATACAACTGAATATAAGGACAATCAAGCGTAGCTAAAGAGAGACACTACAATGCAAGGCTTCTGATGAAGAGCGGAGAAATTTGGAGGCTCTGTTGAAGACAAACACAACAGAGAACAACAAAATCCAAACACATAATAAATTCCTTACAGACTTTGACAAAGCATCCCGGTCATCAAGAGTGTCAGGTAACAGTAATTCAGGACGAAAGCATAAAACAGATGGATTCTTCTGAAGATGCTTCTGCCATGTTATCTTAAGCCTATCTACCACACAAGTAAGATCAAGATGAGTTATAGAGTCGTGTTTCCGAGTCCTAAACAGGCATTTACCACCTTTTAATAATAATAAATTTATGGAATTAAGGATACAGTTGCAACATCTATGCAAGGATGTATAAAGTACTATCAAATGAAGTTCTGTTTCCACTCTCCTCCTTCCTTTACCCCTCTTGTAGTCATATAAGAAACAAGGTAATAGAGTAGATAGATACAGAAAGGACATCGTCCATGCCATTCCCACTACATACCAATGATCACCCCATCATCCGAACAACAACATACACCCATCCATCCCCGTACGCCGAACTCCGAACCAACTCTTCAATCGGAGCCGACATAGGCACCGCCGACCCATGCAACACCGGTTTCGCCAGAACGGGCGTTCTCCGACTCGGAAACAGATTTGGAAGCAGAGAATGCAGCGCAGAGCCGACTGTTTGCGTCTGCGAAGTAGGACTACCTGAAAGGGTCGCTTGACTACCTGTGATACTAGAAGGGGGAACACTCGGGGGAAGAGGCGACTGGACGACTTTGAGAGACGGGGATCCCGAATCCGGCGGAAGAGGGAGGAAGAATCGGACGGGGACGTTACGGAAGGGTTGAGATGGCGGTGGGAGGAGGATATTAGAGATCCGTTGGAAAGAGGAAAGGTTCACTAGACTTTGAATTAGATGATTTTCTCGACATGCTCTCGATTTAGTCTCAAACTTACCATCTTGAACAGCCTTCCATAATCCCGACGAATCCTCCTTCGAAAGACTCATGATCCCCTTGGCCGTCCCATTCCGTAGAAAATCCGCTTCTTTAACACTATTGATGAAAGCATCGTGCATGACCATGCCGTCCGCGTCGAGCCGTACCAGCTCTTCATCCGGCCAGTCGCTGAAATGCACCGTGAGACGCCACGGGAGTGACGAATCGGTCGAATCGAAGTCGTTAGATTGGTCTACCCGGGAGGCTGGATCAGCCCCCGCGTACAGATCATACAGCAGCCCCACGGGTAGATGCCATTTGAGCGGGACCCCTTCAAACGAGAACCATCCCTCGTGGGGCTGAGAGGTGGGCTCAATGAGCGAGGGTGAAAAGAAGGCTCGTAGCCGTGGCAATAGCGATGGGAGATAGGAGACGCGTGGGTAGGAGATCTGACAGCGATTAGCCCCTGTCCTTGAAATATATGAGCGACACGGAGAATATACAAGATACGAATCTGTCTGGTCGAAAGTGCGGCTCTCTGACGGAGCCAGGGTTATTTGTAGCGGCAATTTCCCGTCCCAGACGGCTTTCTGGATATCGCTAAGAGCCGTAGAGTTTGCCATCTTATATGTAACGGATCCTCACCACATACAGCTCCTCAACTGGATTGACAAGATGTGCGTGTCGGTCTATAGGTGCAGGTACCAAAAGCTCCGCATGTGAGAATAATACATCATAAAACTATACGGCTGAAGTGGCAAGAGACAAAGGTGACGCTGCCACTTGGAAGCATAATCAGAAACTGTTGTCCCAGTACGATCTCATGGCCTCTGGCAAAGCAAGGAAGATACGCCGAGAAGTGTAGCTTGGAGGAGGAATCTGGATGTTGATGCGGATTGCCCGAAAAGGAATGGAGTGCACGTGATTAATGCCTGAGGCAGAATGCCACCTGACCGATGTCACGCGACGGATTCCACTATGTATCCATCCTATCACACAGGCATACAAGTTACGGAGTACAACTACAGGAACTCACCACCCAGGGGCAGATTGAAGACGAAGTGCGGAGAACAGCTTCATCAGAAGACCAATAAAGCCGCTTGACCTTCGAATATCATCCTTGGCGCCAAGAAGCCGCAATCGGTCGTCCTGACTTTCCATGACTTGATCTCGATTGGTCTGGTCTAAACGAAACGTCTTCCGAGTTGGTGGGTGGTGATTTTTTCAATCAAGCCCCGACGTTCTGGCTAGTGGATTGAACCTGAATTGTCAGTCTGCGAAGCAGATGTGAGGAGTCGAATATTTCTCGACGCAGATCTCCGTTCATCCCTGCCCCTGCTGTGCAGGATTCAGGAAAGAATGCCATTATCCCGCGCTCTTGCGAGTGAGATAGGATAGCCAAATTGAAGACTATGCAAAAATGGACGGCATTACCTTCTCTATCCTCTCCTTTGAATTTACATAGCGGCTTGATAGGACGTATTAGCACCCCATGAATTGGGATCCGCGCAATCCAGATACAATCTCGTTCCTTATTTGTGCTTGATTTACTGAACTCGCCCGGAACAGACTGGTATACTGTATCCTGATAGACAGTCGTTGATTGGTATGGTGTGTGGTTCTCCCCGGAACCAGCTCCTACAATTCAGCAGTTAGATGTCCGGCATGGTCTACAAAGATAAGCTAGACTGGGCTCTGACCGTGGTCTGGTATAGTGAAGCAAAAACAAACAGTCAACTAGCATACGAACACGGAAGGCAGGAAGCACTGACGGCTGCCAGCAGATGGCTTATTGACTGTTCTCCCTATCAAAATCGCATTTATTTCTACCATCCTGCGCAGGCAACAAGGGTTCGGGATCCCCATGACTTTATCGTCTGTCTTGCTTCAGCTGCTCCGGTATTTGCAGATGTCGCATCAGCTACTCGGCCGGCAATGCACTCCTTTACTATCATGTTTCTCACCGGATTGGCTAAACCCCGCATGGGAGTTATTCTAAGAAACGCCCCCATGATGGATGACGTTGCCTAGTTGGTCATGGCTCAGATCATGGTGAACCTTGAAAGCGTGGGATCATCCCCTGGGCCTATCACGGTTATCCGACCCATCCTGGTTGCCTTCAGGTTCGCCTTGGGCCCGGTCCCCATCTGTCCTGTCGGGGACACTAAGTCTACACGGAAGCTCCACACGAGCAAGACACCCCACACGCGTGGCCATTTCCTTGCGTTGTGCTTCCATCACCCACTTGCATAGCCGGATCTGGCTGGTCGCTGGGACCCGTGATGCAGACACGGAGGGTGTGCTCACTGCGCGTATTGCTGATGTGAGTACGCCCTGCTGCGATAAAAATTTGGCTTCCACCCATCGACGTGGGTCATCCGGGCCATGTGCTTCGTATAGATAGTATAGTTTAAGGGCCACGGGCCACGGGCCACCGGGCATCGAACGCAGGATCACGATTCTCGTGGAACCTGGCAGTTTCGAGGTCACACAGACCCATATCTCAGAATAATGACCAACAGTCACTGGTGAGTGTACTTTTAAGATTTTCTGTGAAGAACCTCGAGGAAAAATATTGAGTCCCTCCTGTTTGTGTCACAATATAATTCTATTTTTTTTTTTTTTTTTTTTTTTTTTTTTTTTTTGGCCCCCTCATCTTATCATGGACGGTAGTAAATGGTGCCAGAGATTTGACTGATCCGAATCTCACCCGCCCACTTTTCATTCAATATTACGAAAGCCAACTATTCCTATTGCACCCTCTCATACCTTGCGCCTTTCAGTCAGAGATGATCGAGTTAAAGCGGGGAAATCACCATTCCAATACATCTCGTCAAAAAAGGGAAGACTGAAACAACTACTAGGAGAAACCCAAACATAAGAGGAAGATCCAGAGCCAGTACAAGCAGTCTGCTTGTCAAGAAAGCCGGCCAGAACGTTCATTAACCCAGCGTTCACTTCACTGTACCCAGGTTCCACCCTTGGCTTGGCAATATTGGCGCGGGAGAAACTTAGCTCCTTGATTGTGTCCCTGGAAAAGACAGGTGGAATTGTCACACCTTCATCGTTTTCGGTTAGTTGTAGCCAGGGAGACTGTGAACCTTGTAGTGATCTGGGAAATTTTAGTCTGACCATTGGTCCTATATGCATAGGTACATTTGTCTATAAGCTCGGCGGATAACTTTCAGGAACATGGGTCCATTAGGAACATGCTTGATCTGCCTCCCTGTCCGCCTAATATTTTTTTTTTTTTTTTGGCGCCTCTTCCTCTAGGATAATGTCGAAACAAGGGAATGCTGGAAACCAAGGTGCTGCTGAACTTTAAGACATTTTCAACGCCTCGAATTTAATATTTGGCGGTTGTCTATAAGCGAGGGTTCATATGTATGGCGGTAGCTGTTACATGCCAAAGACCGAGTTGTAAAGTCTAACGGGCTTATCCATGAATAGTCAAGCGACATTCGACCCATAAAAAAAAGGTCTCCGGGGAATGATGCCGACCGGACGGACAAACTGCTCCAGAGGAGACCCAGCATTGATCCATCCGTCGGACCGTTCCCTACCCAAAATAGCCCATGGCCATAGCTTTCCCACATGGTTACGCTAGGCAAGCTAACAAAGTAAATACGAATGGTCCAAGCGAGCTACCAAAATGGAAGCCATTCTTCACCTGCATTGGCATTCTATCACACATCTGCCTTTCAATTAGGGTATAGCGTCGGCCTGGAGGATGACTGCTTCCCAAAGAAAAAAGAAAAAGGCTCATTTCAGAAGTCTTGGCTCGTCACTTCGCTAGAGACACGACGATGGATAATGTGACAGAGGCAGTGGTATGTACATATCACTGCCAACCCTGCAAGGGTCTAAGGCAGTAGCGGAGACACCCGTCAGCTTAATTCAGTATCATGGAGGCTTCATCAGCAGCTGGCGTCACCTCGTTCCACCTTAACGTAAGATTGGGGGACCCTAGTGGCCGTTTCATATTTCCTGCCACTCGTCATGCCTCAAGAAAGGGGGTGTGGAGTAAGAAAGGAGGTCCGTCAGTACTCCGTAACGGCAAGAACAAAACAAAACAATTATTCCCCGGAATCTAATTAGCTCGTTTCAAATCGAATCATATACTTGGCACCCGTTCAGGCAGGATCGGCGCTCCGCAGTCAAGTTGTCGATGTGTTTCTCATTCAGCTAGCTTCATGGCCAGGCCAAGGCCAGGCCAAGGCCAGTACGGACCCGGAGGGGCATCGATCTCGGGCTCCTCGGTCGCGGGGAACAGGATTGTTCGGGGACCATGATACATTCATTCTGACTGCCCCCTCCCGCCTCCTCCCTTGACGGACCCCTGTCATCACTCATTTGTCCATACACTCTGCACCGGTGCAGCTGCCATAACTCGGGTCGGTTCGAGACGTCGCGGACTGAAGTCAAAGACCACGCGGGACGGCATGCTTGGCATGGATGAAATGGTGCAAAATAATGAGTTGGCAACCAGACCATATACGAAGGACTGAGGTGAGATCGATTGGAACCACTGGCCCTGGTTCATGCAGGAATGCAGATCGGAGGTCCTTCCCCGAGTGAGCATGGGTAAAGCGATTCGATAGAGGATAGATAGAGGCAACCGCAATGGGCGGAGCGAGCCGATAAGGTTGTTGGATTGGCGTTGCTTGGACCAGGCGTGCCTTGCATGTAACAATAACGGACCCTACACACCCGTGTCAATCCTGCAGAGCAATTGCTACTGATCTACTCTGTGTACTCCGTAGGGACTTCTGGTAGACCCCGAGGAGACGTCGCCCACTCCTCTATTGTAAGAAACAGTTCCGGTCCGCGGTGCTGTACAGTTGATGTTTCCGGGAAAAGAAAAAAAAAAAAAAAAAAAAAAAAGTGAATAAAATTAAAATAAAATAAAATAAACTAAAAAGAAAACCCTTTAGCTGAGAATTTTCACTCTTAAGCCGTACCCGTATTGGGCCTGAAGCGTCGATATATTTATTAATTGGTAGGAGACGTGTAGTTGCCAAGACGACATGCAAAAAACGCGCCCCTATCTGCGCGTCGGTTTGCTTGGCCGAATTAGCAATGCACCCTTCCTAGTAGCAAAGTGATGGTTCAAACCCGACTCTTTGGTAACCCAGGTTAGGTGTGGACTAACTAGTAGCTGATCTCATCTCAATTGCCGGATGGGATGCATCGGATTTCCTGAATAGTAAGTGTTTATGCATCTCGTAATTTCCAACGAGCGCGAAGAACCCGTGGTGGCCAGTCCCATGTTGGGAAAGCTGAATTGTTTTCTTGGGATACTCGTAAGTTGATGTGCGCGGCTTGATTACTCCTTTTGACTGGTAAATCCCCCGGAGGGCTGCAGCGTTCTCAAGGGGAGTGAGGCTTAGCTTGAATGTCTTGTTTCAGCAATAGGGTGGCTGATCGTGAAATTAAAGGATTAGTGCTCAGCCCCAGGTGCTTGAATAAACGTATTCCATACATTCCTGGGGGCTGTGGCTGGCAGGGAAATTATGTGAGTAGCATGAAATTGACGATCAATATAGGAACCGAGATTTTATTTTTCTTTTTTCTTTTCTAAAAAAGGAAAAAGAAAAAAAAAAAAAAAGAGAGAGAAGAGAAAGCAAGGTTGGGTTTCCTTTTTATTCGTATTTTATTGATCCACTGCTGCTTATGTTCATTAATTAGGGAAAGTTAGTAAGAAAACCGCTGTATAGCACGCACCTTCTATTGTTTCGTAGTCTAATCTTGCATCCTGCATTATGCATAAAGAAGCATAATTAGTTCCCAAGGAATTATTTCGTCCATAGATTATAGCAAACCAGCTTCGGAAAACAGGGGCGCGAGGATAGCTACTGTCGCAGATCCTCACTCAAAAGGGGAAATTAAAGCGTGTGTGACAGAGATAGAGATATAGAGAGAGAGAGAAGGGGGGCAAAAAAAGAAACGTCAAGACCTGCAGGAGTATGGGGGGTAAGGATAGCGGCTGTGTATGAAATGCCTTGGTGTGATCGACCACGTTTGCCCACATGAGTTCGGTCTCAGCCGATCATCCAAACGGTCTTTGTCCTCGATCCCTTTTCTCGGTTATGATACATACGGCTGCATATACGGAGTAGCGTGATTGCCAAGCTGAATTCTGGTCTAGACTCGTAACGAAAGTTTCGATCTTGGACGTAGAAATCTGATGTCGAGGTTTCAGCCTTAGCCCCCTTCATGAACGAGTTCGTAGGTCTGATGACGACCATCGTCGGATGTACTCCGTCTGTTTCCCATAGGGCTCCATCATAGACCCATAGTCGCATACCAAAAGAATGGGTATGATGTCTCTTGGCTAGTGCGCCCAAAGTACGCCATACCTCTCTCGCTCACGCATTCCCCAGAATGTCCATTCCGTATCTGATGCTTTTTTGACCCGACCCCAGGCTTGAGACTAGTCTCTGCCCCCGTGATCATTGACGCCAACCCTTCGGTTAGTATACCCAGTGTAACGATCTTCGTATTGTTGGTCGAGATGTTCCTTGATTGACCGTCTGCCAAACGGCGGGCAGATACCAAGGATCCGTAGGGCAGAGTGGCTGGCCTTGAAATGGAATGGACTTGCAGTTCCCCGAGAGTAAAAAGATCGATTAGGATTGTGCAACCAGGAAGTAAGAGATACTGTCCTAAGAAGAGCAGTCGCTGAAGATCTCATCTCTTTGCGTCATTACTTCATTTCCACTCTCGTTCCTTTCCTTTTTGGATCGCTCCTCCTCAGATCAGCCTATTTTTGAGCCATATGGTATAGGCACCCGTCTATTCTTGTACCACAACCGGTTGAAGTCAGCTTCTTGTGGCGTAATCCTCTCGCCTTGGCTATAAAGGGACGTGCTTACCCAGCTCTTGTTGTCGACTTTCACTATCAAACTCAATTCCAAGAACGTCCTCCCAAACAGAAAAACATATCAAGTTATCAACTACCCGCCAACTCTGAATTTCAAATTGCGAACTTGCAACTCTTAACTTGTTCTCGAGCGCAAAAACTTCCTCCATCATTCGATTTCGCTTACCTATACTGAAAACCACGTCATTGTTTAGATTCGGGGGGCGCAACACTTACATCAAGAACCTGCAAGAATGTCGTCCGGAAGCAAGCAAGTTAAGAAGTAAGGATTTTAGTTCCCAGAATAAGAAGGGATGTGCTAATCATTTCCCAGACTCGCCAACGGCATGGGCAGTGGGCTCAGCGCAGGAAATCTGAGCTACTTGCCAGACGAAAGCAACAATGGCAATGTAAATCGATTCTCACAGTCATCCGCTGCTGATGGACCTTATTTCGCTCGAGCACGGATACAGGATCGATCTGAACACGTATCACGACTGTCGAGTCAACTCGATGCAACAGATGCAATCATGAAGAAATGAAAACAGCAAATTCTATTTCAAACCACACCAGAAAACCCGGCAACATCAAGGGACCAAGAAAAAGGGCCTTTATGTACAAATGCATTAGGTGCTACCGTACTAGCCCTCGCCAACAGGGGACCGCAGAATGGATCCCGCAGGCGCAGAGTCACAGGAAACAAGAAACGGGTGGGAAGGGGGCCCATTTAGTCTGTTAAATATTTCAAAGCAGAATGTAGCCTCAATACAATAATTCCCATATGCCTTGCGCTACTTCATCATGCCTGGTGCTAGGGAACTCATGACCAGCGTTGAAAGTTTGGAATTCCACATTTCCCTGAAGAGCCGAGGCAGCATCCGGTATAAGTTCGTCCTTCAATATGATTGAATCATGCTCTCCACACATAATAACGACCTTGTCACTCGGAAGGCCGTTTTGGCGCTGTGTTTCCGGCGAGAGCTGCCTCTGTGCCGCTAGAAATCGACCAAGTCGCTGCCAGACCCCCAGTTGCCGCCGCTGTAAAATTGGTCCAAAACGCATGCTAGACATGAACGCATGTACAAATCCAGAATGCTGGTTCACTTGCCACTGTACGACAGATGGAACATTGACATGCGGGTATGCTCGGGACAACAGCTGAACTTCATCGCCCTGCGAAGGGAGCTCCTCGGTGAGAGCATCGGCAGCATTAAGCTTCTTGTCCTGTTTGGGCTTAGGTGTGACCAGGGGTCCTGCGCGAAGACGACGACCCACGAGAAATCCTAAGACTCGATCGGGAACAAGCCCACGTGAGTAAAGAAGCCGCGACTGGAAGCTGACCTGAGAGTCTCGAAGCAAGCCAGCGGGGGCCATCAGCACCAAGCCAGACAGAAGCTGGGGAAAGAACGACGCAAATGAAGCGGCGATCCCACCACCCAAGGAATATCCGACAAGGCAAAACTTCTCAGAACCAGCACCTGTCCAGGAGATCGGAGATGAGCTGAGGGCGAGGAAAATTTGAGTGGCAAATAGTCGGTCATCCTGAGGGATATCGGATGGGCAATCAGAGTAACCTCTTCCGAACCTAATCACCAGATGTTAGCAATCGTTATGAGTCGTGGCGACTTATTTCTTTCAGAGATACAATTGCCTAAGAGAAGTCAATCTACTCTGTACAGCCACCTACAAATCAAACAGCATCACTCGACAGCCCTGATCGACCAAAGCATGCGCCACCCCACCGAGTGCGATGGATGGGGTGGTGATTCCGTGGACAAACAGAACTTTAGGGCCACTGACGGGACCCCATTCATACACTCGCAACGAGCCATACGGTGTCAACACATCCCGAGCTCCTGGAAGCACATCGAGCGGCAGAGGCAACTCCCGGTTCCCTTTCGCCGTCCCCGACGCTAGGACTGTCGGGAGTGGAGAAGGTTGAACGGTGTTACCGGGATCCTCATCTGACAGGAATGAACGGAGTAGTAGGCCTAGCGTAAGTGATGCTCCTGTCGCAGCAAGAAGAGGAAGTTGAGAGCGGTGGTCTGCCAAAGAATCGGAGAGAAAATCGACGGTTCGGCTATACCAGGCCATGGCGATTCCTTAAAGTCTATCGGTCTAGAACTCTAAAACCTACAAAAAAGGGAAAGGGGTATCGACAATTTAACGACGAAATCTATGCAACGAAGACGAAATGAAAGCACGAGGGAAAGAGCAAGAGAGATGGGGAGAGAAGATAAAAGTAAAAGTTGGCGGACGAGGAATTCAATCGATCGCTGCCTGATCTGGTAAGTCTATACCGAGAGCCGAGGTTGCCTCAGGCACCACTCTCTTTTCTATGTTTAGCATTATTTATGCTCTGTAAATATATCCTCGTAGTGTACTACCTATGTTTTCCTTACTGTTAATGGAATACAGTCGAAGATATATCTTGCTTTGGGATATAGATCATAGCAATAGTGGATAACATCAGTATGCGAGAATAAAGATAAACATGTCTTTATAGCCGACAGAATAAGAGAAGGAAAGGGGGGGGGGAATGGAGGGAATAATAATGATTCAAAAATGTATGAGAAAAGGAGAAGAAAATGAAACAGGAGATTCATACAACCCTGTCCAGCAAGCCAACTCCAGCAAAACAAATCCGTGCGCACATAAACCGGATCAAAGAGTGCATGCAGCGATAAAAATACATATTCAAGTATGATCTATTAAACAAGAAGGAAGATAATTTGACAATACGGAGGAATGCCCCTGTGCTTCTTCATGGCACGGCCGGCTAAATCCAGAGAAGTGCAGACATGAATTTGGCAAGGAAACGATCTGCCACATAGGACGCCACATGTCTAGTTACATAAACCAGGAGTTGGCCTCAGAACATGAGACCGAGGACATAATAATAAATACAATTAGTGAAAATGCCTGCAGGATCAGGAAAGGCCATCATTGATGGATCATCGCTCCGCATGCCGGGGATCGACAGAGCTAACGGCCATTCAGGAGATTCTTCAGTCCTTCATCTTCAACGTTGACGCCTCACAGTGCGGTTTGTACCCAATCAGCGCCAAAATCTGTCATGTCACATCCTGCCAAGGTGTAGGGGCGCATGCTGGATGTAGGTATCCTGAATTTAGCCTGATATGGATGTAGTGGATACGGAAATTGAGGCATGAAAATCCAGCACGCTTTCAATTGGGGTCCAAGGAGATATTTGTCGCAGCATAATCCGAAAGGTCTAGCTGGTCCTGCATCTATACCGAATCTGCTCATCAATCTCATTCGTAGACTCTGTCAGTCTCCGTGTCGCCGTAAAAAAAAAAAGAAAGCCGTAGCCCTGACCGGAAAGAACCCGGAGGCATCTCCGTTGCATATGGAGGAGAAATCATTAATTAAAGCCTGACAATTATGACCAGATCTTACCAGCCTGAATTTTGTACGGAGTTTCTTGCATCCGTAAACCGTAGCGCTTCATTCATCTCTTTGAAACAATTTAGTAGTTCAAAGGCATGATAGTCCGCAATGCCGGTTAGGGCTACACGGTCAGAACTCTCCGTGATGCATCCGGAGGGACCATCTAATACCCCTTGTATCATATCTAATTGACTAGGCAGATTCAGACATATAAAGAGGACTTTTCCCTGCTGCAGATTCAGGATACAATTCCTTTGAGAGGTAGCAATAACAGAAAATCCAGCTGATTAACGCGCTCTTTTTTTCTCGGCTCTTGTAACGGCCGTCCATGCCCAGCAAGCCGGAACGCAGACCCAAGAAAACCATCGGCGTTGACCTGGCAAAAGTGCACCGCAAATGGAAGCTGTACGAAGCAGATTGGCTCTGTTGTGATTGATTCCAACTGGCGCTGGCTTCACTCCCTCGACGGGAGCACCAACTGCTACACTGGTAACACAGTGCGTCTCACGCGGTTAGAGGGACAAGACAAGGAGCTGGACTGACCTGTTGTCTACAATAGTGGGATGAAACCCTATGCACAGATAACGCTCAATGCGCTAAGAACTGCGCGTTGGATGGAGCAGAATACGGAAATGCATACGGCGTGTCCACCAGTGGCGATGCCCTGACTCTCAAGTTTGTCACTGGAGCGAATGTGGGATCTCGTCTGTACCTGATGGACAGCACCGATGCAGCATATCAGACATTCAACCTACTGGGTAACGAGTTTACCTTCGACGTGGACGTTTCCAAACTCCCCTGTGGTCTGAACGGGGCCTTGTATTTTACAGCTATGGACGCCGACGGAGGCGTCAAGAAATACCCTGACAATAAAGCCGGGGCCAAGTACGGAACTGGATACTGTGATTCTCAATGTCCTCGGGGTCTAAAGTTCATCAACGGCATGGTAATCATCCCCTCCATGGATTTTCACATCAGACACTAACAAGCAGTCCAGGCCAACGTAGAAGGCTGGCAGCCCTCCAAGAGCGACAAAAACGCCGGAGTCGGCGGCCACGGTTCATGCTGTGCGGAGATGGATATCTGGGAGGCCAACAGCATCTTCAGCGCGTTCACTCCTCACCCCTGTGACGAGACAGCGCAAACCATGTGTGATGGCGACAACTGCGGTGGAACCTACTCCGATACTCGATACGCAGGCACCTGCGATCCAGATGGCTGTGACTTCAATGCCTACCGAATGGGCAACGAGACCTTCTACGGTTCCGACGGTATCATCGATACTTCTTCGAAAATCACCGTCGTGACGCAGTTCACTACCGGGCGCTCTGGATCACTGTCGGAGACCAAACGTTTCTACGTACAGAATGGCAAGACGATTGCCAATGCTGTGTCCAACGTTGAGGGAGTAAGTGGTAACTCCATCACTGAGGACTTCTGCAGTGCGCAGAAGAAGGCTTTCGGCGATGAGACAATATTTCAGAAACATGGTGGACTCAGCGCCATGGGAGATGCTATGTCCTCTATGGTTCTTATTATGAGTATCTGGGATGATCACTATGCTAGTATGATGTGGCCAGATAGCACTTATCCTGAAAATGCGTCTGTCTCTGACCCCGGGGTTGCTCGAGGGACCTGCAAGCCGCACGTCGGTGATCCAGCCACCGTGGAGAGACAGCATGGTGATGCTTCGGTCACTTCTCTAATATCAAGTTTGGTCCGATTGGGTCGACCTTTGATGCTTCTGCTTAACTGGACGTGTCCGTGGCAATATGGAATGAATCACTGGATAGCATTCGCGAGGGGTGCAAAAGGAAGACTCTGAATGAATGTATTGAGCTGGTAGAAAATGAAGGTAGTTATTCTGTTAAGATCCAGCAATCACTCAGTATTCCATCTTAGATTCATTTCCAAATACCTCTAACGCCAAATGCATTTGCAGATCCTGAAAATTATGACTATCCTATCTGACACAAAATGAGTCGGTTTGTTTGACCCTGACCCGGACCCTGGCACACACACTATTGTGTTTGGTGATAGTTTTGGTGGATGGCCCTGCCACGGTCTCGCCGCCCAATTTCGAGCCTTGGCCTGCATGAGTGGACTCATTGGCTTTGGCTTTGGCTTTGGCTTTGGCTTTGGCTTTCTTCCAGGATGATTTGGTCTGAGCAAGATGCGTGGTGAACAACTCCGATGGAACGGGTATAGATTCAAGGGAATACGCTTGGGATTCCATTCTGCCTTGTGGTAGAGTTGTAAAAAAGACTTGGTCCTGAAAACCCGATGGACGTTGATCGAAAATGGCTTCTGGATGCTCGGCATGTGTTTCATGATATAATGTTGCAGGTCGATTCGCTCGGTGATAGCACTGAGAGTGCGAGAAGAAGCCATCACGTCAAATAAGACCTTGACTAAATTAGACGTGGGCACTGTGTCGTCGCGGAGTAAGTTTTTCCTAAATAGAGTCTTCAGATATTCCCAGATGCAGATGAGCTCAACGTATCCTGTCTGCACGAGCATGTTATAGAGATGGAACAAGTACATAGGCTTTAGTGCATTAACCTATAGAAGGATTCCATATTTGTACACCACTTGTAGCCCTACAGCCAGGCCAATGCTGCAAAGATACGGAGAGTAACTCTAAAGACTGTTGAGGTTTCTGGGATCAAGAAGTCCGCGTACGATCTTGGCTATACACTTCCCGGCTCGCCCTAGTCAGCTTTGAAAGTTGTCGGCTAGTCCTTCAGTCATGGCAGACTGTGTATTGTGTGCATCTAGAGTGCGGCATACCTCCATCGCTACCAAACGCAGAAACGGAGTTTTCATTGGGGATGCCCAAGAACAGATCAATGTCTCGGTTGGGATGAACGTCCTGGGCAGGTCCTTCTAACTCGTGGCCGTTCAATGCATGGGGATACCAGTCTCAGGACACAGTAAGAGAATCCACAATATATTGCAGCTGAAAGATCAGGTCGGACTTTGGGTCGAATATTCGTCCCCTGTTTCTGCATCGCAAACCAGGCAATTTGCCCGTTCGACTGACCTGGTAATCCGTAAAAAAATCAAGAAGCTCGTTGTAGGCGTTTATTAATAATTGTTCTTTCATGTCCATGTCGGTCGACTGAGTCTCTTCAGCCTCTTGACCCGGTACAGAATCACCCTGGAACAACCGAAGCTTGTCCTGTGCCTCATTCATATCTCCCACTTTAAATATTCTCACAACCTCCTCGAACGAATCGTGGTCCGGGAAATTAACAAAACCCTTGGACTCAACGGTCTGGATCATAACGAGAGCGAGGTTGCTCACAGCTCCGGCAATAGCACTGTTTAGTCCCTCGTAAGCCACTCTGGTCCATATCGTCTGTGACGTAGTTCAATCAATTGTGCCACAAGGGAGTAGGCGTCGGGGAGATACTCCATGATGAACGCACATTCATCTTCAACGAGACGATAACTCTCCAGAGACACTTCGTCAAGACGAGACTTCGCCTTTCCTTGCCTTTCTTGTTCCCGCCCACAGGACTTTTGCCCTTATTCTGACCTGCGGAGGTAGTATTGGGGGACTCATTGATCTCATCTTCGGATCGTCTGTTGGTTTCCCTTAAAGACTGAGCAGCGAGAATCTGTTGGAGTAGATGACTACCCCTTCAACGTCCTCGATCCTACTTCCGCTTCATTCTTCTTCACGACATCCACTTATTCCTCCCCAAGGCTTTGAAAGCCTGTTTAGACCAACAATCCAAAGCCTGTGGGGGATATTATTTTTCACGATATCTGGCTCGGAGTTGCTAGCTCCGACCTTTTCAAACAGTTTGGTTTTTCTGTCCTGTCTGCAATCACAGAACGGACCAAACGATAGATAATGGCTGGGATAGGAGGAAAGTTCTTTTCAACGAGCTCTGACAATGCCACAAGCCCTGCTAAATTGCTCTTTCCCTGTTGTAGTTTTGGATGTTGGGTCGAGGGTAGAGAAGATCCTATTGGAAGTACGGATAATCCAGTATATCAGGAGTCTTCCATCCCTCTTTTATCTGAGATAAGTAGCTTTGTATGAAATTATGGACTAGCTAGCCATGAAATAGCCAAGATTCCACAGAAGCGTTGTAGAGAAGATCATGGTAGACAAGTATAGAAATGTAAACAAGCACCACTCCAACTAATCTATAGTTCCTGTTAAGAATCTCGGGGAAGAAGCTATGTTGTGAGGTGCTAGGATAGCGGTGACTGGATAGTATATTGAACTATCGGTGCGATCTAGTATCGCATGGTGAGTATATTGTTCTATCTAGGAGAGAGAGCGTAGACAAACGCTTCCTCATGTCTACGTGTCCCTTAGCCCCTGAATATGATATATCACATCGCTGCGGGACTAGGATATACGAAGGTGCCTTAGGCATCCTGATTTCCAACAGTTCCTAGAGTGGGGAATGGATTACGGGTGTGAGAACATGAGCATTTTCTCATCTTTGACCGGAATGTTATCTTTATAGAGCAGGTTTGTTGCTCTGATGCTCTCCAATCCATGCCGATAACAATGGGGGTTACACCATGACTGGCACTTTCTGTGCAGCCAAAGCTGTGGGTAAACCAGGTCCCAGAGGCCATGGTAAGAACATCTTCTCATTTTGAGAAGCCCAACTTGAATGTAGTATGAAATAATGGCCTGGCAAAGAATAGCCAGCATGGAATGGTATCTATCAAGATCTTTATAGATGTTGAAGCTATTTCGTACTAGTTAATTGACATCGCTATTCCTCATCCGGCTGGTGGATCAGGAACATGCAGAATTTCAGCTGTTACCATACCAAACCTTACTTCAATCTGCAGATGGTATGACCCAGGCATTAATACGTATGATTCACTGTAATGCTCTCCGCCCCACACAACACGGGTTCTTCCATGAAAAAGAGCTTCATCTCCAACGAAGAAAAAGAATTACATTGCACTTCACTTTGCACCTCCCACGCCATGTTTGACACGGTCTGTACTCTGCCTCTTTCGGCAGACCTTTTTTCACAGGCAATTCACCCCAACCAGCCCATTGTCTCAGTGGGTTTGTCCTCCGGTCATGTTCAAACCTTCCGGCTGCCCTCGGACGAAGCCGACAGTGATGACGATGGTGCGTCGACCTCCTCGTCGCGCAATGGCAGGGGCCACATCGATACCATGTGGAGGACAAGACGACATAAGGGTAGCTGTCGGTGTCTCACGTTCGGAGTGGATGGGGAGACGCTGTACTCTGCGGGGACTGATGGGTTGGTGAAAGCTGCGAAGGCGGAGACCGGGGTGGTGGAAAATAAGATCGCTATTCCCACCGACAAAAAAGGGTGAGTTTGTACCAATTCTTCCACTTGTCTTTCTATTTTATCTATGGAAGTCTTATCCGTGGTTAATTGTTCCTTATTGCGTCTCAATGGCTATCTGGTAAACATGGATTCTGATCTCCAATTTGTTTTCTGCCAGCTCAATTGATGCTCCAACAATCGTCCACGCACTGTCACCCCAGACTCTCCTTCTCGCTACGGACTCGAGCGCCCTGCATCTCTACGACCTTCGTATTCCGTTCTCTCGAGTTTCGGCCCGACCGCAGCAGAGCCACCATCCTCATGATGATTACATCTCTTCACTGACCCCGCTACCACCGTCGGACACCAGCACCTCGGGCTTTAGCAAACAGTGGGTTACAACGGGTGGTACTACGTTAGCGGTCACAGATTTACGACGCGGGGTTATGGTGCGCAGTGAAGATCAGGAGGAGGAGTTGACTAGTTCCGTATACATGGGCGGTTTACCATCCGGGGGAACCAGCCGTGGTGAAAAGGTGATTGTGGGTGGTTCCAGTGGCGTCCTGACCCTTTGGGAGAAGGGCGCGTGGGACGACCAGGACGAGCGCATCTATGTGCAGCGCGAAGCCGGTGAAGGAGAGGCACTGGAAACTCTTACGGTCGTCCCCGAGGAACTGGGCAAGGGTAAAATGGTCGCGGTCGGCCTGGGAAGTGGAGGAGTGAAATTCGTTCGTATCGGCCCCAACAAGGTCGTAGCCGAAGTGACGCATGACGAGACGGAAGGAGTTGTCGGCCTGGGGTTCGATGTCGAGGGCCGTATGGTCAGTGGAGGAGGACAGGTAGTGAAGGTCTGGAATGAGGCTGTGGGATCGAGTGACTTGAACGGTGTGAAGCATATACTCGGTGACAGTGATGACAGCGACGACAATGATTCCGACGACAGTGATCGGGAGACCCGGGCTGATCAGGGACGAAAGAAGCGCAAGAAGAACAAGGGCAAAGATCGCAGTGGAGTTCGGGATGTCATGGCTTTCCATGATCTCGATTGAATGACCGTCCGATCCGACTCTATACGATACCACAAGCAGCATAGGGGCATAAGCATAGGAGTGTGCGTTAGGGGAGGGTACAGTCCATAACGTCCATTATTTTTTTATAATGTCTGCATGTTTAATGATACCTAGTGAATTCCGAATAGGATTTAAGTGGTGGCCCTCAGGAATGTATGTTCGTCACAGCGGAGGATTTCCACGTAGAATTCACCGCTCCGCAACTTACATCTACAGAAGGAGTAAGTCTCCAACGAACTGACCGATTTAAATGTCGGACCCTACAATGGATACCTTCGAATGCAACGCCAATCCCGGCCGAGTCATTGGCAGCGGTACTCTACAGAAACTCCCCGATGAAGTGGTCCGGCTGGACATCAAGGCGCCGCTGGTGCTCTCGACACCACGACTGGTCGGCTAGGCGGAGACCGTCAAAGCGGTTCTCAAGGGTCAAGTGGCTGACATCTTTCACGAGCGGCCATGCACACCCCGACGCATATCGCCGACAAGGCCGTAGAGTATCCAAAGGCGCAGGACGTGGACGGGGTTGTCTCCGTCAAGGGTGGAAGTACCATCGGACTGGGGAAAGCGATTAGCACTCGCACTGGGCTACCTCATCTCTGCATCCCGACGACATAGCAGGAAGTGAAATGACCCCGATCTTGGGTGAGAAGGCGAAGGGTCTGAAGTAAACACGCTTCGATCCCAAGATCCTTCCGGGAACTGTCATCTACGACGTCGATGTGACGATGACTTGTCGATGGTGATGAGTGCCACCAGTGGCGTCAATGCCATTGCTCATGCCGGTTAGTATACGCAGTATTCATCCATTTGCTGAGAGAGTCTTGGTTATCTTGTTTATCTCCTGCATGCTGGATGATACTACAAGTAGTTGAGGCTCTATATGCTCGCAGCACAAACCCCGTTACCAACCTAATGGCCGTCGAAGCATTCGTGCACTGGCATCTGCTCTTTCAAACATTGTTGAGCACCCCTAGTCTTAATCTGCGCGGTCCCTAGCACTCTACGGTGCCTGACTCTGCGGCACTTATCTGGGAAGTGTGGGAATGTCCATCCATCATAAACTCTGCCATACCCTGGATGGGAGCTTCAGTTTTCTCCATACGAAATCGCATACGGCCGTTCTTCCTTGCACCATCTCATACAAAGCCCCCAAGATTCCAGAAGCTGGCCTAAGACATTCCTGATGGCAATGGAGACACCATCCACGGTCTCAATGTTTGCTGTCCAAACTCAAGGTCAAGCGGAGCCTTTGCGACTTTGGAATGAAGGAAGAAGTCGATCGAGCGGCGGACATTGTCGTGAACAGCCCTTACTGGAATCCTCGTGAGATTGAGCGATCCCCAATTCATGAATTAATTCGGCGTGTTAAGGCGGGAGAACCAGCTCGAGTAGGTCTATGATGATCCTGTGTTTGGTTTCTGTATATATATCTATCACGAAGACTCAATCGATAACTGAATCCAGAAAATGAAAGAAGCTAAGAAGAGTAGATTGCCTTGACCAGATATCCGTAATTGACAAGCGCATTATTGGCTCTGCGGATGGCGGGGTGAAAGTGGGGGATTTAAAATGGCCTGGAAAATAATCGCAAAAAAAAAGTCGCACCACTCTTTTCGGCTTCACCATCTCAGCAATCCCCGCCAATTTATCGCATTCTCTCCATACGCCTCTGGCTATTTCGACTACCATCCTGTACAGTCGACATGGCCACCGAAATGGAGGCAGCGCCCGTGTTGTCGACCCCAGACACTCGCATCTTGGAGGCCACAGACACCGTCACCACACACGATACGGCTCAAACTCTGTCCGACGAGGAACTATCGATCACCTATGATATTGATCGTACCTTGAAAGAAATTCGCCAAGCGCGATACAAGCGTATTGCTCTCCAGTTCCCCGATGAGATGCTTCCGGATGCTCCACGGGTGTTTCAGTTACTCAGTCGCGGCCTGGACAAGCGCAACATATCGGAGTCAAACGAAGGGGATGTAGCGCAGAGTAGGGGGACAAACGCTGGTGCCGATCCGAATGAGCTGTCCCATGCGGTATCTCAGCTTGATGTGAAGACCCCCGAGCCGGCCCCAAGACTGTATATTCTGGCCGACACATCCTATGGAACATGCTGTGTTGATGAAGTTGCCGCAGAGCATGTGGATGCAGATGTGGTTGTACATTATGGACGCTCATGCCTGTCTCCAACTGCGAGGCTCCCAGTGATTCATGTTTTCACCCACAAACCTCTTCCGCTGGAGCCCGTTGTCCGGGCATTCAAGGAGACCTACCCCGACCCTACCACGAAGGTCATTCTCGCGGCTGATGTGACCTACTCCGACCATATTCCCTCGCTGTATTCACGACTAGTGAAGGAAGGCTACAGCGGTTTGTTTGCCACGGAGATAGTCCACAACCCATCGTCCGCCATTCCCAATAGAACCGTGCCGGATTCCGTCCGCGACTCGTCAGAGTCGCTCTTGGAGTGGCAGCTTTTCCACATCTCCGACCCTCCCACCGCGCTTCTCCTGACCCTTGCGTCGCGCGTCGCTTCAATTTACATATATCCCACGAACGATCTGACCAGTGAGAATGTCAAGCCGCTGCCCGCGTCGACCGCGTCCACTCTGCGGCGCCGATATGCCATCCTGACCTCCCTCAATACCGTACCGATCTTTGGGATCCTGGTTAACACTCTCAGTGTGAAGAATTACCTACACATCGTCGATCACGTCAGGGAGCGGATTGCGGCCGCCGGGAAGAAGAGCTATCTGTTTGTGGTGGGCAAGTTAAATGCCGCCAAGGTAGCCAATTTCAGTGAGATCGGTGGTTGGGTGGTGATTGGTTGTTGGGAGAGCTCCCTGGTCGATAGTAAAGATTTTTGGAAGCCAGTAATTACCCCGTTTGAGTTGGAGCTTACTCTCAAGGCGGATACGGAACGGGTCTGGACGGGAGCCTGGCAGAGCGATTTCCAGAGTGTCCTTGACCAGCCAGAGGTTTCTAATCCCTCGTCTAACGGTGCGACCGCGGAGGACGATGACGAGATGTCCGAACCCGAGTCCGCGCCACCTGAATTCGATTTGCGGACAGGGCGATATGTCTCGCACTCGCGTCCGATGCGGGAATCCGCACCTCGCGTTTCTGCCGACGATGCTGCATCTGCAGCCGGTGGCCCTTCTGCTGCTCGGGCTCTCGCTCGGCGGGCTAAAGGGGATGTAGCCGTGATCGGCGGTACTCTCTCGCCAGGGGCAGAGTACCTACGGTCGCATCGGACCTGGAAGGGTCTGGGGAGTGATTTCAATATCCAATATGAGGATGATGAGGAGTCTAACGATAGCACGCTGGTGGTGGAAGGGCGCAAGGGAATCGCAAGGGGATATACTGTGGGCGGATCAATAGAGAAGCATTAGACTCGCCCTAATTATTTCTAGCAGTGAGGGGAAACCTGTTAAGTCGGGTAATCGATGGATCTACTATGTACTATCCAGGCTCATAGTTGAGGAAGTTACCTTCTCCGTAGATATCACCCCATTTGGATTCCCACACTGGTCGAGGCCCTAAGGGAGCGAAAAAAAGGGGGTAGACAAGCAGCCATAGAAACTCTACCGCGTGGAATCTCTGAAGTCCGTAACGAATGAATGCCCATCAATACCTAAAGCCCCCTCCCCCTGTATCGATCGTGGAAGGACGCTCTTGGATATGATACCAAGTCGTCGTATCCCGGCGACCTATCACATGATGCTGCGGGCAGATCCCGGATGTGTTGGAGTTCATCCAAATGAGTTGTCAAAGCCACCACCTTCAAGCCAGCGTCTTTTTATCTCGCTCCATCATTTCTCCCTTTGATGGCATCGCAGGGTGTCCTCCGCTTGGTGAATCGCCCTCCTTGCGCATTGTCCCCTCCCGTTTCTCCCTCTTATGATGTCCTGGGTCTCCCGCATTCTCCGCTGCGCCCTCGACCTCGCGTTTTGACGTTTCGCAGCGTGACAAAAAGAGAAGAAAGAGGAGAAGTCGACGACCGAACCCCAGTGTCTTCGTTTCATCTGCCGCTATCGATCTGGCTGCTCTGACGATGGCACAGCCGGGTGTCGACGCCATGGAGGATGACGGCTTCCTAGCCACCGGCCAAGTGCTGGTTGCCTCCGCGTTGGAACAGTCGGTGATCCCAACCCAGCGATCTCTGTCGACATTCGAGCGAGTCTTTACTACCCATGCGCCAATCCTTGAATCCCTCCTACTTCAGATCCCCACCGATACCGTCCTCAAGCTCGATCATACCTCCCGCTTTCTCCGATCCTTCCTCCGTTCATACCCCACAGCATGGAAGCACCTGTCGTTCCGCTTGTTTTATCCATCCAGCAACCCATCTCCGCTCCGAGTGGTTGTCCCAGGGAGCTCGGACGCGGTTGTTTCTCGCCAGTCTCGACCATATGCGTTGGATCAGCTGTTGATGCACGTGGTCATTCCTTTCAGCCCGTGTCTGACGAGTTTGGAGCTGGATAACACCGCAGTATCTGGGCAGATCCTCATCTCAACTGTCTTGTATTCGCGGCGAGAGACACTGGAGCACCTCTCCGTCCGCGGTTGCAAAAATGTCTCGCTCAAATACCACATTATTCCATACCTAATGATGTTTGGATTGCAGTATGACGTGAGCATGGAGAAGAATATTGGCAGCTCGCCATCTACCAAGCACCTTGCGCTCAAGAGCCTCTACACATATCGCTGCCGCCACCATAGGCGAAGGCCGTATTTGTCTTCGTCGTTAACGCGGAAAGACTCTGACTCCGAGCCTACTCACGAGCTGGTCAATCTCTGCCACAAGCTGGGAATCTGGACAGATACGTCGTGGTGCTCCACCCCGGCTGGAAGATGTTTCAGACGACGGGGATATGTCTCCATGAGAGTCCCGCAGGGGTCACCAGAAGTCTGGGTGGTGTTTGACCGACTGTGGCGGTCCAAGAACTGGATTGGCCCTGTCGATCATGGGTTCCGCCCGTCCAAGAAAGATGGCAAGCTGTGGGAATACAGTGAGACCGGCTGTTATGGCGAGCCCCTTGGAACAGGTGAGGGGAGAGATCCCGGCGAGGGCAAAATGACACCCGCACACCTGCGTTGGAGTCACCGGCAGTTTGTGGAGAACATTCGCTGTGATAATTGCGACGAGGAGATCTCTGAAAGATGTGAACAATGTAGCATCCTCATGCACTGCGTTGGTTGTCGCAAGACACTCTGTGCGAGCTGTGCCTACGATCGCCCCTATGTCCGCTGCCAGCCCAGATTAGGTACAGCAGGAGAAGCACCGGATTCCCTCTGGTGGGCCCCAGGTGCCGTCAGTTCGCCCTGTCTCATGCAAGACCCCCCGGTCTACCTTGCAGATGGAAATGCGGTCAACCAGAATGCCACAACGCCTTACCCTATGCTGAACTTCCACTGGTGCTGCACGGAGCCCATCTTCTCTGGTGGAGGTGGCATCAGCATCGGAACTCCCAATAGAGACGTGGACCAGGTGCGAGCAGCGCCTCTCCCTCGGGGACAGGGCTGGGAGGATCTCGAATATTCGGCTCACGAGTGGAGCAAGACATTTCCCAAGTACGCCTATGGCGATCCCCGGAAACCCGACTACACACTGGAAACAGGTCATATCGCTATGATGAAGTGGCTGTTGGGCCCTCCAGATCGAGACCCTACGGCTTGTCCGCGCAACCTATGCCAGGAATGCTACGATACCCCCCAGTGGAAGGTCCACTGCAAGAACTGTTCCAAGCCCCTGTGCATTGAACATGACCTTCGCGGCCTTCGTCTTCGGATTTGCGGGTACCGCGAGCTTACACTGGAGAAGATGGCGATACAGACTCGGGCCGGGTCTGCTGCTCGACTCACCTTTCCCTCCTATATCCCGCCCCCTATCCCATATGTAACCACTCCCTCGGCATTCGAGCTGCCTTACCGAACCCAGCACACCGTGGATTCTGCGGCCAGCAGCTTTATCGAAGACGTCCCCACAGATGGCATCACCGATGACCATGTAATTGACCATGTCGAATCTGCTGCTCCCGCGCACCAACGCTCCAGGAGCTTTTCCGTCACCAATTCAAACCGCTCCCGCTCTTCGTCTCCGTCGTCCGTCTACTGCGAGTCACCCTTTGACATCTCCAAGTGGCAAGGTTGCCAGTCGTTTTTCTGCCCTCAATACCGCGCGGTAGGTGATCAGCGACAGAGATGCGCCAGCGTCCTCCGAGAATGCACTAGCTGCTCAGTTCATGTATGTGAGGAGTGCGTTGAAGCACACCCACCATGCAGCTGCTCCTACTGCGAAGTGAACTATCTCTGCCCAAACTGCTTGAAGGTCCGTGAGCGTGACGGAACCTGCCGCCGGGTGGAAGAAGAGAAAGCGCGTCGCGAGGAACAGTGGAAGAGAGATATGCAACTGCTGGAGGGAATTGTCGAGACCAAGATCGCCAACGAGGTTGCCGAATTTGCCGGCCAGTTTTTTGACTCGGTTGAACCGTCGCGCGTCGTAACTCGGCAAATGGGGATTGTCAGCGAGTACGATCACGGGTCGGCGGCTTATCACCCAAGCTTCCGCAATGTCCCTGGGAGAGACCCTTTCATAGATGATGCTTGGCTGGATAGGACCGAGTGATTCCGCGCTGGTGGAACAGACCTGCATGATTTGCATTGTCTCGTAATGTTTGGTCCTGGCGTTGTAGGGTGACATGACATCTCTTTGAATCTCTTTCTTTTTCTTTCCTGACTTTTCTCTTACCTTTGTTGCTCTGATGAATCGCCTCGGTAGTTGATCCGGCTAGGTCGTGCTGGTTCTCCTGCGCTTGACAGGCCACGAGAGTAATGCGCAGGGAGCATCATTGTGTCTTTCGAGAGGCAGGAGCTACAGACACGACATCGACTACCAGGGACCACTCGCTACATCTTGTTCTATCTGCTGGCATGTGATAGAGCTTCTAATGTCTTTGAAATTTCGTAGTCAGTCATCTAGCCTTGAGACATAGCCTGTCGGGGTAGTTATCCGTGCAATCTATGAAAAGCAGTTGACGTTTTACACTGAATGGAATCCGTAGGACTGCCCATTCTACTGTACTACAGACTAGCATTAAATTAGCATTCATCCATCGTGTGGTTTGTATTGACGTTCCCAAAGCAGTTAGAGCCCGATTAAGCTGTGCGGGTCCAACCGTGACCGGATCGAAACTACTCGAACAAGTCCTCATCGTCTGCAGTCGAGTATCGATCTTTCTCGTTTCTAAACTCTACACATCTTTCGAGTCATTACGATACAGCCGGATCAATTCTACGGTCCCAGTTTCAGGTACCTTCCTGCCCATAGAACATCACAACCCCACAGAACAGCTGCTTACCCCACCTACGCCTCTCAACAGCTCCTGGAACGTAAAAGTCCTGGGATCGAACAGACCAATCAATCACTGAGAATGTCCTCTGCCGATTCGGAACAGGCTCCCACGGCCAGTGAGGTTGCTGAGCGTGAACTTCAGGAAAGAGAGCGCAAGGCCAAGGAAGACGCCGAGCAGGCTCAGTTGCCGTACAAATGGACACAGACGATTCAGGACGTGGACGTGACGATCCCGATTCCCGCGAACATCAAGGGGAGGGATATGGATGTGGTTTTGACGAAGAATAAGATCAAGGTGGCGATTAAGGGACAGGAGTCGTTCATTGAGGTGATTACTTTTTTGACTTCATTTTTATCTGAGCTTCTTTTCAATTTTCAGCTACATGCGTCGAACTAAAGTCAAGGCTAATTTCATTCCAGGGCGATTTCCCTCACCCAGTTCTCGTGGATGAAAGCTCATGGACTCTGGAAACAACGTCAAACCCGCCTGGAAAGGAAGTGTCGATTCATCTGGACAAGGTCAACAAGGTGGAGTGGTGGCCTCATGTGGTGACCTCTGCTCCGAAGATCGATGTGAGCAAGATTACGCCCGAGTCGTCGAAACTGAGTGATCTGGACGGAGAGACGAGAGCGATGGTTGAGAAGATGATGTACGACCAGCGACAGAAGGAGATCGGCGGACCGAGCAGTGATGAACAGCGCAAGATGGATCTTCTGAAGAAGTTCCAAGCGGAACATCCTGGTATGTCTATACCATTCTGTTGTGTGATCTGTCTCTGCTAACGATGTATACAGAAATGGACTTTTCGAATGCCAAGATCGGTTGAGATAGCGTGGGGAAATTAATGGTGTATGAAGTCATGAGCTGTCTACTTAAATGCACTGCATGAATGGATTTATTTTTATCTCTCTGTACTGTATCCACTCCATATTGTCCATAGGTCCAGGAAGTTGGTAAGAAGGCGAATACGAGCATTGCCTGGTTCGGACTAGTGCTAACCGTCCACCAAATGACTCCAACGTCTTTACGGAGTGAAGCTTCAATCCTTCATCGCTTCTCTTGACTCTTGACCTTTATTGCAGAGGAATCCATCAGATTAGAGCAGAAATCCACTATTCAATCACGCTGAAAGCCACGTGCTACTCCACATTTGACCAGTGAGCAAATAAGGATGTGAAGCTCGAGCTCACCCCGCCACGCTATTACTTTGCAGTCCTCGCCTAGTTTCATCCGTAATCTAGAGTGGGTTGTGCTAGTCATCGCCAGGGTCATAGATTAATTATCAATCGAATCCATGATGGCCACCTCGGTCTATACATCCCCGGAGAGCAAAGAGCACAACAGTCCCAGACTCTTGGCGGCGCTACAGGGACAGAAGAGCATATTCAAAGTATCCAAATACCAGCCAGGAGCTAGATCCTCTAGACAGACCGGGGATCGGACCTACCATGCTCGTCGGCCTCATCAGAAGTCCCGTGGGGGCTGCATGAAATGCAAGGAGCGAAGGGTCAAGGTACTATTACTTTATTTCTATCCCCCAGGAGCATGTATGTAGAGACTGATTGTGAGTAGTGTGATGAAACCAAACCTCACTGTCTTCGCTGTCAAAAATATGGTGTCGATTGCATCTACGAGGAGGGAAGTAAACACCACCAAGATGTTGTCTCATACTTGATCGAGAAAGTCCCCAGTTTGGTATCGCCAGACTCCACCGCATATTCCATGTCGCTGGTAGCGGTCTCCTCCAAGATCAACGAGCTGTTGCGGGTCAAACCTAAGAGAGGAAATCTGTCCGACCCGGTGCGTGCATTGCATCATTTCCATGAGCATACGGCTCCCGTAGTCAACGGCAAGAGCATCCACAGTATTCCGCGGGGTAAAATGATTCAACTCGCACTTGATGTCCGTACACTATCAATTCCATCAAGCTTTAGAAGTGCCCCATTCTAACAAGTCTGCAGTCCCCATTTCTCATGCATAGCATCCTTGCCACCGCTATCTCACACCTCTGCTACGCCCTCCCTGACAACAGCTCCTACACAGCCGTCGAGGCCTACCACTGGCAACAGGCGATCAGCCAGTACTCACAAGAGATAGCACACGTCAGGTCAGAGAACATGGACGCACTTTTCTCCGCCTGTTTCCTCATGACGACACATTCCTTCCGCCTGGAAACGTGCGATCCGCGAAGCTCCTTCGTATTCTCCAACGACCCGGAATCCCTAAACTGGCTAATGCTGCAGAGCGGTCTACGTCATCTTCTGAGTCTCGCCCAACCTTGGCTCTACCGCAGCGTATGGTTCGAATTATTCATGGAATCCCGACAATCGAATCCCCTCTTCGACGACCACCGATCCGGGCGAGAGGGTCTGGACCCCGCATTCGCTGATATCTGTGCCATCGACGACTCCTCCACCGAGGGCTCGAACCCGTATTTGTGGCCGCTGCGCATGCTCACACCCATACTGGCCGCAGAACGTTCCATGCGTAGCTTCTCCATGTACACGAATTTCATGGGACGATTGGACAGTTCGTTCTATGAGAGATTGCTCAGAAGAGATCCCCCCGCCTTGCTGATTCTCGCATGGTGGTTGGGTCTCGCTCATTCGGCTCGTCAGTGGTGGATGGAAACGAGGATCAGGTCCGAATGCACCGCTATCTGTATGTATCTTGAGGATAGTGATGATCCTCGTGTCCTGGCTTTATTGGAGTTTCCGGCTGAAACGTGTGGGTATTTATTACGACATGTTCAAGAAAGGATGAATTTATAGATGTATGATTGTTATTAATTATAGATTGATACTGGTATGAATACTGATTATAGATTGAAGCTTGTTATGCATTATATTATTAATATGTCATATACCAACGCCAATGAAATGCAATCATAACTCATCCAACATAGAATACCGCAGGTATCAAAAAGAAGAATGAGATCACCGATCAAAAGACCGGCTCGATCTAGATATCCCATTCTCATCAAGACTCCGTCTCGCAACTAGATTCCTCACCCACATGTCCCTTTGAAACACGGGTCTGGGCTGGGCAATCTGCATCATCTGCGTCTGCACCATTGATTGAATCTGCATTACCGACTGAGATAGAGCCATAGGTTGAGAGAGAGACAGCGACTCCCCCCTCCCCCGTGCAGATCCCCTCTCTCCAGGACTCGAACTCGACCCAGACCTCGACCTCATTGACAACACCGGCGAATTCCCCCGCGGCGAATACGGCGGAGGCGGCGTCTCCCTCGTAGCTGTGGAAGTATTCCCATAACTACTAGTGAAGGAGATAGCGGATGAAACATCGGATGTCAAATCCTCAGGACGAACATCTGCCTCCATTGTATTTGTATACTGATTTTTTTCATCATAGTAGTTGGTACTGGTGGTAGTGGTGTTTGAAACCGGGGGATCGCGCATGTGCGCTTCGAGAGTTTTTTCGTGGATGCTTCGTGGCCTGGGGGTGTATGCTGGGAGGTCGGGGGAGGAGTATGAGTATGAGTATGTGTCGATTGGACTGGGTTCGTTGGGTTCAGTGGTGGTGTGGATGGGGGTGGGTTCGGGTTGAGGAGGACGTGAGAGACAGCAGAGCCAGCTCATCTTGATTTATAGAATTATGTATAGGTAGTGGGATAGAGTGTTGTGATATAGTTCTAGGGCAGGTTCAATGTATGTTGACATCCACTACAGGACATCCAGGCCAGATAAGCACTGCTGCCACCGTAAGCATGAGAGAGAATAAAAGATAATGACAGCGAACGCCGTAAGAGCAATGATAAGTAAGTGACTCGTCGCCTAAGGCTGGCTATGCAGATCCCTCAGGCATCTACATTGTGCCGTCGCTGATTGGCCGTCAGGATTTCCAAATCGGGCAGACTCGAGGCTGTGCCTTCAGCACTTATGTATGTACCTGGTCAATAAACATCTATCATAATGATATGCTCTATTATATAGGCTAAGAAATGATACTCCATACATCGTATATCCTATCCAGAGCATAGCCCAAGTCAGGCCGATGCCTCGCAACCTATGTACAAGAATAGTAATGCCCCGAACACATACGAGAACGATTGAGTGGTTGACTCGATAGTTAAGTCGGATATACATGCAACCGGCCGCTAAGCAGCCAGATTCGGACATTCACCCTGGGCACGCTGGAACGCCACCGCAAACAGATCCTGCATCGCACAGTAGTGGAAGAGAATGCCGCCCAGCACCGCCAGGTGCCAGATATTGTGGCTCCCACCGACATAGTCGAACAGTCCAGGACGCCACCGTTCGGGCACCTGAGAAGCATAGATGCACGCGCCGATGAAATACACCAGGATACTCTTCATCACCGGTGCATAGAAATACAGGCACCAGGCGAAGCCTCGTGTGTAGGTGAGCTGCGCCAAAGGGGCAAAGCCGGTGAGGGCCAGCGACACGTAAAAGGCCACCCGGACCCAGGCGAAATCCGAGCGGTTGAACGTCGGGTGCCAGGGGAGAATCACGCCACCAATCCCCAGCGACATAGTGAGCAGGATGTACGTCCAGCGAGATACCGGCTCGCAGTAGAAGGCCGTGTACTCGGTCGTCACGATCGAGGCGGCCACCAGCATCGAGATGCCCGTATAATCGACGCAGGCAAACCGCTCCATCAGCCCCTGGTTGGCAATGCTGTTCATGGTGTGCCAGAGTGTACTGCAGACGAGGCACTTGCATGCAGCAAAGAAGAAGACGGCTGCAACCAACACGTCCGTGTTGGTGCTGAGGATGAAGTTCGGGTTCAGGGGGTAGAAGTAGAAAGCGACTGAGAGAACGATGAACAGGCCAATCAGGTGGGACCAGATGTTGACCAGCTCGTTTGAGAAGGTGAACACGGAGGCGAAGCACTCCACCTTGGATGAGGTGAAGCGGTAGCCCTGCAGGATATGTGGGTTGATTCGCCACGGGTGTGGAAGATCCGCATAGGTTATTAGCCGCTTCTCCTTGGCTAGCAAGATCGCCTGGTCGATATTCTCGCGAAGAGCCTCCTTTGCCTTCCGGGCACGCTCCATGCCCTCATCCACCACCTCCCGCGCATGGACCAGCTTCGAGTCGACCGCCTTCCACCCATCGTCCAGGGCCCCGTAGAGTCCGCGGTCCCTTACTGCATGGGCACGGGACTCCAGTTCGGTCAGGAAGGACTCCATCAAGCGAACTCCCGCCTGTGCCTTTTGCTCCAGGGTCTCCTTGGTCGCCAAAGCATCGTTATAGCGGTCCTCGAGGGTTTCCACCAAGATCTTGGCCCTCTTCTTGCCGCCGCCCATGAGTTCCCCGGAGGCATAGGAACACGAATCCCGCACAGCCTCGAGCGTGGCATATCCCCGGCGCAAGCTGGCATCGATTTGGACCATATGGGACCGGCGATACTGTTCAATCCAGTGCAGGCGACGCTCTAATTCGGCCAGGAAGAGTTCCACCTACGCAAACGAGTATGGTTAGGTTGGTCGCTGAAGACAGCAGGTGCCTGTTTGAATGCTCACCCTGAGGAACACGGCATCTGCATCGTAGTCACACGAGAGCTTCCTTGCCGTATGAAAGGAATGTCGACGGCGTCGATCCCGCAGAAGAGCGGTTTCTTCCGAGGGCGTAGAATAAGCGCTGGACACGACAGTGTCGGGATACGACTCAATGGTCATGGATTGCGCTGAACAAGCCATGGGGAAGGGGTCCGTCCAAAAATCCCACCGAAAAAAAAATCAAAAAAAAATCAAACAATTAGTAGCACATCACTATCTTGGGGTGGGTGGAAATGCGTTGGGTTGAGAGTAAAGATGTTGGGACCCGAAGATCGGAGGTTGTCGGTAAGGGGAAGGAAAGAAAACAATCAGAATGAGAACGTGTAAGAGAGTGGAAATGGAATAAATCAATGAAACTGCTGCAAAGTACGAGGCGAAGAAAAAACGAGCGAGGAAGAGAGGAATAGGAAGAGAAAATCACAGAGAGAGAAAGAAAGAGGGGAGATATAGAAAGAGAGAGAGAGGAGAATCGGGATCCGAGTGGGGGAAGTCGATCATCCATCAATCAATTAATTTCATCAATGAATTCTCCTGCCGACACACCACTCTCCAAGAAGCCAGAAATTAATTATAGTTCATCCATCCATCATCCATTCTACTGCTGACGTTCTCAATCTCCCGTGGATCAGCGGCATCCGGCCCATCAGCGACCGTATTGCCTGCACGTTTCTAGTCGTCATGGCTGTCCGAGATCTGGTCGCCGACCCTTCGCTATTGCCTGTGCTAGCCACCTGCGCCGAAACTCGCGACAAATGCCAACAACTTCTGGCTGCTTTGGATCCGACCGTGGATGCTGACCCGCGTGAAGCTGCGCTGACTGCATCCAAGGAACAGAAGCGTCTCTTTGCTCTTCTAGCTCGCCTGCGTGGCCAGAATCGTGAGGCTATTCTCCGCGTGCGAGAGACCAAACAGTCCACCGCAGAGGGTCGTCAGGAAATCGATCGGCTGCATCTGCAATTGCAGAACTTGTATTATGAACAACGACATCTGACAGGCGAGATTGCCGCGTGCGAATCTTACGAGTAAGTGTGATCATTCCGGAGAATGCACGGATGGAGTCAGTCACTAATGATGCCGGTCATCTAGCCACAAGTATCTCTCCCTACCGTTAATCCCCGTCGAGCAGTTCCTGGCTTTGTTCCCTGAACACCAGGACTCGGATGCTCACGAGCTCATGGTGGCTCGCATCAACCATGAACATGCCGAGCGCGAGAAACTTGAGCAGGCCCGACAGGAACTCCTCAAGCGAAAACAGGCGCTGATCGCCGAGAACAACAAGCGGAAGGAAGATTTGGCCAGTTTGGACCAAGATCTGGAGCGGTTTATCGACGTTGGTTCTCCCTTTCCATCCCCTTGTTCCGGCTACACTCGCCTTGGGTCAATGGAGTTTATTGCTAACGGATGACGACTTAACAGGCTGCGAAACCGATTCAGAAAATCTTCGAAAAGGAATACTAGCCGTACATGGAGTGTTGGGATGGTTTGTGCTTTTTGTCTGCTTCATAGCGATACCCAGGTAGTTTGGTGTCTTATCTCTTTCCGGGTGTGATTTGGATCAGAATGGTTCATGAGAAAAGATAGAATAATCCATACCATGAAATTCCACCATTAAGCCCTGTATGAACGTAGAATATCTCACCTCGTTGTGTCCGGAATGCGGTGGTGGGCATCCTCTCCTCCGCCCATCGCGTCTTACTTGTCCTCCGCCCATCGTCCATCTTCGTCTTTCCACTCTCCGCTACCATCACCTCCTCCTCTCTCTCTCTGTCTCTCCCTCCCTCCCTCTCTCCCGTTCTGTTTTCTCATTTTCGCCTTCCTGGCAAAGCATGTCCTGGTCATGACCGGCAAGAATGAAGACCAGGCGTCTTCGTCACTGACTGCCTCGCACGACTCCTCCATGGCCTCACCGTCCGCCCCGCGAGCTCCTCCGCCGGAAAAACCAGAGGCCATCCAGATGCGGTTCAAGGTGATAGCTGCATTCTGGGCCGTCATTGTCTTCCTTGGGCTTCCCATCTGGTGGAAGACAACGTCCATTTACCGAGCTCAGCTGCCCATTCAAGACATGGTCGACTGGGCCGATGGAAAAGTAAACCACCGATGTGTAACTCGGTCAGTCTGGAGCAACTTAGCTGATCTCAATCTCAATCAATAGACTTGTCGTCCAGTATTCCCTCTCGAGATCCGATTCGAAATCCCATCTCTACCAGAGCCCGACGCGCAGCATCTCTTGCGCGCCACCCAGCACACCCTCGATGATCTGAACGAGTTCTCGGCACATCATCTGCGACTGAAGCTGTCGGACGACAACGATGATAGCAAGGCCGATACTGCCTTGACGGTTCGACTGCTCGCTCACGATGACTTGGCTGCTCCCCAATCAGAGCTTCATGCCGACATGACTCAGCTGGATGTGTACTATCCGCCTACTCAAGTTCCCCTACCGTCCTCTTCCAACTTTCCGCTGTCGGCGTATATCGCGGGAACCCTGCAGAATCTATTCACGGAGGAGAAAGCCATAGTGGCCCATATCCTGTCCGACAACAATGGCATCGGTGCTAGTGCCAACACCCCGGCCTCGTCGAACAATCAGCAGCCCTCTGCGCTCCTCAACTCCATCTCTCCCCAGCTATCGGAGAGTATCAGCAGGCGATTGCGCCGTTCGATGAAGCATGCGGACACCTATCACCTGGCCTTCTCGCTTTTCACTCCTGGTCCGCAGCCATGGTCCTGGGACATCCAAGCCGCCGTCGACGAGTATATTGCGCCTCTCCTGAATGCCTATGCTCCTATTAGCAACTTCACCGTCGATACCCAGGTCCAGCTCTATGCGGGCTTCTCCCCCAACGCGCCCCTCCCAGAGTACGACGAGTCGCAGCGGGCGTGGACGTTGAAGACGGAAGATCTCAGTGCCTTTATTAACGCCGCCGAATGGCCCTTGAGCCCTAGTATCGGTGCCGGTCCCACCATCAACTTCATCCTCTATGTCCCGGAGCCCTCCCAATCCCCGATGGTCGTCAAGGAGAGCAGCGCCACCAGCTGGATCATCCCCCAATGGGGCGGAGTGTTCCTACTCAATCCCCCTCTGTCCACAACCTCCAGTCGTCCCACCAACCCGGCGCATCTACCGCAGGAGTCCCTGCGGCCGGCCTTCCTGACCTTCTCGCATCAGCTTCTGACTCTGCTGGGTGCCCCAACCACACCCACTTCCCTGCCCTTCCGTCTTCAAACTCTCATCCGCGTGCGCGCTGCCACCCTCATCTTCTCCGCCTCATCCACCATAGGCTCCCTCGCCCGTCTCACGGAGTCCCTCCCGTCTATCCCGATCCCTGCCTCGGTCGCCACCTCCGTGTCCACCACCCTCTCTCATCTGTCGTCCGCGTGCACGAATCTGCAAGAGGGCCGCTTCCATGCGGCATTGGCCAACGCCCGTATCGCCGAGTCGGAGGCCGAGCGCAGTTTCTTCGAGAAGAGCATGGTCGGTCAGGTCTATTTCCCCGATGAACATAAAGTCGCCGTCTATCTACCCTTACTAGGCCCGGTCGGGGTGCCGTTGGTTGTGGGACTCCTCAAAGAGATCAAGCGGATAGTCGCCAGTTGGAAGGCTAGGAAATTACGTCAGTGAGGTCGTGCTTGTGCTCCATCTCTCTGCGCTGCAGTATATAGTAAATATCATGGTATTCAATGTAATTTTGTTCTATCGAGCCTATCATCCAGACGCCAACTCTCTTCTGGCGTGTATCTGTGTGTTATATTAAAAGCTTCCAACTGTCCATTCAAGATATCTCGCCAACCAAGAAGATCGGGGGGGGTAACATCCAAGAGTCTATGTGCTAAATACCAATACAAACATACAAAAGAAACAGCGCCGCAGCGGCCATCAGAAAGAGAAAGAGCAATGCTAAATATACTGAACGAAAAGCAGACTATAATAAAGACAGAGTCACAGAAGTCAAGACCTGCGAGGAACCCGAAGGGTACTGGTATTGATATTGGAACTCTCCTGAGAAGTATCAGTGACACGGTAGGACGGATCACCCTTGTTATTACTGAATCCCACCTGGTCCATCATATCAGCGAAGGTGGTATCCAGACGAAAAGCGGGATACGGATCGGGTTTCAGCACACCAGTGCCTGCGAACACGCCGGGGGGCGTATAGACTCTGATACTTTCGGTGCTGGGCAGACGCTGCGGACGAATCTTCTGGGGTGGCGTGACTGGTAACGGGGGAACTTTTGGCCTTTCTTTTTCCGGGGGAGGGTGGACGGTGATTTTAGGGGTGGAGCCAAATAGGCTCTTGACTCGGGTGCCGGTGCGTTGGAGCATGGACCGGGCCCCTTCGGAGCTTCGTTTCGATGATCGTGATCGACGTAGGAGGAAATCAGTGCGGTAGGAGCTGTCATCTGTGGGGATTGGGCTGGATATCCCAAGTAAAGTGCCGTTGGAGGAGCGTTGTGTGTGCTGTACAACTTTTATGGAGGGTGGAATCTGTCGTCGTTGCCATCGTCGGAAACAGAACATCCCCAGGGCTGCGAGCACGGCTCCGAAGATGGCGCCGGGGAAAAATCCCGCGAGTACCGCTTTACTTGGGTACGAGGGACATGGCATAGATAGTCCAGCGGCCGTGGAGCTACACTCAGAGTATAAGGGGGAGAATTTGGGGTCTGAAGGTGATGTGATTGTAGAAGCGGTGGGATCGATTGTTCTGGTTGGTTTGGATGAAGCGGTTGTCGCAGTGGACGTTGAGGTGGGCTTTGTGGGAGACGACTTTCTGTCGTCGATTTCACACATCTTGTTTCCCTTGCAAGTGTATCCAAAGGGACAACACGAATCGCCGCACTTGGGCAACTCATCGTCTAACCTGGTGGTTTTGATGGGGTTTGTCGGATGGAGCGTTGCATTTTGAAGCTGTGTATTGCAGGCAATAGGCTGGATATATGAGCAGCTTTGGTCTTTGGGACAGCATATGGCTGAGGTGCCGCCGTCCAGGCTAACACAGGTCGACGAAGACGGACAGCAGAACGAGTCTGGTATGCCTGCAGCCTCGCACTTTGTGTAAGAACTGGGACAGCTGTCTGCACGTGGTAGCAGCACATTGAGTGCATGAATATGTGAGATGGAACTGGCTACAAGAGCAAGGAGTAGTACCCTTGAGGATGCAACGGTCGGAATTGCCCTCGCCATGGCGATGTTGACTTGACTACTCTTAGGAGCAGCTCTAGATAGTGGGAGATCTGAATACTAGGCTTGGACAATATGCGGCCAGGATGATGATTCAAGTTAGAAGCGAAGGAGACTCTAGATGAAAGAATTCCCAACAATGGATTTCTGAGGAAGTGTTGAACAATGAAAGCTCTCAACCAGCAGACAAAGCGTATCATCTGGAAAAGAGACCAGTCAAGTCCACCCAAGGTTTATAGACCATTAACCGCTCCATGTTGCCTGAAATAAATCCGATGCAAGCTATCCCAGAAAGTCCACCATGATTGCAGCCGGAAGCGCCGTGGGCAGATGGGGCTCCAGGGAAGCCGTCTAATAAGAGCGATTGAAGTAGGCGCCAACCTTCTGGCAGTCGAACCATAATGGCCAACGCAGATGCTTATTTGTTCGCTAAAAGGAGCTCTGTGGAGAGCAGCTGTGCCGTGTTGTTATCTGGCGAGGAGATGAGGAGATGAAGTTGAAGGCAAAGTAAATGCGCGGCCGATGATTGGCCAGAGCTTACCTCAGCCACGCTAGACCCGATCGGGTGGCCTTTCCGACGCCGATGGAAATTCTGCGGTTTTGCTTCATTGCTGGCTTCTAAACTCCCCGTTAGTCAAACCGCCATTATGCTTCCTCGATTCCTGCGGCCGCAGAGCTCTCTGCGTGCGGTTTCCTCCCTCACACAGGTGAGCTTTGTCCGCCTTCTCAATGGCCTTTTCGCCCCGGCCCCTGGCTGATTCGTTGGTAGAAACCTAACTCCGCCCTCCCACGCTTCCAAACCCGCAGCTTGCACCGTGTTCCTCAGTTGACCCACGATGCGCAATTTAAAAAGAATGGCATTTCGGAGCTGTTGTCTCCCGAGGCTTTTGATTTCGCCTGGACGCAATACCAGACCCTCCTTGTGGACAAGTTGAATCTGTTGACACAGGGTGAGTGAGAGGGCTTCTACGCATCCAGCTCGTTGGCAGTTCCCATTCGGTTTGGGACTGAAATGAAGAACAGGCGGCTTTGAATACTTGTATCTGGAACCTAACTTTGCACAGACACCCCCGATGCCGATGCGAAACCTGGAGATCTGCTGGTCAAGTACTCCCGCCGCCCGGAGATGGCGTCCGTCTTTAATTATGCTTCAATGGCCCATAACAACCACTTTTTCTTCAACTGTCTGGTGAGTGAGCCATATGAGTCAATGCATTTGAGTCTTCTCGCCTAACTTTTTTTTCTCGCAACAGTCACCCAACCCCACGCAGATCCCCGAAAAATTCGCCAAGGATATCGTCGACACCTGCTCTTCGGTCGAGTCTCTGAAGCTTGACTTCCTGGCAACCGCCAACGCTATGTTCGGTCCTGGATTTGTGTGGCTAGCCAAGAACCTGGAAAGGGAGGGACTAATGCACATCTTCTGCACCTATAACGCCGGCTCGCCCTACCCGGCCGCCCATTCTCGGAGACAACCGGTCGACATGGCGACTCACTCGCCAGATGCTCCCTTGGGTAACCAGTATGCCGGTGCCATGGGATCTCACTCACAGAACCAGAAGAGCCTGGCCCCTGGCGCGGTGGATGTTCAGCCCATCCTGTGCGTCAACACCTGGGAGCACGTGTGGATGATGGACTACGGAATTGCAGGCAAGGCGGAGTATCTGGAACGGTGGTGGGATCGGATCAACTGGGAGGTGGTGTTTGACAACTACAATGCGGTCAGCTCGATGAAGGGAGGACGACAGGCGGCCACCTGGAACCGGAGCCTGAGCATGCTATGAAAATAGACGCTATGAATGGGGGGGTGCATATGTCGGTTTCATCTTCATGTCTTGATAAATGTATTATATACTACCTGGTTTAGTTTGAGCTGTGTTTCTTATATCTGGGTCTAAATTAAATTTTAAATGTACAGCGATACATCGCAATGAAATCAACTCGAATCAAACCTCTATCGTACATTCCAACCAGGCCCTTACTCTAAATATCATCTATGAACGTATACCCTCCAACTCTCTAATCCTCTTCTCGAACGCCTCAATCATCACCCCCGCCATCTGATTCTCCACCGCACTCATCATCGCCGCATGCAACTGATTCCGGAACTCGAACTGAATCTCCAGATTCACCTTCGTCCTCGGTCCCCCGGTCTCCATCTGCATCTCCAACGGCACCAACTCCCACCTCGTACTCAAGTACTCGAAGATCCCCTCATTCGCACCGGGGAAGATACTCCCCTGTTGTGGCTGTTGCTCCCCCTGACCATCTTTAGAATCCACACCGAACTTAGCACCGCTGCGCGCCTCCACGATCCACCGACTCCGATCACAGTCCACACGCGACGTGAAGGTCTCGCTGAGCGGGCCGTACCCGACCGTCAGGAAGGCGCGTGTGGGTTCCCCGGTGGAAGGGTCGCGATGCGTCACGGTAGAGGCGGTTAGAAATGGAAGGAATTGCGAGTAGGATTCCACGGAGGAGATAACTTGGTATAGGCCCGTGGGCGCATACGGTAGGGTTCGTGTGGCGGTTAGAGTGCGTTCCGAGGAGCCGTTGTTTCCAGATGGGAGGAAGGAGGAGAGTGAAGGGAGACCGAATGATCGTGCTGTGTTGAGTGATGATGTGACGGTCCTTGGTACTCGGGATGTTGGTAGAGCTCTGGATCGTGATATCGTTGCTGTTGGTAGGGTAGTAGCTGGTCGAAGGGATGGTGATGGGATGGAGAGCGACTGGATCCAGCGACTCGATGGTCGCAGTAAAGAGGCCTTCATTGGGAGAATGGGAGTGGTGATGGACAATTTGTTGAAGGTATACAATTCTTGTCGGTCTGTTTATGTTCCTTTTTTTTGCTCCGTTCCGAGTCGGTCCACGTGGATCGTGCCGAGCATACAACTAATTATCAAGACCAGATTATCATTCATGGCATACCATTCATTACATGCTATTTATTTTATCTACACATCTAGACATTCTCAGTGCCGGGGTTTGCCTCCTCCGGATTGTTCAAAAAACACATTCCACGCCCCTCCAGCCCTTGGATTTGCTGGTCCCAAAGACCCTGTTCAGATTAGCATGACCTTCGAAGTCATCAGAATGTGCGGATATGAAACTCACCCAGTCGAGGTTGGTGGGCGCATTCAGCATATCTTCAATAACATCCAATGAGGTTACTGGCAGCTCTAAATCCATAGTGCTAGGTATCGGGTCTGCGCTCATATGAAGAGCGTACGATGGATTCTGATATCCCTGCCAGCTGCCATATGGTGGAGGTTGGGCTGATGGAGAGATTAGCAAATCCTTGTACAATCTATGCAATTCAGAAATCGACAGTATCTCACCATAAACCGTACCAAGGGTTGGTTCATTTGCGATCTCCTGAGGACGCGGCTGCAGCTGAGGCGACAGAGATTGTAATCCTCTCTTGACCCTCCGCAGCATGACCGTCAAAGCATTGTATGCTTTCTGTGCGTCTGCAGACTGCTGGCGTGATTTTTCAAAAATGCTATGGGACACTTCTAGTGCTGCAAGGAGATCCTCACGGCCGTTGATCACCACAGCGACTTCGTTATTTGGATGCTCCACCTCTGTTCCCGTGGTTTGGTTGTGCGACAGCTCTAAGCAAATGATCATGGCTGCGAGCAAATAGTCCGTATACTGCAGAGAGTTCGGGAACTGCCGATCCCGATACAGGATCCCCCCTGGTTGGGTTTCGTGGTGGAGATCCACCTGTTGTCGCAAGATTTCCTTCGACGCACTCATGCACGCCCATCGGGAATATGCGTACCGGAGATTGGTATGGACCTCGCCCAGATACCTCCGGTGCAGCACGCACCGGGCCTTCTGATAAAGCAGCTCCAACGTATAGCGACCGAGGATCAGCTCTGCCGGGTCCGCGATCGACTGCTCGATCGGTCGGATCTTGAATATCGGCGTGACTTCATTGTGCGCCTCTTCTAGACGTCGGTCGGTCTCCAACGTCTCTTCGTATGTCACAGGTTCTCGCGAATACGCGAGATCACTGATTTTACCGAACACGGACATGAGTCTCGACTTGACCCGCGTATACGACGTTGTTGTGAGCTCACTGTCTGGTCGCGACGGAGGAAGTTGCTGCATGCCTTCATACAGGTCTTCGTCAAATAAGTTCCGTGGCATTTCCGTATCGTGCTGCCAATCTTGGATGGTCCGGGGCAGACCGACTTGGAACGAAATCAAACTATCCAGCTGTCGCATAATAGACCACACTCGCCGTCGCATTTCTCCCTCGAAAGGGGGGATGCTGGAAAAGTGCTGCGGATCCCGGTGATACCCCATCCGCATGGCCAGCCTTATCGTAGTCCCAAGGAGGAACGAGACACTCACTTGGGCATCATTGCTCCGGTAAAACTCTCCCATCACGTACGAAAACAGCGCCTCGACCTTGTACTTCCCGGGTTGGATATAGTTGGACTGGGCCAGGCACTGGGCGTTTCGTTTACGAAATGTATTGATGATTTCCGAAGCGTCCTCCAGGGGGCTGGGAAGCGGCTCTTGGAGACGTTGATGGACAGCGACAGCCAAAGTCAAGACTGCGTACAGTAAACCGAGCCATGGAAGTGAGATGTCCTGCGGGTTTAGCCAGAACTGATTGTACTGTGGGATAGTTAGTAATTATTAAACCTGGAAATTTCTCTCTGATCACAGGCAACAGCACACATCCACCTACCTCTTTTTGGAAGGTTGGAATATGGTAAACCACTATCCTCTCAAGTAAGTGTCTAAGCTGTCGTAGTGGTTTACGTCGAGTATGGGGCCCTACCTATGAGAGGCTCTTTGCTTTTGAGAAACTGAGAAATCAATCGATCACAGACAGGCCGAGGTGGAATATCAGCTAGCAGTTCCTCTATGCTTGCGGTCTTGCTCAACCCGAACAGGAGAGTCGGGGATGTAGGATCGAGAGCTTCACTGTCTTCGCTTTCTTCGTCCGATATTTCGTCGCCGCCTTGTAGATACTCTTTGACTCCATTAATCTGGATGGCAATCATTTAGCACTATGGAGGAGGAAGAGGAAGGGTTTCACATACTTCTTCAAGAATAGCGCTCCAATGAGCGCCATCAATGTAGCTCGTCCCTGCATCTTTGACAACCAGCTTACTGGATACGTCAATAGAGGAAGCCTTCGTTTCCCAGCTTGAGTTTGAAGAAGGCGTATCCAGTATCACTTGGCTGCCATCTGGCATGCTAGTGTCTTGTGCAGGTCGCAGCATGGAAGTCTCTATACTCTTGGTTTCTTTGAGTTTTTTCTTCTGCGCTAGAGACAGAATAAGATTCTCCAGATGCTGCAGACGGTCCTGAATTTGAGATGGACTGGTACGACCGCTCGAGTTCCTCCCTCGAGGACCACGCCCAACAAACGCGCAAGAATGGGCTTCCCCTCTTTTAGTGCAGTTAGTGCACGGGTGCGTACGACAGCATTTCAATCTAGGAACGTACGTCAGTCTCTACAGCCTCCGAGGAACCGTGCGCATGCTTACTTTCGGCTCCTACACGCGGTACAGGAGAGCTGGACCCGGGTCCTCTTTTTCTCACTAGTTGTAGAGTAAGGATCCCGTACTCGAATTTCAGCCATTTCTGAACGTGAGTAAATATGCGATTTGATACTATAGGCAGATATGGGGTGCTAGATTGATGAAAGCGAAGTTCAGCGAACCTGAGAGAGACAAAATGACTGTCGGTTTTTCGGCCTCCGTCGTTTATCTCCGTGCCCCACGAAAGGCATAGGGGATGAGGACTGTGGTTCACCCAAAATATATCAGCTTTTATACCTATTCGGGTTTGTTTGTTGGGTAATTTATCCTATTCCATTAAGCAATCTGATAGGGAGAATTCTATTTTTCTTTGAGAAGGACGATTTATCACTCAATCCAAGTTCGATTTAATGTCGCTTTGGCCAATATATAATTGCCGTGGGTCTGCACTGATGGGTAGAGTAATTCTGCTACAGGACGGAGAAATCATGGTCACAAATTTGAAGTATTTTCTATCTCTGTATATACATGTTGAATATCATAAGACAAATAACCCATTTGGATCGACATATGTTCATTTGGCCGAGTTGATCTCCGCATTCATCGCAAGTGTTCCATCAGGAGTAAGAATCTGTACCCTTCCGACGCCGTCTCCTTCCTCAAGCACGATACAATACTCATCATCTACATATAATGGACTTGTCGCACGGTAGGAAATCTTCTCCGGGAGGACCAAGCCTGGGTCATTGTGATCCAACTGCTGTGTATCTCTCCAGAGATCCAAGATGGAGATCAGGTTCAACGGCCCGTGAACAACAATGTCCTTATGGCCTTCTACCTCCCTAGCCCAAGGAGTAGAATAATGGATCTTATGTGGGTTGAAAGTCAGTGCAGAAAAGCGGAACAGTGTCACAGCTGTTTGCCTCAGTGTGCGTTTGTGTGTATTTCCTGTTGACACGGTGGATGAAAATGCAGGCTCCGAAGTCACCGACTGTGTTGCAGAGGATGTCGACAACGATGGTGGAATTGCTAAAGCCTTACGGAAGACCCAATTCCTTTTCGAGCATTAACATCCTGATGCATGGAGCTTCACATATGCTTGACTCACCGACGATCCAGAACGGCCACCCCGAACTCATTCCGGAATTCCTTCTCCACACCCACCACGATCATCTCCTCGCCGGTCTTTCGGACCACCTTTGGCTCGGCGCTGAGCACCTTCGTAGTCTCCTGGATTTCCTGGCCCACGCGCAATGGATTGGGTTTCCCATCTGCGTCTCGCGGCCAGTGCACTTCGCCTCCTGCCCACATGCGGCGCGTGAACGGGGACTCCGGGTTATAGGATACGTCCGTCCCGTCGGCGCCAAGTTCATTTTCCAGAAAAGCAGGAGTGAAATATACCAAATGGTAGCCTGGTGGTAGGGGGGTTCCTGCTGGGACAGACCCAGGGGTATTAGATAAGGAAGGGGAGTTGGGGAACAGAGAAGGACGGTTCAGAGTCAGAGATAGCATTTGCAATTGATTGGCATCTAAGACTTGAGACCGAGATTGAGGTCCTAGCGATTGAAAGCGCGACAGGAACGAAGACGCAATAGATGACGCCGAGGCATCAGACGCATAGTGGAGGCGATGGTATACCGAGAAAGCACAGTGTGGAGTATATGGCGATCGAGAAACACACCGTGTTGTGGTAAATAGGGACATGATCACTGATAGGTACCAGATCAATGGAGAACAATCCAGAGAATTGATGCAAGACGAAGAGAAAGAAGAAGAAAAAGATAAAGAAGGGGAGGAAGAGTTGTGCCATCTCGAAATAAACCCCGGTCTCGGAATGCCTCTCGGACACAGTTTCCGAGTATTTAGCCTATTCGGGAAGGCCGTCAATTCCCGTAAAAACGCCGCCTCGGCTTTTTGGATTTACGCCGATTCCCTTCACCTTCATCCTTCATCTTTCATCCTTTCCTTGGACTGGCATCGTCAAACGCATGATGTCATGGTGGCTTATCAACAACTGGTCTAGTGAGTCCCTTGCATGGATGAGGATAAAAGAATGTGTGTGCTACTGTGCAATGCTACATAAATACACCGTGAACCCGAGATCTATTCTATAGGTTGCTATTGCAAATTCATCCGACCATTATTTTCGTACGAGGCTCCCAGGCCCCAGGAACGAACCGAGCATAGAATAACCTGAATGCTTTCACCCATCAGCAGCAGGATCCTAATTCTAGCAGTCTCTTTTTGAGTGACTTGAACGAGACGTGGCCATGTGCAGTAACCAAATTTGTTAACATTAATCTTGAGCAAGCCACATGTGGTCGACGGCGTCAATGAGCCAGGATTTCTAAAATATGCCCGTTCCACCCAGTGCCGAGGAGATGTGCCCATCTAGACCCACGATTGAATGATGTGCGATTGGTTCTTGCCTATAGAATCACGTTCAACTTCAGCCAATGCAGATGCCTAGGTCATACGCCAATTTCAGGAATGCGCCGTATTCTACAGAGTGATTGAAGTAAGAGCGCCCACAAAGTGCTGGATGCTACATATCACTTGACCATCAACCAAAAAGATCGAGTCTGGACCGCTACGGGGACGCCCCTTGATCCAAAGGGATGCAGCAACTTTATCGGTATTATTTTGATGGATAGGGTCAGAAGACCGCATGACATGTATGTGGTTTCTGATACTTCAGCCCCATATTCTTCCTTGCCTTTCTGCAAACTTGGAAAGTGACCGTAGTAGTGAATCGAGGAAACCCAATGTTCCTTGCAGGCAGTGTAACGTCCAGCAAGGGAATTTGCAAAAGTGCAGACGGTTTCCCCGATTCTAGGCTCCATATATCTCCTTTTCGAGGCAATAGTGAGGGCCCAGAATAGGGACATGTCTCTCGGTTCTTCGCCAAATATACAGATGTTCCATTTATTGGCTTAGTTGACGGGCTGCATGTGCGGCTGTGTCTGGATCACAAGAATTGGCAGACTTTGGAGTAATTTTTCTTAATTTTTTTAGTGATGTTTCTCCTCAGTGCAGTGAGTATATATTGGACTCAAGCCAGGATGTTTCCCATCTTCGTGCAAAGATAACAAATGGTATAATCTGCAATTCTATAACATATTAGCCACGACCAGCCCACCTGAGTTGATTCTTCCTTGGCCCTCCATTTTATGCATCACTAATTCACTTTCGTACAAGTCATGTCTTTGCCATTGACAGATAGTGAACTTGGTTCTGACCTGCAGTCTCCATCCAAAGAGACAAAGCCGAAGGTGATAACGCTGGAGGTGTCTCCCGAGACCATGGTGCAACCGTCTCGGTACCGCGCATATATCAATATCTTAGCTCGGGTCTTTGGATTGGAATCTCGAGGGATTGAACGCGTTGCAGAGAATGAACGTCATCCTCCCAGGCCAGACAATTATGCGCAGATATTATTGCTGTGGCTGAATTCCTCTCTGACTGCCAATAATATCATCGTGGGATTATACGGTCCAACACGATATAGGCTGGATTGGAACAATGCGGCCATGTGCGCGGTTCTAGGAGTAACCTTTGGGAGTATGGTCGTGGCCTTTATGAGTACCTGGGGCCCTATCAGTGGACACCGCACTCTGGTATTGTGTCTTTTACTCAAGAATCGACGGCTTCTAGCTAATGCGTTTGCAGATGGTAACTCGGTATTTCCTCGGGTACTATCTCAGCAAGCTTTGTTGCCTCCTGAATATCGTCACCATGCTGGGATACGGCATGGTGAACGTCATCCTCGGAGGCCAGGTTATCTTCGCAGTTTCCGGAGGCCATACAGCTGCTCCTGTCGGCATCGTCGTGGTGGCTGTTCTAACGTGGTTCATTGCGACCTTTGGTATGCACCTTTTTCACTTCTATATGAGGTACATACTTCATTTTCACCTCAATGTTCCAGCGAGTCAATGACCTGAGAATCCCACAGATACGCATGGATTGTGCAACTATCAGTCCTCTTTATCATGGTTGGCTGTGCCGGTCCAATCTTCAACCTCGTCTACCCTCTCTCCGCGGATTCCAACAACAACCCATATGTGAACTCCGCCTCCAACCGCCTGTCCTTTTTCTCGCTCTGCTTTGCATCCGCCGTCACCTGGGCCCCTTCCAGCGCCGACTACTTCGTCTACTTACCCGCGTCGACCAACCCATGGCGCATGTTTCTATCCGCCACCACGGGAATGAGCCTAGCGATGGTGATGACCGCCCTTCTAGGCATTGGTCTCGCAACCGGCATCACTACAAACAGCGACTGGCTGGATGCATCTCTCACATCCCAAGGGAGTCTTCTTGTGACATCCCTTGCACCCCTGCAGGACTTCGGGTCCTTCTGTGCCATTATCCTCGTCGTCGGAATGGTCTCCAACAATATCCCAGGCACCTACTCTGCAGGACTCAATCTGCAAATGCTGGGTCGCTACGGACCCCGAATCCCTCGTCCCTTGCTAACTACCCTCGAAGTAGTCGTATACACTGTCTGTGCTGTCGTCGCTCAGAGATATCTCCGTGAAATAATGGAGAATTTCCTCCCCCTGATGAGCTACTGGATCGTGGTCTGGTTGGTCATCGTCCTCGAGGAGATATGTATCTTCCGACGAGGTCGGGAATATGACTGGTCTGCAGTAGACAATGTCCATCAGTTGCCCATGGGACTCGCTGCGGGGCTTAGTTTCGTGGTTGGTTGTTTAGGTGCTGTCCTGGGAATGGTAAGTCCATCTTATCTATTTTGCTTGCGTTGGATAAATTCGTTCTATATTATGACATGTGAAGTCTGACTAGGCTCTTCATTTAGTCTCAATCGTATTTTATCGGTCCTATTGCGCGGTTCGTCCCTGGGGATTGCGATCTTGGGATGTGGCTTGCGTTTGGCTGGACTGCTTTAGGGTATCCTGGTCTTCGGTGGATGGAGTTACGTATGACTGGACGGTGATTTCTGTCGTGACTCTTATGGCTAGATGTATGATGGGCATATCAAAAACATGATATTGGGTTCATCTATTCAATTACTGTGACTAACTCTAGTAGAGCAATACATATATACATCGTATAGTATAGATAGAAACGGATAAGCAAGATATGGGGAACGCAAAATAAAGCAGTAGATCAGGGCCATAGTGCGCAGGGTATCAAAGGATTGTTGGACCCAGCTTGAGAGCTAGAAACACAACTGGATAGCAATAAAACGTCTGTCTTACAGTTTAACCTGCCCGCCCTGGAGTCGGGTCCAGTCCTTCTGCCCAAACGGCACGTACGTGTTCTCCTGGAGCCAATAGATCTTGTCGGAGGCGTTGACCAGTGACGGGTCGACGCCTTCGGTGCGCAGCACATGTTTCTGCTGTTTGTAGTTACCCGTGGCTTGCATCTGCGGCGTGAAGCGCAGGAACAGTGGCACAGCGTACCGGGGAAGGCTCTTCAGGACGTGGCTCGCCAGGCTTTCGAGAGTGCTTGGACTCGGTAGGGACAGAACCGATGGATCGGTTGCGTGGAGTTGTTGCTCCAGAACGACGGCGGCACAGCCGGCACGGCCGTCATGGTTGGGCAAGGCCACCCCGTAGACGTTGGCCTCCTGCACGTCGGCATGGGCGCCAAGAATCTCGGCGACTTCACTGGTCGACACGTTTTCGCTCTTCCAGCGGAAGGTGTCGCCGAGTCGGTCGTTGAAATACCAGCGTCCTTCGGCGTCCCAACGGACCATGTCGCCTGTACGGAAGAACGCATCGCCCTTGCGCAGTACATCGAAGAGGATTTTGCCCTCAGTGGCCTTGGAGTTATTGAAATACCCCTGGAACTTTTCGCTAGGGTCACCGGCATCGACGGCCCACAGAAGCTCGCCCGGCTCGCCCCGAGGCACCACTTTGCAGAAGCCGGTCTTGGGATCGCGCCAGGGCTCCTGGGATTCGTGATCGACTTGGACGACTTGCACCCCTCCTCCGAGGATCAACGAGCTAAGCCGACCATTTCGTCCGATGGCGCCAGCAGAGAAATCATTGGACGACAAGTTCCACGATCCCGACGTCCCTTCGGTGGCCGCATAGAATTCGCCGACCGTGGGCACATTGAAGCGCTCCTTGAAGCGGTTCCAAATGTCCGGGCGTAACCCGTTGCCAAATGCTATCCGTATATTGTGTTTCTTGTCCAGGTCCTCACCCGTGGCCGGGTCTATGGAGGGAGGCACCGCCAGCAGGTATCGCAAAGTCTCGCCCACATACTGGACGATGGTCGCATGGCTCTCTCGTGCCTCTCGCCAGAAGCTGCGGGCAGAGAACTTGCGACCGATAATCAGGGTTGTCCCACTCATCAAACAGGCTCCGAACCCAAGTATACAGGCCGATGAGTGGTAGAGCGGCATGCACTACGGGGGTTATATTAGCAGCTAGAAGAACGCCTCTATAAAAACCAATTCAACGTACTGTGAAGATACGATCCCCTTGTGACAGGCTGAGCCAGTTGGGGATAAAGACCCCCCCATTCCAGCACTTTCTCCAACTGATGATCGCGGGCTTGGGAAGACCGGTGGTACCGCTGGTGTAGATGAGCATGGCCATGTCACGGAGAACCACGCCAGCACGCACTGTATCTTCCTGACGAGTGGCTTCCATTTGAGAGATCTGTGCCTCCACTTCAGGGGTGAAAAAAACCACCTCCATCGCGCCCTTACCATCCCGGAAGTCGGGCGACGCCAAGGTCTCCAACTGTTCCGGCGGATAACAAGGCCGGACTTCCTCATCGACAACTAGCAACCGGGCGGTCGACACCCGGATGCAGTGCGTCAGAGGTTTCCCTGACAAATTATAATTGATGAAAGCCGGCACCGCGCCGATACTCCAGAGACCTAGCACAAGGAAGATGAAGGTCGAGGAGTTCATGAAATCAATGGCCACCACATCCTTGGGTTTGACCCCGTGGACTTTCTGAAACCAGGAACCATAACGCAGCACAGTCACGTATGTTTCGTGAAATGTCCATGCGCGCCCGTTGTAGACAATAAATTCGGCATCTTTGGTCCCCGGAGCGAGTGCGTGTTGCTCCAACACATAAAAGAGGTTCACGTTATCACGACGAAGGGCGAGGCTGGATCTCCAAATGGTCTTAAGCAAGCCGCCGATTAGGTTTACGTCGTAGAATAAAGAATACTTGGCATTCAGATATGCGAAGGTTGTAGCGGCGGCAGGGGCAACAAGGGACAGGGGGATCTCTAACCACACAGACGGTCAATAGTATGCACGAGGGTCATTTTACGCTCCAATAAAAGTTCCCTTTACATACCAGGAATAGCGATCGGTAGCATAGTGGACAGAGGGATGAGAAAGGATGGGTGACGACGAAGATTAGATTGCCAGGAAGTCAGTCAATGGGGGTGAGAGCGAGCGCGTTTAATATAAAAAACGGGAAATTATAAGAAATTTAGAAAAATAGAAAAAGGGGGAAGGTCCAAGAAGTTAAGAAACCGGGAATTGAAGGAGGGGAGACCCTTGAGGGGAAGTAGACGATGGTTTCTTCGAGTAAAGGTTGACTGACGACGAGTTGCCTCGGTTTGAGACTCCGGCATTTCGGCAACTGGCTATGAGAAGGGACGTTCCACCAATGCGTTTAGTGCGATAGGCCCAGCAGTTGTTGGGACAGAATCACCCTGAACGATCGCTATACTTAGTACTTAGCAGGTATACTAAGGTAGATATCTTCCTTGTCCTGAGGCTGAACGTGTTTCTTGGCGCCCGTCACATGGACTCCGTAAATAATCCGGGGTTGACGGTCGGTGGCTACCCATGTCTGCCTAACTAGTAGTAGACTAGTAATTAGTAGTTCGTCTCACCGGAACCTCCTCGTAACTCTGGTCCATGAACGTCCGGAGCGCCTCCAGCCCCTTCTGCAGCACTTCGGTCTCCTGTACAAATCCAATTCGCACGTAGCCCTTGAAGTCTTCGCCGTCGCCAAAACAAAGACTTCCCGGAACAAACATTACACCCACCCGCTCGAAGAGCATCTCGCAGAAGGCGACGTCATCTACAGGTTTGCCCATCTTGTTGAAACGTACGAATGCCGTCGTACCCGCTCGGGGTTTGACCCAGTCACACGCCCACCGATGGGATTCAATGAATTCCGCCAGGATGGCGAGATTGGCCTTCGCCAGGTCAATGTTTCGCCTCAACAGACTGTGGATGCAACTGGGCCGCAGTGCGTAGCTCGCGATGGCATCATCCAGCTGGCTCACGGAGATGGTCGTGTAGTCCCGAGCAACGGCACAGGTTTCAATCACCGTGCGATCGCGAGAAGCAATCCACCCAACGCGAATACCGGCTAGACTGTAAGCTTTCGACAACGACCCGGTCGCGATCGTGCGGTCATATCCGAGGGACAAAATGGATGATGGGAAGTCCGCATCCATTGGACTGATAGAGTGGAAAAGAGGCCTGTAGACCTCGTCCGCATGGATATAGATAGATGAGCTCCGCGCAATATTCACGATATCTTCTAGAGTGGCTTGGGGGATTACAGCTCCGGTCGGGTTTTGGGGATTGCTGTTAAAACGATCACGTTAGGCATAGCCTCAAATTGGTAGGCGAGGTAACACTGTAGGGATAAAGACCTACTTAAGAATAATGAGCTTTGTATTCGGTCGGATGAGTCCCTTCAACTCCTCGATGTCCAACTTCCATCCATCCTTCTCGTTGGACTTCCAGAGACTCACCTCCGCGCCTAGCGATGCTGGGACGGAGTACAGCTGCTGGTATGTGGGGTAATGACAGATGACATGGTCACCTGGGCCAACCAAGGAATAGAACAGCAGGAAATTGGCCTGGATTGCACCTGCAGTAATCAAAACATTATCTGCAGGCAATGGATTAGGGGTTTTGACCGAGTAGAGGCGGGCCAAGGTGCTGCGAAGGCCCTCCGACCCCCGGATGGCACCGTAGGTGAGCTTGGTGGAGAGATCCAATGGGTTCGCAGACTTGTCTTCCGAGAGATTCTGGAGGTCATTCACAGATATAGAGGCACAACAGGTCTCAGCAATGTTGTATTGGGCTCCGATTTCATATTTGTCCATCCACTTTGTCACCGCGGGGTCAGTCGCAAATTGGTGCGGGGAGGAAGAAACACCTGAGGGTGAGGGTTAACATACTTGCTCCACCGCAAACTCCTTGATCTGAACCATGATGACGTGCTCTAGTCTTTCCGACACTCTAGTAAGCTTGTTCTTTCTCTGGAGAAATATCGACTGTGGATGTTGTCTCTGGGGTGTCCGATTGGGTGAAGAGGAATACGAGTCACGTGTTGTTGTAAAGACTGACGAGTTGGAAGAGAGAAGAGACGTAATAATAAAAAGAAAGAAAATAAAAACTGACCAGACCAGAAAGATTGTACACAGTAGATAGAGAGACAGCCCAAGAATACCTATGGGGAAAAAAAATATAAAAAATAGAAAATAAATAAAGAGAATTAAACACACTCAAAGTTGAGCCACATCTAAACAAGTGTGGCCGATCATGTGAAGGAGGCCAGGGATGTTCCAGGCTGCCAGGCACCGTCACCACCGGCATCGTCATCGCCCCAATCAGCCATTTCAGCCTCACCAGCCAACAAACATCCTATCAACTCTCTCTTGTACTCGCGTTGTTGGGTGCGTCGTGAAGTTGACCAACTTAGTTCTTTCAATGTTTACCACTAATCAGGGACGCACTCCTGTTTAGATAGATAAATAGAGAGAGTGAGACAGATCCATCGGATTCCGTGTGAACTCCCCCCGTTTCTTCAGCGATCGGGTTACTCCGCATCAGTTGTTCTCCGCTCTCGCTCTCGGAGAGACACCGCTTGTTGTTTTCCATACAGCTCACGATGCGATTAAAATCATCAGTTCAGCTTTCGCTGGCCGCACTACTCTCCGTCTCCGCATCGGTTACAGCAACACAGAGCAATTATTCCAGTGCCACCGATCTTGACTCTACGCTGTTCTCCTCCTTCCTCGACCGTCCCAAGGACTGTCCGCCGTGCTTCAACTGCCAGCTAGAAGCCTTTCAATGCAACCAGTTTGCTCCCTGCGATAAATTTACTGGGAAATGCGTCTGTCCACCCGGTTTCGGTGGCGATGACTGCTCGCAACCACTCTGTGGTTCGCTGGCGGACGGTCATCAAAGAGCTCCTCGGGAGGATAAGTATTGCTCCTGCGAGGACGGCTGGCATGGGATCAACTGCAACGTCTGTCAATCGGACAATGCATGCAACGCGATGATGCCGGAAGGCGAAGGGGGGGTTTGTTATAAACAAGGGGTCACGGTTAAGGAAAACTTCCAGATGTGTGAGGTGACAAACCGTAAGATTCTCGATCAACTCAAGGAGCGGAAGCCCCAGGTGACGTTCACTTGCGAGGCTGAAGATAGTACTTGCAACTTCCAGTTCTGGGTGGACCAAAAGGAGTCGTTCTACTGCGGCTTGGATACGTGTGACTGGGACCTGGAAACGACCCACAATCAGAACCGCACGAACTATCGGTGCGAAAATATTCGCTGCAAGTGCATTCCGGGGCGTATGCTCTGTGGTGAAGAGGGCTCTATTGATATCGGAGATTTCCTCAAGGAATCTATCCAAGGTCCCGCGTCCTTTTCGACAGTGACTACCGAAGGAGGAAGCGCAGAGGATGGCAGCAAGTTCCAGGAGCCAGCGATGAATGACTTAATCAAGAGTGTGTTTGGAGATGAAAGCATCACTCTCAAGTGTGACTCGGGTGAATGCTTGTACAAAACCGACGTCCCTGGTTATACCCGCCCTGTCAAGCAAATCAACACCCCTCTTATTGCGGGGGTGATCGCTGGCTGCGCCCTTTTTGTGGTCGCAGTGATCTTGAGCGTGTGGTACTTGTCGCGCAGGTCGTACCGCGGACGCATTCAGCTTCCTCTCTCCGATGAATCAGATGACGAAGCCGCCAAGCTCCTGGCAGACCACAAGCCCGCAGCATTGTACTGGGACAATGTGGCGTATTACCTAAACGGCAAGGAAATTCTTTCTGGAATCCAGGGTGCTGCGCATCCTGGTCAGATCACCGCCATTATGGGAGCGTCGGGTGCTGGGAAGACTACGTTCCTTGATATCCTGGCTCGGAAGAACAAGCGAGGCGCTGTCCGTGGGGACTTCTACGTCAACGGGGAGAAGTTGAATGACTATGATTTCAGGGGTATGATCGGATTCGTTGACCAGGAGAATACGATGCTCCCGACCTTGACGGTGCACGAAACCATCCTGACCAGTGCATTACTGCGCTTACCGCGGGACATGAGCCGAGCGGCCAAAGAGCAGCGAGTGTTTGAGGTAGAGAAGCAGCTTGGCATCTTCCACATCAAGGACCAGCTCATCGGCTCCGAGGAGGGCAAAGGTCGCGGGATCTCCGGTGGTGAGAAACGCCGCGTGGGAATTGCCTGCGAGTTGGTCACCAGCCCCAGCATTCTCTTCCTTGATGAACCCACCAGTGGACTGGTACGTCCCCATGCCAGCCTTCCCAGATAAAAGATCGTTCGCTGATATGATTGAATAGGACGCATTTAATGCATTCAACGTGGTCGAGTGCTTGGTGACTCTAGCGAAAACCTACAACCGGACGGTTATCGTCACCATTCATCAACCTCGGTCCAATATTGTCGCTCTCTTCGACCGCCTTGTTCTCCTAGCGCAGGGTAAGACCGTGTACTCGGGCCCTTTCTCGACCTGCCAGCAGTACTTTGACCTGTCTGGATACGCTTGTCCTCCAGGCTTCAATATTGCGGACTACCTCGTGGACCTGACCATGCATGCCAGTGTTACTCGGTCTCACAATAACGGAATCGAGCCTTCTTTACTGGATGTACGTACGGAACCGCCGAGGACTGCCTCGAGCAGCTTGAGGGCTGTCAAGTCAGTCGCCAGCGCGTCGAACGCAAGCATGGAGGACAACTCTGCCAGTACTCTGGACGCAAATCGCCAGCCAAAGAGTAAGCAACGCGTGTCACTCAAGCAACGGCAGGACAAGCAGCTCTACTCTCGCAAGAGGGATCTGGAAGCACCGCCCACGCCCAGGACCGATGATGAGGATGTCCACATGGACGACGTAGCGGAAAACACCCAACAGTGGCTGCGTCTGTCACGTCAAGCGGGCCACGTTCCCCCGCAGATTCTCGACGATCCAGACCAGCTTCCACCGGCCGCCCCCGGGCAGACGGACCTAGACGTCCTGTTTGCTAATTATTCTGCGTCCGATGTCGCCCGATCCGTACACGATGAGATTGTGACTGCCGTGCAGACTGCCCGCGCGGCGAATGGATCGGCCAACTCGGAAGTTCTGTCGGATTCCACAGCTGGGGTGTCCAGGAACTACTCTCGGATCGGGCTGGGGCGCCAGTTCCTCATCCTCTCGCAGCGGACGTGGCGAAACATATACCGGAACCCGATGCTGATGCTTACACATTATGCTATTTCGATCCTACTAGCAGTGCTGTGTGGGTACCTATTCTACGGCCTGACAGACGACATTAAGGGTTTCCAAAACCGACTGGGGCTGTTCTTCTTCATTCTGGCCTTGTTTGGGTTCAGCACCCTCACCAGCTTGACGGTGTTCTCGGCCGAGCGACTCCTATTTGTGCGCGAGCGGGCCAACGGGTACTATCATCCCATCACCTACTTCGCCTCCAAGGTAGTGTTCGACATCGTCCCCTTACGGATCCTCCCTCCGATCATCATGGGGATGATCGTGTACCCCATGACCGGATTGATCCCCGCGTGGCCCGAATTCCTCCGGTTCCTGCTGGTTCTGGTGCTCTTCAATCTGGCGGCCGCCAACATCTGTCTCTTTATTGGCATTGTCTGCCGCGATGGCGGCGTGGCCAACCTTATCGGCAGCCTAGTGATGCTGTTCAGCTTGTTGTTTGCGGGGCTGTTGCTCAACCACGATGCCATCCCCAAGTCCGCTCTATGGCTACAAACGGTAGGCTCTTTTTTTCTTTTCCTGCTTATTCTCTAGCTAACGAGTCTTAGTTGTCTATCTTCCACTATGGTTTTGAGGCCCTGATCGTCAATGAGGTAACGTTTTTGACGCTGATCGATCACAAGTATGGGCTGGATATCGAGGTTCCGGGAGCGTCCATCTTGAGTGCGTTCGGGTTCGACACCCTGGCATTGTGGAAGGATGTCATCGGACTGGCTATTATCGCGGGGGCGTTTATTGTGATTGCGTACGGAGCGATGCATGTGCTGCTGGTGGAGAAGCGGTAATAGAGTTATGTCTTGGGTGTATATATTATCCCGGTGTCTATGACAGTATTGCTTTGCTTTGCGTTCTCTGTATTATGGCTAGGAATTATTTGGAGCATGGTTTAATTGAAGTAAACGCCATGGTATTTGGAGAATTGATGGTCGATAGCGATGTAGATGTCGGAAAGATTTATCGGTATATGGGGTCCAGGCGAATTTCACGCTGGTCAGTTGCGGGTGGCTGGGAACTTTGGAGTTATGGATCCGTCGATCGCTCTCTTCCCTCCGTCTTTCTCTGTCTAGTGGATATCCTTAGAACATCGTGCGTCCTCTTGTCTTCTTCTCTCCAGTCGAGTACTACATTCAGTCAGTCTCGTACGTACTTTAGTAGGGATAATCAGTTGTCTCCGCTCACCGCCTTGAATCCACACCAACTGTCTCTTCTGCACTTCTCGCTCGCTTTCCTTCGCTTCATCTCCCCTCTGCATCGACCCCTGCTCACTGCTCGACCTCTCCTGTCCCTTTTCCTTGCCTCCGTTCCTTTCCACTCCTCGAGGACGATCCTGGAAAATTTCCCCCACCATGTCCGGTGAAGCGTGGCTCTACTTGTTGGCGGTGTTGATCAACGCCGTCAACCTATTTCTCCAGGTGTTTTTCACCATTATGTACAGCGATCTGGAATGGTAAGCACCGATCTCGAGTTCTGGGGAACCCTCTCGGCGGGAACTGTTGGTTGTTACTGGTGGAGCTGAGCTGGAGCTGAAGCTCCCCTCAAAGAGCTACCCTCAAAAGGTGCCGAAATAATATCTCAGGTCGCGAGCTAACCCGAGGTCCCAGTGACTACATTAACCCCATTGATCTCTGCAACCGTCTGAACGCCTACATCATCCCCGAAGCTGCCGTTCATGGATTCTTGACCTTCCTGTTTGTGATCAATGGCTACTGGCTGGCGATCTTGCTGAACCTGCCTCTCTTGGCTTTCAACGCCAAGAAGTACGTTTAACCCTGGCAGACGCGCCAATAAATGCTCCGAATGCTGGACAGTCAGCTAACCCAGTCTCGATGTATAGGATTTACGATAACCAGCACTTGCTGGATGCGACGGAGATTTTCCGCAAGCTCAATGTTCATAAGAAGGTCAGACAACGTCGGGTTTACGTCATACCGACAGGGAAGGTTCGCTAACATTTCGGACAGGAATCCTTCATCAAGCTGGGCTTCCACCTCTTGATGTTCTTCTTCTATCTGTACAGCATGATCGTCGCCCTGATCCGCGATGAATCGCACTGACTCCGTGGCGCCACGGAACATACGATGCGCCATGGGCCGTCCTGATGGACGTGTCGCGTGGGGTGCTGCTCTTGGGTACTGTTGGGTCCTAGCAGTGGAGGAGGTTGGACCAAGAATGGCTTCTCTGCATCTGAAACACTGGCGTCGTCTATCGGCGCGGCCATTCGCGCGATCTCCACTGTTGATCATTATGGCCGTGTCGACGAGTCGGAATATGTAGAGAGAGGGGAGCCATCAAGAGAGAAAGAGAGGGGGGGAGAGGGAGGGAGAGAGGGAAAAGGCCAATACGACAGTAATGAAAGAGTTGGTCGAGATGATTTCTTTTTGGTTTTTTTTTATGATGCTTGTTGGGAGACGACGACCGCGGGTGTCGTGATAGGACTCTACTGCCTGTTACTGTTTGCTTGATCTGATGTTCTATTCCATGTTGATGTCTTAATGTGTGCTGTATATACCTCCAGCGGTGTGACAACGACGAGCGTACGATACCCTCTGAAGAGCGTAGACAATAATTAACGAAAAGAAGAGTAAAACGGATCTTCGCGGCGGGTATGTGGCGCCGCCCGTAATATCTGATTATCTCGCGGCTCTTCCGCAACTCTCTAAGACCTCCTCATTCTTCTTCCCCCAACACCCCCCACCATGGCCTCATTACTCGGTACAGGCTACGAGTCTAGTGATGATGACACTGTCCCTATCCAAGGTGCAGCACCCTCTGCGACCAAGATTGTCGCGGCCCCCGAAGTGAACACAGAGGTTTGGTCCCTTCCACGGTCATCGTCAGAATCCATCATTCAAAGCGTATCTAACAGCCTCCCAGGACCAAGCACATATGCAGATGATGCTCGCTAATACCTCGTCAACCGCCCTCACCTACAACGCAACCTATGATGATCTCTCACGGCCCACGCAGGGCCCCTCGAACCCCTTCAAGCCTGACGGGCCCGCCAATGGCCTCAAGCGGAAAAATGTGCCGACCGGGTTCGCCCAGGAGGCGGCCATCAGCGAGGCCACCTTCACCACGCAGCATCGCACCTTTCAAAGTCTGGGATACACGCGCAACCCGGGCCTCCCAGGCCAGTTTGTCGGCAACTTGGACCAGGCCGCGCAGTTTGGCGGGCGCGATGTCGTGCAGATGAAACCGTCCAAAGCGGCGTCGGCGGCACTCCGGGCCAAACGACAGAAGAAGGGCGATCCCAGCATCGTGGAAGGCGCGGGCGCATATCTCGGGCCGTGGGCGAAGTACCAAGATGACGACCATGTGTACGATGAGGAGGTGGCGCTGGCGGGCCGTGAGCTCGCCAGTGATGAAGAGTATGTGGAGGAGGAAATCGTCCCGGCTCGCATGCCAGCCATGAACAAGGAGGCGACAGATTACCGGGACGACTCGTCAAAGGTTGAAACCAGCGAATTCCACGGCACAGAGCAGTTCGACTACCAGGGTCGGACGTATATGCACGTCCCGCAGGACCTGGACGTCGATCTGAAGAAGGAGGTGGGAAGCATCAAGAATTACGTGCCCAAGAAACTTATCCACACCTGGAAATCCCACACCAAGGCCATCACCTCTCTGCGGTTCTTCCCCCACTCGGGCCATCTTCTCCTGTCGTCGGCGGCGGACGGCAAGGCCAAGATCTGGGACGTGTACCATCAGCGCGAGCTCCTGCGCACCTTCTCGGGCCACTCCAAGGCCATCACCGACACGGACTTCCATCCTACCGGGAAGACTTTCATCACGGCGTCGTACGACCGCCAGATCAAGCTCTGGGACACCGAGTACGGCAAGTGCCTGGGTCGGTTCTCGACGGGGAAGACGCCGCACGTCGTGCGATTCAACCCCAATCCTGAGCTCTCGCACGAGTTCCTGGCCGGTATGTCGGACAAGAAGATCGTGCAGTTCGACACCCGCTCGGGCGAGCTCGTGCAGGAATACGACCACCATCTGGCGGCCATTAACACCATCACCTTCGTCGACGATAACCGTCGCTTCATCTCCACCTCGGACGACAAGTCGCTGCGCGCCTGGGAATACGGCATCCCCGTCCCCATCAAATTTATCGCCGAGCCCTACATGTTCGCCCTCACGCGGGCTGCCCCCCATCCTAATGGCAAATACGTCGCCTTCCAGTCCGGCGACAACCAGATCGTCGTCTACGGCGCCACCGACAAGTTCCGCCAGAACCGAAAGAAGCTCTTCCGCGGTCACAACAACGCCGGCTACGCCATCGATCTCAAAATCTCCCCCGACGGTCAGTTCATCTCCTCCGGCGACAGTGGCGGCTATGTCTGTTTCTGGGACTGGAAGACCAGTAAAATGTACCATAAGATCCAGGCCGGTGGGAAAGAAGGTGGTGCCACTACCTGTCTGGACTGGCATCCTCAGGAGACTAGTAAAGTTGTCACCGGTGGGCTGGATGGTGTTATTAGATATTGGGATTGAGAATGATTTATCACCATTATTCAAATTATTCATTGTTATGGGTAGACTTTATCGAGACATTGATACCTTTATTTATTCAATTTTTTTATTTTATTTTATTTTTTTTATAAAACACCAGTTTCGTCGTTTCTTGACTTAGTCTGTGCATAAATTCGATTGCATGTACAGCACTTATCCCTCATCCTCTTAGTTCTATTCCTCGTCCTGATTCCAATCCTCATCCAAATAAAAATCTTAAAATGAGCTATTCAAACACTCATCCTCCTACCACTGACTCCGCAACGAAGGTTTTCCTCTACCCTTCAAGCGAATGACTGTAGATGTTGAGGAGGCTATAAAATTTCATAGCGTCCGACAGCATGCTTGTGCCTGATGTTCAGCTCCAGTTGCCCAAGAAATACTCGAAGTGCCGGGGCTCTGGATGTCATCATGTAGGTCATCCTCTTCGGGGATCCTCACGAGGGTCAACTCGAGCCTAGTAAAGGGGCATGTGAGACCAAGTTGCCTCTCCGGTACGGATGTATCCTTTTAAGTGTCTGCTTTCACCCAATTTAGATGCAGAAATGCAATCATGATGGTGAGGGTCAGTGTGTTACGCGATTTCCCTCGTTTCTCTGACACGTAATCGATTGATGTGGCCGACAGAACCTAACATTTCGATCTACCACTTGACGAACGAGTTTTTCATGAAGAGGATCAGCCGCGGCGCCCCCGGTATATAATCTCATGTGATCTATACTCCATGTTCAGCCATGTCTGTGGACATTCCTCAGACGTTCGAAGGAAGAGGACCCGACCAAGTTGACAAAGACTTGGACAGGCTTCATCAATTCCTTAATAAGAGCTTGGTGCTGCGTATTAAACTCTCTGAGGTTCTTCTTGACCCAGCCAGACTGCTTAATGCTGTCAATGCCGTCGAGGAATGCCATTTCTTAGGGACAAGACTTCCGAGGTTCTCCGGGAGGTTTATCAGGGAGAATGTGTGCTGACCCGAGGACTGCTATGCAGGAACATAAAAGTGGAAGAATCTTCTCGTTTCCAGCAGGGTCCTTGCTTCATGTTCCTCGAACACTCGGCACATACTTTCAAGATGCTCCTCGCACCAGTGCTTAGACAACTCTCTGGCGGCGTTTAGCACCGCGAGCTCGACCACACGGTTGGTGACTGGTCGGGTGGACCTTGATCTCTAGGACGTCCTCCTGATCGACCATTCTCGTGTCAACATTTTTTAAGAGGACCGCATGAACAGGTGCGGCGATCTGCTCTCTCCGCTTAAGATAAGTGACTCCTTGTTAACAGCCGTGTGGTTCACCGCGATATGTCTGCTGCACCCTGAAGTTTGAAGCCAGAGTTAAAGGTATAGATAATTACGTTATCTTTTACTTTAACTAGGCGGGCCGTGATACCTACGACGTGGACTGGCTTCTTCCCTGGTCTGACAGGCTGACGTAGACAGGAACAAATCGATCTGCGAGTCGGTTGAAATGCCTTCAGCATGTGCAAGAGCGTCCAAATCGTGATGCTTAATGGCCTTAGTGAATCTGACAGTCGAACTTGGCTTGCTGAAAGCGACATCTCTATTGTAACGTTGAACAAGGCCAGCTTATGCTGTTTTTCTTTGATGAAGACAGGGAGACGGAGAAGCGGTATGATAGAAGAAAGTGTAGGAAAAAAAGAAGAGGGTTCTTATAAAAATAATAGAGAGACAAGGACAGTAAAGACATCAGTGCTAATAGAATAATAAAAGAGGTTAATCTCAGAGTCACTTGTGAATAGTAAATAGTTGATAGTCACTATAATAACACGTTTATTCGGAGCCCAATAATAATAATACTTTAGACGTGAAATACCCAGCCTTGGGAATATTAGCATTTTGGAAAAGGAATATCCTGCCTTCACATACATTAATGCTCTAGGTGTTCTGATTCAGGTATTAGTTGCGATTCTGACTGAGTAGGCAACTTATTAGATTGTTAATAGGGCGTCGCAAACAATTACAAGTACACAGGGATATACAAGTTCCACCTAGCTACCTAACATGTAAACCAACCGAAGACAGAAATTCTCAATCCAGAAACAGTACTCTAAAATGCAGAATTTACCAGGAAAAGAACATACTATTACTTGCTCAACGCAGCGCGAACTAGACCCCAGGGCACCATAGTCTTATCCCACACAGACATACCAAACATCCTCAGAGGTCTACTCTGAACAGACACCAGCTCACTGAGGGGTAGGTTCCTTGCTCACTGCAGGCTTTTCTTCCGGTACCACGACTTCCCCGTTGCCTCATCTGAATTCGCAGGTGCTCAGTTTGATAGCTGTACTTATTCTTCTTGTGACTGTCATTAAAACCCATATTAAACAGTGGTCTGAGGCACCAACTCTTACTCGACATCATTTGCACCGGGGACTATTCTCCCACAATGATAATTCCTACAAAACCAGATTTGTATCCGCCCTTGCTACTAGTTATGCTACTAGTTATCCTAGAGCATCAAAACGTGAAAAAGGAGAGATCCTGTCTCTGGGGAATATCCTCGAGGCCTGCTGTGAGATTGAGTGTGGACATGGACGTGGACACGCAGTGGAGCTGCACCAGCACTCCGGCACCGTTCAAAGTGTACCGTGCCAGAGACGCTGCCACAATGTTTGTTATGTTGATCGGAAAGTAGAAAAGGATAGAAGTGCGATTCAGAGTCCTCATTAAACGTCCTTGAACAGGCAAGATATCGACATTCGATACCCTCCCTACTCCGTATACACTTCACTCAATATGGGATCGCTCGGCGTCAGCGATATTTACGCCCCCAATGGCGTGAAAGGCTCTTCATACCAAATTATCGAAAAACCAAGCCGGATCGCAAGGAAGATCCGCATCATCGTTATGGGATGCGGCGCCAGCGCAATCAATTTCGTGCACGAGGTCGATAACAGCCGGCTGAACCCGACTATTTTGCTCGGTGGGAAGGAGTAAGAGGGATCTTGAATTCAGACGATCAAAAGCTTGGGCTTTTTTTGAATTGCTGATCTTCCACATTCATGCATTCTTTTGTATATCTGTTCCTGTTCGTCGAGAGTTGAGTGTAAGGTATGGCACGGATCGGCGATCCAGCAAAAGCCGCAAGCATGTAGATATTCAAGAGCACTCTTACGTTCAGAATTAAATAGATTCGAATTAATAAGGCTGCCGAAGAGACAGCATACATCGTGAATACAGACACCATACCTGTCAAGAGCACATATATGAACATTTTCACCTATGCAAGTTCTTCACCCGCTTAATGTTTATTATATATTTTGGTGCAAATATTCATTTACAAATCGAGAAGGCCAATAATTATGGTGCCAACCTTTGCTGGGAGTGATCCGGCAACGGAATAGAATGTTTAGGGCTAATCTGGTAGACTGGACCAGAAAGAACAGAAACCACAGCTACAGGGTCTTCCATCGGTATGATCTTGCAAAAATTCCGTATGCAAAATTTACTTCTGCACAACCATACTCCCCAATTTCCAAGCTCGCCCAGTCGCCATATTACAGGTCCTTTGACTCGACACGACAACCCTCCACGCCCCAAGCCCAACAAACTCGCCATTCACAGCATGATACGCACCAACCCGATGGCACCGCTGCGTGCCCATCTCCTCATCTAGGAAAAGCTCCTCCTCAGCTTGCGTAACAACCGGCTGAATCACATACGGCGTTCGCTCCGATCCGGGGTGGATATGGATATCCGGATCCTGCAAGTCAGTGAGGATATCCTCCCACTCGAGACTACTCATCTCATCGCCGAATCGGATCCCCGCGCCGCGACTTGCGCGTATCGGCTTTAGAATGATCTTGGTTTTTGAGACTGTGCCCTCGTGACAAGTCTTGCGGAGAAGCTCGTGCAGTTCTTTAGAGCCCGGGATGATGGTGGGGATCACCCTTCTGCGAAGCAGGTTTGCTTCGTCTGCGGATAGAACGCGGTGCGCGAAGAAGAGTCAGGAACAAGACGCAGCTGCTCGGGGCTCACGACTCGCGGTCGTCGTCCGGTGCGCCTCTCAGCGAAACTGAAGAACGCGGCCATGACGTTCTTGCGGGATTCGATGAAATTCCGAGATTGGAGGAAGTGGATCGGCAGAGACGGATTGAACATTTTGAAAATGGCATCGAAGAGGCGCTTGGGATCTGCGGGGAGATCAAGCGAGGGAGGCTTCATCCCGGGGCTGTCCAATGCTTGGTAGAATAGGGCAGTCAGCTCTATGCAGTTGAAGGGGTACCGGGCGTTGATTTCACACATTTTGAAGGCTTCCTCCCCATCAGCAGGTAGAAGGAGCTCCGGCCGCCAGTTCCCCTGGTGTCCTGCGTATGGATGCATTACGTTGTTTTCGCTCTGTTGGGACACCCACTGTTCCGATACTGCTGGTTAACGGACTGATATGGACATGGTAGGTAGGATGGTGATACGAGAGGGCTAGATAAATACCTGTAGGAGCTCTTCTTCATGTCGTTCGAGTGGCATTCTCGTGGGGAAACCAGCCTCCCTGTCTGAGAACCAGCGTGCAACAATGTTATTCAAGGCCTTTGAAAGAGCATGATGGAATCGCTCTAGCTCAGCCAGGAACGAGCGAGACACCAGTATAGGATTGGGACTCATATAGCGCAACTCATATGGAAGATGGGCCAAGCCACTGGTATATTGGAAGATAACAGAAAGGTACGTTTCTTCTGCCTGTTTGCGATCTCGAAGGGACGTATTGTCTGGTGAAATCAACCCCTGTGACTTTTTAGATGCACTGGGGCATATCTGTATTGGATGCATGGAGTCTTCTTGAATAGTAGTAACCGACGCCACAATCACGCATCCAGCTCCGTAAACGTTACAGATCTTCCCATTGCCTGTACGCCATGGCGCCAGTCCAGCATAGCGGCCACTGGGAGCAAAATAAGAGCCGACCATTTGGCTGTCGCAGACCGTCTGGCCCCTATCCACCACGATATCGAATTTCGGCTGCTGCACGTATGGCTGGAGCACATAGCTTGTTGCATCGATGCGAATCCTCGCGTCTTGCATCCCCAGCAAAACCGATTCCCACTCTTGCTTGGAGATTTCACTTCCCAGGAGATGACCATTTCCTCGACTGGACCGGGCTGCCTTGCAGACGAAACCATTTTTCATGATCCCTCGCTCATCGCGGAGGACGCGCAGTAGTTTCTTCAAATCCTGTGATCCGGGTAGAATCGTCGGCACGATTCCTGCACGGAGGACACTAGCCTCGTCAGAGGTGAGGACGTGGTGTTTTTTGACAAGACCATCCAGCTCCTGCAGAATTATTCCCAGGAATCGCTGGTCATTCACAAGTAGACCAGTGCAGAAATCATTGACCGCCACCTCGGCGGAGCATATCCGTTGAAAGAGAACTATATTCGTCGGGAAACACCATTGCCGTCTGGTAAACTCGCTCTGGCTGGTCTTTGATCTCCGACCCTGGGCTCCTGCTGCTGCAGTAAAGAGCAAAACCCGTCTTGGAAGACGGGTCCGGCCTCAATTGCAGTTCAGATACGCTCACCATTTTTGGCCGCCATCCGGTCTTCTGTTCAACTAGGAGAGCGAAGTCTCCCCTGTCGAGGCTGTCTCTTCCCCGGACAATATGAATAGGCAAGCAGAGATCGAAATGGCTCAGAAGGCCATCTACCAAGACGTCAGAGTCACCTGCTGGCTCTAGGATAACTGGACGGCGCAGCAGCCCTCCCATGATCTGATGCTTGTACGCCGAGTACACGATCGCATTAAAGGGGTGCGACAGTTGATTTCGCAGAGCTGGAATCCCTTTCCGAGACTGGATTGCCATATCCACAGCCATTGCCATTGCAATTGTCTGTCAGAAGGAAATCTGGTCGCCAGATGCCCAGACAGTGTGCGAAAGCGGGCATGGAATTGTTCTTGCTCTGTTCGTCGATCCACTACTTGCGCTTTAGTATTTTGCGGTGGGATTTAGCTCTTCTCCTGTCGCCTTGTTACGGTGCAAGGGACGATAAATTTGAAAAGATTCTGCACTTACTTTCAAAATCCCTTCGGATTCAGACTGTAGAGGCATCCTAGAAGGAAAGTCGGATACAGTATCATCCCACCATCGGTCCACGATATTCACGATCACCTTGACGAGGACTTCATGAAATTGCTGCAGCCGAATTACAAAGCCTCTTTCACTCAGCATCGGGTAGAAAGTCATATGCTGACCATCGTGGTCAATCCCCGGCTGTGGTGTCGCTGCATCGAGCTTTTGATAAGTCACTTTATCCCGGATTTTGTCCTCCTCTGCGGCGGTGCAAATCGAAGTCAATTTCGATTGTTGGACCGTCGCCGACCAGCATACTTGCTGATGCTGAGAAAGGTGGTACGCCATGGTCATATTTGTATCCCTTATTTCGAGTCGCACGGTTACTGCGACCACGGAAGATGAAGAGCGTTTCGCATAGCATCCTCAGACTCACACTTGGCTGCCTCCAACGTCACTGGCTTCGAGACCACTTCCGCTCATTCAGCTACACCGGGAGGAAATTGGCCGTTAGCAGTGGGTTTTCGATACAGCCATGCAACCAGTTGGACGGATTAGAATAGGAGTGGAATGCAGGGCTCCTCTTGTTGCTACAGTGATGAAAACGACGGGCTGGGCTCAGACCAGTCGTTTCGTCAGAGAACAAGTTCCGGCTCGTTCCTGGACTGCTCTTCATGACTTCATCGTGCGCTGATCCTAATTAATCGTCCTCGAGTTGAGTATAATTCTCGTGAACCCTGCCCCTGATATTGTGGCGGGCTGAGCTCAGCAACATCACTGCTAGCAGTGGATCGCAACGTGATTCCTTCTGCCGCATGCAGTAGATTCAGCCTCCTGCCCAGATTCCTCACAGCTTCGTATCATTTGTATGTGGCTTGAGTGGTCTGTGTGGGAGAGATCGACATCTACTCTCATCACTTGACCGCGATTGACACTGGAACTGGAGGTTGTTTAGGACTTGAGGCGGCACTTCCTTTAAGTTGTTTACTACTGAGTCTCTTCAAGCATTTAATTATGCTATAAGACTGGGCAAGGCTCTTCCGCCCGTTCTTGTGCTTCTACGCCCTGATCAGCATGTTGTTTGCAAGGGTGACTTGGAAGATACTGATTACCTTGAGCGCCTTTTAGAATCTTTTCTGCCGAAGACGTAGATTAATGCATGCATAGTTTATTATCAAGCTGATTGCTAGGTGTTCCCTTCATGATGCGGTTGCTCCCTTAGAGCGGACAGCTGTTATTGAAGCTTTATAAGAAAGTGAAACTAATGTTGTTCGTATATTCATGTTTAAAGTTATAGGGAACGATAAAAGATCAATAAATCCTATAATAAGTACAAGCATCCATCAGAACTATGAATATAAATACCTTTCAATATTTATTTGCAATATCCTGTGGTTATATTATTTGTCAATATTCCTGTCAAGATTACTGTACACGGAACAAAAATATTTCTGACTAAAAGCTAGCCATCTCGATCCAACTGGCGACAAACGCTAACCGACGTCCACGGTCGGCGGCCATGCGTCGCGAGAATTCATCAAAATTCAATCTGGCGCCCGTGCCACCGCGTTCCTGGGCCTGACGCTCGATATAGTTTAGGTACGCCCACCGCGACAGTGTCAGCTGGGAGGGGGGCTGCGTGGGACCCGTCCGTCGAGGTGGTGAGGGGCTGCCGTTGGGTGGGAGTGGTTGAATTGGCGAGGGGGAGTGTTTGGGAGCAGTGGCTTCGGCTTCGGGGGAGGATGGCTCAAGGGAAGCAGGTGCTGGGAAAGAGGTCGTACCGTTGGGTGAGAAGCGAAGCTCGGCCGGCAGGTTGTGTTGCTGGACGTCGTCGAAGATGGTGTGCACCGAGGATGAATCGGAATGGTAGTCATACGCCTCCTGGCTCTCGTCATTGGGACGATGTTGTGGCAGGGTAGGGTCGAAATCCGTCTCCACAGAGGGCAGGACGCGTTCTTCCATGGCGAGAGATCCCTGCGGGAATGAAACTGGAGGAAGCTCGAGTTCGTCCGTCTGGAGTTCTGGCAAGTCAGGGCCATCCAAGCGGTCGTCCTCCTGCGCGTCTTCTTCGGGCTCGGCGAGGTGTGTCGGCCGTACATCGTGATCCGGGAGTCTCAGGTCCGGGGATCGGGGAGCGAATATAGGGCTATCAAGAAGCGGCTCGTGAGGTGGACTTCTGATCGAATATCCCGTCTGGTCCAGAAGCTGCTCCAGAGGCCTGTCGCTGAACGGGTTTTTCTCCAGCTCTTCTTCGTCTTCTTGAATCCCCTCGCCCGCGTTTCGCTTTCCCGCTCGCTTTAAAATCTGATCGAATTGATTCTCGGGGCGCTTCGCCACCAGTTCAATCTCGTGGGCCCATATCTTGCGCTCAGCACGTGTCCGGTACGCTTCCATGAGTAGGTCCTCCTTGGGCTTGAACAGGATGTCGAGTAACTCATTGAACCCTTGTTGGGTAACTTGGTACAGGATCTCTTTTCCTACATCACGCTCCACCTCAGGTACTTCAAAGCCTCCCCACCTCTCACTAACAAGGATGCTCCGTGACGATGTCGACGGGTTCGATCTCAGATCGTAGTCGTCTGCAATATCATCCTGGAAACGCACCTTGGACGAGGATCGAGAACGAGGAGATGGCGGGTGAGACTCGTAGTGTTCCTCAAAAGCATCCTCATCGGACATTCCGTCGAGATTCGGGTCACTCTCGTAGTCCTCGGGCACGGTTGCCCCGTCTTCTTCATCGGTATAGAATGCTCGTCGTCGCCACCGTTCGTCGATGCCGTGCCGGCGGACCTCATTCATCTGTCTCTGATCATCGTCACACATTCTATTATACACCGCTGTGCCGATCCGGGCCCTATCAACAGGGTCGGTGACTTCTTGGAGAGGGACATATGCTCCAAGAGCATTCACAATATCTTCCTCAAGGACGTGCTCGGCCGGGGGCCAGCGGTCAGTGCCCACCGACGAGCTGGACACGTCGGAGCCACTACCATCATCGCGCTGCTCGTGGTTTGCAGCCCTTCTACCCGAAGCACGCCCAGTGGGAGTAGAGAGCCGTACTGACGGAAACAGCGGGCGCAGACCGCCGTATCTACTTCGAACCGCAGAATCCCCGACAACCGTGTGTCGATTCCCAGTGTCGGTGCCATCCGGCCGCAATACCCCTTCGTTGTCCACGATTTCCATGTCTCCATCTGCGTTGATACGTTTCCCTTCTCCCGTTCTGGACGCCTCACCGGAGGGGATGTTGCCAGGAAACGCGGAGCTGATCGGCTGCATTCCTAGAACAACATCACGCGCACCACCCTCCAAGAAATCATCCTCCATACCCGCGACCATGTCTCGGGTCAATTCCCTGCTGAGGGTGTAATAAGCCCGGAACACTCGCAAAAAATCCTTCCGTTCCACGTAGCCGTCACCGTCGATGTCATAGCCACGGAAAACACGGCGCAGCCTTTCATCATTGCTCTTGTTATTGAGGCTCGCAAGACCCTTGAGAAACTCCTCAAATCCGATCAGGCCATCACCATTGGTATCGTAGAACGCGAACATCCGGTCGTATATTAAACTTGGCGGCGGGGGTCGGACCGACGTGTTGGGGACAAAGCACCGATCAAACGTCTTACGGTCAATTGCCATGTAAAGCTTATTCGGGTCATCTGGCCATTCATGATTGGCGAGGCACCGGAACTGATCCCATAGCGCATCAAGTTCCGTGTTCTCAAGGCTGGTTTCTTTCATCAGACGTTTGGCCAACGACCGGGGCAAGCTGCGCGGGAGCATGGAAGGCTTCCCAGGATACCACACAGGTTGAGACTGCCGTGGATTGCCCAGGAAGGGAGCCGGGATACGGACTTTGTAGAACAAATGGGTCTTAATGTGTACCTGCATGGCTTCACATGTCTCACAAAGATCATAGTCAATGCAGTTCGCGCAACGGTATCGAATACCTTGGATGGGCATAGCTCCGCAACTGTTGCACGTCACCCCTCTGTGGATGTAGCCATCTCTCCTTGCCTGATCCTCAGCAATATGATAGAGTAAATTGAGCAAGTTCTGGCCTTCACGAGTCGGAGAAGACTCGTTGTTCCCATCGCGCCACGAAAAGACGCTCTGGTCATCGACCACCGTCTCACCACCGTCCAAGTTCTGTGCAGGTGAAGATTCATCCGGAAATGTTGATGTGGATAGCGTAACCCTCTCACCATTTTGTCGACGCCGCCGCAATTCTTCTCCGTAGTTATTGTCCTCATTGAATCGTGTCAAGGCGCGCTCGATTCCTGCGTGAGAAATCCCTCGTCGTTGAAGCTGCTCCGTCAAGTACTCCCGTTCCGCGCTTCCTTCCTCCAAACTATGTCCTGGCGGGAAATCCAAAGCAAGGAACGACTCCAGAAACGTATCTTCCATCATCTCGCGCATCCGCTCCGCATGGGCTTCGGGAACGCCCACTTCCTCCATCAGCTGGTCCCGCGTCGCCAACAGCGACGGGAGTAGGCCACTCTCCACACGACGTCCATCTTCTGTCTCTATGCGAAAGGTACCGTACACGCCATTTTGACGTTCCAGCTGCTCGAGGTGGGCGACGGCCCGGGATGAGGGAGTATCGACGACTGCGGGCTGCTCAGGCTCACTTCGCCTCGGGCGGCGAATAGCTCTCCTGCGACGAAGAGATGGCCGTGATGATGAAGACGAGAGGAGCTGATTATTGACGTAGACGAGAGCGTAGGCGGCCGCGATTCCTGTCAGCAGGTAAAGCACTGGACGATATCGGGACAAGTCCGGCCTGGAGTGTGATTCCGACATGGCGGTAAGACGTAGAGACTAGGGAGTATTAGGAGTCATTATTATTTGGAACACATCCGGCCAACAAACAGAACAATAAAGAGGGGCAGTAGATATTTGATCCAGGGTGAGCGTAAGAAAGTCGGTGGCTGAAGTTAAGGCGAAGCTGTCATACCGCAACGGGAAGGCGGCCAGAGCCTCTAAGGCGACAACAACGTCCACGGAATTCTCTATATTGCCACCAACCAGTTCTACCAAGATAGAGATAATACAAGAAAATCAAAACAAGAAGAACCATTGATCATATGTCTAGTCGTTAAATCGCCGAATATTCCAAGCAATCATTCACATCCCTGGGGTCATCACAGGGATCTATCCAAACGCTGTGCAAAGTCTTGTGTCACCAGTCTTCGCTAGTAATGCAAATCTTATATACTTCTTGATCTTCCTCTCATGTCCTTTGGATACTGTATCAAATTGCATCTTACCGAGAATCTTCCATTTATCAGGCTGATCCATGCTTATGCGCGACTCACCGACTGAGTTTCTTCTCGCGCATAAAAAAGCTGCTAACGAGGGCAAAGAACACGATGCCGATTAAAAAGGAAAATCCTTTATTCGTAGCCCATCCGTAGCAGCTTCGAACATTTCTACCAACGGCGGGGTCAAGGGTCTTGATAAAATCAAGACTCTGGCGCACTCCGTCTACAATGCGGTCGATATCCTTGCTGTCACGCAAGGCATACCGCAGTCGACTTCGAAGGGCTTGCTGTACCACTGTTGAAGACAGCGACAGACCAATCACTGATCCCAGAGACCGGAAGAGATACGAGCAGGCTGTTACGACTGCCTGGTCCTCAGGGGTCGCGTTCGATACTGCACGAGAAGTCAAAACACATCGGAGACCGCCGATCAGGGGAGAGGTAACCTACTTAGACTGATCAGTGTCGTGGTGATGCCGGTGCCATTCCCAAAGGCCGACAACATTGTTCCTAGTATCATCGGAACTAGGCTCGTAACAACACCCCCCGAGAAAATGAAGATTAACATGAGCCCCAGTGTCAGAAATGAATATGAGATCACTGTTAGCCAGTAGAACCTTCCAGTCCACTTCATCACGAATCCCGCAAAAAGAGAGCCGGTTACTCCACAGATGATACTAGGCAGAAGTCGTAATCCAGCAATAGTAGCGGATACGCCATCTACAGCCTGGAAGTATAGCGGAATATAAAACAGAGCTGCAATCCAGCCTCCAAAGCTGAAAAAGTTACAGCAATAAGTGGCGAAAAATGTGCGGTTAAAGATGATATGACCGGGAGCGAAGGGTTCGGCTGCATAGTAGATCTCAATCACGACGAAAAGCACAAACAGAACGACGGATACACTCAACGAGATGATCGTTATCGGTATCGACCAGGACACATTACTGCCTCGGTCGAGACCGAGAAGGAAGCCGAAAACTGCGCCGACGAGAACAATCGCCCCTGGGAAGTCGATGCGCCTAAGCTTGCTTCTCCAATGACTATCTTCCTGGGAAGGCAAGTCGAGCATGATCGATACAGCTATGTAGGCAATTATACAGAGTGGAACTTGAGCAATGAAGGCCCTACCACGCGGGTGAGAAATTGAGCAATCATCATACTAAATGAGATCATCGATAACATACCATCGCCAGCCGATATAATCAGCCAAAATACCACCTAACCAACATATGAGTCAGCTGCATGAATTACTGAGAAATAGCAAGGGTCCCTGTACCTAAGGGTGCACCGGTTCCCGAACCAGTAGCATAGATGATATTAATGATCCCTTGCCAAACCCCCCGGTCTCGGAGAGGAATGATATCACTCATGAGGATGCTAACCACAGTTGTCATGCCGCCGCCCCCTATGCCTTGAAAAACCTAGATTTAAAGTTGTCAGTCTCACTTTGCACATGTAAACATGTAGTGTTCCGTACCCGAGCGGCAATTAGTTGGTGGATATTCTGCGCGATACCACAGAACAAACATCCAGTGCCGAAGATAGCGTATGCCCACAACAAACAGGCCTTCCGACCAAAGATATCGCTCAATTTTCCGTACAGAGGTTGGAAAGACGTCAAAGTCAGGAAATAAGAAGTAGCAATCCAACTAGTCAGATTGAGAGCCTTGAGATCGCTACCAATCTGGCCATAGCTGGCCATGATAATCGTCTGGTCGGCTGCGGACAAGAAGATCTAGCCATAATTTAGTAAATTTAATCCTAGCAGCTGGGATGGCATTCCAAACTAGGTCTTACTCCGATAGAAATCGCAGGCACAATGTACCGCAGCTCGTGTATCGCTTCTGCGGCATTCTTATCCGGTTGTGCTACATCGGGTCTAATTGCCGATTCAGGGTCCCTGGGAATGGCCCCGATCAAAGGAGGCTGAACAGCATTGCCGTTGCCTTGCGACCCCAGCAACGGAGATATCTCTGTGGGAAGCCTCTCAGGAGACATACTATTCACTGGCTCGTTCAAACGCCAGTACCACCAGCCAGGGCCCTGAGAGATAAATGAATCAGACAAAAGACTCCCCGAAGGCTGACTCCGTTTATCGGCAACCTATGAATCACGTGATGATAAGACGGCTAGTCTGACAAATTGTGGATGAGCGGGGCAAATTGAAATTCCTGGCTGTTTATTGGACAGATTGGCTTGTCGGTTATCGGAGCTAACCGCTCTGGGCAACCAGGCGGGGTCAACGGGTCCGATTTCCTTTCCTGGGTTTAGATACAGGAATTGGTCTATTGATTTATCCACGCCCGACAGTGGGGTTCCAGTGCATACTATCCTCAAAGCTATCCATGTGCAGGAGTATCGCATGGCGCTAGGGAAATAAAAAAAAAAAAAAGACTATTTTGATCTCCTACGTCATATAGATAGTTCAGTGCCCTGGCCATGTCCGAATAGAAACACCAATTCAAAATCTGTCTGCGTATGCCTGGTATCATGTATTCGATTAATACTCCAACATGACATGTATAAAGCTCGCTAGTACTCTAAGTCGCTGTTTCTATAAGCACACATAAACAATGGAATCACGCCTCGGTCATGGCCTCATCGACAACCGGCATAGGGACCGGGCCACCAGGCGAGTCCGGCAGGCGAGCAGTGAGGACCTCGACACCATCTTCCGTGACCAGAAGAGTATGCTCGAACTGGGCAGATAGAGATCCATCCGCCGTGGTGCTGGTCCAATCGTCGGGCCACGTGCGATCACGGTGGGTTCCAATGTTGATCATAGGCTCGATAGTAAAGCACATACCGGGCTTTGCGGTACCAATGGCCTTATTCTTGCCATAGTGTGGGACATTGGGAGCACAGTGGAACAGGTGATGGATACCGTGGCCACAGTAGCTCTTGACCACGCTGCAGTTCCGGCTCTTCGCATGTTTCTCGATCACATTTCCGGGGTCCCTAAACAGCATACCAGGCTTCACCAGACTGATGGATTTATCAAGACACTCTCGCGAGGTCTCAACCACTCGAACTGCATCGGGATTTGCGAGAGCCTTCTCTCCCACATAGTAAGTTTCGTTGAGATCTCCATGATAGCCGTTGTGGTACAAGGTAACGTCAATATTGATGATATCACCATCTTCGAGAGGTCGCTGATCGGGTATACCGTGACAGATAGTTTCGTTGATCGATGTACATACGGACTTAGGGAAATGCATGTAATTCAACGGCGAAGGGTAGGACTAGATCGGGTTCAGCGTCATCGAATCAACTAATAAGCAGGCGACAAATTCAATTCGCTCCCTCTAGCGAGATCACATACGTTGCGTTCTAAGCAGGCGTTATGCACCACCTCGTCGATGTAGTCGGTCGTGACTCCTGGTTTTAACTCCCGTGCCGCGATATCCAGCACTTCTCGAGCCAGGCGGCAGACCTTCCTCATGCCCTCCTGCTGTTCCTTACTTAAAATCGTAATGTTCCGCTGGCTCAGGATTTTCTGCTCCGACCGAGGAATGCCATCCTTGGCGTAGTCGGGATGGGGGATGGATTTAGGGACAGTCCTATGGGGAGACAAAGGATAGACGGGTCTCAACGAGCCGGTGAACGGATAGGATGGAAACGGGTTGAATTGTCCCGTTGCTGGATCTGGTTCAGAAACTACCTTTGGAGGAAACAAGTTGGTGAGGAAATTACTCTTCGATTTATGGAGGGCCTTGTGCTCGCCCTACAGCGCCATAGTCAGTGCACGTGTCCATAGGGTCCTCAGGGGCAACACACGTGAGCCTTCTCGGTCACGCGAGGCAGCCTACCCAGCTCCGCTTGAAACAATCTTGCGAACAGAAGAAACTATCTGTGCCCAGCTTCAGGCATGTCGGACACTGTAGAGTCCCCGCCGCCTTCTCGCACTCCACTCCCATACATTTCCGAGACTCAACTGCGGCTGCCATACTGAGGCTCCGAAAACCTGCAATATCGAATGTCCCGAACAAAATTCTAGAGAAGATGTAAAACAAAAGGTATCTTTTAGGTGAAGGGCTACAATAGAAGGGCAAAAAAACTAGAAAATCCCCGGCGGATCCGCCTCAGGTTGGTTGATCGCAGGCTAACCATTTTTGGTTTAGTTCTTATGCCTTAAGAGGACTAGTGGTAGTCACGCGTGTGCTCTAGACGCGCGGTTGCAGGTTAGGTGAGTATGCTTTACCGCGTCCGCCGCGGTCCGGATCGAAGACGCTAGCCGAAATCGGCCCACCGTGGGGCTGCTCTGGTGACGCAACATGAATGAATAGAAATCGTTTTTCATTGCCATTGATATCCGAGACAAAGGGCAAGATCTTGCCTGGGTCACACTCATCATGGCACAGAATTCGAGAAAACAGAAAGTAGTGATCGTCGGAGCAGGACCAGTTGGATCTCTGGCGGCTCTCTATGCAGCCAGCAGAGGCGAAGATGTCGAACTGTACGAGTTGCGGGGGGGTAAGTCTCTTCTGGCTCACTATATACCTTGAACTCTCTGTCTGTACCTGGTGTACGACGATCAGGCTTACGCCTATTTCCTCTATCACGCTTGTCAGCCGAGCTCCCGGACTTCCTCTGGACTGTCCCGATATTGCTTCGTCGTTGTGCTCTGAATCTCTCTGTTGAGCTCTACTCACACTGCAGACTGATTAATAGACCTTCGTGACCCTGCTACTATCCCATTAAACTTTACCAAGTCCATCAATCTCGCACTCTCCGAGCGTGGTATCATGGCCATGCGGCAATCAAATCGCGCCGAATTAATCCAGAATGTCCTCCAGCAAGCAATTCCGATGCATGGCCGGATGATCCATGGCAGAGATAATGGGCAACTTTGGGAAGTTTCGCAGCAATACGATGTCCATGGCCGGGTAAGTCTTCCTGTCGTCTCTTTTCCGGGGTAAAATCCATGACTGACAGGATTCATCTTAGGCCATCAATTCAGTGGACCGAGGAACTCTGAACAACGCACTCCTCGATGAATTAGAACGCACGCCAAACGTCAAGCTATTCTTCAATCACAAGTTGACGGGCGCTGACTTCCGCACCAACAAGGCATGGTTTGAACGTCGAGTCCCCGGAGAAACACCTCCGTCAGGTTCTGGCAACCGTGTGCCCGAAATCGAAGTGGAATTCGACTATCTGATTGGGGCAGATGGCGCTCATTCGGCATCGAGGTACCACATGATGAAGTTTGCTCGCGTAGACTACCAGCAGGAATACATCGACACCCTATGGTGTGAATTCCGCATCCCACCCACCGGTACCGGCGATTTCCGCATCTCCCCTAACCATCTGCATATCTGGCCCGGGAAGGAGTTCATGTTCATCGCGCTGCCGTCGGCCGACAAATCATTCATATGCACGCTCTTCGCCCCTGCCTCCCACTTTGAACAGTTGACAGACTCCTCGGAAAGTTTACTTGAATTCTTCGACATCCACTTCCCCGGGGTCTCCCCTAACTTGATTACCCCCGAGGCGCTGCACGAACAATTCACCGTCAACCCCCACTTACCCTTGATCAGCATTAAATGTAAGCCTCATCATTATGGCTCCAGCGTGGTCATTGTAGGAGATGCGGCACATGCCGTGCTCCCCTTCTACGGCCAAGGTCTGAATGCCGGCCTGGAGGACATTCGAATCCTATTCGAATTTCTCGACCATCACGGCGCATATGATCCAGATGCAACCCTCAAGTCTCGTAACCGATCCCGCCAAGCTGCCTTCCAGGCATACACGGACCAGCGCTCTGCAGATACCCACGCCATCAACGATCTCTCCAAACAGAATTACATAGAGATGCGTTGGGGCGTCAATTCGCCGCTGTATAAACTGCGCAAGTCGATTGAGGAGTCCCTGGATCGCCATACCCCCAGCTTGGGCTGGCAAACACAATACTCCCGGGTCAGTTTCAGCAACCAGCGGTATTCTGATGTCATCCAGGCCGTCCACAGACAGGGCAGAATCTTGAGCTATGGTCTCATCACTGTACTTACCTCGACCGCAGCGGTTGTTGGGATTTTAGCATGGAAGGATCCTGGTCGCTTCACACCATTGACCATGCTACGGAGCTCTCTGCAACGACTGGGACGGTTTATATTCCAGAATACTGCGTCATCATAGTGACATCTCGGCCGAAAAGAGTACTGTGTGTAGTTCGCTGCTGTTTCTTGCACGGGGTGGGGGGATTTTTCTTTGTTTTGTTTTTTATGCACAGTGTTTCATACATGTATAGCCAACCCTGTTAGAATGTAGTATATCATAGAATATGTTTTCTCTCTGAAGAGACGTTATTCATTATAGCACTGTGGATATGGGAGTTTCCAGAGGGCTTCGTCAGAAAAATGGACAGGGCAACATCGTACGACTGGCCGTGGCGAGTAATGGAGGGCAGATACCAAGAATTCGTCATCGAAAATGCATCGGACGACAAGGCAAAGATAGCGTGGGCAATAGTTGAATGCTCGAATCTCCATCCTGAAGGCCAGTCTACTAGGGATTTCAAGAAGCTGGCTTATGAGCTTCACGCATTGTATGCACAATATCTCTTTTATAAACCTGTAACGCTACTCAAAAATCTTTTTAAATAGTTAATAGAGTTCTGTTGACTTTCAATATGATAGAAATTATTAAATGTTTTCACTCTTCATGGATGTCTCATGCCAAATATCATAGGCCCAGTATAGTCCAATGAAGTATAGAAAGCTAGTACCTCACAATTAGTACTTACTAGCCTTCTAGTCGAGATGCATGTATGTACACATCATCGTGTAAATACGCACCCGTCGGATTCTACCTAGATTGTTGGTGATGATGCAGCGTCAGCAGATCCCTTCGTGCTCAACCAATCTAACAAGGTCCGGGACGCAGGCAAGGATTGTCATTTCCTTTGGTGATATTCGCCTGACACAATATTTGTAAACTGACTCTAAATGTGGCGAGTATAGGCTAGGGTGAAATGGACCGGAAGACATGGCTACCAGTCCAACGCTTCTTCCCCTAACTAACAGCCACGTAGCGCATACTCGCAGTTCAACCCAATTTTTTTCGCCGTTGTCCATACCCCATGGGACACGCGTACCTGATCACCTCCCAGACATCTCCAAGAATATCCCAAGGTCATACATCGGATTCACATGATCATGTCCCTTGACAAATTGGTCAACCAAAAAAACAGGCAGCCAACACCATACAAAGGAATTCCCAAATATGTAACACAGAGAGACGGAAACAAATTAATAGGGAATAATAGTAGAAAAACCAAAAACAGGAAATCTAGAGCATCTGGGACCAGGCGTACACAAAGGCAAGTGCTATATGGGCCTTCTTCTGTCCCGATACAGTACAGTAAACATGGAAAACGCATGAATAATGTTCAGGAAGACAAGTAAAACAGACTTCAGACATAAGTGGAGCTATAAAAACGTAGGGATATTAAAAATATGATTCGTGTAAGTACGCCACGACGGTGCACACTACACGGCTACCAACATGGATTTGGATCTCAGTGTCGCTCTAACCATGTAGGTCAACCGAAAAGGACACATCCGGGTGTCTTTGGGCGTGCAGGGTATTAGACGCCAGACCGGGAATACTGGGCCATTTCTCAATCCGTCGGGGTCCAAGAAAAACATAGCAAGGCTTCTATTCCAACCATACGGGCGGAAGGGAATCCGCGTAAACCAAGGGCAACACGCTAAGGTCCAGGGGTCCATCCTGAAGATAGCTTGTCAAGGGACAAGGGAAAAATAAGCCAACAGTCACGCAAGACCATATGGGTTCCAAAAGGGTCCGGCTTGTTGGAACAACAAAAATATTCGGCCATATATCAGGGAGGACATCTGTAAGGGGGTGAAACTCAAGGAAACCATATTCAAGGACTGACGAATTTCACCCGACGACTGCGTCGGTCATGGATGCGTTTCTCCGTATCAAGATAAAGGCGGTCCAAATAGTCCATGGCATCGGCATCTTTCAGGATTTTTGCCACCTGAGTTCCAGCTGAAATGAGCTGAAGTACATTGCGGTCATCCTTGATGGGCCTGGATTGATGTTTGGCAGCATGTCTCATTTCCAGGGAGTTTTCCAGAACCGTAACTAATTGCTTAATCTGGCCATTATAAAGCACTCTGGCTGGGATGCGGCGCTTGGTGGCCAGTCTCTTTAGGAGATACACCCACTCAGTCCATTCACGGTCTGAGGGAACCCTCACCTGTCTTTTGTCCGGTTCCAGGGGAATCGGAAATTGATACTTTGCAACAAAGTCAAACGCACACTGCGACAATCGGTCATTCACCGCAGACAAAATCCGATCTTGCTCTGAGACATCAAGATTAGTAGGAAGATGAGGCAGATCCCTGGCCTGCGCCGCGATGATGCGCGAGGAAGGGATTTCCAGCAATTGATGGGGTCCATCAAATTCGTCCCGGTTGGACGGTCGTCTTTGTGAGTGGTAACGCGTACTGCTCTTGAATTTTTCAGAGGCACGTCGACCATTCCTTTCAACCAGGTAGTCCGAATTCTCAAACTTGCCCAAATCGTAGTCAGGTCTAAGAGCCTGCGGGGGGAGACGTGCAGGATGATCCCACTCGCGGTACAAAGCAGGTGGACGTGGCAAGGTGCCCGCCGACGAGACAACTACGCCACCCGGGGGATGTGCAGATACCGGGACGTCATTGTAGGACACAGGGAAATCATGATCAGGCGATACTTGCTTCGAGGGCCTTGAGGCAGAAATTTGAGTATCTAAAGGGACACATTCCCTGTGAGGCGACAGTCGCTTTGCGCTGGGAAAAGCCATAAAGAAGATCTCAGCATAAACATGATCTTTTCCCCGTGGGATGGTAGGGGCACGCCACAATATGGTTAGATACCTTGGGTGATAGATCATGGGGGCGTCGCTGGAAGTCCCGTAGAATTTTGGATGCTGCGACATGACACCACTATAATGGGTGAGCTTCTCTCAGGAAAGAGCTCTAAAACGCCATAGATGGGGAGGAGGTATATGTCCGATGGAGCTAACCTATGACGAGACCATGTATCCGAATCACTGCCAATTGAGTGCGTGTAAGAGCCGCTGCCGGAGGTTGTCCCGGAGAAATAGCTGAAGGCCGAAGACATTGGTATTGTTTGAGGTGGAAGAACCGGCGACATGAGATATCTAAGTATGGGAAGAAATGTTTATGGGGGCAATGGCAATCATATATAAAGTTTAAGAAACCGTTCCAAGGTCTCTCGGGTTAGGTTAGTCCTTGGGAAACGCCACACCGGGGGTGGGAAGCTGCGGGTTTAATATAACAACGAGGCAAACAAGGACCTTAAGGCCCAATCGTTGGGGCACAAGATAAGTTCTGGCTTCTCCTGGTCCCACGAAGGTAGGAGTGCTCCGTACAAGGATAAAACGTAAACTAAACCCAAATAATCATGAACCGAAAGGCACAGGGTATGAAGAACTCCACACCAGCGGTAAATGCGTACAGAGTGCTGGTAAAGAAGATGCCGTTCCTGCCTGGCACAAAGCTTCCCGGAGGATATAGCGGTAGAATACCACGCAAGACAGAGTCAACTTCATACCATGCCCAATCAATTCAGGTCGAGTCGTCTCTGTTGAGTCTCTTTGGACCAGGTAGCTGAAGGAGTCTAAGCAAGGGCGTCGGCGACGGCACCACAATGGTAAATAACATCTACTTATCTTATAAGCATCGCTAAGGACCTGTCACCTGCTGAACCAGATGCATAGAGGGAACCCAAGGATGAGCCCGGAAATGGACGGTGGATGTGCTCTAGGATCCGAGAAACGTCAGACTCCGCATGCTGATCGTGCCCACAAGGGAGATAGAGCAGCACAATGGAGAAGAGAAAAAGGAGCAAAAGGCCAGAGGATTCTGGCTGCATAATGGGGGGTTTGGGCAGCAACATCCGTCAGGATCCAGCAGGGCGCATGCATATCCACTAGGCACCGCAACAAATTGTCATTCGGGGCTTGGCCCCATCAGAGATCATTCATCAATGAGATCGCATGGAGAGTTTTGGGATTGTGTTGACAGCGAGTATGGATGAGAAAAGGAAGAACTCTGAGTTCTCGCGATGGCCACCAAAGACGTCTCGGGAGATTCCGTTCGGGTTAAGAGTGTCGGTCTCAGGAAGCATCGAACCAGCCCAGTCGATGCCTGTTTTCATCTATTTTTACCTTGTCATCGTCTTTTTCTTTTTCTTCCCTTTTTTTTTTTTTTTTTTTTTTGAGACAACGTATGTTACATGCTACTTCTCATCCATGGTGGACATTTCGTCGAGAGTCAAACTGATGTTGGTCGCCGGCCCATCTAGAAGCAGGTCCCCGATTATGACAGAGCATACGACGGGCTATACTATACGATATTATAGCAATGTCTGAGGATAGGAGCAATTTTGGATACGGAGCACGCGCCAGGCATGGCTCCATGGCGGCCTACGATTGGGGTTCTACTGTGGAGAGCATGGATCTTCGCTAGTTTTATTGGGATTCTGATACCTCTCGAGGCAGTTGGGCATACACATTTCTGCATGTCTTGTTGCCCAAGCTGCAGGCCATTGTATTGGCCAACCTCCGTCCTATGTATGGACAGTTTAGGAAGTGGATTCTGCAAAATCAGGTCATCCATGAACAATAGCCCAATGATCGATTTTCTTCGGCTTTGCTTTTCTAGGGGGGAAAAAAATGTGTGCGACATGAGTTGATTCCGTCCATTTCGATATCCCGACGTCGGTGATTCAATAACCATCCAAGTATCGCCACTCAGCAAATAAGAGAAAATGGGAAAGACGAGTGACCCGCTGATACTTCTAGCCATGCGGTGTTCAAGACGACACGTTCTTGGTTGATGACAGGGTTACACTGGCCATGTAGATGGTGTACATAGAACTCACTTCTCCTTCTTAGAGTACCTCTGAGCTGGTAATTTAATTCCTAGGCGACGGGCATAATCCTTGAACCCCAGGTGAGTAGATCCTCGAAAGATTCGGCAGTTACTGGGTAATCCTGTGCATTCACGTACCTCACAGCTCAGTCGGATACCATCTTCAATTCCAACACGAGCTTCGTATCCTAATATCTGCTTTGCCTTCTCTCCACTAGCATAGCGGACAGAGCATGCGTCCTTCACACTTCCACGGCTCAGCGTGGTGGTTGTTCCGAAAAGCCAGGTCAACCATTCCGACACCAAGCCTGCGAAATAGGCCAGTCTCTGGGGTATCCGGATTTCGAAGGGTGGAGTATGACCGAAATGGGCCCAGATGGCTAGGCAGAAGTCCCTAAAGGCAATTGGTTCGTTGTTCTGAATGAAGAAGGCTTCACCGGCAGCAGTCCTCGAAGACATAAGGTTCTCAGCGGCCAGGACATGGGCGTCGGCAATGTTGGCGACATAAGTGACGTCCCATAGGTTGAGACCATCCCCGATAATGAAAGGGGTTTCGCCCTTGGCAATGCATGCATGTATGGGGGGTACTAGCGTGTCATCGCCAGGCCCGCAGAGCACGGAAGGCCGGAGAGAACATGTAGCCATTGTCTCGTTGGATTCTTTGAGGACCATTGCCTCCGCAGCAGCCTATTAAATGGTCACGGCAATCAGTTAATCCATAATTACCTCATGAATACAACGATCATGGACTTTATGGGGTCTGAACCTTTGATTCGCCATATATCAGAGACGAGGAAAATGCCGGCCATCGCTCATCGATATTCGGATACGGCATATCCATATGATCAATTACTACGCAACAGGTGCTTGTGTAAATGAAGCCCTTCACTCCACTCCTTTTCGCCGCCTCCAGCATGTTCCGGGTTCCCTCCACGTTGATTTTCCGGGTCTGGCTTTCCAACCTTCTGCCGAACCTCTCACTAAGGCGTGGGACAATCCCTGCCGTGTGAATGACGATGTCTGGTTTGACTTGCTGAACTGCCTTGCTGACTTCACCCCAGTTAGTGATGTCCACCTGGATGAAAGGTATGCCCTCCGGGACAACATGGGATGGCCCTGGCGGATTCAGATCTATGATAGTAAGAGCACATTCAGGGTATTTCTCAACAAGCGCTCTAGCGATGGCTGCACCCACGAAGCCACTGCCACCTGACAGCAAGACATTTTTCAGAACCGCCCCGGTTCCATTCATGATGCAGAGATATTGAGGGTCTATGTAAAACGTAAGCTCTTCTTTCCCGGTCTTCTATCCTAATTTTCACTCCCAGTAAGACGTGTCCCTGGATGATCTAGTTTGGCAGTACGTAGTATGATGCGCCTGACCAGCCTAATGAAATGAACCGGGGTAGAAGAGTATGATCAGACAGTCCGTGTGGTGTTAGTCAGAGGTGAGATGATAATTATTCAAATAGACAAAATTTTATGTGGTCCACGTTGGCTGAACAAACCCCTCGGTTGTTGAGGTAAAGTTCCCAGGGGGATGATGTTGTCGTTGTACCGACGAGGTGGAGGCGGAGAAGGTCAGGATCACAAGGCTCGGGAATCGTCCACCCTGGCATGTGTTGTTCTCAGAAGACGAGGGGAGTGAGGAATAAAATAATATATGAAAAAAGAATTGTAAAACAAAATGCGGTACATGAAATCGACCTATGTTACTGTACAAGGTATCCATCCCAACAGTCGCAATTATCAAAGATACAAAACATGGGATGAGACACTGCGACTAACCAAACTCCAGTTCCAATGCAAGGCCCACGACATCCATAAAACAAAAGCTCTGTTTCTCCAGGTTCCTTTACAGAATCCGACAGAGGACCATCCCTCCTACTTTCTTCTCAACACACTCTCGTGCTTCCATGATGCCCCGATCTGTGGAAAGATACATACTCTCTCCTGGCGACCGAATCCCTTCCACGTAGCCACTCTTCTCTCCACGCACTACTTTTCGCAGGCCCTCCACATCGATCGTTATTCTCCGTTTAGGTTTGCTGACCATGGAAATCTTTCCGAGAACCGGTTCGCTCTGCCAGTATTTCAACCCCAGCCAGAGTCGCCTGGACGCAACGTTGCTTTGGGTAACGGGCTCCACGCCAGCAGCTTCATCATTGACCGTAGGGTGGCCAAGGAGAATATGTTGGCTGGGAGGAGTCGGGCCTCCCCGAACGACAGACGAGATGTAGCCGCCGGCCTGGAGGGCAAGGCATAGTTTCAGGTGTAGATTTGAATTCGGGATAGACGTAAGCCCAAGACGAGCCTTTGTGGCATTGTTCAGGTGCGAGCAGACGTGAGAAAGGTTGACGAGAGACATTTTGGATATACAGGGACTGGCCCAACGGGGGCCGTAGAGTGTCAATGGGACGAAACCGAGAGAAATAATGCAAAGCCTGCGAACGGAGAGGACATTAGTACACAACCAGTACGAGCTTGAGTTCAGAGAACCCCATAGAGACAGAGGGCTATGCGACCAATAAATACCTTGACAATTGAACACTCCGCAATTCACATCACAAGGACAGTCCGATTATTTGCACAGTCAATGGCCAAACAACCGATCTTTGCGGAAACTCCGATGAGAAATTTTCGGACAAACAAATCGCCGACGTGATTATATAATCCTATATAGTCACTTTCCACTCTTTATTTACTGTGTACATTTATTTACAGTTAAACATATAACTTCATCGACTATGTGTTTTCTATGCTCATAGCTAATATTATTATCTGTGAATATGAAAGAATATAAATCTTGCCCTCATGGTGACTTTCTTGCTTCCTCAAGACCAATAGTTCCCTACTAGCTACTGCAGCTAGTCAACAAATCACCGGCCATTTATGCATCTCCAGGCGCCCTCGTAGCCGCCGGGGTCTTGACGCTGCGTCTCAGAGGCCGGTCCTTGAATTCCCTTCGTTTGAAGGACCATATATATCAGGATGCCGATTTCTGTCCCCACTAGCCCAGAACATTTCTTTTCCCCTCCGCAACACCCCGTTCCTATCGGGTCTTAATCAATAGTTATCATGCCCCCAGTGCAGGGTGAAGAACGAGTGCTGACAGTGTGAGGATGCAGACTACCCCGCAGAGTGCTTTGGCGCTGCGAGATTCTTGATGCGATGGTTTGTCAGACTAGGCTGACCCTGTGCAGTTTCGCCGACCTTCATTATTATTTTACGGCCCCAAGCCCTAGACCTCTGCATCATCGGTTTGACAAGGGTTCATATCTCTACCTCTATCACCATGCGAGTCTGCAGAAAACACGGATCGAGGTAGCTAATAATCCGGGTACGCCTGATCAGGACTCATTCCATGGAGGTCAGTCTTGCTATGGGCATTGCACTCCAGTTCCACCCGTTGACCAGCTAGTTCCCAGCCCTCGACAATGTCCACATTCGCCATTCCACCAGGTTTCCGACGCTGTGCACAATGACGGTGGATGGACAAACACAGTCCCAGAGTCAGGAATCCTTCCCCCCGCCGCCAGGTGCTAATCGCTACGAATGGCTACTACCGAGCGGTGACCCTCGCAAAGACAGCAGCGACCACTTGCGTCTTCATACGCTGGATATCTACTTCTGGACAGTAGACGATGCGAATCAATTCCTCGACTTGGTCAAGCGTTATCTGCCCCGATCACAGGCCGAGACTGACCGTCATTCTTTTCCACCGCCGCCACAAATTGCTGCCGCCAGTACGGTCGTGCAGCAGCTGGAGAAAGTCGCAATTTCGGATCCTGCTTATCAGAACGGGCAGACGCGCAACTCTCAGTCTGAAGCGACCACCGCCAGCCCCGTGCCCACTTTCCAGTCGATGACAGGACCCAGCACCCTTCCTCCTCCCCCTCCACTCAATGGGCCTCCGTCATCGACTGCTGTGGGGGGTCAGGCGGAGTTTACCCCTCTCCCATACAACCCTGCTGCACCAGCTGCCCCGGAACCGATCAGACACCGCGAGAAAACACCCCCTCCGATAGATGGCGCCGAGGGGACCGGACTCGCAGCCGCCGCGGCCGCCGACGACGGGGTCCCTTACGCACCTCCCTCCCATCTCTCCGGGGAAGGGAACTTTGCGCCTCCTCCACCCCCTTCCACGCAGGGGATTCCCTTCTCGATGTCCGGGAGCTATGCATCTCCACCTCCAAGCGCTGGACTGACTCACTCGACATCTTTCTCCTCGCGGTCCTCTATCCAGAGCCCTGCCGGGGTCCCATCGTACGTCCCCTCGTACCCCGCGGGCGGTTTCAATGCAGCCCCGGTGCAAACCATGTCCTTCGCACCACCCCCCAAGGACCCCAATGCGCACCTCTATGGAGCAACACAGAGCCTGTACAGTCCACCTACGCAGATGCAGCCGACTTCGCCTCCGCCCATCGGCGGTTACTCGAATTTCTCATACGATGCGGCATCGACGAGGCAGTCGACAAACAGTGAATACGACATCCACAGGCAGGTGTATCGACCCACGGAGGCGGAGGCGACATCACATCATCAGAAGTATGCGCAACAGGCGATGCAGAATCCCGGACAACGGTCGCAGAAACTCGAGGATCGGGCGTACCGGGTTGAAAGTGGGGTGAATAGATTCTTGAAGAAGCTCGAGAAGAGGCTGTGATTTCAGTTTCCTTTTGTTATCCAAGCTGTTCATATTGTGACCCGAGCAGAATGAATATAATTGATGCTAAATTGCATCATTGATAAGAATCTCGGAGCTCGGCGTGAGTCAGCCCTAGGAAGCACGGACCAATGACGGCGCTTCACACGATCTAGTTAGCCGGCTATAGACGGCTTATAGATCGGACCGTCCATATATAATCTCCCTTCATCCTTGGTACTCATTCATCCTCAACCAACCCACACCTATCAAATATACTTTAAAGCCCAAACACCTACCGCGATGACTCAACACCCCCAGCAAATAAAATCCACCACCACCGTAGCACACTACCTCTTCACGCGACTGCAACAACTAGGCATAGAATCCATCTTCGGCGTACCTGGCGACTACAACCTCCGTCTACTGGACTTCGTGACCCCGTCTGGGCTCCACTGGGTTGGAAACTGCAATGAGTTGAACGCCGCGTACGCAGCAGACGGGTACGCACGCATTAAAGGCGCATCGGCACTGATCACCACGTTCGGCGTGGGCGAGTTATCAGCTATCAATGGGATTGCCGGCGCGTATGCGGAAAAGGCCGCGGTGGTGCATATCGTCGGTACGCCGGCGCGGTCACTCCAGGATTCCCGCGTCCTGATGCATCACACCCTGGCGGATGGGGAGTATCGACGGTTCGCGACCATGGCGCAGCAAGTGACGGTGGTGCAGACGAATCTGGTTGATCCGCGAACTGTTCCTGAGCAGGTGGACTGGGCGTTAAAGCAGGCGATGGTCCATTCACGACCCGTATATATCGAGGTCCCTGATGATATGGTGGATGAGGAGGTGTCTGCGACGGGGTTGGCAAAAACGATTGAACTTCCCGTGGATCCGGAGGTCGGTCGCGATCAGGAACCGATGCAGCAGATCCTGCAGCGGATGTATGCGGCGAAACGGCCGATGATCCTCGTGGACGGGGAGTGTCGACCGCTGGGGATCGTCGAGCAGACGGAGAAGTTGATTCAAACGACAGGATGGCCGACGTGGACGACGGTGTTCGGGAAGAGTCTGGTCAATGAGGATCAGCCCAACGTGTATGGGAATTACCATGGGGTGGTAGGCAGCGCCGAACACAAGACGTATTTCGAGACGGCGGATCTGATCCTCATTCTTGGTCCTCACTACACGGATACCAATACGCAAGCATTCACGACGATTCCCCGACCCTCGGTAACGATTTCGTTCCTGCCGGATCGCATTGACGTCTGCGGGACTGGGACGTATCGCGAGAGTCCGCGCTCGTTTCTCTCACGACTGCTTCAAACTCTAGACTCGAGTCGCATCCCACAGATCCCGAGTCTGAGTCGACCCATCGTGGAAGAAGAGGAGAAGACCACCCCCATCGACCCTGCCAGTCTCATTGAGCAGAAAACCTTCTACCGGTTTGTGAACAGGCTGTTCCGCGCCGGGGACCTCATCCTGACGGAGACGGGAACGGCATCGCACGGCGGACGGGAATTCCGTCTCCCGCCGGATACGCGACTGTTCGGTGCGGTGACTTGGTTGTCGATTGGGTATATGCTCCCTGCGACGTTGGGGGCAGCGCTGGCGCAGCGAGAGAGGAAAAAGGACACGGATAATAACACCCGCGCAATCTTGTTCATTGGGGACGGCAGTCTGCAGATGACCGTGCAGGAGATCAGCACGATGATCAGCCAGAATCTCAATATTGTCATTTTCGTGATCAATAATAGTGGGTATACTATTGAGCGGGCCATCCATGGTCGAAAACAGGCGTATAATGACGTTGCGTCCTGGAGACATGAACAGGCCCTCGGGTTCTTTGGGGCCAGGGAGGACCAGGTTGCCAATACCTTCAGCGCCAGAACGTATCAGGAATTGGAGACAGTACTGGCGGACGAGCGCATTCAGCGTGGAACGGGGTTGAGAATCATCGAGGTGTTCATGGAAAGGGAAGATGTGCAGGGAGTGTTGCTGCAGCTGATGAATAGCCAGATCGCGAAGGAAAGGAAGTGATTCAAGTTCTTTTTCTTTCTTATGCCTACTGTGGATGCTTATAGACATCCCAATTTCATGCCGATACACTCGTCGCCAGCAGAGATGTAGTCTTTGATTAACTGTAATTCAAAATTCACTAACTTGACTAGGAAAGCCATCCATTCGGCCGAAATCCTACTATGTATGCAAATGCAGTAAATAAAACGCTCACACAAGACCAAAGGATCCAGATAAACTCCACCAAACAAATGCTCCATCTTGCATACACTGTTGGCCTTGCTCCAACCATAGAACGCAAATGCTTTCCGAAACCGAGATGTAAAGGCCAGGTTGAACGAAAATAAAACAATAAAAGAAAAAATGGATAATAATAAAAGTGTGCGTGAGGGCAAGTACCATCACGACCATCAAAAGGGTATAACAAGAGGGTAAATCACAAGAATCGAATGGAGAAGTGAAAGACAAGTAGAACACAATACTAGGGTCCCTGCAATTTCCTATCAGTACATCGGGACCTTTCTGCCCATACATTGCTTGGCTTAGTTCAGGGACAACTTTCCAATGTCGGCATCAACGTCATCCTCAATGGGCTTCGACTCTGTGGTGGGATCAGAGGTCTCGGCAGCATTCTCTGGGGTCGGCTCTGCTTCAGTCTGGACTGGAGGTGCAGACTCAACGGATTCCCTAACCTCTGCTGACGGGTGGCATTCGGGGGTATCAGAAGGAGTCGGCGCATCGACTGGCTCCGTAGGTGCGACCGGTTCCACGGTGGTCGATTGAACAGCATTGATGGTCTGCTCTATTGAAGCTTCCGTCGGCTGCTCGACTGACACCTCGGGTTTGGGTTCTGCTGGTGCCTCCGCATCCACGGGCACTTCTGAAGGTTGAGGAACGGACGAGTCGATGGGTGCATCTGTCGATGGCTTCTCGAGCGTTGCCTCGACCGGCTCCTCGGCAGCGCGCTTAGCTTCAGCATCTACAGTTTTCTCGTCGACTTGTGGCTCAGAAGGAGCTTGGGTAACATCCTCCGAAGTATGTTGCTTCGCAGACTTCTGGGGTTCTTCATTCGGGTTCTCTGCTGTCGTCTCTTCACCACGCTTCACCGATTTGCTGGTCTCCTTTGTCGGGCGCGGCGCACGGGGTTCAGTCTTAGGCACAACCTTCTGCACCGGTGCACGAGCCGTCTTGGTGGACCGGGGCGGGCTTTTAGCCTCTACTTTATCGTGTGTCTTGCTGGCAGAGCTCGCGGTGGGTCGCATCATCCGGGCCAGGAACCCCTCATCGACCGGCTTTGAGCCTCCTTGGCTCACCCGGGAATGGGGTCGCTCGCTCCCCGAATGCCCAGGAGGAGAAGGGCGAGAAGCGTGCTTGCGCACATTTGAGGCAGTGGGAGTAGTTGCACGTTGATTGGCCCCGGCTGCAGGCTTCAATGTCGATGGTTTGCGGGTAAGTCTAGAAGTCGTTGTTCCGGTGGCTCCTAATTTCCCCGAGGACGACAAGGTGGGTGCCGTCGCGGACGCTGGAAGGCGAGCAGACCGGGATGGTGAGTTGGAACGGGGTTTGGTGCCTGAAACTGTTGGCCTAGTGGGCTCGCGCGAAGGCATGGAAGACCGAGGGGGTCGCGAAGCAGTCCTGACTGCTGTTGTCAAGGATGTACGACTTGGTTTCTGAGTCGGAACACGATGGTCACCAGCAGTAGCAGTCTTCGCCGTGCGTGTCGCCTTGGCTTTATTATTTTCGGTCATCGCAGGCGACGTTGGGGTACGTGGCTTGGTGGATGACCGCGGGCCTGTGACAGAGGTTGACCCGGAGGTCGGTTTACTGGCGGTACTCGCTTTCGCTATATGAATCGTCGATGGCCGCTTGGTCACGGTGTTTGTTGGTTTAACGGACTGCACGGCAGGGGATGTGCTGGCAGCTGATTCTGCGACGGAATGGTTTTCCTTGTTGTGTGATGGCACGGTTTCCTTGATCACGGGCTTCGTACTCTCCTCGGCCGAACCCATCGGGGCTCCTGTCGATGCTCCGGGCAATTCTTTTGAGATACTATTCTTTGAGTCATTGCCATTGGCACTCGACTCTGGAAAGCTGTTGCTGATGGGGGACAAAGACAGCGGGCTTTTTAGACTGCCACTATCATCTGAGTTGAAGGTCTTCACCCTTGATGGGCCAGCGGGGCTGTCACTGCCACCACTCGCTTTCCTCAACCCTACGACTGGGTTTGACTGGACCGCCCCATCGACAGCGATGAAGCTGGCACGCACTTTAGAGAGTGGTCTGCCCGCGCCGGAATTCTCCGATCCAACCGGAGACCGACCACGCGAGGGCGGGGAAGTTGTGGTATTCTGGTTGTTCTCGAACTTGGCGAGGAGGCTCCTCACACCGGGATGGGCACCCGTATCGGACATGATGTCTTGTTGGAATAACAAGGTCGAGCGAAATAGTTTGGTGTTAGACCGACAAAAGCAATTGTGAATGACGGCAAGTGGCAGCGGGTTCTGCAGGGGGAGATTATTTTTGTCTTCTCGCGAGCGAGGGGTCGAAATTTCGGTAGTACAAGGTTTGGCTGCGTGTCAACGCAGATCAACCGATGAAGACGCGCTTCTTGGAGGGGAGCGGGTGACGTGATATAAACAAATCCCAAAACAATCAAGACGCAGTAAAAGGTGAGTGGAGCACACTAGCAGGAAGTCAAAGTCGATGCGACAAAGTAAGGATCGTACATTATGGGTTCCAGGAGAGAATGATTCCAGCGCAAATGATAAAGACGATGAAGGAGGAGAAAAAGAGAGGGAGAGGGAGGGAAGAGAGAAGAAAGGAAGAGAGAGAAAGGAGAGGTGAAGAGAGCCTCAGGCAGCGGTTTCAGGGGTCGGATCCGCTGCTTCACTTTAATCGATTCAGGTGGCCTTAATGAGTCAATAAGTAACCTGGAACGCATTCCCTTCCTCCTAGAGCCCCTACGGCCTCAAGGCAAAAGCTGGTGATTCACTTCCCCTACTGATCCGGTCCAAGTGGGTGCCATTGGTGCCATGATGCCACTTATGGATGCATAGTGCCATTCACTACGGATACTGTGGTGGATCATCCGCTACCGAGGCCCTTACACGAATTTATACCTTACTGTCGTCCTACTCTCATCAGTATCTCGACCCCTTTCCATTCGGTGTCTTCTTCAAGCAACGGAACGAGGTTAACCCGTGGAGGGAACGCATATCATACAGGGCCGACTGTGTTGGACGCACTAGACTCCTCTGTATACTGTATAATACTCTGTAAGTACCCTGCAATCAGCGTTCTCCCCACAATCCTAAAGGCCAGATTGCAATAGACGGACGAATCAAAGTCCAGGCTAGTGAAGCCCACATTCGATAGCCTGCAGAATGAGCAGAAAAGGGTGTCGATCGGGCGTGGCGAGAGCACTTCCTCCTACGTAACAGTTGCGATAATTTCCCCTTGGATCCTTTCCAGAAGCTATTTAGTATATTCCTCTATAACAAACTCGTGGATTATACTGGTATGGGTGGAACAGACCTTCCCTCATTGAAGTCTTCTAACTAGGGAGGGTGTTAGACTGAATGCAGTTCTGGAATAGGAATCATATATCGGAAGAGAATATGGGAGTCCCATCCACTCTTTTTGTCTCTTCCACGCTAAAAAAAAAAACGGGTTGGGGCGAAGTAGAAAAAAGAGGATGATCTAGAAGTAATTGCCTGATTGGGACAGTAAACGAAGGAGATCAGGTGACGGTGTATTTCATGCCTGACTTTTCAGGCAGATAACAGGCTTCAACTCTTCAGGAAAGAATCTCGCATGGACAGCCTACGTATATATCCTGGAGATCAGATCCCGATGCTCTCCTGTCAGGTCTTCAAGTCCTGCTTGGATCTAGTCTCTACAGACAGACACTCATCTATGTCCCTCCCTGACTACGTCTACTCGACTATACTCCGTAGGCAGTCAATACGAAGACCTTATCATCGGCCCGTGAAGAGGCTTCTACATGATAAGGCCCCAGTTCCTTCCATCTCTCCATCCAAAAGACGTATATCATAAAGTATATATAATATATAGGCTTCTTCGCTACCATACCTGCATTCCCCATGGACCGTTTGTCGATCTGCCGTGTGACGTCATGGGGACGTCTCCGCCAAAGACGCGCCTTCCGACCTTACAGCCTACATCCGACAGCTAACGAGTTAGTAGCTGTATACCTTGCTTCATTTATGCCGATCCACACCTGTCGTTCTTGGTCTGCCAACACTACACCCCACCCCCCTTTACGCAATGATCACGACGGATTGCTAATCGGGCCGAGATCTAGCAGAGATACGACGCGTTGCCACCCCTGGTCTTCACTATTCATCCATCAAAGACCTTCTGATGGCTGTGGCGTCCATGGAGTGTGAATCAACAAATTCTGTCTCGGGGAAAAATTACCACCCTTTAACGGTGCAAATTGAAGTAGACGATGATGAGCCTAGGTCGCCCATATCGCAGACGATCGCACAAGCACCTCCCAACGCCAAATCCCCTCTCCTGCAACTTCCGACCGAGCTTCTGCACTATATCCTATCTCATCTCTCGGCGCTCGATCTCACCCGTGCCTCGGCCACCTGTCGATCTTTCGCCGAGCATGCCGCAAATGATCTGTTGTGGGCGGACCTGATCAATTCCTATCTGCCGACCAAGATCCATGATCCGGGGCCTTTCGATTCTTTCCGCAGCCTTTACGTTGCTCATCATCCGTGCTGGTTCATCCCGCAAAAGAAAATATGGTTTTCGGATACAGCACACACAGGCAATCTCATTCTGGCTCGTTACGATCATCGCCGAGGGGTCATTGAGGCATATCGGGTTATCGCAGAGCGGCGAAGCCACCAGTTTCAGGTGTGGGACTGGAATTCTGATGTCTTGATTCAAAGCTTCCACCCCAAAGCGAGACTATGGCTGGATGACCCCGTTCTTTTCCTGAAAAATCCTCGGGGCGAACAGCGATATCTGAATGGTGAAACCCGCATGCCCATGGCTCTCGAAACTCAGCATGTTTTCAATGCCTTCTCGCTCTGTTCCGCTGAGAACCCGTCGGACCCTGACCCCAACAAACTATGGCCACCACCTCTCATCCCCAGTGACCATCGTACCTGTCGGGATGTGGAACCCCATCTGACCGACGGACTATGTCATCATCCTCCAAACATGGAGTCGATGTCCGAGCATGCGTTCCGGATCAGAAGGTGGGCTCACTTCCGCCCGGGTATGCCTACCTTCACTGCGAGTCTGAGTGAGACGCTGTCGACCTACGCAACCCTCGACCCACTTCTGTATACCCCTACTCATGAGAAACCCTACCAGGGGATTTGGGTTGGGGACTACTCTGCCCACGGCTGCGAGTTTCTGCTGTTCTTGCAACGGGATCGAGACGGTATTCCTAGTGAACCTCCACCCAGCGATGACGGGATCATCCACCAAGGAGGCCTCGAGGCCATCAAGCTCACCGGGGATCCAAATGTTCCGCGCGGGGAGATCTCCTTTATTTCAGATGACATTGGCGACGGCGGTCTCATCCGGGTGGCGAATGAATCACTCTACCAAGGTGCCAGAGTGGTGCGCAGCAGAGGACATGTGGCTGGTCTGGGTTTCAGGGATGGTACGTTTGGCCGTTGAACGCTACCGAGCGACGGTATTCTGACACTGCCTATTTACATAGATACCTTCATCGATTCCCAGCTTATTCTCATCTCACCAGATTGCATAGCGCACTACTGGGAGGCTATGGGCCATATTTCGTATTTCCGCCGCCTTGATATCGACGAACTCCTCCAGATATGATAGTAATAGACAATATCGTTCACCCTCCTTTACGAATTAACGAATTATGTCGACACCCATTTCGCGGCAGGTAATGTGCATGGTTCCATGGAAGGGGGTTATGGAAAGAAAGTGTGGAAATCGGTGCACTTTTGCTTTTGATTCCCTGGCGAGCACAATCACCTTTTCATAAACGCATACAGCGGCCATATCATCTCCCGGTTGAAATGGACGGGCTTCTTATGAATACAGCTCCAAAGAGCACCTTTCAAGGCCTTAGACTCGAAAGATCCACCACACTGGACCCATGCAACAAAGGAACAGATCTAGGCTTATGGTGTGTGCCATCTCTCTTCCACGGGAGGGATAGCCAGCAGCCAGCTGAACTTTGCGTGCAACGTACCGGAGGATCGATCGATCTGTAGGGCAGGCTTATAAGATGAGACTGGTGAGTTATTGGTAGAGTATCGGCAAAGCGACAGCAGTCGGGGTCGTTCGCCCAACATTCATATGTACATGCAAATATACCAAGGAGAGAGACACAGACTTTGCAGGATGGATATATGAGTGCAGAATGGAGGAAAGGTATGCAGACAAGTCGAAGTTCCTAACGCTACGGCCTGCCATTCACACGGAGTGGCAGACGAAAAAGGAAATCATCAATCATGAACGCAACCACCATGATGGTAACAGACACCCCGTCCCCAACGACTCATATCGTCTCAGCAAGGTGACGTCTTGACCCTTCACATGCCCCGTCAGGAAAGCAGTGGATGTCTCAAAGGCCCAGCTCCATAGTCCAACATAAGAACAGATACCAACCGAAAGCCGTAGAGTCGCAGAATCATCGCATTGACAGACCGGACATCGTAAGTTTCGGATCGACGGGCTCACCGTCTGCGCTCAAACCAACTGGAGGAGCCCATCACGGCAACTGACTGATCCATGACCCACTCGCCGACACCGAGATATTTGTCAATCCAATTTTTGAAATCCTTGTTATCGGTGATTTTATCGGAGTTGAGACTGGGGCTGTGTAAAACCCCACGCGTACCCCCCCGATTCGATTTGGGGTGCGTGGGGTGAATTCGTCAGTCATAGGTTACACAAGCACAAAGATAGACCCCTGGATCGTCTGTCTGCAGACAAACAGGACTTTCGAGGGAGGTGGAGAGCAAATATAGGGGTATATATTTACGTAAGGCCAGTTGAGCGCTTGACACCTGCCAGAAAGGCGGAGACTGGAGTATATCGATTAGCTAAGGCCGCAGACGAAGATCAAGGGAGTAAGAACATACTGAGCACCGCATCAAAGGCGTAATGAGATAGGCGTCCGAGCTACAAGTTGCATGAATCCAATTAGCGCCGTCTCCCCACGCAACACAGGGAATTCAGTAACCCCAGAGTCTACACCAGATCTCCCCCACGGATCATAAGACAACGTACCATGATGAACTTGACGGAGTCAGAGATTAGATAGGAAGAATGAACGTTTGTCGCTTCAAGGCCACTGTACAGATATCCAACAGTCTATACAGTCAGGTACAATGAGAACTAGGTAGGTCGGAAGAAGGTAAGCAGCTTTGATTGATCGACGGCAAGCAGAGAGAGAGTCCGTTTGTTTCTTGGGCAAGAAGTCGGGGGGCGCTCACGTGTGTTTTGCACATGACGTGGGCGACTGGACGATGGGGCGGTGAGAGAGACTGGGTGGCTGAGTATTTGTAGCTAGTGTGGCTGCATACAGTTCTTATGACTAATGAAGTTCATAAGCATGAAGCTTAGTAATCTGGGCCATAACTAAATTAAGTTATTAGTTAACTAGAAACAACCAAAATAATGAATACGAGAAAGGAAGATAAGAAGAAAAGAAATCTATAAATCAGCTAGCAGTAACTTTTAACGGTTTAGTAAGAATATGCATAACAGACTATAAGATTTATAGCGCGGTGGTTTTCGTATGTGTGAGATAATTGCGGCAGAAGTCTAGTATACAACTATACATGAACATTTAGAAATCTAGTAGACAAGGTAGCCAAACCTTGGATTTTATTAATGCCCACTTTATATCCATTGTAACGCCTTATTAATTCTAAATTTCTCTGGCATTACTCGTGGGATATACAGCCCTATTTTTGGGTTTCTTATACATATAATTGTCAAGGGCTGAACCCATAGAACCTACAAGATAGGTTATGTACAAGAAGGAATCGTTGAAGAAGGGAAGAAACGAAGAAAGGAAGAGGAAAATGAGCGGTAAACAAACAAGGTGGGCAGTCACGTGACATAGATCGAGGGCCGATGGGCCAGTAGGGACAGTAGGGACAGTAGGGCCAGTAGGGCTAATAGGGACATTGGCCCGAGAGGTCAAACGGGCTCCAGCCCTTTACAATAATGCTATTCCTGAGGTAGTAAGACATCTAAGAGTTTAGATCATGAACCATATCTTTAAACACTCCAGTAGTAAGGTTTAGTTAGGCGCTCTCACTCCTTGTGGTATGAGTCTTAAATGTACTGCATGTAATTATCAGACAACTGCAGTTCTAAAACATCCAGTATTGGAACCGTATTTATGGCATTGGTGTAACGGTTTGGTAGTCTATACCCTAGTAATGTCCAAAGTTGAACTTCCACTAGTTGTGTGTCTGGCAACGAATAAGAGGGAATAATACTGCCATTTATCTAAGCAATCTTATAGTTTCTACATAATAAACTACGTAGACCAAATTGAGCATGTGTTCTATATGTTCTATGTTCCTTACGGCCTTTTAAATCCCGAACCTCTACTATTTATGTCCCCATAACTACTACCCGTACACCTTATAAACCATATGTTAAATAGACCGTGTTCTGTTATATCCCACAGTTCGATTTACTTTTTATCCACTACATATCCTATGTAATATACAGCTTATCTGTCCCCTCTTCCTAAATCTCTTCCCTCACATTTCATACATTGGATCAACCCTATATATCTTGCATGTCAGCATGTTATAGCTAAGCTTAAGATCTTAACTATTCCACTGGATCAAATGACCATATCTGATCCCCATTCCTGAGCACCTTATATAGTAGCGCACTGTAATGTTAGGTGACGCACCTACACCTAAGACTGCACCCCATACAATTTGTGCGCTTTCTATGTCACGCATGTTGTATGCCTCCTGTATATTCTATCTACCCTATGTCCTCTATAGACAGGAAACCACGATGGTACAGTTGCCTTTATACATACGTACTTTATATATTAATTGAAGGAGATGGCCTTTTATGGATATTTTACGATATATGGATTTTAGCTCTCTGAATTACCTACTAACCTCTTATATATGGATATATCCAGGCAACTCTAGAATAATTTGAATAGTTTCAGGACACCTCCAGTATTAAATACTATATATAGCGCGGTACCGCCAAATGCGGTTGCTTTTTTTATCACCACCATTCCTCGCTTCACTTCAAACACAGCTAACAAGAAATATGGACTGCTGCAAGTGCATTTATCTCGAGACTTGCCCGTGCCCCTGTCATGAGGCAGCACATATCAACCATCTGGGCTACATCAATCCCGCCAAAACGATGACAAAGCGGGTTAAAGCGATCAGGAGTCGGTTCAGACCAGTCGCCCTAGGTGACACTATGGAGGATCTGGATGACACTTTGGGGAAGACGTCTCTGAAAACTGAAGATCCGAAGTGTACTTCTCCGGTGGAAGTGTGGAGACAGGACGTAGCCAAACAGCAACGTCCTATGCAAAAACCACGCGGGAACTCCGGCAGTAAACTCCCGTTTTGGAGGCCATCACTATTCCAGAATTTCTACAGACATCCTTGTAGATTCTCTACTTCGGAGACGGCTCCCTGCGGGAAATATGGCCAGGAGGTTCGCGTATGCGTCTTATTTATGATAGGTATTATTTTTATGGTTTTCTTAGAGTCTTGGTCTCTAGAGGTGATGAATTCTGTTTATTAAGGGACTTGTTTGGAAACATAAAAACAGTACAAAAAAAAAAAAAAACTAGTTCATACATTATTATTCCGTGTCGATTCGTAGTTTATATATTATTGCAGAGTAGCTGTCGTAAAAAGATAAGTGTACGGAGTAGAGACTAGAGAGAACCATCGGTGGAGATGGCCGATTCTAGTAACCGTGTCAGGTAGGCGGCTAAACCACATCGGGCCATTTCCCAACCGAATTTCTGGATGCGACTTAGAGTCAACGAATGGGATCGGGATGATAGTCGGAGGATTTTCCACGACACATCGCATTGAATAATCGGAATACGAAGACGGTCAGTATTATCCCTAGAAAAAAAGAAATGTACTCCGGAGTAAGACGGTCTTTTGGTTCCCTCCCGTGGGGGAACCAACCGACTAGAGACTACTGAGAGCAGCGGCCAACGACATTTTCCCTCCCGGGCACACACCCAATCCAGTCCAATCCAATCCAAAAGCCGCCCCTCTCTCACCGGCTCTCCCCCTGGGCCTAACTCACTCTCCGTCTCTTTTTCCCCCTTCTTTCTTCTTCCCCTCTCCAGCTTACCTCTTTTCTTCACCTCTCCCATTCCTCAATTTACTGTACTCTTGCAGAGAACTCGTCCAAATGGCCGCCAGTTCCTCTCTCGATCATTTGAGCAACCGCATGAAGCTGGAGTGGCACTCCAAGCTGAACACGGAAATGGTGCCGGCAAAGAACTTTCGTCGCACATCCATCATCGGCACCATCGGTATGTCCTTACCTGCCATTTGACATGCGCTCAGTTCCGATGGAGCGTGTAATTAGCCCACCTGGCATTATACTAATCATTCTTTCTTCCATCCAGGTCCCAAGACAAACTCAGTGGAGAAAATCAACCTCCTCCGCAGAGGTACGGAGACAAAGCCTAGTGTCCTTGGCCACGATTCAAGCTGACGTCCTATAGCTGGTCTCAACGTTGTTCGTATGAACTTCTCCCACGGTTCGTACGAGGTGAGTTTTCGCTATCGCTTTTTTTTTTTTTTTTTGGTCCCCCACCGGCTGACCACCCCACTAGTATCACCAATCCGTTATCGATAATGCCCGCGAGGCTGCTCGTCTCCAGACCGGTCGCCCTCTTGCCATTGCTCTTGACACCGTGAGTTGAGACGACATCTGAATGTCTCCGATCACTTGGTGCTGACACCGCCTGTAGAAAGGGCCCGAGATTCGCACCGGAAATACTCCAGACGATAAGGATATTCCCATAAAGGAGGGCCATGAGCTGAACATCACGACTGATGAGCAATACGCCACCGCCAGTGACGACCAGAACATGTGAGTTTTCTCGCTATCTCCTGTAGTATTGTCCGCCCGAAAATAGAGACGGTCGCTTCGCGTGATCTGACGGTTTGCTCGGGACTGTTGTGAGGTTCAACTAACGGGATGCCGTAAAGGTACCTTGACTATAAGAACATCACTAAAGTGATCTCCCCTGGCAAGCTGATCTATGTCGATGATGGTATCCTCTCGTTCGAGGTCCTCGAAGTTGTAGACGACAAGACCCTGCGTGTTAAGTGCCTCAACAACGGCAACATCTCCTCCCGCAAGGGTGTCAACTTGCCTGGCACCGATGTTGATCTTCCCGCTCTCTCCGAAAAGGATATCAGTGACCTCCAATTTGGTGTGAAGAACGGCGTCGACATGATCTTTGCCTCGTTTATTCGTCGCGGTGGCGACATCCGTCATATCCGTGATGTCCTTGGTGAAGAAGGCCGGGATATCCAGATCATTGCCAAGATTGAAAACCAGCAGGGTGTGAACAACTTCGACGAGATTCTTGATGAGACCGACGGTGTTATGGTAGCTCGTGGTGATCTGGGTATCGAAATCCCCGCCCCCAAGGTCTTCATTGCCCAGAAGATGATGATCGCCAAGTGCAACATCAAGGGCAAGCCCGTCATCTGTGCCACGCAGATGCTTGAGTCGATGACATACAACCCTCGCCCCACCCGTGCTGAGGTGTCTGATGTCGCCAACGCGGTTCTCGATGGAGCCGACTGTGTAATGTTGTCGGGAGAGACTGCCAAGGGATCGTATCCCTCCGAGGCTGTCAAGATGATGAGCGAGACCTGCCTGCTGGCTGAGGTTGCCATCCCCCACTTCAACGTCTTCGACGAGCTGCGCAATCTCGCCCCTCGTCCGACCTGCACGGTGGAGTCCATCGCTATGGCTGCTGTCAGTGCCAGTCTCGAACTTAACGCTGGTGCCATCGTTGTCTTGACCACCAGGTATGTCATCTGACGCGTCGCTTCATTAGGCGAGCCTGCTGACCGTATTGACAGTGGTAACACCGCACGTCTCCTTTCCAAGTACCGCCCTGTATGCCCCATCCTGATGGTTACTCGTAACCCCAGAGCCTCGCGGGTAAGTTCATTAACGTAGCGTCCTCGTTGTTCTCCTTCGCTGATCATTCGATCTGCAGTACTCTCACCTGTACCGTGGTGTCTGGCCCTTCCTCTTCCCCGAGAAGAAGCCCGACTTCAACGTCAAGATCTGGCAGGAGGATGTCGACCGCCGCCTCAAGTGGGGTATTACCCACGGTCTCAAGCTGGGCATTATCAACAAGGGCGACAACATTGTTTGCGTTCAGGGCTGGCGTGGAGGCCAGGGCCACACCAACACCGTCCGCGTAGTTCCCGCCGAGGAGAACCTTGGCCTGACTGAGTAAATTCATACGTTGAAGCCACTTCGGGTGGATGACGCGGTGTAACGACGGGACTGACCGATCAACACTGAAATGGGGGTGGGTGGCCTCGAGCCATCGTAGACCGACCGGTCTTAGTGGAGTATGACCAACCAACCAAGTCCGGATGTTTTCAAGCCTGTCCCTGCTCACAACGGGACTCATTGGAGGGGATGATCAGATTGGAGCATGACTGGACAAATTGAATTGGCACAGGGGTGCTCAGAAGCGATGCATCCACACTGGAAGCGAAGCGAATGTTCACTCCGGAGCGTAACTGTGATTTGAGCCATATTTGGTGATATTCCTGCGGTTAAAAGCTAGATTAATGATTTTGCATGTTTATAATGAATTGAGCCTTGAACATTGACATGATCCGGGGTAACGGTAGTGCCTTGTAGCTAGTCTGAGGGTGGTCATGGACATAGCCTAGATATCAGCTAATAGCAAGCATAAGCCATGGGATTTCTCGAGCAAACTGGACCCATCATATATCATGTCGATATAATAGACAGACAGATATAGATCAAGGACCTTGATCACTCTAGACAGTCCTTGATCGAAGAATACACACTGTGCTGTACTGTACACCTCCCATCCCGAAACAATCCCAGGAAGGTGGGAAACAGGCCAGAAGACAAGGCAATGAAGAAAGAAAGGGGAGGGCCAAAACAGGGAAAAAAAAAAAAAAAAGGGAGAGGGAGAGGAAGCCAACCCCATCCAATTCCAAGCCTTATGCAAGGAGAAGTACCGACAGAAAGCGCTCAATGCGGGGGAGAATTCCTAATGTCAACCGAGGTCTGGTAATTGTCTGCCTCTGCCTTGTCCGAGAGAGTCGTGTATCGGAACACGTTCTTGGTATGTAGATAGCTGTGTTCTTTCCATTTTGTCTGTCTGCGTACGGCTGTCCTGAAGGAGGATTGAGTATGTAGATAGAAATAAGAAAAAGGGGAAGAAAGGGGCAAAGAGAAATTGCCTCGTGGATTGCACCAGATCCTTGAACAATAATCACGTTCCCGTCCTGTCCCGGATTCTGCCGATGGGTCGGGCCAACGATCGTCGGTGAAACGGAAGTATGTAGTAATTATTAGTTGCTCTAAGTGTTGATGCTGTCTGGTCTGTCTTGTAGTTGAAGAAATTGGTTGAAATAAATGATACATGTCTAGATGGTTTCAGATGATCGGGTCTATAGTATTATTTCTTGGATGGGATAGATAATTGAGTGAATCTCATTAAGATGAATGAATGGCATTCATCAAATTACCTGATCCAAGTCCTCATGTGATGACGTAATGCGTACAATTTTAACTAACTTAACATAATTAAAAAGTTATACTATGTAGACGATGTTTTAATACTATTTCCTCGAATTTAATATATTTGTCTTTTATAACTCTATTAGCATATTCCTATATAATTCAGTTAGTAGCAGTTTATACATGCTATATTCCCAGAACAAAGCCCAATATCTTGCCAGCTACTCTGTAGTATTTCCATAAACTCAGAAAGTTCCACACCTGTGTGCAATCTCTCCCATCATCGGTCAGCTGTTCCGGGGATTATGGAGAGAAACATCCTCGTCGGGCTCGTTTACAGTGCCCGTCTCGTCCATTCCCTCCCCGTAGTGCTCTATCTTCTCTCCTGCTTCGGTGATTTTGCTCATACCGACGGCGACCGACGAGTCTTCGAGGTGATTCCCCAAGGCCAAAAGGGTGGGAAGGTCCTTGTTTTCTCTGCGTATATCGGTCATTAACCGTAGCGGGGGGAGGGAGGGGAAGACAAGGGTTACCATGCGCTCCTCATATCTTTGAAGTGTTGTCGGCTTCCTCGAAGAAACCAAGTACAAAGTTATGGCTAAACCTACGATCGTCATCATCGTCCATCTCGAGGATTTGGCTGAATGTGTCTAGATCGACGCAGTAGGCCATGTCACCTAATTTAATCTTCTGGGGTTACCGAATATACGTATCATGTTAGCTTGAGTCTGTCTGCAGGTGAAAGCAAGAAGAGACGGGATGTACGGATTTTGTCAGTCTCAATGATGTAATATTCTGTGTTTCTCTGTGGGAACGGTTCAACTCTGTCATTAACTATTGTTGAGAAGATAACTAGAGGCCTATTAGTGCAGGAAGAAGAAAAGATGTCGTCAGGTGGATAAAGAGGGACAGGTCTGTAACAGAACTGATCATCTTTGTATATATTAATATTAATCAATTCTTTTTCTAGACACATAAGAAAGAAGTTTCGGAAGTCGAAGAAACGCCAATCATCACCTAGCATTGCGACATCTGTTAACAATACAGTCTCTGCCCTACACATTGGGAAGTTTCCCGGAGTATTTGAAGGCAGAAAAGTGACCAGAGGTGGACTCCATTACAGCTTGTCCTCGGATGCTAGGTATAAACATAGACTTCTATTTAATATTAAATAGAAAAAGATATATAAACATACCCCTTACTCCACCCTCCCATTGACCCCAACCAACGTCGCCATAATCAGTCATATTCTCATGATATTCATACATCTCACGTCATAAACTCATCAATATATAGTCATCTCTAGCCAACCATATCTATCTCTAGAACTCGACTGGCTCGGGCTCAGCGGCATCCCCATCCAGGATTTGTTGTTCCACCGGGGCGTACCGATACATCTGGGGATGTTGGAATTGATGCCAGAAACTTGCAGCCGGTCAGTGAATATCCGTCGTACATGCTTCTAGATGACTTACCTGGGCGCTTGGAGGACGTAACGGGCCATCGCCTCCCTGAATCGACTCTTATACTCCTTCGGACTAGTGACAGTAGGTCGATTCTTCCCCCCACCGGCGAACCCACGGTCTTTGATCCACGACTCCAACTTCTTGTCCCATGTGTACGTGCGGATGCAGTCGATGACCCCGACCACAAGTTCTGACCGACTCTCGTCGATGGCGATCATGAGCGAATAGTCCATTACATTCTGTCGGCCCAAGAACAAGGTGTCGTTCCAAACGCTCTGGCTCAACAACTTCTTGGAGTGCTCGCGCGCGAACAGCGGCGTCTCATAGATGAAATCCACCATGTTCTCGTCCAGAAGGACCTCGTTGCGTTCCCCCCCGTACTCTGTACCTTGCGGTTCCTCATGGAGCCCTTGAGGTCAAAGATCCGCGTCGGCACACGGTCGTAGAACAGGTTCTCCATTAGTAGAAGGAACCAATTGAACTCGGTCCCCGTGGCCGGGTTCTTGATAATCACTTGGTAAAATCCGAACATTTTCGCGATTGCAGACGGTAGTTCGTGAAACAATGCCTCAGACATAATCTGGAAATATGCCGGGGCGAACTTGAGGAACGCCTGTGTTTCAATGGGGGCCAGTGATTTTAGAATGAAGCGGTCGTCCAGAGTTTTCAAGAATAGCGACTTCGTTTTTCCCCCCTTGGAGTCCCATTTAGCGCATCGCGATAATGATTCAACAATTCGCTCAGCGACTCCACATTTCTTTCGCAAAGCATCAAATTGCTCTGCATAGAACACCTTGCAAAGCATCTTCGCTTGTCCTTCCTGGAACTGGTATTTGAGATGGGTTCCAGTAGACCTCAATAGGGCATGCTCCACCCGAGCCTCGTTCATAGCCTCGGGATCCTTCTCCGGGTCCCGCATATTTCACATCGAGCTCTTCATAACGTCTCTGTATACTTGCCAGTTTCTCTTTATAGTCATGTGAGTCTAACGCAAATGAAATCAAAGAACTTGGTTCATCCTCGCGCACGATAATGTCACAGTCCGCAAAGACGTGGTCGGACATTGTGAGCGGATAATCGAGAGGTGTCCAACCGCTGGCCGAGCGCTCTGACCAGAAGTTGGTCAGTAACTTCAGAAGTGTGCTTCTTTCATGCTTCGGGAACTCTTTAAGGTCAATTGTTTCATCCTCCGGTGACATCTTCGCCAGCTCTTCGTTCGAATCTGTCACTTGGAGCCCGTCTGCAGAGGCTCGATCTTCATCACTATGTCCTTCCTCCCCCTCCCCCTCGGACAGGATATGGTGTTCCTCCGCTGGAGCATTGCTGTCGATGTCAGCATCTTGCATTGGTTCTTGTCTACTACGGTCTTGCCGCTCTTCTATTGAAGGCCGCTTGAGGAATTCCTCACTTCCTCTACTCGAGTCATCTCCTGGTACCCGTGGACCAGGTGACATAAGGTCCTCTCCTTCGCCAGAAGGTTCTCGCTCTTCCACTGCCTCCCTGACATTTTTATAAACTTCCACAATCGGTTTTGATTTGGCAAGGGGATATGCACGGGAATGTGTTGCCCTTGCAGTTCGCCGTGCTCTTTCACGCTGGCGTTCCTTTTCGAACTCGCGGCTCAACTGTTCGAAGTGTTTGGTCAAGGAAGAGACTCGTGAGTGGTGTTTTCTTGTCGGGATCGAGCGAGGAATGAGAGAAGGCCCGGATGTGAGTCTGCTATTGCGAAGAGCACCGAGTCCCAAACGGTCTGATAACTTCTTGTCTGAGAGTTTAAACTTCGAGTCATAAGGGGCAGGGCTTCCAGGCCTAGCCTTATATATCCTCGACAGACCGTTGTCACTACATGCATCTTTCTGAAAGTGGGCCGGTTGTGACTGAGCACGAAGTAATGGAGGAGAAGCCGTCCTCCTAGTGCGCCGGCTGGCACTATCGGCAGGCCGTGGAATAGCCGATAGAGGCGAACTTGGTGTGGCTGCTGGTAAAGTTGTAGATCCCTCAGCCTCAGCATTCTTCTGGTTTGTTCTAGGTCTCGTCCGTTCTGGGGTGGTAGTCTCGGTTGAGGTTTTGCTTGGATTAAATGGCATTGACACTGGCCCCAACTTTGCTTGGTTATCTTCCGAACATCCTTCGGGCTGAGAAGGAGGCACAGCCAAGTCGAGGTGCAGGACATGTTGCTCCGCTACAGTTTAGATTGGGGAGATGAAGACATTCTTACTTCTGGGGTAGGCGAGGAGGGAGCAGAATCGATTTCCTCCACCTTAGGTGCTTCATATTGAGCCGTTGCTCTGCCCTTCTCCCCGGAGTCCTCTTCAACAACGGATACCAGCACATCCTGCGTCTTTTCTGGAGAAAGTGTCATGCGACGCATTGTGCGTACTTGAGTGGGCTCCTCGGCGCTCTCACTTTCAGCTTCTGTCGGAGTAGTCGTAGCCTCCTCCGCTGAACTAAGAGAGGTGACTGAAGCGTCCCTGTCGAGAAAGATCTTCTTGAGCTGTAGGGTCGCCAGCCGTCTAATATCATTTTCGGAGGGGAAGAAATTCTTCTCAAATTCAGCAAATGCGGTGTCCCATTCAACAACCTTTTCCTGCACAGATCGAAGCACCTCATTCAAAGGGATCAGTTCCCAGTATCGAGAATTCGTATATTTGTCCTGTAATTGCTTGATGAGTGCTGCGTGGTCTTCATGTGCCTTCTTTGTCAAAATCTCAATCTCTCTTGTGCATTCGTCGGCCAATTTCGGAATGACACTCTCAACGTTGATGCCTTTGAGGCGCGTTTTGACGGAAACCATGAATTTGTTCAGACGAAGTTCAGTTCGTGCATAAACTTCATTTCTGAGCTTAAGATCATTGTCCACTTTCCATGTGACCCGGGTCCTCGGCACAATGATCTCAAGCAAATTGATGGTGTCATAGTGGATGCGCAAAGCAACGTCTTTGAAGCCAAAATAACGAAGATGATCGCGCTGTAGATCATGGGGGCAAACACCTGCCCGGGCATGGAGGTTCTTGCTCCAAAAAGAGAGCTCCAGATACTTTCCAAACGAATATTTCCACGTGCTTTCGGACATCGGGAAAACTTGAGTTTCATTCCCACAGATCTTGCAGCTGCTCCACATCAAGATCGTGTCTTGAAAACCTCGAAGCTTCGAAGGGTACGGCTGAATGAAAACACTGATTTGGGCTTCTCCATGCACATATTGGCGGTGGTGTTCAAACATATGTTTTTCACAACCATTCACGGTGCAGATAGCATTAGCATTAAGGCAAAGATCCTCCACATATTGGCCGAGTGTACAATCAGGCTCAAAGATTGTATCGCCCCCATGTTCATTATAGTACTCCAAAGCGATGAGATCCGGGCCAGAGCATGGGACCGATGAAGTGGTGCAGACGAGGCTAAAGAGAACAACAATATTCTGGTGTGCATATGGATCAAAGAGACCCACAGTACCAGATATATACGCTTCCCATTGCCGTTTTTGGGTTTGGTAATGGTGCAGGGCCCTGTCGTATTCGGCATCATGAACTGCACGCAAGACCTCTTTGACTTTAGGTGGAGCGTCTTGTGGCGACTCGTGGACCATTTCGGGCGTTATGAAAACAAACTTCTGTGGTTTGGATTTTTCATCGACTGATTGGTCTGATTCGGGATCCCGATCCCGGAGACGCTTAAGGTAGTCCAGTCTACGTTCCATCTCTCTGGCACGCATTAGCAGGTACGGAGGCTCAAACTTGACAAACGGAGAGGCGGAGAGGATCTTCGTTTCATGGTCCCGAACGATGTCTTCATAGTAGGTTGGCATAGGCACGTCGTCAGGCACATCGGTGTCCTCGCTGGTGATGGCAGCCTTCTCTTGAGAGAGGCCATCTGTCTTCCAGTCATTTGGATCCGCCTGTGGAAGTGGTGGACGATGCCTTTCCTCTGCTTTGGCCATCGATGACCGCGACATATCATCAGCCTTCTTTTCTGTTTCAGCCTCAAATGACGTTGGTATCTGAGCAAACTCATCCCTCATCACACTGGTCTCTAATCTTAGGTTGTAAACAACATAAGTCATGAACTCGGTGATCCTCTTCACTTTTGCAAGGACTTCTTTGTCCCCTCCACGAAGAACAACGGTACACCCAAGCTCTTTCCGGCAACCTGATAGGTACATATATGTCTTCTTTTGACCATTAAACACATAGGTTTTGACATCGAAGCTACCACACTCACTACCCATGGGGGTAGTTACCAGTTTATCCATGGAAGTGATTATCCTTGTTTTAGTACATCGCGACACAGCCTCCAGGACTGAGGACTTGACATTGTACGCGGTTGCGATATTGGCTTTCTCAAGCAATTCCAAGGCCAAGCCGGATACATTCTTCTCCACTAGAAGCAGATTGGGCCTTAGAGCAGCTATTCGGCTGACAAGGTTCTCAAGAAACTCGCGTTCTTGGCGAATTACGGGCTCCAAGCTCATGAAGTGCTGTTGGTAACGAGCATATTCGAGAGGGAAGGTGATGATTAAGATTTTCGGCTGCGGAATACTTCTAGACATGCTCTTAAGTGCGAGATTTTTGGTGAATACCAGCCCAGAGACATAGCATGTGTCGCCTGGTCGACCACCCAAGATCTTTTTGAGCTTAATGTAATGACGAATGTCCATATCATCGCCGCCCTGAACATCTGGATCAACATCGTCTGCCGCTTTTAGAAGTATGGGAAGAAGAGCTGTCTCCCAGCTCTGGGCATGGGGAACTGATGAGTCGTTCAAGAGTTGGCGTAACAGTTTCCGGACATGCTGTAAGCTAGCTTTGTTGAGCTCAACTGGGGGGGCCTCTGCCCCCCTCATTGAAGAGCTCCTTGTCATCTTGAAACCGCTAGTAGGCATACCCTTGGGGAAGACATGGACGGCACTGGACGGCTCGTGTGTAGTGAAACCGCTTTCCTTCGACGCTCTAGGAGAGTAGCGCTGATGAATACTGCTAGCAACGCTGAGATTGCGCCGCCTTCGGGGAAGGTTGACCGCTCTGGAACTGCTATAACTGCCGTCATCCAACTCACGACCACCCGTATGATTAAAGCTTATCACGCTTCGATCTCCAAATGCAGAGCGGCCTTTCTTCATAGCAGCAAGAAGCCCGCCAAATGTTGTTCGTTCAGTTTCACCACCGCTCTTGGAGAGTGATCCCTCGGAAACTGCTGACATTAGACTTGGCTGTTCATCGCCACTGGACGCCTCATCCGAAAGGTACTGAGCTAGGTCCGGGTCGATAATGTTGTCTCTGTGAAAGGCGGGTAGTCGGGATTCAAGGGTAGCGTCGTCCATATGACGCCGCTGGAATGGTGCTCGATCATCATGATACGGCTTGAAGTTACGAATAACCTGTTGACGAGAGTGGTGGCGCTTGTGCCCTATGGAGTGAGCTCTTCCACTGAGAGATGATTTCAGTGACCTTGAAGACGTGGGCCTTGCTAACGGACGGTCTGGGCTGATCTCAAGAACAGCTGAACGGCGGTTATGGCCCTCACCAGCGCGCCTCGTGGCCGGGATTGCCATAGTTGGTGTCTTCATTACATGCTCGATCGATTGGGACACAACGGAAGATGCGTCATCATCGTCTGTACCCATACGAGGATAAAAGTCAGAAACTCGAGGATTGACGATGACTGGACTCTGTTCACTGTCTGAAAACTCGGACGAATCATCGTCATGTGCGTTGATCATGGCTTGACATGGTTTGCAAACGCGAATAGATCCCTGCTGGCCAAACTTGTCCCCGGGAACGAGATGGGTGCATTTGGAATCGAATATCTGGCCGCAAGTTCGACAATGGTGCTTCCGTCGAAATGTTGAAAAAGGCTCACCACAATGAAAGCAGTCTTTCGCATTTTCATCACGCATCCAAAAATCCTTACTGAGCAGTTTACTCCGGAGATGCGATATGACACCTTCTCCCACCGGTGGACGCCGACTTCGTGCATCCTGGCTACTGGGGACACGATCAACGGCTGTGTTTATTGGGGGCACCAGAGGCAGCCCCGAAGCTGGCTCGACCTGGGAGGCCTGAGGCGCAACATATCCAGACAAGCGGGCAGAGCTTGGAACAGACGGCACCTCCTTCACATGAGTTTTGGAAGACTCTCTTGATCGCGTCTCCCCGTCCGTCAGTGACAGCGATGTTGCAGCTGTAGAAGCCGGTAGCTTATCAGGGAATGCATTATCTCCATTATTAGGGGAGTGAGAAACACTGTTCGTTCCAGATCCCGAAATGGCACTGGACCAGTCGGGGTTGAAAGAAGAGGCCGAATTGGATCTGAATCTCTCTTGGGATAATGGCATGCTGTCTTGGGATCCATCAACCGAATTCTTACCTTTCCGCTCTTGGCCAGGCAACGACGAATCTAGCTCGTGTGCGACTTGGCCCTCTAGCCTCTTCATGTTATCAGGCACTTGGCTACCTGTTGCGGAAGGCCTGCTTAATTCTGACATCCCCGGACCTTCAACAGAGCTACTCTGGGGCTTCGCCTGTAATACAGGGGAGTGTGATACCCGTTGGCTCCAGCCCGAAGAACTTAATGAGGCAGTATGTGGGGTTTCTTCCTTGTCTGTACCTCCCGAATCCATTGTCTGCAAGCTGTGGGTAGACAGGTTGACAGAATTATTGCTTGAGTGAGATGGATCCTTCATGGCATTGACATGTACTTCTGTAACCGTCGGATCAACGGCTATAGAGTTCGCTGTGGCTTTCGGTAGAGCAGCTGGAGATTTTAAGGCAGGGGAGGGTGAAATCGAGGCTTTTGAAGATACGCTCGTTGTCTTTGACGAGAGTTTCGAGCCCTTCTTAGTGTCCAAAGATTGAGGGCCATCTTGGATAGGGTGATGGCTGGAAGACATCGGGGAATGTAGCCTAGAGCCCTGAGATGAGCCTGGGTGGTATTGCTGAGGTTCCACTCCGAAGGCTGCAGGATCAAGAGTAGGCTTTGCTCCGGAGCGCTCTAACGGAGGGCTTCTTGGACCATGATCTTCTGCGGATGCCTTATCCGACAACCTTCCCACGCTGCTGACTATATCTCTCACACCGCCAACTGAGGTCCGAAACCGACTATACAATCCACTTAACCCCCCTTGGATTTCACCTGAGAAGCTCTTCTCTTCTGCTGCAGAACTCGGGGCGGGTGGGTTTGTGAAATCGTTGAACACGGTGAGAGAATCCGATTGATATGCTGCCGTATGGATCTGGTCGAGAGTCGCATTTAAACCTTCCCGTTCGGCTTGGGTGGACAGTGAGGCTCGAGATCCCCGTCGCCCGAGTGGGAGGAACACGGGCGATGGGGCTGGGCTTGACGTCCGAGACTGTTGGGACTCCATCTAAGGTTTCACTGGGCCTAGTATCATTAAGAGTATCGACACGAAGGAGTCTGATGTCAACCACCCCGGTCTATTGGGAAACTGGCAGTGACATGCACAGTACCCAACAACTGCTCGGTGGAGCTTCGATTGCTCGTGGATAGACGAAGGAACTGGTGGGAGACTTCGAGGCAGGTATCCATGCATAAGCCGATCGACGTTGCATCTGCCGGGGTAAGCGATAGAACACGATCAGTTCTGTACTCCAACTGCAGGACTATTTTTCGGTATTTTTCTTCGACGGCATGGGTGTTATTATGTGCCTGCTGCGATGACGTGTAGTGACAGGAATGAATGGGATGCGTGGATTCGGCAGGCGGTGAGGGCGCGTCATGTTCGACCCGCGCCGGCAGTGATTCTTCAGATATATGATGAGCCTCTCGCTTAATGGCTTCAGACGACGACTCACCTTCATCTTGAGCTAATACGGGCATCAATAAGGTGATGTAAATCTTTAATATCCGCTTGTCCTGTCACTACTTCCATAGAAAAGCATTCGCCAACGCCCATCGTTCGCAGGCTATGATGCTGCTGCCATTCTATTTACTAGCTCTGCATTATGGCATCCATAGATATCTGGATTGCATCTTTAATTGAACATTGCTTTTCTGCGCGGTGGAGTAGCTCAGAAGTGGAAGACGATGGAAGTAACCTTCGGTTTCCAAATAATTCCCAGCAATTCGCCTTGATCAACAACGTGAGTTCTCCTCCGTCGACTAATCATCAAAGAACCATCGAATTGCTGACGACCTAAATTTACCCTGCTAGCGGAGGGAAAGTGACGGGATATTAAGCCTCAACCTGACCGATCTACAGACCCAAATTGATGCGATCATGGCGAGAGAATCCTTACAACGCTACCGGACCGAATTTCCCGACCGCTCGTTCAAGAATGATGACATTAGAGGATGCGTCCTCCAGTTATTGGATTTTGAGGTTGTTCTGGAGTATTCCATGTCCCAGCCCAAACTCCATCTTTACGTCTTGCACTTCTGTATTGCATGGGACAGGGGCCAGATAAAAGGACCACCGCAGGGCAGGGGTATCAGGAAGAACCCATCATTATCTAAAATGATGCGGACGGTTTTTAGCGAGGCCAAATCCCGGGCTGAGACGCTCCAGGGTACTATGTCAGGATCCTTTCGCTTCCTTGAGCCTCCCCTCCAAACGCAACCGCATGATGATTCGGAAGCCTTTATATCGTCTCAAAATCAGCCGCTTGTCAGTCACCCTCCTAGGATTTCAGCCTTGAACCATACACCGGTACTTGGTTCTACATCCTCCAACAAGCTACTGGGGCTCTTAGGTCCTCAATCTAAAGTGACAGACAGTAATGAGTCACCAACTGGGAATGAGACTACTGCGAGACCAGCTGGAGGCGCAGTTTCAAGCGAAACTGAGGTGGCGGAGCAGGCTCAACGTAGTGAAAGCGAGCCTGTTGTGAATGGTAATAACGGACGTACAGAGGTTGACGATGCACACGAGTCTGCGCATGTCACAGTGCCTGATTCCGCAAGCCTCGACCATAACACCAATAATACAAATCCGCGACACGAAGACGATAGTGCACGAGCCTCTGATGTTACTGAAACAAATGAGCAGCGAGAGCACTCTGTGGGGCCCTCTGCAAATGTAAATAGAGCACCCATATCAGAGGCAACTGCACATTTTTCACCACAAAAAGCATCTACAACAAGACAGCCACTTCATCAGAGCTCTGGCCACAGCGACCCTTGGTATGGCATGACGAGGATCTGCAAAAGAGATATTAGAGTACCAAAGAATCAAGCTGCTTTTTTTGAGCAACATGTCCGGTGCTGGGTGCCGCCCCTTCCAGGGGAGAGGGAGCCCCAAGGGCACTTTCCAGCTCCACTTCTGAGCCAGTGGAATACCATTGCATACAACAGAAACCGTTCGATCAAGGAGAATGAGCTGAACGATTCTGTGTCTAAACCAGTCGACTCACCTGAACCTGCACCTGTCAGTAGCAGCTCTGCGCCTCAGACAAGTTCGGAATCTGAAGATGACCAGGACGAAGACCAAGATGGTGACGATATCTCGTGGTCAAATTCTCCCGAAACCCCTGCTCGTCGTCGAAAACAACTACCGGCAGACAGTAGTCCAGCAGAGAGAAACCAGCCAGTCGCACAGACAGCTGGAAAAAGCCAATCTAACATCCAATCGATACTCGAGAACCCTCAAGGTCAACGCGCATCAGTGGATAGCGCATCTAATAAGAATGCCGAGAAGGCAACTGAAGCATCTGCGCCTGAAGCACAATTGATGGAACTGGAAGATGATGTCCCAGACCAGCAGGAGTCTGACAAAGAAAGCCAAGATTCGGTAATGGATACCTCCATTCCCTGTCCCCTCAGAGGTAGCTCACAAGCACGGCTTAGCAGCCAGTCAGAGCCTGAGTCTACCAGCTCAGGGCCATCCCTTGCTGGATATCTCCAACTAGAACAGGTGCAGGTCATGGAGACGCCAACTACTAACTTCAATCACTCCCAGACTGCGAACAGAGGCAATACCAAGATCGGATTGGATAGCTCCGACAGCCCATTCCTGGTCGAGTCATCATCGCAGTCGCGCATTCTTAATACTTATGCCAGCAACGATACTGGCACCAAAAACACCCAAGAGATGTCGTATCCTTCCCAGGGCAATGACGGCTCTCATGAAGTGGACGTCATGGGGACACAGCTGAGCAACGGTGATGGGCCATTTCAGAACTCTATACCTTCCCCACATTCTGCGGTGGTCGTCGACTCACCGGGGCTGGGGGGCTCTATTTCTGTATGTCAGTTTAATGAATCGTCGAAACTCTTCTCTTCTCACAATGAGGTGCTCCCTTCAATGCAGTCGGGCGAAAATGGAGAAGATGCATCGGAAGCTCCCAAGTCCGCACAAGACCCGCCAATTGAACATACTCAGAAGTCGCCGTTGAAGCGCTTCATGTCTTACGACGCAGGAGAGCAGTCTCCCGCAAAACGGTACAAGATGCTTCAGGAAAATCATGAGGATATACATGCACCAATTATAAGAGCATCAACGCCCAATGTGATTTCACGTCGGGAGAGCTATATTGGCTGCTCTGGCAATCATGCTAAGGCACAGAGAATTTACGAAAAGTTTCGAAGCGATTACCCAACATATCGGGGGGACTTTGTACATTTCACGAAGGTGTGTTCTAAGTTGCGGGACGTTCGAGCACGAGGACTTTTACAGCGGTCTTTCCTTTGGGATGATTTTATCATCAAGCACTTAGAGGAATACCCTCAGCATATTGAGGAGGCCCTGGGCATGGGTATGGATGTAAAGTCAGAAGCGTACGAGGAATATTTCGCATCCAATGTCTCCAGACCATCGTACAAGAAGCGAAGTCTCACGGCGGATGGGATTCAAGCCGCTGCTTCCCAGAATGTCTCTGCAGCCCAGCCAAAGGGCGTGCCGAGTCCAGCTCTTCCTCAGCCCCTGGAGAATACATCGTTTACCGGAAGTCTTGTAGAAAGATTCCACAGTCTTCACGCACAGTCTACTGGACTTTCTACACAGGGGTTGCAATCCGAGGCCCACAACGGTCAGGCGTCACCCAGCATGTCGACTCCGACTTCGGGTAGTAAGACAATGTGGCACACACTGTTCGAAAATCACGCAGACGCACACCAGGATAGAGATGAGGCTTCCCATGTGGCAGACGCTGCAGCTGTCGAGCCCGGACAAGATACTGAGATCCTAGCGGCCGAGGAGGTTGACGATGACGAGATAATAGACGAGACTCAAACCGCCGACGGGATTGACCGTGATGAAATAGTGGACGAGACTCAAGGCGCCGACGAGGTTGACTATGACGACGAGATAATGGATGAGACCCACGAAACAGCTAGCATCGAGCTAGGGGACCGTGAACCGGGCGCACCCGCCGAAGAGCCGGTGGCAGCACCTGATGTTGAACCGGGCGATGAAAGCGAGGCGGAGAGTGTCAACGAGAACTGGTTCGACTCCCTTCGCCATATACGCGAACGCGGGCCTACATGGTCTGATGATTTCAACACGCCGTTCAAGAAGTGGGCGCGGGCCGACCAGAATGTCTTGGTTGAGCGTAAACGGCGTGGTGGAGCTCGTATTCCTGTGGATGAAAGGGGGGTAATTCAGCGATTTCATTATTAGATAGAAGAGGTCTGTTATCATAGTATTCGCTTCGGAAATATATATTTGCTGTGACATCTGAACGTTCATTTAATTGATGTCCCATCAATTTATTTTTATAACATATCCATTGCTGCCTAGACTCAGTAATACATATCAGACATGGATGATATCGTACGCAATCTAATTGAACCTATCGAACAAATCCGTAAAAAAAATCGTATAAGGAGGGTATCTGTGTAGACGTCTATCTATAACCAAAGGTATGTATGAAGGGAGCAAAGACCCGCCGAAGCCCAAACCGATAAGTCAAGTAAAATACAACGGACGAAATTGGAAAACCCCCCTGAAGTTTTCGTAGCAACGGGCATTAAATTCATTAAGATCCACTTTTCCTGCGGGACAGACTGCAAGAAATCATGGATTCATGTACCTTTTTATCCATTTTCCATTTTTTTTTGTTTCTGTTTTCTTCTTTTCTTCTCGCTCTCCAAAAATTTTCACTCTTATGATCTAAACATGACGAAAAGGCTCATAGGCACTCGACTGCTGATTGTGATTGTGATTCGCCGGAGCCGGGTAAGCCGTATTACCGTAGGGAGGTACGGCGGGGGTACCCAAAGGCTCGTAGGTGTAGGGGGCCTTTTCGGCGGTGATGGCACGAGGGTTCTTGTTCTTGTGGTTGTAGGGCGAGCGACCGGAACAGCAGCAGGAGCTGAACAACCAGAAGAGAGCAGCGCCCAGAGAGAAGGCGACGGCCAACCAGGTGGCCACGAAGATGTTCTTACCCATGCTGCCCTTGATGCCATAGTCTTTCAGGTTTTCGTTGAAGACGCCGGTGATGGTGGCGAACATGGCTGTTGCGGTGACTGAGGCGGCGGTGGTGAATAGGAATGCGACCTGGTTTTATTTTATTAGCATGAGAACATACATGTAGAGAGAGGAGGGGGGACATACAATCGAGACCAGAGTGGTCACACAGCTACCCCAACGACTGCAGATAGCGAAGAGTCCGACGAGGAGTTCAACGATGGTAGCGACGAAGGCAACGATGTAAGCGATGACCATCCACTTGGAGACGTTCTTGTAGAGATCCAAGCCCTTGCGAACGGAGCTAGGGAGGGCATTCTCGGCACCGGTTTGTTCCAAATGCCAGACCTCGATCGGGTTGAAATAGAACTGGGCCTTGGGCTTCGAACACTCCTTGACCTCGTAGTGGTCACCGTTGGTGACATTGCCGTCGCAGTAGCCCAACAGACCGACGGTGTAGAAGTCCGCTACGTCGAACTGCTTCTGGATCTGTTCCAAGGCGGTTTTGATATCACCGTCGTTGACTTTGAGATGCGCGGCTTCGAGGGCATCGGATACCTTCGATTTGGATGCTGTGGTGGTGAGATTTTGCAGGTTGGCCTATAGTTCCTCGGTTAGTATTGTAATACTGTATAGGGAAGGGATAGGGAGATGTGCATACGCGGAAGAAGTAGAGGTTGTTCAGGGTTCCGGAGCTTGAATTCGTACACCCTATCCCGACCATGATGATGCACACCAACGAGGCGATGGTGAGAGCATATGGGGTGAAAATGCATAGAATGCGACCGCCTTTGCCCATGTTGTCGGCGTTGCTATAGTATTTACGGAGACTGGGCGTGCTGGTATTAGACGTAAGGAGTTCAGCACAGAGATCGATGACAGAGAGATAGATGGCAGATGGTAGACGACGGACGACAGAGAAATAGTAGATGATAAACAGAGAGATGATGAGCGAGATGGGAGGTTTTAAGTATGTATGTCTTGCGACCGGCATTGACAGCCTTAGGCCTTCATATGTTGAGGCGCAGTGTTTTCCCTAAGCCGACGGACCAATCAGCGGGACACGGGATGGTCTACGCCACGCGTGTTTCTATAAATTGACCCGTTTTGTTTCCACCGCAACCTGGAGACGGTATTACAGGGACCCCGCTAGCCGTAGTAGGCAGGAATCAACCAGCCCTATCCACGTAGGTGGCTGGGACGCGCAAGCTGTACATGCATATCAAGATACTCTGTATGTGTACATGTATTTTACTTCTACTCTGTACAGAGATAATTACAAGTTTACAACGAAGTCATCCAACAAATTATGTGGAGATTGATAACTGATAATAGTCGCCAAGTATTGGCCCCATCCATGGACCCATAAGGGGCAGAAATTAAGTTCTCAGAAATTTCACAGAGAATAACTAAATTCCGCACAGGCAGAGGACAGTCCCTGCGGAATAAAATTGATATGCCTGATCGTATATGCGGAGTAAAGACTACAGAGTAGAGCGAGTATGAGGTCATTCAATAGGGAGGAGGTTATACAATTCTCTGAGGCGCAGACCATGGATCCCCAAACTCTGCTATTTTCGTTCTCTACTCCTTACTTCGTATGGGGTATTCTAGGCATCTTCATTCCACAGTCTACATCCTTTACACTGCCTCTAATTAGGTTATGTCCAGTTCTCCACCGATTAAACTACTTTGGTTAGATGACCGACATCTGAAAAATCGACTAGTTTATCAGATAAAGACCAAACTATTATGGCCAAACTACTATGTACCCTACCCTATGGATCACAAATAAGGCTGCAGGATATCCATCATTCCCGTATAAGCCACCCCATTTGGAGGCTCCATGTTGAAGATGTAGTCTCCCCACCAAGGTCCCGCCGCCCACCACATGGCTCCCTTCCACACGTCCGCATTGTCGGCCAAATATTCCAGCATCCCCTTCAGTGCCATTCGACATTGGTCGTTGACTCCGCCGGCGAACTCGCCCAGGATGCCCACCTTGTTGTTCTCCTTCAGCCACTGCGTCGCACTAGTGACTCGTTCCAGGCCGATGGTGGCTGAGACGCAAGACGGCGAGGTGCCAGACCCGTCTGAGTCCAGGTACTGGTGCATCTCGTAGACGATCTTGTCCTGTGGGTCCGTCAAGCTCTTCAGGTTGTCGTTCTGATCGACCCATGTCCACGCGCCGGTCCATGAGTTGCCCTCTACGAAGATGAACTGTGTCGTGGCCCCCGCGGCGCGGATGCCGTCGATGGCAGCTTGGTTGAGATTCAGTACGAGTTCTGAGTCCATATCGTGGTATTCGTTATCTACGACATCAGCATGGTTAGGACAAGGCCTCGGTGAAGACCGAAACTCACTGGTATCGAAGATCACCAGCTCATCGTCTTTAAACTTTCCAGCTAAGTTTTTCCAGAAGGTCTGAAAGTCCGAGGTCGCTGTGATGATTTTTCCATTGCTAGGGATGTCAATCTCTACTATACATAATACAGAAGAAAAGAGAACTCACAATCGACCATAGTTATGAGGATCCAAAACTGCATGGGCGCCTGCGTCTGTGACGGCTTTCACAACCTGCGCAGATCAGAATGGAATCCCTTCCACACAAGACCGACTTACCGAGGTCAGGTTCTTCAGATAGGCATCATTATAGGATCTGGTCATGTCATCCGGGGTCAATCGTTCCATCAAGAACTGGATCCGGAAGATGTTCATCCCCTTGTCAATCAGGGCTGAGATGGTTGAGTGATCTGGGAAGATGAACTCGGTTCCCTAGAACACGTTAGCCATGGGGTATTAATCTTCGCAGTGATATTTAGGGCTATACATATTTTCCTGGGATGCTGTTTTGACCAAATTCACCTCCAGATTCATTTGTGCCAACCCCTGCATCGTCTTTGTTAGGCCATCAAACAACAGAAAGGAACTAGTGAAACAAACACTCCAAAGCTGAATCGCTCTTTTGCTTCTTGTCCAGGGGAGCAATAATCGCAGAAACTGCCGCAGCGGCAACGATCAAGCAGCTAAACTTCATATCGAAAAACATCTATAGAGACCACACAAGAGTACGATTTAGAATTTACGGAACTGCCAATTCACAAAACCAACCATTTATATCATTCCCTCAGCCTCGATGCTCAATGTATTTCTCCGGAATCAACCCCATTTGGAAGACACGAACCCATGATTAGATTGGATCTACTTTCTCGCGGTTGAATGATTCGCGGGGAATCTCGACCAAGTGTCTAGTGGATATCCAGCGGAGGAAAGATTTATCCAGATCGATTCTAACTGGTACACTGTAGACTGTCTTGGCCATTGAAACAGGGGCCGATGAAGTCAGTTGTTTCCGTGGCATTTTGGGTAACTGATTGACTTGATTAATCATTCCGTGTATTATATCCGTTATATATCTGAAACTCAATTAAATCTACGCCATATGAATCCAGATAAATAGATAGAACAATTCATATTACTCAACTCAATTACCACCCCGGCCGCATCAACACCGACTTCATATCCTCCGCCTGCAACCGATGATACTTGGACGACGGATGATAATCATTCCACCAGAAACAGGAACTCCCGTCCTGATTGATGCACGTCGCATCCGGGAATCCGTAATCCAAAGGCCGATCCAACACTTTGGTCATGAACGCCCACGAGTCATAGTAAACGACGGAGACCTGCCGCACCAGCATTAGATGAAACTCAGAATTACCCAGACGATATTAACACCACTGGTATGGAGACTCACGTCGGTATGATTCATCTCGAACCCCGCCACCATAGATCTAAGATTCCTATTATACACAGCCAGATACGCAGCATGTCTCTGCACAGTATCATTTCCCTGATTCAGGAACATCGGGCTCCGACTCGTCGGTGGTACATTCAAGAAGAGAAATTTTCTCCCTCCAGCGTCGTAGACCTTCTGCACGAGAGATGCCAATCGAGCGATCAATTTCGGGATAAATGTATTGGCGTCTTCCCTGTTGAATGAACTACCGATACTAGTAGTTTATACATACTCCTGTCAGGCCATTACTTCCAAAACTAGATCAAGTAGCTAATGTCATACTCGTTAATTCCAATCCAGAACCCGAAAACAGCACTCTCAGCCGTCCAAGGCGCTGGATCGGGCTTATTGGCATACGCCTTTTCAAAGAGTGCCACTTGGGAGACGAGATCCCCGTGGGACGATGAGACAAGGTCGTTGTCGATGGTGGCGCCTCCGATAGCTAGGTTGTAAGAGAGAATCAGGGATGCGTTTTCTGTGGTCGTTAGGTATCCTACCCAGTTGATGCCGCCGGCCGTTGTACCAGTGCCTGGTTATGGAGTGTGTAAGGATAAGGAATGAAGTTGCTTGCAGAGGAAAGATAGATGTGATGATCATACCCAAAGGAGGATTTCCCATCGGGCTGGAAGGAGTTGGTTGCTCGCCATCACTGTTGAAGTCGGTTTGCGTATATGAATTCCCACTGTTATGGGTCAGTATTTAGATTCTTGGGATGGAAGGGAAAAGAGTCGCATACAAGGTAAAGAAATACGTGGTTGAAGCCGGTGACCATGGTCTCGCAGCGACCAGAGCGAGGATGCTGCTCATCACACACAGAATGTGGACCTTCATCATGTTCGGGATCAACATGGATACATGTGGTGAAACAAGCCCCGCGCGAAGAATCTGTCATATTGTACTTATATATAGATTCTTCCACGGACTTTCAGGCAATGATACTACTGTCTGCAGTGGACGGAAAAATCCTCCCGAAGCTGATATTGCGGGGTCGGAAATGGAGCATCATGACCGATGAAGATCACGGCCAATCGAAGAATGAGATCAAGCGAGAGAGACGGAGTTTTGCTCCATTCCTTTCCGATCACGGTGATCTTAGAGAGACAGTCTTGCAGATGTCGTAAGCGTCTTATTCTAGATCTATATACTATGTACATCTTATCGTAAGAATTCATAATTGATCCAGACGAAGGCTCAGGATCTCCATGCCAACACCACAGACAAGCAGCTTAGTCTCCCCCGTTGTGTCTCGGATGATGTCAACGGTCGATATGTCCGCCACGGAGCTATAACTGTCGACCACATTTCGGACCTGAATCGCCTCAAACCCGTCCTTATTCGCGTCCACATCGACCCGCCAGATCTTAATCTGGTGGTCATTTCCAGACGAGGCCACGGTAATTTGGGTCGTACCATCTGGAGATGCATGCTTTTTAAGGACTTTGACGGTGGTTACACAAGCTGCGTGAGCGTCCGGGATGGAGACAGTGCAGGCACGATCACTGGCTTCGGCATAGGTAAAATTCGTGTTCAGGAGAGACAGTGTCAACGCGTTGTCGTCGCCGCCAGCGATGATCAGCGATGCGGCTTGAGATACGTGCACCATCTCCAATGATTTGATACTATTGGAATGGATCTGGTATCGATTTTCACAGGAAATATCCTCCGGAGATGTCGTCATCGCCTCTATAGGTTGCTTCAGACGTAATGTCAAGTCGTAAGGTGCGATCGAGAAGAAAGTATTGATGATCGGTGTCAAATTCCAAAGTGTAAGGTATCCGTCCGTAGAAGCTGTGATCAAAACCAAGGACGAGTCGCGTAGTGCAAATTGTACCTGCGTTAAGCAGTTGCTTGTATATGTGCCCTTGGCCAGTAGCGTAAATCCTCCATGAGCCGACGAGGAATAACGGAAGATCTACCTATGTTAGCTATGAAGTGGGCGTGGTCGAGTGTATCACATACCCTGAGTGTGGAGTTGGAGTACGACAGACAGAGTAAGAAATCGCCCTCATTTTCCTCTCCTTCGATCTCAATCATGTCGAAACTGGTCACTCGAAGATCGGAATTTGCATGGCTCTTCGGGCTCGACGCGACCAGATTCGTTACGAGACCAAATAGGGGAATTGAGCGAATCTTCCACACGAAAAACTCCTCATTCGCTGCTCCTGTGAAGAGGAACTTTCCATTTCTGGACCAGTCTATATGCTGAAACCCAGTCTGGTGCTGCATGAGGACCCTCAGGCATTTGAAAGCGCCCCATCTGCTCTCTTTCTCCGGGTCTATCGGTGTAAAGATCCGCAACGCGGTATCCTCTGACCCAGTCGCAAAGAGCGTTCCTCTTTCATCATTCGAGGGCGATACGCCCATGGTTTTGATTTCTCTTCCAGGGCCTCCAGCTCGTAAAGTACGTCTGGCCTCGCCCTGGATCTGGAAAGCCACAAGGTGAGACTGGATCCATACAAGCAAACCGGAGCCTGGCTGTGTATGGCTGGGATAGAAGGCCCAGATTCGATGACATCCACCGCAGGTCATCCGAGCAGCCTCCGAGTTTGTGGATTCGTTCCACAGAATGAAATCCGAGCCCGAAAAACCATACAGCATAAGATCCCAAGAAGCTTTGTCAACATAGACACCCATCATATTGAATCTTGGAAGAGGAATGGAGTGATGGATGGTCTGGAGAGAGACTATTTCTTGTGAATCCTTCAACAAAGTATGGAGACTGTAGAAGCCATCCCGGCCGCAGGTCAAGAAATAGTTCAGGGACTTTCCCGCGCCCCCGTAAAGAGATGAGAATGATTCAATCGAGTTGACGCCCTCTGGATGCATGACCTCGTCCAGTAGAGGCTGCAAGGGAGACTCTGCCGGGGTAATCGGGTATATAGCCAGTGAACCTCGTTGAGAGCCCAATGCTAGATATTTATCACCACAATACACTAAGGAGGCACTTCCCACAACGAAGCGCCTGGGAAGAGTCATCGTTATATTCTTCACTTGTGGCTTCTCATTCTCTGATATTGTGACCATGAATAAGTCTGCTTTGTCGAATCTTGCATGTGATGTGAGGAAGAACAGCGTCCCTGCTGACCCACATGTGCTGCGTTGGTAGTCAAGGGCGAAAAGCCCCTGTGGCATTTGGCCCGTCTCCGCTAAAATGGACAGTGATTTGTCGTGGTGATTGTACAGCCGTATAGATCCTCTTGCATTCCCTAACAGTGCCAGCCCATGTTGTGGTAGACCAGCAATCGCACAATATGAGCGAAGATCTTCTTCCACCGATACAGTCTCTTTGAAGATATGACTCTTCACTGAGGCTGAAGATTCGATGCTGCAAATTTGGACTTCGCCCTGGGTAGTGGTTGCGATGAAACAATCTGGAGTGACAAAACCGATTTTTTTCATGGTGTTCTCAAGCTTTGGTTCAGAGCCAGGAGAGTTGACAGAAAAGTTAATGCGGCGGTTTCTGTTAGACACCACCACGGCCCCTGTCTCGTCTATCCCTAACTTGAAACACTTTAACGCACCATCAGAGCCCCCAGTATACACTGTCGTCTCGGCACCTATGCTACGCATATCAGAAGCCCATATGTGCTTCCCGGAGTGTTGATGCAGGTTAGAAATCTCACTCAGCTTGAAGTCCGATTCTGGCGACGAAGGATCCCAGCTGAGATCCCACACGAGACAAGTGGCATCTTCACCACGCGAAACAAGATTCAGTCTACCTTTGTCACCAATCGTTGTCGTGAGAAAAAACACATTCCATATCCGCGCCTGGTGGCCAAAAGCACTCGCGATGCAGGACTCGGAGCCGAGAGTGCTATCACCAAAACCTGTGGTTCGAAGTTCGAAGCCGTCCGTGGAATAGGCAGAAGGATCATGGCGTGATGACTTCTCACAATCAGATATGTTCCAGATTCTGATGGTTCTATCATCACTACAGCTAGCCAGCAGTCGTCCAGTAGAGTTGCCAGGTAAAGAGACCATATGGGATATCCGGACTCCGAAAATAGACCCTTCGTGACCGGTAAAAAAGTGATGAATTGAGGCCACTGCATTGAAAAGACTGTCCTCTTCGTTTAAATAGCAAGACCAGACAATAACTTCGCCAAAGATGGTCCCGGAAGCAATCAGGATGTGAGAGGACGAGCACGAAATGGTATCAGCCGAGTAGAGAAGGGTTTTAACTCCCGCCACGAGGTGTTGCAATCGAATACTCTTCGCGTATCCTAAGGAGGTCCCGTCTACAACAGACATGCGAAGAATCGCATTATGGGCTGTTACCATGTAGGCTTCCATTGGTTCCTTTTTGATGTCAGGCGTACATCCGGCCAATATCCAATCTGGTGCCAAATACTCAGCACATGTGGTCCGTAAAGACGCCTCCACTTCACCAGAGGGCTTGTTAGTAATACACAAGCTAAGGAGTCTCAATGATTCGCCTCCCCAGGCTAGAAGCTGAGCACATGCTTTCGCTGTATCTTGCTGCTCTTGATTGAGAACAATGAATCCATGGATGTTGCTTCGCTTGAAAGTCTGCAGACTGGCTAGCAGTCTGCCGCTGCCTTCATCAAACAACCGCACATGTGGACCTTGGCCTTCAAAAAGAAGCCTATTATCTCCCAGATCAAATGCTTTCAGCGCTGCTATAGGAAGGCAAGCATCAATGTGCTAAAATGAAGTCAGCAATGGCCATGACTGTTATTAGATTCATCTCTAACCTCCAGCGAGGGATGCATTGGTGCAACCAGCGAAGCACATTGGCCGCCGGCTTTCAGGCAATATATTATATTCAACCCAAGGGCTTCTTCCCCGCATAGCACTATCCCACTGGCTTCATAAAATTCTAGAGTCTGTGAATGCTTATGTAACCACCTGTCCCTCCACAACGCGCTTTACCGTTAATGGCGTAATTACATCACGTGATATCGCGCTCCTCGTGAAGTGGCGACGCGGAATCCGTCGGACGGTGTTCTTGGTCTTACGAAGTCGTCAGGGACGCCGACTGGTTCGGTGTATACCTGTGTCGTCTCCGATGCAGACATCCTGATGTCCATCGCGTTGTCGAAGCTATCCTATTGCCAGCTCACCCGCCCTTGTGTGAGCAATAGGTAGTATTCGATTGAGTCAGCATGGGTGTTCACGGGCTATGGACCGTTGTCCAGCCTTGTGCACGGCCCGTCAAGCTGGAAACTCTCAACAAGAAGCGGTTGGCAGTTGATGCATCGATTTGGATATATCAGTTTTTGAAGGCGGTGCGTGATAAAGAAGGAAACGCACTCCGTAATTCTCATATCGTGGGCTTCTTCCGTCGGATCTGCAAACTGCTTTACTTTGGAATCAAGCCAGTGTTCGTATTTGATGGCGGTGCTCCAACATTAAAGCGACAAACAATAGCCAATAGGAAGAAGAGACGAGAAGGTCGCAGAGAAGATGCCGTCCGCACGGCTGGAAAGTTACTTGCTGTGCACATGCAAAGGACTGCCGAGGAAGAGGCGGCCAGGCGCAAGCACAACACGGGCAGGCAAGAGGAGGAGGTGTCGGATAAACCAGTATATGCGGACGAGGCATTCATGACAGATAAGGAGAAGCAAAACAGCCGTTCATTCAGAAAGAAAGATGCGTATCATCTTCCGGATTTGCATGTGTCGCTTGAAGAGATGGGTGCCCCCAATGATCCCCGTATCATGTCTCGGGAGGAACTAGAGGAGTATGCAAGGCAGTTCCACCGGGGGGAAGATATCAATCTTTACGACTTCTCTAAAATCGATTTTGACAGCCCTTTTTTTATCAGTTTGCCGGCTACCGACCGGTACAATATCTTAAACGCGGCTAGACTTCGGAGTCGTCTACGAATGGGATACTCGAAAGAGCAGTTGGATGTCATGTTTCCAGATCGTATGGCTTTCTCCAAATTTCAAATCGAGCGAGTCAAGGAGCGGAATGACCTCACTCAACGTCTGATGAATATTAATGGCATGAATGGGGAAGAGGCGTTCTACAACTCAGGGCAAAGAATTGCTGGAGAGAGGGGTAAAGAGTACGTTCTGGTCCAGGACAGCGCCATTGAAGGCGGTTGGGCGCTAGGAGTCGTGGGGAACAAAGATGAGGGCCGTGAGGGCAAGCCCATTGACGTCGATGCATACGGAATGCAAGATATTCTACCAGAAAGGGGTGATGTATCAGATGACGACGGAGGCTTTGAAGACGTGCCAATTGAGGGCCTCAACCGACTCCCTAAACTTCCTTTTCTTCGAGAGGGTGCTCTTGATGAATCAATCCGACAGCAGATGCAGAAAGCTCTTGGGAGAAGAGCTAGCCTTAGCTCACGAGACTTCGAGGATGACTCCCTATTTGTTCAAGATGGTGACCATCAATATCTACAAGGCGGTCGAACGATGCATGATCTGTTTGAGGATGGTGGCGAGAATGAGGAAGAAGATCTTCAGAAAGCAATAGCAATGTCGCTTCAGAGTGAAGCGTTGGGGCAACAGGACAAAGGTATGCCTGACATACCGATCAATAGAAACACTGCCCCTCTGTCAACCCAAGAGTCGGCTTTCAACTTTGAGCCTGCAAGTGACGATGATGGACTTGATTTTGGAGCTGCGTTAGCACAATCAAAGAGGACCAAGAAAGAGCCAACCAAGACCGCTGCGCGCCCCGTTATCGACAATCCCTTCGACGGGCCACTGCCTTTCGAGTCCATGAAACTTAACAAGCCGTCTCAGATAGACAAGCCGCGGGATAAGGAAGTTGATGAGCATGCCGGTGGTTTTGAAAAAGACGCTGATACAAAACAGAAAGAGAGCATTACGCTACCACCATGGTTCTCGGGAGACAATTCAAATGCTGAATTTATTGCCGATAACGCCGGCAATGCCAATAATGGATCGTTGCAAAGCTATCGGGGTGCAGTTATGACCCCACACCACGTCTTTCTGAAAAATCATCAATCCCCCAAGGTTATCGATGTTGACAAGCTACCGAAATCCAATGAGGTTATTGATCTGGAGTCGGATGCGGAAGACAAGAGCAACGCCGCTGCTCAGGCTACTTTAGATAGTGCAGAAATCCTGGCAGGTACCAATGCTCTGCCACAAGCGCAGGAAAATAATATTCCTATATCAGTTCCCAAGCTGGATTTATCTTCAGACAAGCAGAGCCGTGAAAAATATGCTACTGATGGAAGGGTTGGTTCTAGCGAACACGTGCCGGTGCAGATTGAATCCCCACCACCCCAGCTAAAGGATGTAGCAATTCAGCCGGAAGTAGCAGAAGCTACATTGCGCACTGAGCCCTCACCTTCACCCGAGTTTGAGAATGTTGCAATTCAACCAGAAGAACATATTCCTAAGAGCATTGCCACCGAGTTGAAACCAGAATATACCGCTGAAATAAGCCTAGCCGAAAACTTCGCCGATGAAGAGGATGGGTTCTCGGACCCGGAAGATGAGGATTTGATGCGCCAGCTTGCGGCTGAAGGCGAAGAACATGTCCGATTTGCGGCCACATTGAACTCTGCACCGCATGCTGAAAGCACTTTCAACTACGAACAAGAGCTCAAACAATTGCGCGCACAACAAAAGAAGGACCGCAGAGATGCAGATGAGGTGACACAGATCATGATTACAGAATGCCAGCAATTACTGGCTCTGTTTGGTCTACCATATTGCACGGCGCCCATGGAAGCCGAAGCGCAATGTGCGGAGCTGGTCTCGCTAGGTCTTGTCGATGGTATTATTACCGATGATAGCGATATTTTCTTGTTTGGTGGCACGCGAATCTACAAGAACATGTTCAATCAAAGCAAGTTTGTCGAGTGCTTCCTCGCGTCGGATCTGGAGAAAGAGTACGCTCTCCACCGGAAGAAACTGATTAGTTTCTCCCATCTACTTGGCAGCGATTATACAGAAGGTATCCCCGGGATTGGGCCCGTCACGGCTTTGGAAATCATCACGGAGTTCGCCAGCTTGGAAGAGTTTCGTGACTGGTGGACTCAGGTCCAGATGGGAACCAACAAGGGCGACGACGAGCATGCTGCCTTCCATAAGAAGTTCAAGAAGCAGGCTACAAAAATTTTCCTGCCGCCGGCTTTCCCCGACGCGCGAGTAGATGTGGCTTACTTTGAACCGGAGGTCGACTCGGATCCGTCTCCATTTCAATGGGGGGTGCCGGATCTACATGGCCTGCGAAACTTCCTGATGACTACGATTGGATGGAGTCAGGAGCGGACCGACGAGGTCCTGGTCCCTGTCATCCGGGACATGAACCGTAGGGAGCAAGAAGGCACGCAGTCTAATATCACGAACTTTTTCCATGGCCCGCAAGGAGCGGGAGCGTTTGCGCCGCGTGTTCGCTCAGGCGGGCAGAGTCGGATGGAGAAGGCGTTCAGTCGGCTTCGACGTGAAGCCGGAGCGAACCAGCATCCCGGCGCCCCAATAGGCGAGGAGGCAGAGGTAAATGGTGGCGATTCCCCTGGGAGCTCCAGCCACCGAGGACGACCAAGAGGCACCAAACGGAGGACCTTAGAAGACGAGGCGGTGCAGTGTCCTCGTGGAAACGATACGACCAGTAAGAAGCGGAAGACCCAACGAGGCAGGAAGGATTAGTCTGTAGATACATTTTTTGGTGTAACAGCTATTATTTTCTCGTTTATTCTCCTTCTGTAGCCAAGACTCTGACATTCCATGGATTGGGGATCTTATGGTTTGTTGCTACCACAGTAATCTCCACTATTCGTCACCGATGTTTAACAGCCCAGATTAAAAGTGCACGACTGATCAGATCTGACGATCGAATGCGGAGGCTCGATCATCCGAGTCTTAATGGATTTTCAATATGATCGTCGTGATTTTAGCGAAATTGGATCTTCTATCAGCTTGTTATACTGTGTAGAGCTCTATCTGAAGGTCATGTGGCCGAGGTTGGTGATATGCGAGGATGGCTGCGCACACTGAAACTGAACCTTGATTCAAAATTTTCTGGAATTGTTTTTGTGCGACCAAGAAAAGAAAACCAGCATTCGTCACGACCATCCGACATGTTTGAACCAATCGTCCGGGAAAGTTCGAAGAGGTAGGAGAACCATCGATGATATCACCGACTAGAGGGAGCCTTTGCAGCAAGGATGACGTCGCCGAATCCACCAAAAATTCAAAAAAAATTCAAAAAAAAAAAGGCCAGAAGCAGTGGAGCAGTATCAAAGCCCCTTTAGAGATTGAGTAGCTCCCAGCCAATCTGCGTCCCCAGTTGTCGCCTGGGCGATCAGGTTTGTCGTCATTATTACTCATCCCTCCAGCGTGACGTGCGAATCGGGTCTAGCGCGAGTCCCAGCGAGTCTCGACGTCACCAACGGTGTTTCGTTTCCAATGCAACAAGACGAGACTCTCTCTATAGCGAGCGACAAAGAAAACGGGGGCGCTCGATAAGAGCAAGAAAGTGACATCACCTTCTCCCGTGGATTCGATTCGATTCTTTCTTTCTTTTCGTCAGTCAATTCCTCTCGGTTGCAGTTCCCTCTTCATCTCTCTTCCTCTCCCCCGCCTCGTGCGTCTCCCTCTTCCGTCGCATCCCGTCGCTTCCTCTGGCACACGTCACTCGCGCGCAAAAGGGAACTTTGAAAGATACCGCCTCGTCTGATTTCCAACGAGTCCCGAATCTTCTTTTGATTCTTTCATCATTCTCACCGCACCCCCTCCTGGTTTCTAACCCTCCGTTCGGTCGAGATTCACCATGCATCGTACTTATTCCATGCGCCAAACGCGCATGCCGACCGCCTCGCAGATCGAGAATCCTCCTCCACCACTTTCCTCGACCAAAACCGGCCGATGGATGGGAAAAGGTGGCTTCGGTGTGTATTTTTTCTTCTTTTCTGCGCCCCTTTCCTCTCTTCTGAGCCCAGTCCGATGGAAATCCGTTCCCTGGCCATTGCGATGCAATCGCATTTGATGATAAGCGTAGTAACAGTCTCAAGCAGGACATGCTTTTCGCAAGAATGCCGCCGGCGCCTTTGGACCTGATCTAGCGCGGAAGCTCTCCCAGCTGGTCAAGATGGAGAAAAACGTCATGCGCACCATGGAACTGGTAGCAAAGGAGCGCATGGAAACTGCGGTATGTGATACCTTTAAGGACTCTCTCCAGCTATAGTTCAGGCTGATTGTTCTATAGCAACAACTCTCCATCTGGGGTGAGAACTGCGACGAAGATGTGTCGGACGTCACCGATAAGATCGGGGTCCTACTCTACGAGATTGGAGAGCTGGAGGATCTCTACGTCGATCGCTACGACCAGTACCGGGTGACCATCAAGAGCATTCGTAACATCGAAGCTTCCGTGCAACCCAGCCGGGACCGTGAGTCGCCTTTTTTTTTTTTTGGATGCTCTTGTTATTTGACTCTCCCCTAACGTCCAAACAGGCAAGCAGAAGATCACCGACGAGATCGCGAAGCTCAAGTACAAGGACCCCAACTCACCTCGCATCGTTGTCCTGGAGCAGGAGCTGGTTCGTGCTGAGGCGGAATCGCTCGTGGCCGAGGCCCAGCTCTCCAACATCACCCGCGAGAAGCTCAAGGCGGCCTTCCAGTACCACTTCGATGCTCTGCGTGAGCACTCTGAGAAGGTGGCTATCATCGCCGGCTACGGCAAGCATCTCCTGGATCTCATTGACGACACCCCTGTGACGCCTGGTGAGACACGTACGGCGTACGACGGATACGACACCAGCAAAGGAGTGATCCAGGACTGCGAAGAAGCCCTGGCCAACTGGGTCACGTCCAAGGCTTCGGTGAAGTCGGACCTGTCTACGCGGACCCGCACCCTTTCCCAGCGCCGACGGGACAGTGCGGCTAAGAACCGCGGCGAGGGAGTAGACCTTTCGGGCCAGGACCAGCCCATGCGAGGTGATCGGGACTCGTGGTTGCCGGCCGACCAGCATCAGAGCTACCATGATGAAGATGGCGAGGAAGTAGGCAGCGCCCTGGACGGCGAGCCCCGAGGCCGAGAAGAAGAGCGAGAGCCCGTGACGGTCTAGAAGAGAGCCGTATATGCTCAAAGGGTGCTATCTACTCGCTGATGAGTCCTTGTTTTAGGAGTACGTTCTGATATCCGGATTGGTGTCCTTGTGATTTTCCCATGGGTTACGTTGTTCTTGGTATTGTATTTGACTCTCTCCATCGTCAGTCCGCCTGCATATTTCCCCTGGTCATGCCATCCGGAGTGATGACGTCATGACCGGTATGAAGGCTTACGTGGAAGTCGGACCGAGATCATTGGCTAATTTCCTAATGTAATATTATACGATGTGTCGGGGGATGTTTGGTTGATATTCATGAGATTGCGTTTATTGGTGTATGGTAGGTAGTAATTAATTGTCTTCTGATTACCTTTTAGTTTGGAGCAGAGTAGGTTAAATCTATTTATATTTGTATTCTATATCCTATATTCCATAGACTATGCAGGTAGGATTATAGAATAGTGAATATATAGGAATTGGTATTAGCTAGACAAAGAATCGGAGAAGTCCAATAAGAAACATCGTGAATCATTATATAGAGTGGAGTATATATAATATCTTGTGTATTGTAGATATTTTCTATCTTCTCTTAGTTTATTTTGTCATCTCCATCTCTCCATCTATGTTCATAGCATATCATATCATACTACCTGTTTCACCCCATATCATACCCATAAGCCAGGCCACATACAACGACCACAACGACACAATAGACACTGGAACGGAATAAAACAGGACCAAGAGAAAACAAGAAGACCGAGAGAAGTCAAAGAAAAAGATAGAAAAATCCAAGAGAAAGATAGAGAATGTCGTCCTCAAACTGCCACGCCAAAGACCACCTTACATCCCTGTGTCGTTTCCTCGCTGTCATGCCTGTTTTGCTCTGGGGCACACGGTTTCGCAATGTCTGAAATTGAAGACGAGATCTACTGTTTTTACTCCTGGTTCTACCGACATTTCTACCCCTGCTTCTACTGCAATTTCTACGCCTACTTCTGGTACTGAACTCTGCGATTGAAAGGTAAGGATGGTCATAGATCTCCTACTTCTCGAAACGAAGAGAAATAGATAATCTATTGTCATCGATCATGAATTAATCTATCGTACAATATCGAGCATGTTCTATCTGGCTCGTATTTACTGTACTATCAGACTCATTGATTGCAACTACGTAGATCCTATAGATCAATTCAACTCTACTATCCTTCCAGCCGAATGGTCAACCAAACATACTCCGCAGGACAATCAACACAAATCAAGACCGAACATGAAATCACAGCATCAAATCAAAGTCATTACATCGTCATGTGCCATCAAGATGGATCACTCTGCAAATAAGCATAGATAGAAAGACAGAAGTTCCACCAGACAATGATCATGCCAATAGATAGACATGTATACGAGAAGAGATGAAATAAACGAATCAAAAATCAAGAATGAATCAATGAATGAATACAAATGTTCTTCCTTTACTTCCTAATTGTCCGTCCCCACGCCCTTCTTTTTTGGCTGGATATGTTTTTGCCCGTTGCTTTTATGATTCGACGCCGGGCTGTCAGGAGGTGCCATTCGACCTGTCGCGGCCTCATGTTTCTCAGTTAGAAGATTCTTCAGCCAGCGGTTTTCCATCTCGAGCTGGGCGACGCGGGCCTCAAGCGTGGCGTTCTTCTCCGTTGTTTCGCGCACTGTGCGCTCCAGCGTCTGCTCGCGTTGTTTCTTCTTCATGCGGAACCGCGCGCTGGCCGCCGTGTTCCGTCGTCGTCGGTCTTCCTCGGCAGCTCGATTGACGTGCTCTTCCCGGTTCAGGGCGGAAGCGATGTGATCGCCCGGGATGGACGTGCTGTATTTCGTGTTACCGATCTGCCCGTTGGGAGGTGATATTGATGACGACACGTCCGACGGGGTCAGAGCCCCCGGAGCATGCCCCAGATCATCCGGAGGGCCGTAGGAGATGGGAGGGTAGATCGGGTGAGCCGAATAGGACAGCATTTGGTCGGGGAGAGAATAGTTGATGGTCTTGTCCCCTGGTGCTGCTGGTAGAGTTCAGGGTAAGTAACGCGATGATGGAGGGAAACTCGGGAAATCCAACGCTGCAAAGGCCAAGGAAAGGGGGGAGGGAGATAAGATAGAAGGGGAAGCAAAGCAAGCGGTATCAGACAGGCGTTATTAAAATGGGCGGACCCTTGAAGACGATCCGTAGAAGAGCAATGGGAAAGGCACGGATAATGGACCGACAGAGTCAAGGTTGCCGACGTTGTCATTGGTGTGATGGATTGCGTGCTTATGCGGTAGGATAAGCCCAAAGTATGGGATAGAGAACCCAAATGGTTACCCCAACTCAGGGGAACCAAAAGAATGATCATCCAGTAAAAACAAGCCAGCATACATGTGATGGAAGTAAGGCGTGGTTACAAACAGACGATACAGCCAAGATTAACCGGATGGATAGTCCGAAGAAGGCTTCCCCAGATATCGGACTGAGCTCGTACGGGTTGGGCAAGGCTCAAGTAACCCAACCCAAGCTCTCCTCTAATGCCGTATGGAGTAAGACTTGAAATTAAGGGCACGAACCAGGGAGCGGGAAGATGGCGCAAACAATGCAACATTCAGAGTCATACATTCAGAAAAAAGGACTTACCATGATATGGATAACCTCTCACATCGATGGGGCCGCGTTCATCCTCGATACTGTCGTAGGAACTGACGGATAGACCGCCCATTCCTTCAGTTTGATCATAATCCATGCTCAGATTCTGAATCGGTGCCAAAGCTGCCGAATCTGCGTCGAAAGAGTAATGGCGAGCTTTGGCCACCGCCGGATTGTGTCGAGAAAGAAGGAAGTTGAAATTCTCGAGTCTATTGAAGCCGGAAGCTGTCTGATGAGCGATATGCTCATCTGACATATTGGCTGCTGCAAAGAGGGATTTTAGAAGAACGTTGGAGCTGATCCGGGGTGGTTTTTTTTTCTCTGGGCTTATTTTTCTAGGGAATAAAATGCGTGGTAATTTTTCTTTCAAATTACCTTGCTAATCTGTTACCCCGATTGGTATTGGTGGCTCTTTTTCCTGGTATTTTTTTTTTAGTTCCTAGTTTTTTTTCAATTTTTTGGCACCAGGAAAAGGCGCAAGAACTGGGAGTAGATGATGCCACGGATAAATCTAACTCAGCCCGACTGTAAGCCCCCCGATCAGTCAGCTGACGGAGAGGCGGCACCGTCGAAAATAATCCGCAGAAGAGGAGAAATCCAGAGATCGAGATTCACCAGTAGAAGTGGGATGGATGGTGGTTGTCAAGATATCTGGGCTGCATTCACAGTTTGAGTCGCATGGCGCGGGATGGTTAGCCACGTACGTAATACGAGTCCACGTCTCTGGAGGACGCAAGTATATGTACTCTGAGTAGGAATTAATGACAGAGCAAATAGAATACCAGATTAAGATCAACCGAGGAACAACCTGATGGGTTGGATGCAACGGGAGGAAAAGAAAGCAAGACCAACAAAGAGGAGCAGTGCTAGTATCACCAGCACCGCCAGCTTCCAATCCACTCCAGTCTCCCAGTCTCCAGCTGGGGCGGCAGGAGGAGGAGACGCTGTAGTGATCGTCTCATGTCCGTCCAAGGCTAGCGGATGATCTGATAGAATGGAGAAATGTCGTGATCGCCTCTTCTGGTTCGCCAGTTGAACGCCTCGGGTTTCCCAACTGCGTAATCACTGGCTATCTTAGTCTTGCGGGGAAGACAGGGACAGTACAGAGTACAGAGTACACAAGAAGAGCTGTTGATTAATACTGATCTTTGAACAAATTGAATGGGTATTCTCAAAAATACCTGAGTATCTCATGGCCATCGGCGATCGGGTGCGGACTTTCTCGGTGGGGTGGGCCATTCCTAGCAGGTTACACGGCAGTACCTATCCGTACCAGGCCGACGATGGCCTACCCTAGCATCGCCCCGTACCGATTGGTACCTCTTTGGTATCCTTACCTCTCAGTTCTCCATCTGCCAAAATTCCGCCTCTTAGCGCGTTGAGCCGTTGAGATTTAATAAATTATCTCCATAACTAACTACACAGTAGGCTCAGGTTGATAATTGATATTAAATAACCAGTATCAAATTGGCAGTTGCCATAAGATAGTCTCCACTTCTTGGCCTTTGCGAACGGACTGTCAGACATCGACCCTTCGGGCCTCGAAGCTTGGCGTTCTGTAAGTACTTATCAGTGATCTCTTCTTTCGTCCCTTCTTTCTTCTCTCTTTTCTATTTTCGTCAATGAGGCATTCAACTGACAGAGGTCAATCTGCGAAACCTAGGCTCGAAGGAGATGAAAACAGTCATTGCGATCCATAACTAACCCGTCCGAAATCCTGACTTAAGCAGTCTCCAGTATGGTTACAGGCATGCGTAACTTGTATCCATCGGAATCTCAACAGAATACCTCTGATGGAGGACCGATATACTATAGCTCCTATTCTACAGGAATCCAATGGATTGATGACGGAAAAATCACGGTTCGGAGCTATTCTTTAATGACAGCCTCGCAATCCTATCAATGGCTAGCATCTGTACTGTCGAATGATCGGATCAACTCCAAGAACTGAACTCTTCCTACAGAAAGAGAGAAGTGTTGTTTATAATGTTGGCTGGAATAGCCTATGCACCAACAGTCTACCCCGGATTTTGCCAGGATACTAGAGTCGTAGGCCTCCTGCTTCCCTATCGTATCTATGCATAGCTTACGGAGTCTGGAACCAACAGTGTCTCGGAATACAACCAATCCAAGACAAAATGGAGATGCCTACGGTCAAATATGCAGTCGCTCAAACAGTATTCACTGGGTTCTGAATATACCTTCTTTATTTCATCTGATCCGATGATCTGGAAAGCTATAACACGTACTAGATCCACCCACTGCTTGCACAAACGACCACCAATGAGGAACTAGATACTGGAACGGACAAATCCAGGAATGCAGGCGTGGTCATCAGATAGGGTTCGAAGCTCTGAAGACGGGCAACTGCCAGGCAACTGACAGGTTACTGAACCCTGCTCAACCCCGCAGAACGTCACGAGACGTCGGGGCTACCTCTTGGACACGTTGATGCAACAGTCAGAACAATGCCACAAGTTGGCTATCATCGCAGTTTGAGTCTGTGGACAAGAATGCCTTTTGCTCACTCCTGAACCATGACAATCATCTAGAGCATTATTCGGAGTATAAGATATTTCGGGATTGATGCCGGCTACGTAAGGCACAAGGCTAGAGGGCACAAGGCTATAAGACCAGTTGATGGTCTTAAATATCAGGATGGACCAGAACGGGAGGAATGGTAGAATACCAGAATCATATCCATACCGTGTAGTTCTCGCGAGTAGTTCTTTGGTTGAGCCCTCGAGCGGAATCTTCAGAGTCGGAGATACCATCGGGGTCCTACCGACCGGAACTGCTCGGTGCCGACTTCCGACCGATGACAGGCCCATTAATAATGGCTCTGGACCCTCTCTTCGCCGCCGCAGACGAGAGGGCAAGGAGAAAAGTTCGGCGTGCTTGGTTCATTTTCGCGATTCATTCTTCTTTCGTCTTCGTCGGAGGATTGTATTCTTGATTGATTCATCAGATTCGTCGCCAACTGGGATCGCTAACCGTCGACGGACATATTCTCCAGACGATCCGTGTGGCGTTGTCATTCTGGCATTGTGCGCCCATCACTTCTTAGTGCAGACTCTTCATTTATTCATTTTCTTTTTTTTTTCTTTTATTTTTTATTTATGACTTCTTATTTATTACTACTATTTTTGTCCTAATCTATCGGCCATATATGCCTTGGACGGCTCTGTCCTGTATGGTTGCACCCGTCGCGGTTGGAATCAGACATCATGCAGCATCCAACGTTTGGCGCTAAAGATATGACCTCATTCGGAGCTCTGGATGGCCACTCCTTTGTACAGAAGAATCCCAGATCCCATACCGGACTCGATGCTCGGTGGCGTAACCCACTGGGAAGAAAACCGCCTCCCGATCTTTCCAGAGACCCTCGAGTAAGCCGGTTGCCTCAGGCATGTGAGCTGTGTTACCGAAAAAAGATTAAATGTGAGGTCGAGGGCTCCAGCGCGACCTGTATTCAATGTATGCGCCGTAATGTAACCTGCAAATTCACCTCGAGGAAGGAGAAACGAGACAATCTGAAAAGGTGAATCTTTCTATACCGGCCTCCCCACGAGGAGGGATTAGCTAAACCGTCCGCTAGAGCACATTACGTGAAGTGTTTAGAAGAACGACTGAAGAGGACGGAATCGCTGCTCCGCGCTGCCGGGCTGCTTGACGAAGAAGCAATCGGCTACGATGACTTCAGCACCGATGATGACGAACATGACGAGAGCGATATCGAAGATGATGCCGACTATCCTTCGCAAGACAGTAGCCGTAGTTCTGGAGAGTTGCGAGGAGAGTCGATGGATTCCGCTTATGCGTCTGGATCCTGGGATACCGCCGATAGTCAATCCAGGCCATTGAACTCGGACAAGGGCAGGACCAAGCGCTGTCAACCGCCGATAAACTCCTATCTGCCTCCTTGTTCTCCTTGTTCAGTAATCCGAGTTGACTCCAAGGAAGACTCTCGATATTTTGGTGCGTCCTCTACCCTATTGACCTCTGCTGCAAATGTGTTAACCCCAGTCTAGGACGATGCTCGTCCTTGTCTATATTATCTCGAGATGGGATTGAGTGGATCAAGAGTAAGACGGGCGATGCGACGTTCCTTACGCCATTGTTTTCCAGCACGAATCACGATAGGCCGTGGGACTACTGGCGCCCGGACGTATTTCATGACGTGTTTTCCTGTAAAGTTTTCAAACCGTTGCCGCCGCGAGGGGAAGTTTTTTCCCTCCTACGGGACTATTTTCGCACCGTCAACCGCCTGTTTCCACTGTACCACGAGGCATCGTTCATGCAGTTGATCGAATGGCAGTACACGCAGCAAACGTGTGATGATGCGGCCCGGTGGGCCGGCATCAACGTCATACTCGCGCTGGCCTATGAATATCGATTTTCCAACGGGCAGAAGTCGGAAAAAGATCGCGAGAAGGCATGGCTGTATTATAAGAATTCCATGTCGGTGTTTGCAGAGCTGACCATGCGACGGACGGATCTCTTAAGCGTGCAGGCCCTCCTGGGTATGGCCCTGTTCCTTCGCGGGAACTCGGGGACCCAGTCGGCTTTGCCTATTGTCACGGCAGCCATCCGGTCCTGTCAAAGGATGGGTCTCCATCGAGACATCCCGCAACCGCATCTCTCGGCGGTAGAGCAAGAGCAGAGGAAGAGGGTTTTCTGGATCGCCTTTATCCTTGACCAAAGGTGAGCACGCTGATATAGAGTTCATGTAGGAGCACTAACGGGATCAGTTCATGTATTCGCGTGGGGAATGCGCCGACCCAGCATCCCGACGATTTTGATATCGGGTTTCCGACTGAAACGGCGGACGACGAATTCATCATGTTGAACAATCATTCGTTCTTCCAGCAACTGTGCCATATGACTGTGATCAAGAGCCGGATCTATTCCCGGCTGTATGCGACCAAGGCTCTGCATAATCAATCCCTGGAGGATATTTGGGAGACTGTCAAAGAGCTGCAGCTCGAACTGGACGAGTGGAAGAATGTAGATGCATTCCACGACGAGCATTTAAAACAGCGAGGGGGCAGCGACGACTTCCTGATGGGGTTCGCCTGCGTCGGTCTGCAGTTCGTCTACTATAATGCTCTAATTATGATCCATCGCCTGCCGGTTCTGATCCATTTTGCGTACATGCGTCGTCTGGCGGGTGGAGCTCGAACGTCGCGGGATTCGCGGGCGATCATAAACCAGGCGTCCACCTCGACGGCGATTTGCGTACAAGCTGCGCGGGACACCTTGAAATTGGTGAATAACCTGCCATGGGGCGATGTGGCATGGATATGGTAGGTCTCCCCTGTATACTCCTCTGATCTTATTACTGACCCGTAAGGTCATTGCTGTATTACATCTTTCTAGCGGTGATGACGATCTTCGTGAACATCCTGCGGGATAGTCGACATCCCAATTCGAAAGACGACCTCCAGACGTTGAGCATGGCGTCGACATTCTTCGCGACACTGATTCCGGGCGATCGACCGTGTGCGTATGCGCGGTTCATGACGCGGATGTGCGCCAACTTCGAGCGCATCGCGCGGATGGTAATCGAGCGTGAACAGAAAACCATCCAACTGGAGAAGACGCAGCCAGCTCCAGCTCCAGCTCCGGAGGAACCGAAGATGCCTTCCATTCCTTCGACGGGTGTTGATATCCCGCAGTTGGAGGGACTCCCGCCTATTAATTCGTCGGGATATGTTGTTCTTGGCAGTCCTGAACCTATACCTGCCACTGAATCTGCTAGTAATACTACTAGTAGTAGTGGTGCTGATGTACCGTATCGACCGATAGGAAATAACATCAACATAATTGGTAATGGCCTGGCACCCGATCTATGGCAGATTCCATTAACAACGGACTGGGAGCTGGGGAATCAGTTCTGGGGTGGGCTCTTTGGCGCGAACTGCCCGGGGAGCGAAGACCTGACGATGATATCTCAGCCTTCAGCTATGGATATGGGATTTGGATACGGGGAAGCGTTTGGGAGTCAGTGGAGTTATGGGCCATTTTTTGATCCATTCTGAGTTCTAGTCTGTCTAGATGGATATACTGTATGAATTGATCTACGGCGAGCGCAGCGATGCATGTCCTTGCTATATGATCCCATGACATTATCCAGACTCTCTTCAGTCTCCATTCACTATATCATATCAACTCACCTTCGTCTTATGTAAGTATCTATCCTCAGACATACAAGAAATAGACTGACAATCTATATCCAGTATGATATAGAAGTGGAAGCATAAAATCCGAATGCTCCACATATTGAACAAATCCCGGTAAACAGCATCTACTGAGTGACGAATAGACTATATAGTCTCAATAATCTTCTCCCTGGGCGTCCCCAGCCTCTCCAACGCATGATAAAAATCCTACGGTTCTGCCCAATCCTCGGACACACAGACGCCTTCCCGTCCATGACCCTGATCCTGATCCTGGCTCTGCAAAGCCATAAGAATGAACGCCGCTCACTATGTACCCGTGATGCTGGTCATCGATTTCATAAGAAATCCCCCATTTCCAGCACCAGCACCAGCACCCACGGCAGGCTTTCGCTTGGTCACCATAGCAGGATGACCATTTCGCAGACCGACAGCGCACACGAGAAGACCCCTGGCAGGGTCAGATCCAGAGTCAGATCCAGAGTCAGATCCAGACTGAATACTGACACTCCCTCCGCGTGTCCCAGCCGTCATGAAATCAATAATTTCATCGCGGGAGCATTCCCCCATGCGACCAGAGCCTGAATCACACAGTCAGGGGATAATGCCATGTTATGGTTCTCCGGCTCGTCCTGCGACGAGGATGACTAGCACGGCGAGTGCATGGTGTCTAGGAGTGCGGAGCAGTCGTGGAGGGTGAGATGGAGGGGGACAGCTCGTCCAGAGGGGAAGTTGGCGATGAGATACTCCACGGCTGGGAGGTTGATGTCTGCTAAGACGAGGGGATTGGAGATGGCTGGGATGAGACGTTGGATTACCACGCGGCACGTTTCGCCGGCGGCACCGATGATGCGGATGGGGTTCATTTAGATATGTGATATATCTATGATATATCTATAGATGTCAGTTATAGATAGATCATAGATTGTTGATTGATTTATATACTCTATCGCCCAACTGAGATTGTTATACTCCGGCCGTCCCGCGGATCCGCGGGCCCGATAACCAATATACTCTGATTATACGGAGTAGATTTGCTTGAAGTATGAGATAATATGCAATCCATGTACACTGTACTAATCCACTGGAAACGCCATAACCGATCCTAGAATCCCGCTTGCAACCGTTGAACCGCCGTCCTCCAGATCCCGTTCCCCAATGTCTTCCCAGACTGCTCAGACTGCCCAGTCTCTCCCAGTTCGTCACAAACGATCCGCCGCATCTCCCGCTCCGACATGTCTCCGTCATCGAATCCATACACTTTGTTGGCAATCACGTCCGTCTCGAGATCCAGCGATCCCATCCCAGTTTCCTGGCCCACCACGCGCGTCGTCACCGCAAAGTCCACGTCAATTCGACGACCGCCACTACCCGGAACGCCCTGGAGTAAAGTGCATCTCGCCCGCAGCTGATGTTGATCCTCCGTCTCGATGAGCTTGAGCTTCGTGACCCCGCAAAACTCCAGCATGCGAGCCTCTTCTTCTAGCCGTCGCATGAGATCCCATGCGTCCGAGATAAATCGTAGCAGGAATTTCGGGGCCACTGTGGCCTGCTCCACTTCTGCCAGACGATTCTGTAGAGACTTCAACACCAACAGCGCGATGGACGACAGCGGCGCGCCTGGATGATAGCTCAGTTCAACCGGTGCGTTCGACTTCTCGTCATTCTCATGGTAGAAAGCACCAGGGTGGAACATAAGTCGCAGTTGCTCGCGATAAGACATTGTGACCATCGGACCCTGAGTCTTGGAGGTCTTCGCAGAGACAATGGACCAGCCGGTTTGGCGCTCAATCTCGTGGACAGAGCCTATCGCAATCAGTAAGCCCCAATATGCTGCATTCAAGGCAACTCACCTCTCAATTCGCTGATTTCCTTCGCGCTCCAGCCACGGCATTCTTCCTTGACCCTCTCCGCTTCCTGGATATGCGCCATAAACTCGGCTTTGAGCTCCGTTCCCGTCTCGATACGTCGAGACTTGTCCTGCACCTCGCCCTGCAGCTCCTGTAGCTGTTTCTTCTTTGTGGCAATCTCCTCCTCGATGCTGGCCAGTTTCTCCCGTGCTCCACGCAGTTCATCCTGATCACAGTTCTCCATCTCATCAGCTAACTGCTGGAGTGTGGTGGCTTCTCCATCGAGCGAAGCTTGCTTTTCGATAAGAGCCGGGACAACCTCATTGAGGACTGCCTCGTGTTTCGACAGACGCTCATCGTCCGCCTTCATCTCATCAACAGTGCGGTTCAGCCCGTCTTTCAGCCCATCCAGCAGTTTCATCCGCCACTCATACCATGTGGCCTTGCTCAGAAGTCGAGCATGCATCTTCACGTTTCGAAACTGATTATCCATCAGCAGACGGATATCGGGCGCCGCCGTCATGTACTCTCGGAAAAGTGGCGGATTATCCGCATAGGTTTCCGTCTCGATGGACCGGATGACTTGTCGGCCTTCCGAAATGTAGGATTTCAACTCTCGACAGGACTAGCCATTGATTAGTATCTATTACTCACAGAACAAAAAGGAAAGAACTCACGTGCTGATAGAGCTCCAGCATAGAAACAGTGCAGACCCCAGCTACCACGCAGTCTTCGAAATTGGTAGCGCTGGACCGGTCCCCGTTCTCACTGGAAAGCCGAGCCGCTCTTCTACGGCCACTATCAGGAGCCGTCGTATGCCGTCGTTTTGTGGTATTCAGCTCCATAAAATGAATGTTGGTCATGTCCAAGAAGTCCTGTAGCTGAATAGGCTCAAATTCAGGGCCCGGATCAAGGCCCGGGTCCTCGCCACGAGCATCCCCATCTACGGGTTCAGAGTCTGGGCTGGTTTGCTCCGTCGGAGGTTTCCCCGCTGGGCTGTCCCCTGGCTCTCGGGTAGGAGTGGTACTGGCCTTAATAGGTGATGCCATTTCCATAGTTTTACTAGGTGACCGACGACCGACGGTTTCCTCCTTCGTTGGGGGCGCCGGCAGTCGGATACTCTTCACCGGGCTGACATCATGACCTCTGAAGCGCTTTGGTGTATTGTCCAATTCTTCGTCGTCCTGATCGAGCTCTGCCGGTCTTTTTCCCAGGAGCCCTCGAGCCGTACCGACATGCAGGCTTTTCCGACCACGAAGTTTGTTTTTCTTCGGTGTCAGGCTCGAAATCATGTCCTTGAGGTTCGCGGTGGGATCTCTCTCACCCGGTTGTAGGGGCGGGATATGACCGTCCTCCCGGTTCTCCTCTTCCTCGCGCTCGCGATCAACCTCCTCGTGGAGCTTCACGGGATCCTCGAAGCGCACTCCTCCCTGTTGCCGCTCCTGAGGAACAAACTCGCCGACTTCCTCGCCAATCGACCGACGCTGGTCAAGCATAGCCGCCACCCGAGGAGATCCAAGCCCTTCTTTGTCAATCCCAAGCCCAGAGGAGCGTCTCTTCCCATGAGGCTGGAGAACAAAGAGAGGAGTCGATTCTCCCGCTGTGCTGGGTCCAAAAAGGCTTTTACGCCCAGGAGACTTTCGCTTACCGGCGGACTCTTGGAGATGGGGCTGGAAAAGCTTCTTGGGAGATGTGCTTGGGTACCTCCTGTCACTCAGTGGAGTCTTGCCGGGGGTCGAAGGATGGCTCGCCTGCGGCGTTAGTTGCTTTGGAGGAGTTAGAGATTTCTTGGACGGTAACTGTTGCGGCGTGCGTGAGGGGGGCGTAGTTGACTGTGGAAAACTCAGACTCTGCCTCGTGCGTCGAGATCTTACACTCGCTAAACTTGGACTACCACTCTCAGAAGCAATCGCAGCAACGTGGAAGGAGACTTGCGATTTAGCCGGAGACTGTGGCGCGGTGATGTCTCGGAAGGGAGAGCTATCCAACTGTCCACCGTCGGACTCCATTTCCATCATCAGCTTCGCCTGTTTCTTATCACCAGCCTCCACAGTCGATGGTAATATTCTACCCATGGCTGTTGTGACATCCATCCCTGCGGTCTGGTCGTCATAGACGTCTTGCAATTGAGTCTGTTCTTCGTTTGTTGGGAGAATGCCGCCAATGGCTCCAGTGATTTCCATGTCTACATCCTGTTCCATGTCATCTTCGTTATTGATCCATTCAGAGAGGCTCAGCCCTTTCGCTTCTGCAGTAATAGACGCTGCTTGTCCATTATTTTCCTCAGAGGCATAAGGTCTGTTAAGGACACCTCCGACCACAGACGTGAACTCCATGGTCATCTCCTCGTCTTCGTTCGCATTGCTCTCGCCACCAACAGATTTCGCAGGAGAAACAGTGTGTGCGATGCCTCCGATTACATTCGTAAATTCCATCGTTTGCTCCTCGTAGTTGGTCTCCTCCCCAGTAGACTTCCGGCGGGCGGTGCTTTGGCGACGACCAGGTAGCCCGGAGATAATCCCCCCGATAGCGTTTGTCACGTCCATGCTGAGCTCTTCGTCTCCATTGTCACTGACGGCATCGAGAAATCCTTTATCTTCCATTCTTGGTTGGGGAGGTTCAACGTTTTCCTGATCGTGCCGAGCACTTATATCTTCCCAGTCAAAACTTTGCCTCTGTCCTTTCTTGATCCAGGGCTGGAAGGCACCAGTAATTTCTTGATCGGCAATCTCCATCGACACATCCGCGTTTTCATCGTCGTCGATTTTTTGGGTTCCTGCTTCTCGAGCCGCCTGTCTCAGAGCTTCATTCAGCCGATCACTGGAGCTGGTACTGGATCCAGAGCCATCAGACTGTGCTGTCACAGCAGACCGCACCGTCATATCGTCCAAACTCATTGCCGTACTTTCCGCGTCGAAGCCCGATGTAGCCGAGTTATCGTCATCTTCGTCGTCATGGTCATCCCCAGCAACGTCCTGCAGCCTAATATCTTCAGTACCATCAACGGAGCTTCCGCTGAAGGGGCTTGATGACATCTGAGACGACCCCATTCCATCGTCACCTGGGTGCATCGGGCCATTCTTGAGTCGTTCTAAGTCGGGGTACTGTACTGGAGAAAAGGCAATGTCTGATTGCGCATCAATGTCAGGCGAGGATGGCGGTTCAACTTGTTCTGAAGCTCTCTTCGTTCCGCCATTTGTTAAAGATGACGCTCGCCTAGTAGAATTGGATGTGGATGATGAAGTAGAGTCGTCCGGTATTTCCACTACGTTCCATGTGTGTAATGTCGCTTCCGGAGCAAATGATACTCGTCGATTCGCTTCAATCCTAGTTAGTATGGAAAATCTTTAGGGGGTTCGCATAAGACAAAGACACACCCATAGATTTGCGACGCGCTTCTCTTTGTTCAAGAATAGCCTTCCTTTCTCTCTCGCGCCTCTCTGTTTCCTCTCGTTCTCTCACGGCAGCCATTTCGTCGCGGATCGCTGATGCATTGAAGCTGTCAAAGGGGTTGGCACGCTCATCGGTACTCGATGCTGCCGAAGGTTGAGCCGGCGTGTCGAAGTCTATCAAAAGGTCCTCCTTGCCATTATTATTCCCGTCTCCATCGCCATTATTCTGGTGGGTTCCTCGTGCTGGGGTACGTCTGCGGGTTTCTTCGAAAGAAGGTATGTTCCGAACCGGGGAGACAGGTACGGTAGGTTTCAGGATGGATTTGAGGGGGAAAGCTATGGTAGACTATGGAGCGATCGCATTCCGTTTAGTTCTGCAGATATAGCACAAAGTCGTGGTGGAGTGAGAAGTAATGTACCTTGCGTCGGTTGCCATTTGAGTCCTGGAGCGCATCCAAGCCCCCAGGTCCCAGACTCTTACTACGGGATTTCTTATCTTTACCCAGCGATTTCGAGGAGCCTTCCAGCGGCTGAGACGCGCTAATATCGGTGGTAGCATTCTCCTTGTCTACCCCGGATGGCAACTTCGATCGCGGTACATGGGCAATTGAGCGACGAGATCGCGGGCGGGTGGACCCCGCGGAGTTGCCTCTGGACGACATTGGGAGCGACGCAGGAAATCATAGACAGAGAAACTGGTGGCAGAATGGTGCACGTTCAGCCCAGGGGACACGGTATGTAGTCGTCAATTGCACCATGGTCCCAAGCCACCGCGACTTACAGAACAGACAAGTTGCCTACTTTGGACTGACTGGCTGAGGCGCGTCTCCCGGCCGGCGCTCATGTGATCTCCAGATGTAAACAAACCAAAAGCCCTAGCCGAACCGAGCCATACCGCATCGGCACTAGCGCCGCCACCGCACACTCACCACCCTGAATATCCCGCTTTCATGGAATAATTCCTTCTCAACATCGACGTCGACCACCGCAGGCCCCGACACCCCCCTCCGCGACGAATTTCCCACCCAGCTCGACTTCGCTTCCTCGTCGATCTGAATTCTCGCAACAATGGCGACCGAGTTGACCGTCCAGTCGGAACGTGCGTTCCAGAAGCAGCCTCACATCTTCGTCAACCCTAAGACCAAGGCGAAGAGCAAGAAGGTTGGCACCGGCCGGAGATGGTACAAGGATGTCGGTCTGGGATTCCGTACTCCCAAGACCGCCATTGAGGGCAGCTACATCGGTATGCAGGACCTCCGTTCAGATTTCTTTCCAGATCTCGAATTTTTATATCGGGCGGAAGAGAGAACAACGACTTTTTTCGGGATTTGAAGAAGAGATCACGAGTGGATTTTGAGATAAATTGAATTGATGCTACGATAGACCTGTGGCGATTGAATGAATGTTGAAAAAAAAAAAAAGAACTAAAAAAAAAAAAGTCGACTTTCGACCACCAGTTCTTTTTTCTTGGAACCGCAAAGCTTCGTCGATTCTCATCTTCAAATTCCCCGGAATCGCGTCATGTTCCTCTTGGTCAGGATCGTATGGATAAATTGCTAATTTCAAACAGACAAGAAGTGCCCCTTCACCGGTCTGGTTTCCATCCGTGGCCGTATCTTGACCGGCCGTGTCGTCTCCACCAAGATGCACCGTACCATTGTCATCCGCCGTGAATACCTCCACTACGTTCCCAAGTACAACCGTTACGAGAAGAGACACAAGAACCTTGCTGCTCACGTCTCTCCCGCTTTCCGTGTTGAGGAGGGTGACTGGGTTACCGTTGGCCAGTGCCGTCCCCTGTCCAAGACCGTACGTGTACACTTTTCCTGGGAGGCTCTTGATTTCTGGTGTCAAATATCTCGATGGCAACAGCGACATGGGATTGAGATATCGAGACGAACCTATTCAATCCATACAGTACAGAGCTATAATCCACTAACACTCATTTTAGGTCCGTTTCAACGTCCTCCGTGTCTTGCCCCGTACCGGCAAGGCCGTCAAGGCTTTCAGCAAGTTCTAAGTGTGTCGACGAGGAAGGGGTGCTTCTGAACGGATGATAAACCTAGGGCAGCGGCGTGACTGGATATAAGCGAGCTAGTTTAACGGGTTGGGATTGTTTCACGATTTCATGTCCCAGGTACCCTTTGTGAGGAGATATCCAATGAAATAAAAAAAGCTTTCTTGATCCTCCTGTGATAGATTCCACCGTATCATGAATCAGGAATGGGGATTACTGTGCATGACAGTTTGGAGTGGAGCTTTTTCATTATGCCAGATTAGGTTGTTTCATATACTTTTACTCTTTTCAGTTCTGTTGTGCTGCCGTCGATCGTAGAGACCGTTTGATATTGATTTTCTATTGTCTGCCAGATCTCGAACTGGAGGTCTAGAACTAAGTACACACAGCCTTGGACCTCTAGCTATAACAGAAACACTCGATAGGATCCCACGACAAGATGTTTCCTTCTACAGCATCCTTTAATCTGCTTCCCGACATGCATATTTCACGGTTCAGCTTTCAATACCTGAATCAAGTCAACAGGATCATAATTGATTAACCCCAAAACATCCTGACTCGTTCTCTGTCGGTGGCGAATTGGTCCTGCTCAGCTGATTGCTGTACAGAGACACTAACCCTGCTGTTATAGGTACTGTCGTCTTTATCTTCCGCCAAAACAACGAGGTCCTCAGCGGCATTGTCTACTAGGTCAGAGAAGTCCTGCGATTGGCTTATAATCGGTTCATCGCTGTGCTGTTGGGGCTTTGTGATGGAGAAGGCACCAGGGACTTCGTCATCCGAACTGTCGATCGTAATGGTTTCTCGGTGGGACTGCATTCTGGGAGGACTACTATTGCTTTCATCCCTCTGTGATATCCATTGACCGGTAATCTCGTCAAAGGTTTTGACAACTAGATTCGGACGGACGGGAGACAGACAATGAGTATCCACTACACTAGTATTTTCATTCATGGCCATGTCGTCATCAGATTCAACCTCATCAGAAATTCCGTCGTCATCAGATGATTCTAGGATGGAGGGCTCTTCGTCAGCCTCTTCATCTGCGGTGCTCCTGATGGAAGTCTGTGGTGGTAGTAGCGGCGGCGGCGTCGTGAATTCTTGTGTAAGAGAGTAATAGCCATCCTCGACACCTCTGTAGAAGTCTTCCCACGATCCCGTTCTGTTCATTCTCCATGAGTAGAACATGCCCTCGCTGACAGGCTTGCAGTAGTCATAAGGGAGCTCAACACAAGATAAAAGCCTGCCAATCATTGCGCCGGAGGCATGGTCCAAACGCCCCGGCCCTTGAGCAAGAGCTTGATGCAAACGCTTCTGATTCTTTTCAAATGAACTGATTGTATCAAGCTGGAATAACGCGCCCAGATCAGGATTCTCTTGTGTAAACTGTACAATCGTGCTGACTTTGAAAGAGCATACAATAGCTGAACTTGGGATATTACCCCAAACCAAGTACTCCCCAGCCCCGTTATAAAATCCTAGCTTAATCCTAAGCTTTAGCACGAGAGTCTGGGCGGAGTATACTGGTGATATGAGTTTGTTTCTGTCGATTATTGATACTATCGCTCCCTCTTTGCCCCGTAAAGCCCGATGGACAGGTGCAAGCATGGACTGAAACGTAGAAATGAAGGGAGATAGGGTCTTTTTGCGGCTAACATGTTGCACAAAGTATTCATTGAATACCGCCTGCTGGATCTGTTCCGGGGTGAAGTAGTCAGTATCTTCACTAAACAAACCAGCCCGAAAGAGCTTTTTGGAATTAATTCCTTGCGTGTCTATATTAGACCATCTGTAAAGCAAGGTAGGCATCCAGGTATCTTTCGAATTCGGTGTGTCTAGTCTCTCCCTGTTTTCCATGTAGCACCAGAAACACAACTTTCCACCCGCGGTGCATAGAATGGGAGTCTTGCTAGCAGGTGATATCGGTTGCCTAGATCGTTTGGGGGTGGTATTTTCTCCAGGGCTTGCATCAGTATCCTGGAAGACAAGTCATAATATGGCCATCACTCTTTAGTATGCGAAGAGCGGCTTTCTATCGTATTGTCTTGACTAACCTCTACGTCTCTCCGCGATTGCGAATCTAACCTTCCTTTTACAACTTCATGCTCAGGGTATTCCAAGTTCCTAGGCGGGAGAGAATGGAAATTCGATGTATCGATATCATCCTCTTCTTTTTCAATCAGATGTATGCCGTGAATTGATGCAGTTTCCTTAATCTTTTGGATGAAAGGGAGCCAGATCCCGTTCCTGGCAAAAGGCGACAAATGTACACACCCCCATAAGTAATCACCAGTTCGTTTCATTGTATGCCATTGAAAGTGAAGCTTGTTCCATGTGACTTCAGCCGGGACACCATCATCCATTAACTCAGCTTGGAAGCTGAATTTAAAGATCTTCGAGAAAGCATCTCTATCTCTCTTGAAGAACTTGTAAAGGCAACAAAGGAACAATCTTTGTTCAGTAGACCATCTGATACGACGCGGTCTCTGTAATAAGCCAAGACCAAGATTTTCCATTATGGAATATTTTTATCGAATAGTGCAAGAGATGATACAGGTATCGAAGACGGGATATTTGTCGGGATGTCTTAGGAATACTCAAAGTGGGAACAGTATCACAAAGACGGGAGAAAGAACTTGGCAGAAAAAAGAAAGGAAAAAAAAAGAGGATAGAGGGAAATAAGACTATTGAAGTTGAGAAATGAAGTCTTCGAGATAAGACTAGACCAGCATTGGTTAAACTGAAAAAGAAATCCAGTCAAGAGGAAGTTCTCAGCTTGGTGGTCAGCCAGTCGGTGCTTCAGGAGTGTATGGAATTTGCCAATTCCAAGTAGTATCAAATTGGAAAGGTGTAGATGGGCCATTTTCCAGGCTTGTGTTACTACGTGACGAGTGAATGTTGGGGATGCAAGGTGATTGGTGAGTGAATGGAAGTACCGACATGATAGGTATATCAGTATCCATATCAATTTCACTATGTCAGTGAATGTAATGTTAATGATTCGGGTGTTGTGTTGTTGTTAAACTTCACCAGCCTGAGATTTATATACAGGGATCATGAGGTCAAGAATCAGGTGACAACCGACACGCCTAATTTCTTTAGACAGGAACTTGGAGATAGAAAAGAATAACAGATCAATCTGACCACATCATTCCCCACAATGGGCATATTCAGATAAAGCTGCTAGTCCCATAGGACATACATAACTCCGACAGCCCAGGTGAGCGCTAGACTGACATCTGCCTAGACGGCAGGCGGAGAGAAGCTCCACCGAATTCCATTTAGACACTCCCCGACTACCTGAAGCTCTCTCAATCCTCTCCAATCACCATTCGATTGTTGCATTCTTCATATCTACTGCGTATATACCTCCCCATAAACTCGCCTTATTCTTATTCCAGTTGCTCCGGTCTCACCATCAATAGTTTGGGTATCGTTTTCCAACCGTCCCCCGCATTCCTTGCAGGCCGTTTTAAAAGTCTCAGCACTTTCTGCAGCATGGCTTAAGCCATCATGATAGGTCTTGGTGCTGGTGAGGATAAATTATTGATTTGGACACTACGATAGCCTTCATTTCCGCACTGCATATAGCCTTCACCTTTCTTTTTTCCGTTGCACCCTGAAACACCTAATTGAACACATCACGCTACCCCCTGGCTTACCCGATTGCGGCCTAATTACGGAGGCCTGACAACGTTCGACGATGTCCCACAATTTCGAGAAATCGGTGAAAGGGGCTACTAAAATCAAGGTCAGTGTGTTGGATCTGTTGTAGCGACTGAAACCCCCCACTGTGGTCATTCCGATCCGAGTTCTGATAGTGGCCTCTCCTAACAGCTCGCTCCCCCCAAATCCAAATATATCGAGCACATCCTAGTTGCGACACATACAGGCGAGGCTGGAGTAGCAGAGATATTCCGAACACTGCACCTTCGACTTCGAGAGTCAACATGGACGGTAGTATTCAAGTCCCTAATTGTGATGCACATCATGATCAGGGAGGGTCAGCTGGACGCTACTCTACAGTATATGGCAGAGAATCCGAGAAAGCTTGCAATCAGCAGATTCTCCGAGGGTATGTGAGAGGCGTTGTAGAGTCGGATGTGATAAGGTGCTGACGACCTTGTGCAGCTCAGTCACAAGGATATAATATCCGCAGATACTCGGACTATCTCATAGCGCGCGCAAACGCATTCGAGGCCACCAAGACCGACTACGTACGGAGCGGCCAAGGACGGATGAGGAGACTGACAGTAGAGAAGGGTCTACTACGAGAGACAGAGATTGTTCAGAAGCAGATCCGCGCTCTGCTACTATGTGATGTAGGTTATGAGACGATTGTGGAGCTGCTGCGATTGCTGACCAAACCCAGCTCTTGACAGATGAACCTGAAAATGAAATTACACTCACAGCCTTCCGCTTGCTGACTTTGGACCTCCTCACCCTGTACTCCGTCATGAACGAGGGCACGATAAACGTCTTGGGTAGGTAGCGGCCCCGTGTCCTTGCGCTATTGCGGGTTCTTACTTTACTTGCAACCAGAACATTATTTCGAGATGTCACGGCCTGATAGCGAGCGCGCGCTTGAAATCTACAAAGTATTCACCACGCAGACTGAGGAAGTCGTGAAGTTCCTCGGTGTTGCGAGGCATTTTCAATCAGCCACGCGACTAGAAATCCCGAAACTTAAACACGCATCCACGGATCTAACACGACTCCTGGAGGACGATCTAAACGATCCGGACTTCGACCTTCGCCGGCGAGACTATCTGGCATCGAAAGGGAAAAGTGGTGGTCCTGCTCCAAAGGTCACAGCAAGTAACACCGGGGGAACTGGGAATAGGGTCGTCAACAATTCCAATCCTGCGCCTCCGCGTCCCCAGACTGCCGATCCTAGTCTCCCAAAGAAGGAAACCCCGTCAGATTTGATAGACTTCTTCGACACAATTGAACCGACTCCACAAACAATGGCGACGCAGCAGTTTCACCAACCACAGTTCCAGCAGCAACCGCAGGCGATGCAATTCCAGCAGACCGGATTTCAACAGCAGCAGCCAGGGTTTTACTCACAACAAACAGGCTTCCAACAAGCGACCCAACAGACAGGAGTTGCCCAAGCGGGATCGTTTGTCCAGCAAAATCATAATCCATTTGGACAACAGCAAGCACCACAGCCTCTTCAAGCTACGCCGACTGGCGCAGGATTCGGCGGCTACACCCCGCAACCACAGACATATGCTCAGACAGGCCTTGCGCCCAACCCGCAAACTCACCTTTCTCCGTTCCCTCAACAGCAGCAGCCACAGCAGCAGCAGCAGACCACGAATCCATTCCGACAATCCATGTTGATGAGCACACCGACAGGCTCAAGCTTGTCTCCCACCCAATTGAATCGCATGAGCACCAATCCGTTTGCTCGACGGTTGTCAGTTGCGAACCCCCAATACGCTGGCACCGCCGATGCGTTCCCGCAACCCCCTCAGCAACCGCCGCAGCCTGTCCAGCAATTGCAGCCGCAGCGTACTGGGACGAACCCCTTTGCTCGAAGCTCTTCAGTCCCTCCGCAACAGTCTCAAGGGCTGCAGCCACCGGCGGCGGCGCTGCGCCCTAATCCCACCGGTAGCACGAATCCATTCCGACAGAGTGCATTTATCAACCAGCAGACCGGCCAGGGGTGGCAGGCCGGCACCCAACAAGGGACAATGGGTGGTTATGAGAACTTGGAGACTTTACCTGTTTTTCCACGACCGGGAATGATGTAGCATGACAGTGCCCGGGAAGGATAAAAGGGCAAAATTGATAGACCGGTTACTCTTCCTTTTTCTTGTTTTTTCATTCTTTTATTGTCTTTTTGTTTTCTTTCCCCTGTTCGAAATCTTTCCGTTCCTCACATTCTTATTTGTTTTATTTATGCATGACAGCAATCTCGCAGCGCGGGCACGATCTGTCACATGTAGCGATAGCAAGGACTGGTTAGCGACTAGGACCTGTAATAAAAGATATCTTCTATTCGAGATATGAGTTTTGTATGGAGTGCACCGAAGAGAACGTTGGTCCACTCGGTCAACGTGAGTTTACTAGATTAGACCGTCCCTCTAAGATTCGTACAGTGGGACGATGGCATACACATACAGTACTCCGCAGTAGTAGTCCTACACACTATGCAGTCGATCGACTTACAAAGGACGACCATAATTGACAGTCCTCAAGAACATTCAGACGACTCATTCTTCCCCACTGAGCCGGATAGAAATATTTATTAACAAAAGAACTTTGTCCTCCAACTTGGTCTAATCTTAGCGCCAAAGCCAAATGGCAGCGGTGCATCTCCCGCGGAGAAATTCCGGGCCAGTCAAAACTACAGAGAAACGAGCTCAAGAAAGAGAATCGGAGATGCTCGGATATACGCCAGACTGAGAGCTACAGGTGGGGCGAACCCGTTGTTTTGAATGTTTTGGATGCTGTCAGCCAGAATCTATTCGTTGATGCATTTGTTGTGTTTATCTTGTTGGAGGGAAGTTCCAGGCTGCAGCTGTTCAGTTATTTCCCCTCCACTTTCTTTCTCGCACCAACGAAGCATCTTCGCCATGGACTTTTCCTAATAAGGGCAGTGTGCTGGCCATTCAGCCATCTATCTCTTTCTCTTCCTCTGTTTCTCTCCTGCCGATACTCGTATAGTGTCTGTTTGCTCAAGCCATGGATGCCAAGAGCCCCCCTCAGACCTCGGGCCAAGGCGAACAGGTGCTGCCCATCCACCCGGCTGCGCATCATAATCCCCCGTGGATGATGCCGTCCACGCTGTCCGATCCTCCTCCCATAACTTATCCGAACCCCCCTTATGAATATGTGCCTGCCCCGGTCCCGGTCCCGGTCCCTGTCCCTGTTCCTGTGTCCGCACCGACTGCGACACCGCGGAACGTCCCCCCGTCCTCAGCAGCCTCGCCGTATATCAAAGACGAAACTTCGTCGGCAGCTCCAAATGTGAACCATCAGAATGATGGCCCGAGTACGGCATCCAAGTCCCGCAAACCTCGAAAGACCAACAATGCGTCCGCAGGTCGATCGACCCTGTTCTGGGTCCATAGTGACCAGCAGTCCGTATCGGAGGGAACGCGAGAGGATACCCTCAAACGGATTCGTTCCCACGTCATGTCCGAGCACAATCGGAAGAAGAGACTGGAGAATACCAAACGCTACAGGAGCAAGACCTTGAAACATCTCGCCTTTCAACCGGTAGAGAGCGCTGCTGCAGGTCCCGCACCTCCCCCGTCAGGGAGATCGCTTGTGAACGCGCCCTCCGCCGGTCGAGACAAGGAACCGACGCGAGGAAACGATCTGGTGGTCACCAGTGCCCCTGGATATGCCACCGTTACGGCGGGCACCCCTGTATCCGGCGCTGCATATAATTATGCCATTGCCTCGATCCATGCCCCAGTCCATGCCCCAGTCCATGCCTCGGTCCAATCGACATCATCGCCGTCGGTGTATCTGGGCCATGGCGCCAACAAGGATCCGTTTAATATGACGCACACTCATCTGACTGACCGAATGTTTAGACATCTCCAACACTGTAAGCTGGACTATCCCCGAAGCTGTATGTAGGCTAACGCTGACTCAACCGCGCAGTCCTATTCGACCTTACTCACATCGCTTATCCACTGCAACGCCGCTACGGCCCAAAACTACAGGCTCACTGGGCGTCACTCGTTCAGAATAATCCCGCCTCCCTGCACGCATGTATATGTGTCGCGGCGTCCAACACGGCCCTGGAAACCGGGGAATTTCCCCTAGTCGATCCGAACAAGCGAGGATCGAGCCTGTTACTGCTTGACACGTTTCACCACCGAGGTGAAACGATTCGGCTGGTCAATGAGGATTTATCGGATCCGATCAAAGCTTCCAGCGATGAGTTAATTGCGGCCGTGTCGATTCTTCTCACCATCGAGGTATGCCGGCAGTATCCCGATCTACAGTACGTGAGCCATGACTGACCGGTTAGATTGCATCCGGAAATCCCGATTACCTAAAAATCCACCTGGCCGGCTTGAGACAGATGGTTGGCATGAGGAACAAATTAACGGACGTTTCTCCCGACATTCGATATCAAATATCATGGTTCGTCGGCGCTTGGGATGAACAGACAGGAGAGCATATGGAGCTAACTTGGGACAGGACGGACATTCGAGTCGCGTGCATGGCATTCACCAAACCGATCTTTCCTTTTGTGCGCGACGCTCGTCCGGCACAAATTGCCATTGTGCCACCAACCAAAGAGCTCGAGCGCACCGCATCCCGCCTGATATCATTAACAAAAGTCCCGGGCATATTCAGCGACGTTCTATCCCAAACGATCATGGATCTCCTGGAACTGGTATGGTATGCAGAATGGGTAAAAGGCCCTGTATTCCAGGATTTCGACGATGAAATTGAAGGCTACTTCAACACCGAGGTCCTCTACGTTGAATACACGCTCCACTCAAACCGATACACAGCCTACGGCGAAGCCAAAAGCGACGCGTCTATCGAAGGCTGCGTCCGTCTCGCCTGCCTTATCTTCCACAACTCCGCCATCTGGGACTTCTACCCGAACATTGCCCCAGTATTCCCGAAACCCATCGTCATGCTACGCAGCTCTCTCGAATCGCTCATCCTGACGGGCTGTTTCCACTTCTGTCTCGACCTGCTCACTTGGCTACTGTTCATCGGCGCCTGCTCGTCGAAGGTAATGCCGTCCGAGCGGACGTTCTTCGTCTCGGAGCTAGCGACCGCTATCCGCAACCAGGGTATCCAGTCCTGGCAGGAACTGCGAAACCACATGATGAATTTTTTCTACGTGGATCGGGTGTTCCTGACTCCTTTGCGTGGTCTCTGGGATGAACTTCACGTGATGGAAATACCATAGGCGGTCATTCTTATTCAGGAGTATTGGATAGGAGTTGTAGATAAAATAGACAAGATGCACATAGAAATCAAGTAGGTATTAATGAACTGACTTCGTAGATATAAATTGATCTGAGCAATATATTTTCCTCCTTCCCTCGCTTTTCCTCTTTAAATACAAGACAGAGGGAAAAAATAGACTAGGATAAAATACCATATCTGAAACACCTACATACCCAATGGAAGTACGTAGTAGGTAGTATTTGCAGTACGGTGTTAACTTCTCTTCAGGTACATACAGACAAGCAGTTCTATACCGAGTTTCAACCGATACCAACTCCCCACCGAGTTACCCCCGAGATCAATAGACCGAGAAATCACCGGGCGGAAGTACTAGGTACATACTAAAGTACAGTACATCCGATGTACATCCAACCTCAATAGTTAAAAATTAAAATTAAAATTAAAAACCTTCTGCTTACCTATCTATCTATTTATTTAATTCTTTTTCTCCTTTTTTCCCTTCTCGTTTCCACTTTCATTTCTCCTTCTTGATACGTTCAGGTTTGTGTCTCCTTTACTTTTGTCTATCTATTCTATTCCATTCTGTATTATTCCTTGCTGGAAAACTAACAAGGTACTTTGTATACGTACCTAGAGTAGGGCAATTGAACAGCCAAGTGAACTCTACTTAGCCCAGGTATGAGTCAAACCAGATATACTAATTCCTGTCATTATAAAGTTGCATAACATCACTAAGTCAAGCTAGATATAGATTATCTCATCCTTAATTCATTATCCACCACAATCACATGGACACCACCATTATTACCCTTAACCGATAGTATTTGAGCACAAAGGAAAAACACAAAAAAGGCAATTACTATGCAATGACCTATACCTGCTGCGGTGAAACTCCTCGCATCCCGCAATCAAACGCACATGCGCATCTAGACTGCCGGTCGCAAATGTCAAATCCCACAGCCACGATCTTACAAAAAATGGGTATCTAAGATGCAGCACAATCTCCCTCCCATTGACGGAACTGTTGTCCCTTGGAAACCCCTAACAGCCCAACAATGAGGGCTGCGGTGAGGTCGTACATCGCTTTTAAACAGTCTCCCGCTCGGTCTTCTTCTGCGAGCGGCTGCGAGCAGTGGGGGACCAGGGGAAGTGAGCCACGGGGAAGATGAAGAAGCTGTTGCTGTCGTCTGCCATACCCGCCAAAGCATTGTACCACGCAAAGAACGCCGCCAACAGGCCAAAGAAGCCACCCGCCTTGATGATTGGGGGGTTGGGCTTACCCTCGCTGTCACGGTGGATGTATCCGATACCAAGCAGGAGGAAGGTAATGTCAAGGAAAAAGAACAGGAAGAAGAATGCCACTGTGGACCTCAGGGTGCAGAAGAGCAGAATGGTCGTGAAAATGAACCATCCCTAACAGACCGCTAGTCAGTAGAGTCCCACGTGATCGATACAGTCCGCCGGAGGACTTACCATGAGGAACAAGCCGAAAGAGTTGTCGAACATGGCAGTACCACCACTGTCTGCGCTCTTAAGTTGCGACTGGATGTTGAACCCACCCGGGGTCAGGACGATCGCAAACGAGAGCCAGAAACCACCATACGAGGACAGAGCAGTGGCACCAAAAGTGTTACCGACGGCCATTTCCCTGTGGAACGTCAGGATGGAGCGGTTCGACAACATACATGAAGAGAAGATCAGCACTTACCACATGCCCGCAAGCAATTGGACAAGACCACCATAGCCGAAAGCCAGGGCCACCACAATATTGGGCGCAGTGATATCGCGCGCCCCCATGTTGATTGCGCTCAGCACGAAAGTGGTGAGAGCGAAAGCACACAGGCCCAGAGGAGCCGGGTTGGCGAACTTGCGACTCTCGACCGATTTGTATAGACCGGGCTGGAACTCACCGCCGAACGGACGGAGCATAGCCTCTTTGGTGTTGACATGGGACAGAGGGCCGTATCCAAAGCGGGCAGCCGCTCTGGCGGTCTCCTCAGCCGTTAAATGTTGGGTCACAGGAGCGCCTGTTCCATTGACACCATCAGGGCTTCCCTCTGTCGTCACAGGGGCTAAGTCCTTCTCGAGAGAAACGTTGTTCTGTTCAACGGACATGATTGTGGACTAGGATCGAATCTGACGAGAGATTACGAATTGAGTTTCAATCCAGAAGAAGTGGGGGAAAAAATAAAGCAACCCAGCTAGCTGGATTGCAGAGATGGGAAAATATATGACACCACAGAACAGGAAGCAAGAAGAACAGAAGGGCGCACAGCACTGCTAGAGATCAATAACAATCGAATTGATGGTATGGGGACCGTGCAAGATCGAGGAGGAATAAGTCGAACAGGAGGAGGGGACGGAGAACGGGAGAGGGGACGAGCTGAATTTAGAGGATGAACGGACAGAGACGACGAGACGACGAGACGACGAGAAAGCCAGCCGGACGAGCGAAGGTTGCAGGGGAGACCAGCAACTTACCCAAATGGGGAGGAAGGGCCGTTTTAGTGAGTTTAGCTGGGGCCTTTTTTTTTTTTTTTGCCCCTGCTCAACCAGAGGATATTAATTATTTTTTCTATTCTGATTTTTATTTTTTATTTTTTTAATATTATTATTATTATTTAACCTAGATCCTGAATGGGTGTGGAGCGACGGTGCTGATGGACAGTTTAGTGTCAAAAGACCCTTCAACGATTTGCAAATCCACCAGACGGACAGGCCGCAGACTTTCTGACATCCACTGTACACGTCTACCAGAAGATATACAGTACACTGCAAGAGAAGATCAAATCCAGAAAAAGAAGAGGAGAAAAAAGTGACGAAAGATGACACAAAATTGGGGAGCGGGGAAGAAACAGCCACAGCATCAATAAGACCACACAAGAAGCGTTCTGGGACGAGTCGATGGTTGGTCAAGGATGAAGGGAAGTTTTCATTCCATCCACATTCTCCTGTCGTATCGATGGCCATTTCCTTCCTTTTCTCATCCTAGCCTGAGTATTTCCCAAGAGCCCGGGGACGGAAGTGGAGAGGCACCGGTCGGGACCTTGGCTCAACTTTCATTACTCAATTCATCCCAGTGGCATCTTGGTCTGGGGATCCCGCCAATCACCGTCTGGGCTGAAGGGAAAGGAATGGGAATATGACTATTCCTCGGTGGTAAGTATGTAGTACCGATCACTAATTTCTGTAGGAAGCAGCACCTGTTCAGTCTGAGCAGATCTGTGATGGCGATTGTGCTGGACAGCATGATCCATACTGCTTTCAGTCCATATACTTAGGTACCTGTACCTGTGGATGTGGCGCCCGTATTGTAATTACTAACCGGGCCTCGCCTCCGGATTTACCTTACCAATCTAGGTACCTGCAGATGGGCTTGGCCATTATTCTCCGCGATATATTTCAGCCCTGGCACTCTGCACGGAGTACTCTGTATGGAGTAACTCCTGACTCCAGTTCGTGTATCTTTATAAGGATGCTTGGAATGATTTTCAGTATACCAACACATGCCAGGAGCCGTCTTTTGCCTACTGCAGTAGGGTAAAGTTCCTAGTGCCCGGCTAATTGAGTAAACCATTGGCTTCACACCACTGAGTGGGCCCTTCACTCAGGTTACAGTCTATTCGAGTTCGAACTCGGAGTCCTCCACAGTCCAGAGTCCAGTTGTGTACATCTTTTTGGGGTGGGTCGCTGGACGGTTGATGACACCTATCCATGGTTGAACTAAGTAGACATGAGACCTTCGTGAAAGTCTCCTTCAGTTGGAGCACCGTGAGGTTTCATCGTGAGCCCAGATCACCCTGGTCAAGGAGGAGTGCTATTTCCGGCCATGGTCTTGGCGACGGAAATACGAGCCTCCGATCAAGTAATTATGGGTAATTTAGATGATAGTGAGTGAACGGTTCGTCATATTTTCATCTACTATGATCACTTGGGGATAGCCCATTCTGATCCATGCAGAGTAGAATAAAAATCTCCTTGTCCAGGTAATTACGCTAAGAGAAGGTCCAGATGTCTCTCGGTCGGCTCAAAGCTAGATTTCCCCGTCAGCCGTGGCGGATACGCACCAATAATCCCCCGAGACGATCTGGAGCGACGACGAGGTGCCACTGGCCAGCTGCAGTCTCCGACACGTTACTATCCGCGGAATACACTCTGATGCCTACTAAGTTGAGTTGGTCTCTGTTCATCTCCACTTGGGGGCAAGGTAGAGTCTGAGTTTGACTTCTCGGTCTCGGGGTCTCCTTCCCTTCCGTCCTTCCTCATTATTATCCTCGTTCTAAACTGCTGCTCATTCCGATGGCGTGCAAACAAGCTCAGGGACCCGTTATCCACGGCTTGTCATCCCTAAAATCGTACCATTGACAACTGACAGCGGGGTGCGAAGATTCTATCGAGCCCGACCGACTTTATAGTAGACAACTTTCAGGGTGACCGTGAAGATCATGGAGACGCCGGTCCCGACTGTCCTTACAATCCAGTAGCCACTCCCTCAGTATTGCGTCGGAAAATACTGCAAGGAGTTGGGTCGTCCACGTACAAAAGATATTAGGGAGGGTATGATCTGCATCCTTGTGCTGTGTAGAAAGGTTTCTCGGGTAACAGGTATATGTACGCCGAGACAGACAAGGTTTCAACTTGCATACCACTTGACCTAAGAGAGAAGGTAAATATGAATTGAATGTGGCGTTCAGAATTCTATTGCTATATATTTAGAATGATGTGAGACTTCCGAGCATTCAGAGTATTTAAGAAACTAGGTATATCCTAGGTAGCTATATCACAATTATTCAGAATTCTACAGCGCGAGGAATCTATTTTGCTAGGGTAATATTATTAATATTAACAATTGGCCACAGGGAGGGAAAAAATGTGAGAGAGCCCAGAGCCAAGTCCTTCTCAGTATGCTGCAGGTCATGCTAATTATTAGAGACTAATTTAAGGTGCATTTATGTTGATCTATGAGAGTTTTGATTGGCAGCCACAGTAAACACGACAAGAGAAAGTATTTAAATTACCAAGATCCATCAGTACGCAGGGACAGTGATATAATCAATTGAATAATAAAAATTACAAAATATTTTAATCGAGTTATTAATAATAACATTGCATGATTTAACTAAGTTATTTAGTTAGCCACTTATGCAATACGTATCGTGCACATGCACATGAACACAAATTACCTTGCTTTTATCCTTTCCTATTCTCTTAAGTCCCAACCAAGTTAATTCCCAACACTTACACAGTACTTCCAAGAGATCAGAGTCTCCCCGCGAGAAACAAACTCGTCTCTAATACGCTACGACCATGTCCTTGGCGTGAATCCTTCGTTTCAGCTAGTTGTCTTGTTAAGCCTTGTTTTATGTGATTAGCTGCGTCATCCACGTCTTCGATGGATTGACTGGATTAGCAGGATTTCGTGCTATTGATGTCCATCGAGTCGGTCAGATTCCGTATTAGATTCTCGTGACTGTCATGTCCATGGATCACATCCTGTGCTCCGTGTTTAACTTCTCTAGGGATCCAGGTCGCGAAAAGCTTAGATCAGGTCAGGTCAGGTTCGGTTCCTTTTCTCCGGTCAGAACCATAGTATTTGTAGGGATCAATCCGAATATGATCCACGTGGAAGACGGGACTGGGCTTTGTCTTGGATTGAACCTGCTACTTAGCTATGGAGTATTCCCCAGAAACTACGAAGTAGTACGTACCTTATGTGGTAGCCTGTTCATGGGGAAATGCGGAGATAGCTCCGCACTGGTTGTGTATAGTGTATACCAGAACAGAACATATCAGTAGTTCCACGCCATATTCTTACTCGGAGATATTAATGCCGTACATCCGACAGGCCAATATCAGACAGTATACACTCAGACGGCTTGAATCCTTGCAAGACGGGACGATTCGAATCTGTTCATTGAGGACAAAGGATTCTCTGTGCGTCAGTCACGGGATGAGGGGGATCGACAGCCCTATAGCACTCTTGCATAGATTCATTCTTTACAATTTACCAGAGATGGAGTAAGACAGGTGGATTTACTGTGTATTCTATGGGTTCTCCGAGTAAGTACTCCGTACTTGCTGTAGTATTAGATACAGAGAAGTACTGGGTACGGAGAAGGTACAGTCTATACTGTAATCAATGCGAACTAAAGCATCGGTTCCATCCACGCATGTACGAGTCCATTATGCATACGGTACAGAAAAATCCGGGGAAAGCTACCCTTTGTTTCATTAATTTTTGCTTTTGTTTTTTTTAAGAGAGAAATTCTAAAATTTTTCGGCTAGCCTCAAGGGACCAAAGGAGTGCAGAGTATGCTCGGTTCGGCGGAGCGGAATCCCTTCGGCATTGCGTTGGAACTTCCCGTAGTCCATTCATTATACTCCCATACCTTAGATGAGCTAACAGACTAACATACGGAATACCATGTTTCTCCAACAAACTTAAACTCGTCTCCATAAGTTCAGCCCCGCATGCGGGGATTCCCCAATTCCCAGAGCGCGGACAGGAGGATATTATTGGTATGATGGAGATGGACCTGGACCGTCTGAGTGACTTGATTGGGGGAAATCATACGATGGGGTCCTTTTTTTCCCATTTTTCTGTCTCACTTTTTACTCGTATGGTTGGGGTGCGGAAGTGGCGGATGATCAGATAGTGTCAGGTGATGTGCCATGTGTTGGGATGCATTGATTAGGTTTGTTCTTGTATAGAACTCTAGTAAGATCCATAAGGTTTATTCAGTATGATCAAGGATGAATAATGGACGCTGTCGATCCATCGATGATGCCATACCGCTCCTATTGAGGTTCTTAGTACTATGTAGATTATGGATAGAGTGGAGTTTTACTATCTAGTTTGACCATCCTTCGGTGATACTACGCAGTACTGTCTGTTGTGGGGAGATCTACGGAGAAAAAGCGGTCTGGCTTGGTTCATGTATGGTTTTACTATGTGGATGGAATGGGTTAGGAACTATTGAATTCATGGGATACGCACTAGTATGGATGAATCGTGCTTTCAACACTAGAATAATTGGTTGTGCAGACTGAATGTTCGGTTGATTGGTTACTAGTTAGTAATTCATGTTATTCATGATATGATATCTATAGATTATGATACAGTTTTTCCTAGAATTCAAAACACTTGGTTTAATACGCCTGTTAATATATGACTTGACTTCTATACAATAGCATCACGCCAATTGCTTAACAATACAGAGTGAATAATGCAAAAATTCTACAGACTGTGAGAACCTACCAGTTAAGTGCAATTTAATATCTGACTTGATCAATGTTGGACATATAAATAGACTGGACAACCTGCTATAGGAGATATCTTGCTCCACTATCTATACCTAATACCCAAATACGTTGACGACGTGTCAATATTTTAGAGATATAAGAGATATCTAGGGATATAGAGATTTTAGCTTAGTTTAAATGTCGTACAGCGATTTACTCTAAGAGAGAAGACATACAGATGCAGGTGGAGATACTCGCGAAAAGAATATATATGAAGTTGATACTCTCGTCAGTTCGAGGAGACATGCAGCCATCTCATACACTTCAGGAATATTTTGTAGATTTGAATGTGAATCTAATACCATTTATGGATACACTATAATCTAGTCTATACAGTAAACACGAACAATATAAAAATTTATACCATGCCATGCAACGCTGAACAATGCCAATCAAACAACAATCAGAGTCAAGCTGCCACCTGAGCAGCTTTAAACTCCTCACTAACCTCATAATCGACATACCCCTTAGGATTCCCATGAAGATAAAAGACCTCCCTCTGATACGGCCGCAACGGAATCCCCGATTTGATCTTGAACACCAAATCCGGATTCGACGTCCACATCCTCCCAATCCCAACCAACACCTCATGGTCCTTATACCGCACATCAACCGCCTCCTTAGCCGACTCACTCTTATACCCCCCGGCGACAATCACTGGCCCAGCACCATTATAAGCATCGAGGAAGAAATCCAACCGATCCCCAGTCTCATTGACATCCGTGCTTCCCGCGATCCTCGCCTCCACGACATGCACATATGCCAAGTTGAACTCCGCCGTCTTCCGAGCCAGATACTCGAACTGCGGGATCGGGTCCGTCATCCGCATTCCCTGGAACGTACTGAACGGACTGTACCGAATACCAGTCCTATCCGCGCCGACAGCATCAACAACGGCACGGATGATTTCCAACGCGAACCTTGCGCGATTCTCCACGCTCCCTCCCCAGATATCTGTGCGTCGGTTGACAGTATCCTGAATAAACTGATCAATCAGATATCCATTCGCGGCGTGGATCTCGACGCCATCGAATCCCGCAGCGATGGCGTTCCTCGCTGCCTGGGCATACTCCGCAACGAGGACATGGATTTCCTCCCCGGTTAGTTCTCTCGGCACCGCCGCGTCAGGAGAAACAGGCACCGCGCTACTGGAGATCAGATCATGGTTCCCTTCGTTCCGGAGGACGGTAGGATTCGCGACGCGACCCAGTCCCCAGAGCTGCATGTAGATGTAGGAGCCTTTGGCGTGCACGGCATCCGTCACGGTGCGCCACTGCGCGATCTGCGCGTCGCTCCAGATCCCGGGGACGGCGGAATAGCCCCCCGCACGTGGCGAGATAAGGGTTGCCTCCGTGATGAGGAGAGTGCCGGGGACGGAGGCGCGCTGTTCATAGTGCTCCTTCACGATGGGGAGGGGGATGTGGTCGTCGCCGACTCGGAAGCGAGTCATAGGGGCCATGGCGAGACGATGGCCAAGGGTCATTTGTCCGACTTGGAGGGGGGTGAATAATTTGGACATTTTTTGATTTATGGTTGGAATAATGGATTAATTGAATAAATAATTTAATGTAAATTTACAGGTATATATCCCGCTATATAGCGACGCTCGGATGGTCGGAGACTTTCGGTATGATTTCTAATCGTTCAGATAACTCACTTTTCTTGCCACTTCGCCATTGCAGAGTTAGTAAATTCAAGATTTGCAATCGATCATGACTAAGGATTTCTAGATATTTCTAGATATTTCATTAACTCATAGTATATTCAGTATCATGTTGGAGACTTGGATTGCAGATAAGCTTGAATTTATACTAAAATGCTAGAATTAACCATCACGAACCATCCAAACGTAATCATAAACGCCCAAGGGTATATCAACAAATCTCATCCGAAAAATCAACTTTCAAGCTTCTGCGCTGCGGATTCCAGCTGTGCGTTGAATGCCTTTATCTGGTTTAAAAGCCCTCCGTGAGCTCCAGGCGCTCGGGAGCTCGCACTCTCTGCTACCGTACGCAGCATAAATTCCAGTCCCACGGTCGGAGATGAATCGGCCGCATCCTCTTCATTCTCATCGGTGGTGCGATTCTTGCTCCGCTCGAGGACGAGATCTAGATTGTGCAGAGAGTGGTTAATAGTAGAGCGGGCCTGATATCCTGTTAGATATATACGATCACCGTCTATCATGTCGAGAACTTACGGCTCTGACATCCTCCTCCTCGCGGTGCTTCTTGCGGACGGCGTCCATCTGCAGTGCGACAGCCTCCCTTTCTTTGCGCACTTGGAACAAGCGGCTCCGCTTGTCCATCATCTCGCGTTTGGCCTTTCGGAGCTGCACCCCCAGCATAAAGTTACTGTCGAGCAGCTCGCTCAGCTCAAAAAGACGACTCTCCAATTCCATCCTGTAGGCTTCCACGGCTTTCTTCTTGCGACTCCATTCCGACCGCCGGGCAGCATTGCCTTCGTTCGAGATCCCGTTGGTCAGTGTCGTCAGCGTCTTGTCTAGTGTCTCGCGACAGATCTGGCTGAGCACGTCAGCAACATTCACGCCTCCTCTGTTGGGGAGTTTCGTCCTCTGTCTGGTTGAGAGCTCCTCGTCAGACTCGTCACCTTCCTCCGAGTCTGAGCCACCTACATCACCGCCAAGGGAAGCGGCGTTAGCGAGACGATGCACTGTAACCGGAACTGTTTCTCCGCGAGGTTGCCTGGGTTTTCTCCTTGTAGGTCGAGAAGCGCTCTCGTCTGCGTCCTCTTGCGCTGTCCATTCTTCGGCTTGTGTGGTTGTACTGCCACTCTTCTTCGACAATGACGGTCTACCACGGCCACGTTTGGGGGCTGAATACTGTTCGGGTTTGGGTTCAGGCTCGGGCTCGCGATCAGGTTCTTGCTCTTGACCCAATGCCTCGGGTTGTTTCGTATTCTTGCGACCCGGTCGAGGTACCTCTACAACTTCGGGCGGACTAGGAGACTTCTTCTCCACGCGCCCGGCGCGTTTCAGTCCCTTCCCTTTCTCCTTTGATGCCTGGCGTGGTTGAATATCTTCATGATTCGCAGTATCAGCTTCAGGGGCAACGCGAACTGGGGCACGTTGATCAGCTGGTTCTTCGTTGGCATCGAGGACCTTAGGGGAGGTCGCTTTCGCCTTTTTATTTCGAAGGCTTCTCAACTCCTGACGCGGACGTGATGGCACTTCTGCTGGATTGGATCGAACTGGGCCAGCCCTGCTTTCTTCCAATTGCTCGCCGGTAGGCGATTCCTGGGCGGATTTTTGAGGTCGAAGTCGTTTTGTTCGTTGAGACGTTTGAGACGCCGTCTCCGCAGCGGTATCTTGAATTTCTTTTGGTGGCTGAAGCCGTGCTGGCGAAAGCTGGGGGCTCTCGCCACCAATTCCTGAAGCTGCAGCACTCTCCGGCAAGGAACGCGCATCCGCACTGGATTCTCGTCGTTTGCGTTTTCCCTTGGGGGCATTTTGAGATGGCTCCGGCGACGGAGTTTGTGCTAGCTGTTTGGTAGCCTCGCCGGGCGTCTCCAACGCTGCAACGCTCTGCGATGGGGAACGACCATCCGCGCTTGGTTCCTGTCTCTTGCGTTTCCCCTTGATGGCATTCAGGTGTTCTTTCGGAGATGTAGGTTGCGATGACTGTTGTGTGTCCTCGCTGACGGTTGGTGGACTTGAGGTGCTCTGCGGTGGACGTTCACCCGCACTGATTCCTCGTCGTTTGCGTTTGCCCCTGCCAGTATCGGACGGCGATGTACCGTTCGGTTGCGATGCTGGTTGAGCTCCTGGGGAATTCCGGTCGCCCCTTTCCTTCACCAGTCCGTCTACTTGGGCCGTCTGTTCATCCATTGTGACATCAACCGCAAGGGCTGACGAACCCGGGGCTTGTGCGGCCGGTAGCTCACTTGATGTATTTAGTTCATTTGATGGTGGTGGTGATAAAGCTGCTGGCTCAAGTACTGGTGCAGCCGGCTCAAGCGCCAGTTCAGGTGCTTTTCGTAGCGCTTGTTCCTTGTTCTGACCGGCATTTGCCTCCGGTGGCTGATTCTCATGACCCACTACATTCGTAGAAGTAGACATGACATCGGATTCAATGGGGGGTTGTGCGAGTGAGCTAGTCACGGTGCCATTCGGGAGAGGCGGAGAAGCTTGTTTACCTTGTCGCGTGCCATCTCGACGCCGGGATATCCTGCGACCGAAGGCAGGGGGCTCTACAAAAAGGTCAGCGTTAGTGACTCTTAGCATCGTCCGTACCATATACGCACCGATTTTTCTTCTTTTGCTGCTACGTCCGAGGTCTGGCGCCTCGTCCCCGGACACGTCAAACGTCGACGGCCGTTCAGGGAGTGCATTACGCGCCGTTCCCGGGGTGCGCTGTACAGCTTGCTCACTCGATTCCTGGGTCTGAGGAGGCGGTGTTTTCCGTTCTTGCACCACTGGAGGAGGTTGTGAGCTCTTCGGCGCCAATGAGGTAGGGATCGCGGGGGGTTCGGTCGGTTGCGACGAGGGCTGGGAGAGTTCTTCGGGCGGGGGAGCGCCAAACGAGAAGCCAAAGTCGACTTCCTTGATCTTACGGGTCCTGTTCTCATAAACCGCAGGGTCAGTAGTCCACTCTCGAGCTCAATTCGACAGGGACGATGCGCCTACGCTGCTCCGCGCTGCCGCATTTGCAGCCGCTCCTCTCGAGCTGTCGGTCATCTTGTTAGTTTCGACGCGGTAGAAGACCTGTCAGGGGAAGACGCACTGGAATTCATGGTCGAGAAGCGGTGCTCCGCTAGCTCTGCGCGCAAAACCACGCGAAACAATGGGAGAGGAGATGGAGAGAAGGAGAGCGTGTCGTGGGGGATGAAATATGGAAGGAGTTGAACAAGAGAGCGCCGGGCCCGCCCGTTACGTTACGGCTTGGCGCAAATAAGTGGCTTCTCTTCGTCTCCGCATCTTGACTTCTACGGCCTCTATACCTATCCTCTACCGTACGACAATACTGCATTCTTCTTTCAGAGGAAGTCGGTCTCTACGACATTCTAACTGGGCATTTCACTCGTCTCGTCGACACTCATGGGCTGGTTTGGGGGCAAATCCGATCAGGATGACCCGGTCAAAAAGCTAGATCCGGGTCTCCGAGAATACCTCGAGCATGAAGCACCTAAGAAATACGTCCCTACGACCCCGATCTCCTCGTCGCAGGATGCGTCCAAGCCAGTCGATACGAACCCATCACCATCAGATACCAATGAGCCCTCAACCACCTCCATTCCCACTGCCTCACTTTTCCCCGACGGCCGCTATGCCCACCTCTGGAAGACCTACAAGCCGCAAGCCAACGAAGACTCACAAATGAAGGGTGCTGAACGGGTGATTGAGAAGTACAAGCAGCGGGGCGACACCGTCCATCGGGCGGCAATGGAGAACTGCGCCTTGGAGCATGAGGACCTGACCTATTGCTTCCAGACCGGGAATTGGAAGAAACGATTGCAGTCGCGGATGACAATGTGTTCCGAGGAGAATGCGACCTTTTCTCGCTGCTTCACTACTCAGGCGGTAAGTACCTCTGGCTTTGGATCGTGGCACTGCCGAAGCTCATGATCGTTCAGAAATTTCTCCAGGCTCTAGGCTATGCCTCTGCGTTCGAGTGGGATCCCGAAAGAGAAGAACGCATCCAGATGCATGCCGACAAGTTGTACCATGAAATGCTGAGGTACGAGAAACAAGTCGAGGAAGCCCAGGCGGCAGGTCAGGAACCACCTCCTCTTACATCGCTCTTCAACCCCCAGGCGAAGCAACAGAGCACAGAGCCCAGCTCGAGCTCCAGTGCATTGGAGATTCCCGGAGGAGAGCCGATCCCAGCCGGATTCAAGCCATCCAAGCCCCTAGAAAGCCTTACTCCGCATGAAAGAGAATTGGAGATCCGTGCACATTATGCGCAATTGGAGCAGCAGAAGTTGTACGCGCAGGAGGCGACGCCATTTATGAAGTCGCAGGAGGATGCCCGGTCCAAGCGGCGGGAGAAGGCCGTGAGCTGGTTCGGAGAGACGGTGGGCAAATGGATCACCTGAGATAGATGACGGTGGACTATGGGGAGGATTTTCAAGCACTTGTATTACTATTATCATTACTGGGTACTCCTAGCAATTGACATGCCATGTGCGCGTTCCACAGCTGCCTATGGTTGGATAGGTGTTTGAATATGGACATGGGCGTTACTGTGAGGATTTGTGGATAATAATGGATAAAAAAAAACAAGGAGATTTATGAGAGTATATGAATAATCGCCTGTTTTTTATTTATTATTATTTTTTTTTTTTTAATGTCTTCTGTTTGTCTGAAGTGTGGGTCGAGATGAAGGGGGTGATGCCACAGCCTGAGGCAGAGCTATAAAAGTTACTTCTGTATCCCAGTGTAGAGAAGGAGAGATACAGGACCAACTGTCTAGATGATACAGATTCAGACCAAGATAAGACCCCCAGTAATACACAAAAACGTCCCAAACCCTCAACCCGATCGCCTCGCCCCAAACCATCGAGTTGCTGCTGACGGTCACGTTGTCGCTCATTTGCGGAGACGCCAAACCTAGCGACGATCAAGAACAATCGCCGACTTCCAGTTTTCCATCCTTCAATACTTCAATCCACCGAGCAAGAAGAGGAACAACAATATCGACCCAAGAACGCGTTAATTTCTCAGGACTCTCTCGTTTTCCACCACGGCCCTGCGGTATTTCCCCCTCCTGGACGCTGCTTGTCGACTTGTCTTTCGGCTATTGTTTCACCATCGCCTTTCTTCTCTTCTGCAGCGGCTGTCTCAGCTCACTTTCTCCCCTCTGCTGTCTTCTTTTCTCCCCTGGACTCTTCTTCTCCCGATAATTCCCCATCCGATATACCTTCTCTCTCCCCTTGATCGCCACTCGTTCTTCATTGGGGAGCCCATTGAGCTCCCGTGCTCACAATGAAGGCGACTCCGCTACTCATCGCGTGGCACAACGACAATGCCCCCATCTACTCGGTACATTTCGATCCCAATGGCAAAGGTCGCCTGGCGACGGCTGGAAAGTACGTTCACTGATTTCTCCTTTTTCTTTCTTCTTTTCCTTTCGAGACTCTGTACTGATCTGATCTCTTCGGCAGTGATAACAATGTCCGAGTATGAGCTCCTTCTTTCCCTGATATCCCCCTCTTCGTCCGCCTTTCTGACCTTAAAACACTCTAGTTATGGAGAGTGGAATCAACCGGCGAAGAGCGAAAAGTGTCTTATTTGAGCACGTTGGTGAAGCACACGCAAGCAGTCAATGTAGTCCGGTTTAGCCCCAAAGGTAAAAGCGAGACCCCCCTCCCTCTCTCTTGTAGACGTTGGAAATCTCCCATAGTCTCCCGCTGACTCTTTATCTAGGCGAGATGCTGGCATCTGCCGGGGATGACGGTAACGTCTTACTCTGGGTCCCGTCGGAACTACAAACTCAGGGTGGACTGGGAGAGGATCGATCGGATGACCAGGAAACATGGCGAGTCAAACATATGTGCCGTTCATCTGGCGCAGAGATCTATGACCTCGCTTGGTCCCCCGATGGGGTCTTCATTATCACCGGGAGTATGGATAATATCGCCCGGATTTATAACGCCCAAACCGGTTGGTGTCTTCCCCGCCGCATCCTTGAAGTTTCACCGTCGAGGATAGCATGCTGATAGTCGGACAACTTCCCAGGACAAATGGTGCGCCAAATTGCCGAACACTCGCACTACGTCCAAGGGGTAGCATGGGATCCCCTCAACGAGTTTGTCGCGACCCAATCGTCTGACAGATCAGTTCACATATATACACTGAAGACAAAGGATGGCCAATTCACCTTGACTTCCCACGGGAAATTCTTGAAGATGGATCTGCCGGCCAAACGCATTGCCTCTAGTAGTCCTGCTCCGCCAGATCCTGCCATCCGGTCTCAGACAGCCACCAGCAATGCAGCCGCTATCACTTCCCCCGCGCCATCCACCCCCGGCACTCCAATGGCCTCGAATCTCCCCATGGATCCCCCTCCTGTGTCCCATAGTCGACGTTCCTCCTTTGGATCCTCCCCATCTATCCGCCGATCTGCGTCTCCTGCTCCGTCGCTGCCGCTGCCGGCGGTTAAGCCGCTGGAGGTGCCATCTCCCGGTGTCTTGAGTGGGCTGGGTGTCAAAAACGCCAACATCTATGCTAACGAGACTTTCACCTCTTTCTTCAGGCGATTAACTTTCGCCCCCGACGGTAGCTTACTATTCACACCAGCAGGTCAGTACAAGACGTCGCATGTATCAGCGACGGATTCTACCAAGACGACAGATGAGATCATCAACACTGTCTACGTCTACACGCGGGCGGGCTTTAACAAACCCCCCATTTCACACCTCCCCGGCCACAAGAAGCCTTCGGTGGCGGTTAAATGCTCTCCTGTGTTCTACAGTCTACGACAGGCCCCTCAGCCGGCGTGCCATATTACTTTGGACACTTCCTCGGGAGAAGAGGCGTTTGCTTCTCTCCCAGACCCGGTGGTGAGCTCCACGGGGGAGAATTCCTCGATAAGGCCGCCTTCGTCGGTTCCGGCAGCTGGTGACCTTCCATCCAAAAATAGCCAGACCTCGAAAGACGAGAGCCCCCTATCTACCCCCACTCCAACACCTGTTTTCAATCTCCCCTATCGAATTGTATATGCCGTGGCTACACAGGATGCCATTCTGGTCTACGATACCCAGCAGCAGACGCCGATCTGCGTGGTGAGCAATCTACACTTTGCTACCTTCACGGATTTGGCATGGTGAGTTGTGTACCGTAACCTTGCGTACCCCTCAAACCATGCTAACTACTGTTAGGTCGAACGATGGCTTGACTTTGATTATGAGTTCGTCGGACGGATTCTGTTCTACGCTCACCTTTACGCCGGGAGAATTAGGCCAGACGTATAACGCCCCGGTGGCAACGGCTCACCAGGTTGGAAACGCTGGCGTGCAGCCCACCAGTCACACCACTGTACCGCCGACGAAGCCGAGCCCTGTTGCTGCTCCAGTCAACGCAGCCCAGGCCCCTCCGGCCAGTCCGGCCCGGTCCAACTCCGTGTCTTCAGTTACAACGCAGTCCACTACTCAGCAAGCAACGGGATCTGTGGTCAACAATCCAACGCCCACCCTAGGGTCTGTGCCGTTGGTGACGGCGGCTCATTCATCGCAACCTCCCACGCTTCCGCTCTCAACACCGCCACAGACACCCTTGTCTGCTGTTTCCCAGAGTGGCACAAGTTCCGTCAGCAATAGTGTCCTAGGCAAACGTGCGGGCGAGTCCGAGAAGGAAGAAGACCATACGGTACCACAGGTACAACAACCGAAGAAGAGACGAGTAGCACCAACTCTTGTTTCAGCCGGGAATGACGCTTCCCGGCCAGACGAGTCTCAGAAGGCCGACGGTAACAGTTAAATTACTTTTCTTCTCCATTCCCTACCCCCTCCTTACCCCCTACCGTTCTATGATCTGACCCTCTTAATCTTGAACGGCGAATGAATGACCCCGACTGACCCTTGTGGCTACGACGAGTTTCGTCCTGATGAGATGATTTATGGTGATTTTGATTCCGCAACATCCGACCTGTTCCTCTACTTTGATGAAGATATCCAGGTCATCAACCAAGTATTTGTATCTGTGGTCTTCTTGTTCTTCTCAAAATTTTTTCCTTTTTTTTTTTGGTGCGTTGTACTCTTTAATTGGTTTTGCTACGGGATATGTTGTATTTATCTTTCTGGTATCCTTCCATTTTTCCCATTTTTCCCGTCCTGATATTTTTTGTGGGGCCTGGATGTGAGGGTATAACAATACCATTATTTTAACTATTGATTTGATTGAACTGTCCCTTCTATCCTTATTTTATCTGTCCCTCTGAGCCTTCTCTATTTCTATCTTGTGATTCCCTTATATTTCCATTTAGATGGTTTTTTGTTCTTGCTTGGTCTCTCTCTTTTATGCGTTTTATTTTTCTGTTTTTCTAGGCTTCGTAAAAATGCTGGTGCGAGTTTTGGGTGTAAAATAAATAATCTATCTGTTATGCAGGCCGATATTCTAGTTAAATACCCATAGATTGATTGATATTAATGGCATCACCAAAGTATTTATTCAATATCTCTAGAATAATCTACCTATGTCCACATGCTTTTGTGTCATGCTGCAGTCACATGATTTTGGATGCTGGTTTGGAAGAATGCAAAGGAGTAATAATAGCAGTAAGTAGGGATTTGAAGATAGAAAAGATAGGAAAATCTAGGAGTGAAAGAGGAGAGAGAAACAGATAGCAATAGTCAGTCACTATAGATATTCAACATCCAGCAATGAGATGCCGGGAAAGGGAAGCTTCTTCCTCTTTCAGGGGTCCGTCGCTATTCCAAGATGGACGTCCATCAAGTGGTGGGGCGCATAGGGCATGTAAAATGTCCGCAATGTTCACGTTTCTCGGTAGCACGGCCTTGGCCTCCGTGGGTAGAGTGCCCGTAGTGAGGGTCGTTACGCTGCAGGCTGTGTTTGTGGACTGGAGTCGGTTTGCCCAGCGAAACAAGGCTTCATCGCTGCGAGTGCCGCCCGCGACGAACAGGAAGTCCGGGATTCGTGGTAATAGCTCCAGGATGGACTCAGCCGCATTGGCTTTTGTCACATCCCGAGGCTCAACGCCTATGGCTCCCTCCGTGAGGATGACTCGGATTGCTTCGCTACCTAGTGTGCCATTGATTTGATCCACAAGGTCGGATGCCTGTCGCGAGGCGATTTCTGGATCGCGTGCGTTGTTATACTTGAAGGTCAGAAGACAGCGGCGCTCCTCCATCTGAGTGCCCTCGATTCGTTCCTGGTAGTATTGGATCAACTTGCAGATGCCGGATTTCCAGTCTTGGGCCTTCTCCATATCGATCAACGACTTCCACTGAGATGACCCGATATCACGTCTAAAGCAACCGTTTTCTGCAATATATCCAATCCGATGCGGAAATAATTTGACCATAGACTCGAGCTGCTCAGGACTCTTGCTGCTTGTCACGTATACCACATTCTTGAGGTCAAGAGTCAGATGCTCAAGCAATGAATGCAATCTGTGCGAAAGCGATGAAGTAACGGAAGAGCTACCTTCATCCTCGAGAAAGAAAAGTCGTAAGCTGGAAGTTTCATACGATTCCTCCAAGGCGGGCACGCAGAGCGATGAGACCTGATTAAGTTCGCGAGCTAGTTGCGTGCTGTACGCCTTGGCTAATGCTGTCTGGAGCGAATTGCACCAGGACACCGCAGTGTATGGAGCTTTTCTTTCAATCAAAAACTTCCAGTTACGGTGTTTCTGCTCCGGTGACATTTCTAGCGCTTTGTTGATCGCATCGGCGACTTCTTTGTGGCTCCATGGGTTGACTAGCAGCTCGTGCCCGTGGAAGATAGAGGCGCTTCCAGTAAACTCACTAAGAATGAGAGAGCCACCATGTTGGGGTGTTATTTTACCATCCTGACAGTGAAGATAGTCGTGACATGTAAGGTTCATGCCCTCTCTCAGGCTGGTCACCATGAGAATTTCGGCCACGCTCATCAAAGCCAAGAACTGCGCATAACTAACGTCTTGCCTCAAAAGCACCAAAGCCTGATGCGTAAGTGTTGAATAGGCGGAATTGATTCTTATGGCGATCTTCGAGACTTGCGTCTCCAATTCAGTACTCTCTGACCCTGAAGCAACTTGGACGAGAACAGCCTGGACAAGTCAGTGTACTGTACATACAGCGCATGGAATTCGACAAGCTCGTATATGATAGCACACCTTTTCTCTCCATTTGGGATATTTTTTCAGAAACAGCTCATAAGCCAACAGTTTATGCTTAACACCACCGGGAGTATCGAGCTTATCTCGGGCGATAATAAGATGTTTGTCTTTATATCTGGAGAAAATATTGGCAACCCAATCCTTCACCTCAGCACTTTGGCGCAGTTTATTAAAGGCTTTAATATCAATGCCTATGGGTAGACTTTTCACATGAACAAAGCGACGCCGTAGTTGGACTCCACGAGCGGAAACTTCCAGGCCGAGAAGACGGCTGCATGACTGGAGGAAGTGGTAGCAATATTCATCGGTTTGGAAAGCAACAAGATCGGCGCCCAGGAGACCATCAAGCAGTGCACTTCGTGTGTTCAGACACCGGAATACCTCGGAAGAAGGGAATGAGGTATGCAGAAAGAAGCCGATCTCTGCCTCGGGTAGCATGTCGCGGAGTAAAGATGGCAAAAGTAAGAGGTGGTAATCATGAACCCAGATACTGTCACCTGGGCGCCAGTAGACAGCAATTGTCTTTGCAAATGCCTCGTTGACTTTCACGTATTGTTTCCAGGAGTAGTCATAATACTCGGTATGCCGAGGAGTTTCCTGCATCTGATAATGAAGGGCGGGCCACAGGACAGTATGACAGAAATGCGAATAATGCCCCTCAAATTCATTATCACCAACATATACAGTAATCGACTGGTATGAATCTTCTAGTGTCTCGGAAATATTGACTCGAGTTTCATCTTTCAGCGAGTCGGTTGGCATGCCCAATGTTCCCACCCACATTTTGTCCGAAAGGACGCCTACTTCCTCAGCAGCGTTGACTGCATTCCGCAGGCCACCATTGCCTTGTTCTGCTGCTTTAACAGTCCACCCAACATCAGAGAGCAATGCCCGTGGGATTCCCGGATCATCTTCTTCATCGGGGGTCACCAAGGTGCCATTGACGACGGTTGACCTGTCCAAGTCACCCCCCACATTTAAGGGGGTTAGAATTGAGGGCTTGGGGTAATTGGATACCCTGGCGCTTGGTTGATTGAACCGATAACTCTGGCCCCAGGAAACAGCACGAGGTTCACTAGGGCCTGGGCTATTGGGCTCATCAGTTGATGGGATTTCGCCTGCAGAATTGGACACATATGGCTTAAAGATTGTCTCATCCTGTGTTATCGCTCCAGGAGTCAGCGATAACTGGCTGTAATCTTTTGAACGACGTCTTCGGTAAGCTTCTGCCAGTCGCCCTATAGTTTGGTCATCCGCATGAGAGTGGCTGGCAGATGACTTGCAACGTTTCAATTCGGTAGCCTGGAAATTTATAGTATAAGGCAGAAAGCTATTTCCCAAGGATTGTAAGTCTTGCAATTTTATATGAGAAGAAAGGGGAAATAAAAGAAAGGAGCAATAAGCTTACAGAGAGACAATGAAAACCGTCATTTGATCAGCAGCTGTTTCTGGAGATTGGCTCCTTCCAACCCAATTTTATAGTCTATTTACAGAGAAGGCAAACAGGGAGATTATAGTATATGGACGGCTGTAAAGGACCATTAAAAATATGATCGTCAGGTATGACTCCCGATTAAAGGATGTTATCGTTTAGAAAACTCTGCCAGTCTTCCATATGCTCTGAAGTCGACGGTCCTAACAAATCCAGCCGTTAGACATCCTCGCAGCATGGTAGAATGAATTATGGAATAGTAGCATCCTTGATTGGGCCACGGAACGTGAGAGTTTATGATAAAGCGTATGGAAGGGAAAAATAGACCATTCTGGACCTTTGTGTTGGAAAGTAATTAATAGACTAGAACGATTATGGTGTAACAAAAGTCTTATTGTTTGGTTTGGGCACAGAGTGAGATGGAATGATACGGAAGCACGGTTATTGGCTTTAACCTTAGTGTTAACCATCACAGTGGATAAAATGATGATGATAACTGGCCTGGGAATCTGAATCCTCCCATAGATCGATTAAATCATACCATTGTAACCACATTATGGACCCAAGAACAGTAATGACGTGAAGATCCCGAAGTGATCCGCAGGTTTATCCGCCAACACCAAGGTAGCGTCTGACAGGATCCATGAATCCTTGATCCAAGGAAATTAAAACGGGACGATTGGTTGGGGGGGGTAATTAGGGAATCTACTCCGGGGAAAGAAAGAGGAGCTTGCTGCTGGATGGAAATAGGGATGAGGATAGCACGATGGAAGACACCAAGAAGGGGTTGAGTGGGGGAGTCGAAGCCGAAAGCGACGAGGCAGGAAGTGGATACCTGAAAATTCAGGGTGTACACACATCAGCAGGGTGAATTAGACTCCCAACCATCACCGCTCCTCCATTCGCTTAAGATTTTCTCCCTAACTCCCACTCAATCTACTATATAGAACTACCTAATCATTCTATCCACCAACCTCAATTGACGTATTCTATTTCAAACGAAGCAGGGCAGTCGGCCTCTGTGGCTCTTTGTGATGCCCGCCACCGTCTCTGCGGCGGGCGACTCTCGCCTGCTTATCGTCTCAAATCGTCTACCTATCAGTATTCGTCGTTCCGAAAGTGGTAAATATGAGTTTTCCATGTCTTCAGGGGGACTTGTTACAGGACTGAGTGGTCTGTCGAAGACGACGACCTTCCAGTGGTATGGCTGGCCAGGACTAGAGGTGCCAGAAAACGAGGTCTCTTCTGTAAAGCAAAGGCTAAAGGATGAATTCAATGCAACTCCTGTATTCATGGATGACAAGTTAGCAGATTGTCATTATAATGGCTTCTCCAGTAAGTATACGCACGCACATGCATGGCCACTTGGCAGCAAACGACAGGCCTATTAATATCACAGCTAACCTGGCCTGTCAGACTCGATTCTATGGCCTCTACTACACTATCATCCTGGCGAAATAGTGTTTGATGTGGGCGCATGGGAAGCCTATCGCGAAGCCAACGGCTTGTTCGCTAAGACAATTGCCAGTGAGGCTCGTGATAGTGATCTAATCTGGGTGCATGATTATCATCTCCTGCTTCTCCCCGAGTTGCTCCGCGAGCAACTTCGCTTGTTGGGAAAAAATAACGTCCGGATTGGATTCTTCCTCCATACGCCTTTCCCTAGTAGTGAGATCTATAGGATTCTTCCTGTTAGATCCGAGCTCCTCCATGGCATGCTGCACTGTGATTTGATCGGGTTCCACACCTACGACTATGCTCGCCACTTCTTGAGCAGCTGTACTCACATATTGTAAGACTACTCTGATACTCAGTGCCATCTTAAGCTAACAATACACCCAGAGGTCTAGTTACAACCCCTAGCAGTGTTAAGGTCCAGGGCAGATCTATCAATGTGGGGGCATTTCCAATCGGGATTGATCCCGAGAAGTTCATCGAAGGACTAAAAAGTCCCAAGGTGCAAAACCGCATTGCGAACATCGAACAAAAGTTCCAGGGAACAAAGTTGATGGTCAGTGTGGATCGTCTCGACTATATCAAGGGCATCCCACAGAAACTGCACGCCTTGGAAGTTTTTCTTTCCAATCACCCGGAATGGGTTGGCAGAGTGGTTCTAGTCCAAGTCGCAGTCCCGAGTCGCCAAGACGTTGAAGAATACCAAAACCTAAGGGCTGTCGTGAATGAACTGGTTGGCAGTATCAATGGCAAGTTCGGTGAGCCTAGCCAAGTCTTAAGTTTAGTTGCACCATACTGACAGTCGATGGACAGGGACTGTGGATTACATGCCCATCCACTTTGTACACAAATCAGTCAGCTTCGACGAACTTATAGCTCTGTACGCCGCATCGGACGTCTGCATTGTTTCTTCCACGCGGGATGGAATGAATCTGGTGTCGTTCGAATACATTGCAACTCAGGAGAAGCGCAAAGGCGCACTGATTTTATCCGAGTTCGCCGGCGCTGCCCAAAGCCTCAATGGGAGTCTCCTCGTCAATCCGTGGAATACCGAGGAGCTTGCAAGGACCTATCTCGAGGCTGTGTCGATGGATGATGTTCGTCGGGCTTCAAATTATACGAAGCTCAGCAATTACATTTCTAAGTACACGAGGTTAGTGTTGACTTTCGAGGCACTACAATGCTAGTACAGGATCATTACTAATTCGGACAGTGCCTTTTGGGGTAAATCCTTCGTGACTGAACTATCTCGATGTTAGACCAGAAATAGGAATAGCTGGTTTATTTCTTTCTTATCTGAGCGACGAATTAAAGGACTCGGACAATGACATGGTGGATAATAAGAGATAGACACAAGGGTGATCTCATGAACAAACGCTACGGCTTTACATGCGACGGCATATATTTTATAATTCACAGCAACAAATAGACACATTGACCTGTTTTAGACAATATAATACAGCATACGATTTGTATGGGTTACTAGAGACATCTCGATGCATGTTTCACAAGAATCTACTTTGAAGGACCTTGGTTTCATGTGGCTCGAGTAAGCATCGAACTAATTTCATCTATTCTGTCCTTTTAGAGTGGGTAGCTCATTCTGAAAAGAATAGTGAAGAGTCACATGGAATTGTGCACTTCGATCAAACCGGCTGATCTAGACTCGTTACTCGTCATGTAGGAAATAAATCTGCAGAGTCCTTCCAACGTGGAAGAGACCCTCGATAAGAACAGATAGTTTAAGGCCAGATCTCAAATCAGATCAGTCTAGACCTCATCAGCGAAGACAACATACAGAGTATATAGAATAGGTAAAACCACTTTACTTGGCCAACTGAGTACTTGTAATCCCTTAAAGAGCAGGCTGTAGATCCCGACATTCCAACTCAAATTTTGTCTTACATGAAGCGGAATGGATGTTCGTCTGGAATGTGCTGTACCTTACTCTAGATCGTATTTGGTCCCAGGGATTCGCCGCAGGGAAGGTAGTCTAGAACTGTCCTCTCATGTAAGTAGGGTAGGTAGTAGGTGGTATTGAACTTCCCCCTTGATTCAGGTACGGTGTCATCGACCCCAAAGTTGAGTTTCTCAACGGATACTACGGTACTACCATGCTCCATAAAAGCGAACACGCACAATGCCAGAGATGTGCGGAGTAGAAGCCAATAGGTAGTAGCCACCCCCCTAGCTAGAATATGGTTTATACCACCAGTAAACCCAATAATTTCCCCCCCTTATAAGCTTAAATAGAAATGGAAGCTTACTGGGCAGAAAAGGTATACTAAGCCCTATCATTCGATACGAGGTTAAAGAATCCTGCAAGAATATAGTTACTACAGTACGCCCTGCCAATTACCTGTCTCTGCAGTATACTCCGTAGTAAGCACCTATTTACTCCAAGGTCTTCACTGCACCTGAACTGGTCCTGAATATATATCGGTTGACTCGGACCAAGGCCCCACCACTGAGAAGCTAACCGATAAGTAGTCTAGTCTAGTCTAGTCCACCTTAGGTACGAATCTTCTGATCGCACTACGTATGGCTAGAAGTTGGCCTGGAGCCGCATTTACTCAAAAGGGTTTGATTTGGGTTTAGACAGTGAGTTTTCCGTCCAGAGCATGGGACTAGACTTGGCGCTACGGGGTACAAAATGGGGTACAAAAGTGGACCGGAATACTAGAGCGTCTGTCTCTGTAGCATGGAATAACAGAGAGCAGTGGAGTATCTAGTAATATACATAAATTTTCTTTTCATCTCCATCGACAGACTCCATATCATAGAATTCAGAGAAGACAGAATAACCATCCCAACAGTAGGACCCTATAAAAAAAAGGAGCCAAGAAGAGAGAGAGACAAGAAAGAAACTGAGGCAAAGCTTAAGGCCGGATGAGGTATCCACGCCGAGCCCCCTAGACAGACAGGATCTAGGGCTAGGCTTTCTTGTTAGCCTGGTCGCCATCACAAACCGGTTTAGCGTAGTGGGTCACGTAGACCACTCTTACCAGATCTTGTCCCATGCCAAGACGGACGCTTGCGCGTCTCCGTCACCCATCGTCCCATCTTGGAAGGGTGCCGTAATCCTGTAACGCCGAGTCCATCAGGTCGACTTATTGCCTATTCCTCCTGTTTTGGGCCGATGGGTTTTATTTGTCCTAGAACATGGTGGAATAATGGGTGTGTGCGCTCGTGCATATATAATACATATATAATTAAAAAGAAATACCGCCTTGTTTTGTATGTATGTAGCAATCTACCCAAATAATGAGTGTAGGCGATATAATGTACGACGTGACTATCAACTAGGAGGGTGTGTGCTGAAATACTAGCTAAGAACATGGTCCTGGCTTTTTTATACGTACGTCACCATTTCTATATGTCCAAGACGGTGTGTGTCAAAGAATCAAAAGTGGGTAAGATTAGAAACCTCGGAGCACCCAAGTCTACCCAAGCGCACAACCTGGAGACAATCAGGAGCTAAATAATAGAGATTTACGTGCTCCAGTAGTACTGGTTCAAGGTTTCTCTCTACAGCGTAATCGGATCGCCCATGATCTTCCTAGTAATCTGACCTGGACTGGATTTCCTGCTGCCCATCCAGGGTCCCTTGTCCTATAGATGAGTGGCAATGAATCGGACTGTTGGTCTCCATAAACTATGTCAACGAGGACAGAGATTACGGCAGTTTTCGCAGTTTAACAAAGCAGTCGTAACTATTCCCACCACATTAATAATGATATCCCATACTGGTTGTTCCCAATCAGGCTGGACAACCCAATCATGATTCGTCAGCGGTTCAGGATGCGTGCGTGGAATTGGAGTAGGTAATAGATACTAACTAATAAATACTTCTGTTGTAGGGCTAACGGGTAAGCCCGCTCTCGATTATTTCTTCCTTCAACCCGAAAAACAGCGGGACAAGGAAAAAAAAGAATACTAGGTCAAATTAATAACGTTGTTCACCTTTATGGAGTACTCCGTACCACTATAAGATGTCTTTCCACTGAAACTCGGCGGTAGTGCACGGTTGCGCCTCGTCAGTGTACATGTCGTCTGTTGATCAGAGAGCCGCGTAATACTGACTAGATGACGTCGAACAGAAACCCGGTTAGTGTTCGGATGTTCGGGGCAGTCAAATGAGGGGAGATAGTGTACATGAGTCGATATTTTTTTTTTTTTTCCAAGCTGTTTGCTCGTACCTATCACAAAGTAGTAAGAGGGACAGCTTGCGTATTTGTGTACTTATGTAGATAATAGTTAGCTATTGAAGGGTGCGAGAGAATCATCCCCAACTTCCCAGAGTCCAAAAACCCTCCCCCCCTCCAGGAAACCACGCGGACATAGCCAAGCTTTAAGAGATTCATCAGCAGGTGGAGAGTCCGAGACCACGCTGTTCCTCGTCAGAGACCAACTAGTTGGTCTAACTGAAAGAGCCAAGATATAGTACCATGAATCTTGTCGGGAGAGATTGAAAAGAAAATTACTGAATATGGGAAGGGGGCTGGATTATTTGTTATTCATCTGCAGGGCCAAAAAATCCAGAGACCGAGGAGACGAGGAAACATCATCATTACGGGACAGATGGTAGCGCAGTAATAATTCAAATAATAATAATAATCATTTCCGAGTGATAGACTGGGTGAGAAGGTGATGTATGTCGAAGCAGGACGTGCGTCGTCGTAGGAGCCGAAGCAGTTAGTAGAGGAGAGCCAAAGGTTCTTGGCCATGGTACAATTAACTGTTTCGGGGTGGGAAACACGCGGCTTGCGGTGCTGGCGCAGGGCCCTGATTGGGGCGAGCAGTCCAAGGCTGACGACGCTTCGCCCTGCTATTATTCTCTTGTTCAACTGCTGCCGTGGAAAAAAGAATGACCAGAAAAATCATCACTTCCTACTACTATTACCACATGGACTAGTCCCTCTCTGTTTCCTCTCTCTTTCTTTCGTCCTCTCTCTTCTTTCTTCCTTTTGCCTTTTCCCTTTTCCCTTCCCCCCCCCCTTTTGGGATCTTCTCTCTTACCCCCATTGTCCTTTATCCTCCCATAATTATTCCTACTCTTCCCCCTTTTCGACCCTGACACTACTGTTTCTTCTTTTCTGGCAACAGGTTATCTAACTCCCTTTCGTTCATTCCTTCCGGGTTGTCCAGTTTCCCGGCGACTATTGCGTCGATACGTGCCAAGCGTGACAACCGCTTAGCTGACCTGTGCGACCATACTCGCCTTGACGGACCTGCCAATCGAGCCGACCGATTCACCTACCTTGCCTGGTTTACTGTTCTCTCATTTGGTCGAAGGAGGGAGAATCACAATTCAGTGATCGCAGGGAAATTAACCATTGGCATTCGATTCAATCTGGATTTCACGCCCGACCGACTGCAACTGGCGTCACTCAAACCCCTACCACCATGGCCGACAGTAGACATCACCCGCACAACGCCCGACGGGCGCAACCGACTGACAGCTTTGAAGCTTCGGAACTCACTCGCTCCTTCGAGCAGCTGATGCGCAACAAGAGGTTCAATCATCTCCAAGAGCAGTCTAGGGCCCGCTCTCGCACGCAATCTCTCTCGCCGGCCCCCCAGGCGTCATCTCCTGGTCCCTTTCCTCCTCATCCCTCGCGAGCACCACCGCCGCCTCCGACAGCAGCCCATCAATCTCCTCAACTCCCTCCTCAGTCACCGTCACCCTCTCGGTCTACCTTGTTACGAGGTCTTCCAATTGTTCCATCACCACCACAGGATGCATCTTCTCTGAAGTTTCGCAACCTCCTCCACGTCTTGTCCGTCACGCCGACCAAATATGAAAACCCGGGTCTTCTCGACGAGGCTCTCGCTCTTATCCCGCTGGATAGGCTGTATTCGGAGGCAGAGGAGGAAAGCCAGATCATGCAGGCCCAGGCTGCTAGCGTACGGGGTAAGCCCGAATGGGGCTATCAAGATTGCGTCATCAGGGCTTTGTTGAAGTTCGCTAGACCTATTCTTAAAATTGTTGCGTTCTCTGACTAATTGTTTACAGGTGGTTCAAGCGATCATTCTTTCAGTTTGTTAACAACCCCCGGTGCTCGCAATGCTTTATGCCTACAATCGCCCAGGGCATGACGCCGCCCACTCCAGATGAGACCGCTCGCGGTGCCACTCGTGTGGAACTCTACCGATGCTCCGAGACAACGTGTGGTGCCTATGAAAGGTTCCCGCGCTACTCTGATGTGTGGCAATTGTTGCAGAGTCGACGGGGTCGGGTAGGTGAATGGGCCAACTGCTTTAGTATGTTCTGCAGAGCCCTTGGTGGGCGCGTACGATGGGTGTGGAATTCCGAGGACTACGTCTGGACAGAGGTGTATTCCGAGCACCAAAGGCGTTGGGTGCATGTTGATGCGTGTGAAGGGGCTTGGGACCAGCCCCGTCTCTATGCTGAAGGTAGGTTTGATGGGGCTTGAGTTTGCTATGGATGTTGAGGTTAACAAGTGTTTATAGGTTGGGGCCGGAAGATGTCCTATTGTGTTGCCTTTTCGATCGATGGTGCTACAGATGTCACCCGCCGTTATGTTCGAAGCCCAGTGAAGCACGGAGCACAGCGAACGCGTGCTTCGGAGGAAGTACTCCACTGGGTGATCCTTGAAATTCGAAAGAAACGCCGGGAAAACTTATCCAAGACCGACCAACGGCGTTTGATGAAAGAGGATGAGCGGGAAGAAAGAGAATTACGTGGATACACGGCCGCGGCCCTTGCGGCAGAGCTTAACAATTTGATTCCTCGGAATCAAACCAATGGCAGACTAGACGAGCAGAAAACGCCCACTTCACGACAGGAGGCGGATTGGCTTAGCACGAGGCAGAGAAGCTCAGAACACTCTGGGCCAGACCGATCGCAAGATGATCGATAATGATCTATGTACCACTCTTTCGAAGGTTTTTGTTTCGTTTCTCTCCATGCATTTGATTGCCTGGGGCCAGCGCAACTTTCTGGGCAGCCCTACTACCAGTCTCTTGCGAACCCCCTTCGACGAATATGGTAAAATAACCTGGCTGGACCGCTTCGTCGTACGACATTCAATGGACGCGCGATACACGGATGGGCCAACCGGATATAGGATTCATATAATCGACGCTACATGTTCATGACTCGAAACCCGATCATGTGCCTGCTGCAACGCGTCGATGTTTTATGGACCCCGACTGAAACGTCACCCCGCAAGCCGGGATGTCATTTCCTTCCCGACCCTGGACGGGGTCACTACATAAAAATTAAAATAACCCTGTGGTAGAACGAAAGCCCTACGCTCTGGGAAGTTGATTTGCGACGAACCTTGTTCGTCATCTTGACTGAACGATTTTATTTTGATTGATCTCCTTATGGCGATATCATCTATATTCCACCTCTTTGGATTTCTTGTCCTTTATTCGACACGATCTTTGTCAGGGACTTTCCCTTTTATTCTCTCTCTCTCTCTTTTTTTTTTTTTTCCTTTTTTGGTTTATATACCCGGTTGGGTCATGACGGACGTCTCACAAACTCTAATTGGTTATGCAGTTTTGGAGATTTGGCTGGTTGGGAAGGCTTCATGATTACATATCTAATTCTTCTTTTAATGCCTTACTTTCTCTTCTTTTTTCATTTATTTTTATTTTTATTTTTATTTTTTTTTACGTGGTTCAGCCAGACGATGTTGTATTGAAACAGAAGTTTTACGGCGGAGTGGCATGTCGCATTTCCTTTTTTGTTCTGACTCCTGGCGATCTCAGATACTGTCACATAACCCAGCTTCCTCTGACGGACGAAAAATTCAGTTGGACTTGGACACACGTTTCCGCTGATGATTGGAGTAGATGGCGCATGCATTTGCGCTTGTAGCCTTGCTACCACAAACACCTATGTATGACTCAATACTACGCCGAGGGGAGGTAGTATTTTGGCATTCCAGCACAGATACCTTACGATGATCGTCGATTTTCGATCGGCCATATGCTGTTCAGACCTGGATTGGTACGCAATATTTTTTTTCCTACAGACTACGTCCCATAATTACTCCATACAGTGAAAGAATCAAAGAAAGGAAGACTGTCGTCGATCTGACGGCCGGGTCTCGGCTCCGACTCTCCCCATACGCCTGACCAGGACCAGGTTCCAACCCCAAAACAGCACCAGTGCTGCAGATCACTAACCCACCAATACTATAAATAGTAGATAGACCTAGCCTATTATGGTTTAGAATATCATCCATCGCGGGGAGAAATCGATGGTGTCGACCGACCCCATCTGACCACAACTGCAGAGACCCAAAACATTAACAAAAACAACGGAGACTGGGCTGGGCTGGGCTAGGCTGGGCTGGTTGGGTTGAGTTCGGGACCACTTTCTGCATATCGTAATTAAACTATCGTAGGGGAAATTCAGGGTCTTTGTTTCTTTCATAATTGTGTGGTTCTAGGGGCGTGATCCGTGGTTCCTATAATTAATGCTGTCTCAGATATTCTGGAGATGGGCTATTTCCTGGTTTACTGGATTTGATGCTATCTAATTCTACGGAGTAAATTGTGATGAGGGTTTTTTTTGCTTACCCATTCTACTGTTTCTCTGGATATTTGATTCCTGTTACTGTGATGATATTTATGATAGGTCATGTGTTATTTTAAACGATAAATCTATCTCGTTCAGGTAATGGATATTAGAGATTATGTATAGTGTACGGAATACTGTATGTATATTGATGAATGCCAAGTCTGGCCGAATGATATTCCTAAAATGGTAATCATGAAGCTATCCAACTCATTCTTATGTAATCTCATCAACCTGGTAACGTAACCGGAAAGCGAGCGAGCCATGGAAGCGAGCGAGCCACCTCCGTATTGCATACAAAATGGCACTTTTTGCGATCTTAGTATCTCCACAACAACCTATCAATACAGACTAGAATATAGAATCTAGGCTAACATAATAGTGCATAAACCGATATAAGGCTTTAGGAGCTTATAATACAAAGAGTTCTCTATATTACATATAAAGGGTGTTAAATACAGCTGTAATAGAAATTTTTCTGTATTATAGCCTAGAAAAAATTATAAAAATTCTAAATAAATCAAAATGTATTCTAACTTATGCATATAATGTATAAAATTTAGTATTGCGCTGCAGCTGTAAGATTGGCTGAGATACTAAGATCATAAAAATTGCCATTTTGTATGCAATATGGAGGTGGCTCGCTCGCTTTCCGGTTACGTTACTCACCCTTAAATCTATATGCTGATCATTTATGGATCAGATAGGTATTTTATTGGCCTATAGTTCCGTTAGAAATCTACTTCTGAGATACAGATATTGATAGGGTTGAATTTGGTGCTGATAAAATGTAGATATGTATTAACCTTACATAGTAAATCAGACTACTTCATCCGTCATAAAATCATATATCATCAAACAGCCCTAACCAAACACTCAATCCCTCTCTTCCTCAAGTCCCTATCGATATTCCGAATCTCCTTGACATAGTACGGCTGACCTGGCAACTGCAGCTTCCACCGCTGCTTCAGATTCAGACCGCGCAACGGCTCCAGAAAAACCGGGATCTTCTCTACCGGTTCACAGAACCAGCTGCCGCTCAGCTGCAGGGTGAACGACTGCAATCCGGACATGCGCGTCAACGCCTGACACGTGTCGATCCACTGCTGTCGTCCGGCGGAGAAGTAGATCGATTTGACGGGGTCTTTACTGGGGAGCCAATGGCCCGGGAATGCCCAGCGGAGTTCGACTTCGCGGATAGTGTCCCATAAGTCCTTGGGGACGGTAGGTCGAAGATACGTCAGGGACCAGGTATTGCTGAATTCGAAGACGTTGAGAGCATACAGAAGATGGATGGATTCGCAGTATCTATCATCATTAGTCTAATCATACAATACAGATATGCTATGCATACGTAGGGGAGAGGGGGACTTACATTTGTTTACACACCAATGGAAGCGCCATAAGCACCGTATTTCCATCCCTGATGATCGGGAGTCCCCCACGACAGATCTCACAGGTTGCAGTGCGCGGACAAACCACATGACTCATTCGACGGTTCGATCGTTGCACAATATGGATGCGCATTCCACCGAGCACCATCTCCCAGACCATGAGACGCAGTTCGGTAGATAGTTTGCTCAGCAGCAGACTGTCGGAGACGGTCCAGACTAGTCTTGTATCGGGCTGTTTCTGCGTCGGGGACGGCGCAAGCGATCGGTTCGGTAGAGCACTGTGTTTTCTGAGTCGAGGTAATGCAGAGGGTTTGTTATCTAGAATCAATCAGTATAACTAGTATAGAGGAAGAGACAGGGAGGGAGGGTATGACGTACTTTGGTACCGCTGTGCCAGCACATCTTCCCAAGAAAACACGCCCTGTTTGATTCTTGCCATGGCAATGGGACTCTCGGTGGGGTAGAACGAAATAGAGAACGAGGGTATGGTAATAGGGAATCGTATGTACGGAGTACTAAGCCCCAACGCAACAATCACTCGTCCATTGGCATGTTCTCAGAGACTAGACGCCATCGAGAAAATAGATCGATTAGGAGATTAAAAAATTAAAGAAAGAAAGAAAGGGAAAAGATCAATAAATCAGTGACGAGAGATGATCCGACGAGGGATTAATCACGCGAGATCGGGATATACGGATATACGTGGCGGGTGGGGAGGGGACCCGATAGTAAGCGCCAGGGTTAGTGTGTCTCGTCTGGGACGCACAAGGCGAACACGAAAGCTCCAGGATACCAGGGCAAAGAAGGCAAAAGAGACGACGATACACGCATTCTGGTTTATTTGCAAGAGTCGGTGAGCTGGGGGGTTCCTAAAAGGGCGAGAAGCGCTATTTATAAGACCCAATCTGGGGCAGATAACGATTGATAAGGGCCCGATATCGCCCGAGTCTGGTTCTACCGCACTTAAAGTGTAGATCTTATAGATGAATCTCAATGAATGTCCTATTTTTCCTATGTCCATCTCATATCCATCTTATCCCCAATTTGGTACACTTCCATCCAGCTAACAAGTCTACTGACATCATTTCTTTCCTTGAGCAATCTTCCCAGCTCAACAAGGGCAAAGAAGAGAAATATCCTCTAGGTCGCACGGGGCTGGTTCCCACCCAGAGTATTGGTAGGACATGGGGCATTCAACCCCTGCTGGAGCTGTTGAAGTCCCGCTGGCTGGAGTTTGTCGATGGTCTTCTCCGGTGGAACAACACCAACATAGGCATTGAAGTTGTAAATGCCGCAAATGCACTTATCAACAATGTCCTTCAAGCTTGTGTCTCCCACAACCGTTTTGCCGTCGCGCGCAATCGAAAACTTCTGCTGTCCAACCCCCATGGGAACCCTGAAGGCGCTGGCACCCGCTTTGGCTTCAAATTTCTGGTTGTTTTTCCCCGAGGTGACCTCGACCGTAGCCGGTGACTTGAGCAGCGACACCACAAACACTTCGTCCTGCAAGGACTCGAAGCCGTTTGGCCGACCACGGAAGAAATTGCCGCTCGAATTGTTGGGGCTCCCGTGCATTGTTGAGTCCGTGTCGTCGCAACTTACATCTCTCGGTGTGGGTCGGTACCAGTAGACCAACTTCTCATCTTTGATATATTTGTTGACGGACTTGTCGCCCGCCTTGTAGGCAGCGATGAATGGCTTCGACATTTCGAGCCAGCCGCCGTGTGGCCTGGTCGGAAGAGTTCCGTTAGATTCATCGTTTCACGACGGATGCTTGGATGTACCCACATATCCATGACCCATTTGGACGCACCATCGTCAGTGTGAGGGGATGCCAGCGGCCCAATGTAATGCGACTCGCCATAGTCATTCCAGGTAACAACCTCTACGAAGCGAGGGCCAAGATCCAAGATTTGATTCCACCGGTTGAACCACAGAAGGTCACCAGGAAATGCCCAGTTCTTGCTATAGGACACCTCACCTCCGAAATGGGTAAAGAACCATCCGGATGCGGCTACCATTGGTCAATCACAAGATTCATCGCAGAATCCAAGATAGAAAGGAAAGGGACAACGTACGTGCAATATAAGGTTTTCCTTTCAACGCATCGACGTATGCACGGTCACCATCTTGGACTGTAATATTATTACCCGGTGTCGGCGCCTTGTTATTGCCATTGTTGTCCCAGGCCATCCAGTTCAGTGCACCGTCAATGGCATCGAAAGGGCCCTTGTCCGGATGGAAATTCGGGGCAAAGAATACTTCCTGACCGGCGGCAGATTTCATCTTCTCAAGTTCCAGTCCGTCGCCGGCAAATGAAGACGCAAAGACCTTACCGTCGATTTTGAGCTGAGCTGATTCGTTTGCATACTGCTGGATCTTCTTGCCAACCTCAGACGCCTGTCCAATGTTGTACCAATTGAAATCAAACGAGAGAAAGACTTTCATGTCGTTTTTTCCCGCCGACTCGTACGCAAGTTTCAGCTGCGCGTCAGTATAGGGATCCACCCCGATATTCAGCGCAAATGCATCAATTCCCAGTGCTTTAGCGCGTTTCATGTCGTCGTCATAGTCAGCTGCACTTTGGCGGTTGCTGGTGATGCCGATCTGCAGGAATTTCATTAGTTGATTGATGGATCCAGTCTCAATTGTTCGGGCCTGGCGTACCATGAAATGGCAAAAGACCATCCTGTCCGCGTCATTTGTGCTTCGCCTGGGTTCCAGGTGCATCGGAATGGCAGTAGCCAACGCCGAAGCTCCTAGAAGTAACAAATGAATGATCTTTGACAGCATGATCTAGCGGCTGCAAACCACAGTTCTCAACCAACCAAAGGGAAGCAGAAGATAATAATTCCCTATACCTTGATGATAGGTTAATGAACCAGCTGTGTGGCACTAACGAGTGAAATTTTTCCAACAACACGAAATTTGATAGTAGAGAATAAGACTCGCGAGAATCACCAATGCTATATCATCAACGACCGATAGGAAATTCCTTCCTAGTCAACACCTAAAATGAAAGCTTTTGCCTAGTATTTTGGACTCTGCCTGCCAGACTCTCGTGTCAATTCGTCAACTGTGCTTGAAGAAAACGAGAACAGTGCTCTACTGTCTTCCTTTTTATCTTCTTTCAGGGATCCCTGCCAATTGAAGCTGACAGGGGGGATAGCCCATCATGGGATCAAGAATGCAACAGTATCAACCATGGTCCATCACATGGGACGGGCCGAACATGGAATCTCGAAGGATGGTCAGGCTTAGGATCTTCGAAGTTTACTATAGCGCTGTCTTAGAATTTGGAAGTGGAGAGGAGATTCTGTCCAAACACAAGACAGAGACCGGTCTAAGATGAGCATGGTCCACGGGACCGTTGCATTCAACAACAACAAACGGCGTTGTGATATAGGCTATGGCACTGGCATCTAAACTTAGAATGCACACTCTCCATTCACCTCATCCCAAAATTAGTATGGAATGACATAGACAGCGGCATTAATCAGGCCACACAACTAGCGTCTCGGGTATATCCGAACGGATGTGTGCCCTTCAGACTACCTGGGCTCCTGGATTGGGCCTCCGGATCGTGGTCGCCCATCCGCTTGGCTCTCTGACAATTGTGACACGCACAATATCAAACCTCCCAATCGGAAGTGCCGATACCAAGGCTACCAATTGCACCGCCCTTCTAGATGCTGTCTTCACGTCCGTCCGTTACGCTTTTGTGGATGGGGATGGACATGTCTACGTCAATCCAATATTGTATCGATGCAAGAAATAGTCTTGTCATTGGTACTGGACTGCATGAAGTGCAGCCCAATGCAACCCTTAGAGCACGACATGCATGCATGTATGCAAGCAATCAAGCAAGCAAGCAAGCGCAACAATAGACGATGGATGAATCGATTTCTCCGGCCCTCCACCAGCCCCAGAGTCTCATATACCGAGACGCTGCGGGGTAACATTCCTGGCAGATTAGCCACGCGATGTCATCACCAGACAACCGGAACATATCCTCGAACGTCGATCAAAGGCAATCCCCGTCCGTGTAGGGCACCCAATTAGTGCAGACATCCCAACCTGTCTCGGCCAGTGAAGCTTCTCTCTCAAGCCCTCAGACTAGTACCGTAGGACTGAAACGGGCGGTCATACCATAGAGTGGCGGGAAAATGGATTAGCGGAACCTAAGTCGCTACTCTCGTCACGGTGCTGTGTAACAGCGCAAGGGCTGGTGGGTGACCAGAAGCCCATGTGACGTTCGATGGACTGCTTTAATTCTCCGCAGTTGGACCCCTCGCCCTTCATTGCCCCGGGTTCTTCTGGGGATGATGACAACTGTTGAACCTATTACCACATCTGAGTCACGGTGAGCATTCAGCTCATGATCCGAGATCGTTTGTGTAATTGCTTCCATCCCACTCAGCCTGGTTTACAAAGTAACCTTTCTTCCGTGTCTTATGCCCTCCATTACGTCAGTTGGGCACAGAAGAGCAACGGGTAGAATGCAATTGAACATTCCTGGTAAAGAAAACCCATCATTGATTCTAGAATTGCAGGGGAGTTTGGAGAATTAACTTGAACAAATCATCGTTGATGTTTAAAGAGTCAGGTACGAAGAAACTAATAGGTGTAAAGCTAGTCATAGCCATCATTCGCCACTTAATCTGCTGGGGTTGCGGACCTTGGACCTTACTCAGCAGACTGTACGGAGTAGTAGGACAGTCTACTTAATAGAGAAGAGATAGAGATCATAATACGGCAAATGCAGAGACATAGCTCACAGAGCTATCGCTGACATCGATTACGTCAGAACTTCTCTCATACCTGACGAAATAGAATTTGCCCCTATTTCCTTCGTCCTGGCGCGTGATCTTCTCCATGGCCGCCATCATCACTCCGATAGGATGGCGTCCACACACTGTATTGCCCGTTGTTTGGATGGTATCCAGGAAAGTTGCAGCCGACCCAGTTGTTATGGCCGCCATCGTAGCAATATCAAACTCCGAGATGCTCTCATGGATAGCGGGCTGTCGGCTGGATATGCGGTCATTCCGTTGCAGAGATGTCCCGGTAGACACCTTCTCCACTTTAGCCTGTACCTCGCTAAGATTGGGCCCTGGCTGGGGAAGAGAATTGGCCGAAAGGGGCAGTTCCGGCCCTGGCTTGGTGGCCTGGGGAACGTAGTAAGTATAACGGAAGCGCAGGCCCCAATGACAGAAGTCGGAGCTAATGACGAAAGCATTCTCTGGGTCCTCGAGGTATGGGGCCAGTAAAGCTCCGAAAGCGCTTTCCGTTGACTCAGATGTGCTTCCCACCATGATGGGCACTAGTGGCGGGTATTGGGAAGTGGGCTTATCTGGATGCTGCAGTTGTAAAAGACGGTGAATGTACGGCAAGTGGAGTTCTATGCTGTGTTCATCCTCATCAATTGATCTGGACATCTTCGTGAAGCTGACAGTCAACCCATTTCGCTTGACTGCTTGAGTAGAGCGGAGCTTGGCGATTAACTCCGTGTCCAGCGGAAGAGGGTCGTCGGAGAGCGGGGTAAAGTATGAGGTTAGTTGCGGGAGGGCAAGAGTCGAGAGATAATGGTGGTGGGATGGGCCAAGGATAAAGATCCGTTTCCTAATGGTACAGACATTTCTTTTAGCAGAAGGGGAAACCATCTCCTAGGACGGCTTACGCTTTCGACAAATCCAAGGCCTTGTACGCATAAGCAGCACAGGGTCCCGAGTACGCATAGCCCGCATGTCTGGAGGATTAGTATCACCGATAACAGGGATGATGCGGATAATAACCACACATACGGGGCAATGATAACTCGTGCACCAGGCACAGGCAGTGAGCCAACGTTCTCGATCTCACTCGGGGCCTGTGCTAGCCATTTGTCAAGTTGACGTGTGAGAGTTGATCGACTATCAGAATACCATGAGCCAGCATGAGAAGCCTCCCGAGATTCCATTTTGTAAGCCTTGTCAAATACTGAGATGCTAACAGCAGTGTGGAACGAGTCTCCTGCTTGCTTGGGGACGAAGGGCTGTTATCGAAAGATGAGGCAGAAGCGGGGAAGCGAAGCGGAGACAATGACGCTGTGCGTGCCTGAGGCGACCACACGGTATGCCGACGACTGGCGGCATGCCGATGACAATGGACTGGTTATGTAGATAGGTAGATGCAGATAGAACTGTAGATAACTAGATCTACCTCATAGAGGATTACATAATGCCTTAACGCTAGATACACAATAGCTATAAGACTCATCACCTACGACTTCTATGTATAGTCATCTAACTTCTGAAGAACTACTCCTGGAGCTACCACCGCCGTCCCTGTCCAGGTTCTGGTGCTATAGCATTACATGGAAGGCAATACCACAAGACGAACCTTTTGAGAACACCACATCTTATCCATTACTCATACCTAGGGAACAGATAATTACGGCTCTCTTGTTGCCACTCTTCTTATATCAAGTACCATATGATATTGATTTATTCCACATCTGCTCATCTAATGAGCCCACACTGGACACGTGAAGTCTCGCGAGTCTGACAAGAGACAGACTTCTTTGTACTATTGTCCGTCTCGCCTTTTAACCGTTTGTCGATCTGGCAGATTAGTCACATAGTATCCTCGGTTCTCATAAACTGCAGCTTCCAGGATAAATAATTCCGGGATCAGTCTCCCTCAGTCATACCCAAGACACTGTCCAGAATTGTGTTGTTCATGCGGGAATTTTCAGCCCACAATCTCGCCTCGTGGCGGGCCAAACTGACACAATGCTCATGAGGCCTTCGAGTACTAAATATATATCATAGTGCATGACAATACCAAGGCTAAGAAACCCCAGGCACCACTTCAGAGATATACAAAATTTGCTGTCAAGCGGTCCTTATGTTGCATTTCTTGTTTGCCACATATTTGATGTTTGATACTGAATAATTGTGCAGCTGTGCTTGAAACTTAATAGTAAGAAACAGTGCTGTATATAAATACAGCACTCCATGTCCAGCGAGGCCCAGATAGGTTGATCTCGCAACAGGATACATACCGGTAGAACCACCCACAATCGCCATGTGCTTGGGGTTAAAGGCACAAATTGAGTAATTTTGAAGGACAGTCGGACCGGTAGTGGGGTTAATATTGGACCCACTTTGAGAGGGGTTCAGTCTGTTACGTATTTGAAATATTAAAGCAACATCAAAACTTTAACTATGTTCATTGTTTTTAACACTTTTGTCATGTGATAGGGTTCTTTTAGTACTGCATAGGATACCTGTGGCCAATAGAGAGCTATCAGAATTCAACAGTAGGGAATGGGCCCCTTGGAGCAGAATAAAAACACTGTGTAGAGAAAATTTGTCGCTTGGGGGGTGATGTCGGCTATCAGCGTTGCAGATGCATCCTGCAAGGGGAATCACACAACCACATTCGAGACATTTTGCCTCCGAGGTATTGACCTGAATCCTCATTAATTCGACTCGCCTCTCACGTCACAATGGATGCCTCCAAGCCTATCATTTTATACGATATAGCATCTGGTCCGCCCGTCACTTGCTTCGCTCCTAATCCTTGGAAAGCACGGTAAGGCCTCATAATTGTGTCCCGGATAGTCTGTTCGGAAGCTGCAGGACGTTGTTTGATTGTACGAGTTCTTGATAGATATGCCTTGAACTTCAAAGGGGTGAATTACCGAACCGAATGGGTAGACCTCCCAGATATCAAAACGGTGCGGGAGAAACTCGGCATAGCGCCAAATCGGACTCATAGCGACGGCAGTGCATTCTACACACTGCCTATAATCCAGGACTCATCCACCGGCGACATCATCGGAGATACATTTGAAATTGCACTTTACCTTGATAGAACCTACCCCAACGGTCCGACACTGCTTCCTCCTATGACTGTCGGCCTCCAGGCAGCATTCAATATCCAGGTGGATGCTATTTTCTCCCAGCATGTTATCCTCTGTGTCCATGGCATGCCTCTCAACCCAGAAACCGCCGAGATATCCAAGGCCACTTTCGCGCAAAGAGCCGGAAAAGAGAGCTGGGAGGAACTGACTGTTCGGGGCGAGGAAAGAGTAAAGACTCTGGAGTCTCTCAAAGCAGCACTGGATGGATTAGCAAAGTGTTACAGACAAAAAGACGGGCTGTTCCTGGAAGGAGACACTGTATTGTATGCGGATTTGATCGTGGGTAGTTGGCTGGCGTTTTACAAAATAACGCTCAAAGAGTGGGAGGAAGTTCAGACGTGGCACAACGGTCTGTGGCAAAAGCTCCACCAGGCGCTGGAGAAATATGCGGAGGTTAAGTGATGGGATTGAGCATAATCATGTACTTATGAACTATGTTTATGGAAAAGATCCGGATATTCGTGCATGTCTTTCTAGGTAGTAGGGTCATATGTAATATTCAAAGATTACCAAGGCTTGAGTACCAACAATATGATGAATATATAACTAGTTTTATTAGATTGAGGCGAACTGAGTTCGCATAAGAGGTGTATATTTATTGTAGACAGCTATCTCGTCAAGTAAGCCATTCCCACGATACCTTAATTAAACCTAACAAGGAATAGCCCATTTCTGGGTTCGGCTAGACCAGTTACGGAAAGTACGCGGTGTTCCTGTTCTGTGGTTATTTGACGCGATGGCAGCCTGCCCCATCCAGAAACGAAGAGGGTTGTGGCTCCTTCACGCCTTTGTTTCTATAACATTCTTCCCATTGGCCTTAGGCGATTACCTTCTAGCTTATTTCTCTCCTCCTCGCCCATTTTGCCGCAGCCATATTCCACAAATATTACCCATTCCGCCCTGATACATGACCTGAACCTCCGTTGGCATCAAGTGAAATAAATCGAAATTGCCCTCATTGTTCCACCTATAGCGACCTATAGTCCCAGCGACACGAGATAGATCCGAACTACTATGTCTCTTAAACGCAAAGCATCATTCCCGATAATCGCCTCCTCCAATGTGGAATCCTTCATGACAGGGCCGTCGTTGATGATGGATGACTCTCCCAAACATCTTGGCAGTCGGACGCGAAAACGCTTCAGGAACGATCGCCCGGAGGATAAAGTAGTATACGGTGAGAATCTCTTGGGGCCAGTTGATTGAATACCTACTGTTGTTACCTGTCGACCAATGACTGACAGGAATTAGAGAATACCCTGCGCTGGCTGTTCTCTGCCCAGCAACAACAAGAGTCAGCCGCCCCTTCGCTAGACGAACACGAGAACATGGAGCTGGAATCGCTCCCATCGTCCGAGATCGTCGATCCACGTCAACAAACCCTACACAAATTTTTCCAGCTTTCTCAATCTGCACCATTTCAATCTCGTTCGAACCAAATCAACCGACAACCATTGCATAACTCACCGTCGAATGATGTTTTCTCACAACGCCGGGATTTTGATATAATATCTACAGGCACTTCGATTAGTCGCGACACGACTAGAGCGTCGTCTCAGGGTGCGGGCGCTCATATCGCCATGGACACGGACTCTTGCAGCGAGGAATCAAACCAGGATATTAGAAGATGGGTGGGGGGATACGGATGGATGTCATGAGTTGATTTTTTTTTTTTTTTTTTTTTGAGTTTCGTTTTTCAGGCGCAATGAGATTATGTGGCATGGATGATTATGGTTTGTTCTCCGGCGGAGATGACTCCGCTTCACCAATAACTGCTGGTCATATTGGTATCGAATTCCCGGTTTCGAAGATACGTGCCAGTAACTACCTTTGTGCCTTATGTGCATGGCGTTGTTTATTTGACATTATACCTATGTGTGCATTTTCGCTGTCAGATTATGACTGGGGCTCCAAGGAGAAAGCAATGTGGACGATAGGAAATATATAATTTACGGGCCTTTACACCCTATCAAGATAGCCAATCCTATCGGATATTTCAGTGACGAACGGTCAGGGCAGATGTAGTGTTTCAAAGACTCTGGTGCAAGAAAGTACAACCACGAATAACGGATTCAAACCAAGTTAGCTCTCGGAACTGAATACGAATTGCTGTGGTTTAGGCCTCTTGCCAACGTTTCCATAGTATAGGGATGTCACATGCACAACATTTAGCGCTTGCGGGATCCCGTCCAGGCGGCTCTCTTCCGCCTTCGAAATAAAGCAACTAGCCAAACCAACCGGAATACGTCCAGCTCAGCTGAACTGTTACCTAATCTTTTAGCTTTAAACTGCCAGTCGTCATTTTCGCCCAGAGGCTACGTCCTAATCATTGCTGCTTGAGAGCCCCTGCCGCTACAATTGCAGAACAGTCCAGACCGCCCAACGTTCCGTTCAAGTGGCTGATTCCTCCGAACGTGAAGAGCCAACCCAGTTGATTGGAGAATAGCGACGCAATGGATGAGAACCACGCCGTCCAGTACCTCGAGTCATTGATTGGCCAAACGCTACGAGTGCACGCAACAGACACACGCATTTTCGTGGGCAACTTCAAGTGTACAGATGCGGTAGGTAATTTACTGCCTCACTATCTGATTCAATAGAGTTTAGGATAGAGAAACAAAGAAGAGCAAGGAACATGTGGCTTGGGGAGTATTTGCTGATCTGTGGATTACGTCTAGGCCCGGAATGTCATTCTCGCAAACACTTACGAATATCGTTTCCCTACCATATCGGCTGTTAAAAATGCTGCCGTCGATGCAGATAGTCACAGTTCGGGAATAGCGTCGGATTCGGCGAGTGTCAAGGTAAATATGACGAGTCGATTTATTGGTCTCGTGGTCGTTCCCGGTCAGCATATCACGAAAATCGAGCTGGAAGAAACCCCACAACAGAGTCGTGTGCGTGAAACGCTCCGGAAATCCTAAGGAATGGCCGTGGTTAAATGCAGGCCAAGATAATTCTTGCGCGCTGGACGCGGAATGCGATTTCTTGCTACGGCTCTGATTTGACCGCATGCGCGATAATCATCACGGAAATAATGATAATAGAGTGTTCAAAGCAAAGGAAAAAAAGGAGAAAAGAATAGAAAAAAGAAAACCACACAGTCTTCGAATAGGCTTGTTGCATATGTATGGCATTCCGCATGTTTCCCTCTAGACCTACCTCAGCTGGAAATTATTTTGTCTACATACTCCCTCGCGATGAACTGCCAAGGCCCGCGTCCAAGATGTACCATTCAGACTCTCAGTCCCGTCACAACGTGGCTAGGAAAATAGGTACTAAAGCTGTTGGTCCTTGGCGCAGTACATCAGGCTTGGCAATTGGCGCCACGGGGATGGCGATGCGGAGCTGAAATGGCGGTGTTCCTGCAGTCAACGTGCTTAATGCCTTCTGCAGTCTGTGAGGAAGTTTACACTTGATCAAAGGCTATCTCGCATCCAGTCACTGCGAAATCTCGCTCCTAGAGCCTAGAGAACCAGAAGAGGTGCTGCTTGGGGTCCTGTGGAAAGTGACATAAGAAATTTTTCTTGGTAGTTAATTCTGAAACCGCTGACATGATCTGCTCTGGAAGGGTCGGGCGCATTCGGGATATCAGGGAGGCTGAGAATCTCTGAGCCGCAGTGATTCGTCCTAGTTTGCTGGCAGCATCCCAATCTTCCTATATGGAGTCCAGTCAGAGGCCTGCGATGCTTCGCGTCCGACGGAGGCCAAGAGTCATGAGGGGATGCAGGACGCGAGGGGACGAAAACGTGGAGTCCGTGCTGAGATGTGTCAAAATTAAGGTCCATATTCAGCAGTCACGAGTGCATAGACGGGTAGATGCAACTATATTGTAGTGTCCGATAGCTGCACAAGGATGAAAAAGAAAAGAAAGTCACGGTGTTTACGATGGAAGTTATAGTGGGATACAGTGATATCCTGATGGTTTCCTGTAGTCGGACTGTATAGCTATTTTATTTTTCCTTTTTTTTTTTTACAACGTACCCTGCTTCCTTTTTTGACCACTGCAGCCTTGCTGGCAATATAAAGCATTCCCCGCACTACGTCGATCGTCAGTTACTCTATAAATCTATACTCCGAAGATCATCACAAGTAAGGGGAACTGTCGAACTGAACATCCATGACTGCCTCCAATTTGACTCTATCCCGCTTCCTACTGGTAGTTACTATTTACTAGTTACTAGTGAGTCGTGAGTTGACATCTGAAGCCAAGCTTTCCTGAGTCGGACCGACCGATGATCCGGGAACCCGCTGCAGTGTAGGATCGAGACCAAAAGCTACGGCCTGGGGTTGGAGGCGAGAACCAAAGTCACGATTTCCTTTCTCTGCAACTTCGCCTCCTCCTCCTCTTCCGTTGTTGCGGCTCTCTTTATCCTTACCTGCTCCTACCGTATCTATTTGTCAAAAATCATCGGTGAGTCTCTCTCCTGGCTGCTTTCTCCTTATTCATCCACCATCCATCTCCTTCATCCTCCTCCCCCCCCGAATAATAATAATCATCATACGAATAATGACGCATTCTTTCCCCCTCCCCTCCAGCGTAACTCAAATTTCCCGTCACCCACCTTCTCACATACCACCGTCAAGCTCCAGTTGTCTCCCAGCAGCCCTTGGTCTCTGCCCCAAGGGGTACAGTACAATATTGTCCATCGTTGTATCTCTTCTAACCGTCGTATCGCTTAGGAGCTTCCTTTCCTTTCATCGGCGAATCGGAACCTTCCCTTCCGACCAACTACCTAAAGCTGCTCTGTACCTACGATTTAGTTAGCTCTCGGAGGCTTGTCCTGTTAATCCCATCACCCCCTCGGTCGGCGCTCTTTAACACTGGAGTACGCGGAGTCAATTCTCTTCCGGCGACATCTGTTATCCTTCATAGTCCCCGTCTATACCTCCTCCGAGTGCTGTCTGTAACCAACATTGAACTTATCTTTGGTCAATAATTTCCGGCTGGCTCTGTTATTGCTTGTGTGGGACCCTCCCAAAACGGCGGATATCGTCCCCCCTTTTATATCTCTACAGACCCTCGGGGTAGGCAACAGCCAATTCAGTTTGGCGAGCATTCCGCGCCTATCAGGGCTCTGTGGTCAGGCCTTTAACGTACCCTGTTTCATCTGATTGCCCGGCTCCAAGCTTGGCAGATATTCAACCTTTGCAGTAATGGGTCAGTCACATTCCAAGGGTAACTCTGGCCCTGGCGAGTCATTGCAGTCCTATCCGTCTTTCTCTCGCTCCGACACCAAGGAGTCCCTCCGGTCTCTTAGGGGCTCCATTCGATCGAAGATCCGTAGTAGCGACAGCCCTCGGGCATCCACCTCGGCTTTGTCTCAAACGGAAAGCCATACTGATAGGTCAGATGCCGGGTCGGTTAGGTCCACCGGGAGTCGTCGCAGCTCAACCAATCTCAGCACAGCTGCTGACTGCTCTACTTCTCGGTTGGATGCTCCCGAACCTCCTCCCTCCCCGTCATTGTCGACCAGCTTGAAGCGAGGCCATCAGGATGTGAATGAAATGCAGCGGAGTGGTGAGGTCGACCATGTGTCCGATGCTCCTCCTACGGGCGCTGGCCCTTCCGGGTCATCGCAGACTGTCGGCGAATCAATTCTTATCAAACGAGAGGGTCAACTGAATCCGATCCTGGACTTCATCATGAATACTCCGTTGGAAGCTTCCTCATCGCCGGGAATGGGAATGGGTGCTCTAAAGTCCATTGACTTGGATGATATGATCACTCGTCTTCTTGACGCCGGCTACTCGACCAAGATAACCAAGACCGTGTGCCTTAAGAACGCAGAGATAACGGCCATTTGTGCCGCAGCGCGAGAGCTTTTCCTGAACCAGCCCGCGCTACTCGAGCTTTCGGCTCCCGTGAAAATCGTTGGGGATGTGCATGGCCAGTACACCGACCTTATCAGACTGTTCGAGATGTGTGGATTCCCCCCAACGTCCAACTATCTCTTCTTGGGTGACTATGTGGACCGTGGTAAGCAAAGCTTGGAGACTATCCTTCTCCTGCTGTGCTATAAACTCAAATACCCGGAGAACTTCTTTCTTCTTCGCGGTAACCACGAATGTGCCAACGTTACTCGTGTGTACGGCTTCTATGACGAGTGTAAGCGGCGTTGCAACATCAAGGTTTGGAAAACATTTGTCGACACATTCAACTGTCTGCCCATTGCTTCGATCGTAGCTGGCAAGATCTTCTGCGTTCATGGCGGTCTCTCCCCAAGTCTCTCACACATGGATGATATTCGTGGAATCGCTCGCCCAACCGATGTACCCGATTACGGCTTGCTGAATGACCTTCTCTGGAGTGATCCAGCAGATATGGACGAAGACTGGGAGCCGAATGAGCGCGGGGTGAGTTATTGCTTTGGAAAGAAGGTAATTATGGAGTTCCTACAACGACATGACTTCGATTTGGTGTGTCGGGCGCACATGGTGGTTGAAGATGGGTATGAATTTTACCAGGATCGAATTCTAGTGACAGTGTTCTCTGCCCCCAACGTGAGTATTTCTTCCTCTTTCCAGGGACCTGCCTATTGTAATGGGCCCGGCTAACTGTAGTTCGCGAAGTACTGCGGCGAATTTGATAATTGGGGTGCTATAATGTCGGTTTCCGGTGAATTGCTGTGTAGTTTTGAGTTGCTGAAACCGTTGGACTCGACGGCTCTGAAGAACCATATCAAGAAGGGCCGGAACAAGCGGAACAGCATGTTGAGCAGTCCAGTACGTTATCCCTTGTGTTTTTTTCTTTTTTCTTCTTTTTTTCATTTCGCCAAGGACAGCACTGCTTTCTTGTGTAACCCTGCCGAGAAATTTGTGCCTGCAGAGTTCCCCCTCTCTTGCTTGTTACGATCCGGATTGCTGATTCTCGCAGCCTGCAACCGTGTCGGCGCAAAGTTATTAAGTCGGTGATGTGCCAAGAAACCCGCATCCCGCCGTATATTACCGTCGAAGCGATCTGACCCTTCGCCCTCCATGGTCGCTTCTTGTTTCATCAACCGTCTAGTCGATGTCGATTGAACAATCGAACATAGAGGTCTCGGTACAGATCCAGCTTGGGACTGTCCCGTCAATACGTGCATCGGCCCGGGGACCAGCTTTTGCAAACCCTTAGACTGCAGCGCAGTGATGCTGACACTCCAACCGGAAGCTGTTTTGCTTGTTAGGTTAGGCAGATACGGAACGTGGCAGGCCGTCGTCTTTCCCGTAATCCTAAGGCATTGCCCATGCCATGAGATGGCTGAGCCGCCCAGATGGACGCATGAATGGGCTGGTCCTGTGATGATAGGTTTATTGGACTTTGATGACTTTTTTTTTTACCTCCTTTTGCTTTTCTTTTAAACGTTCTGTGTGCATATAACGAAGCCAGAATATGTACAGAAAGGGAGGCTATCTCGGATTATGAAGACCTTCTGGGAGGAGAAAGCGACCGATCAGTGTTCTGAGTGATTTTCTTTTCTTTTTTTTGGCTTTTCCACACCACCTCCTCTCTCCTCGTATTCATTTCTTTGCTTCTCACAACGAAACGGTTTGACGCGTCATGATACATGGATGGCGGATAAGCACATATGGGGTTGTTAGGTTGTTTCTATGCTATTTGTGCCTGCCCCGCTGTGTGGCACGGTGAGATTTCATAGCTTGTCAATTAGATAGATCATCTGGGAACCAAGTAATGTAACCAGTAAGCAAGCTGCGCATATAAGTGTGCTGTGCACCCAATATATTTTGACTACAGTTAAAATATTGAGATAATTTAATCTAACCATGCCTCCAAAAGTACGTCAAAATCAAGAAATTCAACTGAGCAGGAGAGAATAATCTTATTAGCAATTTCAGCTATAAAAAGACAAAAGAATTGCGTCTGCACAACAAGGGGCACGTGTTTACCAAGACCCTGAGCTAGCACTGTGTACGAAGCTTCATGGAGTAATATCTCGAGCTGAAGTGCGCGCAAATAGTCATAAAATAACTTAAAATGAAGAGGAATTGCCCGTACAATGAATATTATCATTAGACCGATGCGTTGCTCCTCCCCTGCTATCCTATGGGCACGAAATGGCTAATATCTTTCTTGCTAAGCGTGGTACCACATCCATTCAGACTGTTGTTGATAAATAGGTATATGGCTTTGTTAAATGGCGTAATAAGCTTAAATTAAAATATTCTCGATGATATAATTACCAGCATGCTAAATGTGAGGATCCTAACTAAGCTTATTGAAGAATGTTTGATCACGTACATATAGTACAACATGGAATTGTACAAGAAGATATCTCCATTTAACAATGTGATGGCTAGCAGACGCCTAAAAATGGCTACTTCTACGGCCGTCTTACAAGTTTTGCTAACTGTCAGAATAGGCAGATATACCAGTACCACGTCCAAATGGTAACAGGGCTACATTTTGTGGTTTGGTGGTATCTGACACTAGCCAACATCTGTCTTGGCATCACGTGGGCTAATTACGCTGCCTATCTACAGGCTGTACCACAATATTTGGTTCCTAAGACCAGTTCACGTATTGCTCATGTTCAACATCACCTCACTAGACGCTCACACTGTGGAGGGCAGCCAACCCTGAATGGCAGCTGGCAGGGAGGCTGTTGGATAGGAAGGGGGCTATCGGTGCCGGATCCATGTGGTTAGTGCGGTGACTGTATTCTGTGGTATGGAAGAACAGCAGCCCATAGGCTGACCTCATCTTGCCGCCGGCCCTGCACCCGACAATGATAATTCGGGTCTTCCTGCCAGACGGCAACGAGACTTGGTAGATGACAAGATCAAGTCTGTTCTGCACCAAGCAAGTGAGTCGGTATAGATCAAGTTTCAAGGCAAGCAACCCACGATATGTTTCCTATATGTTGGGGATCCGAAGCTTCGCAACGGGGTAGCTATTTATGTAGATGTGTACCGACCATCAGATGTGAGCAAATGTCCTACCCTTATCGCATGGACGCCGTTGAAGAACGGAGGTCGTATTCGCCATTTTTTAACAAGTTTATTCATCGGGGTTCGTTATGATTAACCAGAGGAGGGGACGCTCAATTGAGAGGAATCAGGCCAACCCTCTGTTTAGATGGCGAGTTATACCCTATTAGCCTAAAAAAGCAATTTTCGTTTATCATGGGTTCATTTCTACTCTTCAGTCTAATGATAGCTGAGCATTAACCTCCTATCTCCTCATTTCTAATGTCATAGTTAACAGCTGAATCATATTCTCTGCGAGGCATTTGAGCATAGCAATTTTAAAGCGACTAGGAGAGAACATAACGTCAATAATTCTGGAATGTTTCGTAACTGGTTCAGATATTTCCGCAGGCTCCCGCAGCTTAGGGGATGCCCGCAGGAGGCTGGATTTCCGCGGTGGTAGGGACGCGTAGTGGAACGAGAAGCTCAAGGAATCTCTTGAAAAAGTTGAGAGGTTTCCAGAATAGGTGTCAGTGCTTCCGAGTCCTCGTATGAATCATCAAGCTCTTCGTCGGTAACTTCTGCAGCGCCACTGATAGCAACTATACGATGCAGCAGCCATTGCATACGGAGCAATTCAAAGTACGGGAGGGGGCAATGTTCTGAGTGATCAGTAGTGATCATTATTACTTTGCCGGAATAGAAAGGCTCAATTGTGTCCAACTGTCATATCTGTGCACTCTCCGACTCCAACTTGAGATCTGATGGCAATAAAAGACATGTTGTCATAAGGGTACACTTCGAGTATTTCCCTGACGGCAACCAGAAATATCGGTCCTTCATTGATTTCTTGTCTTCAGCAACTTCAAGAGGTTCTAGGGCAAACTGTGCTTTTCCCCAGTATGGATATGCATTTGTATTGAGAGAAAACATGTTAGAATATATTTTATTCCGTTGCCAGGACTTCCTTCTTCCACGTAGCGATCTTATCTTCAGAAGTTTGGAGCAGAGGAGCCAGCGGAAGAAATTCCAGAGAAAGAATAGGAGGTCAGAACTTAATCAATATTTATATTCGGTTCATAGTTACACAAAGGCAACTTACTAATCAACGTAGTAATTAATTTTTATACAGTAATGCATTTATTTGGGTTTTTGGGATGGCTTCCTTTTCACTGATCCGAAGAGTTGCGCAACTCGCTTACCGGCTACGTTATACTGGATAGTCCAAAATAGATGAAGAATCCTGTCAGCAGAATACGGTTTCAGAATCAATACATTTATCTTACCATTAGATGACTTAAGTTTGTCTGTCTTTCGAGTGTAGTCTGATTATCTTTACGAATCTTAAGAAACTACATACACTACCAGATCTTTCCTGACAACCAAGAAAAAGTTCACAGAAACTTTTAAGCTAACCAGCTCGCCAAGATAAAAATGGTAACCAGCTAGTTAGGTAGTAGAATACCATGTACGATGAGATCTGTACAAAAGGCCCAATGCAAGTAACTGAACTCTATGTCTGAATGCAAAGTCAGGGGACAGACAACCAGCGTGGATAGATAAAAACAGAGAAGCAAAAATGGGAGAAAAAAGGTACGATAAATGGATGGAAATGAGATACGCCAAACATACAGAAATAGCAAGAAATAAAGAAAAACTCATTCATAGTCTCTGACGTAACGACCCGGCAGTTCAACATCCCACATTGGTCTCTCCACGATAGCAACTTCTAGAATGCTATCTGGGTCATTTGTTTCTTCGTCTGAGTGTGGGGTATGAGGAAGTGAAACAGAAGATGAGTAAGAGGAAGTAGAGGAAGAAGAAGAGGAGAGGGGAACAATGCCCAAGATGTCACGGTACTTGTAAGTGTGCCACCAGCGACGGACATGTTGAGATTTAGCCGAATCAGCGACTTCAGTAGAAGACAGGGCGGATTGTTTTTTCTGGGCAGGGGTGTTGCGAGCGGGAGTATCACCGAAGGCATTGATGATGTGCTTGAGGCCGATGGAGAGACGTTTCTTCCGCGGGGTGTGAGGTTCAGATTCTTCGTCGTGGTCCTGGAGGGCGGATCGTCGGAGACGAGCGAGCTGGGCGTCCTGAGCAGTTGTGTACGAGTCGTCATGGTCGTCGTAGGTTGAGTCGTCCTGGGTCCGGGGACGTTCCTTGTCGAGCAAGATCCATTCGCTTTGGGACTCGTCCGGACCAACGACCTTGCGCATCTTCGTGCCGACGACGATGTCTGACTGGGCTAGGGGGATCCTGTCACCGGCGCCGGTGTTCGGCTTCTTCCGACCAGCTTCGCTTTCTTCGAAGGGATCGCGCTTGCGCTTCTGAGTGGAGGCTGGGGCTTCCGAAGAGGCGCCCTGTGTCTTTCCATCATCTTGAATGTCGGCGGAGGCGGTAAGCTCTTCGGAAGATGGGAAGTCCTGGTTCAGATCGAACATCCACAGCCACGAGGTGCCGTAGAGCCAGAGGCGTTCGCGCTCTTCATTCAAGTCCCATACACATCCCATTGCCCGGTCTTTAACCCCCCGGAACTCTGCGGGGAGGTACGCCTTGGGGTTTCTTCTCGACCAGTCTGAGAGCTTTCCCTCGAGAGCGTCGAATTCCACCAATTGGTGCTCGCTGGTGAGAGCCATGAGTTGGTTTTCGCTCTGCTTGGAAGGAGCTTGGTCGACCCCGTTCGTCAACTGCTTCGCTGTGGCCGGGTTTGGAGGACGGAAGGATAACAGCACTACGCCGGATTTGAGACGAGGGATGGGTGATTCGGCGGCAATGAGCTGCCAGCGCTCACCCTCAATGATGGGCCGCTCGTCTTCGTCATCAGACGATTCATCGTCCGAGTCCGCTACTCCATTGCATTTCGACAGGGATTTCTGGGACGGCTCCTCGGCGTCATCCAGCGACCAAGTGTCGACGCAGCCGGAAAGGTCGCCGACAGCGAGAAGTCTGCTATCGCTGGAGAACACAACGCACCGGATCATCCGTTCATAGTTGCCTAGAGTACCATGAGAGGCTTTCTCATGACGAGAGTGACGCGTGGCTCGGTCGAGTTTGATCAGTTGGGATAGGAGCTGAGGCTTCTCTTGCGGAGACGAGGCAGGCTTGATTCTAGCCAGATAAATCGCGCTGTTGGGACGGATAACACAGATCCACCGGCTGTCGGGGGAAACAGTTACCACACGAGCACCATCATCTGCAATTTCTGAAGGAAGGTCCAGCTTCTGTATGCGTAGAGTCCCCTTTTCGTCACCCTTGCGCCGCCGAACAGAGAACGTTTTGACAGTAGACGTCGTAGCAACAACTAAGATCTTTCCGTCTGACGAAAGCATAGCTGAGGTGATGTTCTCCTCGCCCTGTAGTCAAGAATTATCTCATTAGAATCGATTCGCAATTATCCTGTGTCTGGGGATTTTCTTACCTGAATCAGAACCTTCCCTACAAGTCGATGTCTCTGTCCATCTGGGGATTCATGCCCAGGCATGGGACCACGGGACAGCCGCCAGATGCTGACCTCCCGGTCCCAGAAGCTCATGACCAATCGAGACGATGGGGAAGAAGCGAGCTGTGGTATTTGTGGCAGGGTCGACAGTTTCCTGTGGTGTTCCTTTCCGAATTCGCGCAAAGGTAAGACAACGGGGGCGGCATCGGGTCCTAATTTCTATCAGCTAACCTGTTGACCCTGAGAGTAAGGGATATCTGTAGCTCATACCTCCAGAGACTACGAAACTGATATCCTTTGTTTCATACACGGCAAAGGTCTTGACATCATGAGTGTGATACCGCCGGTGCATCACCTCCGCCCATCTGCCCTTCTTATCGCCCTTCTCAGCGTCCTTCTTCCTGTAGACAACCGTCCTCTGATCTGCGCCTCCGCTAACAACGGTGTCGCCCTTCGCGCTCACAGCTACATCCAAAGTATCCGCCAAATGCCCCTGCACACGTTGAATGAGAGCGTAGTTCTTCGCATCCCAGAATCGGATTTCACCTGCAGAGTCACCAGAAACGATGGTGCCATCAGGAAGACATTTGACAGACCAAACCAGCAATTCCTTAGAGCCACCCGTCGGACCTTTACCCAGAGATATCGTCCGCAGAAGCTGACCATTCCGAATATCAAACAGACGGATCGAGCTGTCAGCGTAGCCCGCCACGATGGTGTTGCGATCCTGGAAAGTCACACTGAGAACCCTCGCTCGCTTCGTAGACGGGCGCATAAGACGCAGGAATCTCAGATCCTCATCAGCAGTAGACATGATCACAATGGACCCGTCTGCACATCCCGCAGCCAGATGTTGCCCCGTGAATTCTCCTTCCGCGGGGGGCAAGAGTTTCCCATCCTTACCCCGTCGTGTCGCATGCCATCTAGGCTGGGCGGCCAAACACCAAATCTCGCCATAGTTCCCACTCGAGTGACGTAGGGGCCGACCCTGCTCGACATCCCACTCGGTCACCACGGTCGAGTATCCGATACTGAACAGTCGCAGTCGTCCCGGCATCTTGACTCCATCGGACCCAGTTTCTTGAGGATCAAGCGTCCACGCTAGTCCCTCGATACTTCGATCTTTTCCTCCACGCAGGACTGTCTCCTGGAACCAGGCGCCGCGCAAAGGGTTCCATATCTCAATGTCGCCGTTTGCGCGACCAACCGCGAGTCGGAGGGTTGGGACACCACGTCCCGCGAGTTCCGCGGACGGGGGATGGGAGAATGCGAGCGCATTGATCGCTTGAGGGTTATATGGCACGAATCGACAGCGGTGAATATCCATGGTCAACAATGTGGTACAGTGAGATTAAAGCTTGAATTGGGGTCGACTGAGCTTTCGTTCCTCTTTTTTTCTCACAGAGAATTGATCGGAGAAATGAGTAAATCTATAATGGTAGGAAGACAAGAAAAATAAAGACCTACCCCGGCTCAACCTGTAGAGCCGACCACTAGAAAGACATTCCGTTCTGAAGTTTAACGTCTGTGAAATTGTGGTTCTGCGGTGGTGGTAGTTGTGATGTTGCTCACTTTTTTTTTTTTTTGATACAATTTTTAGCGCGCCGCGGAGGTTCCACTAAAAGCTGGAGTCACGTGTCACTATCTAGACGTACTTACAACTTCGCCTGTCTATAGAGTTATTATCACTCATATATAGGTAAATATGCAGATAACTAGTACGTGCACATCACTGATTCTATTTGGAACTGCTGGTCTGATTATGCCATTGGACAAGTTGACCTGTGAACTCTTCCTTCTCTGCAAACCATCAAAAGTAGATTCAGATTACACTTGGTATATTCAGGCAGATAGTAAACGGTCCATACTTGAAATACGGACTCGAAATTGTCTTGTATACATCATGTTGTTGTACGAAAGTGTATCTCTTCACCGCATTTTGATCCGAAGACCCAAATGTGGTAGGTTAAACCTAAAGTTATATAGTTATATAGCTTCTGTACCGTAACTCTCTACTGGCCTACTACATAATGCCCATGGTAAATATTCCAGAGATTTAGATAGTCATCGAAATTCATCACTCTGGATAAAGAATTGCAGTTTGATAATAATAGCCATCGTAGGCAGTTTATATAAAGCATCAGCCTCATAAGACTCCAGTGGTTAACAAAATGTAGCAAAGGCGGGGAAAACGAAGATAAAGACAAATCTGCCTTTAATACCAGGCTAAAACAATTAAAGTTGACAAATAATTCTAATAGGGACCAGGACGCTTAGCAAAGTCTTGTCTATACATAAAATTGAGTTACACAAGTAGGCAGTCAAGCATCGAGAAATGGGTTCTAGGAAAGCGGTTGGAAAGGGCGATGTGCTCCCGGGTGCCGTCAAGTCGGGCTACTGTATTCTGCATATCATAATCTGCACGGGGGCATGAGGTATGCACATATGACAGAGTCTGTTGGTTGAGAAGGGACCACGGAAGCCAGCACAGAATCGAAAAACAAGTAATCGGGTATCGGAATGAGGGATTGCAGACGGGGGAGGCCTAATTAATTGCATTTGCTAGCAACTGTCTCATCCATAAACGATTGCATCTTCTTGGATGTCCATAGGTCAGGTCCAGATCGGAGGATTGCCACGTCAGAGGCCAACCCCTGTCATCGTTCCCCAGTTGCAGTTGCGCATCGGCCGCATCCAAAACAAGGGATTCCAATTTCAGGTTTCGGATGATTTGATAGGATGCAATGCGCTCGACATTACAGGAAGAGACACAAGCGGCCATTTCTGACTGAATCTAGAGCCTATGCACATTACATCGACTGTGGAGGCTGAAGAGAGACGCAAATGCTACCTGTTTGGGTAAAGTGATTCCTCCAAGTTGTCGGGATAGTGAAGCAAAGGCGAGAGGAGGGGTTTGTCCTAGAAATTCTCCGGTGGATTCATCTTCCATGCTCAGCTGAAAGCGACACGGCTGGGCGGGTTAATTCGATCTCGGCAGGTGCGGGGTGTCGTGTGATAGGCACAACCCATGTCACTGCCTTGATGGAGCCGCACATATCAACATTGACTCCGAGCCTGGCCTAGGGAGATGGGCTTTAAAGATCTGATCGATAATGATTTGCTATTGCTGTACGCTATGCAGTTATGGATCTCTGAGTCTGATCGGCTAGCCCGATTCCTTCTTGAGTATCCCAAGAAATGGATCTGTCGGGTTCCTTTAAGACAGGTGCTGATGAACAAGAGGTAGCCTCCTATCTGAATCCATTGGACTCCAGTTAATTTTATAAAAGATGGCTTGCGCAAGGACATGGGTGGCATCTTTAGCATATTACGTCCATCCAAGGCGAATCCAATCATAAACACATACACAACCCTGTGAGATGTACTATATTTACATGACTCTGCACGGTCAAGCCATTTCGCGACTACCGCAGAGTCAATCGTGGGAATAAATGTTAACACCTATTCCTGTGCTGCGAAATAGTCTCCCTTGGCAGGAATCGGCCGTGGCATAGAGTTCAACCAATTACGTTTATTTCGAAGTTTGAAACTGTCAGTGAATAAGAAATCGTATCGTAGGCTTGGGGTATCAGTCGAATGCGGTGTGATCGTCACTGCCTTGGACATAGTGTAGTATCGATTCAGTGGTGCTAGGGTTAGCCAAGAATTCAGTTCAAAACTCCAAGTGGCTGCTTAACCGATGTTGCCATTTTGGATAGACACGTCTCTGTACTCCGTACATCCGACGGCCATTTCGATACAATGGTCAAGATAATCCTCAGAAATAACGACGGCAAATTTCTGATAGAGTCCGGCTCGGTTTTCGGTTCAGGAGGTGGCTGATATGGTGGTCCAGGCGCCGCAGCCATACGCAACCCCCTGGTGTGTTGGACCATACTAGTCGTAAATTGCGACCACCATGCTTATATCAATTTTGGACACAACGATGCTGCGTAGATTTAGATAGGAAGAGCGGGAATCGAACCCTTGGCTCCGCAAACTATCGTCGGGCCAAAGGTGTGTTAATTGCGGATTCCATCCGATTTAGAGGTAACTTGTGCACGAAAGCGGGCTCTGCTCCTTCATCTAGACCAGGATCATCCGGAGAAGACCACGCCAGATTGGCAATAAGCGCGACAGTCCTGTGAACGCGATCGTCGAATCAGCGTGCGTAATCGCTCTCTCAATTTCCGCGCCAAGTTATCGCGGACAGGCAAGAACTGCGAGCAATTAGTTAGTTAATATCCATATGGGTTATGCCATCCTTTCCTTGTCCCTTTAACACGTTGGCCCATGATAGTTTCGCAGTAGTATCTGTTGGACACGGGGAACGACTAGGAGGAAACCTGGCTTGAGGGGGCTATCTGATCCTGTCAAATCCCCAATAGTTAGCTAAAGGATTTCAGGAGATGTTAGTCAGCCGAAAAGGAGAAAGAATCGAATCATTCCACCGAGTACTCTGTACGGCGTACTAACTACGCCTTAGATGTTCATTTCGTGTCGCTGGTCGCAAGTCATTTTTCCAGAACGGGCACGCCGAACGCCCGAAACGTGGGACGCGAGTCAATCAATGACGCCATGGATCGGTCTCTGATAGGAGGATACAGAACGCGCAGTACCTATTTATGTTCCACCTCGACGCGCCTGAATATCATTTCCTTGCAATTATGCAACCATGGTAAGGTAAGCGGGCTTAAGCCTCAGGATATCTATATATAAACCATGGGCGATGATGACCCTGTCAATCCAGGTAGAATGCACAGGTTTCATAGCCTATAATTGGCGAAAAGGCTGAATAATCTTTTTCTTATTCTTTTCTTTTTTAGCTTTGGTGATAAATGTGGGGTCGTTTATTTACGCTCATGTAGACCCACCTCTATCTCACGCTATCCAGGATATAGCTAGCGTGGTATGCGTACATGATCTTGGTACAGGCAAGCATACATACAGTATAGTATGTACAGACCCTTACTGGTATTGTTCTCGGTATACGGAGTCCATTCTCAGGGAATAAACATACAGTGATATTTCTCATGGTTAACTTGACATAAAAACCCCTCCATAAACCCACTCAGCTAGCCATCAAAGCGAAACTAAGGCAGATGAAAAAATTTTAAACCAAGGTTGGGGCTCTCCGCTGCCCCAGCTGTAAAGACAGCCTTACTGGAAAAGGACATATTGTCTCGGCGTATGTAACCTTTTTTTTTTTTTTTTTTTTTTTTTTTCGCGTTTCTGCGTCCTAGGACTCCATACAGAATACTGCTCCGTAGGGGCACTACTAATGGTACTTAATTAGCAATGGATATGTCCGCTGGTAGGGCAACGTGGGTGCTTGTCCACTTTGTGAGAAATCCTACCCTACTGTATGTATGCAGACAGATAGATAAATACCTCAACTGTTGAGATCCATCGGTCACTACCTAGCACAAGTTGTACAGGTGGTCTTTATCCTTTCCCTTAGCAAAGTATTCCTAATATAGCCGCCTTGGCAAGTACAGCCAAGTTTGTCTAAACCGTTGCGACGACTGTGATATGGTCCCATCTCCGTCCTATTAGGGATTACGGCACGTCATCTAAGTATTTAGGACAATTGCGATCTTTATCTAGTATTGTATTCTAGGTCAAGTGACGATCTACTCGTCCACCACCATAGAAAACACACTGTATATTGACTTTAGGACCCATCTGAGCAACAGAAATGGAGTGGATCCAAGTGCGGCCGTTCCTTGAAAAACCAGATAATGGGTTAGGTATCAGGTATGATACTAGAAGGAATTGACACATAAGAAGCAATAAGGACATGTAGATTTGATAGCTGGGATGTAATTAACCATAGACGCAGAAAAACCTGTTGGTAGATCCTTGATTTATCTACTACCTATGTAGTAGTGAAGGGTCGACGTGCAGCAGAGCTCGACTTGTGTGGTCCGTAACATTCTTCAATTCTTCCAGAACACTCGTCCGTATTGTCCCACCACATCTTGACAGCTTCTTCGTCATTTTCGTCTTAAGTGGTACTCTGTATGGTCTATCCATTCCAATTAAACCTGAGTATTGAGCGGTTCTTTCCGATCACAGTCTACCTGCCGCTATGGACATAGGTATCTAGCTGTATACGTAGACGCTAGAATAGGTAGCTTAATATTCAATTTCTTTCTATGGTAAAAAAGCGAAGCAATTTTCTCTTCTTTTTACTATTTTTTTTTTTTTTTTTAAAGGTGGACCAATTTGTCGGAATTGCGGGGCTGCAACATCCTTTCCTGTTGCTAGACTTACTATTTATTTTCCGGTGAAATTTCGACTTGCAGGCAACACAACAATTATATAACGATTTCCACTGCAGCCTTGGGTAAGTGACCGGACGACAAAATGTGGCAAGGTATTTAACACAAGTGGGCGAGCACCCCATTTTTAACTACGGAGTAGCTACTCCTTGTTGGAGAAAAGGACGACCACGAGTTTTTTTTTCTTTTTTTTCCCCTTACCTTCAAGATCCCCAGTGGGCTGATGGAGACGAATCAAGCGTGTCCGAAGGAGCATGTATGGTGCAGAGGGTCCAGAAGTAGGAAGCCAAATAGTATAGAACATGGTGGATGACCTTTCGTCAGAGATTCTATAATACAAAGGGGGAAATCTGCCGTCCAAGTTTGACCACTGTAGTAGTTGTCTCTAGTCTGGTAAAAGGTCCCTGAAGTCGAACTCTATGGTGTTGATAGTTGATACATCGAGAGCGTCAGGTATCTAAATACCCAGGGTAGCCACCATCTATATACTCCATACACGTATTGTATAGGAACTCAATGTATAAGAGTACGAACAATAATACACGAAAAATTTCCGGCAAAACCAACCTTTTGATATCCCCACAAATAACGAAATGACGATTTGCACTTGATCGCATACTCTGTAAAATGCCCTTGCATTGAAAGGGCTTCGATGAAGCTACACACCAAGACATAATTTGGACAGTAACGAGGGGGCATGCACGGTTGTCTCGGGTCTAGACGATTAAACTATGGACAAAAATATGCAAAGCGCATTGCAAGGACAGCTGCAAGTTAAATGAGGGAATCCCGTTCGAGAGCGGAATGAATACTTTCTGTGCTCTGCAGGTACGCCGCAAGGGGATCGCCTATTATTATTTCGGGCGGATGCTTCCTAGCAACCCCAGGGCGCAACGAAGTCGCATTCCGGTAAGTTCCTACCTTAATAAGTATCCGTATTGAGGTGTATGCGATGCAATATCCTCTTGCTGCGAGGGTTTGCCATGTTTTGGCTGGGTTTGGTGGACTCTGCCCAGCAGATATAACCTGCATGACTGAGATCTATATAAGATAGATCTCTACTCCAAGCCCCAATCGATCTGACGGACCGACATGCTGTTTAAAACAGGATAACTGATCGTAGACACATCAAGGGATTAGGAACCCCATCTTTCTACTCGGTAGCATGAATACAATTGTAGGGTGGTTGGCCCAAAGCCCAACGAACCCCTTTCCATTTGTGCTATGATATGGTGTCACAAGAAAACATTTCAAAACTAAGAAAACCAGGCTTGCCACCTCGAGCATGGGTCTCACAATCCATCATCTCCATGGCGCGCTGTCAGGGGGCTTTTCCCTACACGAGTAAATTATGAATACGGGCCTGGAGTTCACGGTCGGCTTGAACGTTGGAGGCCTGGAACAAACATCCTTGCTACGGTTGCCCCTTTAACCCCCTTTATTTGAATAGATCCGGAGTAATCACGTATTACCGAGATGGGTCGCAGGGTTCTCGATGAGTAATAGTAATTTCTTTTCCGTAGCTCCTGACGGGTTAGCCCGATGCTCTTACAATAAGGGGGGTGGTTGGATTGTGAATGATGGATCAAGACGAGCGTGATTGAGCATTCCAACCCGCTTCTGGCAAGAGTAACTAGGATATGGTAGTCCTTTTGCCACAGAACCTCAGACGAGATGTACATGTATTCCAAGGTCGAGCCGGTGCCACAAAGGAAGCCTGAAGTTGGCAGGTGGAAGCGATCATCCCCCGACCCAGAAGTAAGGCCCTACCAAAATCCCATTTCGGATTGATTAATTGTGAAGTTCCAGCACAGGGATAAGATAGCTACCCTAATGCACAGGCGATGAAATCTAACCGGGGAGGCAGATGACAAGTAACCACCGCCAGCCACATCAGCCACTTCCGACTTCTGGATGGAGAACTTGTATGTATGCAATTCTACTGGTAGTTTGTATGTTGCTGCTGCGCCGGCACTATCGAGTGCAATGCCCATAGTTTGGGGGGGATCGGATGCTTCCCCACAATCATGTGGCGATGGACACCCGATGAATACGGAGTAATGCGAGTTATCTTTGGTAAAAGAAGTCAAGACTCGTCAGTCCAGTGTCCAGGATCCTAGACACCAATATAGCGTAGATGATGTAATGTAGCCTCCGGGCCCGTCGATTGATTCCTGCGTCGTATCACCATGTTGGGATGAGCAGCAGTATTTCACTGTCCAACTCCTCGGTAGAAAGCGCCTGCGATTGACTGGACGAGAGGCGTCGAAAATTATAGTCACAACCAGTTCATCTAGGCTAGGAGGTTACAGGACTGTGTGTCACTGATTAACGGTTTAACACATCCACCGACTCCATTGGCTCAATCAATGTTTTGCAGGGAGAAGCCCTGAGTCTTAGTCGTAATCCCGATCAATGAAGACAGTGTGATCCGAATAAATGAGGTTTCTATTCTGGCAGACATGAGGTGTAGCTAACTGCCTAAGGTAATTCTTTTATGTAATCGTGGCCTACGTGTATGAGTGTTATCTTCCCCCGTAGACAAAGCCAGAGAGTTTTGATTAGATCGAAGGACATTTCTTGCAGCCACTTTATTATACTAGGTGTCGATTCACCATTGACGAAGCCATACATGAGCATAGTCGTACACATGCTGATATTATGGATTCTCCTCGGTGAGTGGGATTGTAGCAAACTAGACTGTGTTGATGAGCTCAAAGGAGAAATCTACGCGAATAAATGCTTTCCCTATTCCATAGATCGCTGTAATACTTTACCTCCTTTGACATGTTATTGATCTCCCTTTGTTATGACTACTAATATTTTATTTGATTTTATTTTCTCAGTCTTTATGGTCACCATAGTTACTTCTTTTTTATTCAACTCGTATGAGTCTATCGCAGACCCTAGTCGCATGAAGGCAAAGAGGCAGAAAACAGAAAAAAAAAAGAAAGAAAGAAAGAAAGAAAAAGGCGAACTATATGTAAATGGCGACGATAACAAGCCAGTTAGTCAATAATGACGATGAAACATACTGAGACGCGACCGCTGCGATGTACAAATGTACATACGTCTGTACAGTATAGGTACCTAGTGCCTACCAGTATCTCTCCGTATGTACATACATACAAAGTCATACAGTGGACACACTCTGGGTAAAAAGCGAGCCACTAGAAGGCGATTCTTAGTTTCTTACAGGCCGTCAGCAGCTGAAAACTAGGCCAGCTACTCCGCAGTTGTGGGTAGCCAAGTGGTCGCCAAATTGCATTCCAATTTTATGTTATGCCGGATAGACTAGCCAGGGTTTGCCCGACCTAGAGTAATATGGCTGCTTTATTACAGACAGATAGATGATGATGATGCTGATGATGACCAAGCATAGGGACTCAGTAATGAGAATAGCTCCAGGGGTGTTTATACAGTAGATTCCAACGCCATTCCACTACTTAGGTTCTACATGTACTTTGTAGTAACGCCGCATTTCATTTCCTAGTAATGTACTCTGTAGTGGAAATGGGTTCTCTCAACTAATATTAAGTGCTGCAGTCTGCAGCGAACGATGGAAGCAGCATCCAATGCTGACTGACCGCAGTAGTGTGGCCGCAGTGACGCAACTTCGACAACAATAAGAAATTAACTTAATTATCCTCATCACCGTTGATGATGATGATGATGATAATGAAGCTGAAAAACGACGAGCAAATGTTAAAATTAAAAATCCAAGAGAAATCAAACATGTTCCATGGACCAAGGACCCGAGGTGTTCCTGGCCTGAATCAGTGAGTGCAATGGCTGGTGAAGACTGGCTGACCACGACGGAGATCACCCCACTCCGAAGCACTCCGAAGCCCACCAAAGGAGCACTGGTGCCGGACGCGGTGCAGGTTAGTCTCGAGAGTATTTACGGCCTGCCTCCCTGTGGGCGAACAAAGACCACTCGACTGGTCCCTCCTATACACGAGAGAAGCCCGAAAGGGCATAACAGGTGGTAATGGCCTTGCAGCCAGTAAGTAGTAGTAGGTATTACAACCTCAAATCCCAGCCTATGCATCCATTTCCTAGATAGGAATCTAGGGATCACTCCACAGGCCGGGGCGGCACGCATAAAATAAAGAAATCATGCTGGATCTGCTATCACCTCCGTACGTCTCATGGATGGCAACAAAGGATAGGAAGCGAAGCTCAAGGATAGATGACGATAATAATACTTGATGAATTCACGAGGGGTACGGATGGAAACCTGTATTTGGTACCTTGATCACAGTACATGATAGGTATCGCCGCCTTGACGTAGATACATACATGTACGTGGGTGGTATGGATGCAGGGTATTAACTTTCTCTCTTACAGTAAGGGCTCCGAGCTCAGGCCGCGTTAGGCAGATTCCCCTGTGTGCTCCATGGGATGTTTTTCTTATTTTATTTTTCTTTTGGAAATTAGTAGTACTAGCTCGTTGCGATTGTCCTTATTCTCGACACAGAAAGCTGCAATTTCAAACCAACTTTCCGTATGTTCCAGTAATGCAGCCCTGCGCCCGACCTCCATCTTCACATACGACCGTTGGTGGTTGGCATTTTAAACATGAGACAGTGTAGCTTCAACCTTGCCAATCCATCAATTTGTTTCACAGCGCATTGGATCTGTATCTCTCTGGGGAAAACTGTCAATTCTAGGGGTAACCAGCCAGCAGCATAGGATAGTTACTGCACCAACGTAGGGCTTCTCAGCCAACGCTGGCTGGGTTGTGAGGGATCATTGAGACGAGATGAAACAACAATCGATGGGACCGTACGCTTACTTCCGTTACTTACTTTCCCCCGACTCAGTACGCAATACGGGTACCAACCCTGCTCAATACAGGAAAAGGCGTCACGGTTTACGATACAGGCTAACCTGCAGCAATCCTCGAGAGCCTTCTATCTGTGGCTCTTGTCCCATCTCTTCTTATTCTCTTTTCTTTTCTTCTACTACACCCGCCTGGAGAGAGAGCAACTTCTCCTCTTTTTTCTCTCCTCCTTTTCTTCTACCTTCACCTCCTCTCCCTTTCCTCCTTCCTCTCCTTGCCCTTTTCTTACCATCCGCCAATTCTTTGGAGAGATCTGAGAACTGGTCTACAGGCCGAGTGAGAGTCCGTCGACGGTGTTCCTTACATCAGTCGACCTCATCTTCAGCCCGCTGTACCAGCTCTCCAGTCGAGCCGTGTCCGTCAGCTCCTGCTTCGACGCCCTCCGAATTCGACGTTTGTTAACTCAAACGGCGAGTCCTACCCCTGATCTGACTGCCGCCGTCCGAACCTGAGCGACAGTTAGTTCCCCTGATTCAGCTCCTGCCGGTTAGAAGAGCAGTAAGAAGGGTGCCGTTAATTTCGTTTTCGTTTTCGAACGTTTTTCCTTGTATATGATTTCGTTTTTGCTGTGATATTTTGCGAGGTGAGGCGAAAAACTTTTTCTTCCCCCCTTGATGGTGCCCCCCCAAATCATTCGAAAGCCTGCCTTGGAAAGACACGAATGATATCAGTCCCTCCCTCTACTTCCCCTCCGTTTTTAGCCCTCTGCGCTGCCTTGTTCGAATACGTCGAGTGTCGGGTGAATACAATTCGAGTGGAATTGGCAATTGCCTGTGAGGACCCGGGATTGGCCGCATTTCGACTCCTCGGACACAAGAAACCCTAGAGTGAACACACTAAGTCTTACATTCGTTGCACTGGTACCTTTTGTATTGCATAGCCATGGGGGGAATCATTGGCCTTGGAATCCTGGCGGTCACTTCGGAGGTTATGGACAATGGCATGTTGAACTAGGAGGGAATAGGTGTACAGATACACGGAGCTCTCAGACATGTCCTGCACGAATTGAAAAATATCGACGGGTTGTGTTGATGTCCGGAACTGGGACTTCCTTTTCACAGCTATGGATTAAGGGGTTTCAAGGGTTGTGTGTGTGGGAAGAATGTATAGGTCTTCTACATATTTGGAGTGGACGATCCAAGCCATCTACATACCCCGGATCCCTCAACAATCCAAGCAATTGTGGTCTCGTGCACGAATGATAATAGATAAGCAAACGACCATTGAGGAAGGATTTTCTGGCTAACATGAATTTTTTTGGCGTTCCGCTATTAGGAGACCGGGTTTCTTATTCTCCCCTTAATACGGCCTCAACTTTACCACACTCCTTCTATCAGGATCCTGGCCTTTTAATATCTCACAACATCAGCTCGATTTTGTACAACGAAACGCCCTAACAACAGACGCTGGTCTGAAAACTGTATGTTGGGATCATTCTTCTTTTATTTTCGCTCCCCCTGACGATCTCCCTATCCCTTGGCAGGGTTCGTGCCTGTGCTCCGTTCCACATTCCGGAGTACACATAGACTTGCTAGTCCAAGCACTGGTTCCTAGGGTGAAGACGTTCAGTCGTCCTTTGCCTTTTTGGACTGGTATTCTACAAGAGTCCAGCTTGACGGATCATTCCTGCGTCTTGCCCCAGCCTAGATGCCAGTCACGCCGTCACGGTAAGGGTTGTATTGTGCCCTCTGCCCGAAGGCCTTTTATCTGGGTTAGTAGTCTTCATCCCCAGAGAGTCTCCCTTATCAACCTCAACGTTCTTTCTTGTTCTCTCTTTTCGACATTTCTACATTCGAGTCTTTCCTTACCCATATTCATCTGTCTTGTGAGACTTCAGTCTTACGTTTATTACACTAATCTTTAATCTTTAATTCTATTAGTACTAATATTCTCTATTTAGCTCCGGCCATAGAAGGCTCTCCCAACCGGTCGTCTTGTCACTTTCTTTTCCAGTATCTCAGACTATTGTCTCTGTACTGGCCGTTCTTTAATATTCCCAACTAATTCCACTCATTAATACCATACTAATCACGACTGTCGCTCTCTTACTTCCGTCGTTTCCTGACAGAAACGGTTTCCTGTCAGGCACACTCTTTTAATACTGGGATTGATATCTTTTTGAACATCATGGCCTACCAGAAGCGTCCTACCTCCAGCTACCAACCCTGTGATACCTTCTTCGTGGAATCGTATGACGATTTTCCTGCACCACGAATGGACCCGAAGGAGCAGGCGAAATTGATCGCTCGCGAGCGTCAATATGCCATCGCCGATGAGCTGTCCAGGGTTACCAGTGAGGAGTTGCGTGATGACATCCTGTCACACATGCTGAACATGGATGTCAGTAACTACTCTTGATACGTTAGCCAAAAAAAAAAAAGGATATGAGCTAACGTGTCTTTTGGAGTCAGGCTACTACCCTTCCTGATGTTGAATCGATTGATATCCAGACCGAGATCCAATGGTTCATGCGTCCTTACCTTCTCGATTTCCTCATCGAGGCCCATACTGCCTTTCAGCTGTTACCGTCGACCTTATTCTTGACAATAAATCTGCTTGATAGATACTGCTCCAAGCGTGTGGTCTATAAGCGGCATTACCAACTGGTTGGATGTGCTGCCTTGCTCATTGCGGCAAAGTATGGTGACAAAAAGGATCGCGTGCCTACCATCAAGGAACTGAAGTCTATGTGCTGCTCCCTGTATGACGACGACATGTTCGTTCAGATGGAGTGGCATGTTCTGCAGACTTTGGGCTGGACGATTGGTCACCCAACCGTGGACAGCTTCCTTCAGGTTGCAGTCCTGGATACGCCATACGACCCTGAGGTTGAACACATGGCACTGTACATCGCGGAGATCTCCTTGTTTCACCGGGAGTTCGTCTCCAAGCCGTCGTCCGACCTTGCTAAGGCCTCGTTGGCGCTTTCCCGGTGTATCCTCAACCGACCCCAGCCTCGTCACACGGAGTGGGCTTCGCAATACGACTCCATGACTTTGGTTGGCCTGTCTCAACAGCTTCACCAACCGTCTCAAGTATTGTCCCGGAAGTACTCGTCAACACACTACTCTCGGGTTTCCAAGATGCTGGAGCAATTCCTCGCCCGGCAGGCTTCCGTTGCAAGCTACACGCCTCCCAGTCCCCCTTCGGACGTCAATACGGAGTCGAAGCCGTATGATGGTGAAATCGGGCTCGCCACCCCACAAAAGGCACCCCCATCGGGCATGCCTCACGGATATATCACCCCTCCGATTACCCCAGAAAATGATGTCTTTGCCAATGGGGGCAACTCCAACTTTGTCAAGGTGGTACCGGGCTCCAGTGCCTGCTCACCGTCCCCGACACCTCCACCCACAATGCAGTATGTGAGCTCTCATGTTTACCCGCAAGGGGCAGCGTTTTCCCAACCACAGCAATTTCTTCAGCCTCAGATGGGATTCAGCACTGGCTACTGAATCTGACTGAGTAAACAAGGGTACTCAAAGCGTGCCAATATCTTCATGATATTGTGCTGACATTGCATATTGTGCAACATTTCCAGAAATGATTTAACCGTCTATCATTGAATCCCGAAATGGATGCCCTGCTATATGGACAGCAGTGACAGCGTCTCTCTTTTCCTTGTGTTTGTTTTTTTTATTTCCTTAAAATTGCATACCCATTTTCTTATTTTTTTTAAGATATCATACCTTGGGTCAACCAAGTTGCATTTATTTCCCTTGATTCTCATGCCTAGCATTGCAAGCGCGTGCCGTTCGAGTTAAATTGCATCTCACTGTCTGCATTTATTTTCATTTCTCAGTTTCTTTCAAAGCCATGTGTGGAATTGCAATTGATTTTAGTTTAGTGAAGCCCCAGTTTCCTGCAGTGACAGAACCAAGGGTGATATTTTTACTTTCCCCCGAACCCCCCCCCCCTCCCTCTTCTTCATATTCAGATAATAGTGTGGCCTAGTCTCTCACGTCCGTGTACGATATACACATAGCAAAGCGGGTAAAGATTGGAAAGCACCCGCGTCGTTCGGAATTTTGACTGATGGAGAGAGGTCCGCTCCAGACAAAACCAAAAAAAAAAAAAAAAAAAAAAAAAAAAGCCAGAAAAGAGGCCCGGACAAAACCACAAAAAAAGTCAAGCGCAGGAGAGATGGAAATTTTATTGGACAAAAGACAAAAAAATGGATGCGTGGCTTTGTTACTTAATGATACTTGGAGAAAGAGAAGAAGGCTAGAGTGTTTGGACAGACCGGTGGATGAAATTGAGCATTCGAAGCTTGAACTACCTTATTTCTTTCAACGTACTAGATTTTTTTGCTTTTTCTTTTTCTTAATCGATGGAGAAGAGCGGGAACCTCATTCCCTAGTGGTGCTGTATGGATCCTACTTAATCCATCAGGGAAATAGGAACGAGACTACCTAACATGCATGGTAGTTAATAAATAGATGATGATACCTTGCACGAAATCGGAAGTACGCAGGTTGAGGTGGCATCTGTCGCTGCAAGTACGTTTGTACGGTAGTAGGGCATATGTAAGGATTTGTAGGGATATGTACTCTGCCATGCCAACTCAGCATGATCAACGTACGTAATTATTGACACCGTGTATAGTAGAAAGACCGACGAGTATTGACTAATATTAACTGATTCAACCCAATCCTAAATCCATAGTATGGTAGATAGATATAATATATAATATACAGCGTATAATATAATAAGTAACATGTAATAAAAACAGAGTAATGTTCTGTGCCTGGTGAGGAAGTAGTCATGCCAGAGTAGATAATGATAATGTAACCAAAGCCAGAAAAACACATCTAATGTAGTATAATATAATATCCAAGGGATAAAAAACGAAAGGAAAAGAAAGAGTCCAAAGAACTAGGTAACTAATGGTTAGCATCTAGTATCCAGACAAAACAGAGACAGAGACAGGATCATCACAAGCGAATCAATGAACGACATGACATGACATGGCATAAGATGTATGGAACTCTGTACCTGACGTACTTGTACCTCTGTACCAGGTAGACGTAGAGGGGACAGTAAGTACAATAGGTAGTAGTATGTATGACAAAAGCAAACCGAACCAAACCAAACCAAGCCGAGATTCTCCAACCCACGCTATGCTAAGATAAGAAAGGAAGAAAGTACAAATAGAAATACAAGCGTGAAACATGTATCTTGATCAAGGTTCAATGGAAGATGGGAAGACGGGATGACTAAAGAGACGACGATGATGATGAGAACCGACCCTGAATATGATGTACTCCGTATGTAAGGGTCTCTCTTTCTTTTCTCCTTGTCTCCCCATTAACAAGACAGCCATGAAGACGGATGTAACACGTGGATGGCAATGAGACAGGGGGATTAGTAAGAAAAAGAAAATAAGGCAATCTTATAATATAACAGATAAGAAAGAAAAAGAAAATAAAAATGAAAGTGTCAGACCAAGTCAAATCTGGGACATCCAGGGTCATGTGGCGGTGACGGTGACGGTGACGGTCCAGAATGTAGACAGTTTCGAGAACAATGAAAGAGACGAGAAATTCGTACAATATCCGAGAGACAAAAAAGAGGACCAGAACAAGAATAATAGGAAAGTCCAAAACCGGGGGAAATGGAGTGGGTGAATGTCGATCATTCCGCCTCACTTTTTTTTTAATTATTTTTTTTTTTTTAATTTTGTGAAGCCGCGCGGATAATCAGCAGACAGCCAGCGACAATTAGGGAGTGCCGCTGCCCCTCCCCCCGGGGCTGGCCAGCAGCTTTGGAGCGACGGAACTCCCTATTCCATCCCTATCCTATCCCATCCCTCTGGCATGCCGACATCACTCACAGAGTGGACTAAGGATAGGATAGGATCACTTCCACCGCTGTTTGTCCCAATCAGAAGGCCTCGTTTCGTCGTAGATTTGGCCCCCCTGGTTGTGGACGACCACCGGGGGCTGCGTTCTCCGTGGGACGGGATTGGCCCCTGTGCAAGAACGGTTCCATTAGTGACGGTTCTAACTAACTAGTGAGAATCCACGGGAGATCGAGGAATCACTGGACGGGGACTGGGGACAAGCGACTTACCTCGCATGTCGGAGACGACGACGCGGTCACCGCTACTGCCGGAGCTGGCCAGGGTGGAATTGGACTCATTGACTTTGTGAGGCATTGTTGCGGAGCGTAGCGTAGCAGTCTTTTTATTGTGTATTGGTGATGGATAAGATGGAGATCTGACAAGTAGACGAGGGACAGGGAGTATATAAGAGAGTGCTCGGCGGCGGAGCAAGGCACAGGATGTAGAAGGACAGAGGTAGATGAAGATTGAAGAAGATAGATGGATAGTTAGGTAGGTATGTCGGTAGGTGAATAGATAGATGATAAATAATGATGATGATGATGATGATGATGATAGATTAAGTGGAGGAAGAAGGAGCTTTTGTATGTCCCCCAGAAGTATGAGAATCGCCAAAAGGGAATAGAATCGAATCGGAATGGAGGATGTACGAATTGGGTTAAAAATAAATCGAGCATTACGGAGTACGGCAGACTAAATATAATAAAATAAATTCCATCCGTATAATAAAATCAAATAAATCATATCCTGAAACTAAATTAGTAAATCGAGATCAGTCATCTTGAACTCACCTATACCGACATCAACATCTTCCGTCCACCTATCAATACAATAGCAAAGCCCCATGGACCATGAATGAATGAATTAGCACCCCGACGTCATCTCATCGTCGTTCTGGAAGCCCAACAACACTCTGCTGGATCTAGAAATCTAGATTTGGAATCATCCCATCGAAGCCCCTTCCACCGCCACGGCTAGGGGCAAAGACGAGGCGAGGCGGCAAACCGGATGGCTCAGCCTCTCTGTCTCAGTCAGTCAGTTCAACCAGTTGAGTTGTTGACTCCGTACGAGCCACACCATCCATCATCATGAGTTCATCCATTCATGGACTAATGCCTGATGAGGCTGATGCCATCCGGGAAAGGTAGGTAAGGCAGGTACGGCAGACAATACCGTATGTGTGAATCGACAGGGTCTCATTGGCCAAGCTGTGCCGTTAGGTGGTATGGGTCATTTCGCATCACCTGACGTTTTATTTATACCAATCATATGTCCCGTCTAGGTGACTAAATTTTGTCTAACTCCCTTAAGTAATTAGCTGGTCCCTAGTCCAGGTACCTAACCTAACTACAGAGTACTTACCTACTTAGTTGACTCCATATACTCAGTACTATTCCCTACTAAATTAATCCTTGATTACGTCCACGTACGGAGGATGGAAATGAATGCCTCCTGACTGCGATCATCCAATCTGGAACTCTATCTGCGTACCACTGGGGTTTAGCGGCTGTCCAACTCCTCTTCCTCCCCCTGTACTACCTTCTGTCGCCTGTTCAGGCCACTTCATCCACTGCACTACTATCCTCAGTTATTCGACGCAGGAAGTAGGCACTCCGGAGTAACTAGTAATCTAGACTGCGGAGTGCAGAGTCTGTCATGTCTATGCTGGTTTCATATTGGCCTACGTAGTACATGGATGAATAAATCAGGATGCCTCTATTGGGTCGATCAGACCACCAAAGTCTTCCATATTCACCGCCAGAATGGAGTAGGCCTTACCGTTCTCTCAGGTCCCACTGGTCGTACCTGGTAGACTGCCAAAAGTAGGTACTTCGAGTCTACGAAGTATCCAGCAAGGTTGCCAGTTGTACCTGCATGTATCCGCTGAATAAGCATATAAACAGCTCTGATTGGATGTGTTTCTCTGTTGCTTATCTAATATGATGACTTGTCGGCTTAGTCATAATTATTGGATTTATGCCTGGTCGGGAAGTCACTGGCCAGTGCAATCGGATGAGATCCTCCATAAAGGCACAATAGTTTTATCTAGTATACACTTATCCATAGGTAGTCGTTCAGATGGGTCCAAACACAAGTGCCTATCATATGCTCTCAGGTCCTCACCGCGACTGCCCATTGCTCGCCCTCTTCATCCTCTCCTCCCACCCATTCATGCTGCGACGAATCCCCAACGTTCGTCGCGTTGGTGGCCCTGTCGCTCCCTGCACCATCGACATCGTGGTCGTGTGATACGTGGTCACTGGTCGCACCGCGTTGACCGGCTCTTCTGTCTTATTAACCTCGCTCACCCCCCACCCTCCCCTTGTCTGGCCCTGGTCGGACATTTCTCTGCCCTCTTGACCGCCGCGCAACATTGGTTTCTCCGCGGGCTTAGACGATGCCGCCAGCCACGTGTAGCAGCTGGGGTCCGATGGTTCGAGAACTGGCCGCGCCGGTTGCAGTCGCTGCACTTGCGGTTGATGTATCGAGTATTCGCGGGGGATCACGCTCTTGAAACTTGGATTGGTCCCTGGAGCATGGCCTGCGTGCCCCGGAGCGCTTCTTCGGCTGCCTTGGCTTTGCTGGCGGTCAGTCGATGCCGATGACTCGCTAGCTTTGGGTTGGGCTGCGTTAGTACCGAGGGACGAGGAAGACTGGTGGCCGAAGAAAGGCGAGATACTCTTCTGCGAGAACCCGTCGGATTGGCGGCCCACTGTCCCCGTGCCTTGGGACTTGGGCTTGCTGTTGCTGTCGAACCTGGACGATGGCGTATGATCCAGCTGAGCCGCTGAGTTGGACGCGATATACTGGCGAGCAGTCGAGAAGCCGAGCAGCGACATGGTAGTAGGCGTGCCATATTTCGAACCCCCAATAGTGTACGCCGATGACGACATGTACGTGGTTGTGGCTGAGATTATGGCTTGGTCACATCGTCGTCGTTTGACGCAAGGCTCCTGTTCTGCCGCCATTGCTCGAGAGCCATCCCACCTGAATACAGCATCGGGTGGCTCCGTGCCTTCCGCCGTCCACCGGTCATCGTATGTGGAAGGCAGCGAAAATTGACTCTCAATCATGGCCTTGGCGGATGGCCTGGGTCGACGTAGAATATCCGCAATCCCATAGACCGTTGCCTCCGGCAAATTAGGCCCAACGCGTCGAAAACGCGTGCTTGTGATTGCCTCAGGAAGGAACTGCGACACACCCGTCGCTTCGCCACCGCGCGATTGCTGGAGAGGATAGCTCAAGTACAACAATGCCTGCGCTCTGGTCATGGCCACGTAAAGCAGTCGCCTTTCTTCGTCACTATTTTCTGCGCGAGAGTGAGGGATGATGCCGTTGTACACGGCGGGAACAAATACCACGGGCCATTCAAGACCCTTTGCTGCATGTATGGTGGAAATCGTGACCTTCCTTTGTGGCTGCTTCCCGTCCTCTGCTCCCTCCTGCTGCAGCACCTCCGTGGATAATGCCACATTCGCCAGAAACCGAGACAGCGCTTCTTCGCCCGGGTGAGCTTGCTGTTGTGAAAGACCCTGGATTTCTGGGAGACTGTCGTCCGGCTCTACGTCATCCTTGGATCCCACTGTGTCATCGGCTTGGCTCAAAAGCTCCTCCACATTAGCCCACCGATTCTCCTCGTTCGCCCCGTAGGTCGCCGTAAGATATTCTCGAAAGGAAAGCTTCTTTATTACGTAGTCGAGAAGTTTCCTGGGCGCTGAGCCATCCTTGCAGTCGAGAAGCTTCTGCCGTGACGACTCAATCAGGCCAACCACTATGCAGAGACCATTGTTCGTAGGCTTCGACAAGGGCTTTTCGGTCGACCGGCGACCTTGTGCCACATCCTTGACAAACTCCCAGAGGGACTTGTTTGCTTTCTCTGCACTACCTAGCAAGGAACGAATTGTCTCTTCACCAATCTTCCTCGCCGGGACATTGATAATACGTAGCAGCGCATCGGTGTTTCCAGGCTGGCTGATCACTCTCAGATAATCCAGAAGCAGCTTTATCTCGACTCGATCGAAGAACCTTAACCCTCCGACCATTTTGTAAGGCATACCCTGTTTACCCATCTCCGATTCAATCTGCCGTGAAAGAGCAGCGGAGCGGAGCAAGATCGCAAAGTCGGAATGATCTAGAAGCTTCCCAGTCATGGCGATGCACCTCTTGATCTCCATCACTATCCACTGGGCTTCCGCCTCCGCAGTGGGCAGTTTGCGAAGCACAGGCATGGTGCCTACGCTATGAGTTGGCTGCAACTTCTTCGCCGGTCGGGACGAGTCCTGCTCGATGACATCCTGGGCCGAGCTCAGAATAGAGCCAGACGAGCGGTAATTATCCTCCAAAAGCACGACCGAGGTATCCTTGTACCGCTGTTGCATACGCCCCAGATTCTTGATCTCTGCGGACCGAAAACCGTAGATGCTCTGGTCCGGATCGCCCACGACGGTGATGCGTCGATTCTGAGACGCGAAAAGATTCATCAACTCGTACTGGATGTGATTCGTGTCTTGAAATTCGTCGACCAGAACCGCCTGAACATTCGAAACGCACTCAGGATGTCGTCGGAGGAGCTCCGCACATCGCAGCAGCAGGTCATCGTAGTCAAGCAGATTCGACTCCGCCAGGTGCGTTTCATATTCCCGATACACCTGGACAAACTCTCGTTGCTCTAGGACTTTCGAATTGGCACTGTATCTCACCGCCACTTGTCCGGGGCCAACCCCGTGGGCTTTCTGATGGGATATTCGTGATCGAGCTGTGTTTGGTTGGATATTCAGCTTTAACCGTTTAACGATTCTCTGCAAGGCAATAATAGCAATAAGCATACCGAATGAACCACGCCTACGAGGAAACCAAAAATAAACATTAAAAAGATTCAACCGCCTACTCTTATAATCGCCAAACTATCCCCCGAATCGGCAATCCCAAACCCCCTCCGCAACCCAATCATATACCCATAACTGACCAGATACCGTCGACAAATGGAGTGAAAGGTGCCTAGAATCAATCGTGACTGGGCCCGGTCCCCGATCAATCGAGCCAGTCGCTCTCGCATCTCGCGACTGGCCTTGATGGTGAAGGTGCAACAAATGACATCCTGGGGGCGATATCCGTGATGGGAGAGGAGATACGCGACGCGCGCGGTCAGCGTCTTGGTCTTCCCGGAGCCGGGCGGGGCAAGAACCTGGAGGATGCGTGAAGGCGATGTGACCGCAGATTTTTGGGCGAAATTCAACCCATCGAGTATGGGATCCATGGGGTGGACAGGAAATGGGTGTTGGAGTAAGAGAAGATGGATGGTAGCGTCCAGACGCGCTCTATCGCGAAGTCATGTGACTGGGCTTTATAGATAGAGGAATGGGGGTTTAAATATCCTTTACGACTTGACTGATTAGTGAGACTTCTTCCTAGCACTAGCTCTAGCAGTAGACTTCCAGCCAGTGAATCATCCTATTCTGAGCTAGTGATCCTGGCCGAGGATGCCACGACATTGTTTTGTGGTGTACTTCCGCAAACATTATGCAACTGATTTGTATGAGCATAAACAATACACTAAGTCCAGTATATTATGCAGAGAATCCTGATAAATATATTGCAGACAACATCCTACGAAGGCTGAATAATTTCTCTGCCCCTCCCTCTCTCTCTTCTTTTTTTTTGGCTGAAAATCCTCCAGGTATACTCTTGCGATATTATGTCCTCTATTGCCATTCATCGCCTCATATCAACTCCTATTGTCTTTAAACTTGACGTATAGACAGTGCCAAATCCTCATGGAGTATTTTTTTTCCCCAATGCACAATTGTTGGACTCGTTCACTATAGAACCGTTCCTGTATGCAATTAATCGAAGGAAGCGCAATGGAGAACTAAATCAGAGGGATGGGGAGCAAAACAAACGTATAAATTAAACAGAAATAAAAGGAGGAACCATACATGCTGGACATTGTAATCAACTTGGTTCTGACGGCGCGCGGGTTCGATTTCGAAGACCGACGAGGAATGGGCTCTTCTGCATCGGCCCCGGGATTAAGACGGTGCTGGATCCCTCAGGGGCCTCATCCAGCAGATAGGATGCCTTGTGGTCCGTCTACGTAGGGGTATGTGTCGATCTAGGTCACCTTATACCTGATATAGGCTTACCTTATATCGGTAGTGTTTGAAATTAGTACTGGATATCTACTTTACTCAAGTCTGGAAATCACACAGTAACACATCAATCAAAAATTCCTAACGGTATGGACATGGAAACGACATAATTCGGCATATTAACCGCCTCTGTGATCTTCAGATCTCCCGCGACGCTGGCGAGAATATAAGCATCGACCCTGGTCATCCCCTTCGTATCAACGAGCCACTGAATGAGATTTCTCACAGCCTGCTTCGACGCCACCTCCAGCGACGACGCCACCCCCGTCGTCGCGTACCGTCGCGATCCATCCAGGACATGTAGCCCAGTGACAGAAGGACTCTCATACTGAGGGGTAACCACCCATGGCTGAGACTTACATACATGGAACCGCAACGTCGCCTTGAGGGGGGTTTCGATCGCCGTGCCACACACTTCCCCGTCCCCTTGTGCGGCATGTCCATCCCCACAACTGAAGAGAGCTCCTTCCGTCATTACGGGGAAATACACAATCGATCCAACGGTCAGATCGCGACAGTCCAGGTTCCCTCCTGCGTGGGTCGGAGGGATCGTCGAGAGGTCCCGGTCATCCGGCGGTGCTACGCCCATACATCCGAGGAAGGGACGCAAGGGAATCCGGAATCGATTCTGCCCCGTGTCTGTATCTGCGTCTGCATCTCTGGCTGGGTTTGGGTTTGTTCCCCGAAACACAGCCGACTGCGTCCGTGGATTCAAACCCCAGATACGCAGCGCGGGTTGCGGGAATTCATCGGCGAGCAGGCCGAAGTTCGGGATGACGGCGGACCAGCCCCAAGAGGCGGGCTCGAGACCCAGGATTTCGACCTTGAGGACGTCGCCTGGCTGAGCGTCGTGGATGTATACGGGACCTAGAACGGGGTTCGCAAGGCTCAGGTCGAATCGCTCCAAAGCGGTGTTGTCGGAGGTTGCTGTGATTTGACCGTTGCTACTGTCGATGGCATCAAAAGTGACAGTTTCACCGGAGGAAATCGTCTGGATGGGAGGGATATTCTTGGACCAGCGGAGGTGTGTTTGCGTTTGATTGATGTGGATACACATCTTCTATATATACTGATTACACTCCGTATATTGTAGATTATAGATGGGGATGTAGATGTAGGTGGTATAGTAGTAAGATTAGGCAGAGAGTTAGAATTGAACAGACCACGACATATCCATAAATTCTACACGCAAGGGGCTTTTATTCTATACTTAACCCCAACGCCTCCCAATCCACCTGCCAGACCCATCCTCAACCACAGAGAGCCACAAATGTAACTCAGTCTCTACGAACCCGAAGCCACAACCCCAGGATCCCAGTCAACTACGGTCTAACCAGCCACTGAGAGGAGTATTGGCCCGGGATGAAACTTTTTCTCTATTTTTTCCCTCTATTTTCTCTAATTTCCCCCCTGCCTGACCCTCCTGAAAAAGTATCTCCTGTCATGCGCCCCACGATTCCTACTTGCGGGACGCGGGCTAAACTTGCCTTTTGCCTGTTCGGGAAGGTGCTGCTTCGACTATCGGATGCTAAGGATGAAGAGGTCTTGATTGGGTTGGAACTGGTTTGATCCTGGTCTCATTTCCATGGAAAGTCGAGCAGATAAGATGGTTAACGACCTGCCTATTTGGGATCGGTCATTGTCTCTCCTGTCGGTTTTAGATCTGTCCTCCGACTGTGGTCATTCAGCATTCAGGGTCTCATGTCTCGTTCAACTATTCCTAAGGTCTTCTCTTGAAATGATCTTCATTAAACTCAAGAGAGTCATTTTCTCACCTTTCATGTGTGACCAAAGGGAGCGATGGTTAGTCAATTAGTCAGCATCACATGAGTCAGGCATAACTCTCAATTAATGCATCTACCCCTGTGACTTATGACTTCTAATCTCATCCTCTCTCCTCCATCTCCACAATCTCCGGCATGGGCTGGGTAGGAGTGGTAACGCTGGTTGGTACTGCCTGTTTTGTGCTCTACCGACATGCCCCCGTGTCCTGGTCCTCTCCATATCCTCCTCAGCCGAGATCGACATCCCCAGAGCAGAACTCATATGCCATTCTCGATGATGCGCCGAAGCCTGAATCCAATCCCCTAGAGGGGAGAGAGAACGAGAACGAGAAAGAGGAAGAATCCCAGACTACCCCCAAGGCATCTGCGTCAGGCGCGCCCTCGCTTGAGGTCCCGACCCTCCATCTGGACAACAAGCAGTCGTCCATTCCGAAGCCGCAAGACCAACCACAAACCCTCTATCAACAACCACCCCAGAATGGATCAACAAAACCGCCACCGACGGCATCCAGAAACAGTCTCATGCCACCGCCGACAGGGGCCCTACCCCGACAACAGCCTAATGCCTCCAATTCCTCCCTGATGCCCCCCCCTCCCCCCGGAAGACGTGCGCAGAACCAACAACCGCAATCCGCCGCCTCCCTCACCGCAGGACGATATCCCCCGAGACCGAATACTAACGGCTCCCTCCATCCGCCGCCTTCAGCAGCTGCGTCGCTGCGTGGACCCCCCGCCCGTCGGCCGTTAAACAACAGCCTATCCCCGATCGCGCTGAACGTGAAACCATCCAGCTCGTCGAAAAGAGCAGTTCTCGAACCGGGATTCTCTCCGTTGGATTGGGCGGCACTCACCTCCAATCCCAACCATAAACTGCGAGGAGCAGGTCTACCTCCAAATTTGATCCGCGTGACGCCGTCGATGCTCAAGGCGCAGAACGGACGGAAGGGCCGTGATGCTTGGACCTCCTACCAGGGCAAGGTGTACAATATCACGCCGTATCTCCCGTTTCATCCGGGCGGCAAGGGAGAATTGCTGCGCGGTGTGGGGAAGGACTCGGCTCAGTTGTTCTTTGAGGTTCACCCATGGGTGAACTGGGATGCTATCTTGGGGGAGTGTCTGGTTGGGATTCTCGTTTCGGAGAATGATGAGAGTAACGAGAATAAGCTTGATGCGATGGATTGATCATTTACAGCTGCAGCTATGTATTATATACAGCATTAGAATGATACCATAGAGTATACTACAGAAATATACTAGATCCTACCTACCATTTGTACGTACTGGTGTACACAACATACCAATCCAGTTACCGTCTATCTACAATTCATCCTTATCCTCATCACCCTCAATAGCCACCAACTCCGTCTCAAAAACCAACGTCGCACCCCCGGGGATCGGCCCAACACCTCTGTCCCCGTATCCATACTCAGGGGGGATCGTCAAAGTCCTCTTCTCACCAACACACATATCCATCAGACCTTGGTCCCATCTGTATTCATTAGCCGTATAGAAACAAAGAACCCCCCCGCCCATCAAAAAAAGCCACAGCGAAAGAAAGAGAGACAGAACAAACCCCTTAATAACCCTCCCTGCACCCAACAAAAACACCAACGGCTTCCCCCGATTATAACTGGCATCAAACTCGGAGCCATCGCTAGCCAGCGTGCCGCGGTAGTGCATGTGCACGACATCATATTTAGTAGTTTTCCGGGCACATTCGACCTTGTGGGTGACTTCGATCCCGAGGTCTGCGGCGTGTACCTGCACGAGGGTGGTGGAGAGGGCGAGGAGGGCCGAGAGAATTGGGAGGTGCATTTTTCTTTCTTTTTTGTCTTTATTTCTTCGTGGTTTAATGGTCGTCTTTGTATAGTCTATTGATTTGCTTGTATGGTGGATGTAGTTAGGAGCTCTACTAAATCTGTTCTGTTGTCTGTCATTTGGATTGTTGGATCTGAGGTCACGTGAGTATATTTATTTACAAACCGATGGAAATTAATTAATGAGATGAATCTAGGAAGGAATCAATGTTCAAATAGAACTAGCTTTGTTAAATATCTCTATCACTAACTATCTTAATCCATCCATCGTTAAGAGATCCAACAAGAAGGAGAATAAGTGGCACCTAGATTGTACAAAAAAAAAAAAAAAATATGCTGTCGGGGATTCGAACGGCCGACAATAGAAAAAAATGCTGTGATTGTATATCGTCCATTGTTATCGTCCCCGTCATCCTTTTGGAGGCCCTCGTTGCATAATGCCAAGAGATTATGGCCCACCACATTACTATATACAGTCCCTGGTGTGCATAATGGTAAAGACGGTGAGATGTTCTGCGCGCTTTAGTTATAAGCCAGTACTCTATTCGAAGTTCTTGTCATGTCACCACATTCATTTTCGTATCTATAAGTCTACGGAGTCGTCGCCTAATATTAGAAGCGTACCTTGATACACAACCAGACAGGTGACTACTGTTGCTGGCTATCAGAGATATATTTTTGTAGGGGCAGTTTAATACAGTGATCAGCTGGCGGGTAAAAGAATGTGTGGGGATGGTATTTCTAAACTGTTTTGACTACATGCCCTTTTGTTGTTGACGACCCTGGAAGAGCCCCATATACCTATATGACGAGACAGTTGTTTCTTTGCTAGCAGGGCATGGTGCAATACTATATATAGCCCACAAGATGAACCATCCCAGCATTGTCTCTCTTAATAGACGATGGCTCAATGGCAGTGCTTGCAGGCTTGAATGTAGAATCAAAAATGCTAGCTTCAACTTTTCCTCTGGCGGAGGGACCAAGGAAGCTTCCAAGAGTCTCCTAGAAAATTAGATGAACTGGAAAGAAGGGACACAACGTGAATTGGTTATAAAATATACATATCAAATTATAAGAAGAAAGCAATCTGCCTGTGTGCATTGGGACATCAATGGCTGCAGCTGACTATTAAATATTGACGATTCTTGTGAAGACGCTCTACGAGTGCGGATGAACAAGGCTTTGCCATCATAGGGCCAACAGATTTCCATATAATATATATATGATACTACCCCATTTCATATGTCTCTGACTAGTCTAAGATCGCGTGTGTTCCTCTTAAAAATCATCTGTATGAGATTCAATAAATGCTGCCACTACTCATTGCGTGATAGCCCCTGCAATTTAGAGGTACTTATCATAGCAGGATGCATAAATTAAAGTACAGGGTAGACATATAGAGGAAGGGACCAATGTCAATCATTTCGCATTTAGCATGATTTTTGATTCACGTAGAGCAGCAGGGATGGTTTCATTAATTTACTACATAATCAACGCCTATTTTGGTGGTCAGGCTTAGCAATCGAAGAGATTCTATTGTATTTCTAATGAATTGTGAAAATCAATTTACTAGAAATTTATTTAATACAGAATAAAGAAAATGCAGTGGTAAATCATGTTCCCATTCAGTATAATATGTGTAGGAAATAGTGTGCCTTATTTATTGTTCACTCCAGCGATGTTGGCATTGCGTTGAGCTAAGTATAACGGAGATGATGATGGAAGATGCTTATCTAGAGCATTGAAGACTTTCAGGCAACACCGGATAGAGACTCCTACAAGAAACATAGTAAATACCAATCTATATTTTTAACCTATCTCTATACATCCAACAATATTTACACATGAATATACACATTACGCCCATTTTCCAAGCAAAGCCATCAACAGTGCACCCAGACAAAGCAGCCCAAACGCTGCAAGCACATGCTGGATCGGCGCCTTGCGCATTGATGCGCTGAACATGAACTCGTGCGCCATCAGCTCCACAAGCGCCGTATAGATGAGAATCCCCGCCGAGATCGAGTCAAACACTCCGTTGACAATCAGCGTCGTTCGCCCCTCCGGTGGATATGCCTTGCGCACGCCCAGTCCAACAGCAATTGCAATGGGCGTGGACAGCCCGAATGCAATCCCCAGGACATACGGAGTAAGTCGTTTCGAACGCGGCCATGGGACCTCCGCCAGACGGGATCCTAGACCTAGGCCTTCGAACGTTTGATGGAACACCAGCACAATGTAGAGGGTTACAAATTCGCTGCCAGATACCGCCAGTGTCAACCCGATGAAGACGGAGTGGAAGATAATGCCGAATTCCAGGATAAAGATGGACGTCAGCTGAGCCATGTACTCCTCCAGCACCGCAGATTTGGAGCTCCCTTCGACGTCATTGTGTTCGCGGGAATGGCCAAGGTGATCCTCGCCGGGCATATGACCCTTGGAATCAGCGCCCCCCGTGCCTTGGATAAAGTCTTGGTCATGGCCTTGGTCATGGCCATGGTCATGGTGGTGGCTGTCGTCTAAGTCATGCGAATGGCCCTGACCAAAGCGAGCATAGCGCATGACCATCAATTCCACGAAAAACAACACCACAATAGTCATGAGAATGATGCCCTCGACCCAGGAATATTCCGTGATCGGGCCAGTCAAGCATTCATTGGTGAGAGCCTCTTCTGCAGGAGCCAACAGGTGAATGAAAGCCGTGGCAATGATCACACCGGAGCCGAAATACTTGGCAACAAAAAAAGCCCAGCTCGAGAATTTCGACTTCCGATAGTTTCCAACTAGAACCGGGAAGACAGCCCCAAACATGGAGCCCACCATTATGACGAAAATCGAGGAGATACGCAGGCCCATGCGACCATCATACTCATTGCCCGTCTCGCAGGAGGGCACAGGGCCGTCCTTCTCATCTCGAACGAGAAGCGTATGGAGAAGCTGCATCGTTTCTAATTCGAACTCCCCTTAACTTGATAGGAAAAAGCACGGACCAGTGTGTTAAGTGTATGACAGACGGACCCGATATGTGGGACAGGATGAAAAAACGTGGGAAAGAATGTGCTCAGAAGGCTGACAGGGCCTCAGGAATGTAGAATCGCAAATGCTTGGTATTCTTGGTATTTCTTGGTCCTCTTGGTCTATTCTTGTAGTGTGCTCTTATATTGTGTCCTGTTGTGCGACCCGGCCACCCACAGGCGAAAATGGACAGTCTTCAAGGTCCCTTGCACTCCACTTGACTTCTGTCTAGTGTCGCTCGAAACCAGTCCAGCAAGACAACAACAGGGATCCAGATAGCGACTGAGGACCTTGCGGCGTAGCGAGTCGGATATCTCCGTCGATACGATATGACAGGTCAACTTCGGAGGACCACTTCGGTAGGGCCAGCTCTAAGACCCGCTCGATTCGTAGGGATAAAAGGAGTGCTCGAGACCACAGCCGTTAACCGCCGTTGTGAAAACCAGGCGGCCAGTCTCGCAGACGGGATTGGGGAGGGAGGAGGGGAAAATGAGAATAACGAGAGAGCCATGGTGACGGAAATAGCAGCCCCTCGGTGCGTTGCAGTGACGGGGACCTTGGAGGAAATGTCGACGTCAAAGAAAGACTTTTCGGGGGGACCTTGGGGCCATGCTGACCCGCATTTGGACGGTCGTTGGTTGGCTGTCTGAGTGGGACGGTCACGTGGTACTATTCACATTGAAATGAAGGACGTCAGGAGAATTTAGTTGAAGGGGATCCATTCAGGAAGAGTCGATATCGTATCTTCGAACAAGACACATCTAGTCATGAAAGCAGGCGGTATGACGCCAGCACCAACACCGCTTTCGCTTTCCTTCCTGAAAGCGGCGAGGAGGAGATCGCTGACGTAATCATCTTCCTGAGACGGCGGTACTTGAGGCTGGGCGAGGCATGACTCTTTTCGCCCCTCAGTCTAGTTGGCATTTGAATTTAGGGATCCATGCTCTGACGGCATCCGGATATCTCGCAAGGTCCAGCAAATGGTCGAAGCTAACCGCCAGCTTCACCGAGTATCCCCAAGGTACCTGCCTCACCCCTGTACTCGAGAGTATTGTATTATTTTGCTCATCATAGATAGTACTTAGAGATAGTGGCTAGAAGGCAGAGAATACAGGTCAATGGGCACGAGAGGTAGTAATGGTCAACGAAACGAGTATTAAGATGCCTGTCTTCGATTCAGCCCTTGAAGTCTTGGATGTAATTCGTAAAGCCTGGTTGTATTCAGCCCTTGTCTCACGATGCCTCCATCTTGTTCATGCTGATTCACGCAAATGCAATTTGGCGGCTGCTGTCTTTTCAAGGTCAGTGGCATTCATTTCAGCTAGTTGTTGTGCACCCTCGAAGTACTCATCGACTATCCTTGGCCATATTCGAGCTGTATTCTTTCTGTATTTCCCTTAACACGTGGGGATCTGGATCATCTGGCAGGTCAGAGAGCTCTATAGTATACGGCTTCTTCTCCCACTTAGAATTTCTTCCAGCTGGAGCTTTAATGCACTCAGTGTTTGTTTGTACGCTCGTCTGTCATCCCATCGGCTAGAGGTCTAAGAGCATCCTCCATTGGGACATTAGCCTACGAAGGTAAAGTGTTCGTGTCCGAAGCAGGAGCATGCATTGTGAATAAAAGAAATTTGGGTAAGTTTTTGTTCTCTTAAATCGAAGCAATTCAGAACTGGTGCTTGTCCTTCTCGAATCATTATTGTCGCCCTGTTTATGCTCTTCCTGCCTCCATCCCAGGTAACCCTTCAACCACTGCTATTTAATATTGCTCTAAGAAAGGGGCTGGAATGATCAATCAGAAATGTAAGGGGATCCATTGGCATGCCTATCACTTGCAGAAGCTGTCAATATGGATTTGAAGCCATATAAATCAGGCACGAATCTTGTTAGTCATTATGGGCCTCAGTTGTCAACAGATGAGCTGTTCAAACATGACTGGTCTCGGTCATGTTCTAGGGATATGCTACATGAAAATATTTGCCTTGTTGGGTAAATCATCAACATAGTAGGCATCCGACTAAGTAGACTGCTCTACCTAGCACTCCTGGACCTTGCACTAATGTATACGTCACATGAGCATAACAATATACTGATTCTAGCCTCAGAATAGGGATACCAGACGTCTTTATATTTTATGCGGTAATTATCTTATAGCACAGTAGCTGATTATTCGACTTTGTCACTATATAATATCCTATCCAAGACAGTAGCAGAGCTTTCCAACTGTTACAGTCTAATACAGGCTAGTGCTTCGGGGTAAGTCAGCTGATCATATCATCATCGCTGCTATCACAACTGCGAACCACTCCACTCATTCAACCTTTAACCATCGCTTTTGATTTTCATTTCATTTCCAGTCCTCCAGCCGCCCTCCATCCCACCATGGCGCCTATCAGGCGCTACCTCCGAATCAGCAAATATACCGTCCTTGAATGTCGCATCTACCTAGACAACCCATCCGACGCACGATGGCTTCTGGACAGCCGAAACCCTGTGCTCCCTCGGATCTTCACCGCCATTCGCCCTCTAGTCCTACCCAAACTGCGTGAAGAAAACGAGAGACTTATTGCTCGGAAGAAAGGCCATCCGGTCAAGGATGTGATCACAGAAGGTACAGTATATACACGCCTGGGAAACCCAGATGCACGCGGATGTTGTTTCGGCTGATCACGCGCGTTCATATAGAGGATTTTGAGGTTTCCTTATTCCTCCGCGAATCCCGCACAATCCATTCACTTCTCACACGACACAAGGAGTTTGAGGAACCAGGGGCCAACGGATCTAGTGGAAAGGTTAAGGTTGGAGCGGTGGATAAGCCGGCCGGTGGCGCGCACACAAGCATTCTGGTCGAGAGTGATAGCGAGACAGAGTCGGATTTGCGAAATATTCCTCAGGAGGCTGCAGAGGACAGGGTTGAGTCGTCTGATGACTGGCGTGCGCCAAAGCGGAGGAAAGGCCAGGAACCAGTGGACGACGATGACGATGACAAAAAACTGCGCTTCAAAACAAACTATGAGGGGTTCAACATCTATGGCTGGGTATTATGCTTGCTGGTCACACGCAAGGGCGGCAGATCCAGATCGAGGGCAGCATCCACGGAACCCTCACGCCAGGCTCTCATGGAGGAATGGATATCTACGCAGGCCCAGGGAGATCTAGACGAAGCATAAGCAGTGGGCTGCCTTGCGTCCAGATGCAGTCTGTCAGCTCAAGCATCTTCTGATGAAGTCACCCTGGTCGAGCGACGCAACCATCAGCCCGACGGTATATTGAGACAGATCATGCTCGCTGGGAAATACCGAGGGGATGTTTCTTTGCAGAGATTACTACCTGCGGATTGCGGTTGCATGATGGCGTGGGTAGCTCAAGTGTGGAATTTTGTACCCATCCTTGGATGGCCGCGAACCACACGACCTGCAACACATATTGGAGAAGAGCGCCGAACAGTAGCACGATGCCCATCCCCTTGTTTCACAAGTGCAGCGACCTGAAAACGGGCGGTCGCATATGATATAGCCAGACAGATGAACCCTTGCTCGAGTCGCGGTTAAACGATCCGAAACAGCGTATTTAGCAAGGGGTGAAGACTTGTCGTCAATGTGAAACAAGTCCCAAGTTCCTCTGGTCACCGACTGCGTGACCATGACCATGCAGCATGTATCCTGTTAATTGGGTGAGTCTGGACCGCGACACCGTAGTAAAAATTTTGTTCGACATGCATGGGTCAACTGACCCCTTACATCTTACGCCACATGTACATACTACATACATAGACTTCGCAGCACTGTATGTAGGGAGTACATCCTTCCCGAAGATTCGTCCAGCCTCGGCTTGCTGCATAACTAGATCAAATGCAAGTCATACATCGGATGAAAATGAAACAGATTCTTCATTGGCCTCTGAATTAGCCGACGTGGGATGATACGTCGCGCAAATTTCCGCCCAGAGCCAAGTCTACTCAGACATAAGACACGAGAACGAATTCTATACATACTCCATACAAGTAAATACTACATACTCAGTAGAGATCCAGGATGCAGGTGACCTGACACGTAGAGTGTAAACACCATATAGGAGAGATGCGCCCAACCTCACCGTTTATTAACCTGAGACACGTAGAATTTCTCTCCCTAAGAGAGAATGCTACTCCGTACTTCGTCAGCAACAACTTACCAAATCCTACCATATTATGACCAATAACAGGAGAATAGCAGATCAGCCGTTCTTAGGAATCCTCGTAAATTGTGACCCATCGACTCTAGCGATCAAGATCAAACAGTAATCTAGCTTAATTTGTCTCATCTCTCGGCTCTCCAGTCTCCTCATGAAGGGTTAGGGTTGAATCGGATAAAATAGGGCAGGACAGGTAAGGTTGCTGAATTTACTGGCCCCCAGCCTCAGAAATTGCTCATATCCTGAACTCTGTAGTTAATTTGTCCAATTGAGTCGTAGCTGTTTCGATTGAAACCGGTATATCTCCGACATAAGCACACGGAGTTACGGAATATTGTGGAGTGGAGATGTCTTCGACTCTCCCACACCGTTGAACCGTAATTTGTCTTCTTTTTAGCCCCTAGGTGCGATCGAAGAAATCGACAAGTATAGCGGCATGACATCATGAAGGGGAGTTAAATGTCTCTTTTAGCCTTCAGGAGAATTCCCTGGTTCCTGAAGCGGCTGTGCTTAAAAATTTAAAATGCAATCGGGTAACTTAAAAAATTACTAGCAGTGAGACAGCGAGACCGGTTTGGTACGCCGTAGCCCGTAGGCAGAGTGAGAATAACTGCGGAGTTGTCCATCCCCAGGACCCTCTACTTACCATCCAAGTTTTATGATGCTTAATGTGGATCACTGCATCTCAGTCTGGGAGCCTGATTCGGTGCGTCAAGTGAAACAACGGGGTCCTGCTCTCCTTTACTCCCACTAGGGATAGACTTACTAGTAGTTAACTGGTTAGTCTTGGTGGGTAAGTTGAGAAAACCACACCCACCAAATGAATTAATTTAGTCTATTTAGCGACTGTTGAGCTAGTATCGCTAGCGTTGGCTTGGTGATTTCCTGAAGGATGAACTTGCCTCAGACTCAAGAGGCTCAGAGAGTTAGAGGTACTAAGAAGTGGTGAACCACGGTTAAGATGGTTTCTGGAATGTTGTTCTCTTTCCCTTCGGAGTGGAGAAAGCCCTACGTGATCGTTCGTTTGCTCGGTGTACGGAGAACGGAGGAGTGTGGATGTTGAATCCGCTCGTGAGGAATAGTCTACCGAAGCCCTCGGTACTGTCTACTTTGAGTACGGAGACTATTCCGTAAACGGTAGATATTACCGATTCGGCATGGAATTGGTCAACTCTTTCCATATTCGTGCTGAGGTACAGATGACTTGATCTAGGAAGATGATGCAACAAGCTGATCCATTAGGCGCCGAAAGCGCGAGATTACTTAGGTAGGATGATTTGACTGCTTACCTTGGATGACTTGGCATGTTCTGTCTGTCCATGTATGTATCCTGTAGTTGCGACGTTCAGGGCCTTTCAAGCTAAGTAGTGGAGAGTACATGTAACCAATTGAGCATTCGTAATGGTGGGAAAACATATCATCCCCCACCACATCAAGTAGTTACTAGGCATCTTAGCTCTCTCGGTGGATTTCTACTCCGTAGACTACCACCTTGCCGAGTTGCCCACCAGGCACCAAGACAACAGTGGAGATCTCATTTCACGGAAACTCCACCCGCTTAAAGTTTTCTGCCATGTGTTTCTTTCCATTGATGGAGATTTCGGATCCATGTGACGGGGCCGAGGAGTTCTCAATCTCACTCAGTGCCAGCTGCATGATTTCCATGCGGATGGTGGTGTCAGGACTCTATCAGACAGTCTTCTCGGTGTCTATACCCTAGAGATACCTGCATCCCAGACTTCAGAAAATGCCGGTTCTTATGGCAGCGCAGACACTAGGAAGTTAGGAAGCGCCGGAGGAATTCCTGGCGGCTTACGACCAGTAGACGGTCGGCAAGACTAACGCTGTCGGAAAGCCAAGTGGCAAATGAAGGATCAAGAAAGAGATGAAGATGGGATCTACGGACAGATACTGGATAAGTTGATGCAGCCCGCTAGTGACGTGCAGGATCAGCTGTCGCATTTCCCTTGTTTTTGTTCTGTTTTGTTTTATTTCTTTAGCGCCCACTTCCTTGTCCCGGCAACTTTTCATCTGCAGAAGATCCGCCTGCGGTCCGTTGTGCGACAGTACTTCATGTTCTCGTTCTGGCTCTCTGCAAGTGCAGTGGGGACGGATTACGTGGGCAGGGTTTATTTTTTCATTTGGCGAGCATTCGTCGCTTTCTGCACAGAAAGGGAATGTTTTGTCATTCACGCGAGTGTTGCATTGCATAGTGCAGATACGTCGGGACAGGCAGACGAAACCGGTAGACCTTACTAGTTATTCCGTAGGTTACTGTAGATAGATTACCTACTCAGAGTATGGAGTAGGTAAGTAGTTGGTAGGATATCAGCAAGGGATGTCAGCAATAGCGGCTCATCCACGGATTATTCTGTATGGTGATAGACGACCAAACCAAGGAGGAATGACAGATCCATCATCGTCATTCCCCAACGAGTCAACCGTCATAACATGAAAGCGAGATGGAATATTTGACGAATCAGATGGACCAGAGACGATCACCTGCAAGGAGGGACCAGGATGTCGTTGGTGGGCTCAATCACCGAGATACGGCCTATTTTCGCTGTAGCTAATCCTATTAGGTGTTCTTAACGTTGTACCGAGTACGGGTATGAGGACATAATAATGCCAGCCTACCTAGTACCTACTTCTGCCTTGAGTCATAGGGACAGTCCTCCACCCATAGTAGTAGGTACCTATTAGGTAGTATTAGTATATAACGATTGGTCAACCCCTGAACCATCCCGGTAAGGTACGGTCCCGTATCGAGCTGAAACGACCTGTCATACATCCGCCTGACCCCCCAACAGGCCTCACTGCAGCACCATGTAAGGACTGGGCTGGCTGTCCATTCCTTCTTCTTCCCTCCTTGGATGGGGTGGCTTGGATCAGATTCCGACATTTTGGCTGGGACTGGGATTTCCTTCCTGCGAAGCAATGAATGAGAATCACCAGCGATCCTCAGTGTTTCAGGCAACCAGCCCAAACCGTTTTCAGCAGTCCCTCTGCGCGTAAGAATGGGGAAGAAGGGTCGCAGAAAGGCCAGCTGTGATCACCCTCAGGATTTTCCGATTCGATTCCGCATTTCCCCTCTTTGTTGCCTCAAGGATCTACGAACTGGCACGTGTCTGCGAAATGGATGCTAGTCGTTTGGCCCGTAAGCCTATGAAATGTCGACGAGGCGTGGTCAAAGTCCTTTTCCCTCTCCCTATAGAAGGTCAGCGGAGAAGACCAACCCTTGAGGATTGAGTCATCAACTATGCCAGAGGGATTGAGGCACCCTTTTCCTGCATACAATGATACTTACTCCGTAGCTAAGTCACTCTTAGTCGGATACCGTGTATTTACGTAATGCCGAGTACCAATCCACGTTGTTGAAAGATACGGGGGAGGAGGGACGGGAGGCTGCTTCGAGCTAAAATTGAAGAAGGATGCGATCAAAAGAGGGAGGGAAAAAATAATCAAAAAAAAAAAAAAAAAGAGGGGGTCACCATGTTATGTACCTTTTTTTTTTTTCTTTTTTTTTTTTTAAAAAAAACCCTTTTTCCCTCACCACTCTTCCTTTCCAGATTAAATAATTAAACAGAGGATCTAACCATCGTATTAAAATTTTTAACGGCGGAACTACTCCGTACAAAAAGGGGAAACATGGATCTCCGGAAGACAAGACAAGAAGTGGGACGAAGAGCTTCTAGAAGAATTCTCTGGGATTTCCCACTGGGGACGGCCATATGGCAGCCCACCCAAGAAGACCAAGTTGGACGGTAAGATTAGTATTTTCTGACGTAGTTCGTTTCCTTCTGGCCGGTGTGGAGCTCAGCTCCTGTTCAGTTCTCGACAGGGGGTTGTCCTTAATATTATTAGTCTGGTTATTTTTAATTATTATTATTTTTATTATTATTTGAAATTATTTATTGAAAATCATAAATAAAAATAAAATAATATCGTGGATCACGATAATTATATATTACTCCCGCTGACCTCGTCCCTGAAGTTACTTTCTCTCTTTCTCTCTTCAAATTCCAAAGTCCTGGACTCCTTCCTCCCTGTGCTGCCTATTTTCCTTGCCAACTACCAGGGCTTCTTCCAAACCATCACCCTCTCCTACAGCACAACCCACAACAAATACTTACAGACCTCAGCATCATGCCTTCCATTGGCTCTACATCTCAATTTCCTCCTTGCCCGGGTCCGCCTCCAAAGGGCCCTCTTCCTCCTCTGCCCAAATAAATCAAATCACCTTGGGCTTTGTGATGAATTGACGACCAACGGCCTCGAGCGGTTCTTTGAAATCGCCATCTCGACGTAAATCGACTCGAGACGCTTACGAAATGGCGTTGCATTCTTTTGCATGGATACCACGATTTGGCTTTGATACTACTAGTACCTACAATCGGCATTTTTCGAGTATTTTTTTTTTTTTTTCTCACTTTACTATTTTCTCAACTTACGTCTTTTGACTCGGCATTTTGGTCGGCTTTCGGTTTATTTATTTTCCCTTCTCATTGCCGCCCATCTACCAACGGCAGACCAATAGCGATGTTTTATCGCAGGAATTGATTCAGATTCTTTCTATTTTTGATTCTACGGACAAGCGCTGGCGCAGTGTCCCCATTCTACAAGAACACTTTGAACTTGGCGACCTAAGATTAGTCCTCTATGGCGACAGCATCAACGTCACCACTGGATTTTGGGATCTCCACTTTCGTTGCCACTTATCTCTCGCGTCTGGTGGTTCCTAAATCCTGTCAGCGTCATATCCCCACCAGAAACACGACGTTGGGACCTTACAGCCTGACACGGCTTGCTGTTTCTTTTTTTCCCTTCATTTGGGGAAGATCAGATACTGCCAACCAACCAGGGTTCCGGTGAAGCTTTGATCGCGCGATCGTCCATGTCAAAGCGTCATTGTTCCTTCAGGAGCTTATCTAATTATGCGGCTTATTTTTTCGTTCTATAATATCATTTTGTTTTTTTTTTTTTCTTTTGTTTTTTTTCTATTGAGTTTCAAGCCTGTACTATTCCATGCTCATGGGAATTATCGCATGTATAATAGACTTAATATACCCAACCGGAACACGGCATTTTTCGAACCCTCCAAAAATTCGAATTCCAAATCATTTTGGAGAGAACTTGGCGTATTCCCTGTCCATTTCCCCCGCATGCACGTTAATGGGCACTAAATATGTTCATAATTGTCTCATGGTGCATCATGATGTGACGGCGCGGCGCACTAAACGCCCTGACAGGGATGAGAAAATCAATAGCGCGATGCTCCCTGTCTCGGCTCTGGCATCCCTGAAGAATTCCCGTCGGAAACACTGCAGAGGATGATTGAATGGAGGGAGGTGGCATTCTCATGCTCATGCTCATCCCTGAAGATATTTGATTTTCTCACGCATGGGTACTCCGTCCGGAGTACGGACTACACGAGTCCCGCTGCGGGCATCTATTGTCTCCATCTATGTAATCTTGTATGGATCAATGCATGGCTCCCCGGTTAGGTAGTTCCAGCATGATCTGTGCGTAATATGACGCCTGACAAGAGAGAGCTTCTATCTAGTATCTATTCCGGTCCGTATTCCCTACCTATCTATCCATGATCTGTCTAAGGATCTATCCATCTCTATCCCGGACGGGGCCCTGGGTCCTGGGTCTAGATTATGATCTCGATACGAGCAGCTCAGACCCCGGGGGATAAATCCGTCAGCGGCTCCTTCGTTGATATCTGAACCAACGTCGAATCATATAGACTGACGACGAAATCATACCAAGAAATTCGCCAGGGGTCGTCTTCCTTGGTTGTTAGCTTCGGTGAGAGTCCGATCGCAGGTCAACTGACCAGCGGGCACGGTTAGGACTATCTCGATGACTAGGTGCTTAGTCGATGCGACTAGGGTTAGTGCTGGGTGGGAGTACCGGGCGTCCCTGAGGAGTGAGAGTGAGAAAGTGGGAGTAAGCAGCTGGATGTCATACCACTCATGCCATGTGCGGAGACGGTTGGACCTTTTCTTTTCTTTTCTTTTATATTATGATTATTATTTATTTATATTTTAAATCCGACTTAATAGATACGCTTTGTCCAATTGCGCTACGCATAGTACCTGCCTGTTTGGGCTGATTTTGAGGCTCGTCGGCAGTGAATTCCTGTCAAAGTGAGGTGACGGTCGATAGGAAATGCAAATTCTATCAGCTCGAGGAATCTAATCCGGTAACCCCTTCTCAATACTCCAGTCATTGCAGGTCGAAGTGCCAACCAGTGGTTAACTACTAGGCCAATCAATCTATCAAACGAGCTCAGGACAGTTGATGCTTGGCTGCCTCAGGACCAGCGGCTCCCCACGTGATGTGCTTCTCCCCGACACAGCCCCAACGCTCTCCTTCTCCCACGCGCTTCCCTTGACCAACCGCTGGAAAAAATGGTTCTGGAGCTCCATGTCTGGGGTCCGGCCTTCACCCTGCCCTCGATTGAGGCGCAATGTCTCGCTACTATAGCCTATTTCTCTCTGGTCGTTCCCAGGGATGCCTGGGTGCTGGTTGCAAGCAGCGACCCTACTGTGTCTCCCACCAGTCTGTTAACCCTACTGATTCTGATCCTTGTATGGGACTAGGCTAATACTGTATTCATTGCCAGATGAACTCCCCGCTCTCAAGCATGGAACGACATGGGTCAGTCGGTTTCGGAATATCGTGGATTACCTGCGCCAATACTCGAATGGCGAGTGGGATCTGGACGATGGATTGAATGGATTGGAAAAAGCCGATAACATTGCGTACGTTGTGCCGTAGTGCATCCAAATTCAATATACCCATCGCCATGTCTTCCTGACTGGACCTAAAATGTCAACAGATTTTCCTCGTTCGTCGAGTCCCGCGGCCAATCTCTCGTAGACCTCTCCCTCTACGTCACCAGCCAAAATTACTACAACACGACTTCACCCGCCTATGGCGCCATCCTCCAATGGCCAAACCAATGGATTCTCCCACCGAAGCTACACACCGCCGCAAAGGCCCGAACAGAGCATCTAGGTCTCTCCTCCCTTGACCTTCAGGCTATCGAAGAACAGCGACAACGCGACCACTCAGCCGCCGTGGCTGCCGGCCAAGTCCCGCCGACCTTCATTCGGCGACCACGCGACACCGTCTCTAGTCTCCTAGGCAAGACCGCTCAGCAGAACCAGTTCAAGCTCGAGGCGCTGACAGCGGAGTTCTTCGAACCACTCGAAGAGATCCTGGGAGCCAAGACCTATCTGCTTGCAGGCTACGCAGCCTCGAGTCTGGACTGTCTGGCGCTAGGGTATTTGGCTTTAGCCCTGGTGCCGGACCTGCCACACTCGTGGCTCCGGGATGCGATGCGCGCCAAAGCCCCGCGGTTGACGGAGTATACGGAGCAAATGAGACGCAGGTGTTATGGAACCCCAGGAACTTCAGAACCCGAGCTGCCATGGCGGCCGTCCGAACGACCCCATCTTGCTGCAGTGGGTGCCACACTGTGGAATACACTTGCCGACGCGATCCCCATCTGGAAGGATGTGCGCACATCCAACCGACTACGAGAGGCAGCCGAGTCGTCGGACTCGGGACTCTCCAATACCGAGAGCAAGGCTCTATCAGTGTATGCCACCGGGCAGAAAAAGGATGTGCTTATGTCGATCGTGGCTGTGGCTGGAGGGATCGCCGCACTGGTCGCGTACATGGTACACGAGGGAGTGTTTACATGGGTGGAGGGAGAAGATGAAGAGGAGGAAAAGGAAAACGAAGGGAAAGAAAAGTATGAAAAATATAAGGCGGAGGAGATATCGCCCGATTCGTATAACGCGGGGGATTTTCTATCATCGCTGAAGGTATAATTGTATTTTTAGAGCATCTATTACTACTCAGTACCTACAGAGTACAGAGTATGTATGAAGTACCCCCAATATGCATGTAATGTACACTGCCTAGCCGTCCACCACAGCACTCCATAATCAAGAAGTATAATAATGTATCATGTCGGAACTCCAGAGTAACTGCAAGATATACGGAGTATGTACGTACTATACATAAATGAGGTCCTTAATTAATCTCCAGCTCAAAAATAATCCAAGCACCAGCCGCCCAAACCCAAACCCAAACTCAAACCATGGATCATCCGGCCATCTGAGACATGCTCAAACAGGAACAATAACTGGAACTAGATCCAACTAAATCAATTCTGCTTGTACGTACTAGTCTGGTATTTATTCCAAGCATGGATGGGCGCATGGATGGTTGCATATAGACGGGCCAAAATATAAATAGAGAGGGGGGGGGGTATGTATATATAGATAACAGGATATATTTAGTATACTAGTTAGCAAGAACTAGATACAATCATCTGATAATACGAGTACATAGGTACTCCGTAGTTCAGAGAATGGGGGGGGATAAAGATAGATGGATAGGCGGCTAGTAGGTTGGCGTGTTTCAGGTTTCGATAGTTAGTCTTCTTGAATTCTTCAGGATTGACTCCCGGAGTACATGGCTAACTTGAGCCTCGCAGGTGTTGAAGGATGTGGTCGTTCCATCTTGGTTATTTACTGTAGATAGTAGGTTTAGTATTAGTAGGTAGGCTGAATGATTAGTTTTAGCTCTATTTGATGAAAATCATATGATCCTATAATACTTACTGGTTCTTTCATATCAGAAAAATGGTGAGTTTAATATGTAAACATCATATAGACTAAATGGTATATTATGTACACGGATGAATGCAATCCCGGGACGGCAATCTGCTGTAACAACCTCAGCCTCTTTCACTCAGTGAAGGGATGGTATGTACAGGCAGGTGCAGCAGGTGCATGTTTCAGAACATCCATTGTCTGCTTGCCCCTTCCATGGTTTCAGTCGTTACATCGCAAAAAGCAAACACCCCAACCCCTAGCCAATTTTGCTTCTGTGGTAATAGGATAGCAAATGAAACCACATACAACAGAAAGAAAAAAGGAGTTCAAGAATGGAACATGGAACATGGTAACACAGAAACGAAAAACAAGAACAGACGTTTACTCATAGTCAATTTGGACCTGCAGACGCAGTCCCTCCTTGCCCTTGTAGGTGCCACCAATCTCATCCATACCCGCCTCGGCATTAGTATAGGCGTTGACCACATTCTTGGCCTGGTTGCTAATGCTGGAGCAGCCACGGTCGCCGTGCTGGCAGATCTTCATTCCCTGGACATCAAGCTTGGCGTTCATAGCCTGAATGGCGGAAACGTCCCAGCCAGACCAGGTCTCGCCGTCGCGGAGGTTACGGCTGTTTTTGCTGTTGCCGAAGTCGAATTCACCCCAGGTGCAGGCATAGCCGCCAAACTGATCGGTGGGAAGCTTGTTACCCTTGGCGGCACCCCAGCTACCCTGGGAGTCACCGGCGAAGGCCACGTACTTGGTCTCACCGGGTTTGATGGTAAGAGTAAGAGCAGAGTTACCGCTGTACCAGCCGTTAATGCCACCATCGGGGCCAATCTTATTCCAGAAGACCAAGGTCCAGGGGTCCTTCTCATTGCCGTTAATGGCGACGACGTAGCGGTAGTTGCAGGCGTTGGACTCGGAAACCTCCTGGATGTTGCTGCCCCAAGGGCTACCGACATTGCCAGCATATGCAACGTACTCCTTGTTGTTGTCTATGGTGCTTTTACCGAAGCCCTCGTCGGTGAACTGAGAGGCGCTGTCGTACCAGTTCTTGCAGCTTCCATCCTTGGGGGTGGTCGACTGGCTGCCGTCAGTTGGGACGGTGCCGACGGAGATGACTTGCGTAGAACCGGTCTCGGACTCAGAAGGGGTGGGAGCGGGCTCAGCGGGGGCACCAGTGGCAGGAGCTCCGGACCATTCGTTGATCCATGAGACCATCTTGCCACCCATCTCGACACGGACGATGTCGCCGACAGCACGCTTCTCGACCGGGTGAGCATGACGGCGCTCGTGGCCGTGCAGACGGGCGACGGCGGAGCCGGCCGACACAGCTGTCAGCAAGAGAATCGAGTTCTTGAGCTGCATGGTTGATGTGTTTATTTAGATTGAAGGAGTTCGGGTATCACAGGCTGTAGATAGAGAAGATAATGGGAAGAAGCCCAGGGAACGCAGTAATATCAAGCAATGAGTGTCTTAGTTAAGTTGAAGGAGTGACTTGAGCAGTGAAAACAATGCTCCGCAGATAAAGGAGAGAAGTGCGAACCCGGAGGGAAGGGAAAGTGAGTATAAAGAAAGGGAAGAAAGAGGAGAAGCGCAAGAACGAGAAGGGGGAAGCAGCGTAATAATACTCTCTCCCTTTGTCTCTCCCCCTAATAACGAACGACAGCCAGTAACCAAACTCATTTAAATGAAAAGGGGCCTGATCAGGTGAACTACATATCGTTTGGCGATGTTGATTGGGTGGAGGTCGAAACGGTTCCTGAGCTTACCGCTAGCGTGACCAACTCAAATTTTCATTGGATGATAGTGCTCTTTTGCCCCCATCACCAGCGGCGGTCGAGACTTTGGGCCCCTGGAACATCCCCGCGGATCCTGATCGTTCCGTGGTACGGTACGGTATAGATGTACTGTACCTGACTAGTAAGTATCTAGGCCATACTCCCTACAAGGTACTCCTACATAACTGCGATGTAAGGTAGACAGGAGAATACTTTGGAGGATATGCAGGACGATGAAGATACCCTGCAATTGCAATGAGTGAATTGCAGTGTTGGATCAATCAGAGTCAATTTCATTCCGATCATGGAGATTAGATGAATGGAATGCTGCCCGACAGATCGCTGGATAGATATGTGGCAAAGTCGAGATAGAGAATATCTATTCCACTCCGATGACATGTCAATTTGTTGATACATAACTGCCAACACTTGATCCATATTATTAACATCGTGTGCTGGTCAATAGGCGAGTCTGATTACTTCCAGCGTAGAATCAGCAGAATCAGGGCACACCGACTTTTGAGCGGCACACTGACGACGAACCGCCACGTCAAGCGGACCCACGTGAACCGAGCACCATTCGCCTCCATTCCGGTGGGTGACGTTTGAAATCGCATTGAAATTCCCGGATATTTCGTTGCATGATTTTGGACTTCGACCATCTGTACCTGCAGTAGTCGATATGGACCTTCATACTCCGTAGTAAGGCACAATGCTGACAGTTACCTAAGTACCAAGTAATTTGTGTGGAATACCTAAGACACTAATTTCGCATCGTCTGGTAAGATTTACCCAGAAATACCAACCTCCTTGAGTACCTACTACCTGGATGCCTAGACTAGCATGAAGGAGTAGTTCCGATCCCTAATCGTCCCAGCAAACTCTTGTCTAGTGGAGTCCCAAAAAAAAAAAAAAAAAAGAACTGGAGTTCCCAATTGTCTTGGACAGGTCCGGCCAAGGTTGCCTTGGTTGTGGATGCAAAAAATACCCACAATGGATCCCCTCGTGTCCGTGTTGAGTCCATACTTGACATTGCCACTCTGGCAGGTCTCGGAATGTGCATGCATAGTCGAAAGGAAGTAGGCGATTTGTGATGCGTATCTGCAGGATGATGGAGAAGAAAACCTAGTGTTGCTACCGTAAGCGATCGGAGGATCGCAAGGGCGAGTGTACGGCTGTAATCTGTATGGTGTATACTTGGGCTCCGCACATAAATAAACAACGTAACCTTGGGGCGGCGAGCCATGGTTAAACCGGATACTGAAACCACACTTCTGCAGATTCTGCAGGATGGAGATTCAATAAAGTACTTGATATGGCTCCTTATGCATCTGCTGAAGAACATCCTGCTCCTCGACGGAGACATACATACTGAGTGGTACATTTACTGCTTTGAGCTATCCATCCATCCTCATCTTACCGGACAGGATCCGAAAACCTTCTCACTGCCAAATCGGAAGCTCGGAACTTGGTGATCGGTTGTGTCACGTGGTACTATTTGCTTAGTAATATTACAGCCTCAGGTATCAGGCGATCGACATATCGACAATATATCTAATGCACAGCTTGATCGTGTTCTCTAGACTTCAATATAGGATTTATCAACCAATAATCAATGTAGATCAACTCCCCTCGCAAATGCCCGCTTCAAGCATCTGCATCTATTCCGGCTCTCTCGTCCAAGCCACATGCGGAACAGCGTCTGCGACATCTTCTCGCCCATATCCGGGATCCATCTCTTCAACTTCTGCATACCGATGGGGAATACACAGGATGCAGGTAAGCTGACTGTAATTAGTATTCTATTCTATTTACAAGACGTAAAGAATCATTATAGATATCATCTATCTGCATTTTAAGATCCAAGTCTATCTGTGCAGTTTCGGAAATAACTGGGGAAATATGGACGCTTAGATAATCGCGGAGATAATTCGGCATTCAATTTCATCACCGGAATGTAGACCTATTCATACAGAATACATTATACTATACAAAGTACTACAAAAAGAATTAAAGAAATGATAGCTATAGAATGATCTTTAATTTCCAGGAATCGAACTGCAGGCCGAATAGTCCCCGCAATCCGGCCTCGATAAAGTGGCGACAACTCGGCTTTTCCCGATTGGATCGCCGCATGACTTGACTTCCGTTCTTCATTTTGCCTCCATTTCCATCTTCATCTTCTTCATCTTCCGCCTTCTTATCTTCCAGTCCATTTGCGTCGAAATGACCTTCTAGTTTCAAGAGAGTATTTCCTTCCGACCCCTCCCATTTCTCTATCACACACCATGGCCCGCTCCGCCATTGTCCAGGAATACGCCCCTCCGCCCGCCGCCTCGTCCACGCTAAGTCTCGATCGCAAAGTGACTACCGAGCGACAACACAATGGCATCGCCCGTCCTAAAGGCTATCGCGTGTCCTGGCATGCCAATCCGGCCGTGGAACTGCACCACTTCGGCCAGTCGCACCCCATGAAACCCTGGCGACTCACCCTGACCAAGCAACTGGTCATGGCATACGGCATGCACCACGCCATGGACCTCTACCTGTCGCGCGAGGCGACCTACGAGGAAATGGCCGACTTCCATAAAACCGACTACCTCGATTTCCTGCGCCAGGTCATCCCCGGCGATATGGAGAAGGCCGAACAAACCGAGAACGTCGTGCGCTTCAACTTCGGCGACGACTGCCCCATCTTCGACGGCCTGTACGACTACTGCTCGCTCTACGCCGGAGGCACCATCGACGCCGCCCGGAAACTCTGCAACAATCAATCCGAAATCGCAGTCAACTGGTCCGGCGGCCTACACCATGCCAAAAAGGCCGAAGCCAGCGGCTTCTGCTACGTCAACGACATCGTCCTCGGCATCCTCCAGCTTCTCCGCATCCACCCGCGCGTCATGTACATCGATATCGACGTACACCACGGCGACGGTGTCGAGCAGGCCTTCTGGTCCACCGACCGCGTCCTCACCGTCTCCTTCCACAAATACGACAAGGATAACTTCTTCCCCGGCACGGGGGCACTAGACGCTACGGGTCCCAAACACCCTCTCAACCCAGGCGCCCACCACTCCGTCAACGTGCCCCTGCACGACGGCATCGACGACGAATCCTACATCCAACTTTTCCGCGACGTTGTTGGCAGCTGCATCGACGTCTACCGTCCCGGCGCCATCGTGCTCCAATGCGGTGCCGACTCCCTCGGCTGCGACCGTCTCGGCTGCTTCAATCTCAACGTCGCCGCCCACGGCGCCTGCGTCGCCTACGTCAAGACTTTCAATCTCCCTCTCCTCGTCGTCGGCGGCGGTGGTTACACCCCCCGTAACGTGTCCCGTGCCTGGGCCCACGAAACTTCTATCCTCATCGACGCCCAGCATCAAATCAACCCCAGTATTCCCGAGGATGTCTTCTTCCGGAACCACTTCGGCCCGGATTACTCGCTGTTTCCTCCCCTGTCGGAGATGCGCAAGCTGGAGAATAAGAACCCCCGTTCTTATCTGGCCAGTCTCGTCGAGTCGATCCGTGAACAACTCCGCTATATCCAGGGCGCGCCGAGTGTGCAGATGAGCTTCATCCCCCCGGATATCCTGGGTTTGCGCGAAGATACTGAACGTGAGATCGAAGAGGAGATTGCCATGATAGAGGAGGAGCGTGAAGAACGCGATGGGAAACCCGGTCGACGACGAGTGTTGGAAAAGGGCCAGTCGCTTCGGGGGGAGCTGTATTCGTCTTGAGTCTCTCTCTCTGTCTCTCTGTTGTGTGTTTCTCTTTCTTTCTACCTCCTCCTTTCTGTTTACTGTTTCATGTATCGGTGTTCAGCTGGTTGGCGTTGCGTGTGGATTGGGTGGGTTTGGTGGGTCTGGTTTCTTGTCTATAATTGTGACGTGATATCCCAGATGTTTGTACATGGTCTATCTATACCTCAAAAGTCCCAGATAGGATAGTGGAGTTGATAAATATGACCATAGAATATACAAAAGCATACACAGTATATTTGGCCCACGCCTACATTATTAACAGTATCAATTCTATACATAAACCCCAAGACCCAATCCAATAGTTACAAGTGCAGCATCTGAATTATTCATATTTATAACGATTCCAAAAAAACCTGTCACCTATATCGCCGAATCCGATCTTCGGGTACTCCTGCCTCCGTCTTTTTTTTGTCGCTTTTGTTATATCCAGTTATGAAAGTCAATCGGGTATCCAGTATATTCGTTCGTGGTAGCGCAGAACGGTCAAACAATTCCTAGGGATAGGAGGAGGGCCTGCAGTCATGCATTAGAGATGATGCTCCATGTCACAGCGACAGTTGCAAAAGGCCAATCCGACCGCTACTTGTTAGCTGGTCAGTCAGCCGATCAATCATGCAATGCTGACATGGTCGGGACCTCTCTGCTAGGGTTAACTACGTATTCATGACCCAGTCTGTCTGCTCTACCATTTTTTCTTCCTTCCTTTCTTTTCTTTTTAATCAAACTCTTTATCTTTCTGCCTCCTCTTCGGGTTACCAGCAGATTGGTATGGGGCACACACAGTATTCTCACGAACGTGCTTGACAACCGCGACGCTCATGGCTTGGGTGCATCTGCTGCGTCTACATATGCGTCAATATCCGCTGTGCGGGAGTCTTTTCGCTCCACAGAATCATCATTCTGACCGGATGCTGTTTCTTTGCCAGTCGGCTTATAGGTCGGGATGTGAAACTGGGAGGACTCTGTCTGACCATCTATGATCGGAGCAATGGATAGGATCTGCTTGTGGGCTAGTTCGGGGTCGTGTGAATCGCTGTAAGATTCTCGTTAGCACCAAATGGGTCCATCCGAGGATCGCAATAACTTACACATGCGCATTGATGATCCAATCTAAACTCTCTTCGCCCTCATCTACGCCACCCGGTCCTATATGTACACGGTGGAAGAGCTTGGGATGCCATTCAACGCCCTCTGCTGCTCGTTTGGCGGCTTCTTCTCGTTGGCGATCTTCAATCTTAGTTTTCTCATCGGTGGCCAGTTCGTGATTCACCGCAATAACCGCCTTGGCAGTGCTTTGCCATAAGCGTTGTGATTCGCGTTCCCCCTGCTGCTCTATGGGCCGGGTGGTTGGAGGAGTATGCTTTGCGTGCGTTGCATCGAAAAGGAGTTCTTTATGGTTCGTCTACAGCTGGTTAGCAACATTTGCGCTGGAAAGAGAAGACCGAGCAAGAAGTCACCTGGACGTCTTTGATGTACATCTCTCTATTCCACAGACCAGAGAGCTCGTAATAGACCTCTCCCGTCTTCTCGTTCTTGATAGTTCCGCCAATGGCGTTGTAGGTGCCGGAGAAATAACCCTTGGTCTTGAATTCGATGTCGGCCACGAGGTGATTCTCTGGACACCGCACGTAACTGTGGTCACCGAGCTCATATTTCATCTTCCCGAACAGAATCCCCCGGGCGTACATATTCGGTTGTGTTAGGATGCTGATTCAGTCAGTGCCTCGTCCTGGGACAGGTGATGGTAACCATCGGGAAATGACAAACGTACTATCGTTCGCCCTTTTCTTTATCCTCGCCGCGGTTCAAAAACCGCAGGATCGCAATGCCCTCCATCATACTCGCCGCCGAGTTACCCAGGAACTTACTGCGGGGCTTCAGGGTACCATCGATCCGGATGTTATGTTCGGGGGCCATGAAAAAATAGCTCGATTTGGGAGGATGATGGGAGGTCTGCTCAGCGACATAGTATCCGCGGGTTCCGTCGGGATAATCCCAGTAACAGGTAAAGGTCTCTCCGAGGATGGGGTTCAAAGGTTTCTTCACGCCGCTGCAGATGACAAGAGAAAAAAAGAAAGAAAAAGATATCAGTATCAACCATTACGATTCAGGTCCGGGTAGAACTTACGGAGGCTTGATGTGCCATCCACTTAGATAGAACTTGACTACCGAGACGAAGCGTTCGAGCGGGTCATCAACAGTAGGCATGGGCAATAGGGTTTCCGGATGGGCCATGAAGCTAAACGGAGGAAAGGATCAGTCTTTGGCCGGTAGATATAATAATCTTTGATAGAAGCTTACTTCGTGATTCGCTCCAACATGGAGCGTGGTTCGAGAATGAAGGTAGGCAGCACGACCCGGCTCAGGTCTGCGCCCGGTCGGAGCTGGGAAATGATGTGCGAGAGGACTGACCAGTCAGCATACGGATCAATGGGTATGATCATGCATACTGCGAAGGGCGTCCGACTCCAGCTGGTAAAGGCTACATACCACTTCCCTGTTCGGGCTCGACGACCTCATCATCGCCGCTCGCGGACCCATTTTTGGTCTCATCGAGAGATGAGCGAGCACCTGATGGATTGAAAAAGGAGCCCCAGTCAGCGGACATAATGGGAGAGAGGAGAGAGGAGGAAAGAGGAGAAATAGATGAGAAAGAACAGTGGAATTTGGGGGGGGAAATGTCTTATGGAGGCGAGGGAAGAAGAGGAAGAAAGAATGACGTGGGAGATGCCGGGAAAGAGAGAATGAGGGGACAATTCTCGACCGTCATTGGCCGGATTCAGCACTCAGTCAGGGAACATTAATTCCTATTAAATTATTATTTATTATTTATAATTTATTAGAACTCACTGGCAGGACTGGCGACCGACGAGCGACGACGGATATGCGGAATGGCAATAGAGGGCATGATGGAATTGTAGTTGCACGGCAGTGACGATGAATGCAGAATGGATGGATTATATGAAGTTATCGTGGGAGGAATTCAACTTGGGCATCACCTGATACCTATGCTACACAATAACAGATGGATCTATGAAGAAATATCAAGTAAAATGGATTATAATAATAATAAAAGAATCAAGAACCCCCCGATACTGTAGGAGAAGCTGAATCCCATCTTGGACCCATACCCACCAGCTAGTTATACTTCGTCGCGGATTCGCTCTGCCAGCCTCTCTCTCTCTCTCTCTCTCTTTTTTTTTCTTTTTTTTTTTTTCCTTCGCTATGACTCTGACTCTAGTGCCCCGCCGAAGATCATCCCTCGTGCGTGTCTCTCACCGTCGAGATCGGACAATCCATGATGGGATTCGTGGCTTTGCCTGAGTCTTTGCCTGAGTTTGACTTCTCACCGATCATTGCAGTCCATGAGGGGCAGCCGCCTTGGCGAGTGGGGGGTTTTGGCATCAGAAAAAGAGTTTCAGAGCATAAGACAAGGCATGATGCAGCCATTCATCCGCTAGAGATCGATGGTGCCATTCTCTACGGGCCCAGATCAGCTTGTCTCCAGGATCTTTGCAACTAGAACCACTATTAACCTGTTTACCCTTATAAAGGATGAATGAATGAATCTATTTAAAACCAGACGATGTCTGATCCTAGTCGCTTTTCAAGACAACAAACATCCAAGATGCATACGTGTCGAATGTCTCTTTCAGTCTTATTGAACAGTCGGTGATGTCATCTGAAAATCTGCAGTCTATTCGTTTTTTATTGATGAGAGTATACAGAACAAAGAGAAAATAAACGCCAGAAACACCATATCGCTGACTCTAGACGCTATGTGAGGACCGAATAAAAAAAGAGAGAAAAATTCTACTCTTGCATGCCCCATCCTACTCGAGCAATCTAAGGCTCACCCCCCTGCGTGATCTGATCCAGAAATACCGCGTCCGGCTTGTACAGCATGACATGAAAGTGTTCGACTGCCATCACAGATTTCAACGACTTCCAGTTCTTGAACCAGACTACCTGCAAACAGTCAGCGGGCAGACTCAACGGAATACCCCAAAGGGAACATCATCCACGGACCTGGTCCGGTGGTATCCGTGACTTGAACGTCTTTGTCACATAGTCGTCAATTTCCCGTCGAGCGCGCGGTGTTAAATCATCCGTGGCCGGGTCATCTTCCAGCTCGAACTTGGTCCAAACCACCAGATGCACGATGCCGTCTTCGACACCGTACGGCCAGTCGTTGTAAAGGATTTTGATATCCTCTTTCTCTCATCAGTTAATCCCGTCAATTTTCACTCCCTTGGCCCGGAAGAAGGAAGGGATACGAACCATCGCATTCAAAGGGTCGCCCTTTAGGCTTCAGGTCTTCGGTTGTTCCATCCCCCCAGCCGAGTCTCTCCTTAACCACAAACCGCATGATCGATCCATACCGGGCGACGATCCGTTCCTTGTATTCCAAATATTTCCTCAAATCGCTAGGGAGTCGTTGGAATCGGTCAATGCGGTTCGTTGCTATACCCCATCATCGTCAGTCCATTCCATGGCGGACTATTATTATCTACGTACCCACAATTTCCTTCACCAGCTCCCATCCCTGTCGCTGATATCGCTCGTCAGGGGTCGAGAGGATCGCGATGTTTTTCTCGCTGATGTTGCGTAGAAACTCGGGACATTCGGCAGGTCGTTCGGCCGGGGGTACGTTGACTAGCCAGTAGGGTAGCGATTCCGAAGAAATATTGATGCTCGGACTGACCAAAGTGGTGGACGTGACCATGTTGGAAGTCTCCGGTTCCTTGTGGAGAGACGTGACAGCCGCGACTAGCGGAGAGCTTTTGGGCGGTGGGAGTTTAGGAATAGAGGATTTGGGTGTAAACTGACAGGCTAGAAGGGAACGAAAGGACGTAGATATATAGATGAGAACAACAAAAGAGAAAAAAAACAAACAAACAAACAAACAAATGAAGTGCTGTAGGATTGGGTCCGGCGATGAAGCGGTCGGGGATGACGACGGACGGGTGCGATCGTAAATGAAAGGACCCGCCCCGATGACAATTGGAGTATGATCCTAGGGTCCAGGACTATGAGTATGGTCCTGTTGTCGGTGCATGTAGCAAGAGGCTCTCTACACGTGGTGGACTCGAATGCCTTCAAATCGAATGTAAAGGAGCAGAACACGATATGGTTCTACTACGGTACTACTAATGGGTCTGTCGATCACCCTGCATTGCCAACATGCAATGTGGCGTAGACTAATGCATTAGCACTATTGGTTAATCAGACTTATCTTCTGTGTTGTGAATCGAGTTTTACTCCATATACTCCGTACATATGGGTTATAGAGGCGAATGACAATATTTACGTCCATTTTTATAACCATAAACTCCGCATACCTCATCTAGCATACTGCAGCTCAATCACCCAGCCAAACCGGCAATCTCCGACCCATCAGTTCGAATAATGGAAACGCCCGCAGCCGTTAATTCCTTCTTAGCTTCCTCCCATCCGAAGCCGGCATCGATACATCTCGTCGCATCCTCAAGGACGTAGCTCCGGAACCCGACTTTCGCAGCACCGATAGCAGTGTGCTTGACGCAGAAGTCCCCCGCCAACCCAACCACAAAGACAGCTGAGATTCCCTTTTCGGTCAAATAAGACGCGAGGTCCGCATCCACCGACTTGCACGTCACTGCGGGATCGTTATTCCCGAATGCATCCGCAAACGCGGAGTACATTTCCACCTGGCTATGCATTCCTTTCTTCACATACAGGTCGATGGAGCTGGTGTCAATCTCGGGAATGATATCGACGCCCTTGGTTCCTTGAACGCAGTGAGCAGGCCAGAGTCTCTGGGGTTTGGTCTCATTCTGCTTGCCGGGGGCCGGATTGACCATGTCGACTACACTTTCAAAGGGACGGTTGTTGGGCCCGGGATGGTTATGAGCGAACGAGATATGATTCGAAGGGTGGTAGTCCTGCGTTGCGACGCGAGTCACGAAGCCTGGATGTGCTAGAAGTGAATTGATGATTGGCGCGAGCGAGCGAGCCTCAGATACTGCGAGAGGCCCATTCTGGCAGGAATTAGCAGGCCATAATGGTAGTATATACACTAGTACGCTAGCTAGGTAACACGTACAGGTGGACAGAAGTCCTCCTGCATATCCACCACCACCAGAGCTGCTTTCATTGGGAAGGACTTCGAGGGTGGTGCAAGTGTATTTATCTCAACAAGACTGTCACTCTGATTAGACAAAAAAATACATCAGTTGGATGCTACTGAGCTTCCGAAGCGCATTCTCGATGATCCATGATCAAAGCGGCTGGACTGTGGAGAGATAGGCTGCGCTGCATAATCACATCCAAAACGTCATTTATTCAGCTCTCCTTGGCATCACCCAAAGCGGCTAGCCTATTCTTGCTGACTCAGCGGCGTGACCACAAAAGCTCCCACCGAAACACCGACGCTGGAAAACTTCTGCACTCTCTCACTCTGCAGGGCTGCGGCCCTCAACTTCACCACGCTGGCTGCATTCTTTCCTCAAGTAGAAACACTGCAGATAATGCGAGGGTCGTTCAAAGTAAGATTTTACCCACTCCACTACCCTTTCCATTGATGCAGTTCTATGATGATTCTTTATTATTGGAGCTGTCCGAGTTATACGATGCGGATAAACTTATCATATACGCTTTTTTTATATCTGAATTTTGCAGCCAGCCGTCTTCTATTTTTTCGAGCTATTCATATATCTCTGCAGTCATGCTAACCCGCGTTAGTCATTACAGGGACCTAGTGAACACAGTTTCCAACCTCCTTGATTGTTTCCACTATCTTAAACCAACCCTTTGTTGATTCAATCCCTCTTGTCTACATATCCATCCATGCAACATGGCCTATGATCCACGACTTTCCAGTGCGGGCACTGCGACCCCTGATCCCCCACCTCCTCCTCCCCCTCCCCCTCCAGAGTCTACCGTCAGCGAAGCTACTCAGGAGGTGTTGGAAAAGGAGACACCGTTGGAGCAATCAGACTCCTACAAACTTCGATTTTGCACGGTATGTGCATCGAATCAGAACCGTTCGATGGAGGCTCATCTCCGTCTATCCACGGCTCCATCGCCTTTTCCTGTTATCTCTTTTGGCACGGGATCCCTGGTCCGATTACCGGGACCGTCCATCAACCAACCTAATGTCTACAATTTCAACACGACCTCGTATTCCCAGATGTATGATGAGCTCCTGTCCAAGGACGAGAAACTGTACCGTAACAATGGGCTGCTGAACATGCTCGAACGCAACCGGAACCTGAAATGGGGCCCGGAGCGATTCCAGGACTGGGTGCCCGGCATGCCCCGGGTGGATCACGTCTCAAAGGGTGACAAAGGCGCCCTGGGCACCGAGGGAGGCGTGGTCGATGTCATCATCACCTGCGAAGAGAGGTGTTGGGATGCCGTCGTCGATGATCTAATGAATAAAGGATCGTCGCTGAACCGACCCGTGCACGTGTTCAACGTCGACATCAAAGATAATCACGAGGAGGCTCTGGTGGGAGGAAAAGCCATCCTAGAGCTCGCGAATCGGCTCAACGAAGCAGCTATCCAGGAGCGCAAAGCGAATGGGACCGAGGGCTGGGAGAATGGTACCGGGGAGGCCCGGAAGAGCTTTGATGAGAAGGTACCGGAGATTCTGGCGTCGTGGCAGGAGAAGTGGCCGACATTACCGGCATTATGGACGTTAGCCTGGTTATGACCTTGTAAAGTTATCTGGTATACTATATCACTAGACCTTCATGGTATTACCAGTATATTACTCAACCCACCTTGTGTGGATGATAGTCACCGTTAATAGTCTAACGGAGCTGACCTTGAAGACCTTGTGTCTTATGGGTAGGAAGTGTAGATATAGATTGGATTAATCAATTAAGGGATAAGCAGTGGATAGTATTAAAGAACAATAATCCAAACCATACATATGGGTATCAAGAAAACAAACAAAAAAAACCAAAAAATATCCAAGCCATAATTAATCCCCTAATAGACACTCCCGTCGTTCACGATACCATCTCTCAAGACAATCACGTCTCTGAGCCTGCGTCATACCCTCCACCGCGAGAGCAAACTCCGTAGCATCGGGAAACCCAAACCGCCGCGCCATGCTGCAGAACTGACGTTTCATGACGTCCAGCGGCGGACGATGTTTGAAGCGAATGACCTGGCCATCTCTGCCACACAGGGAGGGTTCCGATTCAGCTCCGCCCTCGCGGAGTCCATCCTGGGATGAGTGTGCAAAAACATGGCAATCTCCCAGGCTCTCGCCGGCCATCTGGGCTCGTCGACTGAGTTGTTCTTCGACTTTGGATGATCCGATGACTTCGTTATTGAGGTGTGTGTATTCTACGCCGGCGCCGGCGAGGATCGCCTGGATTGGGTCGTGTTTTTTGGATACTGCCGTGGTGGAGGATTGTTTGGGGGCGTCATTTTCGGCCTCTGCCTCGCCGCGGATCATGGCCGCGAGTTGGCTCATAACTTCGTCCTCTTGGGTTTTGATTTTGGTCTCTGAACAGTCTTCCGGAATGTCGACTTCGTCTATGTCGATGTCCATGACTTGGACGCCGGCTCGGCTTTCGGCAACGTTGGTTTTGTTGACAATGTCTCGGAGGACGATGTTGTTGTTTTGGAATTCGAAGAGATTGTTCAAGCCGAAGATTTCCCCCTTTTGGTCCCTTTTCTCCTGCACTCCCTTAAAATACCGTCGCTCAGAGCTGGCGTTGTACCCGATGTTGGCCTGCTGCTGTTTGTATATCTGTCGCGCGTAGACAATCTCTTCAATAGTCCCGGCGGAGATCAGTCGGAATACTTCCACATCTCGCGATTGGCCAATGCGATACGCCCGGTCTTGCGCCTGGAGATCATGTGAAGGGTTCCAGTTGGGATCGACGACGACGACTTTATTAGCGGACGTGATGTTCAGCCCGACACCGCCAGATCGCGTGGAGATCAGAAACACAAACTGACGAGGGTCCGAGTTGAACTCATCCACGGATTTCGCGCGCTCCTCATAGCTCATGGACCCATCTAGGTAGCTCACGTTGTAACTCGTATAGTGGAATAGCATCTGCAACATCTTCAGCAGCCGCACGCTGTGGGAGAAGACCAGGACTTTGTCGCCATTGGCGTGCCACCATTTGAGCAGACGTCGGAGGACCTTCCACTTGCCGCAGAATTCCGGGTTGGCATAGTTGACGATAGAATCCCTCGTGCGGTAGAGCTGCTCCCATTGGTCTGGGACGGCAATTTCCAGCATGTCCTTATCCTTCTCTTGCTTCTCGTGGGAATCCACCCCCTGTGGGATCAGAATCGCCAGGTGGTTGCTTAGTTTCTGCAGGACGGCGATGGCGGGAAACACATAGCTTTGCCAGCGGCCTCCGGAGGGCAGATTCTGCTGACAGCACCAGCCCGCTTTCTTGCCCGATTTGCAGTGGCACAGATCGTAGGCAGATTTGATATAGGCGATCATGTCGCTGTTTAGGATGTTCTCGTAGGCGTCCGCCTGGGTCTCGGTCAGCGGGCAGAAGACAACGCGATCGATCTTCTTGGGAAGCTGGTCAGCAATCAAGGTCTTCATGCGCCGGAGGAAGAACTGAGGAAGCAAGTTCTCCACCAGTTTCTTGGCTGTCTTGCGAGCCTTGCTGAGCTGGTACAGAGTGGCGTCATGCGACTGGCCGATCCGCAGAGGCTCGGAGACTGTACGCTTCCAGGCAGTCACCGGGCCTAACCTGCCAGGGTTGGTCCAGTTCAGTAGAGTCCAAAGCTCCTCGTATTTATTCTGAATCGCCGTGCCGGTCAAGCCAATCCGACAAAGCGCATTGACGACGTTCATCGCTTTCGTGGTCTCTGAGTGTCGCTCCTTGATAGTGTGGCACTCATCCGCAATCACACAGTCCCAGTCGACCATATTCACGGCGTCCTTGTTGTGAAGGTACGTGCCATACGTCGTGATGAGAACCTCGACTCGCCCGGACCTTGCGGCCTGCAGCGCCAGCTCCTTATTTTCTCCATGGTACGTATCGACATGCCACCAGCCCCACCGAACAAATTCTGACATCCAGTTCTGGATCAATGTGCCAGGACACACGATCAGCGTTCGTGGATACCACTGGTCCTGGCCGTTCCGTCTGATCTTCCGCATCCGCTTTGCATCCCGTTCGTCGCCCGTTTTTCCATATGCAGCGGTGAGGAAAGCGATCACCTGTACTGTCTTTCCCAGCCCCATATCGTCACCCAGGATTCCACCCTTTTGGTAAACAAAAAGTTCATGCAGAAACGCAGCGCCGTCGACCTGGTACTGGCGCAGCCACTGCGCAATGGGAGCAGGTATCAGGCCTAGCGAGTAGGGAAGCGTGATATCTTTGTAGGGACTGCATGGCTTCAAGTTCTTAAAGGCAGGTCGTTCTTTCAAGAACTCCAGCCGTTCATCGTCGGAGAAGTCTACCTGGTCAAAACCCGGTGGCAACTTCAATCCTGATTGCTTGAGATGGTCCATCCTGCGGTCGAACCTGGCTCTGCGTTTCTGCAAATAATCCGGAAGAGTGTATTCCATCAGCTCATCCTCGGAAGGCACCTCTTCATCGTATTCCCTCCAGGGGCGTCGTGGCTGGTAGATCTTTGTATCCTTTCTAGGACGCCTACCGACGAAGGAATCCGGACGAGTCATCTGGGGAGTCTTGGCTTTGCGTGCACCAGCAGAGTTCCGTTTTCGTTTCTGCGCTTTGCGGTTCTTGAACTCTTGGTAGGCGGCCTCTCCATCGTTAAAGGACGCATCGTCACTGTCGCTTTGTGCAACCAAGTCCACCATCGGCGTCTTCTTATCGAGAGGAGAGGACGGTTGTTTGATCGGCGTCGATGTTTCGGTCTTCGGAGGTGGCAATTTCTTTTCTGACACTGACGTACGACTGGTGCCTATAAGTCCATAGATGTTAGGATAGTATATTCCCTCAAAGTGCATGCGGAGACACACTTCTGGCGAGGGGCCGTGAATTGGACGGACGCGCAACGTCGAGATCGTCATCATCGGAGTCGACCGTGGTCGCATCCGAGTTTTCTAGCTCCCATCCTGACCCCATCTCAGCTGATGGACAAGTGGATAGAGGGAGAGAAAGAGAGAGGGGAGAAGGGGGGAAGATGCGGAGGCGATGAAGACGTGCGAATTGCCCAATGCGGAAAAGAGCTGAAATTGATTTTGTCACCGCAACGTTTTCTCTGCCGTCACTTGCACTTCATTTCCGTCATTGCTCCATTCCTAAACATTCTGGATAATATTTTCAGTACAGCTATTGGTACTAAATTTCCAGTTTAATTTTTTAAGCTTGTGACTGCGTGACAGCGAATATCTCTCCCTCCAGCATAATCTTACAAAGCCCAGTGAGCAGAGTGCGGGGAGTTTCCCTACATATTCACATCTACTGAGGATTGAACGATAATCTACGATCACTATGCCTCTCGATACATCGACTACGTACCCTCTCACCAAGCTACGGCTGGACGGCCGCCGCTGGAACGAACTACGTCTGCTACAAGCGCAGATCTCGACGAACCCTGCCAGCTCCGGGTCATCTTACCTGGCGATGGGCAACACGGCTATTATGTGTTCGGTTCATGGACCAGCCGAGGGACGTCGTGGCGATGCCACTGGGGGTGCTGCAGGGTCTTCGGGTGCAGTGGTAGAGGTTGATGTCAACGTTGCCGGTTTCGCAGGGGTTGATCGAAAGAGAAGAGCAGGTGGAAGCGACAAGTTCGTACTTTATTAAAGAAAGAAGTTCATGAAGAAGAAGAGGGAATACTCACCAAAATCTTATAGACAATCATCCCGAATTGCAACGACACTTCGATCCACCTTTCAATCGCACCTTCACACATACCTGTACCCACACAGCACGATCAGCATCCACGTTTCCGTTCTGTCCGCGGACGGATCTCTCCTGGCGGCCGCTATCAATGCATGCACCCTGGCCTTAGTGGACGCAGGGATCCCGATGCCGGGTCTACTCTGTGGCTGCACGGCAGGCATGAGTGGGAGTGCATCGACGCCGCGAGATCCTCGCAATGACTTCCTGGATCCGCTTCTGGATTTGTCCCTGCCTGAGGAACAGGAGCTGCCGTTCCTTACGGTGGGAACCACGACGTCGGTGCCGGTGGGGGAGAATGCCATGGAGGACGAGGAGGAGATGAAGGTTACAATGTTGAACATGGACTCAAAAGTGCATTGCACGTACATCGAGACGATGCTGGCCGTGGGAATCGACGGGTGCAAGCAAATCCGGGAGATCCTGGAGGGGGTGATCAAAGGATCGAACCGATTATAGCGAGGGTTGGGATCTCTACTTCTGGTGAATGGTTTGTTTTGGCTGCTGGCCTGAAAAGCATGTTTATACCCTTACGATTCAAGGTGTTGGGCGTGACAAAGACCGTAGAACTCTGAACTTGATGAATTTAATGTAAATGCAGTCATCCATAATTTTTACGGACCCCATAAACACTCGGTTCCAATCCTTGAGTCTGCGAACATTCGCTCAAATTGGTGTGGCAGAAGACATAGCCATTGTTGGTTTCAGATACTGTCAAGGATAAGTATGCTAAGCGAGCACACATTAAACGCAAAAATAAAATAAAAGCAAACTGTCTGCAGGGACTCTCCTACTATACAATAACAGTATGGACAAACATCGGATCAACAGGTACGTGCATAGGATCATGATTGAATCGCGATAGGATAAAAACCAAGACCCTGATAAATCTATTTGTACAGAGGTTCCGGAAGCTGGTGCCACCACCACTGTACAGCTTCTTCTTGTTTCCTAGTAAGAATACAGCGGTACTCTTGAGTCTCTCGGGTTGATATGGTTCAAATTGGAAGCTCCCTACAAGGGCACGTCCCTGAAGCCTGCTTCCACGCTTCCATTTCCTGATCATTGACATCTAGGCGTGCGGCCTATGGAATATGAGAGGCTAGAACTAGTAGCAATCTGCCACTCTTACTTAGCACCAGATAGAAATTCCTCGACCGTTCCTAGTCAACTAAGAAAATACAGAATGCCCAGTTATCCAGGCCCTCTTATAGGTGTGGAAAACCCTATAATATAAACCTGTCCGTAATATAAGCCAAGAGCAAGGATACCATCTTTAATGGCCAGGCAATTTGGTTGGCGATATTCAAAAGGAAGCCACAAGACCTTTTCACCATTGAAAACCACCCATTCATTTACCAGGGATGCTTGAGGGGTAGGATGATATGAAGTTTGAGGATAACTATCACCCTGATACTGAATGTCAAGAGGACCTAAATTCGTATCCAGATATCGGTCTTGCTTAGAAAAGCTTAAGCGACTAATAGGTTCCTCTGTAGGTATAGTCCTATAAATGGTTCCGGTCTTAACATCCCACAGCTTGACCGTGCAATCTTCAGAGCCTGAGGCCAGTGTCTGACCGTCCGGCAAAAATGCCACAGTTACAACCCAACCTAAATGGCCCTTAAGCGTGTGCTGTTCCATGCCAGTCTTGGTATCCCATAGCTTAATGGTCGTATCATTAGAGCCCGAGGCTAGTATCTGACTGTCTGGTGAGAAGGCCAGAGTTTGGATACAATCTAAGTGGCTTTTAAGCGTGTGCTGTTCCATGCCAGTCTTGGCATTCCATAGCTTAACTATGCCATCTTCGGAGCCTGAGGCCAATGTCTGACTGTCCGGGGAGAAAGCCACAGTCTGAACCCAACGTAAATGACCCTTAAGCGTGTACTTTTCTGTGCTTGTTTTAACATCCCACAGCTTAATTGTGTCGTCATAGGAGCCTGAGGCCAGTATCTGGCTATCCGGGGAGAAGACCATGGTTTTAACTGAATATAAATGGCCCTTAAGTATATGCTGTTCTGTATGTGTTGTAATATCCCACAGCTTAACTGTCTTATCATTAGAGCCTGAGGCTAGTGTATGACCGTCCGGGGAGAAGACCACAGTTACAACCCAACCTAAATGGCCCTTAAGCGTGTGCTGTTCCATGCCAGTCTTGGTATCCCATAGCTTAATGGTCGTATCATTGGAGCCCGAGGCTAGTGTCTGACCGTCCGGGGAGAAGGCCACAGTCAGAAGTAAAGAATGGCACTTAAGCGTGTACTTTTCTGTATACGTTGTAACATCCCACAACTTAACTGTCTCATCCTTAGAGCCTGAGGCTAGTGTCTGACCGTCCGGGGAGAAGGCCACAGTTTCAACAGAACCTAAATGACCTTTAAGCGTATGTTGCTCCGTGCATGTTTTAATATCCCAAAGCTTTACTGTATTATTTTCAAAGCCCAATGCCAGTGTCTGACCATCCAGCGAGAAGGCCATTGTTTGAACTGAATATTGATGGTCAAATGTGTTTCGTTCCATGCGTGTTTTAATATCCCATAGCTTGACTATGCCATTATCAGAGCCTGACGCTAGTGTCTGACAGTCTGGGGAGAAAGCCACTGCTCGAACTGAATATTTATGGTCCCTGAATATCTGCTTTAGCATATGCTGCTCTGTGCATGTTTTAACATCCCACAGCTTGACTGTGCCGTCATCAGAGCCTGAGGCTAGTATCTGACCGTCCGGGGAGAATGCCACCGCTCGAACTGAATATTTATGGTCCTCGAATATGTGCAGTAGTATATGCTGCTCTGTGCATGTTTTAACATCCCACAGCCTGACTGTGCCATCATTGGAGCCTGAGGCCAGTATCTGACCGTCCGGCGAGAAGGCCATGGATATAACAGAACCTGAATGGCCTCCAAGTGTCTGTAAATCTGCATGCCATTTGTCTTCCATTTGTGGTACTAGATATATCCACCTGGGAATTTCTTTCGTAAATCCTCTTCTGATAGTTGACATCCGTGGTGAGAATATTAGTCCAGAGCAGTAAAGCTGAAGCGGAGCAGTATTGCAAATTTGTAGATTTTTAAGAACAAATCGTTTCGCATCATGCAAAAACTCCAAAATTTTGGAATCCGAATTGTTCTAAACTCTTTTATGTTAGTATATATATGAGATGTGGAGTGTCCTGATATATACCTTTATATTGAACAGGACTGTATTTATAATACCAACTACCTCCGATATATACCCCATTAAACTCATTGCTTCCAGCCAATGAAGAAAATGATTTTCCAAGAAAGTAAGAATATAATTATTATCCAGAATCTTGCTCTTCTCCAGATGATGCGCCCAATAGCGACAGGTGTATCGGAGCTCTGCTGTAAGGTATTGGCTAACAGCTTGGCTGTTAATATCTGCACGCTGTATTCCATAACTCGGTAAACCACAGATATTGTGTTTGAGGTAAATATTCATAATGCGAATGCAATGATAAGCTATTTTCCTGTGTATCTCTTCCTCGTCCACATGGAAGACGGTTCGCGTGTTAACAAGAAAATCCCGAAATGATAAATGCAAAATTCGGACTGGCGCATTTATATCTTCTGGTATACTGAGAACTGAATGAAATGCATCTAATCGATTACTAATATCGCCATCCGGCATGTTAATCAGCTGCGCAAGAGCAGTTGCTGAAAGAGGAGCCGCAAGGAGGATAATAACCCCAACTGTATCTTGAAACTCCTGCAGAAGTTGCTTAATTTCACTCTCATTCTCATTCTCATCAGCAAGTATTTGATTTAGTACTGGAAGATATGTTCTATCCATCCGCGATGCCGATGTTACGGCTTGGTCTTGGAGAACAGCTGCAAGACGTTTTTCCGGCCGGAATCTTCTATCTCCAATAAAGCGGCATATAGTGGCTGCAAAAATAAACAAAGGAACAGCCATGGCAACCAGTTTTTCTATTGCCTCATTTCCAGGCCAATCAGAGGATATTAAACGCTCGTTTCTTATCTTTAGGATTCTGTCCTTTAGGAAGAGACGTATGTCATGTTCAATCACCGGCGTGGGAAGCTCATGGAGAATCAAGTCCTGATGCTCATTGTGTTGCTGAAAGCCAAAACGGATGGGAAGTTCAGGTCTGCTTGTTAAGAATATTCGCACGCGCATAGCATTGGACTTCTGCAACTGCGGTAAGAATTGAAGTATAACTCGGATGTCGTATTCCTGTTCACACTCATCCAGTGCATCAATCACAATTACTGTAGTTGTAATTTGACTCGGATTCAGGTTAAGTAGTGGCTGAAGAAGAAGTTTATCAAATTGTTCCTTGAGAGACTTTGCCGAAATATTTGGGTCATTCTCAATTGCTTTTAAGACACCAGGCACCAGTTGCCGATGGTTGGTCACTAACTGTCTTGCGATAGTTGAGATAAATCTTTTTGCATTGCCACGGTCTACTTCGCCTCTTTTAAAGAAGAAGCTAGCACCTAGTTGGCCCTTCTCTTTAAAAGATTGCGCGACTGTTCGGGCAATGGTAGACTTTCCTGTTCCTGCCATACCATTTAACCAAAATATACATTTACCATCAGATGATTCCGCCCACTCTGCGATTTGGTAACGAAGGTCAGTTCGGGTGTCCGGAAGGCACATATCTTCATGTTGATTTAAATATGAGTCATAAAATGCTCCTTCCGCAATGTGCAGGTTTAGAAAATTAAAATTCTGAATAAGATTTAGGACTGATGCTTCCACCTTATCAATTTGAGCTAAGAGGCGCTCGGCTTCTTCTTTGCGGTGGAGATGTTGGTCTAACTGGACCCACTGGTACAAGTATTGCTCTTCCTCCTTAACAGAAGATTGAAGAGTTGTGAGAGGTTGGTTGGCGATTGTAGTGACACTGTCCAGTACACGCCTTCCCATACCAGGCTTTTGAGCAGTCATCACTTCTGCTGTATAATAGAGGATGGCTTTATAAACTCTGATTATTGGACTTCTTATTTTGCTGTCTATCCCAGATCCCTTGTGGTAGAAGTTCTTTTCAATGTAGGCACATCGTGCAAGGACATCTGCTAAGTACTCTGAAGATTTCAACAAGGCATCTCGCAAGTCCTGACGGTTTTTTGTTATCTATATTTAAGAGTACAAGTTAGCCATGCTCTATAATAAATTATCTTCACAGTATCATACGGTTAATCCAAGTAAGACAACAGCCCAAGTGCTTGCTGCATGATTGGTGGGATCAAAAGCTGCAACTGCACTAACAATGTCCTTAAACGACAAAGCAGCACTGATAATTTGCTGTGATATTTTTCGGATATTAATATCTTCTCCGGTTGACTGTCGAATTTTTAAACCGCCCCGTTGGTATTCCTCATATTGCTCTTTTGTCATCTGAATAACCTTGTCTATTACAACTTTTGTCTGTGAGTAATTCGTGTCGTCTTTGTTTGGTGGGTTTGGAACCTGTATTTTCGACAGGATAGCCTGCTCCTTCTCCTCGAGCTGGTCATAGGCAGCCTGCCACAAGTCTTGTGGTATAGAGGCATTCTCCAGCTGGGTTGTTTGGATAGCATGACTACTGGTAGAGGATCCCTCTTGGGCTGGCCGGAGGTTCGCGTTCTTGGATGTCTTAGGTGTGTGAAATGTCTTAAGAAAATGGTTTCTCCATTTAGATGTATGCTGGGGCATCCTGAATTATTCACACTGTTCCAAACTTGTCAATTCTTGATCTTTATGTTCAATTTTTGTTGCTTTCTTTTCTAGTGAAAGATAGGGGATGTTCTATTTTCATAATAACTAGTTCTCCTTGTAAATGTGTTGGCACGGCTGAATGACCACGGTATGAGGGGTAGTTAATTATGGAACTAGTTACAACATATAATCGCCTATCTTAAACCAACATAATTATGGTGCACATTGAGGAAGTCCAAGCTTGATTACTTTCTCTGTTATCCAGGAGGCTACTTAACAGAAAATATACCTTAAATACGTAGCCCAAAAATCCTACAAAGGCTCTTGTTTACTTGCGTTATTTGATACCTGGAACCAAGGTTCCCATGATCCAGGGTGGAAATGTTCCATGGTTAGGTGAGCAACAACGTAATACTATTCGCGCTCACTGTCGGCCCGAGCCGATACCATATTTCCGTAACAGTTTTTAATGCAAACCAGGAACATCTGGCTAGCTGTCAACAATCCTCTTGCTGTCAGCATCTCGCCACTCTCAAAGCAGCATTTTAGGATTATTCTGGTTTATGTAGGCTGGGTAGTGCAATCTACACCGCCTGTTAAAAGCGCACGCTACCCCCCGTTTTTCTCTCTCTCCTATACAAAACACGCTGTGGGATACCTGTCTCGCAAGCTAACAATTGGTAATTCCAAAACTAGGATCCTCGGTGGCATCTATTGCCTTAAGATAACTTTTAACCCTCTTAATAATGAATGCCTTTTAACACCTTCATTTATGGGAACAAACCATATAATAGGCTCACTAGTATTTTCAGCTGCGCACGTACGCCATCTCTATTTAGCCCTATCCCCATCCATGACGGACGTTCCACCACTTGTATCAGCCCAACCTAATGAACTAGGTCTCCCTTAAGTAGTGGAATAGAAACGTATATAATAGACAGCCACCAGCCTGTATTCATCACTTAATCGTGTGAAGCATAATGCTAAACTACGAAGCTATGCACAAGAATACGGAACAAGTGTCAAGGGCTGAACCCGTAGAACCTATGATAGGTTATGTACAAAGAGGAATCGTTGAAGAAGGGAAAAAGGAAAAGGAAAATGAGCGGTGAAACAAGTCGAGGAGTCACGTGATATGGATCGAGGCCCGATGGGCCAAAGGTGCCAACAGGGCCAACAGGGGCAATAGGGACAGTAGGGACAACAGGGGTAATAGGGACATTGGCCCGTGAGGTCGAACGGGCTCTAGCCCTTTACAACAAGACCTAGTTTCACAACCTAACTTACACTGGGAAATAAAACTAAAAGCCAAAATGTTGCACATTGCAAAGTAGCCTGCTTAACGGAGTAATGTTAGACGATACCACGATTATGGTGCCTGTCCTCAACGCGATCTTACAGTGCGCTTTAAAAGTATTGATATTAACTGGACATCTATAGAGAGACAGATTTGGATATGGGAAAGATTATTCTAGCAGGGCAAAAAAGCTTAGTCTCTGTATAGTATCCCTCAATTATATGAATGACAGCGGTCCACCTCTGTCAAGAGTAGCAAGAGAGGAGACTCATTAATGGCCAAGAGAATGATTGATAAGCATGGGACTAAAATCAATGCTAAACACTCAATAGACAACCTTCTATATGGCAAGATTTGTATAGAACGATGCGTTATCCTGGCCTACCTTGCCACCACTTCAACCGACTATTTACTCCACTCGCAAATATAAAATCTGTCATCTTCTGCCGCCAGAACACTGCCGTGTGACTTGCTTGGTTTCACCATACAAATGGCTACTAGTCCTAATTGCAACGGAGAGGTGCTAGTCATATTCGGGTGCTGTACACAGGGCCCGTAAAATTAGGCGTCAAAAAATAAGTGGGCTAAAGCATGGCAGCGTAACAGATAGGAAGGTCTTGAACTACTGGAGAAGGCTACGGAAGGCAACGAGCTCAGTTCTTATGCAAGTGCACACGGGGAGAATTAACAAGTATCTCAATCATATCAACGTGCGAGACTCCGGGCGATGCGGGCACAGTCTAAACTACTAATCACCTAAGCACTTGCTTATGGCATGCCCAATTCCGACCGAAGTGCGGCGTGAATTGCGCAAGGAACTACAATGCAAGGGCTGTACTGGTGTCTGGATGCAAGGCTACGAGGCAGAGGTGGGGGAGACAAGAGCAAGCGTGCCAGTGGCGGATTTATAAATAAAATGGGCGCCTGCTCGTGCAGTTTCAGGTAGTAGATTCTGCCGCCAAGGGGGTAAAATAAAATAGGCCCAGGAAGAGGCTACTGTGTACAACCATGATCAAGTTATAACACGCAGCCAGAACATTGGGCCGTTGTCTGAAGAACATTTATATTTGTAGACAGGGGCCAGGGTCACCTACTGTCACGGAGCAGATAAATCAACAATACGGAATTGCGTAGTCTGGCGTGAAGGAGCGGGGGCCTGTGCCAGGTGAGCACGGGAGGTGTCCAGAGAGGTGGCGCAGAGAAGGTTAAGGCACCGCTGCAATAGAGCCTCCTTTACATTTCTAACATGCTTATTTTCATATCCCTATATGCACATAGTTTAATTAAAATTTAATTAAGAGAACCCCTCAGATGATCCCTATCTAAAATAGCCTTTTTTCTTTATTTACTATACACACTTGTCCCCCTCCTATCTTCCTTTATATTTACTCTGCCAGAGAGAAGCCTAATAGGTTTTGCTAAGTTGCTACCCAACCTCTTCAATAACATGCCCCCAAATTCTTCGGCGACTTAAAGTCAGCTTATTTCCTAGACATAGTCACTAATACCACACTTCATGACGACTCGCCTACTCTAGCCCAACGTTATCATAAGGACTTGAATCCACAGCCCCAAATGACGATGAAGACATTCGGATAACTTGGACAGAAACAGCTGATGAAGTTGAATCGTCACGCCAAATAAACTCTCCTATACCGGAACGACGTTCACAGAGACCACAAAGACATTGTATGTTGATATACTTGCCCAATCAAAATAGGCATTTAACCCTTAACTGCTTTGTCACTACTCGCTCTATTTCTGCAAACTAAACATATTCTCTATTTAGCCCACTACACCTTTGAAATTACACTTAATTTAATAATACATAACATCTTCCTTCACAATTCCACTTCCTTAAATCATTTCAGGGCTTAAGCGTGCGCAGCGCGCGTCTTCCAGTAAATTTTACGGAAGAATAGTTATTAACTACTTAAAACTGGCTTAATACGTCTTGGCACCAAGACCTCGGACACAAGACTCTGTACATGAATTAAAAGCGTCCAACATTGTAAAACACAGACGAGACGCCAATTCCCAAGCGGGTTAGCTGAACGAGAAATGTGCGCAATTCCCCTCTTGGACCTTCTTGGCATATGCCTTCTCAAGCAATCATATTCATTTGTTAGTTGCAGGTCAAGGTAAAATAAGACTAAAATGTAGGACGTTTGTTGTAGATGAGGCCATTCGAGCTAATTCCATTGTAGGAATCATCATATAAAACCTCTCTGTGTCAGTGTCAGTGTCTGTCTCTCTGTTTATATCGCCTCTCTCGTATCGGTTTTTATTACTTATTAATTCCATTCGAACAAAATGGACCACATGGACCACATGGACCACATGAGTATGACCATGGGAACAGCAACGACATCTGCTCCCATGAGCACCGGCACCGGAATGTCGCATGGCATGGAAGGCATGGGTCATGATATGGGGGGAATGGGAGGTCACAGTATGGGAGGAAGTTGTAAAATCTCCGTTCGTCTATCAATCCATTGTTTATCTAATATCCATATATGATATCCTAACAAGAACGATAGATGTTATGGAACTGGAACACAATCGACGCATGTACATACCCCCTCCATTTCCCCTTTAATACAATCACTAATTATATAGGTTTCCTCGCCGAGTCATGGCACATCACGTCGCGCGGGATGTTCGCAGGCTCCTGTATCGGAGTAATCTTACTCGTAATGACTTTGGAATTTCTACGTCGAGTCGGTCGAGAATACGATGCCTTTATTGTTCGAAGGGCCCAACTACGTCAGTCTCCTTATTTCTCCACCCCCTGATAATTAAATCAAACAAATCTGACAAGGGTTTCTACAGGAACAAGTCTATCTTCTCCTCCCGCGGAACAAATCGCCAACGGAGGAAACACCAGTGGAAGCGACACAGGAAAACCAGGAACAATAACCACCGTACCAGTGCCCATTCAATGCGCCCCGCATGGAGTCCGACCTACGCCTATTGAGCAGCTCGTGCGTGCGGCGCTGCATATGTTGCAGTTTGCGGTGGCATACTTCGTCATGTTGTTGGCTATGTATTTCAATGGATATATTATTATTTGTATCTTTATCGGTGCGTTTCTGGGATCTGTGGTGTTTTCCTGGGAGGAGGTGGGAGGTGTTACATCCAAGTAAGTTTTTTTTTTTTTTTTTTTTTTTTTTTTTTTAATCTGTTATTTTTCTGTTTATTAAACCACTGACGAATGAGTAGGAATGATGCCACGGCGGTGACCAAATGTTGTGGGTAATTTCTACACATACCCGTCTCCTGCGAGGCTCACCGCTCACCGCTTCGGCAGACCTCCTGGGGGTTCTGCTACAGCTCAATTATAAAAAATTCATTATCTTGAAAATAAACCTCAAAAATTGCCTATTCAAGAAAAGATGAAGTTATATTACGATCACCTTCTAATTTATGAACCATAAATCTTCAGATTTGTCCCTTTCAGCGCTTGCTGGAGCCGGTGTTGGGGCTTTATTAATATCTTTAGCACTCCGCTCCATTAATGCTTTTGACTCACGTTGATGCCTTCTAAGCGTAGATTTCCAACGCTTCTGTGCTTCCTTGAATTTTTTCTTCTTAATTTAACGATTAATATTCTTTGCATGTATAAGACCGTCCATATGCACCCAGCGGCGTGTTCGGGTGGTGGAATTAGAAGGTCTTTTCTTTGAAGCTAAAGCTTTATCAAATGCAACAGATGACATTGCATACTTTTCTGCCTGGGTCAACCCACCACGGAGCAGACGATCAACCGAAGGAGATAGCTTTATTTTTGACCTCCGATAAATCATCACCTCCTTCCTAAACGAGCGTAGTGTTGTAGGGGTTTTGTTCTCTTCCTCTTGTGGTGGCGACGGTGTTTTCTGCACTGCAGCAGTGGTAGTAGTGGTGGTGGTGGTAGTGGTTGCAGTAGTTGTGGACACAGTAATATCTTCAAAATTCTCAATTATATAATCTCCATTATATATTTTTAAAGGTTCTTCCTCTTCAGCTGTCCCACCAAGCTTCTACAATACAAGAGAAGGATCCCATGGCCAGATTCCTACCTCCCGCCACCCTGTCTTGATTGTACGCTTAGTAAACGCTCGCTTGTGCATACCATCTATATTATATAAAAACTCCAATTTATCATATCTTTCTCCGCGGAATCGTGATACTGCGTTGACTGCCTGGCCATAAGCCATTTTAAGCTGCTAAAAAGGAACTGAATCAGGTGGTTGAAGCCGGTGATTTAGGTGAGGTGGAAATGTAAGTAATAAAATCTTATAATTCTGGCAGTATTGGACAAATTTAACAGTTAGATAAAACTCAGAGTTGTCCATTAAAAGTAACCAATACTCGCCTAGCTACCGCTTAGTAGAAAAGTAATTAAAATAAAGCAGCCAGCTATACGCTATTATATTATTTATATAGCCTGAATCTGATACCTCCAGAATATAGTTATCTGGAAGACTTGTAGAGTCGTACCATGCCTCCAACTAAACCTTAGTTATAGTATAACCCATAGAATTTGCGTATTTAATTGAGGTTACAGTTATCCGTGTTGACGCGCTGCAATATTATTATTTCTTGTAGGATATTAAGTCACAATTGTCTCAACCCGTCCCTGTCCAATTTGAAAGCCTATTTTATCGAAATTCCATATATCTTCATCCTGCAGAGATTTTGCTTTAATTTAAAGCTTTAAATAATTATACTACTGTGAAATTAATGCAGCATCCTCTGCATTGTAACAATCCATATCAGTTACTTGTCTTTTTCCTTTAAAATATTAATCATGCTGCTTCAAAAATCGGTATGGCTAATTTATTAAGACTTCTGGTGGTCTTATTGAAGAATCTGTATAACTGTTCCGTAGAATTGCATTTGCAGCTTTTCGGATAGCACTAATACTTGGTGGAGCGCCTGCATCATTGTATCGATTAATATAATCAAATAAAGCATCATACTGAGCAGGATCCAGGCGTAGATTAGTACGTTTCCGGGTAGATCTGCTGTTTTTTCCTTGGATTCTTAAACAAAGGCGTTGGTAGTTGACTCCATATTCCCGTGCAAGTTTTAAAATATTCACGCGCGCATTTTCTTTTTTTTTTTTTTTTTTTTTTTTTTTTTTTTTTTTTTTTTTTTTTTTTAATTGTATACGTGTAGAGCTTTCTGAATAATCTCCTCCTCGGCTTTGTAGGTTGATTTAGGCATTTGTGTGGTGGGAATAGCTTCAAATATAAGATATACTTAGTATAATGAATTTTTTATTATTGAGCTGCAATTATAATTGAGCTGTAGCAGACCCCCAGGAGCGGGTCTGCCGAAGCGGTGAGCGGCGAGCCGCGCAGGAGAGGGGTAGAGCCATTCTCTGATACAATGTAAAAATATGAAAATCCATCATACCCAATGCTTTGATCGTCCACACTCAATTCTAGATTCTTGGCCTCATCAGGGCGAGATAAGGAGGCTACAAGATACAAGCTACAGCAACATTGAAACTCAAGAAGAGTAGGACCACTGTCATATTGGTAGGCACTCTAAATTACACCACATGCAAGAACTTCTCCCGACAGCTCACCCCTTGGGAGTAAGCCAGTGTCTCCCCATTCTTGCTGTCAGGCACATTTTCCAGTTAATAAAATTCCCCTCTGGACCAATTTACAGCTCACCGCAGTCAACGATGGTAGGCTTGACGGCGGAGCGGACGGTGCCACTGCTGCTGCCAAGAGCTTCAATGTCTCTGACAACAGACATCGACTCCTCGGTAACCTCACCGAAGACGACGTGCTTGCCATCGAGCCAAGAGGTAGTAGCGGTGGTGATGAAGAACTGGGAGCCGTTTCTGAAGGGAGTCAGCAAGACGTCTATAGACAGTAAATTACCACAGGGTCCAGTAAAACTTACGTGTTGGGACCAGCGTTGGCCATGGAGAGGATACCCGGACCGGTGTGCTTGTGGATGAAGTTCTCATCGGCGAACTTCTCGCCGTAGATGGAGCGACCACCAGTACCCTGTCAATTACGCCCATTAGCTCTATAGATATTTAAAATGTTAAAGAAAAAAGGAAAAGAAACATACGTTGTGGCGAGTGAAGTCACCACCCTGAAGCATGAAGTTGGGGATGATACGGTGGAAGGTTGAGCCCTTGTAACCCTCACCCTGGGGTTTCTTGCACAGCTCACGGAAGTTTCTAGCAGTCTTGGGGACATCCTTCTCGTAAAGTTTGAAGGTGATACGCTTCGTCTGGGCTAGAAGCATTGGAGGACATTGTCAGCCACGAACAATTATCCTGGGTGAGCGAGTATATCTCGCCCATGGGCTCTCTCTCCTGCCGCAAAAAAATTGGTGGCTCGGGAGGGGTAATTACACCTCTTTCCCCAGCCCACCAGTATGGTAATAACCCACAGAGAAGGGGGATACTTACTAGCGCTGGTGCCCACAGGGGCGTACTGAACGTCAAAGAAGGCCTTGGTGAATTCAGACATGGCTGCGGCGGTTTGATGGAATGGGCGAAGAGAGAGGAAAGAGGGATTGCAATTGAGGACGGAGGATAAGAGGGGACGAGAAGAGATGGATGAGCGAAGTGGGGTTGTTGTTGAACTCAGGCTTCGGGAGAACATTGTTGCTGGAGGGGCAACCGGTGGGGCGCGGTCACGAGACTTTTTCTATGAGTGTCGGCGCGGGGCACACTTACGTCAGCCGGGTTCTGCCATCAGCGCAGCACAGTGGCCTCAGGCCGCTATGTGGTTGGTTGGCGACAGGTAAAATAAGGGGGCGATGGAAGAACATGGAATTCGTTCATCTTCGCCCAATCGTACCCTCCTCCGGCAGTCCGTGGAGGCCAATGCCCAGATGGCATATACATCAGGGGATCATTCTTACTTACATGAGTCGACGTAGGAAAATGCCTGAAGCAAAACGCGTGGCTTGCGGTGAGGTGGCTGCAATAATGAGAACCAGGGAGCAGTCAATGTACTACAGCTGGCGACAGCCGCAATGAAAAAATATCCTCGTTCTGCTCCCAAAACGGTATAGTTAGTCCCGGAAAATCTGCCGCTTATGTAATACGCACAGAGAAATCCATTTGAGAACCCTTTGGAAGGAGATTCAAAACATCGTAATAATTCCATGTACAATACGAAAAACTCGCAACTCGACCATCCTCAAATTTAGTATCAACAATAGGGTCTATCTAATCCACTCCAGAGGCATTCGACAAATAGCCAACCTTTTCATGACGGTGTATCCGATCTAAATGCAATGGAACTGGTTAGACCAGACCTTGCAAAAAAGAAAAATAATAACAAAAAATAAAAGAGAAAGCTCACCAAAATAAGAATAAAACGCTAATTGAAAGTCTTGAAGAGAAAAAGACATGAAAATAATTAACAAAGAAGGCCATAAAATAGTCAGTAACAATACAAATCCACATCCCATGGTGGAATAATGAATCAAGAAATTGAAAAAAAAAAACAAGGCTCCACCAAATTCAACATGTCGTTTCACATGGTTGCTCATTGTCATGAATGACGGTTTAGCAGTGGTCTTGTCCTGTTAAATCAGTGAACTCAACAAGGATCAACGGCCTTGGCCACATGCATAAAAAAATAAGGGTGAAATGAAGGGGGAGTATAGAAGCAATGAAAGAAAAAGAAAAAGAGAAGGAGAAAGGAAAGAAAGGCTAAGATGCAGACTATCGGAAATCATCCTCGGTGTCATCGTAGTCCGTACGATCTAACCGCTGCACAAGTTCCTTTGTCACCCGGGCGATTTCAAAGGCAATAGGAGGGAGTTTATTGGTGACATTGTGGAAGATCTCATCGTAGGACGCGCCTTTGCCCTCAGCTGCGGTTTTCAGTAGGCGGCCCCGATGGTAATCCAGGGTCTCGATGATCGACCCAGCGCGGTCCATAAGCACTGGGCTGATGTCGGGTTTGTGGATAAAATGCTCTGCAGACGACACAACATTTGTCACGACCGAAGAAATAGCGGACACGTGGGTGCGGATAGTAGTCAGGCCCTCCTCCCCTCGAATGCTGGCAACAAGAGCCTGGATGGATTGGACAAGGCCATCGGTTTGATCTTCGACGTAAAGCTACAGGGAGCGTTAGAACCATCTCCAGCTATCAACAGTGGTGTAGTAGATGGACAAACCTTGAGTTCCTGAAGCTCATGATCTTCAGGTTGCACCACATAGTTAACCTTCACGTTGTTCACGCCATTGGGAACATGCTCCGACACTCCAATGTGAGCATCTGTCGGGTTCCCAGAATGGTTGGACGGTGGGCTCATGGCGCTGTAGACAGATCCGTTATTGCTCAATCTCCTCTGGCTGGGAGCAACGCTGAAGTAGTCTGGAGATTTCATCTGGGTATGTTGTTCTTCCTCGTCTTCATCCAAGTCACCGGCAGGACTGGCCTGGATCTTCACTAGATGAAGAAGCTCAATGACCGCTGTTGACAGGTGCGAAGCTGCGGCATCCAGGAGAGAAACAGGGGAAAGACCACTCGAACTGGCAAAGTTCTTAGATGCTGTGATCAAATTATTCGCCGTCGCGGACACTTTGCGTGTAGCCTTACCGCGCAAAGCTGACGGCCCATCGTCCAGATCCGAAGACACTTCGACATCACGCAGTAGATGGCGGACCGCGATGACAACTGCCTTGATCTGTTGCATGACAAGCTGATGATCGTCGAATCGTGCAACGCGGAGGAGCTCGTCGATGGATATCTGGAATTTGGTCACATGAATATCCTTGATCAACCCATTCTCATGCAAGAGTTCGTTATCTCTGGCAACAGTGTTGGCGTCAGGAATGGTCTCCGAAATGCCTGCTGAAGATGCCCGGAGGTGGCGGAGCTGGGATTTCGCCTTGGCATATCGACTCTTCCACTGCTTGATTTCCTCCTCTAACCGGTGGACTTCACCAGAGAGCCGTTCCTCATGCTCCCACCTGGAATGGCTTTGCTCTGACAAGGCCCTCATTTCCATCAGGAAACCGGCAGCCTCGCGACGAACCTCCTCCGTCACCTGCTGTTGTTCTTGCAGTTCACTCTGCAATCCGCGGTGCTTGACCTCCAGATCAGCAAAGCGGGCCTGCAGCTCAGCATCGCCAGCACCCTGCTGGGAGGCCGCATCGATCTGGGTTCGAAGGTCCTTTTCCATCGCCTCCTGTTCCATCCGGACCTTGTCCAGCTCCAGCTGCAGCGAACTATTCAAGTTTTCTGCTTTGGAGATTTTGCTTTCCAGTTCCATTTTGATGTCTTCCCATTCCTGCCGTTCAAAGGTACTAATCTATTTCGAAATTTTGTTAGAAAAATGCCATAGAGAACTGGAGCATCCGGGCAATTTCACATACCTGAGACTTATCCTGCTCCTCCTGGTATCGGCTAATCTCCTCATCTTTCGACTTGATCAACTCCTCCAGCTTGCTCATTTCGCCGTGGTTGCCCTGGTGTTTGGCGATTTCTTCATCCTTGGTTTTCAGCAATTCCTCGAGTTTGTTTACTTTGTCTTGCAACGTCGAAACCTGAGATTGGGTGTCTGCCAACAACTTCCTGTCCCCATCTCCTAGAGTCGTTGTAGTCCCGCGTCTACTCTGCAGGACCGCGTCGAGAGCAAAAGCATCACTCCGCGCGTCATAGTCATCGTCCATCCCGGCCATATCATCGTCATCCTCCACCATGGTGCTCTTGTTTGGAACCATCGTGTTACTCTGGAAGGACTTGGCCATAGGACCATCTCCATTCACCGACGGGGTCAGTCCACCCAGAGATCCTTGTCGCGGAGGGAAGGACCCGCCCGGAGGGCCCCCAGATGTATATCCCCTCCCCCGCGGCGGGCCCCGAGATTGCGAACGTCGGCTTCCCGGAGGCGGAGGAAACCCGGGGCCATACGGACCGGGCGGGTAGCCGTTCGACGGACGACTTCGGGCACTGGGAGCAGGGCTGGCCCTGCGGGATTCCCTGGCGGGAAACTGAGGGAATCGTCGCTCCAGCTCGCAATAAACATCGGTGGCGAGATCCCTAAAGCGTTGGTGCTGCAGGGAGGCCAATTTCTGACGCGCCTGGTTGCGCTTCTCATGGAAATCTTTTCGGGGAGGCAGAAACGGAGGAACATCGGGACGAGAGGGTCGTGACGGGGAGGGCGCGGACTGCTGGCGGCGCAGCAGTTCATCATAGACATCGGTACTCAGCTCGTGGAACTGGGTGGCCGAGAGACGGAGCAATTTGTCCCGGGCTTTACTGGATTTGCTATTCCCTCGGTCATCCCGATAGGACATTTGCAGAAACCGTCTCAGGGCGACATAATGCTGTCCCAGGAGTTCCTCCATCCTCTTGTGTCGCTTGCTGCGCTGATCGGCCAACGTGCCATCGCTGGATCGCGCAGCCACCGAGCTCGGAGGCGACGGGTTCCCCGAGTCGCTCATCTGGCTGGATGAACTTCCATTGGGCACACTGTTGGGAGCACTGGGAGCCCCGGAGGTGGGAGGGGTGGCTAGATTGTCGCGGTTCGAGAAGGTCGGGGAGAAGGGCGCATCGGTTTTCTGATATTGGTTGATTCCTGACCAGTCACTACCGTCCACGGAGACCGGTGACATGGCCCCTGAGTGACCATTCATAGGGGACCGAGGAGTCGGCGGTCACGTTGCACCAGCGGCGGCTTATTGGAGGCAACGTTGGACCTGCTCAATAAAGAACTGGTTTGAGGACTTTTGCATTCGAGGACTGGACGGTTTAAAATTAAAACAAACAAAAATTTAAATTAAAAAAAATATAAATAAATATATGCGACGCAGAAGGAACCAACAGGGGCGGATCACCAAGTCCCGGAGAACGGAGGTAAGATGGCTAATTTCGATGGTGGCTGACGCTACTCGGTAGGAAGGAATGGCGACGTGCACGGAGATTACTAACAGTACTATGATACAAGGAATAAAATTCAGTGATGAGAAGGAAATGACCGTAAGGAAGAGAGCGACCGAAGAATGGTAGCCACCAGAGACTGCGGGGAGGAAGTGGGAGAAGAAAAGCAGACAGAGAGGAACGGAAGTGAAGGAAGACAAGAGGAAGACAGAAGACAGCGGCCCAACAGCCACAGATGGAGAAGTCAAGACTGGGGACGGCATAGATTTGGGGACGTACGATACGGTACGGACTTACAAATACGGTTCCTTCAGGATGAGCCAGGTACCCAGGTAAGGGTACCTGGGTACTACTAGGCATTCAATTGCAGTTTTGCATATAATCCAACTTGATTCAGTACCTGCCTATATGTACCTAGCAAGATATGTACATACAGATGTGTACTCCGTACTTAGAGTATACTCAGAACAGTTGTTCTGATGTGTATGTACGAAACAATACGAGCTGAGATCCACAGGAACCGATCGAGAACCTCTAATTAGTGGCATGGATTAGTCGTGTGGCGGTGCTGACCTTGCAGGGTCCGTTCATTCTTTCATGAACACAATCATAGCATCTAATACGTAGTATATTCTCGAGACCTCCTATATTGTTCGGGATCTCAAATTGGCCTGCCAATTTATTATACATATTCATATTCGCTCGTGTCTATCTTCCAGGTAGCGGAGAGATCATCGGGACGATCCAACACCCAAGACTCGGCGATCCACATGGCAGGACTTAGCTCAGGAGGTTTGGAAATTGCTGCGTGAGTCCAGACCGTCGTAATACATCTAGTACCTACCGTCTGTGTACATGGTAAGTTCGAGTTGGTATCTAAATAGTACTACCTAGTAAGGTACTCGGGTAGGAATATTGTAGTCTGACCAGACAAAACAAATATGGATGCATAATATTCATAAGAAAAGTAGATGAGTCTCGACCAGGATTGAATCCACATTATAGTCAAGTTAGATATACCGCTGTTTCTCGAACAAGGCTGGGATCCTATATCAACAAGCCTACGAGGCAGATAGATTACTGAACATGCATTATGATATCCGATATTCGGCTAATACCGAATAGGAAGGTAGACACTATTCTTGAAAAGGTGCTTAAAATAATTGTCTTAGATGGTTTTTGATTATATTGATCAACATATGATCATTCTTGTGATTATTATTATGGATCATTAGGTTGCTTCTTCTGCTAGGTGTAGGGGAGTTCGTTTTACCCCTCTTTTATGACCTTGTTTACTTCACTATTACCACCAACTTATTTGACATATGATGTGATCATAGACATGTGCTCTGTACATAGTATGTACTCTGTGTATACACTAGAATCAACCCCGCATGGATTCCAACTCCCTCCCTCACACTCACACTCTGCCCTATATACCCAATTTACTGTACAATAAATAGAATGACCCCAGTCCACTTCGACCACGTCCTCATCCAACTTTCCACCCCAGACTTCGAGTCTCCCCCATCATGGCTGACGGAGAATTTCACCATTATCGAGGGGGGGACTCACACGGGTAATAACCCTGACCAAAAAGCACACCCAATATATATTAATATAATATTAACCAGGCAACCGCACTCAAAACAAACTAATCATCCTCCCTGACAACACCTACATCGAACTTCTAAACATCATCCGTCCCCAAGATGACTTCCATGGCTACCCCGGCGACTTCGCCCTGACGACGATATCACCGTTCAGTGCAAATGACAACTACCGACGATTAACGGGGGCACTGGCCCATCCTCCGGGAGACGGCGGACTAGGCGTTACGTATACGCCGCCGCAAGCGGGCGGACGAACGACCCCGCGAGGGGAGGAGATCCGTTGGGAATTGGTGAGACCGTCATATTCGAATACGGACAGTATCCTGGAGGGGACAGCAAAAAGACCAACGGATACTCCGTTTTTCTGCCACGATGTGACGGATCGAGGGCTGCGGGTACCGATGGACCCAACGGGGAGGAAGCATTCCTCTGGGGCGTCTGGGCTGGAAGCTATAGAGGTGCTGGTGCCAAGGGAGAAGGTCCAGGCGTATATGGATCTGTATACCTCGGTTTTGGGGGTGGCAGGCCGTCGTCGGTCGGGGACTGGGGATGAGGTGGAGTTTCCGCTCCGTGCCCCTGGGTCATCAGAGTCGTCAGGAGTTGTTCGTCTTCGGGTGCCTCGGGGAACTGAAGATGAGCGATATCTGAGGGAACGAGGTGTCGGAGTGTCTGCTCTGGTTATCAAGTTGAAAGGAGAGGAGACCCCGCTGAAACTCCCCATCGCAGCGCATTACCTCCGAGGACCGTGAGGGAGACTGGATAGATTGGACCATGTATTCATATTTCATTCTATGGAATTATACACATGTTGTAAATATTCGTTTCCCATCCATACAGTTGCCCACTCATCCCCTTCGTCAAAGCTTTTGTTCCCCCCGTTTATTCGGGGATCACATTCCTCTATCATGTCCAGGTGCTGCGCTCCTTGCGCGCCAGGAAGAGTCGATACTCCTATGCTCCGCATACTGGTCGCCACAAGGGGAAGAGGACCGCATGCCACCATATAGAGAGCAATGTACAAGTTATGAAAAAGAAAGGAAAAAAAAAATAATAAAAAAATTAACCATATAAAGATAAAAGAAGAGGATCCAAGGACTAGCAAATACCATGGTGAAACCAAAAGATCATTGCTCGTGGACACCCTATAGGGTATTATTGACCGAAAGAAAGAACCGACCACCACAAGCCGAGAGTCTGCTAGAGTCTGCTAGAGTCTGCTACAGCCTGCTGGTGGCAACGGAGTGCCGTTCGGTCACAATGGAAGATATGGAAAGCCCACTAGGTTCCCTTTCAGTTCATTTGGAGCCAGTCATCGTCAGTCCGCGCGCCGCTCCCACAGCAGCTGAGACAGGAGTCGCTGACCGAGTGGGAGCCGCACTACGGTTGTGTGCCATGTGTGCCCGGACAAGGTGGCCGGCAGCCAACGCCGAGCACAAACTCAGCTCTCCAGCGAGCACGGCAGCACCAACAATGCGCGCAAGTTTGCGAGCGTTCTCGCCCGGGTTCGTGGGATGAGAGCCACGGACACCGAGCATGTCCAGCATGGCGGATTGTCCTTCCAGAATAGTGCCACCGCCAATTGTGCCAACCTCAATCGAAGGCATCGATACCGCAATCTGAAGGTCGCCATTGAGACTGCAAGATTCATGGTTAGCACTCACGACCAATCATTTCTTCTAGATCTCCAACAACTTACTTTCTCATCGTGGTGATGCAGCTGCTACTCTCAACATTCTGCGCGGGATCCTGGCCCGTGGCGAGGAAGATGGCTGTAACAATATTGGACGCGTGCGCGTTGAATCCGCCCAAGCTGCCTGCCATCGCGCTACCGATCAGGTTCTTGCTGGTGTTCAGCTCAACCAACGCATCCACGTTACTCTTTAGAACACTCCGGACGATCTCCTGCGGGATGATGGCCTCGGCCACAACGGACTTGCCGCGACCGTCGATCCAGTTGATTGCCGCAGACTTCTTGTCCGTGCAGTAGTTCCCGGAAATGGTGATGATCGCCATATCCTCAAAGCCACACTCGGTGGCCATAATATGCAGCGCCTTCTCCACACCTTTAGAGATCATGTTCATGCCCATCGCATCACCGGTGGTGGTCTTGAACCGAATATACAAGTAGGTACCAGCCAGCGCGGTTTTCATGTACTTAAGGCGGGCAAATCGGCTAGTGGAGTTGAATGCCGCAGTCAGGATGCTCTGCCCTTCCTCGGAATCGATCCAGACCTTGGCGGCGCCAGCTCGTGCAAGCGTAGGGAATCCAACACAGGGACCGCGAGTCATGCCATCGCCCGTGAGGACAGTAACGGCACCACCGCCCGCATTAATAGCTTTGGCACCCCGACTAGTGCTAGCGACTAGGACACCTTCCGTTGTAGCCATAGGGATAAAGTAGCTTTGACCGTCAATCATGAGAGGTCCAGCGACTCCCAGCGGCAAAGGTAAATAGCCGATTACATTCTCGCAACAGGCACCGTGGACTAGAGAGTAGTTATAGTGGTTGTACGGGAGCTTGGAGGCTTCCAACGAGGTAGAGGTAGCTGAAGTGGCCTTGGTCCTGGAAACCACCGCTCTTCGGATCTTGACTGCCCTGGTGAAGGCATCCACGCGGCTCATGAGATCCTCGTTTTCCAACGTCTTCTCCAGAGCATATCCGGGGATTTTGCCTCGCACCGACAGCTCGATCAACTCCTCATCTGTCAAGTAGGCGGCACGTTTTTCCTTTAACATCACTTCACACTCCTCGGTACTTCTCGTGGGGCCTTTGGTGTTGTTGAGGTCAATTTGGGGATACACCTTCGGTGCCGCGGGGGCCACCTTCGGGGCCGCCGGAGTGGGCTCGGGTTCCCTGATACTCCACCGCGCGGCATTGAACAGGTATCCATTCAAAATGATGCTGAGGGTCAAGGCAGCAATAATCCACTTGCTAATGATCGGATCTTCGACGCTCTTCAGCAGGCTCTCGATTACCCGTCCACCAACTGCATCCAAGAATTGATCGGTATACTCAATATCGAAAGATTGACCGTCTTCGGGAGAAGCATAGTGCACCGAGGGATACTCGAGCTTGTACTTGACAGGAGGAATGACCGTCACCACCGTTTCCATCATCTGGCTCTTAGCAGAAACGTAGATCGAGTCGAGACCATTCTCAGCAACCTTGAAAGGATCAATCGGTGTCGGTGACAGAATATTAGAGACCCGTGAGAGAAGAGGCACACTAGAGCCTTGCGCAGCAGAGTTCCGGAAAGGGATGGCGGACAGGTTGACCACATTGATCAAGACGAAGCCTCCAACCATTATGATCTTGAAGCGACGGACGTTGCTCGACTTAATTTTCCTTCCAAAAATGTTGGTGTCACTGGGCCCATCGGTCTTTGAACCAGACTGGAGCCAGTCGTTATTCGAGGCGACGTCTTCAGCCACACGATGCGTGATTCCATCCTCCTCCAAAGCCTTGCGGAGGGCGACGTGGCGCCTGATCCGCGTGATCTCAAGCTTAATGCAGAGGATCGTGGTGTAAAAGGTAAAGAGCAGCACGCAATCGAAAAACAGAATCCAGGCTGCAAGGAAACAGAACTGCCTCAAACCACCCTGAACTCCCGAAGCGGCACCAGCAACCAGGATGGCAATCTCGATACAGTAGTCACGGACAATGTCAAACCCCTGCTCTTTGATCGCGGTCTGGATCGAGTCTTGAATGGATCGTGGGGCGGCTGGGCTCAGCTGGTTGGAGTTGGCGGTACCAGCTTGCGCACCCTGTAGCTTCTTGTCCATCGAAGCGCTAAGGACAGCCCTGGTGAGAATGATCGGTTTCTCGAATCCAATGGTGACAACGAGGAATGGAAGACCTTCAGAGAGCAGGAGCACATTGATCGGGACACCGAGTTTGGTCGTCACGAGGAGGCCGAACAGGAAGGCAAATACGCCAGACAAAAGGACGGTGAACGCCAGCCAGAATTGTGAACCGAGACGACGCATGGAGAAGAAAAGAGAGACGAAGCTGAGGTGCATGGAGAGGTATCCTAGCGCCATGATCACAATATCGATCGTTTCGGCGTGCTAGTGGGCATTTAGCAATGATGCCAACTCTTCCGAGCCAAGGAGAAGGGTTACCTTGATCAAGTCCACAAAAGAGCTCCATGCATCGGTCAGCCAAAGCTTGACCGATGTACCTGAGCCAGAGGCTGGGCCTCGGGCCGCGCGCATGATCCATTTTTTCTGCTCTCCAACATCTTCGTCGGCCGAAGGGTCGGGAATTTCCTGCACCGCTTTCAGGAATTGAGGCACCTGATCAAAGGGAAGGGCAAACGCGAGCGACGAGTCGTGCGTGAAGGGCGAGAACAGGTTTGGAGTCTGAGGGACCACCTGTGCGGAAGCATTGGAAGGAATGGGTACTTCTTCGGCAACGGGGGCCGTGGAAACCGATCGCGACAGGGAGTCGGGGAAGATGAAGGTGGCCAATGCGAGATGCTGGGCAACTTGGGACTAAATACCGTGGTTAAAATAAACAATTAACACGAGAAGTCTCGATCAATGGGCCACCTACCTGTTCCTCTTCGAGCGTCAACGCGTCGTCGACCTGCCACTTCCAGGAGGTACTCTCGCCCAGCCGAAGATTCCTGCTACCTTGAAGGAGGGTCTCGACATCCACTTGACCCACGACATTTCGAGGGTTCCTGATCGTGTCGAAGATACTGCCCTCGATCAGACCGACGTAGGTAGTGCTGGCGAGAAGCGCAACCACCACGATAGTGTGAATCGGATGAAGACAGGCACGACGGGAGATGGATTGCAGGCAATTGGTGACCTGCCGTTTTAACCATCCCCGCTCGGTCTCCTTGCCCTCTGTTGAAGGCAACTTCCTCGGAATCAAAGTTGCTGCCATGTTGGATGGTAGAGGAGGAAGGAGGAAGGGAAAGGGAGGGATGTGGGCCTAGGTTGTCTTAAAGGAAGACAAATCCGCGACGGCCCGCAGGGATGCCTGCCTTCCTGGAAAGACGCTTCACACGCAAAAATTTGGGACAAGATGGCAACTCCCAGGTCCCACAATGATATGAGCGGAGATGGGCAATCGATTAGGGTTGGGAGGGTCGTATCTGTAGTGTTAGAATTCTTCTCACATCAGCACCTCGAACCCGATGATGGGATAGTGTAAAAAAAAAAAAAAAAAAAAAAAAAAAATTACCTAGTAGTTACCTCCTATCGGGTCTGAGTAAGGCCAGTCTCATTCCGTGACCCAATGTCAAACTGGACTTAGTCCAATGCGACACCCGACAGTTACTCTATCTTTTATTTTTCTTTCTTTCTCTCTCTCGGTTTTTTCTCTCTTTCTTTTCTGTTATTTACCCTCCTTTGACCTGCGGTCGAAGCACCCTTGAGGGCGGAAATGGAAATGGAAAATACTTGTGCCACAGAGGCGATGGAATTAAGTAATCCCGATAATTCTGCCGCCTGGCTCAGCCACGTCGTTACAAGCCAATCAGAGCTGGGATCTATTAGGTAAGACGGGAGCTCTGTTTAAGATACGTACCTCCTTACTACAAAGCTAGGTAAGCAATGGTAAAATGATACGAAGAAGAGAAAGAAGAGAAAAACAATAATCATACAAAGGAAAGGTGGGGGAAGAAAGTAGAAGTACACCATCGTCGCTTGCATTGACCTGAATTTTTTTTTTCTTTTGCCTTCTACTAGCCTACCTAGGTAGTGGACTTTTGTCTGTCACAGTCAGCACTTCCACAAATCAGGCGGCCACTAACTTCCACTAGTTCAAGTACCATCAACTTGGACTGGGCCAATGCTTGAACAATGCATGCTGTATGAAACTATGAATGGTCACTGGAGATCCGCTTTTGGAGCTAATACGAAGTTATATCCAAAGAGGAAATCAGGGATGATTGATGACGATGCGTAGCTGTTGTTGCAGGGTTAGACGGACAGTCTGAACAAGAAGTGAACTGGAGTTTATGACATATGACGACCTCTTGAAGCCCGAACAACATCAAGAATAAAAAAGAATTATTGCGTCATCGGTCCCCATCCTGGATCCTCGATGGTGAGAGACGAAACGTAGGGAGCTTCACCGCTTCCCGGGTTCATGCAGGCTTTCCAGGCTTACCAGGTATGCAGAGTGCCTCGACGTTCTAACCTAGATACCAAGTAGAGGTTCCGTGGTTTCTTACCTGCCTGCTGTAACCAACTCAATGAAAACAGGCAAAGACCCAGTGGCCACTACATATCAGCTCTCAGGATCTCCCAGAAGGTCATCCGGTTAGCGAGAATACACCGGATGTTATGTATGGAACTAACCAACGTTCAACGTCCTCTTAACCATTTCCATCTTGGCCCATCAGAGGAATGGATACCAGATCCCGAATGGATGGATACTCTGGGCTCCGTACTAAGTACGGAGTACTGAGACATTTCCCTCATCCTTCGAGCCCGAGTGGGACAAGTTATCTCAGAGCGGGCTTGGAGGAGCCACTGGACCGCCTTGATCCAACGGAGATAACACTCTCCATATCCACCTTTCATCTAATCAATCTCTCGTCTCCCTCTTCGGGTCTTTGACGGTCACTTCGGATGGACGGGTGGATAGATATGCATGCTGGACGATGTCCGAAGCTCAAACAATCTTGTTTTCTGAGTTTACGCCTGTCGATGTGACGAAAGGAATCCTGACAGCTTGTTTTCCAATTCTGTGTAAACCAGCAAATCCAGGGACAAGCCACTAATTAGCTTTCCAATCTGACATATCCATGGAAAAATGGCACACGTCACCGCTCAAAAAACCGGTTGTGCAAAAGTTTGGATTGCCTCGTGGGCGTTGTGTGCGGGTGGACAATACCAACTGGGTCCTGAAAATTAATCCAAAAGAATGGAACCGTCCCGAGTCCTGGCCAGTGGTCCGTCCAACTGCTTTCTAGCCAAGAGATAAATACTTGGCGGAACCACACGATAGACGAGATGAATTAACGTTGTTGGCTTGGGAGCAATAACTGTTGGGGATGGGGTGGTGATTCAATACTATCCTCTTTCTCACTTACATTATTATATGATTTGGTGGCTTCTGTTTAGGAATTAAGCATATAAAGCCTTAGAACCAAAAAAAGTAGAGCCGCCTATTCGCCCACGGCATACACTTTTTATTCCTTTGTGGAGGATACCGGCACCCTCATTCCCTTTACTCTGTGTACTTACGCGAACAGCCTCTGTGCCGGTTCGCGCCGTGCCCTGGAAGAGCGCGGGGCTCCAGTGTTTTGTCGCCTGCGATGGGCGCCTGATTGCCCAATGTCCGTGGAATATTCCGATTGACGGGTGAGATTCGTTATTTCAAACGGATTCTTCCCTGAAGAAGACGAAATCCTGCATGGCTTCCATGGTATCTGCAAGATCCCTCCAGTCATGAGGCCGAAGCGCCAAGTCACATACTCCTAGGCCAATCGGCGAGCTCCCTGATCTGCATGGCATGTGTTTCTGCAACAATAGAGCTCGCCCATAGTTGACGCCTAATATAGTGAAATTTCTATCTGAAACCATCAGTAGGCGCTGTTGCTATTTGGGGATGTGTCATGCAGATGCAGTCATTCATTCCGCTCGGATCTCCCGTAGCTTGTATCGACTTTTCCTCCAGACCATTCGATCGCTATTGGTTGCTAGATAGGCTTCTGACATCCTAATCGACTGATATGTATCTGTAACACATTTGGATGCAGAATCTGCTTGGATTATGATACTGGGGCTGCTGGTGATTGGCTGAGATCCTCTGTTTTTAGATCTCCTTCACTCATGAGTCCCTCACAATAGCGCCTCGCGAGACACGGTGCTATTCTTCTATTGACCCTGCTCAATAGGCTTGTTTGGTCTAGCTTCTTGTGTCTCAACTACCCAGTCTGCGAATAGCCACCACAATGGCCCCTTCATTAATACTGGGCTTTAGCCCTCGGGAAAATCCTCTTGCTGGGGTACTTTCAATAGCAGCAAAGAGGCAAGGACGGGGTCTTTCAAGAAAAGAGAAGGACCGCCCGAATACTATTGCTTTGTTCAGCTTTTCATTGTTGAGCACCTCTTGTGAACATTCGGATTGTTTACGGTTCTTCTTGTTGCAATTCGGCATCTTTCTCCTTCAAGAGCTACTTAATAAAAGTATCCCCGAAGTCGTTATGACCATATAAAGCTTGGCAAAAAATACATTCTAATCACACTGCGCATCTGCTAACTTAATTAAAGCTTAGGTCTTTTAATTGATACTCCTCCGCGGGTCGGTGTTTTGATTTTCTCGTCCACTTAATTTGTTTACCAAAACCACAATAAAATTAAAAAAACAGCCATGTCTTTGCTCAAGACTTACGCCCTGAGTCTGCTGCTCCTTGGTCTCATAGCTATAACATGTGACGGCCATAGTTGGGTGGAACAACTCATGGTCATTGCACCAAACGGGACCTTTGTTGGATCTCCAGGGTATCCTCGGGGAAATGTACTTCGTACATCACCCGGGTTCAGCGACACTGCAATGACCTACCTGATCTCCTCAACGGCTGGAATGAAGCCGAACGACATCGCTCCCTCCAGCAAAATGTGCAAGGAAAACCAACGAAGGCAGGATCAAACCAAGGGAAGTCCCCGACTGCAAGCAGCACCTGGGGATGCAATTGCCCTTCGATACCAAGAAAATGGCCATGTGACGCTGCCCCAAAACCAGGCGGGTAAGCCCCATAACCGTGGGACTGTGTACGTCTACGGAACAACCGAACCCAAGCAGGATGAACGCTTTGTGGATGTTCACAAGGTCTGGAACAAAGAAGGCACAGGCGGCGATAAACGCGGCGTGCTCCTTTCCGTACAGAACTTTGATGATGGCCAGTGCTACCAAATCAATGGTGGCCAGATTTCTACGACCCGACAATCCAAGTTCCGACATGATGCGAACCAATTGATGGGAGCGGATCTTTGGTGTCAGCAAGATGTCGCTTTGCCATCCAGCGCTCCATCCGGGAAGCCGTACACCCTATACTGGGTATGGGATTGGCCGACAGCTCCGGGTGCCGACCCTTCGTTGTCGAATGGAAAGCAAGAGATCTATACGACGTGTATGGACGTGGACGTATCTGACAGACCGCAGATGCAGATGCGGGTCCCAACGGGCTATAAAAAGGGCCAGTCATTGAACAACGCCGCCATACCATCCCAGTTTGCAGAAATCTTCGGTTCAGACAGGTCCTTGCAGTCCGAAAGCAGTTCCTCGCACAGAGCGGCCGTGGTGCCGCCTACTTCGACTCCAACCCCCTCGGGACCAGCCACAGTCACCACATTCATGACTGTGATGAGGACCGTCTATCCCAGTGGCTGCTCGAGTCTAGGTTGACCTGTTGTTTTTGGGGAAGCACCTTTCCACTCACCCCTTGCATGTGTGTATGATACCTGTAGTAGGATTTGGATTTCTTTCGTCTCGGAGGCTGGGGATGTTTCCTTTCTGTATGACTGCCAAGAGATAGCCTATTTCTCCCTTTTTTTTTTTTTTTAAGTACTGGGTTTAAGCTGGGCCGGCCTGGCGTGAGAGTATGAACGTGGTAATTGTTTTAGTTGTCAAGATGGGTTCTCAGATATGACATAGAAGAGACTCACGGAGTGTTTGAAAGTGAGTTGGTTTATCCTATCGTCCCTTACAATCTGTAGTATGTACCTCGTAGTCAGTAAAACAATGAGATTTGTAACTAGGCAGTAGTATGTTTATCAATGATATGAACTTATGAAGTGTACAGTTGACCACCCCTTCATTCTTCTGGCAGGCAAGGAATATTAATATTAGAATCGTCAGGCCCCACAAACTGATCCGGCATGGCGCAAGGCATCAAAATCTGAAACGCGCTAGTCCGCGCGTGGACATCACGTGTTGTCAGGGAAATAGCCGGAAAAAGAATCATAATGCCCCTGGAGAGACAAGAGATTGTCTTCCGATTCAATTGGCCTCGAGACCCTTCCCTGGCGCTTTTCAGATCCAATCCAGATTACCTTCTTGCCCTGCGTCTGCGGTGCGCTGGGTTGAACGAATAGACGAGGTTGGTAGCAGCAGCAGAAGAAACGAGCTCCACTGCGTAACTGCGCCTCGTTGATCCTGAACACTTGGATTTGTCTTCACAGGTGTAAGTAATCTCCGGCACGCCTTTCGCAGCTCTGTCCTCTCCGCAGTCAGTCAGTCCTACAGGTAGTATTCTGTAATGCACTTGGATTCAGATTGATGCCCCCCCCCCTCTTTCGGCCTTTTTCCTCCTATTCCCCCCCCCCCCCTCCCCCCCGGGCGCCTCCATCTTTGCGGCTTCTGCGTTTTTTAGACTGTGAGTAGCGCAGTCTTTGGTAATCAATCCACTTTCCTTGACACTCACTGGTGCCCTTTTTCTTTCAAAAAAAAAAAAAAAAAAAAGGTTTTTTGGCACTCTAATTGATTTGCTATATTTAGAATTCTCCGTTTGAACCCTCGACAACCTCGAACACTCTCTCCTCTCGGTCTCAAGTTCAAGCCGGCAAGGCCTCCATTATTGGCCACCCACATGACTCTTCAATCTCACTGGGTCGTCGATTCGGAATTTATATTATATTTTATTTCATTTTTCTTTAATTATTAGAACCGAGTTTCTTGTCTCGATCCCTACGAGGCGGTCCCTGCTCAGTCTGCGATCGATAGCCGCACGTTATCTATTACCCCATATCATTCATTGATCGTCATCAATACTTTGCAAGACTTCGTCGGCAGACCCATTGAGGCCACCTCGCTTCTCTGGCGTCAAAGTTGGAGCATCGTTTCCTGCTCTCTCCCTAGTTTCAGGCTGTCTGCCCGTATCGCAGCCCCCACACTCTCCCGGCCACCAAATTGGATCGTGCTTGCAACGCAAGGAGTACGCCAGGTGCCCCTCCAAGCTGAGTCGCATGCTTCCCTCGCCGTCGCTCCACACCACCCATCCCTTCACTTAGAGGAAGTCGTTCGGCTAGTTACCGCTTGTTGACATCAAGCTTTGAATACGGATTCCCGGTTCCACGTCCAGTAGAGTTTGTGGGTTGAATGGTCGCAATGCCAAACTAGGGCGTAGACGTCTTCAAATCGTGAATTCCCTAGTATCTCTCCATCCGATTCGATATCACCTCACTCAAACCCTTCCTCGACGCGCCATCAACGATCTTCCTCTCCTCTTCTCTCCTTGTGGGAACATCCATGTCCATCACCATGGCATCTCCTTTGTCGCCACCCCCGTCGCAGCAGGTTCCCCCCTCACAAAATTTAGCGGTTTTGCCTCCTATTATCACAGATACCACAGTGAAGCCATCCATTCGTCAGCGATCATCATCGTATGCGAAAGAACGTCTTTCCACTCAATCGAGCCTTTCCCTCGCTTCACAAAATCGGTCCCGTCCGGGGTCACATGTGTTCCCCATCTTCCACTCCAGTTTGCCATATGCTCTTGTCCGAGACTTTGCTTATCTTCCGACACATCCTCTCCACTATGGGCCCCTACCATCTCACGCTTCTGGGATGTCCTCACCGGTTAGTGAACAGCGGCGTCTGTCAGACCCCCCAGCTCCTTGGGATACTTCGCGTGGCCAGTGGTCAACGGGACCATGGAGCACGGAACACAGTTATGGACATCAGCAGCTTCCTGCCATGTCTTTTGGCGACGGACCGCCATACAGTGAAGACGAAGATTTACACAGTCCAGTGTTTTCCACCCTCCGACACCGAAAGAACGAGCCCACGGGACCGAACTTGAATGGACGCAAGGGCAGGAACCCCAGTGACCAGCGCGGTATGGAGGGTTTCGAGGGTGCGGAACGGGGGACGTTTGTTGGAGTAAACGCAGATGGCAGTGAGACGTACTATGTGAACGATGACGACGCAACCGACGATGGACCTGGTGGCGAGTATGTTACATACCCGGCCGCCGAGAGCCGATATTCACACATGGGTGCCTATGAACGGTATCAGGGTTATGAGCAGGAAGATGAGTATGACACCGACCCGTACTCTCGAGACTTCCAATTTGCGGTGGGATGCCCTGATGAAGAGATGCATGGAAAGGCCGTTGCATTGTTCGACTTCACCCGGGAGCACGAGAACGAACTGCCTCTAGCGGAGGGCCAAGTGATCTTCGTCTCATATAGACATGGCCAGGGCTGGCTGGTTGCAGAGGATCCGCGAACCGGTGAGAGTGGACTGGTTCCGGAGGAATTCGTCCGACTACTTCGAGATATCGAGGGAGGACTGACATCGTTGAACGGGGAGCCCGATCCGAAATCAGGCGGAAGCGATACGTACATTGATCTGGACTCACCTGACTCCCATCAAGCCATCACACCTACTCAGGACGAGCAACTTCATCTAGGGTCTGAGCACGAGCCATCACACGTCACCAACGGACAGATAAAACCAGAGGGTCGGATTGTCTCCACCGATGGAGAGTGATTCGAACACATCATATTTCCTGCAACCCCAGCAAGGGGCCAACACGCTGGAGCAAATCCAGAGGATAGAAAGGAAACCAAGTCAACATCGTGGCGAAGTCACGAGACTACACGCAGTTATTGATGGAGGATCGAACATCCAATCACATCATACCCCATTTTATTTATTTTTTATTGATCCCCCGCCTTTATTACCACATCCATCTGATCACAATATTTCTTTCTATGTTCCCAGGCTGGAACTTGAAATTGGATCTACATCTATATGAAAAAAAGGGTGAAGGATATCCAACCTAACCTAACCTACTTTCACCATTTATACGACAATTGGGAAGGAGTCTTAAGTGCTTGCATACATGATACGATAGAGTTTCATGAATTGAATTGGAATCAATCAATCAATCAATTTGCTCGATGGTCAATGGTTGACTAGCATGGACTGCTGGGTAGAAAGTGACCAACAGACCGACCATCAGGGATTAACGAGCGTGGGTGGATTCTGTAAATATGTCGTTGTTTTCCATATTTTGTTGTTGATTTCTTTCTAGTTGTGGTTTGTTTTGAGTACTCTTCAGCGTCGGCGTCGCATATACATTAGATTTTTACCTACCTACCTACTTTCTATCTATCTATCTATCCTATCATATTCTATCCTGTCCACGTTGTAACTTGATCGCCTGTCTCAGATAGAATGTAGCAATCATCTGAATGGGTGGATGGATGGATGTATTACTATGCTTTGTTACAAATACAGAGGAACAAAAAATAAGACAAAAAATGAAAATATAGATCCATTCACATGTTACGCAAGTTATAATCTATACTTTTTAACACCAACTGTATATATATGCCTTGTTAGGACAAAATAAATGAGACGAAACAAAGCAAGATGAGCGGGACAATAAAAAATAAAATGAGACGAGAAGAACCAACCAAAAAAGGAACGAAGAACAGAAAGAAAAAAAGGTGCTATAATTTTACAACCAACAGACACCATGCAAATCAAAAAAGAAAAATCAACGTCTACCTCTGGAAGATTCATTCAGGTATACACACAATGTGGACACGGGAATGAATATGAACATAAACTAGCTAAGAAACAAACAATATAAACAAGCAGGTAAATGGGCAGAAAAAGGAATCAAAGAGAACAACAGTAATCAATATTTTTCCTATTGTACCCTCCCCTATTCCTTATACCTATTTTGTGTTATCTTACTACCATACCATCGGATGCCATGGAAGAAAGTTATATTGGTAGCAAAATCATAGGATGAATGATATTTTTCCCAAGAAATGATAAAAGGGAATCGATGGATAGACATAAGAGATGATCTAACAAGAAAAAGAAAAGAAAAGAAAACGTTTAGCCCAACAAATCATCCAGTCCAGAACTACCCGTTTTACCAGCGGTTCCTTGCTGAGGCTGGGCGGATGAAGAGGCGGGAGCACCCCAGATGCCGGCACTGGCTTTCTCCTTCGCCATGCTGGCCAGGTTGGGGCCCTTGCCTGCAGCTGATGATGATTTTTGAATCCCGGCGCTGGCGCTGGCACTAGACCACAACGAGCCGAAGGCGTCACCTGAAGGCTTGGACGGCGCGGGTCTGGCAGCCGTGGAGGGAGTGGTGGTAGAGCTGAAGGTTGAAGTGGATGGCACGCCTGGTCGGGGACCGGAAGTACTGGAGGAGGGCTGGGCAGAGTTAATGGAGACGGAGGTGAAATAGTTCGGAGTCGCGGCCTGGTAGCTCGTCGGTTTCGGGGGTGCAGACTTCTGCTGCTGCGGCTGTACCAGCGAGTTCTGTGACAGAGTTGGAGATGCAATGGTGCTCGAAGTTGGGGTTGGGGTCATCGACGTGAATCCAACCAGACCGTTCAAGTTCGGCCCTTGAGTCCCGGAGACCGGCTTCGGGGCCGCGAACTGGGTGCTCGAGGTCGTGCTGACGGTAGAGGCGGGCGCCGGGATAGCGAACTGGCCTGAGGGCTGTGGGGCAGGGGTCGCGGATTGGAAATCATCGAAGTCATCGTCATCGATCGGTTTCGCATCCAGGATATCTAAGCCGTTGCCGTTACCTGTCGCAGGTTTCTTGCCCGCCGCGGCGGATGCCGTAGTCGTGGTGGTCTCTTCGTCGCCAAAGTCGAAGAGGTCCGCCTCAGGTTCTTTCGGGGGCTCTGGCTTTTTGGGTTGCTGTCGGGCACGCGGGGGACTTTGACGGCGAACGGGACTGGCATCTGCTTCATCATATTCATCGTATTCATCAAACCTGTTGCCCTGTCGTCCCGTGTCCTGGAAATCACTCGAGACTCCTCCGAACCCGCCGCCATCGCCGAACACACCCCCGCTATATCCACCAAAGGACATGCTATCGCTGCCGAATCCCCCGTACCTGCCGGTAGAGCCTGAGAACCCTCCTCCAGAAGATGCTCCACCTTCGAAACCGCCGAATTTGTTGCGATTGGCTCTGGCCTTCTTTCTTTCGGCACGGATCAAGTCGACATCTCCCAGCAGCTTCACCAACTCCGACGACCGATTGCGCACATTGATACCCTGATCCTTTCCGTTTTGATCAATAAAGTGGAACTGACGGAGCATTCGGAGTAAGGACATATGAGATCGGGCATCATCGACCACTCGTTCCGACCCATTCTTAACCAGAAATTCCAACAGCTGGAGAGCCTATAATTGGCGCAAACGCGTCAGTAACCCTGCTTCAGAAAAAGACATACGATCCCAGATTGGTAGGATATACTTTGTAAATCTGCCGCCATTCCTCTGCAGTCTTGTCTGTGAAACGCTTGTAGATCAAGGGCATAATCTCGTTGAGTAATTGACTATGATATATCAGCAACCAATGGTACCGGGCTACATGCGACAAATCATTTCGACGAAGGTGACTGACTAGCTATGGGTTCCGTTGGCAATTTCCTGCATCAATGTGGTTGAGGCACCCCAGGGTTCGTTATTCGTAGCTTCTCGGACCTGTTAACAACAAGAGTGACTCGGTCAGCCATCGGCCCTTGAATACTGATAGGGCTAATAGGAAACACTATCTTAGGAGGGAACTAGCGGGTGAAACAACAAACCTTCGACTCCATCTCCGTGTAATTCATCACAGCTGAGATAGATCAGCTAGAGCTCTCGGTTTCCCATGGAGAATGGCCGGAAAGGAGGAGCTAGGACATACCATTTTGGACCTTGCGGACTCCCGCCTTGATGTCATACAAGGTCAGGTTGCTAACCTGGTCTTTGAGAGAGGAGAAATCCATGGCGCTCTCAGCAAGGACGAGAAGACTTGCACTATACCAATCGAAACAAGGAGGAAGACCGGCAATAGGAGAAGGGAGTCGCGAGGGGATGGAGAGCGGGAGTCGAGGAATCGATCCGCTCCAGCTGGCCTTCGCCGTTGGGCTCCAAGGCGGAGGTCACGTGGTAGCCCCTGAGCCGCAGAGCAAGACGTCGTAGAATGCCATCATGGCGTTCCTTTCACTATCTACTTCCATGGACAGAGTCAGGATCCTACGGTATTAGGGCAGAGAGGTCGACATCTGCTCGACTTCGCTCAAAGATACAACTATGATCAAATTACTGGACACCATGTACTACACTAGACACTAGTACTCAATACATACATGGATACATACATCGAATCGTCTAATTCATCACAAGAAAAGGGTAACAATTCAGGGGAATCGGGTGAGGAATTCAAAAGCATGCAGAAAATAACATAAGGTGAGGCATTGCATTCAAAGGGATAGTCTTCCCGCATATGTTCATTGATACATCATGCAGGATACGCTTTTTCTTTGTACCTGAAATCATGAAATAGAAAGAATGTCCTGAGTAAGTGTGCATTATGAGAGAGGAGGAGGGAAAGATAAAAAAGAAAAAAGACGATGATGATGTTGTAAATAAAATACCAAGATCCTTCGCTGAGACTGGATGATCATTCATTCATTCATTGTAGAATTTCCTCATAATCAAATGGAGGAAAAGGTTGACATTGACTCGTAGTTGTCCGTCGAAGAAGTCCAAGAATTGCATGTTGTTGAACTGTGCCTGTAATAAATCATCCAAGGGCATCTGGGCATTAGCTCCGGGGACCATCATCGGACCACTGCTTCCATCAAGGGTGAAGACGCCGACTTCGTTACTGGAAATGGTCAGGTCGACCCGGTCCCACTGTCGTTCAGTGTAGCCCTTCCAGTGGACCAACACCCCTTTATCGGCCAGGTTACGTGCCGAGTACTTGTAGGATCCAAACTTGAAGACCTTGCCAGTTTTCTGGAGCTCACGTTGGTGGTCCCACTGTTTAGTAAAAGGCATGAGGAACCGCTTCTTACCCTTCTTGTTCTGCAGCGTCACCATCGCCTGTTCGATATAGTCGTTGTACGTCTTTAGCTGCTGGTCCAGCCAGGCAGCCTGATCATTCAGTCGTGTCAGCGTGAGACGAGTGCTTTCCAATTCGCGCTGTCGTTGAATCCTCCGGCGGTGCTTCGTTCGGATATCGATGGCGATGTCATTTAGTAAATCCTGGTAGTGATTGTCCCTGCGGATTTTGCCGGTTTGCTCAAGGTGGATAATATTTTCGAGTGCAGTCCGCTTCAGCTCCGAGTAGCTCATGGATGCGATGTCAACCAATGTGTTGGCCTCGGAATAGGCACTTCGCCGTGTGTTATTTGCACTCAGCTCGTCCCGAACTAGCGTCATCCATTTCTCCTCGTCCTCTTCCGTCGGGGGTTTCACCATGATTTCCATTAGATTGGCACCCGTTTGGACTCTGATGATATAAAGTACGCATCGTTTGGTCTCCATGAACAATGCCTTGATATCCGCCTCGGGGTCTGTATGGAGTTTTGTCAGTCGTTGAGTTCCAGTTAACTAGAATCGGGTAGTTCTTGCCTTCGGTCTGTGCCAGTTTTGGGTTTAGTATGAGGTTTATCTCAGAAGAATTGACGCTCATGAGCTCATTCTCGTTAGATTTAACGTTTCCAAGGTCTCGTATGACTTCCTTTAGAATATCATCTGGGTTCGGGCAGATGTAGTGGATCTCAGAAGCAACAAGCTGATGAATGGAAAAGATGTCGGACATTTTTATGTATAAAGTAGGTTTCGTCTTAGCGTAGAGGTCGTTGAACTCGTCGATATCGAAATAGGTCTCGGCATCTTGCACAGAAACCACTGCAATCGATGTCAGCTAGTCAAGACTTACACTTGATCAGTATGCTATCACTCACGGTCACCCCATATTTGGCCAAGGCGTTGGATCGAATCTGCACAATAAGTATTCAATGGCTGAAGATACACATTTTCCGCGCCAAACAGCCTTCCAGATGCCACTTGAGCAATCACCTTGGCGATCTCTGACAGGTTCCGCTTCTGTTCTTGGGTCAAGCCTCGATCGACGACTCCATACTTCTCTGGTTCAACTAGAGCTGGCTGGAAATAGTTCCTCCACATCCAGTGACCTGCCGTCTGAAGGATAAAACCAGGATCCTCCGCCGAAAACCGAGCAAGGAGACTCTCATACATTTGTTGTGCGATATAGCGGATCCCGAAAGGCATACGGTATAAGAGTTCCTCCAGCGCAGCGAAAAATTGGTCAGCGATATCTCGGAGATCCTGTAAATGTTGAATAAATGTCGCTCTTGTCTCGGGATCTCTGATGGCTTCTTCTCGTGGGATATCCGGATGGCGTCGGCTTCGTTTGCCCGTTCGAAGCTCTTCGTCGTTGATAGCTGAACGATAAATTTGCATGGGGTCACTCTCCAAGTCCAGATCCGGGTTATCTATCACATTCTCTCTGACAACAGTTCCCAGAACATCGCGCATAAACTTCCGATCCCGGGGTGATTTGATGTACGACGCGAAGAGTTTGTTCCAAAACGAATTGCAGCGCAAGTACTCATGTATGGAGTCAAAGCTCTCGATCTCCTCCTTCGCAGAGCGTGCCAGGAGCTTGATCAAGTAGTACTCCTCACGCCTCTTCTGGGAATATCCAAAGAGCCCCATCATCAGGTGCCGGATCCTCTCGTACTCTTTCTCTGACGTGTTAAGCTCACGCAACCTTCGGAAAAGCTTGGCAAGGTATTGAGACTGCGTCTGGAGAAGGAAGAAAAATACCTGGTACTGGTCTAACTTTCTTCTTGACGTCTTATTTAGGGCCTTCAGATCAAAGGGGTCCTTTGAGGAGATCTCCCGGTTCGGCAAAAGACTCCCTACATGGCCACCAAAATGCTTTTGGTGTTTGACCACTTCGTCCAAAGTAATCTTATTTTTCACCAAAAGAGCAATTTTAATATCGAGCTGACTGATATACTGTTCGGCCAGCTCATTTTGCCGAACTTGCTGGACGACCACTTTCCTCGTGCGCTCAAATTCGATTTCTTCGTCGAAATCAAATTCACTGTCATTGAGGAGGTGGACAAAGCCCTTAACAGTTCCGACAGGTGGGTTTTTACCGCTCGTGAGGCTTTTGTACGCCTGACCCTGAATTCTGCCTCGCACGAAGCTTTGTGCCTTGATCACTTTATCCATGTTCTCCCGGTAATAGCGCCGTTTCTCTTCGAATTTCGAACGAATAATATGCCCTCGTATGTGCGCCTGGAGATCGGTTATAACGTCTTCCTCAGCGGCAAGGTCGGCCAGAGACTGCCCAACATCTACACGAACAAGCATCGCTCGGATATGGGCTTGCAGTTGGCCAATTTCTTCTTCACAGTCGTCCAGGCGCTCAAGTATGCCGCCAATTTCAATCCGCAGAATCGCAGCCCGGGTGAGAGCCTGCAAGTCAATTATGGCAAGTTCCTGCTGTTGCAGAGCGTCTGCGTCAGCCTCCAAGCGTCGCCGTAAGAGAACAGCTCTGGCCATGGACTGCTGGTCCAGAATACATCCACTCTCTTTGTCCAATGCTGCCCGCTGAGAAGTCAAGAAGTTCCGAACTGATCTCGCACGGAGCATGCTTTGAAGGCTAACGACTAATGGCACGTGCTCAGCCAGCTGGTTTCGGAGATGCACAAGGCGTTTCCGGAGAAATCCACCACGAACTATAGCCTGCAGGTTGACACATCTGTCCTCCATATTTGAAAGGGAGTCTGCTAGCTGAGCCTGACGTTTTCGGACTGCCAAAGCTCTTGCTCTAGCCTGAATGGCGATAGTTGACGGAGCCTCTTTAGAGAATATGTCTCTCATAGACGTAATGGAGCTACGAGTCAACATTCCCCGAATGGCTGCTTGCAATATCTCCACGTTGCCTCGGATACTATCAATCTGATCATGTTGAGCGCTCATCTGCCGTCGTAAAAAGGCACCTCGTACAAGAGCTTGTAGGTATTTGATATCATCTTCAGCGGATCGCGTTTCTTCGTACTGTCTCGAGAATTGTTGGCGTTTCAAAGCTCCCCTGACGGCAGCCTGCAATAATCGGACCCCCTCCTCAGTATCCGTAACATTCTCACCAAAGTCTGATATTCTCTTGCGCTGTAATGCCCCTCTTAAAGCGGCCTGAATACGCTTCAAACCTGATTCTTCTTTTCGCATCTGACGTCGAAGATAATTCACCTGAGAGCGTACCTTGGAGCCTCTAATGAGTGTCTGCAGTTGCAGTATATCGAACTCTTGAGCCTGATAGTTTTTCATGTCATCCGACTGCCGGGACCGCACGATAAAACCTCGACAGATCGCTTGGAGGTTTACGGCAAACTTCCTCATGTCCAGCCTATATTGGATGACTTGACGAGCCCAATCGCCGCGCAGTCTCGATTGTAGATCCATCAGCATAGGCTCAAAGTCCCACAGGTCGTTCATTAAGTTGCCGAGGCGTAGTCGCAGCATCGCCCCCTTGAGCTGGGCTTGAAACTCGACGATCGCCGCCTCATTCTCATAAAGCTCGCGCTGTATTCGATCCTCTTCAGACTCTGGCTCGGGTTCTGGTTCCGGCTCAGTCTCAGCGCCGAAATTCGCAGCCATGCCTGAGAAACTAGGCATGCTGACACCTGCCTTGTCAAGGCCCTTCTGCGTTTGTTCGAGCTCGTGGTGTTCGAATTCCAGTTGGCCAACAAGGTTGCCCATTCGGAACTCGACAAGCCCTTTCTTAAACAGCAACCATGACAATGCATGCACACAATGAATAACCTTCGGGATGTTTTTCTTCTCATATAGATCAATTAGTTCAAATCGGAAAAGTTCCGGCAGCTCAACTTCATCCAGAAATCGGAAAAACAAGGCTATATTGTCCGAATGGCGATACTGTAACCTTTCATGTCTGAATATTCGAAAAGTGCGACTGGGGTACATCGCCTGTACTACTTCCGCCAGGGTCACCCCATCTCGGAGGGCTTCTTCCAACTGAACAATCGGCGGGATTTGTTTTTGAATCACCTCCTCGATCCATTCTTTGGCTTCACCGATATGGCAAAGGTATTCGTACGCCTGTAGGAATTGCCGCTGCTTGTCTATCCAACTCCCAGCCGCCCAAGCCGATGCGTTCTTTTTCCCTGCGGTTGTGGGTCCACGGCTCGCAGCCACCGAATCGGTACGCTTCAAGCGCCGTCGTCCTTGCAAACCAACAACGGACGGGGTATGGCTATCAATTGCAAACTCCTCGGTTTCTCCAGACTTTGCAAGTTTCGACAGGGTCCGGAGATGGCCGGTCGATGATTTTTGGAAAGTCTCTAGATCCGGCGCAGACAAAGCGGTCTTGAACGTGGGCGGATTTGACAGGCTGTGCGAGTGATGGCCTCGAGTTTGAGTAGGAGTCTGGGGCGAAGCTGGTTGAGGAGAGTAATGCCGAGGAGAATTCATTGAGGGAGGAGTCTGGGGGACGCGCGATTCCTTTCCTTTGAAGGGCTCACTTTCTGGATGAATAATGCGACGGGATTCAGGAGTTTGAGGGTGGTTCTCTTTCCAGTATTGAGGGTTGTCGACTGTTTGACTCCTCGAATGTCGATAGGCCGTCCGTTTATTCAGGGACGGAGAGGCGCTCGGGGCCTGGGGTAGAGGTCGCAATGAGCGGCGGATATTCTCATAAGTTGTCGCGGCATTAGACCAGCGCCCCTTTTCAGGACCACCTCGAGGGGTCGTTTCGCTGGCCATGGTGTTTACTTCGCTCATGCCACGTTTATGGCCAAATCCGGGTCCAGACTCCATTGAGGCATTAGAGGAGACGGTACTTGTACGGCTGGGGGCTAACGAATTGGACGAGGTGGAATACACAGACGAATTGGTAGAGGCGGTGGACCCATGGCGGAGTGGACTCGATATTTCGGTCGAAAAATCCGTCTGCGCACGTCGAAGGGAAGCCGGCGAGTTTGGCATCACTAGTACTGCCCCAGAAACAAGAATGCGAAAGCCAATAATAGTGGAGAAATCTCGAATTCAGTTGGCCGCATACCTGCTTCAGCAGTCGAAGCAGTAATTAGGGGCGCTTAATATGGTGGAAGGTATGCGAATTCAAGGGGAAGATTGCATCCCCTATGGTAACCGGAGGAATCGGGTTGATGTAGAAACGGGTCAGATTGGGCGTCCAAAGAATACCTTCGAACGGAAGGCAGGTCTAGGAGACGAAGGATGAAAAAAGTCGATCGAGATCGTTGAGGGGAAGAAATGCAAGCAAAAACAAAGCAATTAAAGTACCGAAGACTCGTTGGTGGTAGCGGTCCGTCTTTGCTTCCTTCTTTCATCCGAAAACAATCAGGACGAGACTGAGAGGAGGAAGGGCGGGGGAGCCAAAAGTAAATCGGAAGGCACGTCCCAGCAAGGCACAACAAATCTCCTGATCGGGTATGGTCTTCTTGTCAGGTGACAGCGCCACAGATCAATGCTCGTGAGGCTCGTCGATCATTCTCAGCAACGATCAAATTCATCAGTACAATCAACTAGGATTGTGGGATAATCTCTTGTATAATACTTCCATATCCAATCTGGTTCTAAGTTATTCAATTCCGAAGGTACAGTCACTATCCTCAAGTTCATGCAGAACCGGTCTACCAGTAGGCATATACAATATATTGCAAATACCCAGGGAACAGACTCTTTTACCATCAGCTAGCTCAGTTACACAAACAAGTCCTTCCAAGTAGATATTCAAATGGTACCAGGAAAGCTGAAGATTGGGATTCAGAACTGTGACGTGATCCCCACTAACATACTAGGATGGCAGCTAGCGTCCCACCTGACAGCAAAGCCCCACCTGGATCTCATCAGTTCTTGCATCTTACCTCAATCAATATATCCCACTCCAAAGACGGTGCGGAAAACTGATAGGCGAAATGACAGACGCTGATCCATACTTCGTCTACAAGATCGTTTCATTTTCTTCTCCTGTGCAAGAACCGCTTCCCGATCGACTCCCGGTAAGCGAGATAGATAAAAAGTCGAACTTTATTCACCTCTCGACCTCGTTCCAAGTACCCAACACACTGAAAGGCTTCTTCGCAAAAGATCCGCTTGTTTATGTACTCCGGATCCCATATGCCTCCATAGCTCAAGATGTCCGCTGGGAGGATCCCGAGAGTGCAGTATGCGGTCCTCGACCCAAAGAGGGGTTGTTTCCAGTATGTCTGTTTTTCTTCAATCCTTTCCTATTTCCTTGCCTTGCGTATAGTCCTATCCTGTATATTTTCCATCCTGACATGTGTCTAGCATTTGTACAACGACCTCAAGCTAGGAAAGGACGAGGTTGAAAGTATTGCTATATGGACAAATGATCAAGGATGGGACAATGCCCTGACAAAGGCCAAACCATGGCTTGTGTATTAGCATATGTGAGATTTCAATGCTGTATTCTATGTTCATACTATGTATATCTTACTAATATTATTTAGAGGATGATTTATGATAAAAAAAATCATGTTACGTTGCCAGTGTCGAGGTCATAGTACATATATATTCGTCTTGCCGACCGTTATTCCGTGCAATATCTGCCCTCTCAGTAACTCTATGCTGTATTTGCCTACAAAGCAGCAGTGTAATATTTGACCATCTACACAGTGAGTTAGCAAGCCGCGGGCAAAGGGGTATATTGCAGAAATTGGTATTGGGGCATACAATAGACAGAGGCATCTGCACTAGCCAGAAAGACAAAGCTTGCAGCGACTTCACTTGGTTGGCAAGGCCAACCAAATGCTCCATTGGCACCCTAACTCCGCAACCCCCATCCCTGTCGAGTGCCAAGCTGAATAGCTGTGTAAACAGCGCCAGGGCTAGTGAGATCAGTGATCTTTCTTCATCTTACAAGATTCAAAATTGAACTTACACTACCGCGTTAACTCGAATTTCTTTAGGTATCAATTGGACCGCCAGAGACTTGGTAAAACCGACATTTGCACCTTTCGTCGCTGCATAATCGACCATGCCTAAACCTTGAAGGGTAACGACAGAGGTGGTGTTGATAATGCTAGAACACAGCCCGCTCTAGTAACTCATACCACTACTTTTGATACCTACGAGTCACCCCTCGACATATACGGGAGAGCATCTTTTGCCATCGCAATCATCTGAATGATACTGCATTGAAAAATATCCCCAACTCTACCAAGATCAATTCTTGTCAGGTCCTTGTACACGATTTGTTTCGAGGCATTATTGACTAGAATATTCAACTGCTTGAACCTAATACGAAAGTTAGGCCAGGTTCACAGGCTCTAGGGACCAGTTTCCTCTGAAAGATTAATCGTATTCGCTTCTATGCTCCTCAACAGCCTTCCGGCATTTTTCACGCTTGGACAGCTCCCCGGCAATGAGGAGACACGGCCGTTGTTCGGATTCGATGACCCTTTTTGTGTTTCTGCATCCTACTTCACTTCAGGACAGTGAACAATTGTGACATCGGTGCCCTCTTTGGCCATCAAGATTGCAGCAGACCGGCCTATTCCACAACTATTATATTGTTACCCGCCTGTAACTGTCTCACACTGAAGAGATTCATACTCCCCGCCGGTAATGAGGACTTTCTTGTCCTTCAATTTCCAGACCAGATATGTTCCCTGAAGTCGTCATTTGCATCCAGAATCATCTCTTTCTCAAGTCTGGTGGCTGTTCTCTTAGACTATATAAGTTTCTATAAGTTTCCGGGAAATTATTTATGCAGCTACGAACCCTGACTTGTGCTGACTCTGTGTTTTTGTGGTACCACGGAGATATCCCTTTGCCCATTGCCGATGATATATGACAAATTTTGATGAAGTAAGTGCTGGTTATTTCGGCAAGTACAATTGCAGGAAGGATGGATTTATTTATCTCCTTCTATTTTTTTATTCTTTCAAACCATTCCCCATCTGAGAAGTATTCTGCTTCTAGCACTCTGCCACCCTCGTGTTGCATAAGCACTACGACTAACTACTACCATTATTAAACCGATTCCGCAAACAGCCATTTTAACATAGATGTCAAATATAGCCTAAAATATATGAAATATCAGGAACGAGACGATAATTAAATGATTTTAAATTAGATGTCTTTGCGCTGTCTCTGCGCAAGTTTTCGGAAACGGCTTTGGTATAGGTTGCGCACCCAATTAGTTTATATATTGCTGAATTTTTCAGTTCATTACTACAGCATATCCAGGAATAAAAAATGAGGTCATATATATCCACCTCATGGCAGTAACTAGTATTTCAGTACAAACATCGATGCAAGTAGCAGGTGTATCGACAACGGCCATCTAACCTAGCTATCAAAAAAAAAAAAAAAAAAAAAAAGGGAAATAAAAAGAAATTCTGCTTATTCATCACCCCGACTCACCGCTTGAGCCAGATTCGTTTAATGACCAATGAACGGTGCAGGAGGCGACCTATCTCCTCGGCTATACCGCATCTGGAATGGTGGGTGCAAGGATTGCTAGCTTGTGCGCGGAAGACTCAAAAGCCTTTTTTTTTCACCTCCAATTTCTCTTCTTTTTTTCTTTCTTTTCTTTGGGAAAGGAAGACTTTCTCCATCAACAGAACGTTTCTATCGTCGATCTGTTGATTATTTTCTACCTTTGACTCCTAAACTCTACGAGTTACGATAGAAACCGTAGAGCCCTTTTTTTTTTTTTTTTCCAAAATGCCCATCTCCAACGGCGACTCTCTTGGCAGGGCCATGAAGGCAGAGATCCAGGATCACACCAAGGCACTGGATATCCTGGAGAAGGAATATTCCTCCAGCGATGGACTTGATGTTGATACCCTGCTTGACTCGGACAAGCACGGAGCATTGACTTACAATGATTTCCTCATCTTGCCCGGTTATATCGGTAAGGCAACGATTACTTTTTGGTCGTTTGATGAGACGTAGTTATTTATACCTATGACAGGTTTCCCTGCTTCCGACGTCACCTTGGATACCCCTGTCACGAAGCGTGTCTCTTTGAAGACCCCTCTCTTGTCCTCTCCTATGGACACCGTCACCGAACACAACATGGCCATCCACATGGCTTTGCTGGGTGGTTTGGGTGTTATCCACCACAACTGCTCTGCTGAAGAGCAGGCGGAGATGGTGAGGAAGGTGAAGCGATTTGAGAACGGCTTCATCTTGGATCCTGTTGTGCTCTCCCCCAAGGCTACTGTCGGAGAAGCAAAGGAACTCAAGGCCAAGTGGGGATTTGGTGGCTTCCCCGTGACTGGTGAGTTTTTTTTTTTTTTTTTTTTGTGCTGCCCTGAACTTCGCCTATGTTGTTTCAATTTGTATGATGATTTTCATCTTTTTTTCTTTATAACTTTCGTTCCACTGGAGCAGCGAGAGTTGCGATGTAGAGAAACGATTATATCTGACTCTGTTTCTTGAAACTTATTTTCTTCGGAAACACCGCAATTTGCTTTGAAGCACATGACTAACTGTTTTTGTTAACAGAAAATGGAACCCTACGTTCTAAGCTCGTCGGAATGGTCACTAACAGAGATATTCAATTCCACCCGAATCTTGAGGATCCTGTCACTGCCATCATGACTACTGATCTTGTCACGGCTCCTGCTGGCACCACCTTGGCCAAGGCCAACGAGGTCCTCCGTAGCTCGAAGAAAGGAAAACTTCCCATTGTCGACGAGAACGGAAATCTCGTGTCATTGCTCTCGCGCAGTGATTTGATGAAGAACCTCCACTACCCTCTGGCTTCTAAGCTTCCCCAGTCAAAGCAACTGATCTGCGCTGCTGCCATCGGCACTCGCGAGGAAGATAAGTCTAGACTAAAGTTGCTTGTCGAGGCTGGTCTCGACATCGTTATCCTGGATAGTAGCCAGGGCAATAGCCTGTACCAGATCGAAATGATCAAGTACGTCAAGAAAACTTTTCCCGAGATTGATGTCATTGGCGGAAACGTCGTGACTCGGGAGCAAGCTGCATCGTTGATTGCCGCCGGTGTCGATGGCCTGAGAATTGGCATGGGCAGCGGCAGTGCTTGCATTACCCAGGAGGTCATGGCTGTTGGCCGTCCCCAGGCTGCAGCTGTGCGCAGCGTCTCTACCTTCGCTGCTCGCTTCGGTGTTCCTTGCATTGCTGATGGTGGTGTCCAGAATGTTGGTCACATTGTCAAGGGTCTTGCAATGGGCGCGTCCACTGTCATGATGGGAGGTCTCCTTGCCGGTACCACCGAGTCTCCCGGTGAGTACTTCGTTAGCAACGAGGGACAGCTCGTCAAGGCCTACCGTGGCATGGGAAGTATTGCCGTCATGGAGGACAAGAAGACCGGTGGCAAAGACCCCAAAGCTAGCAACGCCGGCACTGCCCGGTACTTCTCCGAGAAGGACAAGGTCTTGGTCGCCCAGGGTGTTTCGGGCTCGGTCCTCGATCGGGGTTCCATCACCAAGTTTGTTCCTTACCTCGTGGCGGGCATCCAGCACTCTTTGCAGGACATAGGTATGCAGAGCCTCGACGCTCTTCGCGACGGTGTGAACAAGGGCGTTGTCCGGTTCGAGCTGAGAAGCGGCAGCGCTCAGGCCGAGGGTAACGTCCACGGTCTGCACAGCTACGACAAGAAGCTCTACTCTTAAATGGTATGAGCACTACTTGATGTTGTGTAGTTATCACCGGGAGAATTTCTCTTCGGCAATAATTTATTGACGCGATGATACGTGGCGATATGTAAACTCAAAATAGTACGGGCATGAGGATTTGGAGTTTGATATGAGGATATATGCGGGGATCTTCTTTTGCTTCAGTTGCTATTCTTAGGCATTTCATGCTTATTATGATAAACATGAAATAGAATCCACATTGAATTTTAAACATGATCATATCTCTCTAAATCCCACATGGCAACGCGGGTCTAAACCCGAACCTGCATGCGGGGTACAACCCGGCTAGCCTAGGTTCATCCCAGTCATTGCCACGGTTGTAGCTATTCTCCCCTTCGTTATCATCGTATGAAGTTAGAGCCACTGCACCTCGGTTGTATCTGGGAGAAAGCCATGTTTGCCGCAGCACATGTGCCTAAAAGCACGACCATATTTTACAGGTTTCTATGCCCCAGCCATCGGAAAATTGTCCGAGATTGCGTCCTTATTGCAGGTTTCACGAAACCCCGGTTGTCTAAATGCTCTGCTGGGCAACTTCCTCGCAGAATGGCCTCATCCAGCGTAAAACTTTCGATGACATCTTCGCCTACTAAGTCGAGGTCAAAGCCGTCGGTGCCTAGGCCTAGTTCAAGGTTAGCCGATATATCTTCTGTCCGAGCCATTGCGGACATAACAAATCCAAAAGAAAATAAGAATTTGAAAATAATAACCCAACTGAAAAATGCAGCGTAATTCTCGTGTCTCCTAAGAATGAGATTCTTCTCCTTCACCGTGTCAAAACCTCGACATCGTTTGCGTCAGCCCACGTCTTCCCTGGGGGAAACCTCTCTAAACAGGATGGACCTTGTCCTCCTTCTAAGGACCCCAAAAGCCACGACGACGGTCCCTGGTACCGACATGCAGCACTCCGAGAACTCTTCGAAGAAAGTGGAATCCTACTAGCCAAGGACCAGGCCACTGGGAAGATGTTAGTTGTCCCGGAAGAGGAGAGAGAAAGAGGCCGACGGTCGATTCACAAGTATGAGACGACCTTCTCTGAATGGTTGAAAAAGCAGAATCCTGCGGCGATTCCTGATACAGGTATGACATTTGTCCACACCCACCTGGAGGCCGTCCGTCTTATGATGATTACTGAGCTAATTTGGTCTATCCAGAGCAACTGATCCCTTTCACGCGATGGATCACCCCTACGAATGCACCGAAGCGGTACTCCACGCAGATGTACCTGTACTTACTCCCTTTGCCTCTAGAATCGGAGAAGCCGCTTCTGGATGAACTCCCTCTGGAAGGAGAGCGAGAGGAGATCCAAGTCCCGTCAAGCGACGGCGGGATTGAAGTCACCGAAGCCATGTTCTTGCCTGCTTCGGAATGGCTTCGCATGGCTCGTCAAGGAGAGATCATACTATTTCCCCCGCAATTTCTCCTGCTCCATCTTGTGGCTCAATTCTTGGATATCGAGCCCCATTCAACGAGTTATAGCCTGGACGATTTGCAAAACCAACGAACCAAGTTAATCGACTTTGTACATTCAGGTAGTCCCCCATGGACTGAGAAATGCATATCTCCCAAGATGCTCAAAATGACATCTGATAACCGGACAGTCCTGGGCTTGGATCATCCTGGACCGGAACTGAAAGATACTGACCGACGAGGCGACCCTGACAGGGTTGTCCTGGTGCAGTTCACTCAAGGATCTACTCGAAATTTAGACGTGCGACGGAAGAAGGAGGTATTCTCCGGTCATCAAGAAAAGAAAAGCCATCTGTAGCAGTCCACCCTGAGAAACTATGTATATACGGAATAGAATCTACCTTAGAATTTGAATGTACCTTCCTTAGTAGAGCGAACGGATACCGAACCAAAGTTAGGGCACAGTATCGCCACAGCCCACCCTGTCGGCACACGGCCGTAGCCCTCGATAAGTGATCACATGACCCACACAACCGTCGACAGGAAACGCCCAAAAGAGACGGGGATTTTCACGACTGCCAAACCCGCCAGCGCACCGTCCGATTTCTCACCGTCGTCAACCTCAGACACTACCAACCGCCAAAATGGAGAACGAAAAGGGAGAGATTGTCGATCTGTATGTTCCTATCATCCATGCTGTTATTTTAAGACAAGGGAGAGAGAGCGAGATCCGATCCAACGATGAGGGAAGAATATGCATGACTTTGCGATTCACTGGGACATGGAGGAAAAGAAAGAGAAGGGGATGGAAAAGATATCGTCTCGTTGGAAGAAAATATCTCGACTAAATCATGGCATTTTCAACCTCGTCGTGTCAATTTTTATCCAGTTCCCGATCTACAATGACCGGGAGGGGATTAAAAACATTCATAAAGGAAATCGAGGATCGGATCATCGCAATCTCAATCTTAATGAGATAAACCCAGTACAAAAACCAACTGAATATCACTGACTCATTTTTTAACCAGCTACGTCCCCCGCAAGTGCAGCGCCACCAACCGCATCATCAAGGCCAACGACCATGCCTCCGTCCAGATCTCCGTCGGCCAGGTTGACGAGAACGGTCGCTACACCGGTGAGAACCAAACCTATGCTCTCTGCGGTTTCATCCGTGCTCGTGGCGAGAGTGACGACTCCCTGAACCGCCTCGCTCAGCGTGACGGCTACCTCAAGAGCGTGTGGTCCGCCAACCGTGCGCGGTAAATTAAAGGATTACGGTGTTTTTCGGTGCGGATTGGTGGTGGGGAATCTTGATGGTAAGAATAGAACCTTGGATTTTATCTCTGTATGGATATAGCTGACGGGTTATATACAGGATCAGAAGATGTGTGCCGCGTTTGATGGGTTATACATCGGAGATATGATTAAGATTAAAAAATGAAAGCAAAATTTCATACAAATCCAATCCATTTATCTATTCCATTTCCTTTATTATTATTCCTATACGTTTCCTATTGATACCTGTCTACCTTGAAAGCTGTATCATGCATTGTCGCCAGACATCATTGTAATTTTCCTTTTTATTGCTCAGTCGGCAGATCAAACCTCCTCACCCACTCTCGGATTGAATATCTCAAGTATTTATCTGATTGCCCATGAGCGAGGAGGTAGAAAAGTAATCATCACCTGCCGAATATCACAAACTCGCCTTCTGAAGAGCCACTGCTGCAGAGAAGCGCACTGGGGCACAGATACGGGCGGGACATCCTAGGTCTTATAGATCGATCGCGTAAAGTCAATCGAGATAAAAATAGTTGTCAATATGATTCATTTTGTTTATTTGTTATTCCTTTTATATTTTATAAGACATTCCTATAGTCCTGAGGTCCGTATCTCGTAATCTGACTCGGTGCAACATAATCATTTCTTTTCTGGATTTGGATATAGTTCTATCATCCACTTTGATTTCTCTTGTTTACGATAAAATTTCCTCCCTTTCACCCCCTTCCGTATAAACTTAGTCCCTTTCTAATCTAACGGCAGGGTTGGTTTCGATGAAGTTGAGGTCAACTTTGTGGCCCAGGAGTTCTCGAATATTGCTGACACCATATCTGTGATACTAAGTTAGTCGTTTGTCCTGCGCCGGTTTGCCAACGTCACTTACTTGATCATAGTCGGTCTCTCCAAACTTAGACCCCATCCGTACACCCTCATGTCCTTGGGAAGACCCATTGGCTCCAACATCTCCGGTCGGAACATACCACTGTTTCCGATCTCTACCCACTTGCCCAGTCCCTCGTGGTAACCGAAGATTTCCATACTAGGCTCGGTGTAGGGGTTGTACGCAGGCTTGAAGCGCAGATGATGGATGCCCATCTTAGCAAAGAAGACTTCCATGAATCCGATCAGACCACCCAGGGTGAGTCCGAAATCAGCAATAACACCCTCAATTTGGTGGAACTCTGCCAGGTGAGTGGCATCAACTGCTTCGTTCCGGAACACTCGGTCGATACTGAAGTATCTCGCAGGTCGCGGGTTGGCTGCAAGTTTGTGCAACATGTATGTTGACACTGACGTTGTGTGCGTGCGAAGAACCAACCGTAAGGACTCATCCGCATTCCATGGGTAGCGGTAGCCAATCGACCCATACTTGCCATTTTCATGGACCTCGCGCACGTCCTCCCAGTATTGTTTGTAGTCAAGCGGCTTCTTTGCAACCGCACTCGCGGCAGGCAGGACGGATTTCGGACGGTGCGGGTCGTTTTCGGGGTCCTCACGGGGAGGGTCTGCCTTGACAGGATCTGAGATATAAAATGTGTCTTGGAGATCACGGGCGGGGTGTTGCTGAGGCACATAGAGAGCGTCGAAGTTCCAGAAACCCGTCTCCACGAAGCGGTTTGTGGGCATCTCCTCGAAGCCCATTTCAAAGAAAATATTCCGGAATTCCTGTCGCACCTTGTTCAAAGGGTGGAAGGCACCAGAAGGAGTGGGGGCACCCTTGGCCTTGAAGTTGTAGGGCTTTAGTTGGGCCGTCTTCCACGACCCGTTCATGAGCATCTCGGCCGTAAGATCCGTCTCCTCCTTGACGAATTCTTTGGCATATTTAGTACCCTTTGAGATCTTGAATGTGATGACTTTCTGTAAGGCAACCAGTTTCCGTCGCTTCAAGTCCGAAAGGGCCTTCTGGTCATCCAGAGTCTGGGTTCGCTCGATCGTCAACAACTGCTCTCGAGTCTCATCAACAATGGACTCAGTAGTGGCCCGGAGCACGGCACCGTCCTTCTTGATCCAGCCTCGCTTGAAGGCATTGCCCTGACCAACTTTGGCGTTATCCTTTCCAACGATTCCCGGCAAGTCGCCAATCTTCAGCCCATCCAAAGCAGCCAGCACTGCCTCGAAGACTTTGGCCTCGTGACTGCCATTGGCAGCGATCTCTTGACCTTCTCCTGTCAAGACAGCTACTTCTCGTTCCACTGTGTCATACTCGACCATCTGTCGGGAGGATAGGCGATCGAGCGCACTCTTGATTGTCACTGAGGGGATGGAGGGGAAGGCTTCATTGGACAGTATGGGCGCATCGGACGCGGACAGGGCTCCCAAAACGGGATTCGTCATATCGGACGCCATGGCTACCATTGTGGGCCACAGAGGATCGACGGAGAAGGAAAGGAAAGCTGCACAGAAGACAGGGAGCGGGGTGTGGTTATCGAGCAGACACTGCCCACTTTCCGAATTGTGACTCTTTCGAAATCACGGTGGCCGGGATGGGCCAGAGACGCTATTTGGTGACTTAGTCCCACTGTCTTTTTTGTTTTTAGATAGAATCTTCCAACAGAAAGTCCTCTAGGGCCTGTGGCGCAACGGTAGCGCGTTCGACTCCAGATCGAAAGGTTATCGGTTCAAATCCGGTCGGGCTCACACTCTTCTTTCACACCCCCCTTTTTTTTTTGTTATTTTATCCATTGAATGAATGAATGGACGTACAGGAATGACTGGACTCGCCGCCTACCTAAGGGTGCGGAGGACGAGCTTCTGGCCTAACTAAGTCTTCTGCTTTAAACTCGCAAAGGAATCCTCATGTACTTTCCTCATGTCATCCCATATGCATACATTCCATCTAATTCCTAACCAATACCTGAAAGTTAACTTGTTCATTTTCTAGTATTTACCTCTAAACTCTGGCACTGGTGTTATTTACTTAATTTCAATCATTCGGGGATACTTGGTTTCAGTGTCCTTAGTCGCTTTTTAATCCAGTAGGGTTTTTGTTGGAACTTAAGGCAAAAAAAATACTTCGACTTCGATTCCCCATTCGAAATAGGAAAGGAGGACCTCTCGATGAGTCTATGATTGTCGTTCGTAGGAACTGAAGTTTCCTGAAGGATGATGAATATAAGAACAATCAGTCAACATTCGCGCAGCCACCCGACTATGAAGGGGGATTGTCCGACAGAGAGAGCCCTCTTGTCCTCATTCAAAATGGCAATGCGGTTTCCTTCGACAATCTTGTGCTATTTAGAATCCCTTCTTAGGTTAAGGTCGTACACATCTAGCTTATATTAAGAGTATGGCATACAACTCATGTATGCCTACTCATCCACTGCCACTATATCCTCTTATATTACCAATAAATCACAACATGGTGTCATTCCCTTATAATAAATACTACAGATAGGGTACACTAGCTAACCACTAATGTTGTAAGAATAATACTATAATGAGTTACGAGCAATAAGGGTGGCTGGTTTCTACTCACTGTCTATTGTTTTTATTCTTAGTTTCTGTTTCTGGGCTTGTCTCTTATTTCTCCTTCTCAATTGTACATAGAAGGCGCAAAACCATATTGTTGTCCGGAAGGCGTGGAGAGACTGCAGGGCTGGATAATATTTTCGGCACACCTAACTGTTAGCTAGGTATTATTCCCACGGATTTGTGGTGTCCCTTTGATTTCTTAAGCTAGCGTACTATCACAAATCATACATCGAAAACGCTTATGACATGTAAACATATATATTTGCACATTGGGAACAAAATTTGTATTGCGAAGAACAAAGCAATTGTCAGACCCAAGAAGCACTGCCATACCCAGAGGCAGACTACTGCATATCACACTCCTTGGCCTGCATTATCTTAAATTTCCGAATCACAACGTCCCGAAGTCGTTTGCATTTTATTTAATACAGGCTGGACGTAGGTACTATACATTATTAGCATCAATATAGACTTTGTATTGATTATATAGGGATACGGTAAATTAAATACAGCCAGTAGCAGAACGACTATGGTCATTGAACGAGAAAGTAAGAAATACAGACCAGGAATCCAGATAGCTACTGGATTCACAAAACTTATCAGCATGCCCATGCGCCTCAACCCGCTCCTTTAAAACCTCGAGATCTTACAACTCGAGGAAACCACCAAAATGGAAAGGTCCAGTGGGGCCACCTTGAGACACCTGACTTAATTGGTCCTCTAGTCACACAAGCGACCTTTAAGTCTGGACTAAGACGCTGTTGGTGAATCTTGGTTCTGATTAGCATGTATAGGAAGGTACTCGTAGGTACCTATCCGGGGACTAACTGTATTACAGTTACTATACACAAATTCAACCCATCCATACCACGGTCTTACCAGAACCGTTGGAACGAGGGATACCTAAGGAGTATGTTGCTTGGGATATCAAGAACCCTTGAGATCTGCCATCAAGGCCCGACATTCAAGAAATAATGAACATAATAAGTTTATATACCTAATAAGGTACTTCGTACAATATGGACCTTGTACCCATGTAGTAGATACACATGTGCCGCGTATCAGAGCCAAGAGACTGACAGAGTCATCCATGTTCATCCATCTGCCCATCTACCGGGTCACACCTGAAGTTGATGCATGTGGTATGTACAGAGTATGTATGTAGGTGACCTTCAAGCCCCTGCACTTCCGGACCAGGCCTTCATGTCTTCTGATTAGTTTTGGTGCTTCTGATTGGAGTCTGGCTCTTTTCAACATATTCACCGTCATAACTCTCACCCCTGCCTCGCGCTTCCCCTCTATTGACCATAGACATGAACTAGTGCTATGGTGTGTGGTAGGTGGTAATTATCGGGGCCGAGTCTATTCCGTACTAGCTGGAGCCATTGACTGCCACTACTTGAGTGGTTTTGGGGGGATCAACTCACACCCACGCTTATATTTACACACGCAGATGTGGGATGGTGGCGTAATTTTTATTCAGGCGTAAAATAGAAACTTGATTAATTTTACATGAAAGGGTCTCGGCGTCTGAAAGAAATAAACTCTTGACTGTCTGCCTACCTATTCTGGACCCATCGATTAAGCCTCCTCAAGGAGAATGTAAAATTCTGAAATTAGATTTCATGAAGATAGGAAACAGGTAAATTACAAAACCAGAATGGGGCTCGGCTCGAATCCCCGTGCGTTCCAGAAAGTTTACACTGGCTGTGGAGGTTGTGGCTGCAACTGCCTTGCGGCATCAATTTTCCCAGGTATTTACTTAACTCCACGCACTGCAAACCTGCCGCAATAACCAAGGTTGAAGGTGTCGAGTGAGACACGAGTTTACAGGAAGGATTCCACTTACTGATATAATTAGTTGTTTCTTGGAGAATGGAGACTTCCTATGATTGAATGCTAGGACTTTTCTCTACCAAGGATTTAGAGCATGAGCGATGGGGCTTTCCAATTGTTTCTATCTTTATTGGGCCCAGTCAGCATGAGAGACCCCCACAATTTCATCCAGAACAACCATTGAAGAAGAGAGAAATAAGGGTGTTAGATTGGACTAGTTAGTGCGTACGCAGTACATCTTAGTGGTCTCTCACCGTCAGAGCTGGAGGAAATCAGTAAAAAGCAGGGGTTGTATGTAATGCACAATTTACTGCTCTTGAATTGTGATTTTGGTCTATCGGAATGACTAGAAAAAGGTTCCTTGGATAGCTACAATACATAGAAACATTATATGGAGTTCAATATATTCAATTTAATTATGATTATTTGATTATTTCTATTGCACCTTAAGTGGTACCCGTACAATTAGCCAAGTAAATTGCATAGGTAGTTAATTGGAACAATTAATTATGGGTAGTGGACATGGAATACCTAGATACTTACTAAGCTGCTTGATTCTTCAATTACAATAGAACACGAAGGTAGGCTTCAAGATCTGTCATCTTTTAAGATTCTATTACATTGTTATTTTATTTTATTTTATTTATTTTTCTCCTTTGATTCCGTGCCTTCACCATCCTTGCACGATCCGAACTTTATAAATAGGGGTTTTTTTTTTTTTGGTTTCAAAAAAGTAAAGAAAAATCACCAAAAAAAAGAATACTCCGTATTTCCCTCAGCGAGTAGAAGCAGACCAGCCTAACCCCTCCCATTCAACAATTTATTATTATTTCCATTATTATTACCATTCTTTTATAATTTACTCCGTACAGTTCACAGTACATTTGGTAAATCCATTCCTCACCTCCTTAACTTCTCTCGAACGCTGACTGATCACTCCCCACTGTTCCGACCAATCCCATCCCCGTCGGACGCTCCCCCCTTCCAGTATTTTCATCCACCGTTTTTGATCTTTTCTTTTCTTGAACGAACCTCGTTCGTTTTCTTCCCCGCCCGATCGGACTTGTCGTGCCCATACCTCTTTACTTACTATCCTTACTAAATATCCTTATTATCGTGCTGTTCCCGAAATCAATTCCTACTCCCCCCTGCCCACAAATCCACCAGAATCCTGGCCCTTTCTTGCTCTCCACCAGACTCCCCCATGTCGTCCTAGCAGACTCGTCCGATCATTCATTCTTGTCAGTACCACGGCTTCCTGTTAGGTAGGTGCATCGTCGACCATCTCGCAACCATCGTTTTTAATTTTCTACTCTCTTTCCTCGCTCTTCTCTTCCCTCGTGAAAATTTCCCATCTTCCTCTTTGTCTTCATCCCAATCTTTTTCACTATCGCCTTTAATTTCCGTTTTCTTCGACCACCTCTCTCTTTTGGATTTATATTTTTTCGCTCCTTCGCTTATTCTCTTTCGTCTACCTCTCCCCTTCCCATAGTCTTCCTTTGTACCTTTCGAGATAGCTGGCTTTGGTCGCACCTCGATAGTCTCGCTCCTCTCCTCTGATTCCTGATTCCCGGAGTCACCCCCCCCCTTTTTTTTTTTAATATTTTTTTTCTTTTTTAAAAAAAAAAAAATTTAATAAGGCCCCCTTCTAATATACTGAACCTCATTCCTTGTTCTTCACTATTTCTGAATCCGTTCTCATCGTGTTTTATCTAGACGAAATTGGGCGAGAGGAAGAACGGAGCAAAACACCGCAAAAACAAAAAGACCAAAAGAAAAAGCATCGAAAAGCCTTTACGTCATCCATACTTATGTCCGATTTTGATTGAGTCGTCCTAGGGCACAATGGCTGGCGTGGACGAAACACTCGCGGCCGCTGCTGCCATCCTACAAGGTCTCGCCAGAGAGACCCCTCGCTCCGGCTCCTCTCCTCCTTTCGACTTCCAGTTCTCCCAACCTCCCGCCAACGGCTACGACGCAAAACTATCCAAGTTGCCAGGAGATCCAAGTGCAGCTAAGACCACCTTTGAAAATGAGTTGGAGGCGTTAATCCGTCGGGTTCATCACCTGGAATTCCAATCTGTCAGTCACCAGACACCCCCTGGAGTTTTCCCTGAAATCTCTGTGTCTTCCCTCAACCAAACTGGGAAGGAACCTGATTTCCTGTGGTCGTTTGGTCTTTCTCGCTCGTCGTCCCGGAAAGGTTCTAACTCTTGCATCTTACAGCAGCAAAATCCTCAGCAACACCAACCGATAAGTCGACCGCCCCCTAGAACTCAAGCGCGTGAAGATGACGTTGAAGAAGAGGAATCAGATGAAGAGGAAGACTCGGAGTCGAGAACTCGGTTGGTGCGCGAGGAGGATATCAGCTACCTACGGAATCATGTTCAGAAGCAGGCGGAGGAAATAAGTTTCCAGAAAGACATCATTGCCCAAGTCCGTGATGAGCTCCTGCAACAAGAGGAGCAGACACGGCGGGCTCTGACCAAGGTCGAAAACGAGGATGTCGTCTTACTGGAGCGCGAATTACGCAAGCACCAGCAGGCCAACGAGGCTTTCCAGAAGGCGCTACGAGAAATCGGTGGCATCATTACACAGGTAGCGAACGGTGACCTGTCGATGAAGGTGCAGATCCACCCTCTGGAGATGGACCCTGAAATCGCCACTTTCAAACGTACAATCAATACAATGATGGATCAATTGCAGGTCTTTGGTAGCGAGGTGTCTCGAGTTGCACGGGAGGTCGGAACAGAGGGTATCCTTGGTGGCCAAGCTCAGATTACGGGGGTCCACGGTATCTGGAAGGAACTCACCGAGAACGTCAACATCATGGCCAAAAACCTCACGGATCAAGTGCGTGAGATTGCTGCTGTTACCACTGCTGTCGCCCATGGAGATCTGAGCCAAAAGATCGAGAGTCGAGCCCAGGGTGAAATCTTGGAGCTACAGCAGACTATTAATACCATGGTGGACCAGCTTCGTACATTCGCGACCGAGGTTACCCGCGTGGCCCGCGACGTTGGTACAGAGGGTGTTCTGGGTGGACAAGCCCAGATTGAAGGAGTTCAAGGCATGTGGAACGAGCTCACCGTTAATGTCAACGCCATGGCGAATAATTTAACGACTCAAGTGCGAGATATTGCAACTGTCACGAAGGCAGTAGCTAAAGGTGACCTGACCCAGAAGGTCCAGGCTAACTGCAAAGGAGAAATCGCAGAATTGAAGAACATCATCAATTCCATGGTTGATCAGCTCCGGCAGTTTGCCCAAGAAGTTACCAAGATTGCCAAGGAGGTCGGCACAGATGGTGTCCTTGGCGGTCAAGCCACTGTTAATGATGTGGAAGGCACCTGGAAAGATTTAACCGAGAATGTCAACCGGATGGCCAACAATCTCACTACCCAGGTCCGGGAGATTGCCGACGTCACTACGGCTGTCGCAAAGGGCGATCTTACTAAGAAGGTCACTGCCAATGTCCAGGGTGAAATACTAGACTTGAAGAGCACAATCAACGGCATGGTGGACCGGCTGAATACCTTCGCTTTTGAAGTCAGTAAGGTCGCTCGCGAGGTCGGCACAGACGGCACGCTGGGTGGCCAAGCCAAGGTGGACAATGTGGAGGGCAAGTGGAAGGATTTAACTGACAATGTCAACACCATGGCTCAGAATTTGACTTCTCAAGTCCGCAGTATATCGGATGTCACACAGGCGATTGCTAAGGGTGACCTGAGCAAGAAAATTGAAGTACATGCCCAGGGGGAGATTTTGACCCTCAAAGTGACTATCAATCACATGGTGGACCGGTTGGCTAAGTTTGCAACTGAGCTGAAGAAGGTCGCTCGTGATGTTGGAGTCGACGGAAAGATGGGTGGTCAAGCCAACGTCGAAGGAATTGCTGGAACTTGGAAGGAGATCACCGAGGACGTAAATACAATGGCTGAAAACTTGACCTCTCAGGTTCGTGCATTTGGCGAAATCACGGACGCCGCAACCGATGGCGATTTCACCAAACTTATCACCGTCAATGCATCCGGGGAGATGGACGAATTGAAGCGGAAGATCAACAAAATGGTTTCGAACCTTCGGGATAGCATCCAACGAAACACAGCCGCCAGAGAGGCCGCTGAACTGGCGAATCGCACAAAATCCGAATTCCTGGCGAATATGAGCCATGAAATCCGAACACCTATGAATGGTATCATCGGAATGACGCAACTGACATTAGACACGGATGACCTGAAGCCTTATACCCGGGAGATGTTGAACGTAGTGCATAACCTGGCAAACAGTTTGCTGACAATCATTGACGACATACTCGATATCTCGAAGATCGAAGCAAATCGTATGGTTATTGAAAGCATTCCGTTTACAGTCAGGGGCACGGTCTTCAACGCACTTAAAACGTTAGCGGTGAAGGCGAACGAGAAATTCCTCAGCCTGACCTATCAGGTCGACAACACCGTACCGGACTATGTTATCGGTGACCCTTTCCGTCTTCGCCAGATTATCCTCAATTTGGTCGGCAATGCCATCAAATTCACGGAACATGGAGAAGTTAAGCTCACCATTCGCAAGTCAGACCGGGAGCAGTGTGCAGCGAATGAATACGCTTTCGAATTTTCTGTGTCAGATACGGGCATCGGCATTGAGGAGGATAAGCTCGATCTCATTTTTGACACCTTCCAGCAAGCCGACGGCTCGACGACGCGGAGATTCGGTGGAACTGGCCTGGGCTTGTCCATTTCAAAACGGTTGGTGAACTTGATGGGTGGTGATGTTTGGGTGACCTCTGAATATGGTCATGGTAGCACATTCCACTTCACGTGTGTGGTAAAACTTGCCGATCAATCCTTGAACGTAATTTCCTCTCAACTCTTGCCATACAAGAACCACCGGGTACTATTCATCGACAAGGGAGAAAATGGTGGACAGGCAGAGAACGTCATGAAGATGCTCAAACAAATCGATCTGGTGCCGTTAGTTGTTCGGAATGAAGACCATGTTCCACCCCCGGAGATACAAGATCCATCCGGCAAAGAGTCGGGCCATGCGTACGATGTCATCATCGTGGATTCGGTGGCCACGGCTCGGTTGCTTCGGACCTTCGATGATTTCAAATATGTTCCCATAGTTTTGGTCTGTCCGCTGGTTTGTGTAAGCCTGAAGTCCGCCCTGGATTTGGGAATCAGCTCCTACATGACCACACCATGCCAACCAATCGATCTGGGCAATGGCATGCTCCCGGCTCTTGAAGGACGTTCCACACCAATTACTACCGACCATTCCCGTTCATTTGACATTCTGCTTGCTGAAGATAATGATGTTAACCAAAAACTGGCTGTGAAGATCCTCGAGAAACACAATCATAATGTGTCCGTTGTTAGCAATGGCCTGGAGGCTGTTGAAGCTGTCAAACAACGTCGCTATGATGTTATTTTGATGGACGTCCAGATGCCCGTCATGGGTGGCTTTGAAGCCACCGGGAAGATCCGAGAATACGAGAGGGAGTCGGGATCAAGTAGAACGCCGATTATCGCACTCACAGCGCATGCAATGTTGGGCGATCGAGAGAAATGCATACAGGCTCAGATGGACGAGTACCTTTCGAAGCCGCTGAAGCAGAATCAAATGATGCAGACCATTCTCAAATGTGCCACTCTGGGTGGTTCGCTTTTGGAGAAGAGCAAGGAGTCGCGAATTTCTAGTAGCGGTGAAATGCACCCGGTCCATCACACGAGCTCTGACAGCAAAAGCCCTCGCCCGAGCGTGGAACCTAGATCAATTACCGCAACAAGCACCGTGAATCGGAGTGGCATTGCGGGCCCCAGCGCTGAGAATGGCGAGGATCTGTCCATGGAAAGGGTAAATGCTCATGATCCTCAAATACAATAAGTTGAGATATGCTAACGTCGTGAATAGGCACTGTTGCGATCCAACAGCTCGTGAGACGCTCTAAAGATATGCTTTCGCTTTTTCCCCCTTCATTTTCCGAGTGACATTGATGCCAACTTTATACCCTATTTGCGCGTCGTAAGAATTGCTCTTTCGCAAGTGCTCTACTGCTTCCGTCTTTGGATGTTCTTGATTTATATTATTTCGGGAAACTAATCTTCTCTCGATTCTCTAACCCTATCTTGAAACTCTCCGTCCTCCGCCTCTCGCTATTCTCTATACCTCTCTATCTCTTTTTGTTTGTCTGTCTCCTTTATTCTCTATCTCCTCTTGTGATGTCATTGGTCAATTCCTACCCAAGCATATGTTTGTCGCTGGTATATTGTCGACGGTTCAAACAACGGCCTTATTTACATTTCTTGTCGGATCGTATTATATTGTTTTTTGTTTGGTTTCGGATGCTGTTTATGTGTCTCTGGTGTAAGGTGTTTGGCGCATGGAACCATCGAGGTCCTTCCAAATAAACCTGCGTATGGGATGGAGACAAATATGGGCGAGTTAAGCCAATTTGCCGAGGATTCCAGTATCCTCCCTGCTGGATGCATACTACTGTTTTTTCGTTTTCAACCTCTCATCTAACACACCCTTTTGATCACGCATGTCCCTGCATCGGGTTTCTTGTTTCATTCCAATTTGTATTGTATTTAATTCCTTTCTCTTCCGTTTTTCATAACTACAGATGAAAGTTTTGGCTTGGAGTCAGGAAGCTCCTCCGCCATCGATCTCTTTCCGTTGCCATTTCTCTTATATTATCATTTGCGTGAAACGTCATTTGGCATGTATGGGTCGCCTACCACCCGCGAAACGAATATATGACCATCATGGCATCGGATAGAATAAAAATACTATGATCAAAACAGTCAAAACATAAGATTTCAATCCTAGTAGTTCCATTCCTATTATTTATCAACGGCGAAGCAAATAGACCAGGAGTATTGAGCCATGTTATTAAGACATAAATGAAGCAGATTAAACTGTTTCCCCTTGGACAGAAGATAACGCCGAGGGTACAGCCGTTCGTTCGTCAACGATACGTTCTCAAGTGTTGGGTGGTTATGCTTTTTTCCTCTTTATAGCCAGTGGCGAGGTGTCGTGGTCTCGACATTTCTTTTATACACCCGACGGTCCTTCGGATGTTGAAGCAGACGCAGATGGTGTCTGCTCTGAAGTGCTGGAAACTAGGGTGGGTGTAGTAGATTGGACTGGACTGCCGCTGCTTGGAGAGCGGGCAGGTGTACTGGTTGGACGCGGACCGATGCTGCTGCCCCTGCCTCCTCCAGTGGGGGTGCTGCTAGGCATCCTCGATGAAGATGCGGTCGGGACGTGGATAGAGACGGTTGAAAATGTGCGCGACGAGGATCCTGGAATACCACCGCCGCCAGCGCCGGCTCCGGCTCCGGCTCCGCCAGGTTGACCACCAGCCCCTGGGGCTCCGCTTGGGCAGGGTGTTGGACACGGAGGACATGGTTGTCCGCCTCCTGCGCCTCCTGCTCCTCCTGCTCCTCCTGCTCCTCCTGCTCCTCCTGCTCCTCCTGCTCCTCCTGCTCCTCCCGCTCCTCCCGCTCCTCCCGCTCCTCCTGCCCCCCCTGCTCCTCCTGCCCCCCCTGCTCCTCCTGGACCAGCACCACCTTGGCATCCTGGAACGCTACCTGATTGGCAAGATGGGCAAGACGGACATGGATGGACACCCTGACCGGCACCTCCTTGGCCAGCACCGCCGCCAGCACCAGCGCCTCCACCAGCTCCTTGACCGGCACCTCCGCCAGCGCCCTGACCAGCACCTCCGCCGGCACCTTGACCAGCGCCTCCACCGGCACCAGCACCTCCACCAGCTCCTTGACCAGCACCTCCGCCAGCACCTCCGGGACCACTACCACCTTGGCATCCTGGACCGCCACCGGATGGGCAAGATGGGCAAGACGGACATCGCTGGCCACCTTGACCGGCACCTCCTTGACCGGCACCTCCACCACCACCGGCACCTCCACCACCACCGGCACCTCCACCACCACCGGCACCTCCACCACCACCGGCACCTCCACCACCACCGGCACCTCCACCACCACCGGCACCTCCACCACCACCGGCACCTCCACCACCACCGGCGCCTCCACCACCACCGGCACCTCCACCACCACCGGCGCCTCCACCACCACCAGCGCCTCCACCGGCACCAGCACCTCCACCAGCTCCTTGACCAGCACCTCCGCCAGCACCTCCGGGACCACACCACCTTGGCATCCTGGACCGCCACCAGATGGGCAAGATGGGCAAGACGGACATGGATGGCCACCTTGACCGGCACCTCCACCAGCTCCTCCACCGGCACCTTGACCAGCGCCTCCGCCAGCGCCCTGACCAGCACCTCCACCGGTACCTTGGCCAGTGCCTCCACCGGCACCTTGACCAGCGCCTCCAGTGGTGCCACTGGGACACGAAGTCAGACAAACTGTAACGGTAGTTGTGACTTGACTAGGACATGGAGGGCAGGAAGGAACTCCCGAGTGGGTCATGGATGTTGGAGAAGTCGAGACCCTGGTCCGAGATGGCCCTGAGGTAGGAACAGGGCTAGAGGGCCCGCCCCTAGTAGGTGTACCAGTAGGCGATGCAGTCGTCAAAGCCGAACTGTTTGACGTCGGTACAGCCGTGACATCATGGATGAATGTCCATGAAGCAGTAACTAAGATAAAAATGTTTGTCAAAGGTGACATTCTTGGTTCGAAAGACTGCCTCAGAAGAGGGTATTGTAGAGGATGAGAAGGGAAGGAGTGATTTAGCAGGGGAAGGGGGGTTTTATTTGGAGTATGATGATCTCTGTATGTCATTAGAGAATTATGTTGTGTGGAATAATAACTGTCCTATAGGAATTCGTCGGACATCAGTAATGATGACGCTCTGTGGAAATCATCTTTGTGAGTAGGGTCCATGACCGCCGTCTATGGATTTGTTGGGCACCTTCTAGGTTTCCGGAGGACATTTCCGAGTAATTATGGTTTAACAATTAGGTGCGTCTTATTTTGATTTTGTAGTAATAGGTAATTCTCCTGTCTTTTAGACGGGAGGGGTTTTTTTCCGCCGCAAAGAAAGACTTTTTTTTGGTCATGAACAGCTATTCCTTGGAGATATTCAAGCTCTGAAACTTGTGGATTTGCATCGTTCCCGCTTATCTATCTTCAGTAAAGTGCCCAAGGCTCGCGCCAACCAACGTGGATAATCTTCACTGCGGTAACACAGGCAAGACCAAGAGTGTAGCAGCAAGTAGTGAAGACAATAAGTCCCCAGTACTCTCCATTACAGCGAGAAAGTATCTCGCCTGCAATCGGAATGCCAGTAAGCGTACTATACGTATCCACAGTTGTTAGATTGCACTCAGCAGCTATGTCTGCTAGGAGGAACGCCATGGATGGCTTCTCACTTACCCAAAGCTTACGATCGTGTACGCTGTAGCGTAGTATCTCCCGTAATTTTCGATCTTGCACAGTTGCGATATACAAACCGGTGTGAGGCTGATATTGCTGCCGCTGGAGAAGCCAAATAAAACACAGTATACTATCATCACTGGAACGCTGTCACCAGCAGGAAGCCACAGACATGCGTTGCAAACGAGGCACAGAGCCACTGTACCGATAAGGGTATTAAAACGCCCAAGGTAGTCAGCGACAAAGCCTGGAATCCATCTTCCGAAGAAAGATCCCGCATTGAGAATGGCCACCATTTGATACGATAGTCCATTAGACACTCCATGAGCCAAGGCATAAGAAGAGATATATGTGATTGGGACGAAAAGGCCCCATTCCACAAAAAAAATTCCTGCGGTTGTGAGAGCGAACTTGGGCTCCCGGAAGATCAGAAAGTCGGGGAGGACATTCTCCCTGGAAGTGGGTTTCTTGGGCAGACGAGACTTGATCAGAAGGCAAGCAACTACTACCAATACTAGGCAGATCAGCGCAACTACTCGAGTCGCCCACGCCCAGCCAATAACGGGAAATAACCGTTCGAGAATGAGTGGGAATGTAACTCCCCCAACAGAGCCTCCAGTTGCAGCCAGGCCTGTCGCAACACCGCGCTTCTCGTTAAAATAGTGGCCAATAGCTGATATTGCCGGGGTAAAGATCAGGGATGCTCCAATGCCACCGGCGATGCCAATTACGAGCATAAAATGCCAGTACTGAGTGCAAAACCCCAAAGCAATCATCATCACCATGATCAAGACCGATCCCGCAAAGACAAGAAACCGGGGGCCTTTGGCATCAAATATCGGGCCAATTTGGACACCACAAAAGAAAGTTAGAAAAGCATACATGCCAAAAATCCAACCAATTTTTCCGGGGCTATATTCTTTCAGTTGATGGTCTTCAAGATACGCCTGAAAAGTACCAATGGTGTTGACCAAGCCAAGGGAGCCGAAAAGGCCCATCCAGCTCCCAAAGACTACCAACCAAGCCTCCAATCCACCCTCAGGGTAGGTATTTCCATCGGCGTCAGTAGTCACACGGCTCATAGGGGTTCTATGCGTGGAGTGGTCCGATGGATGGTCTTCAGATGACTGTCTGTTGAGACTATTTTCAAAGTTTGTTTGTCTATCGGATGGTTGGTAGTAGCCAGGCTGTACATACGACTGTACTTGTTTTTCGGCATCATTCGATAGCGATCTGTCATACGGGATAACGCTGGATGGTGTTCCATGGGCGGCAGTGGTATGCTTCTCTGACGGTGAAGAAGGCACTGGGATTTCGGTCTGAGTCGAAAGATTCTTAGATGCGTGTGGCTCTATCCTATCCGTATTAGAGTTACCAATAGGTCTGGCGTTTGCGGACATGTCAGTATAGACAGAGAGCGGACGTGGACCACGGTTAACCTTCTTCCTTTACCACACTCTGCCTTTTTTCCGTTTCCTTTTCTCCCTGGGTAGAAATACGAAAGAAAAAGGTTAAACGAGGACTCAGACGTTGAGACGCCAATATTGTTAAGAAACAGTGTAAAAGAAAGCGGCAACGATTCTATAAGTAAGGCCTGAAAGCACAAGCAGACATTCCTGACAAGTAGTATCAGAGACCTTATGGGGGATGGCGTGGGCTTCGTGTCCCTAGTGGAGAGGATTTTTTTGCCTTTTTCTCTCTTGTTCGAGTTCTCCTCCCGGCGGAACGTGTCTTATTGGCGAGCTGGGTGTTGACTAGCAGATGGGTAAATGGCGTCTTTTTTTTTTTTTTTTTTTTTTTGCACACCGTCTTCAGGGTGCTTCCCCGCGATGTCTTGGAGGCACTAGACAGTATAGGGAAGGTCCGTCGAGAACTAATGAGTAAGCAAGATGGAGAGAGAAGCAGACGCTAATTGAATGCGTATTGAATGGGTATAGTAGAAAAGATTCAGCAGAATCAATTCCATCAGAAGATAAACCAGTGCCGTTGAGCATCGTGAAGATATAGCTCCTGTAAAGCACAAAGCTGGATGCTGGAAACAGCCCTGCGGGTCACAGGAAGGAACCATAATTGGTAGACGAGGGAGGTATGCATCGTAAATTAATAATCCCTGATTAGAATAGATCTTTCTTAGGCAATGAAATCGGTCGTCTTCCAGGGGGTCTATAATAGTCGGGAGAAATATGCAGAGTCCGTGGAACTTGTGACGGAGAGAATGGGGAGAGATCAGGTGACAGCAACGTGACTGGTGGAGTTGATCGATTCTTCTATCAATTAATTAACCATTAGTTATATTAGTTATTAGTTAATTCGTATTATACTCTGTAAGGCTTATCTTGCCTGTAGAAGTCTTTTAACCTCTACCAGTAGGCATTCTTATTGATGATCTGCTTTACCTCTACTCTGTACAAGACTTTTGTTTCTTGCTATATTCTGGACAGCTTTTTCTTGGAGGGATCGTCCCTGTGTTTGGTATTAACATCAGTGCTCTGTATTTGGCCATTCTCTTTAATATAATAGAGAGTATTCCATAAGGTGTGAGATATCTTCCAGTGAAATTTTTTGGTCTCCATTTAATCATTCCGACCCGCTCTTATCGTATTGGCCTGAGGTTACATCGCTCGAACACCTGATCAGTGGACTTTCCATCTTCCGCTTCAACCGTCTTCATGCCCGTTTTCTATCAACAATTCTGCAGAACTCGCCTTGTCTCCCTCATCTTCATTTCGACTCTTGTGGACAGTAATTAATATGGGATGGATGGCAATGAAGCAGTCCTATTGAAATCCTAGATGGAAGCAATCTCCACTATTTTCTACCCCAAAGCTTAGCCCCTCCAAGCTCTAAACTAGCCTACCGAGCTAGCCGGGGGTTGACACGGAGGACTCCGTAAAATCTCCGGCTACCTTTCTTTTCTCTGTCTTTTTCTATGATGACTGAGATACGACTACTGCATGTGTACTAATTATTTATCGTCTGATAGGACTTTGGCACTAACAGCTATAGACAAGCTGATACTTTCACGGGGAGAAAAGAGCATGTATAGATTAAGGAACGGGCTGTATCAACGTCAAGAACCATGGGTTGCCGCACAGTCCCCGAGTACAGGAAATGAGTGGCAAGGTAGTCTACCATTAAGCCCTTCCGAACCGGTGGCTTTCTCTCTTTCTCTTGAGCTGTTCCCCTCTCTAGACAGATACGAGGGCCCTGGCTATTGGCCGTCGCTTCACTCTATAACTGTAATGGGGATTGGTGTTTCTCTAGGTTCCTGTTTTGAAAGCACAACCCTGCCATCTTTTGTTGTCCAGATCAGTTCTCCACATACCAAGCCCCGCCTTTGCCGGGGGTTTCGTTCTTCCTAGTTAGGACTGAGATGCCTTAGTGTCGCTGATGTGCGCTATTAGCAGACGTTCTGTAATATAAATCCCTTCGCCTCCCCAGGTCAAAATACCACAAGACTGATCAGTTTTCCCCAGCCTTTTCTCCGACTTCCCACCCCTCATTTCTCTCTCCATCCGGAGTAAACCTTTCCAGGATGCTATTTCGCAAGCTCCTATCCGCGGCGGCTCTCGTAGGCGTCTCGCTTTGCGTTGAGAATGTATCTGCCACCAAACATGGACGGTTCGGACAGATGGCGCGTGACTCGTTAGCCAAACGCAGATCGCTTGCTTCTGAACTGCCACAGCCCCATTCTCAGCGCGATTTTCGATTCCTGAATAGTCAAACAAAGCGTATGCTACCTAGCGCTCATGTCTCAGAAGAGATACTAATTCTGACAATATTTAAATAGCATATCTCGTGGAGAGCTTGCCCGATTTCCCCTTCGATATAGGAGAATTGTACTCAGGGTTGGTGCCGATTAACGAGGGGAACAGTTCCAGGTCCCTCTTCTTTGTGTTCCAACCAACAATTGGGGAACCGGTAGATGAAATCACCATCTGGCTCAACGGAGGGCCTGGCTGCAGCTCCCTTGAGGGGTTTTTGCAGGAGACTGGCAGATTCCTGTGGCAGCCGGGAACGTATGCCCCAGTCGAGAACCCGTATTCATGGGTGAACCTGACCAACATGCTTTGGTATGCATGACCATTACACTTGCTCTCGAGTATACTAAGTCAATGCCTGTTGCAGGGTCGACCAGCCCGTGGGAACGGGCTTCTCCACCGGAACGCCGACCGCAGTGTCCCAAGAGGAGATCGCTAAGGATTTCGTTGATTTCTTCAAGAACTTCCAAAAGACCTTCGGGATCAAAAATTTCAAAATCTATGTTGCTGGGGAAAGCTACGCAGGACGTTATGTGCCGTATATCTCTTCAGAAATACTGGATCAGAATGATAAGGAATACTATGACCTGAAGGGTAAGTTTTCAGTGGCTTAATTTCAATCAAAATAGGGGTCCATTTTGGCTTCATTAGACTCATCTTGCATTTGAACAGGAGCATTGGTGTATGACCCTTGTATTGGCCAATTTGACTACGTGCAAGAAGAGGTGCCAGCAGTGCCCTTTGTACAAGAGAACGCCAACCTGTTTAACTTCAATGCCAGCTTCATGGAGAAACTAGAGAGTCTCCATAAATCCTGCGGCTACGCGGACTACATGGATCAGTACCTTGTTTTCCCTCCCCCAAAAGTTCAGCCACCGAGGCTCTTCAACGCAACTAGCGAGGCCGATTGTGATGTCTTCGCTATGATTGGCGACGAGGTCCTCCGCACCAACCCCTGCTTCGATGTCTACGAAGTCAACCTGATGTGTCCGCTGCTTTGGGATGTTCTTGCCGCCCCTACCGCACTAACCTACCAACCCGCCGGAGCGTCAGTCTACTTCGATCGAGAGGATGTCAAGCGGGCCATGCACGCCCCAGACAAAACGTGGGCTGAATGTTCGTCGGAGAACGTCTTCGTGGGACATGGAGGACCACAGGATGAGGGAGACTATTCCGCCAACCCGATCGAACACGTCTTACCGAAGGTCATCGAGGCGACAAATCGGGTCCTCGTCAGCAACGGTGACTACGACATGATCATCATAACCAACGGCACCTTGCTTGCCATCCAGAATATGACTTGGAACGGAAACCTCGGGTTCCAATCTGCTCCAATTACCCCGATCGACATCACCCTGCCGGATCTCCAGAATCAGAAAGTGTATGAGCAGAATGGCAATCCGGGATGGAATCTTGGCCAGGGAATCATGGGTATCCAGCACTATGAGCGGGGGCTCATGTGGGCGGAGACGTACCAGAGCGGACATATGCAGCCCCAATACCAGGCGAGAGTGACATACCGTCATCTTCAATGGCTTTTGGGCCGGATTGACTCATTGTAATGCAAGGGGTCTGGTTGGGTTGGTCATGCAGAATTTTTTATTTTTATTTTTATGTACAGTGAGAGTAGGTGCCGAGAACCGAGCTGAAGAAGCTGGGAGAAAAAGAAAATGCAGGATTCAGGACTCTGTCTATACAGTTGTCTGGTGGGATACATACTCCCGCGAGCTATGAACTTGCTTGACAGGAATAATCTTCCACTTTGGTATATCCAAGAACCGTAGGTGGTGTGATAGTACTTAACTTCTCTTGATAAAAATTACGGTAGGTGGAGTACAACATCCTATTGTAGCTAAGGATGATGCATCTGGTCTATTTGGGTACCTAGAAATTTATTACCTAGTGGAGTTTTAGATTAGTATCGATGAAAGAAGAATTATATTATCGTCAATCTATCTCAATGAGAATACATTACCGAATCTACCATTTACTGTTGTACAGACACCCAAGTACTTTGCTATACCCAAGGGTTACCAGACCCTGTCACCACAAGTGGGTATCTAGGGCAAGGGAATCTCCAGCTTTCGGTGGCCAAGGGAACATGAACTTTCGTTCTCATGGATACTGGATACAGAGTACCTATTTACCTATGGAATTACCCATCTAGGCTACCTCTGAGTAGTTAACTACGTACTTTACTGCTGTGAGTACTCTCTAACCTTCACCTACTGTGTAGGTATATGATAAAGTTCTCTTCCAAATAGTGCGAATCAATTGGACCACTTGGCTTACAATCGAGCATGCCATTTTATGCTCTTTTTTTTTTTTTTTTTTTTAATGATTGAATCTGCGGAGTTTTTCTCCGACCCAAATCCATGCAAGGGAATGAAATATAAGTGTTTAGAGCTACGTAGGTTCTCCACTAGCAGCAGGTGGTGATCGCATAATGCCACGTGCTGCGGTTATGTCATTGATGGGATGGATCTTCGGTGTACGCAGTAAGGATGACTTGTCAAAATTTAGTAATTCCGGGGGAACGAAAGTTGAACCTGTAAAGAAACTTAGGAGGGTAGGAAGGGAAGGAAATAGAGCCTTTGGATACAGTAAATTTTAGTATGGTATCCAATGTGGTAAGCCGTGATCGACTTGCTTCTTCACCTAGTTAGTCATTGCTAGTCTACATCCATGTAAGATGATGGAACCCAAGAGATCTGTGCCAGTCTCTTATTTGGGCAGGGGTCAGCACCGTCACTAGCCTGGGCAATAGAAGTTTTCTTTGTTCCGTCGCTGATCAGTCTACCAGTACCAGGGTGGGAAGAAGGGGAAGAGAGCCTAGGCTAAGCCATTTCCATTTTACCAGTCAAGCGTTGGTATACTCCGTATTGTTGGGGGTATTAAAAATGGTGGTATTGAATTAAATGAAAATCGAAGAGGTCCGTGGTTGGTAGCAGGCGAGGAAGCCCTATAAATTGTCTGATTGGCCCAAACCCTTGAACCTTCCAGACTGTCCCCATACCTTCCGCATGCGGAAATGAAGGGCTTTTCAACCACTCAAGCCGATCTAAACCCTGATGGGAAAAATCTGAGCGTGTGTTCTACGCCCAATCCTATCGACCTCGTGTCTGCGACAGGCTGCATGTTGGCTTTGCAGGAGCGGAAAGTCTGTTTGTTATATAAGGAAGTAGATAGTCCTTCGTAAGCACTATCTTGCTACTACCTTAGCTCACATCTATCATCCGTCCGATCCTGAGGGTCTGCAAATGATGATGAAATAGACCAAGGAAGATACCTAGGTCGGCTAAGCCAAGTTAGGTAGACATCCTCAATGGATCATACTTTGTATGGTAATCGCCATCCCGCTTCCACCATATACCCAGTGTACGGAGTACTCCGTAGAGTGCTCTCAAGGAAGAAAGTAATGTCGTAAGGTAGGCTAGCATGATTTACGAAATACAGATGACGTAGGGTGAAGATGGACTGACTTGGCCTCCTCGATCTCGTTCCGAAAAGAGTAAGTCGAATTCGAATCATCGATGTCCATTCTTGAGGGTCTATATCTGCGCCTAAGGACTTAAAACTCAAGCCACTTAAATTGAACGGTCTGAAGAGAACTTGCGGTGGGTTTATAAATGAGGACCAATGCTGTGCGCTAATTGATCTTGGATGACGCCAGTCACCGTGGCTTATCCTTAATCTGCTACCTAGTACGTAGTACGCACTGAGTCTCTAACCGGAACTTTAACTTGAAGTAGACCGCTTCAGGTCTAACCTTGTTCCCTGGCTTCGGTGTACTGGGTATGGGAAGCCATGCCCCGAATTACGGTTCGGGTCGAGCGGCGATTCAATGGATTCGTTTTCTTTTGGTTTTCTGGAATGGACAAGCCGTTTGGAAGAAGCCAATTTGGCCACCTGGACCCCCAGCCTTAATTTGGCTCTGGAGGAGTACTCCGTATCATCGGACAATATGCAGGATACTTATGGACATCTATCGGCCTGATCAGTGAGGGATATTTCGCTCCCCAGATCAGATGTTGGACTGACTTACCACTAGTCCCAAAGCAGTCTAATTTAATTACTTCCCTAGTACTGAGGTGGTATAGCCCAACGAGGGGTTGCCGTCATCTGGCCAAGGCGTTGCCTCCACCCTCAAAGCCAACCCCTACGACCCACCAATCAACATCTGCATCAGAAGCCCCCACACTTTTGGTTGGTGCGAATGACAATGGAGCCTATCAGAAACCCGCATTGGGTACTAGGTAGGTAATCAACTCCACCAGTTCCGGATGCAAATGCTGGGGTAGTACTCGACAGTCGTACTAAGAGCTGCCGTATGGTGCTACAAGTGTCTAGCCTCCCCAAGGCCCGAAATGGTCTGGTCTTCGTTGTTTCTGTTTTAGGATCGCGGAGGAAATATCTAAGTACCTTTTTATACGTCGTACCTAAGAAAGTCATAGGTTTTAACCCCGGTCCCTCGGTACGGGATTGGGTAAGAACTATTGGCGCCTGGGGACAGAACAATGCTGTGGAAGTGAATCCCAACCAAAACTTGGCAGCTCGCCACTTGCGACACCATCACTAAAACGCACTAGGTTATCTTACAGATGAGTCCCCGTTACCGATCTTAGTTTAGCTCTGGAAAGATCAATATTTAATTTATCCAGCTGCAGGTAAAGGATAGAGAAAAGAAAAAAAGAAATAAAAATAGAAAACTTCTGCCGAATGAATTGTAAATTAAAAAACAGTCAAATAAATATATAATACAGAGAATGTAAAACTAAAAAATAAATAAATCGCATTATGGTCTCTCTCTTTTTTTTTTTTTTTTTTTTTTTTTTTTTTTTTTTTTTTTGGGTCGCTCATGATTTATTTCCTGGAGAAATCCGTATATAGATAGATGAATCGCCTTCAACCTTGGTTCCTCATCACCATCTTGCCTCAACCACCATTGCTACACCCCCTTCTCCCCACAATCCTGTCTTCTATTTATTCCCTTCTCTTTTCTCAACCTCCTCACTTCACCCTGAACCCAAGACCCTTCATCGTTTGTAGCTGTCCACCAACCTAGTGTACAGTACAAACAGATCACACTTTCACACTCTTTAGCCAGGACGGCTTGCATTTCCTGGCTTACCGCCCCCCCCATTTTGTGGATTTGTGTTACATCAGGTTGACGGAGTTTTCCAGTTTCAGTGTGCTTTTTCTACGTACCACTTTACTTTTCCATTGCCTATTTGAACAAAACTTGGCCCAGCAGTGTCTCAGAACAACGTCCTTGGCTATCAGCTGTACGGCACGCATTCAGTAGCAGCGCCAGCAGACTTACTCCATCTGATACGTCTGGGCGGTATTCTTCACCAGAGCAATCGAACTGTTGTCTCTCCTTTCGATATCATCCCTAGCGCCTGAAAGCCAACGCGCTATCTACTCCTCGCATTTAACGGCCATTGCGCCTGTCTTCTAGACCCTTAGCAACATTTGCGACGTCTCATTCCCCGTGAGCGCTTCAGGACTCATGACATTGACTCAGATTTGCCATTGCGACTCCATCAAAGAGTAGTGTCTCGGTCCCGGACGATCTCGAAGAACCCCCAGCGCGCGCCAATATTCTTTCCCTAGCAGCATCATCAAGGCGTCACCATGAAGTTCTTCAACCCTTTTCAGAAACATGACCACAGCAACTTTCCTGGAGTTGTGATACCCCTCGCCAGCGCTCATCCCCCTCGTTCCATCCCGAGCCCGAGCCCGAGTACGGTAGACAAGAAACACGGCTCAGATGAGAAGGCCGACGACAGGAGCTTGGAACACGCCCCTTCAACGGAAAAGGGAATTGGCTCCGCCATCCCGAAGTATAGCCAGCTGACCATTGAAGCTCTGCGTGCCGAAGTTGAGTCCGACGTTGCTACTTCGGGCCACGATAGCGCCTATGACCGTATGTTCTAGTTGCCCATGAGATAGCTTTGGCCCCTTCTCCTAGGATACCACTACTGGTAGTATTGAACTTCAGATCTGATCGTTTTTATGCAGGCAAAGCAAAAGTGATTAATAGAGCTGTTCAAGACATTGGTATGGGACGTTATCAGTGGGAGTTGTTTGCCCTCTGTGGATTTGGCTGGCTTGCCGACAAGTACGTCAACTCCTCCATGTTCACCTGTATGTGTGGTTCTGACACTTTTTTTCTCTCTAGTCTTTGGTTGCAAGTAAGATATTCCAGGAGCAGATGCCTAAGAACATGGCCTGACTTCACATACTAACCACGTTTAGGGCGTTGCTCTAACCCTACCGCAATTATCCATGGAGTTTGGCGTTTCCTCTGATCATGTCCGATTTACCACCTGCGCCCTCTTTTTGGGCCTTTGCCTGGGTGCATCATTTTGGGGTATTGCATCGGACGTTATCGGACGTCGCCCTGCTTTCAACCTGACTCTCTTCATCACCGGTGTTTTCGGTCTGGCCGCTGGTGGTGGACCAACCTGGATCGGGTATGTTTCTTTTACCCCTCTTCTGCACCTCACCCCTGCACTCCAAACGAAATTCTGATAATAGGATAGTGTCTGCGCCTTGTTTTCCTGCCTAGGATTAGGCGTAGGTGGAAACTTGCCTGTTGATGGTGCACTTTTCCTGGAGTTCCTGCCTTTTGCGTCGGGAAACCTCTTGACCATGCTGAGTGTCTGGTGGCCCGTGGGAAACCTCATTGCCAGTTTGCTTGCGTGGGCCTTCATCCCCAACTACACCTGCCAGTCTGGACTTCCTTCCTGCCACAAAGTTGGGGATGGAGTCGCGTGCTGCAGCAAGAGGGACAACATGGGTTGGAGATACCTGGTTTTGACGCTAGGGGCTCTGACCTTTGTCATGTTCATTTGTCGTTTCTTCCTATTCCACTTGTATGAATCTCCCAAGTTTCTGTTGTCTCGTGGTCGTCAGGGTGAGGCAGTTGCCGCTGTCCACGGCATCGCATACAAGAACAGGTCCAAGACATGGCTTACCGAGGAAATTCTGAACGAAATTGGAGGCTACCCGGACGAAGTTACCCAACAAACTCTTACTAGCAAGGATATTATCCAGAGATATCTTTCCAAGTTCTCTATGCAGCGCATTGCACCTCTCTTTGCTACCAAGAGACTTGGATTCACAAGTATGTTTTTGCTGCTCGCCATTTGACTGTGTCAGGTGTCACTAACATTCTCTAGCCGTTCTCCTGTGGTTCTGCTGGGCTACAATCGGCATGGGCTACCCGCTGTTCAACGCCTTTCTTCCCCAGTATATCAAGCGGGCCGGTGGATCAACCGAACAATCGACCTCCACTGTTTATCGCAACTATGCCATTACCGCTATTGTCGGCGTTCCGGGTTCGATCCTTGCCTGCTACACCGTCGACGTTAAGTATGTTGGCCGCAAAGGCACAATGATCGCCTCGACTCTGATCACCGGCGTTCTTCTTTTCTGCTTCACCGCTTCTACCAACCCTGATGTCCAGCTGGTCTGCACGTCCCTTGAAGCCTTCTTCCAGAACATCATGTACGGTGTTTTGTACGCCTACACCCCCGAGGTCTTTCCGGCCCCAAACCGTGGCACCGGCACCGGTATCGCCAGTTGTCTTAATCGGATCGCTGGACTGTGCGCTCCGCTGGTCGCCATCTACAGCGGCAGTAACCCTAATGCGCCAATCTATGCCTCTGGCGCTCTGATGCTGGCTGCCTTTGTGGCCATGTGTTTACTTCCGATCGAGACTCGGGGTAAGCAGACTTTGTAAACCCATCCGGATGGGTATTCTCCGTTTTTATTTCTTTTATTCTCTTTTGGTTATTTTATTCCCCACTTTGTTTCGTGCTGGAGGAGCAAAGGATTCGCGTTTGTTTGCTCGATACCATTTCTTGTCATTTTATTCGCCCCCTCCCATCCCTTCCAAATAACCATCTCTCCAAAGTTATCTTGATTGAATGATGAATTAGAGATAGATGGATGGGTCGGCTGGTTGTCACATATCTTATCTTTACATTTGTGTGTGAATATCTATGTATGTCAATTGATGATGTGATGTGATGAAGATCTGGGCATGCATCTGTATCATTAAAAACAAAAAAAGAATGAAATACCCTTTATATGTATGCATTGGATACAAAATCTACAAGGTAACTCCGCGAGAGTCCACACATTTCTTCTTACTCGGTCGAAGCAGGATAAACATAAACCAAGGAATAGAAGTGATGCTATTGATTACTCACATTGATCCTATGATGGGTAAGGCAAAACTACAAGACAGAAAGAATAGAAATTAAAGGATGAAAAGACCAGAGTTGTAAAGTAGATATAGACATACAGCTATACACTGGGAGCTGCAAAGAAAGCCAACACCCAAACCACACACAAGCCCATAACAAATGCTTGGCCAAGTTCTGAATCCTGAATCCAGAAACAAACAACAACAAAAAAAAAGGTTGGTAAAATGAATCGAGATATCAAAATCAACACCCGAGATAAAAACATGATCCGTTAAAAACTACCACCCAGGAATTCCAGAACAAATCATGGCCCGTCGCTCTCATTTCATAAACATAATCAACCCCGTCATTGATGCGTGGAAAGAAGAGAGATTCAAAAAAAAAAAAAAAAAAAAGAAGAAAAAGAAGAAAAAAGATAAATGGCATATGAAATCTTACATCACAGGCTGTCCCTGTTGCCGCCTGGTTCTTCTTTCTAGTAGTGATGCATTGTCTAAGTTGAGTTCGAAGGGTTGCCGCGCTGTCCGAGCAATATTCTGCCTCGCGGCTGCTGCGACTTGGGCGCTATGTTGTCCGTAGCCTTGCTGTTGTCGCGGTTGGTGCGCCTGGCGGGGTTGTGCATCGAGACTCGGAGCCGCACTTAGATTAGTCGAGCGCAATTTTGCCTCCATCATGGCCACATCATTTGCCTGGTTATTAGAGTTCTTTTGGACCTTGGCAGGAGGAGGATATTCATCATCCGGGATGGTTCGATAGCTGATTTCTGCCTCATCATCTTCATCATAGTCTTCATTCAGCGGGTTCAGCGCGGACTGAAACGCAGCCGCAGGATTGTTGCCGCGGTAGACGTGCTTGAAGTTATTCCGTCGCTTGGCTTCCTCCTCCTGGCGGTGAACAGCATAGCCTACGTCGAAGACTTCACGCAGATTAATTGCTCCAGGGGACCGGAAATCCATGGGACGTTCCAACCCTGCGGAAGGCTGGTCTGCAAGGCGCGCGCTCGCGGGCGCGTACGGCGCCTGATCCGCTGCGACGGCATCCAAAGGCTGCTGCTGCATTTGACGCGAGGAAAGGGGAGTGGCCAGAGGGGGAGCGTCCGAGGCGGCTTGCGTTTCTTCGTTGCTCCCGCGGATCCATGGATGAGCAAGAAATTCCTTGATCGAGAACCGTTTATCGGGGTCGACTGTCAGCAAATGGGAGACCAGGTCCTGTGCTGACTTGGAGATATCATCCCACCATGGCGATAGGAAGGTGTACTGGCCCCGCGCCACCTTTTCCGTCAGGACTTGGATGCTCTCATCATAGAAAGGTGGGAAACCGCAAAGGAGGGTGTAGAGAACACAACCCAGAGCCCACATGTCGACACTTTTGGAGTATCTCTCGTCTTTGACGATTTCGGGAGCCGTGTAACCGACTGTACCGCAGGGGGTCATGGTCTGACTATCCCAAATAACCTTGGAGAGACCAAAATCGGCGATCTTAATCGTTCCAATTCCGCCGGCACCCTTGCCGGGACTGAACTCGCCTTCGTCTATCTTGTCCTCATCGCCGGGTTGGCGGGGCTTGGGGTTTTTACTGGGTATGAAGGGGATGGGATAGAAGAGAAGATTCTCAGGCTTGATGTCCCTGCAGTGGCACTCACGTTAGCTACGGCGCAATTCTAGAATACGAAAGGGGAAGTGTACCGGTGCACGACCCCAGATATCTCGTGAAGGTGCTCGATCGCCTTGGCAACCTGGACGATAACGTGACGACTGAGTTCTTCGCTGAAGTAGGTTAATCGGACGATCTGGTGGAATAGTTCCCCTCCCGGACACAGCTCTAAGACAATGTAGTAATACTGCGGTGATTCAGAGAAATGAATCAACTTGACAATATTTGGGTGATCAATCTGTCGCATAATTTGAACTTCTTTGAGGATATTGGCACGCTGTGAATAAATTAGCGAGTGCACTGGGGACGAGACAGTGCACTGAATCGTCGAGGGCAGAAAAGATGATGACAAGGAAAAAGGACAAGAAAGACAAAAAAAGGGAAAAAAAGCTGAAGAGATATGCTAGGATCTGCGCACCTCCGCCCCTTTGGGCTTCCTCTTGGGTCTAGGATGCAGGACGTCTGACTAGAATTCCATTGGTGACCAAGTTCAGAGTCAAAAAAAAAAATGTAGAAGGGCCGAGCGAGAGCCCGAACCAAGGAAGAAAGGGACCAGGATAGAAAAGGCCAAAACGAGGACCGGTGACCTACCTGATTACTGTTCATTTCGAACTTCCGGACCACCTTAATGGCCACTTCGTCGAATTGGCCCGTGGTGTCTCTGGCGCGATAGACGTTGCTGAATGCGCCATCGCCCATCTTCTCCAGTAGGATCCATCGCTCGAGCCCGGGATATTTGGGCATCTTTGACCGAATACTCTTTTCCTCCGCGACGATCTGTTCGATTTCGGCCTCGCGAGCACGACGGGTGGGCAGATCGGGCGATTTCTGGGATGGCTGAGGCTGAGGCTGCGCCTGAGCCTGAGCCTGACCCTGACCGTTACCCAAGCGACTGTCGATGGCATCGAGGTTACCGGCAGCGGGAGGGTAGGAACGCTGGGGTTGACGCTGTTGTTCGGCATGGATGGGCGAGACATTGGTGGTGGGTTCGGCATGAGGCGTCACCAGGCGGGCTTGTTTGCCATGACGTATGAAATTCTTGAGATTTTGGATGGTGCTCATGATGAGTAATCCGTCGGGTAACTAAGACAAGAGACTTCAAACGAAGCAGGTTGAAGGGATTCAGGGGGGATAGAAGAGAGAGAGTGAGAGAGAGAGAGAGATGAGGAATGATGAGGAGAAAAAAAGGTTAGTTTTCTTTTCGTTTCTTTTCTTTTTTTTTTCTCTTTATTCCTCGAATCTTGAAAATTTTGTAATTTAATTTCCCTATCCTTTGGAGGGTCCAAGGAATGGAGAGGTCAACACAAGAAAGAAAAGGAAGTAGGAAGAAGGAAAAGCGGCTGAGGAAGTGAGAGAGAGGGAGAAAAAGTAATCAAAGCCTCTGAGAAGGGGAGGAATCCTGAAGAGAGTAATCGAGAATGCAGAGTTCGCAATGACAACAGACTGTCTACCTGGGGGGAAGACGAAGCGAACTAAATTTAATCGAGAGACGGAGAGCGCAGATGGTGGGGAAGTGACGGAAGTGGGAGGCGTTGGAACAGAGAATTCAATTCGATCGATGATTGATCTATCCAGAATCCCGTAATATTTTTTTTTTTGAAAATTCCAAAAAAAAGGGCGGATATGGTAAAAATATATATATATATTAACAAAAAAAAAAAAGAAACAGTCAATGGATAGCAAGAGAATGAGGATTTGATCCTCTCCGTTTTGCAATGACGTCGGCGGATCTGCGATTTTTATTCGGACCCGAAGAAATTATGTCATCGCTGACTCAGCGAACCCTCAGCGACAGTGTACTAACTATTCCCAAGTAACTAGTTAGTTAACTGTGAAGATTAGCTATGAGACAAAGAAGGGATCATAGAATTAGTATGGAATAGCATGGAGAAGTAATTATTAACTAGGGGGTTAGATCCATTCTACAGCTATCTCACGCCCTCAGTGTAGAATCCCATTGTCCCATTGTGGCTCCCATCTCCTCTCTGTGGAGAGAGTGTTAGCGTCATCCATCGTCATTGTCCCTGAGTATCCCGCCGGAGTCCTTAATCCCCAGGTCCTTTAGGACAATGGGCTGTACGTTGCCGATCCTACAGAATCTAACAGATACTATTTTCTCTTCGCCTAGTAATGTTCAGCCCGAGTCTCAGAACCGTGGGTGAATAGAACGCCTTTCCGTGATCTTCCTGTATATGGTACCGAGTAGCCCCCCTCTAGAATAAACAAGTCGATCTATCGGATATCTCATATCTCAATCTCATATCCCATAGTACTCCGTAATCTGTAAATAATCCTGAATGGAGGATGGATGGCGACTTGCAGCAGCAGGGGTGGTTGCAGTGCCAGTCACTGGACTCAATTCCCCTCGTCGGCGTTTAATCAATCATCCTCGTCTCTTTCTCTTCTCTCTCTCTCTCCCTCCCTCTCTCGCTCTCTATCTTTGTCTTCATCGTCATCATTCAGACGGTCGGCCATCTCTTCCCTTCATGGCTAGTCGCATTTCCTAGGTTTCTCTCTATCCACCTGCAACGTGGAATGTTCCTTTCGAGTGACACCTTCCTTGCCTCGTCACACTCGGGTCTTTTTCTGTACCAGCGGGATTGTTCCCCGAGCCCCTGTTCCATTCTTAGCCCAGCAGTCTATTTTGGGGTCGTTTAGTCCAGTCGATTGTTATTGATTGATGATGATTGATTGATTGTCGTGGTCTGGGTTCTGGTCTATCCGTCTGCCAGGGTCTTGGTAAGACGCGCCTCACGAACGTTACACCCTTACACTGTCCCTTGCCTTTTTTTCTTTCTTTCTTTCTTTCTTTTTTTTTTTAAAGAAAAGAGAAACAAACAATTCAGCAAGGGAAACAATAATTTTTTTTTAAGCCCTCTTCAGAAAGAGAATCCAACCAACTTCATCTTGGTGAATGGAGGATTGGATTCAACCAACAGATCGCTTGGATTTCGCTATGCGACAACGTCTATTAACTTGGCCACCTCTCATTTGAAACAACTCCCTCCGAGTCATGCTCTAAGCCCCCGCCATCGTCGTTCTATAAACCAGTGGCCTCCTTCGACTGATCTAGTGACGTTCAATTCTGCGACAGCAGCCTCATTTTTGTCGTTGGGCTTCCCTCAACATGCCCAGCATCGACTTTGCTGGCTCGTCTCCGGCCTCACCAGAACAACACTTGGATCACGTTTTATTTAAGTCCCACAAGTCGTTGCCTCGAAGAACCGATATAGCCCCGAATATCCAAGTCATCCACGTGACTGCCCCCGATCAAGATGACAACCCTTCAAAAGGTGCTTCTCTCGTCACAGCCCCCGCTCTCCCCCTAACACCTCCGAACGTCGTTCAAGACGAGGTTTCAACTGCGCCCGATTCCGAAGTCGCGGCTCAGATTACGCCGTCCAAACCTTCGCATCCCCCAACTCCCCAGACGACACCCCCGAGACTGACCCCTACAACCCATCGCGCAGGGACGAACCCCGTCGGACAGACACCTTCCTCGTCCCGGGCGGAGTCGTTTCAAACCGCATGCGAGATGATCTCCGATGGCGAAACTGAGATGCCCCGCCGCCCATCTCCATCGTTACAACGTCCGACAAAGCAAAAAACTCCGCCAAACAATGGATCCCTAGAACCTCCCGAGGACACAATCGCGACCAAGGCGAACCCAAATACAGGACAAGCAGCCGGCATGGCAATTCACGAACAGCAGGAGAGGAATGCAGAAGACCCGGCTACTGTCTCTCAACGACCAAAGTATACAAATGACCTTCGGCCAGGCGCATTAGAGAACACAGAGCTGTCGGACTCAGCCCGGGACGCGAATAAGATGGATGGCGATAGTTTAGACGTTCCTCAAGTGAGAGTAAGGAGACTACGGGATCGAGTTCAAGGTTCCCCCGATCGCATCGTGAGTCATCTATCAATGGAACGGTTCCGTGAGCAAATTGGCTGGCCGTCGGGGGACCATCGAGCGGACCCTGCTGATCCCGACAATCCTCGTCGGCTTTCGGGCGTGTCAACCTCGTCTACCATCGAAGCCATGATCATCGACTCGCCACGGCCAACCAAGAGGACCCTACGACATTCAGAAAAGAGGGTGTCATTGCGATCCGCCAGCTCCCCTGTCACCAGGTCAGAGCGTTCGTCCCTCGTGTCGAATCCAGATTCACAACGTCGCTTAGTCCATAAAATCGCCCGTATCACGGACAATGACCGCAGGAGTGTCATATCGGAGAATTCCACCTCAGAGAGTTCGACCTTGGGTGTCCCTCGGCAAAACGTGGAGGTGGTTCCTGTGGTTGTTATACCCGAGCGGCGCTCATCGCTTAAGTCCTCGCCATGCACGAGTAGGAAACCGTCCAAGACCGGTTCTCGACGATCAGGCAGACAGTCACCCACTATGTCGGGAAGCAGACCGGGGTCACTTGACCTTCCTCGTCAGAAAAAACGAACCATGTCGGAGTCGAGTGCTACCACGCGCCAGGAGGCAGAGTCCAGAGGTCGTAGCTTCGGTCGACCTGTTATTCCTCCCCGCAGCTCGTCGTTATCGGCACCCACAAGTCAGAACAACTCGCGATCCACATCGCTTACGTCGGAGAGTTTACGCAATCATAATTTGGCCATACAAAATGCCCTGTCTGACCTGCCATTGCCCACACCTATGAAGGATGAATCCGGATTGGCTCCGGATATATCGAAAACGCAGTCGATTCTGATCGGAGTGGAGGACATGGCTCACCTGCGCCCCCCGTCGGCGCCTTTCACCACAGTTTCGATCCCATCATCATCCCCAGGCCCCGTCGAGATCAATGAAGCCACAATGGTGGCTTTCTTTCCACACAATAACGAATCTCTGTTGCTGGTGGATCCGCAAATGCAGACTGGATCTCGGGGGCCTCGCGTTGCTTACCAGCGCAGTTTTGCGAAACCACGAACCCCCGAGGCACAGGTACTAGATTCAGCCGAAACGGGCGAAATGAGCTCCCCGTTGAAGAATCCCCGTCGACCGCCAAAGCCTCCGGTTCACAAAGGGCCCCCACCGGTGTCGACGAACGGGACAGAGCGTCAGCTGCGAGAGCTACGGAATATCCAGGAAACCCATGATCGACTGGCTTCTCGGTTTGGGTCGGGCCGACGCTCTTGGACAGCACGACCGCGTTCCGAATCTTTCAATTCTTTTACAAGGTCTCTGTCGTTGAGATCGGCCAAAAACCGCAAAGCTGGGAAAGATATCGATGGCAAGCTCCATCCTTTTTGGCGACCACGTCGATTCTGGGAAGATGCATCCGAGGTTGACGGGGACTCCCCCCAAGGCGAATCTCCACAGCCCAGCAGAGCAGAAACGGAGCAAGTTATTAATAACTCGTTGGGAATGCCTCAACAACGCGTGGTGTTTGAAGGACCACCGATTTCTCCCCGCAACCCAGACATGAAACGACGTTTGCACGGGGCTACGTTGCATGGCAGTAGAAGCGCCCTGGTGGGCAGCGGAGTGTTCACTCCTGAAGCCTTGTATTCGCAGACCTCGCTTCACCAGCGTCAATTTCAGTCGCTGTCCTGGTGGAGACTGCGACTCCACTTTGGCACTGCCAGTGGCCTCCGTCGGCGCCTGAGACGCAAGATGCAGAGGCGGGCAGAGGGCAAACGAGAGGCACGACGCGAGAAGCTTAAGCAGAGCATTGGAGAAGCTGTACTCGTGGGCTCCAGCACCCAGACACGAAGTATGATTCAGTGAGATATGATACGATATGAATTGAGTTACGATTTGATGTCCGTTAGGGTTTTGCTTTATTTTCCTTTCTGCCCTTTTCGTTTCTTTTTCTTCTTTTTCTCTAAATGGCCTCTGAATGTTTTGATAAATTATGATGAATGAATGACCGGACAGACGATGTGGATATGACATCTAAACAATGATTCTATAAGATCTATGCCGCCTGGGCGTTCTGATTCTAGTCTGCATGATGTATCATTATCAAATTGACTTTTAAAACTTATCTGGGTATCAACAAGTAATTAAAATACAACCACTCCAAACCACTATATTTCCAGTTCAGGATCAGTTCAGGATCGCTTCCACCTCCCCATCCTCCCTCTAACCGCCATTTCTCCAAACTCCGCCTCCCTCTCTCGTTTCTTCCTCTCCTCTTCCTCCCTCTCTCTCCTCCCTACTAATCCCATCTCCTCCCCGGTCCGTAGCTGTCCCACGCGCCGTATATTCTCCCACCCCGAGGGATCCAAAAACGGCTGCACTGTCCCGGCAATATCTACCTCCGTCGTCTGCCTTCTATCTCGGCTATCAGGTCCCTGTGGGCCCTGTGGTTCCGCCTGTCCGCTTGACGTAGGATTTACTGGTGTAGATGTAGACGTAGATGCCGATACTGGTCGCATTGCGATGAACGCAGGCTGTGCGCTGGGATTCAGCGTGGGTCTTATTTTGGGGCGCTGGAGGCGTTGTTTGGTGGGTAGATGGAGGTAGGGTTGGGGGCGGGTAGTTTGGAAGGTCATTTTGTCTTTTTTTCCTCTTTCTTTTCCTTTTCTTGTTTTATTTTATTGACATCGGCTTTTGATTTTGCTTTTGGTTCTTGGTTGGAGGTGCTAAGTATGTGGTCTACTGCCGCTTTTATCGCCGCTTTTAACAAGCCGAGCACATAGGTACCTGCGCCAGTTCAAGTTAGCCTTGTCTCGGCGATAATGACGTACTCCGACTTGGCGTCGATATACACATATATCTTTATTCTTCGTTTCATATAATTAGTTATGTCCTTGTATTCAGATAGACTTATTTCGTTTTGATATTAACCAAGTAATTGTGGGGATAGTTTCTTGGTTGTGGGATATCTCAAGTTTACTACTATGCTCTCTTTGGAGTGTATTTACAAATAGCTACAAAGAGTTAAAGAGCACAAATAACTACTTCGTTCTTAAGTTAGCGATCTCAAAGAATAGTATTAAGTAAATCATTGCATTACAATCCATTAGATTGGACTATAGGATGTCTACATCTATTCCTCTATAAATCATTCCGTCGCAAAAGTTCAAAGGGTGCTCCAGTTCCAGTATTTTTATTACTTAGTGTGAGATCACTTCTATCAGGTCAACACAAATAGGCTTATAGCATAAGTAGAACTATCGACCGCTCGGGCGGGTGCATTACATATGGAGTGCAGTAATTTATTCCCATAAAGAAGTAGAAAGGGGCATTCTGTCTGGCGTCTTCTCTTTCAGTAAAGAGGTATAGCAAAAAGAAAGACTCGCGGTCATGTCCTTCTATGCTCTGTTCGTGTCTTCCATCCGTAGGTATCTACAATCGCAAGAAGCGCCTACCTTAAAGTTGACATTGAAGGCCCAGAGGCTAGGAATCCTAGCCTCCTAGCCCTTATTTTCGTCTCTTCTCTTCTCCTTTCGCATGTGGACTTAAAATACTTACCCGCAATTCGAATCTGGTGAGTCTATTTCCAAGATCAAGATCTTGGTATGTTTGCTTTCCAAATTATGTCCCCGGCGAAGAAAGTAAGAGGTCACGGCTTCAGCCTGTCGAGCTGTCGGACAGGAACATACACATATGAGATGACCGCTTTAGCCCGTGCCCAAGGGTATTGTCAGCCCCACTGCTATATAGGAGTGGAAGAAGAAACTATTTTTTGGAACCATTTAGATAAGTGGCCAGAGCTTGTCGCAAGATTATGTGTAGAATAACGAACTGGTCCATATATCTAGCCCCAAGCTTACAGCACAGGCTCAATCTTGTCACCACTCGAAGCCCACAGACCACAGACTTCAGAACCCTGGTGGTAGTCTCCTGCAAGAGAATGATGAGGAGTTGAGGTACAGCGTTTCTTGGAAGGTGGCGCAGGGAGTCATAGTCAGATAACCGCTGTGTAGATGGTTTGCTTGGATAGTAGTTTCCAATAGTCGTTAGAGGTCATTAGGATTTTATTGGAGAAAAGGGGCTCACACCTGCTGACTGTAGAGTGCGTTCGGACTAGTTGATTGGGACGAGTGTTGCCACCATATAAAACATATTGGACAGAGTATTTGTGCTATTACTTTGACCTATCACGCCAAGTAAATAAATTGCACTAGCAAAATGTTTCATAAAACAGCAATCCTGAAGCTCAAACCGGAATAGTAGTAGGAAGAGCGTGTGCAGCTCATTAAGGACTTAGAACTAATGCCCGAGGAATATTCCGCCCATTCTATGGCCCTGGTGGTACATGCACCGTAAAATACATATGGCATATTATCTCATCATAGTCCGTAAATAGTAAAGAAGAGGGTGAGAGTTGGAAGAAAAGGCGAGAAAGTAAGATCAACGCTCTTATAAGTGAGAGACCATCATGATTCTATCGTACCATGAGATATACTTGGACTTTGGGGAATGAAAGGAATTGATGTATGGTGAAGTAAAGGAGTATATAAGTCATAAGATACCTACCGAGTAACAGGCTATGGATACTAAAACCATTGGTGTTCTTATTTTAGTAGGATAGATAAATAGTATAAAGCTTGCAGGAGGTGCAGAGCTGCCTAAGGCAGAATGTATTATACAGATGAGATCACAGGATATAAACACTTTCAAGTTTAATAAGCTCGTACAAAACTTTGAAATAGAACGTAAGTGGCACATGGTATCGCCAAAACTAGAAATATCAATCGTCCAGCCTCATAAGAGAAAACTAAAAAGCAAATACCCAGACTCCTTCGCTTTCCTTAACCGATTGGTGTCGGCGCTCCTTGGTATATATACAGATACAATTAATCAGCAAGTAGGCTAACCGAACAACACGTAACGTCGGAATAAGACCCCGAGTTATTTCTGTTTTCTTTCTTTCTTTTTTTTTAAATTATTGTTGCACCAGCAGCTGGTCTACGCAATCCCCGGCGTCTCCATTCCTGATATAGTGGAATACGAAGAATACGGCAGGTCGACCAGTCCATCCAGTAACCAGTTCAATGGGTCGAAGACCTCGTAGTTAGGTTCCATAAATCCGCTCGGTAGTCCTCCAACTCCGTTGGTCGAGTGCACACCCATGTGAGGTGGTGGTAGCAATGGGGCAGGCGCAAGACTGGGATCTGCTCCAGAAACCCCTGGAGTTGATGTGGAGGTATGGACAGCGCCCGTGGTTGACGACGCGGCAGAGTCCTCATTGGAATCCGGGTTCGTGGGGTTCTTGAGATAAGCTGGGATAAATTGTCAACCAACGGGTTTCAAGGCATTGTGATGTTCTCAGCGAACATACCTTCAATATTGCGGCCTCTAGTCCGAGCATCTTCGCGCCATCGCCATACCGAATCATAGAGCAGAGACATACTCATCCGGCACCGGACCTTCAGCATCAATGAATCGTCCATCTCTGGATTGTCTGCCGGCTTCGGCGTCGGTGCGTTGCCCAACTTCCACATTTGTGCCAAAACTTCCGCCAACCGCTCGGGAAGGTCGTTGCTAGAGACAGACACCCCGCGGATAGCCCAGATAGTTCGGTTGAAAAGGCTCTTAGTATACTCCATGTCGATATGCGCCGCGAAGAAGCTCTTGCAGAGCTTCAGCAAGGTACAACCTCCTGCGACCATCATCTGGTACACATAGTACGGCGTATATGACAAAACAGGGCCTACGTCCGTCTCCAAGTTCATGGCAGTTTCCAAGAAGGCTGTGGTGGCAACATAAAGAGCGAGGAGACGTTCTCGGTAATTCTTCGCGGTGGGGTCATCAAAAAAGGCCGACAAGTGGAGGTGGAGGTTGGAAGCACGAAGATAGAGGTCGGTAACGCCTGGGTATAGGTTAGATCGCTTCCCTGTAAATGTTCACTAGAGGCATACAATCATTCTGCGACTTCAACTGACTCTCAAGCTCGTCAAAATCTCGAGAAAGGAATGAGATCAGTGACGACCTTTCTTGATCGCTACACAACCCAACCGGATCACGTCGATTGGTGTACAGTGACTTGGTGACCTTGTCGCAAAACTTTTCGATCTCGAGCCTAGGCTGAATGCCTTCGGGTAACTTAAAGTTTGGATCTATTAACTCGCTCGAAGACAAGGTCCAGTCATACAATGTAGAGGGCGGCTGCCCATATCCAGTTGCCACTCTATACACAGCATGTGAGACGAATGCATAACAATGTCCAAAGATGGACGTCTAGGGACATACCTTTGCGCAACAATATTGCAAATAGCCCACGTTCTCACTTTGTCTCTTAGTTCCTCCTCAATCAGTTCTACTCGGAACTTGCTGAAATCTTGGGTATGTGACGGCCGATGCAGACCTAGCTGCATGGCAACCTGCATCATCATACCACAGAGCATAAAGGTAGGATCGGTAGAAGTACTGCTGGTAGGGAAAGGCCACGTGCAAAGCAAGCATATCGCTTTCACAACATGATAACTCTGTGGAATATCCGCTAGTGTACTCCATACCAGCCGCGAAACCGGGCCTGCAAGAGAGTTAAGAAGATGTGTGTCGGTTTGATATCGCCGTGCGCCCACACTGATAATGGTCCAAAAGAGCAGCGGGCAGGCGTTATAATAATCCTCTGGCGATTGTGCTCGAGTAAGGAAGGGGAGGAATGGGTGATAAAACGTGAAGAACCTAGCATTATTAGGTACCTACACACTTAAGTGACATCACCACCCCAGAAACTTACAGATCAAAGAGTTCTGTCACCCTCTCCGGCATCACCATCACATCCTCAATCCGTTTGAAGTGATTCCCATTTCTCATGTAGTTAGAGCCATCGAAGCCCGAGCGCAGGTCCAAGAGCGACGCAACGGCTTCATGAGAGCCCATATACTGGTCTGAGGAGATGGCAGAGGGTGTATGATACATCGCAACCGGGCTGACCTGGCTAGAGGATTCCTGTTTAGGAGTGTGCTGAGCCGTCGAAACAGACGAAGGCTGTTGTTGTGGAATTGATGCGGTGGCATTTGCCTGCACATGGGCAATCTGCCTCCTCAACGCGATTATCTCTCGTTCCATCTCTGCATTTCGACTCCGCTTTCCAACCCGTTTGAAGTTGGATTCGATTTTACATTCAAGCTTCAGGCGCCGACACCGAGAGCAGTCCACCCACGGATCTTGACTCACATCACATCGAAGCTATAGCGACAGAGCACATATTAGACCAATTTACAAGATATATTCGCCTAGAACCAGCTAAGAAGAAAATAAGATCTTACCTTCTGTTGGCGGCACTCATTGCAGGCACGCTTGACAGGCTGTCTCTTCTTCTCCTCACGAATATCCGTCTCCTCAACGTCATCCACGCTTCCAGGGGAGCTGTCCAGTCCCGCGACGCCGACATTTCGCTTTCTGGCTGGCCCCAGGCTATCGGGACCGCCAACAGCTGATATAGGATGGCCTGCACCTCCCATCACAGGGCTAGTGGCCGCAGAAGCATTATCCCCTGCGCTTGACTCCAGATTTTCTCCCCGCAGACCCCCGCCTCCGATTTCGCTAGACGGGCCTCCGAAAGACGCCAGGCTGGTTAGGGTGCCAGCAGCAGAGATGCCCGATCCAGATCTGAGCTAAGAATAAATTCGGCAAAACCGTTGGAAGGTGGGCTTACCACCACACGGATCCACCGGAGGGGGAGTGATGACGCGGTTAAATAAGGTGACGGAATTAGCAGCCGCGATGTTTCCAGGCGATTGAAATGAGTTCCGTCTGTAACCACCTGCAGCAAACGTCTTTCAGGCCCCTCGATGAGTAACGGCGGGGGATGATGAGAAATCCGATCTCGCTGTCACGTGCAGTCGGCAGGGCAGACACGTGAGAATTATGCCTGAGGCAGAAACAAGTCTAACAGACAAAGCATGTCCAAGGTCTCTTTGTCTCTTTCGCTTCACTTCCTTCTATGCAATTATGGGTTATCTGCTACGGGGTACACTGCCTTCTCGAACCCTTCTGGAAAGCCCCGTATCCGACTGGACACCGCCAATAAGCCAGTGAAACCATCCACAACGATCACTGCCCGATTGGCTAATGATTGCTCCGAGCATGACGTCGTCGCGATGGCTGTGTTAAGGATTTCCCGTCTCATTCAGCCTCGTGAATAACGGGAGCAATCCACTGTATGTCTGTCAAGATGCCGAGCTGCCAACGCAGCGTCATCATCATTTGTGCTTCTTCGTCGAAACCTAAATATCAAACAGTGTCCTTCGCTTTGATTTGCCCTTTCTGGGAATAGATCCAAACTCCGGCCCCTACTATGATCTTCGCGAGGCTGATCTGCTGACTACTATTGCTGATTCGGACATCGATTGACTTAGACATAGAAGGTAGATATAAGGAGGTGTTCTCGCTATCGCGGTGTTATCGAGAAGCTACCTATCTTTGGCCTGTCTTCCATACGAGCGAGTATACATGAAAACATCCTTCTTGGTATTCTTTGTTAGGCGTCATGTCAAAGGTTTCGGGAGCTAACCCCCCAGCATACGAGCAGATCGACAAGTCACCGGTCTTAATCCCACCTTTGGATCTCTCTTCTAATGCTGGTTCACCCTCGCATACTACAGTCACCCAGGATGAATGCATAGCTCATCTCAAGTTTTTAGCGGCCCTTGCAGATCTACGTGAGACTGTGGCTAACATTCAAGATCTCTTTTGCATCTACGATCCAAACCCGCGTGTTTTTGACCAACTTATCGATGAAGCACGTGCTCGGGTTAAGGAAAAACGATGGGCTGTGTATACAGCAAGAGCTGTCGAGCGCTATACAGCGTGGTGGAAGACATGTATTCCTTCTTCCCATTCGCGGATAACAATTCAGGATTTTAGAAGCAGCAGTTATGGTGCCATTACTGAGTGGGCTAAGCCACTCTCTTGGTCCCAAGGAATGCTGCCTCCTCTAGGTGAGTACACTCTAGAGCCCTTCCTATGTTTGATCGGCACATAAGTCATGGAAGTCACTAACGGCTGTTTGGCGCAGATGTCTTGATGGTATGGCATGCACACATGCTGAACCCCAGAGCCTTCCTTGAAGATTGCATTCGAGAGGGAAAGATGAGTTTCTGGGCTGGTGGTTTCCCCTGGCAAGTAATCAATGCGTGCATCAACAATCAAACTTTTGAATACGACGCAGGACCAACAGCAAAGCTTCTATTTGAAGGCAAAACACGATTTCAATGGGGCAATTTGCAGGACTCATCGAAAACATCTGTGAACTGTCCCGGCTGCAAGAAGCGTGTATCCGTTCTTTGGACTGATGGGATTGTTACTGGCCCCGTGGGCAAGATGTTTGAGGACTGGAAGGGCTTTGCGGATAAAAGCTTTAAGGCGACATGCCCCATGTGTGACTTTCAAATTGATCACGAGAGAATGAGAATCGAGAAATTCAGACGAGATGTTCACAACTTGATGTTCAAATCTTTGCCAATACCCGGTACATTCTACAACTTTCACGGGGTACCAGAAGCACTCAAAGAGCCGAGAACCAGGCGTAAAACCCAGTCATCATTTCCCAATCGCTTCATAGCGGCTGCGGGGCCTGAACTCCTCACATTCACAGATGCCAGGGCGAATGAATGCAAGTCTCTGGAGCAACTGCGGAACAAGCTTGTATCCATGCTCGGCAGTAAAGACATCATGCGCAAAGCGGACAGCTACACATCTTTACTGCCAGTGGAGAGGGTGGCTTTCCGTCGGATGATGTCTCACTACTGGGACAATGTCACTCCCTTTGCCCTTGATCTGGTCGGGGCAGTCATCCGACAAGGGACCTTTGTGCAGAAAATGGACAACATCGACTGGCTCCACTCGCCAGCAGTTAAAGCAACAATGACCCGCCTCATAGACAAGTACCGTTTGTTTTTCTTTATCATGGCGGCCAATCCCCGCCACATGGCCGTTCCCACTCTAGATGTTGATCTCGCCTGGCACACGCACCAATTGTCTCCTATGAGATACTACGCATACTCGGCCTTCGCGACCGTGAAGGATCGTAAGAGGCCGGTATTCATCAACCATGACGACAAGGTTGATGAGGAACAGCTCTCCGATGGCTTTGAATGGACCAGCAAAATGTACAGAAAGCTCACCAATGGTGGAATCTACAGCGAATGCACGTGTTGGTACTGTGAAGCCGTTCGAGCCCCGGACCTTGATGGGATTTTAGCCACGCCTGCTACATCTAGAGCTCGCGAGGCTGCCGCCAAACTTCACGACCGATCCGATATCTCTTCCGATCCGGACAAGAATCCACATATCTCCACCCACAATGCTGTCCAACCGACGACGACGCTAAATCCTGTCGATTCTCGACAAGTCAAGTTCCTGAAGCTCCGCAGCAACTATGACAAAGCACGCCGCCGTGCTGAGAAGCGCAAGGATGGAAAAAAACAAGAGAAACGGTCCTCCGACGACAGTCTCGCATATGTTCCCTTAGTCTGGGGGTATCCCATCTACGTTCCGTACTATGCGCCATATACATGTGATCCTGGGGTACACGACGGGGCCTACGTGACCAATCCCAGCTGCATGAGCCTCATCCCCGGGGCACATGGGAATTGTGCTGCTGGCACGTGCGGGGGCGGAGTGGCCGCCGGGGGCTGTGGAGGAGCCGGGCCGTGTGGTAGCGGTGGCTGTGGCGCAGGCGGAGGTTGCGGAGGAGGAGGAGGGGGATGTGGTGGAGGTGGTGGAGGGGGAGGAGGATGCTGATGATGTAGCGTCGATGTATATGAATGAGTTGTGGCTAGTTTTCACAGTATTAGTCCGGAAATGAGCTATATTTTTGGTTCCAAAGATAGGGCGGACTACATCGGAAGTTAACAGATATGGTTCATTACATCAACGATCCACAGCAACCCATTCCATTTTCTAACAACTCGGTGATTCTATGGTCCCGCACGTAGTCAAGGGTTCATCGATATAATTAGATGGCGGTAGGATCCAATATAGATAATGTTCAGATCTCCATTCACTTTCAACATATCTATCCATCATAATATAATAAAATCACCAATCTTTGTTTAAAAAAATATATTATTCAACCCATACCAAAGAAAAGAAAATGGACAAACTCAAAGAAAGCGTCGAGTCTGCAAAACAGAAAATCGGAGGTGGGTAACTCAATCAGTCTATGGAGTAGCTGTAAATAGATATTAACTATTCGCAGGCGGTGCGTCGAACATACCAACAACCTATACATTAATAGGAGTTTATATCTAGACGAAATAAGCTAACTCCCTAAGATACTGTTGATAATGCCAAGTCCAAAGTAGACGACGCCTATAACAAGGGCAAGGAACAAGTCACGTCTGCGGCTGATAAGGCGAAGGAACAAGTTGAAAAGGCCATCGGAGGAGGAGGAGGAGGAGGAGGAGGAGGAGGTAGTGGTGATAATAAGTAGGGAGTTTCATTGTATCATTCCTTCTAGTATACTACCTCTACAATTGGAATGAATATCCACCCCCACCTTTTCTCTAAAAGAGAGCAAGAGAGAGCGAGAGTGTTATACAGTAAGAACCACCTTTCCTCGTGAGGAACCCCCCCGTTCATGCGCCCGTTCATAAGCCTCCACCACCTGAGAAAGAGGATAAGAAGAGTGCACAAACACCCTTAAAGCACCGGTATCCACGAACCGAGCCAATGCTTGCAACGATTCACTGCTCCCCTGGACGATGAAAGCCAGTGCCTTGATTCCCGATCTGCTTAGACCTTTTTTCTCATGCTCTTGGACGAAGTTCGCACTGGCTGAGTCCACCGAGATCAGACACCCCGTGACTGGTACGACGAGATCCCAACATCGGTCTAGGATATTGCCTCCCACTGTGTCTATAATAATATCGAATGGGGTAGACTGAGTCTGGAGGACTTCGTCGTATTCTACAGTTTCGTGGGCACCCAGATCACGAAGGAACTCGGCATTCCGCGTATTGGAACTCGTGGCTACCACGACGTGCAAACCTGCTAATCGAGCCAGCTGGACGAGGTAGATGCCCACGCCACCTGCGGCGCCGGTGATCAAGACGGTCTGTGGATTGGACGTGCGAGTGTTGCTGTTGTTGTTGTTGTCTGGAACAAGAACAGACACCCCCGCATGAACGAATAGAGCCTCGTATGCAGTCTGGGCGCTGAGGGGCACAGAGGCAGCTTCTTCCCAGGACAACGAAGCGGGTTTGAGAGCGACTTCGTTGGTTCGAACGAGGACGTATTCCGCCCAGGTCGATGAGCGGTCTACATGCGCCATCCCGAAGAGCTCATCGCCTGGTTTAAAGGATGAGTCAGACGTGTCGGAGACGGCGACCACGACGCCGGAGAAGTCGTTGCCTGGAATGGCGTACTCGTGGATATATGTTTCAGGCCATGTGAGCGTGTCTCGGATTATCGTGCTGGCTTTGACTCGGATGAGGATCTCATCTGGTTTGGAGACTAAGGGGATAGGGAGGTTGTGGTCGAGTTTTAGTACTGATGGGGGGGCTGGATTCGTAGGGGAGTAAGGTGTAGATGGACGTGGAGAGGGGTGGAGACGAACGGCTTGCATGTTGGAGATTGAATTAGGATACGATGGAACTAGATGTTGGAATCCGTATCGTGGTTGTTCTTGTTTAAGCATTTGAACATTCTAGATGGTGTCATGCATCGGGCCAGCACCGACTTGACGCTAGAGAGCTAGTGCTGACTGTCCTACAAGTATGCAGAGCATCTGTTTTGCAGTTATATTGGCTTGATTTCAAGTTTGGTATTCCAATTCACCATCTCCATGTTCAGCACATCGTCATTGGGTATATGCTACCAGAGAAAGATATGATAGCTAGAAAGGAAACAAGGACCAAAAAAAAAAAAAAAAAGGCTAGCTGTCATGCTACATCACAATACATTTGCTTCGCTTTTTGCTCCTCTCGTATACGGTTCGCTCATTCCATTCTTCAATCCGCCTTCTCCACAGATCGTTGGATGGCTGGGAGCTCACGGAGAGAGTAGGGTCGGTCGACGCTCGCCGGTTCAAGGGTGGAATCCCGGCTGGTGACATCCGAATGTCCTGCGATTGCGACCGCCGGTCAACCGATCTGCGTTGTCCAGGACGGAGCCACGTGTTTCGCATAACCTCCGAGCCTTCGTATGGAGAATCAAAGGCCTGGAGATTAGGCGAGGAGAGAGAGAATGGGTAGTTCAAATTCGGAGCCATGGTGGGAAGCGCAGGTACGAAGTCCTCCTGATCCACTGCATCTTCCTGGGTAGGATTCCCGGCCTCTGGTTCAAGCTGATCGGCTTGATGTGGTGACTCCTGCACCGGGGCGTGCGTCTCCTCAACCACGGAAACCGCCTGGTTATGACGATTTGCTAGCGATGGTGTATGGTCTGCAGTTTGCGGTCGATCCGGGGAGGCATCGAGGTCCGAAGGAACTGGCGGTATGTCAGGCTCGTCGGTGGTGCGTGGGAGGCGACCAAGAGAATTCGCCCTCCACCGAACAAGACTGCTATGCCGCCGGTTTCGGTCTTCAGAATCTCGAGTATTCCTTCTCATTCGGGACGAAAATCTTGAGCCCGTGACAGTGTTCAACCGCTGCAAGGTCGTGAGTGTTGAGCTTTCCTCTGATGTGCTGCTCATTCGGGTTGTCTGGGACCTGTGGATTTGAGGTACACCCCTCGTCGCCGTGGGAAGAAGACTTCTTCTAAGATGCTCTGGTAGCGGCGCATCAGGCTCGCGAGAATATGGAGGTGGAGGGGGCACCCAGTTATCCGCGTCACTTTCATGCGGAATCTGAAAGAGTGCGGGAACTCGTCTATCATCGTAGACACGGTGGCCTTCATTTCTATACCGTGGGTTATATCGCCCACGGCTGAAAGCTGCGGCGGTGGCAGCACGGCGCAGCGTATCATGAGACCGCGGCTGTGTGTTATCATAGGGGCTCTCGGGGATGGGCGGATAATCTCCTTCTCCAAACTCATTTGACGAGCTAGATAAGTAGGAACTGTTCCTGCGTAAATTTAACGTTGATAGCTGGTAAGCCGAAGAGGCTGATGGGTAAGACTCGCGAGCCGCATGTCTTCCATAGAATAGATGGCCACGATTCAATAGTGTCCTTCTCCTTTCTAGCTCAACTGCAATGTCCATACTAGCATTGGGCTCATTGAGCATCTTGGGTTCGGACTCTCCAATCTCGATACTGAACTCCGTGACGTCCCCGTCTGTACACGACCGCTCAAAATCCAAAAGCACCACCCGTCCGCCATCGACCGGAACATCTTCATCGCCAATGGTCGGAGGGTTAACGCCACCAGGGGCCACAGCGGCTAATCTACGACGATCTGTCGTCGTACCCGTCGGATGTTGTACCCAGCGGGCGGCTGTGATTCCGGGTACCTCACACATTTTGTGGCCACTGATTAGCATCTTCGGCCTGAGAATAGACTGCTGTAATCTCATCAAACTGTCTTGCCGAGAAGTAGCTAGCTCTTCTATCATTTGACCATCCTCGCCATCGTTTGGCGCAGTGTGCGAGGACGCGCGGGGGGCAATGTCCAGGCGATCTGGTAGCCCATAAACCCAAAGCCCAGCATCCTGGAATCCTACGGCGACTAGCTCGCCCTCGCAGTCGACCGTTGGCAGCATAGTAGGGGGCGATTCTTGCGACCCACATGGAGACATAGGGTTCACAAAGTACGTCGTGCCGGAATGTGCGCTGTTGGCCCCAATTGCTCGAAATGCTCCAATCTCTTTGTCAAATCCCATAATCCAATTCCCCTCGCCCTCTGCATGCATTGGGACGAGACACGCATGGCTGTACCCCCGGAGGACGTCAGGGAAGAGAATCTGGGTCGTCCACATCCGTATTTGAGCATCCCGCGTGGAGTCGGCCTCTGGCTCCGTATAGAATGGCACTGTAACAGTGACCAGCTCGCTGTTCTGCTCATCAGTGGAAGTGCCAAGTAACATGATCCCATCCGACGAAAACGACATTGCATCAACTCCCGTACAGCGTACCGCCCGCCGTTCCGTTGCCAGAGCGCCCTCTCTAATGGCGTACACCTCGATTCTATCATCGTATGCAATGGAAAGAACACCCCCCGTTGGACAGAGCGCCAAGGCCCGCGGGACATCATGGAGCTGGAGTTCCTGAATGTGTGTTGCTTCGTAATCGGAGAGAGAGTATATGTGAACCTGGTGACTGGAAGAGACTACTGCCAGAAGGCAGCCATCATCCGAAATGGCAGCATTCAATGGACGTCTCCAAGTCTTCAGTTCGTGTCTCACCACCGCAGTTGGACCGGAAGCAACATCGATGACCACAATTCTTGAAGAGCTTATGCAAAGGATCAACTGGGCATTGGGCGAGAAGGTAAATCGAAATGCCTCGCCTTGCGGGAAAGGTGTTGACGAACTCATGGATGTCGAGATCAGTTTTATCAACGTCCGGCGGGGTCTCAGGAAAACATCGAAGGCGTTGCGCCGAATTTCCGCCATAAACTTGCGTTTAAGGCTTGGAAGACCGTCCGAACGAGCCATGTCAGATGTGGCTTTCTGCGTTAGAGAGAAAGATAGGCAATGCGACAAGTGATGTGCATATAATTGTGAGGAGTCAGAGATCCGCCGCCATTTCCGATTCAATAGGGCTAGAGACGCAAAGGTATTTGCATCAACGCGGTAGAGAATGCTATAGGGCCGGTTAAAATCGCTCTTATCCCCAAAGAAGGGTGGGTTTATCCGATGGAGAGTCGCCTGCTCGCAGGTTCCAACACTGCTGCCACCATTTGACGAAGAAGCATATTACTTACTGCTCGATCACCGTGCGAGGTAAACGGTGGAAGGGTGATGAGCTCTGCTCACCTGTTCGCACCTGGCTTTTCCCAAGCGAGCCATTCTGTTGCGGAGAGAAGCCGACGCTAGCGGTCTCCTCACGGCCATTGCTGCAGCCATCGCGCTCCTCTGAATGAGACAGCCGAACATCCTCTTCCATGGTCAATTATCAGCGCATGGAAGTCTACATTGGTTCACATCAATACATGACCGAGATCAATGGTACACGTTCAACATGGTCCCAGGAGACTTGAGGGCAAGATTTTTGCAAAATCTGGCTGTCTGTGGGAGAACGCAAGCGCCAACTAGCGGCGTTTGGTGGCTGTGTCTGCCTACCCTGGTGCAACGATGATCTTGACTAAGACCATCGAGGGAGGGGCGAGGGATTCAAGTAAGGGGGGAGGGGTAATCTATGAAAAGGCTTATCTCGACCAGCAAGACAGCGTTTCGAAGATGGTTAAAGGACGAGCCACGACCAAGGAAATACAGAGGTTAGATGAGAAAGGAGCGACGCCAAGGTCGCCGTCGTCGTTAGCCTCGCAAAGCATCACAAGCGCCGATTGATATAAATAGTTAGCCCAGCACGTGGTTCGCCGGTATGCTGACTCAGCTCCCCCACACTCCCGACTTGCTGAGTCAGCCACCGATGGCGATGGCCCGTGACTAATAAAAAGAAAGAAAAGACTAAATTCGCCGTTCGCCCAACTCCGCGACTCGCTGCGAGCTGCTCCATGACGCTTCTGGATCCCGGTCACGCGGTGCTGGACTATGCGGACGTCTGTGCAACTGCGCCAGTGTCTTTTTCCCGTTCAATGTTGCTCACGTTGGTCGTGCGCTAGATTGACAGACCTGCTCAACACCCCCCAATCAGTCCATTTATCCTGATTGAGGACGGTTCGCCCTTACATAAATTCTCTCCACTGATTCTGCACTTAGCCTGAGCGGAAAAGGAAGGCAGCTCACGCACGCGTGATCCTTTGTCGTAACCTTGCAGCCTATGAAGCGTGTCTTGGGTAGACAATAACCATTACTTGAGGGGGAGGCTCATCATGCCGCCTGCAACTACCCAAAATAGCTCGTCCCAGAAACTTGGGTCTTCGGGATTCAACGCAGGAGCGCGACCCTACAGGTCACACAAGGTTCGGGCTTGCGACTTATGTAGAAAGCGCAAGTCTCGTTGTACGGTAGACATTCCCGGACAATCATGTCTCTTGTGTCGGGTTCAAGGCGCAGATTGTCATTACCAAGAGGAAACCAGCAATGACCCCCCGGGTTCTAATGGTTCTAGCACCAAAGAATGGACAGTCGATTCTGTTTCAGATGGTCTGGTTCCAGGGCCGAAGCGCAGACGTATATCCGAAGGCAGCACTCCCACTACTGCTCACCCACGGCAAGATATACCCGCCCTAGCTAGGTCTTCGTCAGCAGGGGACAGACGAGGAAGCGAGCCTAGACGACAGGGAGTCGAGGATCCTCAGAACGAGTCCGTCCACATTGTTGGCCCCGTGGTCGCCGATGACGCTCAGGTGATCGAAAAGTTTATGCCTCCGGAACGATCTGACATGTCAGAAGCGGCAAAGAGTCACCCGTATAATGTCTATTCTAATGACCCGCGGAAGCCAATCCTTTACACCACCATATCAAGGCGGAGACAAGGCATGCGGGTCGGCGTGCCGCCTGGAGAAAATCAAAAAGAGATCCTTGAACAGATACTGGGACCTTTTAGACATGATCTAGTCCGACTGTACGCGTCGCATGGTTTCCTGCAATTGGTCAATATACTGACCCGGCTTTCAGGTTTATAGACAGGTTCAATACAGCATTTCCTATATTTGACGGCGATAGTTTCTGGGAGGCGTACATCTCCGATACAGCAGGCGAACCGCCCGCGTCTCTTCTATGCCAGGTCTATTCTATGTCGTTGGTCTACTGGAAACATTCTCCGAAGCTTGCCTGCCATCCCAAGCCGGATGTTCGGTACGCTGTCAACATGACCGTAGCTGCTCTCCACGAGGAATTTTCGGCACCGGGGTTATCTACCATTAGCGCGGCTCTTATCGACCTTACCGGACGACCGATTTTCTCTATGACAGGAAATGCCGTAAGTTGTGGACGAATGATCTCGCTGGCGCACTGCCTTGGCTTGAACCGTGACCCACGCCTTTGGAAGCTGTCTCGACGGGAGAAGGACCACCGCATACGTCTATGGTGGGGTGTTGTTATTCATGACCGCTGGTAGGGCTATCCATCCCAAGCCCCTGCAAGTTTTCGGACCTTGATTGATACCTTCCAACAGGGGAAGCTTCGGACATGGAGTGCCTCCTCAAATTGCCAAAAATCAATATGATGTTCCTCTGCCAACCATCGATGGCCTAGTGCCTCAGAAATCCCGCACCACCGAGCGGGTGAGGGCTGCGCACTGCCACATTGCTCTCTGTCGGTTGACAGAAATCCTAGGAGAGCTATTGCCTCTCGTCTACGGCCTTCAACAGCGACAATCCCGCGAAACCTCCAAGAAGATCAGACAAATACGAACAGATCTTGACATGTGGGAAGATTCTCTACCTGACTGGTTAAGAGCTCCTGTCAACTCCTCGGAGGACCGCATATCGGGAACGAGTAGCTTGCAGCTAGGCTTTTTGGCTGTCAAAATGCTCGTCAGTAGAGTAGAACTCACTGTAAGTATTCAGTCCTTTCTCAAATATATACCCCTCGGTAAAAAACAAATATCTCTATTATTAACATATGTGCCGACAGGAGGTGACCAGTGCGGAAACCGAAACCCCAGAAGCACGCCGCTACTTCCAGACCGAATGCCGAAAGTCAGCCGAAGAAATCGTACAATTCATCTCATCTCTTCGGAAAGAGAATTTCAAGGAATTCTGGCTCCCTTGTATGTCTACCTCCTACATATTCCCACGTCTTATCTCTCTCGCTCTTTGTCACTAATAGCCCAACCAGACAGCGCCTTTCATCTCACATCAACGGCGACTCTACTCGTTCGCTGCTCCCTCGAGACCACCGACAGTGAAGTATCTCGCGTCTGTCTTACCCACGTGGAGAACTTCCGAGAAACCTTACGTCGCGTACGAGATGAAGAAGACTGGGATGTAGCCGATATGTGCCTAGATCACTGTGATCATATCCTCAACAGACTCCCCGGGAATGGAGGCAACGCTCATCTGAATTTCAGCGGTGTAGGACCACCCGATAATCGGTTGGTAAATCCGGCTGCAATATCGCTCCCAGAGACACAGACCAACAATGATATTGTTGATGATATGATGTCTATCTCTGGGACTTTTGGGACAATGGATGGGTTTCCGTTTGATATGACAGGGATCTGGGATGTTTCTGTCTTTCAGGATGTGAATCTGACGTGATTGATGGGCTATGAAGAGCTATGGATTGGGGGAATTTGGATGGACTTTTTTTTTTTCCCTTTGAATATACCCATTGTAAATATTGATTTTATTTCTTCTTTCTTCTCCCTTTTCAATCCGGTACCTAGATTTGTCTTGGCTTCTGCCAGCGGTTGAGTTGAAATATAAGAGGAACCAGAAGATTCACAATGACCATTGCATTCCGTAACAATACAGACATTAAAATATGTTCCAATTTATACAGAAACCAGTAAACAACCGACATGCTATTTTACAGTCATCCACGATGCTCAGGAGCCAAACAATCCTCTAGTCGTAACCCCACCACTCGAAGAAAAAGCATCCCAGATACACATGATTATGAAGGAGGGGGAAAAATAAAAATAAAGAAACGACCCAGCTCTCTATAAGCTTTCAGATCCACAACGAAATTACTCCCTTTTACCAGCACCAAACATGCCAGTGAAGGAGCCCTTCATTTGCTCCATCTGCTCCTGTCTGGCCTTTTCTTCCTCGGCGGCCATCTCCGCCAGCCACTTCTCGCCATTCTCCCGAATTTCCTTCTCGATGAGCTCGTAGTTCTTCTGACCCCGTTCACGGATCTGATCCCAAAGCATCTTGCCCTGGGCCAACCCCTCAGACGGGGACTGCTCGCCATCAAGTGTACGCCTGGACTTCAGTCCAAGGGCAGAAGCTAGACTGCCCATACCAATCTTAGGCCGCTTCTTCTGTTCTTCGGCAAGTTCCTTCTCAAACCGCTCACGCATGGCCTTCTCGCGTTTGGCAAACTCCTCGGGAATAGATGTGCCTTCGAATGACTTCATAACCGGGCGCACATCTTCGACCCCCATGCCGGCAATGTATTCGAGGAAGGGAATCATCGCAACCAGGGTCTTGTCCTTGGGGTCACCGTGCCACTTGTCAAGGATAACAGCATTCTCCGGCTGTAGACGGGCATGCTCCTCTTTAGTGTCGATCAAAATCACCTTGGACAGGTCCCGATTCAGGTAGGAAAGATCCTGGTCAATCGTTCTTAGCTATTGAAATACCACGGCTTATCTTCAGGTTCACATACTTTAACGTACTCGCCATCCTTGTACCTGGTAGCTTCTCTGAACAACGGCCAACGAATGATACGGTAGGGGTCAAGCTTTCGCAGCACCTGGTCTGCCATCATGCTTGGCACGCTGGTAAAGAGGACAAGCTCGTAGTACTGGTTCAGGTAGCGAAGGAAATAGTCGACTCCAGGTCGCTTGGCGACACGCCATCCGTGTTCACGGCTCCATTCACTGTGAACAAGCAGGTCTTCCAGACTCAGTACCAAAGTATAGGGCTGGCGAAGATTGGGGTCCTCGTCTGGAAGCAGCTTCGGAAACGCGGGGTCTTTGTAGTAGCTAGTGATATCACTGAAGCGGGCCTTGACACGGTTATACCAGAGATTCAGTCCCCAGCCCGAGGGAACGTCTGGGTGGGCCTTCTCCTCCTCTACAGTATCCCAGTTCCGTCCCAGGTAGGCGATCCCACCGGCACCCGCAAGTAGGAAGAGAGCATATGTCAGGTTGGCCATCCGAGCCTTTCGGCGGTCGAGGGAGGAAACATAGCCGTCCTTCGGAATATCACCATCATCCCAGCCATCTTCTTGGGAGCGCGAAGGATCTTCGGTGAGATTCAGGGTTGTCTGACCACGGTTCTTAGAGCGAGCTTCCAGTTCTGCAGCGAGAGTGGAAGGAATTCCCTGTGTGAGGTCGGGGAGCGGCTTTTGTGACGCTTCCTTGTCGGCGGGTGCTGGGTCGGATTCGGACTGGGCAGTTCAAATCTGCGGTTAGAAAATGCCTGTATGATCGCAAGCACGTCTGGGGAGGTATTTGCTTACCGGTTTCGAAGTCTGGGGTTCCGCATTGGTGTTGAATTCAGCCTGTTCGCTCGAGTATTCTTGTTGCGAAGGGTTTGTCGGCTTTTCGGGTTTGGGTGGCTTGACCGAATCGGAGACATTGTACGGCGTCTTGGGCTTGCCAGCCTTTGCATACCATCGCGAATGGGTGACCGGAAGCACCGATAGACGGACGGCGGAGGCAAGAACGTTGGGCCTCGTTAGAGGAAGTACAGCACGGCTAAGCATAGTGAAAAAGTAAGGACATCTAAAAGTATAGGTCAATAAAATAAGAGAGATGTCGTAAATCGCAGACTCATGCCCTGTGCAGAGACAAGAAAACAGGGCCTTCAGAATACAAACCACCAGACAGAAACACCAACAAATCAAGAGATTTCCTGTGACTTCAAGTCTGAGATTGATGGAACGTTCGTCTCGTTTAGAATCGATTGTCGGCGAGCGGAAAAGTTGCAGTTGCGCTAAAGGAGGCGACAAATGCCAGCAGTGCAGATCTCGGCTCACCTTTAAAATCACTCGCGCCCCGTCCATCTTCTTCTCTTCTTTTCTTTCTCTAATTTTGAAAGTTGTTTCACCCAGACGGTAAATTTGACCCAACAAGCCTATTTCTCAATGCATGCTGGGTTGTATTAGCTGGGGAGACCAATGAATCCCATACCCAAGAGCCGCAGCAAAGGACTTTCGTGCAGCTGCAGCCCCGTTGATAGGACACAAATTTTGCTACCTAAATGGTGGTTTAATGTCACTGCCTGACTACACAGTACAATTATATCCCCGTGTTAATTCACTGAGTTCAGTTGATTGCAATAATGATATGAAGACCAAGAGTGCTGGCACAATACCTGCGGTAGAACTGTATTGGCCCTATATATATTTTATTTTCTGCTGGGGGACTATCCTAGGCTTATATCATTGAAAGCAATCATGTCTTCTCTGGCAAAGGCCCTAGAAAAGGTACATCTCGACCAGGACGAGGATGAAGATTTCGATGAAGAGCTAGAAGAAACAAACGCACACACTTCGTTTCCTTTCTTCGACCTTCCGTCGGAAATTCGGCTCCGCATCTACTCATTCGTGCTCTTCACTCCCCGTCGCAAGAACCAAGCCCTGCGGACCAATGGCACCGTAGGGGCCTCGTCGAGAAATCCTCTGCGTTCTCCGGTGTCGCATCGTATCAATTTGTTCCTAGCGTCGCGACGTATGCATAATGAAGCTACCGATTACTTCTACTCCAGCCAGATTTTTCGTCTGTTCCATATCCAAGATTACTCCCGGATGCCAACAGTTAGGTCTATATCGTCCCGGTACCTGCCATCCATTGCCACCATCGAGTTGATCCTGGGCTCCAGTTGGACGGCGCCACCTCGCAGCTGGACGGTCAACCGCAGCCTGGGCCTGGAGGAAATGGTTCGAGTCCGTACGTTGAAAGTCTTTGTAGAATGTGACCCCTCACTCCCGGTGTTCGAGGGCTTCCGCGTCTCCGAGAGCTACTACACCGATTTCGCTGGAGAGTTAATACAAAAGATCCTCAAGAGACTACCCAACTTGGTCCATGTGGAGTTTGACGGATACCCGTCAGTCCGCAAGAATGGGCCGTTAATGAAACGACTGGTGCACGAAACAAGGTCAGCATCCAAGACAATTGTATGGGGTCCTCAGCGAGGATGGTCAGATTACGACGAAGAAGAAACTGGCGCCCTTGTGTACGAGCTCAGAAAGCGTCAATATAGCCGGTCTGGTATTATTTCGCGTCAGAATCTTCCACTATTGAGCTGATGATGAAGCATTTGGACTTTTTCATGAAGACATGGATCACGACTTCTCAACAACTTGCAGCGCTTGTGTCGTGTTGCAGCGACTTTCTTCTTTATCCATAGAATACATCCTTGACGATAAAGGATAGATTAGAATTTCAATACATAGACAGACTAAGACATTAAAGGGGCTTCAAATTTTTGCAGAAGGCCACAGTTGAATTGGCTGGCATGAATCAACATATCCAGGATACATTGAATCATTCATTTACAGAGATCGTCTCCATATCTATTTCTTATTCCCTTGTGCTAGTTTACGGGGTTGCCTCAACTTGACTCTTGGTCTTTATTGATATTAAGAAACATTTATGTAAATTATTTCTTTTCCACGTATACGAATCGGTTATAGATCTCCATCTACATCCATGCCGGCGCCGTTTTGAGAGTCCTTCCCGTTCGACAGTCGAGCTACCGACGCCTCCTTGTCAATCATCTGCCGCGATACTGCAACGATGTTGTCCTCGATCAAATCCTGGCTGACATCTTCAATGTCTGTAGGAACAGTCAGTGTCTACTAACTAATGCAAGAGGTGCAAAGGGCGAAAACGTACGTTTCTTGGGGTCGACCTTTCCGACGTATCTCGTTTTGAGTTGTTCCTTTGTAAGCTCCGTCTCCTCCTTGACTCGCTTCTCGTAGCCCTCAGCGAGGCTGACGAGCTGCTTCAACCGGTCGACATTGTGCTGACCTTCCTCGTGGAAATCCTTCATCTGCAATGCTTCGGTCCAAACGTGCTTGTGTAGGTTCATCAACATATTCTCTTCCAGTCCAGTCTTGCGGTAGTTGATGGCAATGCTGTAGTAGTGTCTGTTCAATCCATGAATAAGAGCCTGGATCGAGGGCTTGTTCAGATGACCCAGGTTGGAAGTTGTTTGCCGGGGTTCCTGGCCCATGACAACGGTCTGGGGCTGAATGAGACGGAAAGCATCGATAACGACCTTGCCCTTGACGGATTGAATCGGATCAACAACGACAGCAACGGCACGGGGTGTCAGCTGTTCGAAGGACTGCTGGGTGTTGATATCGACGGACGAGAGCCAGCAGCCAAAACCCGGGTGGGAGTGGTACCAGCCAACAACGGTTTCTGGTCTATACAATCAAACATGTCAGTACCACAACAAGGAAGTCACTGAAATGGAAGCTTACCGTCCCGTTTGCCGGAGCATTTCCATCATATTAGTTTGGAAGACAGGATCCACAGCCTCGACACTAACACCAGTACCACTCTGGGGCATCGCAAAAACATCAACGACTCTAACTGTATATTCGTCCACAAACTCTCCCAGCATCAGGCCCATGACTTCCATCGGCACACCTGCCCGACCATGCCTCAACATCTTGAGCAAAGCTAACGATGAGATGTGTACTGTCTCGGAGTTATCGATCAGGTTGGGGGTATCCTATAACATCCAAAATTATTAGCACTGACATTCTCTATATTTTGCGTTTTTTTGCAAATTATGGCCAGTGAGATATAACTGCGAGAAGCAAACACTTCCAACGCACCCAAGCAACGCAGAAATAGATCACAATAAGCCTGTAGAGATAGCGGTCAAAGGGAAAACTCACACTACCAGGAGCTGCACTCCCCATGCCCATACCCTGAGCAGCCTGAAGCATGCGATTAAGTCGATCCATGGTTAACGACGAGATGTGAGTGAATCAAAGCGAGGTACAAAACGGCCAAGGATGACTTCCAACACGGAAGATCCAGACAATGAAAGAGTTGAGAGGAACTCAAGGGCTAATGGTTTTTCTATCCAAATAATTCAGAATAAGGGGAAGCACAGAAAACCAGGTTAAGGGATGGGTAGGATTGAATGAAAGGTAGTTGATGATACCACAGAGATCGTTGGAAGCGAAGGCGCAGTTGACGGGAGCTCTCGAGATGGCTGACGAAGGCGGTGGGAGCAACTCTCTGCCCGCCTTTCACTCGGCCTCCTTCGCTTCCGTTTCATCTCTTGAGCCTTCATCCTCTCCCCCGGAATGCAGCTCATTCACCTCTAATCTTGGCTTTTGTTTCGGTCTTAGCCGGTGGTATATGAATTTCTGAGATCAGTGTTTTGTCCTATCTGTTTGACTTGGGGTGTTCCCATACGATTCTTGTCATTTTTGGCTTAAGGCCAATCCAACTCCAGAACCGATCGAACACCAGATACTGGTTTTGAGTGAGGTTCGTCTGTGCTTTCTAGCACGCTGCTTTTCAAAATGGCTTCCTTGCCTCCTCTGGACCCAATAAATTCAAGTGGGGATCGCGGCAAGAAAGTCGCCTACTTCTACGACTCGGATGTGGGCAATTATGCCTATGTTTCGGGACACCCCATGAAGCCTCATCGCATAAGGTTGACACACAGCTTGGTGATGAATTATAGCCTCTACAAGAAAATGGAGATCTACGTGAGTATCCGTGGCTGTTCAAACCGCTGTCTACCATGGAAAGCCATGTCTTTAACGGGATTCCTTGCAGCGTGCGAAACCGGCCTCGAAGTACGAAATGACCCAATTCCATACGGACGAGTATATCGACTTCCTTTCGAAGGTGACACCAGATAATATGGACTCCTTCGCGAAAGAGCAGAGCAAGTACAATGTCGGTGATGACTGTCCCGTCTTCGACGGTCTCTTCGAATTCTGCGGTATTAGCGCCGGAGGTAGTATGGAAGGCGCTGCGCGGCTCAATCGCAACAAATGTGACATCGCTGTCAACTGGGCTGGTGGTCTTCATCACGCGAAAAAGAGCGAGGCAAGTGGGTTCTGCTACGTGAACGGTAAGAACAATTCAATCCAAGGGTTGACATCTTGGAACGTTGCTGATAAATTCCCTTAGATATTGTCCTAGGAATTCTTGAGCTATTGCGCTTCAAACAGCGTGTTCTGTATGTCGACATTGACGTCCATCACGGCGATGGTGTGGAAGAAGCCTTTTACACTACGGACCGCGTCATGACCGTTTCATTTCACAAGTATGGGGAGTACTTCCCTGGAACTGGAGAACTCCGAGACATCGGAGTAGGACAGGGCAAACATTACGCTGTAAACTTCCCGCTCCGCGACGGTATTGATGACGTGTCGTATAAGAGTATTTTCGAGCCGGTCATTAAGAGCGTCATGGAATGGTACCGCCCCGAAGCGGTGGTTCTTCAGTGTGGTGGCGACAGTCTTTCCGGCGATCGTTTGGGATGCTTTAATCTCAGCATGAGAGGTCATGCGAACTGCGTCAACTTCATTAAAAGCTTTAACTTGCCGACCTTGATTCTTGGAGGTGGTGGTTACACGATGCGTAATGTTGCACGAACTTGGGCATTTGAGACCGGCATCCTTGTGGGAGACACTCTGGGTGCCGAACTTCCCTATAACGATTACTACGAGGTGAGTGTTTGTCCTTTATGTGGAACACCTCGTGTCGCTAAAGCTAACGTGCGTCAGTATTTTGCTCCGGATTACGAATTGGACGTACGCCCATCGAATATGGACAATGCCAATACAAAGGAATATCTTGATAAGATTCGCGCCCAAGTTGTGGAAAACCTCAAACGAACTGCTTTCGCCCCCTCAGTACAGATGACTGATGTACCCCGTGACCCTCTCGTAGAGGGCATGGACGACGAAGCGGATGCGATCCTAGACGATTTAGACGATGATGCAAATAAGGATACGCGCCACACGAAACGGCGCTTTGACCAGTACGTTGAAAAGCCCGGCGAGCTTAGCGATAGCGAGGACGAGGAAGAGAATGCGGCCAACGGTGTCCGCAGACAACCAAACGTTATGAAGAGGAGAAACCAGGTTAATTACAGGAACCTTGATGCTGCCGATTCTGGACTTGACAGTGGCATGGCAACTCCTCAGGATGCATCTTCCATCCCCGACGACGAGATGGACACTACTGCCGACGCCAAGATGGATGAAGCACCAGAGCCAGAGACTGAGGGCCCCGGCTCTCCGTCCGCTGCTGCTGAGCCACCATCGAGGGCTGAAGAAGCATTCTCTACCGAAAAGGCTGAGTTGGCCGTTAATGGGCACGAGCAGACGGCCGCCTCCGCTCCAGTCTCCCGTCAACCGACGCCCCAGGCTCAAGATGAAGACGTCGCCATGGAAGATGTAAGTGAGTCTGCGCCAGAGCCCGAAAAGACGGAACAAACTCCCGCAGAGGTACCAAGCGAAGGTCAAGAGGAGAAGAAACCCGTTGATGAGACTCCTGCTTCCAAAAAGCCTTTCACCGAGCCGTCATCGCCAAGCAAGGATCAATCACCACCTAAGGAAAGCAAAGAGCAACAGAAACCGGCGGAGTCTATGGACGTGGCTGAAACCCCAGAAACAAAGAAAAAGACCCCTGGGGCTCCTAAGGAAGAGGCGGCTGCCGGGAAGACTGAATCGGAACCCTCCAAGGAGTCCACCAAGGAGTCTACCACAGAACCGCAACCCGAGGAGCCTACAAAGAGCGAGGAATAGTCTCGGCATCTTGCAGAGGCGTTTGTTTCAGAGACCTGGCGTAAAGACTGGCAATACGGTGTTTGGGTTGATTGCATCCTTTATTGATGGAGGGTATAGTGACTGGTTAAAGACTTGGCTCCGTTCGCAATAGTTTCTTTTGTTCTTCGTTGGGGCACTATATCTTTCATATCGTTTCCTTTCTTTTTAAATAAACCATTTATGCTTTGAATTTCTTGCCTCCAACATGTACTTGATATAAATAGCTACACTGAGATTTCTTATTGTTCTATTTCATCTAGCAGACCCTGAATGGGTGTAAAAAACCTCCCTGACTGGCAGCGATAAGATAGCAAACATGATAGATGACTAATCACCAATTTTTGACAACGCTAGCCATAATAGGATTAGTCCTAGGGCATACCAGACAGCCCAGGGCGGCGCCCACGGACCAATAGTACTGCAACGCCAAGATTTTACCCACGACGCACACTAAGCGAGAAGCAATTCCAAACCCGAGCAAACCCTCGACGTCGCCCGATCCCTCTTGACCTTCGTCGCCCCCCTTCGCCAATTTCCCAGTATCCGACACCGTTAACGTGATACCTAGCCAAGATGTCTAAGAGAGGGTGAGTTTGCTCGAATCTGTTATTGCTGTGTTGGAACTTGCCAAATCGTATGGAATTCTCGACTGGACGAATGGTTGGGTTTACGGAGATCAATGAAGAGTGCAGTCCGCCTTTTGAGAGATCGCAAGGACAATAGAAAGAAGAGAGGAGGGGATTTTTTTTGCTATGGTCATGCGGTCGAAAATTCCGAACAAAAGACCCAATACGAAAGGAAGAGAAGGGATAAGAATTTCAGTTGATTTGACATGACCAATGCAAGAAATGGAAATAGATGGATTCAAAAGGCTAACCATTTCATTTTTCTCTAACAGTCGTGGCGGTAATGCCGGCAACAAGCTGAAGATGACGCTCGGTCTGCCTTGGTACGTTGATTTTTATTTTTTCTGCACACGGATGTTATAGCATCACATCAGTGCATTCCACTGGGCCTACACAATATACAAGCCGAGAATCAGACCAACTATTTCATTATTTCACCCGCGTCCACACCAGAATCACGTCAAAAATTCGAAGAAACGACAGACTAACAGGTCTTTTTTATTACAGCGGCGCCGTCGTCAACTGCTGCGATAACTCTGGTGCCCGTAACCTGTACATCATCTCAGTCAAGGGTACTGGTGCCCGCCTGAACCGTCTCCCCGCCGCTGGTGTCGGTGACATGGTCATGGCCACCGTCAAGAAGGGAAAGCCCGAGCTCCGGAAGAAGGTCATGCCTGCCGTTGTTGTCCGTCAGAGCAAACCCTGGAGACGTCCCGATGGGATCTACTTGTACTTCGAGGATAACGCTGGTGTGGTGAGTTCTCTCTCTTTTTGTCCTGTCTCATAGGGTGTACGGAGGGTTTTGTACTAACAGATGACAATGATTAGATCGTCAACGCCAAGGGTGAAATGAAGGGATCCGCTATCACCGGCCCCGTTGGAAAGGAGGCTGCTGAGCTTTGGCCTGTAAGTTTTATCCTTACACTTCTCTTTAAGCATTCCAGATTCTGCAAACACAGTGCTAATTCTATCCCAGCGTATCGCTTCCAACTCCGGTGTCGTCATGTAAACAAGGGAAACCGTCGATTGGGAATAACTTTTTTTTGAAAAGGAAATAGAAACGATACCAGCTGGGGAATCATCTTCGGTGCATAACGCAACTACGAAAGTGGGAAACGAAAAACGTTTTATCAAATGGAACAAGCGGGTGCTCGATTTTTAAAGCCGCGCCAGTTTCAATTTCCTCAATGACGTGCATCTTTTTGTCTCTTATATGGCGACTCGGAATATAAAAAATTTCACAAAAATCTCCTAGGCTTTCTTCAGTTTGGGGGGGATGTGGCCGATTCGTCCTCGTCAACCTCCAATTTATAGATTCTTTCGTACTGATGTAGTCCAATGCTTTTCGGTTATCTCTAATATACATTTTTAAAACAGGCTATGCTATTAACAATAGTATGCGCTTATTATATATTCTTAACCAACCGAAGAAACCAACATCAAGTCATGACACACCTAATGGCCCAAGGATGGAGGCTTAGGATGATTCAGCCCCCGGCTTCCCTTTCTGTCGAGCGGGCTTTTTCTCCGAAATATTCCTGGGCTTTGGAGACCTCGACCCAAAAGAGCTCGCCAGATAGACCAAAATCAGGATCACGACCACGAGATCAACTACGTGCACTGCCCACCATACATGTTGCACCCCGGCCTTGCACATGGTGATCTCGTATTTCCATTCATTGACGGCCGGGTCGGTGTCGAACCACAAGGAGAGGAGCCCGGCATTACCACCGTATTCCCCCATCATGGAGCGAAGTGTGACTTCTCGAATAGACGGCGTATGAGCCAGTGAGGTGTTGAGGTTATTCGAGCTGCCATAGTGCCGTGCACTCCATTTCCAAGCCGGCTGTTCGGCCTGTGTCTGGTCGTCCGTGCCGTTGGCATCTCCGGTAGTATTGGGGTCTGTGGTTTCCTTCGTTCGGTCAATGTAGTGTACCACGTCACAGCCTGTGTGGTCGTGGCCGGTGAGGATTAGGCCGTTGCGGCCCCATCCTCCACCGGCAGCGTCCTCGTCACCGGTCATACCGAAGATACCCTGGAGGATGCCATTGGCGCTGACGTGGTCGCTGAGGTGGTTCTGCTCGCGAAGCCCGCCCTCTTTGAAACGCGGTACGTCATCGGGGCCGTCCTCGTCGTCGGAGTCAAAAAATGCGAAATGCGGTCCATCAGTGCAGATCCCCTCCCGTTTATGCAGCGGAAGATGTGTGAGAAGTAGCGTGAACGATGTTCGGTCCTCCACAGGGTACGTTCGGCGCGTAATGAGGTCATTTATGTAGTCGTAGCTGCGGGACTGAACATCCGAGGATAGTGCTGGCGTGTCAAGCGTCAACGTGTTTAGGTTAATCAGGTGTAGAGTCGGTGTAGCGGTGGTGGAATGCTCGCCATCAAGATCCGACTGCATCTGCACCTTCACCGGATGTTGGAATCTGATGTCCCAATTGGAACGGCCAAACACGCGTTCGAAGCGCTCAATCCGTGCCTCACTAGCATCCCCGGAATATCCAATGTCATGGTTGCCCGCAATGTTGATGAGGCGTTGCGACCAGATCGAGTCGGTACCATTCAGTAACGTCTCAGCCGGGTCGACCACGTTCTGGCTCTCACCCTCGTCCCCGATATTCTCTGTTGTGGCAGTGCCTGTGAGAGCATCGCTCACCCGTATACCCCCCTTGAACACACGATGCCAGTACCGGTCACCGCGACGGTCGAACTCCTCGTCCGTCACCCATTGGCTCCCGATCAAGTCACCTAGCACAGTGACATGCGTAGGACGGCTCCACCAGTGGAGTGTGCGATAGATATGGGCCAGATAGTAATCGTTGCCCAAGAGATCGAGTCGCTTGCGGGCGGCCCGCAAGGTGCGAGGGATGTCATCGACTACGAATGATTGCAGCGCGGCAAAGAGGGCGCCCAACACGTCACGGTATCGAGAGGACGACGATTCACCCTGAATAGCAGATATCAGGCTAGAGCGGTACGCATCAAGGCGCGCCCGGAGCTCATCTTCGGGTTTGGGAAGAGAGCTGTCTCCTTCGAGTTGGGGGTCGGCTATGACGAGAAGTCGGAAGATCGCTGGGGGATTCGCGGACTCAAACTCGGACTGTGGCGCGAAATGTTGGCGAATCGTCGAGAGGAAGCAGCCTGGTAAAAGACCAGTGTGCTCATCGTTGGGAAGAGGAAATGCGCAGCCATGGAAGGCCGGGTAGAGGTAGAGGTAGACGGTAGCTGCTATCGCCAGCGGGAGGAGGCCGGTGAGCATACGAGAAAGGAGCCAACGAAGGGACATGGAGATGCAGCAGGGAATGACAGCATTGGTCTCGACCCCAGTTTGTTCTATTTATTGATTCTTTGTGTTATTGGTACGGGGAATTGGCTCCCATCTTGTGGGTCGGGTGAAGGGTGAAGAAAAAAAGAGACAGAAAGGGGAAAGGTGAAGTTCTCGGCAGACGATCACGGGGGTGGATTATTATTAGTATCATTATCGACGCTGAAGGATCTTTTCATTTCTAGACCAATGGGGGATTCTTATTAAGTTATTCTTATTATTCTTAGTATACGAAGCACTGATTATGCAGACGAAAATTCGTCCCATCTCATCGCATTCTCTACTTGCCATACTATCTTCGCTATCTTTATGCCGGATCCTCTGCCACAAGTGTGAAATAAATAAGCCAAGTATACTAGTTAAAACCACCAAATTAAGCAAGAAAAACAAATAGATCCGAACGGGGGTATATCACATAAAACGCCAGACACGGGAGTAGCGGTTAAAAAGAAAAAGGGGGGAGAGGGAAGAGTATGCAAGAGAACAGAGGCCAAGAAGGACAACAGAACAACAGATTATTCATCCGGATTTCATAGGCGACTCTGGGAGCAGAGAAGACGGACCAGCATCGACACCATCTAGAGGATTCGATGATCTCTTTGCTGTGTCGTTGTCCTCCGGGGCAGGATCCTGTTCGAGCCCGAGACCTTTCACGACGGGCTCGCTCACTTCCTCGGTCGTGGTTGGTGGCTCATCTCCCTCTTCTCCCACCGAGTTGGCAGGCATAATCTCTGGAGGTCGCTGGTTCATCAACCGAGCCTCCTTGAGGCTGATAGTGTGTTGTTTATTCGTGGTTTCCACCGGCAGCCCCAGGTTCCGCTCAATGGTCGCTTTCATCAACGCAGCCATCCACAAGCGGCCTTCTTTGATACTGGCCACCTGGAAATAGTGAATGGCGGGCTTGGTAAATTGCACCGTCCGCGACACACCCGTCTTGGGAGGGACCAGTTTAAAGAAGAACGGCCCATCCCCACTACTCTTCGATCCGCGCAGGGAGGACTCAGAAGCGGACGCTTTATCGGACGACGCTAGATCAGTGGCGCTGGCATTCGACGGCGAGGTGGGTGAAACCGTGGCCCCAGTGATGGTCGCATGTAGAGCAATGATGGGATCATTGTCCGCCCGGAGTACTCGGTGAGCGGTGATGTCGATCAGACCGCGCTCCTCAGTGTCGTTCTCCGAATAATAATAGGACAGTCGACGGCCACGCAGAACAAACAGACGGGGCTTCCACGTGGTCATGAGGTTTGAAGATCGCTTCTTCATCCACCCTGAGAAATCACAGCCCTCCATCTGCTCCTGTGGGGTCTTTTTCTCCAGACCCCGTGTGTACGCACTCGTGTCCTTCTTGGATTTAATGGCCGCCTTCACCGTTCGGGTACGGGGCAGTGAAATGCCACCTTCATTGGCCTTGCCCGACAAATCGGTGCTATGCCGCTCCGAGCTCTTGGACGTCGACGGTGTCGTTGACCCCGTTCGCACCGAGGATGGGTCCGTGTCCCGGACCGGCGATGCTGGAGGCACAGACGTGTCAGTACCTTTCCCGACCACGTCGGACATGGCACGGAGACCAGTCACTGCCCGTCGAAACTTAGGAGCTGCATTTTTGAGTTGCTGGGCCACGGGAGTCGACCGAGAGGAAGGGTCGGAGTCTTGTCGGCCAACGAGTGGCACGAGGGATGAAAAGAAGCCGGGCCCAGAGGTGGACTTCTCCTCGGACGAGTGATTGCGTAATTGCTGCTTATGGCGATCTGATGATAGGCGGGTGCTAAGGCTTCTGATACGGCCCTTCGGGGGAGTCGGCGGAGCCGCCGTAGTAATATACGTATTTATCGCGTCGGGCGCCCGTAGGTCACCGTCCCGAATAGAATCGGCACTGCCAATGCGTGAGTGGCGCTTCCGGACGTTCAGGATGTTCGATCCATCTGCGAGACCGGTTAGCCCGGCATTGAAGCTGCCACTCCGGATCGAATGCCGTTTCTGCAGGACGCGTTTGCTTTTCCGAGGGTCGCCCTCCGGTCCGGAGAAATAGCCTCGATCCAGCTCGTCGGTAACCGCGACGACGGGATCCGATGCGTTCGACTCGGGGCCACGGAATACATGCTGCTGAAGAACCGAGTCGTTGGACGACGTACCCAGGGCAGTTCCAGGGCGTCGTTGGGACACGCCAGACATGGTCCATGCCCGGTCCAGCGAGGGCTTTGTCTGGTGCCCAAACTGGGGCGAGGAGTCACCGGCAGTCGAGTAGTGATTCGTAGCATCAATCGAGGAATGGCGCCGCGACTGGTTAATCTCGCGCACCGATGCGGCGGACGGCCGCCGAGAGTGATCCATCCACGACCCCGGGGTCTGTGGGGTCAACGGGGAGCTGTTGTTGCTGCTGCTAATAAGTCGGGGGTGCTGCGTGGATCCGGCCGAACTTCTCAGGTTGGGAATCCGGGGAAGAAGCGGGCCGGTGTGGCCCACACGACTGAGGGTGCGCTCTTCGGAAGTGTCGAAGCCAGAGGCAGAGCCGCGAGATGTCTTTCGAGGCCGGGTCATATCCGTTCCCTTGACCTCCTCCTGAAACGCTTTGATCTTATGCCAGGTCTTCAGCCGCCGGCCCATCACACCAAAGTCAAACTCCTTCATAAAGATAAAATCCTGGTTCATATCCAGCAGGACATCACCACTAATCTCCTGCTCCTCGAAGATGTCGCAGTGTTTGCCTTCGACCCCCATCTCATGTAAGTGTTTGGCCGTGTCGACGTGATTCCAATGGCGCACTTCCGCCTCGGTCGGCTGGCACTCTTCCTCCTCATCCGTCTCCTGTCCATTGATGTAAGACATCCGGTGATCGAATGTGCTGCTGTATTCACTAGCGGAGTCGTTGATCGGCTTAGGTTCTTGCGTGGCGGCCAAACTATGGCGTGGAGTACTCAAGTCGGTGATATGTTCATCGATCACGCTGAGTGTCTCGTTCATGACGGGACTGTCTTTAGTTTGGCCATTCAGTTGGCCATCAATGGACTGTCGGATGGACTGATGGAGATCGATAGCGAGTTTGGATGTAGGTAATGGAGACGAGCTGGACCTCTGCGGCTGGGAGGGGGAGGGGTTGGGACTTGGAGCCCCCGACTCACTGTCCATTTCCGGCAGGCGCATGTCCGATAAGCTGGTGTGTCGAGAAACGTGAGGGGTTGATTCGCCGCTCTTTGGCGACCTGAATGGACCGGTCGCATCCGGTGTGAGATTCTCTGGAGCAGCGGTGGCCTTCTCGCCGTCGGGCTTAGAAGGATCAGATCCTGGTAAGTCCCTCAGTGGGCGCACTGGGATCTTGGGGGCCGTTGTTGTATAGACTAAGTGGGTGAACCCCTGCAGTTAGCGAAGTTTCCCGTCGGGTCTAGAGAGAGAGAGGAGAACGAGCCTTACCTCCAGGGAAGAGTCCGATTGTTCCTGTTTTTAATTCCTTTCCTAGATACCATCCGTCGCCGAATCCATCGTCCAGCTCTACGAGCTCGATTTTCTCACCACGTCGCAAGGTAAGCTCATCCGAACCCCGCGCATCAAAATCGTCTAAAACTATCAGTCGAAGCCAGCGGCGGGGATAGGGGAGCGATTTCACTTGCAACCGAGGATGCAAATGGGGGGGAGAAGGGAAGGGATGACTTACGAACGACCAGAAGAAGATCCCCGGGGTGAACACCGCGGGGGGGCGATGTTAGAGCCATTGTGAAGGATTAGATAGCCAGAGTGGGGACAATCAGAAGGCGCAATGATGACGGAGGAATTGTGCAGAACATTTGGGGCCCAGCAGCCCTCGGGAGGGATGAAGTCGAGCAGAGAGGTCGGATCAGATCCCAGGAGAAATTAAATGTGCGGAATGTAAACAGTGAGTCTGTCGGTAGGGAAGGAAAACCAACGATGGGATTACAACAGGACGAGAGGAAAAGGGAAAATTAAGAACGAAAAAAAAAAAAAAAAAAAAGTTTAAAAAAGGGAACCAGAAAAAAGGAAGAAAAATGAAATGAAGAGGGCGGGGCCAGAGAGTGAAAGTTCGGGTTGATCCAGAGAAAGCAGACGAATGGATGGCAGTTCGATGATAAGGATGAAATGGGATGGAGGATTGACGGCCGCTGGACTCTAATTAATCTTAAGGTACAGAGTATAAATAAATAAAAATAAAATAATAAAGAACTTAAAAAAAGAAACAGAAGGGAAGAGAAGAGAATAAGAAGCGCCGATCGCCAGTGGAAATGCCAAAAAAACCACCCGGCGGAGTCCAAAGGCGCTAAAGAGGCGGTTCGAGATGAAGACTTAACTATTGTTGAAGAAGGGGATGAAAAGAATATAAAGATGATGAAGAGGATAGAGAGGATGAAGATGATGAGGATGATGACGGAATGACACGATGACGAGACAATCGACGAAAGGATGATTCAATAAGTTCTTATACCGAGGACGATGACCACGAGCCAGCGTCACCATCCCATCGGCAGTACCTGACGGTGCCTATGAATGACGCTGGATGGGCAGGTATCCTAGATGAAGTCTCGTCAGGAACCACCACCGCCAACTAAATCGTTGACTGGAGCCAGCAGCGTTGGGCCGGGTCCCTCTGCCAGTTCATTCTATCCACCTGTCGAGGACAATTAATTAATCGATTCATTTATTCATTCATTCATTAATCACCCTCCATGGTGTTGATCCGTCTCTCTAGCATACCGGGTCATACTAGAATCTCTCGGTATGCATCCATCTGCAACCCCTTGGATCCGTCCACTGATCAACATTCTGATGACTGATCCGGCTTCGAGAAACTGGACCAGTCGTTTTCAGGGGAACAATTAACTATCTGTATCTGCGGGAGGAGTTCTTAGATACGTCTTTCTCTCTCGCCTCCCCGGATGCCTCTGTATGCCCATCGGCGGATTTTCCCCGGTGACAATTGCATCAATCCGGAACTGATAGGTCTCATTCAAGATCATCATGCTGCTGGTATTATTATTTCAGACTTATTGTGATCATAATAATAAGAACAGATCAATCAATCAATGGATCAGACCGCACACGCGATAGATCCAAGTCTCCAGACAAAGGAACCTTATAGACTACTCCTCTATAGATAGACTGAGCGAATGCTACTGACATTATGAATCCCGCCCCTCGCATCACCCAACATTGTGATCGCATCGTCGTCCCTTTCAGGGCTTGCATTCACTATCCACAGTGGATGATTTAACCTGGTACAATATGTATTTGAGGGTGTCATTGTAGCGGCGTAGTTAAAGACAGGGATCTGGGACGGAAAATCCCTCCTCCTCAATCTCTTCTTCCGTATACAGACCACACTGAACGAACGGATGGATCTGCACTGGTCTAAAGCCTACAGGACAAGTAAGTGGTTTTTGAAGAGGAGGAGATCAGAAGAAAATACGCGCCCATCTGAATCAAACGGAAAGTTGCTTTCTTTGTTGCGGTGTTTGTACCTTGGAGTATTTTCTCCAGGGCCAGCATCAGGATAGGACTTTTGTTTCTTTTTCTCATCTTCCTCCTTTTCCTCCTTCCCCCTATCTTCAACTGCTCCTTACCATCGTCCTTCTTTCATCGCGCGAGTCTTTCTGTAGCCGGTGGCCTACTTCGGAGTAGACGATGCCTTCACCATGACTCCCCACTTACCTAATCCTCATCTGCAATCGTCCAATTCCACCGCCAACATTTTTCTGGGAGGCGTGCGGCGATCGTGGATGGACATTCTTCCTTCTGATTCTTCCACCGCCACGACGACTACTGCTGCCACCACCACCACATCCTCCGCCATTCCCTCGACTGTTTCGCCTCCAGTCTCCACTGTGACTGTGACGCCTGCGCCTCCTGCGGGCGGTCCAGGTATGCGAGATTCTGCCCGCGTGCCTCCCGCATTATCTGCTCCGGAGAATGTTGTCTTCCCACCTCGACGTCAATCGAACTTGACACTCTCCGAGATTGTCGGTCCTTCTCCGCAGCCTCGATCCCCGAGTCGTCCTAGCCAGCCTCCTCTCGCATCAGGTCGTGGTCCCGCGTCTCCTGTGATCGTGACCGACGCGACGGCACCCACAGCGACGACAACAATAACAACAACAACAGCAACCACGGCATCAGCACTCCCCCCTGCTCTCACACCACAATCTCCCTCACTTTCTGTATTCAATCAACAGAACTCCTCTGTCAACCTGAAAACAACGTCGCAGGAGGCAACCGGCGTGCCAACCCCGCCGCCAACGAGGACGAACGGAGGTGTAGGCAATGTTCCGAAGGTCTCGTCAGGGTCGGAGGTGCAACATGAGGCTCTCAGAAACCCGCAACAGACACGCACCCCGAACTTGCAGACAACTCATGCGCATCCTCCGGTCTCGAGACCGCGCCAACCACGACAGCCACCATCCCCTGCGGGGGCGCAAGGACGAGCTCCCACCATTGACAATGTGTTCTTCGATAACTCTGTTAGAAACGTGGGGGGCTTTGCAGCTCACTTGGAGAAGAGCGGGTATTATTCAGGCTCGTTCGAGCAAGCCCGGCTACGGCTTCTGGCCAAAGCGTGTGGCCAGCGGGACTGCATGTATCTGATGATGCATCAGGTGTATTGCTTATACAGTTTAGCCCCGACGGAGTTCTTGAAGCTGCCAGGATTTACAGCGCATGAAGCGCGGGGCCTATCGGTATTTGAGAGAGCTATGGTGGCCAACCATCTCCTCTCACCTGAGTTCCTCCAATGGTGTGCTCATTTCCCGGGACAGATCACAGTCTTGATGCAAAGACCCGTCTTTCGTGCGGCAATGGAGGAGGTCTTGCTGTGCCTGAGGCGTCTAGCGGACCAGTGGAAGCCATATATAGACCATGTCTTCCTGCGTGGCTTCCCCCCTTTCGTAGCAGAGCTGACGGAGCGTTTTGGCATCACCTCGATAACGCTGGCATACATTACCTTTCTGTCAACTTGTCGACAGCTCCCGGGGCCCAGTGATGAGTCTGCGTTGAAAGTGGTCTGGGACCAGGATCTGAGTTTTTACGTTCAACGCTGCAGATCGTCCACCGTCGCATCGAAGGCTCAGATCGATCAGGAAAACTCCCAGGTTATACGATCATACCGGTCAATTGCTGTCCCTGAAAATACAGCTCCTGCAGGGCAGCAAAAAGCGTGCCAATCGTCCTTGCAGTCGCCCAATGTCCCGGCTCCAATATCCACCACGAGAACGAGGATCCCGCCATTGTCGGCCGTGACTCGGCCCACCGGCATCCCGAGTCCGCAGCCCTCGCAATCTCCCCAGATGCCCGTTTCGCAACCAGGTCAACCAAGATCCGGCGTCGACAGCGCACGGACGAGCGCATCTCAGACCCCTTCCTCATCTTTTGCTGTTTTGCCAACATCCGGTCATGGAGAAGGAAATCCAAGGCCTGGCCGGCCTGCCGCTGCGACGCCGCGGATGTCGGCGGGCATTCCGAACCAACGTCCTGCGACCTCTCATGTGCGTGGTGAACCCTATAGCAGAGTAACTGGGGGTCAGCCGGCCGCCATATCAATCCCAGCGTCGTCCGGAAATGGCGGTATTCCCCCCCCAGTAACCACTCCGCTCCAGATGGTATTTCCTTCTCAGATTGTGCAGTCCCAGTTGGCTGGCCAGACCTCGTCCCCAACACAGCTCCCGACGCCAATCTCTGTCCCAGCGCAGATGCGAACGGCTACGAGGCATGATATGGTTCAGCGGCCGGCCATGACTAGGGCTCCTGCCAGCCAGCAGTTGCCTACGTCTCCAATGCCGTTGCTACCCCCACCCGGCTATGTCCCGCCGAGCACTTCGCGGCCGAATCCAAACCGTGATGCACTTCACCAGGCCCATCTTCGAAGCCCGATCAACGAGCTGCACCCACCGGAGGAGGCGGGACAGCAGGAGGCAACGCTGTTCCAATACTTGAGTGCGTTCGCAGTGGCCCCCACGCCGCTTGGTCGGGATGAATGTGCGTTTAGTTGGGATTTCTCGCTCTCACAGGCTGACCTCGATCGGGCTCCCCTGTGCCGGATTCCCCCGGTAGGACACCGCCTGATGCGCCTGTATAGGGATGGCACCCAGGTTCATCGGTTACGGTGTATCCGTGTAAGCCCGTCCACCACCGAGGTGTCCCAACATGCATGGAGCATCACAGAGTCGACATGGCCCAGCGTTGTATACGTGTTCATCAATGGGGTAGAAGCTTTTGTGCGTCGACGCGTACACAACGGCAAAGACCTCCCCTTGGATATCACCCAGTATTTGCGCCTGGGCACCAATACAGTCTCTTTACATTTCATTCGTAACGCTGCCGAATCGGAGGACCTGACGTATGCCATGGGCGTTGAAGTCCTCGATATGGCTAGCTTCTCTCGAGTGAAAGAGCTCGCACAATCACTGACCTCGCCAGAGTCTCGCGAGCAGATCCGTAAGCGCCTCTCGCCCGACCACCAGGATGACGAGGTGAGTATCGTCAGCGAAGATCTTATCATCGACCTAGTGGACCCTTTCACTGCAAAGGTGTTTAACCGGCCTGTACGTGGACGATTCTGCGGTCATCAGGAGTGCTTCGACCACGACACGTGGATCCTGACACGGGCATGCAAGTCGGGCCAGCACCCGCTGCAAGAAAACTGGAGCTGTCCTATATGCGGCCAAGACGCGCGTCCCCAGAGTTTGATCATCGACTGTTTCCTGGAGGAGGTGCGCGCGGAGCTGGAGTGCACAAATCAACTGGAAAGTACCAGAGCCATCCAGATCAAGGCCGATGGCTCCTGGCAAGTGAGAGCCGAAACCAAGGCCTCTGACCAAAGCGTACCAGACCGTGCTGCATCGAAAAGAAAGCTCGATGGTACTTCAGCATATCCCTCCTCAGTCTCCCAAAGACCCAAGATCGAACGATCACCATCCTTGAACGGTCACCATGATGCCGGACGTGCGCATCGGCAATCTCCCGAAGTCATTTCTTTAGACTGATGTATTGATGGCTTCAGCGGAGCATTCCTCCCGGCGTTTAATGGCCTGTATGAATCGTTTGGATTGTTGCATATCTAATATTCTTCCTTTCTTTCATTTATCTGTTTCCGCTCATGTTCCTGTCATCATCAGCATAGGCGCTTTCGGCTCCTTATTTACGAGATACCCCATCCGCATGAAGTGTGTGTTGTCATTTTGTTCCAAAAGAAATTGTCGGGACCGGTGTTGAAAAAAGTGCGGTTGTCTGCTTGCGGTTCCCTAACCACTGCTGACACAGGTATTCATACCTACCTGTTGCATCCATCTACTTTGGGTACCTAGTTCCTGGTTCCGGTAGATGATAAGGAGGTTCCTTAGTTAAATGTCTGGGAATAATTGATTCCGATTGGATGCACTCTATATAGGATCCTATCGAATTCTACTTAGGTGTTATGTCCTCCAAAGGTCTACGAAGAACAGAGAATCCAATCATTTGAGCGAGATCTCTATAGGAACCAACAGTCTTACTTTATCTGCGGTATATATATCCGTCCTCAGGTGGTACAAATACACGCAATTGTTCAGGAGAGTGTTGCTCGTTTTGTATAATTATCCGTCAGTAATCTGACCTCGTGAGCTACCTAGTATAAAGGCAATCCCACAATGTAGCCATCTTCATCGTTCTTCATACCTTCTAGTTGCAGTCATCAAATTCAATCGCCACGTTACCCACCACTAAGCGCCTGTATTCAGGACTTCTATAGTTTTTATCTCTCAAATGGTATGATTTTAATCAAAATTACTAGACTCCATTGGATCTTGGGTTTTGCCATGGGGCTGTCCTGGCTGAATCTATCTAATTCAATATTAAGTCTGGAAGATTCGGACAGAGACGATAATGGGTAGTTGACCGATTGTCCCCTGCTTTTCGGCGCAATACCTCCAAGGCAATAAAAGGCGAATACATTCACCTACGCGGCATTTGCGTTGCAGCACCTCTGGCAATCGCTCGGAGCATTCGACAAAGGTTCGACAAAGGCCTTGCTCGTGTGATAAGTCTCAACGCCCGAGAACTGCCAGTCAGAACTGGGTTATCTTCATTGTCTTCGAATGTGGAGCGCAATGGGGTTTCAGTCTCTACGGAAGGCTTACGGGCTTCAGGAACATATTTCCAGTGATGTTCGCGAGAGTTAAGCGGCAACACTAGAATATCTGCAGAACGCTGGAAATTCCTGTTCCGCAAGTGTTTTCATACTGGTATGGTCGTCAAAAGCTATGAATGTGCAACTTCTGCTTACTCTGGTAGTGCTACTGATAAAAACCCCCGTTGGAATTCCCTACACCCTCATGAGCAAGGGTCTTGGTACGACCCTTAGCACATATCGTTGAAGTGCCAACATTCTTTACCCACCTAAAGCGGGAGACAACTTTCAATAACCCTTGGAGTCGTCCGAAAAGCTGAAAATCATGCGACAATTGGACAAAATAAACGCATGGATAGGTAAGACGTACCGTTCAGGTGTGGTTGGATCGCTTTTTATTACCATCCAAGTGTGGACTGAAACTGACGCTTTTAATAAACAGTCTGATGGCTATGGCTCTTGACCGGCCGATGATAATCAGCAACAATAATTGCGATATCCAGCTTCGAATCGACGGCAATATTCTCACAAAGCCCTCGACCACTGTACCCATGACTATCTCAACTAATGCAGACAAAATCGACCCAACTCTCTTGCAGCATCCCTTTTCAGATACTCAATATCTACTAAGGTCCATGAAACACGAAAACTAGACCGGCCACATCACAAAGATTACTCGCGAGTCAGAATACTACACGAACAGGTTTTTTCGATATTAGAGAATGTAACACCAGTTCTTCGACATCAAAATTCCGACAACTCTTGGGACTTGCAATACTCATACCTTCCTCAACAGTGGGAGGAACTACTGACTCTAGCCCACACATTTCTCATTGCATTGCATCGCCCTCATATCACCGTACATGCGGAGCGCCGAGAAGCTGCTTTACAGGCTGCACTTACTGTGCCCAGTCCCCAGCAGAGGCTCTTCAACCAAACAAGAGAACAAAACAAGAGAACACCATTATATGCTATGCCACCTCTCCTTTTATACAGTTGATGCGGCAATTTTAGTCTCGGACCTCTCGGTAGTTGCTGCGTCATATTTTCCCAAGTTTCTTGATCATATGCGTAGTATCGATCAGGCTTTACAGCAATGTATTTCAAGGTTGACGGTGATGGAACCTTGTAACCCGGGCAAAATCAGGCTTAGATATCATCCAGCTTTACTACCCGAAGATTCACCGACTCTTTGAAATTCCCCTCTCCGCATCCGCCTTACAGCACATATGCCTCTTGCTGAAGTTCAGCTGCAAGATATCAGGGGAGAACTGAACAACGAGAAACTAAGGAGCCGGGAGTATAGGTCAAACAAGCCATACTCTGGTGGTGATTATCCTACTCCGGGATTTTTTACGCCAGGAGAAACTGAAAAACCTAACTGTAACAAATCCTGTTGGTTACAGCAAATAGACAACATATATTTTGTTGCGGACTCATCGTCATCTGATATGAGCATTGAGCGCGTACCAGCGAAACAAAACAGGATATGCGCCACCTACTGCAAAGAAGGAACTTTTCTTTCAAACCACTGCAAAAGACGGCCGGTTTCAAAATTTAGTCATAGTGGATATAGGAGATTAACTCCTATGGCCGTAGGAGCATTTGCCCACAAATACAATGTTATCATGCCGTCGGCCCAAGATGCTGAGTCAGAAGATTTTCGGGGATAAGATTAGCGCAAATTTGCCTAGAAGGGTTTAGCGCAGCGGTAAATCTCCACTTCTGCCACGTTCTCGGCCTACCGGGCCACCATTCCAGCGTATATACTCCATCCCGGGTGCAATACTTAAGCAACCTCATTCCAGCGCCCAAATCCATTCCAGCAGCTCGATACCGATTTCTTCAATTTTGCGACCGTATGACTCGCAACGGGCTCCTACACAAGGAAAACAACAGGAGGTTCCCCAGGCTATTGCTAGAGCACTCCAAGCTGCTGGCCAATGGCATACAAGCGTGGCTATGGGGGTTACTACTGAAGCCCAACCCATGCTCAGCGGTTATATCTCTCAAATCCCTGCGGATGCCGACTCATTTTTCAAAGATGCTGCTGCATAGTACGGATCCAAGCGTGGAAACTATCAGCGATCGTACCAGAAAGTCCCACCCTTTGGCTTTGACCTTATGATCGGCTACGATTCGTTTGGCTTCCGGCACCTGATTTCGCCTCGGCCGTTGTTAATAATTGCGGTGGCTAATGCTCAGACATTTCACTATAGCGAAACCGCTGTTAATGCAGCTCGTGAGCCGAAAGAAATTATCGTTGAAGGAAGGAACCATTTTAATCTCTATGATGAACTTGCAGAATCTGGCCCGAAAGTTCCTAGATCCAAGCAGAGCTTAGGGAATCATGCCAGATGGCACATTCTAGGAGCCAGAGGGAAAAGAAGGCAACTATTCCTACCGTTGTGGCCACCGACATCCTCCCAGGATGTTCAAAAAACGTCAAGTTGCCTGAGGCTGGGATATATTTGAAAGCGCTTGGAAACGGTTCCCCCATCAAAATGTCAATATTTCAGCACATTTGCCTGGCTATCTAGGACCTTGGTACCCATTTAGTCCAATGGAATTTTATTGATACAAAGACATCAGAAAAAAAAAAAAACAAAAAAACAAAAAAACTAACCTTCAATTCCTTTTGAATATGAAAAAGACGATATTTCCTCCGCCCCCACAAAGAAGAGAGATGAGAATCGAGAGCTACTTGGCACCTTCAACCTCAGGAGGCTCCCTGTCCCTTAGCATCTGGGTGAGTTGCGGAAAGCCGAGATTCACAAACCTAGCTAATAAGTGTAGGGTCGTAGGGGCTATTTTCATCAACTATGCACTCGCACTTGGAGACGGAGACCAGAAGGAACTGTTTGTCAGAGCTCATATCGACGCCGTATTGCTCACAATGCTTGTGGTGGAAAAGCGACAGGAATTCTGCCAGCATGTTCCAGAGAAGGAGATAGGCATGTTAGAGAATACATTTACAAAGAAAACAGAGCTGATCAATCCAAGAGTATTGTCACTGCGTGGTCCAATAGCCAACAAATTAGATAAGGATCAGGTACAGTCCAGTCCCAACCTGGACTTCATCCTTCATTGTAAGCCTAAAACATTCACAGAAAAAGTAGAACTCGCAGATAAACCTATCTATCCAAGTCTAACCCAATGAAAAGAAAGGCCATCCAAAACAATAGAATCTCTCAGCCGAATACATACTCGCCACCTCAATACATCTTCGGCATCTAAGCGATTCCTGTCACGTACAGTGGAGTCTACACCCTGTTATGTCCATAGCTGCTGTCAGTCTCCAGAACTCTCCCTTGCATGGTGTCAGCCTTTGGATAATCCAGGCAATCAGGTTTGTCTGTCGAATAGTAAATGATAGATAGATAGATAGCGCTTACAAGTTATAGTCTAACATCCCTTTCCCCTGGGACCATTCTTCACTACTGCCTCGCACCGGAACAATATCCCGATGGTGGTCGCTTCTATTCCGGGTCGATTGCTGGCTGCCTTTGTTTTTCATCGAAACGGTCGGGATGGGAAAGTGTTGTGCCTTTTGAAGGGTTCATGGGGCTGATTACCGCTGTCGGGGTTTGAGATGATCAGTGGAGGGGAAGTAAGGACTCAATAACACACTTGTCATTGTTGTAGGGTGGCTAGGTGTATAGTTATAATATGTGATGTTAATACATACTATTTTATTTACTTCGTATCTCCTAGTAATTGTCCTTGTCCATGCTGTACCCATTGTGTCCGTCGTGTCCATTGTGTCCATCACCATGGCCATGTTTCTTTGCAACCACCATCCGATCCGAATGCAACGACACCCCAGCCTCCGTGACAATCGTATCCAACGGATCCCGCTTCAGAAACATCATCTCGCAGTGACTGATATGAGCCATATTATTATATCGATGTTCAATCACCGTGCCCACCTCAGCCGCCAAAAACATCTTCTTCCAGTAGTATGCACAATGGACCAGATGCCACTGGTGCGTGGTGAAGAAATGTGACCCCGTCTTCGGCAACATGGATACCTCCTCGAGGGATAAAATCTGCGTCTTATTCTTGTCCGCGTAGTACACCCAGCTTCCATCCGAGTTGGGTCCCGAGGACTCGAATTGCTCGATGAGTTCGTCGTTTCGACAAGCGGGAGGGAGCCAGGCCGCTGCAATCGAGTCGTATTTACACTTGTTGGCGATGGCTTCTTCGATGGTTTCTCCGCAGTTGCAAGATATTGGTCTGCGTGAGCGGATGGATGTGTATGCTCGGTATATTATGTCGAGGAACCCGAGCGTCGCGAACACTAGGAGAAGGATATATTTGACTCGGGATATTAGCTTTCGACGTTGGGTTCGGGTTGCGGTTGCTTCGTGGTTGAATTCGACGGGATCAGAACCATCGTATTCATAGCTGCCTCGCTCTTGAAGGCGTTCGTATTTAGTCATTACTCTGGTTGAATGGGTGGCTTTGATTCCGGGCTCTCAAAGGAAACGGGCGTTGTGCATTGCAATAGCTGGCTGAGTCGTACTGAGACAACCTGGACGAAGATTAGGAGCATGTCATGAGAGACATTATCCAGGCCAGAACAAGCTGACGAATACTGCATCATCCTTCGAATGTTTGACCCCGCACTGGCTAAGCCTGGTGGGGATGAGTCTTTCCAGTCCTTGCGTCTCCCCAAGGTGAATGAAGTCTGAACTGAGATCCCGACGTTACATTAAGATAAGCCACGGCCAAGAACGAAGGGACCTCGATGTCCAGAGCGGAGGCGACTGCTTACTTCCCAGCCCTTGGCAAAGGATTAAGGATTCCAGATTCATAAGAGTAGTAGTACCTAGGTCTTGATCCTAGATAGAGACTATCATGTAACTGCGGGGTTGATCGGTGGTTAATCAAACTCCGGCGGGGTTGATATCATCGCAACGATGTTCATGAATACTTAGACTAACTTCTATTCTACGAATAATTAGATACGTTGGACTCCAAAGGAGTAAACTCTGTGGGTCTTGACTAGAGGGTTCTCAATTTCATGTTACGCGTATACACAAAGCCCGCCTCCATTGCACTCTGACAGCACTGATCAGGGGTAAAAGGGAATCGCCTCGCCTTCCTCAGAACGCTTAGGGTAGAACGGAATTGCCTCGCTGTTTTCATCACGCTTCGGATAGAAGGGGATAGCTTCGCTTTCCTCAGAGCGTTTTGGGTAGAACGGAATGGCCTCGCTGTTCTCGTCACGCTTTGGATAGAAAGGAATGGCTTCGCTGTTCTCATCGCGCTTCGGATAGAATGGAATTGCCTCGCTGTTTTCATCACGCTTTGGGTAGAATGGAATAGCTTCACTGTTCTCATCGCGCTTCGGATAGAATGGAATTGCCTCGCTGTTTTCATCACGCTTTGGGTAGAATGGAATAGCTTCACTGTTCTCGTCTCTCTTTGGATAGAATGGAATAGCCTCGCTGTCCTCAGAGCGCTTTGGATAGAATGGAATAGCTTCGCTGTTCTCGGCTCGCTTTGGATAGAATGGAATTGCCTCGCTATCCTTGGCACCTGTAGCTCAATGTCAGCACGAAACCATTAATGTAATTGTAGTTCATACCAATAGGTGAAGAACAGGCCAAGGGGGCTCCGATGGCCAACAGAGCGACGACGATGTTGAACTGCATGATGGATGATGACTTTAAGAGAAATGTATCATAGATATTTCAAAACAGTGTAATAATGGGAGCACAAGACAACACTGATCCATTGCCATTGTATGGTGTCTTAGGACGGAATTTATATAGATGTGGTTGATAAACATGTTTTGAACGGAACGAAGTACTCTCCGTAGTTGCGCTTAGTCTCAAATCTAAATTCATCCATTGACCACATGGATGGCATCATGAGGAGAATCCTGACGCAGGGTCACATTACTGCATCTGATAGGATCATCCAAACATGAGAATATAGTCCGCTAGCCACATTGAGCTCGCCTCCAGTGCCCCATGCTTGTGTATCCCCTCATGGGATTCCATTTCCCCCGCATGAACGATCCAGATTTCCTCTCCAGTAAGTCTGCCAAGGGGATGTTATCGCGGAATCCCGACGGATTTACCTAATGGACTGTTTGCTCTGTCAAACTTTTAGTCTTGGTATTGGGGCCTCATGCGCCACCAGGTTCATGTCAGTTTGATTCCGATTGCGGTATTTGTGTCAGCCTTTCATTCTCTGCTTATTCTGATTTCTAGTTGTTGCCCTCGGCTAAAGGTCTCTTGACTGCACAGTGATTGAGCTTTGCATTCAAGAACTCGGTCACTGCTGTGATCTTATTTCTCCTCTGATGAAGATCCGACAAAATGTCTAAGATTCGACATGGCTCGATGGACCTGGATGATGGTTTCCATCCAAGTTTGCATCCAGAGGATCTAGAAAAGTCATTCTTGATTGGCAAGGACACAGTCAATGGACATGATGTCGGACAGAGTGAAAGAGAGCCACAACGAACACGGCTCAAGGGGAACTTCGTGATGATATGGCTATCCATAGTGAATGTGTTATTGTTCACGGCCTCCCTGTATTTCTTTATCTCGCCATTATCTAGTCAGGCCTGTCTCCAACACCTCACTGATCAGCAGAAATGGAAATCAACATCCAACTACGGTATGCTTAAGTCAGTCAGGTTCATTATGCAAGATAGCTGACCGACCATTGCAGCACCTCTCTTTGACCGTGTACAGATCCCCCGTGTTTCTCTAACCCCAAACGCATCACTATACGACACTGACCCACCATCCATCCTACGTATACCCAAAGGCCACGAAGCCGACGACGAATGGTTCCGCATCGGGTCCGGTGTGATGCCGATAATCATCTCCTCGGACGAAGTCCGCAAACTGGGAAAAGATCCCTCCCTTGCAGTCAAGATCCCCGAAGAGCACGGATACGGCGACGACGCGTACATAGCGCAGACAGAAGTGTTCCATCTCCTGCACTGCATCGACATGTTGCGGAAGGAGATCTCCTACGAGCATTACTATTTCCCGCAGTTTGGGAATAACCCCGATGAGCAGCATGTTGCCCATATTGGTCACTGTATTGATATTTTGGCTCAGGCGATTAAATGTTCCAGTAGCGTGGATGTTATTTTGTTTAACTGGGTTGAGGGATGGGATCAACCGTTTCCTGATTTTGGGAATCAGCATGTCTGTCGGGATTTTGAGGCGCTTCTGGATTATGTTAATGAGAATTCTGTGCCTCGTTCGGTGTGGAAGACTATGAAAGAACCGCCTGTGGGATATGTGCGTCTGCCGGAGCCAGCACCGGTGCAAGCAGCCGAATCAGAGGGTGTATGATAGCGTACAAATTATAGACAGCTATTTATCATGATTTCGAGAAGCTTCCTCTTGTAGGTTTTCAATCGCTATGCGATCTGTATAATTGAAAGTATTGCAAGGAGTCTCCTCGTCATTGCCCACTTCCTCATAGTCATAATCATCCTCATCTGAGAACTCCTGTTGATCATCCCTCTTACTCAACCAAATATCTTGTCGCTCCCAGATGATATCGGGGGCTTCTCTAACATACTATGTGAAAAAACATAGTCTGTCTCACGGCTGTCACTCGCATAGCCAAGCTCCTGAAAACGGATAGTCAAAACAGGACTGTTGACGATTAGACCCGTCTTTCTCTCTTTGATAGTAGTTGATTGTTTGCACACTGGCTGAATTCCAGGATTCGCCCAGGTACTAGGTCTCTGTAGGCACCCATTTCCCAATCAGTACATGGCGCATCCGTTGTTTCATGAAGACAGTAACAGATAACTACTGCCTTCGCTTCGAAATGCAGAATCCATACGGCTGCGTCAGTTTCTTCGCAGCTGCTGAGCTGATTCGGATCATCCATTCCAGACGTCTATAAGCTAATCAAAATCACGCCCTGAGGATTTTGTTACGTGGAAATATCGTCTGACCAAAAAAAAGTACCATGGCCCTCTCTGCGAGCGATAATTTGGTATTATGGTGCTTATGTTCATTGAGAAGAAGATCTTTGACTGGATATTGCGTACTTAGAAGTATATGCATATCCGTTTGAACAATGACAGAAAAGTACATGACTGTTGATCTTTGTATTGATATTATAAGATGCTCGTCCGTGTTCAAATAACTTTGTTCGAGCCATAAATGGCTGGAATCTATGATGAGTGCGTTGTAGGAAGGAAAGAAGAGAGGTGAAGTAAGAAGTGAAGTAAGCCAAGTGACGGTTTCTGGGTCCTCCTTTCATGACTAGAATTTACTGTTACTTCGAATGCTATCAACTATACTCATTCCTGTAGTATGTTATTGCGCGTTTGTCCTTGACCTTCCGTGTGATTGCTAGTATAGTTCAATCTTATGGACAGCCATCATAGTCTTGCCCCCACAAAATCCACCAGATCAAAGAAACTTTTCTTAAAGGACCGCTGCTGCGTCACCCGATTCACCACCTGCAGCCCAAACTGCTGCGAATAGTCTCCAAACTCCCAATTATCAGTCCACGACCAAGCCAAAGCACCCATCACATGCACCCCGTCTTCATGGATGGCCTTCAGGATCTCTGACATGAAGGAGAGAAAGTAGATACTGCGTGGGGTGTCGAACAGCTGATCCGATAGCTCCTTATCAGCCTCGTGAGACACGGGGAACCCGAACTCCATGACGAACACCGGCTTTCGGAAAGTGTTCCAGAGGTAGTTGAGGTATTCTCGGAGATAGATTGGGGTGATATACACATAGCTATGAGAGCGGTAGCCGATATTCCAGCCGTAGACGTTCTTTGTCTCCTGCACGACGCAGTATGGGAACAAGGAGTTCTCTGCGGAGTGGTCTTTTGCGCAGGTATCAATCCCTCCGGAGGGCTGGGAAACTACCGTTGCAGTGTACGGGTCGATACCAAAGAAGTCGGAGGTGTTGGCTATGTACGAGAGATCTTGCTCGCTGATCGGCGTGGCGCCGGGGAGAGTGGTCAGGACCGAATCCGGATACTGCTCTCCTAGGAAGATAGGGTTGGCGTAGAGGCATAGCTGGATCTCTTGGAATCGGTTGGCCGCAAGGACGTCGCTGGAATTGCGAGGATCGAGGGGCACCCCGAAGTTATCGCTCAATTTGATGCCCATCTGCCCGGTTGCCTTCAGCTCGTCGCGGTAGAAATGGTACACTTGTGCGTGAGCATGCACGACGTTATCGGCGCCGGCGAAATTATATGAGAAGAGATAAGGCTCGTTGAATGTGACCCAAATCGGAACACGATCAGCATAGTGGGTGAGAACAATCTTTGCGTAGTTGACAAAGGCGTCGACGAAGGTCTCGTTCTGATAGCCACCATTGCTGAGGCCAAAGTCAGGACGAGCGGACGAGTTTTCGCCGGCCACGAATATTAGCGGACTGTCGAAATGAAGCAACGTGACAATGGGCAACATCCCTGCATCGAGTATGGTGTTAATCAGATCGTCATAGTGTTTGATGCCCTGTTCGTTCACGGGGGAGCCGGGGAGCACGAAGGGTAGAATTCGCGTCCATGGGATGGAGAAACTGTAGTATTTGACGCCCATGGAAGCCAGACGTTGAATGTCTTGTTTGTACAGGTAGTAGTTCTCGTTCGTCACGTAATTCTTCGGCTGAGAAGCATTTGCCAGTTTTTCCAGGATGGTAGGGCTTCGGCCTTCCAAGCCAATGGCACCTTCTACTTGATTTGCGCTTCCTGCAACGCCAAATATGAAGTCTTTGGGGAAGTTGTAACAATCCGTTGGTCCGAAGTAGTCTCGTGGTGGTAGGACTAGCTCACTCCTAGGAACCAGCGTTGGGCTGACCGTTGTTGAATACAAACCGGTAGTGGTGTAGTTTTCGAGACCGGCTTGTTGCCATAGCGAGGACCATGCTGCTTGTCCATACGGGTTGTCTGTGTCCATTGCAGTGATCACTGTCTGGTCAGGCAGCCAGTTACCCCATGTCGTTGTCACCGGGCTCGTAGTGAGGTGCTTGACAGCTTCAGAATATGGCAGCCCATAGGTGCGGGTTGTGGTTGGCGAAGGTACTGAAGTAGCATAACTGCATCATTTCATTAACTACCTTGTGATCTCTCATTGTGGAGTAAGAATAAATGTGTGAAAAACATACCGAACTGTCTCATTCATCGTATAGGAAAACGGCCGGAAATGGTATTGTGGTGAGGCAGCCGGGTGCGTACACTGCGGACGCTCAGTATAGCCATCTGTCGTGATGTAAAATTGTTGTGCCTCAGCAAGTACTGCAAATGCAGTCATGCATGCCAAGGGAGTCCTCATCTTGTTCCAGTTATAATGATTTTCGTAGAGTGCTCTGCAGAGGTGGTGGCACTAACCCTAAGGTCATCTTTATATTCACGAGCCTTGCTTTAAAATCAGTGCAAAGGGCGTATGCTTAACTGCTTCCGGTAAACAAAGCTGTCCAAGGCACGATCAGCACGTATACTGTGTAATCAGTCCCTTATATACGAAGCAGCCACCCTGCTGTCTAATTTTATTGGTGTTCTTTGTAGACGGTCCACTTCCTTTCGGTGAATACGGGGATATTTGAAGGATCCAATTCTTCTGACAGGTAATATCCCGAGGAATGGGTCTGACTATTCTGTCATGTCACCTTGAACCCCCTCTTCTCCATCATGGATAACATTCACCTATACCTGTTTAGGACTAATACGCCAAATAGCCAGGATTCCTTAGGTTTTCTATAAATTGTGACTATTTCGGCTTTTCTCGACCGCCAGTACGAGGTCTGAATTAGTTACTTACTCAGTGGAAATATAAAAACATGATATACTTCTATTCGTATATGCAGATGGTCATATTTTTATTCAAAATGAGTTGATTTTAGAGATATCGATCAATAGAGTTATACATGATTATATACAACTGAGGTCAGATTAGCATTTTACCTTCTAGAATAGGGGCATTATACGCTTAAAATAGACATATTCTAGACACACTCTAATACACAACCCAAACTCCTGTCATCCATTCCCCTTTCCCTCTGTTTGTGAACTTCTCCGTCTTGAACTAAGGTTCTTACTGGTACTTAGCACACTAACAAACACTTAGAAATCCTCAGCTCCCCCTGTTAAGCAGCATAATCTGCACTTTTTGTAATGCATATTGCTAACTTGTTAGTTACACTAGCTTCGCATGTTACCTCAATCCTCGAAATCAGGTTACCCCATACGCTCAAATAGTTTCCCGAGCCCTATCTTGAAACCCCCTACGGTACAGTTTAGTTGTAGATATCCTTGTTCCAAAAATAGAAGCTGTTTTGTACGCGAAACGCCTATACACGTGCAACCTCTGTGTTCCTTGCTGTCTACTTTCTAGGTCGCAGACATCCACCACCTTTATGCCAGACTTTATTCCTGCTATTATATAGAGCCGGTCACTCACTGTGTCCTTAATGGCTAAAGCAGCTGATTGCAGGTGGCCGTATAACAATCATTGAATAATAGTAATGGCATTAAATAACATCTTCATATCCTTATATCTGGATAGTCATAAAGCAGTTGTGCTTACTTGGAACATACTTCCCGAAAGGATCACAAAATTCGAACCCCATACTACTGTACAAAGCTCGCGCATTTGCGAATGACGCATCCTTCCCAGTCTCCAGACTTAGTCGAGTATATCCTCTTCTCTTTGCTTCACCGATAATATATTGTACGATGGCCCGTCCAACTCCCCTGCGTAAATGTGCCGTTGCTGTCCTCATAGATTTAATTTCTCCGTGTGTGGGTGATAATTCTTTCAATGCTCCGCATCCTAGTAATTCTAGACCGTCCCATGCGGAGAAGACGGTGATAGCTGTTTCTTGAAGACTGGAGAGGCCTAGAACGTGGCAAGATTCAGATGGGGTCTTGCTTTGTAGTTCCGAGACGTGTAAGGAGAGTAAGGAGCGAATGGCAGGGGTGGAAAGGTTGTCGACTTTGATAAGCATGTTTATCCAGAGAAAGATAAGAAGAGGATTTTGTTGTTGTCAAGATGGTGAACCCCTCTATTCTGTTTGTGTTATATGTAGGAAATTTTGTACATTCCAGAGTGTAGAGTACTATGATGTTGTTACAGTGCTATATAGCATATTACAATGAGTCATTTTCTAACGACATTTGATAGTTAATGTAATCGGGAAGCGAGGGTCCCACCTCTGCCAATCGGTGAGAAGGCACTCAAAAAACTATATTTTTATATAAAAACTACTTACTAACCATTGCGATTAGGACATTGCAACTGTCTATGTCCTACTATATAACAATCACTGCAGCGTGGCGGCGCCGTACGCGTCGCTTAGCTGTAGTTAGCCCTGGAGCTACTAATAAAGCATTTTAAGTTTCTTGGGCCTTATTTTGGTGCTGAATATGTTCCTCGGCCTCGTGTAAAAAGACCTCTGCAGTAGCTATCGATTGCTTAGATCGCTTTTTTAAAAAAAAAATATTTAATTTATTTTCCACCCGTAAATCTCGGTTTTCCTTAATGACGAAAGCAGGCTTATTTATAGCCATTTTGTCAAGGGCTGAACCCGTAGAACCTATAGGTTAGGTTATATACAGAAAGGAATCATTGGAGAAAAGAAAGAGATAAATGACAGGAAAACAAATAAGACGGAAAGTCACGCATGTGTGGTGGCCTAGAGATGAAACAGGCTTGAGCCATTTTGTGACGGCGCTGGCAACTTACTGTATAAGAGAGAGCGACTCTAGGACTGGCGTCCTAGAATACTATCTTTTGCTCCTGGCACAGCGGTTTAGTCTCTGGAACGCTCCCTGGAGGTTAGGTCGTGACATACGGTATACCCCCGATATAACTACCAGCGCACGCTGAATGAAGATTTAAAGATTATACATGACTGGTACTTCAAGTAAACAACAGAGTCATGGTCGACGCAGGGCTTTTTCGGCAGCTGAAACCCGAATCATGAGAGATTGGAAACAAAAAGCCCTGAGGTTTTGATGTATTTGACGACGTTGTGGTATGCACGTTGGTCGACCGTGTTCGGAGTAACGGTATGGATCCAAGTGAGATGAAGGACACAATCTACTTTTCATACCTCTTTTGATGTTCGACGTGCTATGAAAATTTGTGGCTTGTCTTGATAGTGAGGGTCAAGGACCCCCCCCCCCCCTTTAAGCTTTGGATCGAGATGGCTACATGCTACAGTATCAGAGTAGTTAGACTTAATTAATTTAAATTAACCAGACCATCAACCAAGTTCTGCACTTGCATCCCACTGCTATATGTACAATATCTGCCATATTAATCTTTTCATGCTTCGACTGACGTCATTAATTCCTTGCACGCAATCGTTTCCATGAATTAATTTATCAAGGAATTTCCCTAATGTTGAACCTAAATGCCATGCCAAGTATCGGCAGTTTAATCTCCAGTTTTCCTGCCTAGTGCTGCCTAGGACAAGAGATTCTGAGATTCATCTACTCCACACAAATCTATAAAACCAAAGAATTTTCCAATTCACATATTCACACTAGAACATAACACTACCCTAACTATGTCGCCAATACCAGTTACTCCCTTCCTTATGTTCGAAGGCGAAGCTGAAGCCGCCCTCACTTTCTACACCCAAACCATCCCGAACTCCAGTATCCTCTCCATCACGCGGTACGGCGCCGGCGAGCCCGGGCCCGAGGGAACTGTCCACCTGGCCCGGGCGAATATCGGTGGTTCCTTGGAGATCAAGGCAAGCGATAGCTACGTCAAGCATTGTTTCGGCTTTACACCGTCTCTGTCGCTGTTTGTTACATTTACCGATGAGCATGGAGAGGGCGCGATTGATCGAGTGGCGAATACGTTGCAGGAGGGTGGGCGGGTTTTGATGCCACTGGGGGATTATGGATTTAGTCGCAGGTTTGCGTGGGTGACGGATAGGTTTGGGGTTTCATGGCAGTTGAATTTGGAGTGAGTGGTTGGATACTGTAGTATGGTTCATGTATTGTGTGTAGTTATAGAGGATGGATTAGTAATAAGATAATATAGAGATTATATCCTTTCTTTTATCTATTGGAAGTCTAGTAATTAAAATAGAATAGCTACTCTACTAAAGCTAGGTAACCGGGTCATCATACTTTCTACTTTTAATAAACAAGGCCACAATAAGTCTAGTTATTTCCAGGCTCGTCAAGCACTCTATTGCCATGAACAATTGGAAAAGAAGAAGCAGGGAAGAAGAGGATGGAGTTACTGTATCATGTAGAGGTACATGTTCAGTCTATTAACAAGAAATTACGCCTTTCATCCAACTTCGATGAGGTCGTAGTTCTAGATGCTGAATGAGAGAAATATAGCGAAGTCCTGACTTCGCTTCACAAAGGAAAGGGCATTAAAAGGGGGGGGGGGTTAGAAGTGGATCACGGACCCTAGTAGAAAACAAAATTTGGGATACATGGAGGGAAAGGACGACAGGCTGACAACAATCCGGTAGGGGGTCCATTATTTTCTCACACGACGGGCATGATTGACTAAATTCTCAATTACCCCTTCAAACGCCTCCTTTTCACTGACTAGACCGTCGAGTCGTTTGAGCCAGTATTCCAGAACGGAGCTCGCTCGTAGTGTCACATCCTGGAGCTCTTTAACGTGTCCTTGTAATTCGTCATCTGTGAGTCCCTCCAGGGCAGCATCAGTGGTAGTACACAGTCGGTGGACTGCTGGCAGGTCCAGTTCTGGTGGAGGGTTTGGCTCGCGCCGCCGTGATGTCCTCTGTCGGCTTCCTTGACCGGAGGTACGTGGGCTACCGGAGCCGCTCAGTGTACCATCTTTTCGATTCTGACTCTGCGAGCGTGAGTGAGTAGTCGATCCACCGGCGTCTGAACCGATGTTGATAGACGGGAGGACAAGTTTCTTTTGTTTGGATGCCGGCAGGATCTCATCGAGGTCGACGGGGACTCCGAGCGAAACGAGGAAGAGTCGGCGGATTCGAGACTTGACCCAGTTATGAGGTTGTAGTGGTGGTGGTGCAACTAGTTGTGACCATAATGATAGAGAACGCTCGGTGTTAAAAATCGCGGAGGAGTTTTGGATCGGTTCTACAGACTGGGATGATATATCTTTCCAAGTGGGGAACAGACGGTCAAGAGGCTCGTCTAGTGCAGCGTAGAGGTCGGGGAGGGACTGAAAGGAATTGAAATCTATAAGGGGAGGCTGCAAAGGTGAAACATCGTTTAGTACTGCGCTGCCTCAAAGATGGGCCTATGCTAGCTTCACGTCTACTTACAACTGAAGGAGGCGTAGGAGGTTGCGAGGGTCTCATATCGTTTGGCTCAATGAATTCATCCTCAGTGACCTCTGCGCTGGGCTCTTGGAACCCATCATCAAAATCTCCAAAATCATCTTCGCCCATGTTTTGTTCTTCTGCAAAATCGGCGAAGTCGTCCGCGGGCGCTTGGTCCTCGGTTGTTTGATCATCGTTTCCCATCACGGAATGTTTCGGATTATTGTCACTCTGTTCGTCATTCTTAGATTCTGACGACGATAGCGGGCCTGACCTGGTTAGTGATTCTTGGACATTATATTATCAGGGGATAATAGGCGTACCAAGAGTGTCTGGGACAATCTTTGTTACGTCCGAAGTATCGCTAGGCCGCCTCTGGTGAGCATGCAGATCTGAGCTTGTCTCACCCACCGGAAGAGAGTCAACCTTCGACAGTACTGTTTCGGGAACGCTCATGTCACTCGCCTTGGCCTCAGCTGGCGTCTGCTGATTTGAAATTGGGCTGTGCGATAGTCGGCCATCCGAGTCCGACGCTTTCATCACGACATCAGGCACCGCATCAGCTTTCGGCTGTTCGTAGGCCAGTGTGCCAGGTATATCCCCATGCCTTGACAGATCTAGATCGACCTTCTCAACGACTGTCTGGTGCACGAGTGAACCCACAGCAGAAGGACGAGGCAGATACCCCGCAGTGGAAGAGCTTCTTCTGCGTGGCCCTTCTGGGATCACCTCGGCCTCATCTGGAATACCATCTTGCACCCTCTTTTCGTCTGCCGGGATTCCGGGAATTTCTCCGTGTGATGGATTGTCGTCGACCGTCTCGACGCGAGTCAATGGGACAGGGGATATGCGACCGGACGGCGTGTGTGAATGAGTATGGAGTTGGCCTTCGCTGGCATCTGAGAAATGTTCATCATCGCTGTTTGAAGCCACTACAACTTCGGTTATTAGCGACGGATCCAATTGACACGAGAGACGTCAGTCATATACGACACCGGAAGCATACCAGACTCTTGAGCCCCAGGGTCTTTAAACTGCTCACTTTTCCTTGGGGGCTCCTGGTGTGAGCTGGACGGACGGGACGGCCGTTCCGACATTAGAAAGAACTATATTCCTGAGAAATGCATGTAGATAGAATAAGGATATATCTCGAGGCAACAAACCAGGGTGAAAGGATCGAGGCAACAAAGGGGGTAGAAATATGATGCTGAGCCGGTGAAGAGCGACGCTTGCCGGGTTCCATGCGAGTCTCGGCCTCTGCCTGAGGCAGGGTCGGCCTGACTGCTTTCTGCCTGAGGTGTCGTCCATATAGACGCCAGCCGAGCCAAGCGCGTTGCTAGTTTGGAATAGCAACAATTTACTATCTGGGGCTTCACCTGAACCACCATAGCCCTTCCAATCGCATTCTCACTCCATACAGGCCTGTTATTACTGGGCGCAGTGAGTTTGATCCCTCTGGGGGAAATAATCTCTTCTTTGGTCTGATTTTGCTTCACAGTACACAGGGGCTCTCTGATCTATCTTTTTTTTTTTTTTTATTGTATTTCCCCCGATCCTCCAGGTAACCCTGTGACCTTATTTGCATCCACACACCATGTCGAAACCAACCTTTTCTTTCAATCCTCCCGCCTCTAGTGGGGCTTCTGCTGGCAGTCTCTTTGGCACCGCTGGCACTTCGAATACGGCGCCGAGTTCGGGGAGTCTCTTTGGAAATATGGGAACAACTAGTGGTGGCTCGGCCCCTTCTCCGTTTGGGTCAAGCTCTACACCAGGACAAAGCACTCCAATTTTCGGTAGTGCTGGAGGTAGTGCTGCGACTAGTAGTGGTACGACTGGGTTTAGCTTCGGGACTCAGAACAATGCAGGGACTACTGGCCAGACGAGTTCTTTGTTTGGCAATGCGTCGCAAACACCTAATAAGTCGAACGAATCCTCAGGGTCTGGACAGACACCTACTGGGAACATCTTTGGAAACGCTGCAAAACCTTCTGGCGGTTTGTTTGGGAACACTACGACCACTCCCGGGCAGTCTGGAAGCTCACCCTTCGCCAACACATCCACGACTCCTGCTGGTCTTCCTCCACTGGGAAACGCTACTGGCCAGGGACAATCTCTCTTTGGACAGACGGCGCAAAAACCCGGAGGTCTATTTGGTGCATTAAACAACTCCTCGTCGACTACCCCGTCTACTTCCGCAACACCATCTTCAACTGCCCCAACGATCGGAGCAACCTCTCAGCCGCAATCTGCAGGAGGTATATTTGGATCTAACGCAGCACAGAAACCACTGTTTGGTACGACTCCGTCGGCGCCTTCTGGTGGTGGTCTTTTTGGAAACGCCAGCAAAGACAAACCCGCCGAATCGACGACTCCCGCGGCCTCTACAAACGGTGCGCCGAAGTCTCTCTTCGGAACCACTCCAGCTCCTTCCCTTGGTAGTGCCCAGAGTGGCCAAACGTCTTCCTTGTTCAAGCCGCCATCCTCTGGTACTGATTCTACAGCTAAACCTGCCTTCCCTTCCCTCGGTGCCATGACTCCAGCCGCTCAATCGTCGACGACTCCTGACTCTTCTTCCGCTACACCACAAAAAATCTCATTTCCGGCCCTTGGCGGCGCTACCTCATCAACGACCCCATCGTCGACACCTGCTGCCACTCCGTCTACCGGATTGCCGTTCCCAGGGCTCAGCGCTCCCAAGTCTACGGGAACGAGTGCCCCCGGAACCGCAGCCCCTGCTTTTCAAGTCACTGGGTTGCTTGCGAAGCCTGATGCAACTACCCCATCAACCCAGCCCCCAAGCACCGGTAGTAATGGAACCACTGCCACCGCCCAGCCATCAACGACTGCCACATCTGGAACGGTCACCTCGACCACAAGCACAGCGGAAGCGACTAAAACGACTGGAGGGATCTCTCTTGGAGCGTCAACTACCGGCCCTGCCCCTCCTGCCCAATCGCGCCTGAAGAACAAGACCATGGATGAGATCATCACCCGGTGGGCCACTGACCTGACGAAGTACCAGAAAGATTTCCGAGAGCAGGCTGAAAAAGTCGCCGAGTGGGATCGGATGTTAGTGGAGAATGGAACCAAAGTCCAAAAGCTGTACGGCAGCACTGTCGATGCCGAGCGTGCGACACAAGAAGTCGAACGCCAGTTGGCTTCTGTTGAAGGACAACAGGAAGAATTAGCATCTTGGCTGGACCGGTATGAGCGCGAGGTGGATGAGATGATGTCGAAGCAGGTGGGCCCGGGAGAGTCTCTTCAAGGGCCGGACCAAGAGCGCGAAAGGACGTATGTTACCATCTGAGATGGATCTTCGTGTTGCCAGAGCAGCTACTGAATCATTGACTATAGTTACCAAATGGCCGAGAAGCTGTCAGATCGCCTGGATGAAATGGGCAAGGATCTGACCAGCATAATCGAAGAGGTCAATAGTGCCTCAGCGACCTTGAGTAAGACAAATAATGCAGATGAGCCGGTCAGTTTACTCTTCGGAATTTCCCCCTTGTTCATGGCCTGATTGCTAATAAATCTGTCTAGATTTCTCAAATTGTGCGCATCCTGAACTCTCACCTGTCTCAGCTACAAGTCATCGATCAAGGTACTACCGAGCTGCAGGCAAAGGTCCATGCGGCGCAGAAGGCTGGACAGACATTGTCCTCCCGATTCGGACACGGGTTCAGCAGCTCCGGAATAGGTGGCTCGAATGCTGCAGATGATTTCTACCGCTCTTACATGGGACGGCGGTAAATGTGAGAAAAGCTTTTGGATGTGGTTCCAATAATTGACATGGAGAACATGGTGATGTGTCCTCGGCCGTCGAACTGTAATGTACCTAAGATGGGTTGGTGCTTAATGCTTTTGTTGTTAGTCGTTTCCCGCCCCGGATATTACTGGTGTCTTTTGTGCAATGGGTTAATGATGAAACATTCCGCGCGCTCTGATGATTACACAGATTGAATGCAAGAGTAGAGTGTGTATTGAAGAAGTAGATTACATTTAGGGGAGTTAGGAGGAAAGATGATGCACTGGGAAAATGCTTATATGCTTTGAACGGCTATGGCCCATTCCATATCATAAATAAATCATCAAGTCTCTCCCGCCATACAGTACAGGGGTGCGCAAACCGAATCTAGTTCTGCTCACCACCCTGGCTCTTGGTCAACTCGTCACTAGGAAAACAAGAGCCGTTAGCTTCTATACCATTCCGAATCCTCTCTTACAATGAGGAAAGGAAGAGAGAAACATACATGTGCTCATCCAGCTTATCCAAGTGCTCACGCTGCTCCTTAATGGATTGCTTCAGTTTTCGCAGCCTACAAGGAAACAGGTTAGTGCGGCTGAAAAAACACATACATACGCAAGACATACTTCTCCCGTTCTTTCTCGTAGATGTAGAGGTTTTCCTGAGCGGCTTCACGACGCTGGAATTGATCACTGCGACGGATGAATTAGGTTAGCTGGTGCTTTCTTCTGAATGAATGATGCTGCTGCTACTGCTGATGATGTCATCCAACCCGGATGAACACGGCTTTAGGAAGAGCAGCATCACAAGGACAGATTTACATAGCATGGAATAGGAAAACCTACGATTGAGCCGTACCGCCCGGTCTGGGAGCGCCGGTGTCGCCTTCACCCATTCTGGGGGCCAGCGCAGAGAAAGACCGCGTGACGAGGGACCGGTTGGCGGTGGACAAAGGTCGAACAATAGATTGACGGAGCATGATGAATCGAGATAAGGTACAAAAGAACCGGCTGATGATGAAGTCAAAGGAAGAGAGGGAAGGATTGGAAAAGAGGGGAAGGAAAAGGACTAAGTGCTTTTTGAGCTGTGAGTCGTAAGGTACCCGAGTAGGTTTGAACACTTCCGGTTGCTATTATTCCTGTCAGCCAAGGGCGCTCCAATGACGACACTAGCCCAAACATCATGTGATGCTTACTTAAAGGGGTGAGTCAGCGGATCAGGTGAGCCAGTTTGAGCTTTGTTAGGTGAGAAAGCCACCATGTAAATGAAATAATATTCATGGCTGTAGGATGGGTCGCTGAAAGTATGTAGCCGTAATAGTGCTCTGAATCTTCTAAGACATCGATAGTCTCTAAATTAACTATTCTGTACTTGTTATCTAATAAGAGAAACTCTGGATTGCTACTATGTATGGACGTTGGCATTCCCAACGCCAGTGTAGGGGAAATATCTACGGAGCACCATGTTGGATAGAACCCTCCAGAAACCGCCGGGTTGTAATGCAGTAATAACAACCGCAGATTCCAATCGATGCTCAAAGCTCTTCGGAATCTTATCTTCTCTATCGGAATAGAGAACCATCAGGCTAAGTGCTGAGCCATCGGATTCCCCTTCCCTTCCCCTATTCTTCTGATTATTATGGAGTCTATCCACCCCAACTAGGAGAACTAGCAACGAGGCTCAATCAATAATCACTGACTCCCTAGACACCCTTTCCCAGCACCCAAGGACTAATAATAATTTCATCAGTACCGGCCACTGGGAGGATCTCTGGTGTAGTGGAATGATTGGCGGGAATGAAATAGGGATGACGATGTGCGGCCCACCGAACCACACAAATGATTGTCTGAACGAACTCCTTTCCAGACTGTTGTTTAAGCATGGGAGATTAATTATTCAACCGATAATGAATCAATTTGTTAGTTAGATTGGTTTTATTCCTACAGAGTACTCATATGGAGGTTGAACAAAGAGACTGGAATTTGAAAGGATGCTTAACAGGGAGACTCCAGAGTCATTGGTAGGTAGTTTGTTGAATGGATGGAGGATAGATACCAAGTAGATAGATAGATAGATAGACAGACAGATAGACAGGCGAGTAGATGAATCAAGATGGATTGCAGACTGTTGCAGAAAACAACACATTCAAGGCGAGGAAGGAGAACAGGCGGTGCATGCCTCAGGTGTCGACGCTCCTCCTTTCGTTTTTCCCCCTTTGGGCGTGTTTAGTCCGCCGACTTTGGTCTTTCCCCTCCCACTCTCTCTCTCTCTCTCGCTCTCTTTTCCCCCTCTCTCTTCCTTCTTTCTCCCTCCTTCTCTTCTGCCTCTCCGACTTTCCCTTTGTATTTTTCCCCCTGCAAAGCTTACTTACCTCTTCCTTTCCACCATAAATTCTCCTCCACCTCCTCTTCTTCTCAACTCTTTCCTGACCTAAAATCAATCTATCTTCCTCTCAGGTGAGCCTCGTCCCCTTTCTTTGGTCTTCCACTGTTTTCCCCTCGGTCCATATTCCTATCCCATCTCTCCAACCAACCACTTCCTCCAATTCCTGCTCCTTATCACCTTCGCATGTCGCTGGGAATTCACAATGGGAGGATTCTGGGTTATACCGCGTATTTACTGGGCGGCTTTCCGGGATGAATTATTGGGTCATCGATTTCTCCCCTCTACCCCGTCTAGACTACTGTTAGAATCGCCTGCCCGCGCAACACGGTCTACGGCTAGCCGAGTGGAGGAGCGGCGGTGCGACATCCACTGTTAACAACCCCCGACCGTCGCCGTACCACCCTATTTCTCCCCCGCTGGAGTTAAATGACCATACTATTGATTTTCATATCATTCTTTCCTGTTTGATTCGTCTTCTCGATCCTCCTGTTAAAAACGGAGTAAACGGGAGTCAGAAAGGAGGGGACCTGTCGCTTTCGTGTTCCCTAGAGCACTTGACTTCACAGCCTCATTTCTGCCCTGTGACTACCTCCTTCAGCCCCTCGCTTCATCGCATGATCTGGAACACTCTGTCTCATCTGGTTTTCGTTCCTATCCTTTTCTTGTCTTTCCTCACTTTTGTATCCATTTTTCTTTTTCTCTTCTTTTTATACACGTCGGGAAGAATTGACACGCAATTTCCGAATCGTTTCCTAGCGCTCGACTAACAGCAAATTTGCGCGAACTAGACACCATTCTCACAATGGGCCACGAAGATGCCGTTTACCTGGCCAAGCTCGCCGAGCAGGCTGAGCGTTATGAGGGTACGTCATGAATATTTCCGTTCACCCGCTGCTCTTTGCTAACGAAAAGGACACCAGAAATGGTCGAGAACATGAAGACCGTCGCTTCTGCAGATGTTGAGCTCACCGTCGAAGAGCGGAATCTCCTTTCCGTTGCCTACAAGAACGTCATTGGTGCCAGACGTGCGTCATGGAGAATCGTCACCTCGATCGAGCAAAAAGAGGAGTCTAAGGGCAATGAGTCCCAGGTTACTCTCATCAAGGAGTACCGCCAGAAGATCGAGGCCGAGCTTGCTAAGATCTGTGACGACATCCTGGAGGTTCTCGACAAGCACCTGATCCCCTCTGCCCAGAGCGGCGAGTCTAAGGTCTTCTACCACAAGATGTATGTTTTCTCTTCGACTGTGCAAACATGAATCGATTCTAATCGCTTCGATCCGCCCAACAGGAAGGGTGACTACCACCGCTACCTCGCTGAGTTTGCTATCGGGGATCGCCGCAAGGGCGCCGCCGACGCTTCCCTCGAGGCCTACAAGGCTGCTACTGAAGTTGCCCAAACGGACCTCGCCCCTACCCACCCCATCCGCCTTGGACTGGCCCTCAACTTCTCTGTCTTCTACTACGAGATCCTCAACTCTCCTGATCAGGCTTGCCATCTCGCCAAGCTCGCTTTCGACGACGCTATTGCCGGTATGTTTTCGGTGCTTCTAGAGCTCCTTCATAGCATAGCATAGCACTGCGGGTGACTATACTCCGAAGTAAAGATGCTAACGTACGTGGCAGAGCTTGATACCTTGAGCGAGGAGAGCTACAAGGACTCTACCCTGATCATGCAGCTCCTCCGGGACAACCTGGTAAGACCACACTCAAGGAGTAGAATCATCAGAGTGCTCACGCTAACATCTTATAGACGCTTTGGACCTCGTCCGAGGCCGAGCCATCCCAGGAATCGGCCGCTCCTACCTCCGAAAAGAAGGACGAGGCCCCGGCCGCGGAGGGTGAGAAGCCTGCTGAGTAAAGGAAAGACGAAAAAAAAAAAAAAAAAGGGTTCCTATCCGACCGTGGGTGGAGTAACCGGATGACAGGCTGGCTTGCGTTGAAAGAACTAGAATGTAGAAGAGGGCAAAAGGAACAAGAGGTGCATTTTGTTTTCGTATCACACAACCCAGGGCGCGGTGGAAAGTTTTCTGACACCACGGCTAACGGATGGAGATTCGGCTGAAATGCTACTTGGATCCTTTACTTGCCCCAGCACAATCTGATGTCTTTTGGGCATGTCTTGGCTGGCTGGTGAACCGGTTCTCCATCTGTGGCTTAGCTTTTCGATTTTTCGTTTGCCTGTCTTTTTTCTTTTTTCTAAATTTTCCCCATCGGTTTATGCCTATGCTCAACTACCCAAAGAATACCTTTCCCTTTTCTTTTTACAGACTCGCACCCTACATCTAGTGAAGTTACACTCCCCCGCCCCTCAGGCCTGGACTATTATCGCGGAATATGTCTTGGGCGTTATTCCCTTTGTGCCACTCACGGCGTTTACTTGTTCGCCTGAAGTTCGAGTTTAGATCTTAAGTCCGGCAGCAGTGGCTATCAAGAAAGTTGAAATTCATTCGGTAGACGTAACAAGTAAAGCTGAATCAACATATAACGAAGTAATTATAAAAGACGTCTAAGTAGAGATTCAGCCTCATGTATATGATTAGTTAAGCCGATACCAAGCCTTACAGACGACCCAGGGATCAATGACACCTAACCTAAGAGACATACAAATCTCCCAAGGGGTCTTGCGTTCGAAAAATATTCAGACACATCCCAAATAGTCTCCTAGCAAATAAGCAGATAGATAATTATATACTTAGGGTACATTCCCTGGCTCTAATTGAACTGGTACAGAAGGATAGATAGATCTTAATCCAACGCGCTTCATTCCATTCTCATACCTTGAGAATATGCTAGTCAGACACATACACATACATACATGAAGACTACACACATACGAAGTACAACAAACAGAAAGACATAAAGACAATACCAAAGTCCAAGACCCGAGATTCGTTCATTAGTATTATTATCTGCTACGCGCGGATCACGCGTACTTTGTACATCATTCAGCGTTTCACTTGTTTTATTATTTTATTTTACCCACTTACTCCCTCCCTAAATAATATTAGCCAGTTACTGTCCCAGGGAACCAAATACCAAACACGATACACAAAACCCGGTTCAATCCTATCATTGCCAAACGATGACGTATGCGGCGCTTAGGTTCTCAGCCCCCCTTTAATTTTCTTTAACTTTTTAATTTTTTAATTTCATCATCGGGCTGAGACTGAAGAATCCTGAGGGTTCGTGTATCTAAATGTAGGTAAGGAAGGGAAGGCAGGTATTTATATTTATGTTTATATTCATGTCCACTATTTTTTTATCTATCACAGTATTTTTTTTTTCCTTTTTTTCTTTTTAGAAAAGAACTTTAAAATTAGATTTCTTTGTTCTAATTTGTTTTATTTTATTTTGGATATGTTGGTTTCTGGGATGACTCTGGTTTGGATATGATGTAATAGGTATGGACAACTATGGACACAGTACGTAGTAGAAGTAGAGTAGTACGGTGACGTGGTGAGTGATCTACGAGTAATATCTATTTTCTGTTTCTGTTCTGTTTATTTGTATCTACCTACATATACGTACGAAGTATTTACAGCGGATTCGAACATAGGTCTTGATATCAAAGTAGAATATCTACGAGTTCCTATAAATATGGTATACAAAGGTCGAAATAACTTGAAGTTGAAGATATGATTTATAATTGTATCAAACCGCTCGCTCCTGGGTATGTAAAGCAAATGTCTTCAGAGCCAAACAAAATCAAACCGAATCGCCAGACCGGGACGATTCCAATGTACACATGCCCATGCCGATGATGAAAGATGAAGACAATCAAGTAAAACCACAATTGGCTGCTCCGTGAAAATGCTTGCCCACCTGAATTTTCTCTTTGCAGACCATGAGAACAGATGCGCCCAGTTGCGGTTCGTGCCAATCAAGCAAGTCTAGTTGAGCTAAATCAACAATAATTCCCAGTCAGTTCCGAACGCCGCGTGTGCTATGCCACAGAATACACAGTGCCTCCGGTAGGGCGATATGAAAGAAAATAAAGAAAAAAAGAACAAGTAGAAAGATATTAATATAAACAGAAGAAGTTGGTTGGCTGTCGTCGCAGACTCCGTTTTGCCTTCGTTCCACATGTCGCAGAAGGATGGCTGATTGGAACCGCACAGGTCACCAGATCATCCATCAGACCAATGCCTAGACCTAATAACAAGCACCCAGACAACACCGTGGTATGCAATGATGTCACAAAAGTTTCTCCTGTCACTCGAATCTCAAGACATCAACGTTCTCATGACACAGATGGCTGGTCGAGGGCCGATCGAGTTCCGACGAGAGGCCTGTGAGAGGCGTGATTATGCTGATTCCCCCAAGGAGCCTGATGAGATCCAAGTCCGTTGTAGGAGTAACATATGCAAATGAAGCGTTTCCAGCATCCTATCGGTAATGGTGAACACCATGATAAAAAGATGCTGGTATCGTTTTCAACTTCGCTCGCTTAAGCCGCGGTCAAAAATTCGTAGAAATGAAGTTTCGATATATATCATATCGCGGGGGTGTAGTTTCGTTAGATGAGATGCTCCGGCAAATAATCCAGGGAGCGTGGTCACGGAAATAAGGACCGTTAAGAGCGTGTAGGAATGCCTGGTCGCAAAAAAAGAATCGCCGCATACCGAGACATATTAAGGCATATTTCATTATCGGATTTCTCTTTGTCAAAAAGTGGTCAAATCTCGGCTATTCAGTAATTCCAACAGCCGAGATGTCGAAACGATGCCATGCTTATTTCTGTGACTTTCTGACCTTCGTACTTGTTCTCGTCATTTCGCTCTTGGTCATATTTCGAGTCAATCCACCGATGTAATCCTGGAGAAATTTGTTCTCGTTCTCGAGTTTATCGTGATCCGACTTCACCGCTTCGATTCGTTCGGCGAGAGCCTGGAGAGAGGACTGGAGGGCCTTTGCTTGTCTAAAAACCGGTTCCAATGTCAGTACGATGGCCAAACCACAAGGTAGAGTATATAATCCAATGCTCATTGCAGATACTTACTCCTGCAAGGTCTGTCTGGCCTCTTTTCCCAGTCGTTCCAAGTCGGCTGAATTGCGTCGAGGGCTCATGGCTCTAGCGTCGTCGGGGGGGAATTCTTCCTCTTCAATTTCGATTTCTGGATGATCCCGTGGTACTAATATCGAAGCACTCGGTTTCCGGCTGGCCATGCGAGGGCGTTCTTGTCGGCCCCTGCGGTCTGTTTCCGTGTCGGATATGGAGGAGGAAGAAGAAAGAGAGGACATATGCGTGCGACTATTATCGCTGGGGTGGGGTAAGGTTGGAACAGGAGAGGACCCATGCGCATCTGACGTCGACGCCATAATGTGGTGGCGCTGTGGTTGAATTTCGTCCTATGGACAATTTTCGAGAGGATTTGGTCTGTGGTTGATGTGGCGGCTTTCCACAATCAAAAAAAAGTTTCATATACCCAGCACCAACAATAACTTGAAAAAAAAAAAAATCACAGCTGGCGGGACTACCTCTAGCGACTAACCCCAGATGAAGAATCTGTGTTTCGCTGGAGGTAGCTGTCGGACTTCAATAAAGTTGAAGCGAGGGATAGTTGAAGGATTGTCGAAAACTTGTTCGAGGGGAAAGTCAAAAGAAAAAAAAAAGAAAGGAACAAGGAAAAAGAAAAAAAATAAAAAAGAACGGAACGGAACGTAAATAAAATAGAATCCAGTCTGCAAGTCACGGCCTCGGTAGGGAGGGGGGGGGGGAAGGCAGAACCGGAGGACAAAGAATCGACGGTGATTAAAAAAAAATGGTCGATGGAGAAAGTTCGGGGGGAAAACGAATCAGTTAAGCGAAGTTGGGAAGGCAACCGATACTCGGGACAGAGCGATTCAAGAATGTGCCTGGGTAATTGGTTGATTCACTTGTCCGTTTTCTGTGTTCCCTCTACGCGTGAATATTTTTTTCCCTTCTTTCTTTTTTTCCTTTGTCCTTCTTGGATCTGATTTTCACAATGGAAACGGCAGTTGGGAGGGAAACCGCTCAGGAGACAGTTCGTTGAACAGTCCGAAAACGGGAAAAGAGCTAAAACCAGATAGATGGTGGATGAAATCGTTAAGGGGGAAAAGTGGGTTATAATAACAATCAACCTCGAAATATTCCAAAGGGGAGAACGAGGGAGTCGAAGGGAAAAAAAGAGAGTCGACGTTAGAAAGGAGTTGAAAGTAGGTGAAAGGGGGAATTGACAAAGAAAAAAGAAAGAGTAGAAGGGACGATAGGGTTGTAGTCAGAAGAGCAAGTGGGCAGTTTGTCGTTGCAGTACGAACTTGGATCAATCAATCAATCAATCCCTGAGTAAGTACTCCGTAGGAGTCAGTCAGTCGTGGGAGAAAGTCGTTGGTAGTAAGGAAGTCGTAAGTAATAGGCCGAACAGCAATACTGACGACGGTAATAACGAGAATGGCCGTAGTAAGTAATTCTCATAATTCTACCAATTCGGTATGAAGACTACTAAGGTTAAGGACTAAAATAGTCACGACAGTTTTGGGCGGAAATTCTTAGTGGGGCCCTTCAACGCTGCGTCACTCGAGGTGATGGTGATCATGGGAAAATCGGTAGCATACTTATTTTGGGCTACGTCAATCAGGAGAAAGAAATGGGGTTTGCTGGATCCCTCAGACGCCCAAATCACAAATGCCATCATGGGATATCTATTTCCCAAATGACTTGATTTCTTATGGGAGGATTGAAAGAAAGTTGTGGGTGGCTCAGGACTCGTGGCCGCCACTGGAACGAAGGATCGAAAGGGGGAACCAGGTCATTCATCCAATCTTTTACTACGTACCTACTTAGAGAGTACTAGGTTATTCGATACCATACGAGCAAAACTTCCCTATGGCGGAGCGGAGAACAACTCCTCCACTACGGAGTACCTTTGACTGACTAACCCAACCAAACCATTGTGGAGGTATCCCCAGTGTATTGGTATTACGTCGCATAAAATGCAGTGGAAGGTATCTCTTATCGCCTTAAACCCAGCTAGGGAGGTCAAGGTGGATTTACTGGTCATTGTTTCGGTGAAGGGCCCGTTCAGGGATGGCGTGGGCGCAGTTGGGTGGGGAAGGCTGACTTCATTTAGGGGTTCCTTTTTCTTTAGTCCTTTCTAGTGACCCATGTTAGCTTGAGTCCCCAGGTTGACTCCTCTTATTGGCTTGACTCCCCCTGGTTCGACACCGGCGTTTTGCCCTAGAGGGGATGGAGGGGGGCAAATACCACCAAGAAGATTGTGGTCCTCAGAGGAATGATGATGATCCTCATTACCCACCGCGAGTATGATCATCTAACAGCACACAAAGGATGAGCTGAGAATCTCAGCATAGAATGATGACGATGACGAGGAGGAAAAGTTGTCTCAAGCTGATTAATTATTACTACTGATTTTCTTTCCAGTGGTATGTCCCATATAACTAAATGACTCCTGGATAGTATTTATGCATGTGTGTACGGAGTACGTACTGCTACTAGGCATGCATGAATATCCACTGTGTCTGTATTAAACATTAAATAATTTAACTGCAATATGCTCTTTATTGTCAAGTTTGCTTGAAACTTGGGGTTAAATTGGACTGACTTCCTTTTTTGTACTGCTTCGACTTAGAAACATCTCCAATCCAAACTAGAAACCACTAGGCGGATCGTATCCGTGGTCCTTCGTACTGTGATGGTCCCTCAACTGCCGAGGCGAAGGAGGCAAAAAAGCTGGCGTTCAAAGTTCCAAGGTCTTAAGAAATACACCTAGGGGAGGTCATGCAATGTCGATCGGAAATGATATCCCCATAAGTACCTTACTATTCTGTAGGTTGGATGGTAAGGTGAACTGGCTAACTAACAGGTAAGTTGCTAATTGATAGATGACTAAGGAAGCGCTGTACTTCAACTTCCCCAAGCCAATAAACGTACATAACCTTCTATCAGAGTGTCCAAGTGGAGGCCTTTTCATTTATCCATGTGCCATTCGCATCCTCCACACCACGAAAGGAATAACGGTGAAGCGACTGCCCTTTTAATCCACAAATAAACATGAAAGAAAATTTTTTTTTTTTTTAAAAAAAAAACGTTTCAGGGAGAGGCTGATCCGTTACTGCGGTTTGGACAGTTATTTTTTTTTTTTTTTTTCTGACAGATCCATGACCCTCAGCCACTGAGAAAGGCTGAAACCGGCACAGCGATGTGCAGCATGCCGATCGCACATCAATTGCCATCATCGTTCTCCATCACCGGGAACATCTTTGGACTTTAAAGATCGAATCAGAGTGCCGGAACGAGATAATGAAGACAATCCTTATGAGTTTACATAGAGAGCGCGGCAGTACAGTAGCATTTCTACGGCATTGGACGAGCAACCTTGTGGGGTGGCTTTGTTTTTTATTTTTATTTTTTAAATCCCCCTTTCCCTCAACTACTTTCCGATGCTTCAAGGCTCTAATAAAACTATTCCTCCCCTCCCCTCCATCACAGTCCCAATGCTGTGCATCACTTAAGATGCTAGCTGCAGTAGCATCTGCAAATGGGACAGTAGCTCCGGAATAGACATTCTGTAGGCATAGCAAAACTTGTGTTCCCATTCGATGATCAACAAATAGAGGACCCAAGAGAATGGGAAGCAACCTCCTTGAGAATGGAAAATGCCCGACCGAATTTTCTCTTGGTGGTTCCTTTTCTCACGTCCTCCCTTTGATGAGGGTAGTAGAAAGAAAGCCAGGGCCAAGTCCCCTTGCTCAGAGTTCCACCGCTGTTTATATTCCGGGCAAGTATCGGCGGCTGCTAGCCCCATTGATGACGGCCAAGCACGTCATGGCTGCGCTGATTGGATGCGTCCAACCAACGCAAAGTAGAAAATTAAAAATTCAAAATAAAAAATTCAATAAAAAAGTACCTCTGGCAGTGTACGGGGACTGCTGATATATTGCTGATCGAACTACGTCATATCGCCTACGATACGTTTGCTTTTCACACGAATACAAGATCACTCCTCCCTTTCATTAACCAGTCGAGTTACTGTACCCTTACACTCGAGGCTAACTAGCTACGCGCAACGCAAACCAGACGGTAGCGGTAAATTGTTTCAAACTGAGCTCCATCCTCCCCTCGTAGAGTTCAACATTCATGGTATTGATGGTCCCGAGTGGCAATGCACAGAGCATACTCTGTGCGGAGTACATCGGCAACCCAACGTTGTCTCGTCCTCTTACATCATCATCATCATCATCATCATCGATCAACACGAGGTTGTGAATCAGTCTAACCCTCGGAGAGACCAGAGTGTCTGGTAAACCACACTTCCGGCCGAGCGTTGAGCAACTGAACTCCCGCGAGCCAGTTGAATACGTTCCTCGACCCCCGCATCGCTGGGTCGCATGCGTTTTCCGCCACCTAGAACGGGGGTGCTTGTGACCTGACGGTGGTTAGTTCAGGATGACAGTTGTCAACTGTTAGCCATGAATGTAAACTGTTCTATCCAGATGCAAGATATCCATCAGTAGGAGTTGGACACCTTGGAATGGTGGGGGAGGAGATACTGTGTAGGGTTCCTTATGACGACTATCTAGGATGTGAGTATTTTGACTTGGTATTGGTACTGGAATCTGTAGGGCATACACACATCAATTCTGCCAGCCTAGAGTACCTACGGTACCTAGATAGGTACCTAGTAAGTAGGTGGTAGGGTTTGATGTTACCGAATCTGGTATGTAATAAATAGGACGATACATAGCAAGAATGTAAGGATGGAAGCAGAAACAGACACCGCGTGACTTTGATTCCTCACTGAGTTTTCAGTTAGCTTTGGTTGTTTTGAGGAATTAATGATCTCTATGGTATGATTAACATTAGAGATTATTTAAAAATTAATTGTCAACAATTCATTCTTCAATGTTGCAGCATCTGAAGCTATTAGTTAGTTAACCAGTTAGTATCTTAGGTAAGTAAGCACTGAGATGTTTGCTTTATATCCATCAAGGTGATTAGCAAGAATTGTAAACAATCTACCCACATTTATCCCGAATCCCTGACCGATGACGATGACGATAAAGCACCGCCGATCCCTCATCGGCTACAACAGGAGTTGATTTGCTCCTTTGTCCCGCCAGAGACTATCACCATTTTAGTAGCTTTTTTCCGTCCCTTTCTCTGATTGTTAAACAAAATCAGTCGATCACTTGATGTTTGTTCCCTCGATAAGAGGTCAAAGCCCTGTCTATTTTCCTCTACGGAGTATTCCGTATTCATGGAGCCACTCCCACAACTGACTGACTACTTCAGCGCTAACTGGTCCAATCGATCTAATCTCACTCACTATCAGACAGACAGACAGAGAGAGAGAGAGAGAGAAAATAAGACTCCCCCGTCAGTAGCATGTGGCTTTCAGCACGGTCATCCTTGGCAGGAATCCTTATGCCGGCGCATTTCTCCCCCGTTTAGATATGACCGGGGGGCGATTCCCTTCGTTTCCAGAATCCGTCTGGTTTGCTGGTGATTGGATTGTCTCAGAATCGGCTTCTAGGGGGCTTCTAGTGCTTGACTAATTTTCTCTGAGGATCCGGGCGGGTTTATAACTAGATTCCGCGGAGTAGTAGTAGCGTTGGTTAAGTCAGATATATGGTGGTATTGTCATTCGTCGGCTGCTGGACTACCCTTCCTTACCTAGGTAATTGGCTTACTGCAATCCCGTGATGGTTGTTGGTGGGTTTATTATTAATGTGTGGTCCTACGGGAGTATGTGCTAGATCAATTCTTCCTGCTAGCCAGATAGATCCTAGCCAATTTACAACACATACAGACTTAAAAATATCATCCGTATTCGACTTATATCTCATTCACATCTGTACCTCTCTACCCCAACAAGAGAAATAATCCAATTGGACAAACCAATGACGAAAAAACAACCCACCTACCCACCAACAAGCACAGAATAGATACCTGTACTTAGATTTTAAGATACATCTACATTATACTTCGACAGGTAACTACTCCGCACAGTAGGGCCCCATCGTCCTTGCACCGGAACACAATTCCGCATCCGCAATGCAATATGTAGCGTAGATCATATCATGTACATGTATGTTGCATATGTGTATGTATGTACTCCAGCTACTATCTCAGGTGCAAAGATCCATTCCCTGAGTGGAGATCAAGAAACAATCAATGCAAGAGTACGGAATATACTCCGTACCATTGGCGCAGTACATTATCTCATCTGAAAGGCCCGTTACGCACTATGTAGTCTCCTCTCAGTGCCTCGGTGGGCTGGCTAACTAGGTAGTGCTGCTTGTTGTTAGCCGGTCTCGTGGAATCTGCTTTGTCTTTCTTTGAAGATGCTTAGCTTGGGTCTTTTTGTTTACGAAAGTACGTTTATCAAGTATCTGACCGTCAGGTGGTGGATTCAATATCAATCATCTGATATCTGATATCTTGACAGCCATAAAGGTCGTCCTCATTGGATTGGGAAAATACTGCCAAATGACTGTTCATTCGTATTCCATCGGCTCTGGTCCACAGGCCAATCTAACAATGTCTATAAAAATACCCAAAACTTCTCGCCCCAATGCAACATCACCCAATGGTAAAGATATTCCATGATATATACAACAGAACGATCGTAGCATTTCGTCTGAATGGCTGAAGATCAGACATCCTTGCCAGAAAGAGAAGGGAAATTTTCCCATTGGTACAAGGCTCGCAGAACGGCTACACCCCCAGACTGCGTCTCTACAGTACGACCCCGGCCCCGGTCATTGTAGTCCTTATGCCGCATGCCTATGACGTCCGGATGCTCAGTCAGAGGGGTCTGGCCACAGGGTCTGGATATCTCGAGCTCTAGATTTTCTGCAAGGTCGCCGTGGTTTCTATAATCCACGGCACCTTGAGGCAGGGTGCTCCGATAAGTGAGCGCGTCATCGGACTTGCGATATTCTCTTCCCCACCAGGTTCCGAATTTGCCATCAGCATCTCGAGTCATGAGGGCAGCGTTTGCGTTATGTTTGATCCATGGCCCATACGTCCGGCATCGTGCCTGATGCCATTTATATACGTAGTACCAATCGCTCTCATCCTCGCTTGTGCGACTGGAATTGACCAGAAAATGCTCCTCCTGCGGTCGAATGGGACGACAAAATTCGGTTAAATGATGGAAGAAAATCCCTTTGAACGTCTGTCCGTCTTGAGAACAGTTGCCGGAAGAATCGCATGCATCCTCTAAGACGCCCCCACGACCAAGGCCGGCCCACTCTTCGCTGGACTTATTGGGCCATCCCGTGGCATAAAGAACTTTACGGACGAGTTGGTGCCCATCGTCCAGATACTGCGGCGATTCAGTGGCCAGCCAAAGGCCCCGGAGCCCACTGAGAATTACACCTTGATTGTACGTGTACACCATCGTGTTAAGGACATCGCACTTGCGTGTGCCGGGATTTTCGGTGTCCTGATACCCTTTGACATGGAACCCGTCTGCATAGAGGCTACCTGGTCCAGTCATATTCGAGTTGTTAAGCCAATCGTATGCCTCAATAGCAGCAACTAGATGAGCTGGATTGTGAGGATTTCCGTCAGGCAAGATTTCGCTATTCTGAGATTCCGCCATGAAGGGCGATTCGATCACATCACCCGGGAAATAGAGATACATCCCGATACTGGCAGAGATGTACAATTCGTTTGTAATAGCATTCTTATAAGGAGTCAGATGGGGGCTCCAAATCATCCCACCTCCGCAGAGGGAACTATCCCATCCCTTGGCCGCAAGTTCGTAAAACAATCGAGCTCGATGAGCTGCTGGAATATGGAATTGGAGGCCATGCCACCCAGGTCTTTTGCCGGTAGTTTTAGGATACGCGAACTTATGGTAGTGCAAATCTGAGTGCAGCTTCTGAAACTTGATGCTCTCTAGCCATTCCAATACTAGCCAGAGCATATCATCAAAGGCCTGGTTCCTCACAGCAAATGCATCTTCGCCGAAGTAAAAGGCCATGGAGTGGTCGAAGAAGTGATTGATAAGATTCTCAAAAGCCTGGCCATAGTAGTCGATCATCGATGTTACTCTAGGATCTATATTCGCATCCAAATGTTTGGGTGGTGGCAGCATATCATTCACCGCGGAAGTTAGCGACGAGAGCGTGGCCGAGATGTGAGTCCCAAGCACTGCAGCTGTCCAATCGATAGCTGTGGGCCATTTTCCCTGCCATAGTTGAAAGTATTTATCTTGCATCACATTCAATGCACTCAGCAGATCTCGCTGCGTGCTGTTCACCGAATTGGCCGGCTGTGACGAGCGGTCGGAAGGAAGTCGTTCCGGTAGGACAGTCGTTCCATCAAGGACGGTCTGTCCCCGTGGAGACAACGGCCCAAGGCCGTCCTGCGACCGCAGCACCAGCGCATTGGTCCAGGGAAAAGCCAGATATATGCAGAGAACGCTGAAGATGTATATCAATGCTACCATTTTCGGAGCATTACCCTATTCCTCTCCCTCTCTTTATCAAAGCTCTACCAAAGCCCCTAAGGATGGAAACAATGAGAAAGGTCGGAACTGATAAGCAACGACGAGAGTTAAAGATACTCTGAAAGAGAATGATCAGACCGATCAAGCAACCGCAGAACGAAAGACATCTGGCGACGAATGAAGGGCAAAGCAATAAATATAACGTCGTCCGAGGTGCAACATTGCCCTGCCACCAGGGGAGAAAGAAAGATGATCAGTTGCAGTCGGTTGTGTGGGGGTCATTTTAGTTTGGCTTGGAAACGGCAGAGGATCCATGGGGAAGGAGGTCTTCTGCCATGGGTCGACTTCTTTTCTTCCTTTTTTTAAGGATTTTTTTCGCTTCATTGTTGCCAATTGCTCTCACTTGATAGCTCGAAACCATTCTTATCTGTGCTCCTGCGATCGTATCATGCGCTCTCGAATTCATCAGGCCAAGTCAACGCTGTATGGTCGACAATGGTCTGATGATTGCCTATAGCTCTACAAACATGTATCACAAACTAGAAGATCGACAGGGGCAGTGGTCTATTGTATCGGAGACATAGGTCAGAAGGCTTACGGGTTAGGGATGGACGCATCGGTTGTGCGATGCCGGCTACTCATATCTTGCGATCGCATATGCATGTCGCGTACAGTGTGCCAAGGCAAAATAGAAGGGGAATTAGAAAACTTTTCGCCGTAAACAGTCATTTTATTCAGTCATGTCCAGAGAAACGAACTAATCAAGCTAGACGAATGGTTTTAGCTCGGTAAATCTAACATCGGAAGTTTTCTTCTGAAGCCTTAGTTAGTAAGTGACCAGAGTTAAACACATGTTGGAAAAATTCAATCGCCGTACCAAATTGCGAAAAGTCCACGACGCCGACATATCCCCGGGGGCACGATCATGTAAATCGCACCATCAGATGATGGCCATACGTACAGACCCCCGCAATATAGGACAATGCCGACTATAAGCGTATTCATCCTGGTTCTCGTCATCCGCCAGAAATAATTCGCACATGCCAGAGTCACAGCACCAAAGCCTTCATGACGACTGTCGTCTTGTCGTCCTGTAAGGATGTAAACCAATATGAGACCGCTAGCGGTCAACAAAGAGGGGGAGATAGGAATGATTAAACCAGAGCAACAGTTCATCACAAGACCACACATTATCAGAGGAAAGGAGATCAAGCAAGTGATTCTAGGTCAACTTGCCTACTCCCTTTCATTTTCAGCTCCAGCTCCAGGGCTGCGACTCCTCTCCCGGCTCCTGCTGCGGCCTCGGCCACCGCGGCCTCCTCTCTGTCCACCAGATTTTCCTTTATTGGAGGACGGAGGTGGCCGAACAAATGCGTAGTCGACTTGAATTGTCTGATCAAGCAGTTTGGAACCATTCAGTGCCTTAATGGCCTCCGACGCCTCGGGAAGAGTCGAGTATTCAATCAAAGCATACCCCTATGCGAGTGAGTATTAGCATATCCAATTGCCACAATTCATAGTTTCTATGTAAACGGTCGCAGTGGGATGGAAAATTGAGAGGCGCAGTGATGAAATAAAACCTGACGGAGAGCTAAGTTGACTAACCTTGACATAACCTGTTCGACGATCAAGGTTCAAATTGAAGTTTTTAATCTCTCCATACTCGGCAAACAGATCCGTCACGTCTTCCTCCGATGCCTCCTCATGAATGTTGGTCACTATCACAATCCATCCCTCGATACTGCGTACAGCGACGGCTTCAGCATGTGTCCGTGGTTCGAACCCTCCCGTTTGGACGGGAGCTTCTTCAGGCGAGGCCTGGACGTCGACATCCATTTCCGCAGACATCGTGGCAATTGGTACCGAGATATCTAGAGAAATATCAAAGAAAGGGACAAAGAGACACTAGTTTGTATGTGAAGGGGACGAATGTGGGCGTTTCCTTGTTCCTTGGTAAAGAGATTGTCCTGTCCAATCTGTCTGATCGCGTAATGGAGTGAGTGGATTATCCCGTACGAAGCTTGCGATGTGCTTATGTAATCTATCCATGAACAACACGGTCTGGCAGTGCATGTGCTGAAAATTGAAAAGTACATACCAGTAATAATAATATGGGTTTATTGAGCTTTTGACTCAATTGTATTGTTAGATGTCTAGTTGGGAAAAGTTAAAAAAGGTGAAAAAAAGTAAAAGGAAAGAGTAAAACTTCCTTCTCTCCAGAATTCAGTGATATAGTCCAGGAGTTTGGGAGGACTAATTAATCTCATACTGTAGTTAGCTAGGTGAAGGCAAGATCTGGCCCAATCGACCTTAAAGTGTATATTTTTTTTTTAGTATTTTTCAGTCCATGATTAGCTTCTTAAAGTTTGACAATATTGTAGCCAAGTTGTTAAACTTTGAAGTCTGATCTCTGAAGCACGGTGTGTCCAAGTAGACTGTAGTATACTCCTTCACTCTCTAGTAGACAAAATTACCTAGCTACCACCTGACTATAACTTCTCGAATTAAGTAATATATTTATCAAAAATTACCAAGTCTATCTTACCATGTAAATCCGGATCCCTGCTATCAATTCGGGCTGATAGCCATCTGTAAAGCAAGTCAAGGTTTAGATGAACCCTAAATGTATGAGGCATATCAAAGTACACAGTATTGTTAAATTCTTACGGTGAGAGCATATTGATGAAACAATTGGCAATATACAAGTCAAGCCCGCACGTAGAGATTGCGTCAATTTGACCTACAAGCCTAGAAATGCCCTGATCAATGGGTTAAACTATGGGGGAAGGTGAATGTAATAGATAGAATCAGCGCAGAAGTCGGAATATTCCACGTTTTGCTTTTCAACGTAATGGAACTGGCATTGAAAATCAATCTGACAGTGAATGAAGGCCAGCCACCCTAGGACAGCACCAACAATGCTACTGTTCTTACACTCAGACGATGCCCTACTTCCTAAGGCAAACTTGGAATCAATCTATTCTTCTCGACAGAAACGATATTTGTTCTGGGCAGTTTCGGTATCAAAATGCGTTGGTAAGTTCGAAGTAGCCTACTAAATGAGTAAGTCTGTCCATTGGCTTATGCTATATTAGCAACGATCCCAAATGTGGCTGTCAGCCAGCCCCAAGAAGAGTGCCGAGGAAAGTCGAAATTGTTCTACAGGGAGCTGAGCCTGGACAGGTGCGTGAACTGCACCAACCAGGTGCTGAACTCGACGTCGTCTTCGACTTGGTCAGCAATGCTTTGGTTCTGCGCGAAACCATCAAGGATCCCAATAGGCACAAGACGTCGTCGATTTTCAGTGTACAGATTGACTGTGCGAAAATGCGTTTTATCAACCTCATAGGGCTCGAAGATAGCTCACTTTTGCTTTCGCTGCGGATGCGACGCTCGGCCTGTAAACCCAAAGGAAAGAAGATGCTAGTGACAGAGAAGTTCTATGGATTCGCACCTCCTTGTCTCGAGAGCCGACTCGACAACGACCTGTATGCATGTGGCTGGTCTAAACAGCGCCTTCAGTTATTTCTGCCGGAGGAAAGGATAAGAGGGTGGAAGACGGTAGCGCTGATTCTCAAGACGTTCAAAGAAATCACTGCGGAGCATTGGTGCCATATTGTGCATATAATCAACCCTCCACCGGTTTCTGGCTTGGATTGGAAGGCACTAGAGGAATACATCATGACCGATGGAAAAAAACCGTCCGATAAAAAGGTCAAATGCAAGCAGGCATTCGCTACGGTTGAAGAAACGAGCAAAGTCAAGCTACTGCGCTAGGAATCCATAATTTCATTCAGAGATCAGTTGTGTCAATGGGGATGTTGTTAAATGTCTTTGTGCCTGCAGTTCTTTTGGCGTTCGAGTATGATGGGCTCATCGTACGCGTTTCGATATGGACATAACAGTTGGGGATTTGGCGTTGGAGTGTGATGGAAGCCCAGGTAATCTCAACCAATGTGCATAATGTTAGCAAATATAATCCTGTATGTCCAGATAAGTAGAGGTTCGCTTATAAACAGTAGGCCTTGAAGCGAGGTATCTAGTAGTCTTGCGACATGGCTGTTTTAAACTAGTGACCGCCGCAAGCAAATACTGCCTATGTCAGCTGCCAGCTTAATGTTCAAGGACGGTGAGTTCGGCATTTCAATAACTGCGAGCGACATGATTTCGAGAGATCCAACTACTTTAATCTCAGACAACATCTTCACCTGAAAATTAAGCATCTACTTGCCGAGTGTAATTTGCAAGTTTGAAAGGCTTTGCACGCAAAGCAGATAGATGAGCTCTGTCCTACGTCCCCGGTTCTGGGCTGCGATAAGCTATGGCATTAATGGGCCGTGCTTTTCTTCAGCAACTTGCAGGTTGTTAGATCTTGGACATCTAAGCGCGTACCGACCTACCTATGTAACCATTCACTTGTTTAATGGCGTCATAGAAATCAGTCGTATCAGAAGAGGAAAAAAAGTTATCTGCAGTCTCATGATCACCGCGGATTTAATAATCCGCGTTGTACTTCCTTTCTCCCTTACTTGCACCCTGTAGTAATTGCTCTCCTTTGCTTACGTCAACCTTGTCTATGTTTGAGACGAGTACTGCACAATTTACTATCAAGAAGCACCTTGCTGGTGCATCCTAGAATTGTGGATTATTAAAGGTGACAGTGTTGGTGGACACTGTGGAAACATGCACGTGAATTATTAGATTAAAGTATGGTGCCACTCCTTGCTCAGGGGCATTTTCTCCCTATTTCTTTTTCTCGAAGATCGTTACTAAGACCACCTACTGTACCACCAGCCCTTCCTTTCGAGTAAAAATATGAGGCTGATATGTTCCGTATGCCAGGTTCTTGCTCGTTGCAGTCGTCTATATAGCATATTCACTCTCAAGGGAACTAACTTCTGCCCGAACCGGCTTTCTAAGAACAACCTTGCATACAGCAGGGACGAAAGATATAGAGTTTCCCAATCCCTTTCACTCAGCACTTGTTTCAGCTGGCAATTGTCCAAACGGCCACGTTGTAATCTGAACTTGCTTATTAACCCAAACCTGCATCTTGATCATCTTTGACACTATAACAGAAAGATGATGCGGCAGAGAAAATTAAACATCGACATAGTAGATTGACAAGTGTGTTAAGCCCTGACAAAGAGGCTACTTGATCTAATAGCATGATACACTCCTTAAGAGAGAGATTGTTCCATCCCTATCAAGGAGACAAGGGTTTTATTTAGGCCTTGTAGTTGCTCAATGCCACCATGCTTTCCTGTGCACCTATCTGATTCTCTTCTCTTATCGTCTACTTACTCTTGTCCTTCTTTTGCTGACACTGATTCTTCTTCTTATTCTTTAGTCCAACGAAATACCGTCATCCTTTTGATATTTTTTACATAGGGCTGATCTTTGTCTCACAAAGATACCCAGTCACCCTACTTCAGTACTAGACATTTCAATTCTATCGCAATAATTGCCCTTTACATTCACTGAGGCTTAAAGCTCATAGAGAAATTTATAAATAATCCGCGAAGATAAGCCGTATGCGCGACGCTTCCATTCTACTACGAACTACCCATTCTCTAAGGCCTTGTCCAAGTGGCTTGCTACAATGCGCCTTCCATTTTCATTGCATCTATCCAAATGGATTTGCATTAATTCAGCCTTGAGCTTGCTCGCACCCACTCAAGCAGCAGACACTAAAGCCTGGAAGGCAAGAACTATATATCAAACAATGACCGATCGTTTTGCTCGCACGGACGGATCGACTACCCAAAGCTGCAATACAACACAGGGTTTGTACTGTGGTGGAACGTGGAGAGGAATGATAAACCAACTTGATTATATCCAGGGAATGGGGTTCGATGCTGTCATGATATCCCCTATTGTTAAGAACATTGAAGGGCATGTTCGGTACGGCGAGGCCTACCATGGTTACTGGGCTCAGGATATGTACTCCCTGAACCCGCACTTTGGGACGAAACAAGATCTACTCGATCTGAGCAAAGCCATACATGACCGTGGAATGTATCTTATGATGGACACCGTGATTAACAATATGGCTTACATCACCAATGGTGGAAGTCCAGCATCTGACATTGACTACTCCACTCTCTATCCTTTTAACGACCCGAAGTACTTTCACCCATATTGCAAAATCACAGACTACAACGACTACCTGCTTGCTCAGAAATGCTGGACAGGCGACGACATTGTGGTGCTCCCAGACTTGAATACAGAGGACGAACAAGTCCAGAGGATGCTGGTGAAATGGGTCAAAGAGGTCATATCCAACTACTCGATTGATGGACTGCGCCTCGACGCGGCAAAACATGTCACCCCAGACTTTCTGCCTTTGTTTCAAGAAGCTGCCGACACCTTCATTACCGGAGAGGTGTTCGACAAGTCTGTGAGGAGAATTTGCGGTTACCAAGATGAGCTCACCAGTCTTCCAAACTATCCAATCTACTACTCTCTTTTGGACGCCTTCACACGGGGCAATACAAGCTCATTGCCGGACCAAGTGGAAATAATGAAAAACAACTGTCCCGACGTGACATCGCTGACCTCGTTTTCGGAGAATCACGACGTTGCTCGATTCGTCAGCCTCAAAAGCGACATGACTGTGAGAATTTTCTTCGTATCTCCCAATCTACTCTTGCTTCAGACTAACACATGGAAATAAACGACAGCTAGCCAAGAATGTCCTCACCTTCACGATTCTCTTCGACGGCATCCCGATGATCTATCAAGGCCAAGAGCAACACTACTCAGGGAGTAGTGATCCTGAAAACCGCGAAGCACTCTGGCTTTCAAAATACGACACCAAGGCACCTCTATACAAAGCAATCACAATACTGAACCAGCTTCGCAAGCACGCCTCCCGTGTCGATCCCAAATATTTAGATACCCAGACCTACGCCGTCTACAAAGGACTGAGTGAAATGGCCTTCCGAAAGGGAAGAGAAGGACGGCAGATCGTCATGGTTCTGTCCACGCAGGGGTCAAATAGCAGCGAATACACGATCCGGATGATGAACGGGTATCAGCCTTCGTACGTCGTCATCGATGTGTTCACATGCAAAACATACACGATCAATGACATGGGCGAGCTCAGACTTGACATGGATAAGGGAGAGCCGCGAGTGCTTTACCCGACCGACTTGATGCATGGAAGTGGTCTCTGTGGCTATGATTACGCCAATGTATCATACCTTGATTTCCAGAGGAAGCCGTTGAATTCTTCGAACGATACTTCTACTTCTTCGGGGGCTGGAGTCCCCCCGGGTTTGGATATCTGGCAGACTATATGGTCTGTCCTTGTTTCGGTGATTGTCTGTTTGGCTATGTTCGTGTTATAGATAGAGAGAGGGTGTAGTGGAGCCCGGAACCCCCCCCCCCCTTTATCTGTTTTTGTCATCTTCTAATTCTCCTTGGGGACAAAATCTGGTTAGGGTTAATTGTTTTATTCCCCGGTTGAACATACTACGCTACGTTGATGCTATATTTCTTATTTACATGTCTCTTATATTGCGTTGCGAGGAATGGTATCTTTGCCTTGAATCTCTTAATAGAGGAAAATCCCAAGAGAAATGATGAAGTTTGAATGTTCTTTTCTTTCTTTTCTTGGCCTTTCGGTAGAGTAGAGAGTATATTAGAACTATCCTGAATGACAATAAATACCTGATCTCCAAGCAGGTTTCCCCGCTGTGCCGTCTATAACTAGAGGCAGATTCTTATCCTCATAACTAACCATGGCAAAAAAAAAAACAGGGGATTGTGCAAGGCAATCCTTCTAAAAATTCAATAATCCATACATGTGGAAAATGGCTATGGGCAAGATCCCACAGCACATACTAATGCAAACGGAGATCCTGTTAAGATGAGCAAGAAGTAAACGCAAACTATATCCACATTGCTCCAGCGTTGTCATCCGTAGTGACTCATACAGACCGAGCTAGTATTAGACGGGGTGAACCGGCATTTTCTTACCCGGCCAAGCTCGAAGAAGATCCAAAGATCCGCTAAGGGGAATTCGACCGGTTGCGTTCAAGGAATCACTTATTTCCGGTTGGAGCGCTGCATTCCCAAAATCTGGACCATACGGACGAAGATGTTGATGAAATCCAATTCGAGGCTGATGCTCTCATTGACGACGTCCCTGCGAATCAGACCTCTTTCGGCCAAACGGGCGTGGTGTAGGATTTTCTGCACGTCATAGAGAGTGAAACCACCGAAAACTGCGAGACCACCATAGAGCCAGATCTTCTCGGACCACATCAGGGTGCGGGTGGCAGTGGCGGGAAGGACGAGAGGGGCAAAGCCAGAAAGAGCAACGATGGTCACACCGGCAAGAAGGGGAGCACCGAGGTACAAGTACTTCTCCTGCTTGGCGGTAGCGCCGATAAAGGCGATCGAACCCATCATTCCAACGGTGTAGAGGCCAGCGCGAGCCAGCAGAGCCGGATGCATGAACATCAGGGGAGAAAGAAGCGCAGCCTGAGTGATGTTGAAGGCGGTCCAAAGACCATATTTCATCATGTAGCTAATCAACAGTTAGCCAGGTCACCCCTTATAAACATATAGAAAAAATTTTAGGAAACTTACTTGTCAGGAGAAGTGTACATAGTGCCGTACATAGTTCCGATGCTACCGACCAAGCCCAAACCGACAACGGCCCAAGGGTTCATGGCCATCAGGCGGTACGACCAGCCATTCATGTGCAAAGCTCTAGCAGCAACAGCAATAATACCGATTCCAAGGCCAGTGTGTATGAATGTGTCGTTCAAAAAGCTCCTTTCGTAATGAGGCATGCCACCATCCTCCCTCGTCTCTCGGTTAAAGATGAAGTTTGTCGCCAGGATAGTTCCACCAACGATAGCTGCTCCATAAAGCAGTCTCTGCGACATGTTACCGCCCTGAGTGGTACTGTATGCAGGCTGCATGTATGTGCGGCGGAAAGCATTCTGGAAGGTCTGTCTGGACTTTGCGAAGATGGAAGATGAGATGGAGCCGAGAGGCTTGGATTGAGAGGGCTTGATGGGCGAGTTGTGAATAAACCGAGCTGTGTTCACAGCTTTAGGTGCTTGACGAAGAGCCGCTGGAACGGCGAAAGGGCGTCGTAGGAAGAACGCCATGATTGCGACGAAACTGAATCCAAGGATGAATGACGAATGACTCGAGCAAGAGGAGTATTTAAGACTGTGATATCAGCGATTTCCGGCGTGTCCGCTACGGGCGCCCGAACGTTCGAGAAGCGCAGTCACGTGGACTGTACCGTAACTCCGCCGGCGATAAGTTGGTGGGGAAATTCGTTGCGGTTTAGATACCTATCTCCGGAGTTGCAAAAGGCTGGTCGACTAGATATTTCGGACTGATTCGGCAAATTTCTCCCGTCTGATTTATTCAGCGAACGCACCTCTCATTCTCCCATCCAACATGTCTTCGTCATTGGAGACCATTTTCCTTCCTCACCTCCCGTCCTCGATGCCGGTGCATGTAGCTCTATACAGAGATCTGAAAAATGCCCCTTTCCTTCGGCAGCAGCTTCTGTCGGGGAACTCGGACTTTGAATATGCCCTTATTGATGCGAGCATGGTATGGAATCTCCGTCCGGTGACTTTCTGGGGTAAAACGATGGTCCTAATAGCCAAGCACAGGTTCTATCAAGAGCGCACGCCCTCTCAGCAGTCTTCAGAGCCGTAAACGATTATCTAAATGAACGTCTCAAATCACGCAATATCCATTCAGAGATTGTGTTTTCCCTCAGCTCCACAAACAATGTGTGTTTTTTTCATAGAAGCTAATGATTCGCTGTGCTCTAAGCTAATGTTACATAGATCGCAGATTCCTTTCGAAAGTTTGGCATCACAGATTCAACAAAAGACTTGCTCGTGATCAGGGTCTCTGTGGATCCGAGCATCACTCATGATACAGTAGCAGCGCATCTGTCACAGTCGATCGAGGGTTCTTCTATACCATTTACTGACGAATCGCTCTCTGAAATTTCCGACGTCGCAAAGATAAAGAAAGCTTATAAGCTGGGAGTATTGGCCTCTACTCCAACAAATCAAGTCAACGGTGTCCTTGATAATCAGGCGAAACAACTTGAACTTTCCGTGTTGGGTGCAATTGCACTGCGCGGAGCAACTTGATTTTCTCATACTTCGGAAATATCTATGTTTAAGCCTTTCGAACTGTTCGAATGGCGTTGGTTCAAACAATAGTGTTTGGAGTAATCGGGTCTATGGTTGGCTTATTAGGATTGCTTCGCGTAGGTCTTTGGAAGCCTTGCCTGAGCAAGGTGTGACAGTAATGTTAACCTACAAGGGCATGACTACAACCAGCTTCAGTAGCTCTGGAGGCCCTCTTTTTATACAGGCACCGTTATTTAATAGGACTTCGGCAAACGGCTAGGGGGAGACATACCATCCACACGAAGATGCTGTATATGGCCAGGCGATACGGGCATTGTCAATCCTCGGCTGCAGGTTCCATTTTATGTGATTTAGACAACAGATTTTGAATAGAACAACTTTCGGAGAGACAATGACTTGCTTGAGCCACGTCGACTTCCGCGATACCACCGTCAAGTAGAGCATCAAGGTAAAATCCCGCCGTTGTGATTGGATGCTTCGGTTGCCCTGCCCACCGCCGGATATGTCCAAATCAGGTAACATTGCAACTTTGCCAAGAATAGCGCGTGATTCTCTCCATCTCACTTTCTCCGCAATCTTTTTCTACCGAAACTACTCGAAGCACGACAACATGAATACACACCGACTGGGACTCGCAGTGGGCTTCACTCCCTAAGGGCTACACATGTCTGTGTTGGCTCCTTATCCATTTCTATTTAGCGTTGTTGTGCACCCGATACCATGAGCGCTGCATCAGACATCATTCTTTTGTCTTCCCCGCCGGTATGTCCCTCTCGCACCCCGGCGCCCCCAAGTTATGATCCCGGGAAGATTTTTGGGATCTCTCCGCGAGGCTCATCCCCGGCTTCAGTTCTGTCGCCGTCGGAGTTGTTTCGACCCCTTTCGCAATCCCGGTATTTCAAAGCCAGCACTAAAAACGGCAAAACATCAAACATAAAGAAAAACAAGACGTCGAGTGAAGGAGCGGCAGAAACAAATTTATTAAATTTCAAGAGAAAGGATGCTGTATTGGAAAACGGCGCGAAACGGAGGCGGACGAAGAAGCTCTCGAGCGAGCGAGTAACAGTCCCTTCCGAGTTGGAACCCTCGACTCCGGATAGGAGGGGAAACACATCCAAAAAGTCAACGGCCACCAAAAAGAAGCACACAGATGGCCCTAGCAAGTGTGGGAAGACTACGAATAAAACTTTGACGGGGAGAATTGCGAAGGCTGATAGCGTACAAACAAGAAAGTCCGATGAGAAAATCGATTGTCCCTGTACTCCGAAATCCTCGCAAGAGAAAATCGCCAAGGGTACCTTTGGTTGGGAAAAGGAAGGCCTGCAGCTAGATGTAGCTACGAAGCGGAGGTTCGACTGGACTCCGACAAAGGACACTATTGACCAAGCTACCGAGGTGGAGGAGATTGGAAGTGCAGAACGTCCATCGAACCGGTTTGGTACCTTGTTAGCGGAATACAATTTCAGCGATTCTTCTTCGGCTGCCCACAACAACACGAGGTCTCTTGAGGCTGGGGCTTTTACAAAGAGGAGGCGAATAGAGCTCGTGGATTCTAGTCTTAATCCTGTTTCCAAGGCTATTGCCCCCAGTACGGACAAGCCACTCACCGATAATGACCAATCTACAACAGCCTATAAACCGAAGAAAAGGCTTCAAAAACAAAGCAAGAAGTTGACTACCCTCACAGCTCGTGTGACAGCGCGATACAATGAGGACCTTGCAGAAATCCCTGATTTGACGGCTACTCATAAAGACGGCACATCTGCAAATACTAAAAGCTCAAAATCCAAAGCGAGAGAGAAAACAAAATCGGCTCCGCAAGAGCCTGAGTTTATTGTACTTTCCCCTGAAGCAGCTACCAAATGCCTTGATGACCAAGATCTCATATTTGGAACTTGCAGTCAACTTCAACGAGAAGATTCCCCAAAATTGCGAAGAGAAACACAAACAGCATTTTATGAGTCAGAGAAAAGCAACACGGCCGAGCCAGTGTCTAGTCATATTCAGAGTACGAGGTCTAAAACATCTTCTTCTACCACCATATCACGCTTCACGGCCCCCAGGAATTTATGGTCCATTGCGGCAAGAGACTCAGAAGGGTCATTAGCTCAGGTAGCGGTCCTCAATCTTTCAGGTGAATCTGGTTTATCTGAGACCTCAGCCACCAATTATAATCATACCAGCAGACAAAAGAGCCGGAATAAGGATGCTGGTACTGTGGGCAGCATAGGCTCCAATGATATCTCTGAGCCTAATGAAATATCGTCCACAAAGAAAGGGCTGTCCACGGGAGCTAGTCAAATTATCAACAATACGACCGAGAAGACAAATTCTCAGACGGCAGTACCTCGTCCTACAATGCCTCGATATGGCGGTTTCACAGATGCTGAGTTATCAAAGCAGATTGCGACCTACGGGTTTAAGCCTCTCAGAAACCGACAGAAAATGATAGAATTACTCCAGAAATGCTGGGAGTCAAAGCACGGTAAAGACTCGAATGGGGACAATGAAAAGGAGCAACGTAATCTATCTACTGAGCCAACGTCAGAAACGGCACCATCACAACTACAGAAAAGTGAGAAAAGTTCCTGCAAGTGTACCAGTACTTCTCAGAAAACAACCACGAGGCCCAGGAAAGCCCAGTCGACTATATCGTCCAAGTCTATATCGAAAAACGAACCATCCGCAACATCAGCCAATATGAGCAATAGACGAGACAGTCCTCAGCGCGAAACGAAGAAAGCCTGTTCTACACGTTCGTTCATTGATGTAGAAGAAATTGAGGACTCGGAAGAAGACGTTACTTTATCTCCAGTCCGGCATCAGCATCAACACATGCTTCACACCGCGGAATGTACACCATCTCTGTCTCTGTCAACAATGCCATCTAATCCAATCCGTACCGCATTCCAGGTCCGATCGCCTGCGCTCACTGCCACTAAGAGAACCAATACCTCGAATTTGGCCGATCAGATCACCCGCGCCGTACGTGCACAGCCTCAGTTTACCTCAACCAGTACTCCCAAGCATATCAGCTGGTACGAAAAAATGTTGATGTACAATCCCATCAATCTAGAGAGTTTTACCACCTGGCTGAATACTGAGGGATTAAGTCTTGTCAACGAAGACAGAGAAGTTGGGGCCAGTTTTGTACGGAAGTGGTGTGAAAACAGAGGCATCTGCTGTAGCTATTATTGATGCTTCTTTATTACTCTCTCTTTCTCTTTCTCTCTTTCTTATATTTTATATATGCAGTCGTCACTGTTTTGCATATGACCTGACTAGATGAAGGTCGGAGGGAGTTGGAGTTCTCTGGGATTAATATTCAAGGTGGAAAATTGGCGAATAATCTGGGTGAGATGGATAAATTGCTAGAGTCCTATGATGATGGCAGTTACTGGAATACGCATTCAGGTCATAGACGTAAAATATTATTAAAAAATAAATAAATAAATGACTATCACTGTAAATGAAACCCCACGCCAAACAAACATGATTTAGCACAGACGTGCAAACATTAATCAAGTTTAATCGAATACTCGCAGACTACTTTTGTATGCAGTGATATCAACAAAACGAGAAAGAATAACTTAAAAAAACAAGGTACTCACTTCTCTCAGTGATCACCACCATCGCTGTCACCACGGAATGTCAAGTATCACCGACCAGGCTGCCATTCTCGTCGGTCGGGAGGTGGGTTACCCGGCTGACTCCCAGGGGGTCCAAAGGATATAAGTTGAGGGTTACTAGGCAGGGGGTTAGAATTATTTTGATTGTTAGCCCTCTGGCTGTTTTGGTTGTGGTTATTATCGTTCCCTGGAACATCCATGGTAAACATTCTTAAGTCAGGTGTAGTATGCATCGGACTCGTATCATGAAGGAGGCCATATACTAGGTTCTCCATGGGAGCGACTCCAAGGATATCACCGTCACTGTCACCAGTAATATTGGGTTGTGCTAGACTGGCCTTTGCAGCCTGCATGGCAGCAATCATGGCGTCAATGTCCATTGGGAGGCTGCTTTCCCTTCCTCTGTCTCCGATGGAAGGAAGTCCGTGGAAGTCATCATCGCCGGTAGTGGGGTTTGCTTGGGCTTCAGGAGGCTGGGGGTGGCCAGCAATGGGGCTGGTTTCCATAGCGTCGTTATTAGGTTGGGCCTGAGGCTGACGTTGATACTGGGGCCGATGGGCGTTATACTGAGCGTTAGTGCTAGTATCTGGAGGCATTTGGTAGTCACCTGAAGCTCCAGTAAGATAGTAACCCGGAGGTCCAGCGTTCGACTGGAATCCCTCGTTTAAATGCGGAAGCTGCTCGGAATTCTGCAATTCAAGGTTCGAGTTAAAATCCTGTGGTAGAGGATTTTGCTGGAAACTCTGCTGCTGAATATTCTGATCTAAGGTCTGATTCTGATTGTAATCTTGGGCCTGCTGGTAATTCTGACTCCCTGGTTTCTGGCTAAAATAATTCCACTGGGGTTTCATTTGGACACCGGTATTCTGGACATCAGCAGCCTGAGCTCCAGGGCCTTGCATGGCCATATATTGGCCTCCTGCAATTTGATTGTCCCCCAAATTACGGTTAGCAATTGTCACATTGCCTGGTTGAGGGTTATAGTCATCTTCACCAACCTGGGCTTGGTAAGGGAAATTACCAGCCTGAGCTCCTTGGGCAGCCGCCTGTGCCTGCATGGGAGCTGTCGATGAACCAGCTTCAGCATTGCCATTCTGGACCTGCTGCTGGAATGTCATGTTTGGTTGAGGGAGCTGGAACCCATCTGTCAGGTTCTGCTTCCCCTGTGTGGCAGAGACTTGTGGGTCCCCTGCATAAGGATTAGCAATATTAGCATTGTTAGCCATGTTCAGATAAGCCTGATATGGGTCGAGATGGTCTAGAGGCCCACGGGGGAGTGCAGCAAGAACAGCATTTCCGCTTACCGACTGTTGGTTCTGTGTATTTGCCTGGTTAAACACCAATGTAGTTAGCATCCAGAGTTTTAAATACATGAATGGGTCGTTTAGTACTCACTGCCTGGTTCGTTATGGGCACGATCCCGTTGGATTGCAGCTGTTGTTCCAGCTGCATGACTCGCGCTCTCCACCCTTCAATTTCTGCCCTCTGTCGCATAGTCACAGTTTGCAGTCTACGAGACTCGGCTTGTGCTCTGAGTAAATCCCCGCGGACAGTGGTTATATGAGTCGTTCGATCGGTGGTTCTGCATGGAATGTTCAGAGTCCTGCAGTTTCTGCAGCCATAAGGTTCGCTGTCGCAGGTCATTTTCTTCATCTATCATGGAAATTACTGTTAGCAATTCACTTCTTAGATCAGCAAGAAGGGACTATAATGGACAGTGGTACCAGCAAAATCATGGAAGATCAGGGGAAATATACAGAAGTACATTGACAGGTATATAACAAAGAATAAAATAAAAATGGACTGGACTCACCTGGCATCGATCACATGATTGACCTGTTCGTTTAGAAGTCCCAAGTTTTGCACGTATTTGCTCCGAATAGTCTGGTTCAGGCTCACCTTTCCTACGACGCTGCTTACGCATTTTCTTTGTTCGTATCGGTCCCGGTGCCTGTGCTGGCTGGTCCTGGTTCTCAGTTGTGCTTTCGTTCTCAACCGTGTCCCCATCCTCAGACGTGCTCTTGGTTGTACTCGTTTTTGCCCTTTTGGCCCCAGGGGGGGCTGTATCATTCTCATTCGCAAAAAGTTCCGGGTCTGTTTCCCCCTGTGCATCCTTCGAGCTGCCATGTGTGGAGCCCTGCCCTGGTGAAGGCTGTTGTTCAGGGTTAGCTGGATCTTCACTGGGCCCGCTCTCTTCTTCTTCAATCGCAGCCATCTTTGCTGTTCTCTTTCTGGTTGTAGGCGGCATCTTCCGTGGATTCACAATATCTGATCGGTCTTGTAGAACGAATGGCCGTGTGTCTTTCCGAATTGATATTGTATCTAGTGTTTGCGAGTCTGATGCAGTATTGAGTAGAACACTGTAAAGGTGATGAAGGTAGTATGCGATACTGGAAAGGATATCACCGGAGGGCATGTCATCTATTTATGCATCTTGATGCCTAGATCCTCATCCCCAATAGAAAAAGCCAAAATATCCAGGGAGTTCAATAGAAACAAGTAAATAATGCCTTGTCGGTCCATACTGTAGTCAAAGAACTAGATATCAAAGAATATTGGAATCCGAACAAAGACGCATTGTCGACGGCTAAATCCGTTGCTTCTTAACGTCTTTTGTCGAGATAACTGAGGAGACAAGGAGGTCAAAGGGCCTATAGACGAGCCATATTAACAAAATGGGGTAAATTCGATCAACGGACATTGTTCATCCTTAGCTCATAATGTTAATGCTTGTCGGCTTCGACAATGAATGAAACGGACCTTGTCCAACTCTTTGATACAAGAAGACTGTAAAAACCGGCTGGAACAAGGATGGGAGACAGTCGAGAATAGGACTCATCGATTCTAACAGAGAAGCAACTGGAAAACCCCGCAAAACTCATCAAGACAGGTAGGCCTTCATAGCCAAGTCGGTTTAGAGAAAAGGTGGCAGTTCTATTCGGATCCATTTCTGGTTATTCCACAAGAGAAATGAAAGAGACAGGAAGAAAGAAAGTCTAAGATATAGAAAGATATTTCCGGAACCACCCGCTTACTCCGCCATGCAACGTGGATATTACCAGACCGATCCTAGAACAAAATTATGTTGCCATATGCTCCCCTTTCAGTATCAACTCCTTTCCATACCCAAACCACCAATACAATCGTGAAAGAACATCCCAAATGAAGATGTTAGTAGAGATATTTATATTATAATATTCAAGGATCAAAAAAAAAAAAAAAAAAAAAAAAAGGCGTGGAAATGTCATGCAAAATACAACACGCTCCATATTTCAATGCAGCAGCAATCCCAGAGTTACAGAGATAGTGAACTAAAAAGACGTAAAACACAACTCCCGAAGACAGAACTCCAAGGCAAGTCAAAGCAAAAGTAAGGAAAGAGGATGAGAAATAGTGGTGAAAGAAAAAAGGGGGGTATTAGACAATAAATAAATCGATTTACCAAGGGAATTCGGTGATCCCTATGACGGATAGTACAGAGGATCATAGCACCTGTCGGTAATAAACAATAATCACCGGAATACTCTACCATTCTGCGCAACTGTCTCGAAAAGTATTTTATCTTTATACTTGATGGGCCCTCCGCCTTCGAGCCAGGGAGTGAGGTTCTTGCATTGGCTGACGTCGAAAGACTCCAGGTGGGTACAACCGTCCGCAACAGCCTCAACTCCCGCACCGGTAACCCGAACGCAACCACGGACAGATAGTCTCTTCAGGTGGAGAAGATGAAGACCGATACTGCGAAGTGACGGATCAGAAATCGCTGAGCCACAGAAAGACATATTGAGACGAGTTAACTGTGAACATTGAAGGGCGAGGACCTCTGTTGCTGTGTCTGATAGCGCACAGCAGAATGACTACCAATAGTGAGTAAGTGAAGATCTTGCACATGAGCAAGCTGTGGCCCGAAATAAAGGAGACATGGATAGGAGCTCCTTACCAGATCTAATTCTTGTAATTGCTTGGCAGCATTGGTCAAATAGACGATAGCTTGGTCAGTTAAATAAGTACAGTCTGCCAAGCAGAGCTTCCGTAGATTCGTGAATTGCGTGTTTCCCCAGAATTGAAACCCTTGGTCTGTGATCGTGGTACAGCGTGTCAGGTCCATTTCTTCGATCCTGGAAGCAGCATGAGACGCAATATGATGCATCGACCGGTCGGTAACATGCTTGCAGTAGGACAAAGTCAATCTCTTCAACTCGGGGCACCCATATACAGTCCCTGCTGCAGTTTGCATGGTAGGCCTCAGAACCGCTTTCCCTGTCTTTCCCATATCTTCGGTAGGTTTATGCTGACCAGGTACAAGCCAGCCGACAATCCGAGCCAGTAAAGTATCTCCAACTTTTCGGCAGTTGCTCAAATCAACTTCCTGTAGGCCGTTCGCTTTGCTAGCCATTTCAAGGATGGCTGAGGCGGTTACATCCCAAACGCTTTTCATCTTCCATGCGATAACATTAGGGCCACATGTGACAACCAGTTTGTTAAAACCTTCGTCGGTGATGTGAAAGCAGTTGCTAATATCGACGTAACGGGGTCTACTACCAACAAATGGGCATATTATTTTTATGAGAACATCATCGGTAATACACCGATTATATATGTTCAGGTCCAAGTAATGGAGCAGCTCTGCTGATGTGCTGAGAATCTCGGACCAGTGAAGAGAAACAGCTCGAATACGAAAGAGGTGGTGGAGTTCTAGGTAGTTGAAAACTTTCAGAAGGACACTATCGGGAAGAATCCCGCAATTGTCTTTACGTGACTCCCGCTGTGCCTTCGAGGTTGACAAAACAGCCTGTGGGAGCTTGAGAAAAGACGAACTCGCCGACCGTGGCTCAGATGGAGGCGATTGCCGTTGTTGTTCTCCAGAGACTTCCTCGGGCGTCAATGGAGCAACGGAGCCTCGTCGACTCCGCAGTCGGACTTTGTCCAGACCAACATTGAGGAATGGATCGGGATCAGATGGCCGTAACACACTCTGTTCATCTATCCCATTCGGCTTATGGGGGGCATCCAATTCTGTTTCTGTGAGTGTAAGGAGAGGAGGCATCGACTGTCTCCGTGAAGACCTGGATTGCGAATACCCATCTCCAATAGGCAGGCTAGTATCCCCGGCTTCGGACATCACGATATCGCCATCGGCTGCTGAATCGAGTCTCTCTTTAGCTGTCCTCTCCACTTGCTCTCGAATACTCTGAGGGCATTTCTCCCACAGCTCTGCGAGGACGTCGCCTCCTATCATCAAACATTCAACCGCATTGATCGAACGTACCGTCGCTGTTCGACGTGGCGCCAGAGAGAGGCTCACCACCTCGCCAAAATATTGACCCTGTTTCAGCCGAGCCTTCACCTCAAAGCCGGGGTGTTCAATGGTGTTTGGTAGAGAGTGGGAATCTTGAGGTTTCACGCATTCAGACAGGACTTCCACCTCACCACGAACGATAAAATAGATCTCTCTCCCTTGAGAGTCCTGCTTGATGATGTCGGTGAAAGGAGGATATGACCGTGGTTGCGCATTCAGGCCTAGGAAGTGCAGAATATCCGGCGGTAGGCCAGAAAACAGGGGCAATTCTTTGAGCAAAAGGCGGACACTGACTAGTCCATTCGCCAGGGCACTTGAGGAACCATCAGCTAATCCGGGGCTTGGGGATTTGCGCTTCTTGTTCGTAGACTTCAAGATTATGCCATCATTCTCAGTGAGGGACATATCTCTAGTAAAGGTATCTCTCAATCTCTTCGATCCTCTTCGAGTCGGTTCGTCAAAATCTGTTGGAGGCGCAGATGTTTCCTTTTTCTTCTTCTCCAAGATCATCAATCTCTCTTGCGCTTCTTCCCGAATGGCCTGCTCAACTTCGGGGAAGCGAGGGAGGATATTCCGGAAATCTTCCTTTGTCAATACAACCAGCAAACATCTTGTGCGGGCAATTATAGTGGCCGTGCGTGGGCGATCCATGAGAACGCCAATCTCGCCGAAAAATGCGCCCGACTCGAGCTCCGCATATATACTCTCGCCATCGCGGGAAGTAACTGATACAGCCCCTCGGACCAGCCAATATATAGCCTTGGCGTCATCTCCTTCTGTCAAGATGTAATCATTGGCCGAGTGAAGCTGCGGACGAAGGTGCTGGCCGACATCGAACAAGAACGATTCCGGAGTAGCCTGGAATAGCGGGAAGGAGCGTAATCGATCAACAAGATCCAAAGGCAGTTCCCGGATGTTCGAGGATGCTAAAGGCGATGGACGCACGGGTCGGTTGGGGTTCATCACCGAATCGAACGAATGGATCAGCGAGACCGTATCGGAGACTGGTGCAACGGCCTTGGTGGAGCCTCCACTGGCCCTGCCATGGCGTCGCATGATGGATATAATGGGAGCCGTCTAGCAAGGCTCGGACGAGGAGAATAGAAAATTGAACCAAAGGGGGATAGAAATCTTTTCACGGGAGTAGCATATAGTTTTACGGGAATCAATGGGCCGATGACGTCGACGAGAATTGGGATCACGGGAGCTTCAGAAAGGCATTTCCAATCCAAGCCGTACGGATGCGGGGAGGCTGGAGCTTTCAGTCGTAGCGGGTTATTCGAGACGGAAACGTGCGATTGCAATCTGGTTGATGATGTGAAAGTCAAAGCCCCAAAACCACCTCAAGGAGTCACTAGGAAAGACCATGGTTGTCAGTCAAGAATAGAAATGGAAGCTTCAGCAGCAGCGATAATAATGAAAGCGGGGATCACCAACGTCAAATAATGCGGTCGAGCTCCACCGGCAAGTCAGTTAGTCAGCCTATCACGTCCTTGGATCTGTCGCGACAAACCACCATCTGAAATGTTGAAGGGCAAAAAAAAGAAAAAATAAACGTCTGAAAGGGTCGATCAATAGTGGAGATCCAAGGCCAAAAAAATGTATTTTGTATATATCACCTGGAATGGAATAGGAGGAGGACCTGTGTTGTTTGGCGTCTCTTTTCTTTGTCTTTTTCTTTTGTTCGGTCGTAGAGACGAAACACCGGCGGTCTGCAATAATAAGCAGCTATCTCTTGTTTCAATAAATCTAGATAAACCCTCTTAATACTTGTGCACTCTGATACCCTTCAACCAGAAACATCCTCGATCACAAATCGTGCAATGAAGGGAGGGGATAGTGGATGGTAGGAAAAGGTGGTTGAAGTAAAGGAAGGCTTGCATTCAAGTGGAACATATGTCCAGCACGCATGGTGCTGACCGACCAGTTCAGGCTAACAAGTTAGTTGATTGGTAGTTAGGTACCTAGTCAGTTAATTGGGCTGATTGATCAATAACAGAGATCGTCAGGTCACAGAATGCCCATAGCCGAGATATGAGGGGCGGATGCTTGATTGATTGTATCTCCTGCATCGGGCCCTGTTGGAACATGCATGTGCTGGGTGCGCTGGGTAAGTACTACCACCTACATAAGATGCCCAGTTCACACACACCATATTTCCTGTCTGTATGTACATACACACCTCGTGGGACTGAGAATAATGCTCTCGAATTGAGCAGGATTCGAATCCGCGTATGAAAATGGAGCCACCACCGCCTAGGAACATGGCTACCCCTGCCATGAGGATGTCCGCTACATTCGACGCGTTTCTGATCCTGCAACCAATGATTTCATCAAGGTTATCTAAGTGTACTACCTACTCTACAGGGGTTTGATAATATGACTCCGAAGACAGGGCCGCTTTCACCCTTCCAGCGGACGTTGGTCCGCATCTTTACTTAATGAACTGCTTCTTTCGTCAATATCCGGTCCTGCGGAGTTACAATGGATAACTATATTTAAACTGGGATTAATCCTTTCAACAACATTAAGACTAAATTCTTACGAAATACCTAATGACACCTCGGCGCTCGGAATTTTGGCCATCCAAGCTAAGAGCATCCATAGTCTTTCTATCTCCAATCTATCTACAAGCCTAGTATTGGAAATGATGGTATCCACCGCTTTCATTTGAGTTATCTCACCCAACATGTAGGATCCGTCTTCAGGAGCTAAAGTCTCCAAAGCCTTCAAAATGGAACGTGCTCCCATTACACCTATTAGCCACTAAGGTCCCCAAATTTCGGCAATTAAGCAATTGGAGATGTTCATAGAGAGTAAAATATTAGTGGAGCGTGTTGTAAACCCTGTAGTGGAAGCGGCGTAGATTTTCGGGTGCTGATCTCGATCGATATGTGAGAAGTTGGAACACCATCGATAATAGAGAGACATAGGCCTTGCATAGTGTCATGGTCGGACAATTCCCAAATTTACTACAACACTAGCGCGTTGCAATAAACTAGATCTCTTGGGGCTCATAGCCCGACTTCAAGCTCAGCGAAATAAGAAACCGTTTACCCTCTCTCGTCTCACTCCATTTTGGGTTTACGGATGCCAAGTATGAAATCAACGTATGCAGGGGGGTTGCCTTTCAATGACGAAAGAAGATCCTGTATCAGGCCATATGCCAGACTGAATTTCAAGCCGAATTTCGCCGTGCGTGCAGCTGTGTAGACATCGTGCCGGGCTAAAAAGAAAACAAGAACTGCTTAGTGTACTTTATTTCCCCCGTATAAGCAAGCGAGCAACCACATTGAAAAGCACCAACCTAGCAAGCTGCAACAGCCGGAAAATGCTAACCCAGCTGTGACTGTAGACAAGAAATCCCGCTCGTGCCGCGCATTATCCACGGTCTCTTCGAAGAAGCTGAACACAAAGGCACCAGCGCCTAGCTTAAATCCCATTTTTAGGCCCTCGTTAACTCCTGTAGTGAAACGCAAATAGCTCTTATCTTTATGATACAAGTACCATCCTGGTTTTGTCGTAGGGAAGCGATGGGCGTTTTCAGCGCGAAAGCGAAAGCCAGCTATTTTGCTTCCATGCACATAACCAATAGCCGCCCCAGCTGTGAAACCACCCAGCGATGTGTATTTGAATCTTTTATCCGCACTGATTCCGAATCTTGAGTTCGCACCTGATTTGAGTTTGTCTTGCTGGGCCCTCTGCTGTGGTGGCGTAGATTCTGGATTGCGGAAACTCGAAGGCTGCTGGGGATTCATCGTGCTTGATGGGTAAACAAAAACCCTTGTATGTTTGCTCTGGCGCTGAAGAAAATAATTTCTGTTACTTCGAGGTTGTATTGACTTCTTCTGCGAAATTGGGACTGGAGTTCATTTACGCTTTGGGGCGATTGGCGTGAGGTCACGCTCCAAATTCTCCCGACCTCCGAACGAGTTTCAAAAGCTCCGAGACCCGCCAAAGCATGGTGATCAACCACGACAAAAACTACACTATGGTGAGTTGGACTTTCCACTTCATTCTATTTATATTTCATATAATTCTGAACAGTATGTCTGACATAAAATGCCCGAACAGTCGCAAGCTGATCCCCTGAGTTGGACGCTTTTATTCAAAAAGCACAAGACCACCGTACTCCTGATGCTCCCGCCTTCCAAGACAATCACAAGTGCCAAACTCACGCTCCTAAGTGCTCTTAACTCTCGCGGTCTCACGGAGATTAATGGTGATAAGATTCCAGAAGACCCTTCGGAGATCGAATTCGGAGTTGCGGTAGACAAAAATGATCTAGAAAAGGGATGGACAAAACTGGAGCTTGACGTGCCTCAGTTCAGTGATGACGAGACCCCAAAGCGAGGAGCTGGGAAGAAGAAAGCTGCCAGTCCTCTCACCTTGCAAACAGCCGAACTTCGGAATGGACAGCCTATTGCTTTCAGGTTCCGGAAACACAAGGAAATCGAGGACGAGGACGAGATTGATCTGGAACTGGAAGAACCCGGATGGGATGTTGTGCTTCCCAGCCTGGACGATGAAGAAGACGAAGCGAACTAAAGCGAGCGGGCGTGATTTTATTTCTTTCTTTGGCGCAGGTCTTGTACTGGTTCTATTGAACGGCGTTTGTATTCATTCTATAAGGCGCAGAAGAGAACTATTGGCAACGTCGTACATATTCATCCTGTAGAAGAGGGAATGGATGGAACTACTAGCATCATGAGCAGGTCCATTTATTGGCTAATAATAAAAGCTTAATGCAATAAACGTAAGAAAGGTTAAGATCCTAACTACATTGACAGGCCCTAGTGCAAATGCATATAATATAACCTAGTATTCGGAAATGATCTCAATTTGCAATCTATTTTCGAAAACCTCTTATCGGGACTTTATTAAATTAGTTACAGTGTTACTTACCACATAAACTTGACCATACTCCGTATACAGATCCAGAAGTATGTACACATGAGTGATCAATTAGCGTAAGAAGGTGCGTGCATATATGGACCAACATTTGTGGTAATTAAACATGCGAGGCGCCTCTGAGAGAAAAGGTGCCGCCAAGACCGAAACCGACGGCCGTATCATATTATCAACACAGCCCCAGCCGTTGCTCTGAGCAACGCGCTGCGGAAAACAAGCCCATGTCAACAACCAGGTGGCTTGCACTTGGCAACCTCAACAGGGGAGGATCTCAGGGGACAGATAGGTCCACACAACATTCTTCGACACTAATGCCCTACTAGGTCTTATCTCTTCGTGTTTCATTGTTATTTCATCAAACCTCCTTTACCACGCCGACGGTGAAGGGCACCGCAGGGTGCTTGGATATCTGCCCTCCCTGCGCTGATTTCTTATCCCAGCATTTACGCCCATTGCTGCGAGTCATAAATAAACAAAATGGCTACCTCCAGCGACTCTTCATCTATTACAGTCTCTGTCCGAGTGAGGCCTTTTACTATCCGAGAGGCAGCACAGATCTCGAAATGTGAGGATGGCCCGATATTTCTAGGAGATGGATCTTTGGCCGGTGCTCCAACCCCAAAGCTCAACCAGAAGGGATTAAGATCCATCATCAAAGTCATTGATGATCGATGCTTGTGAGTGTAGCTTCTTTATGTGTATCCTGGAGCATCAATTGACCGATCTGAAAGAGTGTTCGACCCCCCTGAAGACAACCCCGTGCAAAAGTTTTCGAAGAGCGTTGTGCCCAATGGCAAACGTGTGAAGGACCAGACCTTCGCTTTTGATCGGATTTTTGACCAGAATGCCTCTCAAGGGGAGGTTTATGAAGCCACTACTCGAAATCTTCTTGACAGCGTCCTCGACGGTTACAACGCCACCGTGTTTGCTTATGGCGCGACTGGATGTGGGAAAACACACACAATCACTGGTACGGCACAGCAACCTGGAATCATCTTTCTCACGATGCAGGAGCTATTTGAGCGTATTGATGAAAGATCGGAGGAAAAGCAAACGGAAGTTAGCCTCTCCTATCTGGAAATCTACAACGAAACAATTCGGGACCTTCTTGTGCCAGGCAGCGTCAAAGGGGGGTTTGATGTTGCGAGAAGATTCCAACAAATCGGTTTCGGTATCTGGGCTGTCGAGTCATCATCCACATAATGTGCAGCAGGTGATGGACATGATTATGAAAGGAAATGAATGTCGGACCATGTCCCCAACAGAGGCAAATGCCACATCCTCACGATCGCACGCTGTTCTTCAAATCAATGTGGCTCAAAAAGATCGCAATGCCGATATTCACGAGCCGCATACGATGGCAACTTTAAGTATCATTGACTTGGCGGGGAGTGAACGAGCCAGTGCCACAAAAAACCGAGGTGAGAGACTGCTGGAAGGTGCGAACATTAATAAATCTCTCCTGGCATTGGGGAGCTGCATCAATGCACTTTGTGACCCCCCGGAAGCGGAACCATGTCCCTTACAGAAACTCGAAGCTCACCCGGCTACTGAAATTTGCCCTTGGTGGAAATTGCAAAACAGTGATGATTGTTTGTGTGAGCCCATCAAGCCAACACTTCGACGAAACCCAAAACACCCTGCGCTATGCGAACAGAGCGAAGAACATCCAGACTAAAGTTACGAGAAATGTATTCAATGTGAATCGGCACGTGAAGGATTTCCTGGTGAAAATTGATGAGCAGATGGCCTTGATTAACGAACTTAAAGCACAGCAGAAAGACTATGAAAAGGTCGCTTTTGCTAAATTCAAGAAGCAGAACGAAAAGAAGGATGCAGTCGTACGCGAAGGTGTCGCCCGTATCCGCAATGCATATGAACACTCGTTGCCAGAGAGGCAGGAAAGGACCAGCAACATGATCAAATTGAGACAGGTTAGCCGCAGGATCGGCATGCTGTCGTCCTGGATTGCTGCTTTTGACAACGTGTGTGCAAATTGCGAACTCAACCCGCCCTTGTCAAGTCTCCAAGTGATCCGCAAAACCGCCCAAGGAATCCTACTTGAGTTAGAAGACAGCAGGCAACACTACCACCAAAGGTTGGCAAAGAGCAGCTGGGACCGAGGCATAAACTCAGCTCTCGAAAACGCCATACAACAACTCAAAGATTTCGAAATTAGTGATAAGAGTGACTACACCAACTTCCAGCGTGAAGCGGAGCTCCTGAAGTCAACTACAGAGCGAGAAGCACTGGCTGCAGTAGCTGAGCATGATAAGGTCGGGGAGGCAACAACTATACAAACTCTTCTCCAAGAGCAATTTGAAACCATTTCAGCGATAGAGAACATTATGCAGCTAAGCGAAGAGGAGGCCGTTGACAAAGGAAAGAAAATTCTTGTGAAAATGCTCAACTCTTGCTCCGCTGTGACATCAAACATTGTGAAACCAGATGGCAACACACTTGCTCAGCCCTTCAGTCCTCTCAAAGCCAACTCACCGAAGAAGAAGAGACCAAGCTTAGCTCATCCTGTTACCATTGGCAAGACACTAAGTGCACCCATCACTTTCGCACCAGCTGCACCAACCTCACCTGTGAAGGGATCTCCTCGGCGTCGCAAGATGGGCGTTGGTAGAAAGAGTGTCAGTTTTTCACCAAAGAAGTCCCAACCCAAGACAATAAAGCGGGGTGTCCGCTGGAGGGACGACGAGGAAGATGGGACTTTGACGGAATTCCAAAAGACACCACAAAAGCCGGAACCGACACCAGTTTCCGATGGTAGTCCTACCGAGCCTCAGTTACCTAGGACATCTCCTATCCCACGTGGAATTCCAGTGCCCAGCCGGAACTTCAGCCCTATACACGGATCTTCTCCCGTTCCAGCACCTCCAGAGCCAACCCTGAATATTCAAAAAAACAGCAACCGGTTCAAAGCCGGGTTTCTGTCCAAAAAGACCAACAGTTCACCAATGGCACAACCCACCTCAACAACCAGCGAAAATTCTCCCCTTCGCGACATCGAAAATAGCAGCTTCCTGAACCGCGCGTCCATTGACCGCCCGTCGAGAATCGCGGTTCGCACCTCAAGTGGAGGCTATAGTAGTAGCCCGGTGTCAGACAGTAAAGACAACTGGAAGGCAAATAAGGATGATGCAAGGCAGATTAGCTCGGCAATGAGACGTATCTCCGGGGGGCAGTTCGGCTCTGGATCGTCCGCCAACACTCTTCGCATTCACCGTCGACGAAGCCCAGGATCTGCAACCTATGGAAGTTCGCCTCCTGAAAACACCATGTTCACAGCGCAAGCTAGGCGGATAGCAAAGGGCGATAAGGAGGCCGATTCCAAGCCTAGAGTATTGAGTCCGCGCACTATCCCAATCATGAAAAACACTCACCGCCGCACTACATTTGGTGGAGATATGCGCCCCAGGGACATCAGCCTTACAAGCCGAGATGCCATCAGACTTAGCACTATGGCAATGCCTAACATTGAAAGGGCCTCGGAAAGCTTCTATCCTAGCTCTAGTGCAAGAATAAGGTAGATGGATGTTTCTATCTGTCTCATGGTTTGGGAAATTGGAACGGTGTTAGGGGATGGCTGATACCATTTGTCTTTACATTTCTTCGTCCTTCCACTTCTTCGTTCAGAAGTGATCCATATGGTCTGGTGTCTGGCTCACTCTTGGTTGTCTACTTGCATTTTGGGTTCGTACGCTTCTTGAACATGGCTTGGAAACTTGCTTTTCTCTTCTTTTTTGTTTTACATTTCGCTTCCAATGTTGATGTTTTTTGTACTGTATGGCATATATTAGGGTACTCTCGGGACGTGTACAATATCAGATTTACCTCGAAGCTTCTTCATGGCGTCGATGTTGAACCATTTTTCTACAAGAAACTGCTGTTTTTGTTCATACTACTTTCCCGGCTGAAGACTGCAAATTGAGTCGCATCCTTCCTAATAGATCGTTGTATCTCTCTTTTCCCACAGCTTCGAATTGGATCACTACAATTAAGAAAAGAAAAAGGGTATAAGGATTCTATCCGCTCAGAAATGGTCTAGATCTATAAAAGCTAATCGCTTGGTTACTGTATTGTAATCATGCCCTTTGATCTTAGTCGATGGCAACATTGGTAGTTACTGAAGTCCGAATTATGTCACTTCTCGGCATGACGCCACTAAAAGCTTCCCCACCATGACAAATTCGGCATTTGCTGTAGAGCTCCAGGCTGCATGGACTCCGGCAACTGACGGCGAATACCTACAAGTCTAATTCTTTAGGTTTTGCTTCTCTTCCTTCTCTATCCATTCCTGGAGAAACCACTTGCATCACCTCAAGAGTTCAATTCGTCAGTTCTCTTTGTCTACGAGAAATCAGCCTCTGCTCCTACGGCGAAAACGAAAAAAAAAAAAAAAAATTGTGGACAGTGAGTGCCGACTTTTCGAGTACGTATAACAACCAATGACTTTCGCTGCTCCAGCCATTGGCTCGACTTTGTTCTCACGTTTTCTCCGTTCCTTTTCGACTAGTTCGCCCTTCCTCTCATTAGCAGCAGAATCTGAGCGCAGAATGTCGGACACTACGCAAAGGGCCACCGTCGCCGCCGGTTGCTTCTGGGGCGTGGAACACCTATTTCGCAAAAACTTCGGCAATGGAAAGGGTCTTCTAGATGCCAAAGTAGGTTACTGTGGTGGATCTACGGCGGCCCCGTCATATCGAGCTGTGTGCACAGGAGACACAGGCCGTAAGTTTTCGCGCACTCTAGGTCTTGTGTCCCTATCTTCAAATATACTCATCTTAAAATCAGATGCTGAGGCGGTCGACATGACGTTTAATCCCAATATTGTTAGCTACCGGTCTCTTCTGGAGTTCTTCTTCCGCATGCACGACGCCACCACCATGAACAGACAGGGACCCGATGTCGGAACGCAGTACCGCAGTGTTATCTTCACGCATAACGAGGAACAAGAACAGATCGCCAAAGCTGTGACGGAGAAGGTGAGCCGGGAGTGGTTCAAGCAACCCGTTTCCACACAGGTTATACCTGCAGCTCAATGGTGGGACGCGGAGGAGTACACCAGCTCTATCTGGACAAGAACCCGGGGGGTTATGAATGCCCTGCCCAGTATGTTTTGTGCCCATACTTTATCCTCGTATCTTCCGCTGGTATATACTAAACAGAATACTAATGCTGTGCACAGCTTCGTGAGAAACTTCCCGCCGCTCTCCGCTTGACTCAGTGCCAAAATATGAGATATGAAATCTGATCTAATGAAAAATGACCCGCAATCTTACCAGAATGGCTACTTGGTAGCATTTGGTATTGACCTGAATTTGGAGCATGAGCTAGAATGTATATGCATCGAGGAGGAAATTATCTTGTATATTCGTATCAATGATTTTCCAATATCTGTTTTCACAAGAATCCAATTTTTATTGTTTTTCCTCAATCATCTTATCATATTTCTGCCTTGAGGCTAGATTTTCCTGTGAAGAAAGACTGCAGGCAAGGAGGAACTCATGCTCTAGTTCCAGTGGGCCTGGGCCAAATCGATTCACGTCTGTATTTTACGATTTTACGAGACTGTGTCTTTATATTAAAACAGTCTGCCATGTCTGGTCAAAGCGCATAAGCCCCCATGTAGTAGCAACCTGTTATATAAAGGTGGTTGGGACTCACCTGACATGGATACAATGGCTTAGAGACCAAGGTGAATTCGAGCTTCCAGATACCCATCAAGCCATGTTTGTGGTCCAAATCTAACGGCTTATACTTTATAAGGAAGGGAGACGGTACAAATCATAAAATATTAGTCGTCAGGACACCAAGAAGATAATATGCTGTGCCCTCCTGGCGCACACAACTGGGAGTCGGACCAATTTCCATGTAGTTGCCTCCTGAGACTACTGTCAAACTGGAATCTTCTCACTTTCATTCACTTTCTCCCTCTCAGGTGACAACAACCAGTACTTCCCTTCTTGCTCCATTCCTCCTCATTCTCTCATCCCCTTTCTTTCTTCTCAATTGTCTGTCTAGCCCCTCTACTCCCATCATTTCTCCTTCTTTGCATTCCATCTTACTATTATCAACCTACAATCTCTGCCTCTACACTCTTTCTTCTCACAACAGTATCTGCTTAAGGTCGTCTTGTTTCCCCCCAGTGAGAGTAAGGCAAGAACACGAACGCCTCTGTCACGCTCTTCCTGCACATGCTATGTCCTGTTAATTTTTCATCACTTTGTGTTTCTGGCTAGACTCTTTTTCTTTGTCTGCTTTTCCAAAACCTCATTTCTTCTATACTTCTTGTATTCGTGAAAGAGATCATCTTTCATCTTCTCCTCTCCCTTGCTATCCTGAGGATCTGATAAATAAGCCTTGTCCAGGCTTTTGAAGGTATGTGGCTCTAAAAGCTCTTCAAGATCTTCCAGTACACGAGCTCATCGCGCACTAATTAGTTCAGAATCAGAGCCCTTCGCGTATACTTCCGCACACGAGTACCTTATAGGGTGCCATACCACCTAGCTTGATAACTGTGTCGGTTGTTCCCAGATTTATCTAGGATCACATTCACAATGGTGGTTTATTCCGTCGATGGGGCCATGGCTGAGGCCTTGAATCACCTCAATCGCATTGCATGCCATGTAAGAGACCAGTCGCCCTATTCCCATATGGAGCAAGTGTTGATTTGAAGTAGTTCCGCAAGCACGAGCAGCACAAAGCTGCCAATGAACTTGGAAAACTGAGCGTCATGATTGTCAACGCATTTTCCGAAGGCGCTGATCAACTTTCTGCTTCTGACTACGCTTTTGATGACGTGGTGAGACTTCCCGGCCAGCTTCTAAGAGCAAATCTCCAAAAACTAAGTCATTCTAGCAGGATGAAAACTGTCCGGGCACCATGAATAGCCAGTCCAGCATTCACAGCACACTTCAGAAGCAGGCCGTCGCTGACCTCATGAACCAAGTCGAGAAGGTTCAGAAAGAGAAAACCAGCGGTCAAATCAGTGCGCTGCGGAAGATTTCTCGTGATGGACAGGCCCCTCATCCTGGAAGCTGGGCCCAGATTGCGGGCACAGTTGCTAGTTCCGCCTCTGGCCTCCAGGTCTACTGCCCAGAGACAGCGCAGTACATGTCGCCCGTGTCCCTCACTTCGGCCTCTGTCTCCAGACAGAGCCAAAATAGTGATGATGGCAGTGATCCCCAACTTCCCGATCCACCCGTGGTTGCACTTTCTTCGACCATAGTGTCCGAGATTCCAGAAGCCAAGGCGGGTGTTATCCGCATCTATGGAAGAATCTCCAAGGACGTTATTCAGTTTATCACCACCCGTATCCACGAAGGTCCATTGCAGGATGTCCGCCTGGAGACCAATGGAAGAACACGGGTAACCTTCCAGCATGCATCTCAGGCACTCGCTTTTTTGAAGTCCAACCAGGAAATGGAGCAGATGCTCGGCTTTGGACGCTTTGGGTGCGGATATCACGTTGAATTGGCCGAGATTATTGATTGGAACGAAGATCTCCGTCGGATGAACCAGCCAATCCGCGAGCGTCGTCGCCTGTCCTTTGCAAGAAAGAGACTATTTGCTGAAAACATGTCGCCGGAGAAATGGAAGCAGGACATCCGTACTCTGGCAGGCCCTGGAAACATTGACTTCCTCTGGGTCTTCAATTCTGGAAACGGTGAGTTTCCTACTTGGATACCACGGTGTACATTCAACTAATTGAGACATAGCAACTGCTGTCTTTACGAGCACCTCCGTAGCTCGCAAAGTTCTGGAGGTATTCAACAGATGGAAAGACGGCCGCAATGTTTACAGTGGGGTTTCGGTGACTTATTCCTCAGACCCCTGCGAGAAAGAGTTGGTCCTCGTCAGGGATATGTCTCGCCCCAGCATGAACAATAAGAACTTCATGAAACGATCTATGCGCTGATATCATCGGAAGGTAGCCATAGACGAAAGACAGCAGGGCTCATTATAGGCTCTCGATAGTTATAGGGTTTTCACTCTACACTAGTCCAGATCTTTTCAATCAATATGAAGGAATTGCATTACAGGAAGGGGAGATACTTTTTTTTTTTTCCAAAGAAATGAACAAAAAAAATTGAAAAAGACAAAGCCAACGGAGTATTGAAACCAAGCATGATTTGTATGTAGGTTGGAACCATGTCGTTCAAGGGGCTAGAACAGCAATATGGCAATCAAGAGGGTTTGTATTTCATGTACGGAAATGTCCAGATTGTTTAGGACTGCTGGAAGAATATGACTTTTGCCTACCTTGTTGTTACGTTAATCCACCCAGTTTCTAAATCTATTCGGTCAGATTTACCAAACTTATCAGTCCTAGAAAAGGTGTCTCCACTTGCCCAAAGTCTGGGCTTGTAGCTCAGGGGTAGAGCGCTCGCTTCGCATGCGAGAGGTCAGGGGTTCGATTCCCCTCAAGTCCAAGAATTTACTTTTGAATTTTTTGGTTATCTATCAATCAAAATCAATCAATCGATCTCCTTGAAAGAAATGGATTTTGTATGGTTCGGATGGGGCCGACTTTCTTCGTGCGGGGTACATTGCAGGCTAGTTTTCATTATTAGTTAGTTTAAGTTAGTCAGACCTTGGAGAAAGGAGTCTGGAACGATATTATTATACTTTTTCGTTTTAACCTTGAGTCTTCTCTTATTCCGCCTGACTCACGATCAATCAGTATGAGGAAGAATATTCGCTTGGACTCCCTACCCTCTAATCGCCAAATAGCATCCAAAGGTAAGGCAGCTGCCAATGCATCCGCGGAGATTATCTCTGAACTCCTTAGACTGCCGCTTCTGTACCAAGCGACGCATCAAGTGTGACCGAAGCATCCCACGATGTCGAAAATGCATCAGTCGAGGGCTCTGCTGTCCTGGTTTTGATCGAATGCCCCTCAAATGGGACCAGGGTGTGGCAAGTAGAGGAAAGCTCGCTGGTAGGACACACCCAGTGCCACTGTGTGGTGAATCCAAGGACCATGAGAGGCTGTCAGACGCACCCAGCTCACCCAACAACCCGACTAGTAGCCATGATCCTGGCACCCTTACCTTAACCCGCTGCAAATCCCCCCCTCGGAGCTCCTCCACACTCATCCCCAGTCCGACGAATGATCTAGATATCGTCAATCATTGCTCATCGGCTGCTCTGTCTGACAATCTGCTCAATCATTTTCACATCGAGGTTGCCGCCAGACTGACATGGCTCGATAGCTCAAATAATCCCTGGCGAAGTATGGTTCTTCCGTTTGCGCAGCAATCTCTTTGTCTTCGCTTGTCGGTCCTTGGTCTTGCTGCCGCTCATTTATCCGTCACGTCTGCCAGTGGGGATAGCGAAAAACAGGCCCTTTTACAGATCAATCACAATCTTCGGGAGACAAGCCTTTGCGCCTTGAATAATAAGATACGTTCAGAGTTGGGCCGTGATTACGCCACAGAGGATGATAATTCGGAGGGTTCGTCTCTGATTGAAATGCTTGCCACGATGCTCGTCCTGTGCTATGGGGAGACTCTCGTCCCATACTCGACAGACTGGAGTCTTCATCTGCGCGCATGTCGCGCCATTATCGATAGACAAAGGTTGCGCGGTCGGCAGGAAGACCCCCAAGGCCCTGTTGCAAAGTTTTTGGTCAAGGAAGTGGCTGATCTTGAGACTTTTGGCAACTTTTCTGTCTTTACAAGAGGACAGGGGACAATAGCTCCACTGCCCCCTCCATCATTGCTTGAGGGTCAATTCTGGGCCTTCACATCCTTGCTCCGTGAAATCACCGTAGTGGAGAGACAACGCTACGATCTATCACGAAAGGGCCGTCGACCTCCAGACATAGACATGATCATCTGGAGAACCAAGATTGAACAGGCTTACGCCCAGACGTGCACCGGGACCACCTCAATCTCGGCAGGGGAGGAGCACACACGGAAAAAGTTTGAAGCTGTCATACGAGCGCATTACTATTCCTCTCTGATATACTGCTATCAAGCCCTCGCATCCGTAGAGGAGGCATCACAAGCAATCGGTTATTATATTTCCCTTCTCTTCGACGAGATCCAGTTCATTGCAGTCGGGCCAACTCGCATATTCTCCCACAATATTTTCTTCCCGCTCTTCATCGCCGGTACGGAGTATGGAGCAGATGAACATGGACAATCCATAATCCAGGCACTTTTCCTGGAAGCAATCACCACAAGCGGATTCTGGTGCAATCACTCCGCATTACAGTTTTTGCGCGCATTCTGGGCAAGAACAGAATCTCAAAGGACGTGGAAATGGATAACGTACGCTCGAGAAAATGAGCAACATATTGGGCCTTTCCTTGTGTTCTAGGAAGTCGTCTCCGTGTGTCCTAGATTGAAATATTCTGCGTTTCTCTTTCTATAGGAGAAACCGGTCTCGCGCCGGATCTTGATTATTACATATTGACGGTTTCCTCGTCCTCTACCCCAAAAAGCACCCTCATCGGATCCTGATAGTTCATAAAGCCTACTCCCGGCTCGCAAAGTCCGTACCCTAATAACCTCTGTGCCTGGGGCTTCAGCTTTTTTGCTCTCTCCAGTGGGACCATCAAGAACTGGTTCTCGGCTGGACGCAGCGTGGGTTTGCAGAGGAATATACCCACTGTTTCGCGGCATTCATTTCTATAAAGAAAGACTAGGTTAGTTTCTCATCCACGAGAAGGGAGCTGAGTTAAGCAGGAGATAATAAGCCAAACGTACTTGGTAGTATTTGCCCCACCTGCATGATATACATTTCCCAAGAAGATGAATGCGTCGCCAGGCTCGAGCTCGGCAGGAACAGCCTCCTCATCCAGTGGCTGGCGCTCTGGACCCCATAGATGAGAGCCCAGGATCGCAATCGTGGCGCCGTTCTCCTTGACCGTCTTCGTCAACGCAGTGACGCAGCCCATCATCACGGGCAGCTCTTTATCGTGTGGGTGATAGTCGCTTTCATGCCGGTCAGCTAACGGGTGACCCAAGCGAGTATATCAGGACAAGGGAATGCATATATACTTGTCGTCTCGATGCAGCACCTGCTGCCGACCCCCCGGGTTCACTCGAAACCCCACCGTGGATGAAATAATAGGCTTTCCGCTTACAGTCTCTTGATGGTCACCCCTCCAGAAGGTATGACTCGAGGAGACGAGAGCATTGGCTACGGCGATATAGAGCGGGTTACAGGCTAATTCGACACAGGCATCGGAAATTCCCAACAAGCCGGTGGCGCGCTGGGTAGTTGCCGGAAAGAACCCGTATTTGTCGGGAGTGTCAGCTTCGAAGTGCGGTTTGAGATCTCCTTTAATCTGGTCTGCGAGCTCACGAGAAATGAGTCCCTCAACAATCACCCCGCCGTCGCGGTTAATGGTGGCAATGAGCTTTTCCGGTGTGGTGGAGGGGTCTGCAGCGCTGAAGCGGGCAATGGAGGGTTTGTTGGTGTCGTCTACCCCCATGATTTTATTAATCTTATGGAGAAGCGATGGAGGGGCTGGCGGACATAATGATGGGGGTGAGGGTGATTTCTCTTTGTATATGTAGTTTTTATGGCGTCGTTGCGGGTCATATCCATCGGTACCATCCAACATGACTGGGTGCGTTGTTCAGTAAACTAGGCTTATATGGCAGGTTGGAGGAGAAACAGCAAACTCAGAGTTATAGAATCAAGTATCTTGGGTCATAACCTAAACCAAACATAGAATGTCAGCAGAGAAACCATATCCATATACGAGTGGAATTGAAGTACTTTGTAGATATCTGGAATAAGCTGGGGAATCCAACTCGCTAAACTCAATACAGCAGGTTGGGGGAGAAACCCAGGCTTTTGCGATTTAGTCTGATCAATACAACAGCATCTCACACTGTCCCATTGAATTATACCTTATTTCTCTGGTTCGCACGGATAGAGACGTCTAGGTGTTTCTTGCCCAGGAAGCACATGAATATCAAATGTCTACCTGCATACAGAAACGATATATATACTGCAATAGACAATAGGGCAGGATAATCATAAGTAAGCCACAAACAACTTGACAGAGCGTATTCTCGATCATAGATATCACTAAAGCCCACTATTTAAGCACAACGGATGGAAAAACTCAGGTAACCTTAAAAGGTAGGTAAGCCTTAGAGATCTATTCCATTTCAAACAAAAGAACAACAATGTTACACGCAGCCTCTAGACTCTAGCACTAATTGTAGTTCCAAAGACACAGCCTTACATCTACATCCAAGTCGACAGAGATAATAAATAAATAATAACAGAAAGAAAGCCGAACGATAAAAAGTATACAATATATATAGTAAGTAAAAAAGTTTTAAAAAACCAAAAATGAACTTGGACTTGAGGGGAATCGAACCCCTGACCTCTCGCATGCGAAGCGAGCGCTCTACCCCTGAGCTACAAGCCCAGAACATTGGTCAGCTTTTCACATTTTTGCTATTTAAGCTTGAACTATTTTTGAGGGCTATGATGAAAATGATATGTAGGTCATTGATATAGTGAATAAACCTTCATGCTAGCTATGGTTAGAGACTGAATATACCATATGTTATTAAATATGTATTAATTATGAATAGTGCGGTAATGTCCTTGGATGAGTGCCTATTCCATTGATATCATACTTGAATATCGTTAGTAAATATTGGTTTAGGGTATTAATACTTGACTACTTATCCATTTCCTATGTTTTACGTCATCTCAATCTCACCGCACAGCGTCTTTCAAACACTTGACATAATACAGAAGGGGTCTCACGTCGTAATCCCCTCCATCTGGAGGCAACTTCAGTTATGAGGCTACGCCATGGCGCACGACCTGCCCAGATCCTTTCATGTATTCGGCGATGCGAAAGGGGGAACTAAACAAACCAAGATAGTTGACCGCCTGGGATTGCGCGCACAGAATCACGACTATATTCTTGTTGAATAGCAGGGAGTTGGATATTAAATAAACCTTGAATCTTGACCGACTTTCGATCTCAAGCGAGGCATTACAAGTACAACACCTATTTATTGGCAGTTTTCATAGTGCTTGGCGACATCACAACCAAGGACCGCTCATTGTTAGCGCTGCTAAGGATGAAGCAGAAAGCCATTACGGGACAGCTCAGGCTGGGCAACTGTATCGGTGTAAAAGACTGGGTAGCTAATATCTTGTTTCCTTTCTTGTTATTTTGGCTGTCCTGCGTAGGAAAGTTATCTAGTTTGGACCTCGGTCACTTGCTTTACCTGCAGTAAGGATATCAAACTAGCTAGGACGGAACACAAATTACATTCTGAGAGCACGGAGTACGGAGTACTGGGTAGTGTATATGGTGTTCTAACGGCTGCATAGGCATTAAATGTCCCACGGCGTATCTCTTTATATGTACGAAGTAGTTGTACAGCATATCTCCGATGTGTGATCCGTTCGGATAACCGATGGAACATGTCACTGGCTGATGGCAGTGCATTTAACATACTGAACAGAGTCAAATGAAAGATGCTGACATTCATTGTTGACGAGATAAAACTTTCATAAATTGAAACGTGTGGTACCGTCTTGATGAGAAGGTAAGGTGTCAAGCGATGTGTAGCAGGTAGCTCGTGTCTTAACACAGTACAATTGATTGGCATACGCTGATTGAACAAAGAATAGTACCCAAGTACTGGGCACCGACGCAAGCCGGACTATTTCTTGCACAGGTAACATATCGAGTGGGACCTCTACTCCAATCCGATACATTCTGCAGGCAAACAGCCAAGAGCTTGGGAGAAGACCTGTTCGGCAAATTCAATGACACTAACCAGGGTAGGTAGGACAATGACAAATCCCCTCCGCCCAGCGAGGGGAGAAGCTCAGTGGATGCAAGCAAGCTGTGTGTGGCAAGGTTCGAAGAAAGGAGCAACGAGAAGAACAACAAATCCTTATAAAGATCTCCAAAAGGTAAAATTGCGATGAACAGACTTATGAAGAAACCCCAAGCGGAGCTAGGGCTAATACCGTCTTAGACTCGTAGCTATACTCCCGAATAAGTGGCTGAGTTCTGGCTCTTGACTCCTACGGTGGATAGCTAAGTGGTGCCAACTTCAAGTACGGAGTACGTACTCCATGGTATCTGGGCATCCCCACTGGTTCCGGAAGTGAGGGTTTCGCCAATTCGCCTATATAGTACTACTCCTTGGTTTGTTCATGGCATGTCCCCCGTGTGTTACGGTGGATTTGCCCCCGTGTTGTTTGTTTTCCTCCGAGGGAATGTCATCACGTGATGACCGGATATGTCCTAACCCGACCGACCAGGCTCATACAGGCTGAATGAAACGAATAACCGCATCTGGGAAAGGAGAATAACAGCCTGCAGAATCGACTCTGCATTGCCCAGGAATATAAGCACATACATCAGAACCTTTAGTGATCATGTAGGAGGAAGTACGGAGCCGTCGAGATCGATGGGAGGGAGTGCCCCTTGCGTTGCCGAGTATTTTGATTGATGTGACTCCGCAAACGGCAGGCCAGGAGAAGGTGAACTGATCAGTCGATGAAGATCGATTGTTTTTGGTTGGACGCGATGTTCCAAAAATATCGAATATAAATAAATAAATAAATACTCGTAAACAGGGGGGAAAGGAGGATATACGGAGTAACTATCACTACACTAACTGACATCATCGAGAATGTTTGTACTACATAAAAGAGACCAAGTCTCTACCTATGCTTACAAGGGAGCTTCTTCAGAGTCGGCAAGTAGTTCAGACTGTCCATGTGCAGAAGCAAAATTGCAAGTGCTGCAGGTTGAGAGGAGTCCGTTACCCTGGATAAAGACCCTCACACCAACAAAAAGGAGTAATTAGCTATTGGATAAGGTTCAGTGGGATAAGTAGATTCTCTGTGATTGTCATGCGCCTGAAAGCATGGAGTCGACGATGGGCAGGATTGACTTTGATGGGGGAGATTTATTCAATAAATACTCCGTTATTGTTTTGGTCATCATGTAGTATTATAACACGTTTGTATACCTAGAAATCAAATACAGCACCTCTCTCATTCCTAGTTAAATGATATTATCAGTTAACTCTCCGCAACTCTGTACCGAGGAGGAGAGGTGGCAATCCTGCTTTCTAAAAATACCTTTTTATTTTATTTTTTTTTGGTAGAGCTGTAGCTTCCTTTACCTAGTGCCTTTTTGAAAGAACAAACCAAGAAACCGGGCAGTAAAACGCTGTTTTTTTGGGGAATACAGGCTAGATATCCTCCCCTGGTTTTTCACCAACCGGATTGTGGCCCGTAAAACGGTTACCAACTCCTTCCGATCCAGAGAAAGGACAGTAATTATACGGAGTACGGAGTAGAATACAAAAAACTGCTGGTTGATCGGAGGGTCGCTTAGATCTTGCCCTACGACACGGGAGGCAAAATAAAGAAATGGATTTGGATTTGACGGTATCGGATGATATCACACAGTGCCTGAGATGTCCCAGACAGAACCACTGATATTCGTCTGCGCATCATACCATTGGCTCAAAGCAAAGACATGTGTGAACGGTTCTTGGTGGACGGAGTATAGCTGTGAGACATGCCCAGTACGCATGCGTGGTTAATTTGGGGATGTGGTGCTATCACTCTTCTTGCCGTTAGGATTCTATTTTCAAAATCCCATTGTTCAAATCCATCCATTGATCAATGGACGTGCAGACGGACGGAGCTAACTTACACCCAGTTCTCCGGTGCTTCCCCGGTAGTTGTAGTGGGTTTCCTAGCAGGGAGTCAGGCACAGCTAGTGAAGAATTATTCATCCCTATTTGGGTTAACTACTGCCAATTGGCAGTGTCCGATAAGACACTATACCAGCCGAGCATCGATTGGACGACATGCGACATTAACTTTGGGCGGTGATACAACTGCGTTTCGTAGTATGGTCACACGGTGGTTTTTCTGGTGCCTGAGGTGTCTGCATGCACGGAGTCCCCGGATCTCCCGCACCAGGGATTTACAGACAGTCAGTAGGGAGATAGACAAACAGACACACAGATGTGCAGACAGGAATCGAATATCAAGGGCTGCCCTTTCCGGGGATGGTGAGAGCCCTTCCCACATGCCTGGATGACTTTACGTGGACGAACGCATGACATGGCATGGGATGGCACACCTTGGAGAGGATCGTCTCGTGGCATATCCGGTGTCTGGATGGAAACGGAGAAACGTCACTAGCTCGACCACTATTATTTAGTCTCTAGCTAGTCTTTGCCGTTTTAATCAATTTCACCAGCAATTAATATTTTGCATTATTGGCCGTGCTTGCTTTCTTATTTGATTCTGCGGTTCCCCCCTCCTTTTTTCCTCCCCAGGACCATCAACTAATTTCCTTCGTTTTTTTTTTTTCCTGCGACACTTAGCACTTCAAGAGAAAAAAGTCTAGAAAAGGAATCAAGAAAGGGAGCTTGCACTCGTTGACCATTCCCCTCCTCTTTCTTCCTTTTGCACTTTTTCTCCCTCTCTCGTTTGGCTGCATTCGCATCATCTCATTGGATATCAGTACTATACGGCTATTTCAGTGAGCCCCTCGACCCAAGGTGCGGCACTTGCCCTATCTACAGTCCCTTCTGCTTCGTTCCATGGTTCCTCTTACTTTCACCCTAAAACCGAGACGGTGCTAACGCTTCCACTCCTGTGTTTTCAGGTCTTAAGCGCCGCATCGAGCATTCGTTTTATTCCCCTTTCTTCCTCGACATATGAGCATTATACCATCCAATTGTATAATTCCGTCGCTGTAATTATACATCCCTTCATCATGGTGCGCTTGGTTTCGTCGTTCTTGCTGGCCACTTTGGCAGCAACCTCCGTCTGGGCTGCCGACCCCCCTAAGTGCGGCGCCGGTTCGAAATGCCCCAAGGAATATCCTTGCTGCTCCCGTGAGTCTCTTCTCCTGCACTTCCCTCTTTCTTGCATTAACGGTTCTCTCTATAGAATATGGTGAGTGCGGTACGGGTGCCTACTGCTTGGGAGGTTGCGATCCTTTGACCTCCTTCTCTCTCGATTCCTGTGCCCCCGAGCCCGTCTGCAAGAGTCAGACGTACAAGTGGGACAACTTGGATAGCGCCGCTATGAACACCAAATATCTGGGTGATGCGTCGAAGAGCGACTGGGTCTACAGCGGATTCCCCAAGGTGGAGGATGGCAACCTGCTCCTTACCATGCCCAAGGAGAGTGTGGGTAGCTTGTTCGCCAACAACCACTATATCTGGTACGGCAAGATTTCCGGCAAGATCAAGAGTAGTCGTGGTTCTGGTGTGGTCTCTGCTTTTATCCTGCTTTCGGACGTCAAAGATGAGATCGATTTCGAGTTTGTCGGCAGTGATCTGGCGAATGTACAGACCAACTACTACTTCCAGGGTATTTTGGACTGTAGGTTGAGCACCTCCTTTTTTCTGTGAATACCTGGTACTAACCCCACGTCTAGATGGCCATGGCGCAAATGCATCGGTGGATTCGAATACTTTCGAGCAGTGGCATGATTACGAGATCGACTGGAAGCCAGACCAGATCACTTGGTCGGTTGACGGCGATGTCAAGCGGACCTTGACCCGTGAATCGACCTGGAATGAAACCAGCAACCGCTACCAATACCCCCAGACTCCGTCGAGAATGCAACTTTCGCTGTGGCCCGCCGGTCAAGCCAGCAACGCCGCGGGAACAATTGCGTGGGCCGGTGGTGAAATTGACTGGGACAGCGAGGATATCAAAGACAAGGGATACTACTACGCTACGTTTGGAGAGATCAAGGTGGAATGCTACGACCCCCCCAAGGATGCCGTCAAGAAGGGAGACAAGGCCTACATCTTCACCAACAGTGATGGCATTGAAAGCTCCATCCAGATCACTAACAACAAAACTGTGCTAGCCTCCTTCGGCGCTAGCGGTCTCGACATGGATGTTAAGCCCAAGTCTTCCGGAACGGCCACGGGCACTGCGACTGGCAACAACACGGTTCCCGAGAACCGTGGTGGATCCGGCAATGAACCTGGAAGCTCGAACGGCAGCTCGGGCGGTGGCAGCTCGGGCGGCTCTGGCAGCTCTGGATTCAACCAAGGTGGCTCTGATGATAGCAGCACTACTGGTTCGAATGGAGCCTCCTCCGCTAGCGAGCGTGTTCTGCGCAGCTCATTCCTTGCTGTCCTGGTGGCGATCGTTGTGCTGGTTGCCCTGTGAACATATTGACCTGTAGAACTCTTGTTTTTCATATTGGATCGTCCTGTTCCCCCCGCATCTCTTCTTTTGGATATTCTTTATTTTTATTCCCTCTCTTTGCCGCCGTTATCTCACTCTCCCTCACATCCCACCCAAGACTGGGGGTTCCTTACCTCATTGGCGCATCTTTAATTCATCTTGGGTGATTGCAAGATCATGTTCTATACCTGGAGGGAGACCCCTTATCATTGACCTGGTTTTGGTTTGCCCTATACCAGCATAATATTTTTATTCTTTTTTCTGATTGGATGTCCTGATGTTATTACCTATTTTTATTTGCCTTATGATTTTTGGCGCACCGGAAGGCAAAGCGTTACTTGGCTCAAGAAAACCGGAACCATCTTAATACCCTTGTCTTCTTCGGATGTTGGGCGTGATTAGCATGTCTTTGTCATGCTGGTTGATTGTTAGCTATCTGCATCTGCGGTGTTAATGAGTATAATACCCTGAATGATCTATTATAATCTACTTCTTGTCATTATCACGCTTCGCATAAAGATCATCAACCATAATCATCAATCCTCATCCACCTTACTCTATATAAAACAGATAAGTATCTACAGAAAATAGGATCTGCCACCCTTCCCACAAAAATCAATATCATACCAAGATCAGAATCAAGATCAATACCAATATCATATCAATATCAAGAACAAAACCAAAGGCTAAGTAAATATACTGAACCAACCCACCGAATCAAAACGAAAGAACAAAAAAGCAAAAGGCGAAAGAAAGAAAAAAAAATGTGCCTCTACACCGTATCCCTATGTCCCTCCTGCACCCGGATATCCTTCTACCTCTACCTCTTCTGCCAGCGCATACTCGACGAACTTAATCGTATTAACGACCCGGTTCAACGCCGGGATTATGACCTCCCGTTTACTCCGCCGCTTACTTGTGCGCCGTGTATCGAGGTCAATGTTATTGGGTGGGCTGGTCAGGATCCGGGTTGTTTTTGCGGTATTCATGTTGGTACATGTACCTAGCTGGTCAGGAGGTGGTAGGTGAGAGGTACTTCGTATAACTGTAGCTATTAAAGATATCTATCTACATAGGTGCCTACTTATGGTGTGGTATGATATGGTAAGTGAGGGTGGTTCAGTAAGTCCATATGGTTGTTTGTGGATCGGAAGTCGAGTGTGGTTGCTTATGTTCTTCGCCTTTGAGTATATAAGTAGGTAAGCAGTAGAGTAGGAATTACTGGCGTGTATGACATGTAATTACAGCTCTTCTCTTGTATAGTTTAATAATAATCCAAAACGCCGTTCCTATCCCCGAAATCCAATAGAAATAAATAACATCGTATAGAAATAGCAATAGCGAACTATCTACTTAATGGGTCTCCCCACAGGTACAACCTTCCGAACCTGTTGTCTCAACAGACCGTTTACGGAAATCTCCATGATATGTGTCCAGTCCTTCGGTTCGGACGTTTTCGCCGAGGGGATCGCCCAGCCAGGTAAACTGGTAGTCTTTGTTCTTGATTTCTGATGGAGACGATTCTGAGCTCGCACGGAGTCGCTCAGTGACGGAGTTCAGGTCGATATTGAGGTAGTCTGCGAGGAAAGAGCCGACTTCTGTGTTCTCGTGATTGCCTATGAGAGGCCAGGCGTCTTTGGTGGATGAGGCATAGATGTTGACGTCGACAGCTGGATGGGTTAGTATTAATTAAACACGGGTAAGAGGCAGCGCTTACCGGAATGTCCATGGGTCGCCCAACCGATCTGCGCTCGTCGACTGATGATGTCCGCAAACACATATTGGGGATAAACCGGTGAGTTGCGGTCCACAAGAGAATTCACTTCTTTGTCGGTGGCATCGACGATTCCTAGTGCTTTCTCCAAAAGACTCCGAGCAAAATCTTGGCGCTTGGACTGGTCCGTCTCTTTGGACAGATACTCCTCCAGTTTTTGGTTGGCATATTCGGAGGAATGGCTTGCATTCGCGAGGACACCGGGGAGCCATTTGTAATCAGGGTATGTGGTGTGAAGCTGTCGTGCTCCTGACAAACCGCCAGTCTCATGGTCAGAAGTGCTTATAAGCACGCCCGGTGTCGAATCTCGCTCAAGGAACTCTAGAACGGCGGCGAACGCCCTGTCGTAGGCCAGAACCTCGTGCACCTGTGCCGCTGGGTCGTTACCGTGTCCGGCATGATCAATACGAGATCCTTCAATCATAAGAAAGAATCCCTGCTCACTGTCGGCCGTAGCCTGACTCAGAGTGTTTAGAGCAGTACGGGCCATCTCCTCCAACGACGGATAGACGTCAGTTTGGCTGCGACGGTCGATCTCAAAGGGGATATCATTCTCAGCAAAGAGACCGAGAAGCGGCAACTTAGCCTCCGACCCGTGATTCAGAGAATCAAATCCCTCCCGGTCACTCAAGTAATGGAACCCCTTCTCCTTCGCTAGACCAAGCAGGTCACGATCATCACCTCGACAGCTCCCTTCAGTCGTGTTGGGTAGGAAATGGCACCGTCCCCCGCCAAGCATAAGATCCACCACACGTCCTAACGGGTGTTCGCCCACCTCTTGCTCCGCGATTCGATCCTCATATTGTCTCATGTTCACGTGCGCGGCGAAGCAGGCCGGGGTTGCATCGGTGATACGAGTGGTTACCACGAGGCCGGTTTTGTAACCCTCCAAAGAAGCCGCCTCGAGGACTGTACCACAAGGCGTGTGGTCCGGAAGGACGGATATCGCACCGTTGTAGCTCTTGGATGCACAAGAGAAGGCTGTAGCTCCCGCCGCTGAATCGGTTACAAGGCTGGAAGAGGACCGCGTTCGAGAGGTGCCAATGATGTGACTGTCGAGTACGAGGGTACTGTCGACCGGTAGCCCTTCTGTATACTGTCTATAATTCCTAGTCATAGTGAGACTGGCCGGACCCATCCCATCGGAGACCATGAAGATCAAGTTGCGCTTGCCAGTCGGTTTACCTCCGGGGCCCCAAGTCTGCTTCGTGCCGTCGCCATTTCGACTTGTTTCATGTTGGAAGACGACGGCGAGAACCACTACGGCGATAGTGGCTATCAATGCCCAAGTAAAAAGACCGACTTCTTTCCAGAATGTCCACCGACTCTGTCGATGCTCACGACGGGTGTGTTCTCCGGTTAGCAGGGCATCTTCCTCCTCGGCATTCCGAACAGAGGAGTTCTCGGAGGAGGGTCGCGGCGCTAGGAGAGGGTCATCTCGCGCCATTATTCGGATAGCTTATCAGGAGGAGACGACGATGCAGAAAAGAATGAAGGCCCAAATGTACTCCGCACCTCTAGCCTAGTACATGGACGAGGGAATAAAAGAGGGAGTCGTTGGCTGGGCCAGCTGAGGGAGTTGCTGTATTGGGTATGGCTTGGCACGGGGGGCCTGGTACGTCACGTTTTTTTGTACAGCCAATCACATGGAGCTCATGTTTAGCCAATAGGGGTCACATATTTGAATAGTATCGTCGAGGTCAGCTGAATCTACCCTGGCTCTTTTTTTTTTTTTTTTTTTTTTTTTTTTTTTTTTTTTTTTTTTTGATTTACTTGCAAAGGCCGTTGCATAACTAGGGATTACTAAAAACAAATGAACCATCTGTATGCGATCCTGCAGAGCTGACACCAGCACTACTGACGCGTACTGCGTATGGTCCCTCTCGGGTGCCGTGAATTCATAGCCATTTCATAATATACAATAAGAGTATATCCTCCAGTTCAGACAGCATCTGGAACTACCAGCCCTTCCAACTAATTGGAATCATAGCCGCAGCAATCTCCGAGACTCCGCGCTCTGTCGCCAGAAGATTGAATTGCGCCGCAGCATTCTTAGTATCAACTACCTCCACACGAACGCCCAGAGAATTAATATGTCTTCTCGTCTCGGGGGACAGAGGAAACACGGAGGCTCCCAAACCAAGAATCAATAAATCTACACGTATACACACGATATTAGCCACGAGACCGCATAAGAAGAAAAGAGGAAGCTCTTCTGACTTTAACATACCCGGACGAGGCCACACGAGCCCTAAAATCCCCCATGCCTGTTCGTCCACTTCAAATTGGCCCTTTTTATTCACCATATCGGCCTTGCTCCCACCGGTAATTTTCCATGGATTCCATGCGAACGCCTCGCCTCCAACAAGCAGCAACCCCGAACCATCCCTCACCTTGAGACCATTGTTTAGATGGAATCCATTGTCAAGACAGGTGTCAATGGCGGTCGTCGGCGCCGGGACATCCGCTAGGACGTTGAGTGCTGCAAAGTCCGTCTGAGTATCCTCTTTCGATGGTGGGCCGCGGTCAAGGTCTGCTGGTCTGTTGTGTGTGCGAGGGATCATCCGAGTCGGTCGGGAATAGTTGCTACTGCTGCGACTGAGCTGGACAAATTGTGGACTCGAAAATGTAGGTCGAGAAGAGCTTGCGCAGACTCTGGTGGTGTGCTTGATTGCGATGGATGAGCGCAATGCTCGAAGAAGCTGGGGAGAGGGAGGGTGCATTATCGAGGTCATATGAGTATAGAATTATAAATGTCCGCTGATACCACCGATATGGAATTCAAGAAAGTTAACCTACCCGAACAAGGGATGGCCTTCTGTTGTCGGGGATGACGGTGTGGGGATGGGAGCAATTCGCAAAGCTGGATCATCTGATGACATATGAGGAAGTGAAATCAGCATTTGACTAAAATCCGTCAGAGGCCAATCAGACAATGTATAATAGTAACCCCAATCCCCACTTGTTGTCAAGCCTGGGGAGACCTGGTTCGATTCCCAGTATGGGTACTTTTTTTTGTGCCCCTATGTACATGCATCTCTCTAAAGACAGTAGATTATTTTAGACCTCAGTTGGAGTTACTTATATATATGTTTTAAGCGAATAAATGAATAAATAATAACAATACTGATAAAAGCAAGACCTATCAATCCTGTATAAGACAGACTATGGACGACCGTCATAATCATATTCAAAGCATTTGGTCTAGGGAACTTTAATTCACGCATCCAGCCCAAATTAAGAAGATACTTGTTGCTTCTTACCCGCCAGGTTTCGTATGAATTGACACCACAAGAGTGCTGCGTAGATCATGTTTCACTCAAAAACGCCACCCCTCCCCCCAAAAAAAAAAAGGAACGAAAAAGATTAAAGTGCGCAAGTCCAAAAGGAAAAGAGAAAAACGGAAAGGAAAGGGAAAAAAGCCCAGAATGCTTATTTTAAACCCCGAGAATGGTATATCGCCCACTCATTCTAAAGTTGTCCTCTCTTTATAAATGTAACACGACGAGAATAATACCCATTGAATTATGTATTAACTTTTTCGGCTGTCGTCGCCGATCGTACTGGGAGAATGAGACTGGGCCTGGCGAGCAGTAGCGGCTTGGACATTGCCATTTCGGTCTTCATCCGACTGGCTAGAGCTGTCATCTCCCATGGCATTGGTAGTGGATGCACTCCGCATGCGTTGGGCTCGATCCTGAAGCACTTGTGCTTTGATCTGCTTTCGCCACATGCTTGCATATCGCCCTTTTAGGGCCAGTAATTGATCATGGGTGCCATTTTCGATAACTTGTCCCTCGTGTAGTACCAAGATGCGATCCGCGGTAGTGATAGTGCTTAGTCGATGGGCTATTACGAGCATAGTACGACCACGAGAAAGTGTGGATAGCGCACCTTGAATGTGTTCTTCCGTCTCTGTGTCTAAAGCGGCTGTTGCCTCATCCAAGAGGATAATGCGGGGGTTCTTGATTATAGTACGAGCGATAGCTACTCGTTGCTTCTCGCCTCCGCTCAGCCGTAGACCACGCTCACCCACCTTGGTGTTGTAACCATCAGGGAATGACATAATTTTATCATGGATGCTGGCAGCCCGGCAAGCCTCGTAAACATCCTCGTCAGACGCGTCTTGGTTGGCATATTTCAAGTTGTACATCAAAGTCTCATTGAAAAGGACAGTGTCCTGCGGTACGACGCCGATGTGTTTCCGGAGTGAGTCAATCGTGATTCTTTCGACATTGTGTCCATCAATTCGAATACACCCACTCTCAGCATTATAGAAGCGGAAAAGTAGGCGGAAAACCGTTGACTTCCCTCCACCAGATTCGCCGACCAGAGCAGTCGTTGTTCCGGGTTCGCAGTGAAATGTTAGTCCATTGAGGGCTGGTTTTCGAGTATCATAGGAGAATCCAACATTCTCAAACTTGATGTCACCTTGGCACACAGGCAAAGGTGCAGCATTAGGCTTATCAACAACAGTGGGCTGTTCTCTGAACAGCTCTAACAAACGCTCCGAGTTGATCATGGCAGACTGGATGGAACGGTAGAAGGTGCCGAAAAAGTTCAACGGCCCTTGCAACTGTGCCATGTACGTGAGAAGCGTTGTAAAGTGGCCGACATTTCGCTCTCCAAGGGAGACCTGGTAAGCGGCAATGAAGCATACGACTAGCAGACCCAGCATGAACACAGTATTCTGAGATGTATTCATCAGGTTCAGAGAGAACAGAACATGGTATTCTGCTTTTTGGTAATCAGCTACGGCACCCCGGTACCTGTCAAACTCGTAATCCTCCGCATTGAAGTACTTTACTGTCTCATAGGAGACCATCGAATCATTCCTAATGGAGGTGAGTGTAAGTCGACCGACAGGATCAGAGAAAGACTTTTGTTGAACTTACTTTACAGCATCTTCTTGCCGTGATGCATTCACCATCTGTCGGCGAATCTCCGCTCTCCATTGAGCCATGCGAACAGTGACGTAGAGGTACAAAAAAGTAACAATAGTGACGACTAAAGCATAGTATGCATCAAGTACAGCGAGCATGTACCCGATTGCAACGCAGAGATCCAGCAGCATTGGCACAACCTGGAACGTGACTTGCTCCAAAAACGTATTAATCGAGCTACCTTTGCTCAGTGCAGAGAGTACTTCACCAGTCTTCTTCCCTAGATGGAAATCAAGACTCAAGCCATGTACATGCTCAAAAGCCGCCGTCGAAAGCTCCATATAAGAGTACTGGCTCACCGGAATCCACAGACTGGACCGCAATGATCCAATGAGGCCCTGGCTGCCCTGCAGCCACCGATAGAGAATATACAGACAAATCCCAACCCATGGAACGCGGAATTCGTCATCCTTTTTAGACAATGCATTGGTGATGACACCAACCTGGTGAGGAACCAGGACGTTGACGACGCGCTGCAAAATAATCAACACGAAGCAGATCACCACAATTCCTTGTAGCCGACGAGATTTGGACGGCCAAAGGTATGGGAAGAATAGAGAGTAGCCACTTAGATACTCCCACCAGCTAGTGGATGGGACAGTAGTGGGCCGAACCCATGGATCATCAGCAGGTTTAGGAGGCTGCTGGCCATTTTTGGACACAGACCCATAGCCATCTCCATTTTCTGCGTGGGAAGAATCAAGTAATCCCGTGGATTCTGTGGCTGTGTTGGTATGACTCTGAGGCTTCTGCACATTGGTCTTTATGTTCATTGTTTTAAACAAATAGGTCGTAACCAAAATAGCAAGGACCAATATTCTGACACAATTAGAAACCAGCCCCATTGACTCCCACGGAGTTATACCCTTGCGCAAACGACCGCCAATGGGGTTGCCCACAACAGGTTCATAATGGGCATCGGTATGGATCGAGAGGGAGACGCCCAAAATAGCCAATTCAATAGGGATAGCAATTGACCAAGGGATGAATTGCGCAAACGTTGGGGAGGGTTCCGTATCCAACAATGAGACCAGGATGATTGAATAGTCGAAGAACGATCCTACAATGTAGATCTGCAGACCGTTAGATGTTGCGACGATTGACTTGAAGGTTTTTGTGCAACCGATCAAGGATGAGAGGTAGCAGGATGCTTACCACCACAGACTGACCACACCACCATTGCTCGGACCTGGAAACCATGACATGGGCCATGTTTATGGCGGCATCCGCAACCAAAGTCACTAGGATTACCACGGACAGCCATTTGAACAGCAATTTGGCATTCCGCGAAAAGGGCTGGGGTGGCTTAACAAATATTGCGGAGCTTCTTGATCGTTTTGGAAGTGGTCTTCCCCCGGGACCCATCCGCACAGCAGATGAATTCTTGTTGACATTTCTGGCAGCTAGGATAGAATTGGCAACAAAAGCCGATGCAAAAACCAAAAGGAGTATAATTGGATACCCGATGCGAAGGTACTCCAACAGCTCACGGGTGGCGTAATGAGAGCTCATCATGAACAGTCCTCCTACAGGGTCCACAATATTCAAAAACCATCAAGGTATTTCCATGACACAGCGATTGTGTTCTTCCGCTGAGACCGAGGAACACGAAAAAATTATCCGGCAGATATCGGGGATGGCAGCGGACTCGAATCGGAAACGACTGGAGGTGAATAGCGACAAGGGTCCGTTGATCGAGAAGGGACCGGGTTTTAGGGATTCTGAAGGGATCGACAGACACGTGGGAAGGATTCTCTTCCTGTCCTCTAGTTATAATACTCTGTAACTCTTCAGTGTCTCTTATAAAGAAGACGGTTCTAATCCAATGAACCAAAAAAAAAAAAAAAAAAAAAAAAGAGCGGAAGAGGGGCAGAAAAAGAAAGAGAAAAAAGAAACGAACAGGACAAGGGATCAAAAAGGAAATATTTAAAAAAGAAACTTTATAGAATAAGTACAAGAGAAAGAATACGCGTGAATTAACTATTGGCTATATTGAGATGCAAAATCAAAACAAGGTCGAAAGTTGCACACCCAAAAATATGGGAGAGTAATAAGTCAAAGAACGTGAACAGGGAGAGGAAGGGAGAGAGACAGAGGGAAAAGAAGGACACACGAGAGGTAATGATCTTGGGAAATACAAATAAGTAACTGGACTGACAGTCAGGTCGAGGAAGAATGACGGTGTGAAGTCAAGAACACACTACCTTAGACCGGACTAGTTGACCCAAAAAAACTGCTAAGCTTGGTGGCTCTGGAGGCAAATCTGGCGAAGTAGGTTTGGGAGAGAAATGTCAAAAAAAAAAATCGATACGATACTGCAGATTTTCAAACTGTATGTATGTATGTATATCCACCTCCAACGGTCGTATTATTTTTTCTCCCCCAGTATGATTTGATTTGGATGCGAATCGGAAGTTTTTAACGTTTTCTTTTCTTTTTCCTGGGGGTCTTTTGTAGTTTTTGACCCAAGTGATGTATGTGCCTTGAGAGAAATGATCATACCGCCAAGTAGGTAGTACGTAGACGTTTGTCGCGCCAGGGTGTCTTTTGTCAGTTTAATTTCCATATTATTATTTAGATCGGTATTTAGTCCACTTGGATACCTAGACCATGGATGAATTTTTTTTTTTTTGGGAGGGGTCTAACCAGGTTGAAGTCAATATTCATGCCCAATGATAACAGGGATTGGAATGGAGGCTCAGTCGAATATTTTCATGAAAAGCTGTCCATCATCATACCATGATATGGTCATGTTCCAAAGAGTCAATTCCAGAGTGGACTAGAGAATTGTGGGGTAGCCGGACTAGAAGCTAAACGCCCTAATGGGTCGACTACCATCTGCGCGGTAAACTGTTGGAAAGTATGATAGTTACAGAGTAAGTCATCCAGATGGTGATTGTGTACCATGATATTCTATACGCAGCACAACTACCTACTAGGCATACGCATGTCCATACCCGAGAGGGACTCAGAAGTTGGATATATCTCAGAGGAAATGATTGAAGCCTATAGATATTCGGATGGATCAGAATTCATATTTGAAGGTCGGTGGCCTTACTGACTGATTCTACAGGTTTGATTGGATTGTATGGTCTGAGCTGTGCTGCATGAGCCACTGGATGGGATGATGGATTACTGGACAATCCAGAACCGATCTATTGAGTGTGTTTGCAGGGATATCAACTGGGCCTAGTCTTGTCCCGGACGAGAAGATAGATCATTTGTTTACTTATATGTGGAATTCTACTCCGTACAGGTGTCCGATCATGGCGACACAAAAATGGATGACGACAATGACATTCTGGTAGCGACCTTCCAGATTTGTACTAATAATACTTCTTTTCTTAGTGTTCTCGAATTGCAAGGATCATATACCTAGCGCCCTGCATAGGTAGCTGAAATGAGCTGACTGTCAGGGGTAGGATAATTAGTATTCTTCACTCATATAACAGGCACAGCCAATGATATCATAAATATCCTTATGAATTATGTGAGCAAATCAGGTGCCATGGAGCAGTAGCACTGAAAATATCCCATCCCAGGCTTTTGGAGAGGGGAGTAAACTACTAATTCAATTCTCAAGTCAAGGGCGCTATCCCGAATCGTTAAGTCTGTGCCACCTTGGAGACCCGAGTGTCCGGGTGATCTAAAACATGCTGTTGGTACCTAAGGTATGTGTATGTAAGTATGGACCTGCCTACATATATTGTGCCCACTTACCTGAAGCCATCTGATCTATCCCTCTCTGGTATGCTGTCCATATTTGAGACATTACCAAGGGTAAAAAAAAGAACGAAAACAAATGAATGAAAGAAGCTGAGAGGGAACCATGCTCTTGTCCATCTAGTGAGTATATTATAAGTTACATATGGATTGACCATGGCGCCTAGTAACAAGCATACATGCCGGATTACCTAGCAATGTTTGTCTGCATCCATCCAGATTATGCTAAGGTTGTTTACCATTTTCGTAGTATTAAAACCATCCCCCCAAAAACCGTGCATATAGTATGTCATACAACACCCATGAGTATTATTTGCTTTCTTAGGTGTTTAGGGAACATGTTGTTTCATTGGGTATCAATTTTTTTTTTATTTAAATTTTTTTAAAATATTTATTTTTTCTCCATAATCTATCAGCTGGACAGGTCAGAAAGCACAGTGGCAGTAATGGAGATAGCTCTCTCTCTTCATGCCTACTGACGATTCGACCGGCTGAGGCAAACACTAACCAGTCTGGAGAGAGACTAGCCTTGCTATTTTCCACTTTACAAACGCACTAAACCCGCCCGTCACGCGTTCTCGCCACTCTATTATTATCGGGTTATTCGTCCTGTAACTAGCCAACCACTATTACTGGATTAGATAATTCTCCCATTTTACACTCCTTAGTTAGCAGTGTAGCTGCTTACAAGCTTGCTTGCTCCCAATGCTACCAGGTACTAATCTGAACCCCTATCTTCAACTCATAACTAACTACGCGTCTTCGGTGCAGCCTGACTAATCCGGAACCTGCACAGCTAACTAACTAGCTAACCAACGTCAACCAAGTCACAAGTCTTCCCAGAGTCATCTCCCTGGTTTCCCCCCTTTCATGTCCCCACCATTCAAGTCCTCTTTCTTGTTTGTTGGACATTGTCGACTATGGGGCTCCGCCCTTCATTGGGCTAAGTCGTGATTGACTGGCCTTCAAGGACTGATTGGATCCTGAACTATGTCAGATTACCCTCGCTTGCCTACCCGAGGTGGCAGCTCTTCTCCAGCTCCTCCCCCTCCTCCCCCACCGGTCCCCGTGCAACAGAGCCACAAGTATTCCAACCGCGCAGCGAGTGCCCTGGCAAGATTTGCTCAGCCGTTCTTTTCTGGGTCGAGACCTCCGAGTCCGCTGACTCCTGGGGGCCGTGCGGATTTGTCTGCTGGTCCCCGTCCTGCTAAGTCGAAGTCCTTGTATAGTTCCCCACCTTCACGTCGTCCACATTACGTTTCCCTACCATTTTTTTTTTCTAAATTTTTTATTTTTATTTTATTTCTATCCCCAACAGAGTGGTGCCTGATTCCAGCCCCTTTCCAGATGTTTTGTTGCCTTTCTTGCTTGACGTGCTTTCCTAGAGGTGCCTCATCTACATGCAATCACCCATTTTGACTTACATACCTGGCTCTAACATCCCTACTAGACCTGGGACGTCCCAAACTGTTACTCATAAGACCGGTATTCCAATTGCAGCACTAGACATCTCCCCTCAACGGACACACGCAGTAATCGGGGGGAAAGAAATCTTGAGAACGATTCGTGTCTCACCGGACCACTTGTCCGAGGAATTCAATCTTCGCAATGCCATCATCAGTTACTCATCCACTCATCATGTCGGTAGTGGGCTCTCAGCGCGACACAAGGACCAGCTGACGGTGAGGGATGTAAAGTGGTCACATGGCACTTACGACCAAATTATCGCCACTGCAGTGGCAAACGGCCGCATTGTACTCTATGATCTGCATCGGACCGGCCTTGAGTATTGTCGGTTCCAGGGACATAGTCGCCAAGTCCACCGACTGGCTTTCAACCCGCATAAGCCGCAGTTGCTTTTGTCTGGAAGCCAGGATTCATCCATTCGGATGTGGGACTTGCGTATGCCATCTATAGAGCGTGGGGTTTCGGTCTGCGGGAGCAAGGAGCTGTACAACGGCAATAGCGATGCGATTCGTGATATTAGGTGGTCCCCAAGCGACGGAAGTATGTTTGCAACCGCAACAGACAGCGGCGCAATTCAATTATGGGATATTCGCAAAAATAGCGCACCAATGATGAGAATTACAGCCCATGACAGGCCTTGTTTTTCAGTGGATTGGCATCCTGATGGGAAACATATCATTAGCGGCGGCACAGACAGACAAGTCAAAGTATGGGACTTTTCCTCTTCGGCTGAGCGAAGACAGAAGCCGACCTTTCAATTTCGGACACCTCAGGCTGTTCTTAACGTTCGATGGCGTCCGCCGTCCTGGGCTAGGGAGCCAGAAAGTTCTGGTGACTGGCAGTCAACTCAAGTGGTTACATCCTATGACAAAGAAGATCCACGTATCCACCTCTGGGATCTTCGACGACCTCATATACCATTCCGAGAGTTTGACCGATATGACTCGCACGCCACAGATTTACTTTGGCATTCAAAGGATCTGTTGTGGACGGCAGGCGAAACTGGTGCTTTCACTCAGACCGATGTCCGGTATGCTCCTCAGGTGGTCAACCAAAGGCCAACGTGTGCTGTAGCATGGAGCCCCAGCGGTGAGGTGCTGGCCTTTGTCCAGAAGCGCTCCAGACAAAACAATCTGGGACTCAGCACCACCAACTTCGTAGGCCATCAGGAGGAGGAAAGTAACAGCGGTGAAGTGCTCATTCAGAGCCCAGCAGATGACTTGCTAGATGAGCCTTCTTTCGCACCTATCCGCCACCGGCATAGTAAATCAACAAGCAGTGCCAGGCCATCAAAATCATTGGGTAGTACACCGCCCAGTACTTCTTATTTCAACCCAGTCCTCCCCTTAGAACAGGTATTGGCAAAGATTAAACCACCTGGCCCTCGGCAACTTGGAATAGTTGGAAGTGTTCCAGGTGCTACAATGAGTCGGGAGGCTTTTCAGCATTTGGCACGCCGTTATATTCCACTGTTTGGCGATTCCAGTGACATACATACGGATCGTCTTCGCTGCCTCCTAGATTCTTTAAGCCATAATGCTCAGTGCGCAGAAGATGTGTCATTGATAAAATTAGCTCAAACATGGCGCATCGTCCAGTTTGCTACTATTCAAGAGCTTCAACTGAAATCAAGAGAGTGGCACCGGATCCCTGAACGCCCTCGCAGTCTCCGCAAGAAGCTCTCCAAAGAAGGACCATTTACTGAAAAGCAACGAGCCCTAGAAGACGGGAGGCAAGGTAGGATAAAAAGCCGAATCTTTAGGGGGGTGTTTGATACCGACGTACCTAAGAAGCCCCTCAAAGACGCCGAAAGTGCGTCCAATATGACGACACCTCTTGCACAGCCTTTGCCTGATTCTCCCGTTGGGTCTTCCGACAGCCCTAACTCTCGCTCCATATCCTCGAATGATTTTGCAAACATTCAACCTCTTCCACCGTCCCTTTTAAGTTCCCATAATGATACCATGACCTCCAATGATTGGTCCTCGATGTCTGATGCTGAATCCCGTCCTGCTGTCCACTTGGAGTATGGTCAATCATCTGCAAGCGAAAATCCACAACCACGGATAATACCCGGATCAGTTCCCCAGGTTCCTGAGAATGACCAGAGGTCTGCACCGCGGGCAATTACTGGCAGAGCTGACTGGCGCGCTCGGGATCATATTGAATTCACAAAGGGTATCTCAGAGGAAGACGAATATGACCAGAAAATGGAAGATAAGAGAGCGGCTCTCCGTGACTATAAGTCATTTCCCAAGAAGGTCTTGTCTCTCGAGTCTCCCATGGAGACTACAAAACCCCCAATTTTCCATCATCACGAATCAACAGAAAGTTTCCCGATGTTTTCAGCGTCTACAGAGAGCTCACATCCTTCCAAGTCAATGGAAACACCGTTCCCTCGAGCGAGCCTATGCGGCGTCTCGGAAGGCGCTGATCCCACAGAGGAGCTTGGAAACGAAAACCTTAGTAAGGATCCTTCTAAAGATAGAGGAGAATCATTTTTGAGTTCTGGCTCTGTTCAGAGTGAAGACCTGTGTGAAGATGAGCCCTTAGAGGAACTTCCAGGTTCTGGTCATATCCACCTTGAACGACCTTTTAGCCCCCCACTTCTTCTCAAGGAATCCAGACCTTTAGAAACTTGGCACCAAGAAGATGGTAATCACAATGATTACCGCGATTCCGCCGCGCAAAGCTTGGCTTGTTGGAACACGCCTGATGGAAGTGATGGTTTTTCTGGAGTCTCCATCCCCATCAACCCTGATGAATCAGAGATTAAACCTTGGAGTGCCGAGGCTTTACTGAAAGAAGCAATCAGGCATTATCATAGCAGCGCTAATGTTGATATTCAATCTGCTGCTCATCTGCTCCAGAAACTACGTGCTCTCTTCCAGGATTATGAAAAGATTCTCCCCAGGGAAGAATGTGAGCTTATTTTCAAATTGTACAATGAACATCTTGTGCGCCAGTCAATGTATATCGAAGCAGCTGAGCTCCGGCTTCTCTGTGTGCCTTCTTATCCGTCGGTCTACGAATACGCACAGATAGACACCTTTATGAATTTGTTTTGTTACACATGCAAGCGACCATATGAGAATCCCAAACACGACAATAGTCGCTGTTATCGCTGCAGCACCCCCCAGGAGCCCTGTACTATTTGCCTGAGCCTCGATCCCCCTCAAGAATGGGTGGCAGGGCAGAGTGCGCTCCCTACGCGCTCAAGCTCTGAACGGGATCCTGAGGTCATTTCACACTTTTTATCCTCTAATTCGTCACTTAGGACAGAGCTAATCCCTCCATCCGAAATGCAACAAATTGATGGAAACTTTATTGATCCCTTCTGTCCTCCTCGACCGATGGGCTCTACACTCTGGATATGGTGTCAAGGTTGCGGCCACGGAGGTCATATGGCTTGCATCAGTACATGGCTGAACGACGTTGCAGTCAGCGAGGGCGGTTGTGCGACCCCAGGCTGCATGCATGACTGCGGTCCAGGCCCACGCAGAGAACATAATCGGGCAGTCTTACTGGAGGAGTCCAAGAAGCGCGACTCAGCGAGCAGGAAAGCCGGTGTTGGCTTTGTCAAGCGGGATACCTGGGCTAAAGGTGAAAGTAAAGCCGTTGAAAAGGTCCGGGGTATGCTAAGTGTGGGCACATCTGGTGGAACGAACACTTCCTCTAGCACTGCCGCTCCCAGTGGAGCTTCCTCTAATCTAATGTCACCCAAAAAAGTACGCCTTGTTACTCCTGATGAACAAGGCAAGCGACGAAGTGCTACTTCCCGTGCTAGCACTGGGGGTAACAGTGGACTCGCAAGCTGATGTAAACCAGCTGTAGCTGGTGGATTTACAATCACAGTCCTCGGGGGTTTCCTATTCATCGCATAGTATACATTTACACCACCAACAGCCATCTATGCTTTAGTGTTGGATACAAAGGAGGGTTGACCATCACTGGTGATTTTTATGCATGAATACCTTTCAGAATACCCATGTATTTACCTTTATGATTATGTACCCCACATACCATTGTACTTCTAAGCCTTTGATATATTCCGTATTGGGCAGGTATAAGTAGAAAGTACTGTATAGTAAACCCAAGATAAAGTATTCTAAGCCCAATGGATGTAATGTGACATACACAGGAATAGCAATAGAATCTAATTCCTCCCACTACCCAATTGGTGCATCTCTTTTATATGTGCGATGCATTTCTATATATGTATATGCCAACCCCCGGCAAAAAAAAAAAAAAAAAAAAAAAAAGGGAAAAAGGAAAACTAAAAGTCATTGGAGGAGTTATATATAGCTTTGACCTATATAACAGTATAATAAAATAATTGCACAGTACTATACACAAAATGTAGGTACACTGCACTGCTTAGTTCTTAGGTTGTAAGAGATATTTCTAGCAAGGTACTAACAAACCACCCTGTATTATCATGCATGTCATCCAATAGAAGGCTTCGTTAATATACTAGCTAGTCCAACTTTTCATTCATTCGTCCATCCAAGACTGTCTCGGATTAAAACCTTCGCTTCTTCTTAGCGGGAGCTTTGCTTTTTGCCTCCAGCTGCCGTTTTAATTCCTCTCGTTTCCTGTTTGCTCGTTCTTGCTCTGTTTCTTCCTGCTTTGGTTCTTCCAGGCGCGTGTCTGGCTGCGGACTTTTCGGTGGTGGGGATTTCACTGGCATCTCCTTTGACTCCGCCGTTTTGGCTGATTTGATATCTTCTTCTGCTGTTGCTGCTGCTGCTTCTTCCTCTGGCCGGGGCGATACACTAGGTGTAGATGAAGTTGAAACAGCTATGTGTTTGGTGCCTTTGCCCCCGATAACACCGAGTTTGCCAGCTGGCTTTGTTTTCGTTTTCGGTAGCGTCGAGTGCGTGATGGAGTCGCTTTGCAGTGGTTCTGGCGATTTGAGACATGTAGTTGCGGGCGTTCGTTGTTTCTCTCGTTTCTTCCCACCGATGACTCCTAATCCTCGTGGCTTTGTTGGAGTTTTGTCTTGGGCTTGAGGCTTTGGTGGTAATTCGGGTGATGTAGACCGAGAAAGGCCCTGTTTTACTTCGCTGCTACCACCGATGACACCTAACCCACTTTTTTTGGCTGCGGATTTGTTTGTGGATAGGGGCTTCCGGGCTGCCGGTGCTGGCGAAGTTGCATTTCCTCCTTCAAGGTCTGATCCCGAGTCAGTCTCATCGGTATCGGTGGATGGGATATGTGTCGACTGGGGCTGTGTCGGCTTAGTAGTCGTGGATTTACGGTCTGGTGAAAGCGAAGTTCGTGTTACTAGCTTCCTAGATGACTTTTGCCCTCCAATTACCCCAAGGCCCTTTGATGTGCCCATGGGTGATTTTGCACGGGCTGGGCTAGGAGATGTTTCGGAAGGTTCGCTGTCCGTCTTTTGTGTGTCCCTAGAATCAGGAGGATTTTCCTCAGTGTCTTTGGGATGTTTGAATCTTGGAGGTGTTTCTTGTCGCTAGGAAAATAAAAATTTAATCATAGTGATAGTGTATATGGCAAGTCACACTTACTTCAAAATCATCGTCGTCTGTTTCTGCACCAGAGTCGGTCTCGGTTGCCGTGTCATCTTTAGGAGGCATTGTATCCTTGACTGAATCAACACCATCGTGCCGAGGAAGCGTGGCGTGGCTGAGTGCAGCAAGCCCCTCCCACCATTTATCTGGAGGTGGATGGAATAACTCACTTTGTCTCACGGTATCAGCGTTAGACAACTCTGCAAGTATGTTAGAAGGAAGACCTAGATCAGGAGACAACGAATTTTGCTCCTCAAGCCACGCATGTTCATCAAATGGTGCAATGCCTTTGATGTATTTCGCAGCGTGTGCCTGTGTCGTTCCTGTCTTCCTCGTCCGCAATCCAGAGATACCTGGGAATATCGTACTCAGGTCCACTCCCATGGCTTCAATCTTATCGAATAGTTTATCGAGAACCCAGTCTTTCCTGTTGAGTTGATCCATGAGGTTTCGCTGCCGTGACTCCCAGCCAGCTTCTGCCTTTAGCATCGGGAGCAGCAGATGGTGTGTCAACGAAGACTGTGGCTCTCTCGAGAGATAGGCAGACCATTCCAGAGGTTCTAGTGGAGCTGGAAGCTTCGTCGACGTGGTTAGTTCCAAGGTATCTCCCGATGATTTACGACCCAAGTACACATTGGTGTCCGTTTCGTTGCGAAGTGCGTCTCCAATCTTTCGCAACAATACTTGATATTGCTCCTGATCTTCATTGGGATCAATGGTGGCTGCATCTTTTTCGGCTCTCTTCAGAATATTTTCGCGACTTAAATGCTCGGACCAGATATTGGTAAGATCAGTCATATACATCTCGTAGCCATTTGACGTCAATAGGTATTTGAAAAGAAGTGGCGGCAGATCGCCTCGATTTGCAGGGCGTAGTTGGTGCCATTTCCCATTCATTTCTAACAACAGCTCATTAGGATAAATAGTTGACTGCTTTGCTACCACATAGTACAGCTTTGTGTGCTTTAATGTACTGTTGGTAGGCAACGTCTGATGTTCGTCAGGCGGACGTGAGACGCATGCTTGGTCGGGAAGGTTTGCCGCCCGCTTAGCTTGCTTGCTTGCGGCTGGACAAACTCGACCAGCTCCAAGAGCATCCTCATCTTACATTTTCATATATCTAGACGGTCATCCTTCACGCCACGATTTACCTTCATACAGCTTTTTTCCTCAGCAATTTCGATAACAGCGTCAGGATGGCGTCGCGACTTCCCGATAGAACAGGCTCGAAACGAAGCCGATCTCGATCGCCATCGCGTCAACCCCAGAAACTTCCCCGCAGATACGACCAGAGGGACGAACGCTATGACTCTGGCAGACGGAGAGAAGAAAGACGTGGACTGTCACACCCTCCACCGCGGAATATGAAGGATCAGGTGCGCTTGAATCAACTGCAAGAGGATGAAAAAGTGCGAGAGTGGGTGGCGCAGGAAGACGTGTTCGTTCTCAAACAGGCCAAAAAGAAAGCGGAGATTCGAGTGAAAGATGGTAGGGCCAAGCCGATAGATTGGCTTACCGTCACTCTACGGGTTATCGATCCTACAAGAAACCCCCTTGATGATGAGATTGTGGACTCAGAGCTCGACCTGGTGGATCCGGATGGCGTTTTCGAGGGATTGTCGGCAGCCGAATTGCTCGAATTGGAAAAGGATATCGACACATTTTTGAGCCTCGAATCGAACCCTCAAAATAGGGATTTCTGGAAGGTATGTTTTCTAAGCCTGTTAGCTTGAGAGGGGTGAGATTAACAACACTCTTTCTCGTCAGACCATGAAGGTTATTTGCCATGACCGCCAAAGGACTGCCGCTCCCGAAGGGCGTGCTCTCAGCTCCGTCGCCACGGATATTAATAAGGTATTGAGTCCAAAAACATACGAGGAGCTCCAGACCGTCGAGGTGCAGGTTAGGAGGAAGTTGAATTCGAACGAACCGATCGATACCGATTACTGGGAAGAACTCCTGCGCAGTCTCACGGTTTGGAAAGCCCGCGCCAAACTAAAGAATGTCTATCAAGCCGTTATAGACGAACGTGTTCGGGGCCTTCGCGAACAACAGTGCGAGGAAGCAGAATCAGTGCGAGCGAAACTAGCTCCTCTGGCCCCGGAGGTTCAAACAACTTCAGGTGATAAGCTCCCGCCTGATGAGCGAGAGTTCCATGGTCTTGATCCTGATCCATTACTTCAAATCCGCCCGGAAGACAAAGTTTTAGAGATAGTGGATGAAACAGCGTTTTTGAATCAAGTAGTAAGTTACATCAGTTTGGATACGTGGGACTTGGCTTTCCTTCTCTCCCTTTGCTAACACAATATTCAGGCCCGTGAGCGTCAAAAAATCCTGAAGATGGGGTTCGTCCCTCTCCGCCAGCGACATACCGAGAAACCTTCTGCTACTCCGGTAAACCAGACATTAAATGCGCCAGTGGCTACAGCTCCGTCTCGCTTCTCATCTATCCCGAACGAGGACTTTTCCCAAGCGACAAAGGCCCTCTATGAAAGGGAGCTCGCAAAAGGTGTTAGTGAAAACGAGGAGATTTTTACGGGCGAGGAGGCCGTGAGCACAAGCTCACGCCCTCACTGGGCGAACAAATACCGACCGCGGAAACCCCGGTATTTCAACCGAGTGCAGATGGGCTATGAGTGGAACAAGTATAATCAAACGCACTATGATCATGATAACCCGCCACCCAAGGTCGTCCAGGGCTACAAATTCAACATTTTCTACCCCGATCTTATCGATAAGACCAAGGCTCCAACATATCGTATAGAGCGCGAGCATGGAAGAAAACGTGGCCAGTCATTCGCCGCTGCCGGGGAAGAGGATACTTGTCTAATTCGATTCATGGCGGGACCACCGTATGAAGACATTGCATTCCGAATCGTCGATAAGGAATGGGACTACAGCGCTAAAAGAGAGAGAGGGTTCAAGAGTACTTTCGACAAGGTATGTGTGGTTGGGGCTGAAGTTCGGTGTGAAATGACAGTGTCGAGAAGTCCATTTTTTGCTGACATTGTTCACTTTCTCAGGGAATTTTGCAATTACACTTCCAATTCAAACGAGTGAGTTATTCTGCCTTGCCTGGCTGACCACCAATCTAACTGCTGTTTTAGATTTATTATCGGAAGTGATGACCGTCATCTGGGCAATTTGGAAGCTGATCTTTCTTTCATTCATATATTACTATTTTTATCATATAAATTTTTCCCTTCGTATCGCTCATATTTCATCGTTATATCGACGAGGGTTATCTTCCGGGAAGAAGATCGTGGCTTTGATATCCGGCCCCATGGAACCGCAAAATAAGAGTAGAACTCTCATTGGGCTGGAACTATTAACCTCCTGTTACAGTATTGGATCCTAAGGGATCATGGAAACTAAGACGTATCATCTGCCGACGGTTTTATTAAGGTTCTTAAGCACATGAGCCGCCTGTCATAGCTCCCATGTGCGAAATTGCCCTCGATTTCTTACTTTGACCTCCACCCTCTATTCCCTATTCCTCTCATCTCCTTCAGATATCGTGGGATACCACCCCACTGTCGCCCCAGGATGGGATCACGTGGATTCTCAGGGTCGGAAGCTTCTCCCCTGTACCACAAGCTAGGCGCATTGTCTTCACGGAATTAGGGGAAAGAAAGGGACTGTGACGAAGCGGCTTTGGTGGCACTGCGCTATCTGCATCTCGTTTCAAGGGCTCCGGCTGGTCGGGGAAGCGGAAGTGGGTTTGAGGATCTGCAGGATAGATTCATAGACCATTGGGACTCCCAGGAAGCTACCAGATTCTCAGTTCCAGAAACGCTTGCACCTTGCCTCTGCGGTTGTGGCCAGTGCAAATGACAGAATTTCCTGCAGGTGCCCGCCATCCACAAGCTCGCTCTCAATCCCCGTCCGTTAAGCGTTGTGGCCACCAAAATCCGCAGCCATTGCACTCCCCCTCCCCCCGTAGTAGCACCAGATCCAGCCTCTGGTTAGGTCCAGGAAACCCATTGGCTGCATCTGTCCAATGGATTGTTCCACAGCTTGGGAAGGCGATTTCCGCAGTAGAACGAAGCGCTCCCACCGCCATCCACAATATTCCCAGAGCACATGATGGTTGAGTTTTGACAATTCTTTTCTTTTTCCTTTCCTTTTTTCATTTTCTTTTTCTTCTTTTTCTGTTTTCTTTGGATTTCCAGATTTGCTATGATCCTTCTAGACCGTCTTTTGTTTGTTGGGACTGCTGATAGTGCATGGTGCTGGCTGTTTGTAGCAAAAGAGCATCGGCCTTATGAGCTGGCATCTCTTGCCTTACAGCTTCAATTACTCTACTGAGCGTTCTCATCCTGAGTGGTCACACGTCTATCCCACTTACAGTGGATTTTAAGCATGATGCTTATTATTTTTTAATTCATTTCTTGACCACCTCAATTTCTTTACTCCTCAGGCCTATCCTTTCCTGACCTCTCACACGTTAAAACCCTTTAATTCCTGGCATGCGCGGACCTTGTACAGCCCCATTAAAGCTGTCCTAATAATACTTCTTTCCCGCGTGCGTGTTTAGATATTTGCTGTTGGATAGGCCCTCAAGCAAGCTCTACTGTTCTAGAAAAGGACCATATGATGGACCGTTTCGTACCTTCGTCGGCTTTCCAGCTGGGTCCGATCCCTTCTGGTCAGGCGAATACGCGGCACTTTATTGCGAAACGAGCAGAGGCGCCCTCCTCGTCCGTCAACAATGGCGCTCTGGTGGAAACATCTTGCCATAGCAACCCCTGCTCCTTGATCGAGAACTGGACGAGCTCTAACTCTAGCAGCGCGGGGATGATGATGTCCTGTCAGCCTCCATGCGCTATTGAAACAACTCCCGGGTACTCCCTCAGCCCATCCCACTCCCCCATGGAGACTGTGGCGGACGGAGTCCCCCGTCTATTCCCCTACGACCATGGCTGGTCGAGCTCTTTCATGGCTTCCAGTTCCACCACAAGTCAATTGAAGCCTGGTCTGCGTCGCCCCCATGCTGCTGCATACCACGGCTCCCCAGATTGGATCCGTGAGACAGACGGCAGTACTTTCGATCCTGACCCTTCTTCATACTCTTCTTCTCAGCCGGGTATAGAAACTCAGGACCGGTCCGAGGCTCCTGCGGCACTCTACCCTACAACGACCATAACAACACCATCGCCAACCCTCTCGATTTCGTCTCGCCAGCCGATGCACGGTGGCAAATCAACCCCTTCTGCTCCAAACCCAGCGACCGATCGTGATGATATGCAGACAAGCCCAGATGACACAGAAGGGGAGCCCAACAATGATCAACCGTACTCGTGGCTTATCTACAGAGCTCTACGGTCTGCGCCGGGTATGAAACTGCCCCTCCAGGAGATCTACAGTTGGTTTGAGAAGAACACGGCCAAAGGGAAGGACCGGAACTCAAAAGGGTGGCAGAACAGCATCCGTCATAACCTGTCAATGAATGCGGTACGTGTTCTTCCGTTTTCATGGTAATTATCCATTTTGGCGATTAAGAAGCTACCGCGTGGAATCTTGCGCACCTCGCCTCGTATTGGTTTTGAGACTTACAATGTACTACAGGGCTTTGAAGCGGTTCGGGAGGAATCCACCCCGGGCAAAAAGGCAGTAAATTTCTGGCGCCTGACGGAGGAAGCTGTCAAGAATGGCATCCAATCCACAACCCGGTATAGGAAGCAGGCGAATTACAAGAAGTCATTAGGTTCGGACCCACCGGCTCCTCTGCGCCAGCGATCCGGTGCCAAAGGAGGGAAGGCGACGAAAGTCACTGCCAAGTTTCGAGGACATCTGAGTCAGGATGGAATACGAAAGGAGCGGTGCCGTCAACGACTGGCATCCCAGCGGCGACTGCAGAAAAGTCTGTACCGCCAGTACTACCACCACCATCAGCCGCCCACGACGACCGTGTCACCCTTCCATGTGCCGGGGCCAGCAACGCCGCTGACTCGCCCATCAATCGAGCCATTTGATTTGGGAAGCGTTGTTGGTTGTGCTGACCCCCCTCCTTGCCCGTCTATTTTCTGTGACATGGCGGGGTCGGGATCGGACTGTCCGGCCATGGATACAGGATTCTTGGGTTGGTGTGGTGTCCTCCAGCAATTCCCCCATGGGCTGTTGACAGGCTCCGAAATCCCCTCGGATCTCCAGCTTGGGGTATAGGGATTAACCGGAGGGGTAAGAGTATGCTGACTGACTTGCATATCAAATGTACTGTAGCTATTAAATAGCCTGTCTTGCTGGGTCCTATTGATGCATTTTTACTCTGGGTCACATTTTTTTTTTTCGGTGTTTTACCTTTTTTTTGGTTTTTTTTTTTTTTTTCTTTTTTGGTTTTTTCCATCTCTTTTCTTTTTGGCGTGATAGGGAGCCTTCCCCTTTTACTTTACTTTCTTTTGTTTTAGTAAGATGGGGGTTCTTTTATTTTTTTAAACAAGTGTGGCGCTATGGAATTGGTTCTCTCTTTCGTCTTCTATTTTCTCTATCTTTTTCTTTTTCTTCTTTTTCTTTTTTTTCCCTCTTCTACTGCGGAGAATTAGTTTTCTTCCTTGACTATCAAGACGGGGGATCACCAGTGACATGTGACCTGTATCTGCAGGTTATGATGAAGCTCATGCTGGTGACGGTGGATACCGGAGGGAAAATAAACGAGGGTGACTGACCTGGTTCGACAAGAACCCAGCAAAAAATAAACTGACGGGCTGTACCTAGACAATACTATTACTACTATTGCCTAGTACCTAGTAGTAATAGGTAATAATACGACGACAATGACAATAATATAACCACCTACAGAACAATGGCAATAGTCATGTTATGCCAATGACATGCCGGTAAGAAATCAGAATCCCTTTGATCAAATGGGACCGATTACCTAATCTAAGATAGCCCCATTTCCAGCATCCTCATTGGTCCGCTAGCCGTCGAGGCCAGGCTCTACTTCAATACCTCCAGGTACTGAAAAGGTAGTGGTTAGATTAAGCAACCACAATCTGCATGTCGAAAGCATACTGTCCCCTAGTGATGAAGTAGAAAGTTTTCTTTATTCGCTTTTTCGGCTCCGGGGATTTGGGTTATTTGGGTTTCTCGGGTTGGTTCCACGCTGACTTTGTGGTCCCCTTTGGTGCCCAAGGAATAGATCAGTTCTCGGATAGGAACTAAGTGCCTAAGGTAAGTCGCTCACGGGTAGGCAGTGTTTACTGCGCATCCAAGTGTATACTACTAGGTACCTAGGTAGTACAGCAACCCAAGTATACTACTTTACCTCTTACCGAAGTATCGAAGTATCGCCCAATCTACCTTAGCTACTTGTCAAGGATGCAAGTCTCAGTACCGATAGATCACTTGCACCCCTTCTAGCTCTTTCTATTCGATGGAAGAACAAGCCGCCGCCAGCGTTGCAGTGCTTTCTTCTTTCGCGGCTGTTTCTGGTCAGGACGGTGGAGAAGACCCTCTTTCATATCATTACTTACTCACTTCCATACTTACTGTAAGTATACCACGAGAATATTCTAGCGAGCGAACTGGATCTTCAGGGTACTACTGTAGGTACTTGCTTACTGTCTACAACTCAGATGGCTGCGTATGGTTCGTATTACCCACCGTATGCTACTGAGGACTTGGCCTCCGAGCAGTTCTCTGGTGCACCAGAGTCGACAAACGAATGGGCCAGGGCCATTCTTTGATCCTATCGTGTACAACAACAGTCCCTTTCAAGTAAGTAGGTGAATGGTCTGTTAAAGAGGACGGGACTATCTACAGCGTGAAGAGCCCACCCAAGGAATAATTGCTCTCACGTTCTGGTCTTATGTCGAGATTACCTGCCTGGTATTAACGATACGGAGAGTGCGGAATGGCATCTGCACGGACGGACTAAAATAACGCCCTAGATAAGAAAGTCCTTAGCTACAGCAAGTCAGTCCTTTTGTTTAAATGCATTACGGAGTAGTGGTGTTCGACTATAGTCGCGGCAGCGACCGAGCCACCCGTCAACAACTAAATTGACAGCCTGCAGCGCCAAGCACGTCCGGCAGACTGCAGGGGTACTGATGGGCGGATCAAAAGGGCGACTTGCTACTGGGCTAGCTGGTCGTTGCATAAGTATGACACTAGAAGATACCTCCTTGGAGCTGATAGGTGATAATGCATGCACTATTCCCAGCCATTCTCTGGCGAGGAGAAAGGCTAGGATACATACCTAAGTACGGTCTCATGCTCCGATGTCCAACCCGGCAGGATGCAACCCCTTCCTCTGGATGTGTCAACCATCTGAATGGCATGGGCTATGGACCAGCTTCGAACTCATCGATTGTGACGTTGTCGGGATGGAGTTCGGGGTCCGCTCGAAGGAGTTCCACTAGTCTGCGTGCTGCATTATACAGGGTACTACCTAAGTACCCTCTAGCTCCATTCGAATCGGCACTATACTCGATTTCTTTCTTTTCTACGCCCCGTACTTATTTTCTAATTGGGTGGCCATTCTTCCCTCCATCTCAATTATTCCCAGCTAATGAAACGACCGTGTCATGCAGAAAAAGGGTCTTGACCCTTTGTGTGTGAATTCCTTTTGCGCCTTTCTTTTCTTTTGTTCTATACTTACTTTTTTTTTGCCCCCCCATTGAAGGCCCCTTTCCTCCCATTAGCCTCGGAGAAGACGGTTGAGATCGACGCTGGCGATCCTCCAACGCCGCCAGTGTTACTCGCGTCAAAAGTACTCCATTTGACTTTGTAGACTTCCAACGGGCCGTGATGGGTGCTTAAACTGATGTGGACGCAGACGCATTGACTCGCTAAGCTTCCGGGTTGGTACTTTCCTAGCCTACTTCTCGGGCGTCCATCTTTCCATGTCCGTACTATACTCCGTATGGAGAATGTGAAATAGAGTCGTCCACAGCAGATCTAAGTTTTCCTCCATCCCCATTTCCCATGCTAGCTACGTAGCTAGTACCCTTGCATCGTCTATTTCTGTGCCGTGCTCCAGAGTACTTAGTAAGTACTCCGTACCACAGGAGGTAGGCCTCGATCACAAGATATAAGATCCGCCTAGTACTATACACTATACCTCAATCTAAGTACTACATGTGCTTCGAGCTATATGTGACCTCGATATGAAATCGACAGCTTCATTTCCCCCTCCCCCTCCCCACTCATTCTATACATACACACTCGTTTCCTGGGCTCTGACCCCTCCAGACCATCCCCTATCGGGACCCAACATTTGCTGCCTTCTGGTTCCCTTTCTACTATTCCTCAAACGTGGAAAATGTGCGACTCGGGCCGCATTTATGCAGGTTGGCCGCAGACCAGCCCATTGTCCTTCGGCTAGACTAGTGTCGGACCTTATCTACTGTCCAGCAGGGACCATTCTTTCCTATGGTTGGGTATCATCACGGTAGCGCCTGAGCCTGGTACCACGTCGGCTTTCTCTATCAGGAAGCTTTGACAGACCAGATTGCAATTCTAGGACCTAATGATGAAATAGACAAGAGGAAACAAAAATAAAACAAAATAAATAGTAAATACATAAAACAAAAGGCTAGAGAGGTACAAGAATGAGGAACATACTTACCTCCTCACCGCTTCATAGGATGCCTACAGAATCGTACATGACTTGGATGGTACATATGGCCCCGACACTGGTTACAGTGACATTTACATTAGCGAGGGAGCGAAAGTAGATAATGGATGTTCGTGTTGCATTTCTGTACGTGATATCTAGTTGAATCCATGCTTGAGTTTGTCATATCATTCATTCCTGAGAACGGATGTGTATAGTATTTATTGATGTGATGCTCGGTGGCATTCAGGGGCAACCGAAAGGATAGAAGAAAAAGGGACAAAAAGAGAGAAAAAGAAAAGAGAGGGGAGGGATAAAGAGGACAAAGAGGACAGAGAGGACAGAGAGGACAGAGAGATCTACTGAACAGCAGACTCGCAGTTCCCTTTGCAACCGAAGAACGATAAATCCAAACACTGTCCGACGTCAGCTGCAGGCCATCTGGAGGCTTACACATTGGCCAAGGTACAATCGTCATCATCTAGTCTAAAATACATACATACCTACTTACCTACTTCCATCCACCGCAATGAACACGGTGCACAGATCTCTGGATGTCTGCAATTTCCCTTCAGCGGTTGTTCCCTCCATGTCTATACTCTCACATATATTAAGGAAACAGACAGATAGATTGTATTCCTGGATGCACCTCTGGATGTGTAGATGTATGTAGGTATAATCAAAAGTAAAAAAGGCATCGACTAGGACCCACCTACCTACAGTAAATATCTCAGGTACAGCAAGGTGCAATGGAGTACTTACATCTTCATCATCTACCGGCAGATGAGAATCACCGTGGACTCCCGTATTCATCGCCGGAGAAAGAAATAAGTAGGACAAAAGATTAACCACCCACTCAAGTCGTACATGATGCCATCTGCTGCTGAACACCACCCCAATTCCCAGAGCCAATCTTTCTTGTCCTGGCTACCAGGTACACGGAGTACAACTCCCTTTAGTCCTGTCGGCTCTGGATACTGCAGTATCCAGAGCAGGCAGGGCCTTAGTCTGAAATTCTCCCGTTCAGACTGTCAGTCTTATTTGCAATTCTAGTGATCTGACTATTCCTGTGCTTCTTTCTCACTCACACATAGTTAGTGTATCTTTCTCTCTCTTTTCGTCTGTCTTTTTTCTTTTTTCTTATTTTTTCTGAAGCGTCCCCGCTTTCCTACTTCTCCCCTCGTCCTTGGTTCCTCTGCATCTCGGCAGCGCCAAACTATTACCACACCTGCTTCGTGTTTCACTTTCGTCCGCCAGAGACAGTTCCTTTTTTTCTGTTTTGGGACTAGCCGCTGCCTTCATTTCAATTAGAGCAACCCATGCATGCTGCGCTGGCTGTGTGGCCTGTGGTTGGCGTGGCTTTGGTTAAACTCTACTTTTACGTGGACAACGACAAGTACATACATATATACCCTACATACATACTTTCTAGGATAGATGCCGAGTTAAGTCGTGATCGGCAAGGTTCGAGCCAGGTACCATGGTGAGAGGGGTTGGAAAGTCAGATTTATTTTACTAAGGTTGGATGCTTGCCATGAGATAGACCATGCATTTGTCGAAGGTCTCTTGACGTGTTCGATGTCAGGGGCCCGGTGAAGAGCAGGGAGCATTGCATGGGGGTCTACTTAGAGAACCAGGTCTAGTCTGACGTCCAATTCAACAATCGCGAACAACAGACGTGTACAGAGAAACCTCCATAATAGAAAAGAAGAAATTATTACCATGAATCCAGTCGGAACAATCTGACAGTCATGAATGAGAAAAGTTCCATTGAGCCACGACCTTGTCGCGCTAGCCGTGCCTGTTCACTTTACTTAAGTTCTAAGAGAACTATACCCAGCCAATTTTATTTTCCATATTCGCTCCCACTAAAAACAAAAAAAGGGTACCCCGCTTAGCGCTTAGCAGCCTTCTCCTGGGACTCCTTGAGGACCTTCTTGACGATCTTCTGCTCCTCAATCAGGAAGGCACGGACAATGCGGTCCTTGACGCAGCCAGCGCAGCGGGATCCACCGTAGGCACGAGTGACGTTCTTCTTGGGGCGGGAAATCTGAGAGTATTCCCGGGGGCGAAGGGCGGGGATCTAAGAGAATAACGCCATCAGCCACCGTCTATAGATTTCCCAAATCTGACACATATTATGTTTGTAGCGTGGGGTTTCCTTCTATCCTCCGATCTTTTCATCCTTCCGCGAGGATCGATCGCCACGCTCGAAGAAACGAACTCATTTAACCAAAATCAACCGGGAGCACTCACACCTGGGAGCTTGATGCCACAGTCACCGCACTTGGGGGCAGTGCCCTTCTTCTTGATGTGAAGGTACCGGAGCTCACCGCCAGGGGTTTTGACGATGCGAACCTTGTTGGACCGCGTGTTGTACCTGTGAACAGATTCCCATCAATATCCTGATCATAAAGCCCAAATCTGAGAGAAAAAGAAGATTCCAGTCGCTCCAGATATCGCACAGGACACCGTAAACCATAGCGACCGACGAATGCAGAAACTGAGGGAAAAGGAAAATTTCAAACGTACGGGTTCCGGCGGCGCTGCGAAAAGTAAAAAAGGACATGGTTAGCATCTCATTTTTGACAACGGCAATATCTCCAACATTGACTCACGTATTGCAATCTGTTGTTCGCCATTTTGACTGTCCTTGAACCTCTGAGTCGGTGGTCAAGCTGTTGGCGGCGGCGGCGTCGGTTGTCGTCGTTAACCTCGTAGATTTCTGACTGGACTTTGTGTGGGTTTGCCGCGCTAGCGCCAATTTGGCGAGAGCACGCTAACCCCAAAATGGCTAGCCCTAGTACAGCAGAGCCGCCACCTCTTTGCAAGCTTGTCGACCACCAAAAGCGCCGACGGAAGAGAGAAGCGCCTTCTATCACCCATCGTGAGAAGGGGATCGTCTAGGAGTTGGGTTTTTTTTGAGTCTTCAAGGTCGTTATTTATTGTTAACTACTCCGTTTGTTTGACGCTTTCGTCTCTTCTTTGTTTTCCTTCTGACAGATCGGCCGGTGAACTTGCGATCCTTGATGACTTTTCTCGACGTGAATCTCTGACGCGACTTGAACTCAGCATCAACGTCGACACGAGAGAGAACCTTTTCCTTTCCCATAAATAATCATCATGGCATCGTTACCTCCTCCCCCACCTCCTGGATGGGGTGCATCGGCACCTCCTTCGATGCCTTTGGCTCCTCCGCCGCCCGGTTATCAACCGCCTGCTGATCCAACTGTCGCGAAGTTCGCCCAGAAGAAGAATGAGTGGCTACGGATGCAACGCAACCGGTTTGGAGAGAAGCGGAAGGCTGGCTTCGTTGAAACCCAGAAGGCGGACATGCCGCCAGAGCACCTGCGAAAGATCGTAAGAGATATTGGCGATGTATCGCAGAAGAAATTCAGCAACGAGAAGCGTAGCTATCTTGGTGCTCTCAAGTTCATGCCCCATGCGGTCTTGAAGCTGTTGGAGAACATGCCCATGCCCTGGGAGTCTGCTAAAGAGGTGAAGGTGCTCTACCACGTGAACGGCTGTCTCACACTCGTGAATGAGACACCGAGGGTGATCGAACCGGTTTTCCATGCCCAGTGGGCAACCATGTGGGTTTGCATGAGGAGGGAAAAGAGCGATCGCAGGCACTTCAAGCGTATGCGCTTTCCGCCCTTCGACGATGAAGAACCTCCGCTCTCGTGGTCGGAAAATATTGAAGATGTTGAGCCTCTGGAGCCGATTCAGATGGAGCTCGATGAGTCTGAAGATGGCCCTGTCTATGAATGGTTTTATGACCAACGTCCTCTCCTCGATACCTCCAATGTCAATGGGCCAAGCTATAAGAAGTGGAACCTGACCCTCCCACAAATGGCGACTCTCTACCGACTAAGTCATCAACTGCTGAGTGACGTGGTTGACAGAAACTACTTCCACATGTTCGACCTAAATAGCTTCTTCACCGCTAAAGCCTTGAATGTCGCTATACCTGGTGGCCCGCGTTTCGAGCCTTTGTATAAGGACATCGACCCCAATGACGAAGACTTCAGTGAATTCAACGCCATCGACCGTATCATCTTCCGCGCTCCCATTCGAACCGAGTACAGAGTCGCATATCCTTTCCTGTATAATACCCTGCCAAGAAGTGTTGAGGTTTCTTGGTTCTCTCACCCTCAAATTGTATATGTTCGAACCGAAGACCCCAACCTCCCTGCTTTCTATTTCGACCCTGTAATTAATCCGATTTCTTCTCGATCTGTTGCGCCCAAAAACATCACGGTGAGCCACGAGGATGAGATTTTTGGCCTGGATAATGAGGACGACTTTGAGCTTCCGGCAGAGATGGAGCCCTTCTTCGCAGATGAGGAACTCTACACTCCTGAAACGGCTTCCGCTATTGCGCTTTGGTGGGCTCCTCATCCCTTTAACAAGCGCTCTGGAAAGATGGTCCGTGCGCAAGATGTGCCATTGGTCAAGCAATGGTATTTGGAGCATTGTCCGCAGGGCCAGCCTGTCAAGGTCCGGGTGTCCTACCAGAAGCTTCTCAAGACCTATGTGTTGAATGAGTTGCACAAGAAGAAGCCCAAGGCCCAGAGTAAGCAGAATTTGCTGAGGACCCTGAAGTCAACCAAGTTCTTCCAGCAGACGACCATCGACTGGGTTGAGGCTGGATTGCAAGTTTGCCGCCAGGGTTTCAACATGCTCAACCTGCTGATCCATCGCAAGAATTTGACCTACTTGCATCTCGACTACAACTTCAACTTGAAACCAGTCAAGACCCTGACAACCAAGGAACGAAAGAAGTCTCGGTTTGGAAATGCGTTCCATCTCATGAGAGAAATTTTGCGTCTTACGAAGTTGATTGTTGATGCGCAAGTTCAATATCGTCTTGGCAACATCGATGCTTTTCAACTTGCTGACGGTATTCTTTATGCTTTCAACCATGTTGGCCAGCTGACCGGTATGTACCGGTACAAGTACAAGTTGATGCATCAAATCCGTTCTTGCAAGGACTTGAAGCATTTGATCTACTACCGGTTCAACTCTGGCCCGGTTGGTAAAGGTCCTGGATGTGGTTTCTGGGCGCCAGCCTGGCGCGTCTGGCTGTTCTTCATGCGTGGTATCATCCCTCTGCTTGAGAGATGGCTCGGAAACTTGCTATCTCGTCAGTTCGAGGGTCGTCACAGCAAGGGTGTTGCGAAGACAGTGACCAAGCAGCGTGTGGAGTCTCACTTCGATCTTGAGCTCCGTGCTTCTGTCATGGCTGATCTCATGGACATGATGCCCGAGGGTATCAAACAGAATAAAGTCAACACTGTTCTCCAGCACCTGTCGGAAGCGTGGAGATGCTGGAAGAGTAACATTCCATGGAAGGTCCCCGGTCTTCCCGCTCCTATTGAGAACATCATCCTGCGCTATGTCAAGAGCAAAGCTGATTGGTGGATTTCCGTTGCTCATTACAACCGTGAGCGAATCCGCCGTGGTGCGACAGTGGACAAGACTGTTGCCAAGAAGAACCTTGGTCGACTCACTCGACTTTGGCTGAAGTCGGAGCAGGAAAGGCAGCATAACTACCTTAAGGATGGACCATACGTTTCGTCGGAAGAGGCCGTGGCCATCTATACCACGATGGTGCATTGGCTGGAGTCCCGCAAATTCTCTCCGATTCCCTTCCCCAGTGTTTCGTACAAGCATGATACCAAGATCTTGATTCTTGCGCTGGAACGTCTTCGTGAAGCTTACTCCGTCAAGGGCAGGCTCAATCAGAGCCAGAGAGAGGAACTTGCGCTCATTGAGCAAGCTTACGACTCCCCTGGAACAACACTGGCCCGAATCAAGAGATTCCTCTTGACCCAGAGAGCGTTCAAGGAAGTGGGCATCGACATGAATGATAATTACAGCAATATCAACCCAGTGTATGACGTTGAGCCCATTGAGAAGATCACAGATGCCTATCTGGACCAATACCTGTGGTATCAGGCAGAGCAGCGCCACCTCTTCCCCGCTTGGATCAAGCCATCGGATTCTGAAGTTCCTCCACTTCTCACGTACAAGTGGGCACAAGGTATCAACAACTTGTCCAATGTATGGGAGACTGCCGATGGTGAGACGAACGTGATGATCGAGACGGAGCTGTCTAAAGTGTACGAGAAGATCGATTTGACTCTTCTGAACCGTCTACTTCGCTTGATCATGGATCATAACTTGGCTGACTATATCACATCCAAGAATAACGTCCAGCTTAGCTACAAAGATATGAACCACACAAACAGCTACGGATTGATCCGAGGCCTTCAGTTTTCCGGCTTTGTTTTCCAGTTCTACGGCCTGATGATCGACTTGCTGCTGCTTGGATTGCAGAGAGCTAGTGAAATGGCAGGTCCACCTCAAAGCCCCAATGATTTCCTCCAGTTCAGAGACCGGGCTACGGAGACCAGACACCCCATCCGTCTGTACACTCGCTATGTTGACAGGATTTGGGTCTTTTTCAGATTCTCGGCAGACGACTCAAGGGACCTAATACAGCGTTTCCTGACGGAGAATCCCGACCCGAACTTCGAAAATGTCATTGGGTACAAAAACAAGAAGTGTTGGCCACGCGATTGTCGCATGCGCTTGATGCGACACGACGTCAATCTTGGTCGCGCTGTATTCTGGGATTTGAAAAATCGCCTGCCAAGGTCTATTACAACAATCGAATGGGATGATACATTCGCTAGTGTCTATAGCAAGGACAACCCCAACCTCCTGTTCTCTATGTCTGGATTCGAGGTTCGCATTCTCCCGAAGAGTCGCAACCAGAACGAAGAGTTTTCGGTTAAGGATAGCGTCTGGTCTCTGGTCAATAACGCAACCAAGGAGCGCACGGCACACGCTTTCCTTCAGGTTACCGAGGAGGATATCCAGAAGTTTAACAACCGCATCCGTCAAATCCTAATGTCATCGGGCTCGACTACATTCACCAAGATTGCGAACAAATGGAACACGGCATTGATTGCACTCTTCACTTACTATCGCGAAGCTGCAGTTTCCACTGTCAACCTTCTGGACACAATCGTCAAATGTGAAACGAAGATCCAAACCCGTGTCAAGATTGGGCTTAACTCCAAGATGCCGTCTCGTTTCCCCCCTGCTGTCTTTTACACGCCTAAAGAACTGGGAGGTCTCGGTATGATCTCCGGATCACATATCCTCATCCCCGCTAGCGACAAGCGGTGGTCGAAGCAAACAGATACGGGGATTACTCACTTCCGAGCCGGTATGTCTCACGACGAGGAAACTCTGATTCCCAACATTTTCCGCTACATCATTCCCTGGGAAGCGGAATTCATTGACTCTCAGAGAGTGTGGATGGAGTATTCCCAGAAACGTCAGGAGGCCCAGCAACAGAATCGCCGTTTGACATTAGAAGATCTAGAAGACAGCTGGGACCGTGGTCTCCCACGTATCAATACCCTGTTCCAGAAAGATCGCAGCACGCTCAGCTTTGACAAGGGATTCCGTCTTCGGGCCGAATTCAAGCAGTACCAGCTGATGAAGAGCAACCCATTTTGGTGGACAAGTCAGCGTCACGACGGTAAATTGTGGAATCTGAACGCCTACCGTACAGACGTTATTCAGGCCCTTGGTGGTGTTGAAACAATCCTGGAGCACACTCTGTTCAAGGCAACAGCTTTCCCGTCGTGGGAGGGTCTCTTCTGGGAGAGAGCATGTCTTGCCAAGGGGACGCAGCTGTTGCGATACGACAGTACTCTGATCAACGTCGAAGATGTCAAAGAAGGAGATCTACTTCTCGGTCCTGACGGCGGGCCTCGACGCGCTTTCAACATTGTCAGTGGTCGTGATCGTCTCTATCGTATCAAGATTGGCTCAGGCAAAGAAGATCTCGTCGTCACCCCAAACCATATTCTGGTTCTTCGCCGAGAGAAGACTTCGGACGCAGAGCAACTTGACACTTCGAAGCTCTACGAGACTGTGGAGATGACCGCCGCTGATTATGCTGCCCTTGATCCTAAGGAAAGGAGACAGTATCTAGCCTTCAGATGTCCTGACTTGGAGTTGGCCGCGCAGGCCGTGCCGTTAAAATCTCATAATTACACTATCGAAGATATTTGCCTCGAACCTGAGGCGACAGAGTGGGCGGGCTTCCGAGTCGACAAAGACCAACTCTATCTGCGACACGATTATGTTGTATTGCATAACAGCGGTTTCGAAGAGTCAATGAAGTTCAAGAAGCTTACCAATGCCCAGAGATCTGGTCTGAACCAAATTCCTAACCGTCGGTTCACTCTCTGGTGGTCTCCTACCATCAATCGTGCCAACGTCTATGTCGGTTTCCAGGTGCAGCTGGATCTCACGGGTATCTTCTTGCACGGAAAGATTCCGACCTTGAAGATCTCTTTGATTCAGATCTTCCGTGCTCACTTGTGGCAAAAGATTCACGAGTCCGTTGTCATGGATCTGTGTCAAGTCTTCGATCAGGAACTCGAACAGCTCGGTATCGAAGCTGTTCAGAAGGAGACAATCCACCCACGTAAGTCGTATAAGATGAACAGCTCGTGTGCAGATATCCTACTGTTCGCGACGAACAAGTGGAACGTGACGCGGCCTTCGCTATTGTTCGACACAAAGGACGTGTACGAGCCCACTACGACAAATAAATTTTGGCTAGACGTGCAGTTGAGGTACGGCGATTACGATTCTCATGACATTGAGAGATACGTTCGTGCCAAGTACCTGGACTACACTACCGACAGCATGAGCATCTATCCTTCTGCCACTGGGTTGATGATCGGTATCGACCTTGCATACAACCTCTACTCGGCTTATGGACAGTACTTCCCTGGGTTGAAGACCTTGATCCAGCAGGCCATGGCGAAGGTCATGAAGGCCAACCCCGCCTTGTATGTGCTGCGAGAGCGTATCCGCAAGGGTCTGCAGCTTTATGCTTCGGAAAGCAACCAGGAGTTCCTCAACTCGCAGAACTACTCGGAGCTTTTCAGTCCGCAGATCCAGCTGTTCATTGACGATACCAATGTCTACCGTGTCACCATCCACAAGACCTTCGAAGGGAACCTTACAACCAAGCCCATCAATGGTGCCATTTTCATTTTCAATCCTAGGACTGGCCAGCTGTTCCTAAAGATCATCCACACTAGCGTTTGGGCTGGACAGAAGCGTCTGGGTCAGCTGGCGAAATGGAAGACGGCGGAAGAAGTGGCTGCGCTTATTCGATCTTTGCCGGTCGAAGAACAGCCAAAGCAGCTGATCGTCACCCGGAAGGGTCTTCTGGATCCCCTCGAGGTTCACCTGCTCGACTTCCCCAATATTTCGATCCGTGCTTCCGAACTTCAACTGCCGTTCCAGGCTGCTATGAAAGTCGAAAAGCTTGCTGACATGATCCTTCGCGCGACCGAGCCGCAGATGGTTCTATTCAACCTTTACGATGAATGGTTAAAGTCAATCTCGCCATACACCGCTTTCTCTAGGTTGATCCTCATTCTGCGAGCACTCCATGTGAATATCGACAAAGCCAAGATCATTCTCCGACCCGACAAGACTGTCATCACGCAGGAGCATCACATCTGGCCCTCTCTTTCTGATGAAGATTGGATCAAGGTGGAAGTACAGCTGCGCGATCTTATTTTGAATGACTACGGCAAGAAGAACAATGTCAACGTCCAGAGCTTGACCAGCAGCGAAGTTAGGGATATTATCCTTGGTATGGAAATCAGTGCGCCGTCATTGCAGCGGCAGCAGGCGGCAGAGATCGAAAAGCAGCAGGAGGAACAGAAGCAGCTCACGGCTGTTACCACGAAAACTCAGAACGTGCGCGGGGAGGAAATCATTGTAACCACCACGTCTCAGTACGAACAGCAGTCGTTCGCGTCGAAGACCGAATGGCGCACGCGGGCCATTGCCACCTCCAACCTCCGCACTAGGGCGAACAACATCTACATTTCCTCCGATGACCTCCGCGACGAGGGCTACACTTACATCATGCCCAAGAATGTCCTCAAGCGATTTATTACTATCGCCGATCTTCGAGTGCAAGTTGCAGGTTATCTCTACGGCAGCTCGCCCCCCGATAATGATCAGGTGAAGGAAATCCGCACGATCGTCATGATCCCGCAAGTTGGCAGCACGCGAGAGGTCCAGCTGTCTCAGCAACTGCCGCAGCACGACTACCTGAATAACTTGGAGCCCCTGGGAGTGATCCACACAATTTCCGGCAACGAGCCGCCGTACATGACTCCAATGGATGTCACCCACCATGCTCGCTTGATGAATGAGCACCCGTCATGGGATAAGAAGACCGTGACGATGACCGTTTCATTCACGCCGGGATCTGTATCTTTGGCGGCCTGGGGGCTGACGCCTCAAGGTTACAAGTGGGGGGCAGAGAACAAGGATACGACGTCGGACCAGCCACAGGGGTTCTCGACCAGCATGGGAGAAAAGTGCCAGCTGCTTCTTAGTGACAAAATCCGCGGGTACTTCCTGGTGCCAGAGGATAATGTCTGGAACTATAGCTTCATGGGAAGCTCCTTTGGCACTGTGGAGAAGCGGCCAGTATATGTCAAGATCGACACGCCCTTGAGATTCTATGATGATCAGCATCGCCCACTGCACTTCCAGAACTTTGCTGAGCTGGAGGACATTTGGGTTGATCGATCTGATAACTTTGCGTAAAGACAGTCGAAAGAAAAAGAAAAGAAAAGAAAGAGGAGAGAAGGCAGGAGGATTTAGGCGTTGGATATGTGTGCATTAATGTGGTATTATTTTATCTTTTTCTTCGATTTGTCCAGGGTTCACTGTTCCCCCATCATGTCTTCTATTTCATCAACTTATTTCTCACTTTTGTGTCAGTACCTAAGTGTTAGATTATCTTCCCGCCTGTTTCATTAACTCGACCTTAATTTGATGTATGGAGAAAAGCATGAAATTGCCAAGCAACTAAGGAAATGACAATCAGTGTACAGTCTCTTGCATCTCAGCATTATTCAGCATTCTCGAGCTTTCATTGGCTCCATTCGAGGTTTCTCCTGAAATTGCGGCAGTGGAGTCCAGGGGCGTGTCGAGAGTCACGTCACTAGTCAATTCTTACGGTGGCACCAGTCCACTCCCTCCACGACAGCTTCATCCGCCATCTAGATCAGCTCCATCGAGGTCTCTCATTTATTTCATCAAACCAACGGGCTTTTTGATTCTTCTTCTGGTTTTTCTCTTGCTATTTTCTCACCAGCCCGCTTTTCTGCCAGTCGTACTCCGTACTTTCCCCCTCCTTCTATTGATTCTTTCCGATTCCTTCCGTCATTTCGCTTTGTCTTTGTCTCTGCCCTGAGCCAACCAGCCATGTCAGATGTGGAATAACTCCGTTTCACTATTTCGCCTCGCTCGCGGCCTTGGGTTTGGAACCAAAAAGTCAAAATCCTTCCTGCTTTTGGGCTGCAAGACACGATATGGCCACAATAGGTCCACTTTTGTTCTCTGCCCGTATCTCTATTTGGAAAGCCCATGCTATGGCACTATGCCTCGATCGGAGTGAGGGCTTACGTATAAACTATAAATTCTAAGCTCCTATGGAGTATGTCCCGCGTGGCTGTAGATGAGGCTTGACTTCTGATTCTAGCTCCCACCGACTAACTAGATTAATTACTAGTTAGTTCCAGGGCTGTGCTCTCTTGTCCCGCCGCAACTCTCGGGCACTAGGCTTCCATGTCCGACCGTTGTTCGGGACTCCTACATCCAGGGACATTGCCAATTTCAAATCAGTTTGTTTTCTTTGTTTCTTGTCTCTTGTATCCCCCTCCCCCCCCCCCCTTCTCCCGTCCAAATCTAGGGGGCGTTGCCGTACTTATTGCCTGCATTTATGGGGCCACGGCTCCGAATAATTAAGGTTGATCGAAGCTCACTTATGCCGTGAATTAGTGATTAGAAAATCAAACCAGAGGACTCATATAAATGCTTACCTCGCCCGATGCTAGCTTTCTAAGACGACGTATTAAGGGAAGGAACGGAGGAAAGAAGATGAAGACGAAGATGAGGAAGAAGGAAGTGCGCTGAGGGATGAAGATGGAAAAAAAAAAAAAAAAAAAAAAAAAAAAAAAAAAAAAAAAACACACACCATCCAAAGCAACAAACGATCCTCCCGCCACGGTACTAAAAGGGTAAATACTAAGCTGCGCTCCTTTTGTGTGCGCGAAATATAGCTGAAGGTGCCACTCCTGCATCATAATGCCTGTCTGCGTCCTGAAGTTCCCGCGCCTATTCGAGGCTATGGAGTATATAGACCAGGGTCGTTCTCCATCGCTCGAGTCAGGACACTGGGCCGGAGCTTCCTAGCAGCGTGACGGCCCACCAAACAGCGCGCTAGCACGGTCCGCTAGTAATTCTAATCACCCTCGTGGATGTCTCGCTGAGACTGCTGACCCTCGGCCATTGGCGTGGCTGCGGGTGGAGTTGTTGCGACGACATACGACAGGCCTTGTCCTGACAGGGGGAAGAGCCCATTGCTAGTTGGACTTGGGCAACTGGGGGAATCTACTCCTAAGCTGAGTACTTTCCAGTACAGTAATTAGCTGTTGCAAGCAAACTGGCAGCAGGTTTGGATCCTTTATCCCGAATCCACCCTCCCCGTTCGTATCCAATAAGTTAACCTTAGATTATGTAGGTCTACGTATGGACTGGGCTTGGTCCTCCCCGCTTTTTGTTGATCATGTATGGTGTCAAAGGAGCTGGCTATGATGCCCAGTGTGTATTCTTTGTCTAGCTTAGTGTTTCATGCTCACCCTTGGCCTACCCTAACATAGCCTGTATCTTTGCTTTCTCCACCACGTCTCTGCCACACCTTGGCGCCTGCCAGACTGCTCAACAACCATGTCGCCTTTCTGGCATCGACGACCGTTGTGCCCTCTAGGTCCTGTACAAGTTAAGCTTGATGAAATGCAGATCTGTCAAATGGGGGTTTTTTTTGTTTCTTCCTCTCTCTCCTCAACCCTCTCTTACCCACATACGTCGGAATCCTGGCCTGTATGCCTTTGTCTTGCTCATGCCCAGAATTCAAAACCCTCTAATTCCCTTCCAGAATCCTTCCGAGCCCACCTGTCACTGTTCCTTCGGCATACATATGGCGCAGACTATCACTGTATAGGACTTTGTTCGTGCATAAAGGTGGGGAGGAAACCATTCTGACTTGTTCTCTCTGTTGCTCTTCACTTGACATCTTCAGTTAACGGGAGATTCGGCTTCTAACCCGCTTGGAGACTTCAATCTATCACTGTGGTTAATTTTTTTTTTTTTTTTTTTCTTTTTGGGTATTTGTTTCCCTCCCTGTTATTCCTCAAATTGGGGGTTTGTTTCTGGCGGTCCTGTGTGGGGGGAATAAGCGGCAGCAGGCATTAAGGCTTTGCTGCTTAGATCTGCCTAAGTTGGTTCCTTTTTTATTAATATTGTGATTATTTTTGTTGTTCCTTTTGCCAATCCTTCCTTTTTTTTTTTTTTTTTTTTTTTTTTTTTTGGATACCAGCACCTGGTGAAGAGAAGTATTTTTGGAACTTTGCCCGTCACAACCCCCTGGTGAGCGTAAACCATCCCTTTTGCTACAACAAATGGGTCGCCTTCACCTCGTCTCATTTTTCAAATAATCCCTTAGCCATGTTCTCATTTGTTCGCCCTTGATTGCACCACTATTTATTCCCTAGCATTGTTGGTTCTTTGCCACCTGAAGACACCTTGTGATTCTGACCGTGGAATAGCATCGGGTTTACTGTCTTTACGAACGATAGATCACGCACCAGGGCTGGGTTTTTTGACTCATGATCAGTACATGGCAAAAGGGTTTGTTATTGTGCACATCAGAATCAGCCCATAATCCCTTTATACACTGAAACAAACGCCCTTGGGAAGCATTGAGCCTATAACCTTGGCCTAAGTTCTGTCTTTGTTTAGATCCTCACATTGTTGCCGGCGAATTTTTTTTTTTCTTACCCTCTTCCTCCGCCCTTCCCGGACTATTTCATTCATTCTAAGAATAGGGTAGCCTGCCAGGGCTTTAAAGCTCTAGCGGCGCCGATGTATGTCCGCGACGCTGGCGGATCCGTATAGAGACTATGCCATTGATTACGCTCATCATGCCCACAGCAAACCGGAGGAACAGGAAGGGACCCTTGTCTACCAGACGCACCAGCCACATATACAACATCACAAACAGGCCGAGTCTTCGTTTCAGCAGAGGGGGTCGCATACCTCGGCCTTCGAGCAACACCATGCGAATGCGACCGTCCTTCCGGCAGCGAGCCATCAACCATCAGTACATGATATCTCTCAAACGGTGGTCCTCACTCCGGCGCAGATGCTCCCTCGACAGCTTCCCGTCCATTATACACCGTCGAATTTTGAGCTGTCCTCCGCCCAACGCGGCAAGAAGCGACCTCGTTCCGAAACCGAGGGCGATGGAGGCGATCCTGACCACCATGGGATCAGACAACAGATACCGATCCTTGCCCCAGGCACTCCGGCTGAGAACCCGCATTCACCTGGGATACTCTTCCCCGTGCATGGTGAATCGTCCCAACACCATCAAATGCAAAGCCATGACTTTGGGCCCCCAGATTCAGTGGCCCTCCTACAACAGCATCACCACCATCGCCTCCCTTCTCACACATCGCTGCGCGACACCCAACGTCATGGTCTGAATGTGGAATCGTCACCAACTCCCGCCGGGCCACCAAGCGTTGTAGGCCAGCCTGGGATGCCTGATCCAGCTCCAAGGCCTCGGGGGCCCAAGCTCAAGTTCACACCAGAGGAGGATGCATTACTAGTCGAGCTCAAGGAAAACAAAAACCTGACGTGGAAGCAAATAGCTGATTTTTTCCCGGGGCGAACGAGTGGCACGTTGCAAGTGCGCTACTGCACCAAACTGAAGGCGAAAGACGTGGTATGGAGCGATGAGATGGTAAGGACTCTCCGTTGCAGACATGCCTGGGAACTAACGAGCAATTGGCATAGGTGCAACGACTACAGCGTGCCCTCCGGGAATACGAGAATGATCGGTGGCGGATCGTTGCGGGAAAGGTTGGTAATGGCTTTACACCAGCAGCTTGTCGAGAGAAGGCAAGTCAGCTCGAAGAACTACAATAGTGTGGACATGGACATGGACCTGATCTGGAGACATTCTTGTACTTGAATCTACCTTTCTTTTTTTGGTTTATTACTAATTATTTTCTGTATCTTTGGAAGCATACTTTGTATATGGAAAGGGCTGTGGGTAAATAGAGCGTATCGATACCATCTCGAATGAATTCTTTCGCACTATCTGATTTTATTTTATTTTCCGGTTGCCTTTGGCGAACCGTTGCTGTACAGCCGTGCTCACTAACAAAAGAATATAACTGGAGATACGAATAAAGAATTGGACGTATCATTTCCACATTGGATATATCAATCAGTTTATTGGATCATCCTGCACGCAGAAGTACAAATGACCATCTCTGCTTTAATAATTATTAATTGCCCCCTTTTCTCCTAATATCTGGACTTTTTTTATAGAAGAATATATAACTAGTCTGACGGCATCCGGGATTCACATGTCTTAAAAAATAACATAATAATAAAAAGGAAAAAACAGTTCCTTGCTAGACTCGCGTGATGCATGCATATCTCGAATGTAACCTTCCATACGGGGCAAAAGGAGCTAAGATTGGCGTTTGCATGAAAGTACCTGCATGGTTTATTTATCGTTGCAGGACAGAGATACAAGATATTTACAGAGTACAAAATATTTAGAAGAAAAAGAATCGCGGAGTTCGATTTTATCAGACGGTTTATGTTTAGGTAGGAATTAATAGATTTCAGTGCTTGAACTGCGAATAGTAAGACATCCATAATGGTGTTGGGTATGGATACTGGGGAATGGGAAAAGTTCTTGCGTATATCAATAATATCTACAATCTGCTAACTTAATTATATAATGTAGAGTCTTGTAAAGTGTTCTGTACTGTTTAAGTGTTCGCTCAGCTTTGTGTAAAGATATACGGGATGAAACTCCTACCCATGATGTTCTTCTTTTTCTTGATAAACTCGCCTGTTATTTGATAGCAGGTTGCTTTCTTTCTACTACCCGTTTTAATCATGCTTGACATTTGAAATTTTTATATTCATCGACTTGATATTCATGTCCAGAAGTTATGCTATGTCTAGATTACTCATCAATGCAGACATTCAGCCAATCAGCACCTCGTCCTATCCGATCCGACGGTCTGCAGGAAATCGGAAGACGATCCGATGCCCATCGCTATCCGTATCATATGGTCAAGACTTCTGACCGAAGTCGACGCAGCGCCCAATTAATCGACTCGATATGCGGGGTAAATATGTACGGACTTTTGCCAGGGAGCCATCCGGAGACATGAATTTCCAATCATGTCATTGTCAGTAAGGCACTAAATATTGAATATATATCTGGTGCCTTGGCGGCATTACTTTACATCCTGCTTCTTGTCTTTAACCTCCCTATCTTTATTGTAAGACAGCTACATACTACCGCCATGGCATCTCATCGATTCGACCCCAATTTCACCGACAATGTGATCAACGCAATGGGACCCAACACCACTCCGCGCTTCCGGACCCTCATGGCCAGTCTCATCCGACACGTGCATGACTTCGCGCGCGAGAACGAACTGACCGTAGACGAGTGGATGGCCGGCGTACAACTGATGAACTGGGCCGGACAAATGAGCGACCACAAGCGAAACGAAGGGCAATTAATCTGCGACGTAATTGGACTAGAATCGTACCTCCCTCTCCTCCATTTCCCTCTTCTTCCTTCTACTCAGTTGGATAGATCTAACAAATAGTATAGTCTAGTTGACGAAATCACATTCAAACTAGCTGACGAAGCAAAAGACGCCCCCACGGCAACAGCCATTCTAGGGCCCTTCTTCCGAGCCGATACGCCCTATCGCCAGAACGGTGAGAACATCGTCAAGGACGTCCCCGCGGACGGGGAGATGGTGTTCATGCACGGCCGAATTGTCGATTTCAGCACGAAGAAGCCGCTGGTCGGTGCAACCGTTGAGGTATGGCAGGCGTCGACGAATGGGTTGTATGAACAGCAGGATCCGAACCAGGAGGAGTTCAATCTCAGAGGGAAATTTAAGACGGATGATACCGGTCGTTATTTCTTTTATTGTTTGAGACCGACGCCGTATCCGGTTCCTAATGATGGTGTGTATATTTCTTTTATCTTACCTTGTATCCAATGGATGTATATCTGCGTTGCCGATTGTTTCTCGTTGTGTATTCAGGGTCGGAAGGGGGGAAAGATGAATGCTAATACGAACGTAGGCCCCGCTGGAAAACTCCTCAAACTCATGGATAGGCATCCGTATCGTCCGGCTCATATCCATATCATCGTAAGCTTACCCCCTTCGGTTTTATTATGAATATTACGTGGCAGTTGAACTGAATGGTCAGGCAACCTACGACGGCTATAAACCCCTTACTACTCAAATCTTCGATCGCAAAGACAAGTACCTGACCAATGACTCCGTGTTCGCGGTCAAGGACTCGTTGATTGTGGACTTCGTGCCTCGCAAGGATGACTCTCAAGCTGGTCTTGAGTTGGAGTATGATGTGAAGTTGGTTCCGACTGAGGATAAGAGTAATGGTGCCTAGTTCAGTTTAGTGCCGTAGATTTTTATATTTGTACGTGCTTATGCGCTGTGTTGTATATTTATGCCACTTTATCAAATACGAGTATCTCGGTCCTTAAGGTTCAAGTAGACAACTTATAGAATGGAATAGTTGGATACATTCCACTATCCTTGAATTACAGGCTCCCGGTAAATTGTACAATCGCCTTCCCAACCTGCTCTGGTGCCTCAATGCAATGCCAATGTCCTACCTTGTCGAGTACTTCCATCTTTTTGTTCCTACTCGAAACTAGATCAAAGATATACTGGCACCCTTCCAATGGGGCGGACTTGTCTTCTTCTCCCGCGATCAATAGGAAGGGAGACTGGACTTTGGTATAGTCAACTATGGGAGCGTTGGCGATGGCCTGACAGAGCGCTGCATAACCACTGGGATTCTGGCCGATCAGGAGTTCACGGATGAAGGATTTCGCCAGAGGTGAGCATTGCGTTCCAGTGGCCTGGTAGGGAATGGTGTTTGCCATTGGTTCCATTCCAGCTGTGTAGTGTGAGCACCCGGGATCTTTGCAGTTATGGTGTAGTAACGAATACACACCTGTTAAGACGATTTCACGCCTCTTGTTCATTCCCCCCACCAATGTATCTGAGGGATGAGTTGGTCCAATAGCCACCACACCCCGCACTATAGCCGGATGCATGGTTGCCAAAAGAGTCACAGCCAGCCCACCCATCGAATGGCCCACAAACACCGCGGACGAGACGGATAGTTTAACCAGCGCATTGACAACATCCTCGACTATCGATTCAATGGACACTGGCTCATTCATATATGCAGAGCGTGCGGAGCCGTATGTATCGAAGGTAATGCAGCGATGGTGCGGAGTTAGGTAGGGGAGAATAGGGAAATAATAATTCTGAGATGAGCCCAGACCATGGATGAAGACGAAGGTCAGCCCATTTTCAGGAGCACCATCGGGATGGGAGTCCGCGTAGTGTAGTTGGTGACCTTTTGCAGCGACGAAAGGCATGTTTGTTTGGACGAATATCGCTGTCAATCGAAAAAGTATCGGTAGATGGAGAATGGAGAATTGGGCCGTACAAGACTGACACCATGCCATTAATATGTCAGCATCCTCAGATCGGCAATGTGTTATCGACGTCATCGGGTACATACAGATGTGCGGAGTAATCTTGGCTAGTTTTGTTTTCAAGCAGAGAGCGTCAATTGCAAATCTAAGACACTCGAACGTCCCACAATGCTTCCCCATGCAACATGCCCTCTGTTATTCCATCGGAACTTATGGACATTGCCGTTATGATGGAACATCGAGCCGACGAGGGGCCACCGCCATCCGAACGACGCGCTCCCATCGGGTCGGATAGGTGGGACATGTAGGATACAAGGTGTATACTGGACATAGCCTTACTTGCGAGATGCAGCAATTCATACTATCCAGCCAGACTAATTCCGCTCGAATTCTTCATCCATATCGAACTCATGGGCAAATTGCTCCAGCAAGTCAGCCGTGTCATCCCGGAAAGAATCTCCCCTTGACAGCCCAATCATAGTAGTTCTGTCCAATTGCTTCTCTGCTTCCGGTTGTACCTTGGCATCCAGTGCAGTTACGATAGTTTCAGCTTCCTTAATGACGTCTTCGTCGTAGAATATTGAACAGTCAGAGAATTCATCATCGTCTTTCACCCTTCCTTGGTCATTGCCGACACTGGCATACTCGATAAATCCCTTTCCTTCCACAAGAATATTCTCAAGATCTGGAACAATTGTGCCATCAGATGCATCATTGTCTAGGTCTGATATCCTGTCCTTATCTTCTTCCGTAGCTGAAGCACCTGGGCTGTCTAGTTCCGTATATTCGCACGACGATTCCTGATTCGCAGGTGCAGAGTCCGTGGTCTTCTTGAGAAATCGTGACAGCAATGGCTGGCTAGCTGGGACAGGAGGGGCATCTTGTTCGGGGAGGCCTAAACGTCGACGTTCTTCGCGAGCTGTTGCCTCTTTCTCAGCCTTCTTTTTCTTGTTTGCGATGCGTTTCTTCTCTCTCTCCCTGAGTTTCTCGGCGCGCCGTTCCCGTTCTTCTTCTCTCTCAATGCGTGCTATTTGGGAAGCTGTGAACTGGAGCCGTTTATTGCTGCGCTGATATCGCCTGCGAACAGTTCGGGATTTTTCGAGGACGATGCGCTTCGGTGGATCGGACATTGTTGAGGTCGATCAGGGCCAGGAATTAACAGCTAGGAAATATATTCCTTTAGTTCCCAAGAAGTGTAGAAAGACATTGGAAAATACTTGGTGTGTAGCATGACATTGTCAACAAAGAAGTGAATAAGGGAGGTAGAAGTTTGGAAAACATTGAAATGGCCATAACTGCCTCACTGCGGCAATAAGTTATACCGACGCGGGTGATCATCATACACCCACTAACTAGCGCGATCATACAGCTCCACAAGCATCAGTTCATGTAAGGGTTCGCGCTTTGTATCTATAAACTAACTTGCAGAGTACTATCTACTCGGTCACTCGGACATATCTACCTCTGTTCCATCTCTGTTTCCATAGCCGGTCGCGTGCATGCTCTATAGACGCGTATCCCGGACGGGATCCCAGCAGACGGGGGCGTAAACATTGGTTTTCAAGCTGTCCATGTCTTCCTGAGACAATTCGAAGTCGAACACCTGTGTGTTTCCGATGATACGGGAGTCGGTCACAGACTTGGGGAGAGGTACATATCCCTACGAATGTTAATGTCATCATAGAGATGCTTGTTCGGGCTAGGAAGGGACATACCTTCTGCAAGCTCCATCGGATTAGGATCTGGGCAGGGGTCTTGTTGTGCTTCTGCACCAGTTTTTGCAGGATAGGCTCGTTCATCCGTGTGGCCTGAACCAGAGGTGAATAGGCTTCGACAATAATATTGCGTTTCTTCAACCAATCCGCAACGTCTTCCCTCGCACACCAGGGGTGGATCTCGTATTGGCCGACGGAGATTTTACCACCTGCACCGCTATTGATATACTCTTCTAGCTCGTTCAGATGGTGGATACCATAATTGGAGACTCCGATGGAGCGGATCTTGCCCGTTTTCTGGGCCTCGACAAGTGCACGCCAGGCACCCAGGCGGCCTTCTTTGCCACCAAAAGGAGCATGGATCAGCACACTATGGAACAGTCAACCTCTGCTACCGGAAGGGAAATCCGCTATTTGCTTACAGGTCGATATAGCCGATGCTGGCTGCATCAGCAATGCTCGCTTCGATAGACTCCTTAGCTTTTTCATATGACATGTGATTGGAAGCGATCTTCGTGGTATAGAAGATCTTAGAACGATCGACGCCGGATCTTCGGATGGCTTCAACGCATTGAGCTTCGTTGGCGTAGACCTTTGCACTATCGACCTAGGAAGCGTCAACGGAAAAAAAAATAAAACCCCATCCAAGCTTTGTACAGATAACACTAACATGGCGGTACCCGGTTTCCAAGGCTTTTAGAGTGACTTTCTCCGCGATTGCGGCCGGACTGAATTTGCGAGTCAGGTAAGATCATTATGATCACCACTCAAGGATTAAGGTACATACATTTGGTAAACCTAAACCATGCTCATTGTGTCAGCGTCCAATCACGTACTCTTTCTCTCTCCCTGAAGCTCTCTTTCATTCTTGCCATGCCACTGGGTACCCACCCCAAAACCAACAACTGGGATCTCATATCCCGAAACCATCTCGTAGGTTGACTGGAGTGTGAGTGGAGCCATGATGTCGTATGAGAAAATGATCTGGTTCGATAGGTAGGATAGATGGATGGAGTTTAGGAAACGTCGCTGAGTTGATTATGATGCTGCACGGAATAAATGGCGTGGACGGGATGGTGACATCATTATATATTAACCTCCGGGCCTGCCCGGACCACTTTGACTTTTCCACTCCGTAGTCGGCGAGTCAAGAGGTCCGACGGTGGAGTGGTCAACTTGGGGTTTCCCGGCGAATTCTGCCACTTGTTCTGAACTCAGAACACTCAGCAAGTCCAAAATACTCGAAACAACATCGCTATACTAATGGATTAGAAGACAGTACTATAGAACTCTATAGTACTGTTTAAGCTTCTTTTTAAGATTTTAACATTACCCAAGGCTTACCCCTCCACTCGAGTTCACTCTATTCGACAAGACGAGCTGAACATATATACTCCGGGCATCCGTCGGCCGTTTGTATTTAAAATGGAATTAAGCTTAAGCAGGGGAGTTACTCTTCAGGAAGCGTTTCTGTCTCACCGCCTTTTTCTTGGCTCCCTACCAATCACCGGGCTCAACCTGGGTGAAGATGGAACTCGGGTATTGGGAATTCACGATGCCTCGAAGGATGCTTTTTGATTTGAGATATGGTAGTATAAATACAAAGGTCAGCATGTAGTTTACGTCTGTCGTTTTCTTAAGTTTGCTTTTTAAACAACTTGGCCATGTACTAGTCTTCGGTCTTGGCATCTAAGCCTTATCGATAGCAGAATACATTTACACTAGTCCTATTTGGGTCCCCCCCATTCTGTCTGAGGCTACCACAATGTGGGCGATGCAGAACACCATCCAGTCTGAAAGTCCCGTGTGCTTCTGCGGTCAATCTTGATCCTTGACTATTCGTTTTTTTACTTTTTACAGCCGACTACCGGCTAACCAGTTCTTAAAGTATAAAAATATTGAAACTTGACGATATTGAGCAGACAAGAAGCACGTGAGTGCCATCACAAAAAAACAAACCCCCGCATCGTCATCTGGAATCTGTGGATTAATCCGTGCCTTGTTCAATTGGCACTGAGGCTTACTTGGATGCCCCATTTCTCGTCCAGTGGTCGTGCACCATGCGCTTGGTCAAAAACAAAATCGAGCTCAATGGCTCAGGCACTGTGACGTTGTGTCCGGAAGAGCCCGAAGATATGGTGAATCTCCCCAGCACCCTGACTTTAATCCAGCTCTTATACTAACCATATGTCTCAGTGGCATGCATACAACCTTATCCGACCGGGAGATCTCCTCCGTGCCAGCGCGATCCGACGTGTCACTACGACCCAAGAGACCGGGTCCACGAGCTCCGCACGGATTCATCTGACGCTTGAGATTCGAGTCAAAGACCTAGATTTCGACCCGCAGAGCTCCCAGCTCCATGTTAGCGGACAGATTGTAAACGAGACGCAGCATACGAAGGTCGGACAGCATCATACGTTGGATCTAGAGCTGAATCGCAACTTCACCCTCGAGAAGGAAATAGGGTCGGATGGAGAGGGGGGTAGGGTGGGATAGTATTGCCGTGCAGATGCTTAAGGAAGCGGTTGATGAGGGCGGAAAACGAAGGGCGGAGGCTGTGGCCGTCGTCATGCAGGAGGGAATAGCTCATATCTGTTTCATTGGACAATTCCAGACGATCATGAAGCAGAAAGTTGAAATGTCGGTTCCGCGGAAACGGCACGGAGGAAGTGATCATGACAAGGTTGAGCCATCTGACTGTCACTATATTACTTTTACTGTGTTTGTTGACATATTGACAGGGTATGTCGAAATTCTACCAAATTACGCTGGACACCCTCGTTCGCCAGATGGAATTCAACACCAGCTCTACGTCACTGATCAGTAATGAGACCGTGCGTCCCATTCTGCTCGCATCCCCAGGTTTTGTCGCAGCCGGGTTCCAAAAATACATCCAGTCGGTCGCAACGACCAGTACACCCGGCTTGAAACGGCTTCTACCGAGCATTGTGGTGGTGCACTCGGCATCGGGATATTTACACTCCCTGGCGGAGGTCCTACAATCGCCGGCCGTGAAGACCATCCTCGCGGATACCAAGTACGCCAGAGAGACAAAACTCATGGACGAATTTCTCGATCAGCTGCGCAAAGAAACTAATAAAGCGACGTACGGGCCGCGAGAGGTCGAGTCGGCGGTCGACCAAGGCGCCGTCGGCCGTGGTGGAGGGGTCCTTATCATTTCCAACCGCCTGTTTCGGTCACAGGACGTGGCGGAACGTAAACGCTGGGTGTCGCTGGTGGATCGAGTTCGGGATGTCGAGGGAGGCGAGGTACGAGTACTAAGCTCAGACCACGAGAGTGGGAGGAGATTGGACGGATTGGGGGGTATTGCGGCGCTCTTGACCTTTCCCATTGTCGAGGAGGACATGGAATCAGAGGATGAAGCAGCTGGTCATTCCTGAGATGATATATACCGATAGATGAGGTTATGATGATGAATATAATGCTTAGAGTCAGATATCCATATCATATGACTCTGAGTGAGAATAGTAGGTATTCAGCAACCATCAATTTTCTTTATCTAACTAAAAAGATAACGAACGTCATGGCTGACTGACGTTTAAAAACAGATAGAAAACACTATAAAGCAAAAGGTGGTTACCCCCGACTTTGGCATTATTAGCACCACACTGTAACTGACCGAGTTATGGGACCCTTGATGGTATCTGACTGCAAAAATACGCTAAGCAAGCTGACTCTCTCCAGGCCCGTAAGTCCGCGCTCGGAGATAAAATGTGGCCCCAACCTAAGGCGGCAGGCCTCCGAAATCCAAAATGACAACCTTAGTACGAAGTAATATCAGTAATATCCAGAATTCAATTCACGGAGACTCCGACCATGCAGCTTCGGTACGGCCGTCAGTCATTCAATTCGACAGAAAATGAAAATCATGGATAGCAGGGCGACACAATATCTTACTAAGTGTAGTAATCTCATACTCTGATTCAAATGGAGATACATGTCTCATCACCCCCTCTTCCTCCTTCCCGTGGCATTAACTACTCCGTATGATTAATTATGATCCCGATCCAGATCCTGATCCACATCGTAGCCCCCCGCAAGTTCCGCATCAGACGACGTACCTACATAGTAATCTACGACGTGCTCAATCTTATCCCGCAGCTGTCAAAACTCGGCCAGTACAACACTGTAAACCCCTATAAGGGTCTCCGCTGTAGGGATTCTCCACTATAAGGGACTACGCGGCGGCCAAATTGATTTCCCAAATAAAATCCCTTAATACTTCAATACTAGGTATATAAGTTTCTTAATTTTTACACCCCCCACCCAAAGTCCCTTAGAACGGGGTTTTACTGTACACACGTACGAGGCTGATTTCGAGGTCAATCATGCATACCTGCATACATACACCATCTTTCGGGGAATCCTAACATCCTTACATAGTTTCTAACCTAGTTCATCTAGGTACAGGGCCCCATTCGGAGACTACTCTATGGGGACTATGGAATTAGTTTACGCCAAAGAATATACCATTATGATTATCGTGACAAAGACAACAAACAAGAAAAAGATAAAGAGAGAAACAGAGGGACGGATCTCCCCCAAAATGGTGGATGCACAGTCGCCCGCTAAGAGAGAAAAAAAAAAAAAATTCCATTTTCATTTTCATTCTCATTCCATACGTACCTACTCCGCTACTCCTCTTCATCTGGTAGGCTGGATACATGACTGAGTCCAGTCCGTCCAGCTCATCGTTCATCATGCATTGCATATTATATGATCCGTGCTCTTCCGAGACCAGACCCGTGTGACCCCCGCAGTCTAGGTGAACTCCGTGGACAGGACAGGACATGCCAGAGCGCTTCGGGGAGGGGTAACTATATGGAGTAACTTATGATTGATTGATGGATGGATCTAAGCAGCTGATATCAATCCTGCACGATGTACATGTACGTCCTCCGTGAACACGTTCGACGTAGGATTTATGCAGCGGTTCAGCCGCAACCGCGAAGGAAGGGTAGGTAAGCATGCTAGTTTGAATCCTGGATGGTTGGCTCGCGTGTAAAAGTACGGAGTGGGTTAGCCTCGGAGTTGATGCTGATAGATAGGAACGAAGACGGATCGGGAGACAGATATTTACTACAGCACTTATAGGGTAGCCAGTGGTAACTGTATACCGTGTATCATGTTTCCTGCTTACAAGTTACAAGCCCTCTCTCTAGGGGGGTGTTCGATGAGGTTCTAGTCAACTCAAGAGCAGGTTATTTCCGCCGCTCAGGAGATTGAAGCGTTTGATTCGGGGCTGGGATCGAATTCCTTTGCTGTAGAGGCGGCGGCTAAATTCGTTTGGGGCTGATTGATCCATCTGCGCCTAAGTCCGTGTCTGTCTATCCATGCCACGCTAGGCTTAGCTTACTGCATTGGTGGCTTTTTTTTCTTTGACTTTTCGTTCAGTCTTTTCCTTTTTCTTATTATGGTTTTAGTCTAACGATGGGGGTGCTTGTTGCTTTTAGGGAGCGGGTACGTGGCTGCCTAGTTGTGCCAAGTTTTAATATGACTGAATTAGTTATTATTTTTGATTGATAGGTTTCATCTAATTCCTGTAGTATGGTGTGGGTATGTGTATTCATATTTCCTGGGTATGGAAAAAAAAAAAAAAAAAAAAAAAAAAAGGATACTGCTTTAAAAATCAACGTTCAATTTAGATGCTCCATACGGGTATATGTCTGCTGTCTCCATGATATTATGAGAAAATCAGATGCTAAAATGCGAAATCCAACCCATCCCTAGTAAATATTAAAGCCAAAAATAAATCGGATAAGACAAAGATAAAAGCGAAGCAAAACATATAAAGAATTAGAAAAAAAGAGTCTAGGCTTTCGTAACATTTGGCGTCATCCCTCGAGATGCTTTTAGCATGGCTCGTTTTCGTGTATGCTGTGGATCTGATATTCGTGGTAGTGGTACATTCGCATTCCCACGATCTCGATTCTGTGCATCAAGGTACCGTAGCTGTGCCTCGCATTGTTGTGCGCTGTACGTTTTGGAGCCGAGCTCTCGCATCTAGCCGAAACAAAGAATCCATGTTAGGCTGATCCCATTTCGTCTGCCGGAATTGTCCTTGCTAATGTGAGGCTCACCTTCTCCGCTATCAGATGGTACTTTTCATGCTCCCAATACTCTCGAGCTCTTATGAGCAGTTGAATCTAAGCCACCCAACCGTTAGTCATGGGACAGGTAAGGTTACGGGGGTGATACGGTACACATACTCACATCATTCTCATCCCATCGCGCCAAACGCTCTTTGCGTCTGCGTAGCATCCGCATCTGCAGACGAGCCTCAGACGCATCCTTGTTGAATTTCTCCCGAAACATCTCCCGGATGATCTTCCATGCCAGGTTCTGCTCCCGGAGCCTTTCAACAAAGGCATCTTCTTCTTCGGCTTGCGGATCTCTCCGGCCTCGTCCGGGAGCCCGCGGCCGCTGATGGGGATGAGGTTCAACATGTCCCTGTCGTCGTTCCTGCTCTAGGCGCTGGAGTCCCTCGGGGTGAGGAAGTATTGTAACAGGGGTTTCACGAGTCGGTGGCATGTACTTGGGGCTGCGTCGTACCCTCTTGGTGGAAGGCGGTTGGGGAGACAGGGCACCTTCACTGAAGCCATATTCTGAATCGTGTCCAAGACCGGCGGTCACGGTCTGGGGAAAATCGCTCGGGAATGGAGCGGTGATCCCCAACCCATGATGGGGTACAGGGTCTGCCATGCCATACTGGTACTCCTGCGAATGATGGCTGAGAACTGGGCTAGGCCGGGCATGGACAAAGGAGCTATCGGGGAGACTGATTGGTGTTAAAATGGCTGAAGGCTGAAAAGCTGCCGTAGAACTGTAAGGCTGGCTGACGCTTTCATAGGAGGACTAGATCCAGGGATGGTCAGTATACATAGGATCCATGTGTCACATGCCTGTACATACGGCGTCTACTCCGCTCCATTGTGGTGGCATTTCATAGAAGTTGTCCATTCCCTCCCCCGGAGGAGAGACACCTTGACCAAAAGATATTGGTCCTGTATAACCGCATGGGGTCTGGGGATACATGAAGCAAGTTGCACGTAGAAGGTAGGTATTGATAGATCAAGCAGCGGGATGGACAAGCAGACACAAAAACGAATGGAGAGCTTCCAAGTAGGGTGATATAGAGTCCTCTCTAAGGTGAAGAGTAGAACGGAAGGATAAATTTAAAGAAAGAGAAACTCTAACTTGGAATGGCTGAAAGAAAAAGATAGAACGAGAGTTGTCCTCGGATGTGACGTGTAGTAGGTTCATATACTTTATAGCGGGTATTGTTGAAAGGAGATAGACCGCCTCGCGAGGCAGGGCTGAAATGAAAGTATGAAGCTCTTTTGTTCACAGGCCTAGAGAGCTCCAAAGATATGGTTGATACCGCCGACAGTCACTGTGCCGCACAGATGCTCTACTAACCAGAGGGTAGAGTTGACGATGGGCTTGCATTTAAGCGCTTTACGATCCCTGATGATGGGCTTTTTAGGTTATTTTCTCATCCTTTGACATGAAATGGGATGAAAATCAGCCCCCAAAACTCTGGGGGGGCGCAGACTTTACGTTCCTAAGGCCCACACGGTTACTTGAGGCGAGGCAGCACCTGCAATCGAAGTCCCAGAGCTCTGGATCTCCAGGGGTGGACACTGTAGGATGAGCGTCATGGTAAAAGGAACGTAATCGGTGCTTAGCGGCCCGCCAAATTCTAGGAATTGAAATGACGGTCGGAGAGTTAGCGCTTAAGCTGACAAGAGGCTACTAGAAGGGACATGACTAGTGGAACTACTTCGAGAAATAAATCCTCCGAGAAGGGTAAAGGGCAGAGGGGGTGTGGGATGGCTAAGGGACAAAAAAATTATACAAGGGCCCGACGAATGTATCCATAAACATATTCTTACTTTGTGTCTTTAGCCGCTACAACATGTGGAGAGACGCTAAGGAAGTGGAAAGGTTGATTAGGAACTAAGGAAGCCCCAATAACGACAGTCATCTAGTACCAGAACCTTTCAATCCGTTAGCGAGTAGCGTAGGAGGAAGAAAGACCTTGAAGGGAACGCACAAGTCAAGAGTAGATCCCCATCAAGACAGCTGGCAAGGATGGCTACGGCAAGGCGGGCGATTAAGCGCCTCAGGGTTGATTGCGGCTGTAAATCCCGGCGGAATTAGACCAAACTAGTTCAACAGTTAGCGGGATTGTCAGACTTGGGGGGGGGGCATGAAGAGGAAATACTTGGGGGATCAATCAGACTTAGACCCTTGGTTAGTCGCCTGAGCTGACCCTCCTAAGGGGCCAGAAAGAGTATGAGCTAGCGAGCGATCAGTCCTCTAGCGGTTGTCTGCATCCAACCCCAGCCACGTGTCCCCGAAAGAAGTGGCCGGATACGCGCCAGATAACATGGCCATTAATCTCTAGACTCTACTGTCCCTATCCCTGGAGTATCTTCGAGGCTCCCCTCGATTTACAGGCCGTCAGCCGTGGTGGTCCCGTGACGTGACGTCGCAGGCGCTTAAACTTAGCCCTGGCAGACGACGGTATGGGAAATTAGGAACATTGGGGAAGGAAAGAAAAAAAAAAAAAGGGAAAAGGAGAAAGGCAGGATGGCAAGGCAGAACACAATGGAACCAGTATGGCAGTAAAGACAATGATGAGAGTGAAACTGAGGATGATGTCGCCCCCATCATTCCCCGACCGCCTGAATTTATCATCACTCATCATCATCATTCTCAAAACCAGAAACAACAAACAATATAACCAGGTGGGGGACACGTGATATCACTGGGTCCAGGAGTTCGACGGGGCTAAAATCAACGTGGGTTCAAGGGATCTCGCCCTCTTCAGCCTGCCTATGAGGATCCCGATTCCGAAGTCCCGAGGTTCGATGCAAGACAGTAGGTGTCGATCAGGCTTTTCTGCCCTTCAAAATGGCCCCTTCTTTGTTCCTCTAAAACGGTTCGGTGATTTCCGTTATGTCGCCATGAATTCGTGGCTATGTCCGGGCACAGCCATCGATATTCAACTTCTTCGAGATAAGGAGGGCCTGCATATATTCTAATCTTGTTTAATTTCTTTCCTCTGAGACTTTTCTTTCTTTGTCAATGAGGCATTCTGAGAAACTCAACCCGTGATCCTTTACTTCGTACATCTCCACGACCCGAACGATCGAACCATCCCGCCAGCTTGCCCCGAATAGGCATAGGGCAGCCATGGCAGGGCTGCTTTTACCATCCGGAAGGGGCAAAGGATCGTCCCAGGGCTGCCTGCCCAGTTTACTAATCGCTATTCCAAATAACTTAGTTAAGGCAGTCATGATTTGAAATTCAGATCAGATTGTGCGAAAAGGGAAATTTCTGACAACCAAAAAAATGCAGGTCCAGACGTCAGATCTGCGCTATAGCTTCTATATAGGGATGAAAATATCTTCGCGTTATCGTTGTATGGCTCAATCACGGTTGCCTGGTACCGTGGGTGAATGCGTCCACTCGATGTCTCCCAGATGTCCATCCTCGGTCTCCACAAACCCCTCCGTTCCGCCATTGTTCTCATCGTCCATACCATGGCGGGATTCGGGCTGACGATGTTCATCTAATGTGTCATCCGCTGAAATCGAGATACCTCTTGCACCCCAGCGATTACTCCTCGGACGCTCGTCATTACTCACTTCGTCGGCGTCGTCATCGCGAAGGTGTTGTTCCTCTTCGTCAACACTACTTCTTTGTCTAAAGTTGAAGACCTTGCCTAGGAGCCAGCCGTTTCGAAAGTCTTCGGAGTCAACAACTCCCCCGTTTCGCAGTTTCACACGTTGACGCGTATAGTACACCCAGGCGAAATCAATATAAAAGGCGGTCTGAATGACGCCAAACACATCCGCAATCCTATCCCAGTAATGGTCAGGACCCAGCCCTCGCACAAGCCAATTCACAATATAAAGTGCTCGGTAGGACCCTAATGTGACAAGATAATAGGAGTTGATGACGGTGGGCACGGTGGTTTGACGTAACAGCAAGAGCTGGGGAAGCACGCAGACAGACTCCAAAACAATGGAAAATGCCCAGCAAATCTGCAGTGCAAGATCATGCGTCAGTAGGTACAAGTGGAGCAGTTACTCAACTCACCTCACTAAACACGTATTCTGGCGGATATTTCCCATATAAGATGGGATGCAGGATAGGTGCCAAAACCAAAGCCACCCCAACCGAGCCCAAGGCTAGCTTCCAGGCTCGCTCTCTTTCGCGTGTCCGAGGGAAGACCCTCATCATTATGAAAATGATATAGAACGAAGAAATGATATAAAAGATCTTGAAAAACACAAGATAAAAACTCCTCCAGCCCCTTGCCTGGAACAAGTCAAGATACCGGGTAACAAATACCATGGCATAAAGTATTTGGGTAAGAAGCGACACTCCTACAAGCACCGGCTCAGTATTAGCACCCATTGGAGAACCTGTAAAAGTACACTGTACCTTCAGCGCTCTTGTTCCGGTGGATAGCCCCTATCAGTATACATTTGGAAGAGATGTGGGCAAGGTCGCCCAGAATGCGGAAAAACTCATATAAACGCATCGTGTATTAGTGAGAGCTCAAACCAGCTAATCTAGTCTCCTCTTGGTTGAAGCAGCTATAGATATAGCTGTTAAGAGTCCCCGTTCAGGCCACGACGCTGAACACGACCAAGAAGACAGCCAAGGGATCATGTGACCTCCACCTGAGAAGGTGGATGGACAGGTCCAGTCGAAAAGCGCGGCAACAGGCTCTGGTGACGTGGTCAATAAAAAAGACCGACAGGTAGAGATAGGTTCAAGATGAAGGGCGGTCAAGTGAAGCTTGTCGTACAGGTCAAGTCGTTATCAAGGGAGCTCCCGCTTACAGGATCCACTAGAAGCTGGGGCCGCGTGTGCATCACGTGATATATTACAGATGACGTCAAGAATGACCGTTTGCGACTCTCAGATGTGTTGTTGAGGGCTCAGAGAAGGCTGTCTGCTGACCATAAAAGTACTGACTGAGCAAGTTAGATGGCTGTAGTTATCAGCACAGGAGTTAAGGGTATTCAAAAAACTTGGATATAAGGGAAATGGAAGGTATCAGATTTGTTTGGTTGGTATTCTTAATCTAGATGGGGTTTAACCTTATTCCAGTGACAGAGAATAGATAGGTAGCTCGTTCTTATTATTTGATCATCCATTATATGGAAAAGAAGTTACCTATAACAAGCATTCAGTTATCAAGATTATCTGGCAACTTATTGTACATTTAAAGAAATATGTATATTTCCAAAAGCCCACGGGCTCTAGGTGACCGTAATTTGGTAATTCATGGAAATGGAAGAATAATTCCTGACATATACATACCTGTAATGCATGTTCTCTGCCTTGTGCTATACTCGTAATGTAAAAGAGGTTCCGGGCAAGGTTGAAGCTGTGAACAAAGGTTATTAAGTCCCCGAGGGCGTTTCCAAGGGGACCTTTGGTAAATTCACCAATAGGACAATATAGTGAACTGAATTGCATCACTTAGGGACTGGCCTTGGGCTTAACTGGATTGATGTTGGAGGAGTAAGATAGGAGCTATGAGCAGAATATATAGAGGTAGGATGCTGTTGCAGCCACTACCATGTACACATAGTTGATATATACTACAGCGTTGTCCTGTACTAAGCACTACTCTCCGCTGGCATGGTCTTCTAGATTCGAATAGGATAATAACGAAGAATCCTGCAATGTCTGATCCCTGCAGAAACTGTATGTGATGTGGGAAAGACAGAATGACGGCTAACTGGCGATACTTACCCCGCTTCCTGCATGAGGAGCAAAACAAAACACCCGCCTCTCTACTTGCTTTTTTCCTATTTGTTTCCCCTCTGGTCGCTAAGTTGTCCACTCGACTCGGTCCACACTGTCACCGGGTTTTGATGGTGTCTCTCGGGCCTTGTCGGACTCGTTGGCTCAACTTAACACTGCATCCTTGCCAGGTTGGCCTGGAATTGCGATTTCTTTGGGCCGACGGAATCCCGCCACTACTACTGGTATCATTAAGGCTATACTTGTCACCCGGGAGATCGAGATTGATATTATGTGGTGAAGACGGGGTTTTAGCAGTATAGGTATGCTCAGAGCCAATCTGGGGTATGGAGATAACCGCTCTTGCTTTATTGGTAGTTTGTAGTAGTAAATCTAGTTTGATGTTGTCCTGTGGTTGTTAGTGAAAAGAGCAATAGTGACATTTCATTTATAGTAAATATAAGAAATAGAGGCTTTTTTCTTTTTTTTCCCTTCTCCATCTATTTCTTATTGTTTATCGTGAAGTTGATGTACAGACAACAAAAAAAGCAAGGAAGGAACATGATACCTTCGGAGGCAGCGGGACTGGAACCTTTTTTTTTAGCTGGAATGATTTCTTCCCCTCATGAGTTTTTAGTAAGTATTGTCCGTATCCAGGCTTCCTTCTCTACATCACCTGGACTCCTCTCCTAAACGATATCGGCTCTCTCTCTCTTTCCCACTTTCGCCTATTTGGTTCTTTCATCTACCTCGACGCCTGTATATCGTTCATTTCATCAAGAAGATAATCCAAGTGTCAGCTTGATCATGAACTTTGACCAGTAAGCCTTCTCTTTGTTCTCCACTTGTACATGTACCGACCTGGTCTTCTTATCATCATTCTTCCAGTACTCCTCCTCCTCCCTCTCCTCCATCGTACTATTTCCAACCTTTGTATCATAGTGCTGCTACTAATACACTTGAAAGGTCTTCTTGTGACTGTGCCTAAACCTGTTTATATTTTGTACCCCTCTTTTTCAATTCATTGGCCTTTCCCTACTCCTTCTACCCTCGATGTCCACCGCTTTCGCCCACCTACCTACATGCACGTAACATGAGATTTTTTTTTTTTCTTTTCTCAGAACCTTCATCTCTCTCCTCTCTCTCACCCTCTAGTATTGTTTTATTTTCTCTTTCTGCGGCGCTACTGCCACGGCGTGGGATGCGCCCGTGTCATCGTCACTGTTTGGTGTAACCGAAATCTCGCTTCCCTGAACTTGACAGGCCAATCTCCACGGCATGTTCTTGAGAAGCAGATTTGCTAACCTCCCAAGCATGTGTATCTACAGATGAATCGACGCAGCGTGATTGGGAATACTACGTACCGTCCACTATGTCGTAAGTTTGCCCTCGTCCTCCCCCTCCCCCTCCCTCGTGGAGGCCTTCCTTGGTGGTGCTTAGCGATCAAGGCATACTTTCTATTTTATTTATTTATGCTTTTCTTAAATTATTTATATATACACACACATATATATGTTGTGTCATGTGCTTTTGCGACACTTTTTGACTGTTGATTTCCCTTGTCTTCACATGCGACTTTGACGAGCATTTGTTATACTCTCACAATCATTCATATGGTTCTTTTTTTCCTATCTGGTTCTCTCTACTTGACTAACATTAAAACCTCTCATTCTATTTCCTCTGGAGTAGGTCTTCTCCCACTTCTAAACGGATCAAGACGTCCGCTTCCACGAACAACCCATCCCAACTGTTAGCCCAACAGCAGGTCAACCCCTTTCAACCAGTGCCTTCGTTCGAGGGCATTCATATGTCCCCTCCTCAAATCCCTCACATCTCTTCTCAAATCCCCCCTCAGATCCCTACTCAAATCCCTGCTCAAATTTCTCCTTCTAATCCCCGCAAACGCCGTTCCTCTCCCCAGTCGAACTCCGCGACAACCATGGCGATGTCGATGTCCACTACAACCTCGGGGGAAACCGTGCATGACCGTGGGGGTGGAGTGCCTGAGGCTACCCCTCGGAAGAAGGGCAGGACTAATACACCATGGACGGCCGAGGAGGAACAGCGACTGAAGACGATGCGCGATGCCGGCCGTAGCTGGAGTGAAATTGCTAAGGTGGGTTGGAATCTGACCCTTCTGTTTTACTATCAGATGTTGCTTACTACGTTTCGCAGACTTTTCCTACTCGAACTGAGGGGAGTGTTAAGAAGCACTGGTATAAGGTAGCGATTTAATCAGTATTATGCAAAATGAGCTATAACATTAACACCACAAGTAGGACATGCATTATGCCGAATTTGCAGAAGATGAGGTAATCACATGAATGATGGCCCCTTGGTTAAACAGGCTCTAAGAACTCCCAGACCATAGCACTCCGTGAAGCCATCAAAGAGTATGAGTCCAACAAATGGAAAGTTATTGGACAGAAGGTTGGGAAACCGGCAAAGGTCAGTTCTGAGCGCTCCATATACGTCAAATAAAACACCACTGCTGATGGTGGATGCAGGCATGCGAACAATACGCGAAGGAACACTTTAAGGACCTCTAGACTTAATGAGACTTGACGATGTGATGACACCATGCATTTGCTATACGTCTTGCAATCTCCATGAGCTTCATCTCTAACATTACCCTTACCTTCTTTCACTCCTTTCTTTTCTAATATTATATTTTGCGACAGCATGTGGTTTCGGTAGCAATTTGCACAAGATTTGGCGACGGGTTACGGAGTTGACTTCTCTTGTTTTTTCATTTGTATCTTTACAACCGGAGTATAACATTTGCGGTTCTCAGCCCTGTTTCCGCACATGCTACTAGGGCCTGCTACCAATATGAAGTGCTACAGGTGACAGAAAAAGCCTACTAAACCCCGACTTTTTGTAGCAAGCCCCCCATGTATTTTTTGGCACCCAAGCCTATGCTAAGGTAGGCTACCTACTAATACTAACTACTCTTATCGAGTAATTAGATTATGAAGACGAGGAGCGAAGTGTATCCGCCGCTCATCATTGGTCTAAAGAACCGAAGTGCGGAGTCTGGATCCGGCTTTCTTTCCCCCGCTATCTTCACTTCACCTTTTTTTTTCTTTTTTTCTTCTTGAAAAACACTCTTTTCATACAACGCCTAATTCCTGCTAGTTCACTTCAATTTGCATAGCAATTCCGGTGGTGAAGTCCCCGCCAGATCAGCATTTTATTCTATAATTGTGTGAATCTGACCAAGGTGAACTTGATTCCCTTGAAACATCTCCAATTTATGTGAAGAACATCATAACTGACGTGAGGTTTGACTTCATCTGACTAGTTTCTGTAGCCCCAGTTGAGGGAAAGCATATCTTCCTGTACACCTCTCCCGTCTGCTGTCATACACCCCACCCTAATGCAAGGGATGGATATCATGAACGCGAGTAGCGTGGTTTTGTCTGTCGATCAAGGTATCTAGGTAATCTGCCTGCATGAAGACCGGTGTTCGACAACTGGATGTCGCACAGACCTGAGCCTGGTTGCTCGCCTAAATTGGGTGCAATGTTCGGTTCCTTTGCGTGGCAGAAAATGTCGTTCTGAGAATATACGGTTGAACTTGATCTGGATAATTCCAGCGAAAGAACTCATGCTTGCTTTTTGATTCTTCCCCTCCCCTATGACTCATTGCTGACTAGAGCAGAACAGCATGTCCACAGAAAACCCTACCCTCGCCGTGGGGATGTACTCTAAGGAAATCTCAAGTATCCATACTGCTGCGGAACAACCGCCCTGTATTTTAGACAAGGGAGAAGGAAATAATCCCCTTGTGGCGGGTGGTCCAGTGGCCCCTTCCCGCCTTACGAGACACATCAGGAATCTCGAGAAGCGGCTTGTCGAATACAACCTAGAGACCAGAGGTATAGAGCGAGTGCGAGAAGATGAACGGATGACCAAACTGTCATGGATTTCGTACTTGCAAGCTTTTTTACTTTGGGTATCGATAAATCTTGCTGCGAATAATATCACCCTTGGGATGCTGGGACCTGTCGTATATGGCCTGAATTTTTTGGATTCGGCCCTCTGTGCTGTCCTCGGGGCTCTTCTTGGAGCCGTGGTTGCTTCATGGATGGCTACTTGGGGGCCAGTCTCTGGAATCCGGACGATGGTATGATAGAATGCATTCTGCTGCTGTCGCTCTCGAGTAATTTACACGCTAACAATAACGTAGGCATTTGGACGGTATGCAATGGGCTGGTGGCCAAGTAAACTGGTTGTCATCCTGAATTTGATTCAGATGATCGGTTATTCCCTGATTGATTGCGTAGTCGGAGGACAAATTTTGTCCGCCGTGTCGCCAAGTGGAGGCATGCCAGTTGCAGTCGGTAAGATCTGGGGATTATTGATACAACAGCATCGCTCACTGAGAACCTACAGGCATTGTGATAGTCGCGGTGGGCAGCTGGGCAATCGCCACTTTTGGCATTGAGATCTTTCATTACTATGAACGGTGAGTGCAATGCATATACATATGACGGAATGAGCCCCAACGGTTGCTAATTTCATAAAGTTTCGCCTTTCTACCTCAGCTCATTGTGGTTAGCATACTATTTGGCGTGGCTTCAGTGAAGTTCGATTTATCCACACCATCCTTAGGCGATACCCGCACAGTAGCAGGGAACCGGTATGACTTGCTCCTTTAAATATTGTATGCGGTTTCTGGCTAACATGCTTCTGCGCATTCAAGATTATCGTTCTTTTCTCTCTGCCTAAGTGCAGCCATTACATATGCCCCATTAGCAGCAGATTTCTTCGTTTATTACCCCGAGAGAACATCCAGAGTAGCCCTCTTTTCTCTTTCACTGCTCGGTCTCCTAGTGTCATTCACCATGGCTTTTCTATGCGGTATTGGACTCGCATCCGGCATCACCGCCGACCCAGAATATGAAGAGGCATACTCCAGAGGGGCCGGGGCGCTCATTGTCGAAGGGTTTGGACCTCTGCATGGATTCGGAAAGTTTTGTTCGGTGGTAGTTACCCTGGGCCTCATTTCAAATACCATCGCGCCGACTTATTCTTCCGGCGTTGATTTTCAGATTCTGGGAAGATGCGCTGAGAAAGTTCCACGTGCTGTCTGGAATACAGTTGGTGTCGTCATCTATGCTGTGTGCGCATTAGCTGGCCGGAGCCACCTCTCCGATATTTTTACCAACTTTCTTGCCCTAATGGGCTATTGGGTCGCGATCTGGTTTGTTATCATCTTGGAAGAACGGTACATCTTCCGGTTCCGCAGCGGCTACAACTGGCACGCCTGGTGCGATCAGTCCAAGCTCCCCGTGGGCATTGCCGGATTGATTGCTTTTTTGATCGGATGGGCCGGCGCAATCCTCTGTATGGCGCAAGTCTGGTATATTGGACCTATTGCACGGTTGGTGGGGAATTCTGGAGCAGATGTAAGTAGTATCCGGTTGCAGCAGATGGGGTGCTGAAAAACTGTATTTTGCTGACCGGTTGCAATTTGGTAGATGGGAGCCTACGTTGGATTCACCTGGGCTGGACTTGTGTACCCGCCTTTGCGTTACATTGAACTCCGTAGGTTTGGACGGTGATGCGTATGCATATGGATATATGCAGCGGCTCATATCATTGATTATACAGGGAAGAAGAGTATTACTGTGGTCGCCCATATATAGGAACCTGGGAAATGATATATCTATTGGATTGTGGTGTGTTTATCCCGATATCTTGTTGTATAGACAATCGGATGCAGCATCTTCAACTCGAATAGATCGCTAGATTATATTAAACCTGAAAAAGGAGATCCATTCTTTCTATACATCCAAAAGACAACCAATACCTCAAGCCAACCAAATAGTACACACAATCCTATGCCAAAGTCCTACTGTAAGCCAAGAAGCACACCACGCCCATCCCTATAACACTACTACCTCCTTTTTAGTTTCCATATGATACCTAAGTAATAGTAAATTTCCCTACCAAGATATACATAGACTTGAAAACAGAGCACCAAACTTAACATATCCCTGGTTCAGAATGTCCCATCCTTATCTGGATGGATATGGATACAATACCTTAAACATAGCACGCATGGTCCTGTACAGAGTACTCGATTAAATAATCCATTCTAGGTAGTTAGTTAGGCACATAGGAACTTACGTATCTACCTAGGTAATAATTAATTACTGTATGTGGTGTGATAATATCCGATTGAGTGGACAAAACATGTGATATCTATTATTGTCATACCCGAAGGTCCGTATCCGTGTCATGCCACCCATCCTTTCGCTTTCTACTTCCCACCGGACCCCCGTTAAGTTGTCTACTGTGAGTCGTGTAGTGTGCTGTTACAGCTATGATGCCATGCCATCGGTAGCTTACTATTTACTACTCGATGGTTAAGACATAAAGGAATAGTTAGTTAGCCAGGATATGATAGATGATTAGAGAAGATAGAAAAAATAACTAAAAACAACAATCACTCTCCATTCAACTCAACTATTCTACAAGAGATAAATGCTCGGATTCAACAAAGGTACAGCCACAGAGGTCGAAAGGAAAGGGAAAAAAAAAAAACAAGACGACACGAATAGTCCATATATAAGCCAGCGACAGAACATTAGCCACCCGGACGACCCGTATGACTACTTGCTTCCTTTGGTTTTACATTCCTTCTTTCTTCTTTCCTTTGTCCTTTTTTCGGTGTCTTGGTTCTCTACCGCTTCTTCCAGAGGCACAACACATCCGCATCTCCGTTATCGTAAACGTCAATTGTTTACCGGTACCAGTAATCAGGCTTGACGTAGTCCGCGAAGGTCTTGGGCTCCTCAGGTGCGGGGTGGCCGTGGCCGTGGCCGTGATCGTCTGTCGATGGTTTGTCAGTAAAAGACATGACATGGACTCCGTAATTTTTTTTTTGTTTTCAAAAAAAAAAAAAAAAAAAAAAAGTGGAACTCACGAGCATGGGGATCCTCCTCAGGGCCAATGTAGTTCAGCTTGACGACGTTACCGCACTCACCGCAGCGCTCGATAGGGCGGTCACGAGACACCTATGATAGAAATTAGCGTTCAGACATAGTAACCAATCCAACATGCCATTGGCTCACCGTCAGCCAATTAACTTGGTGGGAGTCAGCAGGGAAGCCAGTGCAACCAGCGTACTGCTCATCACCGGCACCGTTGACAATAATAGGGTTGTCAAGGGTTCCTAGAAACCGAGACAAAACAAAACACGGTCAGCCATCGTTTCAATTGAAACAGTGAGAAATCAGTGGCTTCATAAACCATGATTTCTTCAAACTCTTTTAACAATAGGACTGAATAAAGAAATATATACCCTTGCGGGAGGCATCCAGGGGCCTCATGTCGAAGATATCGATTCCCTGCATCTTTCCGATAAGTTCCAGACGTTCGAGACCGGTAGCTTGCTCAATGTCGGTGGGAATGGAACCGGGCTTAGCACCGGGTGCGAGGAGGTCATCTTCGGTCTTAATGTCTGTTCCGAAAATACAAAACATGATTAGCATTATATTGAATGGTGGTCTGGTGGTCTATTTTGGACGGCTGATTCGCGCGTCCTAGACTCCCCCATATTACTGAATCCATAATTAAAACCACGTAAGTAACCGGGAATTAATTCGTATGGAAGCAATTGAGCGTTGTGGAACTCTGTAGTTGCGACTACCCACCTTCAAAAGGAAGGATCTTGCCCTCCTTCTCAACACTGTATTTCGACTTGTTGCCTGCATGCACAGAAGACAGAGATTAGTATATAATTCGGCTAACAGGATCACATATTCGACACAGAGGCCCCAATGGTCCCATTGGGCCATGTGGAGGGCAATAACTGCGACTGCTGTCATGGGAAGAGCAGGTTGAAGGCTGGGACGTTTGGGCTCACGTACTGCGAATGACGGAGGAGGAGAACGGGCGAGCAGCGAAGGCCCGGACGGGAGTGCGCCTCGCAAGGGCGAAGGCTGTGCGTTGGAGGAACATTGTCCAAAGAAGTGGGTGTAATGACGGCGGACGAGGGGGGTGGTGAGGACGGGTTGGAGAGGGAGTTTAGAGGTTGAGGTGAGTTTGAAGCCGCTTCGGCCCGTGGTAGGTCGAATAGTCAGCAGCGCCGGCTGATTGGTTGCGGAAACAATACGGCCGCTGTTAAAGACCAGTACAGCACTTCTGCCCAATCTGGATGCGAGATAGGGCTTAGGGCTGGCATCGCGTGATGTCAGTCGATTCGGGAATTGTCGGTTGAGATGTCAGGCAATCCATCGGGATTCGATTGCTCGGTGAACAGGTAGTATATATAACAGGATCTATGTAAAATTAACTCTTCCCATTCAACCGTTTTCCCTTGGGATTATTCCTCTTGGTCAACTCTGCCGGCAGTTCCTGGAGCATCTGTCCGTTCTCCCAGATCTTCCCCATACCCAGTCTCCGCTCCACGACAACATCGAAGAACTCCAACGGAACCATGTGCTCGCCCTTTCCAGTTGGCATCCCTTCGCTGAGAATGACACCGTTCTCACTGCGCCAGAACGGGCACCCAGCAGCCAGTGCTCGCTGGATATCAATATAGATCAAAACTTGAGCATCTCGTCGCATTCCCGATATCACCTGCAGTTCATCTGTACGCGGTGGGGTTCCAATAGGCGAAGGGACAAATGTCTCTAATGTTGGCCCTGTCGCAAAATGGACCTGGTTCCGTCCCATACTTCGCAATCCGCCCGATTTCAAAATCTCCGGCCAAGCAGCATGAAATGTCCCATGTACCACAGTATTCGGTAGCTTCGATTCGTCCTCCAGGGTGAGCTTCTCCAGCAATGATGCCGCATCCACACTTTTAATACTATGCCCCTGTGTCGCGCGAATCATGAAGTGAGAAGGATCCGAATCGCTCACCGTAAGCGCCGTCGTTGTCGCCGTATCCTGCCCCTCAGTTGTCATAGGAATCGCTATGCTGCTGCTTGAAGTCGGATCCTGCTCGCATATTACGTCTCCCTTGCCATTGTTCTTGGTATTTGTAGTCGTAGTTGTCGTATTAGCAGAAGCATTCGTCTCCGTCTCCGCAGAGGGGATATGCAGCAGGGCAAACCGCTTCTTATCCGACGTAGAGACGGCATGCAAAATCTCCGGGAACGTTGCTTTCAACGACTTGAGCTTTCTCCAAGCGAGCTGTGTGACTCCAATGTGTGGTTTAGCCAATGTCTTTTTATGTTCTCTCTCATTCCTTTTTCTTTTCGCTATTTTCCTCATAAAGGGCAACGGGGCGCATACCACGTCCGCCACGTTGGCGTATCCCTGACTATCTATCTCGACGCCTTCTTTTTCAGCTGCATGTCGCAGGATATAGCTTAGGGCTTTTGAGATGGTCACGTCGCGTCCGGAGTTTTCTTTGCCTTTGGAGTTGAGGTGTCGAGGCATTGCGGAGGATACCGTACGGAGAGGGGTGATTGGGACGCTCTTCCGGAGGAGATGGTGGAAGCGGTTCAAGATGAGCTGGATTTTAAATACTTTTAATTTTGGGGATTGAAACGAATAAGTCATCAGCAGTCATGGCAATGACGGTGGTGAGGCTAGGACTGTTGATGCGGTGGGGGAAGTGAGATTTTGACATCATCAGCAATTGATCGACAAACTAAGCCGGAAGAGGAAATGGAATCTACAATTCTGGTGGATTATACATGGAATTTCCTAACTATTCAACTATCTTTCCTTTTAGCATTTAGCGCTACAGGGAATAACCGCGAAAGCGGTGAGGGCCACGTATGGCGGGTATAGTGAATTCTTGAATCAGGGTAGTTCGCTCTAACTCCTCACATCCTTTCGAAGTTGGGTATATCAAATAAGAAGAATCATCGATCACAAATACAGCTGCATTCCGCCACAGGACAGACTTTATGTTTGTTAAACCATTCCCGAGCATGATGAGCATGAAATCCATGGTTGCAATTGATACAGAACACAATGAACCGGCGCATAAGATCTGCCTCGTTGGATCGACGCAACTCCTGTCCCGCGTCAACCGCGAGGCAGGCCTTGGACATCGGGTCTGGGGAACCTAACCAGAGGGTACAAACACCGCATCGGGGCATGTGTCGGCCGCAGCGAGGACACACCATGCCTGACATGGCGGCCGTGCCGAGTGGATTCCCCGGGGTCGGATGCACCACTTCTCCCGTCGTAGATGGCGAGAGCTGCGAGGAGGCGTCGTGCTGGGTCAGTGGCCGAGTGCAATAGTTGCAGGTCAAACTGACTTGCTGTCGCGGCGGCTCGACTAGTTTTCGGCCGTCCCAGGTGACGGCGAACTTGCGCGATCCGACGTCGAATCGAGCCCGCTCGAGTTGAAGTTTCCAGGAATTGATCTGCCCACGGTATGTCTCGCGCCAGGTTTCGAAGCGAGCACGGTTGGGATGATTGTTGATGAAACGCGGGACGGTGTGGCTCATGGCCAATACGGGGGTCTGGACGTCATTGAACTTGTTGATATAAGATTGGAATAGATCCATGGCGGAATGGCCTAGACCCGTAAGAACGATGCCTTCTATATCACCCTGACGAATGACCTCTTCCGTGGTCTCGTTAAGGTACGTAGTGAGTTCATCATCGGGGAGCCAGCGCAAGGCGACCTCGATACGGTACTTCAAGGGCAGCGTGATCTCCTCGATGACCGAGTTCCAGTCTCCCTTGCTCACGAGGGCTAAAATCGCCCTCGAATAGGGGTCTGTGAGCTCTTTTGCGATTTCGGCGCACGTGTCCTCCCAATCCGAGTCGGTGTCGCCTTTTGCGGCACCTGCGATCGCCATGGCAAGCAGTTTATGGGCTTGGGTGGGCTCATGACTACGCAACGCTAGATAAGCCAGCTTGGGTTCATCCTGGAAGACAGCCAAAGCAGCTGCTTTGGTATGCTGATTCTCCGCCGACAGAGTCTTTACGGTCTCCTCTAATTCACGGTGGGATTGCGCTGCACCGCAAAGTCGGAGGCACAGCCGGCGATGCTCCACGTAGTCGGTCTCGCAGCCCTTGGTCTCGGGCAAATGTAGTTGCTCCCGAACCAAGTCAGTGATCACTTCGTTTATATCTGTAGCGCTACTCGGCCCGACGCGACGGGCTTCGAGACTTTCGCCTATGAGAGCAGTTAGTTGAAAGTCATTCGTTTATAACCGAGTCGATCCTTACCCAAGTTATTATTCCACACGTCCCACACCCCCAGGTAGTTCAAATCCAAGCCATGTACGATCATCGAATCGTTGGACGACTCCGACCGTGCACCTAATTGCAAAGTAAGCATTATCTCTCGACGTTATGTTGTTGAGCCACCTACGTTGAACCCAGTCCCAGAAGCCTTGAAGACAGGCGTCGTCGGCCAGAATCATTTTATTTCGGGATTCATCAAACAGGTAGCCTTCTTGGCACCGGAGTCGATTCACTGTCAACAGGGTCAACGCCTCTTCTGCCGTAAGCGGATCGCCCGAAGTTCCGAGCGACAGGACGCGTTCACGGGCCTCCCGACTGGACAGTGGTTTTGTCGAGCGGCTCGCACGAGATCGACCTTGGTCGGATTTGTTGGGCGGTAAACGGCGCTCATGAAGACTTCCAATGACCTCCGAGACACTCGAGCCAGGACTCTGCAGCGGACCGGTAATTTTGAAATCCTCATCATCGGCCCACCCACAGATCAGCGAGCCCTGAGAGGAGAGTCGGACAGGGGGAGGGGGAGGCTTCACGGTGGCAATGCTGGCGTGGCCCTCACCCGATAACGTAATGACACTGGGGTTGTTGGAAGAACTTATGTTCAGGAAATCGAAGGAGACGACCCGTTTGGACTCGGCATAGCCGCGGGTCGAATGATTGAAGGGAGAAAAGATATCGCGGATATATTTGGGGTAGATCTGCTCTGGATAGTTTGTAGAGGAGCCGTGACCGAGGGTCTCATCCATGGACGAGCGATATTCCTCGGGCAAGTACTCCTTGGCTATATCGTAGGTCTTGAAATGGCCGGTATTGGCCAGCACCCCCAGACAGCCTCTCTTCGTCCTGGAAAAGCGAAGACTCCAGATGGACGACTTAGGGGCAATGACGTTGGAAAACTCCAGGGCCGGACCCAGCTGGCCGGTTTCGACGGGGCCGACACCGGGGGTGGCAAAGCGGGAGCCGACACGACGGTCCCAAATACAGATCGTCGGGTCATTGGATGTCAAGCAGGATGCGATGTAATTCTCATCGAGCCAGTCAATGGCCAGATTGTGAACACAGCGGGTCGGGAATTGCAGGGAGGGATTGCCGGGGCCTTCGCGCAAATCGTAGATCCGGACGTACTGGCCTTTGACGCCCGTCACCAATGTATCGGGTTGATCTCGGAAGAACTTGACACTGGTGATGGGCTCGGAGCTGGCGAGTTTCCGCAAGGGCTCCACATACCCCTTGGAGGCTTTCATGGTCAAACGCTGGGTCACGTCCCAGATATTGAGGCAGAAGTCATTGCGCACGCGATCCAGCCCGGCTGCCAGCAATCCGTGGGGACTGAATGCCACGGCATTACAATACCGTTGATGACGAATGGGGAACGAGAAGGACTCCTGGGAGTCGCTGCTCATACGCAGAATGGTCGCGTCTCCAGACGACTGGCCCACAGCCACCAACGACTCATCGACAGGGGACCAATCGAAGGCGCGAAATGCAGGGACTTTAGTGTGCGTGGACAGCACTTGATGGTCGAGGGTGTGGCCATCGAACGAGGTTACCCTGCACAAGCGGAAGATCTTGCCCGTCACGTCGACGGAGAGAAAGCGCTGCTCCGCGGTGGTGGAGGATGGAGACCAGCGAATGGCCGTCTCCATTTTCTCTTTTCCCTTTTCTCTAGTTCTTCTTCTTTAACCGGACTAATGCAGGATAATATAGGTGTATGTGCCGTCAAAGATACGACCAGCGGATGATCGGATGCGACAGCCGTAGCGCCAGCCTCCAGTTTCACAATGTGGGAGACATGGTAGCCAATGCAGATCGAGTGGTTATTGACCAGATATGCATCCAGTCCATGGTCTGGGATGTTGGAGGAGAAGAAGGCAAAGAGGGCATGGTTGTCTGTACGAACTATGGGCACGTGTGGGTGACTAATCGCTGACTCATCTATCGTTAGATCAGATCAATGTACGAGTAATAGGCTACGTTGGACCTTGGGTGGGATTGGAATTGACTATGAGTCTCCAGTCTCCGATGTCGACATGGCTGCAGGTTTGTTTCACCTGCTTAGCTGCACGAGGGACCTGGATTCGAAGACTGCCTTAGCGGGGATAGCTATGGATAGATCGATTGACTCATCCCATGCTATTGTGGAGAAATAGGAAGTCAATACTTGTAGCAATATGCATTTTGCAATTAGCCAAAGCTTGTAGCCCACTGGATCAGTACCGACTATCTATCACATTGTGATAAATGGTACCGACCCTGCATATATTTTATCTAAGTACGGAGTAGGTAGTTGTAGGGTATACGCAAGGACAACTGTAAATATTGATTGGCTCCCCGGCCCGACATTTAGCCCGGCTGATATGGACAGTATTTTTTAATTGCTTAATTTCCGTCAACATTCCACAGCATACATCTTCAATCCCAAGTATCCAGCACATCCAGTCCCTACCATGCCGCGCCATTATTCAAGATCACAATCCCCCATATCCCGCCCACCCAAAGACAGAAACTACCGCGATCGAAGCGATGCGCGTCCCAAGCGCAAAGACCGCGACGACGACACATCCACACGAAAGAAGCTCCGGATGCCGCAGAAAGAAATCAACTATCCATCTGTGAACGAGTTGAAGAAGCGCATCCGTGATGTTAAACGTCTTCTGAACCGAGTTGATCTACCGGCCGATGCTCGCATCGTGCAGGAACGTGCCTTGACTGGGTATGAGAAAGATCTCGAGGAGGAGATGAATCGACGTGATCGGTCGAAGATGATTAAGAAGTATCATTTTGTTCGGTTTTTGGGTACGTTTTGCTTTGCCTATACCTTCTAAATCTAATAATTGTATAGATCGAAAAACAGCCACTAAAGACGTGAACCGTCTCCTTCGACATGAGAAAGAGATCTCGGAGTCTGCAGATCTCGACGCCACTTTGAAGAAGTCGAAGCTTTCATCCCTCGCTCAGAAAATCCACACCGCTCGCGTCAACCTCAACTATACCATCTATTACCCTCTTACCGAGAAATACGTCGCTCTGTATGCGGATGTGAAGAAGGGCAAAGAAAAAGGATCCAATCTCCCCGCCAGAAAAGACAACCAAAATAATGACGATGACTCCGACAATAATTCCAGCTTTAAGGCCCTTCACACCACAGCGGCAGATAAGCCGGCCCTATGGCATGTTGTTGAGAAGTGTATGGAAGATGGGACGTTGGACCTTCTACGTGATGGGAAATTGACCGCAAATGGAGGACCGGGCGACAGTAAACAAAAGAACGCTACTCGTTTATCGGAGTCAAAACATGAAGGAGCAGAGAAAAAGAGCGCCCAGTCCCGTACAGCGGAGACCAAAAAGGATAGGATATCGAGCCGGGCTGCTGCTGGGAAAAAGCGCGACACGCTAGGGAAGATGGCCTACTACAATAACGACGACGATGATTATCAGAGTGATGGAGGCTTCTTTGAAATGTAAATCCCTCATCTTGAACTACTTAGGCGTGTCTAGCGTCGAGCATTTTCGGGAGTTTTTGTTAGCATGGGTTGGGTTTCCCCATCGTCGGTTTCATCAATAAGCATAAGTTTTACGGTTGTCCTACGATACCCTCTTTTTTTTTAAAAAAAAAAAAGTACTTTTCTTGTCAATTGTGGCCCTTATGATATGACTACACAGTATTCCACCAGAGACACAGATCACGAAATTTGAAAGGGGAAAAAATAAAATAAAATAAAATAAATAAAAAAAAAAAGAAAGTATCAAGAACCCAAAGTAATGCTGGATAAATTCCCGACAATGCAAGATCAAGATCCTATAATCGAAAAACTCCCAAGCCTTGCGATGCATTCGACCCTTCTTCTAATGCAGAAAGAGACATGAAGATAGGCGATCCAGCTTCCGAGTCCCATCCGGCTCCGATGTACGCCGAGTCCTAGGAAACAAAAAAGAGATCCATCTAAAGCGACATGTGAAGAATGGGTTCGCTAGTGATCATGCCTCCCGGTGAAAAGTACCCAACTGTTCTCACAGTTTCGTCATTTCATATCTCGTAGCATGCTCAAAGGCCCGGAGCGATGCTTCTCAGCCTTTCAGTATGACCAGCATGGGCTGTGTGCATTTTCTCATGACTTTTTTTTGTTTCTTTCTTTCTTTTTCTTTGATTTTCTTTTTCTGGCTTCTTAGTTCTTTTGAACGTTTCGTGTCACCGTGTACACGTTCAGATCAAAGTTTCCAAAGTCCTCATACAGCTTCCTCATACAACTTGTGACGAGGTGCTTGAAAATGTGCAGCGCAGTATAAGGCAATTGCTAGTGTTCCCTTACATAACAGTACAGGATCCTCCACTTTGAGCTCTTCTACGCCTTCCGCCAAGGGTCCCAATTTCATCATCTAGATTATAAAGCCGCTCGGCTTCACGCGCCCGTCGTCGTCGCCGCCTCGCCCCAGCACCGGTAACACCGGCTTCTTCGGTGGCCATCATATAATCAGCCCATTTCCTATCAAGTCTATTGGCAGCTGCAAGGTCCCCGCGCAGCACTCGCTTGTTATGTTCGTTCACTGTCATCTGCCAGCCATAAAAGCACTTGAGATAGATGATTTCATTAGGGTACACCGGCGGTGGCGGCGGAGGCGTGATTGGAGACGTAACCATCATGGGGGATGCCCCTGGCTGGTTCGGTGTAATAGTTTGCGCGACGACTGAGATAGCAGACGGAGATTTGCGAGAACGAGGGAGGTAAGCATTGCTCGACAAGACCTCCTTTACCCCTGCCCAAGTGACATTGGCACAATCAAAGATCACCAGACGCAGACCGATTCGAGGGAGATTCTCGTCGTATCCACGTTTGCGGACCCGAAAACTGGCTTCCATCAGAGTGAGATCAGAGACCCGCGTGTTGTCCATCTCAACGGAGCGAAGGGAAGGGCAATTCTTCATCACTTGAAGCATCCCGATATCCCCCAGACTCTCACAATAGCTGATATTGAGATGTTCCAGGCAAGAGGCACAGGGCGACTTAGCAAGCTCGAGGAGAGTATTGTTAGTAAGCCTTTCCAGGTCCTCAAGTTCGAGATGGGTGAGGAGAGGCGTGGTTTGAATAACTGCTATAATGGAAGCGTCAGATAGTTCGGGGCACTGCGAAAGTTGCAGACCCTCAAGATAGGGAACGTTGTAGGCGAGCGTTTTCACCCCATCATCTGTTAGATTGCACTGGTGGATGTCTAGGTGCTTGAGCTGCCGGGGAGGCACTATGGGACGTTCCATGAGTACATCCATCTCCGGGTGAGCTCCATGAACAAGAGTCTTCAGAAACTCATCTGTAAGTTCTGTACGACTCATGATCAGTCGCTCCAGGGTGTTTGTCTCAAACAATTTCAGGGCAAAGGATCTATCTTCAAAACCCCGAATTTCACTGGCGCGAAGGTCCTTTAACTTCGGGCAGGCTTGTACGATATTTTTCAGTCCGCTAGTGTCTACACCTGTACACCACGAAATATTCAATATTTCAAGTTGTGGGCATGACTGGGCAATAATCTTCATAGCCGAATTTGTGACACTGGCCAAGCCCGAGAGGTTGATGTATTCCAGACGAGGGTTCCGTAGCAGAAAGTAATGGATCGAGGTTCTATCGATGCGACAACCCTCCAACGAAAAATTGACTACGTTGCGGCATAGATCTGTGATACGCTCGCCCTCGGACTGCCACTTGTCTCGCAGCTGGATACAGCCCCGAAGGTTGAGGTCTCGAACAAAGGGACCACCACATGCCATAAGTTTCACAAGAAAATCGCTGGGAATATCGCTGTAATAGTCAGTTGTGTCCACATTCGTCCACAGCTGCCCATCGTAGCACATTTTGTTCCACTCCTTGGATACAGCAGAACAAAGGACAATTTCCTTTGGGGTCAGATACTGGAAGACGAGCATTCGGATTTCCTTAGGCAGGCTTCCCCAGAAGTCAAAGGGCTTTTTAAGCTTGGGAACTGGCGATGCAACGCCTTCCAGTGCATCGCCACCTATGGGGGTTCCGCGGGATCCTGGTCTCAGATCTGTTGGTAAAGGGACGGTCCTGGACTGAAGGCCATTTGGAGAGTCCGATCCGACGAGACGGATTCTCGCATGTCCATCATGATAGTCCGTTGGACTGGCCGCCTGGCCAGACGTCATTGGACGGACATTCAATCCACCGTAGAGTTGAGACGAGCTCCCATTGCCGAGACAAGGAGTGTATGACGATTGCGAAAGAGTCACACAGGATAAAGTGGCTTTCCCATCTCGACGGTAGCCCGTGGAAGCAGAGCGACTGCGTCGGGTCAGGCTGGGAGAAGATGAAATACGTTGGAGACTTTGCAGCAACCGATGTCGTCCTTTCAGTTTTGGAGGCTGTTCCAATGGGATCTGGCCTGTTGAAGAGGTCGGGTCCACTGGGGAGGCTCCCCCGGGGGACATTCTGATCTCATCCATGACATGCGTTGCAGAATCAATCGCACACCACGCGAGCTGCTCCAGGTCCAACCAGTATAAAAGATTCAAGTCCCGGATGGGATCGGAAATGGTTCGGTAATTTCGGATCAGCGAATTTTAGACACCACAATCAAGAAGAAGTAATATTGGCAACAAAAAAGAAACAAAAACGATCCGCGGAACTCCGCAAGGATACGGGATCTTTAAACGACCATAGTGGTAGCTGTTGACCGAACCGCACGTATACAAGTATTTTGGAAAAGCGCACAAATATCACAGCCGACCAATGCGTAGGACGCCAGGCCCCGTTCCTGCGAGCAGAGGATTGATTGCTGGGAGGGAGAAAGAAGGAGGATTTCGCTGGAGAAGGAAGGGCTGGAATGTCAGCTGAGAGAAAGACAGTCAAGCGACGACGTAGTGGTGGTGTTTCTCGACTGTCACAGTTCTACCATGGGACCTTGTTGACCGCGTAACCCCGTAGATGCGGGAGAGCCCAGCAGTAAGTAGATTAGTTAGTAAGATAGTCGAGAGTGGTAGTAGACGTCACTCAAGCATCATCCAAGTCGTTGACACCACTCCGTGTATGAAAACGGACAGAGTCTGAGAAATACGGTTCGATGAGGCCTGGGACAGAAATTGCGAGGGGAAGATAGGGAAAAAAAGACCAAAAACCTAAGTAGAGGAGAGAGAGACGTGAAATCATGTAAGGCCGGAGAACAGAGCAGTCATTCGGTCAGCCGACAGTGGAGGCGAGAGGACCTTTTTTTTTTAAATTACCGACTTACCACCAGTACTGAGCCACAATCAGCCAAATAGGGAAAAGAGGGAAAAGGGAGAATCATAGCAGATATTCTCTGTGCTCCACAGGACAAATCAAAATGCCGCAATCTGCATGATTACAGGCCAGTGTCTCTCAGTACTGCTGTCTTGTCTCTCCCCACAGGCTTATCGGCAACACTTATCGATTAGAGATAGCGCCACTGCCCCACTTGCGCAGGCGTTTTACGCCGTACTACCAGTACAATACCTACTTTAGAGAACTTACCTGATGTCTCGATTTGATAGGATTTCTGAGGAGAAACGTAGAAGAGAAGACGGGAATATACAAAGTACATGTCGAGGTTCGAATGGGAATCAATCTGTGAGATCAGAAATCCATCCGTATGGACTTGAGACTGGACTTTAGCCATCTATCCCAATGGGGAATGGTGCAGCGGTCACGCTATCTCTCACTCTTTTAGATGTATCTCAACTGCCACCTGGCCGTACAATATAAGACCTTATGATTAATGATTATGGTTACTAGGTAGTGTGTTTTAATGACTTGGGATATCCTCATGATCCCACACCAACAGTCCCTCCTCCCAGTATGGATTCACATCTTCCTCAACGACAGTGGAGCATCTCAAATAACTTAAGAAACTGTGTGACAGTGAAAAACTCTCGGACAAGGAGACCCGCCCAACAGAAATCAATAGAAATGTGGCATTTGACAAGACACCCAGGGCAACCGGAGACCACAATCATAAAAAAAAAAGGAGGGGGCTTATGTGTCCCTGATAATCTGGTTCAGGTACACCCAATAAGCAACGGTATTCATCCCCCTCCTCCCTTTATAGACAAGAAAGCCATGGTCCATGGTCTCAGTTCTTGTGTCCACGAGTGATTGGCGGTCTTTACACGTTTGCCTTCCGCAATCCACAGTCCACATGGAACGAGGCAACATGACCTGGGGAAATCTTGGACTATGGCATCCCAGCCAGTCCCGTTGAATTTCTCCGCGGGCTCTTTCCTAGTGGCCCCGGGGTACAGCGTGTTTGACTGTTTGTACTAAAGGCGGTGCCTAGTGGATACTAGCTATTAATACTAAAACTGTCAGCGTACGAAGTACACGACGTGTAATCACGTATCTTCTGTAATCATACCTTGGAAGCAACCGAAGGGCAGCTGACAGGTATAGATAGGATAATACCAAGCAGGTTCCTCTTATATGCACCTAACTCCTGGACAGTCCTAGTCTGATGGACCAGTGACCAGGAGCCCAGATTCCATCGATTCTACTTTCCACAAAGTCCCCCTCCATTGAATAATACCAGGAATCCAACCATGGACTGTCAAATCTTACAGGTTCCTTCCCCCTTACTTGGAAATAGAACATTACCCAAGATATCTAACCCATACTCATTTATTCCTGTTCTAGAGGACCTAGTGCCTCTAATAGCAAGTCGCCCGACTAGCATGTCTACTAATGTAGTTGACGCTCGGCCTAATCTTCCCCGCTTCACCCCGCAGTACGAAGACCGCCAGTGGACTTCCAAATGTAGGTATGCATTTCTAGATTTCCCAGAATGAGTCTACTGCCAATAACCCAGCTCAAACAAAGATAACGCCACTGCTAAGGGTATATCAAATAAATCTCACTTGCATGGCTTGTCATTCTTCCCTGTCTGTAGAAAGAATCACGTAGAATCAATGCAGATTCGGTGCAAGATCAAAACCATGTCTAGCCAACGAAACTCAATATAACGGGGTATCTCATCGGCTTCTTGGCCTCTATACAGCTATACATTCACTAGGGTTCCTTTTATTCCCTCTTCCTTCTTTTCCGGGATTCTTTATCTTCATCCTCCTCTTGTCGCGTTTTGCGAGTGGAGCCCCACTGCTTCCAGTGACACTTAAGTAGCATATGTCTGGGAGCCTAGCCTCTGTCGTGTCCAATCGTAAACGCCGCTCTTGGACAAATACCGCACTGGTATCGACAATGATAACAAGAGAGATATGCTTCCGCAGTCTGGAACTAGAACGTCGACATATATTCTGTGCATGGTATGTGTCCTGGGTTTTATTCAGGTATAGCCAAGATGTGTGGTTCAGCTGTCAACCATCCATGGATGCTCCATGATTTCACTGATAGTCAGGCGGTTGTCGACATCTCGATCCAGCATCCGTCGGATTAAATCAATGCAGTCCTCCGAGAATGGCAGAAATGGAATTCGAAGTGGATGATCCAGGATCTCATCGACGTTGTAGAACGGATTCTCTTTGTAGACAATCGTATACAGAAGAATACCAAGAGCCCAAATATCCTGCTCTTTGCCTCTGTATGACTTGCCCTGGAGGACCTCCGGTGCGGCATAGTCTATAGTGAAACTAAGTCAGCTCTGGATGATAGAACGAAGACGACATTAAGAAAAGGGAGGAGTACCAATTGTTCCCACAAAGACATCAAAGGGCCCGTTCTTAATGTAGGCAGCGCTTCCAAAATCGATCAGCTTGATCCTGCCCTCGCCATCGAGGATTACGTTCTCATCCTTGATATCGCGGTGTACAACCAGGGACTTAGTATGAAGATGGTGGACCGCATCCACCACTTGGCGGAAAATATTCCTACATTCTGACTCATCCATATTGGCTTTCAGCTCGATATAGTCAAAGAGGTCCATCCCAGGAAGTCCATGTGGCCTCATCTCAATATAATAGTTGATGTCATCCTCAAAGAACCCTTCCATTTCCACAATATTGGGATGCTTAAAGCCATCCCGTCGAAGGTAATCCAAAACGTGTATCTCCAGCGGGACAGTGCCTAGGCGACGATCACGAGTCCAGGTATCCACGAGAATTCTCTTCTTCGTAACGTATTTCAAAACAACCTTCTGGGACGGATTCTTCTTCAGGCGAGCAAGTTTTACTTCACCATATGCCCCCTGGCCCATTTCCTCCAAAATCACGTAGTCGGCAATTGTCCTTTTCTTTGAGGATTCCTTTGCATTAGTCGGCCTTACTTCCGGCACCGGTTGTACCGGCTGATCCGTCAGCGGCTCTGATGCAGCTTCGCTGAGTTGCTGTGTCAAAGTAGACGTCGGTATGTGGCTTTCCACTGAAGTCTGCTCTGTGCTTAAGGTTTGAGCACTGGAGGTCGTTGCTAATGCCAAGCTCGACTCGAAGGCGGCAGAGGAATTTTCGGTCCGTGGTGACGCCGTCAGTTGGGGAGACGCGAAATTTGGAGTTGTGCCTGAAGAATGGATATGTCTTGAGTATGTGATCCATAGTGCATAAACTAGCTCAGTCACCGCCACTGTGTCGTGATACTCTGAGTCAGATTCGCTATTAGTGGCAGTTCCGTCTTCCCGCGGCTTGGGGAACATTGTACCGCTTTTCACTACCCGTAACTGAACATCTACCGCAATAGTTGAGCCATCGCGGTGGTTAGCAGCAAGTCCAGTTGGTTCTTGAAAGACCGAGGCAACGTTATCCTTTCCATCCCGGAGAATGGAGAGAGTCCGTGCCCTTCGAAAACTAGGTTCAGGAATTATCACACCATCCACCAGAGGAATCCTCTCTTCCTCGGTAAGTACATTGAGGAAACCATCAAAACCCGGTATCAGCTCATTCATATGTAGTCCTTCTGGTCGCTCCTGGCCAAACAACGCTGAAGAAAACACCGAATTTGAGCTGATGACTTTCAAAGTCGAAGACGCCAGTACCATCATACCGGCAACATGAGGGAAGCTAGATATTCGCAAACATCCTGCGGCTTCGTCTTTGGTCACGGTCGCCGGGAAACACGTCCCAGCCGAGGTTTGAGCAGCAAAATGCTTCATGTTCGAAATCCTACTAAGGCCCTCATCAATTGGGCCTGCGAGACACTCTTTGGGAATGCGAGGAAGAAGTTCAGTAATAAGTTTACCAGGCTTGATCACACCGTGGCCCCAAATTTTATCCGTATCCCCTTGGGCATCCGTAATGGTCCATGACTCATCACAACGGACGTAGACCACATCCTCTTGGATTTCCTCAAGAACCCAGATGAGACCTCCCCGTTTCTCCATGACCCACATACTGGCAGAGCCCTTGGTTCCATTGCGCTTCAGAATAGGGACAACGTCCCCACACAGTAGAACGCCACGTGATTTGGTGGCAGCATGGTTTGGATAACGTACAGTGCGTGTGCTTGAACCATAGCCATCGTCAGTTTGAGCTCGCCTGGCTCGAGAAGGTGGTTTACTGAGCAGTTGCGCTGTGATGCCATTCCCGAGTCCCATGGACTTCGGATTTACTGGCTTTATGTGGTGTTTATCTTGCGAGTTCTGAAGCTTTGCTGCAACATCAGTGGACGGATCTCTTAGCTTGGATTCAAGCCACTGTCTCCGGTCCTCTTGTACAACTTCTAATATACTTAGCTTGCGGAGTTCCGCTTGTGTGACGCCAAATACGAGGCAAGATAGGTCATTGGCTGCCAAAATGGTCCACGGTGCCTGAGACTCGGTTCTAAAGACGGCCTGTGAGACGGGATTCCATTTGCTGCTGTGGGTGTGTAAGGCGGGAACAGGAAAGCCATATCCGAGGATCGAGGAGCTGGTTGGTGAAAAAGAATCCGTGGAAGAGTAGGGTTGTGCTAGAGTCCCCATCAGCTTGCTCTGGCGGGTAACAGAGCCGATATCCGAGCCTGTACGTTTTAAGCTTACGCGCCTGGACGTGGTGGGAGTGGATCTCCTCCCCCGCTTTTGAAGTGATATTTGCTCATTCGGCAGTTGACTCAAGGAATCAGAGTATTCCATTCCTGGGCGATGTTCTTGAGGCAATTCCTTGACATCAGCCGCAGAGTTCTGCGACTCCATGAAAGCCTTCTCAAAAATGTCTCCGCCATACACTTCAGCGGGCCCTGTCATCGGACCCCATGCCAGGCTCCCACAGTTATACTTATCTTCTTTCCCTGAGAAGTTTGTCTTTGACAAGAGATCCGCCACGCTCTGGACCTCTTTATCACCACTGACGCGAGACTGAGAGCTGGCATTGCCCGCATTGTTGGAATCCCACCCAAAGCGATCGCGCATGAAATCTAATGATCGCTTCAAAATAGTTTGACGGCTGTGAAGTAACTCATCGGGCTGTTGTGCGAACGAGAACGAATGTAAGGACTCGCAGGGAAATCGATGGAGATCCTCCAGAGCACCACCGTCCTGACCCAACCCAAGACGTGTAGAATGGGTTCTGGACGTTGATCTGGAACGTGGCGAGGGCGAAGAATTCTGTGGTATCGAAGGACCGAGAGAGGATGTGGATATGTTCGGCAACGTCAATACTCGTGATGGGGGTTGGCGAATACGATCTAGACCAGATGGACCAAGCCCATGTTCATGTTCGAGCAAAGGTGACCTGCGAATCGAAGAACTTCGTCTCAGTATTTCCAATTTCAAGCCAAGATTTGAAAATATCGACCACATGAATAGCACCAGCTGATATCCACATACCTCGTAAGTTGATCGTATCCAGACGAAAGAGTTTCTGCCGATGATTTCATCAATTCATTTGAGTGCCCTGAAAGATGTCCCATGAAGGATTCTGCCTTTGGCGACTCTGAAAGAGATCCCATCTGGGACAATAAAGGACTTGGCTCGCCTGTATTCCCGGCAAATCATTAGCCAGCTATCTTCTGTCATTTGATTATCCCCTCACTCAACATGGAAAATGCAGAATAAAATGGCCGAACATGTGGGCATGATCTGAAAGCATATCACATAGACGTCGTATGGCACCGGCTTCAGGTCTCTTTCTCTCTATGGGGTGCGCTCATCCTGTATTCTCTTATGTTCAATCCAACTTGTGTTTTTTTGTGTTCGGCAACTGTTGTAGACGTCATGCCCACCATATGTACTTGTCAAATCCAGTAACAGCCCTCTTCATTCATTCAACACTTTCATAGACTCAACACGAAACCGGCACAACAGTACAACGAAGACGGTAAGGGAAAGGAGGGAAAGAAAGAGGAAAGCACACAACTAACCATCGGGATTATATGAAGCAGACCCCATAGTTCCCCCAACAGGCGACAATATAGCGTCCAATCCCGATCGGACCGATGAAAAGTCGCAACGTCCAAGCGGCACAACTTTCAGAGCAATCCAAGAATATCAGGAAGAGAAAGTGGTGGGGGTTTATTTCTACATGAGACGGTAAAGGCTGTTGCCCGCAAAAGACCCTTGGTGAGAATCGGTACTTGTTTTCTCCTCTCTTTTTTTTTTTTTTTTTTTTTTTTCTTGCTAATTCGGCGCGTTGGGGGAGCTGGTGGTAGATGTTACTGCGGACGAAGAATCGAATCAATTCCTTTTCTTTCTCTTTGCCAGCTCCTTAAGAACGAAGGGCGAGACAGTCAGCCGCCTCAAAAAAAATGAGTCCGTTAGGTGTCAGCAGACTGTGGGCAGGGCAGGTGCCTCACCAGGCCACAGGCACCATGCGGTTGCCAAATAGCACGGGGACAGCTTATTCTGGAAACTAAGGGGAGAGAAAAAATAGAACAATAGGAAATTGTAGGATGGTGAGAGTCTGAGAGGAGTGGATTTGAGTGGATATGCGAGGACTGAAAGATGTAACAGTTTCTGTGGAGGCACAAAATGAAGGGACGAAAGAAGAAAAGTTCGAGGCAGTCGAGGGCAGTAGTGAGTACTTAGTGAGGGGGCAGTGACCTTGTTGTGGTGGAGAAGGAATGAATGAATGAATCAACGGACTGTGGTGAGAGTGGGTGGGAAGGTGGTGGCTTTTCTTCTTTTGTTTCTTCTTTAGACGTCCTCCTTGGTTGAAACCAGCACAAGCAGCGTTGTAATCCAAATTTAAAAGGAAAGACTGGGAAGAGGCGATAGGAAAGATCGTGAAGAAAAGGTGGAATAGAGAGAAATCGAATAAATGCACGGGACGGTCGGAGGAAGAAGGAAAGAAAAGGGAAAAAAAAAAAGGTAAAGAAGAACAAGAAACCGTAAATACTGGTAACAATATGCAAAAGAATAAAATAAAAGGGACACCCGGATAGGAGGACCATAAGATGGAAACAGACAAAAAATTACCAGATTACTCTGTACTCTCCCCAGGTGGTGATGTAATAAGGAACCCTGCCATACCTACCAGAACACTCTTTACGTCCCCATTTCCCCCTCCTCTGCTGCAAACGACTATGCATTTATGCACCGGTGTCCATCTCTTTCTTGGACTACGTATGAGATCTCTCTCCACATGAATTTCTCTTGGTGGTCATCTGTATCCATGGAATGACCCTCGAATCCTGTTCTTGGCAGCCAGTTGCAGTTCCCCCATGGCAGATCTTCAGCCATGGGTGTTCATTTCGGGCACCACGGCAAAGTAACCACGGCATATCGCACCAACGTCGACGATCAACGGCGCAGATCGGCCATCAAATCATACATGGTCACTAGCTTCTACCAAACGAGGTCATAGTCATGGTCTAGTCGTCGAGAAGGCCCTTGACTATAATTCTTCCCAAGCTCCCTGGACATCTTGGCACTAAACGTCAGGGTCTACATCAGCTCGTAGGGCGGAGATAGCTTTGTATACGCAGTTTAACTCTAATATTTGCTTCCCGCCTACGGGTTATGTAAACGGCCCGAAAATTTTTTTTTTAAAAAAAAGGGGCAAATGTAGGCGACGATGTCATGTCAGTGTCAGGCTGTTAAATCTTGTTTCCAAGTCTATTCTCTATCATAACAATATAGGCGAGGTGCTTTGCCTTTAGCGGAGCGTGGGTATATCGGGATTGAGGCGGGAAAAGTCAACACAGCAGGGAGTTCAAAAAATAAAATAAAAAATAAAATAAAAAAGGGGTGGGTTCTATCCATTGTTCTTCGCACCCCGGAGACTCCTCAAGGCCAATCCATTGAGGTCGCTATCGCTTCTTCTCTGACTATCATCTCCGCTACCGAAGAGTACATTCTGGTTGCTTCTCTCGCCGTGCCGAGTCTGTTCGGGCGGCACGGAGGCCGGACTCACAAAGCTGGAGATGTGTCTGTTACCCCCAAGCATCCATGAGAATTCAGAGTCTGCCAATGATGGGCGTACTGGGATCGCAATGGCATTGACGAGGAAATCTGAGATGGGCTCCGGTTCTTCGATTCCTTCCCAGTAGGCAATTTGATTGCTTTGGCGAGTGGCTCTGTGGCCATAGGAAAGCTCTCGTGTCTGTTCCTTCCACGATCCTCTATATTATCTCCAGGTCGATGTCCACCAGGAAGATTTTCTGAATCTATATCTCCAGCTGGATTTGGGGTCCGAATTGCAGAGCTTACAGGCGTCGAAGAGTTCTCAAGACAGGTCTGGACAGATTGAACCTTGGTGAGGGCTTGTTTCAAAGTATCTGTGGTGGCCGTATCAAGACCTTCGGCTTTCATCATGCGCGATCGTATGTCATTCAAGGCCTGGCTTAGTGTCTTTGCGAGCATTTGATTCCGTGCTTCCAAAGCATCGATTTTAGTCTTCAAATGGATCACAGCGTCAGCGTCTTGTGTACGCGAGGCAACAGGCGTACGGATGGGAGCAGTATCATCGTGTCTCGTGCGGGAATAATGCTCCGACTGGATCGTCTGCATATTTCTTTTGGCTTCACTCACTGCTCCTCGAACTGCCTTGGCTACGCCCCATGCCTCTGTACGTCGTTGAAACCCTTCCGAAACATCTTGGAATAGTGCTTCCAAACCCTTTGGGCTATTTCTTGCTGGTGATCTAGACGGGGGACTAGCTTCACTCGTGTCCCATAGATCGCCGCTCAAAGGAGACCTCAGACCTGAAAAGGGTCTCGAATGCGACAGGCTGAGTCGCTTGGAAAAGTCAGGAGGCTTTCCTGAATATTTGGAAATAATAAAAGCTCCTCTTTCAGGTGTGGGATTCTGTTCCAAGTATATCCCATCGAGCACAAAACTTTGCGCGTGATAAGGACGAGGCGAAGGGTAGCGAAGCAGCAGGGCCAAAGCGCTCGAGGAGTCAGCGCTAAGTACTGGATTTTGTGAGCAATACGAGCAAATATTTGGTAAGCCCTCAGTAACTCACATTGCCAGCGAATACGTAGTAACATCGCGACACATACGAAATCAATTAGTTCAGGTCGTAGCCCCTCGGAAAAGAGATGATCCCAAATCACAAGTACGTCTTGGAAAGGGAATTCTCGACCAAATAACAGACGCATCCAGCGGCTTTATTTAAAAAAAAAAAAAAAAAAAAAAGTTAACTTAGACTTTTAAACCGCAAGCATATGCTTAGGCATAGACTCACGTGAGGAAAATTTGCGGCAAGACCTCCAGTACTTCTAAATGATCCGCCAACTCCAGATCGGTAGTCGTCAGAAGATCATTATGGATGTGGTGACATTGGTTAACAATTGGGACAACATCAACCTGCCCACTGGCGGACCGTTGTCTGGTATGTTCATAATAAGATCGAGTATTCTGCATAACTGAACAGAACAATGTAAACGAGTCATGTTCCACATAATTCGCGTCCAGAAGCTGTAGGAACACTGTATCATCCTCTTCCGTTGAATTCAGCCCTTCAGGCGATCTCGTGTCAATTGCGTCTCTATCGACTACCCATAAGATGGGAGCCAATAACTCATGCATGCCTTGGCGATAGCCAAGATCTGGATTCAGCTTCGAATAAATAAAGAGAATATCGACCATTTTCGCTTTCGTTGCAGGCTCCCGGAAGAAGAAGTTCTCCTGCAAACATCTATCGACATCCTGCAATATCTCCACTCTCATCTGTTCGTCGCGTCGAAGCGCTTGCCAGGGAGACTGTGCAGGGAGTTCGTCAGAGGAGAAGGTCCAAACATATCATATGAAGGTAATTGAGGCATACCTCTTCATCATCTGCTAGGGGATCAACTGTTGACTCCAAGTCATCTGGGTTTTCAATATACTTCAGAAAATGAGCCTTCAGGGCATCATAAACGCCTCGCGATTCGGATATCTTCTGTGGCCATTGCGCCCGGTTGAGATTATCGAAGAGTAGGAATGCCTACGCGTAGGTAAGCGAAGATCTAGGTGATGGTGGCTACATAGCGCATGCCTTCCAATAAATCGATCTAAGCCCATCATTGCATAACTCGTCTCCTTGTTCTGATCTTAGTGCTGTTCGGAGGTCGGAGGGGGTTTCATAGTCGCGCAACAGAGAGCTCCATCGCTGCCTACGGGCTCATCAGCAGAAGGATACTATCAAGAAAGACAACATGCTTACCTTGTGTCTTCAATACCCCTCATCTCACCATGCAATAAGTATTTAGTTGCCTGATTTCTTGGGTTGATTGGTGGGGGAGCAAGGAAAGGCGGAGGTCGAGTAATTCTATGCTGAGGCGGAGATCGACGGTAGCGTGGAGACCACCCGCCACAGCCCGTCCAGTGTGTTATTATCTCCTCCAGGACAGGTTCAGAGATAAGCTCTTGTTCAGCGTGGCTGCGACGATTCTCGCTAACTTCAGTGGTGTTAGAGGCACTAAACTGCAGTCCCATTGTTTTGCCAGTAATATTACATCATCCCTCCTCCAATGTCTGCAGACTTGTTCGCAGAATTTGGAATTGAGTCTGCTTCTTGTCAGACCTCAGGGACTACAAACCAGCCAGCGTCCCAATCTCAGGCAGGCTCTTTGATTCCTGATCTGGATACTTTTGAAACGCCCCATTTCACCAATACCTCCTGGCACCGTAATGAATCCGAAGCTCACGCTGCTGAGACTCAGGCATTGTCAAAGTCATCAACTTCTTTTATCAAATCTAGTGCCCTTCAGTTACCCAAATATGACAACGGCGGCGATGTCCTATTTGATGCCACCCTAGAAACTGTTTCCAGCGACGAAACCGAAGACTGGGGCGAATTTGAATCGGCGGAGGTATCTTCTGGCCGAGGCTACTCAATAAAATCTGTCCAAGATCAGACACATGTAACAAGCCCAAGAAATACGACTTCTAACCGGGCAAATAATAACTCAACTGCCTTGCCGAAGCAGCTCTACTTATTGGATTCTCTCTCACTTGATGACAAACCGCAATCAACTCACAGCCAGCCTACTGGCAACCTTGGCAAGAAAATTACCAAGACTCAAAGCAAGGGCTCAATTCCAGAACCTCCTACTTCTACGGAGGAAGAGCCTTTTGAGGAGTGGGGTGACTTCATTGATGGACCTCTCGTGGAGACCTCTGCGATCATGACTCAACAAGCTTATACGCAACCACCAGCGGGAACTTTGAGTTCAGTCTCGAATAGAGGAAGTGCGTCGCAATCTTTTGGCAATTCAAACCACTTTGTACAAAGAAGTGAAATCCGTCCCACCAATATACCTCCCCCGTCGGTGCTTTTAGAGTTATTTCCTCAACTTTTCGAACAACTACGATGGGAGGCTACCCAAGCAAGAAAAGCCGTACAGCAGAAAAAGAACATTGAAGATGTAGCGGCATCGATTCTTTGTACATTAAGGGTAGCAGCGCGGGTAGTTTCGGGACGTACTTTGCGATGGAAAAGAGATTCAATCTTGAGTCAGAGTATGAGAATTGGCCCTGCGCGCTCAGGGAAGTCGGGGGGTATGAAGCTTAATGCGGTCAACAGAAATGAAGATATCAAGGAAAAGCAGGAGGCCGTTGATGTTATTGTTATGTGGCGTGATCGAGCAGGTTTATTTAACTCTGTAATCCAAGCCTCCGGAAGACGTCCAATTCAGGCCATCTCAGAGAACACCCGAGCAACACCAGCCTCTGCAGAACAGGGTGCATTAAAAGCCCCTCATGCTTGTGCACTCTGTGGGTTAAAAAGAGATGAACGGCTGCCCAAAATTGACGATGCAGTGGAAGACAGCTTTGGAGAGTGGTGGACAGACCACTGGGGACATACAGACTGCAGGCAGTTCTGGGAAAGGCATAATAACATGCTAAGTCAGCGATGAATTGGATACAACTGGAAATGATGATGTTGATATTCCCGAGCAAGCGGTTGGAGTAAGAACTATATTTTATGATTATATGGATCTGACTTCCCTGATGCTCAGCAGTATGCCTCTACAGATGTCAAAGACCCATATCTTTGTGTAATACCAGTCATGCTAACTGCTCACTGGTAATTGTGTGCTCTATAGTAGGCTTCCACCATCGTCTTTTCCTGTTAGTTATATAGATAGTATTATCTACTTGTCTTTCTACAATATAGGCCGGCTACATAATATTATAAGGCCCTTATAGAAAAAATTTACTTCTTTACTCTGAAATACCTATCTGGAGTGGTGTTTACGAGAAGTCTGTCGTGGCAAAGTAGCACTAAGGACCTTGAGGCTGCAGTATAGCGAAGGACTGCCAACTTTCTTACTCAGAGCTTCCAATATTGGATTGGTAAAAGGCAATTAGCAAATTGCGGTATTTTAACTGAGATTTTTATTTCTTGTAAAACCTAAAGTCATCTGATTCGAATTCTAATTAATTGGACCCAACACAAGGGTAATAAGTAAGTACATACAATGGAGAAAGTATCTACTTACGGAGTACATTATAATAGAGATAGGTACCAGGGAATAAAAAGATAAATAGCCCAGATTCTAGTATCTTTATATATATATATATATATTTTCGGACGGCATGTTAATGTTAGACCCCTTGGGACACTACCGAGGCGGCACATGACCAACGGAGACTCATGACGCGAGCAGGCGTATTATTTACGTCTGTAATAGGGTGCGGGGGCTCCAGCCCAGCTATTTGGCAGCTGCCCGATTGGGACCGCCTCAGCCTTCCATTGTTCTCCGTCCCACCCCCCAGACTTGTCTATCGACCTTATCGGCCTATCTCCTCTCGCCCTTCCTCCGTCTTCCTCATATCCCTTCTCTTTCTCAACTACCCATTTCACCTGCAGTTATCTCAGACCTGTCGAACCACTACCACCTAATCTACTACTACTATACTTCGTACATTCGTTCCGTTCCGTTCCGTTCTACTTATCCTAAATCAAAACCAGACCGATTGGCAGAATTATTGCACGGTCACAATAAGTACTAGAAATTCCATCAGTTAATACCGCTGTTATTGGCCCTCGGATCTGAATCTCCCGGTGGGATCATCATCTCTTGGAGTCGCGGCCTTAGCGGGTTCCCCTGGCCCTCACAAGGATAACCAATCCCAGGCAAGGCGGGAACTTCAGAAGAAGAAGATTACTGTTCTTATTCCTTTCCCCTCTGCCATATTCATACCTGGAACTATCCCACGAAGATCTATCCAACTTGTACTTGTCGAGCTCACATTTCAGGACATATCTCCAACGGCGGGTGGGAAAGAAGGCGAGGTCAGGTCATAATGGGTCTTGCATACAACATATACCTCACTTCGAACAAAATCTTTGGATGCAAAAAATGCAAGACTCACCTAGCTGATTATGATGATATTATCAGCCGAGTGAGTTTCTTCTGTCCTGCTGCTTGTGTGGATTGGTTGACATCAGCTGACTTATACCTTGTACCTTGCAGAACTTCCGCGGCCAACATGGCAAAGCTTACCTTTTCAATCATGTCGTCAACATAACGCCGGGCGACTCTGTGGAGCGTAGCATGACGACTGGGAGGCATATTGTTCGTGACATTACCTGCCGACAATGCAAGGAAACGGTAGGGTGGAAGTATGACAAAGCGTACGAGGCTAGCGAGAAATACAAGGAGGGCAAGTTCATTCTGGAAGAAGAACTGCTCTGCGTGGTGTGCTAGGGGACTCGTTTTTTTCTGATCCTATAAAGGCCTTGTATCTGTGAGGCTTCCCCGTAAGGTGTCACAGCAAATCTTGCAAAGACTGATCCATGCAGTGAGCGTTTTTATGGAGTAAGGCAACTGGCGTTATAAGGAGTATCTTTATATTAGGTTGGTTTAGGGGTTTTTGGTTCGCAAGCAAGCATCCCTCTCCTTTTTCATATTTGGTCCAGCCCCTGGTCTGGAGTCTGATGCATCTCTGAAGCCACGGATCATTTCAACTCCCCCGTCATTGGAGGCTGGCCCGCTATTGTATCGAGATTGGATTAGAATGGTAGCACTACTTGTATCATTTTCCACTCCTAAAGTTCATAGCCTATCCTTCGCAATGTACAGCATGTGAGACCTGGGGAAACAAGACAGAGCTTAGGATCTGATGTCTCTTCAGCTTGCCGAATTATCCAAAACTCGAATGTCGATAACAACTCTGTAGTATCATATGCATTCTGCACTGATCGGCCCCACCGCCGTCAACATAACTCGGTTTTACATAGTTAACTACGCCGTACCACTTCTCTGACATAATGGATATAGCCAGCTGCCGTTTATCGGACCTAGAAATTTCTTCTGCCCAATATATTTATACCTGAAATAACCCCACTTTTTTGAAGAAAGAGGTTTAGGTACATATCTTTCCTGGCCGCTGGAAACTCCTCAGATGGACATCGACCATGACAACTGCTACTGACAAGATGTGCGCTGTGCTCTTCCATGGCCCTCACAAGGTGGCTGTCGAGGAACGACCAATTCCCAAAATTTTTTTTGGGATGCAGGAGAAATCATTGTGAAAGCCACATATACAGCGCTGTGTGGAAGGTAAGCAGTGTTTTATTTCTAGGGGTTATGTCTGGCTGTGCGTACTTTGGGTTGTTCTGTGAAGTTCCTATGGTTTCTGATATTGGAGTTAACTTGGAGCTTGTTAGTGATCTTCATATAGTCCGCGGTGTCGAACCTATCGGTGAGGGTGTCATTATGGGCCATGAGGTCACTGGAAAGGTAATTGAGACTGATGATGTTGTCAAAACGGTGAAGAAGGATGATATGATTGTCACCGCTTTTGCAACTTCTTGGTAGGCACTCCAATTGGAACGAAGTAGACTATTACTGGTATCATATACATGCCAATAATTACATATACCGCGATGACTTGGATTGACGTTAGACTATCTATGTCTACGGTGGCCTTTGCTTTTCCTGTAAACAAGGCTTCTTGTCGCAATGTAAGAAGAATACTCTCCTCGGATGCGACCATCTAGATGGCGCTCAAGCTCAATAGGCAGCAGTCCCAAGAAGCATTTACTCATATGTAGATCCGAATCCCGCAAGCAGATGGAACCATGACGAAAACCCGCAGGGGCGTCGAGGAGAAATACCTTGTCCTCATGGGCGACAACTTCCCGACTGTATACTTTGCTGCCAGAAATGCGTTCAAAGAATACACCCTGGAACAAATCTCGCGGCAGATCGTCGTGTTGATTTGGTGCGGACCAGTCGGGCCCTGCGCACTGATCAACGCGCTGGAGTACAAGCCTAAGCATATCTTTGCGGTGGACTCTGTTCCATCGTGACTCAAACTGGCTCGGTCTCTCGGAGCCGAGCCACTGAACTTCAGAGAGGGCTGGGCGGGTCTGGACAAGCGGGTGAAGAAGTTGACCGATGGACGGGGCGCAGATGCTCTGATTGAAGTTGTCGAATTGAGTCCGGCGCTGCGCTCTGCATTTGAACTATTACGACCGTGGGGGATGATCAGTAGCGTTGGAGTGCATAATGCAGAGGTAAGACTAACTTCCTTTATTGTTTGTATGTTTGGGTTTCAGATGGTGCCAGCTGGAACTCAACTGTCTCAACTGTGGCATCCATGATAGTTGACTGGCTAGAGATCCCATGGGACGGAAACTAGGCCTATGGGAAGAACCTGAAGGTGCAGATGGGTCGGTGCCCTATCCGATCGGTTTTTCCACAGGCATTGGAGGCTCTCAAGAAGAATCAGCATTTGCTTGGGTACGTGGTTGCCATATTATACCTGGGCATGAAAGTGCAGAAGGTGATCTTTGAGGCGGATAGATAGATAAATGTATGTAATGGTATAAATACTTATATTACCGATATTACCAAGATTACCAACGATACGCCGGTAACCAGCAGCGCAGCCAACCAGGACCAGCGATTCGTCCGCTTCTCCTCTTCGAATCCTTTATTCTTTTCGCGTTTTCAATTATTATTTCATTCTTTTCTTCTCTTTCTTTCTTTCTTCCCTCTTCACCTTCGCCATCGTCTTCACTCCCTCGCCATCCTCCTCCGTCTCTTGTTCCTTCTCTGTAACCTCCTTCTTCTTCCTCCCTCTCCTCCTTACTCCCTCTTCCTTCCTCTCTCTTCTTTCCACCTGTCTTCCTCTCTCTCTCTCTTTCTTCCCTCCCACCTTTTCACTATCCCCGCTCGCCGAACGCCCCTCTGATTACCTATCCTGCTTCTTCCCCCTCTTCGTCCGCCAATCGATCCTGGTTTCCCCTCCCAGGCCCTTGGATCAATATCCTTTCTCTCCACATAACGGCCATTTCTTTTTCTTTCCGCCCTTTCAGTTATTTCTATCTCCCGATTTGGTAAGTTGTTCATGCGTCCACCCCTCGAGTCTTGCGTCGTCTATTTCCTGTTTCTTTGTCCTGTGTCCATCTCGTCGCCCATCTACATTCCACGCGATGAATGATGATTCACAGGAGCATGTTGTCTTCTTATCCAACTCGTGCAAGGTCGCTGGCTAACGGGTGGAAAAAGATCCTCCAAAATATATTTTTTTAATCATCGGCACTTTTCATCCATCTAGGCTTCTTTAACCACCCATTTCCCCCCTCTCTTCTTTCTAAAATCATGGACTCTACCGATATTCACGATACCCCCGTCGTTGACGATTCACTGAACGATGCCATGATCGATGAGGGCGACATCGAGGTCACCCCCAAGACCGAAGAAGAATACGCCCAGTCTATTCTAACCCTTCGCGCGATCGTGTCGTCCAAAGAAGCTGGTATCATCATCGGCAAAGCTGGAAAAAATGTCGCGGATCTGCGCGATGAAACCGGCGTCAAGGCTGGTGTCAGCAAGGTCGTTCCGGGTGTCCACGATCGGGTGCTGACCGTGTCGGGTCCTCTGCAAGGTACCGCGAGGGCTTATGCACTGGTGGCCAAAGGATTGCTCGAAGGTGCCCCTCAGATGGGCATGGGAGGCATTGTGGCGAACAACGGAACTCATCGTAAGTGCTCTCGACTTTCTGATACCTTCGCATTACTCAGTCAGCTGATATTTCTCCAGCGGTTCGGCTTCTGATCTCTCACAATCAGATGGGCACCATCATCGGACGACAGGGCCTGAAGATCAAGCACATCCAGGATGCCTCGGGCGTACGCATGGTCGCTCAGAAGGAGATGCTCCCCCAGTCTACCGAACGTATTGTCGAAGTGCAAGGAACCCCGGAAGGTATTGAGAAGGCCGTTTGGGAAATCGGCAAATGCCTGATCGATGACTGGCAGCGGGGAACTGGTACGATCCTGTACAATCCCGCTGTTCGTGCGACCGCCGGCTCTACTCCTGTAAACAACAACGTTGGCAACGGATACAGCAGCCGCCCCTACAATCGTACCGGCAACGGTGCCGACTTCAGCGACCAGTCTGGTGGCTACAGCCGGCGATCCAACCCGGACATCTCCAACCGTGGCTATCCTCTTGTCACCGAGGACGGAGAGGAGATCCAGACGCAAAACATCAGCATTCCGGCTGACATGGTTGGATGCATCATTGGCCGAGGTGGGAGCAAGATCACCGAAATCCGCAGAAGCTCTGGGGCCCGGATCTCAATTGCCAAAGCCCCTCATGACGAGACGGGTGAACGCATGTTCACCATTATGGGCAGCGCCCAGGCAAACGAGAAGGCTCTGTATCTTCTGTATGAAAACCTCGAGGCCGAGAAAACCCGCCGCAGCCAGCTACCTCAAGAATGAGTGCACATGTTCATCTAAGAGAACACATCCATTACGGGAACCGAATTTCGATATCGCGACGAACAAGTCACACTCCTCCGTGCTCCTATGTCTTTTTGCTTCTTGACGTTGTCTTTTTCTTCCTTTTTCCTCCTTCTAATCTACTCCATTCGTGCAGCTTCTTCGGTCTCCATGGAGCAAGAGCTTGCTGAGGCGGACTGTACATGCTTGTTAGATACCAGAATCTTGCGAATCTTCGCGATCATTATACCTGAATGAATCCAACCTCGGGGCTATGACGTCATTCTCATAACCTGGTGCTCATGAACCATGGACGTTTCTGAAGATCACCACTTGCCTTCTTTTGACCTGGAAGAGGAAAAAAAAATTGCTTTGTCTCCGTTCCCTTGAATCCTTCCTATACTCCGTCCTTGTTGTGGTGCTGAATCCGTCGTTACTACCTGACCATCAATTTCATATTCCTATCTAAATGAGATCCCTTCGCGCAGCTTTTCTCCGTTACTCGTTTACGTTAACATTGATCCTGTGACCTATTGATTCTCATCCTGTCTCCTTGATTCCTCTTTTCCGCACAATTGCTACCTGTACATCCGGGAACAGATAATATCTGCAATGGATAATGAGACTGAATATGTTTCCGGGGGAAACATACCTGAGATCAGTGGCAATAATCAGTAGATGAATTATGAAGCTTATAACGTATTGATTGTAACTAGTAACTAGTATATTAAGAAGTAACGGCGTCGTTCGTGTCAGACCTTGTCACTATACTACACGAGTATAGTTCCATGAACCCACAAGTCTTAGATATTAGATGGGACCATCTGAGAAAGTAAGGAAATTAAATAGGGTTGAATACATGCATGCAGAATCCTATCCAAACCAAATAATCAGATAGACACTAAGATGAAAATCCTAGATAGACAGGAAATGACCAAAAGCACCAATGGTATAGTGCCTAAGAGCAGGAAAAAAAAATTCGAAGATGGCAGTAGATGGAAAGAAAGCTATCATTCCATAGACAGCCACATCCACTCGAATTAGACGCTGTCTTTTTGTAAATACTTTGAAGAGCAAATAATAATCATGATGGGAAATCGGGTAGCATGGAGTGAAGATTCACATGAAACTTCAAGGTCAAGATAAAACATGCGACATGAAGGTGAAGGTGAAACATGAAAGATGGAAGGTGAAACGCGACGATAAAGATGAAGACATAAGGGTGAATGTTCTAAGAGAGTAGAATGGCCAAGTCATAGACCTAACTGGTCAATCAATCAATCAATCAATCGCTGATGAGGAATGGAACTTCATACACTCAATGGTCTGTTGTACACTCCATGGATGCATGCTTTTAAGGAATCAAGCGAGTAAAGTCGAGTCTAACCAAGGTCGGATCATTAGATGTACAGAGAAGTACAAAGTGACTTAAATGTCCATATGGGGCATGATGAAACTATGCTATAAGAACGAGCAAAAATAAAATAAAAATAAGCAATACCAAACGCCGGCTGAATGTGATCCAATCCAAATACCCAACCAAGAATGATATGAGTCGCTGCGTTAGAAAGAGGCATAAGGGATGATGGTTCTTCAAGGGCGTTACATAACAACCAATCAATTAATCAATCAATCAATGCTGTCATCTAGATTTACAACGCCGTCAACGCCAGCCACTGGTCGGTGTCTCAGGCCGAATCTGCGAGTTCCTAGGCTGTTGGCTCGGAGACGGTTTTGCGAAATAGTAGTGTAACTTGTGGCTAGTTTGCTGGAGGGGGCATGGATACGGGTCTGAGAAGGCTCCTGTTGCGCGAAGGACACATTTTCGTTCGCTCCATTGATCGTGGCAGTAGATAGACCGTACCGCCGAGAGCCCGCTTGGATGTTTGTTCGAGGTGTTGCGGGAGTATAGCTGGTCGGAGTTATGAGACTTCGGCGAAGTGGAATGCCAGACTGTGAAACAGTCGGCGTGCGAGGCTGAGGCAGCTGTGACTGTTGGGTTTGAGATGAAAATCTTGGGGTCTGAACCTCTTGGGATTCCGAGGCTGACTGAGACGTTGTGTACCCATACGACATCCGTGGTGAGCGATGCGAGGACGCAGGAGTCTCGCTTTCCGTCATACTCCTTGAAATCGACCGACTGTGAGGGCTTGCACTCGCCGCAGTCTCATCTTCTGTTTGGAGTCTCTTCATCCGTAACGAAGTTGAAAGTCGATTGAGTCGACTCATTGGAACGGAGGTTTTGAGTGACTGCGTCTGTTGGGACTCAAGTGTCGAGTCACTACTCCGGTTGGTATTGCTACTATTTTCCGCGGACGGACTAGCACTGGGGTTGACCAAACTCGCCCGGCGTGCCTCAAGTCTGCTCGCGACACGAGTGCTTCGCCGTCGGGATATCCCTTCAGGGTCTTGGTTGGTTTGCTGGTGCGTCAGCATAGGCGTGGATGTCCCTTCATTAGTGCCGTTGCACTGCTGTGCTCCCGCCTCTGCGCAGGCATGCTGTTTACGTATTTGCTCATCCGACAATGCCAGACAAAGTTCAGTCAAGCTCCGACAAACGCTGTCTGCCTTCCGCCTGGACTGTCTCTCAGACGAACTGTATCCATTTATGCCAGAAGCACCACTAGATGGTGCTTTACTGGAGCCCAGGAGGTTCGACAACGTGAGTGCGTCTATTACGGTGGCTTCCAAAGTACTGTACACGCCGTTGCTCAACACATTCTTAGCCTTCGCCATTGCCGATTGTAGAATTGGGTGCACGGGGTTGACCGTGATGGTGTCAGCATCGGCGGATGGATTGCTTGTTCTGCGCCCATGTTTCGGTGAAGATGAGACAGTAGTTACAGTAGTTGTTGCAGTTCGTGGCCGCTCGGAAGCCGAGATAGCCTCTTGGGAAGAGGGCGGTAGTTTCCCGGTCAACTCTAATTTGCGGATTCGCGACTTAAGATCCTCTAGTTCATCCCAGACGGTAGATGGGGCCGTGGTAGATAAGGTTGACTCCGTTCCATCCAGTCGAGATCGATCGGGCTCGACACGCGCACGTTCTGTGGCTTCGGATGTGGAAACTTGTCGGCTGCTTCGAATCGTCGACAGCGTCGAATGGCGAAAGAGTCGAGGGTCTTGTAAAGATGCTCGACGTTCTATATTGGACTCTGCATGATGAGGCGACGAGTCGGGGCCCGCATTGCTTTGTCGGCTGCGCTGAAGGCCGATTGTGCTCCTCGAGCTGGGGGCGTAGCTCGAATGATGGGATCGGGAATGATCTTCTAGCGGGTGGGCAGAAACTGAATAGGAGTACGCTCCAGAGCTGTGAACATTGGAAGGGGAGCCATTGTTGGAATGCAAGGGGCTATCGTAGGTATTCGACCTTAGTTGATCGGGGGACGGGGTTTGCTCGTACGTACGGGAGGCTGGAGAGCGAAGGCCACTCCCCGACATCCTAAACCGTGACTGTGGTTGTATTTTAGCAATACCCTTTTTTATTTTTATTTATTTTTTCCCACTAGTCTACGAGCAAATATTTAACCACTCGGACCAGTGAGTGGTTGATGGGAAACAAAAGGAGATAATAACACTCACTCGTCTGAGGTCCGACCGTCCTAGGGACTCCCGACGACTGGAGTCTGACCTAGCGATATTCAAGAAGAGGTCGTCATTTTTCAATCGAGAATCATCCGCAATGGGAGTCCGAGCACCGTCCTCCGAACCTTTATCGAAACCATTCACAGCACGGTTCCGCTCGTCCATCGGCGCTGTCCCCTGACTGTAGGAGACGGTGGATGACGGCATTCTTCTCTTCACATCCGGAGGCGTCTGGTGAGCATGAAAGGACTGTTTCCGACGCTTCGTCGCATTGGGACTCAGCACTCGAACCGTCGAGCCGGTAGCATCCAGGGGTAGCGCGGAGTCGCTCTCCTCTTCCAGGGCCAACCGGGGCGATGAAGGCTGCGAGGCGGAGACTGTGGGAGCGCGAAGATGTGACAGGGGCAAATTGAAGCTGGGAACTGATCGCCGGTGTCGGTCGTACAACGGAGTGCGCTGGGGGGTTGGGGTCTGGATTGGCGTTGGCGTTGGCGCGGGATCCCGGTTCGGGGACGGAAAGGCGTTGACTGCGGGGACGGCGCTGCCGCTGTACGAGGTCAGGGCTCTTTTGCGGAGAGGAGACTGGTATTCGAAACTGAATCGACTTTGAGGCACACGAGGAGATAGCGACAAGGTGGGATGTGCAGCCGAAGAGGATGGAGATGGACATGAGGCGACGGGCGCAGCGGACGAGTTGCCGGCGGATGCTAGCGCGCCTGCTCTGCCCTGGTCACGGGGATCGGCAACAAACATGACCACACGATGCGAGAGAGGCTGTTGATGAGCCGTGCCGGGTCGTCGTGAGGAATTATCGCCCTGGATGGTCTCCCCGGATGATGGAGCAGCCAGATGTTGTGCATGGACGATGTGCTGCACGGCAGATTCGGTCTGTCGTCGTGGCCGTAAAGGTCCAGAGCGACAATGGTCTACAGGGAAAGAAGACGAAGACGAAGACGAAGACGCTGGGTTGCCAGCTGCTACGTGTGACGTCTGCAAACTGGTCTGGTCAGGCATCCAAACGATGCTGCATCTCTCCGTCAATCAATCAATCAAAGCGCGAGAGCGAGAGGAAAATTCGATCTATTGGCTGTGGGACCCAAAGGGGTGAGATTTCCATATACCTACGACGGGACTATTGAAAAGTGCGACCAAGAGAAGAGAACAAAAAAAAAAAAAAAAAAAAAAAAAAAAAAAAAAAAAAAAAAAAAAAAAAAAAGATATCAGAATCTTTAAATTATATCCTACACAAATGAAGAAAAGGAAATGAAAAGGACTTCTGACTGGCAATATTTGGGTGGCTGGAAGAACGACAGTGGAGCTGGTTCCAGTCCGACTCCAGAACCCGGAGAAAATGCAGAGGTTGATCGATGTGATATCACCTAGAGGAAATGGCATGACAGACAGAAAGAGATGGATGCACGAGTCTGATATCACCAGAGGTGCCTACTGGTCCTAGATCGAGTGATGGGCATCCATGCATCTTTCCAACGCTTCACCCACGATGGTCCCAAAGGACTAAGTTTTTTTTTTTTTTTTTTTTTTTTTTAATTAAAAAAAAAGGGTCCCATTATCTCATGGATTCAAGTTCCTGTAGCAACAATGAAGTACCGCTCTGCGAACCACGGTTCGTTCCGTAAAGCACCTTTGGTTCGCATTCTGAGAGACCCTCCTGACATGTTGTCTACCAAGGAAGAAGAAAAAGAAAAGAAAAGAGAAGGAAGAACCATTCCATCAAGGGTTAAATCCATCACGGAATGGCTTTTCTCTCAGGATCTCTAGCTCAGAAAGTTGTCCATACGCCAATGTTTTAACACGATCTAGTTTCATACTATATCCACAAAGTCGAGGACTAGAGAGCTTGGTCCAACTAGACTTTTCTGAGATGGGTTCACACGTCCCATACAGTAAAACCCCTATATAAGCAAAGAATTCGGACCGGCTAAAAGTTTGCTTATACCGGATTTTTGCTTATACCGAACAAGGTAATAAATATATATATTTATATAGCTTTATATAAATCTACTGCACCATACTGAATTAAAGAACGCATATATTAATTATTATAATCATTCTATAAGATATAACCTATATTCTGCATGTTTTTGGCAACCAGGGGCCCCGCAGCTTAATAAGGTGGAGGTGGGTGGTCAGGCAAAGAATGACCGGATATCTGTCTGACGCTGAGCTTGAGCTCTTCTCTCCAGAAGGAGCCTTTCTTGGTGTGTAAGAAGCCGAATAAGGGCCTTATCTCCATCAACCTGCTGTTCCTGATAGAGTCGTAGTTTATATAAGCCCTCTAAAGCGTCTGTAGGTGTAATTATTGGTAGAGGCTGTAGATCTTCCTCCTCATCACTATCTGAAGCTGGAGGCGGTGCAATTTCAGACAGAACTGCGGAGTCAATATCTATAAGACTATCATCAACCTGCTCCTCTGTGGGATTCAAAACTGATTAATATCCATAATGTCCTGGATACTATTTGAGAGTTTTAGGCGTTGAAGTCCTTGCTTTATATCGTCAATAAGTTGCTCATCATTAAGCTCATTGACATATTCAATTGAAAGGGCCTTTTGAAAACAGTTTCTGACTGTATCTCTAGACAAATCAAATTCCCAGGCAGAAATTGCCCATCGAATTGCTTGTAAGATTGTCATAGTAGATAGCGGGTCAAAACCACGGTCGTACTCAGCCATCATATATAAAACCCACTGTTTTTCCAATATGCCTTCCATGTGCGTATAATCCCTTGATCAAGAGGCTGATACCGTGACGTTGAGCAGGATGGAAGCCATATAACCAGTGTATTCTTTAGCTGCGGGTTTACTTCTTTATATGCAGCTTCATGTGCAGAAAAATTGTCCATTAAAAGAGCAACTTTTCGGCCTTGCATTCTTCTATCAAACCAGAGCAGCCATTCTTTAAAGATATCACCAGTCATCCATGCCTTCTTATTTGAGCGCCAAGTGCAGTTAAGGTTCTCAATATTAATACCAGCTGCAGTAAAGGCTCTGGGACGTTTAGCTGTCCCAATAAACCAGATAGGAAGGAGTTCTGAAGCGTCTGAATTACAACAGAAATGCGCAGTTATTCGAGCCTTTTCTTTCTTGCGGCCAGGAAGCAAACGTGTAGATAAACTCCGGTCCGGGATCATCCTCCAGTATAGACCTGACTCATCGCAGTTAAAGATATCCTGAGGCGCATATATACTAAGAGCGTGACGGATTATAACCATTTCAGTAGCTGCATATACACTTCCAGCTTCACCATGCTGACTCCTCCACTTAATATTTCTGCGTGATTGAAAGCGTCGAAGCCAGCCGTTGCTAAACTGCGGCATCTCCCTTTCTGGATAGACCTCCGGCCAGAAATCCCTTTGCTTTTGCCGAATAATCTCCTGAGATATTGTTATTTGTCCCTCAGCCCTCCGTATCCAGTTGTAGAGTGCCTTTTCTAGCTCTGGCCAGGATTCTGTACGGCGTCGTTTATCTTCAGATTGATGCGCTTGAATGTCGTCAAGGAAGGCAAATCGAGAGGAGAGGATTCGGCTAATCGAGGAGCGGTCAATTGGCTGTTTATATGTCTCTTCAAACCACTTAGAAAGAGTATGCCAGAGAAAGATAAGGCTTTAAATGATGTTGAGCGCGTAGGGCAGCCTTCTGGCTATTTGAAATAGCGCGACGCGTCCTCTTAGCCATCTTTAAAGCAAAGTGTGATATCTGAATAAGCAATTTTGTGACTTCGATATAGGCAAATTTATATAGGAAAGGGCGAAAAATTAAGCAAAGATCTTGTATCGGGGGGTTAAGCATATTAATATGGAAAATCAAATTAGACACCGTGTTCATTTGCTTATACCGGAGTTTTGCTTAAATCGGGTGCTGCTTATATAGGGGTTTTACTGTACTTAGCACAGCCCCTGTTTATGATCCGATGCGGATGGACATAATAAGGTCCATATCACCGGCGCTTTACTGGTGCAGTGTGATTAACTGCAGTGCTAGAGCTCCAAGCCAAGATTACCTTACCGAGTAGTACCCGCTGCCAATGGAAGTCACCACGACGAGTTTTGATGCAAAACTGCTCGATAAATTTGCCGAGAATAGTAAAATTGTCGACATTTCAACACTCATGTAATCCATGGATATTGATAATGACCGCAGTCGACTGATACACTGGTTGAATGGTAGACAGACCTGGATGTTTCTAGCAGAACCCTGGCCCCTGATCCTGAAACCGTTTCAGATATGTCACCCGCGATTCAGGAGGCGATGGTTGTCCTGGCAAGCAAAGATGTTTCTCTTGGAGCCATCCCAAAACTCATCATATTACTGCGTCTGCTGAGGAAGTCGAGATGTTGCAAGTTAAGGGGAGTAAAAATGTATCTAGATTAGAGATGGTTGGCGCTGTCACGGTATTTTGTGCCAGCCAAGACGACCGCAAGCAGCCCAGGAACAATACTGCGTAAGAGCATTGAAGAGGAATCGTAAACGCTGCTCTGCGTTGCAACTGCATATAAATAGCTAGAATGCCTATGGGACGGAAATCCTTTCCATAATCCTATCACCTAATGTTGTCATCTTGAGTACGGTCGTGAAGGCTCCACCATTCTTAAAACTACATTATTAAATTTGTCACAAGGACAGGCAACAGCCAAGGGCAATCATTTTCCGTTTTTCAATAGCTTGAAGCCTAAGGAGTATCCCGTACAGAGGATTACTCCGCAGTAGGCGAGTGTTTTCTCTAGCTTACATGGCACTCTGGGCAGAGTGGCCATATTCAGCATGCAACGCGCGTCTAGAGTCGTAATAATAATAACCATTTGATGCACATGAGATGCATACGAATTGCAAGGCTATGGATACGATGAGTCCGGTGCTCCGCCGGGATGGGAACGCAAAACGGCCCATCCAACAGATTTCGGTGGCCGAGAGTGTCAAATCATACTCTGTAGGTAAATAAGAGCACCCAGGGGTAAACCTGAAATGAAACCCGAGTCGTTAATTTGTCCTGTAAGCACAGGATTTCCTTGCAAGAACCACTCTCCGAGGGTAATATATCTGAGATAATTCCCCCAGGCCCGATACTCAAGGGGTGCGTTTCTGGCCAGCACGTAGTACGGAGTACCTCGCAGTAGATGCAAGGAAATAGGTGGGGGAAAATATCCATGAATCTCTCAGAGCCATATGGGTGTCATCTGTCAAAGGTAAAAGATCGTAGCCATTGTCCCTGCATTCTGCATGTTTAAATTGCCTCGACGGCTGCAATAGGAATAGAGTTGGATCAATACGGATACGGGTCGTTTGAGATCTGCTGTACCTAAAGGTACTGGATAATTAAAACCACCCCACAGCAATAAATCGTTCGATGACCGAACAGCAGGTCCAAGTTCTATGGCTCCGAAATTTTATCTGTGTACTATCAGTTGGTCGTTGCAGCCACGTGGAATCTTGGAGGGTCATTTGAAACATTGTTGATACGCTCCAGACTATACCGAGTAGGATGTCTGTCTAAGGAGCGAAGAGAATAATAAACAGAGGATGATGTATTGTTTTGCGTACACCCTGGGTGGCAAGAGTGGGGGATGGAGAAGTGGAGGACAGGGAGAGGGAAGATCGTGGACACAAAACAACAACGTACTCCGGAGTACTCTAGGTAGTTGCATCCTTGACGAGTTTGAAGGGTCCTAATAGTACTCCGTACTCCGTACCCGTAGTATCCCCACAACAATGAGAAAGGGAAAGAAAAACAAAGATTTGAGACAAGATTCCAAAAAAAAAAGGAGGTCTTCCGTCCAACCCAGCAGCTGATATTGTCGCGACCGATGCACGAGTTTGATCGCTGTGACAGGCAATGTTGCACACGTGATTTCTAGTGGCGCGCTAGTGGCTTAACATTGATTTGGCGTGTTTCAGACGTGACTAACCCCTCCACCTATTGGCCCGAGCTAGCGCGCGCACTGTGGTGTTTCAGCTGGTCTCCAAATTCGGAGAGTCTCGGTTGGTTGGCACTCCAGACAGGCTTTTAACAGCTGTGAGTTCAGTCTCTAATACGGCAGATTATTGCCTACTAATCCCAAACCGTGTTGCAGCCTGTTCCCCTGCTGCCAATGAGCGATGGTCCTTCGTTTCCAGGGGTTATCTCTGGGACACAGATGAATCGAGTTGACTTGGCCCCAGTCCATCGGCATTTTCGTTTCACTTTTTCTGCTATTATCTTCAGAGCCTCTATACCCTAGTGGGAGGGTCCATGCAAAGAAAAGTTGCCATTCAGATCAAGTAAATGAGCGGTCTCGTCGTTTTTGAATCCTCTTCCCTCCTCTCTTGGTTCTCTTGCTTGATTTTTTCCTCCTTCTTTTGCACTTCTGGCACGCATCTGGGTTTCCTCCTGGTTTCCCTCCTGGTTTCCCTCCTATTCTTTATCGCCTGTTTATGCGTACTCTCAAGTTCTTTGTTGCCGCATTGACTTCAATGGTCACCAAGATACCTTAAATCCACTGCCAACAATCAAACACCAGCAAACACTGAGCACCGTGCACACTCAAGCGGGTCGCATAGGACCAATTTGGAATTGCCGCAGTTCCGGCTTTGCGTGGATGTACACTACAGTGTACATGTCGAAATCACTGTCAACTGCCTCGTGGGATTCTACTGCCTTCTATTTCTGTGTCCCTTCTGGAAATTTTCTGGAGGAACTCAGTCTGAACTGCACACTTGCCTTTTCCTCTGGCAGTTTTTACACCAGCGAAGGATTTCTATAGTGGACATACCACCATCCATTGCTGTGTGCAAGTGAAAAATCCTGCCCTGGATCTAGTACCGCTTTGGAATAGATTCCATTTGGGGATACCACTGTGTATTCCTGTTGGTTTTGGAGGAATCTATCAAGGAAAAAGGAAAGCTTCATGACAGGTATGTCTGGTTTTCTGGTTACGCTCTATTGTTGGTATGATTTCTTTCTGCTTCTGGTTCTTTTGTTTATCACTGATCTATATGTCGAAATGCTGCGCTTGGGTCCAGCGCTTTCCTCCATGCGTTTCTCATTTTCCTCGTTGGCCTAGCTCTACCACTTTTCCCCCATCCCCACTAGCTCCCTATTGTGGAGCATTTGTTTTTTTTTTTTTTATTATTTTTCTATTTTTTTTTCCTCCATGTTTCCCCTCCTTCTTTTCCTTCGATGTCTGGAATATATCTCGAAACGAGGAATTCCAGAAGAAATACGAAGGTCAAAAAGGGAAAGAAGGAGGAAAAAAATAGAAATAATCCTGAAGCCATTACTATGACAGTATCAAGGATGGAGTCGATGGATTGTGATCTGTGGCTTCTAATGCATATACACTGTGTATTATCATCCCTCCACTCCCCCTGGGCTGTATCAGAGCCATACCCACATACCCTCGCTCGCTCATCACTCCCCATCCTCTCTCACTTATTCCCCCGGACACCGACTTATGCCACTGGCTGAGAGTGTCTCTATGATGGCAAAGAGACCAGAGAGCTACACTATGGCTGCAGAGCACTTTTCCCCGCCTGGTGACATACCCATTGTTGGGATGAAACTGACCTCTGATTTGCGTGTTTTTGGCGCCCATGATGCACATTCCAGCATCCCACTCAACCCGGGCGGCTAAATTTAGAGCTGCAGGCGATGGATGTCCTGCTGCCTGGCGCTCTCATTGGTTGTCCCACATCTGGTGGACCGCAGTCTCCCTCCCTCCTTCCCCACTGCCGTTGCCGCACTGATTGGCCGGCCGTCAGAAACGCGGGCGGACGGGTCCAATCATGATCGCTGGCCATTTCCTTCCCGCCCTCTCAAACGAACTACTGTGGTTATTCTTAGCCATCGTGGTCGCATTATTCCATCGGAGCTGGGACTGCCTATTACCTCCCTCCCATTCTATCTCCATTCATTCCCTTTGCCTTGCACACACACCCTCTCTTCCTCTTCCCCTCCTTCTCTTTTCTCTTCTCCCCTCCCTTCTCCCCTCTTGCCAGGGTGCTCCTTGTCAATCTGCCCTTTTCCTTCCTTTGGGTTGTGGGCAGTCGTTCTTTTCTCTTTTCCTTCCTTCCCTACTACGCTGCTACCACAGTTCCTGTCGTCGGAGGAACGGCTGCCCACACCATTTACTGGGCGGCAATCCCCTCACCCATACCTCCCATACATCTTCCTCCCATCCCATCCTCCAACAATTGAATTTACCTCTCCCTGGATGCTGCGGCAGTAATCCTGGCAACTGCATTCTTCTCTTCGAATTTGTTTTCATTCCTTTGATCTCTTTTTTTTTTTTTTTTTTAAGTCTTGCATCACGTTATTTATTATTTTTTATTACTATTGTTTTTCCTCCTGGAACCACAATCCTTTAAAAATCACTGACCTTTCTCAAAAGAGGTAGTGCTCCTCTTGCAGCATTCTCTGGTATGTTCGGGTATTTCTGAGCCTTGAAGGTCCAACGTCCCTTTTGTGCTTTGTCTATGTCGAAAGACAAAGACATCCTATCTTCTCTCTGCTTCCAATAGCTTTGTTACGCGCTTTTAAAGTTTAGATCGTCGGCCTGGTTTCACCCTCCTTGCAGCCGTGCTTGCTTGCCTGTTCCTCCCCGTTTTGGGTGTCCTTCCTTTTCAGTGCCAACGAATCTTGAACATGGAAGCTGATTGTGCCCTGTCAAAAAGGTCATTTGCTCTGGTAGCAAGTGCAACGTCACTGCCTTCTTTCCCCCCATCTGGATGCAATAGTTGTTCGTCAATATTTGCGCCAGCATTTCGCGAGAGCTGCGAATCTGAAAGGGTACCCCCTTTCAAGCGCAGGTCTATCTCAAAGTCTGGATCCATCATGCCCGTTCAAACCAGTCCACCGTCACCCCCGGACTCGTTCCCGACGTTCATGTCTGTGTTTGGCGAGAGATCGCCCAGTTTTTCCAACAACGAGCAAAGCACAGCTGTCAGACCTCTTCGAGTTCCCACCCATGTCACGATCAATACGTCAAGACGTCCACTTCCTTTTCAGCATCGTGAGAGTATCTCCTCAATGACATCAGGATCCACCGACTCCTCTCCCACCACTACCATCTCCACATTTGACTCGCTCTCAGCGCCCGATACTTCTCCCAGCTCCTCCCCAGAGTCTCCGTTATCGATGCCACTACCGTTTCCAAAATTCATGGCGCCCATGCACAATGTCGAGAGCCAAATGCTCTCGCTACCCCAGAACAGTCTCCCCAAAATCTCGCCCGAAAGCACGAATCCAATTCGTCTGGAGCGTCCGGATTCCCCTGGTCGACGCGCGCGGAATCTCAAGAATTTGTCCTTGAGGATGCCGCCGCCGTCCCAATCGTCTCGTCCTCCCATTGCGACGGCTTCCTTTGTTGAAACAACCTCGCAGCGCCACCTCTCAGCACCACCTTCCCCGGTACACATCCCCCCCAAGAGCACACGGCGGAGACCCGCGAACTTGACTATTCGAACTCCCGGTTTCGACAAGTCATTTTCTAGCAATATTACCGAAATGGTCCCACCTACCCCGCATGCCCTACGACACACGGAATCATCCCCTTCTTTAACCTCGATCTTCTCCCCTTCTTTTGGCCCCAAAGGCGGCATGCAATTGCCTCGGCCAATGACTCATCATGGAACCCGACGACCATCAGCTACCTCCGAGGACAACCGTTCGCCTTTGCAACCGGTTCCAGACGAGGATTCTCTCTCGGGTGGTGTGTTACATGAACTAGAGGAAGAAGATGATCAACTGGACTCCAGAGAGTCAACCCGGCGCAACGAACGCGGTTACCCCAATGGACCTGTACGAATCTACGATTCTGGACTCTATCTTTACCTGGAGCCGACAGCGCAAGAAGCTTCTCAGTTTGATGTTGTCGTGAACGTGGCGAAGGAAGTGGCAAATCCATTTACCAATACGAGTGCCCAAAATGGCACCGTTGTGAGTACTCTGCGGAATGCATCAATAAGCTCTAAGCGACTGTCCACCCTATCTATTGGAGAGCCACGAACTGCCGTTTCAGAGGCATCCTTCAAGTCGGCGTTTGAGTATCCTCCGAGCGAATCCGAGTCTCCCGCCACACCCCGGAACGAGACGTCTGGTCCGGAATACGTGCATGTTGATTGGGATCATAATTCAGAGATTCTTGACGATCTCCTCCCTCTGTGCGAGTTTATTGACTCTCGGATATCGGAAGGCAAAAAGGTGCTCGTGCACTGTCAGCTAGGCGCTAGTCGATCAGCTTCATTGGTGATTGCCTATGGCCTCTACAAGAATCGACACCTGGATTTTAACTCTATGTACGAAATTGTGAAAGAACGGAGTCAATGGGTCGGGCCGAATATGAGCCTGATCTATCAGTTGACGGATTTCCGTTCCCGATTGCTCCGTGGTAGTCCCTCCAAGCCTGCACGCGAAGAGTGGTTTGTACGAGGATCTCGAAGAAGCTCTGAACCACAACCCCCGCGCAGTGAGAAATTGGACCATTCGGAAATATTTATTCCTGGTAGCTGTAGTGGTGACTCTGACGCGGGGCAGACGTCATCGAATGGCATGTCGCAGGCATCGATGAGCTCACTCTCCGTGCCTTCAACGAACAAGACCACACCGACTTCGACAGAAAGTCCACGACTCTCTAACTCGCTCTCACACAAGCGAAGCTTATCTCCGCGGCCGTTACCCCTTCGACAGACGACCTTCCACACATTTGACTCGTCGTTTCGGTCCGTACGGCCAACCTTTGGAACGAATCCATGGCGCTCGGAGGGCAGTCCTTATTCCCTAGCTAAGACGGACATCTTCGCGCACAATGCCTCGGAAGAACCCTTGGCGCTCTTCTCTCCCAGGACCACTGGGTTCCTGGCAGGTCCACATTCCGTCTCCGATGTGCTAGAGGACGATGGTCCCAATAGCCTCCGGTTTGGGGCGAGGATTGCGGATCCTAGGTCACCTGCTCCTGGGACCGAGCGCCTTATCATGAGAAATATTGACGAGTTTCTGTAATACTTTTGCCTTGATGTTTTTGTCTCGGGGCGATCCTTCGGGAACTTCACTCGAGAAACGATTGCATGATTGCTGATTATCGTTCTTACTATTCTGGAGCTACCATTTCTCGGGCTTACCCTTGCTACTTTCTCGTAACCTTCTTTTTTATTTTTTATTTTTTTTTTTTGGGCCCTGAATCATGAGAAAGCACCCGCTGTGTTTCTCTTAACTCTCGCTGTCTTTCCTAGACTATTTCCATCACTTCCTCTTCTTTTTTGTCACCCTCTTGATGATTTGATGACCAAAGCAGGCTTTGCCATCGTTATTTCCATTCTTTTCCATTCGTCTTACACTCGATTGCATTTTTGCCTTGTCTCAGAGGTTCTCAAACCTTGACTTGCATACCTTCCGAATACTGGCGTCTGGGATGTTTTAAAAGAGATAGGAGGCGATGATCAATCGCACCTGGTAACTTGTAATACTATTTCTGGAATTTGTTCTATTTGGTGCAACATCTAAAGACATTCCTTTTTTCTACCCGAGATCTCCGTCTTCACTTCCATTTTGTCTTATTTCACTCGTTTTGCATTGATGGCAGGTCCGGCAAAATACCCATGGAGCTAGTCTCGAGTCAATAAATAGATACAAAGTGTTGTACGCAACTTCTTTTCTTGTGCGGCATCAACCGTGCACGGGTCATGCGTAGTATAGTCGGTCGATTTTCAACATCCGCGGGGCAACTCGCTCTTTTCTTCTCCATCGACTATCCTGTAAAGAGAGACTTCTCAACAGAAACCATGGCAGACGAAAACCATCCTGCTCATCTTTCACCGAGTGAACTAGGCACGAAGGACTAGTAAGTAATTGACTACTGGTGGTTGACAGACAGCCTGAGTTGATTTTTTTACCCCGCTACGCTACCCCTCCATAGAAAAATAGATTATCCATCAGACAGGACTCAACTAACCCCTAAATTTACAGCTGGGAAACTTTCTACGCAAGAACTCTCGCCCACATCTCCATCAAACATGACTCAAATACATCCTCCACCGCCGTCCCTAAAGACAACAACGCCTCCTTCGCATCGGACGAGTGCGCCACCGACGATGAAATCGACGACGACTCCGACCCGGGTACCTCCTGGTTCTCAGAACATAATGCCCCCGATAAAGTCCTTCAGTTCTTGACCGATGAGGCATTCCCGCTCGCACCTTGTCATACCCGTCGCTTGGAAACCTCGGAGGCCGACGATGATGATGCGCAGACCCAGTCGTACAGATCCAGTACCAGTGCCAGTGCCAGTACTGGTGTCTCTTCCCCTCAGTCTCACTCTCACTCTCAGCCCTGCATTTTGGACCTGGGCACCGGAAACGGGAGCATGTTGGCCCTACTGAGAAAACGCGGCAAGTTCACGGGTGATATGGTCGGGGTGGATTATTCCCCGCGCAGCGTGGAATTGGCTAGGGAGTTGCAGCGGTTGAGGATTCATTCGGCTTATTTATCTGATTCTGATTCGGAAGCTGATTCTGATGGTGAGGATGGGTCCGAAGGCGATAAAACAGATACGAATATCCGATTCGAAGAGTGGGATATTTTACAATCGACGGATGCCTTATCAGGTGGTGATCATGAGATCAACAGAGGAGAAAGAGGAGAACGTCGACTGGATTGGTTCCCGTATGACAAGGGCGGGTTTGATATCGTTTTGGATAAGGGGACGTTTGATGCTGTTTCGCTGTCTGAGGAAGTCGTAGAAGAGGATAATGGGATTGGGGATGGGAATGGGAATAGTCTGACGAACAGGAAGAAAGTACAGAGACGTGTCTGTGAGTGTTATCCCCATATTGCGAGACGGTTGGTGCGAAAGGGTGGGTTTTTGGTGGTCACCAGCTGTAACTGGACGGAGGAGGAGCTGATTCAATGGTTTACTCGCAAGGATGAGTCCAGTGGTAGTTCGGAGGATCGTCTGCAGGTTTGGGGCAAAGTGGAATATCCTCGGTTCAGGTTTGGGGGGAAAGAAGGGCAGGGGGTCTGTACGGTTTGTTTTCAGAGGGTGTGATAGGTATTTAGTGGTTTGGTTTGATAGATAGATATATATGATATACTCATGTGGCCAATCCTGGATGTCATATAATTCATCAATCATGATACATGAACAGCCCTCTATACATGCTAGAAGGTAGCGCGGGACATGTCCAGGGCTGTGTCATGTATACAGGCAGTGGGCATAGTAGGTATGAGGTATTTCTATTCACGTCTTGAGAAGAGCAACAACACACCAGCGTCTGCGATTCTCCGGCCCCTCTCCCTCCCTCACAGTCACCCATTCCCTCCGTACCTCCTGTCCGTTTTCCGTTGTCGAGATGAGGTCCCGTTCGTAGATGCGCTCAATCTTCAGACCCAGTTGCACCGCCGTTTCAAAGAACTGCGCGACGATAGCCCTCCCGGTATGGAATCCGGCCACGATCCAGACCTTCCCATCGGGTGCCAGGAACCACAACATGGTGCGTACAAGGTTCTCATGCTGGGAGCGCATCCAGTAGCAATCCGCCGCGATGATCCGGGAGAAGGAGCCTTTGTTTTTGACCGCCCAGGGATCACTCTCTAGGGTGCCCCATTCATGCGGTTTCACGGACACATTGGCTGCAAATGATAGTCCTTGGAGATTGTGATCGATATTGGACCTAATCGCACCAGACAAGGAAGGTGATGACGGGTGGTCTGTGATGGTGACATTGGAAGCGCGGGCGAGTACACAAACGACTGAGGGCAGTCCGGCGCCTAAGTATCAACATGGAGAAGAAGAAACGATCAGTCCCTGGTCCTGAATAATGTCTATAAAGCCTCATGGCTGAGAACAGAACACCTACCAGCGCCCAATTCCAACACACTATGTCCTTTGACCTTCCACATGGCTGTGTCGGAATCCAATTGTCCTACGGCGTCCAGGGCATCGGCCTTTTCGACTCCCTCTGCAACTACCATGGCCGCACTCCATAGGAAATGGGCAAAGAGTTTTCGACCCTCTTCAACCTTATTCACCTGGCCATTGGGCTGGGGTAGACCGGCGCTGGCCTCTTCGGGCTCGTGGCGTTTCTCGCTCTGTTGGGGATACGAGGGAACCATGATTTGTAGCTCGCCATACCGTGGCGATGTGTAGAGGAGATGCTGACCGGGATCACCGTGGAAGGATGGAGCATCATCTGGGAAGAGAAAGGGGAGAAATGCCGTGAATAGGTCTTCGGGGGATTCGTCGTCTACATCTTCCTGATGGAAGTCCGGCGGAGGGGCATACGGAGCCGAGGAAGTGAATTGGCGGCGGGGGAGGGGTCGGAGGCGAGAATGGAGCATGGCGGATAATATTGGCACTGAATGTTGAGTTGATCCCGGGGAGGGACCATAGGAGGATCGAGATTAAGGGACTCTTGTCACGGTCGACGTAGTTTAGCTTTCCGAATTGCTTACAGTCTGATGCTGTGCGTAAAAAATGGTGGTATCGTTGCTCCGATTGGACAGAAACAATGCCGTCGAACAACCTTCCGGCAGAATCAGTCCGCCTCCATCTCGGGAGCACGTGATCTGAATCCTTATTCCCCGGATTATTCTTTGGACCTACGCACAGTCGCTTGAGGGAGCAATACTCCTATCTGGCATTCATAAACCAAACTACTCCTAAGTACCTGCCTGTTAAGCCAACGCGGGATAGATATCGTGGTCGAGTAAGCCCTCCACTATCTTTGCGCTGTACTTCACGAACGCATTGCGCCAATAATTCCAAACTGCGTCATTCGGTAGGGCCTTGCAGGCTGCGTGTTAGTGGTCTCTCTGGCAGACTGCTTTAGTGGGCACAGTGGGTTCGACTGTCGCCGTTTTGGAGCGAAGGTATTGGTCAATGGGGAGTATTGTTCTCCCGGATTGCATACTCGGGCATTCGGATGCCACAACATGACACGTCCATGAGAAGTCAGACTGAAATGCGAGTATTATTCTTCTGACTCTGCCGGGTAATCCTCTTGACATCGACGGTTATGGAAGCAAATGGTCAATTGCATTCCTTGCTGCTGCATTGAAGTGTCTCTGTGAGTATCCAGGGTGCCTAGCTGTATGTAGGCACGGCATGTTCATGTCCTCTTTGCGATGGTGAGCCAGCTTCTCTCACTGGAAAATGCAGAGATCTCGTGTCAATGGAGTCAAAATTGATTGGAACGGTTCGTCCATAGTCGACCTCTATATAGGCACTCTGGATCTGTTGAGTGATGTGCCGTCTATATTTGGCAGGATGTAATGCACAAAGGACACGGTTGGGAGAACAGGCTGTTGGGGTTGCATGCCATGATTCTTCGAAGGCAGTACTTAACAATAACTGGGGTCGTGGGACGGGGGAAAAGCGAGCGAATTCCCCACTATTTATTCCCGGGCCGACTGGGTATGCTGTGCCACATCAATCGCCAGCAAGGGGTATTAAATAGACAGTCACCACGAGGACGGCAGGAATGCTGGTACTGGTATTACTCCCTAGGTACCCGCTGATTTCTGCAAATTGCGGATCTTCATCTTCTGGGGTTAGGAGGTACTTAAAGTACCCTTTGGCCCTTTGCAGGTACTCCGTAATCCCCGCTGTACTCAACGGTAAGATAAACCGTGGCCGTATTGAAACGCCCTCCCCATAGTGGATTCCTAAAGCCCACCAATCATACTGCCACAGTCGATGACATCATTTGCTCGCCAGACTGGCCCTAGACCGGTCGATGCGGATTCCTGCGTATTACGGTATGGTCACCCGAAACAGACAGCACAGATCATCAATTGAGTGATTTTTTTTTTTGTTGCCCTTTGCCTTTTAACTTTATGGGAACTTGTCATGGTTTAGTGTACCTGTTTATCCTAGAACTCGGATGTTTTCTTCAATTCTTCTTTAGGTCGGATGATCATTGTCATTCTGGCGTGTTTTTGCTTTATTTTTCCCTAGATCTTCGGTATATAAGAGTTGTAGATCTGAGAAGGTATCGTGCCTGACTTAGGTAATTGTTCCATCCATTCCACTCGGTCGGCATGACCCTGTACTATGATACTAGTACGCAGATGACCATGCTCTTTCATTGAATTCCAAATGTCACCATCGCATGGAATATCATGGATGATGGGGAAGACAAAAAAAAAAAAAAGTCGTGAACTCCCACAGAATGGTCGATCACATCATCAGGACCACTTTTTCTCTGGTCCAGTCATCCGATCGCCGATGGAGGTGGAGCAGTCGCCTTCACTGGCTTCGTTGGCCTCAGTCACGGATGTTAGTCAGGAACGGAGGGAGGCACTGGTGAGGAATGATTGGAAGCCTGAAAGCTGGATGAGCTGCTTTTTATGGCAGGGTTGGCTTGCTCTCTTTTTTTCGCATTTCCTCCTCATTCGACGCCTGTCCCTAAGAAACGTATTGTGGATTCTGCCTTCTTTCTTTTTCTTATTTCTTTTTTCTTTATTATTTATTATTTCCTGGAGATCGCCAAACCCCCGCATTGCTGGAATCCATTCAGACGACTAACGAACCCAAAAGGCCCCGCAAAGGCGTGAAAAAGCTCCAGCGCTGTTATTTTTACCAGCATTTCGCTGCCTGTGCTCCTCGTTACGCCCGCCGTATTACCGTATTGATCCTGCTTGCTGCCAATTCCATCCAGTCCCAGTCATTTGGCTTCTTGTCTGTCTGTCTGTCTGTCTCCAGCTGTAACTCCAGCTGTAAGTCAGTCAGTCAGTCAGTCTGGATTCTTTCTTACTCCTCTTCTATTTTTTTGGTTTTGCTGCCTCCTCCTTCTCCTCTTTCACACACTCTCTCTTCTCAACTTCTTTTGTCCCCTCATCTTTCTTTCCCTCTATCCCACTCAATTTGGTCTGTTCAATTGCCCACCTTGCTTCTTTTGCCCCAGTATCGCCCCTCGGCCTTCCTGCTGACTAGGTACTTGCACTTTTCGCCCGCTCTTTGTCCCAGGCACCTATTTCCAATCCCAGCAGCTCTCTTTCTTTTTCTTTTTCTGTTTCTTCTTTTCTTTTTTTTATTTCTTGAACATCATCCTCCTCATTCAACACTTCTGCTGGCTACTTCGACAGTCACTGAACAACTATTTTGACGGTCTTAATTACAACATTTCCCACCGGGCTTTCAGGGGATTGATTGCCTGAGTGTCCACGTACAGTCATGGCCTCTTTCAAGGTACCGTTTTCTTAATTTTTTTTTTTTTTTTTTTTTTTTTTTTTTTTTTCTTTGGCCCCTTTGATTAGCTAGTATTTCTACCTATAGCTAACTCCTGTACACCCTTGGAAATAGGAATTATCTCTTTCTCGTCCTCTCCCTCAGTCTAATCCACGCCACCATTCCCACTCCATTTCACTCGGTGCCGTCAATGCAAACCATCGAGTCACTCGTCGGAAGAGTGTCACCACTGCGGTTGCTGCTAATGTGGCGGCAGCGGCGGTCGCTGCTTCGATGAAAGATTCCCCAGGGGAATCAGTAGGATTGCCTATGCCCTCGCACCGTCGTGGAAGCCGCAAAGGCTTAGAGTCTAGTTCGGTCGGACTCCCCTCCGGCTTCGGCTCCTATCTCTCTCGGAGCATGAACAGTCCCAGCCAGGAACCATCGGTCGCTCGCAAGCCCTCACCCAGCAGCTCCAACGATGAATCATCCCCGGCCACCACCGCCGTCGATGGAAGTAATCCCGCGAGCAAGCCCGTCAGCACCAAGAACCGAAACCGTCGGGCCAGCGAGGGATCGCACCTGGTCAAAGGCGAAGGGAAGCGCGTCATGGCCGAACTTCGCTGCGATCGTTGCGGGAAAGGGTATAAGCATGGCAGTTGCTTGTCTAAGCATATGTGTGTATCCTCCCCCCAATCCGCTGTCCTGCCGTCTGGCTCGATTCGGGGTAAATGCGCCATGTCGGCTCTGTGCAAGGTCGCCCTCGTGGTCATTCAGCTCCCCCCTCTTTGTTCAACCTCCTCTCCTTCTCGTGGTGGACCGTAGTCGGTTGACGTTTTATGGTACTTAGGTGGGAACATGACCCTGCGTGGGCAATTACTTCGAAACTGTTGATTTCCAAGCATCAGCAAGTCCAGTTGCTTGAAGCAGCCTCCGTCCTGGTCACCATGACCCAGGATGACCCTTCCACAGAAGGAGCAGAGGCCGATTCAGAGTTCTCCTCTGCATCACCGGACGCCTCGTCGGAGTTCCGCGAGGGCATCAGCTCCGCGGAGACCACGCCGCCCCCCGTGGACGACGATGACGATGACGATGACATGTCCCCCGAGCCAATGACTATGAGCAAACGATTCAGTATTGGCAACGCCTCGGGCCATTTCTCCCATTCCTATCAGTCCGTCCCCTCGAGCTCCTTCACCGGTAGCGCTCCGTGGGCGTCGCCCGCATTCTCGCATTTCCGCCATTCGAGCATCGACACCAGGCCCTCCACGGCGGAGGCCAAGCTGCACGACGATGATGAGGCAGATCTGGCTGCTGCCATCGGCCTCTGCAACTTCGGGACTCCACGTACTGGACCTGTCCCCCCTCTCGCCCAGCGTGCCTCCTGTGCCTCCGTTGCCGTCTCGCTTCCTGGATCAGAGCAGCTCTGTAGGCAATCAGAGCCAGAGCATGGATCGTGCGGGGACTGGGGCAGCGGACACGGACCTTGCGAACTCCACACCGAATATTTTCTTCCCCCTGTCGTACAACCCATCGTTGTCATATAAGGTATCGGATGAGCGAGAGGTGAAGATGGGCGATGCCGACCGTGCCACACGGCAGAACCGCAATGCGGACGTCGACTTCGGGAACCGTCCCATCGCTGTCGATGACGATGATGATGGCGTCTTCGGTCGCATGGAGGAGTGAGCCATCCTCGTCTCCAGGAGTGCTTGATAACTCTTTGATAACCGCCCTCCCCATTTTCTGCTGTTTTGCCTTGTCCGGTACTTACCCTGCGGTTGGACCACTGTACTGCAGCATTAACTTTCATGACATGTATGAGCTCGTGCGAATTTTGCGATTGTCGAAGTCTTTTGGTTGGTTGTGTTGCTTTGGAGTTGAACACCCCCCTTTCGCGTGTATGACACATTTTTAGGGATTGTATAACCCAGGCGTCGCACTTGGTGCGACCCTGGCTCCCTACTATGCATGATGGTCTTGAATGGATTTCCTGGATATCTTTCTGTTTTCTTCTGTCTCGTTTCTAGTCCCTCCTTCATTCCCCTCGCTCCCTATATTCGCGGTTCTTAGCATCCTGTGTACCATTTATTCCACTCCGCGCTTGCATGTTCCTTTTCCGTATACAAGGCCTCGGTCTTCTGCATGGGTCCGCTCGACCCCATTTCTTTCATGTCTGTAAACAGATCCCAATGGGATAGTATCAAATTAAGATATATCATATCAATGTTTATCCGGAAAACAATGTTTCGAGTGAGATTCTATTCAGTTCTCTGAGTAAGGTGTCTGAGACAACTTGCATTCAAGTTCCAAGAACATGTAAAATCCTGTGGTTTGATCCCGACCCCAACAAATCCCAATATGCAGGACATCCTGCAAATGTACATGAATAAATCCTCTACCCCATTTGGGTCCTTTCAATTGGTCTTTTCCTTGCATTTCCTTTTCTTTCATGTCACTTTCTTCTCCTTCCTTTCACTTCCTTTCCTTTTCGTTTTCTGCAGCTTTTTTTTTGGAAGGTTATCTTTTTTCTTTCCCCTCCTCTCTTTCTCTCTTCCATAGTCGTACCTGACAGGTATGTAGTAGAAGCCCACAAATCCAAACTTCAATGACAGAAGTAAACTGTACTCTTCTCAACCGTGACACTACTACTAAAACCTATGACAAGTTAGCTACCGACCAGTCAGGGGTAATAGTGACCTGGGATCACTAACCAGAACTCAGATGAGATCATCACCTCAGAAGGATTATTCTGAGATATCATGAACCAACCAACCATCACTGAAGACTCCCGATTCATGTGTCCAGTATCGAGTATATGTTCTCGATTGTCTCATGGTCTTGGTATTCGAGTCTATTATCTTCCAGCCCTTATTGTTGTTTGTAGATATCACAAAACAGGAGTGATATGTCGAGGAAGGTGGCATATGTACTTGACGCGGTGAATCCGGTGGGTATAGTTTAGAAGGATGTTTCTTTAATTGTTAGTTCGTTGTTCGTTGATTTGAAAGGATTCAGATGGAGTGGATGGAAACATACCTCTTCTGATTCAACGGGGGCCGGTAGCCAAGTACCGACATGGGTGAAGATCTAGATAGAAGATGATGTCCCTGTCGACGTGAATGTTTCTCGAATTTATTCTCAAGCACGAGTGACTCCGACTCTGCACACCTGGGCAGAATCCCGTCGCCAGGTTATGGGAGTGAAGGTGTATTGTTGGTGTTGATGAGATTTTCTTTGCTGTGGCTCCAGACCGTGTATCCAGCCATGTTTTGTCTGGACATGGATAAAAATGAGGATCTGTCGTGCCATCGAAGAGAAGAGGATATGAGAATTTCAGAAACCTGCAGACAAGAATGTTTTCTTAAATTCATTCTTAAGTACCGTTGGACCAGATCGAGGTCCTTTTGTTGGAATCGATACAAGAATCTTCTTGTTTGTGTTGCGCGGCCGACGTAGCGAACGAGAAAGTCTGGCAATATCTGGTTGCGCGAAACAGCCGCTAGAGATGTCAAAGTGACTGGTCCTCACATATGGTTCGCATTCACGTCGTGTGTCTGGCTTGTTTTATTGATTGGTGCAACTTGGCAGGGCGGCCGTTCGATATATATATTTTCTCCGATGGGAGATAGACAGGAGGCTGGAAACGAGATATAAATATTAAGACTTTTTTCTTCTTTTCTGTGTTTTCATATTTTTTATCGGATTTTTTCTTTCTTTCTTTCTTTTTTTATCTTAAAGAAAACAAAACAAAGCCCATGTAGTTCAAGTAAACAGAAAAAAAAAAAAGTGCAGTGACATCCAGTTCGTTAGCTTCAAACTATACGTAAATAGTAACCTAGATGAGTACTTACTTGATATCCATTTAATCAAGCCGTACCGCCCTCACTCCCGGCTCTACGGCCAGCCGCACAGTTACAGCCCAAGACATACCTGCCCTGAAGCCATGGGACTGCAAGAGAGAGTACCAATGCAACATACCATGTCCCAGTCTGCCCTACGAGCAACCTCCACCAAAAAAACTAAAGAGGAAAGCCCCGGAGGATCAGCCCGAACGCTGATCCTGCAACAGGAACCACTTGCGCTTCAGCCTACGTAATAAAGACCGCCCTGAAAGCATTCCAGTTCACAATATGAAGCGGCGCCGTAGCTCGAGGCCTCAGTGGACAATCAAGCCCTGTCGAAACAGGAGGTGTGAGCCAACAGGTAGATATAAGGCATTTGATGCATGCGCTACCAACTGTGTGACGACGGATACGCCCCCCATGATGGACACGGGTGCGAGAGCCGGGCTGTTATTCCCTATCTCGCGTTGGGGTCAGGAGCCCACTGGCCTTGATCGCCAGCCTTGGATTCGCCAGGATTGGACAGCCAGCTGCGTGCACTTTTTAGCAAGACGACTCCTTTTGATCTGGCTTGAGCGTTTCCTTCGCCAGCCAGGCGAGCTGGACGGGCATTCCGTTCCGCCCCTGGCTCTGGGACAACCAGTGAGTCGACAGAACAGGGACCGCTGAAGCGGCATATTTCTCGAGATTCGCAAACAACGCACTAGCAACCTGAACCACCAGTAATGGGGACAAGTTTTCCGGACGGAGCACGATGGCCCACTGCCGCCGGGGCTGGTGGAGAGCAGACGGGTCGGTTGCAGAAGACGAGTTCACGGGAACGTTCGTGAAGGTAGCGCCAGCACCAATGGGATCGGTATCCTTCGGCCCTTTGACGATGCATGTATCCAATTCCGAGAATATCGAAGAGGTCCGTCGTCGCTCCAAGTGGGAGATCGCTTCCTCCACCTGACGGTGGATAGTCACGGAATTCCACGCCTCTTGCTCCAAGGACTCCGCAATAAACTCAGTCTGGGTGAGACAGCCGTAGATGTGACCGAAATTGGTGATGTGGCGGTATCTCGCTTTCGACAAAGGCTTCCATTTGCTAGTACAGAGATGGAGCCCTGTCGGCCACAAGGCAGTCGTCTGCTTTGGGTTGTACCCTCGAGGTGCGTGTCGAGCCAATTCCCGACCCTTCCTAGTGTGAAAGCATCTGAAGAGGTAGACCTCTTCTAAATAGGCCAGATGAAGAACAGAAGACCTCCAGCAAGAACCGAAGCGACACCAGACGACGATGCTGGAGATGTAAATGAGGTCGAATTGCCATCAGGCTTGTCGGCTTCCTTCCACAGTGGAACGATCACGCTGAGTGCCATCGTGGTGCGGGACGAGACGTCTACGCGGTCGACGAGGGTTTCGGAGCCAGTCAAGTCGACATACACGGCCTCCCTGTACCGAGGAATCGTGCATGCAGAGTATATCCTCCGCCAGGTCGTAGACGCTCTTCCCTACGGACGTTATGCCCATAGCGCCGAATAAACGCTTAACGAACTTCTCATGGAGATCGATAATTCCTAGCAAGGTCGGAATGTGCCCTAAAGAGAAACTGTAACGAATAAACCTACGAATGGGAGATCATTCTATTGTCATGTCAGCTAAGGTATTAGAGAGCCGCAAGCAAGGAGAAAGGAGATAGGGAGTTCGTCAGCAGTTATCTCACTTCAATTTGCTCCTAACCTCGAAGACATTCTATAGAAGGTGTAAGAGCTATGTATGTAAATTGAGATGGCTCGACAGACAGAATTCTTGTTAAGCTTAAGTGATGGTGGATGGTATTTTTGTGAGAAGATAAAAAAAAAAAAAGAAGAGAAAAAGGAGGAGGGAAAGTAGAATAAGGGAAGGAGAATTAGAGGCTGGCTACTTAAGGGGGTTATCCATTCACTGCTAAATGCAGCAGTAGCACTAGGAGAAGAGGAGGTGCGAGAGATAGTAGGGTATCAACTTCTAAGCTATTCACTTAGTTTAGTTTCCAAAGGTCCCGGTTATTAAAGGGGTTGGGTTAGGGTAATACATAACATCATATTTAGCTGTGAATTAATTGGAAGCTATGGGAAATAAAAAGTAGCTATAATTATTAGCATTCATCACTCCTGGAGAGGTGCTTTCAGCAGACATTCCGGTTTAATTACACTTTGCATATATTATTATATTATTTCAAAGCATAGTGTAGCAGTCTATTTTATAACTATACTTAAAGTATTCTTTAGGGTTCAGGCACCCATAAAAACCTCCTATATTTAGTCAAAGTTAGCTGCTAACTATCATACCATTTGCGAGATGCTCTATAAAATCAGTATACAGGTAAATTACATAACTAATAAGAACAGCTCCACCTAAAACAATAGACCCTGAGAGATTTATACATTAGTACTTATCTGAACTTTCTGTCCCATCCGTGAAATTCTAACATAATAGTAGGGCAGATGCGTTATCTGTAGCCTAAAAAGGGTAATTATAACTCAGGCAATCAAACACAAGATAAAATAAATAAGGCAGGACATGGATATTTTATTGTTTCCTCCCTGTTTACATCAATTATTGTGCCTGAAGTCCATAGAAACAAAGGCATGAAGTTTGCGGAGGGAGATCTCCGTCACTTGCTACGCTAGTCCTGAACGGGAATCGGCGCCGCCCCTCCGAATTTTATCTCAACGCTTTCTCTCAAATGTCATTCTTTGCCTCGAGATTCCAATCTTTCTTCGCTACTTGAACCTCACAACTTTGCCACTCCCGGTCATTGATCATGGCATCTACTTTTGCTGTCGGACTTGGTGTGGCTACGGCTGCCTTTTTGGTAAGATTTTGGATTTGAATACTGCATCGCTGCGGCGCGCAATACCTTGGCTAACAGTACTATTTTACTTCCATCTCCAGGGCCGTGCAGGTTATGTTGCCTTGCGTCGCTACAAGGGAGGTGTGAACAGCATGGGAAAGGCTTTCTATAAAGGGTTCGTCTTCAACACGGGTAGAGTTTGGTGGAAGAATGGGACGGGTCGCTGACCGGTATATAGAGGATTTGAACCCCGAATGACTCGTCGCGAAGCTTCTTTGATTCTGGAACTTCCGTATGTCCCCTCTTGAGGAATTATGCACCACGACTCTAGCAAGCGACTGATAGGATCAATAGGGAGCGTACCTTGAACAAGGACAAGGTCCGCAAGAAGCACCGCCAGCTCATGCTCCTCAACCACCCCGATCGTGGCGGCAGCCCATATCTGGCCACGAAGATTAACGAGGCCAAGGAATTCCTCGATAAACATGCCTGAAAGACGCTTGGGGCCTGAGTATAAGGCTTTACCTAACCTACTCAATGGTATCTGCCTATTCGAAAGGGAACCTAGCTATAATACCTGACGGTATCATTCATGTATTAGACTATATATCTTTTGGGTGCATAGCGTGGCGTTGGTTGGATTCGAGGTCGAGACATTTCTCTCGGTGCTCTGTAGTGAAACTTGTATATTCACATATCCTGATGAGATCCCCACTCCTGATTATTTACAAATACAGTTGCTGTATATTTTCTCCGTTGGATGAGTCACAGTTGTTGCATCACTGTACAGATAGTTTGACTCCTAGGGTCACGGGGTCCGAAGGATCGTCAGTTCGGGAAGTCTGAAGAGAGATCCAGGTGACCACAGGTGGATAACAGTGGTCGGTTGTAGTCGTTATTCTAACATTGTAAGCTTAGTTTGCATAATTCATGTATTTTTCTTCCTTTTTACGTCTTCCACTCTGTACAAGCTAAGAAGTCGGATCTAGAATGTGACAATTGGTTTAGGTCAGGTCTTATAAGCATAACGTGAGCCCTACAAAGGCAAAAATGACCGTAAATCCACATTACGTAGACTGGTTCTGGAAAGACTCAAAAAACTCAGAATGCCAATGGAGACGCATAAGCCGTGGTACGCTTTCACATCGGAGCAAAGAAACAGAGAAAGTTAATTAAGAAAAAAAGTCAGGAAACAGGCTACTCATATGAAGAAGGCTTGGCGGATGACCCAAAAGGGAAACCGACGCCAAAAGTCAGCAATTCCGGAGGTAAAACTGCCGCCTCCGAGAGAAATTCTCTGGAAACAAGCGTTATCTCGGAAATCGGACATCGCGGGAGCCGTCGAGGTCACTCTCCAACATCCAATACGGATACGCAAAGCTACAGTGCTGGTTTTTGCCTACTACGTACCAAGCCCCAGCATCTAAAGCTCCAGCAACTAACCCCGAGACGGCAAGGCACTGGGGTCGCCAAGTCTCATTTTCCATTCTCGAAAAAAAAAAAAAAAAAAAAAAAAAGGGCAGCACTGTTTACAAATTACGAGCTCCATTCCTGATCTGCTTCCCGTCATTTAGTCATAGCGGAGTCACATTCATCTGGATTTGATACAGACTTTAGATAGTTTTAAATTTATAATAATAGACCATCTACCATCTTCGTCATCCACAGCTTCTCCACTGGTGTCTGCTTTTCCCCCTCCCTTTTGGCTGTCAGTCATTTCTGTCCTCGCCACGTGCCTCCTCCCTCGGAGAATGGTGAGTAAGCCGTCCATTAACTGAACTTTGCCTAGTTAGTTATTATCTAAGGGACCGTTCATTCTGAGTGTTTTCTCCTGATCCAACTTTTGCTTCCGACGTGAAGGTCTCCACCACGGAGAAGCAGCGATTTGCCCACCTACATCAGTCACTCCTTTGTAGAAAGCTAAGGTTTTCAAAGAAAGGGAGTCGTTGAGAATCAAACAGAAAGGATCCTTCATCTTGCTGTCGACGTTTGCTGTGGCCGGACCCCGCATCACGCCCAAATCAATACCCGCTTCGAAACTGCGACTCCACTTTGTCATTGGGAAATTCCCTTGCCATCCCAGTGTCATAGCACGTCCTGGCTGTCGTGATGGATGGTATTGGGGATGGCACAGACGGTATGGGCTTCGATATACCCTTGCTTATGAACCAACAGCCCCATCTCTTCGGTGCCTATAACCCTGACTGTTCCCCAACCACCTCGACCCTCCCAAACCCGACCTTCCATGATGATTCTGTGATGGGAGCTGCGGACGATAATAATGACGCTAAACGAAGAAGAATCGCGAGGGTGAGTGGTGATTTGTGTGCTGGTGACTGGGTATGATGCCAGTGCACTGACTTCCCCCCTTACAGGCCTGCGATATGTGTCGGAAAAAGAAAATCAAATGCGACGGCAAGATGCCCAAATGCTCGCACTGTATCAACTACAAGACGGATTGTGTGTTTACGCAGGTTGAGAAGAAACGGAATCCTCCCAAAGGGTACGCTAGCTGAGCTCTCTTGACTACTGTTCCTTACACTTTTCTCTCTTTTTTATGAGAAAATTTATTCCGTATCGCGGCTGACGATGAATTTGTAGTGCCAAATATATCGAGGGTCTGGAGAATCGTCTGGGCAGAATGGAATCACTATTAAGACTGTCTGGCCTTTTGTCGGAGGAGGATGGTGGAAAAACAGATCTTGGGACGTTGGAGAAACGGCTTGCAGACCGATCACTGGCGGGCGGTGGACTGAATGCCATGAAGAGCCCAAACAAATTCAATGCTTCGAGTTCCAACCCTCAGTCTCAACAAAATACCGCATCTCTCCATTCGACTCCCCGGATGGATAACCAGTCCAGCCCACACACGGCTGCCACATCCCCGGATTCCCAAAAGGAATCAGAAACCGAGGTCGAGGGTCTATCAGATATGATGTGCTCTCTCGTAACCAATAACTGTGGAGAGACACGGTATATTGGTATGCGACTGGCCCTATCTTAGCGTGTTGACTGGATGGTGCGCTGACAGTCATTGCAGGTTCCTCCTCGGGGTTTTCCATATTTTCACCTAAAGGAATCCAGTGGGTCAATGAGAAGACAGGTGACACATCATTCCAGGACATGATATCTTCGGCCTATGTCGATGATAATAAATGGATGTATTGGAAGCCCGAGATTTTCAGCGACATATTTGCCCGACGTGTCTTCAAGCCCTTGCCCCCCAAAGAGGAGGCCCTGTCTCTTTTTAGAGACTTCTTTGAGAATTTTAATTGCCTGTTTCCGCTTTATCATGAACCAACATTCATGCATCTGGTGGAGCGCCAATATTCCCGTGACCCCTATGAAGGCTCTGGCTGGTGGGCTAGCATCAACGTTGTCTTAGCCATCTCGCACAGGCTACGAGTCATGAACAACCTAGTCCCTCAAGAGGAGGACAAGAAAGCATGGCTGTATCTGAAAAATGCAATGGGGGTTTTGACGGAGCTAACTATGCGCAACACGGATCTGCTTAGTGTGCAGGCATTGCTCGGCATGGTGAGTGATTCTTAGGGTAGAATGGACTTGTGAGTCCGCGACTAACATCCTGCAGTCCCTTTTCCTTCAAGGAACGCCGAACCCTCAGCCCTCCTTCTTTCTAGTCGCGGCAGCTATCAGACTCTCTCACAGCATTGGCCTCCACAAAAGAGGTTCGGGGTTCGGACTGAACCCTGTAGAGGTTGAACAACGGAAAAGAGTATTTTGGATTTCTTACCTACTTGATAAAGAGTAAGTGATGCAGTACTTCCCATTTGGCACATAGTAAAAAGTGCTTGTTTGACCCGGATTGTAGTCTCTGTCTTCGTTCTGGTCGCCCACCCGTCCAGGATGACGATGATATGAATGTCGAGCTACCAAGCGACGACCCGCCGGATAACATCGGCAATGTACCATTGTCTGATGGAAAGAGCAAATTCAACTTATTCAGATCATTGTGTCGATTTGCTACTATTGAAAGTCAGGTGTATAAAAGACTCTATTCTGCGAGAGCCTCAAAACAATCGGACGGCGAGCTGTTGAACACCATTGGAGAGCTTGACAAAGAGCTCGAAGAATGGAAGGACAGCATCCCCCTTGATTTCCGGCCGGAACATGAAATCAAGGCCTCGCACACGCCCCTGATTCTGCATGTTGTAGTCCTTCACTTTGCCTACTATAACTGTTTGACAACAATACACCGGATGTCAGTGCATCATGGGTATTGGACAAGCCGCCTCTCCAATTATGCTATTCAAGGCCTAAACGCTCGGCCGTTAAACCCCAGAGTCTTCTTATCTGCCGTTCTCTGTGTGACAGCAGCCAGGGCGTCGATCAATCTGATCAAATACATCCCACAGGGTGACTTTGCTTGTGTCTGGTAAGTGGCGGGTTTTGAGCTGAAACAAACATGTTGAATATGTTAACAGTGTTAGGTTGATTCTCTATTACCCTGTATCCGCATTGGTAACTTTGTTTGCCAATATCCTCCAGAATCCTAACGATGCCCGAGCTCGTTCAGATGTTAAGCTCATGAATGTGGTAGTGAATTTCCTATCTACGCTTGTCTCCGATGAGTCGAACGGAAGTATCAAGCGCATGCTCGGATTATGCGGCGAATTTGAGAGAATTGCCCAGGTGGTTCTCGACAAAGCCGAGAGAGAGTCTCATTCTAAGAAGAAACGTAAATCCGCCCCAGACGACTCATCACGAAACTTACAGCAGAATACGCCTGATGAATCATCGGGCCCTTCTCCATCTACCCCGAAAGCAGCAGGCGGTCCACCCACAACCGCACCTTTCTCAACATCGCTTTACCCTGGCAGCTTAAATGAAACAGCCCCCAACATCTCGGATGGGCCAAGGCCATTTTCTCCAGGCCAGACCCTTCCCGCGAACAATAGTCTTTCTACCAATTTACCGGACTCTCTGAACCCCATGGCTGGGCTCGGACAGGGCTTCGCGGACATGCTCAGCCCTCCAAATATGGAAGGCGTGGGATACGGTGATCCACCACCATTCACGACGTCCCCTGATACGCCGATGGCGGCTTTCCAGCAGCCGTTCGTCCCGCAGGACTTATGGCAGATGCCTATGACTATAGAATGGGACTGGGCAGATATGTCGGCAAACTTCCCAGTGTTTGATAGCAACGGGCCACAGCAGAACGAATCGTGATGACAGTGAGACGAAATGGACTCATAAGTGGGATGAATGAATTACATTCTCTGGCATAGGCCATGGAAAGGAGTCAACGGAATCGAGTGGACATTCAGTGCACTTTCTACATATCGATTTATTGCTATCAGGTCGTCTTATTTCTTCAAGGATAATGGCGTTTGTATAAGGTATCGGGCATTATCATCGAGCGTCACTCCACTTCACTTAACATCCCCTCTTTCTTTTGATGTTCTGATCGGCCTGTACAAAAAGCAATTGTTGATGGGAGGAGGGACCTCTTGGTGCGTTTAAACAAAGAGTGCAGATTGTTGGGATCGCACCGTGTGTATAACAAAATTGTAATTACTCCACACTCCACATATCTAGAACCTTAAAAAAAAAATTTGTGACCTATCTAACCATCTACTGTATTCACGTATTGATCTAGCCACTAAACTACTCTGTAGTCAGCTAAGCTCGACTGAGTTCGCTCGGGTTCTTCCGACTGACTTAAGGCCAGGTGCGGATGACTCAGCCCAACGGAACAGTGAAAATCCCAGGCCGAACTGAACGCTGGAAAGCCCATCTCGCATGACAGCTCCTCTAAGAGCTTTCTATTTTCCACTCCTCCCCCTCTCCCCTACGTCGCCCAATATCTCCTTTGGCGAAGGTTTCTATGGCTTCCGAGATCTGCCATTGCTATTGAATTTCTACCGTTACGCCCTATACCCTTACCTCTCGGCTCAGCGTCCTCGGCCATGGCGTCCCTACTCCGACGACCAGGCAGCCTTGCTCAATACTCGAGGAGAGCCGTAGACTACATCTACCGCGCAGGACCACGTTCCGCGTATATTCCCCAATCAAGACTTTCATCTTTAATCACAGCGCATCATGGCAGGACGTATGCTACGAAGCCCCCGCGCGACCCGAAGAGCCCCAGGAAGAATGAGGATGATCAACGACTGTCAAATGAACCCACCGGGCCCGAAAACAATCGCGAAAAGCCGGAGGTAGAGAATAAACCCGAAGAGTCGAAGAACAAGTTGAGTGCAGAGGAGCAGGAAGTGGTGGATGAGTGTATAAGAAAGATGAAGGCGAGAGCGCCACCTTCACAGCATGCGCAACTTGATGGTATACGCGAGATTATAGAAAGAGAGGGATTACCGCCGAAAATGCGAGAATTTATGGAACGCCTAGTGAAGTCTGGCAAGGACATCACTTTGATGGATTATGTGAACTTGACACGGCACATGATAAGGCATATGGATGGTGCCTATGAACAGCTACGTGCGATGAGGGAGAAGGTGTGGGGGCGAGGGTACGAAGGAGAACAGAGTCAATCACGGCAGGAAGAGCCAAAAAAAGAAAAGGAACAGCAGAAGCAGCAGCATGATCAGAAAGGAAGAGACTGGAACAAGCCGCCCAACCTTAACATTAGGGAGATTCGCTTCGATCCCGCCGTGTTCCTGATCACCTCTGTCCTTACGTATTATACCTATCGCAGCATCTTCCCCGGTGAAAGCAACAAGGAGATTACATGGCAGGAATTCAGAGCGAACTACTTCGACAAGGGTCTCGTCCAGAAGTTGACTGTCGTTAATGACAGTCGTGTTCGGGTTGAGATGAATCGCGAAGCATTGGCTCGGGTCTATCCGGACTCTCCCGCTGCTAACCCATTCTTCAATTACTACTTCAGCATCGGCTCTGTAGAAAGCTTCGAGCGCCGACTGGATCAGGCACAGGATGAGTTGGGAATCCCCAGCGTCGAACGTATACCCGTCTCATATGTCCAGGAATTATCGTGGGGCGCCACGCTGCTGAGCTTTGCTCCGACTCTGATCTTGATTGGTTCGATCTTCTGGCTGACGAGACGTGCTGGGGGCGGTACAGGTGGCCAGGGTGGACTTTTCGGTATTGGAAAGAGCCGCGCTAAGCGCTTCAACCATGAGACAGATGTCAAGATCAAATTCTCTGATGTGGCTGGAATGGACGAGGCAAAGGTTGAGATCATGGAATTTGTCAGCTTCCTTCAGCACCCAGAAAAGTTCCAGAAACTCGGAGCTAAGATCCCTCGGGGTGCTATTCTTTCCGGTCCCCCTGGTACAGGTAAGACGTTGCTGGCTAAGGCCACTGCCGGCGAATCAGGTGTACCCTTCTTCAGCGTCAGCGGTTCTGAATTTGTGGAGATGTTTGTTGGTGTCGGTCCTTCTCGAGTCCGTGATCTGTTCGCCAATGCACGAAAGAGCACGCCTTGCATCATTTTCATTGATGAAATCGATGCCATCGGTAAATCCAGAGCGAAGCAGGGCTTTGGCGGTGGGAATGATGAGCGTGAGAGCACCTTGAATCAAATCCTGACCGAGATGGATGGGTTCAACACATCAGAGCAAGTTGTCGTCTTGGCCGGTACCAACCGACCCGACGTTCTCGACAAGGCCCTGATGCGACCCGGACGATTCGACCGCCACATTACCATCGACAGGCCTACAATGGATGGTCGACAGCAGATTTTCCGCGTCCATTTGAAGAAGATTGTCACCGATGAAGACATGAATTTCCTCACTGGTCGACTTGCAGCTTTGACCCCCGGGTTTGCCGGTGCTGATATAGCAAACTGTGTTAACGAAGCAGCACTAGTTGGTTAGTTTCTAGAGTTCGGTATTTTTGACTCATCATATTGGCTAACGTTCGTTGCAGCGGCTCGAGGAAACGCGGACCGGGTTACCATGAAGCATTTTGAGCAGGCAATTGAACGTGTCATCGGCGGCTTGGAGAAGAAGTCTCTGGTGCTTTCTCCCGAAGAAAAACGCACCGTTGCTTACCATGAAGCTGGACATGCTGTTTGTGGATGGTACTTCCGCTGGGCCGACCCTCTCCTCAAGGTTTCTATCATCCCTCGTGGCCAGGGTGCCTTAGGTTACGCCCAGTACCTGCCGGCAAATGGAGATACATACCTGATGAATGTCAACCAACTGATGGACCGCATGGCTATGACCCTTGGTGGTCGCGTCAGCGAAGAGTTACATTTTGATACTGTTACAAGTGGAGCTAGCGATGATTTCAACAAAGTCACACGGATGGCTACCTCGATGGTGACGAAATTCGGCATGTCGCCCAAGCTAAGATACATTTACTACGAGGAAGATCCGCAGCAGCTGCACAAACCGTTCTCTGAAGAGACCGCCAGGGATATCGACACTGAAGTTCGCAGGATCGTTAGCGAAGCCTACGACCAGTGCCGTACTCTGCTCATGGAAAAGAAGAAAGAAATTGGTATTGTTGCAGAGGAGCTTCTTTCTAAAGAGGTCCTTGGCCGCGATGACATGATTCGGCTCTTGGGTCCTCGCCCCTGGCCTGAATCCGGAGAAATTACCAAGTACTTCAACGGTACGGGCACAATCGCACCACCGGAGCGGGCGCAGGCTAGCGAAGAAACCGAAGGCAAAGATGGAAGAGACCAGACTCCACATCAGACGACATAGACGGATTGCATTCTCTTTACTTCGATCTGGAAACTCACGGCTTGACGAGAGGACATTGAATTTTCTTTGGGCGATTTTGTATTTATTTGTCTAAGAAGCATCTCCTTTCCTTTATCGTCACTTTTATTACTTTATTATTTCTCTTCTTTCTTTTCCCTTTTCTTCTTTAACTGGTTCGCATATGTGTATTTATATTTGTCCTTGGAAACCTTGCCATCCATAAATATTAGGTCCTCTTGATACTATATGCTGTGAAAAGCAATCACTGCTATTTCTTCTCGTCTTGACATATTCTTCCGGCTCGCGGCCCCAATGCCATGGACAATATTTCACCATATTGACCAGTGTATGTCTTTAATTCCGTTGCAGCCACTGAATTGAATGGTAAAGATTAGGTAGGAGGTCCTAAAAAGGGGCAGGAGTCAGCTGGACAAGACATTGCAACACGCGGAATCTTACCTACTAATTTGGAGAAGCCATTAGGTGCAATACGATTCTCAGCCAAATCATTAACTAGCGTGGTGTCGTTTCATTTGAAATAACGGAGTAGAAACGTTAAACAAATTAAAACAAAAAGTCCATAGCATTCAATATTTACTCCAAAACTGTAGAAATAAAAAAAAAAAAAAAAAAGAGAAGGCATCATATGGCCGATGAAACTCAAAACATGTGCGCCTAACCACTTCTTACTTGCGCTTCTTTCCCTCTTTCTCCACCGTCTGGTCGGTAGTATTCAATTGCTCAGTCTCCGCCTTGCGAACCTTTTTTTTCTTGTTGCCCCCTTTGTATCTTGGTTTGGCAGAGAAACGGGGGATAAGCCGTCCAACACGAGCTTGGTAATCAGTGTATTCGGGGTATTTGCTCGCGGTGACGGATTCCGTAAGCGAAGTACTGGCCTGGAAGATGAGCAATAAGCCCAGGATACCAATGCCGGTCCACTGGACGTAGGTCTCCATGCGGTAGCAGTTCCACAGATACAAGGTGAGCCAGATAGCCTGCTCTGCTGCAAAGTTGGGATGGCGAGACAACGACCATAGTCCGCTGACCACAAATCCTCGCTCCAGGTCCTCGGGGGTGAACTGTCCCTTGTACGGCTCAGGGATGCGTGCTGTTTCCTGGTACTCTCGCTTCGCGCGTTGGAACTGCCATTGTTGTTGGTCGGCAAAGTATTCGATAATGAGGAAGAAGAAGGTAACCCGCGAGAAGACCAGATCCGGGAGTTCGAATGACCTCATGTCGGGGAGGCGCGAAAGAAGCAGGAAGTTGTATGTTGGGGCCGTGATTAGCAGGAGCAACAGTGACTGCGTCAGACTGATGAAAACGACGTTGAAAACGAAGGACAGAAAACAGTTGTTGATCTTGGAGCGTATAATCTGCCAGCGGTAATCTTCTGAGCCAATGGAGTACCCTCCCTTGCGCCAGAAGTTGAAGGTTAGGCGAGCCTGCGCAGGTATTAGCTGTGCGCTTTCTCAAGGCATTGTGGGGTATGCCTTACACCCCACATCACTGAAATTACGGCAATAGTATCCAAGCTCAGAGTACGGAGACCTGTCATGCGCGCCCAGATGGCAAAGTGTACATTGTATAGGGCTGGTAGGAGACTCCAGAATCGATCGACCTGCGAGTAGTTTCGGTTGATCTCCGAGAAGGCGAGAAAGAATGCCGACAACGCTAGAGAGAGCCCAAGCGCTGAGATAAAGGGGTTGGTTGAGAGATAGATATCCTTCAGGATGTTCACATCCTTGGTTGCCGCTGCCACCTGGAGCCTTTCAGGAAGAGTGGCTAGCTGCGAAAGGAAAGGGAGCACAGTGTGGTTGAAAGAGGCGCAGTCCGCGACAGACTGAATGGTGGGAAGAGGCAGCGCCATGATCGCAAAAGCGAGGATGAGGGAACGAGATGGCAGGAGACGGTGGGGAGAGTCAGAAATCAGGGTGTTTTCTTTGATTCGAGCGCATCAAAACAAACGAATGCCGCGCTTACCCGATTGGGGAACGGAGCTTGGGCCATGATTTTGTGGCCTGAGGCAGAAAATTAGTCTCTCTTTTCCCAGGTGACTTCGCGTTTTCTTCGCGTCTCTCGTGCGCTTCTCTCCCCGCGCCCACCATGACGGGTTCAAGGGTCTTGTGCGTGGCAGAGAAGCCTGCCATTGCGAAGGCTGTGGCGCAGCATCTGTCTGGAGGTGTCATGCAGACAGTAAGTTGCCTTGAATGCGTTCTGGGTTGGGTGTATGCTGAAGTAGGTATAGATACCCACGGGGAGTCAGTATGTGAAGAACTACGTGTTCGAGTTTAATTTCGGCAGGCCCTGGGGAAATTGCTCGGTCACAATGACCAGCGTCCTGGGCCATTTGACCACCTTGGATTTTGAACGCCAATATAAAGGTTGGCTATCCTGTCCACCGGGGGCATTGTTCGAGGCTCCAGTACATGAATTTGTAGACTCTGTATGTAGCTATTTGGTAATAGTGGACTCGTTCTTACTAACCTCAAAGTACAGGAGAAAACAGCAATTGCGGACAACATCCAAGAGCAATCAAGACGCTGCAAGGCTCTATTTATCTGGACAGACTGTGATCGAGAAGGGGAACATATTGGAGCTGAGGTTCGCAAACAAGCAAAAGAAGGCAACTCTCGTATTGCCGTTAAACGTGCCAGATTCAGCAATACTGAACGAGCGTGCGTGAGTCCTTATACCATCGTTTCTTCTGGACTGGCTAACACACTCATAGCCACGTCCTTAGCGCTGCCCGGGCACTTATTGATCTAGACGATCTCCAGGTTAATGCTGTAGCCGCCAGGATTGAGCTTGACCTGCGAATTGGCGCTGCGTTCACTCGTTTACAATGCCTTCAACTCAAGCCCTTGTCCGAAACTTTGAGCGATACGGTCATCAGTTACGGTATGTTACCAGGAGAGAATCTGTCTGCACAACTTGTTCTCATGCTTAATAGGATCCTGTCAGTTTCCAACGCTTGGGTTTGTAGTGGATCGCTACTTGCGGGTGAAGAACTTCAAACCGGAGAAATTCTGGGGCATCAAAGTGATGCACAATCGGGATGGGATCAAGGTGAACTTTCTTTGGAGAAGAATACATCTATTTGACCGAGCAGCTGTGACGGTGATGCTTGAGCGGTGTTTAATGGCACAAAATGCCAAGGTGACCAAGGTCAATCAAAAGCCCACCAGCAAATGGAGGCCATTACCACTGACTACGGTGGACCTACAAATGATGGGAAGTAGATATCTTCGTCTAGACAGTCAAAAAATCATGAAGGTATTGGATATATTGCCATGGTCTTGCATGAGCTATACACTCACTCTTGTTCTCCAGGTCGCAGAGGCTCTTTACACCAAGGGTTTCATTAGCTACCCGCGTACGGAAACAGATCAGTTTGACAAGGGGATTGACCTGAAAAAGTTGATAGAGAAGCAACTCCCGGACGGAAACTGGGGTCAATATGCAAGAGGGTACGTCTATTAACCTTACATCTGGTTTACCTCCAAATAACTTTATTATTGTTAAGCCTTCTCGAAGGGGGCTTCAGGGCTCCCCGAGCTGGACGTCATAACGACCAGGCACATCCTCCAATCCATCCTATCTGCTGGGTTGCACCATCTGCGCTGTCGGCTGATGAGAAGAAAGTGTATGAATTTGTTGTCCGTCGTTTCCTAGCCTGTTGCGCGGAGGACGCAAAGGGCCAAACATCCGAGGTCGAAATCCAATACGGCGACGAGACGTTCCATGCCAAAGGGCTGATTGTGCTCGAGAGAAACTATTTGGATGTCTATGTATACGATAAGTGGGAAAGTACCCAACAATTGCCGGAGTTCCGAATGGGCGAGTTCTTTGAACCGGCAGAAGCTAATATATTCGACGGCACGACAACGCCTCCCAATTACCTGACCGAACCGGAGCTGATCGGACTAATGGATGCTAATGGTATCGGCACAGATGCCACTATGGCAGAGCATATTGCTAAGATCAAGGAACGAGAGTACGTTGCGGTTAACTCACGGGGGAGTGGCCGCAATGCAGTCAAGGAACTTATCCCAACCCGTCTGGGTATCGCGCTGGTGGAAGGCTACGATAACGTCTTTGCTGGTCTGCCAGATAGTCCGTCTCTCAGCAAACCATTTCTACGCAAAGAGATGGAACTGCGAATGCGGGAGATCTGCACTGGCTCCAAATCGCGACAGCAGGTCGTGCAGGAAAACCTGGAGAAGTACCGAGAGGTCTTTATACACACACAGAGGCGGATCAATTTGCTGAAGGATGCGTGTCGAAAATACATAGTTGAGGGAGCAACGTAATAGTCCACCATTTCATACCAATGGTGACGGATTGGGGCTGCCGAGGATATGATAACCTACTCTACGCACTTGGATTTGCATTTACTAGCAGACTTGACCCGGATATTGTGCATGGCTCGCGGTGTAAATCCGGCTATATACAGCTGGTAATTTTTTCTGTCAAGCGTCTGTCAAGGGTTGGGAAAGTTGATCATATATTTGTACAGGGCCTGACAGAACTAACTACAGACCAGAGACTTTCTCTGACACAGAATCACGAAAGAGTCATCTGGCCTTCAGTCTGTTCTCACTGGGAAGAGCTACTTCTACCTGCCAGACCTAAACATACCGATTCACCTCCCCAGCACTCTCTTGCCGTATCTTGCGTTCTTTCTCAATATCATCTATCGTTCGAGTCTTACCCCCCGAGGCCATCGCCCACCAAGCCAGCTTGGCTTTTTCGTCTTCAATTCTCTGTGCTTCTTTCGCCCATTCTGGTGTTTCAGGGCTTGGAGCCTCTGTTTCGGCATTGTCCTGTGGAAGGTCTTTCATCTCCTCCTTGGCCTTAAAACTGTTGATATGACCATTCTTCGAGCTCAACGAGACATCTGGCCAGTCAATGAGGCCATTTCCGACACTGGCCTCATTTGTAGCAGCCCCCCCACGACATCCTAAGCACTGATCTTCATTACGGGAAGGCTCACCTCTGCTCTGACCGTCTCCGATGACTTGATCTGAATTTCTCATCTCCAGCCTAAACTCCACAATCTGCTCCGGTGAAAAATACCTCTCAAACCCGCTCCGAGCCCGCTCCTGAAATCTCTCACGCAGGAGATCTGCATCACAAGATAGAGATGTCAACAGCTGAGCTCGCAGTTGGGCCAAATCGGTAGTGAGCTGTGCAAAGACCTTGTCGATTTGCGCATCTGTCTCGGACGCAGTAAGGTTCATTCTCTCCAGGATGAGAGCCTTGCGGGCTTGAATAGCAGTGATGAAGTCAATAATTTCAGCCTCTGCGAGCTGCCGGTATCTCTCTTGGCGGGCGGCGCCAGTAAACATCCGGAACGCGAAAAGGCCGATGAAGAATAGCGTGGGCCAGATCCAGACGGAACTGAGTGGGAAGGTTACATTGTGCAGAGGCAGGATGTTTTCGATATCATAGGAATGAAAGAGCTGCCCGAGTTGGTGGTAAGGTGTGGAACTAAGAATATCAAACTCCGTGAAGGAAGACTGGCCTTCTTCTGACACGCAGGAGGGTCGGTCAGTTTCTAAGGGTATCTGGTTAGGCTCTGAAGGGATTACTTCCCCAGCTGTCAAGAGAGCCACGTTCTGCGTCGACAGGGCCGGCCACCGTTTGGTTTTCAGAGTTCCGTTGGTTACACTGATGGAGACAGCATCGAGAAGTTCTCTCAGATGGTCGGTCATGAGCTCCATTCGTTCTGGGAGTCTGTAAGTCCCCAGGCCCGTAAGGGCGATGGGCTGGAAAAGGCCGAATAGGGCCATCGCCACGGAGAGAAGTGCAATTCCACAAAGACCCATGTTGGCGCAAGAAAGTTGTTGAGGGAAAGCACTAGGATGAGGTGTAGAAGGGCAGGATAGAGGTTTTGTCGTGGTGTGGAAGGGAGTTGGCGAGAGAAACAATTTATACCAAATTTCGGCGACATCATGGATGCCCAAAATGCCATAAATTGTCTTTGACGACCTATTTAACAATTGCATTGCAACCAGGAAGCACACTACCAGATACTGAAAGAAACAAGAGCAGCAAACATAGCTATATGCGGCTGCATCAAGGAATACAATCAAGAGAGAAAGGATAGAAGAAAGTGAGGGTTAAGATGAAGCAAACGAGCCAGTTATCGCATCGGGAATGGCTTCCACTATCAAACGTGGTGGTGAGTAATATTCCCTATCTACACCTCATAGTATGAGAGAACTGTAAGAAAGGAGAGTTACTTTAAATAGGCTGAACAGTGCTCCTCACAATCATGGACTACAATCCACCCGGCTCTATATCAACGAAAGCAAATATATCACTATCGCACTCATATACTCCCACTTTCATTACTCTGTCATCTGCCAACATTCTGAATATATGCATGCGAGCTCCAAACGGAGAAACCAGTTAGGCATGATTTTGCCGAAGCATCAGTCTAAGATATATACAGTAGAAAATCTGTTTCGGAAAGAGACCTCTTGGTTTGATTCACCAGTAATACGTATATCAAAATATGCAATGAAAAGAATGGAATGCTGTCACAGCCCACCCTGTAGTTAATAGACTTTGAACATGGAGGATCCCCAAAGGAGGGCAACACTCTCATGCAGAAAGCTAGAGATGATCTAGAGAATTAAAGCTAGTCACCACGCAATTTTTGCCATTCCCACATAACATGCACCAAAGAAGCAACACACTACAACAGTCGCTTGCTGAGAGTTGCGCCATAGTAGATAGTGGCGCCCAAGCAGATCAGGTTAACCAAGCTAGAAATGCCATGCAGACGGCCAAACTTCTTGTTCAGGGCGAGCATCTCCTTAGAATGAGGAGCGGGATCGTAGTTTCTCTTGCCATCGCGGGTTTCTACCGACCAAGTTAGTAAACATCTTCAACTCACCAGGAGGGGGGAATAAAAAGCATACCTTGGTGCTTCCTCTCCCTCATAACATTGACGGTCATCGGACGAAGCACAAACATATTGAGCAGTCCCGACACCGCGGCGGTCGCCAGGGGAAGTAAAGTTCCAACCCGGTTCTCTGGGGCGAGAAGTCCGGAGATTCCAAGAGGCTGTGCATCTCGGCTGACAGTCAGTGCAATCAGGAGAGGGAATGCAGATTGGATTGAGAAGTAGATGGGAAATGTGGCTGTTTGCAATGAAGCGAACTGCGGACGAGGGAGGGCTTTGAAAGCCACCACGCCAGAGACAAATGTCTAAAATTATGAGCATAGAGGAACTAGTTTGGGAGGGCCAGGACTATGGAGATATCTTTACCTGGTAGAATTGGACACCCAGGAGGGTACCATAGCTAGATATATGTTAAATGGACGTGCTTCTCAATACGATCCATGTTTAGCCCCGGGTGGGACGAACCTCAGGATGTGGTAGGGGCGAGGGTCAATCATGATGACTTTCTTTGTCAGGAGATGAGCCTGCACTGTGGGGTTGTGAAGGCGATATTGTCTGACACTTGACACTGGGTTCTGGGCGGCGGAGATATGGAGATCCGCATAAATTACCATGGGCAATGATGTCATGTGCCTTCGCGTCCAGCCTTAAGCCCAAACAGGCAATATCGCGCGTCTGCCTTCGCGACCATTGGAAGCCTTGGATCTGCTCCGCTCTTTTCTTTTCACTATCTGCCTGCTCCCGTCTACTTCCATTCTGTCTCTGTGCATCATGGCGGACAAGGAAGCAACAGTATACATTGTGGATGTGGGGAGGTCCATGGGGGAGAAACGTCATGGCCGTTCTGTGACGGACTTGGAATGGGGAATGCAGTATGTCTGGGATCGCATCACCAGTACAGTAAGTACTTGATTATATATGCAATGTGAGAGACTTGTTTCATATTTGCTTACTGCTCATACTGAATCTAGGTGGCTACGGGGCGTAAAACAGCTACAGTTGGCGTTATCGGACTCAGGACAGACGGTGAAACTCTCTAACATGGCATTTAGATTTGGTTCTGATGCAGAGAATAGGCACGGACAATGAACTTGGAGATGAGTCTTATTTCTCTCATATCTCTGTTCTGTCGAACATTAAACAGTATGTCTATGTTGTTTTAGAACAGGATGCGAACTAACGGAATTATCTAGATTTCTCATGCCCGATCTTCGAAAGTTAGGGGATGATATAAAGCCCAGTAAAACTGATAAAGGAGATGGTAATAGCTTTGCTTCGCTTGTGTGGTTAAATTTTTTCCTAGACATGTTCTAACCATCTCCAGCTATCTCTGCAATCGTCTTGGCCATTCAGATGATCATCACGTATTGCAAAAAATTAAAATACAAACGCAAAATTGTCTTAGTCACAAATGGTCAGGGGTGGATTAGTAGCGAGAATCTTGATGAGATCACAAAGAAAATTAAGGAGGACAACATTGAATTAGTCGTTTTGTATGTGACTGATTGCTCGATGGTACTCCCGGTCAGATTGCTAATCTCTCTTACAGAGGAACCGATTTCGATGATCCTGAGTATGGGGTTAAAGAGGAAGATAAAAATTCCCGAAAGGTATTAACTTCTTTCCATCAGGTCAAATGCGCCACGCACTCTGACATGTCTTCACAGGCTGACAATGAGACCCTTCTCCGGGGCCTCGTCGAAGATTGTGATGGAGTTTACGGAACACTAGAGCAAGCTGTGTCGGAATTGGAAATCCCCAGAGTGAAAAGCGTTCGGACGGTAGCTACCTTCAAAGGCTTTCTTCAACTAGGTAACCCTGAAGAGTACGATACGGCTGTTCGCATCCCGGTTGAACGATACTATCGAACATACGTGGCCAAGCCACCCACGGCAAGTAGTTATGTTCTCTGCTCAGACTTTGCAATGGGGCAGAAGCAAGCGGAGCCATCAGCCAGCGCTGACGCTCGCAAAGACGACCAGTCCGGAGACGACAGTAATCTAACACCAGTAAGGCTCCTGAGGACGTATCAAGTCACTCAGGAGAGCGCCCCCGGTGGGAAGATTGATGTGGAACGGGACCAACTAGCTAAAGGCTATGAATATGGCCGAACAGCGGTTCACATTGACGAGACGGATGAGAACATCACCACCCTTGAAACTTTTGCGGGCCTGGAGCTTCTGGGGTTCATTCAAACGGATAAGGTGAATATTCTTGGCTCAGTGTGTATTCCAGACTAACGTTCGATGACAGTACGAGCGGTATATGCACATGTCGACGACGAATATTATTATTGCCCAGCGTGCGAACGACAAAGCAGCTCTCGCACTCTCCTCCTTTATCCATGCCCTTTTCGAGCTCGATTGCTATGCCGTGGGTCGTCTGGTGATGAGAGAGAACAAACCTCCCGTCATAGTCCTGCTCGCACCCTCCATCGAACCGGACTATGAATGCCTTCTGGAAGTCCAGTTGCCATTTGCAGAAGATGTTCGAACATACCGCTTCCCTCCTCTCGACAGAGTGATCACTGTGTCCGGTAAAGTTGTGACAACACATCGGAACCTCCCCAGTAATGATCTGCAAGATGCGATGGACAAATACGTCAACAGTATGGAAATGGTGGAGACGAACGATAACGGGTGAGAGCCAACGCCTATGGAGTATAAACACCTCTCGTTAACAGAAGAATATAGTGATCCTGTTGAAACCCTCCCGATTGAAGATTCTTTCTCCCCAATACTACATCGAATCGGATCCGCGATCCGCTCTCGCGCTATACACCCTACCGAACCAATTCCTCCGCTCTCCAAAACATTGCTCCGATTTTCTCAACCGGCAGAGGATCTGGTAGAAAAGTCGAAGAAATACCTTGACAGACTGATTGCAGCAGCCGATGTCAAAAAAGGTATCTACACCTCTTCCCTAACCCAGAATGCATTACTAACATCCCATCCCAGTGCCCCCCAAAACCAAGGGTCGCAAGCGTTACGGCGAAGCCGAAAAGCCCCTGTCTGGCCTCGACGTGGACTCTCTTCTTCATCAAGAGAAACGTGCCAAAATATCTCCTAACAATGCTATCCCGGAGTTCAAGCAGACCCTGACTCAGGCGGAGAATATTGACGGTGTCAAGGACGCTGTCAAGCAAATGACAGCTATTGTCGAGGACCAAATCCGCCACAGTCTCGGCGACGTGAACTATGATCGAGTCAACGAGCAAATGGGCGTGATGCGAGACGAACTGATATCCTACGAGGAGCCTACGCTCTACAATGACTTCCTGATCCAGCTGAAAGAGAAGTTGTTGAAAGAAGAGCTTGGTGGGGATCGCCGTGAATTGTGGTGGTTACTTCGGAAAAGTAAACTGGGGTTGATCGATCAGCGACAGTCTGAACAGTCTCTGGTGACTGAGGCGGAAGCCGAAGAGGTGAGCTTCACTCGAGTGGCCAAGTCTAGGATACTAACGTCTTTGTCTAGTTTATGTCCATGCAATGAATATGAATGCAAAATGGATTGGTTCACTAAATACTCCGTACCACGTAATGCAGGTGCTCTATGTAAAAGAATAAAATGCAACATTTCGCTGGAGCGGTCAAATGACAGAAACAACCGAATATACTGGCTCATGCCATACATGTAAACCCATGCTAGGAGATCTTGTCGATCCTCTTCTTCCCAATATCAACCTTGCGTTGCAGCCTAGGAAGCAAGTCAGTACACACCCCATAGTAGAAGTAAATATCGCCATAAACACGACATACCTGTCGGCGTCTTCATCCGTCAGTTTTAGTAGTTCATTCTGATACTGCAGCTCGGCATTGATGGAAATCCCTAGTTCCTTCTGCCGATTCACGATCTTCCTTAATTCCTCGACATTCTGATCCTGGCTCTGTATCATCTGCTTCTGCAGCTGCAAAACACCCTGATTATCCAACTCCCTCGTTCTCTCCGTCTCCTTCCCCAGAACCCTCCCAGACCTGGTCGGTTTCTTCCCAGCACCGCCCACAAGAGCTTCTTTATCCTGAATCGACGCAATCGCATGATCTACTCGACTCTTAGCCGCCATCGCGTTCAATAAATCTTCCAGACCATCCTTTTCCTTCCTCGCATTGATCAGGAGATCCTTCCGCCGGCGCAACTCCCCTTCACCCAATGCTCCTCCTCCCCCGCCACCGCCCATCCCATGTTTACGTCCCTCTCTTCCTCCGGGACTCTGCGACCGACTCGACTCACCCAGAGTCTTCAACCCTTCCTCCAGGGCCACTATTAATGACCCCGCCCGCACAAGACTACTCTTTGCGCGGGCCGAACTCTCATGCTGTTTCTGTGGCGTAGTTTCTTGATCCCGTCTCGTCAGATGAAGTCGAGTGTCATGTAAATGTGCCTTCATATCCCGATAGCAATCCAACCAGAGTGTGGGATCCGTCATCGCTGCTGACTCGTCCCCTGTTCTGCCGCCGCCGGAGGGCTCCGTGATCGCCGCGTGCAACCGTGCAGATGTTATTGATGTACTACCCGTGGAAGACCCGTTCGTGGTCGCCGCAGTGGGGAGATTCAGAAACCCGCGCCAGGCGGGTGAATTGCGCCATCGGGAGTCGTCGGCGTCGTTGATGGCGCGAAGATAAGCTTCTAGGGCGATGCGGCGGTCTTCCCGCAGAGAGACATTGGTGATGGTGTTGGAGAACCAGGATTTCGAGGGCAGGGGAGCTGGAGGAGCGACGTTGGTTTGGTTGATGAGGGTGGTGTGGAAGGTAGTGAAGTCGGAGTAGCGCTTCGAGACGGTGAAGGATCGTAGTGGGAGGCGCAGGGTGATGTGATAGAGAGTGTGCGGTGGGGAGGTTGGGGAGACACTGGTGGTGGGGATGGAGATTTCAAGAGTGGGAGCCATGGGGATGAAGACTTGACCTGGTGAAAAGATGAATGAGGTAGAGAATGAATGAATGGTTGGATGGATGAAGTGAATGAATGGGTGATAACGTGACCAGCTGATAAGGATAAGTCAAACAATGACGCAAAGATCGGAGTTGCTCCATTTCTTGAGAGTATTTCTGATAGTATTTGCTTTTAACATGCATGGAACAATCTTAAACTGGGGTATATATCTCTATCTACAGTCTTTTCCAATCATCCTCAGCACACATTGTCAGGTATCGCCCATCCACATCTCCCGCGCCTCCAGCAGATCTCGTTGCCCGTAGTATTCGCCCACCACGGTGATGATCATGTCCAGCATGGCTCGAGTCTGCATTGATGCTTCCAGGGCACGGTCTTGGGTTGTCGACTCCGGTTCCTCCATGCTGTCTTGGATTTTCGCCTGAAGTTGAGCTTTGGCTTGCTCCAATTCGTCGGCTGGAGGCTCCCTCTCGGCATCGGGCATATCTTGATCAGGGGTTTCCATGGGAGAATCGTTCGAAAATTTCAGTCGGTTTTCTCCTTCCTCATCATCTGCGTGACCAGAGTCGTCCACTGGATGGTCTTCATTGTCTGACTCCTCGTTCGAGACTCCTTCCCCATCCTCGTCCCCGACTCGATTATTCTTCTCATCCTCCTCCTCCTTCATCTTTCGCAGGATCTTCACGGCTCGTTTTCCCAGTTCACGGATCTCCCCGACTTCCTCTGTCCCCAGCTGCCCAACTTCCCGGCACTTGCTCAGTAAACCCCAGGCCCAGGCTCCGATTCGTCGAATTCGTGCTGCGTCTCCGCTTCTAACGTTCTCGGACATTAACCGCGCCATAATCCCTAGCACGCCTAGCACACTCTCCATATCCATACATGCTAGCTGGACCGTCTGCGGATCCACCGCGAGGAGGAGACGTCGCCATTCCTTGCACGCAATTTTCGAGTGTCTGGGCAGACTGATCGGGTGCGAGTCATCCAGCGCAGCGATAGCCGTCGATGGGGGCGTACACTTGAGAATCGATCGGAGGAGAAGAAACCGATGACGAAGGAGGTTATAGTAGCTAGACTGTGCGTCTGAATATGTGCCTGTGGCGATGTGCGCGCCCGTAGCAGTTACGTCCACACTGGTGGGCGCAGGTACGGTGTAGACCCCATCGATGTAGAAACCCTGCAACAGAACTTTCTCTTTCTCTTTCCCCTCGCGTTGTCGATGTTCCTCCCCCTCCTCGTGACTCTTCCGGGTCTCTTCCACAGACGGCTCCGTAGGCAAAGGCGCAGTGAACAGGAAGGGTAACGAATTGGCTTCGGACCTATTCTCGTAGCGCCATCATAAGGCATGGCGTAGCCACGATCAGCCTCAACTCCAGTAGAGACGATCTCGATTCATCGCAAGCCAAAAAAGCAGTAGATAGGGGGATAATGCGGGCATTTATTTAGCGAGCCAAAAAAAAAAAAAAAAAAAAAAAAGCCCTTACCGGACCATGCGAAGATACTCCATACCATCCTCTGCTGGGCCATAGAATAATTCATCATCTCCTGCCGTGTCGAGACCCGGAAAAGCGCTCTTCTGGCCGTAAACGGGGTGGTTGCGAGGGCGTTCGTATGGAGTCACGGCGGGAGGCATGTCGTCTCCGTCGTCACATTCTGCATATGAAGAGCGGGTACGTTTCGCATACGGTGACGAGCCAGATACGGAAGCGGACGGCTTTCGCTTGTCGGGCATGCTGGGGATGGAGGCGAGAAAAAGGAGACGACGAAGCAACTTGGGCTGATCGAACTCGACGGCTTTCCGCTCAGGGAGCTTGGGCCACTCCTCTCCGCCTTAAATAGTTATGATACGCGCACGCTACGATACGATATGTTGCGCCATCTTAGTCGCTTGGTTTTTATTTCCACTCGTATACAAAATCTCTATCAATAGGGCCCAAACACATTTATGGGCGCAACCGCTGGGGGTCACGAGGGAACAGGGACGCCAGCCGCACATTGGGCAGTCCCAGGAAGAACATGACAATCCGGTTCAATCCCAAACCTCCACCGGCATGGGGCGGGCATCCCTGGCGGAACGCATTCAAGTAGTCCTCGAAGCCCTCCTGCTTTGGCTCCAAGCCCTTGGCGATCATCGAGGCTTCTAGTTCCTTGATGTCGTTGATACGCTGGGCGCCCGACATGATCTCCTCTCCACGCATAAAGAAGTCGTACGAGTTGGAGAACTGGGGATCCTGCGGGCACGCCTTGGTGTAGAATGGTCGCACGGCCATGGGGAACTTGTCCAGCACGTAGAAGTCGGTGTCATACTTCTCCCGGATGATCTGGCCCAGCTGCTTCTCCATCGCCGTGGTGAGATCATTCTCGAACCGCTCCTGTTCGGAAACGTCGACACCAGCCTCCTTGAGCATCGCCACTCCGTCCATGTAGTTCAGTCGCAGTGCCTTTCCATCCTTAGGGAGCTTGAAGTCGCCTGCCTTGGGATACGACTTCTGGATAACGGCAATCTCATTCTTGTAACGCTCCTTCAGCTGAGTGAGGATGAAGACCAGAAGATTTTCGGCAAATTCCAGGACCTCGTGGTAGTGACCATGGAAGGTCTTCTCAAAATCGAGACCGGCGAACTACGGGGTGGTTAACGTACCAACTGAGGAACTGCACATTGGAGGAAGAAAGGGGTTGCATACCTCAGTCAAATGTCGGTGAGTGTTGCTGTCCTCAGCCCGGAAGACGGGGGCCACTTCGAAAACGCTTTCCATGTCACCGGCGATACACATCTGCTTGTAGAGCTGCGGGCTTTGCGCCAAATATGCGTTCCTCTTGAAGTACTTGACCTCGAAGACGTTGCTACCACCCTCGGTCGCAGCGCCCACCAGCTTGGGTGTGAAAATCCACCGCGAACCGCTCTTAATCATGTACTCGGTAAACAGCTGTGCAACGCCGCTGGAGATCCAGGTGATCGCCTGGCTCGTCTCCGTTTGTAGGTCGAGAACGCGATTGTCAAGACGGGTCTTGAGCGTGACGATCGGAGCGCCGTCCGCGTCCACCTGAGGGCCCTCCTCTGTGGTCTCCGGGGGCGGCCTCTCCGCATCCTTGACCTGCATAGGAAGCTGTTGTTGGGCCTCGGAAATCATGTAGACTTTGCGGATGTGAATTTCAAGGTTGCTGAGGGTCGCCGAGTTGATCGGAATCTCGGGCTTCTTAACGATGCCGGTGACCTGAACAATAGAGTTGACGTTGAGTCCGCCGGTGTATTTGACCATCTGTCTGGAGATGGGCTCTGCGGCCGCAATGACCGCCTGCACCTTCTGCCCCTGCTGTCTCAGCATCAAGAAGGCCAACTTGGCACTCTGGACACGGGCGTTGTCCACACGGGCCACCACGGTGATCTCCTTCTCGTAGTGGTCGTTGGTGATCTCAATAAACCTCGTCGTCGGCAGCACACCTTCGGATTCGGGCATCTGGCCGTACAGACCCTTCGCCGTGTCATTGGCTTCGGCCGCGGCCGCTTGAGCTTTCTCCTGAGCAGCTCGTGCCGCCGCCTTCTCAGCCTTGGCCTTCTCCTTTGCAGCCTTCTTCAACGCACTCTTGCTGATCTTGCCGTCCGCACCCTCCGCAGCGGGGGCATCGGCTTCCTGGGCCTCTTGGGGCTTGGGACGAGTAGGCAATTCGGAGTCGGCCATGGTTGTAAGCAGGGGGTCTAGTCACAAAGGGAGTTGGGAGGGTCCAGCGACCAGGCGACAGACTATCGAATGACTCATGAAACTGAACTTCAACTTGGGGGTCACTCCTGTATTTCCCCGCCACGAAGCCCTAAGCCCTAGGAGGGGCCTTTTCGGTCACCTGATGAGTCTCAGAAGCTGTATGCCTGGGGCAGGTATCCACCCGAAATAACCTAGTGGCTGATCATGGTGTGCTTGGGTAATGCTATACATCCCATCTCCAATTCAGGACAATGAAAGGTTACCGGTCCTTACTCAGACAATGAGAAAGTGCGATTGACTAGCCCTTCTTCTGCCACCTTTTCCTCTAGTCCTTGGATGAGTTTTATGGGAAGAAGAACTAATAGTAACAAACTAAGGGAGGGATTGAAATGGTATCTCGCGTATATCGTTTCTATTAACTTATTCACAGTACCAGATCAAGGCCAGTCACTCCTTTGTACGTATGATACCCCATCGCTGGATCCTATCTAGGAACATATTCAAATCCCCACGCACCATCACCCTTCTCAGACATGCCACCGAGACTTGTTCAATCCATATTCAACAGCCTTCTGCACGTTATCTACAATGGCCTGAGGGGTCCACGTTGGTTCACCTCCACTGTACACCCCCGTGCGCACGAGCAATGAGTGCCACTGGCTGCCATGAGGACTCCTGTAGGTATTGGCTCCCTGAATGTCGGATTCTGGGTTATCACCAACCATGTAGATATTCCGTATAGGCTGTTGGAGGTGCGTGCCAAACGCCCGAGACCGGTTCCGTAATAGCTGATTCTCAGCGTATTCATACGTCCCCTGATATGGTTTCCCGATGATCGTCTTTTTCAGCTCAACCCCTTTACTGGGCCCCCCCGTAATGGCAGCCCAGGTACCTTCCAGCGCCTCACGGAACCCACCCTGACCCAGACGAGGCAGATGATACGCCGCAGCCCACACGAGATCGGGGTTTGAGAAATACAGGGGTGGTTGGCCGTCTTGCAAGTATCCCCGGTTGGGGAGATCCGTGCATCCGTTCTTCTCCGAAAAGGTGCCCAAGATCCCCTGTGACGACAGCAGGACGTCCAGGATGACTTGTGCGTCTAGAGCCCAGTCACGCGGGTCATTGAAGACGAAAATCGCGTCGATCTTGAGTCCTTCCGTTGGGTCTTTGGAACCACAGGGGTTGGGGAGCGGGCGCGCGAACCCTTCGTAGTACTTCCGGAAGACTTTAGAAAAGGGCCAGTGATTGGGGTTGGCCATGAAGATATCACCGGGTGTCACCACGTTCTTGAACCCGTACCTACAGTATGTGTCAGTACGAATGTCTTAAGACAGTTCAAAAGGGCACGAAGGAGACAAGGAATCTATCAGACCGTTCAGCAACTCGACGACAACTATCACCGTCTCCTCCTACCACCATCACGCATTTGTTCTCCAAAGCGCTCAACTCGTCGGGCCCCCGCACGAGCTCCGCAAAGGGAGTATGACTCTGGATGATCACCGAGGGGTCCAATGGCACTTGGAAGTTTCTCGCTGATTTCCGCCACTCTCTCTGATTCATGCTTCCCTCCTCCATTGGTCAGAAGAATAAAAGGAATCCCTTGGTCCTTGAGAAGGGCTATTGACTCAGCCGCTCCGGGAATAGGCTTGGAAGCTCGCAGGAGCACACCATCGATGCTAGGGTGCACAATTAGCCCGTAGATCGAGAGTTTTCACTTCGATTGTACCAGAATCCAGTCCCTAATTCTACTCACTCAAAGGCAAAGGCGAACTCGGGGATCCGCGACGGAGAACTGGCTCCAAGTGCTGCTGTCTGGAGCTTTCGACGGCCCGAGCCGGTCTCTAGAAAAGAACGAGTAGATGCCAGCTGCACTAGGACGAGAGATCTCCAAAGTCCCTGAGGTCTCATGTTTAGGAGTGCGAAGTGGAGAGGATGTGGTCGAACAGGGAAGGGTAGGAGGATGAAAGGACAGTCGGAGAAACGGGGTATATAGGAATAAATAATCGGCGGCCACATGATATCATTCTCTCTTCTCCTCTTCCCACTCGAACCTCCCAACAGCTCCCTAACCATGGCATTCGACCGCTTGGCCGCCCCTCATGCATGCCACTCGCCAAATATACCTACCAACTGAGATCGTCGTGCAGATTGTCTCCTTTGTCGCCGCCGACGGATCCTGTCGGCAACAGTCTCTGCATGCCTGTTGTTTGGTGTCGCACCAGTGGTACTCGGCGGCCATCACTCTGCTCTACGAAAAGCCTCAGGTGGCCTCCGGTCGGGCGTTTAAGAAATTCACCGATACCATTAGCCCGCCTATTGGCGTCCGGAGGAGCAAGTTGAACCTGGGTAGTCTGGTTCATCGCCTGGATCTGAGTGGCCTCGTCCATCACAGTTCGAACAGTCTCACTGCGAGATTATTGGGTCGCGTCAAGGAGAATCTGGAGGTGTTTATTGCGCCAAGGGTTTCATTTTCGTAAGTTTGGATTCCCAACTTCCTTTTTCCAGAGAAGCTCGATCAGTCCGCTAATAAGATTGATTCTCCTTGGCTCTACAAACAACAGGATAAATAGCCTTCCCGCGTTATCGAAATGCGTCAACATCCGCACCCTCGATCTGTCCTTAGTGGGGGATCCGATCCCCTTTACGAATCTCCATCAAGCCATAAATCAGCTTCGTAAACTCGTGACGCTCCGACTCCCCCGATCCACCATCCTCACAGTCCCCGAATCCTCCACGATAGAATGGCCTCCTCTCCTGCACCGTCTGCAGCTCAGCGGCCGCTTCAATCCACTCGTCATGCCCACCTTCACCTGGCCACCGTCCCTCACCAGCCTCAGTCTCAAGAACTGCTCCGACCTCTCCGTCAGCAATCTAGGTAGTCTCATGAGCAGCCCGCGGCTGAACCACAGTCTCCAACAACTCACCATCTCCGGCGCCAACCGCGGCCTTCAGACCGAATCCATCAATTCCATCCTGGCCTTTCTCCCCCGTCTCATCTCGCTCAGCATCCCCGGCGATATGGTGGAGGATACCTTTTTCGAGATCCTATGCCACATGACTCCGCCAGTGTCACTCGAGGTGCTGGAATTCGCATACCCAAGTCTAGCCCCTAACCTGGTCTTCTCGACCGAGTCGCTGATCGCGGCGCTACATAGTGGACTGGGGAACCTGCGTGCTGTGGGCTTCGCTGATCTGTTTTGCACTGAGCTGCGCATCCTAGAAGATGAGGAAGTTGATGAGATTCTTCAGAAGCATGCCGCACAGCGACCGGGTCTCAGTGATGATCTGCTAGTGGGTGTGTATTATATATGATTTCCAAGCTAGTTCTTGTGTCGCTTTGTCTTGAATGTGGTTATGATTAATGTGTTATGTCGCTGAAAAAGTTGAATATATATGTGTTCCTTCTTACTCTTGCTCCTTCACATTATTGATATTATTGGCTCGAATCGTATGCCATCATGCAAGTAGCCGCGGAGCAGGGTCAAATACCACCCGCAGCGAATCTATAATGCAAGTATAGCAGACTACGACGAAAGCACACCACCGGAGATGAAAGGACTATCATCGCTTTTGACACTACACATGGATCCAAGCCCATTATTGTCGACACTAGCCTCCTGGGACAGCGGCGACCAGAATAGACTGAGCGAAAGGAAAACCGTAAAGGGTGGGGGAAACAAAGAGAAAAATAAGAAACATAAGTCAGGGAGAGATGCAATCATCACGGTAAACAGGACAAGAAGATAGAAAGAGAACCGGCACAATCAGGAGAGTGTAGGAAAAGACCAAATGGATAATGGGTTTGGACGCCTACACAAAATATTCATCGCATCTAGCTCGACACCTGGATTATAAACGGGAAAAGGAAGAGAAACATAAAAAAAGGTAAGAAACAAATCCGATCTCATAATGCTGGACTCATTACGAGATGCGCTCCAAGAACGCGGCCCTCCCTCTCATCACAATTTATAAATTGCAGCCTCAGGAGAGAGACGCAATCACGGCGGACGCAACACCTTCTTCCTCTGCCCGGACGGTGATCTTCGTTGTCACACCAGCCTTGCTGGAGAATGCCATCTTGATCAAGGCGGCGACACGGCCGCCGGATACCGTCTTACCGAACAGTTTGAGAGTATGAGTGCTGTTGTTTAGTGCCACATCAGTGCCTTCAAGTGGCTGCAAGGAGAGTGCGGAGATAAGTTGTTCGGTGGCATCTGTAGCCAACGTTAGTACGGGTCTTGCAATATGTATATTCACCATCAATGTTAATGCTCATACCTGAAATACCCTTCATATTGCTGAGTTGCAAAGTCTCGCTGACTTCCTCCCCATTCGCACCGGTCTGCTCCCAGACATGGTCGAAACTGCCTGCGAATGTAGGGATGACGTAATCGCTGCCTGTGAGTTCCAGGTCTTCGACTTGGTATTCGTCCTCGTAACCACTCTCCTCGGGCTCGCCTGTTGTAGGGTCGATTTCTTTGCTGGTGAACCTCAGGACGTTTGTAAACGAGGTGACTGGGACACTATGCTCGCCAGCAAGCTTCTTGAACGTAACATATACGATGCCGGGTTCATTCGTGGGGAGTTTAGGGGCAGGAACGATGAACTCCTCCTCCAGGATGTCTTCCTCTGATGGTGCCACCGCCACAGTCACGTCTTCCAGAACAGTATCAGGAAGTGTGTTCTTGATATCGTACTGCAGAACAACGTGCTCCTTAAAGACGTGCTTGACAGCGGTGACGACGTACTCCGTCTCGCTTTCGGTAAGTTCGACGGGAGCAGAGGACTTGAGCAACGTTCCATACTCTTTGAGCTCTGGAATCTGCATAAGCTGCTCCGCGTACTTTTGAGTGGCTGCTGCAGTGGCTGCTTCGGCCACGCCGTTTGCCTTGCCCTTGGGAGGTCCAGTGGATGGAGCCTTGAGTGTGGGTGTCGCGGTCGTGAGCTTCTTGGTCCGTTCTTCGGCCAACGCTTGTTCATGTGTAACAACTGGGACTGTAGCCACATTAAACGCTGCGGCGAACGTTTGCTTTTCCGTCGACGTCACATACATCACGAGCTGATGTTCGAAGGTCGAAAGTGAATACATGGATTCTAACTCAATTAGTAAACAATACCAAGTCTTACGTAAACCGACAAGAGATTCCCTACCATTCTTGATAAAAACCAATGCTGTCTCGTCCTCTTCGGACATCAACCGCAGGTTGAGGGCAGCACGGTCGCGCACCTCGTCATCAATATCATCTAGACAGCGGGTGAGAAGAACGGAGACACTCGACTTCACTTCCGGATCCTTTTGTCCCACACCAAATTTAGCCAAGGCTGTGACTGCCGCAGCCCGGACAATGGCGTTTTCCAACACGACACGGTTATAGATATAACGGATATACTTGGTGGGATGCGAAGTCTTCGGGCCTTCAACACCAAGGAGATGCAAAACTCTAACGGACAGCTTGGTGAATTCACAATCCTCAATAAACTCACAGAGGTGGGCGAGCGCTAGTCTTGGTTAGACAACATGACATATGCAATCTTATAGGAGAAATAGGACATACCGTCTTCCTTGCTGTCGGGAACGAATTTGATGAGGTCAAACATGCTCTCAACAACGCTACGTTTGAACTCGTAACCGCCCTCGTCCCTCAAGATTCCACTCAGGAACGCGAGCATACCCGCCTGCTTGCTGGGGAACTTCAGACAGAGTGTGCGGATAGCCTCAACAATGGTGATCTTGAATTCATCCGTGATATCGGCCATAAATCCAGAAATCTGCTTCATCAGGCGATCGACGCTGGCCTCGTTGCCGGTCTTGAGGAGGGTGGTGATCGCGAAGGTCGCGATGGAGCGGTTGGAGTTCGAGATCAACGACTCTATGTCAGGGTTGCACACGTTCACCACGTGCGGCTTGAAGCTTGCGAAATTATGGAGGATACGAATTGCCGCAAACTTGGTGATAGATCGGGGGGAGGACAGGAACAGCTGCAGGACATGGACCGCCTGGGAGGCTTCCGCATCGGTGACATCTCGCATGTCGCAAATTGCCTTTGCCGCTTCGAAGTTGACCATCTCATGCTTGTGTCGGAGCCAGCCATCAAGCATCTGCATCATAGGTTTCCTCAAGCTCGGGTCTTCCTCTGCCAGCTTCGCCGCCAACCGCACCAGCAGGACCAACGCAGCAGGGCTCTTGACCACACCCGCAGCACCATACTGTTGGACCATCTTCACCAATGCCATTCGGTCGTGCGAGCGCATCTGATATAAAAGACCAATCGCGTGGTACTGAGTCATGAAATTGGACTGGGAGATAGCATGGGCTTGAGAGCTACCACCAAAACCAAGGAAACCGGTCGATTGCTTCGAGGAAGAGGCGGCTTCCTGTGTTTCACTCTGCCATCTGCGGACAACATCACGGGCGATCGGAAGAAGGTGATAAGAAGATACCAGGGCGGCGGAGGAAACAGACGGGGTCTTGTCGACAATGGCGGTCTTGATCAATCTCTCAATCCCTTGTACCGTAGTAGCCTTTTGCCAAAACATGATTATTAGTTTTCCTTTCCCAATCAAAGCAGCAACATAGCCAGCCCAGCTCTTACATCAATAATGCGGCACAAAGCACGGATGGCATTGGCCCGGTAGACGACATCACTACCGACCGCAGTGTCCTTCATGATGATACTGGTGGACATGATCACATCCTCCGCAGTGTTTGCCAACTCTTTCAAGATGAGATAGACCATCTGCCGCAACGAGGGGTCCTTATTCTGGAACAATTTGGAGATACCGAAGAAGAGGGTAGTCGCCTCGTTTGTGGGGAACTGCTCCCCAGTGAAAAGGAGCACCGCAATCTTGGTCAGGAGAGTGCGGCATGTTCGAGGGGAGATCGGGGAAGTATTGAACAATCGTGCTGTTCCCCATGAGAGAAGACAAGTGGTGTCAGCGAACATTCCGGGCTCTGTATTCAGTTTCAGGGGATAAATTGGCCGGGGACCTACCATCTTGAAATACGGAGGTGCGATCCAGCTTAATCATGGTCTGGTCGGCGTCCTCATCCTTCTTGATGTAACTCATGGTGACAGGCTGCAAGAATTGCAGCAGCAGAGACTCTCTCTATCTCAGCGTCTAATGTTAAACAATGAGACTCCGAAGAAGTGATGTCGGAGTCAATGGGCGAATAAGGGCGGGTCAAGCAAGTATTATGGTTTAGTCGTAGTAGGCAGTCGGTTTGTGCAGGCGGTGTGGAAACAAGTACACAATCTACCGCGCCCTCATTATCTTCGAAAGAATGTAAAGGAGAGCGAGACAGAGAGAGAGAGGGTACACAGGATGGAGGGGTTTCGACACCCAACGAATACGAAGAATGAATGGATGTTTTGTCAGGGTGTCGGAGCAGCTCCATCCAACATGGAATCTCCAGGTGGCCTCAGTTTAGTCTAGTCCCTCTTGGGCTGTGGGATGCACCGCCATCTCTGCACGTGACCTATGGCTGGTGGGCTAACCAAACACTGCAAACACGTGGGCATCTCTGGCCTACGTAATGGGCATTGGATAATTGTTTCTGACTCTGTTCTTCTTTCTATTCCTTGATCTGAGCAGTTACTGTCATATAAACCTCAATCATGCAAGTCGAAGTCAATCCCAATGAGGATACAGAATGGTTCGTTTGTCCCCTCCCACACTCTCGATACACATACTCACAACCTAGCGCTATAGGAACGACATCCTACGCAAACATGGCGTTATCCCCGAGAAACCCCAAGATCCCGAACCTTTAATCCAAGAAGCCCTTGTGGAGGCCGAACGAAAAGCGTACGAGAACCGACTCGAAGATAAAGACCTAGATGAACTAGACGAGCTTGAGGACGAAGAAGACGAAGAGTTCCTCGAACAATATCGGTGCGAAAATACATGCCGTATTGATCGCCGACACTTCAGTAGCTAACTATAGTACAGCCAGAAACGTCTGGCAGAGCTCTCCACTCTCCAGCAAACCAGCGTCCATAACCAAGTATATCCCATACAGAAGGTCGACTACGCGCGGGAGGTCACAGAGGCATCGGAGAAATACTTCGTGCTTGTCCACCTGACCTCATCATCGAGTGCAAATGTCGAGTCACAGCTTTTGGCCGATCAATGGCGACAATTGGCGGCCAAATACGGAGATATTAAGTTCTGTCAAATCCGGGGGAATATGTGTATTGAAGGATATCCTGATAAGAACACTCCCACAATATTGGTCTACAAGGATGGTGAGATTAGGCGACAGCTCGTTACGTTGAGGGAGCTCAACGGTCCTAGAACTAAGCTTGAAGGTAAGCCATGCCCCTTCCATGTGAGTATCCAGCCTTATATATCGTGCTCATGTCTTGTGTAGACCTCGAGAGGATGCTTTTGGATTTGGGTGCCCTGAAAGAGAGTGACGTTCGTCTAAAAAAGCAATCGGATTCAATGGACGATGACCGTCCGTCAAAGAATAAACCTGTGGTAGAAGATGACGACGACGACGACTGGGACTGAAATATATATCGTACAAAGGATCGTCAATTCACGAAAAGTCACAGCTGCAATTTTTATTAATGATTAAATCATACCGAGGACCGCTCTACCTTCAATACCAGCCACAGTGATAGTCGCATATTAAGTGACAATCTTGGCAAGGCTCTGTCGCTTAACATATCGGCGCAAACATTCTGAGCTGGGGCTAGGTAGTAGGTAGTTGTCACGTCGACGGCATAGTCCCACGAGTGGTCACTTAGTTAAGATGAAGAAATATCAATGGAATTGCATTAATAAATACGATCTATATATCCTCTGAAATTTTATCGGTCTCGAACATATCTCCAGAGCTTTGAACCAAAGCCACTGTTCCCAACTCGGTGACAAATGCTTCTCTATGAGAAAATTTACATTCTGGCTTTGAGAACAAAGCCAGTACTGCAGATCCGAGACATGGCAACTAATATGCCACCGACGGCCATGCTGGCAGCAGCGAAGCATTGAGCATACGAGTAGCCCCCGTTACCACGCTGTACCAGGGCACCTGCAATTGGCGAGCCCGTCAAAGACGCAAAGCTGACGATAGTTAATACCATGCCGGTTCGAACGCCGATCTTTTTCAAATCCACCGTCAACGAGGTCAGAGAAGCGGGAAATAAGGACTGTATGCCGGCGGAAAATATCCCATAAAACACTGAAAAGGCGTACACATCGCTGGACGTGGTCACACTAACCCAGCAAAAGAGTATGATAGAGGTTATGAAAATAATAGGGATAAGGAGATTGACCGGGCCAGTATGCTTGTCTGCGAGAAGGTTGGGCAGGACCCGAGCTGGCATGCCTGCGCCGTTGATAATCAACAGCAGACTGATCGAGGTCGCTTGGTCGACGCCGACGATATCCCGAGCGAAGCTGCCAATGTAGAAAAAGGCCACATACAGTCCCCAAAAGGCGAAAAACATTCCAACACTGAAAAACGTGTACGATAGATCTGCGAAGGCTGTCCATTCCACAAAAGGACCTCCCTTCCGTGGTGGTACCCTCGGCTTGAAGAAAATAAACGATGGAATTAGCGTCGCGAGGGTAATGAAGCCAAGGATACGCATGGTCCATGGGAATCCGATCTGAGGAAGTAGCTGCTTGACCACAGCTGGAAATACAAGGCCACCGGTGCTGGAACCAGCAGCTGCCAAACCAACGGCCAACGACCGATATTTCGAGAAGTAGGTCGATATCAAGGAGAGCATGGGACAAAACATAAGGCCACACCCGATCCCTAAACAGAGGCCTTGTGACAGGAACAGCTGCCAGTAAGTCGTGGACAAGGAGGCCATGAAAACCCCAATCACAGTTAGGAGAGCTCCGAGTCCCCAAACCGCCTTGAAGAATCCTGCATCTGATGCTCTACCCGACAGCGTTCCGACAGAAAATAGGAGGAACACCTGAACGCTCCCGATCCACGAAATCGTCGATGGGGTTTCGCTCAGCATTTGGGTGTAATGTGTCTGGAAAACGCCAAAGGAGTTGACATAACCCCAAGTATTGCAAAACGTGAAATGCGACCAGATGATCTGGCACCAAGCTTCCAGTCCTCCGTCGGGAGGAGGACCATTGTCCTTATTGCTTGTGCGGATTGAAGCAAGTGCTCTGGAGAGGATGTTGACAGGCGCTCTCAAAATACCGTTCGAGTTATTTCCTTTCTCCTCATCTCTCAACCTGTCTTCTAAATCCATGTCAGGGGACATGCCAGCTCCATTGTTTTCCATTTTCTTACGATGATCTTGAATTGCAGCGAAGCCGTTCAGAGCTCATCGATTTGTGTTGGTACTCTATAGAGAAAGGTCAGAGTTAATGATTCTCGAGCCATCTCTTTGATCATTTGGTATTTCAAGAGCTGCTCATCCCAGAGACAGTAGAAGAAACGCTTACATCTTTTGGAGTCATAGAATATAACGTGCCGTCGAACCTACCAAGTGCTTTCTATACCTAACAGTTAAAATCGCTTTCCAATATGCAGAAACCAGCTGGATCAGGACATCTATATATTAACCATAGACAGTATACATGTGAAAAATTCTTCAATGACTACCATGAACGTGATCGACGCAATCTGATCGCGATGACTCCCTTGTTATCGGGTATGGCGGGATTAGCGGGATTGGTAGAATCAGGTCGTTCATTGAGCCAACTAACGAGGTTTATCCCATTATACTGGCTGGGTGAACTGCGATATTGACTAGATAGTGTTAGAGCAGTTACATAGAAGACTAGGTATCTAATAATTGAATTCATCTTGTACAAGCTATGCATGTATGTACGTATATAGTACTAATAGCTTACCCTACTGTTCAGTCTCGAACTCTCAATTCTCAAGAGCCCTTCCTTGACTCCTGTACTAGGTGTCTTGCTAGATAGGCATACAAAATATTTATTATATTATTACATCCTACCTGGATTGATCATAAGCACCACAATACTCATGACCTCATCCTCTAAAATGCCACTGTACCCGCTCTACCCATGGACCAATCCACTCTACACTACAAACTGTTAGGTTCAACCGCAACACCCGCAACACCGAAATTAAGCGATGGCCGATTCACTCCCGAGCTACCCTATACATAGGTATATCTCGGATGAAAAGATTAATACAAGACCGAAATATTTCTGCAAAAGTACGGCGTACAAAAAGAGAGGGGAAAAAACGTATACATAAAGGATGTCTTCGCCACATGCATGCATTCACGTCACGAGTGAGGTGAGTAAGGTCTAACAGGAGACTGACTCTATACTACTAGACAAATATAGAAGTACGTACGATTGTGAGTACTTGTGGGGGTTATTCGATTCTCATTGCTGGTAAAGAAATAGATCCTTGAATGACAAACTTAGGTAATTTTGAGGGTTTCTATGATGGCAAGGACTAAGTGGTATATGGGCTGGTTTTATGCGATTCTCGAAACACAATACCCCTATTTAACCATTTCAGAAGATGTGCCTCACCTTGTATGCATAGGATAGTACCATATTAGCTGCTGGAGGTAATGACGGATATTGACAAGTTCTTCATTGTACAATCAAATGTAGTATATATAGCCATAAAATCCAAAATCACTGGATAATCGACACTTCATAACAACCATATATAGTATAGAAGATAGGTCCAATACATATAATCATCCCAAAGAACCAACACAATACACTGTTTGTGCTATTCATGCTCCTATATCTCCAATGACTCCAGGCTCAGTCGATATCAATCCCCGGCTTAAAACGATCATTCAAATACCCATTGTTTTAGCGCCACACGAACCATATATGTATATATATAATAAAAATAAAAAAGGAAAGGAAAACATCACATCATAGGACTACATACGATAGATTCCTCATAGTAATCCATCGTTATCACCTGCAGCACTTTCTTCAATAGCTTCGCGCACATGGCCCTCACGGAAAGCAGGTCCCTGTCCATCACATTGAGCTAGACCTTTGAGTTTCTCAGCGACTTGCATGAGATCAACCAGACCCCGCTTGAAGAGCTCGTGACTTTGAATAAGGTCCCAGGTCGAGCTGACATCCAGGAGTTTCTCGCCCGTTTCACTGCAGGCCAACGCCCGGTGGCGGCGGATCGGTTCTCCGTTCGGGACAATGTTGGAATAGAAGTCCGTAGGCGAGTACCTCATAGGGCCAGTGGTTATTGGCCCGGAGTCCGCGGGATTGTTGGAGCGAGAGAATGAATTCGATGTGGCTCGCAAAATCTCATTTTCCGTTGTAAATTTCGCCAATTCCCGTCGTAGTCGTTCATTGTCTGCCATCAGGGAGCTAGACTCCTCTTTCAAATGGCTGACTTTCTCCTCGAGATCACGTACATGTCGTTCCTTTCGTTCCCGAAACGCTCGTTGGCTATACGTAAGCATGTTAGCTCTGTTCGTATAAAGATCTTTCAGGCCCGAATACTGGGCAGAGGACCACATACGCAGCTCGGTTTTGTGCCTTCCGCTTCGTTTGTGCCGGCGCTGTGCTCTCTTTCTCGTCACTGCTGCTCCTCCCTAGTCCCTGGTCTGTGATCGGGTCATCCCCGCCGTCGACCGAAGTTGGTCTCGTTAAATGACTTGGGGCCTCATTGCTGGAAACGGAATGCTTGGAGAAGGACTCGGGTGGAGAGTACGGCGGGTGGACGAAAGGAGGAGGGCCAGCGGGCTGTTGGAAGCGAAACGAAGGGTCGAAGGATTGGTAAATCTGCGTCCCCTATATCAAAGTCAGTGAGCAACTCTACAATAGGCATCCAGTAGGCACGCACTAGGGAAGCGTAGGGATCCTGGAGATTGTCCGTATGAGGTGCTGGGAGGTGCTGGTCGGGAGCAGGCAATCCCCCATGGAGGCCGTACAGGGGAAAAGGCTGCTGGGACTGTGGACCGGAGTAGTACGGATAATCCATCTCTCGGCCTTGCCGGAAAGAAAAGTAGTGAGTTACTGGCAGTGGAACGTTGATGAGACTGACCAGGAAATCGATGGAAACCGCGAGAAAATGGAGGGGGGGCGTTCACTTCGCGAAGCCTGTTAGTCAGGTTCGGCGCTACTTGTGCGGCAGCATCCACTCCGCATCTTTGCATTACTACGTTACTAAACTCATCAGGGAGTTACAATGGGAGAGACACTGTAGTAGTTGGATTATGTAGTAGACATAAAAGGCTTATTCAAGGAGCACCTGCTGGTAGTTCTGGGCTCACAAAACTGCATGACCCTGTCTCCCAGCCGGAGTCCTCAATATGCCCATCTTCATGTGAGATGAGACGTATCGACAAAGAGCAAACAAAACATCGCAGGAAGAAATACAAAAGGACAACGTTGATCGACGCAATACCACCCCGGAAGCGACCCTAGCCAGATTCCGTCGCCAATTACCCACTGCAGAGACATGTCCTTCCTTCGCCCAAACCACCGCATGTTGTCCCATTTCCCCGTATCATCCTTTCCTCGTACGGCATCCGTTCCAAGACAACAGCCATGTTTCCAGCCTTGACTATCCGAAAAAAACATTGTCTTCAGTCCATCTTTGCAGATCGTCTCGTCATTCTCGTCTTCCCCAATAATGCGTCCATGAAAAACATATCAATCTGTAAACATCACCGAAGGGGCAAAACAAAAGGAAAAGAAAGGAAATCAGGAAAGCATAACGGCGACTAACAAGTGCAAAACAAGGAGAGGGGAAGTAAAGGATTTTGACAAAAAAAATAAAAAAAAACTGCCGATATGACTTTCGAGGATCTTCCGTGACCGTGGTCAACAGGAAGATACAGCTCGACCAGTGGTTTCATTTTTGCATCTCCTTCAGTCTAGCCTTCCTGGGGGCTGTCGAAGTTAACGACGAACTATGATCCGATCAACCATTAGAAACCAGGAGGTTGAGACATAATATAGCCAGTTAATGCGTTTCGAGGCTGCCATCGAGACCCGTCCATGTATGTGGTTAAAACAATCCATCGCCAATGCAGGAGATGATTCGATGATCCAGGATCTTGCACCGATGGACATAGGGCCAGGTATGTCGATACACAAGCACGATGAATATGAGCAACGAAACGCAGCGGATCGAAACGGTTGATACCGAGAAACGACCGAGAACGGAATAACGGGCTAACAGAGAATGCAAGGGAATAAAATAAAGAAATAAAAGAACGAGGGGATACCCAAGGCAAGATAAGTCCGAAAAAGCTTCCGCTGCAGGTTGCAGAAGGACAACCAGTATCACGATATGCCTGGGGTTCCTCAGATAAAGTGGTGCCAACATGCAGGAAGCTCAACTAAAATCAAAAGACACAAGCCAAGCCACGCTGCGATGCTAAACAATTAGTACCACTGAGCACCGTACCCATCGTCCCGCTTCGCGCGGCTACCGGCAGGCCCATAAGCACCTGAAGCAGCAACCTTCGAAGCAGAACGCAGCCTAACGCCGAAGACTATGATATTAGTCAGATTCCAGGACTATATTTGACCTCTACGCGCGGGGGTGACGGTAAAGTACCAAACGCAGAGGAAAGGGGTTCCCTACACGGAACCTAGGTTTCAGATACTCACATCCTATCACTCCCTCCTACGGCACGGTTGGTGTCCGGAGTGTTGTCAAGGGTTCCGCGGTCGATGACCTTGCGGCGCTGGCTTGAGATGCCACCAGGCTTGGCGGCGCCGGCGCCAGGAGTAGCCATTGCGGTTCCAGGGACCTGACGGCGCTGCTGATCTTCAGCCTCCTTGTCCTTCTTGTTGCTAGCATCGACGATCATCGCAGCGTTCTTTTGATACTTGTAGACGGTCCAGTCGAACACATAGTCGTATTGGAAGGATTCGCGGACAAACAGGTCGCGGAAGATCTTGCGCAGGTACGAGTAGTCGGGCTTGTCATCGAAACGCAAGGAGCGGGTGTAGTTCAGGTAGATCGAGAACTCATTGGGGAATCCACGGCACAGAACCTCTGTCGGCGTAGTCATCTTCTTCTCCATGATCCGGTCATACTTCTGCTTCTTGGTGGCCGCCTTCAATCCTTGCCAGGGAAGGGTACCACGGCAGAAGTAAAGCATCACATATCCAAGAGACTCCATATCATCACGGCGAGACTGCTCAACACCAAGGTGGGTGTTGATACTGGCGTAACGGGCCGTGCCAGTAAGGTTCTTGTTCTCGCGATAGGGAATGTGGAAGTGAGTCTTGGGGTCACGATACTTCTTGGCCAGACCGAAGTCAATCACGTTGACCTGGTTTCCACGCTTACCAATACCCATCAGGAAGTTGTCAGGCTTGATATCACGGTGGATGAAGGACTTGGCATGAATGTATTCAATGCGGGAGATGAGCTGGTCTGCTAAGAGAAGTACTGTTTTCAGAGAGAATTTGCGGTTGCAGAAATTGAAAAGGTCCTCCAAACTGGGGCCCAGAAGATCAATCACCATGGCGTTGTAGTCACATTCAGTACCGAACCAGCGGACGAATGGAATACCAACACCGCCGGCGAGAGACTTGTAGACACGGGCTTCATATTCCAGCTGGGGGTGCTTAGCCTTGACACTCTCGAGCTTAATCGCGATTTCCTCGCCAGAGATGATGTTGGTGCCTAAATCATCGTTAGCTGTTGACTCCCCAAGTCTCGCACTATCCAGGATCATCCCATACCGAGGTAGATGTCACCGAAACTCCCACTTCCGATCTTGCGGCCAATTCGATATTTGTTACCGACACGCAAATCCTGAAATGAGTTGTTAGTTATTTCATGGCGTGAAGGCTAGGCGAAGAGGCTCGTACCATGGTCGTCATATCGATTGAATAGACACACAGCTAGGAGCCGTGGCTTTACTGTCTAAATGTAAATGTCCCAGTCAGTCGTAGATTCAAACAGTTGAAGGATGGGTTCGTTTTAAATTTATGGGACAGGATATCACCAGGGGGGAGGTGCTGAACGATGAGGTTGGAGGTAAGGTGAGGGGGTAAAGGAAGCTAGAGGACTGACTGCAGGCTCAGCCTTCAGCGCGTAGTGGTCACTTGGCACAGTGAAGAGCCTGGTGAGGTTGGGAACGTAACACGCACACCGAACCGAGCGACAGAAATTGATGGGCTATGAGATCAAGGAAGGACCAGAAAGGCCAGAAGTATATGCAAAGACTGCCAAACCAACCTTGTTGAAGAAGAAGGGAAGGGGGAAGGATGGGAAGTGGTGATGTCGACTGTTGGGGAGTCCGACCGACCGTAAGGGCCCGACCGGGAAAGGCGAAGAAAAAGGCGGAGAGAAAACGAGGGAAAAGCGACCGACCTTGGAACGGGTGTGAAGGAGACACAATAGGGAGCGATGGCAGGAGAGCAGCAACTCGAGAAGATGAGGTCTACCAAAATCGAGAGAATCAAGGACAAAGCCTTGATTATTGGGAAGGTGGGATTAGCAGATGGGGAAGGGAAGAAGGGGAAAAAGAAAGGGAAGTGAAAGAAGTGGAAAAGAGAGGGAGAAGGAGAGAGGAAGAGGGAAGAGGGGGCGGCGGGTAAGGAGCGGGAAAGGCCAGTAATCGGGCTCACAGTGGTTGGCGGTCAGATGGACTGATACTACTATTAACTACTACTATTAACTACTGCTGTATGGTAGCAGCTAGGGGATGAGGGATTATTATTGTCTGGATGATTAAGTCTGATGCCTAACGTCTAACGATCCTTCCTAGGGATTGCTGTCCTCGCGACCATCAATTGTCAAAGGGGCAAACACATGGGACGATAAAAAAGAAAAGAAAAGAAAAAACACGTCCATGGCCCAAAAGTTAAATCGTCAACAAAAAAGCCAGGAAGTCGGTGAAGAGAAAAACAGTATACTTCTTACTTAATAAAAGGGAAGAAGAACCTGGTCACAAAAAGGGCGTGGTCAAACCTCAACGGTACACTTAATTAGGTACCTACTATGTACACAGTTTGTACTTAATTACCCACTTGGAATCTGATCGTCTCGGATTTCAATCACACTTCTTGTTGCATTGAATGGGTGTTCATATACCTAATCAGACGTGGTTCTCAAGGCGTTCCTATTCTTAGCTGCAATTCTTAATCTTCGCATCCCAACGGACACCCTAGCCCCAAGGCAGTAAGGCCGCCGTCTACCTACCAGATTGGGCATCCCCGTGACCAGTCACGCTTCTGGAAAACTGACAGGTCCGGAGTTGTTCGGTTGCAGCGCTGACTGGTACTACTACCATCCACAGTTGCTACAGGTGATGTTTATAAATGATGTATGTGTACTTAGTACCAACTACTCGATACTCAATATTTACTATACTTAGGCTGCGAGTATTTGTCTGTCAACCAACTCTATATACTGGCTGGGCCTCTAGACTAAGCAACTTTAACGAGTGCAGAGCACGGATATTATTTAATAATAATTATATTTACCGTACACTTAGGCATGGATGTTCCGCTATTGAATCCATACCTCTTGTCTCTATTATGTTCCATCACGAATCGCAAAGACACTGCTTCAGCAACCAACAGCCTACCGGTATATGCAAGCACGTTCTATCTGTAGTATAGCATAGTCTTGTCTTAGTGTGTATACTGATATCTAATAAAGATGTACCTAGGGCTATATTACAAATATACAAGGGTGCTCCCTGTATAACATTCTGAAACAAGGTCAAAGTTTCTGAATAATATAGGAAACTTTGCTAAGAATCCTTATATACTATCTCTATAACTAATTCTGTTTGTATATCTAGGAGCTTCTTTAATCTGGGCTGATGTTCCTGATAGAAGAATGTAAAGATCTCGAGCGGTTTTTTTTTGAGTAAAATAGAAGGGATAAAGTAAAGTGTAGCTTCAGACTATATATGTCCATCGGATACTATAATCGGTGGCCGTAACTTGTGGAATGTCAGCAGCTATGCGATTAAAGCAACATACTTGTAGAGAATATTATATCCTTTTACAGTTAACAGATGCAGTAGTCTGTACGCACTACTTTAGATAGAGAAAGAAAAAAAAAGCAATTTACAGTATTAAATACACTTAAAAGACATCTAAACATCGTTTCTTGTTTCATTGTAGTAAAAATAGGACCAGAATTCCGCTGCCGTCTCTCCAAAGTTCATCACAACTACGTATATGCGCAAGACCGCAAAGAGGAGAACAAGCGATCTAAAGAAATTTTTGGTCAGCAAGTAGCCATGAGAAGTTTTGTCTCCATGACCTGCCAAGTTGAAAAGCAATGCTATGTAGGCAAACAAAGGACGGTAGTAACGACCACATAGAAAGAAAGACTGAAATAGGGTATAGACGAAAGACTGCTCGACTACCACTTTGAGAATTTGAGGTAGACACAGCAATATGATATTCCTTCCGAGAAAATATCGAGGCTTTGTACAAGGAACGTGTCTGAAAAGCAACAAAGCTGGCACCTGCATCATCACAGCGTATACAACCAGATCCGGGACACTGGTCCCAAAACTCCGGGAATATCTTCGCCCGACAGGCAGCTCTGAAACGACAGGGAGGGACCGCAGTAGGCTTGTTCACTCGATTCATTAACAGGGCCAAGCTTCAGCCATCCATCCTAGGTGCCACCATGATTCAAGCACAGACACCAGATGTCGTAGACTCGACTATGCTCCATATTTGACAGGTACTACTTGATAGCACTTGCAATAGTGGCATGCTGGGCTGTGGTATCACAGTTACGGCCACTGGAATGATATATCCACATTAGATTCTCATAGATACCACCCATTCTGTTGCAGTTGTGATGGTCTGACCAGGTCTTTGATTGTACTTGCCATAGATTTGCTAAAGCTGATCACAAAATTTGCGATCGTCACACAGCCTGCGACTGTTTTGACGACTCGTTCGCATACCCTAACAGGAATTCACTGCACAAGCCAAGTGTTGGTTTTTGAAGTAAATCATAGAAGCTTGGCATTGCCTGAATGATTTGATATTTTGAAGACAGCAATACTGGAAGACTCCTCTTTTTATACTGTGAATGACACCGGATTTCTGAATACTCTGATTTGTGCGATTAGCGTAGATAAATCCTAGAAACAGACTTACGGGCCTATATTATGCGGACCGCTAGCAAGTTATACCCATTTCCCTCACTTGTGGTATTCTCCTGATGCTACATCTAGCAGGCGTATAATCACCATATGTATCGAAGACCCAGCCTGCGCTTCTTGGACCGCCTGGGGTTCGTTCATTCTACGAGGCCGAGGGCACCTTCGACGCACTAGCTGAACAGCCTAATACAAGAATGGACGAATGCGTCGCCCCTCTTGGGATAAGATGTAATCCTGGCCAAACCTCTGAGAGTCACGAAAGATATGATGCTGTCTTATTAACATCAAGTAAATCATGCCTGCTTATTAGTACTTATTTAGTACTTACAGGCAGACAAAGCTCCTAACATAAGGCCTCTGTACCCCCTGGGTAGCAGGACGTACCTCTTGCAGGATAAATGTACAACCCCAAATATTGGCGCTATATCACTAGTTGGATAGCTAAGGTAGTGAGGTACTTGCTTATCCTTCCTGTATAAGATGCTTGGATCTTACGGTGCAAAAAATTACGTTATTAGCGTTGGTATGGGCCTACATATGATACCCACGAAGTATAACCAGCAACTATTCCCCTATAACCTTTCATAGCTTGCTGCTACTGCACATACTAATTAATATAGCTTCAACCCTACTTGGTCCAGGGTCGCTATGGCCCATTAGGCTGGTAAGATTAAAGAGCAAACAGTCGATAAGTGAGGCCATTTAGCTCTGTAAAAAGGCGATGGGAGATAAATACTGGAGGCGAGAAACGAGCGATTTTGAACACCCTGTATCGATCACACGCCGGTTGACACCATATGCAATCTCACTTCGCCTGTAGGAGTATAGCCCCAAGAGGGCGGCCAAATTACGAGAAATGTCACTCACGATGTCGGATGATTCCTAAATACAATGCACTTTTAAGTCTTGGATCACTGGGTATCTCCTACTGGAAGTATTCTGCAAGTCCTGATCCAATCCAATTTGGGCTATAATGGGCGTTCATAAGTGAGCAGACACGCAGCTCTACAATGAGAAACATAGCTGACTAGGAGCACATAGAGGCTTCTTGAAATAAATGTAGTAATTGTACAATCCAGTCGAAGAGGCGACAAAAAAAATAAAAAATAAAAAATATGAAGGGGTATAAATGTAGACAGAAAGTGAATAGAATGATAGAACCGTGAGACCAAACACAACACATGGCAACACAGGATCCCTTTCCGGCTCGATCAAGGTGGTCAAAAAGTATGATTGAAGATTGCCTAGAAAGCAAATCCAACAGAGTCCGTTAAACGGTCAAAAGAAGAAGAAAATAGATATGGTAAATAAAATAAAAAAAGAGTTGGAGCAGAAGAACGCCACCATGGTCGTCCAACAATACCTTCGATCACCCTGAACGGGTGCCAAATATTGTTGGGTATATTTGGGCTTCGTGGCACAAACCCCCAATAGAATCTAGACAAGTCATATCATTTGAGTTGTTCATATCATGTTTGCCGTTGCTTGCGCCTCGCCAGCATTCCGAGGCTTGCTCTTTTCTGGAGAACTAGCCCTCACTTCTTCTTCTTCATCCAATCGTCGCCTCCATTCCGCTAAGCTATCGCTGAGTCCTGTGTCCTTGGTGGGTGTCCGATCGAAATCGGATTGAGTGCTCAGCCGGTAGTTACGGTTGGTGCTCTCCCAGTGGCTGCGCAGTGCCTCTAGCTCATTAGCTAGGGAGTCGAGGGCCATAGAACCACGGTTGTCCGGAAACGGCTCGTCTTGTGACAAGGCACTATTGGCCCTTGATCGTCCACCTGCCCCACCGACGGTATTGCTGGAAGCATTACTGTGCGTGCGGGAGATGCCATTGATACTTTGACCGGGCTGGGACTGTCGGCGGTAATGCCCAACCGACGCCTCAACCTGGTCCAAAAGCATAGTGACCTTTTGTTCGGCATCCGACGCACGAGCTTCAAGCAAGGAGTTCTCATGCTTGAGCTGTTCCAATTCCGTTCGGCTCTTCTCCGCAGCTTCGACGAGCTCCTCTCTCATACTCTCAAACTCCGTTTGGGATTTGTTCTTCTCGGATTCAGCGGCAGAAAGATCCGCCCTCAAGCGGTTGATCTGATCCTCAAGACCTGCAATCGAAGAAGATGTCTCCTGTTGTAGGTCATCAACCGTCTTTTGGAGTCGTAGGCGTTCAGCTTCCCAGTCAGACGGCACTTCTGCAGCACCCTTTGAAAGTTCAGTTTGTACAACTTCCAACTCGCTTTGCATCTTTGCATTCTGGGCTTTGTATCGACCAAGTTCGTCCTTCATGCGTTTTAACATCTTCTCGGTACCCTTGACGTAATGGACAGCGGACTGGTAGTCGTTCTCTAACTGCTCCAGCTTCTCTCTATAGGCACGATCGGCTTCCTGCTCGCGAGTTTCGAATGATGCTTTCAGTTCATCATGGGCCTTGATGCTAGTCGAAAGTTGCTGCTCAAGCTCTCGCAGCCGACCTTGCTCAGGAGTCCCGAATCGAGATCCAGGTGACTCCAGCCGAGGCGAACGTCTGCTATCCGGATAGCTAACACCACGCTCGCCAAGAAGATCCTTAAGAGCGGCATGCTGAATAGCCAAGGCTCCTGCTTCGCGCTGTCGGTTTTCAAGCTGGGCCTTGAGCTCCCTATTGTCGGCGGCATGCGACTGATTCTCTTTCATGGCTGCTTGAAGTTGCCTGCGGAGCTGCAAACCTTCCCTACTGGCCTGCTCCTGGTATGCTTCCAGACCTGCAATTCTCTCCTCCGCACGTCGGAGCTTATCGGCTGCGTCGTCCGCCGCCGTGTGACTGGCCTTCGCCAAACTGTTAGCCCGTTCCACCTGAGCCTCCAGTGCAGATACTCGTTGGTCGGCAAGAGACCGCATAGACGTGTCGGAATCAAATGATGATGCTCGATCAAGTCCGGACAAAAATGCAATTTTATGGGTCTCGGCTTCTTTGGCGCTACTTTCAGCTAGGGCTTCGGCATCTCGTAGGCGACGGGTGATATTCTCAAACTCAGACATTTGCTCTTCGTGCTCCGATCTCAGTTGCAGTAACTTTTTCTCTAGCCCCCCTCGGCGCTCCCGTTCCTCCTCTAGCTGTCTTTCGAGAAGAGCGGATTTATCGGAAGATGCTGCCACTGCCTCCCGGAGTGTGCCAAGATTAGTACCGAGGTCACCCAGGTGGACAGAAGACTCTTCAAGCTTCTTCAACAATTCCTCCTTATCCAAGTTCAATTGCTTCAATGTGGACTCAGCCTCAGCTCTTAGCATAGATTCTTCCCTCACAGAAGCCTCCGCTTGGTGCAGCTGGGCGCGCAAGCTCTCTATTTCTATGGCGTTGTTTTGCATTTCGAGTTCGGCTAGTCTTCTCCTCGTCGCCTCGCACGTCTCTTCCGCTAATTCCCTACCACGTTTCTCCTGTTCAAGTTCAGACGTAAGAACCTCAAGCTTGGATTTGGCCTCGTTATGAGATGCGAGGGCAAGCGCGAGCCTTCTGCTAATATCAGTGCCGCGCTCAGAGATGGTATCACCGGGATCTTGAGAACGCCCATCGGGTTGGGGAGTGCCTCGTTGGCTACCACCGTGAGCAGCAAGTTTTGCACGAGAATAAGCCGCCTCATTGACAGCTACATCTCTTTGATGCTCAACCTCAGCGACGCGCTTCGACGCTATGGCTGCTTGTCGGTCCACAGTGGCTTGCATCTTTGCAAGTTCTGCTCTCATGGCAAGAAAAGCCTCGATTAAGGGGCGATCTTCATCGGCAAACGTATCCGCTGTATGGTCACCCAAAGCGGAATTATTGGGGGCGTTGGGTGAGTAGCCAGCCTTCTTGGCCAATGCAAGCTCGGAAGCGTACCATGCATTGCGATTTTTCACGGATTCAAGCTCCTTTATCAAGGCTTCTTGATGCGCTGTCAGCCGTGGAGATCGTGGCTCGTCATTGAGGGTTTTGGAGTTTCTGTGGCCTCGTGACTCGACAGATCCATCAATACTGGCGTGGCGGCCCAGAATAGATTCATCTGCACTATCCATAGAGCCCCGCTGCCGCTGTTGTCGCAGAGAACGCTGTCGGGCTGGCGCACTCATCAAAGGGGCGGCCTCGCCAGCCTCCATAGCCCTAGCAGACATCCTCGGTTGTTGTTGAGTGGGAGTACGATGGCCAGCGGGGTAAGCGCCGGGCTCAGGGATAGATCGTGGGTCCTTTGGAGACTCTCTTGGTGACTCTCTGTCCCGTTCAGTTGTAACGGCTCGGACCGTGTCCACAGGCGGGCCTCCAAATCCCCGGTCTAACTTTGTAGGGGTTTTGCTTCGAGGATTCACGGCATGTGGGGATGCATTCCCTCGAGGACCAGGCGTGGGCGCTTGGCCCGGTGGAGGAGGTCCAGATGGGGCCTGTGCTATGGAGGCCCTCGGGAGTCTTGAACCTGGCCCAGGACTGGGGCCAAATTCCGCTGGTCGGCCAGTCGGGCTTATCATACTTTCACGCGACGGCCCCGGCCGTCGCTGCTGTAGGTCTGTAGGTTGGTTCTGAGCCTCGCGAGACGTCCGACCAGTCAGTGGTCCAGGTTTGTCCGCGCTCCCTTTTCTTACCCCCAGAGGCGGCACTCTTTCTCCATTTTGGGCATCTGTTGGATAGCGGATCTTGGCCGTATCGAGGACGTAAGCCATGCTAAGCTCTACAGAATCCCTCGGTGCAGAGCTCGGTTCACCAGCCATGACAATAATTTGCTTTCCAAAAGCCGTCATGCTATGACCTGACCTAGGAGAAGGGGCGGGTCCCATATTCTGGAAAGAATACCATCTTCGGGTGGTGATGCGGAAAGCAGCTAGGTCCCCAAGGTCAATACCTTCATCAGTGCGACCACCGAATATATACATGACATCGTTGACAAGAGCCGCCGCGTGACCTTCTCGAGGGGTTGGAATGAATCCAACGCAGTCCAGTTGAGTCCACTGATTGGCACGCGGATCATACGTCCAGACGTCGTTAAACCACTGCAAGCCGTTCGTTCCTCCAAATCTGCGGAGGCATAAGCCAGCTGATCACCTTCAACGGGGAATATTCAGCACACTTACAAGTACAACCTGTCATTGAAACTAACAATCGTATGATTGGTTCTGGCCGGGGGTATCTGGCCAGGGGGCGGCCCGCCTTGATGGCTGTTTTGAATCAAAAATTCCCATTTATTGGTAGGATTTGAAAGTTGGTTGAGGTCAAAGGCGACTAAGTCATTAAAAAAATAACCTTCAACCTGTCCACCGAAAACATAGAGCCTGGAGCCCAAAATATTCAAGGTATGCCCGTAGCGGCCAGAAGGACGGGGACCTGGTGGTATAGAGCGCGACCACTGCCGAGAAGCTGATCAAAGGCATGATTAGGATCTGGAGTGTGAAGTAAAAGAGGGGCGAGCAGTAATACGTACAAGTATTCAGGAGATAGAGTGTGTCATCCAATGTGTCATTTTCATCAACTTTCGTATCGCCACCGAACACGATAAATGCGTTGCCAACCAGTAAACTTGCATGCCCGACTCTGGGCCCTGGGCCCTCCGACAAAGTTGCAATCGGGAAGCAGGATAGATTTCCGCCACTGCTCTCGATCATCCAGAGATCACCCTTGACAGTTGAACCATCTATCAACCCGCCCATCATATAAATATCGCCTTCTTTTGAGGCGACCGCATTGATCGCGGCGCCATATCGTGGAAAGGGGTTTGCTTGGGGTGCAGAGAAATTCAGGCGACGCTGAGACCATGGGTAAAGCGATGCACCAGGATTACTATTTGGGGAATTGGTATTCACGGCCTGCTGCGGTCGCTGTGTCTGCATCCAATGAGCGATAATTCATCAGCGAAAGCAAATCATTGTCTATTGACGCGGTAACCTGGAAAGAGGAAGAAGTGGGAATTGGGCGTGGGTGACAAACCTGCGACTCCGATTCGGCTCTTTGTCGCATCCGTTGCTGATCCGGGCTACTTGTGCTATTCACCGAGTTTAAGGAGTTATTGTAACTGCTACTAGGGGTCGGTGATTGAGGGTTTCCTCCCTCCCGTTCCTTCGTTCCATTGGGGGTAGCTGCCGGTGCATGTGGTAGCGGGCCCTCGGAAGTATGAACATTTCTCGTCGCAGGAGGTAGGGTGGAGTTTTGTTGATTCTTCTTCGATTTAAAGAGGAAGGCCATCGTGATAATTGGATCGTAAACAGTCGTTCAAAGCGCAAAGGTGTCAATTAAAACGTAGCAGGGCGCGGAAAAAAGGGACCAAAAATAAATTGCAAATCCGTGTCGAATATCGAAATAAACCCTTCACCAGCTGAAACCCAACGGCTTACAATCGCTTTTCAAAAGAAACGAAAGGGTTGCTTAAAAAAAAAAAGAGGTATGGCGCCAGGCTGTAGAGGTCAAAGGAGCGGGCGACGGCAGGGCCCAGCTGGAAAGCTGAAAATCAGCGTCCGGATAGGAACAAGGCGGTGCCGTTCTCCGTCTAAGTTGATGTCTATGATGCTCACAGGGTAGGAAAACAATGGATATTTTCCACCCAAGGACCGTGGCCCAGGGTAGGGAGCGACAACGGGCTCTTCTACTTCGAAAGGAACCTCTCAAAATCTCGGCTGCGACTCCGGAGGAGCATCAGCGAGTTCTAAAAGGAGTAAGAACACTAAAGACAAAAATAAACAGAAAATAAGAAAAGAAAGAAAGAGAATAGCCGTTAGGTGTCAAAACGGCCCCCAAGGAAGATCAAAAGTGAAGGGGGGATGAGCACACACAATCGGAGAATAGAGAGGGAGGAGGGAGAGAGAGAGAGAGAGAGAGCGAAGAGGTATGGAAGTGCCGGCCGGGGCTTGTGCATGGAATGGAGACTTGGAGAGGGAAGAAGGAAGGAGAGAGGATAACGCGAAACTCCGGTGTTTCAAGGTTCCTGGCCAGCATGAATTAAATCATTTTTATTTTTATTAACTTAGTGTTATTATTACTGGTATTATTATTATTATTTTCTTACTCGAATGTAATTACTTGTGTTCTGTACTGGTGGTTGATTGACTGGAGCTAAAGTCGTTAGGGGGCAAGGAAAGCGACACCGCCCAACGGAATTATTTCATTTGATTCCCGTCAAGGGGGTCAGTCAGAGATGTTGAGAGAAAAGAAAACAGACCTGGCGAAATAAATAAGAAAGAAAGGGTCCACGAGCCACGAGGTTTATTTATTTATTTATTTATTTATTTTTCTCAGTCTCTTGTAGTTGATGTACTCCGTACCTCCATTTTAGGTTTCCTCGAGAACATCGACATGGGTCCTCTCGACTGATATATGTAGTGTTGTATCTACCAGACAAGACATACTATGGCATAGTATTTAGGAGCGCAACATACAATCAATCTTAAAAATAGCACCTCTCCATCGCCCCTAGGACGACATCATTAGGCATTTAGTCACTACTACCCAATTTTAACCTCCATGTTAGTCCCCATCATTCTTGGCACGGGTTTCCCTTGAAAGTTAATACTAGATACCCTCTTAGTAGTCAGTACATAATGCCGAGATGGTGATGGAGTACTTTATATCAACCAGAGTCCTATACGGTGATTTAAGTTTCTGGATCTGTTTAATGGATATTGCTTCCGCTACGGTACAAATACATAACTACGTGTTGTGTTGTGCTGACTATCGGTACAGTATTTCCGTGCATTGGTGGGTACCTCACACTCTCGTCCGATCTTGCCAATGGTTTTACCTACGCGGGAACCGACCATCAGATCCTACTCAGGCCAGTATAAGTACACTTACTAAGTAAGAAGTTAGATTCAGAGGGATATTCCCAGCCACAGTGGATGTTGGCGTCTTAGAGATGTACCACGTATGTACTCTGTATATCGGTACGAGGTACTTTGTATGTAGCTAGCTATTCCCCGTGCACAGTATGTATTTTCGACAATTGTTCTCTCCCACCGCAAATTTCTCTTAGTGGGTGATGATCAATGGTGCACAGGGTACCATCTCAGTTGGCATGGTCGATCTGATGACTGGACAACAGAGGATGGTTAGCGTTCCGTAGTCACCAACTAACTACATAACAAGCTAGCGAGATTCGTTAGTCAGGGACGGTTCCAGGAAAGAGCGGACCCAGGGGAAAGAGGGGAAGGGAAGGAGCTTGAAAAAACCCTTTAACGTCCATGAAAGGGGCTGTGGATGAACTAAGCAAACCATCAAACTAAGCCATTTCGACGGGTGGGTCTAGAGGGAAAGCCGGACCTATCAGGGCCCAGAAGAGCGCAATCGGGTTTGCATATGGGGCACTTGGTTCGGAAGGGATGAAATCATGAAAGACGCTGAAGTCATTCGACACAGGGCGCGAATCATAATGGAACATCACCTTTGTCTTTTCTCACTGGCTGCTGGACTCCATATTTTTTCATCCAATCCGGTCGTTTCTCCCCCTTTTTTCGCGTCTGTCGCCCTTGTCCAGGTGGAATCAAGTCTCATGTTAGTAGTGCGAATTAGCATCGAAGTGTACCCGTACAACCAGCCATGAATAGTTATATTTGGATAATAAGGTGCTTATCTGGCTGGAGTTTGGCTTAAGTGTATAGGGAGTAGTGCTTCTTACTCCTGTTTAAGTATACCTACAGGCTTGCAGAACTCAGTGCTCCACCATCCCTTAGTAGTATGTAATACAGCACATGCAGAAGCACACCGCACTTTGCCTTTATTGTGGGGATTTAACCTCGGTTTAATTTATAACCTTGGGCAGCTAGTTCTACAGTAAAACCCCTATATAAGCAAAGAATTCGGACCGGCTAAAAGTTTGCTTATACCGGATTTTTGCTTATACCGAACAAGGTAATAAATATATATATTTATATAGCTTTATATAAATCTACTGCACCATACTGAATTAAAGAACGCATATATTAATTATTATAATCATTCTATAAGATATAACCTATATTCTGCATGTTTTTGGCAACCAGGGGCCCCGCAGCTTAATAAGGTGGAGGTGGGTGGTCAGGCAAAGAATGACCGGATATCTGTCTGACGCTGAGCTTGAGCTCTTCTCTCCAGAAGGAGCCTTTCTTGGTGTGTAAGAAGCCGAATAAGGGCCTTATCTCCATCAACCTGCTGTTCCTGATAGAGTCGTAGTTTATATAAGCCCTCTAAAGCGTCTGTAGGTGTAATTATTGGTAGAGGCTGTAGATCTTCCTCCTCATCACTATCTGAAGCTGGAGGCGGTGCAATTTCAGACAGAACTGCGGAGTCAATATCTATAAGACTATCATCAACCTGCTCCTCTGTGGGATTCAAAACTGATTAATATCCATAATGTCCTGGATACTATTTGAGAGTTTTAGGCGTTGAAGTCCTTGCTTTATATCGTCAATAAGTTGCTCATCATTAAGCTCATTGACATATTCAATTGAAAGGGCCTTTTGAAAACAGTTTCTGACTGTATCTCTAGACAAATCAAATTCCCAGGCAGAAATTGCCCATCGAATTGCTTGTAAGATTGTCATAGTAGATAGCGGGTCAAAACCACGGTCGTACTCAGCCATCATATATAAAACCCACTGTTTTTTCCAATATGCCTTCCATGTGCGTATAATCCCTTGATCAAGAGGCTGATACCGTGACGTTGAGCAGGATGGAAGCCATATAACCAGTGTATTCTTTAGCTGCGGGTTTACTTCTTTATATGCAGCTTCATGTGCAGAAAAATTGTCCATTAAAAGAGCAACTTTTCGGCCTTGCATTCTTCTATCAAACCAGAGCAGCCATTCTTTAAAGATATCACCAGTCATCCATGCCTTCTTATTTGAGCGCCAAGTGCAGTTAAGGTTCTCAATATTAATACCAGCTGCAGTAAAGGCTCTGGGACGTTTAGCTGTCCCAATAAACCAGATAGGAAGGAGTTCTGAAGCGTCTGAATTACAACAGAAATGCGCAGTTATTCGAGCCTTTTCTTTCTTGCGGCCAGGAAGCAAACGTGTAGATAAACTCCGGTCCGGGATCATCCTCCAGTATAGACCTGACTCATCGCAGTTAAAGATATCCTGAGGCGCATATATACTAAGAGCGTGACGGATTATAACCATTTCAGTAGCTGCATATACACTTCCAGCTTCACCATGCTGACTCCTCCACTTAATATTTCTGCGTGATTGAAAGCGTCGAAGCCAGCCGTTGCTAAACTGCGGCATCTCCCTTTCTGGATAGACCTCCGGCCAGAAATCCCTTTGCTTTTGCCGAATAATCTCCTGAGATATTGTTATTTGTCCCTCAGCCCTCCGTATCCAGTTGTAGAGTGCCTTTTCTAGCTCTGGCCAGGATTCTGTACGGCGTCGTTTATCTTCAGATTGATGCGCTTGAATGTCGTCAAGGAAGGCAAATCGAGAGGAGAGGATTCGGCTAATCGAGGAGCGGTCAATTGGCTGTTTATATGTCTCTTCAAACCACTTAGAAAGAGATGCCAGAGAAAGATAAGGCTTTAAATGATGTCGTGCGCGTAGGGCAGCCTTCTGGCTATTTGAAATAGCGCGACGCGTCCTCTTAGCCATCTTTAAAGCAAAGTGTGATATCTGAATAAGCAATTTTGTGACTTCGATATAGGCAAATTTATATAGGAAAGGGCGAAAAATTAAGCAAAGATCTTGTATCGGGGGGTTAAGCATATTAATATGGAAAATCAAATTAGACACCGTGTTCATTTGCTTATACCGGAGTTTTGCTTAAATCGGGTGCTGCTTATATAGGGGTTTTACTGTATTACAATGAATATCATATATCTGAGCAGGAGTGTGGTCCCTGTATAGATGACAAGGTACGAAACAGTATTGATTCGACCACCCACCATGGCCTATGTGAAGACGCCAATGCCGGGAAGATATATACCTAATATATACCTAGCCAAAAGCTATGTGCGTGACCTATTCCCATGCATTTGCGAGCGTTGAGCACTGGCTGGGTAGGCAAGAACAGGTATAATATCCCCCTCTCAACGACTCTATTTCAAATCTAAAGAATAGATGCCATGCGGGCATCTCCGTCGCTATTTTGAAACCACAAAGCTGCATCTTCCAGTAACTTGGGACGAGATTCGGCGAGCGACACCCGATTCTGTAGCGACAGCTGGCCATCTTGGACGCCAGCTATTGAAGTCTTGTGTGGGAATTCGGAGGAAACAATCGTTGCGCCTGAATGTAGTCCACCGGTCAGTCTACCGGCTCCCGATTGTTTCAATTGTTCTCTCTTAGTTTGCGGAGACCCGATACGGCCTCTCGGCCAAGTTTTGCCTGGCTCGTAAATGGACGAACGCACAGTCAAATGGAAGCCCCAATATTAGTCCAGAATCTCTCATTTGTGTGATAGCTCCGAATGAGATGAAACTGCTGGTATTATTCATAAGAACTAAAGAACAGGTTAGAAGATGCATAGGAGCGTATATGCATTGAGATAGTTGGAGAGGTAAGATGTAAGAAGGTAAAATCCAATAAACAAAACAATATAACACTATAGTTTCCTATCACTAAATTTAAGTTGACTTATATTTATACGTTTCGGTGAATTCATGGTAAATAAGATAAGCAAGAAAGCCTTTCATCATCTCAACATAAATAATGAATGAAGATTGTCTAGACCCTTGAGGCAGGCTTATTTGCTAGTTGATGAAATAAAGGATAATTCCGTGCGGAGAAGGCGGTAATCGGAACTATCAATCTTCCGGGGCAAGTGCCAAGATATCACGGCCACAGCTCATAGACGTCCCTTCTACTACCAGGTGCCTCATCAATACCCCACAGACTTTACTGCTGTGGGCTTCAGTGTGACAGCTGAAATTTTCACACTGAGGTAGTGGCAACATAGTGTTTATTGTGGCTGCACCCAAGACAGACACATTTCTCTCTTTGAGCTGAACAAGTCTTACATTCTTATCAGCGGAGTCTCTAAATTGGGTGATAATCAGGCTGTTCTCACTGCACTCTCTGTGACATGATTATTGATAAGGTGAGAATTCATATGTGTTTCCCCTAGAACGACAGAGTTTTCCCTTTATAGTTTATTATAATAACAGCCTCCTGGCTATAGTAACTAACCCACCTTCCCCCTAGACATTTATCCATTCTCGTGGCGGCCCATACACTCTCTACTGCTTTAATATGACGGTCTATGCACAATGAAGAATCCCAACATTAATATGGATCAAAACACCACAATGAACCCCCAAGCATCTAGTGCTCAGACTGAACCTCGAAGGAATCCCAACAAGTCTGTTCGTGTTGCCTTCGGTCCGGATCTGGAAACCCATATTCCTCCCCGCGACAAATCCCCTGCTCCCATTGCTTCGCATCACAGATCTTTCACGGCCGTTGAGCGCAAAGCGCCCCCTCTGACCAGTCCCCCGGGCAGACCGACAAGTTCCTCGGGAGGCGAAAACACCGTCATAGTCGATTCCAACATCCGGTTGACTTCTGATCGGGCATCAGATACTGCACGGCCAACATCCACCTTGAAAAGGACCAGAAGTGACTATGGACCCAGGGTTGGTTTCGATAGATCTGCTTTCGGGGATGATGAAGAGGACTTCGCTATGAGACATGGGTGGCAGGAAGAGTATACCTCGAGCGAATACCTCAAAATTCTTCATTCGGTAAGCTGAGCGAAACTGCACTACGATGGTCTGCTCCTTCTGTCGTGTTTTTGACTAACACTGGCACTCTCAGAATTTCTATATGTATTTCACCGAAAAGCGCCACGAGACGAACGGCTTTCCGAGAGATCCCATCGGTAGTTGGCCAAACCAAGACTGGCGTATGAAAGATCGTTTGAAAACAGTCTCCGCTGCTTTGGCTATATGCTTAAATATCGGTGTCGACCCACCTGATGTGGTTAAGACTAATCCAACGGCGAAACTCGAATGCTGGGTCGACCCAACATCTACTACCGGCGGCGGCCAGACGAAGATAATGGAACAGATTGGGAAGAAGCTACAAGAGCAGTATGAAACTCTAAGTCTGAGGACTAGGTACAAACAATACCTTGACCCATCTGTCGACGAGACGAAAAAATTCTGCATATCACTGCGCCGAAATGCCAAGGACGAGAGGGTGCTTTTCCATTACAACGGCCACGGTGTTCCCCTTCCCACTCAATCCGGTGAAATCTGGGTCTTCAACAAGAACTATACCCAGTACATTCCCGTGTCATTATACGATCTGCAATCCTGGCTCGCTGGTCCCAGTCTTTTTGTCTTTGATGTCTCGCATGCAGGGAATATTGTCCAGAACTTCCATAGTTTTGTTGAAAAACATGAGAAAGAAAACGTGGAAGCAAAGAAGCGTGATCCCAATGTTATTGTTCAAAGCTATGGCGATTGCATAATTCTTGCAGCATGCCAGAACAACGAATCTTTACCGACTAACCCAGACCTTCCCGCTGATCTCTTTACTTGTTGTTTAACCACACCCATCGAGATTGCTCTGCGGTTTTTCATCCTCCAAAATCCTCTACAAACAAATATTTCCATCGACGAATTTAGGGTCCCGGGCCGTTTGCAGGACCGCAGAAGCCCGCTTGGAGAATTGAATTGGATTTTCACGGCCATCACTGACACTATTGCATGGAATACGTTACCGCGGGCCCTCTTCAAGAAACTTTTTCGTCAAGATTTGATGGTTGCTGCCCTGTTCAGAAATTTCCTGCTAAGTGATCGGATAATGCGCACTTATAAATGCCACCCAATTTCATCCCCTGAACTTCCAGAGACGCACCATCACCCGCTATGGAAAAGCTGGGATTTGGCCGTTGAAATGGTCCTTTCTCAGCTTCCTGCGCTCATTGATCACGAGGAAGGTCGCAAGCAATATGAGTATCAGCATTCTACTTTTTTTGCCGAGCAGCTGACAGCCTTCGAGGTTTACCTCTCCTCTGGACCGACTGAAAAGAACCCACCGGATCAGCTTCCTATCGTTCTCCAGGTTCTTCTAAGTCAGGCGCACAGACTGAGGGCATTAATTCTCCTCAGTAAGTTCCTCGACTTGGGGCCTTGGGCGGTTCACCTGGCTTTAAGCATTGGTATCTTCCCGTACGTCGTCAAACTTTTACAGTCCGCGGCCCAGGAGCTTAAACCGGTGATGGTCTTCATTTGGGCCAGAATTATGGCCGTAGACCACACTGTCCAAAATGATTTATTGAAGGATAATGGGATCCATTACTTTATTTCTATCCTCAACCCATCTTCGCCAATCCCAGTGGGCAACGCTAGTGAGCATCGAGCCATGTGTGCATTCATTGTGTCGATCTTCTGCAAAAGCTATCCCCAGGGCCAGAATGTGTGTCTCTCCGCCGACCTCTTTGATTCTTGTCTGAGACATTTAATGGACGTTGAGAACCCTCTGCTGCGGCAATGGTCTTGCCTCTGCATTAGTATGCTTTGGTCTGGTTTTCCCGAAGCCAAATGGATGGGGATCCGATGTGCTGCTCCTGCTCGGCTCTGCGAGCTCAATTTCGATCCTGTTCCGGAGGTCCGAGCTGCCATGCTCCATGCACTGACCACATTTTTGGGCATCCCGGATTTGACGGACCAGGTCGCACAGATCGAAGAGTCTTTGGCTATGGCCGTTCTTCCTATGTCATTAGATGGAAGCGTTCTTGTTCGGAAGGAGCTGTTAGTGTTTTTCTCGACTTTCGTCAGACGCTATCAGAATAAATTTTTGGTTGCCGCGTATGAAGAACTCCAGGACGAGAAGCAAAACCTTCTCTCCAAATTGGAACAAGGAGGCTCTCGGGGGCTCTATCTCGACGGGGCTCCGAATGATTCCACGAATGGTCCTTCAGGGTTGAAATCGAAGCCGCAGAATTTGTCTCGCAATACTACGTTTGGTACAATTTGGAAGCAGCTGCTCATACTTTCTGTTGATCCCCACCCTGATATAGCTCAGGATAGCAGCATGATTGTTGATTATATCCATATAGCACTCTTGCGGTCTCCCATGGCCTCGATAACTGACAAGATTCGAAACGAGATCATAGAGTTCTCAAACAGAGTGTCACAGAAGCAGCAGGCTCGAGAGCGACCAGAGTCAAAGGCCTCACCACCCCCGGCCGCCCCTTCCAACGCCCCTCCAAAACAGGAAGGCTATTTATCTTTGAGCCTTAAACGAACTGCCAGTGTCGCTGCCTCACTCAAAAACCTCGCCTTCGGCAGTTCCTCCCAGTCCGAGCCCCAGTCGCCGCGCCCCTTGACATCCCCCAAGAACCGCATGCCTATGACGCCACGAGGACGCGCCCCCCCAGAATGGACGCGGCCGCCAGAAGTGAACGACCAAATTGCTCCTGCTGCGGCGTACCATCAAGCCCCAACCCCTGCGTCCCGTGGGTTCGAACCTAGAGATGCATCCACTCCCCCCACCATCCCCTTGATGAGCAGGTTCCTAGATTGGTCCACAGAGGTAATTCCAGAGTTACTCCATTTGATCTGCGAGCGATACAACGAAGAGTATGAACGTTTTCTTACCAATATTCAGTACTTCCGGGAACCCCAGATGAAGCCCAATGAACCCGACGAACCCGGCAGTGCAGACTACAACGAACGATTGTGGAGACGGAGCCGCAATGAGAAGATCATCACAGAAACCCAACCCCTCAAGGGCAAAGCAGGAACCAGCAAATGGGATAACTCAATGGCCCTCCTCTCTAACAACAGCCAGCCCTTGAAACTGTGCTTCCACCAGTTCGAAGATCATCTTGCTGTTGCAGATGATAGGGACACCATTGCGTAAGTGTGGTAGGTGAATACATGCTGCTTTATTATGCTGACACTATTCTACAGGATTTGGGATTGGCAGAGACACAAGCGCCTGAACTGGTTTTCCAACCGGAATCCACCCGGGTCAAAGATTAACGAAATTCGCTATATCAATGAGGATGATCAGGCACTGCTGATGACTGGTTCTTCCGACGGTGTCCTGAAGGTGTTCCGTAATTACGAATCTTCGAAGGATGTTGAAATTGTGACCGCATTCAGGGCCTTGCCGGAGCTTATTCCGAGTAACCGAAACGCTGGTCTTGTTCTTGACTGGCAACAGGGTCAGGGCAAAGCATTAGTTGCGGGTGATGTGAAGGTGATTCGTGTGTGGAACGCTGCCACTGAAGTCTGTACCAATGTAGGTCTTCGCCGCATTATGTTCTGTTTCCTACCACACAACTTCTGACTTATCCTTTTTGTAGGACATTCCGGCACGATCGGGTTCCTGCATTACTTCCTTGACTTCCGACCAGGTAGCAGGCAATATATTTGTTGCCGGGTTTGGTGATGGTGCCGTCCGAGTATTCGACCAGCGCCTCAAACCTACAAATTCTATGGTTAAGGTATGGCGCGAGCACAAGCAATGGATCACCAACGTCCACATGCAGCGGGGTGGCTTAAGGGAGTTGGTGTCTGGCAGTCGGAATGGAGAGATTAGGCTTTGGGATCTTCGAATGGTTGATCCCATTTCAACCATCTATGCCACTCGTGATACCCTCCGTACATTAAGCATGCATGAACACGCCCCGGTATTCATGGTGTAAGTTCATCCATTCGCGATACCCCTTTCCTACCATCCTACTTGGCCTTCTGATTGACCGGGATAAAAAAAAAACCCTCACAGAGGCACAAACCGTCATGAAGTCAAGACATTCAATGTCCAAGGCGAACATCTGTCGACCTACGAACCTTACTCGAGTTTCCTCCACCACAACCGCTCGTCCCCCATCGCTGGTACTGCATTCCACCCGCATCGGACCTTACTTGCCTGCGCTGCTCTTAATGATAATCACATAAACCTGGTGAATTGCTAGAATTGAGGCCAGTTTTTTTTTTTTTTTTACACTTTCTAATTCGTTAATCACCTTGGTTCCCGTTCTCCCGTTTGTTTAATAAAGCTGTGACATGATTATGGCAGACGTACAATAACAGCAGCACTAACAAGGCGCTTTGGGTCATGACTGGTCTGCTTCTATTCTGTTGTCCTTTCGTCGATATTTATTTTATGAGATATCATATTTTCCTTTCGTTTTGGCGCTGGATGGTGAGCCCTTTAGCACCTTGGCGCTGTGGCCTTTTTTTAATTTTTATTTTTTTGTTCCCCATTGATGGTTGCGTTGTTGTTTGTATACGGATGAATATGCACAATAGCGAACAGGTAGACAGATTTTTTTTAACTGACGTTGTTCAATTAGTGATTTGTATTCAAGATTAATGGATACAACATGTGTCTGGACATATCATTCTGTCTGTCATTTAAAATAACATTTGATGTAGTTTTTCTTGTAGAGATGTTGGGAGAGCAGAGGAGATATCTTAGAAATCTATGAGGTCATAATATAAATTGAAGCTCACATTCTGCAAAGAATTCTTTTTATGGATTGGAGGTGTCTAATGTCATGATTTTTATAGAGGCAAAGATAGAATGAGATTGTTTCCGTTTAGTCTATTTGGTACTTGCTATATTCTACAGATATAATATCCACTAAATATACCATGACTCCAGTTCCCATTGTCCTGGATACTACCATAGGCTTCCTCCATGGATGAGAGACATGCAGCCATTTATTAGAGGAGATGAAACCGTTAATACCTCATAAAACGTAAGCCACTGGTCCCAGTATCAGAATCCGAATCCCAAGGTGGACTGAACCCATTGTGACTCGCATACCAAAAAACAAAAAAAAAAAAAGGTCAACTAACATTGAGTTCTCCCCCATTTTGTATTTGTTTGCCTAGCTCTGTAACATACATCTTGCCTGTTCATCCCGGCTGTGAAGCAAGTAAGCTGATTGCAGTGTTGGCGATTTCCTCCGTGGTGCAAGCGTACCGTTCAGTCTTCAGTACTAAAAATCTGGGGCTTATGAGCTAAGACGGGTTTTGATCTGTCTTCGTGCTCATGCTCGACAGTGTGCGGCCCAAGGGAACCCTCCAATTACCGATAGATGGATCACGGTCAAAATAGCTACGGCGGCCGCAAAAACGTTCCCAGTGGCAAGCTTTTTCTCCGACAAAGTCTGAAAAGTTCGAGGTCTGACCTCCAGTGCCGACGTAAGAGTGTAAATTGACAATGACATTTCCCAAAAGTAAAGTCATTTGCTTCGCGGTCGTGCCATCTGCTCCAGTGAGCCTCTCAACACTCTCAGCGTAATTTTGGGCAATGTCGGTGACCTGCTGCCGAAGGTGCTCCTCTCCTCGGGGGTCTCTATGAAACCACGAGTTTGCGTTGTTGAGCCGTATATTGGTGCCTATTACCAAATATGAAGGTTCGTTCACCATCTGATTCATGACTGGCTTAGGGATTCCAGGGGGAGGTCGTATGATTTTGCCCGCCGCTGTGCTTCGAAGCCCTGTGGGGAGTCGGTCAAGGCTCTCCTTCAATTTACTATTCATATAATCAATAGGGGACTTTCTCTTAAACGGTGGCTGCTCAATGGCTGCAGACTCGCAGAGCGATTTCAGCGTTTCCTTTCCGGAGTCTGATAGATGATCCGCTGGCGATTGCTTGTGTGGATACTTGATATATTCGTCTAGCTTAGCTGAAAGCAAGGCTATTTCTTTAGACTTGTAGTCCAACTCCTGATGCCTGTGCGCTGTAGGGGGCTTAGTTTCCACGAAAGGGTCGGGAAGTGCTGTTTGTCTTATGTGAAATGTGGGGTTTTGGACAACACCATGACACGCGATGGTTTCATCCCGTGCGCCATTCTTATATGGATTGAAGGTGTCAGGAGTCGAAAGCCTTGTACTGGAGGTGTATGATGCCTGTGCATGGTATGAAGGTTGAGCGCAAGAGGCTGACGTCTGTGGCCGGTATTCCCGAGGGTATTTGCTTGCCTCATGGTTCTGCTCTTGAGGAAAGTCTGTCAATGTGGTTCCAGATCGGATAAATGCATAATCTCTGTAACGCTCGTGTTGTGGGTTTACCGCAGACGAGGTCTCGTAGGATCCTGGGTTCCGAGGGCAAGAGGGTTGAAGCCGTAGTGAACCATATGGAGACTGATTATCGGGCCGATCAAAGCTGGCCCTATAAAGGTTAAGCGATGAATCTGAGACGAAGTTACTCTCGGGGATGAGGCTCTGGCGGTACGAATCAGACTGTAGTGCACTGAGGGAAGGCCGTTCGTTCATGTGATGCATGGCTGCTGGCCATGTATTGTGCTCCGATTGGGGATAGTTGTTGTTCTTCAAAAACGGACTTTCAGAAATACAACTGTGCTGCTGAGAGCGGGGTGCATGGAAAGCAGAGCCAAAATCACTGGAGTAGCTCAGAGGATTTTGCTGCTGGTGGCTATTTACACTCCGGTACCAACCCTGCTCGCCAGCTCCATAGATATGCCCCTGTGAATGGAGTCTTGAAGGTGCTGGATCCTCTTCTGGATAGCAGTCCCATCTACTCTCCCCGTTATTCGCATGATGGAGAGCTGGAACGCGAGTGAGAGGTCTATCCTGACCGGCCCCGTAGCCATTTGCGCCAACTTGGGGTTCCTCCAGCTTGTTATCTGTATCCATTTGGGCCAAGAGTGCTTTCACTGCACGACCATTTTTTGACCGTGAGCTTGCTCTAGTGCAGAGTTGACTCAAGGAAATCGGCTTGGACGATGCGAGCTCTCCGAGTCCGTCCATCTCGTCGTTGGCCATAGCAGTTTTATAGGACTTCGATGCGATCATTTGGCTATGGTCCACCAAAGAAGAACTTCTCTTTATCATTGTTGATGCGCTCAGGCTGTTATTGAGGGATAGTGGAGTAGAAAGATACCGTAGTGAAGACCTTCTCTCTCGACGGGAGCCTGTGTGTTGCAAGGACTCGGGTGCTGGACTACCACGAGCTGGTGTTCTTGGAACAGCAATGGACGGGTGATTCTCAGGCTGGGGAATTTCTAGAGTTTGTGGAGACAGGGGACACGGGGTAAGTTGACTGGAAATCCGTTGTGATGCTGAAAGTGACGAAGGGGATTTGTGAGATGACTGGGCGAAAGCAGGACTCGAGGACTAAGAGAAGAAAGGAAACGATTAGAGACGACGACGACGAAGACCATCTGTCTGAGGAAGGCCAACCTGAGGGGAATTTTCCTTCCCTGTCCATTCACTAGGGGAAGTAGCTAAACCGGGCACGACATGGTGAAGCGAGGTCGAGAGACTGGGTGATGGCTGACAACCTAGTGGAGCTCTCCCCGGGTGAATGCTTTCAATGGTCACTGCAGTCTTCTTCTTGCGAGTTCTTTTGCCTGGCGCATGAAAATGGACGTAAGCACGAGAGTATCTCACACTACGGAAGAAGAGCACTCACGGCGACGAGGATATCTTGTCGGCTTCGCCTCATCCGACATCTCAGTGCTGGATAGATATCAAGCCTGGTGGGAGAGAAGCAGGTAGACTGGGGATTCTGGCCACAGGAAGAGAGGGAGGAGGCGTGGGCGACGAACGATGGTGACAAGCAAAACACTCGTCTTCCTCGCACCTTCCTAATTCCACCATGTTCACAGATACCTGAAGCAGCAACATCTAAGTATAGGCCTTCCTACAGAAACTGGAAGGCCTCTTTTAAAGCAGTGCAGTGCAGCGCAGTACAGGGGCAGATCTCGTGGGATTCACAGCTAAAAAGGTTACCTAGATAGCAGTAGGATTAAATATACTTAGGAAGTCAACAATCTGTCCGCCTCGGAATCGCCCTTTAGCCAATCCAACCCAATACAAGCCATTATTAAATAGACACAGGGTACAGTCGAAGCTCTTCAGCAAGCCAGCACCGGCAATCCTTCACCGGCAATCCTTCACCGTTGGTCTCGCTGCGTACCGCTGATAGTATGGCTGAAGTACGACTCCGTACCGGAGCTGCGTCGCTTGCCGTTATGCCCTTGAGATCCTTCGGTATGCTGAGCGGCCCCAAACCGAGTGTTATAGCTGCTGCCTCCCGGTGCATATCCGCCAAAACCCTGAGAACTATAACCCTCAATGTTGGATGTGCCATTGCCTGCGCCGCGCTGAGAACCATAGTCACCGACGTTGGTACTCTTGTTGGATCCGTTGCCAGTATTCGAGCTATTGTCAGTGCGATTTTTGCCTGGGACGTATTATTAGTCGAAAGACGTCGACGAGAATGACAGCACGGAGAATCCATACTCGAATCTTTCGTCACCGCATCTCTGACCTTGTGATAAATCTGAGACATCTTGGAATATAGAGTTGTGGGGCTAGATGGAGAGTGAAGCAACTATATTGTTCTGGAATAAATTATGGGATTTTATCTAACGAGAGGGAGCATGACAGTTCCAAGTTTTAAATAGCAGATGGCTTGGGCCTTGTATAGTACCTATAGAGACAGTCATGACGTGTAGGAGTAAGAATAAGGTCCAGAGAAGGAGAAAGGATGCCTCGCAGCACGTCACCTCGCGGAACCACAGCCAATAAGAGCTGACGTCTCCGGACACCCATGGTTCTTCGAGTCACCATCATAGCTTTTGCTCTGAGTGCGTTCGATTAGGGGGTGGATGGAAAGATCGACAAATGATCGGAACCTGTTCACGGTAGAACATCTCCACGACATTCGTGCAGTTCGCCGATGGATCCGAACTCTGCGTATCTTGAGAAACCGTTGTTTATTCTCAGTGGAGAGCCATTCTAGGTTCGATGGATGATGGATGATGGATGGGCAGATAGAAATAAGGTGTGCCATATGGAAAAGAAGATACTCCTGTCATATCGACCGATTGGTATGGTTTTTACCATCCTCGTACGCAGTCCACCGTGATGATCTCCTCAGTGGATATCAACAGGATCTACGTGAACCAGAGTGGATTGCGAAGTCGCGGAAAGTAAGGTTAACAAAAGGGCAATGATGTCATTGAAGGATGAGGAAGTAGAAGCATCGAGATATGACAATTCAATGCCTGCTGTTTCCATCTAGTCTGATCCCTTATTTCCTACCTGCCTTATTGACCCGGAATACTGTACATACGATGATTACTCGTATATATTCGGTACTGTACAACTGAAGGGTCGATCCCTCCCCAATTTTTTTTTTCACAAAAGAACATCCAAAATACGGTCCGGTGGGGCCAATGACAGCATTATCTGCGGGGACCGACAAAGTTCTGTATTGTACCAGGTATTGTCACCAATTTGTGTATTGTTCGACATTCTGGGAGGGATGGGATTTCTTCGACGGGCATGCGATTTATCTCGAGGACTCTGGAAAATAACCGCTGACTAGGAAGAAAGAAATAAATAAATTACTATGTATATACAGTGGCTATCCTGCAGATCTGGTACGAAATGGAACCAGGAGTTGTTGCCTGATCCACCGATCCCGTGACTCCGAGGCTGAGCAACTCGTTGCTCTGAGGCAAGCGGTGGCTTGGCTTCTGGCGCAACTCCTCCATCTCTCTTTACTTTCCCTCCTTATGACTACTTGATACCCTCCCTTCTTTCTTACCCCGTCTTTGACGGTATTCGTACTCCCTGCATTAGTTTTCTTTTTGTTTTCTTTGTCTCTACCCTAGATACCCTCTCCATGAGTACTCTTGTCAACTCCCCTTTCACGGCCGTGTGATTGGTCATAAACACCTGACTTGTGGAAGTCTTCTTCATTCTTCGACTTGTCGCTTCGGCGGGCCAACGTTGTGACTCCTTGCAAGAGTAATTCAGCCGAACAGCGTTAATGATGCGATTCTCACGCCTAATCTCGGTTATTTTTTGTTTCGTCTTTTTCCCCATCTTTGTCACCTTCCTTTCGGCTCTGACATCATCCCCGACCCTGACGACTCCCAGTTCGTTCGCTGGCCGAGCGACTGGCCTACATGCCTTCTTCTCCTTCAATGTCCCTTCGTCACTCTTCCCTCCCTCCGCCGTCATCAGTCTCACTGATGACAACTCCACCTTCTTCTTGGCTAGACCTGCAGCGTTTGGTCCTCTACTGCCTGAAAAGGGCCTGAGCGGCCAACTATGGGTCGGCAGTGGTTTTGGTGAAAGGACCGCCGCGGGGGCGGAAGGAGAACTAGGCTGTTCGGATATTCCTGGCTGGGGCGAGGGGGAAACCCATCATCACAAGCATGACAAGACCGCAACAATTGCCGATGGCAAGATGGGGAAAACGATTCCTGGCACGGGGTCTGATCTCGTGACCCCTCCACCCAACGCTCAGCAGGAGTCCGATTCGCAGCAAGATACTAGCGATGACTCTTCTCCTGCAACAAATGATGGCACGGATGATCACCTTCACCACCCTCTTTCGGAGTCCCATGCGGTGGACGCGACTGCGTCGAAGCAGCAAAGGGGCAACCACCAAACCAGACAAACGGCGCACGCCGATATCCAGTCTCTGCAGGAAAGTGCAGAGATTAGCGGCAAAGTTGTCCTGCTGAGCAGGGGCGGCTGTGGTTTCTTGGAAAAGGTTAAATGGGTGCAACGCCGCGGTGGTATTGCTTTGGTCGTGGGGGATGACACCAGGGGAGGCAGTCTCGTTACTATGTATGCGCGAGGAGATACATCGAACGTGACAATCCCCGCTTTGTTTACCTCGCACACAACAGCGCAGCTGCTATCGTCCCTTGTTCCCTCGCAGGCCGGGGAAGATTCGATCCTCGAGGACGGCCCTGGCGTATCCCGCCCACGGCTTAACAGCCACAGAACTGAAAAACAACGATTGGAACCCACCGCCACTACGACTGCTGCCATGTCGCCAACATCTACTTCCTATCCCGTATCCGAAGAGTCCCTGGTTCCGGAAGTCCATCAAGCAGGGCTCTTCCACAGCCTACTTTCTTTGTTTGGATTGGGAAGGACTGCCCATTCTGGACATCTGTCAGAGGACAACCGGCGTCCTCCAAGTAGTGGAAATATTAACTGGATCATGCTGGACAATTGGGACGATCAAGAGGCGCCTCGGGAAGACTCTGACCGTAGGAATAGCCGGACAGGGACATCGGAAGACCACAAGAGGTCTGGGGTTGAATCAGACACTGTGGATGGGGATGGATTTGTTATTGGGGTGCAAGATTGGCGAGATCCCGATCTTGTGGCTCCGAGGAGCAGCGCCATTGTTTCGCCCAGCAGTGTTCCGGAACGCACGAAGTTCCGTACTGCTACCACTGAAAGAGGCTCACGTTTCATGAAGGGTGGTAGCATTACACCCGGTAGTGGCGAGTACCGTACCTTCGAACGACCAAATGCTGAAGAAAAGGGTTCTAATGCTCTTGACAACTTGAAATCAGATGTTGATGCCAAAAAGGGGACCCTAGTGCAGAGCAGGGGCTGGTTTGCGAGACATTTCCCCTGGACGAAAGATGAGAAGTTGAACTCTGGCCGACTTTCTACGCGTAACGTCCAAGGAGAACGAGAAGTCCGTGATACAGCGCTTCCGCAAGGCCGTGAAGGCGTCAAGACCTCAGAGCACGAGGGTTTATGGATTACACTGACGCCAACGAGCATGTCTACGAGTCCATTTTTCGACACCCTCCTCGTCCTTGTCGTCAGTCCGCTGCTGACGTTGATGATTGTTTATGCCCTTTTGTTACTGCGATCTCGCATTCGGCGAAGGCGCTGGCGAGCACCGAAATCTCTCGTTGATCGCCTTCCTGTAAGAACGTATCACACCATCAGCACATCTAGCTCCAATGCGAGTTCGCCGCGGTCTTCAAGTCCTGGTCCTGTTTCTCCAACTTCTCCTCTGTTGGGCACCGATACTCACTCAAAAGGTGCAAGGGGGAGACGTCAGTCTAAAGGGTTATTAGGTACTTTTGCAGATTCGAAAGACTCCTCCAAGACAGAGTCGTCCCGCAGAGAAAAACATGGCACGTCATCTACGCTGTGGCGACGCAAGTATACTGGACGGCAAGTTGAATGTGTGGTTTGCCTTGAGGAATACATCGACGGACAGAGTAGGGTGATGAGTTTGCCCTGTGGGCATGAGTTCCATGCCGAATGCATGTAAGTTGACTCCACGAGTAACTCCCATCTACACCTCTGGTTGCTAACGACTTCGAAGTACTCCGTGGCTTACGACTCGCCGACGAACCTGTCCCATTTGCAAAGGAGATGTCGTCCGATCCTTGTCCCAGAATAAAGCAACTGAGCAAATAAACGACAATGGGCATGGCCATGAACTCGGATTCCAGCATGGCGCGTCATCTGCACCGGTCCCGATAACCGCTGTCAGCGAAGATGAGATGTCGGACCCCGAGCGCCGTCCTGGGTCCGACTTTGAGCCTGCCGATGAACATGCTTCGTCAGCACCAACACCCAATTGGAGGAACTATGCAGCACTTAGTTTCTCGGCTCTTTCTGGGGATACAATTTGGCACCCGGGTCGGACGGACAACGAGAGATAGATTTTTCGGTCTTTTTTTTTTTTTTTTTTTTTTTGTGAGACTCTCCTCTGTTGCTGTGTTTTAGGGCATGGGTTATTATGTGCTTTTCCTGTTTCACTGTATTTGAAAATGGCCTGCATTAGCGAACTTTTGAGAGTGCTACATACATATAACTTGGGTGGCGTTTGGTGGAATGCGGGAGTGCGGGCGCTGTGTATGACAGGTGAAGTACTTTGGCTATGCAAGGCTGGATTGAGTCTAGTGGTTATTCAGACGGCATTTAATATAGTACATCTTGTATTCTTCTTTTCTTTTTCAGTACTCCGTAAGTATTTCCACTTCTAGACGGTGCATTTCCATACCATGTGTGATGACGTCACTACCGTGGCCCATGCAGTAGTGACTCCAGAGCAGCTTTCCTTCAGCAATCCAATTCTCTACAGCAACGAGGTATCCCATCCACCATGGCCAGCGCAATAATGGAGACTATCCATGAGGAAATCAAGAAATTCCAAGCTGTTGTCAAAGATGTCGCCAAAACAGGCACCTGGCTTTATCCTTTCAAGGTGAATAATATCCCACTCTGACCCAGGATACCTTCACTGATAACCAAATCGCAACAGGGTCTAATCTATCTCTCCTATCACCAATCCCTCTGGCGTCCCTTCCTCTCCCGCACCTGGCAAACAATCACTCTCGGCATCGGTATCACAGCCGGCATGTTCTTCTTCACCTACATCCCACAAGCTACCATCCTCACTCTCACCAGCGGACCCTTTGGTCCGATCTCCGCCATTCTCCTCATCATCAGCGAAAGCGCCACCCTGACCACTTCTGTCGCACGGATGTTTTCCCTCCGTGATGCCCTAACCGATACCTTCGACGCCACGCTCGTCACCCGCGGCATGGAGCCCCTCGTGTCTGAAGGACGACATGTCCTACCCGCCAGCACTGGAAGGGACGCCGTCGCCCGACTCGGGAAGATGTTGAAACAGCCGTTAGAGAGATTGAATCCCCGCGCGGTGCTCAGGTCGTTCCTCCTCTTGCCGTTGAATCTGATCCCCGTCGTTGGAACGCTCATGTTTGTGTTTTTGCGTGGGGAGGAGATAGGCCCGCTCATTCATACGAGGTATTTTCAGTTGAAGGGGTGGAATGTTAATCAGAGGGATCAGTGGGTGGAGAAGAATAGGGCTGCTTATACTGGGTGGGTTTTCCTTTATATATATCGCTCTCGCTCTGCTCTCTCTTCCCTTTTATTTTATATTCTATGACAGTAGTACTAATGGTATAGATTTGGAATCACCTCTGTGGCATTCGAAATGGTACCGTTCTTGTCCCTGCCACTTGCATTTAGTAATACTGTTGGGGCAGCATTGTGGGCGGCGGATCTGGAGAAGGAACAGCGTTTGCGATCTACGTAGTTATGGATTTTATAATCCATCCATCTATCTATGTCTCTATCTATGTCTATATCTTTATATTCTACTTGAATTATTAATTATTTAAAGACCTGGGGTATGGGCTATACTAACATCTGACGGCTTTAATCCATTCATGCATATGAATAGAACATGAAGTCATTCCACATCCACTGTCCTATTCACTTCCTATGTCTATGTCTAGATTCAGGTCGCTATGGTCCAGTCTATAGGAGCTGACTTCACTTCACATTGGGGTTTATAAATCTATAAGGATATAGACCTGCTAATGTAGTAGGTTCGTAAACGGTACTGGGCCGGAATGTATCTAATCAGATGGCTAGGCATGAAGTATAGAGTATAGAGTATAGATTAGATGAGCAATGTGGCTTCAATATTGACCTGTAAAGTAGATGAGCTGATCATGTGAATGAGCCTTGGTAAATTAATAGATATGTCTATATGTATGTACTACTCATACAAATCTAAATACAGCCAACCGAATAGCATAGCAATATATACCCACTAAGAAGAAAACACACCCATCAACCACTCACAGAGGAATGCGAGTCTGATCAGGCACGCAGGCCCAGCTGCATCCTAATCGTCGGAAAGGTAGAGGACGGAGACTCTCGCCCGGACACCGCGGCCCTTTGAGTCCGTTCTCGTACGTACTGCAGTCCCACCATTCGATCCACTCGGTACGAGCGATCACGAAGCTCCGATGGCATACCGTGCAGGATCGCCCGCCGCCATCCCGGACCTCCTTAGCCTGGCGGAGTAGCCGGAGGATTAGTCCCGGATATTCTGCCATTTCCGAGTCTGGAATCTGATCGAAAAAGGGTGACTTGTTACAAGCAAGAAGTGACAGTTCCCGGAGGGAAGGCACTCGAGACTCGTGCTCGGATGGTTTGCTGATGTACATGCTGCTGGCTTGGCCCTCCGTGACAGGGAACCCCTCTACATTAAATCGACGGACGGGCCCTGTGGCAACGTGGATTGGCGCCCAGGCTTCTTCTGGTGTGGGTCCTTCATACTCGCAGAGGGTCAAGGATGCTTCGGGAGAAGGACGATAAGTACCCTCAGGCATATGCCATTGGGCGATATCTGCATCCTCAGTCTGCAAGAGAGGATTAGGCCGGACCGTCAAGTGCTTCAAGTCGCCCTTTTTAATCAGCCACAGCAGCTCCCAGGGAAGACACTGCAAACGATTGACCGAAAGGTTGACTTCTTGCAACATGGTCAACTTCCGTATCGCTGGTGGGATCCCCGTGAGTTTATTATTCCGTAGGCTAAGCACTCGAAGGGAATCCAGCTCGAATAACTCGCCAGAAACGGTTGACAGGGAGTTTCCCGCCAGAAATAAACGCAGAAAAGGTTCGAGGGAGCTGTAAACGTCCTCCGTAATAGGGGGCTCTTTCACAGAAGGCAGCTTTGTAAGATGTTGCAATGGCCGCAGCAGACCCGAGGGGATAACCCTCAAATGACCATTACTACGAAGGTTAGCTAGTCATACAAGAGAGGATTATATTCTGTAGCAGAGTAACCTACCTCAAGTCGACACTATCCTGGCCCTTTTCTAGACAATCATTGATGATGGTCCGCGCTAATTGATGCTCCTTGGGCTCCTCCGTCTTTCGGAAAACTACCCTTTGCTGCGTTGTTGTATAACTTTGCGGCTTGGACTTCCATAACAACATATCCATGCCGCGCACTACGGTGTTCCTCGTGTCTTGCAGCAAATCCTCGCCCCAGGTCGACGCATCCTCTGGAGGCAACAGCGATTCGGCACTGGACTCATCACTACCCATCCACACACCACTGTCCACCAAACGCTTGTCCTTGAAATCAGCCCTCTTTCGTTTCGGATCCTTCACCATCTCCCCCCACCACGTGCCCCGATACCGTCTTTTCCGACTGACCGAGGATACCGGGGCATTATAATTCTCCAGGCCAGACGCGGGGACATCGTCACTAGAGAAGAGTGCGGGGTCACTAGAAGGTTGACTAGAACGATCATCAAACCGCGAAAGCTGGTACGTCTTGCGAACTGAGGACGAAGCGGGTTGTGCATTGACTGGGGAACGATGGCGGATGCGTGGCGGCGGTGGCAGAGGGACCTCGTTCTCCATGGTGTAATGTCACTGGTTTTCCAGTAATGAACAGAATCCCGTCAACGACAACCAGGAGTCGATAAGTGGGAAAATATCCTCGGTGGATTGTGGTTGGAAGCGAGAATAGGAGGGGAAGATGCGTGTTGGTGGGGAAGGGAAATAGTTCGCGGCTGTCAACAGCTGCAAAAGTACGACGCGGCGAACGGATCACATCACCGGAGACTGATCAGACGCATGTTGGAAAGAGTGGAGAACAAGCTTGTCTGTCTACTGGGGAGAGCTTGAGATCGATGAAAGAAGTCGGAGACTCGACTCACTCGACTGACTGTTTACCCGAAACAGGCGCGTTCACGTGTCCCAGCCAATCAGCGGTCGCACTGATAACGGAACTGCCGAATAGGGCATCGCCGACCTTTTTACTGATAAAAAAAATTTACAAGAGACCTAAAAAAGAAAAGAATAGGAATGAAAATGAAAAAAGTAGAATAGAGGCACAGCGATAGAAAACTTTTTATATAATGAACCATTGTGCTTCTCAGAGCATCCTGGCTAGCATTGCCAGCAATGATCATGGATACACAACAAAAACTGTTAACTCGTGACTGCTGCAGCATCATCACAGGGGTATATAAATGGTAGAAACATCCGTAGGACATGGCACCTCCTCTCAAACTCTCGAACATCGAGAATCCCCGAGGAAGTAAAGGAAGGGAAAAGCGGAAGCAAAGAAAAGCGTACATTGACAAAGGAATCGAATCGAGGAGCCTTCGTCATATGAGGACTTCCATCAGTGAAGTCGATAGTGAAGTGAATATTCATGGAGGCCGTCCAGCAGCGGCAGAGAGACGGCTCTGTTACCAGTAGCCCAGTACAAGAGCCAACGAGCCAGCAACAAGAGCCGCAGGCATGCCAGAATCTCCAGTGCGGCCTGCCCCCGAGTGCGGGGTTCCAGAAGCGGACGAACTGGTCGACGCGGTCGAAGTCGAGGAAGCGCTGGCAGAGTGCAGCGGAGTGCTCGAGACAAATCCACTTCTAAAGGGAGCAGTTGCACTAGCAGGGATGACAGAAGAATGGATCGTGGTTGAGGCCGGCTCGTCCCCTGCTGAAGTCACAGTGCTGACTCGGACCAGCGTTTTAGTGATAGTATTTGTCAACGTCGAGGTGGAGGTCTCTGCGGTGACAAGCTGACTCGCAGCCAGGCAGAGAATTGATGAAGCAAGAGCACCAAACTTCATGTTGACAGCACTGCAAGTAGATATAGGATGTAGGAAGTATAAGAAGTATCGACAGCGAAGGAGGAACCCCTCGAAGAATCAGAAGAGAATGAGTCAATATGGACAACGAGAATGAACGATGGAGGGATCGGATACACCGCTGTGACGGCGAACAGGTGCAATAGTTTATCGCGAAGTCGCAAAACCGTAAAGAGTGACTTGACTGACTAGCGTATTCGTTCGAAGGAGGCGCAAAGGAGTGAGCGTCTCGCGACAGGAAGGGCAGGCAGGGTAGTAATAAAGAACGTGGGAGGGCAGTGTGTTGCTCCAGACAAAGGAAGTGGGAATGTGACAGGGACCCAGGGTGACAGCAATGCGACACAGAATGTGCGACAAGGAGGCGCCGGGCTAAATAGGAACTAGAAAAATGTCAACACGAGAGAAGGTGGATCTCCTTCGGACGCATTCCCTCAATCACATCCCTTCCAACATGCCCGAGAAATCTCCTCGTCCAATCGCAAGGGGTTTCCCTGGCCCATGAGTTCGTGTGGCGATTGGACCAGATGGAATGTCTGTCAAGAGCTGGCATCCGATTGTACGTCAGCGGTCAAGTATACGAGGCGCACGTAAACAAGTCAGTCACCAGCAATCCTGCCCAACCACAGTGCATGGCTGGATTGGAAACTGGTCAGGAACCAACTCAGAGGGGACTGAGCTGGCATCGATGGTGGTGGTTCCGGATCGCCGATCTCTTTGTTAGTGGCCGATGGATCAGTTTAACTTCGGTTCCTGAATTAATCAAGCACGCCTTTGTTAGGCGATCCACTAGTGGTAAGACTATCTTAACTCAGTCTTTCACTCCAAACAGGGCTGAAGTCTGAGAATATTCATTCTTCTTTGGCTCTTTGCGTGCTGTTGATGGTGGGTCTGTTGCTTTGTCTCTGGAGGGTTTCACCCTAATTTCACAATTCCAGCCCTGGATGATCCCTGGAATTGCAGAGTTAAATTAGTAAACAAAACATTCATGCTTCACTAGTAAACTTACTAAAATAATTCCCCGCATAAGTCAGGTGAAATTTTTTATTTTTTATTTTTTTTTTACCTCTGAAGTGAGACGAACTAGTCCATGTAAGGATTGAGTAAAACCATCAAAGAGCGTTGCGAAGGATGGTTGCTACGCAAATGCGACATCTTTTGTGTCAGCGGTTCTCCGACTTGATTTTCAGTCAGGGACTCAGTCACCTGACATCCAATGCTTTTGGACTCTTAACGGACTTCCCAAGAGCAATTGACCATATACAGTGCTGGTTCTGGTAATCCAGCATATTCAGGCAGATGCTCAATGAATGGATAATAGGTTATACTAGGCCAACGGCGTAACTTAGTTCAGACTTACACAGCCAGTGGTCACCCTTCGCACTTTCAAGGTTGAAAGGGCGTTAGGATAACATCTCAAGATAGGCGCGAAGCGTGAGAAGTCAGTGTTAATTCTCATATGTCCACCGTCCAGCCCTACTATCCCCACTCTCGTTTTACAAATGGAAATGGGCGCTAAAAAATCTAGCACGCTGCAATTTCCTGCGCCATGGAATTAGCCATGCCGTCCACTGAGGTCGAATTACTTTAGGCAGAAGTTAAAAAAATAGGGTCAAGTTTTCTTTCGACAGCTGACTCGAGGCAAGACTATTGGGTATCTTACTATCGAACCAAGTCTCTACAATGCAGAAGATGTGTTTCGGTCCATCCCTAGCGGCCCTTTTTCCTAATTCCCCGAGGCGGACTGATTGCCAGAGACGCAATGACTGGTTAGCAGAGTGGAATTCAATTCCCCGACGTTAAGAGCCTGTGGCATGAGTCCCGTATCGATTACTTCGAGCAAACCGTAGAAGAGAAGCTCCAAGCGGGGGCCTACTGGGTCAAGTGTTCGAGATTTGAGACTGCAGCCGTCGCCAAAATCTGCCGAAATCGCTGGTTTTGACTGGGAGATCCAATAACTACATTGACGGCGAGACAGCAGTGTACCGATGGATTGAAGGCCGCAGCCTTGGCCCCTGCCTTCTAGACCGGCCATGGAAGGGTCATTGGGCTCTTAGAGGAGCGCACCGTCGGCGTACAATGTGCAAGCCCTCAAGATCTAGAGACTTGTCGATGTCTCGACTTTGCGGGTTGTATATCCGACTTGGAGATACCAATGGTTTCAACTTTTCATCCGCGGTTCCGCGGTCGCCGTTTCGACTTTGACAAGCAGAAATGTACTGAACTAACTATACTTTGAAACGAACTTTACGATCTATCGGGTTCTCTAGTTAACTACAAGATCTGTCCATGAAAGGTGGTGTAGTATGGATTTGAAGTGCACGGGCTTAGTCTGGATACTAGATTTGTCTTGCGCGCTATGATGGCAGACTAACGCTGAACCCACTATAATATAAGCACTCTTATTTGAGTGAAGTCACTGTTATACCATTAATTGACCCCCTGTCAGATTAAAGTACTGGCTGTATATGACTTCTCTATGGACGGTGGGGGCTCCTGTCGAATGGACACTAAGCACCTCCACCTAGAAAGTGAGATTTTACCGATTTGACTCCCCGGTCTTCCGAATTGAAACCAAAAACAATGCACAAAGCATTCACTTGCCTTTTATTATCAGTCCGTTATATATGCACGCTCAATAGCGTCGGGGTTCTCTTACGTCTTATTTTCATTAGTTCATGATCATCCTTCATTAAATGATTAGCCTTGTTAAAACGCCATATGGCGTCACATAAACGGACTATAACAACCACGAGTCCGTTCCAACGCTTAAATTATATGTACATAATATAAAGCCCTCCACGGTCCTAATATCCCAGCTCCTCACTAGGTCGGACCATCTCTCCTATTACCTATCAGGCGTCTGTGTGAAGATACCAGCCGAGATAGATACTATTGTACAAATGACCTGTCACAGTGCAACGGCTGCTCGTAGTGTACAAGGTCAAACATCAACCATCTATTCGCGGACGGGTCGCAGAGGGCTCTGGCGAGGAAGCATCATCGGTGGTCCCCGAGCGCGGAGCCAGGCATCGTTATGAGGTCCTTCGGTACGGATGACGCTGCCAATAGACATGAAGAGACTACTTGCATTAGGCAAATCCAAGAAGACAAAGGAGAATTTCAAACATTCGCAGAAAAAAAAAAAAAAAAAAGAAGAAAGGTCGCAAAACATACCCAAAAGTCGCGCCAGATCCCAGCATGTATTTACCCAGGGTTCGCATAACGCCGTTAGGTCCAGCGCCATACTGGAAGATGGTGACGGTGCCTAACTTCTATGAGCAAACGATGAGAGGCATATATGACGCTGCAAGGCAACCGACCAATAATGAATCCCATAATACCACCCACGGCTGAAAGCATCAGAGAAAAAAATATAGTTAGAAAATTTCCTGCAATACTGAGAAGCTTTGATGTCACGTACTCGATCCCATCATAGCACCCATCTTCACTAGGGGAGAGTCAGCCAATTTGCCCATGCATATCGGGATAGGTTTGGGAATATCGGGGATCGCAGATTGTGAGCGATGTTGCCTTTACCCCATTAAACGCCACAAGCCAGTCCCGGGGAACTTACTCTTGTCAAAGGTAGAGGGGCCATGCCCTTGGGGAGGAGCTGCAACAACTGGCATGTTGAGAAGCAAAGAAAAATGCTTAGAATGTCTTCAACGAGTACAGTCGAGAACAATAATGAATTGTCTCTGAAGGTGGGGACCAGCAGAGGACTGCTATTCTTATCTCCGTCTTCAACGGACTCTTTAACAGGTAGCAGCCAAGCTCCGGCGCTTTGGTGTATCGAACGGTCAAAGGCCCGACGCTATTCCGAGGACAGGCACGTGACACAACCTGTCCGTTCAGGACTGGATCATTACGTAATGATTCTCACACACGTATGGGCTCACGTGAGTGTGAGCCTGAGGCGTTAGGGAGTGAGCTGATCCTCTTTCCCGCCTGCAGTGGCCACCATGCGATTGTGACCCCGAAACAGTTGACTCTTGAGTGCGATTACTATTCTGGCGGCTTACAAGCCCGTGCAAGGGGGTAAGGCCATCTCTTGCTTCACTTTTCCCTTGGTCTACGGACAGAGAGCCTGCCGGTCGCCAGGTATTCGGGTTGGGTCTGCGTGTCTCCTTGATGTGAACTGCGCCCCATTCATCATATCTACCATCCATATTATTTTGATCATCTGCATTTGTGCATCTGGGGTATGTCTGCTGTTGTTCTACCCGTATCCTGCGATGGGGACCATCTACTGTTGTCGTACCTTCGTCCAGGCGAGGTTGGCTGTTTATCTTGTAGGAACGGGATAAAGCTAACGTGACCTTCCGCAACAGTCGACTAAATCAAGGAAAAGTGTGTTTGGCGCGCCAAACGCTACACATTGCGCGCTCTCCTACGAACGGTCCCAATAAGAGTCTCAGGTGTGATTAATTGGCGATTATATATTATTTTATACATTTGGACGCGCTGTTCATTGGCAGGTTAATTCGCCTTGCGCCTGCCTGATGCGATAGAAGGTGCCCTGGAACACCAGTCATCCATACATACTATTTCCGGCATCCTTCTCGATGACTGCTGTGGCATCACCACCTAGTGTGCAATCGGGGCCTCGCTTGGGATGGTACGACTCTGGTAACGGAGGACAAGGTACCCTGTCTTCAATGAACGCGGACGAGGTTTCGCGGATGTTTATGCCCCGAAAGACCGTTCAAAGATCAAGTTCCTCCTCATCCTTGGGATCTACGTCAACAACGTCGACAGTGACCACCAATTCGCAGAATACTAATGCAGCACAATCGTCGAACGCTGAATCTGCTACCTGGTCATCAAAGAAGAAATCTTCGAGAAGCGTCTGGCCTAACTCCAAGTCAGAGCCAGTGTCTGGGGTGCCTAACGCACGTCCTCAGGTGATGCCTGCCTTCACCTCGGGGCCCGTTTCCGCATCTACTATGTCTGCGTTGCAACAGCCTTCCTCCATTGTTCCATCGCAACATATGCTCCAGTCTTCTCAACAGAATGGTGTCCGCACTGGGAGCGCGCCAGCTGGTGAACCACCTGCAATTTTAACTCTTATACCCCTTAATGGGACATTTGAAAGGAAGCAGATCAATGTGCCGTACTTCCCCGAGGTGCTGCGAATTGGTCGCCAAACCAATGCGAAAACCGTGCCTACGCCGGTAAATGGGTTTTTCGATTCGAAGGTGCTTTCCCGACAGCATGCTGAAATATGGGCCGATAAGAGCGGGAAGATTTGGATCCGAGACGTGAAGTCATCAAATGGCACATTTGTCAATAACCATCGACTATCCCTGGAAAACCGCGAGTCGGACCCTCATGAACTCCGCGAAAACGACACGCTGGAATTGGGTATTGACATCGTCAGTGAAGATCAGAAGACCATTGTTCACCACAAGGTCTCGGCTAAGGTGGAGCATGCGGGGGTCTATGGCTCCATTCCTAATATCCTTGATCTCACACTTGGTGACCTGGATCCCGCATCTGGAGGAGGGCTTCTGCCCTCTCCGCTCAGTCAGCCACTGTCACATCTCCGAGGGCGCTCAGGGAGTACGATGAGCAATAGAAGTGTACAGAGTTCTGCTAGCAGCCAATTTAATGCATTACAACAACAGCGTCAGATGAACTATTGGAACTCTCCGATATCTATTGAGCAAGTCGTCAAAAGACTTACGGTATGCAGATCCCCATGCCCACTCTAAATCGTCGCCCGCTAATTCCCTCTCAGGGCGAAATGAAACAGGCAAAACAGCAGTCCCAGGAACTTCGCCAGACAGATGAGTTCTTAGCAACAATAATGAAGCCCGGTCATATAGAGAAAGAGAAAGTCAAGCATTCCCCACCAGAGAGCACTTCTTCTCGACAGATGAATGGGAGACCAAAGATGCCGCGTGTGGATTCGTTTTCGCGGTTCTCTGACCCTCCGGCACCGCCTCCTCAGCAGCCGTTGCCCGAAAAACCGGATGCCATGTCTCCCCTCAAGCGAACAGAGACCGAGAAGCCGAAGCTGGGAGCCGGCAGCTCACCTGTCTCCCGTGACTCGAGCCAGATCATATCCCTTATCGAGACTCTTGCCTCTACCAAAAAAGAACTTGACAGCCAGGGTGCGCGGGTGAAAGAGCTAGAAACATTGTTGCTCCAGGAACGCAATGCTCGCGAGTCTGCGGAAGAGAGGGCCAGAAGCCTCGAAATGCGAAACAAGGATACTGCAGAAGCAACCAGTGTGCTCTCATCTGATAAGCAATTTGATGGCACTCCGCTCACCTCGACGGATGAAGATAACGATGAGAAGCTTCAAGCCAATGGCATACCAGCTGCATCCAGCAATGATGATCATCCAGCAGTCAACGAGCTGGCCGACGACCATGCCAGTAGGTTGCAACATCGCCTGGAGTCGATGATGGCGGAGATGGAAGAGATGAGAAAGCAAGTTTCTATGTTCAAGGACCGTGCGGAGAAGGCGGAAAGTGAGACAGTTGAGACGCGGAAATCTTTGGGAGAGATGATCGAGACTCTACGACAAGGACGCACAGAGCATGCTCCCGGGGGCAAGTCAGTACGTCTGGGAGAAAATTCCACTGATGCACCTGAGACTTCATCAGTCAAGAATGAGGAGGATGGTCCTGAAATGAAGGACCATGACACGCAAGCAGAGACTCCTTTGTCATCAACGCCATTGTATAAAGGCATTGGATCTACGGGGCAAACCTTTGCTACGCAAACACATAAGCAGGATGCCCTGCAGCACTCAAGTCCATACGCGTCGATGCTCGGGGTTGTGCTACTAGGTGTAGGCTTAATGGCCTACTTGAACGGGTGGCAAAAGATTGACAAATAATGATTCTTCCGTTCAAATGTCGCCGTTCAAGTAATTGGGCTCAGCAGCGTCTTTTGATAGGACGCTTTTTTTGCCTCTATCTAACTACCTCCAATCCTTCTTTTTTCCTTTTTTACCAATTTTTTTGGTTTCTATTGCTGGTATTCCGGCAAGTTGCCCAAGCTAAGAGTATTTACTGGATTTTGGGGATCCTCTGTTTATTGTGTCCTGGTTCCTTATCTTCGCAGCTATGAGTTTGCATATGCTGCCTGACTTTCCCTCGTTCTTTTCCTCTTTTTTATCAGATATCATTCTTCACAGATGCCATGTTGTTCCAGTTACGATTTTCTGGCAGCAGAAGTCTTTCTTTTCTCCATGTTTATGTCTCTTTCTCATTGGCAGATCAGGTCATGTAGGGCTCGCCCGCCTTTGTGTATTAGTCTTATCATAGCAGCATCACTTCCTTGGCAGTTCTAAAGCGATGATGAATGCCTATTTCCATGGCTTTCTTGTGAACACTGATGACGATTATCAATCTGGGACGTTCCTGGAGCTTATACCCTACGCTTCGAAGCCGCCGGTAACGGGAGATAAATAAGAGGAAATGGAGGAGATACCAAGGTTGATGACAAGTGAATAGTCAACATACGATTCCAATTGCCTGTTTTTGTGGTTTGACCTGTTATTTTTCAAGTGTGCTTTGCATATGTACATATTCGAATAAGCACTAGGGCACATATTCCAAAAGATATGGAATATGCAGTTCATATCTTCCTCGTTCTTATAAGTCCTAGTGGGAGAGAATTTTTGATATTTCTATCAACCGGAGTTCTCGTTCTTTTAAAGATACTGGTAAAATGTTCTTTTGCGTTACTAATCTATCTGTTATAATAGTTTTAAATGTCCAAAGCCGGTCCTGGTGGGCAATACCTTTGATTACCAATAAAGCTTGTGTACGACAGCTCTTGCGCTATACAGGCCATGGTAGCGCATAATTGTTGATCTGGCTAATCCTCAGGATAATTATGGAGATGATTTCGGCCTTCCAATCCCGAGTATTTCCTGGATTCTTTTGTGAATGCGAGACAGGACCAGAAAGACTCGCAGTGGTCATGTTAATGCACAATGGCGCATAGAGTCGGCCGATGATTTGTTTAGAAAGTCCACGGCAAGAGATATATTGAGACCACCGCGTGAGAATTCTTCCAGTCACAGGGTGTGCGTCCTGCTGCACCAGAGAAATAAAGCAGCCGCACTCGCTATCCTCAGCAAGCTAGGCGGACGGTCTGCAATGTGTCGAAGAGTCGCTGACACCGGAGGCACCAATACCTACCGCGAGTATGCACTAAGTACTGAGTTTTGTTAACTCTAAGCATCCCCAGATTTTCCTCTTCACTTTTCATTTTAGAGCAACCGCGATCTCAACCATATTGACCCATCGAGTGCGCGTCTCCGGCAATTCCGAATCATCAATCGAAGCCGCCGCATTTGCAGCACGCTTTCGTTTTTTTGTCGCAGACTTCGAGATCTTCTTTCCATCTGCATCTGCATCTGCATCTGGCTGCGCGTGCAGCTCCGCACGCAATTTCTCCGCCTCCTCTAGAACCTTCTTCTTCTCCTCTTCATCTTCCACCACATCATCCACAACAAGTACATTTCCCGTCTTCACACGAACCACGTACTCATCGCTTCTCTCTTCGAACCACCGTCCCACACTCAGCGCCTTCTCCATCGCTCGTCCCGTGGCCTTCACGAAGACTTCTTCCCGACTCAATTGCTCCCCTGCACGCGCAAGCTGCGCCAACCGCTGCTGGTCTCGCTGTCTGCTGTTCTTCGACGGATGCAGCACGGACGCGGTGGCGCGTTTCTCTGCCTGTCGAAGGAGTTTCTGTACGCGTTTCACAGAGCTCATGAAGGGGGACTTAGTCGAGACGTACACGGTTTTCGGTACCGAGGATCCGGCGTAGGGTGATGCGATGGGAGCGTGTGGGATGGGGCGTTTTTGGACGCGGGCGTCTACATTATAAACATGTTATTTTTGATTTTTTTTTGTTTTAATAAAATAAGGAAAGAAAAAACAAAAAAGTTTATTTGTCTTCATTGAAACTAGAAAGGGGGGAAGCCTACATTTAGGCAGTTTGATCATGTCTTTGTTCTTTTTCTCGAACTCGAGACCTTGGAGAGGGTCCTTGGTCGGCTTGGTATCTTTGGCCATGGTTTTAGTTGATCTGGTAGAGATAGCAGAACCTTTTGGTTGAATGATGAGGAGGGAGAGGTCTGATGCGCGTTGATGTGGGAACAGATATTTGATGCTTTTCGGATGTTGCGATGGGTTTCCTGATTCGGTTGTGTTTGGTTGGTTTGCATCAAAGTTACCCATTGTGGTGATGGCTGGATAGTATAGGAAATCAGCAGAGAATGTATAGGGTCTATAAAGATATTGTCTATGTTCAGTGGTTAATTCTCCTTGTATGTATGTGGTTAAGATTAGAGAGGAGTGGAGTTATAGGACTGTTCAGATGTACAGGATCGAAATATATTTCGGAGCCTACTAATTATGTGGATTGGACTATGTCTGACAACTGTAGTTAACCATTTCTTCCCCGTAGATCAAGTTTTTATCGTAACTACAGACGTGGTGTCTTTTAATTCAGTTCGGAAATTTGACTTTTTCTTTAACAAAAATTTAGCAATAGACACAGTGTGTAGCCTTCTACTACCGACAACCAGTTAGATAATACTCAAGAACTAGTCAAAGATAACATAAGCAACTAGACAAAATTTGATGATTGAGGAACTTGACGTTTTTGAATACATGAAAGTTAAGTTCTTTGAATTATATATACCGAATCATATTGAAGCGAATCATTATCGTCAGGTTGCAACTGCCATGCCATAGGAGAGAATGGATCGTTTAAATGGTCGTAAAATGATAGTCGTTAGAGAATGTATGCTTTATGGCATATAGAAAATGCAGATAGTACGTCAGCCCGCAGATACCAACTGGTCCAGACGCGACCAGCTTCGCCTGGGTAGTATGAATTTTGAAGCATTGTGACGACTGAGCTTCATCGACGAAGTAGTATTGGATGCCTCTTGTGCCGTCGAAACCACCGGACCGTTCTCTGATGCATTCACATGATAACGACGATGGATGATGGCTTTGACGGCACTGGTGATCTGGGTACCAATATTATAAAGATTTGCATCCTGCTTGACTGGAGCTCTGAACTTCACCATAGAAGTTGAAGTCCTCTCTTCCTTTTCTGCACCGCATGCGTTCATACGCTCCCGGGCCGTTTCCTGTGCAGCTTTCACGCACTTGCGATAGATGCCATGGTGGGCCAGACAGCGACGAAGATCTGGGGATTGGGACGCAGACTCTTGCTGGAGCTTGTTATGCGATATTGCAGCCAATTTCCCGGTCCCTGGGAGGGTACCAGCAATGGGAGGGATGCGAGGGTTCAGATTGTTTAGACGAGGGATTCCACGACGGATCATCCCCGGGAACTGTGATGCCTCTGGGCCTAGTGACATTGAGAATGATGAGGAGAAAAGTTGGTAGACATGCAATATTTTTTTAAAGACATCAATACTTAAGCTATTCTTGGGCTTTGCTAAGTTTTATATGCGCGGAGGTGTATCCACCTGAAGTGATGGAGTTGGAGCCTGTATCCGAAAACGGAAGCACCCTGTTGCATGGAACAGCTCAACCAGACCTTGTCTAGAGCTTGCAGACCCGACTACTAGACGGTTCGGTCGACCGCGGGAGGAACTATTTGCAGGGTCCAGACGCGACCCATGGAAATAAGCTTGTTGTCCTCGTCGTCTGCTTGGTGGATGGTTCTGACCGGTGCTGGTGCTCTCCCAAGACTTGGGTGGCGCAGAAGCATATTTTGGAGATCTCACGAATCAAAATTCTGTCCACAGTCTGGGGCCGTCTTGCAGATCCCTGGGGAAGCTGGATTCCAAGAGGATGATTTGCTGGATATCCTGGCTCTACCGTCGGCAGTTGCTCAGTCATAGGCATCCAAAAGGGCAAGAGCTCCCTTGAAAGACCTTGTTCCTGGGTGTACCATGTCCATAGACTTTTAGGTGAGAAGGGGTTTGAGTCTGGAGGAAATCTCCGCAGCCAAAGAATAGTTTTTGGCTGACTATTCCATCCACTGGGAGGTGGGATGGAAGGTCTTGACGTCATGACTACGAAATCTTAAAAAAGACCATTGGGTGGACTACGGGGAGCCTTGCTTCGGCGACAAAAATAGCTATAGGGCAGGTGATTAATATATTATTAAACTGGTTTAGAAATGTGTCATAAGGGTATCGTGTTGGCTCACTCAGTACGCGGCAAACAAACCCTACAACAAACTAGGTAAGTTTGTAATATGTCCACACATGCTGGGGTAGATAGTACACTGGATTGCATGATCCTTAATAGATTCGGTTCAATTGGGTTTGGAAAGAGTTTATATATCCTATAGTAATATTATCCACCAATGGGATTCGAACTGGGATTCGAAGTAATTGAATACCTCTTGCCCATCTCGGTAGTCACGTTACTTGCAGTATCTTGGTGGTGGAAGCAATTCTCCTGCAAAAGTCGTACGATCTGTGAATGAATTCACCTCATGTTAAATCTATTTTTCTTATTCTGATAGTTATCTACATAGTCTTAATGTTAGTACTCTTCCTTAATAGGAGCTGTACTAAGTACTTCAATCATCTGTAGTACACATTGCAGGCTCCGTATATCATGCCAGTCCAACCGGACGAATGATAGCTTGAACTGATATAGTTGAAAGAATGTTACCCCATGGGGCATAAGAGTCTGAAAATATTTTTCAAATCCCGTGATGGCACCACATACGTTCATAAGTGGAAGGAACTCATGGAATAAACAAGGTGGCAAGAGTGGTAGAACTGTGGAGACAATAGAGTAGCAGTATGTTAAGGTTCCTTAGTGAAGCCACAACCTGTTCTATGGCTTTAACTCATGCACGTGGGCCTATGCAGTGGCCTCCATGGTGTTACCTTTTAGAGAAAGATAGCTTGTTCCGTAGCTGTGTCATGTTCCTGAGAGTGGGCCAGACAGTTTGACGCGGCAATGGGAAACTATATCATACTGGGTTATACTGTGCTCTTCGAGTCGGTCATATTCAAAAACGCCTCTCTTCCTAAGCATCGAGCATAACCATGATTTCTGACCGGATCAAAAACGCACCGAGTTGAGACCGAGACGTAAGCAAGTTTGCTGTACTAATAAACCTATAGGCACCGCCTCTACATACCATTGCCATCTACAGACCAAGGATTCTGAGCTTTCGAGATCTTTCTAGACCCCAGTAGAAGATTTTCCAGGATGCTAGGGTTAATAAGCCTTTGGTTAGCAGTACTGTAGCCTCTTGTACTAAGTGGACATGGCCTGTGAATGAGGGGAGCTGGATTTCTATTTAGGGCGCTAATATCACTAGTAAATTCACTCTATATTTAGGTGGTAATCATGGAAACCACCTAGCCTAAAGCTATTCTTCCTAAAATTTTAGCATAGTATGAGTTAGTCCCCCGCGGGATATTGATACCAATATGCTAACGATCTAGTAGCAGACCAAAGGAGAAACCAAGGCTTATAGCCTCTAAACTGTTGTCTCAGGAGCTTGCATCATCTGTACTAGATACATTGCTAAGACAGAGATTGCTTATGAGCACTCACTGTACTTTGTCTCTATGCACGAACAAAGAAATATGGGGACTTAGGCCGGCCATAACGCTACCTCGCCGTTTGCTTCCTGGACCAATTAAACTAGTCAAATCTGCATGGTGACTGCCCTCTGGCTCGCTTCGTCCACGCTAAATAATGCTTGTACAAGCACTGGGTCTTGATTGGCGATAGTGTGGTTGTATATGAGCTAGTAGTAGAGATGATGCCATGAGCACCCTCTGTCCTCCCAGGGCCAACACGTGTCTTTGATCTCCATGTTTGTTACGAGGTAGACTTCTTTACACTCATCTTAGACATCTTGATCTCTCTCACTCTAGCCACTCTCACCACTATTCTCCAATGCTGCCGAATATGGAATTTATCATCATCATTTACATCTGGGGCCTTCTCTTTCTGGGGTGTCTGGTACTGAACAAACTTTCTTCCTCGAGCAGAAGAGTAATCTCGTCAAGGAATCCCATTGTTTGTCATAGGATTATCGAAGCAAAGAAGCTGCCGAAGAAGCCAAATATTCTCTCTCCCTTGCTATCGCGAGCCATACCCAACAATAGACTTCGTATTACTTTTGGAATAGAAAATGCATTCACAACCAGTGACAAAAAACATGCGAAACAATCTGTCTACCATGCAAGAAGGATGCTGGCTCTTAAGCCAACACAGTGGGCCAATGTATTGGCTGTTATTCGCAAAGCAACCAGAACGTGGCTGGATGCGCCGGTACCTTCCAATGACTACAAACTGTATATTCCTCTGACTTGCATGATTCAGTCCCTTACACTGAGATTAGTCCTGGCAACTCTCTTCGACATGGAAGAACACGCATTAGGCATCCACGACTTCCCACTTATGCAGTTGGCAGATGCTATTAACGAGACCTGGGTGTCTTCCAAGAAACCGGGTAAAGTACTGCCGTTCGAAGAAAACCAATGCCTTCAGGATAGTCTTCATGAAATCTTCCCAGATATTGACTTGATGAACCCAAAAATGAATCCATTGAACATGATCTTGCCTGGTTTTGAAACCATGTGGAGGGTTGTGTTTAGAATGTTCATCGAAATTGGTTTTACCAGCGGCCAACGTAACCCACAATGGAAAGACATATTGACTGCCTTTGCTCGGAAACCAACCAGAGCACAATTTATTGCAAAAGAGAATGATTTCCAGATCTCGGCAGAATATCTGGTCAAGGAGGCACTGCGTCTGTACCCTCCCACGCGTCGAATCCATCGAGCCTTTCAGACGGACAATTCAATCCGGAGACGTTATTTTGCGGCTGACATTGAAGGCTGCCACTTGGACAAAGTTATCTGGGGGTCGGATGCTTTGCGGTTCAACCCGGCAAGATGGGCCAAACTTACTATTTTTCAGGAAATGGCCTACATGCCCTTTGGGGGGAAACCTTTTGAGTGTCCAGCGAAGCAATTCTTTGGACCTATGGCTATTGGATTGCTTGTTGGATCGGTCCTGAGCGAGCTTGGGGGAAGTTGGACGTTGAAGATTGGAGGTGAAGAGGTGAAGAGGTGAAGGACTTTTCTTACGATGGGAGATTGAGCAATGAGAGGAACGCTTACACTGGGCTGTTTTTAGTCAAAGAAGATTGAGAGGGTCTCAATGTGAGAAATTTAGGTGCATAGCATGTGATTAATGCGATAGTATTGTTTCTCTAATATTGGCCCTTATGGAATTGGAGTATTGGGATAAACTATCCTGGAGATCCTGGAGACCTAGTTAGAGATATCTATTCGACAATTACTACTGCATTCTTATTTTACCGTCTGCCTACATCCATACTCAGTTAATTCAGCAGACAGAGTACGATCCTGTTAAACCTTTCCCTTGAGATTATTTCCACCAAACTCAGCTTATTCCTTCCAATATGGCGAAGCAGACTTAAAGAGCGCCTTATCCTCCCCAGATATTCCCTAATGTTCTGCAACTCCCTCCCTCCAAGTGCAGATGACCAAACTGTGCGATAAGTATGGGTACTGGCAATTAGATAGATTCCGCGCTGTTCATAGAGTGGCAACTGGAGCACGACAGCTCCTGCTTGCCCCTTTCCCCCATTACGCGCATCGTAACCTGTGCCAGGATTGGCTACTACCGCTCGTGGTATGTGTAGGTTAGTATCCGCCTTGCATTCTGCACCTCGTTCTTCCTTACCTTTCCCTGGCTCCCCACATAAGATGTAGCTGCAGAAAGTTCAAGACATGCTCCAGTGGCTTGCATTCTTCCTGTTAAGCATTGTAATGTGCCCTTAACTTTTACAGTGAATCTGGACTCGTCCCTGTGCACCCTTCACTGTCTTATTGAAGTCCTTATACATTTCTGATATTACGCATATCTTTTTAAGTCATCCGGAGCTTAATGCCTGTGGCTTTTATTGAATTGTTTACTTCACATGCTAATCTCAATGCTACTATAGGCTCTCAGCCCACTCGATCTAGAAGCAAATATGGATCCACAACAGCTGCGGTTGAATCTATGCATCATGAATAGCTTGCATCAAGGTCTTGACTTCAAGAGGACAAGAGTATTTCGCTCCAAATAGAAGGTCATGTTGTGGCCAGCAGGGAAGCACAACTCTCTCTCCAGCAGTCGAAGAAATCTTGGACCTAAGACGTTATCTCAACAGCTAGAGTGAGCATGGCTCAAGAATACTCCCACAGACCAGCCTTTGGAAACGAATTTGATATCTACCTGCTCGATGGACTCGAAACACCGCTAGACCGCAAAAAGATGCCATGACCTCGATCCATTTTATACAATATATTGTTGGAGACAAAATGTGGTTGATAAGCTGGATTGGCTGTCTAGACTCTAAAAATGGACACATACTATCTACTAATCTTGAACTACTCTACGGAGCAATATGAAGGAGAAGAAGAAACTCTCTGGCTACTTCGTGAGTCAGGATCGGATAAAGGCGGCGACTTGGGGCTCAAGGACGGGTTATAAACCCGATGAACGTGTTGCACAAGCTTGGGGGTTTTCTCTGGGGGATATGAGTTCACTGACCATTGGAAGGCAAGTATGTAGAGTCAAAAGTGATTACACAGTTGGCCTCCTGAAGGATTGGGACCATAATTCTGTGATATTATCATATTCAGCGAGTTCGACTCGGACATATGACTTGAAATGATTCAGTCAGCAGGGAGACAGCCATAGCGGAGGGGGCGTACTGAGTCTGTTCGATCTTCACAAGTATCAATCTGTACATTGAGCAGACAGGAGGGATTTAGAAGAACACAACCTGCTTCAATTAGGGCCTCTGCAGCCCATACTGTGGAGGATCGAGTCAGGACTCATTTAGCATGTCAGTTGGTCTTACAGTGCTGGCAGTGTAACTCCTTTTATGGAAGACGGGGAGAAGGGGATGAGAGGAGGGAGAAGAGGGAGAAGATAGGAGACGGGCATACGTTCAAAATTTTTTGTTTGTATATTAATGTACCTGTATAGTAAGTGTTGTAAGGAAATCACTTGTCAATAAGAAACACATGATATACCAGAATAAGACTACCATGTCAAGGTGTAGTAGAATCGATTATCTTATCTACTGTTAGGATTTAGTTGTAATGTGGATGGATGGCAAGTATGTTTGAAGGGAGATATCAAGCAACTAACTTATCTGGGTCGGACCGCCACAGATAGTAGCGTGGACTTTGACAAGAAGCTAGCCACCGCTTATTCCTTTAAAATACTTAAAATAATGACTATCGGGTCCAAACTTTATCTTGGTTATATCATGAGATGCCGATTAGCGTCCCGTATATAGTTATATCTACTAGCTTATGTAGGTGATACTCGCTCATCACACGAAAATCACTGGAGAAAATACTGACAGGGTGGAGGAGGGCCATTAAGCTCGGCAACTTCTATACACCATCGTGATGATACTATTGGCATTACGTATGTACTTGGATGCTTATGTTTATGACCTGGCTCCGACCGACCGTGGTCGTCGACAATCGACCATATAGTTTAAATGGCTATGCGGAGGCGCTCTCTGACGTTGATTGATTCTTATTGCGTTGCGAACCAAGAAAGTCGATTCTTGACAGTGGAGAGAGAGAGTGTCATGCTGAGGACTGGTTATGAGAGGGCAAATTTACCCCATATTGTTGTTTAGGTTCTCTGGGTCTTGGATCGATGTGTTTGGGAGTTTGTTTCAGCTATTCGTGATTGGGATATCTCGTTTCAGACCAGTATCGACAGATAATTCTGCTTCGGTAGTTCGTATTGGTTTCTTTTTTATAAGAAAGAAAAGAAACAACAAGATAGACTCCCGCGCTTGAATCTATCTAATTCCTGGAAATGCTATATTCATGTCTCATCTGGACGAGAACCCGGTCTGATGCCATCCCGTCAAGATGAGACTCCTCGAACTTAGACCCCGCTTCCACGAGCAGCTCATACAACATCACAGAAATGAATAGATTCCAACCGATCAAGTGGAGAGATTCGTCTTAAGCGAAGACTAAGCTATTTTCCGCGGCAGACACTGCGACGGGCCGTGGGGTTCATGGTCCGCTCCTTTAGGAACGAGAGAGAGCTTCTGCGATCCGTATTGATGCCGTATGTCAATCTGAATGTCAATCTAAACAGCTTCGTTTCCGCTGTAAGCCCAAGGTTCCAGTACCACGGGCTGGTTGTGATGGCCTAGCTGGTCTACAGTTGATCAGTATTAGGGAGATACAGATTGTCATGAGGCATATCCTGTCCTGGGAGTCAGACACCAACAAGGTCCTCTCCTGGATCGTGGCTGTCTCATTGCAGGTGGAACTATTGAGTCCGGGTTCTAATTTCGAAATCCCACCTTAGACACCTCGTGGAGGGGTGAGACGCATCTGTCACTTCTGGATTATCTTTTAGGTAATTAATGCTCTACCTGGTTATCGGGAAAGTGGGATGGAGATAGGAGTCGACCTGTCGAACTGCGAATTGCTATGTGTGATCAAAGGGGTTTCTCTTGTTTTTCATGCAGGCGGACGATTTTTCTACCCCTTTCAACACTATTATACTACAGATACACGCTTTATTCATATGCAGCAAGGTCCGACAGGAACGGGTCTGACTGGAATATGCGATGTAATCCGATCTCCATGTCCATAATTATTTTCCTCGTCCAGAATGAAGGATGTGAGAAGAAAGGAATAGCGAAGAGACAAGTGAACGAGTCAAGAAGGACTATTTTAGACTGTTTCAGATACAGCGGTACCAGCCGGAAATCACTTAAGACCCATTCTATCCCGCAGTCATCCATTCTAGCGATATGGAAACCTTCTATTCCCATGAAACGTTAATCTAAGCCTGTTGTAGAATGTATCTATTCTATTCAGTACTTTCGACCGGTATCTCTGTCTTTTTCCATCGGTTTATGAGGGCTCAGAATGGCATGATCGATAATATTTGTTAGTGCATTTCGTACTCCATCTGTCAGGTCAGGATTGCGTGTCGAGAGACCCACTGAGGGTTGACAGACAGCGAGTACCCTTCCTAGCAAATCGGTACAGTCCCTCTGGCGGATGAACGAGGGAAACAATACCTACAGAGTACGGAGATACGGAGTACTACCTCATTGTAGAGGGGATATGTCCGATCCCAACGTCTGCGAGGGGGAATAATAGGTGGGATGCACTACGAGAAATAGAGGCAGAGATGAATGGTGAGGATGCCGAGGTGTAGCCACACACACAATGCATGAACTGCCGGGTCCCTTTTTTTTTTTAAAAAAAAAGAAAAAACAAAAAGAAAACTTTTTTCCCTGCATCTAGACTCCGTATTTTGTTTAGTCTTTAAACTAGAGACGGGGCACGTCTTCCGAACAGTCCAACCCCAGCCCACTGGGGCGCGGAATTAGTTACGCGGAGGCCTGAAAGGAAGGCAATGGACTGAAATCCAGCCGATCCATCCCGTGGCGATGGGAGACTGAAAATTGGGAAGGTTAGCACAGTAGGACTTGTAGCACGATCGCTCTAGATAGTTTCTGCAGAGAGGTTTCATCCTGGTGTTTGAAGGCATGAATAGTATGGAGTGCTAGGGAATCGATTGAAACGCCTCAAAGTTTCTGACTCAAGTAAATAAACAAGGCAGGAAACGACGGTGATTGGCATGAGGCGAACGACATCCATGGAACCGGGACCCAAAGCTGATCGATCAGTCCAGTACGAGTCTGTTACCGTTAGAGTCTTAGAGGCTTATGCCAGGGATTGACTAACAAGTCTAGACGCTCGTTTTAAATCCAGTGTCTAAGACCCTTCTCCATCCCTCGTTCACTTTGTCAACAACACTTTTACTTCAACACGACTTTTCTCTCTTCTCTTTCCTTTTTTCATCTACATACATTCGTTCTCTATACCAATCTTTCCACACCGTTTCCTTCAGTTTGTCGACGCGAATTAAGTTAGTAGTTGACTAAAAATCGGAACTGGATGCTTTGACAGCAACTCTCCTTCTATACAGTTAATACTACTGCTGTTTCCCGTACAACCCTCTCCCGTCTATAGCAACCTCGCTCGACCAGTCTGTCTCTCGTCCGATTCTCTTGTTTCCTTGTTGCTCTTTCTGTGAATTTAGACCTATCCAGAAAACGCGGATCCCGTCACTATCGATAGCGAACGAGCTAGACGGGTCCGACCGTTGAAAACGTTTGCCCCTCTCCCACCTTGAGAAACGGAAGGGATAGCAGGCCCAACAGTTACCTTGTCTTCTCTTGTCTCTCTCTATCTCAGGAGCTCGTCAGTGCCACCAATTGAGCGACTCTCCAAGCTACTTAGCTGCTCCCTGGTTCCCGTGCTATGGACTTCTGTGTTACACGCAAGTGATGCTAGCCGTCTTTGCACCGTAACTCTTTATCAACTTGGACTGTTCTGCACCTCCCATCACGTTACACACTCAATTTGCTGGGACTTGACTTGACCCCTTTCGCTCTCTTCCAGCCCTCTTGAAGACGCGGTTTTTATACCCGTCACTTTCCTAGTGATTCTCTATCTCATAATCCTCAACCATCCTTTTCCTTTCATTTTCTTCTCCCTAAATTTCTTTCTTTTTTTTTTTTTTAAAAAAAGAAAGTAAATTGTCCATATACACATCAATCTTTGAACCATGGCACATGCAACGGAGGAGCTACTGGATAAGCCGGATGGCTCGTCCTTGATCTGGATCTTTGATCATTGCCTTCGCTATCCTGGCACATATGAAATCCCTCTACGCACTATGTACGCATTGAACTGCAACCCCACGAGACAGCCGCCACCCGGTACCGGTCCACGCGAGACAGCGTTCTCCAATCGTACTTCCAATTCGTCCAAATGCTCTACCTCTTCCCAGGACGCGCCATGGGGGCGTGATTCTGACTTCCGCGCCCTGTTGACTCATCATATGTCCCTCCTTCAGTCCCAACCATGTTCGCTCCCCCCCACCTTTGTCACGTCATTTCTCCGCCGTTGCTTCACCCCGGAGCTGGAAAATGTGGACTTCCCTCAAGCCCTAACCGGGCTCGATTATCTCAAGGAGTTGGAGGGTCGCCGAAAAAAGGAAGTGGCGGCCGCACTGCATCGCTTGGAAGTCCAGCCGGAGGATCTCCACAAGAATTCCGAATTCCGGAAGAAGTATCCTGGAGTGGTAACCTGGATCGAGGCTTTGAGTCTCAAAAACCGAAACATGGAAGCCCTGTACACTCAGATCTACATTGGCCTACGTCGCTGGGTGAGTGGAGAGTATCCGGGCTACCCGCTGGTTTGATGACCACTGACATGTTTTCTAGACCCTCATCAACGAAATGTTGATGGAGCCGTTCAATAAGGCTAACTGTATTGCTATGCTGAACACGCTGTTTCCGCCCCTCACGGACGCAACCGTCACGCCCACTTCACAGCTGACCCCTCAGATTCTAAAATCTCAACGTGATGGATTCTTCCGGTACATCTCGGCCATTAACAACAACGCCAAGGTGATCCTGAATAAGGTCATCACCCAGGGGGCGCCGGAAGGCTCTGACAATGGATGGCCGTTGGTGCGGGATACTTTAGACAAGTACCTTCGGATGGCCAACGAAATCATTGACGAGTGTTTGACTGTCAGCGGTCCCGCTAGCTTTGATGGCCTCGTCGATCTCGACAGCTTCGAGACGGTAGAAAACGTCTCGTCCCGTGGACACAAGGGCCGAAAGGTGGATTCAGGCATTAGTTTTGGCTCGTCGGATATAATACCCGCCTCGTCCGTCACCAGCAGCAGCAACAGGGAAGATGTCTTGGACAAACCCCTGCCGCCGTCTCCGAGTAGAAACTCACAGTTGAGGCTGGGTGGCTCTACGCTCGAACGCCTGGCGCGTGAGATCCGCAAGCTGAGCGACGCCGGAAAGGTCAAGAGCCTTAAGAAAATGAGATCCACAAGCACTCTCGGAGTGCGACCAGAAAACCTCCCTGGTAAAACCGTGGACCATGCGTCTTTTTTCGAAATCGACGAGCAGAAGCGCAAGAGGCTGATTTGGGAGGCCACCAGTCGTAAAAGGCCCCATTCCAAGCAACCTAGCACAGACTCCTTTCAGGAGTGATTTGATTGATTATACCTTTACGATGGATTTTATTTAACATCAAACGCAAGGAAGACATAATTGTCTGGATTAGACTGGGTCTCTGTTGGAGTTGGGTATCTGGTTTGAATTCTTTTCTGTTTGCATTTTGGAGGTGTCTGTTCCGTCGGTTTCTCATCTCCTTGGTTCGTCGTAGAACCAAGCCAAAAAAAAGCAGAGTTTCAACAATCGCCGATTAAAGAAAATCAAAAAAAGGGGGCGCAACTGGCTTGTGCATGACCTACTCAATGATGATGATGATGTCTAATGAAGAAATTTGTGATTAAATACAAATAAAAAGGTGCATATTCACTAGGATATAGGACCTGCATTGCTGGTACACTGTAGGAAGCAGTAGAAACTGCTGGACCTGGTTGTATAGGGCTTATTAAGATGATATAGTAAACTGTATATAAATCCTGCAGAGGTGAGGCTTTCACCTTGATATCGTGAATGTAGGCCAGCCAATCAGCGACCTCCATAGAAGACATGGAAGTTTTTGCGCGTTTGGCCGCTGCGCCGCCCGTAGTAGCTTCCTCAATTAGGTGTCCACAAGCCTATTTGACTGACATCACGTCGTGATCATCCTCTCCCACAATTCTCCAGCCTTCAGACAGAGATCCGTCTGTTTCTTAATGTCGATCTGGTGGTAGACAATTGCATGAATAATCATTTCATGCCCCTTATTTGTCGATTGGCTAACCCGCCCGTTATCGTTATGCTAGTTCATCTTTGGAAGCAGCTAGCTAGTAGATAACAGTGGCACTGGGACGAATAGCTCTTGGTTCATCAGCAGTAGATCATCCTGTGGGTAACAGGGATGGTTTCTAGCACAGGACTAGTCGCTCCATGGCGACTCTCTGTACTACTTGCTGCCGTACTATCTTCTTTAGTATGTGCAAGTCCATCGGTGAACGTTGCTCTGCAAGCTTCATTTGATGCGGCACCATATCTTATAGAGCTCTTGTAAGCTAGCTGGTGTTTTTTGCCTTTGGATGCTTTCATTAGTTGTTGAATTGCTTATATTATTTCTTATAGAGAATCCGCGGCCGAGGAGAACTCAACTTCTTATTTCCCGTTGCTTGATCGAATCGCCGATGGTGCCTTCGATGACGCCGTGACCGATAAGGAAATCTACGATCGTTTCTTGCACGTGGTGGAAGAAGATGGACACCTCAAGACCCCCGAGAGCCTGTCGTCCTTCAAGCTGTCTTTAGCCATTCGATCGGCAAGCCCCCGAATTACGGCTCACTACCAATACTACAATGCTTCTGTGCAACACTCGTTGATGGCTGCGCAAGATGCCGCTTGCCCGGTATGGGTGCACTCGGATGGCAAACAGTATTGTTCTTCCACCATGGAACGTGCTCAGCAGGAAGTTTCGGGTGGGATGTAAGGAGCCTTCTTTCCCCCTGTATTGCGGATGTAGTGCTCGGCGGTTTGGCTGACGGAGGGAAATTGCAGGGATGCAAGAGAGCTTCCATTTGATCGGGTCTTGGGAGATACGTCGTTACCGCCGGCAATCCTGTACGCAGATGTCGCGTCCCCGATGTTCAAGGATTTCCACCAGACACTGAGCGCTCTTGCAAAGGAAGGCCAGGTTTCCTATCGAGTACGATATCGGCCGCCCCAGCGCTGGAGTCCCCGCCCCCTCTTCGTCTCTGGATACGGCGTTGAGCTTGCACTGAAACGAACGGATTATATTGTAATCGACGACCGAGCGGCTGAGCAACGGGAATCGGACAATGCGGGACCTAGCACATATAGCGATGCCCCGGACGACCTTAGGCCTCTCTCGTCATCTGAAGTGGCCCGACTGGGCGTAAACGCTGTCAGTTATGTGCTAGACAGGGATGATCCTCTAGACGCCCTCGTCAAACTTTCGCAGGATTTCCCCAAATACTCCTCTAGAGTTGCGGCTCATAATGTAACCATGGAACTCCTGCACGATATTCGCTCCAGCCGCTTGCAGATGCTTCCATCGGGCATGAACGTCATGTGGATCAATGGTGTACAAATCGATTCTCGACAGATGGATGCATTCTCTCTGTTAGACCTTTTACGCCGGGAGCGAAAACTGATCGAAAAGTTCCGAGACATAGGCGTTTCCGCCCAAGAAGCAGTCAATCTTCTATCGCACCAATTCATTGGGGAGGCTCTCGCGCAAGATGCTCCTCAACGCTATAATTATTTGGATGACATCGAGGGTGGCCGGGTCCTTATATGGATTAATGACCTAGAAAAGGATGCTAGATACGCGTCTTGGCCTAGTGACCTCGAAGCAGTAAGCAGTTTTTAGCTTTTCCCTGGTAACCATTACATGCTGACCTGATCAGTTCATTCATCGTACATTTCCTGGCCAACTTCCGCCCGTGCGTCGTAATGCGAACAATATTGTAGTCCCCGTTGATCTAGCTCGTTCTGAAGATGTGGGCTTTGTTGTCAGAAATATCCAAGGATTTGTTATAAAGGGAATCCCAGCCAGATTCGCCATCGTTCCTGTTGCATCTACGCCGGGGTCATCTGCCCAACTCAAGATCGCTCATTACCTCCAAGAGACCTTCGGCCTAGCGAGTCTAATGCACTACTTGGAAGAGGTGAGTGTTTTCTATTGCGCATGTTATCTTTGTTAACTCTCCTATCTAATCTGGACTAGTCTTCTTCCCAGCAGAAGGTGGCGTCCCCAGATAAGGGTTGCTTTGAGGCTGCAACCAAGGAGCGCAAAATACGTCCTGAGAAACAGATTCTATCATTCGAGGAAGTATTAAAGAGCGAAGACCTCGAAGATTTAGTCTCGAAAACCTTGAGTTACCAGAATCGACTCGGAATCACGGGCGATGCTTCGCAGAGCTTTGTTAACGGAGCCCAAGTCATTCGGAAAGACAGCTGGATGCAAGAAGTCAGTGTCCGGGTCAGCAAAGACTTGCAGGTGATCCAACAGGGGATTGTGGGTGGAGAAATTGAGGACGGCACTTCGCTATCGGGATTGTTCCTCTCCCAGGCGTTTGACCGACGTAGTCTTTGGGCTATACCCGAGGACCCTAAAGATATCCGGGTCGTGGACTTGGTCAAGGTGTCTGACTCACAAAAGGAGACACTCGGTGAAACTCCATCGATCGTTTCGATGAAGGATGATGCTCTTGATAGTGCATATCTTATTGTCGTAGGTGATTTTGACTCTGAACAGGGCCACCAATTGCTTACCGCGACTCTGGAACATCGAGAGAAGCATGAAGAGGTGGAAGTTCTTTTCATCCATAACCCAGGGGAGCATACCTCTAAGATGGACGCATCGATAAAGCTGTATCGCTCTCTAAAGGGGGGGAAACAGGTCGATGCCGCTCAAGTCTTAGCCGACATTAAGTCTTCCGACTATTCTGCACCATCAGCCGGCGATGCCGAGGAAATTTCCAAATTCTGGGCAGATAAGCGGCCATTGATTCAGGAATTTGGTTTGCCTCATGGTGCAAACGGACTCGTGATAAACGGGAGGACGGTCGGACCTATTGATGCTGATGTGACATCTGGAGACCTGGATCAACTTTTGGCCTATGAGCAAACAAAGCGAATCGGCCCCGTTACTCGGGCCTGTAAGGATTTGGGATTTGGTTCGAACCTATCTGGCGCTCTTGCATTCGCCAAATTGACATCTCTTACTACTCTCTCAACTATATCGGATGTACCGGAGGATATCTTTGAGTCAACCTCAGACATCAGGGTGAACATATTTGACAAATGGAACGACTCTCGCTCAGTTATAACCGTCTCGAATTCGGAAGACCCCGCTATTACCATCGTGGCTTCTATTGACCCATCCTCGGAAACTGCTCAAAAATGGCTTCCAATTCTGAAGGTGCTCTCAAGACTAGCAAGCGTTAGGCTCAGGCTGTTCTTGAATCCACGGGAAGAAATAAAAGAACTTCCAACAAAGCGTTTCTACCGCTACGTCTTGGACTCAGAACCTTCGTTCAACGATGATGGATCTATTTCAAGACATACGGCTTCCTTCTCGGGGGTACCGGTTGAGGCGCTTCTTACACTGGGGATGGACGTCCCTTCGTCCTGGCTGGTGGCTCCCAAGGACTCCGTTCACGATCTTGATAATATCATGCTCAGTTCACTGAATTCAGGTTCTGATGTTGAGGCTGTCTATGCACTAGAGCATATCATGATAGAGGGCCATTCCCGAGACCTCACTACCAAAAGCCCTCCAAGGGGGGTTCAACTGGATCTCGGGACCGACAATAATCCTTCGTTTGCAGACACCATCATCATGGCGAACCTGGGATACTTCCAATTCAAAACGCAACCTGGACTGTGGAAGATCAATTTGAAGCCCGGGCGCAGTGAACGCATCTTCAATTTAGAAAGCGTCGGCGGTCTGGGCTATAGTCCGCAGCCCGGCGACGAGAACAATGAAGTCGCATTGCTTTCTTTCCAGGGCAAAACTCTTTTCCCGCGCTTGTCGCGCAAGAAAGGCTACGAAATGGAAGACGTCTTAGAAACCAGTTCTAAATCAGGCACGGCCATGGATTATGTTTCCAAGGGACTAAATTTTGCCTCGGGTGTTCTCTCGAGCGTCGGTGTCGGTTCGAAAGGCATGTCGGAAAAGCAAGCTGATATCAACATTTTCTCCGTCGCAAGTGGCCATCTATACGAGCGGATGTTGAATATCATGATGGTCTCCGTAATGAAGAACACCAAACATTCCGTTAAATTCTGGTTCATCGAGCAATTCCTCTCCCCGTCGTTCAAGTCCTTCCTCCCGCACCTTGCAGACGAATACGGATTTTCCTACGAAATGGTCACATATAAATGGCCACACTGGCTCCGTACTCAGCGCGAGAAGCAGAGAGAGATCTGGGGCTACAAGATCCTATTCTTGGACGTACTCTTCCCTCTTTCCCTGGAGAAGGTAATCTTCGTGGACGCTGACCAGATCGTCCGCACAGACATGTACGATCTGGTCACTCTAGACCTAGAAGACGCGCCATACGGGTTCACACCCATGTGCGACTCGCGTGAGGAAATTGAAGGCTTCCGCTTCTGGAAACAGGGATACTGGAAGAAATTCCTCCGAGGGAAACCATATCACATTTCCGCACTGTATGTGGTCGATCTGAGTCGGTTCCGCGCCCTGGCCGCCGGTGATCGTCTCCGCGGTCAATACCAGATGCTCTCCGCGGATCCGGGCAGTCTGAGTAACTTAGACCAAGACCTGCCGAATCACATGCAACATCATATCCCCATCAAGAGCCTCCCACAGGAATGGCTGTGGTGCGAGACGTGGTGCTCGGATGAGTCCCTCACTCAGGCGAGAACTATCGACCTGTGTAATAACCCGCAAACGAAAGAGCCGAAATTGGATCGTGCCCGAAGACAGGTCCCCGAGTGGACTGAGTATGATGATGAAATTGCGGCTTTGTCGAAACGAGTGGCTCTTGGACATCAGCAGAAAGAGGAAGAAATGCAGCCTAACTTGGTGGATGAAGAGGATGACGAAGGATCTCCTGAATGGGATAAGGATGAACTGTAGTTTTTAAATTTTCTATAGAAGATTCTTGTTTGAGGTATTAGTTCATGATCATATTGCGTGTTATACTATATATAGGTGCTGGGAATACAGTGTCAAGATAAACATGGAATTAACCTGTTCAACCAACGTTGAGTACTTCGTACATGGCGGGAGCCAAAACCAAGACCACCGGCTTGTCCAAAGTCCCTCTCTATATAGCAGGAGATCAAGAAGAGGAAAGAAAGAAAGCAGAAGAGCAGAACCATTTAATTTACCCAAGCAAAGAAGGTAAAAGTGTAGTATCATCATTATTCGTAGTCAATTACTAGTTCGAGCTTTCAGCTTTCTTTCTTTACAGGAACTTTCTTCTTCATCTGAGGACCCGAGCCAGCGCGAGCGGGATTCTGTTTAGTAGGGTCGGTTTTTTTTCGTCTTGACATAGTTATCCACAATCTTGGGCTTCTTAGTGGGAGGTTTTATCTCTTTCTTGCCAGGGGTAGCACGATCTACTGCCTTGCTACTTCCGCGTGATGTGGTTGGTTTTGCTGAGGTCGAGGTTGAGACCGTCGCATTGGGCTCCGAGGTGCTTTTTCGTTTGGATGCCTGTTCTTGGGACTGTTTCAGTTGAGTTTTGTATAGTCCGGAGTGAGGATTTGATTTAGGCTGGGGCGCAGGCGTAGGTGCAGCCGCGGGTTCGGATTCGGAGCCTGATTCAGATTCAGATACGGAATCCGAATCCGAATCAGAACCCGAGTCAGACTCCGTCTCAGACGAGTTTGATACAGATGTGCTAGATTTCGAGCGGCTCATTTTGGCGCCCTGTTCTTTAGGCCCATTCGGTCCTGCACTGCTGGATTTAAATTTTGGGCCTGTTTGGAGCCTGCGATCGGCCTTCGATTCAGAGCTGGATTCGGACTCGGAGGTAGATGTAGATTCAGACTCAGTTTCAGATGAGTCGGATGCAGAGCTGGGGCTCGACACGGTGCGCGGTTTTGTCTTGGTATCTTGTTTGACAGGCCCCTTTGGCTGAATACTGCTTGGCTTGGGCTTTGCGTCTGCTTCGGGTTCGGCTTCAGATGACGAATCAGAATCAGAACCGGAATCAGAACTGGAGGAATCCGATGTAGAGCCAGAGTCATCTGATCCAGATTCATCCTCGCTCTGGGATTCATTCCGCTTGGTTCCCCTTCCACTCTCATTTGATGAGGTTTTGGAAGCAGATTCGAATTCACTGCTACTCTCGTACTCATCGCTTTCTGAAGAACTTTCCACAGGAGGCTTGCTTTGTGTTTTAGCCAACTTTGTGCGTTTAACGTCTTGTTTAGGTCCTTTGACGGAGGACTCTTGAATCTTGCGTTTACCGCTGTCTGATGGAGCATTTGTAATCGGTTTCACAGGCTCGTCTTCCTCACTGGAGTTAGCACTCTCGCTCTCATCAGACTGGTCAGACGATGACGAGCTTGTCGCAGATGAATTTGTTGTGGATTTCGTTGGCTTCTCGCCGTTGGCGCCTTGCGTAGTCTTAGTTTCCCGGGACAGCTTCTTCGTGTTAACTTGGGATGGCTTTTTCATTGGCTCCACTGGCTCATTGTCACTGGAGTTATCACTGGAGCTCTCGGCCTCATCTGACGCGGATTCATTTGAGGAAGAGGGCTCTATAGATGGACTTTTGGTAGGTTCACTTGGCATCACCTGTGTAACAGCCTGTTTGGATGTCGTAGGGGAGGGCTTCGGCTTTTGCTTTACTTTATTCAAGGCGGTTTTGCTCGGCTTTGCTTGCTCATCGCTAGTGGAACGGGTAGCATCGCTGTCGCTCTCACTGCTGCTTTCACTGTCACTATCGCTTTGGCTCTCATTGGTTTCGTCGCTGGAAGTACCGCTCGATCCCTCATCAAACGAACTCGTGCTGCTGCCACTAGTGTCCTTAGAAGGTTTGCGCTTGGTCTCTGCTTTCCGAGAAGAGTTTGCAGCTTCTTGTTCTACGAAGCGTTGCTTGTTAACAGAGGTGTCAGAGTCGCTGTCTTCGCTATCTTCAGAGTCCGCGTCAGACGACGTCTCAGGAGATTTTTTCCTTTCCTGCATAGCTGCCTTTCGTTCCTTGGGGCTAAGAGATGCAGGGTTGGCTCTTTCCTTGGACCTCTCCTTTTGGCCGGTAACCAGTGTATCCAGACTAGGCACCTTGGATTTGTTTTCTGTCAATGATCTGATGGGCTCTTTCAATTTCTGTATGGTCGCTTGCTTCTCCTTTATATGTTGGGCTTTCTCGATACTTGTACGACTCTCCTCGTCCATGTCTGAATCCGAGCTTGAATGATCACTCTCTTTGTCTGAACTTGATCCCTCGGCCTCAGGCGATGAGCTTGTGTCGGAGCCGGCTTCTGAATCCGATTCGGAGTCATCAGAAGGCGAGGTGGAATTCTCGTTCTCCTTTTTGATGAAAGCAGTTGAATTAGCTTGAGTGTGTTTTTTTGCAGGTTTTGCAGGTGCGACACGATTCTCTGACTTCGTTGCGCCAGTCTTCTTGCCAGTATGAGTATCCAACCCATCACTATCGTCACCGTTACCATCATCCGAGTCCACAAATACTTCGCTCAAAAAATGTTTATTTCCTGTCTTCTCTCTCCCAAGCTGCGCGACTGTAGCCGCGGGCTTTTTAGCCTTTGTATGCCGGATTTCTGACACAGAGCTGGGAGGCGATTCGCCTTCCTCCTTCAAGCGTTCGGCCATGATCTTGATCCTAAGCTTGCGCCACTTATCACCACACTGTTGCCTTGACCGGCTGTTGCTGAGTTTGTCGCTTATTGCTCCCCAGGAGATCAAAGACTCGTCCATGTCATAGATGTTCCGGCCCACATCATAGCCTAGCTGTAATAGCAGATTCCGGGTCTCCTGTAACGCAGATTCGAATTGTGTTACTTCCTCATCCGTCCACGGCCCTCTTTTCATGGTACCACGATGCTGCAACCGGTTCTTCCACCTCTGAACCACATCGTCATCATTCCTGCCTAGCATGTTAGCTATACGGGCGAATTTCGGGCCGTGTATCTTATAAAGCTCAACGAGCTCTTCGTCTTGCTCAGGCGTCCAGTGATGCGGCTTTTGCGTAGAGAGCTGGAAATGTCGCCTCATGAATCGGTAAACCGACCTTCGATTTCTGTTTGGGAGAATATCGTAGATAGCCTTCCAGAAATCGGCTTTGGATATTAGGGACTCATTAGGGAATGGTTGTTCCTTCTCCCGTGCTGCATGCTGGACCATACTGTCGAAATCTGCGCCGGAAATGCCATGGGTATTGCAGAAATTAATCTTGAAACCTTCAATTCTTGTCATCTCTGCCGGTGCAAAATGCCCCACTAGCCCCCCCTTCTCAGAATACCGTTCTTTCTTTTTTTTGCCTTCTACCGGTGCTATGGGGGAGTCGTCTAGGGCTGCAGGGTCATGTACCGGGGTGGTGTCTTCTTCCTTTGAGGGGACCGCTTTCTTCTCAATATGAACGGTGGGTGCAGGTCTCTTTTTGCTCGGGTGCTTGGGAGGAGATGTATTGGTTTGTTTCTCCGCGGAGGGTCGGACAGTCTTCAGTGACTCGCCGGTTGGGACAGCACTCGCCATGGGCGCTCTGCCGTCCGTTTTGCGGTTGTCTGCCTTGAGGTTCTCCGCTATCGACTGGATCGGTTCATGAGTCTTCTTGCGTTTCGCAGGACGAGAAATTCGGCCATCTTTGGGCGATGATGCAGTTGACGCTGCCCTGGTAGAGATATCTTGGTGATCCTGGGACTTCTTTCGTTTCCGCTTCGTCGTACTAGAATCTGTCGGCCTCACATCGAGATTTGTCTTTTTCAAGGCTTTGGGGGGCGTCGATTTCGTATCCGCGATCCCCCAGCGATCATTCTCTGCGTGCGATGCAGTCCCGTTAGTGATGTCCAATGGAGGTAATTTTTGCCTTCGTAAGAGCTTCAAGGGTAAACAACGCACCGATATCTTCGAGGGGTTCGTTTTCTAGCCCCTCTGAATTTACGGGTTGAGACGACCCTTGACCCATCTGAGGGAAGCGAAATTAGAGAAATAATAGTCTTGAGGGGAGGAAAGGGATGGTTGGGACGAAATAGAAAGGCGATGGATGTCTTGGGGTGGCTCAAAAAAAAAAAAAAAAAAAAAAAGATCGGACAAGTTGAAGCTTTGACGCGGCGCGGTCTTCTCCGCTCTTCAACATTCCATTGTGCACAGAAGATGCTATTAGGACACAATATCTACAGTATAATACGCTGTTCTCGAGTAATAATTACATATATTATATAAACTGGACAGAGAAAATCTATATTCGTTTCGGGAGAAAGAATCCGCTGGTAGTTCAAGTCTCTATTTTCATTTCTCGCAATATCCTCGAAACCAACTTCTTCTGATCTGCTGGTTGTAACCGGTGCTCGTCGATTGTATTGAGACATCGTCCGATGGCTACTGTCGCCTTGACAGCAGACTCTCCCCCATTGGAACAATCCACCCACACCTTGCCGTTTCTTCCTACGGCGATCTCGAAACCTCCCACTTTCTCCAGTTTCTTGCCGAGTTCCTCTAGCACTACCAATCCCTCGATCCCTTCTTGGTGATCGGATGTGGATGAGCTCGCTCGCATCAACCTGGCAGCCATACCAATGGAGACATCAAAGACCATCCCACCCGTCAATGGACCCAGTCCTCCAGGTTCGGCCTTCCCAGTTGAAGGGTTCACACAGGTCAATTCCACCTCCGCCCCAGCACCAAGACCGGTGGACAATACACGGGCGTACACCAAGTCTCCTTGCTTCAGCATCGGTCGAGTTTTCTTCGTTGCACCTTCAAAGGCCAGCTGCCCTAGAACTGCATGAGGAGCCTGAGGAGTGATCATGCAATAGAAGTAATCCGGACTGGAGTGGTGAATTTGTGCAATGACTAGATCATTGGTGTTCGGAGTATAACGGCGGTTGGGGGGCGAGAGAATCGATACGGCGTTCTTTTTGGGGTCTGTAGAGAGGATACCGGCTTGAGTCGCAGAAAGCACATGCGTTGATGCAGATGATGTGGACAATGGCTGTGACAACAGACGAAGACCTGGGCCGAGTCTCAATGGTGTGGAACTCGTAGAAGGGAGGTACTCCGATGGGACATCGTCACCGGGTAGGAGGATTAACGGCGAGGTCATGATGGGATAGACTCGCGCGACGAACAATCGATGGTGATATGCTGCTTTAGGTAACTTTTTTGGGCGCGAAAAAGCGCTCAGCTCGCAACCCGCTTATCGGACTATCAGCACGTGATGCAGGGATCTTCAGCGACCTGTTCTATAGAGTAGCTCAGTAGAGTCCAGACAAGCGATTGTGAGGAGACCAGCCAGAAAGATACTGCCTATATATTTTGTAATTTATCTATTAACTCAATAGATAGCCGGATATGTCGTGGATGCTTTTGTCTTCTTGCTTTCTGGCAACATGCGACTAAGGATGAGCACCAGCCACTATCGATAAGCACCAGCCACAGTCAAACACAGCAAATTTTTTTTCTCGTTCCTCCCGTCTATCATTCCAGTCCAAAGTCCATTCGAATTGTCATCTTGTCTTCCCTTTCTTTCCTCTATCCGGACCTCCCTCCTTATTTGTTCTTATTTTTGAATTCGAGATGGCTGATGAAACCAACGGCGCCGCGGAGAGATTTGCCATTGGTATCTCCTTTGGCAATTCGTCGAGTTCTATTGCCCGTATCAACCCTGTATGTGCAAAATATCAGCTTTCCTAAGATGAGCTATTGAGAACTTTTTCTTTTTCCTTTTCTTTTCTTTTCTTTTCTTTTTTTACTGCTATTTCTGTCACTTTGATGAAGATGAAGGGGAATACTGATTTGGAGGCTATACAGGAAGGCAAGGCAGAGGTTATTGCCAACGAAGAAGGAGGTTTGTCGCCCTATAATTATTCTTCAAAAGCGAATTACTAAGTATTTGAAAGACCGTCAGATCCCTTCCGTCCTCTCGTACATTGATGGTGAAGAATACCACGGTACTCAGGCGAAGGCACAGCTTATCCGCAACTCGCAAAACACCGTCGCATACTTCCGGGATTACCTTGGCAAAGAGTAACTTAGCCCATTGATCCCGGAGAAATCACCTATTTTAGGTACAAGGACGATACTGACAGTCTGCATAGCTTCAAGTCGATAGATGCCACGCCATGCCATAACTCCGCTCATCCTCAATTGAGCGACTCTGCTGTGGCCTTCTCGATTCGTGACTCCGAAAGCGAGACCCCCAACACTGTTACCGTCTCTGAAATCGCTACCCGTCACCTCCGTCGACTGAAACAGTCTGCTTCTGATTTCCTTGGCAAGGAAGTCAATGCCGCCGTTATCACCGTCCCCACTGACTTTAGCGATGCCCAGCGTGAAGTCCTGGCTGCCTCCGCCAAGGCTGCTGGTCTTGAAGTTTTGCAACTGATCCACGAGCCTGTCGCCGCTGCCCTGGCTTACGATGCCCGGCCAGAAGCCACCGTCGCTGATAAGCTGGTTGTGGTTGCTGACCTGGGTGGTACTCGTTCCGATGCCGCTGTCCTTGCTTGCCGCGGTGGAATGTACACTATCCTCGCGACTGCCCATGATTATGAACTGGGAGGAGCGACACTGGACAAGATTGTCATCGACCACTTCGCCAAGGAGTTCATCAAGAAGCACAAGACCGACCCTCGAGAGAGTGCTCGCGGGCTTGCCAAGTTGAAGATGGAGGGTGAGGCTACCAAGAAGTCACTTAGTCTGGGTACCAATGCCTCTCTGAGCATTGAGAGTCTGGCCGATGGAATTGATTACGGCTCCACCATCAACCGTACGCGGTACGAATTACTTTCAAGCAAGGTGTTTGCCCAGTTTACCGGCTTGATCGAGCAGGTCGTCAAGAAGGCCGGCCTAGATGTTTTGGATATTGATGAAGTAAGTTTATTGTATCTGGCGCAGCACTGAGGGACTTGGATGTTCTAACTAGTTTGATAGGTCATCTTCAGCGGTGGCACTTCGCACACCCCTAAGATTGCTCAGTTAGCCGCCCACATCTTCCCCGAGAAGACTCAGATCCTTGCCCCCTCAACGCTGACTACTGCCATTAACCCTTCTGAATTGTCTGCCCGGGGTGCTGCCATTCAAGCCTCTTTGATCCAGGAGTTTGAGAAGGAAGACATTGAGCAGTCCATCCATCCCATGGTTACCGCCACTCCCCACCTCCAGAACGCCATTGGTGTTGAATTTGTGTCCGGTGAGACCTCTGAATTTAAGGTTCTTTTGAACGCTGAGACTGCTCTCCCTGCTCGCCGTATTGCCAAGTACTCCGCTCCCAAGGAGGGCGGTGATGTCCTCGTCCGCGTCTGCGAAGGTGTTCGCTCCATCAAGGTCACCAAGCCCGAATCCAAGCCCAAGGAGGAGAAGCCTGCCAAGACCGACGAGGACGAGGATGATTCTGACTTCGACTCAGATGAAGATGAGGAGGAGGAGACCCGGGAGATTGTCTGGAAGACCGAGAAGCCCATTGCCGAGCTTGCCGTCAAGGCTGTCAAGGCCGGCAGCAAGGTCGAATTGATGGTCCACGTCAACGCGGACCTTGGTTTGCAGGTTACTGCCCGGGAAGTTGGCGGACAGAATGCCGTCAGGGGTGCTGTGCAGGCTCCATGAATCGCTCACTGTTGAATGACAACGTTTCGTGAAAATTTCCTCGTATCTTCGGCAACTTAACTTCCAGGGCTTCCACCGTTATGTTTAATGTTTTCCTGCTTGGCACTATGAACCATTTAGAATATCAAATTTCTTTCTCTGATTACGCTGCGCATTTTTTTCACTGTCCATCTATTGTTCTGTGCCATATACTTTTTGCCTAGGATTGGTCAGGATGGTGATTTACTGGTCTTATGTCCCGCGCTCTGCCTTGCAATGATGTTTGATGACGAATGTATCGATGAAGGTTCTTGAAAAGTACATATACAGGCTACTACTCAATAGAAGTTATAGATTTGGAGTATCGTGTCTGCGGCGGAAGACAGCCCCGAACAAAATACATTGTTGTAAAACATCCTATTATATTACAATTACTAGATACTAAAACTAAAACATAGCAAAACCAGATATCGTGGATCGGATTATCCAATCGGAAAATGCACGTACACCATCAACATAACTGGGGGAAAAATTAAGGGGGCCTTCGGAAACCATGGATGTCGCCTGCCTGTAGCATCCAGGAGAATGAAACGTAATTAGCATGGAAAACCGAGACCGAGGAGGTATCTCTGAGTCCGACTAAAATCAATTCTAAAGGACCCGGTTGAGATAAGAAAGTTATTCGCACCATCGTATCTTTTCAAGCGCAGAAATTGAACTAACGACAATATTGCCATGCAGGAGCCTAAGACCTCACGTCTTAGATTCCGCAGGCAAAACCTCGTTCCATCATTCCTGGGTCATTGATCGCTCGGATTTTAAAGATCGGGCTTATGGGTTTGCTTCCTTGTTGCTCCGGACACTCGCGGCTCGCTGGGAGGAGAAGAAACCACGACGTCGGTGCTCACGACCACTGTACCCGGACTCACTGCTGCCCCCCACAGCGCCGCCCATGTAGTACAGGATGCAAGATAGGAGGAGGCACGCCACTGCAGTCCACATGAAGGCGAACGCCTTTACGCCCAGCCTGGCAGTCTGGCCATTGGCGTTAAACTTGTTGCGACCCTGGACGTACACAGCGCTGCTCATAGTGTGAGCAAAATTGTTCAACAGATGCCTCGGATTCATGAGTGCAACAAACTTACGTCATAAGACAAGTACTAATGATCTGGAAGAACAATGCGACCCAGGCCATAATAGACGACAGATAGCTTCCCAGGCGTGTGCACATAGCCAGGAATCCGGTGAAGAGGGAGATCACAGCAAAGAACAAGGCCATAAGTAGGAATGGGAAGGTAAACCGAGAAGTCAGGAAGTAGTGGTTCGTTCTGCGACGCATCAGCCTAGGGCTTTATTTGGTTTGTTCATTGCTAAAACCATGTTTGCCTACCCGACAAAGGCACTGGGAATATTGGTAGTGGTATCGAAATTCCGATGACTAGGAGGGTCAAACGGAAAGTCGGGATAAGAGGTCCCACATTCGCTCTTCCCATTTTCATTAACCCGACAAAGATTCCAAAAGGTCCACCGAGACAGATCTGGGGCGCCGGGAATAGTGCGCGTATCAACTTGCAAAAAGTAGATTATATTCAAAGGGGTCGAATTTCTCGCTCCACCAAGGAAGGTAAGGAACATCAACAGTAAAGCTGAGGCCGTGAAGAAAAGGCCTAGGAAGCCTAGTGCAGCTCCTACGTAAAATCACAGTCAGTGGAATGCGATTTGGGCTACCGGAGAGGGAGGATTTACTGCTCAACAAGGCCATGGTCGCTGGCTAAAGTTCGTACTTTCGGCTGGAGATGCTCGACCGTTCAACGGGGATCGGTCGTGATAGCAGTAGGAGGCTGGGATAGATGGGATGAGATCAAAGAGAACAAGGCAGGAGAAGCTGTCGAGAGCTCAGATACCTTAGAGAAATGGTAGGTAGGATAGTATGGTATTAGCTATTAAAACGGATATCCGGAGTTCCCGGTGACGTTGTCCCGAAGAAGTAGGGAAGGAGAGTAGTGATATAATAGGGAGAGTGCATCATGGGTGGTCGAAGATTCTGCAGCGTTTATCATCGTGGTGAGGTAGTGTGCATCACCGGAGATCTCAACGTCATCGTTGCAGAACTCCCCGCTAGCTGTCCTCGGCTAGCCCAAACTCTATCTCCACACTAGCCCCGATCTGGCAAGCGTGGCTTTTTATCCATGACGTTGTTGTTGCCGACTTTCCCAGCCCTCATCCTGACGTTGCACCACCCAAGCCATACAGCTCGCTGATTAGGCTGACGTTTTCTGGATCCCAGTGGATCATCCTGAAATTTAATGCGACGATTTATTTCTGCCTATCTACTTCGCCACTAGGACTAGAACTTGCTTTTCAGCCTTCACAAGGGGTCACTAGGCACATCTGGGCTAAAGAAGCCGACTACTCCCGTGATTGGCAAGATGGCTACTTGGGCATATCCGCCTATGCCCCCTGAGCGATTAAATCAGGAAGCTGATAGTGCATTGGTACTTAATTTCCCGCCCTTACTTACCAAACTTACATCAACATAGGGAGAACATGGTTGACCGAATACAATGCTATACAGGCCAAAGAGTTGGAATGGTTACTACGCAATCTGCAAGACTCTCTAGTCTCTTTGAGAGAAGGTCTCCATGAGTGCGAAGCACTTCTAGCTCCCAAAGAGCCGGGTAGCACATTAGTCCTATCGTCCCTACGATCCGAAAATGTGAAAGGGTTCGTGACAAGAGTTGGGACTAAAATTGTGAAAGGCGTACGTTCTGAAACTAAACTTTTGGCCGTCACCTCCTTGCTAAATTTCATGCCCGACAACGTGGCCAAGGACGCTAACTAGCGTCAATACCACAGGACATCCAGCTTCGTCTTAGTTCCCTTGCTTCGGTACGCGGCTTGCCCACGACACGGTTGTGTCTAGCAACTGCTCCTGGTGCTCCAGAGCTTGTGTTGAGCCAACTGGTTTCGGTGAGAAACTTGGTCAACCAGAGCCTCGATGTGGTGGATGTTAGCACCTGGACCGGCGACCCGCTCAATGCGAGTTTCATATTCGGCCAATTGCACCTACTGCATGAGACTATCTCTGAGGCACGGCAGATGCTAAAGGGCGAGAGTGATAAAGTCAGAGGCAAATGGTGGGAGGCCAGTGCACTTGAGGATGTAAGTTGTCCAGTATATGTGCGGCTCTCTCCTTTAGTGGTCGTAATTAACTCAACTGCAAAAGACGTTCGACCCCCCTTTACCCCCATCCCTCTCGTTCCATCTATCTATTGCCGATTCAGCCCTCGTGTTATATTTGAGGACTGTCGAGCCTAGCACACCAAGCCATACTCCAACGGACATCTCCTTGACGGGGTTTAACTTGCGAGATCGAATATTTGGAACTCGCCAACGTCCCCATGACGAAGCAGGAGATGTTTTTACATGGAAAGGTGAAGAGGTGAAAGTAAAAGAGAAGGTCCGGGTAGAGAGCCAGGACCCTAGCCTGATGGCCGTTATGGCCAAATTGACAGCCTTGCAGCACGAAGTATTGAAGTGGATATCAGCCTTAAAGGTTCTTATGGGTAATGAAGATTCGGAGAGCGAATCTTAGTCATGGCCTTTGTAAATACTACGTGTTTTATAGTAAATCTATACATTGGATTTGCTATGGCTCTCTAGTTAACTAATTAGCTTAGTTAAAGGTGAGATTATGTCATCCAAGTAAGACCTTGCCGGCCAATAAGAGCGACCCGATTTTTGATACGCGCATTTCTTGGCGCAGGTTTTCTGTCGGTCAGCTGAATACGCGTATGAGCTAGTATCACCGATTATATAAGAATATGGATATGCATTGAAGAAATTGAGGTCTCTAAGGTCTCTAACTATCTGAATCTATCTGGGAGAGCTGGATGAAAAAAGGTGAAAACAAAGGAATAAAGTCGGACCGAGCGGATGCTGAATAATGGGTAATATTGGCCCACTTTGGTCGACAAATATCTGCGAGGTCAGATGTTGAATAGCTGAATGAATAAATGATTGATTACTGCAGTTGAATGCATGAATGTTGCCTGTTTAGGCCAGAATGCGGTCTTGAATGTTGACCAAACCAAGCATCTTGATGAACTCTTGGTGTTTCTGGTCAGGAGAAGCTTGGTCAGTCCATCTGCGGGCATTTCCGCGGTGGGAACCCATTGGACATGGATGTTTCCATTTTGAACTTCCTGGCGAAGCCAGTGGCCATGAACATCCACATGTCTGAGCTTTGTGCGGAACATGGGGTCTTCCTTGGTGAGTAAACCGATTGTTTGGCGATTTCACATTGGATTGAGATGCAGTGTTCTGGGTCAAAGTAATTGCATTAATAGACGTTTCCACCAGAATATACTCTTCGCAGCTTCTGAGATTGCAAGAAGTTCGGCTTCAGTGGTTGAAGTGGTAACTGTGCGTTGTTTTGAAGCTCTCCAATCTATTGGTCCTCCATAGAGCTTGCAAAGGAGTCCCTCTGTGCTTTTGCGGTCTAGGTTGTCTGCAAATGAAGCGTCGCTTGCACATAGAAAAATGTGGTTCTGATTGGTCAAACCAGAAAATTCAATAGCGTAGAAGCGGGTAAAATAGAGATATGCAATGACTCGGTCTAGAGCTTCCAAATGTGCTTGCGAGGGATTTGACATAAATTCTGCTAGCTTATTAACTGTGCGTGCGGCATCTGGCCGTGAAATAACTGTTGTATAAAGAGAGGAGCCGATCTTTTGCTGATAGTGATGAATTTGAGCTGGTGAAGCAATTTCTTGGTTAGGAACTAGGTTGTGGGATCCCCAGGTGTTTTGGGATAGGTGGTCAGATCATTCAGATGGTATCTTGTAGCCATGTGCTCGATGTAGGCGTCTTGGCATAGCCACAGCTTTCGGTTAGTTCTATCCCGAATGACTCGAATTCCGAGGAACCAGCTAAGTTCTCCCATATTGCGGAGTTCATATTGAGCTTCTAAAGCTTGTTTAAGCTTTTGAGCATTCTCCCGGGCCTCCTGATTGGGCATATTGGCAATGATGATGTCGTCCACGTATACCATAAGAAGAATATGGTTATTTGTGAAGAGGCATTGGTCTTCGTTGACTGGTTCAAGCCCAAATTCTTGAAGGGTTGCAGATAGATCTTTCTGCCATAATCTAGGTGATCTGCGAAGGCCATAGAGAGCTCGAAGAAGCTTCCATGCTTTTCCTTTGATCCCATATCCCTGTGGCATTGCCACATAGATGTCTTCATCCATTAGGGCGTTTAGGAAAGCATTTACTGCATCATACTGGGTAGTTTCCATGTCAAAAGCTGCAATAAGTGCGCATATTGAGCGAAAGGTCTTGGCTGCAAGGGTGGCTGCGCGCTTTTCTTGCATGGAATGGGCTTGGAGATCTCCACGTACACAGATGCGTGCTTTTGTCTTGAGGAGATAGCCATCTTCATTAAACTTGTAGGCAAATACCCAACGTAGTGGAATAATTTGGATGCCTGTGATTGTTCCACCACTCTAACTGTTCCTTTATCTTGAATTGTCTTGTATTCCAATGCTGCTGATGCAATAAATTGGTCTCGAAGTGGGTGTTTAAGCATTTCATTCCATGAATCTGGAGGAGAAGGTAGATCGTCTCGATGGATCTTGCGCATGGAGGTGGAAGGCTGATGGTTTAATCCTATTGCAAATGCACTTAGTAAGCTGTCTGGCCAATGAGTTGCCGAGTATGCTTTAAGATAAGGGTCATTTGGCTTTTTCTTGTTGCGCTTTCCTAGGATAATGTTGTTTTCATCAACCTCCTTCCTTGGTCGTCGTTGCGGTGGTAGTTCTTGTTGCGGTTGCGGTTCTGCTTCACCCCCCCAGATTGAGCCCAATGGATGGGATTGATCTGAATTCAATGAATCTAGGAGTATTCGGCTTGGCGAATCAGGTTCTTCCATTTCAGGTGGTTCAGGAGGGTCATCTGGTTGCTCCAATTGGTAGTCTAACTGATCAGGTAGACCAGGTGGGTGGTCTGCAGGTGGAGGTGTTGTCTCCGGTGTTGGTGGAGGTTGGAATAAGGTTTCCTTTACTGGCTGTTCTGGATAAGCTTCTTGATAAGCTTGTTTTTGTGGTTCTGCCTGATTGGTTGAATTGGTATAATTCTTTTCTTTAACCACTGTTACTCCTTCAGGGGAATCATCAATCTCAACAGTAGGGGTTGCTTTTGCAATTTTTGGTATTCTAAGCACCTCGGTAGGTGGCTCTGGTGCAGCTTCTTGGATAAGGTCTTCAAGGAATGGCTCACATGGGTTGTACATGCAAGATTCATCGAAGGTAACATCTCTGGATTCGATGACCTTTCTCTGTCTTGGTTGCCAGATTTTCCAGATATTTGATGCCTTGTATCCCACTAGATACCCAACAAGCGCTCTAGGGGCCATTTTTTGTGTGTTGGCAAGGTTCTGATCTCTGAAATATGCGCGGCAACCAAAGGTGTAGAGGTTTGCAAGGTTTGGACACTTTCCGGTAAGCATTTCAAATGGGGTTTTCCATTCCAATTGTTTTGTTGGTGATCGATTGAGAATATAAACTGCGGCGTTTATTGCTTCAGGCCATAGATCCAATGGTATTCTTGCATTGATTAGGAGAGGTCGAGCCTTTTGGAGAATCATCCCCCAGAACGTTCTCCTCGGCTGTTCTGTTCAGGTTGACCGCGTACAGAGGTTTGATGGATGATCCCGTTCTGGCTGGTTAGGCTGTCGAAGTCATGGCCTAATGTTTGCTCATTATCTGATCGATAGATCTTGACTGAGGTGTTCCATTGGTTCTTAACTAGATTGGTAAAGTGGTCAATTGCACCTTGAATCCCATTCTTGCGTTGAAAAGTGTACGCAAAGTGCATGTGTGTAAATTCATCATAGAAGTGGCAACACCATTGATGTCCATTGTATGCAGGTCTTAACTGGATAAGGTCAAAGTGGACATATTCGAAAGGCTTGGTCGCTTTCTTCGATGGTCGTCGAGAGATTTGGCGTGGTGCATGGGAGATTAAGCAAGTCTGGCATTTCTGATTAAAGCCTTTTAATTGGTTGATTTGCATTCCTGTTGTTACCTCTGGCAAGTGCTGAATTGCTTCATGGTTTAGATGTCCCAGTCGGCGGTGCCATGTGTGTGCATCTCCATCCAGGACTAGGGGTTTTTCGGACTTTTTCAATGTTTTCAGTGCAAAGGCTTGTTCAGATGGCTGATTATCTTCGACTACCCATAGATCTTGAACTGTCTTTAGTCTGCAGATTTCCATTCGGTCACTCTTCCTGCAGATTCGGTCGTTTTCAAAATCCCATGTATATCCTGCTTCTTTCATGCGGCGAGCAGATAGAATGTTGGTATGGAATCCTGGGACATATGCAACCTTTTGGAGACTAATTAAGTTTGCCTTGTTAGGGAAGATGGTGACTGTCCCTAGGCCTTGAATTGCCATGGTTGAATCTCCTGCTCGAAGGATTCCTTCATACGTGGGATTGAATGAGGTAAACCGTGATTTATTATTGCAAACATGGATAGATGCACCTGAGTCCAGAATGGTACTGTCTTTTAATCGATAGGATGATTCTGTTGCAAAGCTGGCTGGGATTACCGCCATGACATGGTGTTCTTGGTTTGAACTGCCATGACATGGTGTGCATCAGTTTGACTGTCTGGTTTTTGATCCTTTTGGGCTTTTTCGATTGCGCGTTTGATTTGCTGATGCTTTGGACTTAAGATTCTGCATGATTTATTAATTTGGCTTGGATTGTTGGATTTGGCTGCCATCCTGATGGTCGAAGTGCTTATTAAGGTAGAAGCATCGGTGGAAGAAGTGGATCCGTCCACATATACAAGGTTTCCGGGGCTGATTTGAGCTTGATTCTTATCAGATTTCTTGGTATCTGATTCCTTTGACTGATCTGTTTGGCCCTTTAGAGTTGCATAAGCAGCTTCAAGCTTGGAAGACTGTCTATCTGCGTAGTCCTTGCAATATATGCTCGAAATTCGCTAAAATCTCCGGTAATTAATGGATTCATCCTTATAGAGGACATCAACGTGACTTCGGCCCAAGCTGGTGAGTGTTTTGCAATTGCATCAAGAAAATCCTGTACAGCATGATCTCCTTTGGCTTCTGTAGATCCGCAGATTGGCATTGTGATAAGCTGATTAAATAATGCAAGCCATTGGTCCAAATTGGTGTTTAACCGGTGTATCCCGTGCCTTCTTATATTTTGCAAAGATAGACTGGGCGGTTTGTCTCTTCGTTGGTTCAAGCTGTTTCTTTAGTGATCTAAGGATCTGGTAGGTTAATCCTTATAAAGGTGATGCACTAGTAGAGTTGAAACAAGCTTTGAATAGTTTATGACAGCTGCAATCCCTTGTTTGATTCGATATATTATTTTTTGGGCAGTGTATAGCTGCATTCCATCTTCAAAAATCAAAGTAATCTGGATCGTTCGGCATATCTGGGATGACTGGGTTGTTCGGAAGTCTGGGTAATTGGTCTTCCGGTGTGCTAGGATTAATGTAATCCCACACGTCTCGAGCTTTTGCTTGGCTCTGGATGAGGCTATACCAAGCGCGCCAATCATCCTGTGATTTAGGATATGGAGACCTTTGTGGGCGCTTTTCTATTTTGACTGGTTCATGTGATTGGCCGTTTCCAGGGTGTATGGAAAGGTATTGCTTTCGTGGTTTAAACGAATCGATTCCGGTTCAAGGGGTTCGATCGGTGGAATACCGCGTGCGTTGGAATTCAGTGGGACAGCGCAGGGAAAGGTCTGAATAGCTTCAAGGTTTCCTATTCAGGGTGCCTAACCGGGCTCATAACTGTCGGTCAGCTGAATACGCGTATGAGCTAGTATCACCGATTATATAAGAATATGGATATGCATTGAAGAAATTGAGGTCTCTAAGGTCTCTAACTATCTGAATCTATCTGGGAGAGCTGGATGAAAAAGGTGAAAACAAAGGAATAAAGTCGGACCGAGCGGATGCTGAATAATGGGTAATATTGGCCCACTTTGGTCGACATTTTCCCTGTTGGTCTCCAGTGGCGGGTATTTGCACCCATTCTCCCTACTTGCTGATTGTTGCTCTCAGGGTGATAGAAGGGTCTATGATGCTGTCAAGATATTCGGCAGCACGGGCGAGCCGACCATCTCCCCAGGGTCTCTTGCGCACGATCGCATATACCTGGCCGCAGCAGTTCCGCCCCGAAACTGCTAGCTTCATCGCTCGACAACACACAGGCACCTTCACGCCCAAGAACTTATCATCTAGCTCGTCCGTGGGACTTCGTCATCAAATTGACACTGGTATTAGTACTGGAAAATGGGAAGTGGGGAGACGACATTCTTCTACTGCGACATCTGCGGATGCAGACGCAGGTCCTAATACCAAAGCAAATAAGGACGCTATCTATGCTCTGATCGACGAGATAAATGAAAATGAAATGGAAATCGCTAAACTTATGGATGATCTAGACTTAATAGATGAACATTCTGGAGCACTCAATATCTACGGACCTGAATTAGACCATGCGTTTAGCCAGACAATCGGCCACCGAGATGCAGAGACTTTGGAAGCGCGCGTGCGAGCAGCAAGGCTACATTTTGGAGAGACTCTTCCCGAGGATTACCTGAACGAAACCGAGACCCGATTGTACACCCAGCTATACGGCGAGCCAATTATTCAACAAGAACATACAGCGCTTGAAATCGAGGGAAATGAGAAGGATTCCGACAGACTGTTCCGTGAAGATGGCAATGGAGGATGGGAGGAAATTGATTTTGCGCCGGCGAATACCGAGGCCGAACCTCCGCTTGTATATGACATGGAACTTGGCCCACCAGTGGACGAAACTGCCGCTATGCAACGAACAAGGGAGGTTGCCGAGCAGCTTGGTGGGGAGATCATGCTGGAACAGTTTGAGGAGGACGCAGTTCAGGACGACACACCGCGACTACACCCTCGAACAGTGGAAGGGAAATTCTCGACCGACCCCAGCACCATATTCTTGCCTAAGGATACCGTGACTGGTCCCATTTCTATAATTCTGTCAGATTTCTCGAATAAGCACATCTCAGAGACTGCTCGTCGTACATTTGGCGGTCCACGACTTCCCCTCTCTACCGTTACTCCACCTTTGCGCGCCCATGTGCCCCAAGTTCCGATTCCACTGGAAGCCTCGCAGCGGTTCATGACGGAGATGGAAGCTAATGCATATATCGCCGCCCTGTATCCTGGAATGTATGCCTCCATCCTCAGTGTTTTAACGGAAATTCGAAAGCGCTTGGGCTCGGACTGGATTCGCAACCTGATGTCGAAAGAAGGCGGTCCCCATATTCTTGACGCCAGTGCTGGTGGTGCTGGCGTTATGGCATGGAGGGACGTCCTTCGCGCAGAATGGGAGGCTATGGTTCCAGATCACCCTCAGACGAGTCCTTACCCTATGGGCAGATCGACAGTGGTTACAGGATCTGAGACGCTTCAACTCCGAGCGAGTGCGATGCTTGAAAACACTTCGTTCCTACCACGACTCCCTGACTATGTTCATGTACGCGAAAAGCCAACACTAGATGATTCGAGGGCTCCTCAGAAACGGAAACAATATGACATCATTGTCGCTCCGCATTCTTTGTTGGGCATCGAAGAGGATTACCTGCGTAAAGAACACGTCGAGAATTTGTGGACCCTTCTTAACCCTAATGGAGGCGTTCTTATCCTTCTGGAAAAGGGACATCAGAAGGGATTCGAAGCAATTGCTGGAGCCCGCGATATGTTGCTCAAGCGCCATATCTCGAGCCCTGGTTCTACACTGTACGAAGACTTTATTGATTCTCCGGGTGAAAATACGCATGTTGAGAAAGAAACCGGAATGATTATTGCTCCCTGCACCAATCATGGGAAATGTCCCATGTACCATAACGACGGCCATTCCAAGGGGCGCAGAGATTACTGTCACTTCGAGCAAAGATACATCCGACCGCAATTCCTGCAACGAATTGTGGGAGCTAAAGACCGGAATCACGAAGATGTCAAGTTTAGCTATGTCGCCGTACAGCGTGGGGTGGACCTACGTCAGAAGAATGGTATTGTGCAAGATCCCTCAGCTACTGAGGCTGCCTTCACTGGCTATGAAAACATAGATGACATGGCCGCCGAACCACAAGCATCTGAAGCGACACCAGTTGCACAAAATGAAGCTGCCAATGAAAGCCAGGCTTTCCACACGCTATCTCTCCCTCGAATTATCTATCCTCCCATTAAACGGCGTGGACACGTCTTGTTTGACGCCTGCACACCAGCAGGGAACCTTGAGCGCTGGACCGTTCCACGCTCCTTTAGCCGTCGAGCGTATAAAGATGCGCGCAAGGCACGCTGGGGAGACCTGTGGGCGTTGGGTGCAAAGACCCGCATCTCAAGAAACTTAAGGCTTGGTGACAAACACGGAGAAGGAAAGAAAGAACGGCTGGAAAGACGTGCTTTGGCCAGGGCAAAGCTAAATGACCATGATGAAGATCCTCATGACCAGCCAATAGATGATGTTGATGCCGCATCCGACTGGCCGGATCTGTCACTCCCACCAAAAAAAAAGGGTCAAAACATCCCTAGCTGGAAGAAATATGCAGACAAAAAGAAAATCAGGCAAGCTTCAAAACAGCATGCTGCTAAGAAAATGGCGCAGGATGATCTTTTGGATTAAATGTATAACAGTTTGGCAGTGCAGGGATTTTGCGGTAACGCAAGGCGTTAAACTCGGTAAATCATGGAATTACAGACGGGATAGAGTCTGGGTTGTTGTGGCATATGTGTACAATATTTGGCTGGGTTTTTCTATGGATGACTATAGACTGTGTATCTAATTGAGCTCCTCACTCACAATCAATCTCTCCATATCTCATCAGTTCGTTATTATCTATTTTATGCACATGGATATGCCAGGAAGACAGCTGTACAATTCAGAAGCTGGAAAGTCAAGGCTTGTAATCTTCCAGATAAAATTGGGCAACATATGCTCCAAATTCTTCTTGGAAAGAGAAACACAACTTGGAGTTTCACTGCCAACGGACTGCTTCATACAGGTGACACTTCATGCCTCTAGAACCGAGTTTCTTCCCAAATAGTGATAGCATACTTTCGTCGGTCCTTGTATTCATAGCAGCCATCAGAACAGAAGACTCTATATTCTATACGTCGTTCAATGCATAGGGACAGCTCAACCGGACAGAGCAGACAGACACATATAGTGAAGTGCCCATTTTACCGCTCATCTAGAATAACCAGTGCATGATTAGGGCAACATATCTCATAACGACATACGCGTCCCTTGGAAATAACTGGAGGGAAGCAACAGCCTATACCCCACACAGAAGAGCAGGGGAACAAACTTAGTTGTCCATAGTTTCGTTTCACGTATTGACTTCGACTTATTGAAAAGCCATACTCTTCCGCAACTGACGCTCTCGATGTTTGCTTTGCAACTCCAGTCTTTCAACGGCATACTTGAGCCGTTCTTTCTTCTGAATCAATCGTCTCAGCTCAGCCGCTTTCTCGGGTGCATTGGCTTTTTGTCGATCACTGAATGCGCCTCTCTGACCGCGATTTAAAGGTTCGCTGTTTTCATTAGAGTAAAGTCTACCTTCTTGGAGCTCGCATTTTGCACGGAGACCTTGTTCGCGGCGAGAAAGTTTCTCGACGTGGTCTGACGCGAGGGATAGTAGATGGGCGATGCTCGGTGTGATCTCATCAAGTAGTGCTTGCTGGGCCTCGCGTAAGGTGGGTTCCGGGAGTAATTCGAAGTGCTATATTGAGGGACTGTTAGCGATACAGAAGCTATCTGCGATATACGGGGATGCTTACTCGTGTTGTTTGCAAGACCTTTGAGAGGCGGGGAAAGTCACTAACGCCGGACTCGAGAGTCTCAATGGATGAATCGAGGACATCGAGGGAGGATTGGAGCGATGTCACTGCTGCGGAGAGTGATGCAGCCATGATGACGTATAGCGATTAGAAGCAGAAGATGGGTCGGCAGGTTGAAGAGTCACTTCCGCTTGGTGTTTGTTGTTAATTATTTGTATTGTTGTTTTTAGACCATCGGCGGGGAGTATGGCCAAAAGCGGCAACTAGAAAATTCGTTAAGGCGGCCAGATCTCGGTCTTCCGGACAAACCTCGTTGTTCCCGCTCCTCCCCGTCGCACGCTTCTCCTTCTGCATCATCTCTATCGGTTCTTCCAAGTCAGGACAATTCAAGTTTAACACTTCATCTGCCACTATGTCTCTCCTTGGAAAGAAGTTCCCGACTCCTGTCGGTGAGTTATATTGTCTCTGATTGGATTGAGATCAGAACATGAACTAACGAGTTTGGTCCTTTAGGCAAACCTATGGCTCCCTTCTTCGCTGCCGGTATGCACCTCTAGTTATTTACATGGATTCCTCGGATGTTAGAAATTGGATTCGATTGAAAGACAATTGTTATGTGGCGTGTAGGATGATGGTTATCCCGATACTGACGGAATGTGTGTCTAGGCGCTGTCGTCCTCTATGGAATCAACTCGTTTGCCAACGTCATGATGTCGAGTGAGTCCCCTGGATAATTACTTCTTTGCGATGTTTGCTCTTCGAATATGCATTCCTTGACTTAAGAGCGAATGCTTCATACACCCTCTCTACATCTGGCTAACCTCAATTTTTTAGCCAACGAGTTCAAGAACGACCCCCGCAACCCTAACGCCAAGAACGTTAAGCACTAGATGAGTCTCGGGCGAACCTGAGAACGTTGATATGGCGGACACTGGAGGAATATTTGGATGGCTTGATGCCCAGACTTCTGTTTCGCTTGTTTTGGTTTGCGGGCTGTTAGTCTGTATAAGCATATAGAATACACCGTCATCGAACATATTGACAAATTGAGAAGTTGTACTGTATCACTGTGTCGCTGGTTTTATTTTGCTATACTTTTATGCCATCTATTTAGGTCTTCATTGAAACCCGTACGGGTGTATTTTCTCCATCGCACGAAGGGGCGAGATACTCGATACTAGCACTAGTAAACGGCCTACCTTATAGAACGAAACATTTTGTCTTATCAAACCCAGTATATAGGCATGCTATGTGTACTCTAACGGCTTGGCTGGCTCGTCTATATGGTGGTTCGCCATAGAACCTGGGAGACGGTTGACTAGTATGAACTACCAATGGCATGGCAAAAGAAGGCTCCCAAAAGCAAACACGATGGTCGCGTTCAGAAATTAAATATAAAAACATACACAGCAGAAGCCCAAGGATTGCGTAGGCGCTTCGCTGCCTATTTAGTCCCCTTCAGGTGAATCCCTGCCGCTATTCACCCGCTCGGATTTCTTCACCTGAACTACTCGAGAAAGCCGCTTTTGTCGAAGTGTAGAGAGCTTGGTGGCGCTTGAGCGTCTTGCTGACTGGTTGGCTGATGCTGATGAGATAGCTGATGTACCTATCATAGTAGCAATTAAGCCCTTTCAGCTTGAGAGTCTCTGTTAATTGTTTCATCTTGCGCTTCACTCATCAAGAGTTCCACCACACGCTCAGGAGACCGATTATGAGATTGCATTAACATGTCCATATAGTCTTCAAGTTTCAGGCTCGGGTTTGCATTTCTCTGTAGCAGTAAATGGGTCACTCTAACACGTCCCATATCAGTGGCAGCCTGTATAGCAGTTCCAAGAATCCCACCCTGGATGTCGACGGTACCTGTACCACCTGCTAGTGACCCTTGTAGCATGCCACACGGAGAGCACTTCCATAGTACCCGCCTCTGAAGTTGACCGCCGCTTTAAGATGAAGCAGTGTTTGAACAATCATCAGATGGCCTCGATATGACGCGGCCTGGAGAGGACTCCCATAACTGGCCTCCCTTTCCATTAACATCGGGCCCTTTTTCCAACAGTTGGTGGAAGATCTTCTCGTCCCGGTGATGCGAAGCAGCCTGCAGTGTGTTGCCGAGGAAATCTCCTCGACCCTTCGCTGCGCCGTAGTCGAGAAGCATTCCCACAAAATCATGATTCCCTAAGAAAGCTGTGACCTGTAGACTGCTATTGACAAAATTGGCCGGTGGTGGATTTTCGCTAACATCATTAAGAAGACTCGCGACGATCTTTTTATGGCCTCCATACATGGCTCCTCGGAGGGCTTTGCCGTGTACATCCTGTCTCGAAGAAAGATCACTCGAAAGTATCTGAAATATTGTTTCTTGGCCATAGCGGCAAGCAGTTTGGAAGGCATCGTCGCCATAATGATCGCTCAGAAAGCCGAAACCCAACAAAGTTCGAATTTTCTCGGTGTCTCCGCCATGACAAGCAGCTAGTAGAGTATCGCCATTATAAAGAATTTCTACCATGGCTGAATAACCTCGCAGATTGTATAGCGCTTCTTCTCAAAAAGTCTTGCGTTTATACCTGCTTCTTGGTCAAGAAGAGTAAGAACTGTATCTGTATGTCCATGCTGTGAGGCACTTGAGAGACAGGTATTTAACTCCGATTTTATTTCTGGGACATAGTACAACAGTGGTTGAGCGGCCGCCGTATGGCCTTTTTCACACGCAACTTCCAGGGGGGACGTGAACTCGTTTGCAACATATCGGGCTCTTCGAACAATTGGATGACCGGTAACTGGCCTTCAGAGCAGGCTGCTCTAAAGGCACTACCGTACATGCCACCTGTTACATTAGTCTACTCCTCTCCCGAGTAGTAATTTCACTGCTTTGCTATTTCCCTGACACAACACAGCCTGAAGGGCTGTATGCAGAATGCCGCCTGTAAATTAACATCGGCCCTTTGATCCAATGACAACCAAGGCCAGATGGCCGCTTTGCGAGCAGTCTGTAATGGAGCACCAAGGTGCGCATGTATTCCATTGATAACCACCCTCTTTTCAAGGAGAATTTTCGCAATCGTTCATGGCCACCTGCACATGCGGCGTTGAGAGCTGTTCTGTACATACCGCTGTGGGCATGGACGTCAGCCCCTTGCGATATCAGAAGATGAACGAGGCCATCAGACCCTATTCTACAAGCTGCCTGGAGTGGAGTCCCATACTTACCACCTTTTGCGTTGACATCCACACCCTGATCAAGGATTCCCGCCACCTCTTCCTGTCCAGCTTGACAGGCCACCTGTAGAGAGTTTCCATACACCCCACGGCGTGCATTTGGGCTGTTTCCGCTATTTAGAAGCAATCTCGCTGTCTGCTAAAGGCCGGCTGTAGATGCCCAATATAGAGGGTTTAGAATATTCGTCTCTCTCGTCCATCCACTTGGCTTATACTTCCACGGTTCGTTGAAATCCCGCAAATAATGCCAAAATTTATAATTTCTTGATCTTCAACAAGGAACACAACGATCGATTCGAGCACATCAGGCCTCTATTCGCCAGATGCTGCATGATACTGCCAGTAATGAGAAGCATATCGCACCAGTGGGAAGGACTTAAATATTTCTATAACAGGCCCTCGTCCATTCAAGAATATTGGGTAGGCTAGACAGACTCTCACAACTTCACCTTGGGAAGTGATATATTCCAGGCCGTGTTAGAATCCCTCTTCAAGTGTCGCTAATTTTAGGTACTCTTTCTCTGAAGAATGGGTCAATTGGACCTCAGTTATAGAGTCCACCCCGTTCAATTGTTTCCTTTCCACCACCGATACTAAGCTGAAGCATACTCTGGTGATTTCTTGCGGATCCGGCAGCCTCAACTTTGGGTCAAATAGTGGGTTGAAATCAGGATCAAGAGCAATACCATCCACAGCTTCCTCAAGGGTCAACGGTCTTTGGGCGTGAATCAAAAACCGCAATAATCGAATAGCATCATCTCGAAGTTCTTTCTTGATGCTTCTCAAAATTCGACCGTACGTCCCCTCGAGTGTTCTTGGTATCGCAGAAAGAGCTTTTCTAAGCTGACGCAGGTTAAGGTATCCCTGCAGAATATTGATTTGGCACGCTGCCCATTGGAGCCTAACAGGAAGGGAAAATGTGTCAGAAAGATCTTCTTTAGCTGTGCCATACAGAAGGTTCGCTATTCGAAGATTTGGTCCTTCATATATCCCGTTTGCTTTTTCTATGAGCCTTTTCTCGATCTCTTCCAATACAGTTGGCTCTCACTTCTACCGACGAAACTCGTCGTAATCCCATAGCACACCACGAATATATGTCCGGATATTGATGTTGACAAAGTCCTTGTTCAGAAGGTCTCTGTTTTCTTCTTTGAGCCATCTGGGAACGCTAGTTTCCATAGCCCCTTCGTTTCTACGCGTAAACAATAGGCGAATATTTGTGTCTTGAGAGGTCATGAGAGATTCCAGCCATTCAAGTAAGTCTTTGCGTGTCTCACATTCGCTCAGGCGTTCTATGACAAGGTATACCTAGGGTGCATTGCGCAACATAGTGTTAAGAGTGGTAAGAAACGTATCGGTTTCTGGCTGTCGATGAACATATTTTGAGAACAGAGACTCCACAATCCCTCGGGAAGTCTCTAATTGAGAATAGAGCTGCAAGATTAGTGAACGACGAAGGCCCTCTAAGGACTGATTGCTGGGGTTGTTGAGGTCAAAGAAGAATTGAATAACAACGGGAGAGCCACCTATATCATCCCTACATGTGGTGCGTTGGAAAGCATCTTCAATAATCGTTGAAGAGAGCACGGTTTTCCCAGCTCCTGTTATGCCAGAACGCCATAGTGCTCAAGAACTTCTGCTTACCTTCCAGTCTTGAAAAAGTTTCAACTCGAGGAGCTATAACTTGATACCCCGACGTCTCTTTTGGAGAGCTTCATTCCTAGTACGAGACTGAAGGGCGGACTTATCTTCGGCGACTTTAAAGAGAAGAGGAAACAAATTAAAACCAACGATTAGCTTGCAGACATGTGTAGCCACCAATGGAAATAATTAAGGGATTCCATCAAGTCGATTGCCTTTTTTGATTGCTGAATACTACCGCTAGGAACATGGAGAAGCAGTTCCTTTGCGTACGTCTCGGCGGTCAAGGCAGCATATCGATGCCACCGGTCATTCTTGTGAGAATCTGCATAATCACAAATTCCTCGAATAACCAAACATGGAAAGCTAGTCATTAAGCCATCCGTTTCGAAGCAGATTACCTGACCATCCATCGTAGTGACGATCCTATCTCCCCGAATGGCGTCCTTGGTGAGAGTGTTGCCTGAGGCAATCACTCCATAGTGAATTTCTGGGTCGGTAGAGCCACGCTCTTCACCTTTAACTTCCTCGTGGGGGTCACATTTCCCACAGTCAGTATCCGGGACGTGTTCATATGTCCTTGAACAGCCGGTCATACTGAGCACCCTAGTATACACACCCCGGCTTCATCTTCGTTCGAGGCCTCCGATATATGATGGGTCACTGCACCAGTCGCTTAGATCGGTACCCACTAATGTGGAGCGGCGATGCTTGGTTCCCCTGTTTGCCTGAGGCAGCCAACAACATATCTACTGCAAGCGGTACAGCAGCAAAGACTCGATATGTGGTATTAGATAAAATTTGGATAACATTGATTCCTTGAGTTAAACCCACCTATTCCTGCTGACAACTATCCTACTCCTAGTATCGATATCGACCTTTATATAATTTTAACCTTCATCCGCCTAAACTTGCCCTGTACGATCAACGGTGATGTTTCACCATCCAGCTCGCTTTCCGTGATATGTTGAAAGACGATTCGTTTCTGAAATTCACAAACAATTCTATTTTCTTCATCCTCAACATCCGCAGATGGCTCGGAATTTCCCCAGACAGCTGCACCGTAGGTCGTCTGATAAGACCCTGGAACTTCCAGCAACAGCACGACGTTACAACGATAGCTGGAAGGGACGCCGATCACTTCCGCATCTTTTCCCAGGTATAGATCGATCAACTTGTAGATCCGCTCGTTAGCCGAGTCTCGGATAAACCAGTTGGGCTGGCTATCCACGGTCGTACTGGGGAAGTAAATCGCCGGATATTCCGCCAAAAGGCCCGTGGCTGTGCAAATGACCTGGCCCAAACCAAAACTGAGAGTCGTCTCAACCGCTCGCATGAATGTTGTCGGGGCCCAGTGAAAAGCAGGCTCGTTCAGCTTGGCGCCGGAGAGAAAGATGATATTATATGGAAGCTGGCGAACTTCCAAAAGAAATGTAGACATGCGCTTCTCCGCGGACAGGCCGGCCAGTGTATACGCATCCACATTTAACAGTCCCGATATTGCCAATACTTCGTCCTCGGACTTACTGGTCATTCTCCAGCGAAGAGCGGCGGAAATGTCACTAATGGTGAGAACTCTCTGTTTGTATTTCTGAAGCCGGAATACCTCACTCGCAAGATCGGCCACCACCCCGTTGAAGAGATCTTGCCCGCTGGGAATGAGCTCTGCCAAGGTCACTAGTCCGTCTGTTAAGGCAAAAATTACTTCGTTTGCCAGAATTCCTTCCTGGAGCGTCCATAGTCGCTGCATCCAGCCCGAGGACAGAATCCTTAATAATTTCAGCTCTCGTGGCATTGATAGGGAAGTGGATTGAATAGCCAAGTCGAGCACCAACACAGCTGCTGCGTTTCGATATGTCTGTGCCATTAGACCTATGGCCTTTTTCCTCATATCTTTCCGTTCTGGAACACAAAGGGAGTCTAGCCAGAAAGTCCCACTTGGCACTATTTTCTGGGTCATTGACATTAACCTGTCGATCTGGCATGAAGGAATGCCCACTTCAGCTGTGCTTCCAAGTCCGTCGGCCCATACATGAGATATAGCGACGTAATTTGTACTCGCGGCGTCCACTGCGCATAACCGATTTTGCGTTGCCGGGTTTCTCTCGATGACTGGAACTTTACCCTTTAAGAGCAGATTAATCACTTTGTCCCCCGCCGCAAGCTTCTCGCACACGCATCTTCCCACCACATGTCGCGGTTCGTAGTTGCCAGGGTCCGATATATTATTAACCACGCAGCCTTTCCCGCTGCATTGCCCATGGCCCCTGGACGATTCCCGAACCACCGGCGGGCAGACACTGGCGTATGCCAACATCTTGACAGTCTGAGATAGCATCTTAATTGTAAACGGACACCACCCCTTTAACAGCATATCATCTCTTATCACCCTGTGTGGTGTGAGAAGAAAAGTCCACGAGAAACCTTGACGCGGTGTTTTCACTGGAAAGACGTAACTTGACGAGACCAACATCTCAGCTAGAGACCCGATCTGCATCAAGACCTGCGCATAGTCGCATTCATCCAACCGCGCGGTGCGAAACACGCTTAATCTTGGATGCATCACCTCTATCTCGAGCAGCGCCAGGGCCTGTTTGAGCGCTGTCTGTACTCGACTAGCCCACTGGCGAGCCTGGTCGCTGTCTCCCAGGGCTCGAATGCGGGATCGCCAGTTATCAAGCAGTGCGGGGATATTTGTACTAGTGATCACTATGCGAGTTTTCTTTGGATTCTCACTGCTGGTCACAGTACGGAGCAGGGTACTCTCAGCAACTTTAGCTTCGGTCACTGCCTCCACTAGGCCGAATGTGAGCAAGGCTTGCAGCATAGCTGCTCGAAATTGGGGTGAATTAATTGTCTCTGTACTAGATGGCAATCGCACGGCTTTGTATTCTCTTAATGGGACAAGAGGGTAGCCATCGTGTATGGCTCCTAGCCAGGGTGTGTCGGCGAAAATGAAAGGAGGAGGCTTGGAGTGTTGCGATTTTAACAGTAATAGACGAGACAGCATGATAAAAGAATATTTTAGATGTCTAATCGATCAGACGAGCAGTGACGATGACGATGACGATGACGGTGATTTTCTTTGTATGTCCTGTGATGAATATGAGGTGAAGGCACGGGGGAGTCGGTATTACTTACTTACACTGCAAGTCCACCACGCCTGTAATAGCGATACCAACGAGGGAAACAGCTATTAAAGTGCCCTCTTATCTGTGAGGCTCAGTCGCATGCAATAGCATACGTAACATGGAACTGCAAGTATGATAGGTTGTTGTTAAACGACTAGAGGCGGGGCAAATGAGTCGACAGGAGCTTGGCTTATGCTACATTGCCATGGACCTCATACATGACTTATTGCTTAACAAGTCATATCTGAAACAAGCAAGGATTACGAGGTGCGATCTATCGAAATCACCTACAAGATCTACTTAGTGAATTTTCTACTTTCATTCCCTAGTCGCAATAGACGGATGTCATCAAGGTCTAGATCATACCTCAACTAGCCAACCCCCTACTAGTCGTTCTCTTTTGTATCATATCATATTGGATAAACAGCATGGATTGATTACTTAAAATACTCTCCAGTTTTGACGTCGGTTAGCCTCCCGGCCGACTATTGTGCTCCTTGCAAATTATCGGTGCTCCCAGTGGCTGTCTCGAGCCTGGTTCGTACTATTTCAGCCGGGATTCGGTTAGTCCATCGGATTATACACGCGGAAAGAGCATTTGCTATGTGACCAGCTAAGCTAGTTCGCTGAACTATGAGAAACTTTGATCTATCGTTATCGTACTTGAGCTCCATATTCGAATTCCATCGTAAATTGAATATGAGATGCTTAATAAATGGTCAGTATGTGATTTCTTCAGTAAACCAGGGGAAATAGATAAATACTCTACAGTAAAGATACTCATAGTCCCTTAATAGGAACTAGATTTAACAATAGCACCTACTCCCATTACTGGATTCGAAAATAAGTTGGGGCAAATGCATTCTAAAATGTAGCGCCTTCATGCAGATAATCATGATCATCAGTTTCAAAGAGATGTCGGAGAAGAGTGGCAAGATCTTTCCTATTACGGGAAACATTTTTCTAATGTTTTGCTGCTAGATTATACTTTGGACTTAGTACAACCTTGATATACTCAAACAATTAAACTATTCGCGAATGAGTACGTCACACAAAAACTTTGACCCACATGATAGACGTGAAATTTTACCGGACTTGAAAGTTTTCTAATTGTTTTCCTCTCCTATTAAGCAGTAAAGCAGGAAAGGTTTTGGCAGACTGTGTGCTTAGATGGCAAGCCTCCATTACAGGGAATAAGAAGGCGTTCAGGGAACAACTTTAATATTTTATTAGAAGATTCAGGCTTTCCATTTTTAGACTCTCTGTCTTCGGGCTCATTCCGAGCTTCCATCTTGAGGGAACTAGTAAGGCTTGTTTGGTATGAGATATGGAGGCCTCAATCCTTACATTTTTGAGCTGTTGACAGCATGATCATATCTTTATTCAGTACCTGGGTCCTTTTCTTAAGGCATATTCACTGGCGTTCGATTTTTTTTTTTTTTTGTGTTCTCCTTGTCATGCTATAGTAAAGCCTCGTTGGCCGCCAAGCATGTGGAGCTTGTCTTAACTCAGACAGGGTCATATTGTTACGTGACAGATCACGGGCATGCAGATTCATCAGGAACTCTGAATCAGCAGCGATGGTGGGAGGGGTTCAATGAAGCCAAGATGCGAGTTACTGGCTCTGGTGATAGGATTAGCTGTGGTGCGCGCGTCGTTATATCTAGTTGAGTTGGTGGATTTGAAGCACCCACAAGTCTGTGCAAGGCTCACGGAATATGCGTGGTAATGGGCGTAGATGAAGTGAGATGTAATGACCGACTAAATAAGCTGTACCTAATATTGCATACGCTATGAGTATTGCTTAAGTCGAAACTAATTAATCAGTCTATAGGAGCAATGTCCCGGTTTTAGGGCCGAGGGTTAGTTAAATTGAATTTAATCCGGCTGGAGGCTTTTATTAACACATATTATACCCCCCAGCAACATGCCAGTTAAAAGCTCCTGCTTGATATAATAAGGTAGGAAATATCCAGACCTAATTTGTAACGCTTCTGGTCCGTCAAATTAAGTTTTTAAGCTCAAAATTTCGTCCACGCCAGAAAGACATCTCTGAAACATGGAAGAATATAAATCTCCTTTGTTTCCCCCTCCCAAGTAAGACCTGCAGTGTTAATAAAGGTCAAGACGCAAGGACGCCCCTCTCCTTAGTCACAATGGACGACATTGCGGAAGATTTCGACTATCCTGACCTGAGTATTATCGAAGGAGTCTTTATCTGGGGTGTTTCCACGTGAGCCTTATACTAAAGTGCCAGTTTGTTACATGTGCGCTCTACGTATCTTTTTCACAAAATACTGGGCGTAAAACAGACCTGTATCCAGGATTATACACAGCCCACGAGGTGGAAAGCTTAAGGTATTGGAGAAAGCCTGGTTTACTCTCTACCGTATGAGCCAGTCAGGCATTGTACCAAACACTTTTACTCATAGCCTCTAACTATGGTCAATAGTTCTCCTTAAACCACATGAGGGCTCTATGCAGTTCTCCGGTATAGCACAGTCGACCCGGGCTAATAGCGTTTTCGATGACATATACTATGTGCCATGGGAAACACTCGTGGACCTTGTTGGAGACCCACCAAGGAAAACACTAAGGAAAGCGTCAGTAGTGGTTCGCAGCATGCCTTCGCATAGCAACCACATCTTTATATTCAAAGTAATCTCATACCCGGTGCATTAGCTCCGCTGGAAGGAGGGGGAAAAAATGTACTTCTGGGAATTTTGGGAGAGTTTGGATCCCACCCTCTTTCTTCGTTCTCTGCTCATCCGAATCAGGGTTTGAACTCGGCTAGTTCTCACGGGGTCTGCTCGGCATACGTTGTACAAATAACTAGTTAACAATCATACTAACACCAAGTAGGCTGCCAAGGTTACCTTCCATCACACCATCAAGATGGCCAGTTTTGTCCCATACCTTTCCTGATCCATAGGATTCCTTCCTACAGTTTTGACGGAGAGCATTCAGTATGATATCTAGCTGCCCCTCGCAAAACTTTCCTATTCCATGCCAAGTAAGTAATTCCCAGCAACGGGAATGAACGAAGTAACCAACAACTTCGAGTTCTAGTTCTGTATCTTCAAACAGGTCTAGTACCACTGGATGCGCCAGGTGCTTTAATCCGGACGAAAATTTTCTATGAAATCAAAGACATCCTAGGCTTAGATTTGGACTGGCAGTTCTTGTGTCTAAAACTGGAAGAGTTGGCCAAGACCTCGAAAGATTTGTATTTGCGTCGGCATATCCTGCAATGTCTGGATAAAGTGGAAGATATTGTGTGTGAAAACTTGGAGGGAGCTGAATGATGTCTTATGTCTTTACTTGCATTCTAGAATGCCTAATGTTCTAGAGTCATAATCCACAGAGAGTTAACTCTCCGCGGCTGTGCTCACAATCGCATCTTCCCAATTGTGAGCATTGCGGATCTTAGGCCGCACCTGCCGATTCCGGCAAAACAGAAACCAGTAGAAAAAGGCGCTGCTTCATGGAGATGGATAGACAGAACCAGCGTCTTCTACGCTGAGTGCTGCATTGCTTTTTTGCGTTTAATCATTTCGACATCAAACGTAGGAAGTAGCATATCTTGTTTAATAAGTACTGCTGTAGTGTGACACTGAAATTGGCCTGTAGTTCTGTACGTTAAGCAAGACTGCGTATATTCCAGCGAATATACAAAATGCGTCCTGCAAATGTACTGTTTCTGGAATCATTTGCGCCGTGCTTTGACCATGCTGAGGCTCCCCACAACATCTGGCGCATCACTAGTACCATTTATTTGTTCTCTGGAGCCTATCAGACTCCAACATAAGCTGACGCCCTCTATACTTCCAATCGGGCGACCATGGAATGCTTGAGATTCTTCAGGGTCTGATGCTTTCGTTGCTCAAGCGAAGGATAGCAGAGTTAGCTGCTGGTCAGGCTCAGAACCATGACGATATTGATGATTTAATATATGCCCCGGAGTATGAGGATGACTCCGTACTGGTCAGTGTATTTCAATTGTTCATTTTTGCATACAGCAATGCTCAAGCTCAGTCCATCACTGTAAGTCCATAGATGGAAAACGCAGTCATTCGGAACAGTAGAGCCCATCATCTCCCCTTCCCAATCCCACCCCAATGTCCAGTGTAACCTGTCATCGGTACTTTTCTGCTCTGTCAACTTTCACGGCTCTGTATCTAAATCCTCCAGGCCCGCACAACCCGTGATAGCGTCACAGAAAACTGCTCCAGGTCGCTCTAGAAGTCTGAATCTTTCCTCCATTATTAAGGCATTCTTAAGAGATACAGTCCCACTTGGAAACATTCTAGGATCCTTAGTACTAACAACCCATATACAATCTCATGGGGGATTTCAAAGACTGGCGACCATCGATGGACTTCATAGCACTAACACCGCATAGACGGACGCGCCCCGGACCAACACCCTCACCTCCTACCCAGAGTTCATTCGTGGACTGGGAATTGTACCATCTCTCTCTAAATACTCGAAATTCACGACAGAAACGGTCCTGTTCGGCTTGATCCCACGATTGTTCCGTTGATTCTTAGCGGTTGACCTAAGAATCCCAGTTCCAGAGGTCCTAGGGCAGCAATCCATATACCGTCTGAGAAGGGATAGCATGTGGCAAGACCACTGCGAATGTTATGTCGTGTTGCAAGGAGCGAGCAGTTACTAGATTGTACTATATCCCTTGTCTCCAACTCAGTCACCTCAGGCTGGGGGTGAAGCTGCTCTTCCGGATGCCGGGCAAGATAGGGTGAGAAGCGAGATTTAGAGCCATCAGTAAATACTCTACAGCAAGAGAGATGATAATGCTGATAGAAAAGGCTAAGAAGACAAGTTTGAAAATCTTTGATTTGGGTCGAGTCGAGTTAGAAGCCTTGGCGGCTTGTTGATTCACACTTTTTTCACGTCTGACTGCTTCATTGTTGGCTTTCGGATGCACTTTGGATGTTAAGAAAACACTCATATGCCGTAGCCTCATGTGGTTTTGATATGACAAAAAGGTGAGAGAGTCGATTACTTATGCATAGATTCCCGCCAATTTTCGTCCTAAAGTAGCCAAGGACAGCACGTACAATGCATATCAGTCAATCAATTTATATACACTGCAAATTGCAGTTGCCATATAGTATCTCAATCAAACCGTAGACATGGAATCAATTAGCTATGCAAGAAAGGGTACGTCCTTCCGCGATCATTAACCGGTCCACCCTAAACCCGATAAGGAAATTCCCGTGACTCCGGCCAGGACTTCGGAGAATCAATCGAAAAGCGTTGACGCCAGTCTGGCTTGGATTCTCTTGCCTCCGTTCATTCTCTAGTCCATCAATTTGCAATGTCGTTCTTCCGCTCCAAAAAGCTGGACCTTGGCGGGTTTGTCAATATCCGAGTGATTCGCGACCACACCAAGCGCAAGGTTTTCGAGCAATATGAACCCGAACGGTACTGTTAGCCCTTATCTATCCTCCTAGGAATCTTGTTCTTGTCGCATGGTCCTGGGATTATCAGGATGTATGAGAGAATTGTGTCTAATGAGAATTTTGCTATAGACAAGCTTTGCGCTACGTGATCCGCAACACCTCCCTTCCACAGCGTGTGCGCGCTCAGGCTCAATTGCAGCTCTCTCAGATGCACGCCTACACCCGACCTACTCAGATCAAGAACCGCTGTGTTGCTGGTGGTATTGCCAGGAGTGTTATTCGCGACTTTAGAATTGCCAGAGTAAGTGGAGAACAGGTCTTGGGGGGTTGTCGAGATTCTATTCAAGTTCGGATGGGCTAATGCGATGCATTATCTAGTACCAATTCCGTTCCCAGGCGTTGGCGGGTGAGCTACCCGGTGTGAAGAAGGCAAGCTGGTAGAAATATATAGTAAGAAGGAGTGTATATTGTGTTGGATTATTTTCATTGCAAACCTTAGGTCGCTGGTTTGCACGATGGCGTTTGTTCTCTGCCCTTGGTTTTAAGAAATGTATCATACTCTAAAAGATTCGACTGCGAGTGGATTACTCGATCAATGTTGAATGATATTACATGAGAAGCTTCTTGTGAATGTTTTCATTATGTACGGTGTCGACAAGTTTGGTCAGTTGGATTTGAGCCAGATTAACTGTTTGCTTCACCTGCAGAATATCAGGCCATCTCTTTACAATACACCTGATTGTTGGGAGTTATTCACTAGGCAAACAGACGTGCTTCCTTCATAGTACGTATATTGTCGGAAAGCTGCAGGTGGCTTTCTCACTGTTGCTTTGCCTCTCCACCTCCCCGTCCTAACCTACTGCCATACCACTATACCGTCTACATCACTTCTTACATTATCTCAGCCTCGATCATTTACACGATGTTCGTCTACCGTCGAGAAGACCTCCCACCAGAGCCAGAGTTTCCAGCCCAGCTAGATAAACTTGGGTAAGACATAATCGACATTATACTACCTCAAAATCTATCTCTCTAAAGAAATACAAAACAAACAGATACTTCATTAACGACAAAGATCAAATCCGCAAGATCTCCCATCCAGACCATGAATTCCAATTCAAGATCAACAAGAACCCCCGGTGGAACGAGATGCAAAGAGAAGCAATGAACAGTACGTGTCACTCTGGCGCCATCCAGACTGCGAGATACAACTCCTCTCTAACTTCCAGTTCCTCTAGACTGCGTTCGAAACATCATCTCCTCTCGTCTCCGCGCCCTGAGCTTAACCACTCTGAAACTCCCACTTCTCTCTACTCCAGGAGATGCTCACGTCCCCATCCTGGTCTCGTCCAACCTGTCCACGGCATCGCGCATCATCGTCGTCTTCGGCGAGCCGAGCCAGGACCTCGGCGTCTGGGCTTACCGTAGCACCAATACCGATGGTATTGACATCGGTTCAGCCGTCTGCTTTGCGCGTGCCGTGCTCCATCCGGAGGCACATAACCTTGGAGCGAATAACGCAGAAGCATCAGCATCGGAATCGGAATCAACCCCGGCATCCGGACCCGGGTCCAACCGCTCTGGAACCGCACTAATAATTGCGAACACAGGCCAGTTAATCTGGCACTGTGGCTCCCAGCGCGCTGTCACGCTGCAGACCTGGCTGGCGCTGCCTCGTGCATCGGCCGTGGATCCTCCGTTGACGATGACGCGGAGGAACAAGATCCCAGGCAACACTAGCTGGCAGGAACATATTGACTGCGTGTTCGATGAGGTCCTAGCAGCCGGTAGTCGACTTATTCGAGAAGATGCTACAATTCAAGTCGTCGGTCTGGTAGATGGAGGGTTGGGAGCTATTCGATATCTGGCTAGTCGTTGTATGTCTTCCCTTCCTTCCTATCTTCCTCGCTTCAGTATTATTGAAAGTCCCATGTTGCACCCGCGGTTTCACTAATGATATATAGGGGAGACATGGCACACTCGCCTCTCATCTATTTGTCTCAGTAACCCGCTCCACTTCACGCACATCGACCTCGTGGATGATGACAACAATGACTCTGGGTCAGACGCCCATCCCTCAGCTATGAAGCCTACCCCTTTTGCGTCATTCATCTCGACTCGGTGTCGCGCATATGTCCTCTCCAATCAGCCACTTGGGCTACCCGTCCGGGGATTTCAGGACCACGGCTGTAATTGCTATTCGTCCGGAGAGGAACTGAACGTCGAGTGTATCATGCCCAGGGCGTGGAAACATATGCTTGCTTGGTTAGATTTGACGTATTCGGATCCGGAGTATTGTGAGTCTAGGTTTGAGGTGCGTGAGTTCAGTGAGGATTTGGTGTCTGGGGATGTGGAGGTTGAGGAAGTTATTGATGGTGACGAGGGCGATTAAGGGGCATTATTCAATGGGTTTTATAGTAATAGGAGATCAAGGAAGCTCTAGTACGGGTGGTCGGTGGTGTTTATTCTACTTATCCGGTTAGAGGATGGCAGTTGGGGTTGAGGCGCACAAATAGGTATTTCTAGGTCGTTTACGTTTATTTGTTTCTTTCTAAAATTCATACCGCTTCTCTATGTAGTTCGAATCTTTAATCACCTAATTCACATAACTACTTGGGAATTCTATACTTATGGATTAAGAAATCGAAGAGTTGCGATAGGATAGTCTTATTGAACTAAGTGTGAAAGACTTATATTGAGAATAGACGGCGAGTAGTGAAGCATCTCCACGCAAGGAGTCGGTGTAAGGAGGTGGCGTCGCTATCTGCATCCAGTAGAACTCCAGAGACAGAGGTTTCTTATCGGAGCTCAAACTAACAGGCTTCAAAGCAAAACGTGCAGTACCTTACGCATGGACATCGGTACCAAACACAGTAGATCGTCACATCGTTCCATTCCCAACGTGCTGAGCACTTGGGATTTCAGCCTTCTATTTTCTCTTCACTCTAGAACAAGCTGAGATAGAGCCAACGTCTTCACTCCTATTGTTCAAGGAGTAAGAGAATATACGTGCGATCTCGAGTGGGTCATCGATCCTGGTCTTCGAGGAATCCTCGATGGTCTTTAGGTTGATGCGCTGCGCCGTCCCGTTCATGCTAACCATGTATAATACGTGTCACAATTAGATATGTCTGGTACTTCGCAGCAGAAGTATTTTATCAGTTTGAAGGATGGGGCCTTACCTAAGATACTACTTTGGCTGTACTTAAGCCAGATATAAGCTGTCGAGAACTCCATGGTAATACCACCAAACTACGGCTCACCTGGAGTCCAGGGGTTTTTGGCGACTGAATGATATTGTTCACGCTAAACTAAGCTGATTAGCGGAATTACATAAGGAATACAAAGAAATGACGGTTGGAAGTATCAAATTCTATCGGCACCTGGGACACCGAAAGAGGATCGTAGATACAAAGTCAATCGAAACGGAACTTGTTGCTGTTTTAACCTAAGCGTTGCTTACTTTAACAGAAACGATTAAATATTTCCGGTCCCATCGGCCACTTCTCGATAGGTAGCACGCCTTCGATCATACCACGATTCTTGAAATACCAACCCTCTAGATTGATGAGAAATTTCCTGGCAGCAACGGTGTACATAACTTGCTGATTGAGATGCACAACAACATGCGTTCAGCGAGGCGTCTTAGCTGAGAAATATCTGGTAACCAGAGATTGCCCCTGGACGGAAGATGATTCTTCAGACCCATCGACTCGAGGCACTTCGGGTCGATCAGCCCTTTTAGGCTCATTTTGAAAGTAACAAGAGAATGTGTAAGGTAAACAAGATGAGAGGGAAAAGGTTTGGCTTGTTGCTGTCAATATATCAAGATTTATCTGGGTAACTAAAGCCTTGTTTGGCCGTAAAACAAGATATTCATAAAACTGAAGAGAAACAAGTAACGAAATCAGACTAAAGAACACAAAAACAACAAACACGAGGGGTATTTCTGATGAGGCCTGTATTCGTAGGGGATATGATCATGGTTTATATTGCGGGTTGTGCAATGAATCCAAGGCATAAGTACTACTTCTGATATGCATGTTGCTTGTATGTACTGTGTGCCCGAAGTGAGCACCTGTAAGACATCGAACCAAGTCCTACTCCGTACAGTAGGTAAACAGATTGCTAAAAGAGTAAAAAGACGGTCTGGATCCGGGGGGTTTGGTCCTCAGGCCAATGAGCGGACTGTCGCATTTTGGCCTTGTGCACGAGGCTGTGTTAGGCAGCGATAGTCGGGTTAGTGACCATAGCATCGTATTTTGCATTTGGTCTAGGCTCGTTCCGACGGTTTAGTGTCACCGGCCGCATCATCACGAGGGAGAGGATGATCTGATGGACGATGGACCTGAAAGCCCCCTGGTTGGATGGAGAAGCAAGATGAAGAAGAAGACGACGATGAATAAGAAAGAGCAGGAGAGGCTTAGTCAAACCCACCCGTGTGTCTTGGCGGAGATCATCTGAGCATGGACAGCCCTAGAAGAGTCTTTTGAATTTTGAATTTTCTACGGGATTTCAAGAATTTAGAAAAACCCCCTCTTAGTCGCGGACGGAGACTTCCGATCCGGAGTCAGCTGGATCATCCGGGAAATAGTTTGTACAGATCAAGTCTAGATACGGGGGAAGACTATCCTATTCATTTTCATCCCACACAGAGTCGGTACTAAAACAATCGAGTAAAAGGATATCCTCGGCAGGCGGTCGAGTTTCGATCGAGTAAACTGCCTGAGGAGACGTCCGATGACGGATGCCGGAGGCGCCCGATGCAGAACCACGGTTTGAGGGGGTGCCGAGCACGTTGTGGATTCTTCTGCTGGTGTTCACCTTTGTCAGCACGGCCGTGGATTCGGTTAGTTATTTCCCTTCCCCTAGGGTTGCTCAGGATAAGATGGCCCAAAGAGGTAATGGTGAGGGTATCACGGAGTCGCCACTCTGAAGCCTGCCTTGGGACTAGACAGAGTAGGCAATCTTCTCGCCGTTTCCTTGGAACGACAAAATGTTCACGAGGCCTGGGCGACACCAACGTGCGCGGTGATTGCTTATCGCAAATCGATCGAGTAAGAGAATAGAGACTGGCCGTTTTTCACTGGGGAACCCGGTGGTACCGGTGGATCCGATCCCCTATTGTCCAGTGGATCCGGCTGCGTATTTTTTTTTTTTTTTTTCTCGGCCTCATTCCTGGCGATTTTCTCGTTACTCGATCAGAATTGCTGGCCAGAATCCAATTCAGGCTAACTGTTGGGGAATGGCGACGTTATAAATTGTGTTATCGCTACCCCGGATTTGGGCATCAAAATCTGCGCCTTTCTCTCGCTCTCTCTTCGTTGGAATTCTTTCTGGCCTTTATCAGTGCGTTATCAGTTGCTTATCTCTGAGTCTGTTTCGTTCCACAGTTTCACTTTCGTTCTTATCGTAGCCCTCTTTGTCCCTCTTTGCCTTCCTCTCTTCTCTTCTTCTTCTTTCTTTCTCTTACCGTCTCTTCCTTTCGTTAGCCTCACCTTCCTCCTCCTCCCCCCCTCCCTAAAGCAATGGAGTCCTCCCTGGTCCCCTCCATTGCGGTCATTACCTCGTCGCGAGCCGTCATCTCCGGCCGTCTGACATCGGCCACCATCGTTGTATCGCGCTCCACGGGCAAGATCACCGCTGTCTTTGACTCCGTCATTCCGGCCTCCGACTTCCCCGAGGGCACTCCCTACATCGATTATTCGCCACATGTATTGCTTCCCGGTCTCGTCGACGCTCATGTCCATCTTAATGAGCCGGGCCGCACCGAATGGGAAGGGTTCTTTACCGGAACCCAAGCTGCCGCCTTCGGGGGGGTCACCACTGTCATTGATATGCCACTCAATGCCATTCCCCCGACCACCACTGTAGCCGGCCTGAAGGAGAAAATCCAGGCCGCTCAGGGTAAGTGCTGGGTCGATGTCGGTTTCTATGGTGGTATCATCCCCGGCAATACCGGCGAATTGAAGGAGCTCGTCAACCAGGGCGTCCGCGGCTTCAAGGGCTTCCTGATCGACAGTGGGGTGAGTATTCGACTTTTCGGTCTTTGGATTCCCTCCCCTGATGTGAACCCTGATGAAGACGTATCAGTGCTCACCGTTTTAGGTGGATGAATTCCCCGCTGTCTCCTCGGAAGACATCCGAAAGGCCATGTCCGAATTGGCCGACGAACCCACGACGCTCATGTTCCACGCCGAGATGGTTCCCCCCATCACGGCGTCCGACTCGGATGCGATGCAAACCCCCCAAGGCCCCGTGGAAGCCTACTCCACCTTCCTGGCCTCGCGCCCCTCCTCGTATGAGACCTGTGCCGTAGAAGAGATCCTCTCCCTCGCGCCTCTGGCCCCGAAGCTACCCCTGCATATCGTCCACCTGTCCGCCATGGAGGCCATTCCACTATTGCGCCGTGCCCGTGCCCAAGGCATCCCCATCACGGCCGAGACTTGCTTCCACTACCTCTCCCTGGCAGCCGAGGAGATCTGCGACGGCGACACCCGTCACAAATGTTGTCCGCCGATTCGCTCCCAGCTTAACCAGGACAGTCTCTGGGCCGAATTGGAACGCCACGCAGAGGACGGCGCCATCAAGACCGTCGTATCCGACCACTCGCCCTGCACCCCGGGTCTCAAACTCCTCCCGTCCCACATCCCCGGCCACCAGCAGACCACCACTGCCACCGTCAAGAAAGACAAAAACCAAGGCAGCTTCATGTCCGCCTGGGGCGGCATCTCCTCCGTGGGTCTGGGTCTTCCCATCCTATGGACCGAGCTCAGTCGTCGAAAGGGCTTGACCTCATCCCCCGATGACACCAACACCAAGCGCGCCCTGCAGGATATCGTGCGACTCTGTTGCGCCAACACAGCTGCTCAGGTGGGTCTGGAGCGTCAGAAAGGCGATCTAGTCCCGGGTTTCGATGCAGATATCTGCGTCTTCGACGATACCGCCGAGTGGGTCGTCGAGCCTAGCACCATGCTCTTCCGAAACAAGTGCTCGCCCTACCAGGGTCGTACCCTGCGCGGCCAGGTGCGCGAGACATGGCTGCGCGGTGAGAAGATTTTCACTCGAAATTCCGGGTTCGGTAGCAAAACTCCCACTGGTACTCTGCTCCTAGAAAAACGGGTTTGAACTTAGTTCTCGCTCTCTCTCTCTCTCTCTCTCTCTCTCTCTCTATTATATCTCCCGAGTCGAGAGTATTGACAATCGGACAGTCAATTCCGAATTGAAGTCACCATCACATCACGACAACGAAGCGAGCTTGACCTGACTTGACTTATGATAATATTCCCCCTCCTGATGATCACTAATGACCTTTCCTTTGTTTATCCTTTTTTCACAGCGGCATATGCATGAATAGAGTTACAGAAGTGACGATGTAGATCTTTATATTTAGTTGCATCATAGTTTGTTTAATAGAGGGAATACCGCTTCAAGATTTTTAAGTATTTTTCAACTCTCCGTAAATAAGTTTGAGTCCAGATGTTGTACTTGTATGGAATCAATTCTCATTGTCCGAATTATAGTCTTTGGGTTGACAACAGATATTGTACATTGGAGTCGAGGGTTTGTAAAACTCGACGGGTATCAAGAACAGGTCGTCCTAATCATGGTCAACGGGGGACCTTATCACTTACTCATTCCCCATCCTTCTTCTCATTCTCCTTCTCCTCCCACCGTTCCCGCACTCTCCGCCGCAGTCCACCATTCGGTCCTCGGCCCCAAATCTCCTCTTTATTTCCATCCGGGATCTTCTCAACTGCATCGTCCCTCTTGGTGTTCACTGTACCGCTCACCACATCACTCTCCACCACCACTTTCCTTTCCGGGATACGCTTCTCACGCGCCCGCGCTTGTTCCACCTTGCGCAAGTAAATAGCGTAGATCAGCACCTCTGCAACACAGACCACCAAGGCCGCTAGAAACGACAGCAAGATGCGCACAGGCTCTGAGACCCCATGCACACCAGTCTGATTCGACAATCGCCAGGTGGACGCTACCAAAGAGAATAGCAAATCTGGGGTATGAAAACTGGTCAACGCCCAGTAGACACTGAAGCCAGTGATGAGAACCGAGAGAAAGATATTCAACACAAGCGATGGTGTTAGCGCATCCGGACCGTCGACTGTATCGTCCGTGGATGACATCGACTCATGGATGGCCGAAAGCATTGGTGTGGAGGAGGAGAAGATAGACGCTGGAGCTTGCGTAGATGTAGCCATAGTCGGTGAAGTCATGCGGTTATACTCATCTGCTTCAACGGCTGCGAGAAGGCGGGCTTTAAGAGCCAGATATTCCGGGCTCTGTGGCGTTGGGTATCAGTACATTGACTTGGGATGAGATGCAGATAACAAATGGCTGTGACGTACAGGTTCAGGCTTCTTCGGTGGTGGTGGAACGTACACCTTCGTCCCGCGGAGGAGAGAATTCAAACTCCTGTCATCATTACTGATGTTTGTCTCTGTCCCGGTTCGAAAATACCGAGCCAGGCGAATCAACTGCTTGTGTGAGATCGGAGCCTCGAGGGTTAAGCTGTCCGGGAGGTCAAGTTCCTGACGGCGGGAGGAGGGGACATCCTCAAAGGCCGAGACGATGTGGGCAGTGGTGACCAGGAGGACCATTATTATCGGAGCTTCTTATCGATGACAGTCCATGGTCGATGGAGAGATGTGAGGGAGGTGGAAGAGTAAAAACAGGAGAGAGAAGCCGGGCGGAGAGCGGATGGAAGTAAACATGCGACCTTTCCTGAACCGGCAGCCTGCTTCCACCCCACGTTGACTTCCATTTATTCGGTCATTCACCCGCCCTCATTTCGGTTTCCTCGACTTCTGGACTGGCCCTCGGCACATGTCTAGACTGTCACAATGGCAGACACAAAATCCTCTTCGTAAGTACTCCCAGCAGCGACAGATCAGAGCATAAGACAAAAAGAACGAACGAACGAAAACCCTTCCATTCTATACCCCTCGTGCTCCAACCATCAAACCTTTTCTCACCATGACGTCCACCAGCTAACAAGCACCCAAGGACAGTAACGACTCAAACAAATCCCCGCGGTATCCCCGTCGCCCCCTTCGTCGACAATGTAAATGACTACGTCTCGTCCCGCGCGGACGTGGAGGCCACTCTCCGCTCGTTCCAAGAAATGATCTCGAAATACCAATTCATGGAAGTGAACACACAACGACGAGCTGCCGGCCTTCGCGAGAAGATCCCCGATATCAAGAAAACGCTGGATATGGTCAGATTTCTCAAGTTGAGACGAGAGGCCAACTCTGCTCCCCTGGAAACCAACTTTGAGTTGAACGATACCCTCTACGCGCGGGCTACAATTACCCCCGAGGACACCGAGGAGGTGTACCTCTGGCTCGGAGCGAACGTTATGTTATCGTATCCAATTGCTGAGGCGGATACTATGCTACAAGATAAACTGTCTGCTGCTGAGACGAGCCTATCGCATTGTGACGAGGACTTGGAATTTTTGAGGGAGCAAATTACGGTATTATCCCCAGCTCTCTTGCATTTTTTTTTTTTTCTCGTTCATTGATTTCATGCTAACTGTTTGGCGGATAGACGTTAGAAGTGGCTACGGCTCGTGTCTATAATTGGGATGTCGTGCAGCGACGAAAAGAGAAAGCAGAAGGGAAAGGTGGTGATGATGAGGATGACAAGGCCCGCCCTGGAGGTTAAAGTTGGCTGCGACATATTTGCACTTCACACTTTGGCTGTGTCTTTTCTTGCCCCTTTGTTAAAAATCTTTCCCTCTCCATCTGGTCATGTATATCCCTGGCATGTCCAGACAAGCCAAATAAAAGAACGACGACTCTCTCATTTTACGTATCCATTTGGGATGTATAGTAGTTTGTATTTCCTTCGTCAAGCTCATAAAAACATTCTATCAAATCTGGTAAGATATAAAAAAGGTTGCCCTCTCTGCATCGTGCCCAAAGCAAACTAACACTAAAGATTTAGCAAAGTAGCCAGTATAGCTACCAAGGTCATCAATCATTACCCAAGAACATGCAAAAGTTACAAAGAGGGGCGTAACATCGCTGAAAGACCATAGCACAATCCAGATCCATGCATTCTGTATGAAACAGGCCCAAAAAAAAAGGGCAAGAAGTCTGTGGAAGTCGACGAAAGAGCAGAAATATAAAGTAGTGTCGCCGGTCAGAGGTTATGAAAAGACCTCACATTCAATCGCTAAGAAGTGCCCCCATCATCATGGAAGAGTATTTATGATGAAGCTTCTTATGCAATCTTAGTGCTGGCATAACCGGAAACTGGTTCAGGTAACATATCTGCATCGGATATGGCTCTATCTCGCACTCGTCTGGATATATCGATATCTGTGTCATCGCCAACGAATGTCCACTCTTCAGAATCAGTCATACCATCATCTTCTTCCTGTTCGGCTATAGTCTTGGCCGAGGGTGTTGGAGAAAATGGTGTCGATGAAACAATGGAGCGCTGTCGAGCCAGTGTTTTGGCATATTCGAGGTCGCGGTACACTGCCTGGATAGCAGTCTCCACCCCGTTCTCCTAGCTTGACATCAGCAAACATCCTACTGATTAAAGCACGCTTGAAGAACTTACACTGCGTATTTTCACGCCTAATTCCCGAGCTCTCATGATCATTCGCTCACTATGAGTGGCCTCCCACAAGGCCCGTGAGAACACACTCACGTTCAGCTTCTTCATGCAAATACCCACACCCAAGTCTTGAACCCGGTTACCAAAGAAAAATTGGTCCCCGAAGAAAGGTTTGACAATGGTGGGAACACCTGCCCGCAAGCTTGCCCCAGTTGTTCCAGCCCCTCCGTGATGGGCGGCAGCATCTATCTGTGCGAACAGCCAGTCGTGTGGAGCTGCCTGGATCTGCATGATTTCTGGAGGTAGAGGAATCTCTGGTTTTGCACTGGCAGGATCTCCCAGACGATCTGACCACCCTTTAGACAAAATGCAGCGCACATCAGCCTTTTGAACAGATTCTATGACTGTCCGTGTTAGAGCAGACGGATCTGATACCACAATTGAGCCAAACCCAATGTACACAATTTTTTTACCATCTTTGCGCGCACGTTGAATGAAATCAGTCAGCTCAGCAGGGGGAGACCAGTCAGTCCCTTCACTAAGGAACCAATATCCAGTTACACGGATCCAGTCGGGGTAGTCCAACGGTGGGGCGACTACTGAAGGAGAGTAATTGTAGAGGAACGGGACCTTGTTCGGTTGCATCTTATCCAGGTTGGTCGCCTTCAACCCAAGCTCATTCTTTCTCCATCGGTTTACCTGTCCAGCTATAGCCTTCCAAAAAACAGTATCGAACATAATATAGGTGATGTGGTTGTATGAACCGCCTAACTTATGCTCCGGGACCGCGAAAGCGTGGGGGTAAGCTCGGGTTCTGCTCCAAGGCATTGTGAACGCGCGGAAGTAAGGGATCCTGAGTGCCTCCGCAATATGGATTCCTGCCATCGCACTGGGTGACTCTATGAGGAGATCACTGTCTTGACAACTCGCCCACGCAGAAGATAGAAGGTCGTCGATCCATCCCCGAAATTTCATAGATGCCTCTTTGAGAAATGAATACGTGAACATACCATTCTCCACGCATATCCGCATAAGCTCTGCTGGATCTCCGTCAACTGGGGCAAAATCAATGCCATGTTTTCTTATCCATGGCTCGAACTCCGCATGGGTCGCAATTTTGGGCTTATGCCCTTCGGCGAGTAGCCCTTTGCACAAGGCAATGTATGGCTGTACGTCACCACGCGAGCCAATAGTAAGGCATGTAATTCTCAAGGGTTCAGAGGGCTTGAAGTTGATAATCGAAGCCCGAGTGTCATCAAAGATGGGGTGAAGCTCGGAAGACTCATCTAATATTGTACGGGTATCATACTGGCCGGTAGCATCCTTCCTAGCCTCTTGCAACATAAGATGCTCTGCCTTTGCGGCTTCGGACTCGTCCTTTTCCTGTTCTGCGAGCATGCCAGATTCTGCCAAGAATCTAACAGACTCTAGACCTTGGTGTAGTGTCACAGCGCAATCATCTCGGGCATCGGAGGTGTTAAATTCAAAAAATAACTCTTCATGGCCCCGAATGACGACAACAAGTCCGTGGTAACCAAATCGAAACCCTTTTTCCTTTTCAACGTTTTCAATGTCTTTCAAGGGAAGGATCATTTTTGTGCGAGTCCCCGGGATAAGGCTGCGAAAGCAAAGCTTTTTCTGGCTAATATAGATCTTACCATACAGCGGAAGAACGCGGTGCAGATAGGCAAAGTATGTCGCTTGGAGCCTTTCGGTTGATGGCAGGGTGAAGTGGGCCCGAAAACGATCCCCATGTCCGCAGCCATCTTCCCTATCTTCAGGGTCGACATCTTGGTCATCTGGTTGTACTCCTTCGCCTTCTCCATAATGCTTGCGTCCACCAGCCCACATCCCAGACACCTTTTCTAGGTAACCCATAGATTCGCTGGCCAAGAGGGTGCTCATCTGTTTTGACCGGTTCTTCAAATATTCTGCAAGCCCTGCCGCGCGCTGGAGGGGATAGACGCCAGCTCTAACGAGCTCATTCAAAGAAGGGGCAGACGTATGCACCTTGGAGGCACCTTGTGTTTCTTGATCTGATTCGCTGATTGCATACTGGATTCCGTGTCCATGTCTACGAGGAAATGTTGACGAGTCGGCAACAGCATTAGATATCGATCGCGCCGTTTCATCCGAGTGCCGACGTCCCGTTCTATCTGTATCGGAAGGTCGATGTCGCAGCGTGTGGATTGTTGGAGACTGAAAAACATCACTTCGGTTTAAGATTTGACTCGCGGATTCCGTCGTGTCCGTCATCGACTGCAAGACAGCTGATGATTCAGTAGCTTGCTCAAAGGAGTTGACAAAGGAATCAGAAGGTTCCGGGTTCTTCGTTGGAGGAGATGTTCCAACCACATCGTGGCCAAAGCTGATATGGCTAGTGCTTACACTTCGTTGCTGCGAGCCAACGTTTCCAATACCTCGCGGCTGGCTCAGCACATTGCTCAGCGACCACCTATTCTGATACCCACGAGAACGACCGTGATTAGCGGTGTGGTCTTGCTTGGACGATAACGTCTGAGAATTTTTCGTTGTTGTCTCATTGATCAGGCCTTTCAAAAAGTTATAGGCATCTTGGCCGGTATTAAAAACAGAAAAGTAGTACTGCAGGTACAATCAGCGGCGGATATATTAATCAGCCAAGGACACATACCTCATCAATGGCGTAAGTGTCTCTATCAACAACGCGTAGTTTGAATGTCTCGGCAAAATCAACCATGGGGCTTTCCTCTATGTCTATAATATTCCCAATGGGAAACGATACCTTGACGCTTTCACCATCATTGTGAGTCCGGAAGATTACTTTTTGCAGAGCTTTAACCCATTCTTTGGCGCTGGCGTGGCTATCTGCTCGGAAATAATATGTTCGCTGGTCAGTGGTGACCTGAAAGTCTTTTGTCTCCTTGCTCTTATCCTTTTGCTCGGCCAAAGAGGCTGATATTCCATATCGAAGATCAACGTGGCCACTGGGGAAATAAAAATTTGACGGGTCCGCATAGTAAGAGAGAACATCTCCCTTCAAAGAAAACCAGTAGCGACCATACTTGGGATTCTTCCGGCCACGTTTGTGAAGCCAACCAGACTTGATAGCCACTGTGGACTTTCTGGGAAGGTAGGCGTAAAAGCAGATATGGCCCTCTGTGACGTACATATACCCTTGGAGAAGCATACTCTGTAGCAAAGAGCAGGCGTACTCAACGATGACCTTTTCTGGGCACTCGTAACCAAACATCTCCATTAACCTGAGAGAGAGGGCAGACGATCCCGGCTGTTGAGGGTCCTTGTCGCTCCTCTCTATAGATGATTGAGAGCGCTCAGCTGCAGCTTCGGGGACCAAGAGGGCCTGAGCCTCAACCATGCGACTGAGAATAGGGGCAGCTCGGGGGGTTGCACTGCGAGGACGCCTTGGGGATGGAGGTCGAGACAAGTCTTCGCTCGATGTGGGCTCAGTTTGTATCGTCGGTACTGGCGAACAATGGCCGGAGTTTGATTTAAAGGATTGTAAAAGTCTATTTTCCGATGTTGTCTTTCGATGACGACGGCCTCTTTCCTCGGTCTGGGGCTTATTTTCGGGCCGCGACGTGGAGTTCTCGACTTCTCTGTGTCGCATACTAGGGAAGGGAGAAGGGGTCTTTGTGCATGGATTCTGATGTGTTTCCTCTGCATCCCCCTCACTATCACTGGACTCGTCAAATCGCATATTAAAGTCGGATCTGGAACCAACCGCACTAATCAATGAAAGTACAGACTGCTGCATATATCGTGGGCGGCCGCCTCGAGAGCCAGTGGTGACAGGTGGAGCGCTAAAATCGGCCTGGGCGTCATGGTCCCTTAGCCGCTCAGGCAAAGCACTAGAAAACATAAGGCTGGTGGATCTTGACTGCCTGCTTTCACTGAGTCTGCGATCCACTCGTCGCTTTGCATCATCTAGAAAAGGTCGCATCGTCGGCATCGGAAATGCGAGTAGGGGGCACAGCAGCAGAAAGTGAGCAGTATCAAGGAAGGAAGGGGTAGCTGTAGGATATGAAGTGCCCGAGCAGGTGACAACCACTAGTGATCCACTTTCAACAACGGAGAGAGCGAGTCGTCTGCGCTGATAAAGGTATAACTATCCATACAAGGGCAGATGATCATACAAGTTAGCTCATTCCAATTGTTGGTCATGCTGGAGGAGGCAGTCACCCCTATGAAACAGGGAAGGGACGAAAGAGAAAAGAAATACTGAAGGTATATACTCTAAGTTGATAACGACGTTAAGACCAGAAATAGTATCAACGAGCCGGCAACACCAAGAATAAAGCAATCATCAAAGAAAACCCGGTAATCGGCTGTGATGCAGCATGACGAAGAAAAAGACTAGACTATAGACCTAGCAACAGTGATAAGGTAGGATAAGAAGCCGTTGAGCAGTGTGCAGTACACGACTGTACGTAGGTAGGCACAAAAGCGCATCGGCGTGTCCATCATTTCAGGGTCTGGCGTCACTCGTTCGTATCAGCTGCTCTCCTGAAAAGGACCTGGCCAATTATGGCTGTTGCATGTGATTGGTGCTACCAGATGGACCAATGGTAGATGGACAGTGGGGACTCCAATAAGCTTATGTCATCAAGTCCATCAGACTCTTCATGCAGCGACTGTAAGTTACGGTACGGAGGATACCGAATCCATACCAATAAAGTCTGCCAATTAACAAGAGCAAAATGAGGAAAGGGAAGAAGAGCAAACTTCCTGCTGTCGTCAAGGCATCCACTCATTTCATAATGCTGTATTCTGTTCCCTCGATCTTCTGTACACTTGGCGGATCACTGATGAGGCTGTGCTGTTTGGATATCTAGTACGTAGGTAGCTATTACGAATACACGAGGCTCCAGTGTTGAGGCTTAGTGGCCGCGGTTGATCGACACCTGGTGGGCCATTTCTTGTCTCAATATTCAGTATCGCCTCAAGATGCTAGTCTAGTAGTAGGCTTCGGAGGCTGTTTTAAAAATGTCCCAGAAATGTCTTCTGAATGGTGGCTTTGAAGATGGTTATTTGATAATTTGTCTGCCTCTCTAAAACTTTTCAGAGACCATATTTCAAATAATACAAATCTTAAAGAGGTTCACTTATGTACATACAAGCATTCCCACGGCGACTCTGGGAGAAAAAGAAAAAAATGCTTATTTCAAGTTGCCTTTCCTGATTTCTTCCGCTTCTTCTCATCCTTTTTCTTGCTTGACTTCTTTTTCTCCTTGCTTTCCACCCCATCCATGTCCTGTTTGGACTTCTTCCGTGGTACTCCCCAAGCCAAGCTACCTTCGCCCTCTGTAGAATGGTGTTTTCGCTTCCTTTCTTCTCTATCCTGATTTGACCCCTTAGAGATCTTAAACGTGCGTACCTCCCCCTCGGATTCTTCCGAACTCGATCCAATTGTTTCCGCGGGCCCATTTTGACTTCCCATGGGGCGAAAGCGCATCTTTAAGTGTTTGGGTTGCTTCCTTGGTGGCACTACTTGCTCCTGTGCTGCTTCCACTATCCGGCCTTCTGTTTCAGACCGCTCTGGAAGATTGACCAACTCCCGAACATGGTAGCTCTGGATATTGTTTGCTGTCGTAGGTCCGTACGTCTGGGTCTTCGGATCATAGGTGAGAAGCATCTTCCCACCTGTATTGTCATTGCTTATGCTATCCACGGGGATCCCATAATCCACGCCCTCGTGCTTCAAGACCGGCTCGCCCTGCATCACTTTCGCCAACGAGATCTCCTTGACTTTCGATAGAGGAAGGGAGGCTGGAGCTGACACGTGGAAAACCTGTTTATCACGAAGATCGGATAGGAGAGAGGTTATGCTGGAGGAAGGAGGCGATTGCTTTTTCACGGTTTTGAAGCCCGAAGGGGCCTTGTATGGTTTGGCTGCGACATGATCAGACCTAAGACGAGTTAGATGGTTGGCAGCAGAATGTAGGGGTTTTTGCCTTTTAACTGACGTATCTACGGATTCCTGGGCAGATGAAGTGGCACTTTCACCATCACTGTCGCTTTCACTGGAGCTCTTCGAAGAATCTTGCTCCGACTCCGGACTCGACGAATCTGCGGTATTCTTGGCTAGTTGCGGAGAAGTCGATCTGTTGTCGCTGTCCGAATTAGACTTTGTCGTTGATTTAGGGGCCATTGTTCTGATTGACGCGTCCTGGAGAGCACTGCTGACGGGGCTAGAAGTCAAGAAGGGAAAGAAAAACTTCGGGGTTGCGATGCGGAGCGCCAAGCAATGAATTTTAGCTTAATAGTTGCATGAAAGACGCCGACAAAGTCGTAAAGTGGCTCAGTCTTCGTAAAGACTCGAATATGCAGCTAAATATTAATCGGTTCAAACCGCAGCGTAGCTTCTACGAGTTGTAGGATTCCGTCCTTCCGGTGAAGACGTTACTGCGACTTTTTTTTTTTTCCCTGACCTCTACGAAGCACGGACCACCATCGAAGTCCGCGGTCGAAATTATGAACTTTTGTCTCCCCACCGAAACCAGTTCCGAAGTATCCTGTTCACTGCTACCGAATGGGCTGGCCAGTTGGGGATAGATATAGAATACCGAGAAAACTATGAAGCGAAAGGCAGACAAGCAACCAGCGCCTGGTATGCGCCTTTCTCATATTCGCTTTTGAAAACGTACTGACATTTACTCTCTTAGCTTCAGTCAGCGCCTTTGCGGCGCGCAAAGCTAGACAGGAGCAGTCACAGGTTGCAACACCTCCAGCGAGGCCTTTAAATTCTGAATCAGCCGGAGAACCGCCGTCTAAAAAGGCGCGACGCTCGTCGGAAGATGAAAAGTGTTCAGCTCAAGCTACTGGCAAGGACGACCACGTGCAAACAAGACGATCTTGGCGGCGAAAGGCAGAGAATTTGAAGGTCCAGGAAGCCTCGGAGAAGAAAAAGACTGTCCTTCGCCCGAAACCTACCGAGCGATGTCCGGATCATAGCCCTTCTCAAAGCAATGGAAACCAGGCTCCTTCGGATGGAGAATCGGAAGGCCAGAGCATTATTGTGGGGGAAAGTGGTGCTGATGCTCCTGAGGATGATGCTAATGGGTAATTACTGGCCTATTTGTTCACACAGAAGCTCTATGGGCTAACATCCTTCAGCTATGAAACCCCAGTGGATACCACAGTGGTACAAGATTTTCCCTTGTCGAAAATGCGCTTGAACAAAAGCAATATCGTATACAGCGACGAGCATACGCTTTGTATCAAGATAAAGGAGAACACGGTATGTATCTGGTTGGGAGGCATGGCAAAGGAGGTAATGCTTACCTTTCATAGAGTCTGGTACTGCTTGGTCATTACGATCTTTGGATTAAACGAGGCGTTGTCAGTCTCATGGGCGCCAAGTTGCATCCATCGACACGACTCTACAGAGTGTATGCCCCCTCGACACATTCTCTGCCTGTTATCAAGTGCGTTGCCGGAGTCGACGGGGCAGCGGAAATTGAGATCAAGTCATGCCACAGCGGCATCTATCGCCTCAGGGACTTTTCTCCCTTATATCAACGGATATGGAATGGCAAGAATACCGCAGTGGATAAAGCCACCTTGAAAAAAGTATCCCCGTCCAGTAGGCGGACATTTTCCGTGGTATGTCTCATTTCTTTCTTCCCTGTATACTTAAATCTAAACCTAGTACAGCTGTATACATCCGCGGATGACTCTCTCAAACGGCACCTGCGACCACTGCATCTTGAAAAGCAATGGAGTTCTGCCATCAAGTCTCTCTCTCAACGAGGTGGGCGACTTAAGGCGCTAATCTGCGGCCCCAAATCATCTGGGAAATCCACCTTCAGTCGATATCTCCTGAATCATCTCCTTAGTCCGGCACCACAGACTGAAACTAATTATTTTAACACTGACGGCATTGCATTCCTTGATCTCGATCCTGGCCAGCCTGAATTCTCTCCAATGGGGCAGGTCTACCTTGCACATCTTCGTTCACCTGTTTTTGGGCCCCCGTTTACCCATCCATCCCTGGATGATTCTCAGACCGGAACAATAATCCGCGCTCACCACATCGGAGCAACGTCCCCAAAGGAGGATCCCGATCACTATATGCGTGCTGCCATGGACCTTATGGACCGTTACCGCGCCTTGCTTGCCAGTTACCCTCTATGCCCCCTTATTATTAACTATCCCGGGTGGATCTTTGGGCTCGGACTGGAAGTAGCTACATGGTTGGTACGATCACTTGGCCTGTCCGATGTCGTTTACATGAGCGAAAAGGGTCCAGCAGAGGTTATAGAGCCCCTAGGCCAGGCAGCACAGGAAGCCATGGTCACTCTCACCACTCTACCCTCTCAACCTACAGATTTTGTGAGCCGTTCCAGTGCCCAACTCCGATCCATGCAAATGCAGTCTTATTTCCATATGGGCCACGCAGGTGAAATCGGCAATCCACTGTGGCTGCAGCAACCTATATCACACATACGACCATTCCAAGTCTCCTACGCGGGTCCCAAACAAGGCATCCGCAGTATCATGGTCATGGGCTCCCAGATCAATCCGCTGCTTCTGCACGAGGTATTAGATGGGGCTGTTGTCGGAGTAGTCTCGGTAGAATCCCCACGTGCAATACTGGGGCACACTGATGGATCTACGTCGACAAATAGCACTCCAGCAGCGCCCAACGCAGACGATTCGGAGATGGAAAGCGGGTCAGAGTCCGACGCAGATATTAATATGGATGACTCTGCCGATGCACTTCAGGAGAAACATGCATCGGAATCCATTGACGCTGATATCGAGTCGAACATCACGCGAACCCCGAACGAGGACCTTCCGTACCTCTTCGTCGGTGCAGGAAGCTGCAACCCGCTCGATCCCCGGACATCTCACTGTTTGGGCCTCGCGCTCGTCCGCTCCATCGATGTCTCCTCACGCAAACTAGAACTGGTCACGCCCATTGCGGGATCCAAGATCTGCAACGCTCTGGAGCATGGGTACGGCATTGTTCTTGTACGCGGCCAACTAGACAACCCAAACTGGGCTATAAGCGAAGACTACTACGCTGCGCGGGCGGCCGAGAAGCGCTATCGCGAGTCGAACGAAAAATCCAAGAAGAATAGGGACGGAGCTGAGAGCGCCAATGGAGAGACTGATTCGGACAAACAAGGACGGATGTCCATGATTCTTCGAGACCGGATACGGCGCGCAAGCAATGTACCATGGATGACCGTGATCGAAGACAACAGTCGGAGACAGAGAGAGGCATTCCAACAGAAGTCTTTGTGGAAACTCCGCAAAAAGGCATATCCGGGAAGTGAAAATGATGAAGACTGGTAAATAGCTATACACTGGTCTACTACTATTCAGAGGATATCCTTATATCGATCGAGGTTTGGAGGGGGAATCAACATAATACCTCTATTCTATATACTATGCCCGATATGTATATATTTTCTAAGAATTATAGAAACTAGATGAGATCGGATCTATGCAAGGCCGAGGAAATCCGAAAGTAAATGAACATGTAAATCCCCCCTCTCTCCCCTCTTTGACCACCGCGACGAGCGTGAGCACAAATAATTGGTGCATACTATGAGATCAGATCCCCTGCGAACGGCGGGGGTGAAATGCGGACCAAGCAAGAATGCAAGCAAGGAATCTGTCGTACATGCAGAGTCAGTAAGTAATGGAGGTATTAGGATACAGAGCACTCTGTACAGTACATAGAAAGGTGCTCCGTAAATTATTATGTACTCACATGTAACACAGTCACATCCAATCTAATCCACTCTACTTCAGTATCTTTAGTACTAGAGGGAAAAAGAATGGAGGCAAGGCAGATGGTAGCACCAACCAGCATCCAATCAAGGGACCCAACCGAGCAATGGCGGACATCTTGGGGGCGCGTAAGAAGCATAAATTATTAAAATCACTCAACTGTGGAGACTGCAAAATGGAGTAGTATTACATAACGCGGTCGGCGTCTAGACTTGACACTGGAGAAGTTGACGTCGTGGTTGGTTCATGTCAACGACGAAGTATGTTTCACTCTGAGTTTGACAAATTCTTTTTTTTTTTTTTTTTCCTACTCCGTACATAGTTTACGAAATACAAATGAAGTGACTGGGGAGATGCGGTATGTAGATGTTCAGCCGCACTATCGATGAGGTTGGATTTAGCGCTCTGTGTCCTTTGCATGAGACTGGGATTGATGTCTATCCCAGACTATAATATAACTCGAGGTTTTGACGGATTAAATACCGCGGAATCTCACTATCCACGGGGGTTGAGGCGATCAGTATGTAAGGTAACAAAGATTGCAGGTGTTTATAAATATTCCTTGCAGAAATACCCTGGTGGAATCAACAATCTCAACTCACTCACCTTTCAGCCTTTCAGGCTATCAATACCAAGCATGGGCCAAGTTAGTAAATTAGACGCGATCCAGCAAACGGTCCATTATCTTAGGCAGAATCTAAAACTAGGGTGTTGGAAGTTGCCTAGGTAATAATCCATTTATCACGACGGAGTCTTTCAAGGAGATAGATACTCCGCAGGAGCTGACAGAGCCCCACGGCCATTGGGCCGTGAAATCGATGCCTGGTTTATTATTATCCACATTCCGGTCCACATATAGATTATTATGTGTTATTGTTTTTTATCCTGCTAAGAGGAGTAATTCTGGGACCTGGTGCACAGCCTAAATATATCAAGGTCGCCACGTGGGGACCATTGCTCTCTTGCGATACGGCTGGTCAAAACGTGACCCGCGTCTTGGATCTCTGTGGAGAATTTTAAGCGGGCGAAAAAAATATCCCAGCTGAAAGCCTGGTCGTGTGCTTGGTTTCCTTAACCCTTTCCTGAGTCCATGGATGAAGTCTGCTATATTTCCTCTTCCGGTGAAGTACCCGCACGGCCGGTACAGATCCATACATCCTGTGTATCATCCTTCGTCCCATCCGTACGGCCGGCAAGTAAATAGGTAAGAAATAAAGTACTCAATAAGGTAGGTATACGTAGGTAGTTGGATTACTCAAGTTAGGCTGCAGGACGATCTATCATAACTTTCGGTAAAATGATGATGAGACTCTCGTGCCAAGTCCGGAGAATATAATCCACATTTGGGACGAGAAGAATTCGGGTAGTTTTAGTGAGTACTGCCAACTTGGATAAGTCTGATGTCAGAAGTCGGAAGACAAACCTATTGTATGACCATGGTTGCAGTGAGACGAATGTGTGGATCTGTATATATCCGCTGTACCAGGATATTGTTACTATTTGATGGCAACGCTGATAAGAAAATGCAGATCATAGAGGATAGACTGTGTATGAATATGCAGTATAAATTCATACCGATGTCAGCAGCAAGGCTGTACAGTTGAACTATCACATCGACCCGTGAAAGTAGGAGTCAATGGTGCTGCAGTGTGACGTTGTCATCATGGTGGCAGGGAATCGCTACGGTCGCGTCCTTATATCAATGGCAATCCCTCTTATTCGGTGTAATTTTGCGAAAGCCCGAAAAAATAAAAGAAGATGAAAAAAGAATTAAAAAAAAAAAAAATAAAAGAAAAGGAAAGCTATTCACTCTATCATGGAACAGCGATGACGACTCTCCTAATAATTCCGCATAATTCCGATGGCCATCCTACAAAATACAAATATCTATCCTCAGCTCCCTAATATGGCAACCACATCGCCAGGTCGTAGATTGGTTCAGTCACCTTGACAAGGTTTGGTGGAACCACGAACCAGGCCTGTCTCTGCGTTTACTGTTAGTAGCAAGAAGTGGGAGAGGATTATCAGGAGCAAATCGGAAGGATGGGAAACGACAGAAGGCAACTTGACCATCACCAACTCCGGCTGTGTTTCGCGGTCTGGCAGCAATGATGGTTTGGATTCAACTGGATTAATTAGTAGTAGATCTTATTATTCTTCTGGATGGGTTACAGTTGGTAATCAAAACAAGCCCTCTCCGTTGTTCCACTTTGCGCGGATTAGATCTACCGGCGTTTCTGGAAGAACTTCGGTATAATTAGAGGAACACTCCGGAAGGCCAATTTCAGACGGGGCATTAGTTATCCGTAGTATCATTTTAATTTCCCACAGTATCAGAATTGCCCAAATCCCAGGAGGATCATCGGGAGTGAACACACTCTGTTACTTCCACCCCCCCCGGTACGACCGTCAGAAACAAACCGTTGTCCCATGCGGACACCCGATTGTCTCCATGGTCTCCATGCGTGGTAGCTCACCTCCTGGGAGTGGAAAATCGGAGTAGAAACTTAGAAGGGTGAAATCTCATCCACCCTTACCTAGTTGGGTTTGGGGGAAGCCGAGGCTGACAACGGGATTAGAGCGAGAGCCGCCGTTTGCAGAGGATCGGTCGTCCCACTACCTCGTTGGATTATTTCTTTGCACGACGATTGCTCCAAGGTCGAGGCAGGAGTGATTTCTCCCCCACTCTCTACGTGGAACTTGATACACCACCTATACACTACTCCGTATAGTATATACAGCCCAAAGTTCATAATGTAGCTCGGGAGGGTGGAGGAATGCTGATAGATTAGTACTCTGTGGGTAGTCTTGGTTCGCATTCGCACATTCGGGACAACCAGCAACGGAAAGGCGGCAAATCCTTCCTGGTTTGAATTATTCCCTTTTCATTTTTTTCTTTTTGTTAGTATAGTAGATTGGTGTTGCCTTCTTTTCTTTTTGTGATGTTTCCTTCATGGTCACAAGACGAATAAATGCCCCCAGCCGATAAGCACTCACTCCCTTTTATTTATTTATTACATTTATTTTAATATGTTATTGAGAAAGTTCCTTGCTGGGACCCGATCAATAAAAATAAAAACCACCGTCGTCATGATAGTGGTTAATCCGGTTAAATAGTGAGAGAAAATGGATATCTCTGATTGACTTCTTCCATTTCCCGTTCTACATTCCTTCCATTGCGTAAAAGGTAAAGATCAAAACAAACAAAAGTAAAATAAAAAAAAAGCCCGGTAGAGGAATATTTTCGATTTAGCGACGGATTCGGACCCGCTCTATTGGCTCGTTCTTCGCCCTTGTTTCGCTGCTTCAGCCTTGACTCCAGCCATCAATACGCCTGGAATAACGTTTGGTATCGACGGGGTATCTCTAGTCGAAACTAATAACTACCTAAGGAAAGTATGGAGCACTCCGCTAGATATCTACAGAGTACATAGTAGTCATACTTGCTGCGATGGAGGTTATGAAGGAAACAATTACGCTCCCAATCCAACTATTCATAGATAAACGGGAGGACAAAAGGAACCAGAACTGGATGACCGGAGGCCAGAGAGAACAAAGATCCATTTCTCCAAGAGGTCGGACAACCAAGGACCAGGTTCTTGGATTACTGGAATGTGATCAAGTTAAGCTAGCATGGAAACCGTTTTCTGTCGGACCCTATTCGGCGTCGCTCACAGGCTAAAGAGTGAGGACTACGAGGAGCGACCTGGGACTAGTCAATGGCGTATTAGATCACTGATCAATAGGAATGCCAAACTGACGGGTGGGAATCCAATGGATTTATTATTATATTATATTAATACTGCCATGATAGGTTAATAATTGATAATTTTTAATATATACCTACCTACTGGAGGGAGACCTAGGTGCTGGTACATACTCCGTGCCGGTATTATTACTCCATACATACCATACACGCAGGTAGCCACCCGGTTGGGCTGGAGGTCAGGTCATTGGGCTTCTTTCCTTCTTCGGCCTAACCCCGACAATCCGTCATCCATACCAGGCATACCGAAACCGTACGATTTTGTACGATTCTGTACCATTCCGTAATTATAGGTACTGTATTCGACCAGGCCAGACGCAGCCGATGGAGCTCCACTTCCTTGGCCCCCTTCCTTCCCGATAGAAAGTAGATTTATAGAAAAGTAAAAGTAATACGAACAAGTCCCCTTCAATGACCCAGAACCTTCAATAATCCACTCCTTGCCCCAGACTTACTTAATCTTTCGAGTATTAACTAGTTAACTATTGTCTTATTATATTCTGCATACGCTCCGCTTCTTCTCTCTCCCCCTTCTCTCTCGTACTGGTCTGCAAGCTGGCCTTTGCAGCTTCCGTGGCGATTCCTTGCTGCTGCCGGTGGCGGTTGCGGTCGTCAATTCCCTCCCTTCTCTGGGATCCGGCTCAATCCATCCAGCCCATTCTGGTCGACCTTTCTCCCTCGGGCCATCCTGTGTCGTCTCCGCAGTCGCTATCCTCCGTATCGTTTCCCGGAAAGCATGTCTTGCAATAATGACTTAATATGGTTGTTGGATACTGCTAGACGCTAATCTGTTGATATGGATTTCATTGTATGTGATGATTTTCCCCGTTGCTCTGCTCCCCTCCCTTGTCCTTGACATGGGGATTGCCGGGCTCCTTGAGTCTACATGACCTGCCCGTCCAATGGACCAATTATCCCAGTTTGCGCGGGATCACTCTTGCGGTCGAGAGGACTATGATCTCATGCAACCACCACCCAAGGCTCCGGGCTCTTAAGCTGCTAGAACAGACTGACAGATCTCTCCCCAGCTCTCGTTGACGCACTTTTGCGAGGTACATGGCCCGACCTCGATCATCTGTTCGCAAGTCCTGCCGTTTTCATGTTCGCAATGCTATCCCGATCAATCCGATATCTCTCCCTATGACACCCCGGCAACTTCGCACGATACGGTCTCCTCTCATGGCCTTCGCAAGGATTTCAGTCCCGCAAAACCATCAGAGATACCATCAGTTGGGACGACTAGGTCCCCGAAGATCGAAGATCACCCCTACTTTCTCAAATCACAACCGAGCGCTACCGAAGCTCCACAGAAACTGAATCGTATAGGAGGCGCAGAGGGCGATACCTGCGCCAGCTGTAGTCTGACCTTGCCGGAGAATGTTAGCAGAAAGCTTCCTGCACCCCCCGGGGCCGTCAAGAGTGACGGGAAGGGCACAAATAGCACTCCAGTTTTGCGGTCGAGAGAAGTGGTTTACTCGTGCGGTAATAGTCATGCGGATTTGAGTGACAGTACACACGAACTACACACACATGCCTCCCTTCCAGACTCCCTTCACTCATCTTCAGTTGCGTCAGATGCCTCATGTCACACTCACATTCTCACCTATCTCTCCCTGCGGGGTCCTCCTAACCCCGCTGATTACGCTCTCCTTCGACGGTCTTCCATTCGGACCCTGAGCTGTGAGCTACTTCCTCGTGGTCTCTCATCTGGGCCCTTATGCTTCGGTGACTCGAACACGGGATACACAGTCGCCTACATATTTCGCCTTCCTGATCCCATGGCTCGCGGGAAACGGCGTAGCTATGCGCTGGTTGCATTGGCTGGGAAGGATGGGAGAAAGGCTTTCCGTGCTAGCCCAGTAATATGGAGGGCGTTCGGTTCCATCGCAACTGGAATCGTTAACTCAGCGGAAAGTTTCCAAGAGGAAGAAAAGCGTCGAGAGGAGCAAAATAGTGGTCCCAATAGAGGCCCATATACTCCTGTTTCCTCTTTTCTTACAGGACGTACCGCTGACCCCGATGGTCTTCGGCGACCTGGCCCAGTCCGTGCACGAAACCTTGCGGAAATCGTAGGCAACCAGTACGTCTTTGCAGAGATACATGCGCACTTTGTGGCTCTTTTGCAACAATTGGGCTCCATGTTCGGAGCCGCTCCCATATCCGAGGAACAATTCGTTTGCAGTACAGTACGCGACGACGGAGATACGAGCCCCCCTCTTTTACCAGGCAGCGAAAAGGACGAACAGTGTGACCCGAAGGTACAGAAATATGTCAAAAATGATATTGGTTTGTCCAGGCTTGACTTGTCATCGTCGGGTCCCAAGCCTATTCCCATCGCTCCACGTCGACCGATCATCGCATAGAACATAAACCTCCTACCTCCTGCAACCTATCTCATAAAAAGAATTCGCATGTTACGACATCACCCCGGTCACCTCACCTTACGGTGTATGTGCATTTCCTGGATTTCAACAATGCCCTTCATTTCCGAATATGGTGTCCTAGAAATCCAACCCTTTTCTCCTTACCTTTTTTTTCTTTTTATTTAATGCGCCTTCGTTCCGTTATGGAACCAGTTTCGATATAGACTATGGCGTGCGATTAGATCGGGAAACGGAGTTACGGCCTCTATTTTTGGGCAACCATACCATCCCTTTGTTTTTCAAGCGTGGGTGGATAAGTGATCTACGTTCTGTTTGATTCCCCCTTGTTCTTCAGCTGCTTATTCCTAGTGCTTAACTTTTATTGTCTTTTCTCTAATTGGACTCGGGGAAGGGGGGGGGGAGAAGTTGGTTGGCAATTTGAATGTCGTTATGAAGGCGATGGACATGAAGTACGTTTTGTGCCGACATTTGGGCATGTTCTGTATCTATTTAATGTCAACTGACTCCTTCTCTATGGGAAAAGTGTTCCTCTTTAATCCCCGACTTGTGGTTCCTACCTGCTAGCTTTGCGTGTTTCTTACCTATTCGTAGTAGGTAGGTTGGTGGTATCTTAATGTAACACATTCAATTAGAATCGGTTCGCGCTAGGTTTGCACTATGGTTTAATACTATAGTTCTTGGACAAAAGTGTACGTAATTTCCCGCAACCATGAAAATATATATAATAGTCAGAACATCACATTCGCACACAAAACAACCAAACATTAATCTTATTGCAAGATATTTAAATATGTCATAGCTAAATTGCACACAAATAAAAAAAATATATTTTTTTTTTACATTAATAGCGTGTATACCACCCCTTTGCCTCTAAAACTGCATTAACACGGCTCTCCATAGACCTTATTAAAGAATCAAAAAATCCTGCCCTAGACTCTCCCATGCATCCTCCATTGCTTTATAAAATTGCTCTTTTAATTGACTTTTGGTCCCGTCAAATAATTCAAGGTCCGGATACAGCATATAAATACGCTCTTTCAGCTTAGCCCAGGCGTGTTCAATAGGGTTTAAATCAGGTGAGTATGGTGGCCAGTTAACAAGAGAAATACCATGCTCATCAAACCAGTTTTTAATAATATTGGCTGTATGAATAGGAGTATTATCTTGTATAAACTCCATACCAAATTCCCATATGGCAGGCAGATAATCTTTAATAATTTCCAAATAGGAGCGTGAAGAATACCCCCCTCGGGCAGATTCCTTATCCCTACTCATTCGGTAGATTTCTGTATGGCCACTACCCCAGATTGCTGCCCAAATCATAATGGATATTCCTTTGCCTTTGGTATATGGAATAATATGCTTTTTTTTCTATTTTTCGTTAAGGTAGTTGAGCCGCCATACCTATTGATTTTTCTTTCCTTTGCCAAGCTCAACGGAACATTCATCACTCCATATAATCTTGCTCCACTGCTTGTAAGTCCAATCCTTGCGCGCATATGCCCATTGATAGCGTAGTTTAGCTGTTTCCTCAGTTAATTGAGGTCTTTTTTGCGCTCTCCAGTGGCCATACCCCGATTCTTTCAACATGCGCGCAACAGTGCGTGCAGAAATAGGCTTGTTAAGTAATTTGCAGATATCTTCTGTTTTAATAAAGGGATCACGCTTGATTTGTAAAAGAATATATCGTTTATCAGCAGCAGAAAGGATCTCTGGCCGTCCGGAGCGAGGAGAACTAGTCCCAGTGGTGGAAGTCTGATATGTTTCAATGGTTGTTTGAATAGTTGTATATGGTAAATTCATGGCACGTTGAATATCAGCCTTTTTCTGGCCTGCAAGAAATCGACCAACTACAACTCCTCGCTGAAATGGTTCCAGTTCCTGTCTACTAGTCTTATTAGAACTAGTAGACCGTAAAGGGGTGCGAGGCATGACCCAGGTGGTTGAAAAGATGAAGCATAATATTGGGTGGCGCGTCGGGTGACGCGGAATTACGTAGACTTTTGTCATGTGACTGTACCTTTTATGGAACAGAAACTAGGTACGCATATCGAGTGTGAATACGATTCCCAATGCGAAATATATACTCTGCTTAAAAAGACATACATACCATAGAGATAACCTACAAACAATAACTATTAACCGGAACGCATCAAAGTCCCAACCAAAACCTCCATACTCAAGATCGGTATCTTCAGTCCGACATGACACGTTAGAACAAACGAAAACAAAAATGGAAACAAACACGATGATAAGAATTGAATGGGATCAAACGCACGACGGAATACTGAAATCAGACCTAAGATGGAGTTCCACCCGTTTTCAGTGCCAGGAGGAAAAACAACAGAGGAAGGACAGAAGCAACCTGACGTGGACATATATGAGACGGACTTTTAAGTAAGATTGACTATCGCCCTGTTATGTAGTCCTTGTTCTGGATTGTCACACTCTTGGTCATGTGGTTGACCTTGTAGACGCCCACTAGTCGTGACGCGAGTTCGAACTAGGAGGAGTCAGTAATGGACGAGAGCTATGTGTGCTCTAGGACTTACCATGTTGTTCCGTAGGGAGATAACAACGAACTGTGCGTTCTTAGTTCTCTCCTTGATGTACGCGGCCACGATAGAGACCTATAGGAAATGGGTCAGCGAACGAGCTTTGTCCAGAGTGTGGTTGTATACATACGTTTCGGAAATCCAACGCAGCATCGATCTCATCCATCACATACAATGGAGTGGGCTTGTAATGGTGCAAGGCGAAGACCAGTGCTAAACTGGACAGTGTCTTCTCACCACCGGACAGATTGCCGATGTTCTTCCAGCTCTTTTTCGGCGGCATGACGGAGAATAAGATGCCCTCAGAGAAGGGATCCAAAGAGTCCACTAGTTCCAACTCGGCGTTACCACCCATGGTGATCATCTGGTACATCTCCTTGAGTCGAAGTGAGATGATGCCAAATCCCTCCATGAACCCGTTCAGTCGAGCGGATCTGAGGCCGTCCAGGCGCGATTTCGCACTATCACGAGTAGCCAGGGCAGTGGTCAAATCAGCCGAGCGAGCTTGGTGTTCGGCCGTCCTGCGACGATACTCATCAATGACCGAGAGGTCAACAGAGGCATTTTGGCTTTTCTCTTCGAGGGCCGCAATGACCGCTTTTAGAGACTCCTTGTTCATCTCAGACAGTTCGTCTTTGGTGAACGTCTGCAGCTCCGTAGCCTCCAGCTCTTCGCCTAAGTCGCTGACGTTTTGCAATGCAAGCTTGGACAATTTTTCATGCCAGTAGTGTCTACGTTTCTCATTCTCGGATAAGGCCTTTTGGTTCTCCTCTAGCTTATTCCGCATCTCAATCTCCGTGGCTCTGCTTTCGTTCAGTTCGGTGACCTTCTCGTCTAACTGAGACTTCGTAGCCTGAAGCTCCTCTTTCTTTGTCTCAAGGGCCTGGCAATTGTAAGCTTACGGGTGCATTTATCTGTTGTGCAGGAAATTTCTTACCTCTTGCGCTTCTTCCACTTTCTGCTTCCAACCGGACGCATCACTGGCTTGATTGTTGACGTCCTCCTCTAGCTTTTCAAGGTCCTCTGCAACATGTTTAAGCTCCCTTTCAGCATCTCCTTGGGTGTTCCGGTGCTTAACAATCAATTTTTCGTTTTTGGACTTCCCCACTTCAGCGTTTGAGATCTCATCGGCGAGAAGGCTAATCTGCTCTTTTAGTCCATCGACCTTCGCCTTGTGGCTTCGCAGCCGTACACCACCGACTTCCATGATCTTGCTCTGAAGAGTTTGAATTTCTTCCTCAATACCCCCTTTTTGGGAACGTAGGTCTTCAATCTCCTTTTCCAGTGCAGCGATCTGCTTCTCCAGACCGGCGGCCTGACTAGCGCCAGTCTTGGACGGTTTGTGTGCAGCACTCAGCTCTTTCACTCGTCGCTGAGCATCAGCAAGGCTGCGATTGGTACTCTCAACTTCAATCATTATCTTCTGGATCTTGGTCTCGACACGGGGGATTTCTTCGGACTTCTCTCTAACCGAGGCCTCAATGTGTCGTTGCTTTTCTTGGAAAGCCTGGAATTTCCTTTCCATCTCTTCGAGGTCACCTTCAAGCTTCGCCACTTGTTCCCGGCTGGTTTCGGCCACTTGTTTCGACGACATTCCGCCTCGAGCAACACGCGTGCCGCCGCCACTCATGGTACCTGAAGTATCGATAAGCTGGCCGTCAAGTGTCACCACTCTCCATCGCCGAGCACCGTAAGCGATGCGGTTGGCCTGTTCCAAGTCTTGTGCGACCAAGGTATTCTGCATCACGCTGTAGAAAGCGGGAGCAAATTTGGGGTCTTTTGGTTTAATCAAGTCAAAGAGCCGCGGGACGCTCTCAGGAGTGAAAACGGTGGACATGTCTCGTCTGGGTAAACGGTCCAAAAGAATGAAGTTGGCTCTACCAAGATTGTTCTTCCGAAGATAATCAATACATTGTTGACCAACCTCCACCGTGTCGACGACCATATTATCCAATGCAGGGCATGCGGTGGATATGGCGACATCATATTTCTCGTCGATCGTCCCCAAGTTACCAAGCCGTCCGTGGAATCCATCAACGCGGCCTGACTCCTTGAGGCGCATGAGACCAGATAGCACACTTCCACGGTTTTGAGTGCTCGCCAGACTAGCCCTTGCCTCATCAGCCTTCTGTCGAGCGCTGGAGACATGAGAGCGAACCTCGGGCTCTCTTTGGGAGTATTTTTTTAGGTCATGCTTAAGCTTTGCAACTTCTTCCTCGAGAGTGGATTTTTGAGCTTTGCGGCCTTCAAGCTCTGCTTCTTTGATGCCCAACGTCTCCTCGATTGATGACACCTTTGATTGTGCTTCTTCTAGTTGTACGGCTCCAGCGTTGCTTCTCTCTCGGATAATGTCAAGCTCACTCTGTGCTACGGCAACCGCGGAAACTTTCTTGTTGATTTTTTCATCCCATGGTTCCAATGATTTCTGCTTCGCTGTAATTTGGTCCGAAAGACCTTGGGTTTTCCCCTTTAGGCCCTCACGGATTGTTGACAGTTCGTCTTCCTCCATTTTCATTTCCTTTTCCAGCTGGGTTGTCTCCTTAGCCTTTTTCTCGATATCATTGGTATACTTTTCTACCAGACTTTCGCATTCCGAGGCGGCGAGACGAGCAGAATGCATGGACTTTTCCAATTTTTTCTGCTTGCCGGACAGGAACTTCTTCTTCTCTTCGAATTTCACCGACTCCTTATCATATTTCGCCATTTCTTTTGCTAATGCCTGCATTTCCTTTTCCATATTCTCATACTCGCGTGTGCCGCGCTTGTACGCTTTCTCCAGTTGCTTGATGCCCGATTCATTACCTTCATGCTTTTCAAGTTCAAGGTTCAGAAGTTCCTGCATTTGGAGGATTGCTTCTTCTGTGACTTGAAGGTTGTTTGCACACTCATCAATGTATATTTGGTAAAGTGCTGACTGTTTCTGAGCCAACTCATTCTCATCGCGGATATAGGCAAGAGCGATGTTTTTCTTGTCCTCCAGTGCCGTCTTTTCCTTTTCGACATGCTGAACACGATTGTTCTTCTCCATACACACGTCGTTGAGCCCCTCCAGCTCAGCAGCAGCTTCGTCAATGGGCGTCTTGTATTTTGAAGTTCCAATAATATCTTCCAGGTATTCCAACAGTCCATCCTCATGTTCATTGGTAGCCTTGGCCTTCATCTGAGCGATAGATTCCACCTCGCCTTGCAGAATCAAGAAACGTTTGTGATCGAGATCGATGCCACGGTCGCGGAGCAAATTCGTCACCGCAGTGAAGCTCGTTTCTTTGCCGTCCATGTAGTATTTGCTAGTATTACTCTTGAACGCCTTTCGGGATATAATCAGTTGGGAATCTGGGACTACTTTGTGCGATCCATCTGGCAGGTCAACAATCTCTTGAAAATGGACCTCAACTTCACAGAAGGGCAAATCCGGGTGGTTAGCTGAGTTGTGAATCAAAGCGGATATCTTTCCTTGTCGCATCTTGCTTGCTCGAAACCCGAACACAAATAGCAGCGCATCGATGACGTTCGATTTTCCAGACCCGTTTGGTCCGACAACAGATGAGAAGGAGGCGTGGAAGGGACCGACAACCTGTCTTCCTGCGTAACTTTTGAAGTTCATTAGAATCAAGTTTTTCATCATTAGCCGGGTTTTTGGCCCAGATGGCTCCTCGGGGACTGAGGGTACGAGCGTCCGAGACTTCATCATGATGTCCATGGGCTTCTCTAAAATAGTCGTATTGGGGTTTATGACCGAAATCTGGGACCTTTGATCCTCCGTGGGTTCTGACGGCGGCTTATTCACTGCGGATTCTGTGATATCGGCGAGCGGGGGAACACTGCCTCTTTTGGATCGCGGCCGAGACGGCGGCGACGTTGAAGGCTCTGGAGTTGGGAGTAAGGACTTTTCCGGATGGGGCGTAACAGAGCCTCTGCTCTTACGGGGATGAACCATACTTTTTCTTTTCAATGACGCAGCGGCATTTTGTGAAGGCGACTCTGGTTCTTCTATCGTTGCGATCGGCTCACCTTCGTTCTCATTGCTGAGTTGCGACGCCTCAAGCTCCTCTGGCGTATTCGATCTTCTGGGCTTCTTGGATGTATGTGTGGTGCTAGGGGTGGGCATTTCTGAGGTAACACGCCGTCGCGAAGCCCTCCTTCCAGCATCGGACTTTTGGGGAACCGGTGTATATTCTTCGCCGTCTTCTTCGGCTTCATCGGGATGGGATGGAGTGGGGGTAACGTTTCCGGGATCCTCCTCCTCGGAGGTCTCTTCCATAGCATAGCTCCGTCGAGGAACGGAGCGCCGTGATGGCCTGCCTTTGGAAACTAATGGCATTATGTGAAGGGGGGACAAATAGCAGGCAAGTGCTTCACAAGAGTTGTGATGTCGTTATTTGAAAAAGTGATGAGGTTGAAGTGGGTTGTTTACATTGTGACCCAAACGGGAAAAGCGCTGTTTTTCTGCCACAACAAGCCATTCTGATGGTCAACACTCACCGCCTACCGGATAGTGCCAGCCGTATGTATCATTGTCTGTATGGTACTGTCAAGTGTGAACCACCATAGCAAGGATCCCTTTAATGACCTTAGGACCATTGCTGCACAACCAGAATGGCCCCTTGGGATGATTTCGACGCTATATTCTACTTCAATAAGAACTTTGTCTATGATGGCAAGGTCATTGAACAGATTATTTCCAACCGTCGAGCGTTGGAGAATCAGCTATTCGTCGATAGACTTTTGGGCCTAGCTGGTGTCAAAACAGGTACTTTGCTTCAACTTTGGGAACAGTGCCCAGGAACTTGCTCACGGTTATTGTCTAGTGACCAAGCTGTATCCTCCTCGATCGAATTCAGACCTCAGATTGCTTGTCGATCAGATTGTATCTTCGGCCTTTGACATTCATCACAAGCAGGCGTTGGTTTACTACATCTTGAAGGACTGCCGTGCAGCTAGCGATGCCGCCACACAATTTTCTCGACGATGTCATCTGCCCGAGAAGTACAGGCTCTTTACCGAAGGGCTTTGGCATCTGGACCGACTGGAACTCAAGGTATGATCTGTATTGGATTTATCATCTGCGATGTTGCTAACCCTGACTTTGGATGGTAGCGAGCTATCGAATATTTGACCGAGCCGTCTATCATCCCCACGTTCCCCGATGAGATCCTCTACATTCTTACCTTGTCGCATCTCCCTAAACATGATGATAGTCTAGTCATGGCGTATTACCTTACTGTCTCTCCGCCCCTAACAACCAGCAAGGTCCAAAAAGCCTTCTTCCAAACCCTTTGCCGTGCTAGCGTTACAGAAGCGTTCTATTTCACCCGCAAGAATGGGGAATCGCTCCGTCAAGCCTACTTTGTGCAGCTTATAGAATTCGTCCACACAACAGCAGCTGGCCAGGCTCGCAGCAAGCGGGCTATGGAATTAATTGGCCTCCCCCTTGATGACCAAGAAGTAGAATGGTTTGAGGATACCTTGCTCCATGGGAGCGCAAAGGGATTGTATGGTTCTAAGGATACAGTCATGATGCGCCGGCTTGCGACAGGGAAATTGAGTGAACTCTCACCAGAACTCGAATCTTTAGGAGGAAAGAAAATAGATGGACTGAACTGGGATGTCCTTAAGAAGACCATGAAACAAGCATAAAAATCACATCCTTTCATGAGCGGTAAAGAGCGCGTCTTGCCTGGGACTTATCACAATTTTAATAGCCATGGAAATGGTCTGGAGAATAGGAGTTTGACATTGGAACTGCTGTAATTTTACTCGGCAATTATCATATTAGCATACCTGGATAATGTCCTCGCAAATAATCAAAATAGCTCTGCTTATAACATCGTCATCCATCTCTGTTCTAGACCGGTAAATACAGTATCAGACTTGTGCTGTGCGCCGACATCGACTTTGGTTCGGTGAAATGTATTGTCACGCGAAGAACGGGTTCTTCGCGTCTTTCATTGATTCTTCATTGATTCTCCATCCATCCATTCTTTATTCACAGTCCTGCACTGAATCTTCTCTCGAATTCTCCTCAAATACGCTGATGATTCTGTGGTGAGCTTGTGCGACTGACCTACGCACCAAAATCAGCCATTAATCTTGGGGGAAAACGTTCCCCAGGAGGCTTTATATTCCAATATAATTAGCATCTAATCAAGCCACCATGGTTGTTTGCACCTATTATCAGCAGGGCCGGTGTAGATATGGAGGTATGTTATATTTTCTTATTTTCTATCCTTGTATTAGAAAGAATTCTTCGTGGACAGTGCTGATTCTCTATCTAGATCGCTGTAGAAATGAACATCCAGGCCAGCAAACACTAGCTTCAGGGAACCGGTTTGGAGCTCTATCTGGTATGTTCAATGTTTGTTCAGCGAACCCTTGCAGTGCTCGTACTTTAGCTGTATGTGCATATACTTGTCTGGTGTTGACTCTCGAGAAAGAGGCTCGGCTCTACTTGTTCTGATCATTTTTTTATGTTTGCCTACTTTTGTCTATCACATTTGCCTGCTCGTGTCTCTCTCTCCCCTCTGTCCTTCTTTCTGCAACCCAGTTTTCCTTTCTCCTTTCCTCATGCATTATAACGTATGGGTATTTATGTTACTTGTTTATTATATCTGACTTCTCGCACAGGCCGTCAGGGCCCTCAAAAGCAACAAGGCTCCAAGTAAGTCGAATACTCTGGGGGTCGGGCTTCGGGTATCTTAGGCTAACTACGGCGCAGTTATGGAATAACGACAGCTGATATCAAAACCGACTTAACTGCCGGCCAAGGCCGGCCTGAGTGGGTTTTTTCCTGCTACGGACCTGGGCGGAATGCACCAAAGCAACTGTTTGGAGGTCCCCAACGGGAACAAAGCTTTGAAGAACTACGGCTGCGCCATTATGAAGTCGCTGCTTCGGGAAATGCAGAACAGGCAGTCCAAGAGGCACAGGCTCTCTACACGGAGTCCTTAAAACAGATGGACATCATCCTGAATGATTTGAATGGCGCTGTGAAGTATATCCTTGATGGCATAAACGAGCATCCAAACCGTATTGACATCATAGAGGGCAAAGCTGGCCCTGCTACAAACCAAGGAGCTAATCCGTTTGGCCAACCTGCGCCATTTGGCCAGCCTTCCGCTCAACCTTCGCCCTTTGGCCAGCCTGCGTTGGGCAGCCAGCCGGCATTGGGAAAGCCCTCAGGATTTAGCCAGCCATCTGCATTTGGACAACCGTCTAGCCTAGGACAACCGTCTGGATTTGGGCAACCTTCTGGATTTGGACAACCGTCTGGATTTGGACAACCGACTACTCTAGGCCAAGGCTCTGCGTTTGGGACTCCTTCGGGCTTAGGCGCGCCGACTTCACTTGGTAAAACAGCAGCCGGGCCTAGTTTTGGTCAACCTGCTTTCGGGCAGTCTTCGTTCGGCCAGCCTTCAACGTTAGGAACGTCATCGCTTGGGACGGCTAGTTCCAGTCCATTCGGCCAGCTTTCCAATCAAAACCAGGGCGTGGGTGGCGGGTTTGGTCAAGCATCATCCGCCGTTTCTCCGTTTGCACAGGTTTCTAGTCAACAGCCTGCAGCACCCTCTGGATTTGGTCAACCGGCAGCTACGCAGGCACCAACCGGCGGATTCGGCCAGCCTGCTCAAACGTCATCGCCATTTACCGCAGCAAAGCAACCCCCAAATCCATTTGGACAACCTTCGACAGCCCCAAATCCATTTGGGGCTCCAAGCCAACCGTCCCCTCCTTCTATTGGAAATCCAGGTGGGAGTGCACTTCCCCAGCCTGCTCAGAATACAACGGCTCCCGTAGCGACTGGCACAGCTGCTGCTACCGGACCTCCCGCAACTATCAAGATCGAAAATCCCAATGAACTGGCTCCCATTCCGCCATTAAATGGTCAGACACTACGGGACCCAACGACAAAGAGGATATCTGCGTGGAAAGGACAGCCTGTGAAATATATTGAAAATGCGCCATGCTATCTACACCCACAGGACCGCCAAACCTTTGTCCGTATACTCTTTCCAGATGGGGCACCGGATGTGGCGAGCCTGAGGGATGCCCACGGGAAACCGGAGGAGTATACCCCCGAAGTGACCGAGCAGTACGATTTCTTTGTGAAGAATGGATATTTCAAAGATGGCGTTATCCCGAGCGTTCCGCCTAAAACAGAATGGGTGAGCTTTGATTTCTAGGCCTCTGGAAGGTCAAATGACGTCTTGGAATTGTGAGGAACGTGTTTCATGACGCATGTACTATAATATTGATTAGCGTTTTCTAAGGGTTGGAAGGCCCGCTCAGGTTAGGATCTTTTGCGAAAATAGGATAGAAATTACGTGCTACAGAAGAGCACGAATACAACTGCTCTACGGAAATTTCTTACTGATTAAAATTAGATCCGATTACTTGTTTTTGAACTTTTTCATTTTGGTGCTAGGTTCTAGCGGGTATCGACGTTGACTCGAAAAGAGCCTTGAAGCAATCCATCTACTACATGGCCTGATGAGCACATCGGCGCCGCCCAAGGGACGGATTGAACCAACCCCCTCCGTATACCGGACTAGAACGATTCCATTTAGGCGGCAATGGTGACCTCAACCTCAACACCAGCCTCGATGTTGATGATGATCTGCTTGACTGTCTCAGTGGGGGCGAGGAGGCTGTACAATATCGTCAGTATTTACGCGTCCCAATACCTACGATAGTGGAATAAAGGCAAACATACTCGATGAGACGCTTGTGGATGCGCATCTCGTACTTGTCCCAGGTTTTAGAACCCTCACCGTTGGGGGTCTTACGGGTGGAGATGTGCAGGGTCTTGGTGGGCAGACGGACGGGGCCCTTGACTTGCAGAGCCTTGGAGCGAGCACGCTCGATCAGCTCCGAGCACACCTTCTCGAGGGAAGCGACCTTGCGAGAAGTAAGGGTGATACGGATCTTGTGGACCTTCTATAGAGCAGCGAGAAACAACAACCGATTAGTGCGCAGCGACAATATCCAGTCGTAGACGGCAACGTACAGGGCCCTCGCCGAAATCCTTCTCGGGCTTCTGGAAAGACATCTTGACAGTAGAGGTGGCTGGCTATTCAACAATTAGCTTCGCTCACGATGTTGTGACAGTGCTAGTTCCTGAAGAAAGGTATCCTACCGTAAATGAGGCTAGTTGCCAATCAAGACCTGAACTTCGTGGTTCGGTAAGGTGATGATGGCCGTTGAGATCGGTATAGATATACGACAATCGTGAATCCTTTTTTTTTTTTTTTTGGTGCGATTAGCGCCGCTTGTGCGGGCGCAAGGCTTGGCACTCGCCTATCTGGAGCTAGCCTAATATGGTAATTGAGTCAGCGTCCCAACACATGATCGATTAGTCCGGCTGCTGTCGTGACAGAGGATGGTAGTAATTACTATGGCAGCGAGGGGATAAGACGGTCACTTCTTTAATTCCTGATCCTGAATATATCCTTTTGTCTCGTCTGTTGTTGATTGCGGCTGTAGTGTCATGGCGAATTTGCCTCTATTCGCACCAGTCCCACCTCCCGAGGTGCAGAGTACCATACCACCGACGGAATGGGAGCTTTATATGGATGCGTGGATCTTGCTCCTCGGACTATGGCTAGAAACTTCGGATGCGCAGTTTAGCGAGTCTGCGCCCAAGGATGAATCTGCGATCGTGTTCTTAACTACTTACTACGCTCAATTATCCGTCCGTAGGACGTCTGGTCTCCATACAGGCACCAAGGCAAAGACATTACGGAAGCTTTGCTTTCTGTTGACGAGACGATATCTACTGGAGGTTTCTACATCACCTCCTGAACTCCTTGAGTGGAAGTACTTGGGGGATATATGCTGCTCCTATCCTTCTAGCGCTGCTGCGAAGAAGCTTTTATCCGACGTATGGAGCAAACATGAAGAAACAATATCTTCCAGCCTTGAGAAGGCGAAGTCTACGATAATGAAACAGCTCACCGTCATGAACCCTGCAAAAGCATCAGGGATTATCTCTGACATCCGACTTTTGACGACCCTGGCGTCTGTGCTTCCCCCATCCGGTCAAGTGCTCATGGCCGGCTCTGATTATTTGGATACATTCTGCGATGCATATCAGATGCACTGGAGAGAGGATATTCGCCGAATCCTCGTGGCGAACATCTACGTTGGCCTAGTATCTTTACTGAAGGGTCCAAAACCCAACCTTTCTTTACTTCTCGATCAACTTTTCAGTCTGAAAGCCAGCGCCGGTGTGGGTACATCGAAGACCAGGAAAGAAGCTACTCTTCTCTCAGACGTCATCTGTAGCTCCGATCTCCTGGTCCGTCTAGAGAGATACATCCTTACGTACCCGCATAAGCGCGGTCAGGATTTAGTTTCCAGTCTACATACATACCAATCCGAATCGAAGGTTTTCCACCACAGATATCAGAAACAAAAGAAGCAAGTCGACAAAGGCAAAGGCCGCGCCTCTGATCTCCCTCGTCCGGAAGACCTCCACATCCACAAGATGTCCCTCGTCACCCAAGTCCAGGACCTATTCCCAGACCTTGGATCCGGCTACATCGTACGACTTCTAGATCAATTCAACGACAACCCCGAGACAGTCATTGCGCACCTTCTTGACGACTCTATCCCGGCCCAGCTCCAAAGTCTCAACAAGTCCGAGCAACTCTCCCAAACCGTCGCCCACTACGACCCATTACCCCCACGTGCCACTCCTCTCGAACTCACACCAGAACCGGAGCCGGTCCCGACGCGCAAAAACGTCTTCGACCAGGACGTCGACCTAGCCGAACTGGCTCGATCCAACGCAGACGGAAAACTCCGTTTCGGCCGCGCCAATCCCGACCTCACGGCGGACGCTATCCTCAACGACCGCAGCCAACACGCAACCAACAAGGCAGCCATCATGTCCGCCCTGGCAACCTTCGATTCCGATGACGATGAACGTGATGACACGTATGACGTCGCCGACGTGGGCGGCACCGTCGATGCCATGACTGCCAATCCGGAAGCTGAAGCCGACGCCGAGATCCGCAACCGCAAAGCTCTACTAGAAGCTGAGCAGCGGGATTTAACACTCTTCCGCGCCTACAAAGACAACTCTGGCCTGTTTGCGCGCGACTCCGCAACCCGTCGCTCGCAGCCCCGCACGTCGCTGAAACGCGAAACCGGAATGACCGATGAAGCGATAGAAGGGTGGGCTGTCATGCTGAATCGCGATCCTAAGCGGTTATCGAAACTAGAGAGTAAGTTTTCTGTGACGGCAGGAGCTCCAGGTGGGGTTCTCACGCAGCCGGAACTTCGACCAACGGCATACCGCAAGCCCGGAGATGTTGGATCGGAGAGCGATACAGATGAGCCTTCTGGTTCAACCTCAAGAGGGAGAGGTGGCTCGACACGGGGTCCTGGTCGTGGTGGTCGAAGAGGTGGCGGTGGTGGTCGTAGGGGCGGAGCCAATGCTGGAGGTGCTGCTTCAGGGGGCCAGAATACAACTGTGTCACGACAGAGAAAAGAGGAGAATAAATCTAGCAGGGCAAACCATAATCGACGACAGCAGAGAGCGAAAAAGGTTGCGAGGGCAGGAGGGATGGCAGGATAATGCGGTTATGATTACTATAACGGCATAACGATGTGCTTCGGAGCTTTCGATGGCATTTTCGAGCAATTACTCTCAGCAAATAGATCCATCTAATGATTACTTTGGATTCATTTTTCTATGGGGGTCTGCGATTCTAAAGGTCCGGTATATGTAGAAAATCAGCAATTGTTACTGCGTTTAGCTGAACCAGAGTAGAGTATAAAGGGCCATCATCTGTTCCAGGGTAACATAAGACCAATAATAAATACAACAGCATTATCTCATAATCAATAGCCGGGCCATTATTAGCATATCGAACCGGTATCAGGGTAATAGATTTAAACAAGGTCTAACACCCAAATACCCAATCGGGAGGCCGCATAGATAAATACATCCGGCAATGGATATTTACAACGCTCGAGCAATTTGCATGGGAATGAAAATGACTCAAATAGCGTGTATAGGAGGCCAAAACTGCCTTCTAATGTTGGTCCAAAAGGACGCCCTGCTCAGCACACGACTTCCGGCATTCTTCGAGAAGACGAAGCTGCTTCGCGACATCGCCAAGCTTGCCGAGAACTTCCTTGTTGCCATCATAGAAAGTGAAGATGGCGTACGGTATTCCCGTGTCCTTGCAGAATTCCAGCACCAGCTTCTGCGCACGGCGCAGGTTGTGGCGGGGCAAACGTGGGTAGAGGTGATGGATTGCTTGGAACTGCAACCCACCATGGACGAAATCGAGCCAGGTTGGGCAGTCCACATCCATGGTGGTGCGAAGCATTTTTTGCGGGAATGATTCACGGACACCCATATCCGCCGTTGACATAGCGAAGTGGGAGAGCGTAATCTGCAGGTGCAATGGAGACGTAACAATATGAGAGACCATGATAAAAGTGAAACGGCTGCTCCAGTCAGGGATGGTGCAGTACAGTACACCATAGCCAAACCAATACCAGAAGAACACCTGGCCAGCGAACTCGAACCAGCGGTGCCACCAAGCAGGGCCCTTCTTTGGGGCCTGGCCGAGCAGTAAATACTCCCAGCTCAAACGGTACAGATTGAACCGTGCAAGCATAAGAATGGGGTAGTACAAGTAGTTCTGGTATCGCAGCAAGACCCGGGACGCAGCATCAAATTTCATCACACGATCATAGTAAGTGCTTCGAAGGCTGTTGAAGAAGCGATGCGAGACGGCAAAGAAAGGCATATGTTCGATATCAGGGTCGTGCTCAGGCTCATTCGTCACAATGTGATGCACATTGTGACTGCGCTTCCACCAACCCAGACTTAGACCCCCAAGGTAGTCGGCGATAACCATCCCAATCACACTGTCCACATGGAAATTATGGGTGATGCCCATATGGCCAGCATCATGAGCAGTAAAGACGAGTTGGTGCCAAAAGCAGCCCAGAAAGAATGCCGAGCTTGCGTACCATCCCCATTGCAGTAATATATAGGACAGAGTCACAAAGAGCGCGTAGCGGCAGCACTCGACGAAGTATGAAAAGTAGTTGCATTGATACAAGCCTTCCGCACGTATCTTTTGATCCAACTCACGGTATTTACGTTTAATAAACTCCTGGTTTTTCATGTCAAGCGATGGGTATTTGGCGGTATCGAAATCAATCTCCTCCTGGGTTCGTGCGTCGAGGAAGAACGGCTTGGATTCAGCTTTTTCATTCACAGGAGTCGAGACCGAAGTGTCCGTTGCGGCCGACGTCTTGCGACGGCAGGCACCGGTTTTTCCATCGACTGCATCGAATATCGGGGATGGAGGTGCTGACGTTTCGAGGCCGGAGCTCTCTTCATCTGTCAAACAAGGTTCCTCGGTATATGGACGGAACTTCCCGCCATGAATCGGGGGAAGGAAGTTTAACCACGGTCCCTGGATGCGACCAACTTGGTAGGACAGCATCCGCTGGCGCGCTTCTTTTGAATGCAAGCTATGGAGGTAGACACGGGGAGTCAGCAACGAATAAACATCGTATTCAGCGTAACAACCAATCCAGTGATCACGATGTACCACGAATATTCCTAATCCAAAGGACATACGCATTGATTTCATCCGTTGCATCCCTCCCCACCATATGCTTAATCGACTTATCACCTCCCGGATGGAAATTAATCCAAGCATCTACCTTGAGCACACGCCCATCGAAGATGATAACATGCTTGCCTTCTGCAATCTGGCCTTCAATGTAACGTCGTGACAAGATCGTGTCCTTCCGAGCCGAGGAAGGCGGAATGGCAACTGTGGCCATCTGTAGGCGGGTAAAAGAACCAGACACCGAAACGAGAAAATCAAAGGCTACTGGGACGGATGGGAGAAGGCATAACCATGGGAAGAGGGGGAGGAGGAGGACGAGGAGAAAAGAAGGTTGCCTGAGGTCCAAAGCGGAGACGAAGACAGAAGAGGAAGACTTACCGCTGAGGATCATTCCACTTCCCGCCATCCGCCATACTACTGTTAGCTATTACTCCGTAGTAGAAAATTGGATTGATTCTACGGCTCTCGTCTCTCTCTGCCCTCCAGTCACTCTTCTTCTCATTGGATTTCTTTCTGTCATCTTCTAATCATGGCTGCCGTCTCAACCGAGGTACCTGGTCTATCATTTTGACCGCCTTATGCCCTGTTAACCCCCGCATAGGATACGCTATCGCCGTTGATCCAGAAATGGCTCGAGTGGGACCAAGTAATATGATTCTCTTGCTCCATAATTGGTGTGGGAATGCTTTGACGATCGAGCTAACGTCAGCCCTCAGGATCCCGCCACGCGCGCGGAAATTGAGAGCCTGCGAGATTCTGGCGCTGTGAAAGATCTGGAACAACGCCTTCAGAATCGTATGTTGTACCTGCTGCAGATGCACTCATCGGATGACACTGGCTTTTTCCTGCCCTTTGATTCTTTAGATTTCCGGTGTAAAATATCGTTCTTTCTGATGGTAGACGGCAGGAATCCAATTCGGAACAGCGGGTCTCCGGGGCCGGATGGGAGCGGGATTCTCTTGCATGAATTCCCTGACAGTCATCCAGGCATCGCAGGGCCTGGCTAAGTACCTAAAGGACAAACATGCGGGAATTGCATCCGGCGGTGTGGTCATTGGCCATGATGCCCGCTACAACTCAGCCAAATTTGCAGCCCTGGCTGCGAATGCTTTCATCGCCCTGGAGATCCCTGTCTGGTTTTACTCTGAGCCTTCGGTGACACCATTGGTCCCGTTTGGTGTGACCCATCTGCATGCTGCGGCGGGTATTATGATCACTGCGAGCCATGTAAGTTCTCCATAGGCATTCATAGACCTTATCGAAATGGCTAACTAGTTCGTAGAATCCAGCGCAAGATAACGGTAGAGTGTTCTCGTCTGTAGGATCCTCGAGCAGCTACTGACCACTCGGGCTCCTTCACAGGCTACAAAGTGTATGTCTTATGACTCAAGCTTTTGGAAACCTACCACTGACACTGTGCAGTTACTTCAAGAATGGGGCTCAAATCAACACTCCGATGGATGTAGAGATTGCCCAATCGATCGTGGAAAACTTGGTCCCATGGCCTGAAGCCTGGAAATGCCAGAAAGCGGGTGAATATCTGCACACTCAAGCCTACCAGGATATTCTGCCCCAGTACACTAAGACTGTTTGGCAATATGCCGTAAGCACATTCTTGATCTGTACATCTATTGGCGCTAATCCCTTCAATTTAGAAATCCACCGTGACCGAATGGGCACCTCCGAGCTCTTTTGTATACACTCCTTTGCACGGTGTAGGCGGCTTGGTTTTCCCAGGCTTGTGCAAGTCTCTTGGCATAGATAATCTTGTCCCTGTGGCCGAACAGATCCAGCCAAATGCCGACTTTCCCACAGTATCATTTCCGAACCCTGAGGAGGCTGGAGCTTTAGATCTTGCTATGCAAACAGCAGACAAAGAGGGGAAGAGCCTTATTGTCGCCCATGATCCCGATGCAGACCGCTTTGCTGCTGCTGAAAAAGTGAAGTATGTTCTGCAGTCCTACTTCAAGGTTTGTTACTAATTTGCTAACTGATTATAGTGGAGTGTGGTTCCCTTTCACAGGAAATCATGTGGGGGCTCTTCTGGCATCTCATCTCTTTGAATCTCTAAGGCACAAAAATGATCACCCCCGGATTGCCGTTCTGAACTCCACTGTTTCCTCAAGCATGCTGGAGAAGATGGCGGCAGCCAACGGGATTCACTTCGAAGAAGCATTAACCGGCTTCAAGTGGATGGGTAACATCGCTCGGAGACTTGAGCAAGAAGGGTACTATGTTCCTTATGCATTTGAGGAGGCTCTTGGATACATGTTCCCGGACGTCTGCTACGATAAGGATGGTAGTACAGCAGCCATGGTCTTCTTATCGGCTGAAGCCGAATGGAGAGCACAGGGGCTGACGCCGTACACGAAGCTACAGCAGCTTTTTAAGGAGTTTGGGCACTACGAGACTCTCAATACCTACTTCCGGTCTCCCAGTCCGGCGATCACGGCTGACTTGTTCCGCGCTATCCGGGGTGGCCCTTATCAAACGGAAAAGTCCTTGGGGCCATTTAAGATCTTGAGGTGGCGTGACATGACAGAGGGCTATGACTCTGGGACCCAGGATAACAAACCAACGCTACCGGAAGACAAGTCTAGTCATATGTTGACTTTATGGCTGGACCGGGACGTCCGATTTACCATCCGTGCGTCGGGCACTGAGCCAAAAGTCAAGGGTAAGTTGAGAACTATCTTGCACGAAGTTATCGTCCTTAGGACTAACATTTATGATCCAATAGTATACATTGAAAGCTGCGGTGCTTCTCGTGAGCAGGCCACAGACGCTGTCTGTGACACATTCTTGGCTGTACTAAAGGAATGGATCCATCCCTTCGCGCCATCGATGACATACAGCAAACAGTTGCCTACATCTTCCGGACACGTTTATGCTGTTCCCCAATGAGCCGTGTAAATAATGGATAGTGGATGGCCTTTCAGTATCCTAATCCACTTTACTTGAATAAATGATCATATACAAACTTGTACGACGATCTAGTGCTGACAAGTCATCTCCTTCAGTATCACAGACTTACCCCAACGTAGGAGCCTAATGTATACAGATTGTCAAGCTGATCCAATTTTCCTCCCTTTGAAGTCTAGACACTGAGCAGGGATCAAGGTAACATGAAAAGCAAACCACATCCAAGTGCGTCACACAGCATATTCAACCCTTAGGCAGATGATCTAGTGTCATGGATACTATCTATCAGCCGCATGAGCAGGTAACTTGTGCCTGATATCCATAGTCCTAGCAGATACATAAACCGTAGCTATCTTGGCCTTCATACCAATTCCCTACTCAACTTTGCCTCTCCATTTTCATCATCTCTAGTCCCACCCAAAAAATAGAGCAGAAAACAAAAAAGAATGACCAAGTACAGCCACCCTTACACAACCAGACAAGTCCACCGCCATATTCCAGACCATGACGGCCGTTCCAACACAGACAGCTCCCGCCATCCACACTGGCACTGTTCCCATGCCCACGCCTACACACAGGAAAATGCACATACTCACGCCCATGCCCAGGCGCAAGCAGACATCCATATCTGCCGTGAGACACTGACTCCCCGAACCGGCCCATCAGATGAGACCGCATCCCGCCGGAGATCATTCCGTAGAGTCTGGCCTTGTGTCTGCGACGAAGCGCATCCGTATGTCATATATCACTCCGGACAAGGGCGAGTTTAAGGGGAATAAAACGATACTGATAATTGAAACCAGGAACGTATCAGACCGTGACATCGACCACTGTGCCCGACATTGCTTCTCAGAGACGGAATCATCCTGTTCCATTAACGAAGGGTCTATTCACAACGACAATGTAGAAGAGATTCCGCCTGCTTGCATCCTTGTTCCTGCTGTTATATCTGTTCGTGCTCTGGGCAGGAGAGGCATAGTCACAATTACAGTCACAGTTATGGCAACGGTCACCAGCGTCGGAGTGAGAGCCAGGATCGGAACTCTCGGTCTCGACGACGCGGAAATCCAAAGGGACATGAGCTGTGCACTTGTTCGCAGTCCGAGGATTGTGCCTGTTCTTTGAACGCGCAGAGGGGCTCAAACTGTCAGGTACAGGAGCAGGGACAGGGACAGTTTTGCGGGGTGCGTTGCCGTACTCAGAGTCATAGCCATACTCATAGTCACAGTCACAAGATTGCATATGGACCGCCTCTGCCGGTGATGATGACGGATGTTGCTCGTGGGCGGGACTGTTGTTATCTCAAGTATTAGGTTATGTGAGATTTTTCTACCGGAGATTTATGGAACTGGTACGATGATGATACATTAAACGAAGTCGTCACGGCATGTTTCAAGTGATCGGTAGAATTATAAAAATGTCTTTTATTCATAATTCTCGGTACAAAACACAACCAACAAAGGAGATATATGAGGCAAATGCTACATGGAGGGTGCTAGCAGGACTAGCTGACTAGAGAAGATACAGGATAAAGAGTAAGAGGCAGTATCCAGGAGTTTAGAAGTGGATAGCCTTAGAGTAGGTTGCCATGGCAGCCTCCTTGAATGCCTCGGACAGCGTAGGATGAGCATGACACGTCCGGGCAACGTCCTCGGAGGAGGCACCGTACTCGACGGCCAGAGTTGCCTCGGCGATCATCTCACCGGCGCCGGGACCAATGATGTGTACACCGAGAATGCGGTCGGTCTCGGCATCGGCGATGAACTTGACCTGACCTTCCGTGTCGAGGTTAGTCTTAGCGCGGGAGTTGGCGCTGAAGGGGAAGGTGCCGACACGGTACTTGATGCCAGCGGCCTTGATTTCTGCTTCGCTCTGGCCAACCCAGGCGACTTCGGGGTAAGTGTACATGACGCTGGGGATGGCGGCGTAGTTAACGTGGCCATAGCCCTTCTTGATGTACTCAACGGCCGCCACGGCCTCCTCCTCGGCCTTGTGGGCAAGCATGGGACCGAAGGTGCAGTCACCAATGACCCGGATGTTGGGGACCTTGGTGCGGTACTCCTGGTCGATCACCAGACGACCGCGCTCATCCTTTTCGACTCCAACGCTCTCCAAGCCCAATCCTTCGGTGTAAGGTCTGCGACCAATGGCGACCAGGACAACGTCGGCATCGAGGGTCTCCTCCTTGCCACCCTTGGCAGACTCAATGTTGAGGCTCACGGTAGCACCGCTATCATCACCCTTGGTGACCTTGGTGCCGGTCTTGAACTTGATACCCTGCTTGCCAAGGATCTTCTGGGCCTGCTTGGCGATGTCCGCATCCATACCAGGCCCACCAATCTGGTTCAAGAATTCAACGACGGTAACTTCGGAGCCAAGGCGAGACCAGACGGAAGCCTGAAAACTGGGATTAGTATGTTTCTTTAATCGAACTCATGGAATCCATGGCACAGTAAACCTACCATCTCCAGACCGATGATGCCACCGCCGATGACAACCATCTTCTTGGGGACCTCCTGCAGAGACAGAGCACCAGTGCTAGTAATGATACGCTTCTCGTCGATGTTCAGGCCAGGGAAGGGAGTGGCCTCGCTACCGGTGGCAATGACGATGTTCTTTCCGCGCAGGGTCTGCTCACCACCCTCAAGCAGGTCCACCTTGACGGTGTTCGCATCAACCAACGCACCGGTACCTTTGACGTAGTCGACACCGTTCTTCTTGAGCAAGAACTCGATGCCCTTAGTCAGGCCCTCGACGGAGTTGTCCTTGGCCTTCATCATCTGCTCGAGATTCAATTTAACATCACCAACCTCGATACCGCGCTTTTTCGTGTCGTGGAGAATCTGGTGGTAGAGATGGGAGTTGTTGAGCAGAGATTTCGAGGGGATACAGCCGACGTTCAGGCAAGTGCCTCCGAGACGACCACGCTTCTCGATACAGGCGGTCTGTTGAAAAGATTCTATGTTAACTGCTTGATCCTGCAGGGGTTAGTTACCCCGGGGTCGCGGAATCATGACGCACCTTCAGGCCTTCCTGGCCGGCCTTGATGGCAGCAACGTAACCAGCGACACCACCACCGATGATCACAACATCATGTTCACCTATCATTTATTGATTAGCACGGCTATTTGAGAGGGCAGGCATTGGCTCGACGGGGAGCTATCGCCGAAGTCCTTGGAGGTCAAGTACCCGACTCAGAGGCATAGCCACGTTTTGAGCGCCCGAGCAAAGCGAGAGAAGGAGCAGCGACGAAGTTGGAGGGGGTAGTCTGAGGGCGAGCAGTGCGGAGGGCAGCCCGCGGCGTGGCCCGGGGCAGAAGACTACGGAACATGGCGAAAAGATAGGAGAGGAGGAGAGTAGAGAATCTCAAGGAGAAAGAAACAGACAAACAACCAAGCCCCAGATCAGCGATGAGAGGAATGGGGAGGCAACAATTGCAGTTGTGGGGAGAGGAAAGGGTATAAGTGGTAGTATAGGGAAAAGAAGACGTTGGGACAAGAAGCTTTCTGGTTTTGCCAGCAAAAGCTGACGGCCCGGTATCGATACGGTATTCCCAGGCGTATGTAATCAGCTTCGGGTCAACTCGGCTAATAATTCCCACGTTACCAATAGAGTATACCTCAACGTGATCTTGTAGGTTCCCCAGGTCGATGGCAATAACACTTGGGGAGGCTTTATATGTCATGCGCTAACGCTCCAAGCTGCTCTTAATCTCGATACTACGTTCTCGTAACTGGGGTAGTAAGCTATCTACTGTGAGCGATATGCTTTGTCAGCTGAGTGGATCATTGTTCCATTCCGTACGGGTTGTACAGATCGATATTACCTCGTTACCCTCACCAGACCCCCAAAAGGGAAAGCAGGTGCCATGGTGTCTTACAGTAGTCCACAAAGATGGGCTTGGGATACCTGTTGTCCCAGTCCGCGTGGTCGCCTCGCATCATCATCATCATCGTCACATACCAAACCCTCAGCTTAGAGCTCCGTTGGTATCCGCGGGTAACAATAACTCAGGTAAGGTACCAGCCGTGGCTATCGTCGGAGGAGGCCTATGCGGCCCAAGCTGGTGGACATAGCCATCGATTGATAACAACACAGATCAAAGAATATCTTCCTGCTGCGATGGACAGACGGACAGATGAGAGATTCTTCGCCACAAGACTAGCATAGTAACATATGTTTTGGATGTCACAAGTACGTGGTGAATTCTGAACCCTTTTCTAAAAGATTGAACTGCCGAGACTAGGTGAATTGGAAGAGGTGCACAGCTGCAATAACGGTCTCCTTTGGAAATCAGCCTGGTAGTCCTGATGAGGGTAGCTAGAGACCTATCCAAGATCCGCAAAGAAGCCCATCGCAGACAGCTTGGTTGATAACATCATATAGCAACAGCTGTGTCGGCTATGTGTTGGAAACTGCCAAGGCCAGTTCACGCCGATCTTTACCATTTCCCCTACTCAGGATTCAATGTATGTTGATTTGATGCACCGGGCCTATAGGGATTGAATCATTCTCCGACCTCGCGTGGCTAGAAGGAATAGGATCTTTGTAGACTTCGAGGTGCAATTTTGCAATTCCGAGATGCTCATATCAAAGGTCTCATCATCACTATACCTGTGATGTATGTGGGCTGCATGTCCATGGTATTGGAATCCATCAACCGGGCTAAGCGATTACCCTGTGGATGTCCGGATTAAACCCACTCTGGTAGATATATGTATTTGAGACCATTGTTCTAGTTTATGATAGATTTTGCCAAGTTATACTTTTGATCAGAAGATAGTATTCATGTGCGAACACTTGTGCAGCATTTCTACCACTCCATATTGTAACAGGTTTTGGAAGAGTCGAGAGAAAATCATGCTCCAACCTAGCGTTGGAATAAGATACATGTGCTTTTGAAGCTAAGATTACTATATTGAAGGAGACTAAACATAACTAAGGTACCTATCTGGGGGTTTTACCTACATTAAAAACTCCTTAACTTAACACACCTGACTAAGAAGATAGTGCTCAACATCCCTGGCTATCAGCGACATAGTGACTCGCTATTTTCTGGATATATATAGTGAGAGACCCCTCCCCCCCCCCTTCTACAGCTGTAGCTTTACATTGTGTTCACGTTGTGCTGTACTGTGTATGTAATTAGTCGCTGAGGTGCAATCCACCTATTCATCTCATCTATAACTTCAGTGGCTTGTCTTGAATTCTCCTTTTTTTTTTTTTTTTTTTTGGCTGCCTACGAAACTCTTTTTATCTCGTTTGTCGGAATTCTCTCGGTTGCATTTTACTTACTATTCTTGTACATTAAAACAAAATTGTATTCTGAGAAGTAACCTTCGTGGTATCCGTGACTGGAATCTATCTTATGCTTGCAGGAACATAAATTTATACACGAGTTCAGTTTCAGTTCCCACAATATTCTAGAACCATCCATCTTCATGATTCATTAAATACTTCCGTGGCTCAAACCCAAACCCCAAGGAGACGCAGGAACCAGAAAAAGTCTGCCAATCAGCTCATCCGAGCCAGCGTATCCTTATTCCGGCGACGGTTTCAATTTGCAGAGGCAATAACGAATAACACCAACTTGACTCGGAATCTGACTTTTCTCCCACCGGGATGTAACCAGATTCGATCAACGTGGGGCTCCAGGGATGCCGTTGTACCAAATTATCGGGCTACCCCAGGATTCATTCCCATGTCCACTCACTCGGAAATAGCATTCTCGATCTGACCGGGAGTAGGATACATTAGTATTTGGGAAATAGTTGCTATCGTAGACAATGAAACTATGCAAATGTTCAATGAAAGATAAATATAAAAGTCGGAAGGAATCACCTCCGCTCCCCCGGACTGACCTCGGGCCCAAGCCGATCATCACGAACAACGCCGGGAATGGGCCGATGGCTTGCCCATTCGGCCTTCCCCCGCACTGTCTCCGCGTGACGATTCAGTCCCTATTTGGCCATTTTGTCGACGGCTGGGTAGATTGTGGGGATATATAAGCTGGATGATCTTTTTCTTCTTTTTTCATTTCTTTTTCTGCTTAGTTCAGTCTGTTTCTAGATCTATCGACTTACACTACCGGCACGCTTGACTCCGTCATGTGTGACCAAATCCCAAAATGGAACGTGGTTCACAAACTGGAGAAGAAGAAGCTTCTCATCGGCATCAACAGCGTCGCCGCGCTGTCGATCCTGTTCTTCGGATATGACCAGGGAATGATGGCCGGAGTGAACAACTCCAAAGACTATATCGATCTCATGGGGTTTGGACACACCGTGATGGTCGACGGCCAGCTTACCCCGGTGGTCACGAACAGTCTCCTGCAGGGGGGAATCGTCTCGGTTTACTACCTGGGGACACTGTGTGGCGCCTTGCTGGGTGGCTGGATCGGTGATAAAATCGGCAGAATCAAGACCATCGCTGCGGGTTCGGTTTGGGCAATTCTGGGTGCGGCATTGCAGTGCTCTGCGCAGAATCATAACTGGATGATTTGCTGTAAGATAAGTAAAACAATAAGGAGAAAGAAAAGGAGAAGACTGATCTTTTAGCCCGTTTCATTAATGGAATCGGTACTGGAATTCTGAATGCGATTGTGCCCGTATGGGCGACGGAGACGGCCGAGCATACATCGCGCGGCCAGTTTATTGCCATTGAATTCACATTGAATATTTTCGGCGTGGTACTGGCCTACTGGCTGGAATTGTACGTGCATCGATTCGACATATCTCAAACTCTTACTAACGCAGATCTAGTGGATTGTCTTTCATCGACGGCGGCCGATCTCCCTTCCGGTGGAGGTTCCCAATTGCATTCCAGATAATCTTCCTGATCTTGCTCTTCGTCGTGGTCTGGTTCTTCCCTGAATCTCCACGATGGTTGGTCAAGGTTGGTCGGGAGCAAGAGGCGCGGTATATCCTGGGTCGACTTCGTGGAAGCAGTGAAGAAGACACGATCCGGGCTGAGGCTGAATTCCGGGATATCCAGAATGTTGCTGAGCTTGAAAAGTCCATGAACCATAGCACGTCCTACCTGGCGATGTTGTTCGGGTACAAGACGGGAAAGCTGCATTTGGGACGTCGCGTGCAGCTGGTTGTTTGGTTGCAGATTATGCAAGAGTGGGTGGGAATTGCCGGAGTGACAGTTTGTAAGTTTTTGGTGATTACCGGATTTGCCGGTCTAACGACTTGGAACTAGATGCTCCGACTATATTTAGTATTGCTGGTTTCGACTCGATGAAGAGTCAATGGATCAGCGGCCTGAACAACGTCTTCTACATGGTAACCACCCTTTTTTTATTCCACTTTGACCACAAGACTGACGGATACACGTGTAGTTCGCCACTTTAATCTGTGTCTTCACTCTCGATCGTATCGGTCGTCGATGGACTCTGTACTGGGGTTCTACAGCCCAGGGAATCGCCATGTTCCTAGCAGGAGGCTTCTCGCGACTTGCCATCGACGCTCGGAACGATGGAAACCTATCCCGAGCGAATTCATTCGGCGCGGCAGCCGCATCAATGGTGTTCATTTTCACTTCGGTATTCGGAGCAACATGGCTAACAGGTACCGCCCATCCGAGTCAGATATGCAGACTAGCGACTAACAAGACCAGTACCATGGATTTACCCAGCTGAGATCTACCCCCTGGCTGTACGAGCCCGTGGAAACGCCTGGGGCGTAGTAGGATGGAGCATTGGCAACGGGTGGCTGGTGAGTATTCGCTCCCATTACACCTCCTTCTTTCTTTCAATTTGAGTCTAATGAGCATGACAGACCCTCCTATGTCCAGTGATGTTCGAATCCATCGGCGAGAAAACCCTATATGTCTTCGCAGCCAGCAACGTGATCACCATCCCGATGGTATGGGCTTTATATCCGGAGAGCAACCAACGGACGCTGGAGGATATGGACCTGCTGTTCGCGGCCGATACACCATGGGTATGGGATGCCGAGCGCACATTTGCACGTCTCAAGGCCGAGAACCCGGGATATGTGGAAACAGCAACCCGGAAGAATCGCGTGTTGGATGCGGAGATGGGGAAGCCGTTGAGTTTGGAACATATGGAGCATGCAAAATAGATCTTGAATGAATACAGAGGACAGAGCGTCTATCCGGTATCCAGTCGAGGTAAAATATTGGGTACCCATTTATTACCTACTAGAGATAGAAATTAGACACATTAATATATACAGCCAAGCGAACCCACCCCATACAACCTGGATAGAGAATAATAATATAGAACAAAACAAGGTCTACCCCGTAAAATCAACAAAACAACCCCCCACAGCTTTCACCCCCCTAGCCCCATTGTCATCCTCAATAAACTTGACCCCCTCCCCCTCTAACATCCTCTTCTTCCGTTCCAGATTCTTTCCCCCCTTGGCATTCGAACTCCCCATGTATCCCCCCAGCGTGCGATCCGCAGCCAACACCCGATGACATGGCACGTCGGGCGCGAACGGGTTCGTGCGCATGGCGGTGCCGATGGCGCGCGCGCTGGAATTTAAGTACTTGGCCAGCGCAGAGTAGGTGGTCCATCGGCCGGGGGGTATCGAGAGGAGGACGCGGTAGACCCGACGCCGGTAGGGAGATAGGGTGGGGTGGGTGGAGATGCGGTGGAGGGATTTTTGGATTTGGATTTGACTTGGACGTGGTTGTGGTTGTGGCTGAGGGGATGGCATTTTTTTTGTTGGATGTGGATATTGGGGCGTCGTTAGTATTGGTTCTTAGCTGGAGTTTGGATAAGAGATTGAGGACCTACTCCGTCCAGTAGAGTAAGTAGTACCGGTAGGTGTTGAGTGGGATGAATCGCGAAGATCACTGAGTGTATTTATTTGTATGGGCCGGACATGTTGTTTAGAATTGACCAATCAGATGGCTTATGCGTTGCCGTCGAATCAACGAACCATATGGATCTTTTCTTTTCAACCAAAATATAATACAGCTAGTACTTTTATTCTAGGTCAGTAAGGACTAGGACTTTGTTGGTCCGTAGGTTCCACCAGGTATACCTTCATCCATATGACGTCATAGCTTACAGTGCTCTCCTCAAAAATAAAACATTGAATAAATAATCTAGATCAGACAACACAACGGTATTCCGGTGAATCCAAGAAGTGACTTGATCAGCCAAGTCAAGTCAAATGAAAACAAAACGCCGTCCTATCTACCCAGCAGAAGGAAAAGAATGATCCGCGTTCTGTACACCAAGGTGGATCATGAAATCAAATCAATCATAAGAAACATCACGTCAACATCGTCAACTCCATCTCCAAACGCCGCCGGTCATAGCTATACATGGAACATAAGTCATGGCGCGTAGTATAAAGTAACACAATGACATCAAAAAAAGGTAAAAAAAAAAAAAAAATAAAAAAAATAAACCGCACAGGGGAATCCAGACACAATAAGATACAAGGTACAAGAAGATCAAGCGACGGAAGCCTTCCCTCGTTTCGCCGCTCGTCGCTTGGGTAAATCCCAATGATGGTACGATCGCAAGTGCTCGATCAGATGGTCTCTGCGCGGAAAGCCATTGCCCGCCTTTCGAAGACACTCTTGCACGGGACAGTCTTGGAACACGGGATTGTGGACGCTGGATTGGTGACGTTTCAGATCCGCCGGACGAGTGAAGGCGGCGCTGCAGTCTTCGCAGGGAAAGGGTTTCATGTTCATGTTCATGTTTATTGGTCTTCTGATCGTTAGTTGGTCCAGTCAATAAATTAAATCGGCAGTGGAAGTGCAGGTAAGGCTTACTTGGTTGATTCGGCTTCCACAAGGTACGGATGTTCCAGTTCCAGATCCATGTCCATGTCCAGATCCGGGATCATCACTTCGTCCACAGGCGGCATTGAGGCTGTCGCTGCCATTGCAGTCGTGGGCGGCCAGACGTAGTGGGATTGCATGGGAGAGAAGCATGTGGTGGCGTTCTGGGAGTTGTTGTGCATGTTCTGCGCCGGGTACGCAATAGGAGGAGTAAAGTCGCAGGAGTTGAAGGAGGGCGAATCGAACGAGGAACTGAAGGAGGAGGTATAGGATGGCGTGTACGTGGGCGACGAGGTGGATTGGCTCATTAATTCGAAGTCGGGAGTAAGTGGGATGTTATAGTAGAAAGGCATGTTGGAGTGCACCGAGTCTTCGCTGCTGGTCGAGTACGAGGGTTCCATGGCTGGGCATGTTGGGAGGTTTGGGCTCTGCGCAAGTTAGTGGATTTATTTTGGATCTTTTTCTCTCTCTCTTATTTACTTAATGGTCTTATCTAATTTTAAACTAGAAAGAATATTGTTCGTTACCTACCATTGAGTATTGAATGAACATAACTCCGAATTAGGAAAAGGAAAGACAGAAGGAAAGCCAAGGTAGGAAATTAATTTGGGCTGACCACGGATCTGGAAGCAAGATAAATTCAAGAAAGTCAAGTGATTCCAAGCACACCTTGAGGGAACTGACGGGCTTTTATAATGCATCCATGCGTCCATCCACCTTCGAGTCGTCGAGCACTACGTCGCACATGCATTAGACCCAACAATAGCCCATCTCCACAAAGTCCACCCACCCCCTGTCAGACTAGGGCTGTTGTTAACGTGAACCCTCCCCCAGCCATGGAGACAACATCATCACCTGAGCACTGAGCAGAGCTCCACGATCTTCGACTAGAGAAAATCCCACAGTGAAGCGGATTTCGATCTGCGGATTGGCTCGGGGGAATGCAGGTGGTTATCGCAGCAACACACAGCCACCCCAGTCCGGGCACCGGTGATTGGTGCCAAGTCCGCGTCGAAGTGAAGCGGATCCTGGCAAAGGATGACGCTAGAAAAAGGATGGAATCATCGAAACTTCTTTCCATGCTTCTAGCGGGCGACCAAGTGTTTCTCTGCCGTGTATGCAGGCGGTGTGATTGGGAGATGGTCAGACTAGTCAAGCAGTCCCCTGCACACACGGCCCGATTAGAGGGGAAAACGTCAAGAAAGGGGAGATTCTGGAGTCAGGACTGCTTCCATCATCGTCATAGGGGACTGATCCCCCCATAAGACTAGCAGTCCGTGGCCGTTCTGCTTGGCTTGCGGCTCGAACGGTGACCCAGATAGAGCCGGTAGACAGCCAATGAACTGGATGGCGTCCAGTAGTCCCTCTGACTATTTCCTGCCTTGGGCTGCTGCTCTCCGCCTTAGAACCGTGCGTGTTTCTTATTCGTCCAGTGGTTAGGCCCTACATTGTGCGGCAGTGAAGACCCGAGGAGATACTAGACCGTTGCGAGAATTGGGAGGAATTCCCTGAGTGAGGACTGCATAAGTCACTGCAAAAGTTCGGGTGTTGATGCTACATCAATCGTCTCTCACTAATCGATGGTTCCTGCCTGAACAGCCTTGTCTCCCAGATTGCAGTGAGTGCATCTCCGTCAACGTCTAATCGCTCCTTTCGTCATATGGGCCGACTGGCCACCCTTGGAAAAGGCAATCGGCACGTTTTCCGGTCCGTTTCGTTAACGATCCGCATCAAGTGACGGACTGATTCGACAGCCTTGTGGTTCTAGTCTACCCTGCCATCCTCTAACCCGCGCTAACTCTCAAAAGTACACTTTCGGTGGAGTCATCATCTGTTCATCAGCCAAGAACGGACATTACTGTGAACTCTGGTTGGTCTTTTCCACTTTGGCTGGCTGACTGGGAAGTACTGGTAGGTGGTAGTATCTATCCAGTCGGTCTGGGAATACCCGCCCACAATACCCGCACCCCTCTCTCTATGATGATAATGATGTATACTCTGTAGGATGGTGAAGATCACCGATTGATTACAGGGCAAAATTATACGAGACAAAAGGGAGAAGGTGATAGATTGAAGAGAAAATGCCGCATTTCATCAATACCAGGCTCAGACAGTGAGGCGACCGGGCTAAACACCCTGGGAGCGGACTGCTGCTACTCCCTAACGCACGGAGTAAATAGTGTCACGGTCGGGCAACCCGGTGACCTGGTTTGAGAATGCTGTCTGAACTCTGAAGGTTTTGGACCTCTTTGGGGTTTGGACAAAGAGGTCCCCTGGTCTTGGCCGAGCGTCCGTGTCATTAATCGATCGATCTTTCTATTCCTCGGTCGGGTTGGGTTTGTACAGCCACACCGCCATTCACAGTGGATGATTGATTATTGTTACAAGATCTACTGCAGGTAAAGTACTGTGCCTAGGAAGAAAGGAACAAGAGGGACTAAAACAAGGGAAAAGAGAAAGAAAAATGAGAAAAAGAAAAATAAAAAAGAAAAAGAAAAGAGGGAAAAAAAACCATCTTCCGTTCCATTTTTCTTTTTCAATTCCCATTCAACGGCATAAAATATGGCTGCAGATTCATCAGCCGCCACTTATGTAAGAACAGCACAGAACTCCCCGGTCCGACCGTCCCAATTCATTTACTCGTGCCTGAAGCATGCATTCAAACAATCAAACACATCTGATGAAGAGTGGAAAAAAAAAAAAAAAAAAAGTAGAAGAAAGACAAAGACACCCGTTCGGCAACAAGCCATCCGATCGACCCCTTGAGCTGGATCTAACGGACGGACTGATTGATTTCCCACTACCGCATCAATCCATGAATACATACAAGATTCACCATAAATTGCATTGACATCCCAAGTCTCAAACTATAGCTCATCTTCCAGATACTTGTACACAAATTTGAAATCAGCCTTGCGCCGGTTCATCCTGGGGCAGATTAGTCTAGTCCGTGGTACTTTTGAACAACACTCGATCAACCCAACTTACCATGTACTCTCGTAGTCAAAGAACCGATACGTCCCTTGCTCGAATTCCTCGGTAATTGTCTTGGGCTCCTCATGCCGTTGGAACCATGTTTGGTATTGCTTATGGAACCGCCAGCTTTGGTTCTTCAACGCTTTGGCCGCCAAGAATTGTTGATACGTACCCTGTCGGTAATAAAACAGGTAGAACAGCGTATCCGTGTCGATGCGCCCCGTGTCGTATAACCGCGGGTCGTCGAAGATGGACAACGGTTCTTGAGGGTAGTAGAGAGGCGTGTTATACGGATTCTGCGGCTTGTAATGACGGGGCTTCTCTGCATCGGCCGCCTCGGGGCATGTCGTGAGCGATGCAGAGAGAAGTCGTTGAATAGACGGCGGTGGATTCGAAGAAGCGGCTGACGCTCGGTTCTTCGTTACCTCGAAGGAATGGATCAGGTCTTGCAGCCCCGGGGGGAGATGATATATTGATTCACCGCTCTCCTCCTTTTTCGTCTCCCCGTTGACGGGTGCAGGCTCCTCCGGGGTGGCTGTGGTCATGACTTCCGCCTTGTCTATTGCTGGTGTAGGGGGGTGCTGGATTCGACGTGGTGCTCGCGGCCGCCACATTGGGGCTGATCGCGGGGGTCTTTGATCGTCCACCAAGTTCCTCCGAGGTAGTTGCCGGTGTCGACGCTGTCGTATTCACCACGGGCTGTACCGAAGAAACGCTGGGCGAGGCTGTGGACGAGGCTCTTGAGGCAGGGACCGCGACCGGGAAAGCAGGGCTGGCACCTGGAGGTGGAGGGAGGGGGGCAATGCCCACGCCGTTTTTGTCGCTTGCAGCCGCGGCAGCTGCCGCAGATGCATACTTGAGTGTTTCGCCCGGAAGACGTGTTGGCGGTGGCGCGGGCTTCATGCCAGACGTTGTACTGGTGGATGTCGATGGATGTAGCGTCGCAAGGACGGGTAGCGGTGACTTCATCTGTGCTGAAGGCCGCCGAGGGCCTGTCGCATCGCTCTTGATCGACTTGGCTTTAGAGTCCGTATCATCTTCTTGGACGGATTGCGTATCTTGCGAGGAAACCCGGTCATTGTCAGCATTCAGTCCATACTGTATTTCACCGTCGTCCCCGAAGTTGAGATCGTCGTAGAGGGTCTCGTCTTCGCCAGAGTAATCCACGTTATGCCCGTCCTCCACATAGTATTTGATGCTTTCCTTCAGGTCGAGCACTTGATTCGTCTCGACGTTGCCGTTTTGCAATGATCGGAGGAGCATCTCTAATTTGTTGACGTGCCATTTATGTCGCTCGGTTATTCGCGTAAGATCCGCCAACCGGTTCGCCTTAGTGACATCCTTCTTGCCCTTCTTCATCTGCATGTGCAGCGTCTCCTCTTCCGCTTCCATGGCCTCAATCTTCTGCTGCAGCTCATCTACCATGTTGGACAGGAAGTCGCACGTCTCCACTTTTTCTTTCTCCTTAGGGTCGAGTCTCGAGGCTGCAGAGAGGCCTTCCTTGGAGTACGCCTTGGTCTTCATTTCCTTTTCTACAGCTTTGAATTGCTCCATGCACTGCACTGCAGTTAGCTTTCTCCAATGTCCGGACAAAATACAACAAAGATGGCGACGGGGGCCAGGGTGTGTGCCGGGGAATCGTTAGCCCACAGTTTCGATGGCTCGACGCTGCTCTAGCAGCGGCCCTTTATCTTTGACTTCATTGCCCGAAGCCCATGATTTTATTTGGTCGCGATATCGCTGAAGCTTCTTGATCTCTCGTTTCAGGTTCTCCTCCAGTTTATCGCGCTGGGTGGGATTCGTCGCCGATCGGATCTTCTCGTAGATTCCCTCAAATTGTTGAATGCCTTCAGCGACCTTCTTGAAGGTCTTGTCAATCTCTTGTTGCGTCTTTCGGGATGTCATGGTTGCTGTCCATGCGAACAGAAGACCAAGAAAGAGAAGCAGAAGGATCGTAGGGTAGGGATTGAGCGTGGAAAGAGGGTAGGCTGGAGCTATGTAGGGTTAATAGACGTGGAATCCTCGATGGTTAGGAGGTCGAGGCGGAGGCGCGTGGTAGACGAGGTTGCCGGGCAACTTGTCAACAAGACAATTGCGCTTATGACGTGCGGGGGAAAGCGAGAATGAAGGTATAAACCAACAGCGTGGAGGGAGAGAAGAATGAACGAATCTCCTGATGCGCCTCGATAGAATCGCGGAAGTCAAAATGGGACCTCCGCCAAGACCGGGCGGCGTAACGCCGTTTTTCTTCGTATCGTAAGGAAGAGGCGAATTCGCTCGAACAATGCTTATCCCCTAGCTACTTCGTTGTACCCATCTCCTTTACCTGTCCTGGCGATTGATCTCACCCGTCTTCAGTTCTCTCTAGATAATTTAGCCTGGGTTTCCTCTAATCTTACGCACCTGTAGGTCAGTATTCCGTTTGCGACCAGATGTCCTTGTTTGGATAAGCTAATGCTATTCGACAGCTACCTATTAGCCTCAAAAACTCGTTCACTATCCTTCTCTTGCTATTTTCTGTGTATATCGTTGCTGTCGATCGCGTCTCTCTTCTACGGCCGCTCCTCTCCCTCGGACTCGCGAACGCCTCAACATGAAGGGTGTGCCATTCTCTCTACTCCCACCGCCGCACTATGCGAACCCTCCTACTGACAATGGGTACCAGCGGTTCTCCAACGAGTTAAATCCGCCTCAGTGACAGTTGACGGGCAGCTGATCTCTTCTATCGGTCGAGGAATTCTGGTCCTGGCCGGGGTCGGAAAAGGAGATACCGAGAAAGACGCAGATACGTTGATAGGGCGGATACTAAAAGCCAGGTTGTGGCCAGAGGAGAACGGCGGTCAGGTTCGTACCCCACCCAGCCTTTGGTGCAGGGATAGTTCCGAAATAAGGTCTGACGGAGGGCTCCGTGATAGTGGAAGAAGAACGTTCAGGATATCGAGGGAGAGGTTCTCTGTGGTAAGTACCTCACTACGAACGCGTTTCACTCTGAGAACGGGTAGCTGAACGTGGGCGTAGTGTCGCAATTTACACTCTATGGCCAGTTGAAAAAGGGCAGCAAGCCCGATTTCCACGACGCGGCCGATGTGGAAACCGCACGCAGACTCTACGACTATTTCTTTCAACGACTGCGTGAAGCCTACAAGCCCGAACGGGTCCAAAATGGAGTGTTCCAGGCTATGATGGAAGTCGAATTGAAAAATGATGGGCCGGTGGGTGTAGATTACCGCAGTCACGATGCGGCGGTTAGCAATCTATACGCTTTCTTTCGTTCTGCTGTTGAGACTTGTGAGGACTACATGGGGCTAACGACCGTATCTTATAGGTGACAATCGAAATCAATACGCAAATGCCGAAAAAGGAGAAGAAAGACGAGCCGAAGGAGCAGGAGAAGAAGAAAGCTGGCGAGTCTGCCGAGGGAGAGAAGAAGACGTATGAGTTCAAACTGCCGGCCTCGTTGCTGGAGTAAACTATTATCAGTCATGTCGCTCACGAGATGAATGCCCTGTAAATAGTACCCCCAGGTAGGTGTCCATATAAATGTACCTATACGAACTTAATTTTCTACAGCCACTGCGACTTTCCCATTGTAGATACCACCGTTTTAATAAGGGGACTCAGGGGTTTGCTCAGTGAGCAGTCACGTGGCTCCCTAAGCTAGCCCCCCCTCTATTTTGTGTTGACTTAGGCAGGAATGAAAGAAGATATGAAGCTATTTTGGATGACTGTATTCAGCTGCTCGGTTTAATGATGAATGATTTTATTGATGATCAGAATTACGAGCTATCTAGAGGTAACTTTTGATCCATATTTATACCTCGATCCTGAGCTCTTTTGGCCTTCATGGAATCTCGTAGATTTCTATCCCCCTCTTTCCTAATCGGGCATTTATGTAGCCATCCAAACACCCGTTTTCATGGCTTAAAGCCTTTCCGTGATGTCTCGGATAGCTCAAAGGAAGTGGAAATGACGTTGAAGTTGTCATGATGATCGCCCACCTCATTGAGTATTCTGACCGATTTTCTTCAACAGAGTCTTTATCTAGCCCGTAGCCTTGCCAACGCAGATATTCTAAGAGTGCGAATCGTCCTTAACTTTCTACAGGTGTAATGATATTGGGACTACGATTGCGTCAACCTCCTGTAGTGACTTTTTACTGGTAACAGGGTTTTTCCATAAGTATGATAACGTCTTTCTACACCATTTAAACTCCGCACATTTCTGCGCTTTCCACAACTTGGCTGCCATGACTTGAAAATCATGCTAGGATATTATAAGTTCTTTTCTGAGGAGTGTGAGGTTGTCGAAGAAAAATATCGGAGAATTTTAGCACCAACGTTGCCCTACTAACCATAACATGGCCTTGCAATTCACTGCTGTCCAAGTTTGTGCCGGTCTTGGATTTACTCTTGGATAGTTTCGTAGATACGGTGTATCCCGCAATGGCACCGTGTTAATTTCCGACTCCCATTGTTCAGTTAGAAGGCATGGTTGTTTCCGACTGATAGATACAAGGAGTACAACCTTAACATCAATTGATCGACTTAGCCACCACTTGGCGTCTAGTCGAAGTTGTGGCAGTGATTCAGATAACCCAGCCTTAAGAACAACACTGGGCCATTTATCAGAGCCGATGGGATCCAGGATGAATCCGGCTCCTTTCGATAAGGAGTATCGACCACAACGATTGCATTAATGGTATCTAAATCTTCAGACAGTCCTACCGCATCGCAATATTGGTAAAAGAGTCTTCGTATGCGTGCTGTTGCTTCCTCGTGTGGACGATATGGAAGTTTCACAATCAAGCATTGTAAGTGCTTATAATAAAATAGTCTCGTACCTCTACCAAATAAGCGGGTATGGTTGATTTCATCTTTGACAAGTGCAGTAGCAATATGGGTAAAAATGACATATTGAGCGCCGTGATCTTCTGAGAATAGCTGCCATTCTTATTAAGAATGGACTTGATTGTAGCAGGCCAGAGAATTATGAATTCCTGTGTCGTGGTAGGCAAATCCTTTAAAGGGAATCCTTATTCTGATCTTCGGTCATCAGTTCTGGCCAAGAGGTTTGGAGAAGCTCTGTGTTCTTTAGCTCAGTGTTAACAGATGTCAGTAAAGCCATTGCTATGAGCTATAGGCAAAGAAAAAATGAGGAGACAAGGTACGTGAAACTAAAGAGATGTTGCTTACCATGGAGCATATTTGTGAAGGATAGACTGTACCTGCCTAGGATGGAGGAAAGACGTGGAAAGAAAAATCAGGAAACCACCGATAAGGGCTCCCCCTCGCTGCTTCAGAGAGCTAAATGATGTAATTGCAACATAAGCACAGCCTGAGGCTGCTTTTGGCGACTTGACAGGGTCAATTAAGTACATTCTATGCCACAAGACATTACAGCGGATGAAACTTATCGATACGTAGTCTGAACATTACAAGTTGCGTTGGACTTTTAAAAATAATGTACCTCTTCCTTTCTTAGCTAGTCTAATCATCTACACGCCGACCGTTAGCCTAATTAGGAATTATATGCCATATGTGGAAACACCAGAAATCACTGTTTCTCAACCAACCGAGTCTCTTCCATTTCTAAGGTCCTCGACCAAAGTTCTCTTGGGTGCTCAAATCAGGATTCAGGGGCGGAATGGAATCTTCAGGTAGAATCCCTCCTCAGTGATCAGCTCAAGTAACTAAAAGCGTGCTCAGATGTATTACTCAGTGATCAAAAGCGGCGAGGAGTGAGCACTGAAACGGAAAGTGAGAGACATCAAGCTAGACTCTGGGGCGGCTGCTAATTTCAACAACATCGCTAATTTCACATAATATTCTGCTTAATCAGCCACGCTTTACCTGATTGGGAACATATCGGACAGAAACATCCAGCACTATTCTTTATGATCCTGAGCGAGGACAGTGGGGACAGCAGGGACAGCAGGGACAGTAAGGCAATGGGGTCAATGGGTTTAATTGACCCGAGAGCTTAAACGGGCTGCAGCCTTTACACTGTATTTGACTTGTCTGTTTATTATAGTAGGCACGCCTCTTCCACTTCTTACTTTCTCATGAATATCTATCCTTTTCATTTCTGCAGTTAGCTCCATAACCTTCTTCTTCTTACCTCTATTGGCCTAGTTTATATGGTTTTAAAGCTGTATATAAGCTTGTTTTATAGCTTTTTCCTTCTCTTTCTAGCATCCCTTTTCCTCTGCTTCCTGCATCTGCATACCCTTTTTCTTGCTAACAATGTATCTTATACTCCTCTTTTACAGCCTTAGTAAAACACGTAACTTTCTTCTTCCCTGCTTAAAAGTCCCATGCTTGTTAAATCTTCTTAGAGCCATAAAAAAAGATATTACCGTCTTCTAGTGCCTGTAGTTGAAGTTATATAGGTTCCAAATGCTGTTGCTGCTTTACTTATTCTATAAAGTATTTTCCAAGCCTGTACACTATACTTTACAAGAATATTCTCTGTAAAGAGATGCTATTATTTAAATTCTGGACTTTTTGGCTATAGATATTAGAAATAGCTTAATTAAAAAGCCTTTAGTATTCTCCAGTCATCTAATAATCTCTCAAGACGGCCGGCGTGTGTATATCAATTTTGTGAAATTGGACGCCGGATAACCTGCACATCTACCGCATATGGGGGCGGGTACTGTCAGCAGCAACCAATTTCCAGTCTTCTATCTATAAAATAGATAGTGAGGATCCATGACCTACACTAGGCCGCATCGCTGTCTCGTCTAGTTTTATTCCACTCGTCTCCGGAATCAAACACGACAACTCGCTTGGTATACAGATTAGTGATAGCTAGTTTACCCTATTAAACTCCAAAAAAAGAAAAAAAAAAAAAAAAAAAAAAAAAAAAAAAAATTGTCATGCTCTTTATAGTTTGAGCATTAGATATTGAGGTTTAGATGCCTTGCTAAGATGCTCAGTGACTTAAAAACCTGTGATGGTAAACATAGATACCGTAAAGAAAAAGAAACGAAAAGAGAGAGGCTAATTAGATTGTTCCCCACCTAGATTTTTACCTTGCAAATAGAGTAGAAATAATAACCACAATTCCCTGTTCCATTGATCATGCCATCTCTTTGCTTTTAACCCCCGGGGGGGGGAGTAAAGGGGAATGACAGCGAAAAAGCATTACGAGGATAAACGGACACTAGTCAACTCTAGCGTCGTGCATTTTATTGAGGCTACGTTATGGCTACTCACCCCTCCACTCAGCCCTCAGTGATCAGCTCAGTGAGCAAAAAGCGGCGAGTGTTGAGCACTAAAACAGAAAGGGAAAGACATCAAGCTGTCCAGAAAATCAAGTACGTATGCATATAATATAGGCCGACTATACGGACGAAACGAGGTTGTGTGAATGTCGTGGTCCTAGGCCGGTGCGGAGGTGCATGGAAGCTTCGTGAAGCCGCCTCCACCTTTCCCTTTCCTGGCTTGTTTCTTTCCTCTTCTCTTTTCTCCCCCCCTCTCCCTACATACCTTTTACTCCTCTCTTCTCCCCAGTAGGCTGACCCTCTTGGAATAATTGACCTCCTCACTGAATTGTTACTCTCCAGCTCTTCCTCCTTCACCTTCTTGCATCCATCCACTATGGCTGAGTCTGAGCGTGCGTTTTGTGGTCTCTTCTCTGCTTTTCCACTTTCCAGTACTGATGCGCTGCGACAATAGGCCGCCCCCGTGTTTTCTTCGACATTCAGATTGGTAACCAAAAGGCCGGTCGCATTGCCCTGGAACTGGTATGTGCCTTGCGTCTGATGCTTCCCCCAGGATCCCTTTGTCGCTAACTACCCCACAAGTTTAACGATGGTATGCTTTGTGCCCCTCCGACTCTTGGGCCTATTCTAACCATATCGTAGTTGTTCCCAAAACGGCAGAGAACTTCCGTGCTCTCTGCACCGGCGAGAAAGGCGAGGGAAAGCAGGGCAAGCCATTGAGCTTCAAGGGTACAGTGATCTGCCCCGCTTTTGATCCTGGACGATGCACACGCAGTCTGCTTACGCACTTTCAATGCGATTTAGGTTCCATATTCCACCGGGTAATCAAGCAATTCATGATTCAGGGTGGTGATTTCACTGCGTTCAACGGAACTGGCGGAGAATCCATCTATGGCGAGAAATTCCCGGACGAGAATTTTGATCTCAAGCATGATCGGCCTTTCCTCCTCTCTATGGCCAACTCTGGCCCTGGCACCAACGGCAGCCAGTTCTTCATCACCACTGTTCCTACACCTCACCTGGATGGCAAGCACGTAGTGTTCGGTGAAGTGATCAATGGAAAGAGTGTGGTTCGCAAGATCGAGAACCTGCCCACCCAGGCGGATAAGCCCACCGCGGACGTCACTGTCGTGGACTGTGGCGAATTGACCGGTCAGGAGTATGACAATGCCGACAAGCAGGTCCCTGATGTCACCGGGGATCCCTATGAGGACTTCCCCGATGACCACCAGGGCGAGGAATTGAATGCTCCCGTGTGCTTCAAGATTGCGTCGGAGCTCAAGAACTTCGGAAATACTGCCTTTAAGAGCGGTAATCTTGCGGTGGGTCTTGAGAAGTACCAGAAAGGCCTGCGCTATTTGAACGAGTTCCCCGGCCCGGATGAAAATGACCCCAAGGAACTGGAGGGTCAAATGAAGGCTCTGCGCTTCACCCTTCATTCCAACTCATCCCTGCTCGCAAACAAGCTGGGGCAGTACAAGAACGGTCAATCCTGGGCTACGTATGCGCTGGAGGTGGCCGATGCTGCCAGCGCCAAGGATGCTGATAGGGCTAAGGCCCACTACCGTCGTGCTGTCGCTAGCAGTGGTCTGAAGGAGGAGGACGAGGCCCTGAAGGACCTCCAGGAGGCCTCCAAATTGGCCCCTGATGACGCTGGTATCAGCAACGAAATTGCTCGGGTTAAGAAAGCCGTCAAGGATCGGGAGGCAAAGGAGCGCGCGACTGCCCAAAAGTTCTTCTCGTAGGGCGGTACAGGAACAAAACGAAACAAAAGAATCTATGATGGTTCATGATTCACGATTCATGAATTCTTCCTTCCTTTTGCATTGAACACACGAGTCCCTCAGTACTTGGCTCCCAAGATACTCTTTATATCTCCATCCCTTTCGTTCATAGGGTCTTATTTCACCCATCGGGTAGCACGGAGAATCCGGCGTATCTGTTATCATATTGCACTTTCTTACCGGTCTTTCACCCCAGCGTACGTAATCAATCCACTGAAGGACCTCAAGGAAGGGAAAAGAAAAAAAAAAAAGAAGAAAAAAAAAAAAAAGCAGAAGGAGAGAGGGAGAGAAGGATGCGACGGAAAATAACAATGTAAACAGTACAACATTTAGCGCTGAAGAAGAGGCAGCAGTAGAATATACTATGCCCTATTAAATAACCGTCCAACGACCAGCGTATTCAGCCAAGATAAATCCTACTGTATACAAGATACCTGGATATTAATTAACCGAAGAGAGTACAAGAGACACGAACACAATCAAGAGCCCAGTAAACAAAAGCCCGAAAGCATCAAACCATTGACCGTCCCGTCTCGGCCAAGGACGTGGCACTTACCAAGAAAGAGTCCAGCAGATTAGATAACTGTTGCCTTCCTAACAGCATCTGTCAGGAGTATCTCGCTGACAATTTACCCGCCAGTATGGTAGATGTGATAGTGGATGTCACAGTAGACAAACTAGGAGGTGATAAGATTCCTAATTTCTTATTAATGGACGTATAGGTCAATTGTACTTCCAGTGTGAGTTTAGTGATATGTGTGTTTAAATGTTCCGAAACTGGTTTGAATGGAAAGTCTACTTGGAGTTGATAGCTTTAAGAGAATATAGTAAATATTTAATTACAGTACTTATTATTCATGCTGATCACTACAAAGTCCCTGAGTCAACAATGATAGTAGCATGTTGCATTCCGCGGTACGTGCGTTGTGCGCACCAATCTCGGATTTATTTAACATCCACCGAATTGCTGGCGTGACTCATCCCAAAACAGTTCGTTAAAAGCTGTATCTATATTCTCTGGCAATTTATTTCATACCAGCTACCGTTCTCGAAGGCATGGCTCTCCATTATCTAAGCTCTCTCCCTCTGGTTATCACATCTACTGCGTGCTTTTTATGTACTTCCCTACTTGTGCGTTATCATGTCCGTAAATATGGCGCATCTGCCAGGGCTCCAAATCTGATTCGAACCAATAACTATTTCTATTCTATTGTTTCCTCAATTTTACTTGTCTTCATTCTCTTCTGTCCGACATCCTCCTCCGCATCCATTTCCCGCAGGAGGCCTTGGTTTAGTGCTACTGGGCAAAATGCCGCAGACAATTTTCTAAGGATCGCTTACCATCTTTCAAAGTTCTACGAGTATCTGGATATCCTCCTGGTTCTTTCGCTGGGCAGAGATATAGACCTTCACTTTAGTTTTCACCATTTGACTACCCCGTACCTGACATATGCCCGCGTCCTAAATTGTCATGACGATGGATGGCGATTCTTTGCCACATTGAATACTTTTCACCATACCCTCATGTATGCTTGTTTTGCAGGAACACACAGACTAAGGCCAGTTCTACCCGTCACAGGATGTATACAGCTTATTGGAGGTATCTGGCAAGAGCTGCAAACCATTTGGGCAGAATCTGGGGAGGAAGGATCGAGTCTATGGCCGAACTGGATATCTTTAATATTGTTATCCACTTATTTTGTACTGTTTTCTCAAGAGAACTGCGATTACGAAAGGATGAAGAACCTAAAGATACCCAATGAGATAGATCGGAACTACAACCTGGCAAACATATAATAAGCGTGGCACTGATTGCTCAGTCCTACCTACTATACATTCCGAAATATCCAACAACACTGCACAAATGACGAAACACGACCGAATTGAGGAAACCCCTTCAAGGATGGCGGCCGATATCATCCATGGGATGGTGCGCTGGTCGACTGGATAGTAATTGATTGTGCCACTTCTCAACCAAGTGCAGGTATGTAGTTTCAACTGTACTTCATTTATATTTTAATTCCTGTCTTGTCACTTACATTGTCATTATAGGAACACATCGGCAGCAAATTTATGGCGCTCTGTCTTTGATGAAGATTATAACAAGATGTGTCAGTATGACCATGAAGACAAGTGCGTTAAACACAATATTATTTTGGTCACCTAATAGAACAAATCTTGCTGGAGATGACTATTGTCCCTACCTGCGCTATCTTTTTATTTTGTGAGTGGATAGATTTGTATGATGGCTATGTTACGGAAATAAGTGATGAATCTTTGAATCCGACTTTGAACGGTGATATGACATGTCTATTTTACAACTGTAATGCTTTACGCGGCAGTTCTAGGAGGTTCTGCATAACTGCTTGATTTACCATGGACCTTTATTTGTCTGCTCTTTTCGTTCCTTTTGCTTTCTTAATTGAACAGTGCAAGCGGACTGGCATCTGAAAGCAGGAATGCATATCTGCAAGAGCAGGATGTTGGAGAGCAACGGTTTGCATGGCTTTATTTCAGATAGAGGATCTTTCTGTTAAGATATCGCTACGCACCAAGGCAATTCAACTACCTACCACTTCTCCAAAATTATGTAAAATTTAAAGGATATAGCTGAGCAAAAGGTGAATGGTACTAAAATCCTAAAACGGGTCATTCTACATGGAGTACGCGTGGATGGCTTGAAAATTACCTTTACATTTATTAACCGCCCTCTCCCTCAAACAGCTCTTTTATTTTCTCAGTAGCAACCACCATACCAACCACGCCAAATACCAACCCTAACAAGCGGAGGTCCCTTACCCTGCTAAGAAGCATGATTCTACTTCTGCCGCCTTATCGATCCTATTACAAAGGCAATCCTTTAAGACACGACTCTCGATCACATGGCCACCCCCTTACAAAGCTGTGCCCGCATAGCTACCCCAAAGCTACGGGCAAGGCCGCGATCTCTGAAGCATCACACTTATTGTATGACCCCATTGCTATCTGTCACTTAATTTATTTGGGAATTTGAAAGAAAGATCAAGACTTCTGGGGCCTTTATTAAGGTGACATCTGTTAACCCAGTGAAGGCTAAGGTTACAACTATTTCAACCGTTTGGAAAGGAAAATCCTATTTCGACTGGTAAGCAGAGCTTGAGAAAGAGGGCGTGTTGTGGAATTCACGGGAAGTGATGCGCAGGGTACTATAGACCAGCTACAGGCCGACCCTTAGCCTAACTAGGAAATAGATGTTATCGGTCGAAACACCCGGAATCACAGTATATCAACCAACTGAGTCACTTGCATTCCTGTCTAAGGTGCTCAACCAACTCAAGGATTCAGGGGTAGAATGGATCGTCAGATACTCCGCACTGCTTAGGCTCTGTACTACGTTACCATAACATGTGCCTCTTCCACCTCTTCCTTGCTCTTCTTATTAATATCTTCAATTTCTTCTGCAGTAGAAGGCTTCTTGATATTCTTCTTGTCCTGGTTGGCCAGATTAATTTCATTTTGAAGCTGTATAGCAGCTTCCTTTGCTGCCTTTTCCTTCTCTTTCCAGTGTTTCTTTTCCTCCGCTTCCTGCATCCGTCTACTCTTATTAAAAGCCTTGATTCTCTTTCGTTCTTCAATCAAGCGTTTCTTATCTTCTTTCTCTTGCTGACGGCGTATCTTATCCTCCTCTTTTGCAGTTCTAGCAAGTCGTGCAGCTTCCTCCTTCCTGGCTTGAAGATCACGGGCTTGTTGAATCTTTCCTGGGCTAAAAAAGATTGCATTACCGTCCTCCGGAGCCTGAAGTTGAAGCTGTAAAGGCTTCCCACGCTGTCGCTTCTTCTTCTCATTTTGTAAGGCGTTTTCAAGGCCCTTACAGCGTAGTTTAAGAAGAATATTCTCGGTACAAAGATGCATCATCGCATTATTTAATTTCTGGACCCTTTGGTCGTAAACATCCAAAAAACTTGCTTAAGAAGCTTTTCAATGCGACGCCAGTCCTCTGCTTTCAAGTTAGACTTTAAGGTCCCGCTAGAAGAGGGTCTTTCCATGTCTTTTTGGGTGAAGCGTGCTAAAACAATCTCTGGGTCCCAAGGACGCATACCAACAGATTTCCATCCACTGTTAATGTTTTTGGTTGAAAAAGCTGCATTCCAGCTTGGCCAAAACAATCTGAAAAAATCTCGCTTTGTAATGTGGCTGATTCCTTGAGAATCATATAAATTGCTCCAATCTCTCACTATACGCCTGAGATAAAGGACCAAAGAGACTGACATCAAGGGGCTGCAGAGTATGCGTTGAATGAGGCGGAAAAACACTTAAAAGGATTTTATTCTCCTCGCAGTAATTAATAAACTGCATTGTGATTGGGATCCGTGGCCATCAAGAATTAAAGCGCCAACGCCTCCGTGCTTTCTCTTTTGTCTCACGGTAAAATAAGGTAAGCCACGCATATCCCAGCTTATCATTTGTCCAGCCACTAGCTGATGATGAAAAAAGCAATAATGCTCACTAGGATTAAAATCCTGAAGCCATGTATCTTGAATATCTTCAGAGGCTGCCTGGTAAATCAGACTGGTGGAAGGGCAGTCCCATCAGCGCAAATACAACCAATTGTAGTAATCCATTCTCTATTCCCATCTTGAAGTCGTTGCTTAACCCCTCCCTGCTCATACAAGTGTCGTGAAAAGATTCTTTTAACTTTTGACAGTACCCCAATAAGAAAACCTTTCTCATCCATATTGTAAACATCCCTTGATTCAATCCCATATTCCTCAATCTTTCTGGCTAAAAGCTCGAAGTAGAGTGCATACTTGTAGGCAGAATCAGCCTTTTTGCGTGACGAATCTATTGCACTTGTATAGCAGTAAATAAGGTCATTATGGTGTCTCTTTAGAAAGTGATTCGGCCAGCTGTTTCCGGGCTTAATTCCAGTAATTTCCTTTGCGAAATTGCGTAACATCGAATGGGATGGTGGTAAGCCACGCTCAGTGAGTTGATTAATCCATTTAATAAGCTCTTTGCTGCTGGTTGTTAGATTCGTTGATTTTCATACTGGTCGTCTCGAGAGGCCTGTACCGCGATGACGTCTTGACAGGTTGACCGGCTTATACCGTAAGTTTTTGCAAATTTCGAGTAATTGACCTTTTCCCTGGCCCCAATTCTATATCTGCAATAGCTTTTTCAATTGAGTCCATATTAATGGTGTTGTGGTCTATTAAAATCTATCTAAAAAGTCGGTGTGTAGATACAAATTGGGCGCCGGATGAATCTGGGCGTCAGGTGACCGGGTACGGTATATCACGTACATCACAGGTTCCTGAGCCCGGGTCATGCCAATATTTATGCAATTCAGATTATTTTAATTACTTAGTTTGACCTATCATTGGCCTCCAAACCAATAGTATACTGTAAAAGTTGCCATGCATATTCCTAGTAATTTCTATTTAGGATCTGTTACTTATGTCCGTGAGGACTAAGAGTTGTTGTTGATATAACTGGAGCAGGTGGTAAGATCTTATCTTCCATGTGAGACTGTAGCCCGCTGGCTGTTTTGCTTCGGGCTGAATGCCTGAGGAATGTGTACATATATTATACGTATACTGTAAGAGTTGACACGTTCCTTCCATTTGCTTTCTAGCGTTTTCAATATCGCCTGCTCTGGTGTTTGTTAGAACCGCCCAATTCTTTCCAACTGCTCATTACCTGCGAAGCACTCTTCCCAAAACGGTCTGGAATAGACTCTGCATTCGTGTTCCTCATGCCTCTTTATTTTCATTGCCCATGCGGAATGGTCTAGTGTCCGGTGGACGTGTCGACCTAACCCAGCAACACGATTTGCCCCGTTTGACCAGGCGGAGTCGGGGTAATGCGCGGAAGGGGCAATTTAGTCTCACGCTTGTCCCGATCTATGTCTAGATAGGTAGAATATTGTGATTCCTGGTGTTTCCACCAGATGACATCTATTTCCTAATTTGGCCGGATACTGGCGTGTAGCTGATCTGTAGCTCCCTGCGCATCCTTCCCCTGAATTCCACAACAATTTCATTGATTAGTATTAAGTTGAAGATTGAAGGTGGACAAGGCCAAACGTTCGAAGTATCATCGAACGGAGTAGCGTGAACGCTGAGACCCATTTATGCAGCTCCAACCCGTACGAGCGTGCAACAAAGACGTATTCTATTTTGCACGTGTAAAATCCGCTTTTTAGGGGATTATATGGTGTTGGCGCTTAGTAGACTTAAATAGCATAGTTTATATAGTAGGTGGCTAGCTTGTATTTAGTTGTCTCTTTAAAGGAGGAATTCCTGGAAGGTATATTATAAACTAGGTCTACAGTTCAGGTACCTGCAATCGGCGACTTTCAATGTAAATTTATAATAAATTTAGTGCAAAGAAAGTAATAATATATATAATAAAAAGCGCAGCCAAAAGTGCTTGCCCCACCTTATGGAGGTTACCTAGTTATCTATTGTTTTCAGGGAGACACCTTGTAAAATGCCTCCTAGCGAATAGTTAGAAAGAAATTTTTAGCAAGCCTAAAAGTAAAGCTGCTACAGTAAATTCACTCTTTATAAGGCATCTCTTAATATACAGCGCCGACTTTTTTATAGCGTCACACTTTAGACGGCGTCTCTTAGCATACAGCGCCGTCTCTTCTGTGGCGTCACTCTCTACGCGGCGTCTCGTAGTATACAGCACTGAATGCTTTGCAGCGTTACTCTCTATACAGAGTTATATTTTACACGGCAGCGGTGTACTTTTATCGAACTAAATTAGATTATATAAATAATACTCTAAAGGAAAGGAGATGCGATTTGTCTTTTCTAGCATTAGGAAAAAAAAGGATGGCCCAATATCAGGGTGGGGAGACTGAAGTCTTGGTTACGGTTGATACTCATACGCACTAATAGTTTAAGACCTCGAACTATTCAGCATGCCTTCCGTGATACAGGGATCTTCCCATTCAACCCAGTAGAAATTCTTAATAAGATTGATCCAAATCAAAGCAGCGATTAAGAAGTCCTTCAAATCATCAATACACCGTCTCCTCCACCACAGAGTAGTCCTATTTCCACTAGCCCTCTGCAGATGCCCCATTCAAGCCGCAGCATTGTCAATAAGATCGTATGTAAGAAAGAGACTCCAGAAGCCAAGTTCTATGCAGCTCTAGATATAATATGCGACAGCTTCGCGGAGCAGTCGGAATGGCTCCACCAACTTGAACAAAACTTCAGACAGCACCACGCTCCGGAGAAGAGGAAACAATTAAGATGGCAGGTTCTTAGTAAGCCTACAGGCCATAACTTAGTTATGCTGCCATTTTACGCCGGTTACGTATTATAGAGCGGAAGGCGAAGGAGCAAAGGCAGGCAGAGACGTGGACTTAATAACAGCGCCAGCAGCAACAGCCTATTTTAGGAGATACCACAGCTTTATTTACACCTCAAAAGAGCTGAGCTAAATCTCCGACCACAGTTACACCACAAAGGCGAATTTTGTCAACTTTAAAGCATTATCAAGGGTGTACGCGGATTTGGAATCAAGGAGCTTTAAATGTAAGATCATTGTGGACTGGAGTTCGTTGTGGGCTGGGGCACTAAGGCACAGGCAGAAGATATCATTATGGCCTCGGCTCCCTGTCGCAGCTGTCGCAGCTGTCACAGCCATTACAGGATATAAGGCTGAAGGCATCTGCTGATCGAATTTTACATTACCTTTACTCGTCTTGATATCGTAGGCCCATATCTACACTCATTAGTGATATTCGTGTATTGGCTATGCCTACAATAAGAAAAGCACTCCTGATAGGATAAATTCGCCTACTGCTCTGCAGGCTACTTAATACGGCAGTCACTAAATCAAGAAATTCAGCAATTACTTTGCATTTGCAGAAGACACAGGGAAACCTAACACTTTAGGGAAGACCCCATATCAGGGCCAAAAAAAAGAAGGTTCATGACGGGAATCCAGTAAGAGGACCCTAGAAATCCATGACCGTTGCTTCGGAAACGCACAAGAGTCGCCCCCGAACTCTATCATGTTTCACAAGCCTCAGCGATGGGAAATACTCCTTGTATCACTTACATCCTGTTGATCGCTCTTTTCAGCACCAGCAACGCAGTTACCGTTCTTCAAAAGGGAGCCTTCACTTACATGCTGTCGATAGCTCTCTGTCAGCCCTGGCCGCTGGGTTACTGCTCTCTAGCGAGGGGAACCATCACTTACAAGCTGTTGGTCGGTCCCTGTCAGCTCCGGCCACGAAGTCATCGTTATTCAGAAAGGGGTCATCACTCACTGCCTGTTGATCGCTATCTGTCAGACCTGGCCACTTATTTACCGATCTTCAAAAGGGAGTCATCACTTACATGCTGTCGATCGCTATCTATCAGCCCTGGCCACGTGGTACCGTTCTCCAGCGAGGGGAGCCATCACTTACACCCTGTTGATCGCTCTGTTAGTCTTGCCGCGCGGTCATTGTTCTTTGGCAAGGGGAGTCATCACTTGCAATCTGTTGATCGCTCTGTTAGCCTTGCCGCGCGGTCATTGTTCTTCGGCAAGGGGAGTGATCACTTACAGGCTGTAGATCGCTCTGTTAGCCCTAGTCATAATTGAAAGAAAAATATTTTTACCCGACGCTCGGCTAGGACATCAGAGCGGTGCTCATCGACAGGTAGTGCCATTGTCGTGGTAAGTAGGAGGGCAGTCAGAAAATAAATTGGTTACATTTTTGGTGCAATTGAGAAAACTTTGAATGGTCTGTCTTTAGAGTGAAGAAAAGTAGTACGTAGTATGTCTCGGTGACTGGCGGTAGGGTAGCAGTTCCTTATTTTATACCTAGCTGGCAGCATTGAGATTGTGGGAATTGCCAAGTCACACAAATCGAAAAGAGAAAAAGAAAAACATTCAATCAGGCTGACACATGAAAGAGTTGTTAGGATCGGCAGAACAACAGCTAGTCTTGCATCCTCAATATGCAAAATATCCGATTTAGCTTGTGATTTTTACAGGAAGTGGATTGCCCGCCAATCAACAGTCGCAACTCTTGTTTTAACCAAGCCTTCTCTGACCGGCTGAAAACATAATTCGTAATGGCTCTGCTGACCAATTCAGGGGATTTATCTGAAGCAAGACTTATTTCTCTTGACTGAAAAAATGGATTATGCGGATGAAGAATTAATAGAATCTTTCCTAGAGTGGATTAACAATATAAGGGTTATGTGAATTGAAATTCTCCTAATGGTAAAGCAAAACAAAGGGCACACGACCCTCCCCAGCTGTCTCTCAGAGATTCTCTTCCTCGGCCTGGGTATAGTGTCCTCGTCCGCACAGCACCTGCTCGCCAATAATTTAGACGGTTGTGATACTAGAGGTAGGTAACATAAAAGGATTAACGTAGATAAGTAGGTAACGTAAAGGTCGGTAATTTATAAGGATTAGTGTAAAAGAGTAAGTAACTTAGAAGGATTGGCTGGTCAAGCCCAAGCCCTTGCCAGAGATGCTCCTCCCCAGCCCGGTATGGTTAAACTAGGAGTCGGTATGAGGGGTGCTTCTTAAGGGTATTTAATATTCATGTGGCTATAAAAGTACAATATAGAGCTTAGGAGAAAGGCTAAACAACCCACCAGTAAAGATACAGGCAGGAATAAAGTGCTGATGCTGCGAACAGATAATTACCCATGAGATAGTAAGCAAGCAAACATGAGGCCCAATAATACAGAGCCGATAATTATGAATAGATGCAGACACAGCAGGACGAAAGGAACACAAGAAATGCACGATTTTACGAAACGAAGCCTATTTGTTCGTTTTGACACCTGAAGAGTGGAAATTAAAATAGCCGCCTGGGCAGCCATCGATAAGGCGGACTGAGCACAAATCAGGCAAATATAGTTGAACCACAGAACTAGATTTGTATTTGGTATGGCATGTATAGATAAATCACAAAATATAGTGCATACAAAGTAATTTGTTTTTCTTTTTTTTCTCCGACCATGGGTAAACACTAGTACAGGGTTGAGATAAATGAGCAATACGAAAAGAAAGGATACAAAAGAGGGGGAGGGGAGATCAAAGAGAGAATCAAACAGCAAGACCCCAGTTATTGGATCATTACTTGCAGCCTCGCCAATAGGCTATTTCTATAGACCGTTATTCTTCTAGTGTTTCAGCAGTCGCATTCCTTGGTGGCAAAGAATAGCTCCCAAGCCGGTAATTGAGCCATTCCTTATTCTGACTGAAATAAAATATATAGGGCCGACATTTCCTGTGAAAATTGGCTTCAATGCCATAGACCGTATCTACGATCGAGAGATACATGGGGTGCCTTTCAGCCAGCAAGTACAAGCCACAATTTTGCTTTTGCAATTAAGAACGCAGTTCGGTTGCCTGAGAAAACTTTAAAAAAACCATGCCCATGAAAGAGTAAGACATATTAGATATATTGACGTCATCTGCGCACTACACCAGGTACATCATTATCACTCTCATCGTACGAAGCACAGTTTCCTAGTTTCATCGAGATTGCAAAGATACTATCACATCCAAGACCGAAATCTGTCTAACATGTGCCAATGAGAGCATACCCGAGGATTACCGCTGTTCCTTTTGTGAGGAGGAGCTGAAAAACGTTACACAGCATATGAAGGACTCCATCACAGCCTATAAGGAGAGAAGACGCACCACCATTAGAGAAGATAGCACTTAAATCACAGGCAGCCACTTATGTATGATCAATCTGTCACTGGCATGTATTTAAATAACCATACTAAATGCTTAAGGCAGTTTATATAGTAATTTGCTGTTTCCTACCGTATTTCAGACAATATTAAAATACATTGGACATGACTTTGGCACGTTGTGATTCGAGGACTTAACAAACTGTAGTAGGCATGAGATTGGTGAAATATAAATACTTGCCCTGTTGGGAATCCCTAGCTGAGAGATACTTATTGCACTGAATACTCGCCCGACATTGCCCTCCGTACTCTTTTCTACCTTTTATATACAGAAGCTATATATATGTATAAATATGGCCTTCATAGCGTTCCTTTACGTAGCCATTCTAGGAGTCGTCGCTGCATACAAGGACCAATGCGGTATGAATTCCAATGTGTCTCCTCTTATGCAGCCTGATTCGCACAACGCAACCAACGGACCGTGGAGAGATCTTTCCTGGGGTGAGATAAACTTCATTCACACGACGGACACCCATGGATGGCTGGAAGGCCATCTAAACGAGGTAAACTATGGCGCGGACTGGGGTGATTTTGTCTCTTTTGTGAAGCATATGCGTGACAGGGCTAAACAATTGAATGTTGATCTTTTGACGATTGATACTGGTAAGTGTTTTTGTTCTGATTATATCTGCGATAGTTGAGTTTAAGTCCTGATGGTCTTCCTATTGTAAGGTGACCTCGTCACGGGAAATGGTTTGAGCGATGCAACAAAGATATCTGGAAGGGTGTCAAACAAAATATTTGAGAACCTGGACTACGATCTACTCACCATCGGAAATAATGATTTATACTCCATTGATGGTGCAAAGGATATTCATGCGAATTTCTCGAAGCTCTACGGGGATCGATTCCTGACAAGTAATGTTGATATTAAAATCGACAACAGCTTTGTCCCCATCGGACAGCGATATCGACATTTCACCACGGCCCGTGGTCTCCGGATTGTAGCGTTTGGGTTCACCTTGCTAAAGTTCAAGCACGATAACCAGATCCATGTGAAAAGTGCCAAAGATGTGATCGACGAGCAGTGGTTCAAGGATGCTCTGGATATAACTGATGTGGATCTTTATGTTATTATAGGACATGCCGATGTCCGCGAACCATGTCAATCGACCTCCACCGATAATCCGCTGATCTGCATGGAAAACTACATCCGAAAGAAAGGACAACATGTCCCCATCCAAGTGTTCGGAGGCCATACGCACCGAAGGGACTTCAAATGCTTCGATAGTGGATCGTCTGGTCTGGAATCAGGGAGATACGCCGATACAGTTGGATGGTTGGCTCTCAGCAATGTCTCACCCACGGAGACCTGGAATGGAAGTAGAACGCTACCTGCAGGAATCACTATGCCCAGTAAAACGTGTCCACCAGCCACTGCAGCGATTAAACAAACAAATGTCCCAAAAATTGACCGTCGCTATCTTGATTTTAATCGCTGGACATTCGCATATCATGCATTGGGCGCACCGGGCCCCGATGTCCCTGCCACATTTGATACGCCTCTGGGACGAAAAGTATCGGATGATATCTGGAAGACTCGCAATGATCTCAATCTGACGACTTATCTTGGCTGCGCACCGAGGTCGTACTATCTTTGGGCTTGTCCCGAAGGCCAGCCAGGCAATATTTATACAATGGCGAAAGACGCGCTTAAGACAACAGTGAAGAAACCAAGCCCCGCACTGCCAAGGATAATCATTTTAAATAATGGAACTTTTCGCTACGATTTATACCAGGGTCCCTTTACGGTCGGCGATGCTTTTACAGTTGTCCCGTATGCTGACAACTTCCAATGTATTCACAACGTGCCCTACGAGACCGCAAGCAGCGTTGTCCACGGTCTGAACAACGGCATAACATGTAATAAAACTATGTCTGGACCAGAAATCATTAACGATGACGATAGTTTTGACAGTCATACTAATGGTGCTCTAGTATCCGGATGGAGGGCAAGCACACAGCAGGCTAAACTATCTCAGCAGAAACTTTCTCCCCGTCACGTATTGAATCCTAACCCAGGACACGCTACTGTTGATGACTTTGGGAATTGCGCTACCAATCCTGATTCCCCTGAATGCGGGGACGACACGAAACACACGCCTATTGAGGAGAATATTGCAAACCCGAAGTATTTTCAAGTACAGGATGATATCTCCGACCTGGATGTTGCTGTAGATCTCGTCTTCACAAGTCACACGGTCAAGGATATTCTGAATCTGGAGGTCATCTGCCATAAATACGACAGTAATAATGTTAGCGACTATATGGACAAATCGTTCACAACGAGAGATTTTCTCCAGTTTTATGCAAAGGAAAAGTGGCAGAACAATACAACCGAGTGTCAGATTGGACCATAGAATAGAGGGAAAGGCTTAAGAAGCTGGGAGTTGGTGATGCATGCCCTGTCAGTGTCAGTATTTGTTTATATCCTAAATAGGAAGAAGCTGCGACTTCGTCGGCTGTCCCCTGATCTATGGTCTTGTTATCTTATATCTGACGGCCTGGCTTGTCTAGGCTATATATAGTTGGGAACTAAAGGACATTCCTTGATATCGTTTATATGTAGATGGTCCAAAGTTGCTTCCTAAATATAACGAAAATATCTTTTTAATTAAACTGATAGTATTTAGTAATAATCTAGTTTTTATATTACTAACTTTATTCTAGAATATCGATACACTATTTTACCGTTAAAAGCCAGAACAAAGGGATGCTATATAATTGAATGAAGTAAATAATATTTGTTTAACTAACTGTTGGAAATCAGGAATCGTCCCCATTGGGACCAGACATAGTGAGTGTCTTTTGGTCCATTGGAATAGTTAAGATCCTGAGCTTGGCTATAACAACTACTGTGGGAATCGTAGGGTCTAATAATAAAAAAAATATAGTCCTTAAAAATACTAATCCAGGTTTTATAAATTAATCTCGCTAACAATATGCATTTATTTGTTAGGTGGGATAATAAAAAGGCTATATGAAAGCATGAGAATATTATTACTTATGTCAAGGGCTGAACCCGTAGAACCTACAGATAGGTTATGTACAAGAAGGAATCGTTGAAGGAGGGAAGAAAGGAAGAGGAAAATGAGCGGTAAACAAACAAGATGGGGAGTCACGTGACAGGGATCGAGGGCCAACAGGGCCAAAAGGGACAGTAGGGACAATAGGGACAATAGGGACAATAGGGACAATAGGGACAACGGGGACAGTAGGGACAACAGGGATAATAGGGACATTGGCCCGAGAGGTCAAACGGGCTCTAGCCCTTTACAACTTACTAAATAATAGCTAAAAAAGAACTTGTATAATTATTGTTGGAAATCAGGATGCCTAAGGCACCTTCGTATATCCTAGTCCCGCAGCGATGTGATATATCATATTCAGGGGCTAAGGGACACGTAGACATGAGGAAGCGTTTGTCTACGCTCTCTCTCCTAGATAGTCGAACATACTCACCAAGCGATACTAGATCGCACCGATAGTTACAATATACTATCCAGTCACCGCTATCCTAGCACCTCACGACATAGCTTCTTCCCCGAGATTCTCAACAAAAACTAGTTTAATAGGCATGGTATTTCTTTTATTAACTAGCCACCATACTTACCTGATTTAAACCCTATTAAATATACCTGGGCTAAGCTGAAAGAGCGTATTTATATACTGTATCCGGACCTTGAATTATTTAATAGGACTAAAAGTTAATTAAAAGAGTAATTTATAAAGTAATAGAGGATGCATGGAAGACTTTAAAGCAGGATTTTTTTTAACTCTTTAATAAGGTCTATGGAGAGCCGTGTTAATGCAGTTTTAGAGGCAAAGAAGTAGTATACACACTATTAATATAAAAAAAACCCTTTTATTATTCATATGTAATTTATCTATTGTCACGGCGTGGGCATGGCGGAACAACTGGATTCTATTTTGACGAAGACATCGCTTGAAGAACTTGTAAACAGAGCGACGCGAGGTCAGGACTAAACTATCTACAGGCGGTGGAGGGAGGCAGAACCCGAATCCTGACATCTATAACATATTTAAATATCTTATAAAAAGATTAATGTTTGGTTGTTTTACGTGCGAATGTGATGTTCTGACTATTATATATATTTTTATAATTGCGGGAAATTACGTACACTTTTGTCCAAGAACTATATTTCGGAAATCAAACCGTGCCTGCAAAGAGTAGTCTCATTTGTCTTCTGCAGGGAATTATTACAGAAAATATTAGCCGACGGCGGTGGGGGCGCTGGACGCACTGCTATAACAACTAGACTGCGGCAAAACCGCTGTTTTGGGTATCATGGTCAAAACCACAACCGCAAATTTGCTGTTTTGGATATCACTCTGAAAACCGCAACCACAAACGCAGATTTGCAGTTTAACCATGGTTAGCCATGGATAACTGCAAGAAAACCGCACTAGCATAACCCTCGCCTCTTTAACCAATTCTAGCATATCAGGTAACACTTATGCAGCTTACAGCCTTACATACTCTTGTTTTTAATTTGAAGATGTACTTGTTCTGATTAAAACAGTGAGTCCGTTTAACCTCTCAGTCCAATTGCCCTTATTGTCCGTAAAGTGTCAGGGGCTGAACCCGTAGAACCTAATTAAAAGGTTATGCACAAGAAGGAATCGTTGAAGAAGAGAAGAAGGGAAGAGGAAAATGAGCGGTAAACAAACAAGGTGAAGTTACGTGATATGGATCGAGGGCCAATTGAGCCAAAAGGGCCTGTAGGGTCCGTAGGGGTAATAGGGACAACGGGACAACGGTCCCTATAGTCCCGAGGGATCAAACGGGCTCTAGGCCTTTACATACAGTCCCTATTGCCCCTATTGGCTATAGCTCCTCTAACGTTTTGTAGACATGTACCCAAGCAATATGATCCTGGGAGTGTACGATAATAAGCTGTTACGAAAACTTGAAGACAAGGAATGTGTTGCAGGCTACGCCTGTATATTACTCAGCTTCGCCTTCACTGCAATTAGCGCACATGACTGGTCTGCTTATTGCAGTCATATAACCTCTCGTAGTATGAGAACACACACTTCTTCCCCTTTAGTTTCTTCTCTCAGCGATTCCTCTTTGTGTATATCTAGTTATTCGATAACAAGGCATTCAGCCCCTTTACATCTGAATAAATAGTCGTAGAAGAATATTTATTTTCTAGTCTACTGAACTGTATTATCTATTTCACACTGGTTAATCCAGTACTTTTATAACTCTGTAGATAATACTGTCTATATCCTTACCAGACAACAGTTTTTATATTTGTCAGGCGGTGCTTAGTGTTAGCAAGACCGTTAACAAAGTTAGGATAGGCCAAAGAGAGCTTGACAGTACTAAAAATAATATGGTTAACATTGTTAACACCTGGTATAAAACTATATTCCGCTAGCACGTGTGCACGGGGCCTAATGAGGCTGGCCGTTGGGAGGGGATTTTCCCTTGGGAATTCCCTCCCGAATGGAACCGGGACGGGAACGGGACCAATTTCAGGAAATTTATGGGAATTAGGGATTTTAGGGAATATCCCATTCCCTAGATCAGGATTCCCTCTGATTTCTATTCGGGAATGGGACGGGAAACGGGACGTGATTTTAAAATAAGAGGGCATGGGAATGGAATCAAAGTGTAATACGTCCAGCTTCTGGAGCCTTATTATGCAGTTAATATGTAATCGTGTGGAACTAATATCATCAGTAATAGGTATACCTTGTCACTTCTAACCATTGTAGCCTTGAGCAAAGTCCTCTATATAGGGTATCTGAACTATACCTCTTGTATCTGACCGTCGGGATACTGCTACTCTACCGACACTGCACATGATACATCTCGCGTGTGCACAACTCCGCCGACGAGATGGTCAACGTTTCCAGCGCACCGCTGGTATATGGACCATTCCATATCCACGGGATCCGGAGGATGATGTTTAGTAGCTTCGCTTCTGTTTATGTAATAAAAGTAGTGTTTTGTGGTTCCTGGCCCCTCAAATCCCAGCGACTAAGGAGAATATTAATTTTAGCGTGGTGGGGACCGTGGGCACCGTGATTCTAGCTGTGTTGTGTTATACGCTTCAGGTCCGGAAGATGTATTAGGAACCAGTGATCGAGATAATGTCGTTGTCCATACGAGAATCCACCTTTTGGCCCCTTCCCTATTTCTGTTTGTACGGTTTTTTGTTCTAAGGTTCACTGTAACTACTAATGTAGAGTCAATGGCTTTTTATACGCTATAATAGGACAATTATGATGCGTGACTAAATCCTATCTCGAACGTTGATCAAACCCGTGTCTGACAACCAGTCTTAATATCTTTCTAGAATTCTCCTGCATTGCATCCTCATGCGGAATGGCGTAAAATTAGTAAGTGGATCCTGGAGTGTGCACGAACAGTTTACAGGCGCTAATCCAGCCCCACATTCGGACCCTGGATATCCTCCGATGTGCAAAGTTTCATTCGTTATATGCAGGCTTATTATCCGCTCAATATTACAAACAACCGTTGGCAGGTGTTTTCGGCACGAGGGATGTGAAATTCCGCTACCGCGTATTCTACGCCTCCGTGAGAACTCTAGGGAGAGGAATCATAAGCATAGCGTCCTCCTCTTTGCCTTTAAAAAAAAAAAAAATGAAAATGAAAATGAAAAAGAAAATGAAAATGGATCCGACCTGAAGTCCCCGGTAGGCTGGCCGTTGGGAGGGATTCGGGATCCCGAGGGAGGTCTGGTCCCGTCCCATATTCCCATAAGGGTCCTGGGGGTGGTCCCGAATCCCGTCTCAAGAAAATGGGAAGGGATTCCCATCCCGTGCCAAGCAATAAGGGATGGGATTCCCATCACATGGGATTCGGGATGGGATAATCCCATCCCATGCCAAGAAATATGGGAGGGAAATCCCATCCCTAAATTATAAAAATACTCTTCCCATTTCCCGTCCCATTTCCTAATTAGGTTTAGTATATTTTTAAAGTAGCAGTTTTTAGTAGTAACTATACAGTATATACAGTAATTATTAATCACGTGATTTAGTATAGGAAGTTCCCATCTAATCCCAAGGGAATTTCCCAAATTCCCATTCCCTTCCCATCAGTAAGTGTGATCCCATTTCTTACCCCAATTCCCATCCAGAAAGAACGGGGAATCCCAGTGGGAATCTCTTGGCATTCCCTTCCCATTCCCATTCCCATAAAATCTTAGAAAATCGTCCCGTTTTTATGGGACGGGAATCCCATCCCGATTTCCCATGGGAATTTCGCTTCCCAACGATCAGCCTAGTCCCCGGATATCAAGGACTTGGAAAATGGCCCACTTAATATCAGCTTTGGCCTCTCCTATCGTACAAATGACAAACTTCCTGTCAGCGATGAGAGGTCTCAGCTGCTCGCGAGCATAGCTATATCTCTACTTCTGCTCTGCAGCCGAAAGACCATCTTCAATTAGCTCCAAGAATTTTGAATTTAGAAAATCTGCCTCCTGGGTTGGATCCGGAGTGCTGAGATGGGGTAGGTCTGATTTAAATAGCCATACTAGTTGGACAAGACAACCGTCAAAATCAGACCTACTCAGATTCTGCAAATATGAGTCAGAATATCCGCGCCGTATCAGACAAGGTAATAGTGACGACTAAGACTAGGGTCGATAACAGTGATTGGATGAAAGTCTTCTGTAAAGAATCATAAACCGCTTGTTCTCTCTCTCCCTGCATGTCTGCCCCCCAGCTAATCCATCACCAGTGGACGTTCCACCATCCTTTACACCATGGATCCAGATCCACTCGACATGGATACCCCATTCACCTTGCGGGTCCGTAGTGTGGCTGCCTATCTATCGTATATTGTTGATTACTACAACGAGCTCCCAGCGTACACGATGTTTAACCCCTCCCAAAGCGGGGGAGGAACTATGGCACAAGGACATGTTCGGAAACTTTGAATCACCTACACAAACTGCGCTTCGACGTTGTGAAAGCCCGCGACATTGTGAATCTGCGCTGTGCAGTCACCCCTCTCTGTCTGGGCTCATAGTATCCTTTGAACTCTGAAAGCAGTGACATGCAATATCACTACTCTCTAGATTTGTTTCCCAGCATCTACGTGGAACTGTTTAACACCACTGAGGCCGAGGTGTCCAATGCGCATAGGAAATTGCTGATGCGCACAATTTGTGATCTCCAGGGAGAATCCATTAGCGGTCAGGCAGTGATTATGAGCGAATTTTTAACTGGATGGCCACGACGCAAGTCACCGGCAAGTATGGGATTTGGCTTTTTCTAGGTAAACTGTGGCATATCATCTTTGGCATGGAAGCTGTGCAGTACGTTCTTGTCATTACTTTTTATTTGCTGTCTACAAGCAACCAGACTAACTGTCAGTTCTCCAATTGCCCACAATATAAGCGATGTCGCTGTGATTCGTATGGGTGGTGTGGGCTATTGGCGCGGGCGTGGTGACGCCGATTAAACGATATCCAGCTGCAACGAGACAAAGGAGTAAGGAGTCCATAAAGTCAGGAGTTATGTGTTAAGCATAGATTATTTCTGTATAATATGTAAATATAATCGATTTTTCCTTCGTCCATCGGGAATCTCGTAAGTCATGTCAGATGAATGCACACGGTTTTGAAATCCGAGTCGAGATGTGCTATAATGGCGTTATCTTTCCAGTGTCTACAATAGACTCTGCAGCTAGCTGATCTATTCGTGGTCAGTAAATTCTGGACAGTATAATTTAGTATATGCACTCTCAAACTCGCCCACAGTCCATGGCTAACAAAGTAACTGTTCATCTCATCCACTACCAAACAACCCACATTATTCTGTCTTCTCCCGATCCAACAATCGGATAGTCGTTTCCAATCGGGTTAGTTGGTGCAGCATGTTTATTATTCAGCGATTTTCGGCCGTTTGAGAGCCCGAAGCCCAGGGATAGTAACAGAACACGTGGGAGCGACGACAGAGCAAATAGCGCAAGGGTATGGACATAATTTTCTAGATATCTACCTAAATCCTCCACTTCTTTGTTTTAAAACAAATCAAAGAAGTGCCATCTTAATATTCTCTGTACTATACTGCTAAATAATGTTTTATACGGTTAATTAATAGCATAGGGTGTAGCCTTCCCTCTACTCCGCCGTACTGAAGCCCGGTCGTCCACACCAGTCAATCCTCAAAAACCCTAGAATCCAACATTACTGTGAAACAGTAGGGAGTATGGTCTTGGACTAAATACCGATAATAAGGGTGCCCACTTTATAACAGATAGCGTCAGAAGCACATAGTGGTACTACTCTCTATCTTTTTACCAGAGAGTTGACTAGGTAGTTGCTTTACTTGTTATGAACCTAGTGACTGTATTCTTAGACTCTGCTTACAAGTCCTAGCTACGGTGCGTCCTACAATAACTGTATAACCAAGGATTTAACAATGTCAGGCTATCATTTATCCAGAGCAGGTGTGTATTAGATCCTCGATCAGGGTATTTAAAAATTCCAACTTCTATATAGCCGCAAGTATCGACTGGCGGATGATATGTGCAATAAGATGTAAATTGGTACAAACAAGTGGAAAATGAGAAAATAAATGATTGAGAGATAAAAATCAAAACGAGGGAGTCCAATATCGTACATGGAAAGTCCGAAAAGGGAGTCTTACGACACTCCCTGGGCGTCGACTACGACGCCTATGTCGGCCTCAAAGTAGTAGCTGGTGCTCTCCGCATCTGGCACGACATTCTTGATGGGATGGAACAAAATCGATGGCAAAATATGCCGCCCGTAAGATTTTTCATACTAGATACTCGGTTAGTAGGTGATCCTAATCCCTTATACCAAAAAAAAAATTGATAAATTACCCTGGGGCCTCCAGTGCCATCCTTTTCCCAGCCCAGGAAATTCCAGTATAATTTGCCAGGCAAGTTGCAACGAAAATACCAACTCACGTCGTTAAAACGATACTCGCGGCCCCAGGAGAAGGGACTGTCCGGAGAGCTTCCACTCCGGCCATCTATGCCCGAATTGAACCAGCGACTCACTCGGTCACCCGGCAGCATCCGATCTGTATAAATCGGGTGGGGAACGGTTACAGCTTTCAGACCGTACATTAGCGCCGCTGACGGTGGCCACATTTCCGAGCCCATATGCCGACCCTCGAGATTTTCGTAATCCATGGCCAGGATCAATCGTCGCGAGAGTCGCTCATGGGCGACTATGCAAGCTCTGCGGGGAGTGAAAGGCTCATCATAACCGTACACCTGGTAGCGTATCACCCATTCGGTCAGGTGGGGATTAAAGTAGGGAAGGAATCCAAGCAGATCCGCTTCCTCGCCAACACCCCATTCATATTTATCCAGACTGGGGGTCGGCACCGGGGGCGAGGGCCCTTCAGGCAAGAGAGTGAGGCGCCGTTCGTCAAAGGACGGCATGGGCATCCGGCCCCAGACCCCGTGCGTGACCTGCTCTGTCTGCCCTTCAACAAACTTGCGGAACCCGTGATCGTAATCGCCATGGTAGCTTGGGATATAGAATCGCTCATTGCGTTCCCACAGTCCTCGCCGCGGTTGTCGCCGCCCGAATTCGGCAGATTTGTCCACTAGTTCGTACAGGTGGCCGGTCCATCGAACATCAACTTCCCAGTTCCAGACATATTCAAACTGGGGGTTCTCAAGCATAAAGTTCTGGACGGGAAGCCACTGCGAACGATGGACCCTAGATGGCAACGATTAGTCGCCGTCTTTTCCATAAGGCACAGAAATTGGGATGCGACCGATCTCCACTTACTCGGTTATTTCCGGGTTCAAGTTCGTGTACCGCCGCCGAACGAGGCCGACGTTCCAGAAATGTGTGATATCCCAGAACTCCGGCGGTATGTTGTCCTTTAAGAGCTGTTGCCGCGTCTTTTCGTCTAGGATATCAATGCTTTCATCTCTGACTTGGACCAGCAAAAAAACTTCGTATTCTCCACCAGACTGGAGGGAAAGCTCCATAATCATGGAACGCATGTTAATTAGGTCATTCTCCAGGTACTCCTTTCCGATCCAGGAGCGAAGAAGAACGGCCGAGCGCACTTCGGGGGGAATCTCTGGGTGTGCTACGTGGAGCGTCTTCCCATCGGAAAATCGGTCGGCATTGCGAGCGACACATTCGGTTTGTAGTTTTCCCCAGCTTATAGTGTCCCAGTTCACCCTTTTTGGTTTGGCCCAATTATGGACATTCTCCTCTTCTTCCCCGAAGCCGTAGGCACCGTATCTCGTGTACCGATCAAATGACAGCTGGCCGTCAAATCCAACAGCCTCATGCGAGCCAAATAACGTCGTTGGAAACCCTACTCAACAAATGTCATCAGTTGGATATTTACTTTTCCATACGGTGGCTAAAGAGGAGAGAAAGGTCAACGTACCCTTCGGAACCCCTTCGTACGCGCTTACTTGGTCGTCTAAACTCTCGTTTAACAACTGCCCGCGCGGACCGACACACGCCGTGAAGGTTCCGCGGTGACTCGCTTTCCACTCATCGCTCTCGTAATCCGGGAACGGGCGATAGATCTTTGGGAGCGGACCAGAGCCCTTCTTGTCCTTTCCTTGCAACCGAGGGTCGTCAATTAGTGTTGGATTGTGGGATTTGGAAAGTTTCTTCAAGGTGGATTTGAAATCCAGAAACAACCTGTACAGGTGTTATTAGACGCCTTCTCAACAGCTGGGTGGGTGACTTAGCTGACCTCGGGTACTTTGCGATTTCTTGCTTGTACTGGTCTTGTGCGGACAATACCTTCTAAAGATTCCCACCAAAACACCATGTCAGGATCCTAATTTGTATAAACCAAAGGAGAAACAGCAAAAGAGAAAGAGATACCCTTTTGGCAGCCTCCAAATTCGGAAAATGATTTGTTTTCTCACCTGCTCTTGGGGGATGGCGATGGCGACCACGAAGAAGATACACAATGATCCCGCGATACCGAGATATCGCGTGAATTTCTTACTCAACATGGTGCCAGACTTGCACATGGGCGGGAGGGTGGCTGAAGCAGGCAGTCTGGACTCAAGGTCGGGAAAGGAAAGGAAATAAAAGAATATAAGGGGACAGGCCTTGAGCATCCCCTTCCCGGATACCACCAGGAAACTTGGCAGAGAGGCAAAATAGCCCCGTCCATCCCTTCAGATCTCCAGTCCATTCTTGCGCCCCCAATACATCCTATATCCATCGTTATTCTATACGATCATGATCATCAGAGGGAGTTGCTTGCATCGGGAAATGTTAATATCAATGAACCCCGATATGGAACTGGCACACAAGCTCTTGAACGGAGATCGGGGCATTATTAGTATCCGCTAAGGGACACTGGTAGCCCGAAAATAGTTAACGCTGTCACACAAATGGCGTCCTACCTGAAGAACTACAAGTTCCGCCTGCAGTGTTGGGTGGAACTGATCAAACAAGTTCCGATGTGGGCCCTAGGGTCTCGCTCTAACTACTAGTACTCCACGTGGGGGGCCAGGGTCTCACGCTAACTGACTTCTTTTGTGGGGAACCAGACTAATGATGGTGGCGTGTAGCGAAAGATACCGCTAGACTAAAAAGGTGTAAGACACTTTTCCAATCCATACAGTAGCTTTCTTGCCTGGCAATATGAGAGCAGTGACGGATTTTCGAGGTTTCTAATTGGCCGAACATATGGCTTAGAAAATGTGCGATTTCTGGTGTTTCCTCAACAGTCTAATTCTTGTATTCCCTGATTGACGTGTCTGCTTCAACCCTCGGAGTCACAGGCTTTTCAACCACTTTTTCTACATCACATGATGTGGCCTATTTAGGCATAGTATATCTGATAAGCACTGTTTTGCGGTTGTGTAAGTCTACATTAGGCGGCTGTATTAAGAATTTTTTAGCACATCTAGCGCGCTTATCGTGGTATACTCCAATCCCAGCTTCGGATGTCGAAGGTCAGCTTGGAATTCAGTTCCCCTTGCCGACGCAGGAAATCCTGGACTAGGGCTTGCGGTTCTGACTTTCTACGGTAACGGACCGAACGATGGACGGTCGTCTCCGTCTTTATTCGCTGGTTCGGCTGGCACCAAACAGACCATCACCCAGGGATTAATCCGTCCTAAGGCTTGATCTTGACCTGAGGAACACGGATCATCTCTATACCCCGAAATGAACTGGACAAAACGGGACAGTAGTGGAGGGGCCAAAACCTGAACATAAAAGAATGACTCAATGTTTCTCGTTATTTGTTTCTCCTCCCCCCGTCTTCCGGGGCAGAAACTTCCCTGACGATGATTTCCACTTAATGCTTGCTTGCAGCAAGACTATATTTTCACTAGGCATAGGTCTATGAAGCCCGTCTCATTCCCTACAACTTAATTCTCTAAATACATAATTCCCCCAACTGCTCAAGACTTTCCATTCTGCATTGGGCATCCTACACTATGCCACTGGTTTTCTCACCAGTACAAGAGACCGCCGGCTCAAATCTCTAATTTCCTTGCGTTCACTCTTTTATTACCTCATTGGAATGCGAAACATGTTTTCCCAGAGCTACTTTACAGGACGTTCGCTCTTTCACTGCACTCGCTTTTCACTATGGCCGTGCTATTTATTTATAACCATCCTGGTCGTTCTCCTACTACACAGACTCCATCAGTCTGGTAATAATATTCCTTTCGATAAATCCCCTTTTAGTGCTGCCTCGAAACCAGACTCCACTGTGCCTATACCGTATCCTTACGAAGTTGTTCGACCAGGTGATATCCCACAAGAAGTTCGTGATGAGCGTTTCCTGGAAGAATTTGAGCCTCCGCCGCACGAACCGGGAGGTGAGGGAACGCTGCGTGATGTCCGGTAGGTGGATGGAGGATTCGATATCCACCCCCATGAGCTAATAGGGTTTTCTAGCAACGACCGGTTCTACCACGGAGGACTGTTGACATTGACAAGCAACGCTAATCAATTAGTGTACCCCAAGCCCATGATTTATGACCCTTACCCCGACTATAATTCGGATGAATGGCGGGGGACCTGGAAAGGCCAATTTCATCCCTGTGAAGGCCCGCGAGGTACGAATCTGGACCGTCGTAACCCGGAAGACATGATGTCTGTCTACCCCGGCAATCAAAAAGGTTTGATTAGACCCAGTTCTTTGCTTTAATCTCACAGTCTTGCTCACTGTCATAGATTTTCCTCGCCCAGCGCTTGGTGCGTATGATGCCATGGGTCTCGATAGCCAAGTTTGCGTCGATCGCTACTCTCGTTACAGTATTTACGGTTATTCTGAAAATGAGACCGAAAGCGCTTTTGGGTTTCACAAGCCATCCAAGGTCGCCTGGGACATGCTGAATTGGGGGCAGTTACAGTCAGAATGCTTCGCCAGGAATTCTGGACGGTACAAAGTCAAGAGAACTAACATCAATGACACTCTGGTGCCTCCCTCGCAGCACTCGGGGAAAAGCGAATCCGGAACATTAGGTGCTAAAAAACGATTTACTTCGTCCTCTTCCTCTTTACTTTTCTCGCGGCATGCTTCACGGTCGGCGGTAATCTTTCGTGTCTGGCATAGTTTGGAGTGGACTCCGAATATTATACATTATGTTCGCTCTATTATTATGGAGCTCTCTCTGCATAGTGGCGCCGAGTATGAGGTTTTTATTTTGGTTGATGTTAAGGATAACATTCCGATTAATGTCAGCGGTGCAGATGTCCAACATCTCAAGGACATGTGTATTCCGGCAGAGTTCCATAACATGACGATTTTCTTTAATGACGAAGTCCTAAAAGCATGGTATCCTAATGTCGGGGAACATCGGTACGGCATATGCTGTCCACCCTCGCTTTCTATCTCCTTGTCCCAATTACTGACTGGAATATTGCAACTTATAGACCGATTTTTCAACACTTCCAGCCCGTGCAGATCTTCTCGCAACAGTATCCCAATTTCGACTATTACTGGCAATTGGAATTGGATTCTAGGTTTACCGGTCACTTGTATCATTTCTTCGATAAAGCAATCGAGTTTGCCCGAAAGCAACCCCGAAAGTACCTTTGGGAGCGGAATGCATACTTCTACGTCCGTGATGCCCATGGGCCCTGGGACAGATTTATGCAGATGGTGGACCAATCCATGGTTGGTCGCGACAGTGTTTGGGGGCCTGTCCCGAAGGATAACGTGACTCCAATCGGGCCTAAGCCCCCAGTGGATAACCCGGGAGAGGATGATTACGAATGGGGCGTGGGCGAGGAGGCTGATATGATTACCTTCCTGCCAATCTTTGACCCTAGGGAAACTCAATGGACGTTCCCCAATACGCTCTGGAATGTTCCTCTAGAAACCCCTCGTCGTGCCGCCGTGGTCACCATGTCTCGCGTGTCGAAGAGACTAATGAACTTGATGCATGAGGCTCAGGTCGAGAAGGGTTGGGGTATTGTCTCAGAGATGACGCCAGCATCCTTTGCACTCTGGCATGGCCTTAAAGCCGTGCACGTACCTCATCCGATTTACGTTGATGGCCAATGGTCACCGAAAGAATTGGCCGGCCTTATGAACCGGGGCGAACCGGACAAAATCAACGGCGGGTCAGATAGTTTCTGGAATTTCCATCATGCATGGGACCACATCGTGTACCGACTTTCTTTTATGTTTGCAACGCAGACAGCTGAGGATCTTTACAGACGGTGGATGGGTTACAAGGCTGATAAAAATCAGGTCATGGATACTATTCCGCACCAAGACGCCTTTGGGCGGAACTGGTATGATAGCGGCGAATTGGTATTTTCCCCACGTTAATCATGTACCAGTTGTTATGGTTAAGTTGCTAAGACTAACTGGACAATTCATTTTTTTTAGCGAGAGGATCTATATGGCCGACTTTGTTACCCATCCATGTTTCTCCACCCTATCAAGAACGTGGAACTCCAAAAGGGCCCTGACATGCCAGTTCCAGACATACTGTGACTCTGCTATCGCTTCGATGAAATATGCAGATTTTCATCTAAAAACAAACTATAAGACGCTGAGAACGAAAGAACGCTAGCTACAAGCAGTGCCAGAGAAATTTCTGCAATGTGAGCAGAATAAGCACAACGAAGGCTGAGAGTGAACGATCAAGTCCCAGAGCTTCAGGTTTTAACCTCTGCTGGTCCGGACACATACAACGGAGACTAGTTCCAGGTCACTGAAGAGTTGGTTTCACAGGCTAAGAGCGAGTAACTCTGAAAGATAGTTGATAGTTAATATTATAATATAGATATTAGCAAAATATTCCGTTGATCAGAATGGTAGTTAATGAATGTTGGTTATCTAGCACTACTTTTTAATTTCCCAGTGAATCAATTTCATTAGATCATTGAATTCCTTTTAGTTTAGCATACAACTTTGCACATTTGTGTACATGCAAATTTACAAGAATTAGAAAGCTTGGGCATTTCTTCAGGATCAATATTCATTTGTACAGATCCTTTGTGCGACAGCACCTTAGTGCAGCAGTGCTGTTTTGACAACCGTGAGTACTGGCACGAGGAAAGACGCAGATTATTTTATAATTATTATTAAATCTACCCTCTACATAGAACTGTCGGATAAGAAAGATCTCTTTCTGCGTGAATCGAATTCTAAACTTACGTTTATTTAGTAGTCTCAAAGGGTCAGATGCCTGACTTTCATGGCTACGATGCCCCAATCTATTCAGGCAAGCATCATAGGAAACTTGCAGCATGTGAATTAATGTATAATTTAATATATTAATCTATTATTGGCTCGCTTAGTATCCCTTGCCTTAACCTTAAGTGATTTATTAAACAGCGGTCCGCGGGACTAGCTGCAGATATTAATCTATATCTTTTGAAAGACTGTTTGAAGACCTCTGCTTGGGCCGGAATCCTAGGGCTACAATGGTAAGAAAGGTATACATGATGCTTGTTCTATGTCGAGGTTACCGCTTACTAAATAGGCCTAGCGCCCCTAGTAAGTGTCAAATAATATGGCCGTTGGTGGACCAGAATCATGTGACTGGATCGGGGTAAAACCCCCGTGGAGCACACAACAAAATAATCAATCAAGAATAACCAAGAAGAATAATCAAGAAGAGCCCAACCAGCTCAATTCATTCAAATAAGACCTTTTCACCAATCGTACTCTATTTCCTCTTCGGGATTAGCCGTATATCTGACAGTAAGCGACCTCCCACATGGGTGAAAGCACCTTCATGTAAATTAGCCAAGATAGTCAATCAATTGATCAAGGATCCATGAAGCCGAATAGCGCTCATATCTATGAGCTCTGACATTCTATATACCTAGTTACACCAAGTTATTTTCTGACCACACCGAGCCAGTAGCCTACTTGATATACTCGAAATCCCTCATTCGTGAATGCTCAACAACTCCCTTCTTCCTCTGGCCTGTCCGTCCCCTCCCATAGCCCCACGTGCTTGATATCTGTCCCTGCCAGCGCCTCCCGGACAAATTCCTCAAATCCCGACTCTTCAACCCAACCATTCACCGTTACGTCATCCCACCCACTGAACAGCACAAACTCCCGATTCCCCTGTCCACCTGCTGTCGTTTCCCTCAGTTCCATTCGCAAGCCTCCCTGCAGAGTCCGCAGCGCAATAATTGTCAGGGGACGTCCCTTGATCACATGAAACAACTGTAGAAATGCGTCCCGTTGTCCCATCGTCAGGAAATATCGCCTGATCGCTATCATCGGCGCGTCCAGTGGGATTCGCTCGTGCGTCTTGGCTTCACGAGGATTGATGTCGATATGCACTATCCACTCCACATGGCCCTGGAGCTCATTAGTCGTTAGTTTGTCTCTCCCGGAACCCAGTCGTCGAAATATGTCGTGGTCGACTCCCATCCACCCAGCAAGTAGACATACGACGGGTCTTCGATCTAGGTTAGAAGATAGACGGGAAGCGTTGAGTGCGTAGCCTGTGCCTAGATTGCAGGTCGCAACACAGATCGGACCGTGCGATCTCCGGGTGATTTGAGACGGAGGAGGGCAAGCTCCGTGATGGCCATAATCTAGGGTAAGAGAAGAGGAATTCATTGGATAGACGTACTATGGGAAGAAGATTGTCGGATAAGGCTCGTATTTATAGTCTGGATAACCGGGGAATTGGTCCACAACTCGCGATGACTGTCGTGGCAGGGCGGGTCAAGTACGTCGTCATTGCTGCCTTCACCCTCTCGGACTTCACGGCCTGCAACATCCCCGATTCATGTCGCGATTGCTTTCTCTAGGAGGGGTGAGTGGGCCTCATATGTGCGAGAGGAAGGATACTCAACCCGAAGATCATAAGAAGCAGCCCGTTGTCTACAATAAGCGTGATCATAATTAAGACTCAATTGCTACCAGGTATTCGCCTCAGGCCGGAACACCTGACTAGGAAGGGGGCGATCGGCCCAGATGTGTACTATACATCTCATTTAACGGTAAAAGTCATGCTACTTTCGGTGTGGAAAACAATTCTGTCCTATTCCCGACCTCGTATTCGGCACTATCGCTCGTTCTGCTCGAACGGCGCAGCATGTGCATTACCCAGAATGTTGTCTGGGAAATCATCCTCACCCAGAGTCGTGGTGTGAGCCCAGGGTTTGTGCCGGTTCTCTTGAAGCACCGTGTTGCCAAAACAATTCGCTCCACCGCAACGGCGGGAAATGCTGGATGGCATAGCGCACAGTATCGTGGTGCACCAACTGCGAATGCACACCCGTACTATCTACCCAGTGGCTGTCCCGTTACATTATTATCTTCATCTTCGAGCCACGAGGGATTGCAATACTAACCGAGGATGGAGGCCAGCGGGATCAACTGTCCTACTGTGGTAATGGATCCCATCTTGCAGGGATCTTGATGGCGAATGATGGCTTCAGCTGCCCCCTCGGCCTATGCCCTCGGGGAGACGGAATAGGGAACTTCAACCGGGCACTGCAGCACGTCTAGAGCCAACAGACCACTGTAAATCTCGAAGCCGAGATGAGTGGTGCCGAGAGCCTCTGGCGTGGTGCCGATATCATGCAAAATACAGTAAGGAAGTAGGTTTCGTCCGCAAACTGCGAGTCCCGGACATAGTAGTACTTCATCGTCAGACATGCTGGGAGATGCTCTCGAGCATAGTCCTGAACCCGACGAGCCAACGACGTATTGGGGACTGGAGTCATTGACACGCCGGCGGCAGGGAGGGGCTCGCAGCTTGAAGGCTGGGTCTACGACCTTCTCCGAAGCCGACGGTACGGCCGTGAAGCCTTATTCATGGACGGGTTCCAAAGTGTGCTGGCCATGACTGATTCCGTAGTTATTGTAAAGATAGTGACCATACAGAGAGTACTGGGGGAATTTTTACATGGGGTGCCAATGATAACGTAATGATAGGGGATACGTGTCAAACTGATCGATCATCTTCGGACCAAGCTAGGCCCTTTGTCACCACATTCCGAGCCTGGACCATGGTGATTTCTAATATTCCTCTGTGGAACTCCATAATCTGATTCGGGTGGACCGTGGGATTTGCCTTAAACACCGCAATGGATATACGTCGCGAGACCCTCGCTCTGTGTTCCCGAAACGGAAGTTGAAGGGGGATATTGCTTGTTTGTGACTCGACCAGTTAGGGTCTTCTGGTTCTCTGGTCCATGACAAGAGGCGTTGTCTGAACTTGGATGTCTTTGTCTTGCTTGACCTTTTCTGATCAGAGATTTTCAAAGGGGATTGTAGTCAAATCCCAAGGACCAAATAACGGACTAAACCAAGTCATTACCATCGAGTGCAGACTGGAATACAATGATGCTCTTCATGCAAATCGAGGAGGGGAGTTGCGTCGGCTGAAATATCCGCTGTACGTGCGCGCCTACGAGACCGAGCGTGAGTCGCGCGCGATCAGGCGACCATCGCGCGATGGTCACCTCTAGCATTCACCCCGCTCACCAAGGTGGCCAGACTGGTCGCAACAGTACCCCCAGGCCCAAATATCTCAATCAAGTCCTCAATTGCGGCCCATGATCCCATTCCCGAGCATGCAAGCCCAGCTAAGAAGTATAGAATGCTGAGAGTATTAATATGCCAGTTCTTTTTGAAACCTCTTATCCAGCGTTTCCAGCAATTGTCGTGGCGTGTTGTAATTCCCGTAGTAGGGTGACTAGGGTCAAACCCCTCGCCTGGTAGAGCAGCGCCCATCTGGCATCGGAACCGGATATAGAGGAACACTGGGAACGTGTGGGTAAAATTAAGAATAAGAAAAGCACCGACCAGAGAGGAGATGCCATTCAGGTTGGGCACGGCGGTAGCAACGATAAAGGCAACAATCCAATAGACACAGCCTAGAATAAGCCAGAGGATGCGGCCCTTCTTGGTTGTGATTATAGGAAAATGGAGGAGTTCTTGAAACACTTCTTGGTAGACTGTTTTCATGCCTACGTTGAAGTAGAGCACTGATGATATGTTAGTAATGTCAACTTGAAATATTATATAAGAGGCTGTACCACATGCTATAAAAGAAACTATCAGGCTTAGGATATTGCCGGCTAGTTGTATACCTTTAGGCTGGACAACGTTGTTGATATTTGAAATAGAGTATTGGCCACAGTGGCCGTAGACCTTCTATTAGTTTTCTTCTGGCCCAATACAGGACTTAGAGTGAGAACGTATAACTTACAAAAGCACCAAAGAAGATACAGACAACACGAATAAATGTCTGTGCAATTAGAAGGCCCTTCCAAGAGTCCCAAGGGTGTCACATTTCAGCTAAGAAGGCAATAAAGAGTATAGCACCTCCCCAACTATCTATCCAAGTCATCAGTAGCAGGATATAGAAGTTGATTGGCACGTTAACATACAAACAAGCTGGTCAACGCCGTTGAACTGTCCCGTAAAACCAGTAGCCTGTTGCTGGTACTGGTCTGGACGCGGGCCGGCAAATCTCTTTACGGCTTCAATTCTGTTAATCCGTGTGGACGAGATGACAGCCTGGTAGTCGATTCCGAAGTGGGAGCACGCAATCATTCTTCATACCCCCGATTAACATTATTGCCAGATATATGGGGGCTTGGTCCTTTGGCTCACATAAGGATACTTACATAAGGATAAAGCTAGCAATATTCAGTCACACGGCCGCATTACTCAACCACCCAAGACGTTGTAGACTTCGAATGCTTCCTAATACCATTCCGACCACCATACAGATGATCATGCAAACCGCGAAACAGATTTTATTACTTGATAACTGGGCCAGATTCTGGGCGTTCCCAAGAATTAGCACAGCTACGGTCATAAATTGCTGTAGCGACTGGGTAACATTAATAAAGTGACGCCACTTAGGCCCATATACGCGGAAGTAGGTGTCGCCAAAACTAATCATGGGGTACCGAGAGGAATCGAGGGCTAGGAACACCTTCCAGAGGATGCAGCCGCTGAGGCTAGCGGCCATACCGAATACGATATAGAGTGCTGTAGAGGGACCATAACCCACACTAGCGAAGACAAATCTAGATATTGTCAAATTATATGGCTGTGGGTGGACCAGAATCATGTGACTAGATCGGGGTAAAAGCCCCATGGAGCACACAACAAAATAATCATCGACAAGAATATGATCAAAAAGGAGCCCAACCAGCTCAATTCATTCAAATAAGACCTTTTTACCAATCGTACTCTATTTCCTCTTCGGGATTAGCCCGAATATCTGACAGGTATATGTTAGTCTGGGACCCACATATATATTCTGTCATGGGGGCGGGGGAAAAGAAAGCACTCAACACTTACGGGCACGATGACCAACCGAGATATATCCGGGGTAATCAGATAGAAGACTGTTCCCCAACTAGCCGTCCTCGAGGCTCTGCACGCAGTCTTCCATTCCTCTTCTGGCACAGTAGAGGACGGAGCATGCGCGGTAACAACTGCAGCGGCTTTCTTTTCGGACGACTCATCAGTGTTTCCTGTATTATTAGAGTCCTTTGCAATCTGTGCACCTGTCTCACGCAACTGTTTCTTTTTCTCATGGTGTATACCCTTGGAGAAGCGGTTCTTGATAACTTTCCCCAATGTTAAGGGCCCAACGTTTTTCAACATACTGCAGGTTTACTTCTTTCTCCTCTGCAAAATGGCTCCAAATAGGATAGTTAGGCGGCCACTTGATTGGTTATCTAGTGAAATCCCACAGAGGCTTCGTGGACCGCACCCTCTGAATACTTTAGCCGTTATACACATCCTGTATACGATAGAGATATAATATGATTGACAATAGTGTGTTATGCCCGCATTCAATTCCGTCGTAGACTACTTCCGTGTAGCTGGTATAGCCTGCCCCCTCTCTTCCCTGTTCGCTACAATGGCTGCATGGCACACATGACTTATGCAATGCAGAGATCGGTTAGAGATGTGATCCGAATTGCTATACCGGCACATTTATGTGCGCCCTATTTTTGTCATTTTGCATCTTACGAATTAGACACTCTCTGGAAGGACATTAGGAGCGGAAGAGCCTCAGTTGCCTGAGAGAATTATGCAGGCGAAGAGAGCGGAGGCTCCGCCAGCAAGCTGGAATATAGAGAGCGATAGTATGATGAGTGTGTGCGAGCGTGCCTGACGAGCTCAGCGAGAGATGTGTCGAAAACTGCCATCTTCTATTGTTCCGATAGCCGCGTAGACGTGTAGCGAGAAGAGAAATAGTTGTTTATTGCTTTTTGATTGCTCTAAGGAGCATGGGACTGCGGAGGAATAAGAACTGAAAGACGGATGGATTTTATATTGCAGTTATGTCGCTATGGATACTGGAGTTGGTTCCTAGTAACATAAGGAGGTCTGCTTGCATCTGCTATCGGAAGGCTGAGAGCGGGGTGGGCCTGGAATGTGCGTCGGGGTGGGTCAATGGCCGAAACGGAGCCTTCGGGCTTGCACAGCATGGATCGCGTCGGATCGGAAGACCCTCCAATTTTCTATCTGGCACATGCTTTTGTATCAATGTGATGATCCTTAAGCGATCAGAAGATTGATTCCTCACTCCCTGAGGGGATCTACTCTATTACTTTACATACAGGTGTCAGGGGCTAACCCGAAATGGGAAGCGGTGGACGAGATGATCCTCCAACATTTTGCATCGGTGTTGTGCGTGTGTGTTGTGGGCTTCAAGGATTCACTCATGGCTGCAGAGTGTAGTGAACAGAGCCCCGCATAATACTTAGCTACTTTTACCGATGGCCACCATAAGATATTATCTAGTGATTTTTCTGGGAAGAGCCTTACTGAGCAAAAAACTACGGACGCCAAGACCATTGCCGTTCTCGTTCTAGTACCGGAGCAGTGCCGCCGCTGTGCTGTTCCTGTGTGATGCGCAGTAAGTACTCTATATACTAGAATGTAAACAACCTTACCTACAGTCGGGTTCATTATCTTCTGGCTAGTTAAGCTTATGTTTTCCTAGGTGTTGAAGATATGGCGCATAGCTTGTGTATAGCTAGCGCCTTGACAAGCGTGCGGGATTTTTAACCCCAGAGACTTCCCTCTTTTCCTGTAACTATTCAGGCAAGATACTGCTCAATCTACGTCTTGTCAGTTGTCACCTTTCAATTGCTATCTTTCCCTGAATCCATAACACTGTATGCTCCTGTTAGTAGTACTACTATGGACCCTGGGGTCAGGTAGCTGTGACAATGTGATTGTGTAGTCAGTGGTTTCCGGATTATAACGGATCCAGTAATAGTTACTTATTCCTAAACTATGACAGGTGAAATACTATCGATATAATAATCAATAAGCAGAAAAAATTGCAGTCGCCACTTAAGTAGGGCTGACAAGTACTGGGAGCCAACTGGTGTTTTGGAGAAATTATGACTGTGGACCACGAGTGCGACGAGGTTGGCCGCATTTTGTCTTTGATAAATCAAGTACGTATCATATTAGCGAAGCGCCCGCATAGCTAATCGCCTCATCGGCCTGCAAATGGTCAATAGAACTTTGAATTGAATTTAATTGAATTGAACCCACTACGCCATCAACGGGGTCAAATCCTAGCTTGTCGCTTCCGGCTTCTTGAACAGCATTAACCGACACCGACGATGCTGCGGGCGTGGATCTCAAAGTCCTCGTGCGCTACATCGTTATTACGCCGCAGCAAGGCGGCTTGGCCATTACTCACGCAGCCGCCAGCCCAAAGCTTGGACTGTTACGGAAATAAGATGATCCGCCCGACTTAGCAGTGCGGGAATATGAAGCCGTTCAACCCTTGAATCATTGAGGGTGTGTGGAGCACCCAGATAGGAATGTAAGAGACTCAGTTGGTTGAGATACTGTGATTCCTAGTGTTTGCACCGAATGACATCTACTTCCTAGTTAGGTAAATCTATCGTGCAAAGAACTGCCCGCACCTCCCTCCTGCCTCATTCGGCCGTTGCCGCTTTAAGAGGGTGGGGAGGGTGATCCACGTGACTTAATCACCCTCAAAGGTGATTCGCTCACCCATCATCACCAACAACTCACCCTTCACTCACCCATACTCTCTTCGTGCCGACACCGGCTCTTTAGTTGCTTCACCAAGACGGTTAGGATGTACTGGCTAAATGAGATTACAGGCATGGCTGTGGAAAGCTGGCCCACAGCTGTCCCCCGAGAAATGGGGGACGAAGTCCATTTCTCTTCTCTCTTTTACCCCCCTGAAGCCTCCTGAGGTCGTGCAACGTGTTTTTTCCTTTTCTCTCTCCTTTTAGGCTGCATATTTATTTCTGAGTCTCAAACTACGATTATTCCTGGTCGACGATACGTTGAATAAAAGAATTAGCCTGGATTCTGCCACACAATGTCCAAGGGAGGAAAACAAAAGGTTGACAGACGGGCTGTTGCGGCAGCAAACGGCTACGTTCGAGGAGCGAACCGGGAACAAGACCAGCATCGCTGTGAATATCATTATTCTGATGAATCCCTCAGTCTCCAGGACAAGGTTCTGTCAGTTTATGTCTTGTAAGTGTTGTTGTTGCCTTTCATCTCCTGCCGTCCGTCCTGCTGACTCTCCATTTCACTTGCTTTTTAGATGGGCATCCGAAAAGGATGAGAAGCTCCGAGGTGAAGGCCTTCACGAAGGACAACCAGCACCTGACCTTGCGACGGTGAAGGATTTTATACGGTTTTACATTTTCTCTTCGCACGGAATGATCTCGCTGCGTCCTACGAAGTCTTCCGTGCTCAATTTTGCCGAGCGATTCTTTGCCGGGTTTACACGCCTTACAAAGTCGGTTTTTGATAATATTCTTTATACCAAATTAGGACTAGTTTGTTGCCTAAAATATTACGTAGTTAACTATAATTTAACGAACTAGTTATCGCTTAGTACATACGTAATCCCGTTGATTATTACTTCGAAACCAAGAGCTTGGCAATAGAAGGTAAATATTAGATTAATTAAAAACTTAATCTAATTCTATACAGAATAAGGGCGGTATAACTTTATGATTTACTTGATCGAGCCTTGATTCAGAGCAAAGATCTAGAAATATCACGCTACTTGTCTTAAGGTACAGCAAATCCATACTAGTAAGACCGTTGCCACTAAAGACAAGCTTAATTAAACAGCATTATATACTACTATCACTCACTACCCCACTTGGAATGACAATGGAATAATTACGGCAATACCTAATTAATACCTAGCATTAACTATATATGGTGCCATATGGTCACTCGAATAGGGTTTCATAGTGGGCCGCTAACGCAGGTACACAGAGAGAATATTAGGCTATTTGCCAGGCATGAGATTTTCCCTCGTGGAAACTCTATGGAGATGTAGTGGATACTGTTACCTAACCATTTATCGTTTCTTCTCTTTCCTCTCTTCCTCTCTATTATGGAACTTTTCCCATTTCTGGTTGTTTGTACAGTGTTCCTCATTTAGTCCCTGCCCTAGCGGCGCATTGCTCGAGGGGTTCGCAGAACAACTGGGTTTATAGCTCTATGATTAACGTATTAAAGTTTTTTACTCCTATCCTTGGCATAATATGGGCGGAATATTCGCGAAGCATGCGTAGTATGTTAGTTCATTTTAGATGTTTCACATTGTGCATCGCCTACCACGGCCCACAGCCCGTTCTGGCCCCTAGGAGATTACTGATACAGAACGGAGCAGTCCTAGCCTACATTCGTTTCCTAGTAATTTTCCTGCCAGGAAGCCAGAAACGTCTGGCCAAAAAGCATGTGGCCCACGCTCTAACTGTGAGGTCGACTTTGGTCTGTGGTGCTGTTTGGTGCCATCTTTCTGTTTCGTACTTCTGTGTACAACCGTAGGACGTGGGAAAGCCCACAGACAGCTCAGGGTGGCTCGTCTATCATGATGTTCGATTTGTCCTAGGAATGTATTGATCTTACTTTTTCTGGTTGCAAGTCTGTGTGAAACAGCGAACAAATGCATGAAACTGATTTATAATCGTGTATAAACCGAGTAAATATACTGCACCAATAACTTCAATTCCCCGCTTCTAGACCTGAGGAGATATCTCCACTCTGAAAACCCTAATCTTATTCCAAGTAGCGTGGCTATTCAACTATTACAGTCTTGGCGCAGAGATATGAGGTTCGTATGGTGTTCGCTATTCCACAGCTGTTATAAGAATCCGTTACTACACTGCTCGTGCTTGCCTTGTTTCGTTCCTCATCACATATCACCCATATTTGGGTCGCAGAACTGTTTCTCCCGCCTGTCACTGGTCTTTATATCCGAGCAACTGTCCAACCAGCGTCAGGGATAGGACCATGAGAGCCGCGGTGGCCATCTTGATCGGGCTCGCTTCTATTCAGAGCGCAGCCCAGAGACCTGGTGGTCCAGGAGAATGTCAAGTGAGTCTTTTCGGGACAGATTTGCTGGCGATCATAGCAGGAACTGATTAGGTATAGCAACGGTGTATCAACGATATGCTGGGAAAGGCAGTGGAGCTGGGTTGTAGTAGCGATGATATAACTTGTCTCTGCGGAACAGCAAATTTTAAGTTTGGAATCCGCGATTGCACTATTGGTGCATGCAAGGAATCCTGGCAGTCAGCTGTGGGAATTGCCGATACATTCTGTAAAGGAGGTTAGTCCATCCTTGTGCGAATATAACTTCCTAACAAGGATGCTTACCTGTTGGGCAGCTGCGGCATCCCAGAAAGTTTCAATCTCATCTGTTTCATCTCTGTCCAGTTCCAGTGCTAGCGCTAGGGCAACGGCTCCTCTCACGCCCTCGTCCACTCTGCCTTCATCGATTCCAACCTCAGTGAGCAAGCCAGTTCCAACAAGTCGTCCGACATCTTCGACCCTTACTTTGACGTCATCGGCAGCTGTGGGAAGGGGCAACACCAGTGCTATCTTCAAGGGTAATACAACGAATGGAGTGAGTACCAAGCCAGAGGAAACTGTGCTCGTCGGACTCGGTCCTCAGGGTGCTGGAGCCTTAGCCCTCTGTGGCATGGGTGTGGCAGCCGGTCGGGTCGAGGTCCAGGCCAAAACCCAGCTCCTGGCCTGGCTTGAGAAAACGACCGACGTCCTCGTCCCACAGTCCGTGAGAACTTCAATCGCGGGTGGTGTGTCGGCAGCTCGGCTGCAGTCATATCCGCAGAGGACCAGGCTAAATTGGCTCTGCTTATCTCCTCCAGTGTGCGAGTTGCTGCCGCTGGTGGCATTGTTGTCGGGCATGATAGAATCATTGCCAAAAATGCAGGCGTTCGTGCTCCTTCCGTTCTCAACCCCAGCGCCCAGGCTTCTCTCTCGGCATTTCTCTCGAGGACCACTACGGACAAGCTCGGAGCGGACATTACCGCTGGTCTGCGCGCTGCGGCATTGGGTGGTGCTGCCTCCGCTCTGAGCGTGGAATCCCGCTCCGCCCTGTCCGCCTTTCTTTCTCAGTCTTCTTCTACCTGGGATAAGAATGTCATCACTCTCGTCAAGGAGTGGCTATCCAACGCTGTGGAAGGGATCAGCATCCCATCCGGTGAATCCCCCGAGAGTATCCGGGTCTCGATATCTTTAAGGGCAGTCGTTTCGTCCCGCGTATCTCCTTCGGGACAGCTTCGCCCTGTCGCTCAATCTCTTCTGTCATCCTTCTTGTCTACTCCCGCTGCCACAGAGCTAAATCCTGCTGTTCGTGCCTCACTCCAGTCTGGCGTACAGGGGGATCGGGCATCGTCTCTATCGGAACATGCTGCGACCCAGTTGGGCCGTTTTCTCGCCGCCCCTGACAGCCCCTTGGACGCCACCTTGAAAGGCACGGTCATCTATTGGCTATACAAACGCACATCCTTCTCGGGAACCCGCTCTGTTCGCCTGGATACCACATCCAAACTAGCTGTTACCACATTCCTCGCCGGCCCTAAGCGTGACGGCGTCAGTCCTACCATTGTCGGGGCTCTAGTTGCGGCGGCCGCCGGTGCCGATGTCACCAGCCTTTCGGAGGAGAGTGTGACTGAACTCAGCGGTCTCCTATCCAAGAGTGCGAACACCGAACTGGACACGCACACGCAAACGTCTCTGATCGGATGGTTGACATCGTCAGGCTCGGGCTCGAGCCCGGTGGTGGGCTCAGTTTCTGCCTCCGCCAGCCCGATTTCTCCTAGCCGTGCTTCTCCTAGCCATACTTCTCACGGCCATAACTCCCACGGTCATGTTTCTCACAGCCGTGTTCCTTCTAGCCGTGTTCCTTCTAGCCGTGTTCCTTCCAGCCGTGTTCCTTCCAGCCGTGTTCCTTCCAGCCGTGTTCCTTCCAGCCGTGTTCCTTCCAGCCGTGTTTCTCCCAGCCCAAGTGCTTCCAGCCCTGTCGCTTCCCCCTCTACGACTCCGAGAGTCTCTCCAGGTTCCTACTGGCTGGCCGACATAACCCATCAAGGAGTTGCTGCTTTCAACGCCAACCAGTCCGGCTACCAGGTGTTCCGTAACGTCAAGGACTACGGCGCTAAGGGTGCGTACACTGTCCTGCTTTACCCTAACCGTGTCTATCAACTAATAAACGAACATCATGTAGGCGACGGAGTCACCGACGATACAACCGCAATTAATAGAGCCATCAGCGACGGTGGCCGGTTCGGCCCTGCCGGTCGTCGGACGTCAACGACGACTCCTGCGATCGTGTATTTCCCAGCTGGCACCTACATTGTCTCGGCTCCGATCATCGACTTCTACTTCACTCAGCTGATCGGCAACCCCAACGCACTTCCCACCATCAAGGCCTCGGCATCATTCACGGCCCCTTGGGTAATCGACGGGGACCAGTATCAGAGCGATGGCAAACAGGGCTGGATTTCCACGAATATATTTCTTCGGCAGATCCGAAACCTGGTGCTCGACTTGACTGCCATTCCCGCCAGCGTGGAAGCTAGCGGCATCCACTGGCCGACTGGACAGGCCACCAGCATCCAAAACGTGCGTATCCTGCTGAGCTCGGATTTGGGAACGCAGCATCAGGGTATCTTCATTGAAGACGGTAGGCGTGTTTTCTTGTCTTTGCAGTGCTATTCTGATCTCCTCTTACTGACACTGACAGGCTCCGGTGGTTTCATCACCGACGTGACGATTACTGGTGGGAAATACGGCGCTAACCTGGGAAACCAGCAGTTTACCATTCGCAACCTTTCCATCTCCAACTCTCAGGTCGGGATTTGGCAGCAGTGGAATTGGGGATGGACCTACCAAGGTGTTAACATTGCCAACTGCACTACTGCTGTGGCTATGACCAATGGGGGCATGGGTAATCAGCTGGTAGGGTCCATCGCCATCATCGACAGTACCATTCGAGACTGTTCCGTCTTCGTGGACACCGTCTGGAGAGAATCCGCATGGAGCAATGGAAGCTTGATCCTGGAGAACGTGAATCTTAACAACGTCCCGATCGCCGTCAATGGCTCCAGTGGTGCGGTCCTTGCCGGTTCTACCACCAGCATCACCGTTGAGGCCTGGGGCCAGGGCCACCGATACACGCCGTCCGGACCTGCCAATTTCCAGGGCCCGCTGACCCCGGCGACACGACCCTCCTCCCTCCTGGCGCCCGGATCCTCGCGTTACTATACCAGAGCAAAGCCTCAGTACGAATCATACCCAGTTGCCTCATTTGTGAGTATCCGAAGCACTGGTGCGATGGGAGATGGGACCACCGATGACACGGCTGCCATCCAAGCAGCGCTACGGTCCGCGGCGTCGTCCAAGAAGATCGTCTTCTTCGACCAGGGCGTGTATCGTGTCACCGACACGATCTATCTTCCTCCGGGCTCCCGGATTGTCGGTGAGGCATTCCCGGTGATCATGGGTAGCGGCAGCAAGTTCTCCAACAAGGACCAGCCAATTCCCGTCGTGCAGGTTGGACGAGCCGGGGAATCGGGATCCGTCGAGTGGTCCGACATGATGGTGAGCACTAAGGGCTCGACCCCCGGCGCGGTACTCGTCGAATGGAACATGGAGGCTACCCTGGGATCCGGTATGTGGGACGTCCATGCCCGCATTGGCGGCTTCGACGGTTCTGAGCTGCAAGTCGCGCAATGTCCGACGTCCGCCGCCCCTTCCGCTCAGTGTGAGGCAGCTCATACCACCGTCCATGTCACCAGCAGTGCGGCCAACGTCTATCTGGAGAACGTGTGGATCTGGACAGCAGACCATGACCTGGATGATCCAACCGATACACGGATCTCGATCTACACCGGCCGTGGACTGTTGGTCGAGGGACGGAATATTTGGCTGTAAGTGGACACCTACCTGACAGTGCACATCTATTTAATAGACTGCCGCTGACCATCCTTTATTATAGCTATGGAACCTCTGTTGAGCACCATTCGCTGTATCAATACCATTTCTCCGGCGCCCAGAACGTCGTGGCGGGATTCATTCAGACGGAGACCCCGTACGTCATTCCTGATTTACAGATGAACCTTACATCAAGACAGACACACTGACAAATTTGTTGTTTTATAATAGATACTGGCAACCGAACCCAGACGCAGCGAGTAGCCCCTTCCCTTCAAATTCCACCCTGAACGACCCGGACTTCAACAACTGCCAACCAGGGAGCTGCAATGCTCTTGGTCTCCGCATCCACGAGAGCCGAGATGTGGCCATCTACGGTGCGGGACTGTACAGCTTCTTCAATAACTACTCGACGAAGTGTTCGGAGGCTACCTCTTCAGAGAAGTGCCAGAGTGAGATCTTCCGGGTCGATGGAAGCGTGCCTGGCCTGGTGGTTTACGCACTGAACACGATCGGGACAACAAATATGGTTGTCCAGGATGGAAAAGTACTGGCTCGGTATGGTGATAACATGGCTTCTATTGAAAGTGTCATTGCATACCTTAGCACAGAGGCACAGTAGACATCAGAGTGATTACTCGAGTCGATTGTAGTTGAATATGCTTGGGGAGGGTTAAAGACTTTCTTTTCTGTTTCTTATGTACGTTGGGGAAATGCTTCTCCAAGCTAATTGATATTATATATATATATATATATATATTAATGTAACAATTTCTATCCCCAAATTGGGCTAGAAGCCTGTCTACATCTAATTTGGATTATAAGTAGGCATACAGCAATAACTATAGTTATGGTAGCTGTCAATTGTATATCCCCTAGATCACCATCACTACTAGTATAGCATTCATTTAGTGATTAATTAATTATATAAAGCTTCACAGATTGTACAAAAACATCTGGATAAGGCTAGTCCAGGCTGATGTGAGTATCTCATAATATTAGTATCGCCCTGTTGTAGAAGCCTTTTAACGTAAGAGGATTACTACATTAGATATCAAAACAAATCATTCAGCCAACTAAGAACCCAGGCTTCTAGTCATATGGAGTTTCAGCATTAAGCATGCTGAGTAGCAAAGTACGTTTGATATTGTTTCCCAATTATTTCACAGACTGGACCTGCTCAGCACTAGCTTATTCAGCAAGAAGCCCTTTGCACATATACAGTCCTTGTTTTGAAAGTACCCTGTTCTCCATAGTAGGAACAGCATCTCCAAATTGGAAAACACGTATAACTTGCTGTGTATACTATAACAGACGTTCGCCAAGGCTGATAAAACCCCAGCTTGTGTGAGGAATATCGAAGCCTGCTTCTGCCAGAGAGGAAGCGGATGACATGTTTCATAGTGGAGTTGGATTAATAGCCTAGTATCAAACTATGTATAGCACACAATAACAGAGGCAAAGCTTTAAAATTAGAATTATTCTAGAACAGGCACCACGTTAATCACCCGCATTTTACCAGCGGAAACCTCGAACTTAACCCGCAGTTACATAGAAGATAGCTCCATTCTATGAAACTGGTTGGCTAGACCTTACAAATCCACAGATGTTATAGTGGAGCTATACAGATTTGATCCCCTTGGTTTCATTGCGCTTGTTATTAACCTGCGCCTATATAAACTCCCACGACCCCTGCAAGTCAGTTTTCAGAATCAGATCACATTTTTAATTTATACTCTACTTTTAAATTACACGATGCACCTTGCGTGGCTGCCCTTCAGTGTTTACATCCTCGGGCTTACAGCGGCCGGACCCCTACAGGCTCGGCAGGAGGAGCTCAAAGATGTGAAGCTCAATGACCCTCCCGCAACCTTGCAAGATGTAAGACCAGATTCCGAAATATACTATGAATTTGAACTTTATTGACAGGTGCTTCATAGTATCAACACAAGTTTGATTCCTACGTTGGCCAGCTGGATAACAATTGTCAAGGCAAAGTGGTGAGCCAGGTAAGTGGTCCTGAGAATGAGTATAATGCCCTTGTGGGCCAAGCTGACCTTGTATAGCGGGTTATTCTTGCTGCATTTGGCTCGGAGGAAACCATTTCTGACTATGCTGGGCTGATCCGTACCATCGTGGGCCGCATTCCAAGTGACTGTCAGGAGAAGATAAGGCACGCTGTAAGGAACCAACCAAGCAAGCGCTACTCACGGAGCCTGCTCTCGCTGAGGCAACGGACCTAACTAGTCGGATAGATGACGCAGCCCACGGTGCCTGATTCCAAGTTACGTTGGTTTGGCGGCTCCGATTTCTGTGACCGAGGTGGCTATGAGCCAGACTGTGGCACCAAGAGATACTGCGAAGAGGAACGGTATAAGAACAGCCTCGAGTACTATGCCAGCCCCGAGCAGTGCCTGGCTGCCAGAATGTTGCCACAAGACGCATCGCCTAATAAGGCAGGCTCTGAGCCTCCAGTTTCCAGTTCTACTCCAACTGTTTGTATCCCTAAATTTATTCTGTCCATGCTGGTTAACGATCCGACTGACTTGACGGGAATAGAAAACCGCCCACGCCTCGCTGAAGCCATTCTATCCAGCCTCGGATAACAAGTTTGCAACATTCAATCGCGGCAGTGAGGAGGTCTTAGGGACCAAGGCGTATTGTGCTGAAAATCAGTATCCATTCACTGAGGAAGATGGAAATGTATACAAAGACGAGAAAGCATGCTTGGCGGCTAGAGAGCCAGAGAAACCTACTCCCAATCAGTCGTCGGATTCCAATCGCATTATTTACCCCGACGAGTGGGAGCGCATCTCATCTGGCTCCAATCGTTCTTAGTCTGATAAGGGGGAAATGGAGCTGGTGGAAGTCTGCATTGGCTTTTTTTGAGTTATGTTAAATCTGATGCAGCTTGTCATCAAAGAATATGCCTATCTGGGGAGTGTCACAGGTTGTATTTGTACACTATGCCTTGCATGGACGGATTCAACATCCACCATACAATTATGACCGGTGACACTGTTTGTACTAGTGCACTATGTCTTATATAATGGATTCAATAAATGCAATAGAGTTGTGGCTGTTTTTGCGAAGATGTGAGCATATTTGGCTTCTTAGATCTATACTATGGGCTAGTAAAAATATCAGTGAATACTAGGTATGCTTGCAAGTAGTTGTATTCGTGTTGTTACTATCTTGCTAGTTTTCAAGCAGCCCAGGGAAGCTCCTACCCGACAATATGTTACATGTTGGATATGAGCTGAAGAATTGCAGAATTTTAGGTATGGGTAGATTGAGAAATGGCCAACGATGGCTCGGTAAGAATCTTGAGAGTTATCAATACGGCCTATGCACATATATAGAGGTGCATCAGCAGAATATGTATGTGGAAGTTGAAATCCATGATATTAGATCTGGTGAGACAAAAGGTAGGCTTTTCTTTTGTCTCTGTTTTCTTCTCTTCTAAGGTATATCCACTGCCTTTGTCTACTATGATTCTTCCAGTGCTCCACTCGTTGTGTTACAATTTTGCTTTGGTCTTCAGAGGAACATTCTAGAATATGATTCTTGTGGTAGTCAGAAAACCCACCAGTGGTTTGATTAGCCTTGGCAGGCTTTAGTGAGGCACATTTTATATTATTAGTGTCGTATGTGAATGCGGCACACCAACATTGGCGAGAGTACTCTATACAGATTCTAGAACAATGCATGGCAAGCTCTGAAGCAAATAAGTACACATCCCGTGGTTTAAAGGGCCCTGGCATTTCGCAATATGTCTTTTCTAGTATATGTAAGCTGGTTCTGCTCTCCAGAATTTCTCTTAAAGCTAATAATTGTAGAAGATATTCTACTCGTTTCATATCAAATCTAGACCTTAACTAATACTGCCTCTTAACCCGAGCACGCATTATAACACGTATATAAAGTCCTCCAGCGATGACTCTCATCCACACTCAACTACTTGGTCTTCACCCTCTCTTCCGGGGTGTTGTCTTGCTTTGTGGATACTTGGTTCACTAAAGTGGTGGTGCCAAAGCTGTCAATGGTTGAACCCATAAAACCTACAAGATAGGTTATGTACAAGAAGGAACCGTTGAAGAAAGGAAGAAAGGAAGAAAGGAAGAGGAAAATGAGCGGCACTTAAACAAGGCGGGAGTCACGTGACATGGATCGAGGGCCAATGGGCCAAAAGGGACAGTAGGGACAATAGGGACAATGGGGACAACGGGGACAACGGGGACAACGGGGACAATAGGGACAATAGGGACAACAGGGATAGTACGGACATTGGCCCGAGAGGTCAAACGGGCTCTAGCCCTTTACACTCGGCACTTTACTCCTCTCCACTTGACAGAACAGCCTTCTTTAGTACACCAAGGCCAAGAACTCCCGCCACGCCCGAGATCATTGACCTTACAATAGAGACCAAGCCATTTTAAAGCCCCCCATTCGCTGCCCTATACACAGATCGAATTCAAGGGGTGAGCATCGAAGCATTGGGAAAAAATTAGATTCTGTTTAAGGTCTCGCCATCTTGACTTGCGTTGCTCGCTGTGCCTACTTCCTATGGGCGGACGGATTATATTATGCTATGTAGCTTCCGCAGTCAAAAGCATCTCCAAAGTGAGCTGTACAACCTGCATGGTTAATAACCCCACAGAGAGAGTTATTATTATTACCTGTGACAGGTGTTCGTATAACTATCACCTGGGCTGTGTGCGACATTGGCTTTTAGGGCGACATTAATCTATGCAACACATGTGTGCATACTAGTGAGTGCTTGCTGTTTAACTGTTAAATGTGTTTTTATGGTTCAATTTCTAATATTTTATATAGCCATGGGAAGGGGCCGTTTAATGCCATCGACCTAGAGAACTCTAAACCTTCAGCAGAGGTGCTAGGTGCTTCGTCACGGTTAACGCTACTATATCCTTCACTGCCTGATCCCGAGTCTGCCTCGACAGATACTCTGACCGACAACAACATAGTAGGTGCCTTGGATAGCCATTATTAAGACAGGGGTGCTAGAGATGAGGCAGGTTTGAAGGTCCTGTTAACTAAGGCGACGGCTAGACTACTTTACTCCTTAGTAACAGTCTAGCAATTAAGTTTGGTGTTGCTTTGTTGGACTGGAAAAAGCGTATGCTTATTATGGGAGTGTACTAGTAACAGTATCTGGCTAGGATAACTGCTTGGGCTTCTTTGGCTATAAATTGCTTAACAAAGATTTTCTTTTCTTTCTTTTTAATGGCACTCTCAATGCACGATGTTACAGAAGTTTGCAATAGGTTCGGCCACCTACATCCCGACCACCTGTAGATCCCGAACACCGCGTTCAATCCCACTTTTTCAAAACAACCACCTACCATGTACTAGACTTCAGCACCACGTTGAGGTAGCTGCTCGTCGCTGAAGGTGTGCCACCACTAGTTGCCCTACAAGTGCAACCAGCTTGACACGCCCGTGGTGAGGTCTGTCTTGTGGTATCATCTGAAATGCTCGGTTGGTAGAGACGCCATGTGCTGTGTTCACGTAGGTTTGAAATGCAGTAACCGATGGTTCTTGGATGAGTAATATATCTAGGTTTCGGGCCCGCTAGTCGTTGATAAGGGCCTCCATTCCAGCCCTTGATTTCATAATGTTCAACTGTAGAACGCGAAGGTTCTTCCCTGTCATTGCGAAGACCCGGGTGAGAGGGGCGTCGGACACGATCGGTCCCCTGTTGGATGGTCCCCATTGCAGTTAAGGCATTTCACCCTTACTCCCGGAGGGCAATTGCGGCGCTCATGCCATCCTGTGCATTGTCCACATCGGGCTGGTTCTTGGCAGGACCACGCCAAGTGGCCAAATCGTTGCAGCGATAGCATCTCTTCTGCTTCACGCTGTACGGGATGATGTTGTCGAAGTACCTTGTCCAACCAGGAGGCCGTTGTTGATTATCCACTGTGCCGCTTCTGCCGTGTCGAGCCAGATCCCCAGAGTCTCCCATTTACCTAGTGGTTTGCTTGGGTTCTTCAACCATGCTAGGTCTTCCACCTGGTATCCTCGGGTTGCTAGGCCGTCCTCTTCCGTGATTATATTGATCACCTATTGTTTGTTCTCTTCAAGGTCGAATCCCTCCGTCGGAGTGTGGTGGACCACGATATCGAAGCGAGGTTTCACCAGTTATGTGCCGTTTCCTAGTTCTTGGATCCATTCGACATTGGTTTTCGCTGTGTCAGCTGACTCTTTATTGGTAAATTTTATAACATATCCAGTATTGGTTGACCCGAAACCTGCCACCTGAACATCTTTAGTTGTCTCCGCGTTTAGGAGGGTTGTTCTGATGTGTTTGTTGGTTTTGTCTGTGGTAGGCATCTCGCGAATCGGTCGCCTTCCATATTTTCGTTCTCTGGGTCTCGCTCTGTGCTGATGCGTATGCATCCGGGGACTTTCCGGTAGTTGTGGATGGTGGTAACTTCCGTTGTTCGTTCATTGCCGCTGACTGCCACCGCGGCCGACGACTTGGGTTCGGCGGCGGTTTTCTGGAGGTTCTCGATCTGCGCACGGAGGGCTCGTACTTCCTCCTGTAGTTCGTTATTTTGTTCCTTTAGCTCCTCTGACCTACTTTAATTCCCTGAATCTCGATTCGCCGACTCGATCACGTTGTTCTGCTTTGTGATGACCTCCTTCAGGCTGTTGATGAGCTGCCTGACTCATGGTCCGTCACCCGCCCGCCATTCTCGACAATGCTGGCGGATTCCGGGTTCGACAGAGGCTCATTGACTAGCCGAGGGGCATTTCTCCGATACTTCCGAGGGATAATTGGTTGAAAGTCGTCCCTGGAGGGCCCCGTCACCCCTTGCGAGTTCGTGGGGGTGGGGTTTGGGATCCCCTTTGGGCGGAACCGCTGCCATCGGGCCGTGTTTAGCGTCCGCTCGGCACACAACCACCACGATTTGTCGATAACCAGCAGTGCAACAACGTTATCAATTATCTTCAAAACCGCCCGTCTCCGTCTCCCTCGTCTGGTCGGTTCCCTGAGCCCTGCTCGGTTGATACAGGGCCCCTGAGTATAGTGGCGGTCGAATCCCCCTTCACCCCGACAAAACCGCAGCTTATTTCCAAACCCTAATGCCAAGACACTAAATATATGTTCTATCCTAATTCAGCTGGATGATTTAGGAGTATTTTTAGAGCTCGTAACGAAACCGACCTGAGCCATTTAGCTGCAATATTACTGTTCGACGGCGTACTAACAATACATGGTCACGATCCTCGTAATCCTATCCCAGACACATGCCTGCGCATTCTGCTCATGCCATACGTCAATAGAACTTTGATGTATGGTTCGCCTATTGTGTCTTTCTATCAGCTTCCAAGAAGATATATCCTCGTTTACTTGCGATCATTCTCACACCAACACCGTTTGCCTTTCTAACCAGCGAACCGGTTGTCGATGCGCTGGGCAATCCCGTGCCCCTGAATCATAGCCAAACGCACATCTTGCCGTGATGGACCGGGAAAGGTTAACACTTAGCGAATATACCGAGGCAAGTTTATTTCCACAATCAAAGCGACAAAAGACATTCCACCATGAGGATTCGCATAAAACTCGACATGATCAATACACAGTCGGATGGATTTGCGCGCTGCACGTGGAGATGGCAGCAGCTCTTGCCATGCTAGACGAAATCCACGAACCGCTGCCGAAGCATACGGACGACACCAATACCTACGTACTTGGGAGTATCAAGCAACATAATGTTGTTATTGCGTGTTTACCGGACGGCCAGTATGGGACGAATAATGCAGCAATAGTCACGACGAACATGATGCGAACCTACCGAAAAATCTGCGCTTGTTTGATGGTCGGAATCGGCGGTGGCGTACCGAGTATGGCTGATGTGCGTTTGGGCGATGTCGTTGTCGGAACAAGGGTGATGCAATATGATCTTGGGAAAATCGTCATAGGCGGACAGCTGCAGCGGACAGCAGTACCCAAGCTCCCTCACCCGTTAGTCGGAACGGTTGTGTCCGCCCTGCGTTCGAAGCATGAACTGAGCCCCAGTCGACTTTCATCTATCCTACAGCAGAAACTAGGGGCCCAACCCAAATATAGTCGCCCAAACTTGCCGGATCGCCTTTTCCACGCGACGTACGATCACGAGTCTCTAGCTCCTAGCTGTGACGGTTGTGACCAGTCAAAGCTCGTGGCACGAAGCAGCCGACGGCCAGACGAGATAATGATTCATTACGGCGCAATTGCTTCAGGCAACCAAGTCATGAAAAGCGGTACGGCTCGGGACGACATAGCTCGACAACTAGATGTCATATGCTTCGAAATGGAAACTGCGGGCCTGATTGATATCCTTCCCTGTCTCCCAATTCGGGGAATCTGTGACTACTCAGATTCTCACAAAAATAAGGAATGGCAGAAATATGCCGCAGCCACTGCGGCCGCATACGGCAGGGAATTTCTCGAGGAGCTACATGTGACTGAAGCACATGCAAGGGTTCGCCTCACGCATGACCCGAGTAAGCTGTCTTAGAAGCTTGAGTGAAAATCTAACTAATTTTACTCATACCGACAAGTTGATTACTGTCTCTTAAACCAACGGCGGCAACGCATATTAGAATCCCTCAAGTTCGAGCAGATGGATTCTCGCAAAATGAATATCAAATCTATCCGTGATGAGACGTGTCGATGGTTCCCTAGCCATCCCTGCTACAAAGAATGGCTCGATCCCGCTGCATTAACACAGCATCATGGGTTTTTGTGGGTCAATGGTAAACCCGGTGCGGGTAAGTCAACAATCATGAAGTTTGCATATGAGCGTATGAGGAGAAAAGCCCGTTCTAAGAACGCCGTCACGGCTTCTTTCTTCTTTAATGCCCGAGGGGATTACCTAGAAAAGTCGATCGTCGGAATGTATCGGTCATCGCTGCTTCAGCTTCTTGAAGGATACCCGGACCTCCAGACGGTCTTGGATGATTCTGAACTTGTTCCCCAGAGCCTAAATAGCTGCCCTCCCTTGAGTAGTCTGAAAGACCTGTTTTATAACTCAGTTTCTGCACTCGGTCATCGTGAACTTACTTGCTTCGTGGATGCTCTTGACGAATGTGATGAACAACAGGTTGTCGATATGGTCCAGTATTTCGAGAATCTGACGGAACGATGTTCAGCTACGGGCGTTCCCTTCCGAATATGTTTCTCTAGTCGGCATTATCCCTACATCGTCATTCGACGGGGGATTAGACTGACACTAGAGGATCAGTCTGGTCATGCAGGAGACTTGGCAACATACGCTACCAGCCATCTCCGAATCGGTGACCCAGCACTTGCCGAAGAGCTATTATCCCGGCTTCTTGCTAAATCTGCCGGTGTTTTCATGTGGGTTGTCCTAGTTGTCGATATCCTAAACAAGGAGTATCGACGCGGTGGGATGTTTCTCAGGAGGAGACTCGCTGAAATACCAAGTGATTTAAGTGAATTGTTCAAGGCCATCTTGAGACGCGATAAGGAGGATATTGAAGCTCTCCTGCTTTGCATCCTCTGGATTCTCTACGCAAACCGCCCACTACAACCAAAAGAATTTTATCACGCCCTCTGGTCCGGTTTAGCACTCAATAGTCTTGTCGATAACCAAATTCCAGATGTCACTATCCCAGATTCCACACACGATTTGAACCAGTTCGACAGATATGTCATCCACTCCTCAAAGGGACTGGCTGAAGTTACAAAATCCAAGCACCCGACCGTGCAGTTTATCCATGAGTCTGTCCGAGACTTCCTCATCAAAGACAATGGCCTGTATGAATTATGGCCTGAACTTGGGTTGGACTGTGAGCGAGCAGGCCACGAGAAGCTCAAACAGTGTTGCTCACTCTACATGAATCATACATTGGTGTGTGCATCTGTTAGCAAGCTTCTGTCAGAGCCTAACTCGAACGGGCCGATGGAAATCTTAAAGAAGCTCCCTTTACTGCAGTATGCCAATCAATATATTCTTTACCATGCCAACATTGCCGCACAGCTCTTTCCTCCCAACGAGTTCTTATCTTCTTTTCCACTTTCCACTTGGATCGAGATCCGCAATACTTTCGAGAAATTTAAGGCTCGGAGATATACTCAAGGTGCAAGCCTGATATATATTCTCGCGGAAAACGGATACTCTGATCTCATCCGCATAAGACTCAAAGAGGAGCCGCAAAGCTATGTGCCTACGGAGAGATACAAATACCCTCTCTTTGCTGCTTTAGCAAACGGTAGGAAAGAGGCCGTTGCTGCTCTTCTGAACTTACCTACGTATATATACGAGGGGGTAGACGTTACAGAGGGTCTGAAGAGCAGGAAAGACTTGAAGGCATATGAGAATCGAACCCCGCTGTCTTGGGCTGCTCAAGAAGGGCGCGGCGTTGTTATCAAGCTCCTCCTTAACAACGATACAGACATTAACGAGGTGGATAGGACGGGGCTAACACCACTGCTACGGGCTTTACAGTGTGGCCACGAGGCTGTGGCAAGGCTTCTTATTGAAAACGGAGCTGAGGTCAATGCCAGTATAAAGATGGGACACGCCGTTGCTACGGGCTTTACAAGGTGGCCACGAGGCAGTGGTAAGGCTTCTTATCGAAAATAGAGCTGAGGTCAATGCCAGTAATAAAGATGGAAACACACCATTGCTACGTGCTTTACAGTGTGGCCATGAGGCAGTAGCAAGGCTTCTTATTGAAACTGGAGCTGAGGTCAATGCCAGTAACCTATCTGGAAACACACCGCTGGCCTGGGCTTCACGGAGCGGCCACGAGGAAGTGGCAAGGCTTCTTATTAAAAACGGAGCTGAGGTCAATGCTAGTAACCTATTTGGATACACACCGCTGGTCTGGGCTTCAGAGAATGGCCACGAGGCAGTGGCAAGGCTTCTTATCGAAAATGGAGCTGAGGTTAATGCTAGTAATAAAGATGGAAACACACCGTTGCTACATGCTTTACAGTGTGGCCATGAGGCAGTAGCAAGGCTTCTTATCGAAAATGGAGCTGAGGTTAATGCTGGTAACCTATTTGGAAACACACCGTTGCTACTTGCTTTACAGTGTGGCCACGAGGCTGTGGCAAGACTTCTTATCGAAAATGGAGCTGAGGTCAATGCCAGTAACCTATCTGGAAACACACCGCTGGCCTGGGCTTCACGGAGCGGCCACGAGGAAGTGGCAAGGCTTCTAATTAAAAACGGAGCTGAGGTTAATGCTAGTAACCTATTTGGATACACACCGCTGGCCTGGGCTTCAGAGAATGGCCACGAGGCTGTGGCAAGCCTTCTTATTGAAAACAGAGCTGAGGTCAATGCCAGTAACCCATTTGGATACACACCGCTGGCCTGGGCTTCAGAGAACGGCCACGAGGCTGTGGCAAGGCTTCTTATTGATGAGGTCAATGCCAGTGATACAGATGGAGATACGCCGTTGCTACGGGCTTTACAGTGTGGCCATGAGGTAGTAGCAAGACTTCTTATCGAAAACGGAGCTGAGGTCAATGCCAGTGATAAAGATGGAGACACGCCGTTACTATGGGCTTCAAAGAATGGCCACGAGGCTGTGGCAAGGCTTCTTATCGACAACGGAGCTAAGGTCAATGCCAGTGATAAAGCTGGATACACACCGCTGCTACGGGCTTCAGAGAACGGCCACGAGGCAGTGGCAAGGCTTCTTATCGAAAACGGAGCTGAGGTTTAACGTAAGCGACAAGGATTGATAACCGCCTTCTATCGAGCAAGTGCTGAAACACTGGTCAAACTATCGGGAACCCGACTGTTTAGACCCTACCTTGTAGCTAGGCCCGTAAAGACCCGGTATCTCGCTTGTCTTCGGCCCGGGGATCTGACAATGGAGATATAATTAGAATCAGATGCCATCCGGTAGAAGCGGCCATATTTTGAATATTTTACAAATGGGAAGTACAGAATCCAGTAGGTTGATTCAAATATGTCAAATTGGAGCTGTAATAGCTCGTTGATGATCTTTTAGTTAGGTGGCTTCCTTGCTATTCTATGGTCTGTCTAACTAATGCCCCATGCTCGGATACATGTGGATTCAGACGAAGTAATGCTTCCCTGGTCGGGTCTTTTCGCCCCGGACGTGGCGGGCTGATGAATGTCGCCACCTTGCTCAATGCATCCGAACCGAGCTGCTGACCACGGTCCCGGCCGAAAGCCTAAATCTAGGCGAAGTACCCCACTGGTGAGAATAGATATTTGGAATGACGGACATATTCCGCTGGTGTGGATACCACACTATTTATCCCCGAAAGAGCTTTGAGTTGGGCTTTGGAACTGGCTGATCTTGGTATAAGGGCAACGGCACGAGAACACTGCATCCTCCATACATCTATGTAGATCATACAACCATAGGACAGTCAGGGAGCATCATTTACGTAGCAGAAACAAAAATAGGGACATTGCACCAGATAGGATTGGCATAGCTGTATTCCGTACTCGATTAGTCGTACAGTATGTTGTTAATTCCGCCAACATGAACTCTTCCCCGAGGTCCAAGGAACCATCATAGAAATTTTCGTTATAGGCAGAAAAGGCAACCTGAAGGTTAAGACTAGCTATTTCGAAACTGTCCCAGTCAGATATGTCATAGGAAATCGAAGGTTGAGTCATTCCCTAACTACGGAATTCGTCCGCGGACTCGCTAACAGTCTCCGTAAATAGTGTGATATTCTATTCTATTCTAGTGATAATTACGCCATCATCCACAAATAAGGTCTAGTTCCACAAAAGACCTTTTATTCAGGTGAGCACGGTGGACATATTGAAATACGGTAACTGGCGTGGAGTTCATCCCAGCATGAATTCAACCAAGTGGCTATGCTGAGCAGACCCCGCTACTGATCATCGAGTTCTTCATTCAATATTTTTCTGTACTATAGCTATGAAGCCTAAAATAGACCTAACAGGCCATATTTCTGACTACCTTTGATACGATGAATCACTTTCTCTGTTTAACTTGTTTCAGGTTAGTTTCTAGCAAGGACCCTGTATTGAAGCTAGTATTTACAGTTGGTATCAAGCAGGTCCCTATCTGCAGGAGAAACAAAAACATGAATTATTTTCGAACGGCCATGCCTATAAGTACATACGTAAACAAATGCTAATATGAAATGAGAAGTGGGACTCAGCCCACGAGGCTTATGTCTGTGGGCTTATGCCCTGCCACAAGCCGGGAAGAGGACCTGGATATCATGCTTGTGGAGAATATTGGTAATTGCAGTTTGCAGTATTCGCCATGGGAAGATTTTCATGTCTTTTTGGACGGCAACCGCTCTTGGGTTTCGGAACCCCCGGATCATACGTGCAAATTCAAAACTTTCTGGATCGGACTTTGATATCAGGTGGGGTTGGAAACGGTCCAGGTTTCGTCGAATCCGACATCTCTGCAGCTGGAGTATAGGAGTCCGGAGGAGCCACTGGAAAAGCCGAATGATATCGGAACTTGTAATGAAAAGCTCTTCTCTACCAGGCCAGTATATGCAGCTGATGCATATCAAATCGGCTCCTAGCCGCTGGCAGGAAGGGGGTGATAAGTTAATATCGATGAGTTGCCTGTTCGGGAGATGGCGGACAAAGTGGACGATTCTTCGGCGTTGGACTGTCTCCTCTCTGGTCCAGTTATACGCCATATCGATGATGGGAGTATTTATATAGAGCAGAGAAAATGTGGAGGATTCTGGACTGGATGGGTTGGAAGAGTCGCCATTGTACATTTCAGTGATTGGAAGTGGCGAATGTGATGCACCACTTGATCCCCAAGGAAGTTCTCCGGGTATCACGCTGGGAACCGGCGTTGTTGAAGCAGAAATATTGTAATCCGCAGAGTATGGTCGTTGGAGCGGTTCGATTATATCCATAAAATGGCTCAGTCGATCTTGACTGTTCGAATCGGCGACGCCAACTTGTAGTTCGAAGAATGTCTCGCAGGGTATGGATTGTCCACCATGGACTGAGGTAGAGAGGGGACGGGGCGAATCTCGTTTATTTCTGGTAGCCCAAGGCTCACCAAGTTCTGGCTGGTAAGAGAGGTCTCCCACATAGAGAACGTATGGAGTTAATGTTGCCATGTCGTGCACCATTACCCACAGAGGGATAGGGAAAGTATTATCCAGCTCATTGGGTGTGTGGTGGACATAAGCGGTTACCGAATACTGGTATTTTGAACACCAGAATCCTGAGCTTATGTTATCAGTCTGGACCCAGCATGAGCCAAATATTAGATGAGTCCTTAATGGATCATTCAACAACGGGGAACTCGACTGCAGGTGGAAGTAGACGAACGTCCCTTCTGGCCCATGGTCAGGTAAGAAATAGAGAACTTCAGGCTTCAGAGCTTCTCGATCACAGACTATCATGGACAAGGAACCGTTGTGATCAGAAGGAGCAAGCTCCTGGCCAGATCGTGGTACTGACTTATCTTGGAAAAAGACGCCCATTTCGCTGCAGGTCGACATTTCCATGAGTGGGTCGCTGCTCCTCTAGCAGCATGTATTAAACATAATATTAAGTAAATGAGATTGGCAGTAGTAGGAGTAGATGATATGAATATTATTTATATGCAGGTAAAACAAGCCAAAAAGATAGTGTGCTGAGTTATACATCTTACGAGGAGTAGTTATCGAAGGCAAAAGTTGGGGTTTTATACTATTTCTAATTTCTATCCACCTTAATACTGCATACCAGGCCCAATACAAGACTGTTCCCAAGTCCAGATCTTATAGCCGCAGTGGCAGTAACCAAACAGAGCCGGCAGTGAAACAGTAGTGGGGCCTTCAAATTCTCCGGGCCAAGATTTCTGTATAGGGCGCGGAAAGGCGGCAAGAATTAACACTGAACCCATATCTAAGATATCTTTCAGGCCTCACGTTTTAGTTGAACTCCATTTACGGACTTTGAGCCTGGGACCTGCTCGATTTAATCAAACATCTCTGTCTTATTACTAGGAACCATGCTACCTGGGTTGTCTTTTCATCTTCTAGCGAGCAGTTGTGGCTAACTTATTCCTGCTAGACTTAGGGCTACCTTGTTGTTCTGCCACACTCCCTAATCATGAATCATGTTGTCTTCATCGTTACTGTATTATTGGACTCTCATAAGCGCCAAGAAATGAGCGGCTAGCAGAGGATCTATTCTTTAAAGCGAGGGCTGTATAGTGTCTTATTTGACCCTTTACTTTAAGATAAAGTAACAGTAGCTTTTGCTTGACAGACAATGTAAACTCCCTGGAAAATCTAACTGCTAAGGTATATTGCCTAAAGATTAGATTGGTTCGGTTTACTTTATTCCTGGACGTGAAGGTATAGAAATAGGAACTAGCCCTTGGCAATTGATGCAATTTTTAATGATTCTCCCTACTTTAGGGGAAAGCACATTGTGGAAAGCTTCAGAGGAAGACCAATTGTTCATATTCTTATAAAACTTGATTGGACTGATTTCCAATTGGTCGCACTCTAGAATCTGTTCTGTATAGGAAGCTCTCTGCTCAAGTCCCGATCCACAAGCCAGCAACTCAGAGGTAGTCGTGTGCTTCAAAGTGCCACATTAGTCCCAAATATAAGACCACGCGAGCACGACATACATTAAGCTCCGTACATTCTCTGCCAAGATAAAGGAGCCATTCATAATTGTCAGCTAGGCCATATCTCATGAATTATGAGGAGTTTGCTTATGGATTACTGGAGTCTGTTTCATCGCTAACCGAGGGGAATGACTGGATTTAGAAGTCGCTGCGAGTGGGACTGTAGCCTGCAATAATGCCCAGTGGCAAGGGTTTAATCAGCCTCCGCCAAACGTGGATCGGAGATTATTCTACTTAGGGTTGTACTGGAGTCTATTTTGGACGTCAGGGCTCTATAAGAGGGTATAACTAGGACTACTCTTGATATATAGCTGAAATAGAATACAGCTGTGGAATATAGGTAGTTATATAGAGTAGGGATAGAGAGAAGGTATTAAAAATACCTTACTGAAAAGGCAGTCTAGTTAACTTATACTGAAATGTTTTTTTCCCTGATCCATTCTAGGCATTTCCGGAACCACGTGTAACTATACTCGGGTCCGACATTCGTGGGGAACGTTGCACGCCATTGTGGATCCAGAGTCCTTTTTTAGGGAGCTTGATAAGCCATCACTAAGCGAAGGGCTAACCAACTAACCTCTTGGCATACTCCTTGGCACTTGGACCTTGGGTCGTTCCTGACACAGAGCCTAAGCTGGTTTGGGACGGAAATTACCACATCTATGATAACACAGCCGGAATTCTGCGACTTTATCCAAACAATGACGCCTCCTATTTGCGCATCCAACCCTAGCTTTCTGGCGCCACTTCTGCAAGGTCTGAATTGCTCAAAAATTTGATTATATCTGACCAAAACAGGTTTCTTTATTGTGGACTAGTAGACACAAACGACTTAAGCCTGACTACCAACCTGACTACTTGTGTAATGCCACCCCCACACCAGGGTGCAAGGCCAAGTCGCAGCGCCACTCCTTGCACGGTTACACTTCTATACTTCTCTTGGCAATGTTAGGCTCGGTTGGTTCAGGGATAGCGTTTGGGCCTGGATTGTAATTAGAGGTGTCCGGCGATTAATTGAATATCTTAAAATATATATCTATTCAGGGCTCTTAAGTGGCCATACTTCGCGCAGATTTAAAAATAGTACTGCCTACCTACAAAGTAGACAGACAGCTAAGCGGCCAGTCATATATCCATCAGTTCCTAAAGCGGTATAGGCTACGGATCAGAATACCAATCCACGGTGTCAGTTAAAGACACTCTCAATCAGGTCGATTAAGCTGGCCTAGTGGGACGGCAAATGTCTCGAGAGGTTGGTTAAATAGTGTACTTAGGACACCTCGTGTTTGCTACTAGCACACCCCAAATTAAACGAGTCCTAGTTAATACGAATACGCCGTAGTTTACTATTGAAATTGACTAAATGTTTCTTGGAAAAGCCTGGGACCAGACTGACTATTTGCTTAGTCAACTTGACTGCATAATAACTCTTCAGTATGACATAGGTCTGGTAGCATCCTATTATTACCCTGACTTTTTTATCTTCCAGATAAAATATATTTCAGATAGATCGCAGCTCACGCTGACCTGTACGCTGTGCTTAGTATACCACGGGTTCTGATTAAGTTCAAGCGAGTCCAACTGAAGAACTAAGATGTCGTGATGGCCGTTTTTAGTAACTAAATTGGTAGGAGTAAATAAATTGTTTCCCAGGAACCTTAAACCACGTGCAACTTGATCAAACGTCTTATCCACATTCAACAGACCAGCTACAGTAATCATGCACGGATCTAACGGATCCAACGGATCTAGCAATCTCCTGCCAGGAGCTATTCATTTATTCATCCATGCTTCGATTTGCCGAGCAGCATGGATCCATAATCAACACAATATTAAGCATACCAAGGGTCGATCTTAAGGTTCAGATCAAATGCCCTTTCCTTGGCCAGTGCTTGGCAAGTTCGTAAGTCCTTCCCTTCTCAGCCTCGTTTCGCCACAATCAGAGGACGCGATGCGCAGAGTTCGGCGGCCCGCAAGTCTGTTTATGTATAGCGTCCGTTCCTGGCTTTTTGCTATCAACGTCTTCTTCTTGAAGCCATTACAGGAGTTGCATGTGATCTGAAATCGATGGTTCGGAAAATGTACTCGAAAATGGTGACCTCTGTATCTCAAATTCCTGAAGAAATGGAAAAGCCGGGGGGATATTCCTGGGAGGTAGGCAATAGCCATGAGAATGATCAGTGGATCAAGGAGATGCTGAGCTTGTGGCATGTTCACAGAAACAATTCTCACAGCCTTGAAGAAATGACAATTGTAGAGTATATATTATACCCTATCAAATAACCAGTTCAATGGCCATTATACCCAGCTAAGGCAAATCGTACTGGATACGAAATATCCTAGGTTAGTTAACCAAAGCAAGACACAAGCACCATCAAGTGTTTAATAAACATTAGTCCGAAAGCATCAACACCACCACCTCCCCGTCGTCTCAGCCAAGAACTTATCATATCTTCCCTTACATCGTCGCTGTCAGGTATTTCCCCATATCAGCATCAGTTCGGCCATAACCATCGAGAACACCACCTAGACACAGAAAATTGTAAACGGCCAGCCATAGTTCGTTGCATTTATGAAATGCTGAACGGGGAAGGAAGTGGTGAAGTTGATGATGGAGGAGTATATTGCGAGGAGGATTGCGAGTTCGCCAGAAATCTACACCTCAGAGACGTATCTCACTAGCTGTTCTATCAAGGGAAATTGAGATGAGATCTAGAGCTATGATGTATGTACCCGGTCGAAACTTTCCATAGCATATGCGGCGGCAATACTCGTCGCTGAGACCTGTTGTGCTATCATGCAGCAAAGACCGATGGCAATGGTGTTTCAGTGCGCACCAGCTGTGGCCCACCAGCTGATGAAGTAGCCCACCGCTACGAGGATAATGGGTAGAACAAATGCCCAAAGACGCATTTCAAGTTCTTTATAACCCTTGTTACGAGGGGTCAGAATAAGGACCAGCCAGTCGGAAAGGGTGCCGATACCCCTAAAGGGGGCGGCAGGGTTTAATGCTCACTCGATAAAGTTACCGATGAGAGCAGCGAGGAAGAAGAGACCGGCGGATCCAGCACTCCAGTTGTAGGGTGGTCTTGTCATGATTTCGGAAATGGTGTTGAAGGAAACAATCCCCGCGGTGCAGCCGAAGATTGGATACCGATCAGGACGATATTAGGGAAGACAAAGACGTAAAACAGTCGACGGAAGTACTGGAACCGGGTGGTTTGGCCATCTTTAAAGTAGTGTACTAGGTCAATCTTCTGCCGATACGTGCGTGGCGGAATGTCGATTTCACACACACCCTGACTTAGAGTACCGGGTAAGGGTGCTTCTGTGGTAGACTCCTTTTGGCTTACATTCTGTGTGTCTGGAGTTGGTTCAGTTATGGGGGCGTCCGTAGAAGAGTTTCCTGTGAATCGGTATCCGGGAAACATGGTGTCATCAAGGGTGAAGATGAATAGTAGAATTAGGATTGCCTGGATAGAGCTCAGTTAACAGTGTCTAGTAAAGTATAGGAAAGATGAGAGGCTTGTACGCATGTAATGGCGACAATTGGCTGGCTTCATCTGCAATATATATGATCGGAAATATATCTGCCCAGAATGAGACCAAGAATTGAGCCTAGCTGTGCCAAGAGACTTCTGGCCAACACGTAACGACCGCTGAGCGAGCCAGTGGCGATAGCTATAATAAGAAAGCTATATATATACACAACACACACTGTTGGACTGGAGACATAGTTTAATCCAATCTTCCCCCATGACCTTATCTTTTACGTTCTAGGTGATCCGTTAATCTACAGCACAATTTACGTACCATAATTCATTCGCAGCTTTTCTCAGGAACTGGCCAGTGCTCAAGGTTCATCTAATAACAGGACGGCACGGCCGTTAGAATGGCAAACCAGCCAAAAACTAAAGAAAAAAAAAGAGTGAAGACAGACATACAACAGTCAGGATTCGCTGGTGGTCACCCACCCAACTACTAACAGACCGGCGTGTGGTTTAAGTACGGCTGAGCGGACGGGAAGCCCTGCTTTCCACACCCTATGGTCGTATGTGTCAAACGTGAGTATTATAATTATCTATAATCCGCTACCACCAGCAGCTGATAAATTGGCTCCTAAGCCAACTGCTATCTTGGGCTCGACAGAAACCACTGTAATTCCCTGTATAGCCCTATCAAGGCCAGCACCCACTTTCTGCTCCCATGAGCATGTTATTTCTTTTAGCCTGCCATATATGCAATACTATTCTGCACTACTTTTCTAAAGGTCATACTCTAGTATACTTGAATTAAAGCAGAACTTCTTCCCGTATATTGGTCCGAGAATAATTTTGTGACTTCTGACCAAACTCGTCTCTCATCTCTTCTTAACTTTAGCAGAAAGTTCTATCTCTTTAGTTGGAAGAAAACGGAAACTGTAGCCATGCGACCACGCTAAAGAAGAGATCAAAAATCTTCAACAGTTAGATAGCATCTTGAATGCACGAGGGATGGGCTAATCGTGAGCAGGATCAAGGCCTGATAGGCGACTGTACCAATGCCGGTCAGAGCCAGCATGATATAGTAGAACCGTGACTTCGTAGAAGCCACCCCAGATGCCGCCAGCAAGAACTCAGGTCAAGCTAAGGATGTAGATAATCTTTCGCCCAAATTTCATTGCTGATGGGATCCAGATGATACTGAAAAACCCAAGTATAAAATAGTTGAGGGTTGAACCGGAGGTTCATGTCCTCTAGGGTGACATACGTTTCGTCTGATAATTTGTCCATGACGACCCCAGTTGTTCTCGCCAAAGGAGTTGACGCAGGCATATGCGGAGATCAGGAACAATGTTCAGTACTTTTGTTTCGGGGCCAATTCTACAGAATTGTCAGTGTGAATATGATTAAAAATGTGAGTCAATACGCAGATACTTCCTACCAGAGGATCGGCCAAAAACGACCTTGGTTGGGGGGTAAGGAGAATATCTTGTTGCCCTACGTGAGTGGCGCCTACCAGATCCCCAGATGCTGTACCTGGAATCAGCATCAAATGGTGTTTAGGATAGAGAAGAAGCCATACTATCTACCATGGACGAGATGTCAGTAAACAAGACATCGGAAGGAGGCATGGTTGAGCATATGGATTTGCGAGCATAAAGGCGCCATTCAATTATCGGCGGGTATGGGCCATTTATAAATCAGTGCTGATCAACATTGGGCTTGCAATGATAGGTTTTTCTGGTGGAGGAAAAGCGGAAAGCCCAGAATACTTCCGCCATTCTGTATCCCGTACAAGGGACTGATTTCATTATTGGTCGAAGCTGCCGAACAGCGTCTAGTCTGCCCTTGGGTCGATCTGGGTAGGCATTTGCGTCCAGGAGATATCCTTCTCCAGTTTGGTGTGTTCTTTCCCACGCTACTACTCGGAGGCCGCCATGTGCATGCAGTCTAACGAGATGGGAATCTGTGTCAAGCACCCGACCCTCTCTTGCCGGGGTGGCAGATGAGAATTGAGGTAGATGGCTGGCAAGCCAAAGAATCTGCTCAAGGCATCAACCCGAAGAGGGAAAACCAAGGCTCGAAGTAATCCATACATACCATAATTGGCGTGGATTAACGGCAGGATGCGGCGTGGCGGACAAATTAGGAAGTTTTACTCACAGCGACGGGATGTGGCTATTTTAACTGAAGATAAGAATGAATAGTAGAATCAAGAGTTTGACGCAGAAGAAAAAAGCCGGAGGAATTGAAGCCGAGGAAGGTCTAGGTGAGCGGGGAATTCGTACATCATGACCTAGTCAGATCCTAGAGATAAATCAGCGGTTAGTGCACTGCCAGGCCATGAAGATGCGGCATGATTCCTCCAGCATATAATAGCTCACTAGCATTGTGTCTCCTGTCTTGTCTTCCAAGTTTGCCCGTGCCTCCTGACAATGCCATTTACTCCCCTCAATACTACCTCCTCCATCCTCATCGTAGGAGGAGGCACCTGGGGATGCTCAACTGCATTACATCTAGCCCGTCGAGCTATAAACATGTCACAGTGCTGGATCCATATCCTATTCCTTCGCCCATTGCGGCAGGAAATGACATCAATAAGATCATGGACCATCGTGAGCTTAAAAGTAGGCACCGTTCCTTCGCGACGAACAGCTAGACGCAGCCATGTGTTTACTCTACAAACAGGTTCAGAAGCAGACGCTCGAGGCATCATGTTTGCAACCTGCTCTCGAGCAGCCTTGAGTGGTTGGCGGACTGACCCTATATTTCAACCATATTTTCATGAAACGGGCTCGATCGTGTCCGGCGACACTCCGGATCTGATCCGACATATCAAAGAAACCGAAATCGACTCTTCAGAAGGGACAGTCGTGGAACTGAAGACTGCCGAGGACTTCCGTAACACCATGCCTGCTGTAGTCCTCACGGGCGACTTTCCCGGCTGGAAGGGTTGGTTAAGCAAGACGGGTGCGGGATGGGTCCATGCGAAAAAGGCCATATTATCTGTGTTCACCGAGGCGAAGCGTCTGGGTGTAACATTTATCACCGGTTCCGCGGCAGGAGATGTCATATCCTTGGTGTATGAGGGCGGGGATGTGGTTGCTACCAGAACCGCAGATGGCATTGTCCATCGAGCAGAACACACAATTCTGTCCGCAGGAGCAGGAAGTGATCGTCTTCTAGACTTCAAGATGCAGCTTCGTCCGACCGCTTGGACCCTCTGCCATATTAGAATGACTTCCGAAGAAGCAAAAACTATCGGAATCTCCCTGTGTTGTTCAACATCGTTAAGGGTTCTTCATGGAGCCTGATGAGGACCAACACGAGCTCAAGATCTGCGACGAACATCCTGGGTACTGCAACCTTGTTTCCGACCATCAGTGCGCCGGGGGGATTCGCAGTGTCCCATTTGCAAAGCAGCAAATTCCTCTGGAGGCTGAAGCTCGTGCACGAAACTTCCTCCGCGACACGATGCCGCATCTTGCCAGTGGTCCGATGGTTTTTGCGCGGATCTGCTGGGATGCCGATACGCCGGATCGTGCATTTCTTATTGACAGACATCCAGAGCACCCATCACTGCTGGTCGCTGTGGGGGATCTGGAAATGGGGCCATGCAGATGCCGACAATAGGGGGTTTTATTGTCGATGCGTTGGAGGGGAGATTGCAGAAGGATCTGAAGTATGTGGTTCGATGGAGGCGTGAGACGGCTCTCCATCGAGATTGGAAATCTACACAGAATCGATTTGGGGGACCCAATAAAGTGATGGAATTTCAGGAGGTTGGTGAGCATGAGTGGACTGATGTGGGCAATAAGAGCCGACTGTAAGATGCACTACCAAGATGTTGATCAAAGTATAATGGAAACTTCCTTGCCTATGGATGAAGAAATTACGTTATAAAGACAAGTAGTAAGGGCAGAATACTTCAGCATAATATTAAGAATCAACATAAACAGGAAAACCGGGAAACAGTGATCGTCAAACTGAAGAAACATCACATTAGATACCACAGCGTCCCATGACAACGAAAATATTAATCTCCATATTTAGACGCACTTCATGAACTTTCGAATGCGCATGTTCCCATATCTTTCTTAACAACCTCTGCCTCAGGTCGGATATCAAAATCAAAAATATCCATTGGCACTCCCATAGTTGTACAAGCATTGGGAATATCCACTAATCCAGCAATATGGCCCTGAACCGGGGCGCAGCTGAGCAGCATGTATATCTGATAGTCATTATAGCCATATCGACGAAGGTACTCGATCACCCTAAGACAAGTTTCTCGGTATGCGACTGTGGCATCCAGGTAGTGTTGCTTGCCATGATGGTCGACCGAGAATCCTTCAAAAGTCAAGTACCGACCAGGGCCAAACTGCGGCTCAACAGGTCCAGGGTGGAAGATGGGAGACTTCATTGCCATTTTGGCCATGCCGTCTTTGATCACGGTGAACTTGATGGTGATAACTCCGGCCATTTCGATAGCGCCGCAGAAGGATATCTCACCGTCCCCTTGCGAGAAATGTAGATCGCCGACGGAGAACTTGGCTCCAGGGACGTGGACAGGGAGATAGACCTTGGAGCCTCGAGAGAGATTCTTTATATCACAATTTCCTCCGTTTTCGGGACGGCCCTTCTACGGTCAGGTGTCTTGCCGTGTATGAATTCGCGCTAGAGAGACTCAATACGTACCGGGATTGTCCGGGCCCCCTCTCTCGCAATTTTCTCCTTCAGGGTCTCATCCGCATTGCCGGAGTGCGCATTCTTTGGTTCAGGGGGCTTCGCGACATCACGTTCGATAGTGTTCGTCGCAATCAGCTCGCCCTCACGGCGGTTCCACTCCGCCAGGACCTCTGCAGAAGGTGCACATCCCAAGATTCCGGGATGGATGAGGCCTGCAAAGCGCACGTGTGGAATATGGCGGGAGGAACAGAAGATTCCCTCGAAATCCCAGATTGCTTTCGCCCTGTTGCGCAAATAGATTTTAACGGAGGCATGCTCGGAAGGGTAGGTAAGTCACGTACGCCTTAGGATAGAATTCATCCAAGAAGCCACCCCCGTTATCGGCACTAAAGACGCCACTGAACCCCCAGGGCTGGTCTTCAAAAGGCTGAACGTCCTGGATTTCAACCAGAAGTACATCGCCAGGCTCCGCGGTCTCGATATCAAATGGGCCGGATAGATAATGAATTTCTGTCAGATCGACATTCTTCACGTCGTCAGCAGAGTCATTATTCTTAATCTGGCCTCCCGTCCAGTCTAGGCATTCGATCTTGACAACTTCATTGTTTGCGATTTTTCCACACGAGGGAACTATATAGTCTCAGCAGAGGACTAGTGAAAACAAGGTGGTAGTTCACATACCATCCGGATGCCATCGATTCTAACAGCCCATACATTAATACTATATCCTAGACAACCTTTGGAAGAAGACTCACGTGTAAACCTGCTTGTTCCGAGGCAGGCTTGTTCAAGTCAACCTTGACAGCGGTACGAATTCCCTTGGTTCCCATGGTTAGGCCTTGGTGTGTATTGAGTGCAGTAGAACAGGGGTTCACAGCACTATTGCTGTACCCCAACACCTCCTTAAATACAGCAAGGATAATACTACGCTCCCCTCACGGAATGGAAGTTATCGCCTCAACCCCGCATGCTGGAAGTCAGAACTAAGGACCAACCACCGCCTGCTTATCTCGCTTATCAGCGGGTCCCCCACCGGAAGGCCTTATTTCGAACGATTTATAATTGAGTTTATCTATTCATCGATTGGGTAAGAAGGAGCCAGGCATCATGGATCAGATTAGCCAATCCCTTCTACGTCGAGCATCGTCTGAAGGGTACAGGATGCGGGGATGGTTGTATTTCACTGTCTAGGTCGGTCTTTGACATGCTGATTCATCTAGAGGACATTATGAACCAGGCACAGACAATTACATTAATGGTAGGGCTAGGGATTTTTATCAGAAAAAGATGCACAAAATATAATTCAGATTGTTCGTCTGTCATATTTGCGAGAGAGGCCTTACAAAGCTCGATACCTTATCAGTAGGGACCCACACCTCAATTGCTCTTACCCCACACCTCACTATACCTATATTGGTTTAGCCAACTCAAAAACAGTCTAGTGTGGTTTAATCTCATTGCTATCTAGCCTGAGGCAGACAGGTGTAACATCACGTGATCCAAGTTGCACGATAATATTGTAGGAGAGGCTAAACTAAAGTAGGAAGGTGATAGTAGCACGCTAGTGGGACAGTATCAGTATCAAAAACCCCCCCAAAAAAAGAATAGTAGTTCATTAGTCGTCGCATGAAGCCATGAATCTCACTTCCAACGCTCCCACAGAAACGGGACCATCCTCTGTCGAAGAGGCATCTTGGACAAGTTAGTTGCAACCAATCCTAATTGTTTTATGTCAACCAAAATGGAATGGTATCCCTAGAATGAAGTGCCTGCGTTAACAAGATGCATCAGCCTCTGCAGGGGAAGCCAACAGGTATACTACTATGTCGCCATGAGATTAAATGACTCAAAAATACATACACAATCCCGCCTCTTCCACCGCTTCACATATTACACGAAAAATTACAGAAATCATAACCTACAGATTCAACACAGATATATCCACACTCCACTTAATTAGTGCTGGCTTCTGTGGTACAGTCGGCGGGCCTGAGAGATCCCTCCAAGAAGATTTCCAGATGCACCAAAAGGTACTCCAAAGCTTTTCCTATTATCAAAACTCAACGAACGCCATATAGAAATGCACCCCAGTGTCCAAATCCCGAATGTTATCTCTTCATTCGACCTGCGGATGTCTTCTGGTGGACCTATACACGCCCTGCAATATGATCCAGTCCCGATACATCCTGCAATTTCCCGAACATACAAGAGAAATTCTCGTAGCAAAGTACTGCTCGCCGGATATCACACAATAGATCCGGTCCAGCCCACCCAATGAAGACTGTCTCGTAAGGCCGTGTCTCGATCGAAGACAAACTAAAGTCCGGTACCGTGCGAGGACTCAAAGCATTCTCAGTAAGAAACTACCCCTTAATCTGGACCAGATGGAGGATCTTGGAATCACATCAAGCGATATACAAGTCTACGCAAGGATGATGGCTGAAGCACTGGCTATCATGCACTGGGTGGGGGAGATAGACCGGAATGATGTGGAGTTTGTTATTGCGCTACCGAATCAAGAAAAGGTACACATACAATATGGGTGAGCATGACATGTGGATCCTGGATTTTGATCTATGTAGGGACATGTCCATGGATGAACTGTATGTCAGACGGGCTAGTGAGGCTTTCTGGTGAAATGATCTGTCTTATCCTCGGCCTGGGAAGGAGATCTGGCTGTGGAATGCTTTTCGCGAGCATTATTTAAAGACCGGTGTGGAATGTATAACGTGTGAGGAGATTGGAGGATGAGGGACGGATTCTATCAAGGCTTAAATCTGGTGGAGGGCGATCTGATATCATCATAAAAGATGACTTGAATATACATCCATACAAGCTGTACAATTCATATACACGTGCCACATGGTTTAGAGAGATTATGTATGAAGAGAATCTCGAGTCAGAGGAATACACAAGGAGTATGACAGATGTATTGGCAGTTTAACATCGGCATATGAAGATTAATGCTATGGATATTGGCTTTATCATAGGAAGCACTCCCCTCATGCAGCGACTACCGCTGACAAGCCTAAGGTGATCGTTTCTGGAGAACGGATAAAGCACCGAGCCTCTTGGTTCAGACACTGGTACGGTGCCCAGCATGCACGGGAAGAAATAGTGAGTGTGCGTGTAAACAAAAAGTGCATACCCTAATATAAATCCCGATGCTGAAACGGCAGAACCGTCATAAATCGAAATTATTAGAGGGAGTTTTGTTGGTCATGGCCTCCTTATTATGAACGGCAATGTTGAGTTTGTCCAGATTGTCTAGGGACAGCTGAAGGAAATCATGTTTGTTCGTCCAAGTCACTTGACTTTCGGCAAACCCTTCGCTGACAGCAGGGTTAGGAGGAGGGTCAGTGATCTTGGTAACAAGATAGGCAGTGGATGCTTCCGCCACGCCGTACATCAGGACTCCGATGTAGGGGGTCTTCAGGACAATCGTAAATCCAAATGCAAACCCAAAGAGAACACCCTCCCTATCCGCAAACCAACGGCGTTTCTGCTCCCGGGTAAATTTCACGCGACAGAAATAAGGCTCAAGCTAAACAAATGATCAGACGTTGAGCCAACTCGCTGCAATCAGGGAAATGCACTTACAAGTTCACGCATTAAGCTGCGAGAAGCGAAGTAACTATGCAAGAACGTCACTACGAACGTCTTGGGAAGCACCAGGCCGGTACCAAAGATCACAGCAGCAGGTGTTGTTCCCACTAAGTCTTGGAAGGCGTAGAACGAAGCTGCAGGCATCACAAATCGACCTACAAGAGGAAGAAAAGAAAGGATGAAGATAGCCAAGAGCATTCCAACCTTACGCCCATATCGCGCCACAAATGCAAGAATAGACTCTGTGATGGGCTTCTTCCCTCCGGCACTGCCCTTGGTTGAGTACTTCACAAGATTCGGGTAGTACATGGCACGGAGGGTCTTAGGGTCGTCCGATTTGTGCTTGTTCACGTAAGTCGAGTCCACCCATTGGAGAGACTGCATGAATCTACGAAATTAGCGACAGGTTCTCCTGCGAAAAGAAATACATACATGTCATCAAGAGTCGGAGTGATGTATCGCATTAAAGTCATGAGCAGGAAGGGGACCTGGAGGACGGATTTGTTGAGAAAGTCAAGACCTTCGAGAACCGTGTCGTCCCAAGTGGCGCTTTCTAAGTCAACGAAGAGAGAAGCGATTAGAAGAAGGAATTTGACCCCCAGAATCTGATAGTAGAATTAGCATCAATCGTGTTGCCCAGGGAGATAACAAGCCTCGAGAGGTCGGCCTACCGGGATTTGGACGATTAATTGGATAACGATTCCTACAGCCACGGCGAGAGCTGCCTGCCGGAAGTGGTCATATTTGAAAAGCTCAGGGTTGCTCAATGCCCGGACGGCTATCATGCAGTTAGCAAACACTCATACAAGCAAGAGCTCGTCACAGTTTAGACGTTAATCGCAAGGTGTCTCAGAAAACAGCGAATCCAATACAGCATCCAGAGACTATGGTTAGTATATGGTTCGCATTTACGCCTCATATTTACTTGGCCATATTGGACATCCGAGAATGCCGGATTAAGAAATGATTAGCAGAGGATCAGACTTACTTCCAACAAGAGTCAGCTGGAAACCGCGGATCACGGCGTTAGGCTCAAAGTTCGGCATAATGAACAGGCCGTATACGCTTGTAATACGAAGCTCCCTACGTAGGATCAGAGAGGAGGATTGTTTGGGCTATCCTTGGCCGCTTACCCGTTTTAACCAGCGAAGAGAACACAGGCAACCATCTATGACGGTCTTGTGGGATTGGCCAAGCAACCGCTAGCCGCAGCCGCGCGGGTCCGGATGTTCTGCCTCAGGCAGAATAATGCCCCAGGCTGCCATCGCTGGTCGAATCCCCGCCGAATCACGAGGGATGGCGATGATGCTGTGCTCCCTTTTCTCGTCCCTGTCACTTCTTCGTTCAGCCAGCCAAGTCATTCATTCTCGCTTCCTGTCTTATTTCCCTCCTTTCTTTTCTACCATACTAACCATTTTTATTATAACCATCCCACAGTTTATTCAATGTAATCGACCTGTTTTTGGTACTCTGCCACTCTCTAGTTCTAATGAACCATGTCCGATCCCTCGGATGCGCCAGTGCCTAAGATACAGTCCATTCGTCGGTCTGCCACGCTACCCTCCAAGGCTAACCCCCGACTTCGACGTCCCTCGATTTCTCTCAAGCCCTCGGAGAACGACCTTTATTTTCATCCTTCGGCAAAGGTCGTCCATTTCGCCCCGAGAGCGCTTGCGCCGATTCCCTCAAGTACCTTCCCATCCGACTTTGATTACCCGGTTGATACTGTTGAGACCCTCCCATGGAGGTCTCCCACGGAGCGGACTGTGGCATTTGCTCCTCTTCGGCTGGAGAATGTCCACGGGTTGACCGTCTTTCTCAAATGCGGCAGTGTTGTCCATGCGATTCTCAAGAACTCTCAGTCTTGGTGCGTTGATGGCGAGTCGACGTTTGTCTTGCGCATTCGCCCTCTTACCTACTACCGGATCGAGCTTCCAAACGAATCCGACGAGGATAAAGAATTGATCACAGCAATGAAAGAGGTCTTACCGAAGATCCTGCGATACGAAGTGACCCCATGTCCTTTCAAGCGGGAGTTTACCGTCGAGATCCCGGAGGAGGCGAAGGCGCCGCGACGGAAGAAGAAAGCATGGAGCCCTAAATGGCGACGGGAAAGCGAACCGATCTATTTGGGCTACGCAAAAGATCCTAGCGCAATGCGGGATGAGGGAGGATTTGATTTTTTGAGCGCCGGGGAAGAGACGGATGGGAACACAACAGATGGCAGCGGTTTCACTACTAGAGGTAGCAACAGTACTACCTTGGAAACCATCCTGGATGACAATGAGCCCGTGGGAGCTCCTACACCTGGGCTCCCCATTTCCGAACCTGGAGAAATTCCCAAATTTCCCAGACATTCTGTGACTGAAACACAACAGAGCTTCCAGACCTTGCTGGCAAGGTTTGAGGACCGGCAGGAGTCACCGGTTGAACTCGATGTGGCACTTTCCTCAAGTGTCGATTCATTCCATTCCGCCGAACATTCATTCTCGACATTACCTGAGTCAGGATTGTATTCGAACGCTCCTCAGCATGTATCAGTAAATGAGAACGACCAATGCGATAGTATCAATTGCGACGAGGAAACCCTCTCAGATAAATCTATATTTCGAGAGGTCGATTATAAGGCAGAAGCGAATTTACCCAACATCATCTGTCACGACTGTTCTTCACCCGCCCTAGAGATGTCAACAGCCCCGATGTCCGAGCAAGAGCCCATCCCATCACCAAACATCTCACTGGATGATGAAGCGTATAGGAACCGTGGAAGCACCACCTCCTCAGACCTCAGTTCCAATCTAAGCAGCATGAGCATTGAATTTCGGCGCCGGTCAAAAGCATCCCGTGAACGAGAGGTTTCGCCGATGCCCCCTCCCTCCATATTGGCTCTTTCCCGTCCCACAGAGAAATACGATGCAGCTTCCATCATTCAAAAGACTTGCAGTCTTGTCCTGGTGCCCCCGATCCAACTGTTCATCGTTTTGATTCATATCGCAGCGCGCATAGTAATTGGTCCCACCGTGAACTCAGCGATGGGTGATTTGGATCGAAAGTTTGAATGCGAAATTACGAACCCTCAAGAGGCTGTGGATGACTTTGGCCTTCCTCTTACACGCGAATGTTCCAGGAAACGATCAGTTTCGGAGGAAATTCGCAAACTCGACCCTTGGGATCGGAGTGAATGAATCTCTATGAGAGTGGCCCTCACATTTGATTTTGCCTTGTTTACTATCACTTATTCACTTGTCTGGTTTGTTTTCTGTTTGCTATATCATTTTAATTCGCTTTGTATAACCTCACTCTGGCGAATGATGTCTGTTCGATGATGATGCATCTTGTATGATTCTCTACTTTCTGCTGTGGTCTATGTATAACTCGTGGGCGGATTCGGCATTGCATTGCACATGTACTTCCTAATGTTTGTTTTGTATTCTAGCGGATATTAGTTGTAATTTATATACCCTTATCAGTATAATTGCTACGTAAAAGAAGGGTGGTAGACATAAAATATCATTCCCTCCAGACTGCACACCGTCTAGATGCAGGTAAAAAATATCAACATCAAAAGAGAAACCGCATAACGCCGTGAATGCAAAACACCAGCCAGAAGCCTCTTATTCAGCCATACAACCCGCAGAACCTACCCAGCTTCGTTATCGCGTCAAGCCTTGCTAACCTTTGCAGCACCACCCTTCTTCGCCTTCCCACGTTTCCTATCTCGCTTCTTCAGCCCTGTCATCCCCACCTTGCAAACCTCCGCATAACGCGTATAAAACGACTCCAGTTCTTCCGGGGCCACAACAGTCGACAACTTCACTTTCTGCGACCCCGCTGATTTCTTAGCGTCCATGGTTTTTTTGGGATTCGGAGCATTGGTGTTTCCGTCTGTGGCACGGATGAGGATTGACGGTTGCGATGTGCCGTTCTCTGAGGACTGGATGAGAGGTTTCTGTGTGAGGAAGATGGAGCCGCGGGCATTTTGGGAGGTTTTGACAAGGAGGTCGGAGAGAGAAGAGAAAAACTGGGTATATAGGTTAGTCTAGGTGTTGAGATTGAATATTGGATTCTCGGAAGATAAATGCATACCTCTTCGTGTCCAAGACGTGCTGGCATCTAGTTGAATTGTGTATTTGCAAGATTGTTGATCAATGGAACTTGTATACTAGTCGATATGAAGCTGTAGTAATGTAGATGGGAAGACAAATGTCAATGAGGCGATGGTAGCCAGTTCTCGACAATAGGTAGACACACTTTCTAATGTCTCGGACTGGAAGCCAATGGATTCTCCTCAACGCCGGCCACACCGCCTTCGTTGTCCGCCTTTCTCTCCGCCGTATGTATTTCGACATTTCGACGGCACAAAAAAAGTTCGCATATACCAGGTACTCCTGCACGCACGATGCCTCGCCCAAGACATAATACGACCTCGCTGCCGAGGGACCTCCGCGGTGAACTGGGACTGAAGGATCGCTACAGGGAGAAGAAGAATAGACGAAACGGACCCGTGCCGCGAAAAGATCGACGTCGAGCGGAACGGACGGAGAAAAAGACAAAACGAGCGCCGGTTTCTAAGGGAAGTAAACGACATGCTGAGTATGACGACGATGACGAAGATGATTTCAATGAGCTTGAGGGAATTGATGACGCCGGAGTTGATTTGGACTTTGGATTAGATGAAGAAATGCCACCGCCATCCAAGGGCAAATCTGCGAAAGAAACGGACACTATATCCAAAAGGAGCCATAAAAAGTCGAAGGTGACGGAAGATTCAGAGCCGGAAAGTGACGATGAAAATAATACGAGGCCTCCTCCATCAACGATCTCTAAATCTGTTCAAGAAAAGCTGGACCAGGATGATGCGGAGATTGCTGCGCTGGAGAAAAAGCTCGGGTTGAAAAAGGGCAAGAAACTTCCAAAATCATTCGAGGATGATGGCTTGGATGAATTGTTGGGAGATCTGGACGATGGATCTGCGGATGAAAGCCGCAAGCGCAAAAGGGAGGCTAACGAATGGTTGCGAAGCAAACGCAGAAAGGCCCAAGGCCTGCAGTCTGATAGCGAATCAGCCGAAAACAGTGATATGCGAAGCGATGAGATGGATGGCATGGATGAAGAAGAGGAGGATGATTTCGGTGGCTTTGACGAAGATGGTGAGGAAGCTGAAGATGAAAACGACGAGCCTGCTCCTAAGAAGCGCGAGAATCCCTATACTGCGCCCGTATCAGCACCGGAACCGAGTGAAAATCGACCACAAAAGTATATTCCTCCGTCTCTACGCGCAGCATCCAATTCGGAGTCAGAGACACTCACGCGCCTACGAAGGCAATCTCAAGGACACCTGAACAAATTGTCGGAAGCTAATCTAGTCTCAATTCTTGCGGAGTTCGAGAAGCTCTATCGGGAATATCCCCGTCAGAATGTCACATCCACGTTGATCACGCTACTTCTGGGTTTGATCTGTGAAAGGTCTGCGCTACAGGACACCTTTGTCATCCTCCATGCGGGATTCATCGCGGCCGTGTACAAGGTAGTCGGCATGGACTTTGGCGCAGAGCTGGTGCAAAAGGTGGTAGAGCTGTTCGACGCCGGGGAAGACGAACGAGGCAAATTTGAGGGTAAGGAGGCTGTAAATCTGATGTCTCTCTTGGTGCAGCTGTACAATTTCCACGTAATTGGGAATACGCTCGTCTTCGACTACATCCGATTATTCCTGCAGGACATCACCGAGGACAACACTGAATTGCTGCTCAAAATCATCCGAAGTACGTACCTTCTACCTTATAGGAACAACCGCTGACTAGTCCAGACTCCGGACCACAGCTCCGACAAGACGATCCCTCTGCTCTTAAAGATATCGTACTCCTGATCCAACCCGCCGTGGCTAAAGCCGGTGAGGCCGCGCTCTCAGTGCGCACCAAGTTCATGATCGACACAATCACCGATCTGAAGAACAACCGCATGAAGTCGGGGGTGGGTGTCGGTTCGACGACTGTGACGTCGGAACACATCACGAAGATGCGCAAGATCCTTGGCTCTCTGAACAGCTCGCGATCCATCCGCGCTTCGGAGCCCATCAGCATCTCCCGCAACGACATCCACAACGCGTCAAAGAAGGGTAAATGGTGGCTCGTGGGAGCCAGCTGGAAGGAAGACCCGCTAGAGTCCGCGCGGCACGAGCTCGCCGTGAGTCAAGGCCACTCCCTTCCGACCCCGGGCTACGACAGCGACGACGAGCCCGATTACATGTCTCTAGCTAAGGCGCACCGCATGAACACCGACGTCCGACGGTCCATTTTCGTCGCGATCATGTCGGCGCCTGATTACCAGGACGCGCATGTGCGGCTGCTTAAGCTCCGACTCAAGCGGAGTCAAGAATATGAGATCCCGAGGGTGCTCTGCCATTGCACCATGGAGGAGGAAGCGTACAATCCATATTACACACTCATCGCACGACGGCTCTGCGGCGAGATGGGCCGGCGCATCAAAGTGTCGTTTATGTATACGCTGTGGAACATCTTCAAGCGCATGGGCGAGACAGGGGCGGACGAAGACGAGGCGGAGTTTAACGACGATGACGAACAACAGAACCTCCCTATGGCATCTATTGTCAACCTGGCTAAAATGTATGGCAATCTCATTGCGGACGGCACGTTGAACCTGGGGATTCTAAAAACGCTGAATTTCGCATACCTCCAACCGAAGACGCACACCTTTACCGAGCTGCTCTTGATTACGGTGATTCAGCAGTCGCAAAGACGAAAGAAATCGAAAGATACGGGGAAGGAGTCGGAGATGAAAGATGAGGAGAAATTGATGGAGATCTTCATCCGAACGCGCGACACGCCACAGATGGTCAAGGGATTGATGTATTTTTTGCGCAAGGTGGTGTCGAAGACTGATATCGTGTCTGAGAAGGAGCAGAGGTTGGTACGATGGGGATGTAAGGTAGGGGTTGATGCATTAAAGGTGGTATCTAAATGATTGAGTTTTGAGCTATACATTTATGAGCTATAGATTGTATATGAGGCATTGTATAAGGCATTGTATGAAGTATAGCATATAAGATATCCTATATTAAGATAGTAGTATGGGATCATGAAATGATCTCCCAGTCTATACAGACCGTCCACTTCTCAACTTGTCCATCAGATGAATCCGAAGCGATTTCAACATCCCAGACCAAACCAGGAAACACTCCGACATGATACCCCTCTTCCAACCTTTTGGACCCCAGAAGAAGGACATTCAGGACACTCTTCCCTTGATCATTTCCATTTCCATTTCTACTTTCATGTAATAATGTACCTCTAACGAAACCCCCTCCCTCAATCCTCACCACGCTCTTCACATCCAAGGTAAAAAGATACCTCTCCGAATATACCTCTGTATGTGTATTTGTGTTTGTATTTGTATCTGAATCATGAATCGGAGCATGAGCACGAGCTCTCGTCCCCATCTCCACTACCCAGCTCCGGACCTGAGAGGCCATCCCACCGGGGATATACGACGGACCGCGACGATTTCCTCGCCGGGGTGAGAATGGAGACGGGAGGTAGTCTTCTGATTCTGGCTCTGGTTGAGAGGGGAGGATGAATGTTGGTTTTCGTTCTTTTCGGAGTGGGGTTTGTATCTGTGCTTGTGTCTGTGGACGTATCTGTGTCCGGAATCTCGGACGAGGAGTATGAAAAGTCTGCGAAGAGGGAACTTCATCCTCGTCGTCTTCACCTCCATTTTCATTTTCGTTCTCATCCCTGTCTAGTTGTATACCATCTCCGTCTTCGATATCCCCATCTCTCGTATTATCTACCCGCGTAGACCTAGTCACTCTCCGTCTCTTTCCGAATAGCGCTTCATATTCTCTCTCTGCATCTGGGTCGATCTCCTGACTGGACGGGTCATCTATGATCTCTCTATCTCTCTCTCCCTGTCGGCGAGCAATGCGGGGGTCGACGCGCGGGGAATCGACCGAACGGAGGAAACGGGGGGTAGATTTGAATGTCTATTATATTATATAATTATAATCATAATACAGAGTAGGAATGAGGTACTTACTGGCATCTTATATCATATTACATCTCACTTAACTATATCCACAAAAAAAAGGAGAGGAAGAAAAAGAGAAGATAATTAAGTGTATTCCGTATTAAGCAAGATAAGCGACGATAAGATAAGAAAAGACACCTCAGGCATTATTATCACCATCATCACCATCACCAACATCAACAACGTCAAACATCCAGATGCACAGCAACGGAACCCTCCCATCCATTCCTCCCATTCCTCTCCAAAAACCCCAACGACAAATCCATCAAAAACGGCCTGGGAAGAGCAAACGGGGACTTCCACTCAGCGAGCCAACGGGGATTACCGAACTGGACGTACACATCGACGAGCGCGGCGCGTACCGACGCAGGGAACTTCTCATGATGATTGTAGATGAACTCGACAAGATCAGCGCCGGGAGATCGCGGGGAACGAATCCGTGCAGTCAAGGCCTGTAGCACCGCGTGCTGGAAAACATCGTCGTGCAGGTCGTGGCCGAGGAGGCATGCCTTAGCTAAGTCGAGAGACTCGGATTCGGACTCGGACTCGGACTCAGGCTCAGGCTCGGGTTCTAGGTTGGATTCGGGGTCGGTGCCTGGGGGATCGCGTAGCACGGCGAGTTCAGATGTGCAGCGCCAGTGGAGGTAGATGGGGAAGATGGTCGGGTCGACATGTGGGAGGACGATGGGGGATTGGTGCTGGGAGAGGGAAGGGACGAGGACACGGGGGATAGTGAATTTCGTCCGGGCCTTGCCGACGAGGACGTCGGTGGTTGAGCTAGTGTACCTATCTTATTAGCTGCAGATTCAAATGTATACTGATTAGATAGTACGTACGGATTTCGTTTCGTGGAGACGAGAGACATGTTGTATTGATAGATGTCCATCAATACAGATACATGATGATATGATGTAGTTGCACAGTCATGGTGACGCGGGGTCACTTGCGACAACAGGACCCAAAACACAGATCCGCCGGGTTGAAGTCATTCTGACTGGGTTTTGGCGTTTTTGGTTTTCTTTCTTGTCAGATAGATTCTTGTCAAATAGATATACTTGAGAATAAGAAAGACTTACTCGATCAGAGTGATTTGGGACGCCGCATCTGCGTCTTCTTTTTGGTCATTTTCTTTTTGGTCATGTTTCTTTCTGAGAAAGGTGAGAAAGTTGGGCATATCTAGTCTGATTGAATTTGAGGTACGTGATTTAGCCCCTCTCTGAGTTGAATGAGTCTGTCTGAGTGCTAGTTGTCTGGGACAGAGTTTATATATTACCGATCACCTCCTGAACATGCTGTGGCAAAACAAAGGTCTGCTCCAGACCCACCCAATGCACGGCATCCAGTCTGGTCAATCCGAGTTTCATCATGGGAAAACTCTGTGTCTGACAGCGCAGCACGCGCAGCCATGAATCCACCAGCTGCTTGCCCTTACTGGCTCGCTCGGCATTGGGCGCCTGTACCAGCAACAGCAGCACGAAATTCGAAACGGTGGCGAACCCGATGCGCGACCACGAGTACCAGAATCCCGTGAAGTCGCTGGCGGTCAATCGTCGCGTGAAGCTGATGACGATGGAGGCACAGCGTTCGGCCGCGTTTAGTGTCGTCTCGCCCGTGCCGTGGTCGGTCAGGTCGACGGCCGGGAAGGAGTCGATCTCGGGCATGTTGAAGCAATCCAGCAGTGGGGCGTCGTCCTCGTCGGCGGTCGTAGTATCCACGGCCGCCGAGGGGTCGGGCATCTCGTCCAGGTCGAAGATCAACGGCGGACTGGACGAACGTGCCATGGGTCGCAGCAAAGCGCGGTAAACGAACAGCACCAGGATCATGTACGCGAAGTGGATGGAGGTGGGATATGGAGCCAGACCACTGACGGATTTGCTCCAGTTGGGCAGTCGGAAGGACTCCGGCAGCGACGAATACCAGTCGTTCAGCCGGTCCAACAGCGGACGGCCGATGTCGTGCGACGCGCGAAAGCGTTCGGACAGATACTGCGACTGGCGCAGGGTATAGAAGGCATCGTAGATCTGCTCGGCAATGCGGGACAGATCCACCAAATAGCGAAACGGCACTGGGTCCACTGCATGACAATGGTGAAAGGCAAAATCGGCGGCATCCAACTCGGCGACGTCCCACTCGTCGGCGCGGATATAGGGCGGACGACCCAGCAGCAGACTGCGCCATTTGTCCTCGGCATAAACGGCCCACCACAGGCGCCGACGCAGGCGTTTCTCCCAGGCTGGAATCCCCCACATGCGGCATTCAATGTGCAGACCGAGCGAGGTGGCCAGGCCCACCAGACTGCCGACCCACGACCAGACGAAGGGCGAGTCGGCGCGACTGTCGTCCTGCGGCCGATGCAGATACAGCAGTGCCGCCTGCAATACGGCCAGATGCGGCGTGTGGATCTCCTCGGCGACGAGCTCGTAGACCAGACGCCACAGGCGCGACGACGAGGGAGCGCCGTAGGTGTGCAGCACGGAGAGATAGTCGTCCTGCGCGGCGAAGGGCAGCGCAGCGGCGTAGATGGCCGCGAGCAGATGCACGGGGATGCGCTGTAGCACGGCCGGCTCGGGCAACCAGCTCGAGGGCGTCAATCCCAGCTGCGAGCGCGACACCACGGGCAGAGCAGGATAGACGTACTTGACGAACAGGGCGACCAGACGCAGACCGGACTCGGGATGCACCAGACGGTGCAGTTCCTCACGCACCGAGATCTCGTCCGAAGTTAGGGCGACCTCGCGGCGACATGAGGTCTCCCGCTTGTCGGCGTCGGCCAAGTCATCGGCGGAGATGAGGAAATGCACGGGAATCTTGTCGGCCGTGGGCACCCCGCCGGCATTGCGGAAGTGCACCTTGTAGAAGCACTTGACGCCGGCATCGTCAAAGGCGCAGTGTCGCAGCAACCAGGGATCAGATTCCGCAGAGGCGCCAAACAGCTGGGCCGAGAAGCCTTGAAGCTGATCGAGGGACTGTACGAACTGGGTAACAGAACGGCCAACGAGGATGCCGGGGGAGTGGGCGGAGGGGGCGGACTGAGCAGAGGGAACTGGTTCTGGTGGAACTGACGGGAGTGAGTGAGACACAGATTCAGGAAGAATCGACTGCACAGGATCCGGAAGAGATTCAGGAACTGATTGAACTGAAAGAAGTCGCCGTTTGGGCGGCGGATGGTCAAAGGTACAGGACAGATCGGCGGCCCGGCATCGCAGGCAAGGCAGGCCATCCTCGGTCTGACAGCCAAGTTTTCTCTCGCGGCATTGATCGCAGGGACGGTGGCGCTTGGAGCGATATGGGCGGGACATTAGGATTGAGCAGGCTGCGTGTAATCTGTCGAAAGTGAGTGTAGACGTCAGAGAGTGAGTCTGATCAGGGTTTGCCTGGATGAGATGACTCAGCACGTCTCGGCCGTCGGCGAAATTAAATTAAAAATTAAAATTATGAAGTAAAAAGACAAGACAAAAAGGAAAATTAAATTCAAAGGTAATATTATCTGTACAGAGAATTTATGCAAGATGAGTACTACTCTTCGGATCTAGAGAGAGATAGGATCACTTCTACACTACTATTAACCAGGTAAATCCTGGAATGTGGATAGCCTCTATGTAGCGGGCAGGGCCCGCAAAATGCTCGAGCCCGTATACCGGGCACTCGCGAGGTCGTGTAGAACTCTCCCGATCACGTGATCTCGTTTACCTCGCACACACATTTACCTGTTCGGCCGCGGCCGCAGATAGAAGCTCTTCAGCGAGTTCTTTTAGTCCAAATCTATTATATAGGTTGAATCGGCTACTAGCCCGTGACAATATGGGCCTGGGACAGAATCTTACCTTTCTTAAAGCTGGAATTGGCGGTTTGTATGAAGTAGTCTAGTTACAACGAACAGAGTCTGGATTTTCCGGTTACTATCAGCTAAACTCTCCGCAGTCTCTACCCAGAGCTGTCTAACTGTCAAATAATATGGCCGTGGGTGGACCAGAATCATGTGACTGGATCGGGGTAAAACCCCCACGGAGCACACAACAAAATAATCAATCAAGAATAACCAAGAAGAATAATCAAGAAGAGCCCAACCAGCTCAATTCATTCAAATAAGACCTTTTCACCAATCGTACTCTATTTCCTCTTCGGGACTAGCCGTACATCTGACAGTTATCTAGATGGGTGACTAAGCGAGGCCACGTGATAACGTAATCGGTAAACGAGCGTTCCACGTAAGCGAGCGTTCCACCTCTCCCGACCGGTGAAAAAAAGAAGCCCTTCGAAACACCCAAAAATCTGCATTTCTATATAAAAACTAATTACTACTTCGATTAGGACAATGAGTCCTTTTATGTCCCAGAATATTGCAATTACTGCAGCGTGGTGGCGCTCGTACACGTCGCTTAACTGTAGATGGCCCCCCCTTCTACCGGTATAGTATTTTGAGCTTCTTGGACCTCATTCCGATGCTGTATATACTCCTGGGCCTCTTCTGTAGAAAAGCCCTCTGCAGTAGCTATCTGTCGCTTAGATTGCTTTTTATTTTGGCGATTTGTTTTATTCGCGGCTCGTTGTTCCCCTGCTTCTTGACGTGCAAGAATAGCTTCATTTAAAGCCATTTCATGCCCTTTGATAATCTTGTCTAATCGCGCTTCTAAAGAAGATTGGGGGCTTTGTACACGTGCTTTAAGCCTCCTTTTCATTGCAGATGCTTGCTTCTTTAATTGCTGAGAATTATAAGGTGTTTTGGGTGCTGAATTGGTTGATCGACTACCTGGTGGTGTAGGAGTTTTCAGTTGAATATTAAGCTGTTTTAAAGCTCTTTCGGGGTTAAATGGAACCAAGCCAGTTCCTGAAAAGCCGCTTTTAATATTCTCCTCCTTTAAAGCCTCTGTACGGGCTTTGGGATAGGCTTCAAGAAAGTCAAGTTTGTCAATATGGTTAAAACCAAGCCGTGCCTTGTTCTCAACCAGACGTCCATACGCGCGTTTTAATGGCCCAAAGCAACCAACATCAAGTGGTTGAAGAAGATGTGACGAATGTGCTGGCATGCAGATTGGTATAATATTATTCTCACTGCAGATCTGATCAAATTGAGGAGTTAAATGGCTTCCATGGCCATCAAGAACCAGCAGGCGATATTGTCCAGTTGTACGGCCAGTTGTAGCAGGAATAAAAAGCTTTTAAAGCCAGCGCAGTCCAATTTTATCAGTAGTCCATCCATTCTTACTAACTTCAATTCTCCAGTTGCTTGGTAAGTTCTTATACCAACCCTCTATATGGACCTTTCCCTTGAAAATAATACAAGGTGGAAGTGCCCATCCTGTAGAGTTAACACACTCAATAGAGGTAACCTATTCTCGATTGCCTGGCTGCACTAAAAATGGCTTTCCCTGCATATTAGCTCTAGTAACTACTTTAGCAGTAGCTACCAGGCCCATTGCAAAGCCAGTTTCATCAAAATTGTAGATATCTTCTTGTGCAATCCCGTGTTGCATTATAGTGATTTGTACACGATCAAACCACTCCCTAATAAGCTTAGGATCCTCACATTTAGCGCGCTGGTGATTGTATGTAAAATATCTTATTTAAGCTCCTACGTTTACAAAGTTGTATACCATTTATCACTAACAGTCTGAATGGGTGTGGCACCACGTTTAGCAAAAAATATTGCATTTCTTGCACATAGACGGTCGGGGAGGAGCTCACGCGATTAATATAGTATCCATGTGCAAGTACTCCTCTTCATTCTGAGTTATTTTATGATTATTTGCGCGTGTTTTGCTGCGACATGCGTGGCCTTTAAGCCGACGGTGTAAGATTGTATGAGAGATATTAAAGACACGTGCTGCTTTGCGTATCGAGCATATTTCTTGGTTTTTAAGAGCTGATAATGCAAGTTGGACCCTTTTCTCTTTCTCAATTGAATCATTTAAATTTGTACGCGCTTTTGGTGGCATGGTAGGTGGTTGAATTGGGCGTGTATGTTGACCGTGGTCAGATCCGAAGAGGTGGAACGCTCGCTTACGTGGAACGCTCGTTTACCGATTACGTTAATACCGAATATGGGATGTCTCGTTGCTTGGCCAGCTAATCCTTCTCTTCAAGCTTAATTTTACTTAATCTCACCAAGTTGTTGCCCGGCCGAGTCATCATAACAACCTTTGAAGTTTCGCTTGAAGTGCGTGGGGCATCGAACTTACTGGGAACCGATCACGCCGGCCCGGCCCGAGATTTAGGCAGATCAGTTCTTGTGATACACATATATCCTAGAGCATAGCTTTCCTCCTTTTACACCACGTCAACTTAGGGTCAGCTGCAACACAGCTAATCTAGTGTCATAGACTTTCATTGCCTTTGCCAGATGAGACTGTTCGCAGTTCACCAAAAGTGGAAATGACTGATAACCTTAAGCACCAATAGAAATGTATCTTCATACTTCATAGCGCCTCACTTTGTAAGCGCTTGCCCCTCTTCAAGCTTGTGCTGACATCAACACCGATGTTTCTTTGTCGTTGCTCTCATCCCGCCTAAAGTACCTGCTATCACAGCTACTACTGATGTTAATTGCATCTAGGATCAGCTCCTAACCAATATTTATCTATTCTCGACCTAGAACCCGGCGTTTGCCAAAGGTGCGACCACAATGGTCTCCCCCGCACTCAAAGAGTACCAGATCGGCTGGATATGCGCCCTTCCTATCGAGGCAGCCGCCGCTCAGGAAATGCTTGATGAGAATTTTGGGCCTCTTGAGGAGCAGGAAAACGCGGACACAAACATATACACTTTGGGCCGAATCAGCAAGCATTATATTGTGATTGCATGTCTGGGAGGGCAGTATGGGACGACTTCTATCACGACTGTCGCTAATAACATGATGCGAACCTTTTCCCAGTCACTGCGGGTTGGGTTATTGGTCGGGGTTGGAAGTGGAATTCCATCCGCTGCTCATGATATACGACTTGGCGACATCGTTGTCAGCTTTCCTACAGGCACGTGCGGTGGTGTAATCCAACATGACATGGGGAAAATTGTTGAAGACGGGAAGTTGACTCGTACTGGGTCATTAAACAGCCCACCCAGATTATTATTAGCTGCAGTTAACCAGATGAGAGCGGCTGCTTATCGAGAAGACCCAATTTATCCTGCTTATATCCAACGTGTGGTTCAAAGGAACGCACGGACACGGCGGAATTTCAGTCGACCGGATCAGCGACATGATCGACTCTTTCAAACCCAGTATGAACATCCTTTGAATGCAGCTACTTGCGATAATTGTTCGGCTGAGTGGGAGATCAAAAGAGCTAGACGTGAAGACAATGAGCCACAGCCGCATTATGGTATTATTGCGTCAGGTAATGTTGTTATAAAGCATGGTGGAATACGGGAGCAGCTTAGGAAAGAAATAGGTGCATTATGCTTTGAGATGGAGGCTGCAAGCTTGATGCAGGACTTCCCTTGCATTATTATTCGGGGTATTTGTGATTATGCCGATTTGCACAGGAATAAGCAGTGGCAGGGATATGCAGCATTGGCGGCAGCGTCCTACACAAAAGAGTTACTAAGTTACGTCCCTCGTGGCCAGGTGTCACAAGAGAAGTTGGTGGCCGAAATTTGTAAGTAACACTCGCGTGGGATTATTGGCGGGTAGGTTTAAGTCAAGTAACACTTCTACCCTTAGCAACACTTGCAGGAGAACTCAGACTCTTGGGTCAGAGAGCTATATATATTGAACAAAAAATCGATTTCCAAGGGTTGAGTATTGCGAGAGGGTCAGCATTTGATTCTTATGAGAATCAGCATGAAGAATGCCTCAAAGGGACCCGAGTTCAGCTACTCCACGACATTGAGGAGTGGGCAACCTTATCAGATGAGAAATGTATATTCTGGCTGAATGGCAAGGCAGGCACTGGAAAGTCAACAATTTCCCGCACAGTTGCAAGCCTCCTAGAGAAGAAAGGCTTACTAGGGGCGAGCTTTTTCTTCAAGAGGGGTGAGGAGGATCGAGGGAGTGCAAAGAAACTTTTTCCAACAATTGTCACACAATTAGTGAACAGCATGCCTCAACTATTGCCTTGCATTCAGAAAGCGATTAAAAATGATCCTCACATATCGGAGAAAATGCTCAGAGAGCAATTCGAGAAACTTCTGCTTCAGCCACTGCTTGAAATGGACCAGGGACTGACTGTGACTGCAGCCCGAGTGATTGTGATTGATGCACTTGATGAATGTGACCAAGAAGATGATATAGGGCTGATTCTTAAGCTCTTGCCGCGAGTCCAGAATTCAAACGCAGTGAAACTGCGATTTCTATTGACAAGCA